CACAAAGTTTGAATTCTAATTTAATATCTGCTTTATTGCAATCACAACAACAACCACAACAACCACAACAACAACAACAACAACAACAAAATAATACCATGCCAAACAATTTTTCAAACGGAAATCTTTTTGGTTTGGATTCTTTGGCATCTTCACCATTTACTTTTAATAACACTAATACTAATAGTAATAATAACACCAATTCCACTAATCAACAAATTCAACAACAACAACCACAACAACCACAACAACAACAACAATTTTATGTTCAACAACAACAACAACAACAACAACAACAACAACAACCAATTCAAACTACATCAGTTCCATATGTTAAAGAAGAAACTTCTATCCAAGGTTTGGTAGAGGATAACAAGGATTTACAAACATTCCTTGATCAAGATATTTTGCTTGGACTTCGTCAATCTGATTTCAAGGCATCCAAATTGGATGGACAATCCCTTGGCATCTCACAATCACTTTTGACCAATGACACACCAAACTTCTTTTCCAATCCCAACTCCAACTCTGGAGATCAATCCAAAAATGATTTTGGATTATATTATTAACTGTATCCTCCTCAACAATCATCCATAACAACAAAAACACATTTGGATGAATTTCATACTCCAACACATACACACAAATTTAAAGTAGCAACAAAAGATATCATCACTATGGAATGGGACTAAATGAAAAAGAGGAATGTTTAAACAATCATTTCAAAAGTGTTTCTCTCTTTTTCACAACAAGTACGCCATTTTTACTCAATCTATTTCACACACAACTACTTTAAAACAATAATGTCAATACATAATAATAATACGACTTGTATATAAATTCTAATTTGTTTATTCAATCAATAAATTAAAATGAAAACAATTAATTGGTAATCTCATCATCTCTTCTCTAATTATACATATATATCTGAAAAAAAATATAATAAATTACATGTTTATTTATTTTAAATTTGGAGGGGTTTGTATTAATAAATATATAATATTAAATTATATTCTTATTGAGTATTGATGATCAATCTTTCATTTTCATATTGTTGGTTAGAAGAAGAGGAAGAGGAGAAAATTGATTTGATACGTTTGGCTATTCGGTTAGAGTTTTCAACTCCAAGAGCCAAATAAATAATAAATGAAAAATAGAAAAGGAATCCAATGATCATGACGGCAATCATCCAGCCAGATGTTGAAATTTGTGTTGCAAAAATGACAATTAAATAGATATTGATGGCGATAATAATTAATGATAAAAGTCTAACTACAATATTATTTAACCAATGATTTTTAAACTTTTCTCCCATTACTTCAGATCCTAAAATAATAATAGAGAATTGATTGATTTTTGGTTAGTTATTATTTTAAAGACTTTTGATTTTTATATATTGATACATACTAGAGGTAAAATAAAGTACTGGTAATACAGCAAATGGAAGTTGAACAGATTGGAGTACATTTAACCATTCATCTAGAGAGTCGAGATGAGTGTTTGAGAGAATGGCAACGACAATGGCAGGAACGATGGCACTGCATCGAGTGATCAATAGTCTCTTCCAAGGCTTGATCTTTAGATCTAAAAACCCTTCCATGACAAACTGACCAGAGTAGGTTCCAGTCATGGTCGAGCATTGGCCTGCAGCCAAGAGACCGATGGCCCAAATGTATCTTGCAACCTCTCCATACTTGGTGCCGAGGAAATCGGCGGCGGTAGAGAGACCAATAGTCTCGCCGAGAAAGCCAGTGCCAAAGACAGCAACCACAAAAAGATTGATGACAAATGAGATGAACAGAGCAATACTCGACTCGATGTTAAAGTATTTGTTGGCTGTGCGAACTTGGATGTCGCTCGATCGGTCGATCTTTCTCGACTGTACCAATGCAGAGTGAAGGTAGATGTTGTGTGGCATGACGACGGCACCGAGGATACCCACCGCTTCCGCGAGGTTCGAGTGGTTGACGTACGGCTCGACTACGCCACGCAACACTTGTAGTTGATCGGGTTTAGCAATGATATATTCTACACCAAAGCTGACGGCCATGACCGTGATGAGTGCACAAAAGAATGCCTCTAGTTTTCGGATGCCATAGTTTTCGAGTAGTAAAAAGGTGAATGTGTCGGCGGCGGTAATCAAGACACCAGCCCACAATGGAATAGCGCCTCGTGACAGAATGCTAATTGCAATGGCAGTGCCGATAACCTCTTGAATGTCAGAGCCAATGATGGCCAACTCGGTCATGATCCACAGTAATATTCTGGGTACCACTGGATAGTACTCTCTACAATGCACGGCCAAATGCTTGCCCGTTACAACACCCAGCCTGCTGGCAAGAAATTGTAGCCACAAACCAATGACGGTCGACCACAACAACACCCACAACAACGAATACCCACCCGTTGCGCCAGCCTGAATATCACTCTCCAAATTACCAGGATCCAAATACGCTATACTCATCAAGAAACCAGGTCCTGTAAATGACCATAACTTTCGAAAACTAAATATTTCCTAAGGAAAAGAAAGAAAGGTTCACATTATAATTGAATAATAATAATAATAAATGGATAGTTAAACACGATCATGATTCAATAATAAAGAGTGTGATTATATATCTTTTGTCTTTTTTTTGGATACATACATCTTCTGGTATATCATCCATACCGGGGACTTCGACCAATGGGTCTCTTTGTTTGTCGCTTGTATAAACATTTTCTATGAGTATGCCATTATCGTCGGCGGCTAGACTATTTCTCCTACTATCGTTATTATTATTAGTTGGCATTGTATCATATGCTGTTTGTTCAGTTCTAGGTGCCATTCTATTCTACATTATGTATAAATAAATAGAAATAGAAAGAATAAAGATAGATATAGGGTATAAATATAAACTTTTCTAGAACTCTCTGTTGTCCATATGCGGTTCGTTTTTTTTTTTTTTTTTTTTTATATTAAAAAACAAATGTCGCCAAAGGGGAGGGAAGAATTATCCATTATTTTTATGGGGTATCCTCCTCCCTCCTCAATCCAGGCCAGGATCATTGTCAAATAAATAAATAAATAAATAAACTTACCAAAAACTATATTTATATTATTTGTGTATGTTATATATTTAGTATATTATTTGTATGTATATATAAAAGTCAATCAAATGATGGTTATAAATATAATGGTATTGTGATGAAATTACTATGTGTAAAAAGAAAGTTCGTATTAGGGGGGAGGAGTGTATGTCGATTATGCTAAAGGGTGTGTGTGTGAAAGTTTGGAAGTTGGCTGGATGAATGGAATACAAGCAAGCTTGAAATTTAGATGGCTAACAATGAAAAGACGATCGGTCGGCACAAAACGAATTCGACAATGATCTTGATTTTTTTGATGGGGTTTGTTCGGTAAGATTGATGAATATGACTAAGATATTTAAAGAACATACGGAACAAAAAGTAAAAGAAGAAAAAGAAGATGATGATATAAGGATATATAAATAGGAAAAGAAGAAATTCGGATGACTGGGATGTAGATCTTTTATAATAGTGATTAATTTTATTATATGTGTGTGATCACAAAAGAAAGAAAGAGATAGAGATAATAAATAAATAATGCAACTGTGACCTAGGTTAATTATTCAATTTGAATCGATTGATTGATTGCTTAAATACCTGCAATGGCAGTAAGAATGCACTTCGTTTCTGGTATTAAAAAAAAAAAAGAAGTTAATAATTTAATCGACATCAAAAATATCGGGACGCTCGTTATATTGTCACTGCAGAGGTAGCTCTGGTAATAGGGAGGTTTAAACAATCGACAATTTGAGTATTTTGGGAAATGTGGAGGGCAAACTTTGGGAAGCCCCACCAGTTTTTTAGATTTCTTTTCTTGAATAGGTTGACAATGATCACTCTTTTTGTCTTTGTCTTGATTACTTTTAATGTGATCGATGCCTGTGGGCAGAATCCTTGTCAAACGACAATTTCACCCCCTCCTCTCGAACCCATCGATTCGCAAATTGAAGTTGTTGCCAATGCAAATATGAGGTCAAACATACACATAACTATTTGTTGTATCTATTTTAAACCTGTTCTTAAACAGGTAGGGTAGGGTAGGTATCAATTAGGTGGATGGAGTAAAAGATTAGATTAGATTAGATTATTACAATGATTTTTCTGGTCCAAAGTTGAGAATAATAACCATGATCGATGGGAATGTGTGGTGGGGGTTATGATTATGATCGTTTTTATCATCACCATCTTCATCTAAATTAAAAACTTGGTTAGTAAAAATTATTGTATTGGATAATAAAAATATGATACACCCCAACTTATCGACAAGCTGGCTGAATGATGTAATGTATTTGTATTCATTGTTGTTTGATTTGAAGACATAGATAGTCGTAGTAGTAATAATCTATTAGTCATTATGGAAGATATATTCAAAGGAATAGTGTATGTAACCAGTTTCAGTTTATTTAGAATTATCAATTGTGTTATTGACTGACCAATCTCCTATCGATCTATCTATCTATCTTCACTAGTGATGATGAAAGAGCTGGTTTGGTTATATCAAACTTGTTATTACTCAATGACTTTTTAGATTCGGTCAACATTGAAATTAATGAAAAGGGTTGGTCTTTAACTGGATTTGATCGTATGTGTTTTAGTGATGACTTTGTTGGTCATATCATATATATAGTTATCTAACATGTTCATTTGTGTTTATAAAAGCATCACAAGTACTTTATATTGATGTTAGATTAGAGAGATCAATGTTTACCGATTATCATATGTTTGTATATTAGAAAATTAGAAAAAAAGAAAACCAAAGATTCAGACTGACAAGTTGATGGAAAATTATCATTTTTAATCTAGTTTGAAACCAGTATTGTTTGTTTTAAAAGTAGATATGATTCACAAGGTTTTAAAAAAGGTTGGAAAAGTTGAAAAAATTGCTTTCAAGTATCCAGGTGATAAATTAGAATTGGTATTTATAAACAACAATCCACACCACGTTCATTTTACGTAATACTAACAATTGTTGTTATTATTATTAGATTATATTTAATCCATCTGGTTTTATTACACATCATTCTTTTCCAGAAATGATTTTACAATCTCCTGGTAATTATTATTATTATTATTATTATATGATCCAACTTAAATTAATATTATTATTTCCTTTTTAAAAAGATCAATACAAGGATCCAGATTTTAAATATGAATGTGGTAAATATTAATTGTTGATTCAACAGACTAACCCTTACCCAATACATCCTTTTTACTTCTATCTATCTATCTATCAATTTTTTTTTAAATAATAGAAATACTTTTACCATGTATATTATTTAAAAATATTATAGGTGAATTAAAATCATTTGGTGATAATAGATTATGGTTAAAAGTTGATGAAAATAGTTTATGTTTTGAAGCCAATGATAGTATTGTAAAATCAAGTATGACTTTGCATAAAAATGTATGTCGATTTATGATATCCAAATATATAGATTATTCATTAATTACCTATATATATATAACCAATCCCTAAAGAGAACCAAGGAGCTTCAAATCATTAGTAAATCCAAGTTTGAAATTGAATTAAGGAATAATTATTTCCTCAAGATTGGAAATGTATTGAAAAAGTTTAGTTCCAAAGAATGCCTTTTACAAATAGGCCCAAAAAGCCCTTTCACTTTTATGTATGTTATTATTATTATTATTATTATTATTATTATTATTATTATCTTTATGTCTATCTATCTTGTTTTGTGACAATCTAATGTGTTTTTGTTAAAGCATCAGTCTCCAATCTAGTTGCTTTCAATTCTTTCTTGCTCCATTATTATAGATATCCATTAGGGTGATCATGCTACTATAAATGATCAAAAGGCTACACAACATTCACACTATACTTAGCTACTATACTATCTTTTTCATTTTGCAAATTTCATAATAAAGTTGTGATAATAGACTCTCTCTGAGAAGTAGCCTATTACTTTTTGACAGCATGTTTAGCAATACATTGTTTAAACTTTTGAAATTCTATATTACAAGCATTCTTTTCAATATCATCAATATGTTTAATAACACATGATGCATACAATGCTGACTAAGAGATGATGTGTCAAAGGTTAGAAAAAGTTGACATTCTATTTTAACTAATAATATATATACCTCTGCAGTACATTGACTTAATGATTGTGCTACTCTTTGAGACCACTTTGTAGTATTACTTGACATGCTCTTATCTCTTCTTTTAATATCTGAATTTAACAATGACACTTTGGTTTTCGTCTTTTTGACATCGGATGACTTGAAAAAAAAAAAAAATAATAATAAACTAATGATTTGACTTGTTGTGATTTAGAAATAAATATATAATATATATGTTTTGATCTTCATTATTACAATGAAGTATTTATTTGTATATATGAGGGGAGGAGGGGGAGGGGTTGGGATGGATGGGGAAAAAAGAGAATTGCCTATAGTCTTTTTGTTTTTTCTTTTTCTTTTTCTTTTTTTTTGTTTTAGTTTTTTAATATGTATCTGGTTGAGAAATGATTGATTGATAAGGTAAATTTTCATATTCATCTTCATAACTCCAGAATATTTTCCTAAATATTCTGTATTTCTTGTAGTTGTTTCGTAGTTTTGAACTTCTAAAATAAAAGATGGCATTGAAGAAACCTTGCAATACAAATAGTCCACGGGCAATGATGGTCAAAACCTCAACACCATAGTCTGGAGGAGGTGGTGTACGATAGTGCTCCTCGCTAATCTTGTAACGAGTAAAGATAAAGATGTGTAGCACCAAAAGCATCATGTAGCAAATCGACAAGACACCCGGATAAAACATTAATCTCCAAACAATCTTTTTGGTGGTATTTCTCTTTTCATCGTTATTCATTAAGGATTTGGTTTCATAGTATGGTCTTAAAGTACCATTGTATGCTTGTTTCAATGTAACCATTTGTACAACCAAATTAAATAACATAATTGATCCAAAAAATAATGCATCAATTATAAATTTTACTTCATCATTTTGATTAACATATCTACATCTAAACAACAAAAATAATTAATTAATTAACCAAATAATAATAATAAAAATATAATGTATTATTATTAATATTATTTATACATACTCATTCCCATCATCACCAAGATGAGTTCTAGTTAATATTATGATTAAAATGGAAATACCCCAAATAAATACATGGAATAATTTATCATTCTTTTTAATATCTTTGGCAGGATAGAAACATAAAAATAATAAACTATAATTAATTAATTAATTAATATATTAAGTTAGTTATCCATCCATTCAATTAAATAGTTGATCATTTCAAAACATACTTTATAGAGATGGCAACTGACCAAAGAAAATTGGAAACTATACTAAGTTGAGTTAAAGCAGCTTGTGCAAAACATAAATAAGTATTTCCTAAGAGCAAATAGAATAGTTAGTATAAAACAAATAATATATAATGTTACAATGTTGTTTTTGTTAAATTGTGTGACATACTGATTATATACAATCCTACGACTTCTGGTGATAGGAATAATGGAAAAGTTACAAAATTAAACAAAAGAATAGAAAATGTTGGATAGATAATGATTCTTGAATAACTATTTCTTAAGAGCGTTATCCAAAAGAAATGGAATATGATAAATATACATCCTATGATCGATAGTATATAGCACACTAATTCGAATATCTTTGCTGTAAGTACATTATCTGATGTCATCTATTATTGATAATGATGTATATATTAGTTGAGGGTTTGAAGTTAAGTTGATAGATTGATTGGTTGAGGTACTAGATAGATAGATTGATTGATTGATTGATTGATTGATTGATTGATTGTAGTACTTCTATTCTATAGATAGGTATGTAGCCGTAGTAGTAAGTAGTAAATAAATAAATATGTATGTTTTAAGATTTATTAATAAGAAATGTGTTGTAGGAGATGATGGGGGGTGGTCATAGCAATTACTCTCCTCCTCGTTGATGATTGAAACAAGCAAAGTTCGTCCAACATGTTTTTTCAATTTTTTTAATATTTTTTGGATAATGACACACGATCATTGTGATCAACATGCTAAAGAGTTTGCAACATTCAAAGTATACTTACTGCACAGTCGTTTTCTATCATCTTCATCCATCCTCTTATTCAAACAAAGATACACTCCATTTGTATATATATACACGACAATAACAATAGATTGGTTTAGATCATATCATATTTGAACGTACAACAACAACGAAAACGACAACAAATATATAGATAGATAGATAGATTTAGTAGTAAAGAATGAACTACAATTCATATTCAGTTATTTTATCAACACTTAAATTACAAGGAGCTCTTACTAGAAAGCAACTATGGGAGTTTTCAAGAGCTAGTAATCTCTTCCCAAGTTCGATGGACTTTAAAAAGAAGATGGATACATTGTTGACGACCGAACGTATCGGTAGAAAGAGCGAATATCAATTCAACCCAAAGAAAAATATGAACATGAAGAACTTGTTCAAGTTTGAAATGATCGCCGATCACGACAGAAACTCGATACCACAGGAAGTGTTGAGTCGTGTACAAATATCTATAGACAAAACTTTGGAGGAACAACGTTTGCAAAAGATTCGTGAAGAACAAGAAAAGGCAGACAGAGTATCCAAGGAAGAGAAGCTCAAGGCTAAGTTATTGGAGAACAAGGAACAAGAAAAGGTTAAAAAAGAGGAACAACAAAAACAACGTATTCAACAAGCTATGGAAAAGAGTTCAAAAATTATATGCAAAGAAATAATAATAAACAACATGGATATATATTTAATAATAGTAAATAACAGAGATGCGTTGAATTGGAATATATATATATATGGATGGGCACAAAAAAAAACAAAGGGATTGGTTCCAAATCATTCCAGGTTGCCCAATTAAATTTTTTTTTTGTCATTATGCCTCAATCATTTATTCGAATCTAATTTAAATTAAATATATATATACATATACGAGACCCGATGATGTATGGGAAGAGGAGGAGGTAGAAGAGGAGTAGAGGAGGGAGGTGAATATAAAAAAAGGTTGATCATTGACCAACCTATTTTGTATGTAAAGTTTTAATAGAAAAACTTTCTGTATAAAAGAATAAGGAATATAACAAATACAATGATAATAAGTCTATCGAGACTAGTTGTGCTTGGTGGGGAATTTACAGCTTGATTGGCGGCTTGAACTGGTGCCGCTGCTGCTGCTACCACTGGATCTGCTGCAATATTTCTTCTAGTCACCTGACCAGCAGCCACAGCTGTTGTTGCTGCTGGTGGTTGTAGAGTATTTGATACCAATCTAGGTGAACCATTGTTATTTGGTGTAGAGGTTGCCGCTGGTGGTGTTGTAGATTTTGGTGTCATTGGTTTTGGTGTTGTAGAAGACTTGGTAGGTGTTGTAGATATGGATTGTTGTTGTGGTGGTGGTGTTGTAGATTTTGGTGCCATTGGCTTTGGTGTTGTAATTTGAGTTTGAATGGGAGGAGTAGTGGATGATAATGGTGACGACGTTGATAAATTAGTTGTATTGAAATGTTTTGTATCCACTGTTGATTCATTGGCCTCTATTGGTTTTGGCTCGGCTCTTATTGAGTTGAGTTGTTCTCCATCATTTATATTATTATTATTATTATTATTTACATTACTAATCTCTTCTTCTTGATTGTTATTAGTATTATCTTGTTGTTGTTGTTGTTGTTGTTGTTGTTGTTGTTGTTGTTGTTCTTCTTTGGTTGCATCAATAACATCATCTGATGAGCCAGTATCAACAGTAGTAGTTGATGATGTAGAAGTAGTTGATGTAGTTGAAGTTGTACTTGTAGTACTACTACTATTATCAGTAGTTGGAGCCTTTTCAATCTTTGGTAGTGCTGTTCTATTATGTACTCCACACTTTGAACAACTCCAATGTAACGATGCATTTGCCAATAACTTTCTCTCTGCTGGTGGGTATTCGACAGCACCAGCTGCACCATTAGCTTCTGTTGGCATGAACCCAATCAATGCAATCAAAATTGTAGAAATGCTCCACGATGGCATCCATGTCTCTGGATGATGCGCCGATATCGACAAGCAGATCTTTGCACCCTCTTGAAATCTTCCATTTGGTGTCAACAATACGATATTGGGTGGTTTGAAAGGATACTCTGCAGGGAGAATGATACGACCATGATAAATTCCACCTTGGAAATCAGTTCCACTTGCTCCCCTTATTGTGAAATGCCATTCAAACATATTATCCTATATATTATAATCAATGCATTAATTCATATTATTCTCTTCTCTTCTCTTCTCTTCTTCTTTTCCTCTCTTCCTTTCTCTTACCTCTAATGGTGCAGCTGTATAATCTGGAGATGGATCCGATTGCATTTCTTGTATCTCTCTCATAATTCTCTTGGCTGCTGGGTTTGCCATTATTTATTGTCTCTTTTTCTAGTTCTTCTTGAAAGTAAAACCTAAGTAGTACAAACTATAGTTCTGTTACTGACTATGACTAACTATTCTCTTTCCTTTTGTTTGTTTGTTTGTAGTAGACCGATCGATCGATTGTGATAATTCCTTTATATTGAATATAATCTTTTAAGAAGGAATGGAAGTGTAACTGTAATGTATATCTATTGACAATTATACATAAATAAATAAATAAATAAATAAATGAATGAAGTTAAATTGCGTCTTGTGACTATGCAACATGTTCAGGTGACGCAGCACAAGCTGCAAATATAAAAAACCAAAAAAGAGTGAGATTGGGAATAATAAAATAGGTTTTATTAAAGTTTATGAATAAATAATGGATTGTGTGATTTGTGTGATTTGTGGTTGGTATTATACTTGATTTGAATGATGGTGACTATGATGATTTAAAATGATCTGGCACATGCTTCAGTGGCAATGAGAGCATTTTGAGAATTAACCTTGTTGCTGTGATAGGCAATGACAATGTGGTTGCCAGACTTGACAATGACAACTCCATCTGGACCAAGCTTGGCTGTGATACTTGTCATTGTGTTATGGAGTGATGGGTATTTACTACGATCGTAATCCAAATTGATTTATCCATCCATTTGCCAATAATAATAATAATTGGAAAGAGAGAAAAGGAAATGAAAAAGGATGGTGATTAATAAACAATACAATATTAATATTATAGAGAATAGAGAGAATAGAGAGAAAGAGAGAGACTATTGGCCAAACCAACAATCAATCAATCAATTCTCTATATTAATCATTAAACTCAAACTTACCGGCCAAGGAAAATAACGGCAGATGCCTTTGATGGATCTATTATAAAGTTAAATAACAAGTAAGAGTTAATAATCATCCATTCATTCATTCATTCATTCAAGAGATAAACTAGTCTAAAATCTATGTTACCTTCTAAATCATTGACAATAGTTTTGATTTCAGATTGAGGTAAACCTCCGAAACCTTCAGACTTTGTAAGTGATGAACCGTTTTTGTCGACGACTTCAACCTTTGTAATTCCTTGTGAGAGTAACTTTTCAATTGCTGCTTGCATTCTTCAATTATTGCTGTTATAGTGTATAAATATTGTTATTGTATCTTTGTATATTGTTAATTAATATAACTAATGTCTTTTTGCTCATCAACTTTAGATACTTTATTGGTGCCCTTTCCCTTTAAAAAATCAAAAAAAAAAGTGTGGTTTCACTGAAAATTTGGCGTCACACTGCTCAAAAATAATGGGAGTGGAGTAGGATGAGCTTGATTTCCAGGACATTTTTATCCCAATATTGGACTACTGGATTATTGTCAGGCTCTGTTGGTATATATGATAAGGAGATGGCAGCCAGCTTCCCAAACATCATGACATGATAAAAACAATGACACCCATTTTTATTCAGGACGTGTCCACTCCATGCCAAAGAAAGAGGTATGACCAAGTGCAAAGTGGATTCTTTGGGAAAGTGACATTACTGAGAATTCAATTTTTTTTGTCTTCTCTCTTCCGAAAGTTGGTTGTCACGAACAAAACTTATCTCTTTCTTTTTTTTTATTATTACTACACGTACAACTATTTTATCTCTTTACATTTTATCTCTTTTGAGATCGAGATAATAATAATATTTCTATTACAAAAATTAATATGAGAGATAGAGAGAGAGAAGAAAAGAGATAATAGTAGTTATAAATGAGAGCAAAGACATAGAGAGCAAAAGTTAACATGTTTAGCTTAATCAAAAGAGAGATCGTAAAATAGGATTATTCACTAACAAACAAAAAAAAAAAAAAGAATATGATACACATGTCATACAGTCGTGTGAGAGTAGTGTAGTAATAGTAGTGAAGTGTAATCATATATATATATAGATACATATTACCTCCACAAAAATATAATGTTGAGAGATAGAGACAGAGGTAAATTGATTTCTCTCCTCTCATAAAAAAAAAATGAGACCGTTAAAAAATTCAAACCATTTTTTTTTCCATCCTCCTCTCACTCTCTTTGTTTCTCGCCCTCACACTAAAGTTATCAATAGTAGAAGACTATTTATTTGATTATATAATATAGTTAGAGTACTATATAATATACATATCATCAGCATCATATTATCGATTCAATATAGCAATACTACCCGAAAACAATAATAGTAGTATAATCCCTTCTCCTTCTTCACATATAACAACTATAAATATATATATTTATCAAAGATGGATGCAGCTATACAATCAATTATTCGTGATCAAGATCCAAAGGAATTAAAACAATTGGTTCTCGATCAAAGAAGAGTTCAAAAGTTATCAGATCTAAAGCATTTCATAAAGTTGGAGAAATTGTCATTAAATAATTGTCATTTACAATCTATCGAAACACTACCACCTTTACCTACACTCAAAAAGGTATGATCTACTATCCATATATATATTTATATACATACACACATAGAGTAGTAGTCATCATAAATGATTATTATTACAATGGAAAAAAAAGATCAGGTGACACTGACACATGTGTCTCTTTTCTTAATACTCTGTTTACTTATTTCTGTTCTTTCTCACTTCTTCTTCTAGCTTGAGTTAAATGATAATAGAATATCAGGAGGTTTGGTTGCATTATCGGGCTTTACAAACTTGGGATCATTAAGTCTTAGCGGAAATCAAATTAAAACATTAGAGGATCTTTTGCCTTTAGTAAGTATCCACCCATCAGGATAACTCTACACTTATTGCGGTTTACTTATATATACTTTGTTGTTTAGAAACATTTAACTTCACTTCAATATTTGGATTTGTTTGGATGCCCTGTCACCACATTGAAAGATTATTCACAAAATTTGTTTCAAATGATTGGTTCGTTGGTTGCATTGGATGGTTATTACAAGTAAGACTACTGCTACTACTATAGTTATAGATACATTATATTGGACAGATGGATTAACATTATTTGATTGATTGATTGATTGTAATTAGGGATGGAAAGGAATACGATTATTCAGAGAGTGATTCGGATGGAGATGATGACTCTGAAGATGACGACGACGATGATGATTATAGTGATGACGATGACGATGAAGATGATCAAGAGGATGAGGAAGCAGCCAACGGTCATAATGGAAAGACAGTCAAGAAATCATTGCCACAACAACAATACCAACAACAGGTCGGCGGGGATGAGGACGACTCTGAAGACGACGATGAAGAGGAACAGTCCAATTCAGACGGACTCGATTATCTAAGAAGAAACCCATCATACCAAAAACAAATCGTGCAACAGTACGACGACAGCGATGATGAGGATGACAGTCAAGACTCGGACGACTCTGACGACGACGACGATGATGATGCCCAATCATACCAAACTACCACCACTACAACCACAACTACCACTTCAACTAGAGTCTATCATAGCGATGACGACGAGGATTCCGATACTGACTCTACAGATGACTCTGACGATGATACCACCCAACAACAACAACAAAGACCATCCGTCGCAGAGTTGTTAAGCAATTATAACAAGGCAGAGGAGGATCCAGACTACCAACCATCGAGTGAAAGCGAGGAAGAGATATCAGACGACGACGAAGACGTTCACCAAGATGGAGACGAAGAGGAAGAGGAAGAAAGTGATTATGATGAAGATAAAATTGTTGAACACTACAAAAAACTTAGAAGTCAAGGTGTTCAACCTGGACAAGAAGAAATCATTAGTGAAGGAGATGATGATGATGATGACGAGGAGGATGAGGAGGATGATCAAGAATATGAGCAAAAGAGAAAGAGACAAGATAAAGATTTCCCAGCACCAAAGAAACGTGCAATTTAAAAATATTTAAATAATAGATAATAGAAAACCAAAAGAATAATATATATTAAAAATCAAACAGATCAACAATAATATCAATGCCTAGGCACACAAATAATAATAATAATAATTAGCCAACTTACTAATCCCTCTTTCTCCCCCCAAATCCAACAACAACAACAAACAATCATCTTCCAAAAATAAAGGAATTAATATGTAATATATTATATATATATATAATAGTGAGAGAGAGAGTTGACACTGTCCTTTTTCCATCTTTCTTTTTTTTATTTTATTTTGATTAAATAAATACATCAACAACATCTTGAGTTTGAATTGTAAACAATACATTTGATATTATTTTGATATCTTCCTTGCCATCAAAGTTTGAAATATGGAATGTTACGGATTTGGCTGCATTGGGTGGATTGAATTGTTGTTTTATAAATTCAATCATCGCATGATTGTCCTTGTTTGTTCCCTTGTAGTCTGGAAATAGAGTTTTAAAATCGATAGCATTTTTAATCTTTTCATTAAACCCTTCTCTTTCAGTGAGAACAATGATGGCTGGTACATTTGATTGACTTGATAATAGTTTGAATAGTTGTATTGATTTAATTAAACTATTTACAGGCGGACTATTAAGACTTGGTGAACTCATTAATTCTTTTCTTGGACTTATTATTGGACTTAGTATTGGACTTGTTACATCTAAATAAATAATAAATAAATAATAAAAAATAATTAAAATGTTGTTTGGTTTAAAATAGAGAACAGTTGATTTGTTTAACATACCAGAATTTAAAGATATATTTGACAAGGCAGGTTTTAGGGTAAGTAATTTCTTTCGATTTAGTACAGATGATGGATTAGTTATTTCGACTGGATTGAGGAATGGTGGGAAATCAGATGATGTAGTATTGAAACTTGCAAGTGAACAACACCAAATAAATGCCTTGGCATCACTAAAATCTTTAATCCATTTTTCAGTCAATGATGATGGGTGACTAGTCAACATGGATGATATATCGGTAATCCTTATTTCATTCATTACATAGTATTCTGGTATTGTATTTCTAGAATATATAATTTGATCCAATATATCACTATCTTCAAATCTTTTAATTTCCATATTATTATTACTATTATTTAAATTATTACTACTATTATTATTATTACTATTATGATTATTATTATTGTTTTGAAGATTACCAATAAATACTCTTTCTAAAATCGAATAATTTCTTTTTTAAATAAATAAATAAATAAATAAATTAGAATCATGTGATGATCTATCTCTCCCTTTTTGACAGACTGTCTAACTATAGTTACTCTATTGCATGTTGAAGATAAATTGGTAAAGAATGTTTAAATGATGGATTTGAATAAATAGATTGGACAGATGGATCATTCCAAAATAATCTCAAATCCAATAGTGATTGTTGTGGTAGAGGTCTGACAGTGTATGCATCGTCTTTAATTTTTGATAGTTTGGCAATGATTTCGTTTCTCCTAGATTCTGATAACACACCACTTTGTAATTGTAGTGGTGGTGTTGGGTGTGGTAGCTGCTGACTCTGTAGATGGGGAGGGACATGTTGTTGATTTTGTTTGATGATCATTTGATCGACGACTTGTTTGGCGAGTAGTCTCAACACGGATACTGCACAATCGACCATATAATTATTGTACCAGTGTCTATCAATATCATTTACTCCACTGTGTGTCTTTATGCCTCGCAGCACCAGATCCAATTTACAATTTGACATTCCCAATGCAATCATTTCATTGTAGTTTCGAAGTGCCAACACACCATCCACATTGTGTTTGGCGTGTTTGTCAACAGTCACCTTACTCGCCTTTTTAAATGGATTGTTGTGATAATCATTTACAAATGGGTCATCTATTATTTCCATATATTCTATTATTCTATAAAATCAATCAATCAATGTTAGTAGTCTTAATCTTTAGTATTGTTACACTACTACTAATACATACTCTCTACATGCAGTTGATATTGATACTCTCATCCTTTCCTTTCGTAGCTGGTTGGCTATGATCGATCTCTTTTTCAACTCTTCTTTGAGTGTTTCAGTTTGGTCTACTGCACCATCCATCACAGACAATAGAGAAGAGTGTTGAGGTGATAGTGTAGATGCAGATGATAACACTGGTGTCTGAGATAGTTTGATGTTTTGGACACTACTACTGCTACTACTTGTACTACCACCATGGTTATTATTACTATTGTTACTATTACCATTACTATGACTACGAACATGATGGTGATGACTGATCAATAACTCTACCTGTGCCATTTCATCGGCTGTCGTGGTTCCAATGTTAATAGTTGTTGTCGTTGGTGGCGTGGATGTCTGACATCCAGTCGACCCTTGTTGTTGTTGTTGTTGTTGTTGTTGTTGGTCATACTCTAGTTTAGTCGGTGACACTGTCATTCCATCTCCATTTCCATTTCCATTTCCATCTCCATCCTCTTGTTCTTGTTTGTTGAGGAATGTTTGCATATCATTATCAATATTACATTTATCAATATTGCTAATACTACTACTACTACTACTATTACTACTATTACTGCTATTACTGCTTGAATTGGTTGGAATAGATTTGATCATATTGACCCCCTTTTTTCAAAAAGGTGCATTAATTAAATTAAATAGATAGATATATATATATTTCTATAAAGATGATGGATGTTGATAAATGATTAGAAATATGGGAACAAGTACTACTAGTAATACTATGTATGTTCTAGTTTTTGTATTGATTCATGTTTTTATGATGTATTGGTTAGTGTTTGCAAAAGAGAGAGAGGTGGGGGAAGGTCAATAGTAAACAGTGTGGTAATAGAGAGAGAGTGTGTTTGAAACACAAGCTTTTTATGTACATTTATATCGAAATCGCCAACAGATTGATTGTGTTGATGATGACTATCATTTTCGGACTCTGGATACTGACCGACCACTTGACTTCATTCCCATGCATTTCAATCTTCTAGAAGTGTCTGGACACTAACTAAACTAACTTATACCTGTTTCATCATCATGTTTGAGAATGAGAATGTATATTTGATAATCTAAAAAAATCTATCAAACAAATAATAATATAATATTATACGTGTATAAATTTATTTTCAGAAATGAATAGTTTATTCGATAATGAAGAAGGTGGAAAATAGTAATTTGGAAGGATAAAAATTATTTTTATTTATTTTTTTTTATTAATTTTTTTGGGATTTGTCACCTCAAAATTTGTTTCTCACTCATAATTAGTTTGTATACAAACAACCTCATCAACAACTTTTAATAAACAAATAAATAGCATTCATTCATTCACTTTCTCGAGAGGATAATAGATAGATAGAAGATAGATAGATAGATACATTAGATAGAAGAAGAAAAAGAAAAACAGAAAAGAAAAGAAGAGTAGTAGTGGTCGTTTAAACTACCTACTTATTCGTACTACATATACTATATTATTATTATTATTAAAATAACATAAAATAAATCAATAACAATGTCTGTTCATTTTAAATTTAAGAGTGCAAAAGACTACGATACTGTTTCTTTTGAAGGATCACATATAGCAGTAGGAGAGCTAAAAAAGATCATTGTTGTAAAGAAAAAGTTGGGTAAATCAACAGATTTTGATCTTTTAATTACAAATGCTCAATCAAATGAAGGTAGGTCATCCTCTATAGATATCATGATAAATATGAATCATCTATTTTGTTTTCTATATATTATATTTTTGTTTGTTTAAATACAGATTGAACTGCAGTAATACTTACTTTTGAATCCCTTCCCTTTAATTTTTTTGTGTCTCCATTCCTATATATATATAGAATACAGAGATGAATCCTTTTTAATACCAAAAAATACTAGTTTGGTAGTTAGTCGTGTACCCGTATCAACTCATAGCAAGTCATTGACCAATATATCTGCTCAGCTACAACCACAACAACCGGTGAGCAGTGCACCTGCACCTTTGATTGTCAAAGAAGACTTTGGAAACGATCCACTTGCCTCTCCAAACGACCAAGAGAATGCACGTATCAATGCATTGCTAACAACACAGGCTGGTTTCAATAGTCAGGCTCGTGCTCCACCTGGACACCATCATCGTCAACACACCTTTCCAACTGACCGTATTGTCATTCCTCCCCCTTCCTATATTTGCCACAGATGCCACCAACCAGGCCACTATATCAACCAATGTCCAACCAACAATGACCCCAATTTCAACTATCAAAAGGCTAAAAAGGCGTCTGGTATCCCCAAGATCTTCCTACGTCAGGTACAAGGACCACCAAGTCAAGTTGGTTCATCAACTGTCCTCATGCCAGGTGGTGGTGGTGTAGCCGTAGTCCTAACTCATGAGTATGTATACTTCTTCTTCTTCTTTATCTTTATCATCTTTATATTTTTGAAATTTTCAATTTGTAGGAGAAATAATGGTGGCTGTTATGATGATGATGATGATTATGATTATTATTATTCCAAAAATAAAATAAATATTTATTATTTATTCTCAATCCAAACTCTATCTCTCCTCCCTTTCCCCAATCAAAATTATCACATAATTCTTATACTTTACTTTATTTTTTCTAATCAGATCTGATTTTGCAAAGATGGCAAAGGCTGTGATTGCAAACGAGGAAAGAAAGGAACACAAAGATTCACCTGCTGTGGAAACTAATAATAAATCACCTTTGCGTGATCAACCAGCTGCTGGTGGAGATTCACCAGTTTCAACCAACTCACCAACTACCACCACAAACTATGATTCCATTTCACAACAACAACAACAACTTCAACAACTACAACTACAATATCAACAATTACAACAACAACAACAATATCAACAACAATATCAACAACAATACCAACAACAACAACAACACCAAGATAAATACAATCAAAATGATTTTAAATTTTGTCATTTATGTAACAAGAATATTGAATATTCATCTTTTACTACACCATGTTGTGGTGTTTGTTTTGATTTTAAATGTAAGTTTTTGAGGTTTTGGAAATAACTTACTTTTATTTATTATTTATTAATTATCATTATCATTTCCAACTAAATATTTAGGTTTCAAGGATAGAGTTTATAGTAGACTACCAAGACAATGTCCAAATTGTTTTTCTCCTTTTGAAATTGACCAAGATCAAATAGATCGTTATGAAGTCAGATTGGAAACCAAACAACTGGATGATGTAAAATCAACAACTAGTAATCCAAACTCTAGAAGATCATCTCAACAAAGGGAAACAAAGTCAAGAGACAATAGTAGAGAAAGAGACCACGGATCAAGTGGTAGTAGTAGTGGTGGCAATGGTAGACCATCAAAAGATGAAAGAAGATCATACGAATCTTCATCGTCTAGATCACATGGTTATCATCCTTATGAATCCAGCAGGGGAGGAGATCGTGAGAGAGATAGAGATTATAGGGATGACTATAAAGAAAGTAGCAGTGGAAGCGGTAGCAGAGATTACAGAGACCGTAGTGATAAAGAATACAGAGATCGTAGAGATTACAAGGACAGTGGAAGAGATTATTACAAGGATAGAGATTATAAAGAAAGTAGTAGCAGCAGCAGTAGTAGTAGTGGAAGAGATTATGATCATAGTCATAGAGACAGAGAAAGGGAAAGAGATAGAGATCATAGAGATTATAAAGATAGCCATAGTAGCAGCAGTAGTAGCAGCAGTGGTAGTAGTCGAGATAGATATTACGATGATAGAGGTAGACATAGATAATAATAAATAACAAATAAAAATAAATAAAAAAACCTTTACTTTATAAAGTTTAATTATATATATATATATATTGATATGATATTATAATAATTACTATAGTATTTATTGTAATATATGTTGGGTAAATTTATTCTAAAATCTAAAAATATTTACATAATATCAAATTGTGAATGGAAAAAGATTGGAAAAAGGTCATGAGACTTGATCAAGTTGGTAATATTAATATTCTATTTACAAAATATCAAAGAATTTGATAATAATAAGTAGTATTATCCTATGAAGGAGGAGGAGCTGGGAGACCATAGAAAGAAGAGTTTGGTGTATAAAATAAATTTGGAACTCCATGAGATGAATGAGGAGGGTATGATGGACGAATTGGAACAACATGATTTTGATGTTGGTGTTGTTGGAATAAGAGATATGATTGTTGTTGGTGATGGGGATCCAAATATGGAATTTGTTGATTTGGATAAAATACTTGTTCTGGTAATTGACTGAAATAGGCATGTTGAGGATGAACTTGTCTTTGATAAAATAATGCCAATGCTTGGTCTTGAGCTTTTCTTTCTAGTTTGGTCTTTAAATATTTCATTGCTCTTACTTCAACTAATGTATAATGTCTAAATCTATGTGATGGGAGAGGAATTTGTACAGAACTTGATAATGAGAATGGTTGAGATGGAATTGGTTCACTGGGACTTTGGAATGAATCTAGACTGCTACTATTTGAATTTCTGACAATTATAGTTGAGCATAAACTTGGAGTTGATGAATCCGAATCTGAAGAAGAAGAAGAGGAAGAGGTGGAAGAGGAATTGATTGAACTTTGATCATCTAACAATAAATGGGTGTTGTCTTGTTCGTCTTCTTGTGTGAAACCACCAAAAACTTGTGAGGATTGATTATTTTCATCAAAATCTTCAAATCCAGTCTCTGGATCAAATCTACTTTGTAGGTGCTGACTATGGTCTTGGAAAATATCCAATTCATCCATACTTTTAGATTTGGATAGTGATCCTCCTTCTGAGCTGTGAAATGGACACTTTCCTCTTCTTTTACAAGGTTTCTTGAATTTGTTTAACAATTGGCAAACAGGTGATTTAAAAGTTGCAATAGGTTCTGATGATTCTTCTTCTATGTGATTTGGATTGATTCTCTTTCTATTCTTCTTTGGGGAAGAAGAAGAAGAAGTATCTTGTAAGGATGGTGGAGAACTAGTGATTGTCGTATGGGATGATGGTATGGTGGTTCTACCTTGACCTAGACAGAATTGATTGGCAGTAGTCAAATCCTTTTTGAGTAGATTGCTATTGTCAAGTCCACGTATCAACGATGGAGGTGAAGAAAAGGAGATAGAAGAAGGTGATGAACAGGGTGATAGCGACGACGACGAAGAAGAAGATAAAGTAGTATCACAAATTTCTAGATTTTGTTGTTGTTGATTGTCAAAAAAAGATGAATATGTGGGAATAGTATTATTCGAGTTTGATGATGATGATGATGTTGTGGTGGTGGTTCGATTTAAATTATTATTATTTTCATAATACTCTATCTCTTTTAGGTGTTGATTTCCTTTTTCTTTTTCTTTCTCTTGGTCTTCTAATGTTTCAGTGTATAACAACAAATCTTTAGACTGATGGGTATTTGAGAATTTGTCTGATTGAGTTTTTGCCAATAATAATTGGTCATCAAGATTGTTGTTGTTGATGTCGTTGTCGTTGTTGTTGTCGTTGTTGTTCAAATCATCTTTGTCTTCCTCACTTAAACTAGAAGTTGGAGGATCTAGTTTGTTAGAAATATAATTCTTGTTTTGATGATGATGATTATTTAGGTAAAGAATATTATTATTATTATTTCTAATAGTATACTCCATTTGATCATAGGAGGGGAGAGAGGTTGGGAGATTTAGTTCTCAAAGATTGATTGGTCGTTGTTTCCTGTGCCTCTCTAGAAAGATGGTTCAAAGGTTAAAGTTAAAAAATATAAAAATTAGTATGTATAAAATATAAAATGACAACTCTTTAAAGATTATTCATAGATTGAGACATTTAAAAGTGAACTACAGACAGAGAATTAGCATAGTACTACCAAACTCTCTGTCGAATATAAAAAAAACATATTTTAAAAGATGGGGTTGGATCTGTACTAAATTCATAGTCCATCCATCATCCTAACTATACTATGATTGTGGCCACCCATTTTTCACATCATTTTTTAAAATGGTTGAGAGGAGGGGGTCGTGGTTGAAAATAAAGTTCTTCCACCTCCTCCCTTGGATGATCACACACCCCAATGGTTTGGAGTGTCATTATATGTGTTGTTTTGGGGGTTCTAAGCATCTAAACTATGTACAAGTACGGGCATCATCATAATATTGGTAGTGATACCAATGAATATGGAAAATGAATGTGTAAAAATGGTTTGTAGTACTAGTGATATGAATGAATGTGAGAGTGGATGGTTGGTGGGTGGAATCAGAAAATTAAAGTATTTTATTTAAAAGAGGATGGCTAAAGTACCTTTTGACCTAGTTTGAATCACTCTATTCCTCCTCCTCATCTTCCTCCTCCACTTCCACTTCCTCATCCCCAACCATCACTCTTGTTCAACTACTACTACCACAATATGATTATATAATGATGCTACATCTAGTACCCTCATACACCCCCTTCAGCTGATGAGATGTCAACATGGGATAATATCAAACATTGTCACCAACATATCCAATAAATTGATAATATGAATATTGGTTGGTTGGTTGTTGTTTGCCAAACTTTAATATTAATATTTCCTTCTCCTCCTTACTGTCTGTCTGTCTGCTTGGTGTGTGTGTGAGTGTATTTGTATCTACAGTTCCAATAATAATATGTATGTATGTATGTATCTAGCCTGACAGAATGGTCTCACAGTACTAGTGCCTGCCAACTTTGAAAAACCATCACGCTATTACTGGTAGTGCAAACCTCAAAAATTGAATGTAATTTGTCAAGAGGGATGGAGAAATTCTCCATCCACAATTTGCTTTTCTTGGTCATAACATTATAACATTGTTCAACAACATATTTTTAGAGGAGGGAGTGTTGGAACTCCCCAACAGCACCAGTACAAGTATTCATCGTCATCATCATTTTTATCCCCTTTCTGGAAAATTCTTCCGATACCTTCTTCTCCTTCCTCTTAAAATACAAATAGTAGTACCCATAAACAACTATTACCATATACACATATTCTATATTTTTAAAACAAAGTGCTTCTCATCCATTTTAAAAAATTACTTGTTTTGTTTTTAGAAGGGCTTACTTGACAAAGTGGAATCATCTTTAATTCTGGACACTCTTTTTTTTATTGTAGAATACTCATCCAACCAATTTTGGATATCAAATCTCCACACTCCAACCCCAAAGACCATTATCATCATCATCAGACAGAGAGTTGCTAAGCAACATCTATTTTTTTTTGTTTATTTTTTATTTTTTATTTTTTCTTCTGGTCAAACCTACCAACGACAAACAAACCATACAACCACCTATTTTACAACTATAGTAATTCTCTTTTACATTATTGGGATACCCCCTTCTCTCATTATCACCCATCATCCATCTCGTTTGCTAGGAATTTAAAGATTAAATTTTAATATTTATCTCTCCCATTTCCATCATCATTCTATTTAAATCCCAAAAATTTTAATCAACCAAAAAAACAACAAAACCCCCTCTTCTACTCCTACTACTTCTACATCTACCTCTACTACTTCTACTTACTTTGTATAACAGATAATCTGTACCATTATATTTATAATTATAAATTTAATATATTTATTACATCTTTTTTTTTGTACAAGTGATGATGATGGACTGCTTTGGATTACCAAATAATTTTGAAACATTTTTGGAAACATTGGATGCACCGGAAAGAGATGCATACATTACCAGTTTTATTAGGCCATCGGATGAAATCTATCGATTGAAAAAGGAGCATTCTGAATTTTACGAAACCACCCGAGCCAAGGAAGTAAAACAGATGGAACGGAATCTCAAACACTCCATATCACAAGCATATAGCACCATGTATGACAAGAGTCGAAGCCGAGTCATTTATTTTATTTGGTATGCTAGCAACCCACTCGATCTGTACCGTACGACGTTGGAGACATCGGTCTATATCTATGATACATTTCTTGCCCGAAAGGAACTGCCTCGAGATAAACTCCAACTAGCGGCCATCACTGCCATCTATTTGGCCATCAAATCTGAAGAAACTTTTATAAACACAACCATTCAATCGTTGTGTGACTATGCTGGCAATGCCTACACCTGCCAGAATGTCCTCGAGATGCAACAAGATATCCTTGTCACCATCGAATGGAACATACTTCCTATAACATGCTCTCACTTTTTAGATTATTTAATGTTGGGTGCCATGGAAGCATCCGACTTTCTAATCAATGCCCATATGGGTCCAAATCTCACTTTATGGATGTCAAAGTTTGAAAAAACTATTGGTCAAATTAGTGATGTAGTATTATTTTGTATGTATAGTATTCTATATGAAAGAAAAAGAAAAAAGAAAACTAATAAGTTTATTTGTTTGTTTTGGTTTTGTAGGTCCACAAAATTATAAAACTATAAAACCATCAATTTTGGCAAGTGCATCAATTGCAGCTACCAGAAGAATATTAAACATATTTCCTGTTTGGAAACCCGGTCTCGCTTGGTTATCGGGATACGAAATGACTGATTTGAAATCAGTCTATGAAAACATTATCATCGATTACCACAAAAAGGTCTATGACATTGACTTGGACGTTGAATCATACTTTAACAACGATCCCTATCCAGCCATATTCCTTAAACAAATCTTAAAACAAATGGTTCCACCCTCAATTCACCATCATCAACAATCCATTTTAGATCGTTAACCTAAACCAATAATTAATTATTATTATGGTTTAGTATATTCTATTTATTCTATTTATTCTATTTATTCTATTTATTTATTTATTTATTTATTTATTTATTTAATTTATCCCATCAATATTCTTTCTATATTATATTATCAACAAGTCAATTCAATCTTTTCAAAATGGATGAAAATACTACCTACTATTTACAAACTCAAAAAAATATACTCACTATTTATAAAAAATATATAATATACCTATAATTTTTAAATTATAAAGTTATTTATTTAAAATTTCTATATTTATATATAAAAGAAAAAAATACAAAAAAAAATGTTAGAAAATAAAAATAAAAAAAACATCTATTTTCTTTTTTTTTTTTTTAGATAACTTACTATCAAAAATCAATTTATATTGTTTGGTTGCTTCAGAGTCTGGATGAGTGGTTAAATAACTTTTACCCTCATCGCATGATCTGGCAATAAGTGGATCGATTGGTATTTTTCCAAGGAATGGAACTTCCATTTCCTTTGCCATAGCTTCTGCTCCTCCACTTGTTGGTAAAAATATTTGTGATTCTTTCTGTTGATTTTTAAATAAAGAAAATAAATTTTAAGTATATAATCTATATATCACTATGATTTGATTTATAATATACTATTATTTTTAATTATCTATCTTTTATCTACTTACATTACACTTTGGACAAACAAATCCAGACATATTCTCTACAACTCCAATGATTGGTACACCAACCTTTTTACAAAAATTAATTTCCTTTCTAACATCGATCAAAGCGACATCTTGAGGTGAAGTAATGATTACAGCTCCATCCAAACTGGAGGTTTTAAGATATTGTACAATTGAAAGATGTTCATCAGATGTTCCTGGTGGTGTATCAACAATTAAATAATCCAATTCTCCCCAATTAACATCTTTTAAGAATTGTTTAATTAATCCTAAAAACCAAATAGAATTATGATTAGTTCGTTGTGAGACTCTATTCTTATTCCTATTCTATTCCTATTCTTATTGTTTCACATACCATTTTTCTTTGGACCTCTCCAAATAACAGCTTCATCTTCATCTTCTAAAAGGAAACCAACAGACATGACAGCAAGGTTGTCTTCAACGTAGACGGGATCCCAACCTTGACTGCTAGTATGTATTTGTTCGCCCTCTAAGCCCATAATCTTTGGGATTGAAGGTCCGCAGATATCGATATCCAACAAACCGACCTGAATGTCTTGACTCTTGTTGGCAATGGCAAAGCTGAGTTGTGATGAAAATGTACTCTTTCCAACACCTCCCTTGCCCGAGAGGATCAATATCTTGTGTTTAACCAAAGCCATTCTCTCTTCGATCGTTACAATGTCGGGGTCTGGTCCCTTTGGTGCAGATGCACATATCTGTTGATTGGGACATCCCTTACAACTATCTGACTTGCCTGCACTCTCTGATTCTGTACCTGGACAATGTTCAGGTGGTGGTTCAACTAGATTCTTTGTTGTTGTTGACATTTCTATATTATATGATCTCTACTAGTTCAACTAACTTTAATTAATAGTTAAATACAAATTCAAGAAGAATGAATCGAACGTTTGTTTGTTCTTTTAAAAAAAAAAATCAATTTTAATTTAATTACTTTTTATTATTTTAAAATACTATAGTCAACTAGTTAGTTGGTTAGTTGAAATATAATAATGTTTAATGTATAAATAATAATAAATATTTTAATTATCTCTGAGTTTAATAATTAGATTGGTAGTTTGTGTGAATAATGAAAATGAAGATGAAAATCGATGATCTGATTCATTCTTTCATGTGAACAAACATTATTAATAGTTTTACTACTACGACTTCAAACGATAAAGATAGATAGATAGAGAAAATGAAGAGATATCAAAAAGTAACAATTGTAACTATCGTTACATTCTTGATTTGGTTTGTTTTATTGGTTGATTATCTCCAATTCAACTTGCCATCAAGTATCAAGTCTATACTACCAGCTGTATGTATATTGATTGATAAAGAGCTCTTTCTCTGTCCCACCTAATCAATCAGTAATACTAATAACTATTATCATCATTATCATTGTCACATACATGTATAGTTACCATTATGGGTAGTCGTTACCTTTGGAGCCTATTCATTAGGTTCAATTTCATATAATTTGTTGATCATGAGCGATTGTAAAGAAGCTTATGAAAGTTTATCTGATGTATTTATCTATGATGTTCAAACAAAGTAATCAAAGTATGATAGTAAACAAACACTAATCACATTCTTCATATTATTTAGGAAATCAAAGAGGCAAAGAGAAATTTAAGATCAAAAGGAATGACCTTAAAGTCTGATTAAATTAATCAACAATGAAATAAATACAACCATAATATATATCACGCTACATACAATATATGTATATTTAATTAAATATACATATCCTCTCTCAAAATGAAGACATATATAGCTTATGGATGAATGGAAAAAGAGGAATCATAAACATCATTTGGTTATTATATATATTACGCTACAAATATAATCGTTAAACCGATTGCCTCTATTCAATTTTATTCATGGGATAGTATTATATAGATATAAGATAGGATGGATAGATAGATAGATAGACTGGTCATATCGAGGAGGGGATGTTTGTTTCTCTCCAACCTTTTTTGGAAAATATATTGATTGGTTGGATGGATCGATCGATCGATAGATAGATACATCATGATCACTCCAATATTGGTTGGTGGATAGGTAGGGATTATATTATTATTACTACTAATGTTACATGAATGGTTTACTTTGAAATTGCCATATCCCTTAAACCAATTTGTTGAATTTGGATTTGAAGCAGATGGATTTGATGTTGTTGTTCTTTGACTTGTTCCCTTAATCGATTGATTTCCATGTTTGGATCAATCTCCATCTTTACTCCCCCTCCTGCCAATAATGATGTTTCAATGTAATTATATATCTCCTCGCAACTTGGTCTTTGTTGTGGATCTGGATGAATCATTTGCTAAAAAAAGTAGAGAATAAATGATTAATATTAGTATACTATTATTATTATTATTTGATTTATATTTATAATTATATATTTACTTTAATAAGATTCCAAAATTCTAGAGTAAAATCAGAATTTTCATAAGATAGAATACCATTACGAATAGAGTTCCACTCTTCACCGCATTTTGGGAGTGGACGACAAGTTGCCAATTCGTAGAGTGTACAACCCAATGAAAAGATATCACTCTTTTTAAGGGTGCCCATGTCATCGTGGAGTAACTCTCGGGACAAGTACCGACTGTCACCCTCTGAGAATACCTTGGAGTCAAATGCCTCGTTGAGGAGACCCAAATCACCCAATTTAAAGTGAATATTGTTGCCAATGCCCTCGAGGAGGATTTGGCTCAGTTGATTTTCATCGTTAAAGCTGACGCCACCGTCTCCACCTCCTCTAACGCTATTGTCAATGTACATGTATATATTTTCTGGTTTGATGTCTAGATGCACCAAACCAAGTGAATGGATATGCATCAAACCTTTGACTACTTGTTTGGTCAATTGGAGCAACGTCGTTTGTGATTGCTTGAATTGCTTTGTGATCCAATTGTATATATTGCCACCGTTGCAATACTCCATCTGAATGAATATATGATTGCTCTCTTCCCATGCATTATAATAACGTACAATATTGCTGTGATCCTTGATCACCGACAACCCAAATACCTCGCGTAATACAATCTCCCTGTCTTTTTGACCTCTCAACGGTTTTTTGGTTTTCTTTACAGCATATAGACATCCATCTATTCTATGTCTACATTGATAAACTAATCCAAAACTTCCCTCTCCTATTAACTAAATCATATATAAATAAAAAAAAAGAATTAATAATCATTATCATTATTATTATTATTATTTCCAGCCAGCAGCAATATTGTACTTACACATAATTGATGAAATGTTTTTTTATATAATGAATATTCCTCTTTATCTACAGTATCTACAGTGTTGTTGTTGGCAGTGACACCTCTATTGCTCTTTTTCTTTCCTTCTTCAATGAATGGATTAATATTATTTACAATGGCCAAAGAAGAAGAGCCTGCCAATGGCGAGTTGGTGCTAGAGGTGGACGACATGGAAGTTGAACGTTGACGTTTGGTGTGAAGTAAAAATGGTGATGATAGGTGTGATATTGGTTGTTGTGGTTGTGGTTGGGTTGGTTTATCACTACTCTTGTTTAAAAAGTCAGGTGGATCAATTGGATCGTATGGTTTGGCGTTGGACAAGAGCATCCTGGAACGGTCCAGTTGCATCTTGTTGGATGATTTTGGCGTGGGTGTAGGTGGAGGTGACGGGGATGGCGAGGCTGACATGTGCTCTCCAAATGCCTTGAGGTCAGGTCTAATCTTTTTACTGTCATTCAATGATGGAAACGTGTTACCCTTGCTAACCTGGCTGGTCAATGGATTACTACTATTTGGTGAGTTATTATAGAGATGATGATGTGATGCTCCCCATGAAACGGGTGATGTAGGTAGTGATGAAGATAACATGGAAAATGAACTGTTACTGGTATTGCCACCGAGACCATTCATTCCGCTTCCACTATGATCGGCAGCTCCATTGAGTGGAATTTGAGGGAATGAATTTTGACGATATAAATGGTCAAAGTTGCCGCTACCACCTTGACTACTTTGTCCACTACTACCTTCACTACTTGATCCTGAACTACAACTAGATCCAATTTGTAAAGATGGTCTTCTTCCAACTGGTATTTTAAAACTATTTACATTATTTTGATTATTATTATTATTATTATTATTATTATTATTATTATTGGTGTTAGTATTATTATTTTGATTATTATTATGATTATTGTTAGTATTATTATTATTTTGATTATTATTATGATTATTTGATTGTTGTTGGTGTTGAAATAACATCATTCCAATTGGACTTGAATTTGGAGGAGATCCTGTTGTAGGAGATGTTGTAGTGGAAGATTCTTCAAAAAATAAACGACGACCTTTACGGATGTGACCGTGTGGTGAAAGAGGCAGGGTAGGACTGCTTGTAATTATTTGGTAAACGTTGAATCCAGTGGTGACTGGGTGATTGTCCATGTTGGGAACGGCTGATCCAATAGGCAATGAATCTAAAATATCTTCTTGGGAATCGTCTGAATCATCAAACTCTGTAGACCTCTTTTTCTGATTATAATATTGTTTTGTTGTTGACGACGACGACGAATCGCCACTACTTAGTGTATCTATTTGGTCGTGCATTTTTTAGTGTATATATGGACTTGGGAATAAATAATATATGGTTATATATATAATTTTAATAAATATTATATTTGGAGATTAAGTTTGATTTATATATATATATATATATATGATATATGGAGGATTATATAATAAATAAATAAATAAATAAATAAGATAGATTTTTTAATAATTAAATAATAACAAAGACGACGAATGAAATATATATATATTTATATATATAAATAGAAGTATGAATATAATGTATTGGTGGTGACGGATGATGGTATTGAGTGGATGTGATGTAATGTATATGAATGGATGATGGATGGGTGTGTAGATTGGGATTTTAAATTGAAAGAATCAGAATGAATTTTCCTAATCGATCTATAATTAATTGAATGATTGAATAAATGTGTAGGTTAGTATATGTATGTATGTTGTTGTAGACGGGATGGAATGTGTATTGATCAATAACAATGTCTTGTTGCTGCTGTTGAGGTGTAGGGTGCTTTTCAAACAGCAATATTATTGGCGGGCGAATTGAGGTTCACTCCTATTTGTAATATGGTTTTGTCGTCGGTAGGTAGTAGTAGTAGGTATCAATCACTAAACAACACTCTTCGTCTATGTGAATAATAATAATAATAATAATAATTTGGCGCCAAACTATTCAATCAAATCAAATTGGTGGTGTGGGGGAGGGGTAAAAACACAACCCGATCGAGTGATCACCATCATGATCACCGCGTCTTTTGAGAGCAATGAGAATGCTATGGATGAGGATGATTGTGATACCACCAGTAATAATAATAATGCGATTTCAAAAACAAAAAACATTCTGCGTTGTTGCCCGTGGTAAAGACCCACCAAGAAGATATCTTGTAGTGTGGTGATGACATTGTGGTGTGCAGGGTGGGAGGATGAAGATGATCGTCTTGGTGTTAAAAGACCTCTACCTACCTTTATATGTCTTTTTTAATAATAAATAGTATATATAGCCGCAATAATAAATAGATAAATAGATAGATAGATAGAGATATATATGGGTTGGGGTTGTGTATATATAAAGGAACAAGTTCACACACAAAAGAGGTATATCTTGTTACTTGTTCTCTTTCTCTCTCTACTATGATGAGTGAACCAACAATAGAGCCAACTGTATTCTAACCGTTAGATCGATGAATTTGAATTGAGGGAAGATATATACGAAAAAAAATGAAAAAACTTTGAACGCTTGACAAAGGCCACATCCGCAATGAAAAAAAGGAGGGAAGCTGTTCTGTTTGTCGAGTCGATGAAGCTTGGTTTGGGAAATTTGTTTTGTCAACCCTCATGGTTGGGATTTTTGTCGACTTTTCCTTATCTTTATCTTGGTCGCGATGAGATTGTTCTATCCGTCACTCTATTAGCTAATATTAGCGTGAGGGGGATCATCCCTTGTTTCTGATTAAGATTTATAAAGGTGGGTGATGGTTTGAATTGTCTTTTGTCTTCCGCTTTCAGATGACATACACGATTATTAAATGAAATGAGCGATTGATGTGAATGGGAGGGTGAATGGCTCTTCTATCATCAACGATTGATCTTACGATTCTTTTCTTGTTGATGAGAGGAGAAGAGTGAGTGTTAATATTAATATTTCTAACTATTTGATTCAAACAAATGATAATATTAATTGAATTTATATTTATATAAATTGGTGTAAGACCATTGCTCTAGTCGAGTCGTGCATGCCTCTCTCGAAAGATAAAGATGATCTTGGTTCTTGATCCTCTCGAAAAGGTGTAAATCGATTTTTTTTGAGATTTTATGCACAGTGCGGGATGTGGATGGTTCGTGATGGTGCTGACAATCGGTATGATCTTACCAACAATTAATTAATTGACTCTTACTTTAATCCTATCTTTTTTTATATGAATATATGATGGTGATTGAGTGTTGGGTTGATTGATCTTGTACAAGTAAGAGAGAGATATGTACAATAATAATAATTATTACAAGATCAATAAACAACAATGCGAAAAATGGATCTGAGGACCAAAAAATGTGTGTGAACAGCAACAGCACAGTACAGTTGAGACGTTAGGACGTGTGCGGGTTAACGTCTCACCGTTGTTCTCAAAGATAGATCATTCAATCAGATGGGCTACCTGCCGTTCAACTTGAATTTTTTTGGCTTTTAGATATTTTGCAAAAATGGTTCTTTTATTCTGGTTTGCTTGCGATTCGGTACTTCTTGCGATAGAAGTAAATAGAGGCAACAAATAATCTAAGATAAGATAGAAAAAAAAAAGAGGAGATTGGGGGGTTAGTTGACTTGAACAAAACATCATCATTTTTTGTTTGTCATATGCAAAGATTTGATTGAGGTGGATTCCAAACAGGAACCGATGAATCTTTGCACACAATGGGAAAGGAGATCTTTTTTTTTTGGTTGGGGGGGTTGTCTTGCGACTTGATTGACTTCCAATCAAGATGGCTGTTACACACACCCAGGATCTGGTAATGGTCGACCTTTCCCACCTCACATGATTATGATGCAGCAAATAAAAAGAGGTCAAACAGCAGCAAAGACAGAAAGTTGAAGGGTGTTTTCGTTTGTTTGTTCCCAAATTGGGAAATTATACTTACGCAACTCCTACTAAGGTGCAAATGACAATGATGAGTGTTTTTTTCCATGTTGAGACATGTGATACGATGGCGTTGTCGGGATAGTCGATCGCGTTGATGTAGAATCTCGAGATTGTTAAATTAGCATTACCAGTTACCAAACCTAAAAGAAGAAGAAGATAAGAAAAAAAGGAGGGAACCCGAATTGATAGATAAAAAACAAAAAGAAAGTTAGTTAAATCTTTAATCTCGACGAATATATATATAGTTGCATTGTACTAAATTAAAAAAAAAAAAAATCTCGAGACAATCTTTTTTTTTTTTAAACATTAGGGCAGGACCTATGTTTAGGTCCAAGATTCTTTCATCGATGAAGAAGAAGTGAACCTATTTATACAATCCAATTAAAAACTACTGTCTGTATAACCCAGTACCAGTGAGTGTGTAACTCATTAAACTTACCAATTTCAAAATAGGATCTTTTTGAAATCCAACGATTGGCTGGGATCGATGAGAGTGTCGTGTTGACCCATAGCATTGACTGACCCATCATTTGCTCTTTTGTGATTGGTGTAGTACTGGTATTGTCAAAATCAGTATACAATTGATAAAAGTTGATAATATCTGTTTTTAATTGCCATTGTACTGGATTTGAAAGTTTGAACTAAAAATAATAATAATAGTAACAAATTAATAATAAGCCTACTGACTTGACATTTCTCTCTCTCTCTCTTCTTTCAGTTGCGTACATTTGGTAAATTAATCCAATAGGGAAAGTTATTTGGATTGGATGAATCTACAGATTGAGTAAAATGACAATTCATGAGATATCCAAACGAAGCAGTATCAGACAATGAGTATTCGAAACATTTTTGAGTGGTGAGGACCATATCGCCAGTGCAGTTGGGAGTAGGTTGGATAGTTTGCAAGTTACATGTGAATGGGGTTTGACTGCCACACGTTGGACTGTTGTAATCGGCTGGGCAAGCACATGCACTAGTATTTACACTTCTGACACAATAATCTGCACAAACAGTATCTTGATCAATTTGTAATGAACAATCGGTTCCTTGTGATTTACAATCAATCTAAAAAGAGAAGGAGGGTTTTAGTAATCTGTACAATGATCAATTAATTCTCTCTCTCTCTCTCTCTACATACATCTAATGATAAACATTCATCAGTTGGATTACAAGGAATGGTTTGAACTTTACATTGACCACTTGTAATTTGGTATTGTACAATGGTTGTAGTGTATAGACTCTTGGGAATGACAACGCCATTGCATACAAGTTGTTCATTAATACACTTGAACCCAAATACCTGTGAGTTGAATGATGTAGAGGTATCGCAAATAACGTTTTGGATTTCACATTGCCATAATTGTCCAGTTGTACATGTCATACTCATTGAACAATAATTTAATTTATATTGGTTTTGGAAATTAATATTATCATTTGGTTGATTTGAAAGACATTTCATCTATAAGAAAAGAATAAATAAATAAATATTAATATCAATACTATAATAACCAATATATATATATATATATTTACCTCTAATAATTGACATTGATTATAATCGATAGAGTTATCAACTGGAGTTGTAATATCAACATTAATAGTTTGATTGTTACAAACCATTGTAACTGGACGACATGGAATAGATTGTGATGGTTGGCATGTATTTGTTAATTGATTATCATATGTTAATACACCAATATTTGAGCAGAATTCTAAATCAATCAAATAATAAATAATTAATTAATAAATGTATTCTTAATAATAATAATAATAATAATAATTATGACGATTATGTTACATACGTGATGGAGTATATTGAAGAGAATTTTCCTTTGTTTTAACCTGTTGCTCTTTGTTGTTATTATTGTTATTATTATTATTATTATTAAGTTGATATGATTTTGAATATTTTGAAGCAGTATCCAAATATGATTGATATTGATGATCGATGCTATTGATATTATTAACGGCATTCAAGATGTTTTGTTGTATCTTCTTTTTATTCTTTATATCGATAGTATGAGCAAGTGTAAGTTTAGGTTTATCATCTTGTTGTTGTTGTTGTGATTCATCGTTATTGTTATACAAAAGATGTATAAATTGATTAAATTGATTGAATATCTTATGAACATTGAATTTACTGTTATTCTCTACAGTGTTGACTCTAATGTCATTATTATTATTATTGTCTTTGTTGTTGTTGATATAGTTGTGTTCATTTGACAAATCATCGAATGAATGGTGATTGTAGAATGACAAGAGGTTGTGATAGATCTTTTCGTAGAGTGTCGATGGTACTGTTTGGTATTCGATTAGTTCATCATCATCTTGATCAGCTCCTCGAGACACTTGTCGATTTGTGTATTTATTATTCTGATTACTCTTTGGTGATGCTCTTCCTCCCAAAACTAGGTTGCTTTGACTCACAAACACTAGTATAAAGAGTAGTGATAGAAAGAGTACTAATGATCTATTCATGATTATATCTATCTATCTATTTTATCTAATATACAATGGAATCGCTAAAGATATATATGCATGTATATCTTATCTGTGTCTGTTGCTACTTATTTGTTTAATTAAATTAATAAGAAAAGATATCTTTGGGTTTAAAGAAAAAAAAAAGTTTTTGGATTCTTTTTGAGAAAGTGGAAAAAGTGTATGACTTGTCAAAGAGCCTCGTTGTTGGTACTTTATTAAATTCTTTTATAAAACTTTGGTTGTTGTTGTTGCTGTTGTTGTAATTGTTGTTGTTGTAATGTCCACATGTCATTACTATTTCCATTCATGTTGTTGAAACCAGGCATATAATTTTGTTGTTGTTGTGGTTGTTGTTGATATTGGAAATCATTTCCAAATGGATTATTACTACTATTATTATTATTATTATTATTGTTGTTGTTGTTATTTTGTTGGTACTGGAAATCATTTCCAAATGGATTATTATTACTATTATTATTATTATTATTATTGTTGTTGTTGTTATTATTTTGTTGGAATGGTTGTTGTAGGCCCCATGAATCATTTGATGCATTTTGATAAACATTTGAATTATTATTATTATTATTTTGTTGTTGGAATGGTTGTTGTTGTTGTTGTAAGAATTGTTGATGTTGTTGAGATTGCATAGAGGTAGGAGACATGTGTTGTTGTTGTTGGTTAGCTTGTTGTTGTTGTTGTTGGTTAGCTTGTTGTTGTTGTTGTTGTTGTTGTTGTTGTTGTTGTTGTTGTTGTTGTTGTGATTGAGGAGGAGTAGTTGGTTGTTGATGTTGTTGTTGTGATTGAGGAGGAGTAGTTGATTGTTGAGGTGGGGTAGTGGATTGTTGAGAGAAAAAGTGACCATAGGGACACTCAGTGTTGGTGCAACCAGATGGACTATTAAAATATTTACAAGCGACCACCTTTGGATCATGTGAGAATGGACAATCGGTGCCCTTAAAGCACGACCCACCCTTGAAGAATTTACAGAGTTCCATCTTTTTGTCGTGGACGGGACCCTCATGGATAAAGGTGCACTCGTCACCCTTGGTGCATGCACCTTGTTTGTAATAGTTGCACAGTACCGTCTTTTCCTTACTTACTGGTTTCTTCTTCTCGTCAAAATTAATTCCAACATAGAGATTGGGGGCAGTACCGGGGGTGGTCTTGCCCTGCTGCTGCTTTTTAGAGGAGGATGGACTTTTCTTTTGATTTAATTTCTGTTGTAGTTGATTTTGATGTTGTAAACGGTTTTTGAGTTTCTGTAGTTTTGCTTCTTGATGTTTTTGAGACTGTTGTTTATGTTGATGCTGTGGTTGTTGAAGATTGTTTTCATGTTGTTGGATTTTTTGTTGTAGTCTCTTTTGTTCCCTTTCAATCTTTTCGGCTTTAGTCACTTTTGCTCCTGAGGGTTTTTGTTGTTCCTTTTGATCGAGTTTTGTTTGCTTTTTTAATTTCTTGGCCTCCTTTTTATCGCTTTTAAAGTTGACAAAGTCTTGGTAGCGATCTTGGTGCTTCTTGATGTAAAGATTCTTGATCTGTCCATCTTCCTTTTGGAGATTGGTCATGATCTCTTTGGAGAGACCCAATTTGGTGTTGTGTCTTCTTCTTTCTCGAAGCTTACCCAACAACTCTCCAAAGTTTAACCCATCAAAGTTGATTGGCCCAGTTTGTATGGCTGTTCCAGCAGGCAGCTGTTGTGATGGTATTGGTGCAGTTTTCATTTTCTTTTGTTGTTGTTCAAAATTGAAATCTTGTCCCAAATTTTCGAGCAACGAAGAGTCATCATCATGAGACCGCTTGACCAACAATGTACTGTTATTCTCTCGTTGGTGTTGTTGTTGTTGTTCAGACGAGTTATCAGTATCTCCCATATCAATTTCCAATTCATTTTCTTCTTCATAGGTTTCATCATCGTCGTCATCTTCATCGTCATCATCGTCATCACCCGATGAATCGTCATCTTGAATATCCATAACAAATTCTCCATCATCATTGTCTATCATTGTAGTTGCAGCTGTATTGGTCGTTGATGTTGATGTGGTAGAGGTACTGTCGTCTTGAAGGAATTGACTATCTTGTGATGAATCAGAGGATGATGATAAAACATTCTCTTTACCAAGATTTGTTGTGGGCATTGTTTCTTCTTCTTCTTCAGATAATAATTTTGGTAATGCTTGACTAAATATATTTCCGACAATCACATTACTATTTTCTACAACAGGTATTGTAGTAGATGTCTGTTGTTCGAGTAATTTTGGTAATCCTTGAGAAAATATATTTGATAATGATGATGATGATGATGACTCTTGTTGATGATGAGAGGAAACATCATTTGATGACTCTGTTTGTTCTGGTAAAAGTTTAGGTAATGCTTGTGCAAATGGATTAACAGATTGTTGTTGTTGTTGTTGTTGTTGTGGTTGAGATGTTATTATATTTGGTTTAACAACTACAGGTTGTTGTTTGGTTGATCTTGAAAATACAGATTCCTGTCGATTGACATCTTTAACAATCAAATCTATCGTCTTTGGGACGGTTGGAGGAGTATCGTTTGTTCGTTGAGGATTTGCAATATCAGGTACAATCCAATATGGTCGAGATCGAATTTTACCAGCAACTAATGGTGCCGATGCTGTAGCTGCCAAACTAGGTGAAGAGGGTGTAGACGTGGTGGTTGGTGTCATTGCAGAGGATGGTGAAGACGATGAGGACGAGTTGTTTGGTGACAATGAGGTGGTTGGTTGTCCCTGAGCACCACCAACACCTACAACAGGATCTTGTTGTTTTTGTAACAATTCTTGTTGCTTTTGCTTTTGTTTTTGGATGGATGGATGAAGTTTGAGTGCTGGATTTTTGACTGGAGTTGTTGGCATTGTAATCGATGGTTGTGGAGTTTGTTGTTGTTGTTGCTGTTGTTGCTGTTGTTGTCCTCCTTTGGGTTGTTTGGGTGCGTCTGCGAGCAGCTCAGGGTTACGTAGTAGAGAGATAAACATTTGACGGATAGATATATGCGAGCTCAGTTCTTTGAGTACACCTTCCCACGACTCGTCGCCGTGACGATGGTAACCCTTGGACCGCTGGATAAAGATCTTGTCACGCAACGACTTTTTGAACTGTTGGTTGTCGAGCAGCGTTGGCTTTTTGATGAGCGCCAGAATGCCCTCGCAAACGGTCGGCGAGAACATCTGCACGAGGTGGACGAGCTGCTGGTAGCTGCTGTCGGCCGTATCGAGCACGTGCATGCACTCTCCCAGTCTCACTGGACTAGAATACTTGCGAGGGGTGTCTTGCGACTTGTTTTTGAGCGATGGCAGCACGTCGGCAATATCAGCCGACTGGTCGTAGAGGTCGGCGTAGAACGGGCTGATGATCGAGCTGCACTGGTTCATAATGGGACGGTACGTGCGACTCACGATTTTAGCCCACGGACGCAGATACTTTTCGAGGACGTCTTGCTTGGCCTCCTTGATATTCATAATCTTGGACTTGATGATGGCACGCACCTCGGGGTAATTTGACTCGTGCGACAGTCCAAACTTGGACAATGCATAGCATGACGGCGACGAGATGGTCGGGTTGTCATCGGCCGACAGCTCAAACAAAAGCACCTTGAGCGGTGTGAAAAACGGCGAGTTTTGGCTGTTCAAGTAGTAGGTGATCTGTCCGTACGTGTACAGCACCGACGACTTTACAATACCCTGGAATCGAGGGTTTTGCAACACCACCTTGAAGATCTTGGCCAGTTTTGGCAACCATTCACTTGCATTTGATCGAACCAACAATCCCAACGCCTTGCACGCTGCCACTTGGACAGTATACACCTCTTCTCTCTTCCATGGATCGTTATCTTCATCTCCCTTGTAATCATCAATTTTGTGATATTGTAATAATTCCAATGATTTACTATAACATATTGATTCTATATTTTTATCGTTTACAATATCTAAAAATAAATCAAAATCAATCAAACATTATTAATAATCCATACAATATTGACATAATTCATTCATCCATTCATTCTATCTGACATACTTGCAGTTGGACAAGATGCAAATCCTAATGCATGAATACCAGCAGCTTTCAAAAGGTAATGAGGATTTTCAACAGCTTCTAACCATCTCTTCATACACATAACACGAATTTGAGAATTGGTTTGTGACATTCTACCAAATGCAACCAACACGGAACAAATAATTTCCTTGGATGAAACGGTCAAACTGAAATACTTTTCAAATAATCCAACCAATAGATCCTGATAGATGGGGTAACGTCTCCCTATTCTTCCCAATGATTGAACGCATACCTTTTTCAAGTATTGCAGATTCTCTCCTTTAAATTCCAATATCTTTGCTAAAAATGTTATCGTTTGATTTACCAATGGTTCCTCATGACATGCTATAGCTCCAATTGATAAAACTGCACATCTAATAACTGTTTTTCTATAGAAATCAAAGTTAATAATAATCCTTAAATCTATACCAATGTTGATGGTTGATGATTTACATACCTATATAATAAAAAGTTTTGAACCATGTCTAATAATTTTGTAAATATTTTAAATCGTAATTGTTGGGGAGATGGTGCAAATGAACTTATTTGATTGGATAATGAAAGATCGACTAAACTTTGAACGGCCACTTTTACAACACTATATTGATTCAACAAATTATTAAAAAAAGAATGTTATTATGATCCAATCCAATACAATATTGGAATATTCAGATTTAGTTTAGGGGTTAGTATCTATTCTTCTCCTCTGCTTTTTTGGCCTTTTTAATGATACACCCTAACTATAGGTTATCACACTCTCTCTCGCTCCCTCTTTTTTGGAAGGATCTTCAAAGTTTAGAAGTGGTGACTGATCAGTCAACGATGATTAATTAATTTAACCACAACAATTCTTTTAACCTTCACTTTGAAGATCTGATCCATCAAGTTCGGGAATCCACAAGTGGATTATTATATTAATCCCCCTTCCAAAATGAGAGAGAGAGAGAGAGAGAGAGAGTTTAGCACTTTACCAAACCACCTGACCGAATAAAAGTCAATGGGATGTATGTCGTACGAGTATGTATCATATATGAGTTGAATGGATGCTGATAGATAGATGGAGAAGGAAGGAAGGAAGGATATATTATATTAAATGATTCATGCCTTAGATCTGTATTAGATTGAAAGGAGGACGGGTCAATCAACTTGAAACACAAAGCCAGTACATCTTCAAATTCTTCGGCACTTTTTGATTGTCCACTGCTAATGTTAAAGTTTTTTGATATAGACTTTGTTGGTTGTTGTGGTTTTGGTTGTTGTTGTTGTTGTTGTTGTTGTTGCTGTGGAGCTAGGTGAAATGATTGTTGTTGTTGATGATGTTGTTGTGGCTGTTGTTGTTGATGTTGTTGTTGTTGTTGTTGTTGTTGAAAATTGAAATGATGTTGTGGTTGTTGTTGTTGTTGTTGTTGAAAAGAATAATTATTTAGATTCATTCTCTCGACCTAACTTCAAGTTTCTCTCTTGTCTTCTTCCTTCACACAGTCTCCGAGACAGAGGACAGCAATAGCACTACTACTACTAAGTATACTTAAATAATAATCACGTTTCCTTTCCCTCTTTGTCTGTCTTATCGTCGTCGTCTGGTATTAGTTATCTCGTGTTCAGATAGTAAGGTTCTCAAAAAATAATAAATAAGATTAAAATTATAAACAAAGTATCCTTTGATCTTCTTCTTTTCTTCTTTCTTAATAATTGATAGTAGGATAAAGTAATGAAAGTTAAGTATATAAATATAAAACAAGTGAATGAACTAATTAACTCTAAAACATGTTTTGAGCTGCGCTGACTTCAAAAAAAATATAATAAAAAATATTAAAATTACTTTTTTTCAATAAATAAACCTACTTGTTTGTTTTGTTTATTCTTTATTTTTCATTAATTCAGAAAGCATCTCTAATTGTTGTAATTTCATCTGTCGTCTTTTAAAATGAATATCATTATTATTATTATGTTGTTTTTGATTATTGTTGTTGGAATTAGAATTAGAATTGGATTGTTGTTGAACTTGTTGTTGTTGTTCAACTTTTGATTCAATCTCTAACAACATTGATAATGGAATGGAAACTTTATCATTAATCCATTCAATTGTATTATTATTGTCACTATTATTATTATTATTATTGTTATTATTATCATTGATTGGTTGTATTTTTCTAGTCGGTTGTTGTTGAGAAAACTTTGAATAGAATTTACAATAATTGAGAGCTCTTGCATAATCAATAGATTGAACATCACCATTTCTAACCTCTCTTTCACACTTTAAAACAAGTGATGATATCCGAGTCTTTGATTGAGATGATTGTATCATAATGTTCCATAGAAATACAACTAATTTTCTGGCTCGCATATGTATTATTCCCCATCGTATCAATCTTCTCTCGATAGATATTGGTTTAAACAAGTCTGTTTGAAGCATAGCAATCAAACTGTTGCCAATCGATTGTAACCATTCATCGGCAACATCCAGTTTCAATAGTGGCTTTAACAGCAGATACACTAGAGGTCTCATTCTACTAAAGTTGATGGTTTGTCTTCGATTGAGTATCACTCTTTCATAGAGTATTGGAGGTTTGGCAAGTGCACTCTCAATCTTTGTTCTTATAGTATAATGATGTCTCTTCATATCCTTTAACAATGATTTGGGAATATTATTATTATTACCATTATTACCAACAATCAATCTTCTTGAACGTGATATCATCATTATATTATTCTCTACCATCTTTTTTTCAATTGGTTCAAATGTTTGTTGTACCAATTTATCTAAAGTAAAGTACACACAAATATATATATAAGTATTATATTCCTCGTACACTACTTATAAGAATATAGAAGAATATACAACAAACATACCATCTATACGATACTGATTAAAAGTAAATAAAGATATCAACTTTTGAACCATATTATTCTTCTTTTCAACTCCTCCATTATTCGTCGTCGTTGTTGTTGTTGATGTAGTAACAGCAATAGCATTATCAGTTGTATTGATTAGATGAGATCTATTACACTTATCACCATATCTACACTTTCCAAACTTTCTAAACAAGAAACATATCTCTGTACCATTGATATCATATTCTATTATCTTTGGTTCAGATGACGAAGAAGAAGTTGTTGTTGCTGTTGTTTGTTCATTATTCTTCTTACTCTTATTCTTATTCTTATTATTATTATTCCTCTTTCGTTTCTTGTTTGATTCTAATGATGTATTCATCATCACCTTTACATTGTTTGATTTATTTATTTATTTATATATCTATGTACATTCGTTATCAACATCGAAATGATTCGTTTCCCTCTCTTTTTTCACATTTTGTCGGTACTTTGAGTAAAATATTTATTGAATCAATATTTTAGTGTACAGAGATAGAATAGAAGATAAAGAGATAAAGATATGTTTACATTCAAAGGAAATAAAGAGTATCAAGATTCTGTGTCATCATCGTTGACAGCGATTAAATACAAAGCATCGGTTGAATTACCATCATTGTCAGATGTCGAATCAGAAGATCATAGTCAACTTCACCTACTTCCATGTTCAATCGGTCATAATGGTTATGCAAACGTAGCAACTTACTTTAAAATCAAACAATCAGATGGTATGATATAACACATATGAGATGAAAGAGAATGAAAGATTGTTGACACTTTTACCTTTTATAGATAGTATAAATGGAGGCTATTTTGAAAGTAGTTTAAGAGGTAGAAAGCTATTGGGAAAACAATTAAATATACCAGATGATTATCAAGGTATAATATTAAGATCTGAAAATGTAAAAGATGTCAATATGAAGGCTGACAATAACAATAATGGTGGCCCTGCCAATAAATGGGAGGCAGTATCATTATTTAATAACTTTACATACTGGAATAGAGAAACTAAACCATCACAAGAAGATACAACTCAACAAGCTCTTAAATGGATATCAATAGCTCAACATGTATGAATTGAATTAAATTTCCACACATGTAATAATAACCCTAACCATTTGAAATTCTATTTCTCAGATACACCAAAAAATAGCATATGATCAAATATTGGATCTTGATAAAATGAATCAAGATACTACTACTACTACTGCGACTACCACTACTGATACAACAACAACAACAACGCCAACTGAACCAATTAATAACAATGGAGAAAAGATAAAAGTAAAAGAAGAGATAATAGAACCAGAGTTGGAAATTAAAAAGGAAGAAAATATTAGTTCAACAACTACAACTACAACTTCAACGACTACAAATGGAAATGGAAATAATAATAATAATAATAATAATAATAATAATAATAATAATAATAATAATACAACAGTTGTGGATGAAAAGGAAAAATTAGAAAAATTAAAGGAAACTATTATCGAACAAGAAAGCAAGGAAGAACAAGAAGAACAAAAACTAAAAAAAGAAGAGGAACAAGATGGTAAAGGAGATGATCTGGAAGAACAAGAAGATGACCAAGATAGAGGTAGAGGAGAAAATGCAGAAGAAGCTAAAAGAGCTATTAAAAGAAGAAAGAATTAAATAATATTTTAATTAAAACTTATTTGGTTTGATGTGTACAAAAGTAATAATGGAAACAAGTATTGATATTGATGGCGGGTATTATTATTTAAAGATATACCCATTTTCGAACCAACATTTTTACTACTATGCATTTATTGTTGTTGTTGTATTCCTATTCTCTCTCTCTCTCTTTCTCTCTCTCTCTCTAGAGAGTTTCTAAAATATCCAATAATACTCTTTTTTGTTGGAATACTTTTAAATGGGGCATGATTGCAGAATGAAAGAAATCATCGTCACCAATGGTACATGCAACAATACTTCTACTATTTCGATGTGTTTGTAAAAAACTATATAAAATATATAATTAATAATTATTTAGACAATCTCTTGAAACCTAACCTTTTATAAAGGATACATACTTTTTAAAGAATAAAGGTGATTTAAGGAATGAAGATACAAGTATTTTAATTTGTTGTAAAATTTCACTTGATTGACCTTCTCGAATTCCTGCCAATACCTTTAATAGTGTATTAAACTCTTCGTTGGCAGCTGGTTGGACAATAGTTGGATGAAGATTATCCTTACTTGGTCTCAAAAATTGAAAATATTTCTCTAGTATTGGTACAGCCAAAAGGAAATCCTCTATAAACAACAACAAAAATAGATTGATTAGTATATGATAATAATATCATTTGTGATACTTCTCTTTAATAATTTAGTTACATACTTTCATATTGAGATGGAGGTTGAATACCATGTCTAATCCATATTTTAGCTGTTTGAACATTTGGTGATGCAAGTATTGGTGATAATCCATAGAAATTATTAATTTCACTATTTGCACCAGCCTCTAATAATAAACTAACTATATAGATTTTAGAATCTTCTGATGCTTTCTATAAATATATAAATATATTAAAAAGTAAGTAAACATCCAACATATTGGTTTGAGGGAAACACTTACAAACAATGCTGTATTACCATTTAAATATCTTTTGTTTAATGATTTTAATCTTGATTGAAAAAAGAAAAGAGAATTATGATAAATATGATATGTATAATAAAGGTTACTAATATACGATCGATAGTACATACGATATTGATTTTAATTTATCTCTAAGAGAAACTATATCATTTGTTTTTACAATGGTCCAAAGATTTAAAGCTTTAACTCGAAGTATTGAATTGGGAGGGATTTGGACATTATTTAAATATTGGTGTACTATCAACTTTTCCAATGTATTACAATTTGTTTCTACCAAGTCTTGGATGGCTGTTTGGTAGTTTTCTTGATGTATGATATTCTTGCAATAACAGTCAATGTTTAGATGTTTTAAAGATGGTTTGATCTTTTTGTAGATACTCAATCCGAGTAGTCCGTATATAAGTTGGTGTGAACATGCCACAGAGACACGCTCTAAATTACGACTGAGGATGTCTACCATTAGGTTGGGACCAAGATTATTGTTTTGAGCTATATTTAGATGTTTGAGACTCGGTGCAGACAGTGCCAACTTTATATCCCTCTCTTCCAACGAACACTTTTCCAATGACAATGATGTCAAAGTTGTACAATGGGCTGCAAGTTTTCGAATGACATCTCGATTCACAACCCAACTAAAATTAAAATTCAATGTTGTTACTTGTGATCCGTGTGATGTTAGAATCCTACCAACTTGAAACTCTGAAAAATTATTTACAAATTCAAATGACATATCTTTCCAAAATGGACAATAAACAATAAACCTATTTAAAAATCTGAAAAAGAAATAGAATATTAATATCAAAAGGTTGTATGATTGATTGATTGATTGATTGATTCCCCTATCTTGTTACCTTGAAACATATGAAGTTCGAATTAAATCTGGAATACCAAGATTTGATATAATATTAAATAATAATTCATTTGGTAGATCGAGTAATGATACCTTTGGAAGCATAGCAATATTAAAAGAAAACATCTTTTTCTTTTTATCTATATGCATACCATCATCTTCATCACTACTACTATTTCTTTTTGTAGTAGTATATCCATTACCAATATTATTTACAAAATCACTATCTATATCCATTAATATTCCCATTGCATCGTCTAACAAATCATGTTTTCTTTTTGATAATAGTTTATCATTTGATGATGTTGATGATGTCGAGGTAGTTGTTATAATACTCGATGTTGATTGTTTGTCATCATCCATCATTGCCATTGCCATTTCTCTTTTCATTCTATTTAACCATTGTCTTATTAATGTTTGATCATAATATTCTTTATTTGACCATATCTCTAATAATTTAATGAATTTTGGCTATATAAATCCATTATTCACAAACAAACAATCCAAGTTTTAATAAATCATCAAATCATCATCCAAATAACAATCATAATAATAATAATAATAATAATACATACACATTGTTCCTCTGGAATCATAGTCATTATCTTTTTCTCGTGTAGTTCCAAAAACTCTGTTACCTTGTCTTTAAACTTGTCAATAGTATCACTATAACCAAAAAGTAAAAAGATTAATATTAGTTCTGACAAGACTTTAAGAGTAGATAGATAGATATATTGTACATACCCATTCTTACTATGAGATAAATCCTTCATAAACAAATCAACAGCATACAATGCATTTAATATATGTTCATTTTGACAATACCTAATCGTTGACTCTATCGATTTGATATAGTAATCTATAAACTATTACGTAAATGAACGTGTCAATAGCTGCTATTGTGTGTAGTGATAATAACATAGGTTACCTTTTCATTTTGTTTACAATGATCAACCAGTGATGTAGACAATGATTTCAATCTGTGTACCGATAGTTTACTATCTTTTACAATCGATTGTAATTCTTCTCTCCAACCCATTGTTATTGTTGTTGTGTTTACAACTATTGTTGTGACTGTTGCTGTACAGTAGTAGTAGTAGTAGTATCACTCTCTTTCTATTCCTATTCTTCTTCTTCTCTTGTTATCGGGTTGTATCGTCGTCGTCGGTAATAACTTCATTCAGTTGTCGCGCTCTTTCTCTCCCGCCCGATCTTTCTTTTAAATTATGAGTATCAATAATAAGACATTTGTAGTCAACTACTTTTTTGTCTCTCAAGTGCATTTCTTTTAAAAACTCATCATTCACATCCATTCATACATCCATTCATACGAGCAAATAACAAGGAAATAATTATCAATGCCCTAACCTAAAAGTTGTTTACTGCATTGATCACAATATACAAAAAAAAAAGAATAATGGATGACCGACGAACAGTCGTATCGTAGTAATCATCATATCATACATATATTATATTATTATTATTATTATTACTCAATGTAGATCTACTGAAGTTATACATTTTATCAATTATGTAATATAGAAAGAAAAGTGGTTGTTAGTTAGAGGTTTCAATACTTTGTCACTCTTTCTTCATTTTGATTAGTTGGGCTTTGTATCGGGTGATGATTTGAGCAGCAGGCGTTTATTTCATATATATTTTCACCAATTTTGCACGATTTTTTTAGTTTTTTCGGCACACTGCTCACAGAGACAGACTCGACAGACCTATCACCTGAAGAGCGTTCATCGTAACTTTACCTGTCACGACCCTCGCTCAGATACAAAAATGGTACATTTTTAATTTATCCATATAACTATCAGCATACCATCTGTGTTTAATACTTACTCTTTCATCTAATCATCATGATACAATAACCTATTACTCCCTACTATTATTATTACTATGCTTACAGGCCAAGAGAACCAAAAAAGTTGGAATTGTTGGAAAGTACGGTACCAGATATGGTGCTTCTTTAAGAAAGCAAATCAAGAAGATTGAAATCACCCAACACGCTACCTACACCTGTTCATTCTGTGGTAAGGACTCCGTCAAGAGAACCTGCGTTGGTATCTGGAGCTGTTCTGGTTGCAGACGTACCCTCGCTGGTGGTGCTTGGACTGTCAGCACTGCTGCTGGTGCCACCGTCAGATCTACCATCCGTCGTCTTCGTGAACTCAACCAATAAGCGCGATAGAAGGAAATAAATCTGTGCAACACATTATAGAAATCATCATCATCCCATCAATCGATTACTTTTTTGTTTAGAGGTTGATGTAATAATGCAATGCATTCTACTTTTGTATCTTAAATACTTTTTAGATTATAATCACTTCCCTACTACTACTACTACTACTATTACCAACTATTACACCTATCAAACGCGCCAAAAAGGGTCAATGTTTCATCTATCCGATCGATTATACGTATTCCCTAATATTATTCCCGAATTAACAAATAGGATCATCTCGGTATAATTATTTAAATCAATATTAATGATTTTATTTCTTATTTAATTTATAAATTATTATTATTATTATTTTTGAATCAATCTTATTGAATCCTCTATATATACCAAAAAATATTTGTTAGTTAGTTTTAAAAACTATAAATATGTATACTAGTTTAAAAGAAAGAAGTGGATGATCCGAAATCGTTAGTGCCAAATGGATTATTATTGTTGTTATTAGATTGTTGTTGTTGTGGTTGTTGTTGTTGTTGGGCTGGTGGTCTTGATTTAGTTCCACTTGGAGGTGGTGGAGAAAGAAGGAAACCACCGCCACTAGAAGCTCCAGCTGCTGGTTGTCCAAATGATGGTTTGCCAGCAGGTGGAGTATTGGTGGTTGGCGATGCTTTGTTGAATGGGATATGAATGGTTTGACCAGACTTTAGAGAATAATCAATCTTTGGTTGGTTATCATGTTGTTGTCTTGCCAATTCTGATTGTTTCTTATTTTTAACATAACTATAGTAATAATTTACAAATTAATATTAATATTAATATTAATATTTCATCATCCAAATCATTACTATATCATATGATTCATATTTCAGTCATACTTTTGTTGATCTTGTAAAGTAGCATTAAAATCAAAGGCATCACTACGATCTGTGAAACCCATACCAACTAATGCATGACGATCTGTGTTGTTTATAAATAATGATTTGGTTTGTTAGAACACCACTATTGATTGATTCTATGTTCTGTGTCAAGTCAACTGATTGTCTTTCTGATTGATACAAACCTCCATTTTTAATCTTGATTACAAAATAACGACTGCTATCGATGACAGGTTCGACGGCATTTGGTTCTACAGGACATTGAGCAAATATTTCACCATTTGGCTCTTCAAATTTGATAGTACACTTGTCTCCCTTGCCTATGATAACTAATCTACCTGACCATATATATGACTCTGGATCCCAATCTTGTGCTCTATTCACAAACAGATAGTAGTATTGATTAGTCATTCATTCATTCATTCAAATCATCAATCATACTGCACAAAAATGAATCATTAACATACTTGTAACCAGCAGCATTTGGTCTTGGAGGAATTCTATATATAAAACAATTCCTTTTTGTATTAATAAAGTTTGTTCGTGATCTTCTTCATCCATCTCTCTCTCTCTCTCTCTCTCTCTTTATCTATCTCTTTTTCTATCTATCTTTATCTTTAGTTCAATTTTAGAATGAAAATGATGACTTCAAACTTGAAATTAATTTTAAAATAAAATTTTACCTTAAAATCGCAAGAGGTTGACCACCTGACAGACATCATCATCAGCATGCAGAACAGCAAACGTTGATGTATAATGTTGAACTATTCAATCAATCAAACAAACAACCAAATCAAATCAAATCAATAAATGATTGATATAGAATATATATTTGCAAATCGGTCATTGTTGAGTAATGGATGAATCATTGTTGTTCACCACTTGTATTCTATAATACTCGTCTAATCAAAATTAAAAGTATTTTGGTTAAAGGGTAAAGTGCGCAGGCAATATCGATTCATTTCATCGTAGATTGTCTCAAAGTCCAAAAACATTTCCACACTTTGGGATTTTTAAAGAGGAAGAAAAAGTTGTTTGCAACCTTTTGACGCAAAGCCCAAATTATCTTCCCATTTTTATTATAATCTAATTCATTCATAATTTATATATATATATATTTGTAAATATTTGTATTTGTATTTATATATTTGTTATATATATTATATTAGTTTAGTTTAGTAATAGTAATAATGGATCCATTAGAGGAATTAAGTAAATCATCAAGAAGTGTTAGAGTGTCAATTCACAACTCAACATCAAAGAGATTGATTTTAAAGTCACATCCTCTTATTTCGGGTCAATGGAAGGTTACTCCACCTGAAACTATACTCCCTTTGAGGTATGTATATATATAACTAGATATTTGTATACTCAGTATTTTAACACAAATCACATGTCTTGTTATTATCTATCTACTTTTTACTTTACTTTTTTCAATAGTACAATTGAATTTGGTACAGAATCAAGTAATTTACTTGGAAGTACAGAAGCAGGATCAATCTATCAGATTGAGGGATCATTGGAAGGACAAGGACAATTTGAATTCTATTGGAACAACCCATACTTTGGAAAGAGAGGATTCCGTCGTTTAGCATCACCAGGTTTTGAATGTGACTACAAGGTGATTGACACCAATACATGTGTACTTCGTTTTACCGTCAAAGAGATAGACTCTGGATTCCTCAAAGAGGTGGAGGACTTGGAGGGTGAAATCAAGACATTGTCGGGATTGATTGTCGAGAGTGACACCGCCTTGAAGGGCATGACCAAGATGATGCAAGTGTATCAATCGCAAAACGACACCAAGCAGGTCAAGTTGGTCGAAAACACCGTGCGTGAAAAGACCAAGCATCTTGAAGACCTGCGTCTCAAGAAGGAGTCGCTGGCCAAGGAGATAGAGACAATCAAGCGTCTCGAGAGCGACCCCAAGTTTATGGAGCAGAACCTCACCAAGATCCGTGAGGCTATCGACGGTGCCGTCAAGGCTCGTAAGGGTATGGAGCATATGCGCGAGGTCTATGACAAGCAAAAGGACATAAAGTCAATCGAAGGTCTCGACAAGCAGATCGAGGTCAAGAAGCGCGAGACTGACGCACTGCGTAAACGCGAGCAAAAGGTCATCCAAAAGGTGATCGAGTTGAAAAAGGCATTGGGTATTGGTGCGACTGTCATCCCCAAGATCCGTCGTGTGCAAGCACTCTACGACTACACCAAAAACAGCGACGATGAGATTTCAATGGCAATTGGCGACATGATCGACGTCATCAACGACGAGAATCCCGAGTGGTTGGGTGGACAGCTCAACGGCCAAGTCGGATTCTTCCCTCGTTCATTTGTCAAGTTTTTGGAGGACACTACACCCGCACCAACCAACGCTGCTACAGGTGTTGCTGCTGCTGCATCAGATTCACAAGCTGCTGCTTCTGCTGCCGGTGCACCCGATCAAGAAGATTATACCAGTCTCTACCCCAAGGCACGTGTCGTATATCCACATAATGCAACTGACGAGGGTGAGATTACACTCGTCGTCGGTGACACGATCACTGTCTACTCGTGGGAAGACGACTACTGGTGGGAGGGTGTATTGGGAGACAAGTCGGGATACTTCCCCTCGTCATGTGTCGACTGGATTGAACCAGAAGGTGAAATCACCGTTCAAGACAACTCTTACTCTTATTATGAAGAGACTACATCTTCTGCTGAAGCAAATCCAGTTCCACCAACTCCAACCACTCCTCAACAACAACAAACATTACAACCAACAACAACAACAACCACTCCACAACTCAACAAGACTCCATCTGGAAATAAATTGACAACTCATCTCAATACCAATAATAGTAATAGCAATAACAATTCACAAAACAATTCACCATTGTCTAGTTCTCCAAATACTCCATCTCCACTTGTCAAGAAACAAGATGAACCAGTCAAGACTGCAACCCTCCACACTACACCAAAGAGAGAGTTACCAACTACTCCAGCAGTTGTCAAACCAACTCCAACTCCAGTCGTTCATACTCCAACTCCAACCCCAGTTGTTCATACCCCAGCACCAGTTGTACCTACCCCAACCCCAGTTGTTCATACTCCAACACCAACTCCAGTTGTTCATACCCCAGCACCAGTTGTTCAAACTCCACCTGCTCTACCAATCAAGAACTCTCATTTACATACATCTACACCAATCAATAACAACAACAACAACAACAACAATATTTCATTGGTTGGAGGATCATTTGATAAGATTCTTAAACCACTTTTAGAAGAACTTTCAAAACAATTGGTTGAAGCTCATCAAAAGGAAACTGCACAATTACATTCAAGAATTGCAGAACTTGAAAAAGAAGTACAATCTTTGAAAAATAATTCAACTTCCTCATCCTCTACATCATCAAATACTACAACTACTGCTACGACCACATCTATTCCATTCTCACATGTAAAACCACCATCCGCTTCACCAGGTACTATTAAACCAGCACCAACTGTTACCTCTGTTGCATCTGTGGTTTCAAAAGCAACCATTATTAGAAAGTAAAAGAGAGAAAAACAAAAAGCATTCCATCAGTCAACAACACAACATTTAACATATATTATAATTATATTATAATATCATATCAATCAATCAATCAATATATATATATATAAATTAATAGAAGAATATAAATAGATAGTATTTTGTATTTTAGGATTTATACGCCGCCATAATCAATGATCATATGATTAATATTTCTTTATTATTGATTATTTAATTTATTAAATTGTTGATCCAAGGTGTTGATTGGAATTTGATCAGATTGTGAATGATTCAACATATCTTTAATGCTGACAGTTTGGTTTTGTAGACTTTCTGAATTGACGACAATGACATATCTTGATTGATAACGTCCAGATACACGTTTCAATTGTTTAGATATGTTTCCACCAGATAGTAGTTGATACTCGCTCGTCATGACATATTGATCGGCCTTTCTCAACGATCTGACAATATCCAATGACTGTTGAGTGAGAGCTTCTTTTTGTTGATCATCAACAAGACCACTGTTGTTGGTGACTAGGAACAATGGTAATCGTTCCTTTGGAACTACATTTTCACCAAGATTCAAAATCAATCTCTCCATTCCACATGCCCATCCAATCGATGGTAAAGCACCACCCTTGTAACCAAGTTGTTTTGCCAAACTATCATATCTACCACCACCCAACAATGCCAATGGTGGTGATGCTGCTGCTGCTGCTGCTGAATCACCATTACTCTTTGTAACTACTTCAAATATAGTATGACTATAATAATCTAATCCACGTACCAATCCTTGATCAATTTCATAATTTATATTTCCTTTTTCCAAATTTAAAAGTATATTTTTAAATCTAACATACAAACAAATAATTAATATATAATATATATGATATATATATATATGATTACATTACTTACCTTTGATTACTATTTACATTTAAGAAATCTAAAATATTTGGTGCTTGTTGATTGATCAATCTATCATTTTCATCCTTTGAGTCTAGTATTCTTAAGAAATTACCACGTTCAAAACGTGTCTTGGAGTCTGCTGACAATTGATCCAATCGACTTGCATAATATTCTTTAAGTGATTTGAGATAGTTTGATCTTGATTCTTCATCTCCCAATGAATTGATTTTTAACTATAGTAACCAAAAGGTTTTGTTAGTCACATAGGTAGGGTAGTTTTAGTTTATCTATCTATCTATCTATCGATGTATGTTTTGTTTTTTACATACTTGAATTTTAGATTGATCAATACCAATTGAATCAAGAAATTGTAATGAAGTTTCAATTGATTCTACATCGGCAAGATAATGATCTTCACCTATGAGTTCACAACCCAATTGTTCAAATTGACGTTGACGACCTCTTTGTGGTCGTTCATAACGAAACATTGGTCCAGCGTAAAAGAATCTTTGTGGTAGTTGAACAGTGTGATTGAAATCGTTGATAAAGGCACGCATCAGTCCTGCAGTACCCTCGGGACGCAGACATGTCATTGAACCACCTTGATCTTTAAAGTTGTACATTTCCTTCATCACTATATCACTCTCTGTGCCAACCGATCGTGTAAACAGTTCCAATGGTTCAATGATCGGTGTAGACATGTCTCTATAGCCATACTTGCCACACACCTTTCTACCAGTCTCTGTTATAAAGTTGTACAGTCTCTTTTGATCTGGGAATAGATCTACTGTTCCTCTAATTGATTTAATCATCTTTGAAAAGAAAAGTATAGGTAATAATACTAATACTTTGTAACAAAGTATATTATATTATCACGCACGATGTTTCAAAGATTTCGGAACATGCATTTTAATTTAAAAAATTGAGTTGCATTATCTGATTTGATCAAAAAAAAAGAGGATTATTGGATAAAAAAGTTTAATAATAGATTCTTGCAAAAAGATCAACTTTAAAACCTCTCTCTCTTCTTTGTTTGCGACCAAACACTGGTTGTGTGTTGATTGATTGATTGGTGATTTTTTTTAAAACAATGGGTAGGTGTGTGAGAGTTGTTGTTGTTCACTTCAATTGGTTTAGATCATCACTACCTACATCATACATAGATATATATATAGAGATAAAGATAAAGATATTTTAGTGGTGTATATCTAGAAAGAAGATAGGTAGATAGATGTCAGTAGCAGGTAAAATATATAGTTGGGCAGAATTGTCCAAACATAATACAGATACTGATTGTTGGGTAGCTGTCAATGGAAAAGTTTATGATATCACAAAGTATGTATATTGTACTTATTATTAGTATTAGTTGGTTGTTATAGTCAATATACATTCTTATTGAATTCTTATTCTTATTTTGATTTTTTTAAAATTAGTTGGATAAATAAACATCCAGGTGGAAGAGATGTATTATTGTATGCAGCAGGTAGAGATGTAACCAATCTATTTGAATCATATCATCCATTTACAGAAAAGCCAGCACAGATTATTGAAAAGTATCAGGTTGGTGTGCTATCGAGCACCGAGTTTCCAAAATATGTTAGCAAGAGCAAGTTTTATGATACGTTGCGAGAACGCGTTGGAAGCTATTTCAAGCAGACTGGACAAGATCCACAGGGTTCAATTGGATTGTACACTAGAATGTTTTCGGTCAATGTGGCATTTATCATTTGTTATCTAGTGTCGTTGTACACTACCACCAACTTTATGTTGTGTGTTGTGATGGCATTGATCACAGGGTTTAGTCAGGCTTTGATGGCTATGCATACATTGCACGACGCATCTCATTCGGCTGTCGGACACAACCCGTTGATGTGGAAGATCTATCTAGGATGGTTTGAGTTTTTGACAGGGTCAAGTTACTATGCCTGGATTCACCAACATGTCCTCGGTCACCACCTCTACACCAATGTGCGTGGTGCCGATCCAGACGTTGGCGATGGTGAGATTGATTTCCGTATCATTACACCCTACCAGACACGTATGTGGTATCACAAGTACCAACACATCTACGCACCCATCCTCTACGGTCTCTACGCCATCAAGGTGCGTCTACAAGATTGGGAAACCATGTTTAAACGTATTAATGGCAATATCCGTGTGTCGGCGCCACAAAGATTCGACTTTGCCGCGTGGGGACTCGGTAAATTCTCGTACCTCTTTTTCCGTATCTATCTCCCCCTCCACTACCACAGTGTCGCCAGTCTGGCCGTTTACATTGTGTTGTGCGAGTTGGTCACTGGATGGTACCTCACGTTCAACTTCCAAGTCAGCCATATTGCCGAAGACCTCAAGTTCAAGGCCACCCCGTCCAAGAATGAGGAGCAAATCGTTGTCGATGAGGATTGGGCCGTCTGGCAGGTACTCACCACCCAAGACTATTCTCACGGGTCGCTGTTGGCCACCTTTTTATCGGGTGCCCTCAATTACCAGGTAGTTCACCATCTCTTCCCCTCTGTCTCACAAGACCATCTTGCTCAACTTGTTCCCATCGTCAAACAAGTCTGTCAAGAGTACAACATCAAATACACTATCCTTCCCAGTTTCTACGATGCCTTTGTATCTCACATCTCTTACATTTATCGTATGGGTAATGATCCAGATTATGTTAAACAACCAATTCATAATAATAAGAAATCAAATTAACAACAACAATAACATATAGATAGAAATGTTAGTTTGTTGTAATCAATATAAATAAATAAATAAATAATATATATAATATAATATAAATCAATGTTCTTGCTCCTTTGATGAAAAATTCCAATTTTTTATTTAATGGTGATGGTGAAGTCCTTCGATGATGGTGTTTGTAAAGATTAAGGATAGATAGATAGCATACAAAGAAAGATGATAACTAAGATCTTTTTTTAGGTTGATAGATATTTGACTGATTCTTGTGCAAATCGGTATGTATTAAAGATATTCGGATCGTATCACACTTTTCTAATAAGTACCAACATTCATATATATTACACCTGTTACGTAGTATTTAGTATACTACCTATACTACTATTCTAAATGTCAACGATAACAACAATAGAAATATATCGGATTAGTCCAGAGGTAGACTTCTTGGGTCTTCTTGCCATGTACCTGGTTGTCTCTTTCGAGGATTTACGAGCGTGGCGAGAGAAAGCTGCTGCAAGGGGAGAAACAACATCGATTGCGATGGGCTCAGGTGGATTTGTGGTACCAACGACACCTTATTACAACCTAAAGCCAATACTCAATCACCAACATCTAGAACACCGAGGTGTCAAGACCAAACTGTTGGTCTTTCATTTGGCTGACACCACCGCTCCCCCAAAGCAGTACCATCAATACGATTTGAAAAGTAGAGAATTTCAGCTCCCTCAAGAAGATGAGTTCCAGATTGGTCGACATGAACACCTCAACAAAATAATAGGTCACCTAAGAGGCTTATTGGAAAAAACCAAAGCCTCTGGAATGAGAGCCAATCAACTTAAAGTCACTCGAAACCAATCTGGAGACATAATACAATTCCTTCTCTTGGGTGTCGATCATCCATTTGATACTTCTATAGAATATAATAATAATATTGATACTACACAAAATAAAAATTTGAAGATGGGAAGAGATGGAGAAATATTCGAGACAAACAATTTAGAGATCAATAATAATAATAATAATAATAATAATAATAATAATAATAATAATAATAATAATTATTATAAAAAGAAAAAAAATAAAAAAAGGAAATAACAATTGCAAAATACAATAGCCGAACAAACTCTGATGAACTACAGAAGAGATATTGGAAACATCAGCTCTGATGATACACAATCACTAGTAGGATGACAAGGTCACATTCATTGAGAGTACCAAGAAATAAATATTTAATTAAATAAATACCAAACCAAAATATATATATTGACTACCACTCCTTAAAGTTGATTTCCTATATTGTTGCAATTTATTTTATTATATTGTAATGTGTTGATAATTAATTAATCCACCAGTTTATTTATATCCAAAATAAAATGACATTATTTTGTTTGTCATATTGATGTTTAGTACAATCAATAAAATATAAATGATTAAAACCACCACAATTGGGAACAAGAATACTCTTGCATTTTGAATGAATGGTAGTGCTAAATGAAATAAATAAAATAAACATTAATCAATCAATCAAAAATAAATAATCTATTAGATTTCCAGCAGGAGGAGATGCATCTCCTTGACATCTTCTACTTACCATTGTATCCGAGAAAAGTTATATAATAATAATATACAATAGCCACTAAAAATAATGTATTTGATAATATGGTCGATAACAATGAAGTTCTTGATAATAAAATTGGTAATAAAAAGTACTAAAATAAAACAAATATATGGTTTTGGTTTTAGTTGAGTTGATCGCATTCATCATGTCGTCGAATGACTATACATATAGATAATCATCATCTTTTTCTTTTTCTTTTTCTTTTTCTTTTTCTTTTTCTTTTTCTTTTTCTTTTTCTTTTTCTTTTTCTTTTTCTTTTTCTTTTTCATACCTGAATAACATAAAGTATAATGAAAAGTGGGAAAAATGAATTGCAATGTATGTCAAAGGCGTATAACCATTCAACCTTTTGATCGACACTATGATGATGAGCCGATTCTCTGAGGAATTTGTTTGATAGCCACCATCCAATCGTAGCCACCGCCAAACCAATTGCTATGAAATCGAAAAATACAGCCCAAAACATAGTTATTAATATACGATCGATCCAGAGAGAATGGAATGCAATAGAATATGCCATAGATGCAATCGACATGAAGAATATAAGTATAGCTACAAATGCAGGATCATCTCTTGCCCATTGATTTTTTGTCTCTAATTATAATAAAAATATGTGTCCAATAGTTAAACAGACAGAGATAGATAGATTGTTAATGATTATTGTCTCATACATTCATTATCTTGATGTTATAATAATAGAGAGATAGATAGTTACGTTTATGCCAAGAAGTAGTCCTATAGACTCTTGATGGATTAAAGCATAGATAAAACATTATCCAAAAGGTATATTCCATGTCCATCTGTGGATAGTGTGCTATCCTACGAAAATATTCTGGTACTAGTCTCTTGTAACTTGTTGAATCATGTTTCAAAGAGGTTGTCGTTCTTGTAACTCCTCCTAACATATTTGTTAATCCTATATATATATATATCTATCTGCGCAACCTTGAAGTTGTTGTTATTATTGTTGTTTAATCTTTCTTTATGTTGATTGTTGTTGTTGTTGTTGGTTGTTGTTGATTACTATTCAGATTGTATGATATGATAATTATGATATTGTACAAAGCATAGTAAGTAATTGATATAAATATATATATATACACAAGTGATAATTGATTAAAGATATAAATAATGAGTGTTGTGAAATGAATGACTAAATTCAGAGACTGAAGATTGAAAGGAATTTTAGAGCGAACTTTATTTCAAGTTTCAGGTGACTCATTTTAATAACTATCACCTTTGAAAGATCTTTCACTAGTACTATTCGATTGTGTGATATATATATATATAATATACCGAGTATATATATATATCTCATACAAATCACCGTATATCAATATCATATTATGAATGGAGCAAATACTGAAGCGGATCACGATGATTTCAATAATAATAATACAAGTATTAGCAATACCAACGACGAGTTGATAAATGTTGATGATATTCTAGTCGATGATGATAGTGACAGAGATGATGGTGATGATGATGTGGATGAAAAGGAGAAGATGGAAATAGAAGAAACAGCATTGGAGATTAAAGCAAAGCCTGTAGAGTTGTTAATGTCACTAACTAAAGAATTCGAGAAATATGTTGTACTCTTGACTAAAGTAGATGTAGATCTTAAAGAAAGAGTACCATCAGAGAGTATGTATCATACCATCAAATGAATGACCTATCACCTATATAAAATATATATATTTATATATACAATATATACACACACAAGATGATTAATCAGTAATATTTATTTATTGTTGTTGTCTAGACATTGAAACATCGATAGATACATTATTGGGATCAATCGATAATATGAAAGATTACTTGAAATCGATGCAACATAAATACGATCAACACAAGAATGCATTGGAAACCAAACAAGAACTAACAAAGGTTAAAAAGGATATAGAGACCAAAGACTTTTTGATTGAGAAGTATAGACAACGACTCAGAGGATGGAGAGATCAATTCGAATTGATATATAGAGAACAAAATGAAACACTCAAAGCATCTGGGCAGGTACTGCCTCCTAGTATCGGTGGCAGTGGTATGGTGTCAGACGGTGGCATACCATTTTCACCCATGCCCAATACACCCATACCAAATACTCCTGCCATTCTATCATCACTCTCCTCACGTACTCCTCCTTCCTTTTCAATGTAGGTACTTGAGGTGGTGGTGATACCTCTAATCATAATAATAATCGATAAAATATGAACATACGACAAATCATTCACCTAATCAATCAATCAATCCTTGTAAATAAAGTAAAATATATTTAACTTAATAATAATAATAATAATGATAATATGTTAAATGTAATGAATGATACTTCGAATCTTGAAAATGAACATTCACATTCATATTAATATCTTTGGGTTTTCATTGAATGCAAGAGGAATCGTTGTCAAGGTGCGTATCGTGTCAGTAGCCGCTGCTGGTCTGCGTTCATTGAACAAAAAATCGGACGAGCAATAAGTAGCAAGTAGAGTGAGGGAATTAAAAAACACAAACATTTTTTACTTTTTATCACAAAATAATACAATAGGTAGGGTGGTTATTATATTATATTTTATTTTATTGTTTATCATCATCGTTTTGCTCAAAAACAACTTGTATATAGTTAGAGAGTTTATTTTATTGTTGTATATATATATTTGTATATTTAAAATTATATATTTGTAGTAATTATTCATATTCATTCATTCATTCCCTTCCTTTTAAAATACAATCAGTCAATCAATCAATCAAACAAACAATAGTAGTAGTTAGTTAGTTCGTTAAGTTGCAAACAAAAGTGTAAAACATAAAGAGAGTGACAAAGGATAGATATAGTTTAAGGCAAACAAAAAAAAAAGAGAGAAGAATACAAGAATTAGGTAGAGCTGAAAAGACGAGTATTAGTTTTGTCATAGACGAATAGTTAGTTTTGCTTTGCAACAAAAATGTTGCCATATAGGGGTGCAAAGTTTCTGTTCAAAAAATTGTTTGGGCAGTACTTTCAGTATGATTTGGAAAAGGATCAGTTTGATATTGGTTTCAAAAAGGGTACTATCAACTTGTCCAACCTCGAACTCAATATTCGTCGAATCAACCAAGATTTGGGACATTTGCCACTGTCGTTGGCATCGGGATTCATAGGCAACATTTTCACAAAGGTCCCTTACACTTCACTATGGGAGAGCAACAGTGAATTCACAATCAAAGATTTAGAATTAACTTTTGTTTCATCAATCAGTATGTAATTTAAATTATTTATTATTAGGAGGTATATTTTAATCAATCAATTAATCATTCCATTTTATTTATATTTATAGATTATGAAAAGATTATATTACCAAAGATTAATGAATTACATGATGGAGCTAATCATTCAATGAATCATTCGGGTGAAGATGGAGATTCATTTATACCGCAGTATTATTCCGATGAAGATGAGGATGTGGACAATAACACGGATCAAAACAATCATTTTGGAATGGAGGGGTTAGAGGCATTGCTAGAAATGATCAAAAAGATTGTGGACAAGGTATCGGCAAAGATTTCAAATTGTACCATTTCCATTAATCACTATTCCAAAGATTTAAACAAATCTATCATCCTTTTGTTTACAATCGATCAAATTGAATATTGTGATGATGAAGTTGCAAATAATACTTTGGGAAAGAATAGCAACAACAACAACAACAACAACAACAACAACAACAACAACAACAATACTACTGGAGATTATTTTTATAAAAAGATTAAATTAAATAATCTAGTTATACGAATAGCTCAGGTCGAAGGAAATATATTAAATCATAATGGGTTCATAACATCTTCAATATTTACAATAGTCAAACCAAATCAATTTCAAACAATATTCACCAATCGACCAATTTCACCAAATATTAATAGTAACAACAATAATAACAGTAATAATAATAATAATAATAATAATAATAATACGCCTATCGATCAAAATGATTATGTACAGTTAAAAATCAAAAGAAACGAAAGAAACAATAATATCCCATTTTTAAGTACCGAATTTAACTTTAAGGATTGGATAGTATTATTATCACCGACTCAACTTTATATGATTAAACATTTTATTGAAATCCTTAATATCGACAATAACCATTCCAACAGTAATAATCAATCATCCACTACGACGACGACGACGACGACAACAACAAAACAAACAGCAGTATCTTTTGATGAAAAGATAAATAATGTATTAAAGAATAGTAGTAGTAATAATAGTAATAGTTTAAACAAATCAACATCGTCAATTTCACAACAACAGGCCAAATCACCTCCAACTTTGGCACAAGAATCATCTTCATCATCGTTAAAAGGATCGTCATCATCATCGTCACAACAATCTCAGATGAAATGTAGTTTCCATTGGAGTCAATTAAAGATATTCCTTTTTAGTCAGGATTACGAAAATAATCTATACAATGAATTCTTAAAGCAACATCATTATGGATCGGCAAACTTCTTTTTACTCTATTTACAGGATCTTCACATTGGTTATTCTCGATTTAATCAGTCCAAACAATATACCTTCAATATTGGAAAGTTTAACTTTTCTCAAAATATTGAATCGAATCCAAAGAATTCAAATTTAGAATCATCATTGGAAAATGATTTAAATAATATGATTCATCCAAAGTAAGAGATCAAATATATATATATAAAGAAGAGAACCTTTTATATTTAACATTCTTTTTTTATCTAGTTTATATACAATTATACAATTTCATGATAATATCAATTATTTAGAAAAGAATGATATATCATCAAAAATTATTTTTCATTATCAAAGTATGTACTTTGTTTCAATCAATATTATATTATTATCATCAGAACTAATATTCTTTTTTTGTTGTTTGATTTAGATGAAAAATGCTATGATAAAGAAATTAATATACAATTAAAGGATATATCTATTTATTTTTACCCATTTTTATTACAATCAATGAATTCATTTTGGAAACAAATAGAAGGACTATTTGAGAATCACCCAAACAAACTAATGGAGATGAAGAAAACAGATAGTTCAAGCCCAATCATTGCCTCCTCTTCTTCCTATCATGAAATATTGACAGAGATTAAAAATACTGGATTTTTATTAAACGATCACAGTCTTTCTACTCCATTCAATACACCTCATGACCATACCAATACACTAATCGATGATATGGAATCAACATCAACAAGATTACAAATTTCAACTCCACACATTAAATTTCATATCAAATTCCCTGATATCGATCAATTATTACCAAATAATTTTATTAATGTGTATGTAAATAGTAGATAAATAATAATAATAATAAGAATATAGAAAGAAAAACTTATATTTCTATTTATTTTTTCAAGACAACAATTAAGAAAAGAAATAGTTACTATAAATATTTCAAATGTAAAGATTGTTTCCAATATGATAAAAGATATCAAGGATTTGAAATGGTTGATTGATTTTGATGAAATCAATAGTAATTTAATCAATGAAATGAATGATACTGTTAGATTTTTGGATATTGTTGTACGTGATCAAACCGATGCCAACTTTGGGTGTGGAGGAATCACTCCTTTAGAAATAACGATAAAAGGAGACGTAGGTGGAGCATTCTCCAACTATGACATTGATCTCAATTCACCTCAATTGCATTCTCGCAAGTCACCTAATATCCATTCCTCCTCTTCCAATCATATCAATACACCTCCATCTCCCAATCAACATTTCAACCCATTCGAATCGATCAACACCCAAAGAGAAACAAAAAGAAAAGGTCCATTTTCACATTTTGTTTCAATGTCTGAAGGAAATATATTTAATAATGATTGGTTAGATGAAGCTGAACAAGATGAATTAACAATGTTTAGACATTCTTCTATAGAATCTTCTGTATGTATAAAAAAGTAGAAAATATATATATCAATATTCTATTTATACTAATTATTATTTTAATTTAGAAAAATATGATTAATATTATAATACCAAGATTTAAAATTGAAATGAAAAAGGATGATTTAATATTATTACATCAATTATTTGATTCTTTATCAAAATTTTTAAAGGATTTTAATAATGGACAACAAGAAGATCAAGGGAAACAGAAAATAGAAGAGGAGGAACAAAAACAAGAAGAAGAAGAACCATTATCAGAAGTGAAAAAGAGTAGTAAATCATTCTTGTCGTTATTATTAATTGTCAATCAAGGAACAATTAGTTTGGTTGAAAGTGAAGATACAAAATCAAGCTATTACAATTATGTCATTGACTTTAGTCAACTCGACCTTTATACAGTTTCAAATTATTTTGGTCGTGATATTCATTTTGTAAATGGCAGTATCAATCAATTTTCACTTAAAGAATCTGATCTATCAAAAGATCATCTAAAACCTAGAACTTTAATTACTAGAACTTTAAATACTCAAAAGGTACGACTATATATATTATATTTAATTTTATTTCTATCATAGTTTCTAATCAAATTTAATTTAGTTTATTGTTAAACCTTCATTTGTAATTAATTTATCAATGAATAATGAAGGAAATACTGGATTTTTGGATGATATTTTAGAAGAACCATTATTATATATTGGATTGAGAGGAATTACACTCGAACATCGATTACAATCAGTATGGTATTCAAGATTGGTCAATTTCTTTAGTCTCGATGAAAAGGATGAAAAGGAATCATCTTTGTCAGATGTTCAAGAGACTACTAAACCACAAGTTGGTTTGGAAAAGAAACGACCATTGAAAAAATTATTCAATTTAATGGATTGTTCCATAACCTATGTTCCTTCATCAAACTTAACGTCGGCTGGTGTTTTATTGTTTACAGACACCAAGTTTATCACTCGTGGTAGTGATGATATATCTTGTAATGGAAAGAATACTCATCTCTATGTAGTTGGGGATGTCCAACAGTTAAAAGAACATACCCTAATGTCACATTCATCCATTTCCACTTTTTGGAAAAATATTGGTTTTGAACAATCAATCTATTTGGATTATTATGAAATGCAAATTTTAATGGATCCTAATCTTTTCCCTTCATTTTCAGTAAGTCAAACAATATATTAAGAATCAATAATGATACATTTAAGTTTCAAACTAATCAATCTTTTTTTTTATCATTAGTTAAACTTTAATCAAAGTAATGTATCAATTACAGTTTGTAGTGATTCATTTTTTACATTGAATGAATTGATTAGTAATTTGTTTGGATTGGATATTCCATATCAAGAGGTGGCAGATTTAATTATATCTCAAGGTATTGCAATGGATCTCAAAGATAATATCGATATATTGGTCAATGAGGATATGCTCAAAAACTCGCCATACACAACCGGTCTCAACTCTTATGCAACCACCAACAATAATTACAACTTTACCAACTCTTCTTCAACTATTTCTCCCAGTCCTTCGCCCTTGGTCAACTCGTTTTCCAACACTCCCTCTCTTGAATTTGAGGATTTTGAAGAGGACCCTTCCATCTATTACAATGAAGGGTTTTCAGAGGATGAAGAGGAGGAAACTTTTCACGAATACCATTCACCACCTCTTTCACAAAACGAAGCATCTAGTAGACTATCAGATAGTACCAGTAGTCTTTTAGATTTTGGTTCAAATGACATTACACATGAAACTTCATCTCAAACGAGTTTACCATTTATTGGTAGTGTTGTCATTGAAGATTATGATCATCAACAACAACCAATTATCTCTACTACTTCTACTACTACTACCACAAACAACAACAATAATAATAATAATAATAGTCAAGAATATATGGATCAACAACCAAATAATGATAATCAAGAATTAAGTTTCTATGTAGACTTGGATCAAATGTCTGAAAAGGAGTCATCTGATAATTATCCTCCATCTCCTACTCCCCCGTTCACATCTATTCACAAAACAGAAGGAAGTACTATTTGGTTTGACCCTCGTTTAAAAACAATTGAACCAATTGAAAATTATATTACAACTCCTGCCGAGGATCCAGAAGATTGTGATTTACCTTCAAATTATCCAAAATCAGTTGATAGATTTTTAATTCGAAAGATTAATATATCTTTGATGATTTATAAAGGAAGTGATTGGGAAATTAAAGAAACTATCCCATCATCAAGTAAAACAAATAACACTAATAGCGGTAATAGTAAATGTAGAGAAACGAATTCATTTGTTGAATTTATCATTTCAGATTTTAATCTTAGAATTGATAAATTTGAAGAATCTGAAATGTTTAGTAAACGTTTATCAATTCAAATTTTAGATTTTACTGTATGTATCTCAAATTATATAATCAACATAATATTGATTGGTAAATTAATTAAATTTTCTTTTTATTTTTTTAGATTATTGACCATATACCAACATCAGTATGGAATAAATTCTTGTGCTCTGATACAAATATTACAAGATATCAAAAAACTCCAATGATCAAGATTCTAATGGAAACGATTAGACCAGATTTAAATCGACCACTTTTACAAGAAAATCGATTAAAAGTTTTAATATTGCCATTGTGCTTTAATATTGATCAGGATACGATTATGTTTATTGCCAACTTTTTCACTTTCAAACCACCAGGTGCTCCAAACAAACAAACATCGTCATCGGGTAGTTCACCCGGTAGCCTCGAGTCATCACCTTTGAATGCCAAGTCACATCGTGGCAAAAAGGTTGGTGCCTCTACCAGATCAATTCCAGAAGACAAGGCACAGACCACTGAAAAGGAGGCACAGGAAATGACTTACTTTCAGTCGTGTGAAATTGCACCTATTCGACTCAAGGTTGACTACAAGCCCAAAAAGATTGATTACCACAGCCTGACCAGTGGTAATTATGTCGAGTTGCTCAATCTATTGCCTTTGGAAGGCGCCACATTTAACCTGAATCGATTAAAGTTGGTTGGTGTTGCCGGATGGAGTAGTCTTTTGAACCAGATTGGCAAGAATTGGGCACTTCACATATTCCACACACAGTTGATGGGATATGTCAGTGGTGTTCGTGGTATCAACTCTTTGGTTCATGTTGGAGAGAGTTTGGCCAACCTCGTCGTACTTCCTCTCGAACAATACAAAAAAGATGGCAAGGTATTAAAAGGTCTTAAAAAGGGAACAACCAACTTTTTAAAGAATCTTACTCTTGAATCATTGGCATTGGGTGCTAAATTTGCAATTGGAACTCAAAGTTTATTAGAGACTGCCGATACTGTACTTTCATCTAAAAAGAAAGATCAAAATGCATCTGATAGTCAACAACAGCAGCAACAACAACAAGCTCAAAACACTCCACCTCTTCAACAAACACCACCACAACCAAGATTAAAATCTTCCTCTTCCTCTTCTTCATTGAATAATTATTATATTGGTGGTGGTAGTGGTAGTGGTATTGGTACCAACAACATGGGTGGTTCTGGTGGTAGTAGTAAATTATCAGATCAACCAGTTGACACTAAAGAAGGTATTCAACATGCCTATGAAAGTGTATCAAGAGAGATTAAATCTGCTGCTCACACCATCATTGCCATTCCAATGCAAGAGTATACCCAAAAAGGACCAAAGGGTTATGTAAAGTCAATGGTTAAAGCAGTTCCAATTGCTATCATTCGTCCTATGATTGGTATCACTGAAGGTACTGTCAAAACACTCCTCGGCATTAGAAATCAAATTGAACCACTCAAAAAAGCAGAGACTGATGCAAAATATAAAAAAGTAAACAAATAACAAATTTATATATTATTAAATATATATATATATATTTATTATTATTATTATTACTATTCTTTTTTGTTTTTACCAGTAAGTATATTTGTACATTCCATTATTTTTAAAAAATAAATTAATTTATTATTATTTTAAAATTGTAAATTATATGTCCATTATTTTGTAGTTTATTCAATAACCAAAATATCTTGGTTAAATTGTACCTTTGGAATTGGACCTTTATAAAGATTAAACATATTTATAAAAGAATTTTCTGCACCAAAATATTTTACTTTTGGATCGTTGTTTATAGGATACGAGTTGATATTGGGAATTGTTGTTTGATTGATTACATTATTGTCTTGAAGATATTGAATAATTTCCTTTCTATCAGATATGATCTTTTGCTTTTTCTTTTCATCGATTTGATGTTTTATATATCCATCTCGAAGCATATCCCTCCACAAGCCCACAAAAGCCTCTTTTTGTAGGTAGTGTTCAAAAACTGTTGAATTGGTGCTTCCAAAATTAAAAATATTATCAAAAGATTGAGCATAATAGAGGTAGGCAAAATAATCACCTTTATACAAATAATAATTTCCCCATATACTATTCTTTTGGTTGTATTCAAGATAGTTGGAATAATCGATACGGTGATTTGAGAAATGACTAAATCTAGTCTTTTTATCCAACTTTTTCATATCCTCTTCCAATTTTGATCGTTGGAGGATATATGGAACAACCGATGACAATGATCCACAATCACTTCTATTTGTGTGTAGAAATTTAATTAATTCTGGATTATTTGATACTGCAGCAAGTGCCAAACACTTGTTTGTTCCTAGTTCACTTCTATTATAGTGTAAAAACTTGACCACATCTAAACGTCCAAATAGACATGCAACCTCCATTGTCTTAGGTGATATTCCACCACAATTCATTGAGTGATGGTCTTGCAAAGAAGGTATTTTCATTCTCCTATCCAACATTTCAAGAGCTGCCACATTACCAATGGCAACAGTTTTGAAAAAGTTTATATTTCTATATGATAGATATCTTTTATCGCTGCAGTCCAATATGTATCGGAGAATGAGTTGATTGTCTGGTGATGGTGGAAGAATGGATGCCACTTCAAGCAAGTCTCTAAGGTGCGCATTCTTGGGACCCAACGACTCTAAAACATATTGAAATATTTCATAGTTTGATGAAATCACGACGGTTTTAATGATTCTATTTGTGTATAGCAAGTTGGCTGCCAATATGTCTTTTGACTGTTCACGCAAATAATGGCATGCTCTAATGAATCTTGAAGGACTATTTGGAGGATTATAATAGAAACGATTGCCAGCTAGATACTCCAACACGATTGAAATGTAAGGAGAAAGGGTTTTCTCTTTGACACATAGATCGACTATCTTGAAAAAGTCTGGTTCTGTCAACTCTGGATTGGTGAGTAGAGCTGACAGGTCAGTATAGGGATTCTGAGTGTTAATGATGGTTTGGGGACAGTAACGTAAAATGTCATTCAATAATCGGTAGAATCGATTATATGATACCCATGTAATAGTTGCATCTTGAAATGAGTACCGATTGGTGTACAAACTAGAAACGGGTTCTATCAATTCATGAACTTCTTTGACTGCATTGAATAATTGATAAAATAAATACTTGTTTTTGAATACTTTAAAGAATGTTGATGTTAATAATAATTGAACTTCATCGTTGTTAATCATATCTTATCTATCTATAGATATACGTGTTTGGAGTATAAGTATAGTTAAAGGGTTATAATAATAATAATTGATCTTCAAAAAATATTTTTTGATTATTATGATTATTTTTTGCTTTGAACAAGTTTCTGTGAAATTTAAAAGTAGTAATTAAATTTAAATCGGATGACTTCTGTATTTCTATAACCCACAAGAACGATAGATATTCTTCACAAAGATAATAATAATAAAAGATAATAATAATAATAGTTTAGTTATAAAGAAAGAAAGATCTAGCTAGATGTTTAACATGTTTAAATCAAAACAAAAAAGAGTACTTAGATATGCATCAGACATTCATTTAGAGATGAATGCAACTGTCAAAGAGAATCAGGAGTTGATTGATTTGTACACATTTGAAGAGAAAAAGGATACTACCTATTATCTGGCACTGTTGGGTGATATTGGAACAGGTGGTAAACCATCACAACAAGACGTGTTGAAAGAGTTCTTGGGCAAGGTTTCAAACAAGTACAAGACTGTATTCTACATACTGGGTAATCATGAATATTACAGCCACTCTGATAGATTGTCAATGACAGAGATACAGAAAACACTCAGATCGATATGCTCGTCATTTCCAAATGTCATCTTTATGGATAATGATTCATATATGTTGGATGAATACAAGATATTGGGTACTACTCTATGGTCAAATGTATCAAATGATAAATCTAAAATGATTGAATCTTCTATTAATGATTATAGATGTATTTATAAAGATGATGAAACATCAACATCGACAGATCAAAAAGTGGGTGGTACCACCACCAAAAGAGTAAATGTACAAGACACGAATAATCTTCATAATCAAGCAGTTCAATGGATTGAAAATGAAATAGAATCAGCTGGAGAATCACCTGTCATTGTTCTCACACATCATGCTCCATTGTACTCTGACAACAAACGACTACTTTGTGATCCAAAATTTATAGGTGGTGATATTAATTGTGCTTTTCATACGGACCTCTCCCGATTGATGAAATCACCTGTCCAATATTGGCTCTATGGCCACACTCATTGGGTATCATCATTTAAATACAATGGTGTTACTGTAGCAACCAATCAAAGAGGTTATTTCTTTGAACATGTGGGTTTTAATCCCTCTACTTGTATAGAATTGTAGAATAAAATACACCAAACTTTTTAAATAATCTTGGCATATCTATATACATATATACAGTAGTTTGGTTTAAATTTAATTTATATTATTTATAAAGTCATTCAAACAAATTTGATTGTCAAGAACCCAACGAATTTCATCTAGTCTTCTCTTTACTAGTTTTTTTTTTCTTCCCACCCTCCTCTTTGGAAATAGAAAACAGTATCTTGTTCTGCAGCACACTCACACACACGATGCATATGATGTGATCAGATAGCATAGATCAATCACTTTCACTTGATTAGATTTATGAAAAGTGTAGCAAAGGAATGGTTTAAAATCATTCAGATTCATTAGTTTGGTTTGGTATCAATACTATCAGATAGTCTAGTAGACAGAAAGAAATTTATCGATATATTAAGAAAAAATGTATAATCATTATTATTTTTATTAGGAGTTGTATTAGTATTTGGTCAATGTATGTATTAATAAAATATTAAAATCTAAAATGTCTGTTACAATCATTTAATTTATTATCTTTAATTTTTTTTTAACATTTTTTATAGCAATGACTCCAATTGGTGAAATTCAATTCTATGATACTACTCCAGATAGAAATAGTAAGATTGATTTGACACTATCTCTATCATTCCAATCAATTGATTGATTGATTGATTGATTGATTGATTAATTAATTCTTTGAATTTTAATTGATCTTTTTCTTTCTAAATGTTTAGGTGATTTTGAAAGTGCTTATTGGATTGCAAATGAATATGGAGAATTAGGAATGGTAGAGTCTACTTTAGGGCCTGATGGAAAACCAGTTTATGCTCACACTGGTGCAAGCCCTCTTGGGTCTATTCAAAGTCCACAAACTTTTGCAGCCTACTTTAATGCTGTTCCCGATGTTACCATCCAACTTACAACGGGCAGGTCATTGACATTCCTAGAGAATTTTCCTTGGGAGTTTATTACACAAGACCTCATGTTTTTCCCTATCAATGGTCTTGGATTTAATGACAATTAACCATATTTTTATGTTCAATATCAAAATAAATTATAGGTGATGATTCCAATCCATGTACTATTGATACATGTACAAATGGAACTTGTAGTCATGATGATTTATGTACAACCACCAGTCTATGTGAAAAAGCAAGATGTAGAGTAAATGGAGATATTGGAGAATGTTATTTTGAAAATCTTTGTTATTCATTTGATGGTTGTGTTGTGGATCTTGTAAATCCGATAGTGAAGGTTGTGAATTTAATGCAATGGATTGTAAGCTACCTTCCTAAAAAATCATAAATACTCTATTTGATAAATTTTAATTCATTTTTCGAATCTTCTTATAGGTGATGATGGTGATCCCAATACTGTTAATGCTTGTTCAGAAGGTCAATGTATAATAGTATCTGAATGTTTACCAGGAGATCTATGTGAAGATGTTGTTTTGGTCAACAATACTTGTATATTTATACCAAATTGTATAACAGAAGATTTATGTTACCCTAAATCATGTGATGCTACCCAAGGATGTACAAGTACAACTATGAATTGTGACGATGGAGATTCTTGTACTGACGATTCTTGTTTTGATGGAAATTGTGTTCACAATGATATTTGTACATCAACAACTACTGCAGTGGTTTCAACCTCTGGAGTCGTCTCAACTACTGGTCAAACAATTACTACCTCTAGTGTCGTAACTACTACTGCCATTGTTACGACAACCTCTCAATCAACTACCACCTCTCATTCAACGACCACTTCTCATTCTTCAACAACCTCTGAACCAACCACCTTTTCAACAACCACTGGAGGAGCAGTGACTATTGGTACTTCAATATCTACTTGCACTGGACCAAGTATCACATTGGGAGGAACAACCCATCATCATGAAGAATGTGAGATTAAAAAAGATGGAAGTAGTGTAGGATGTCCAAAAGGGTATCACTGTGTTGTGGTCAATGGAAGAAATACTTGCATCAACAATCAAGACGATTGTCCTCCAATAAAGTGTAGTAATGATCCATCCCCGAATCCCAGTACCTAAAAAAACAAAATTAAATTAAATAAATAAATAAAACAAATAATATTAACAAAATATCTTTACAACAAGATGCAATGACCGACCGACACTTAGATTAATGCTTTCATATCTAGTTGTAGTGAAATTTGATTGATTGTAAATCAATCATTATTATTATTATTATTATTATTATATAATATTGAACCTTGACATCTCAAGTATACATCTATTTTTACAATAATAATAATCAACAAGGTTTGTCCTTTGTTTGTATTCTCCAAAAAGTAAGATAAAAATTAATTTTAAAAAAACCAATTCTTTCTTGAGAATCTAGTATTAATTTAGATTTTCTACTTTATTCTTTTTGTTTATTTGTAGTTTATTGTTATTATTATTATTATTCATCTTTACACATTTTTAGAGTAGTAAAGACATCATTTAAAAGAAGAGAAAGAGATCAACATATCATATCATGGATAATGTACCAGCACCATTGAAATCGATATCTCCATTTTTGAAACAAGCCAAGCAGCTTGAGAAACACGATGGTGTTATGGCTTACTATTGTAGACTGTATGCTGCTCAGATGGCTATGGAGATTAAGAAGAACTTGGGTCCTTCAGGTAGAGAACTCAGTCCCTTTATTGTTAGGATTTTAGATCAAGCTGAAGCTGTAAGCACATACAAATGAAATAGAACCAAAAGAGAGAGAGATGATAGTTTGATATTAACTCTCTTTCTCTTTCTTTCTTTCTCTCTCTTACTTACTTTTTTTAAATAATATTACGAACTAGGACAAGAGTAAACTTGGAGGTCAATTAGATGAAGATGGAATGGAAAGAGATTATGTTGAAGGGTTTGCAATGAAAGCTTTTATTCATGCTGACAATGAGGATAGAGCAGGTAGAGCTTCTAGATCAACGGCAACTACTTACTACTCTGCCTATTTGTTCTTTGACGTGTTGAAGCAATTTGGAGATCAACCAGACGACATTAAACAAAAGCAAAAGTATGCTGGATGGAGAGCAGCCGAAATCAACACGGCCATCAAGAATGGTGTCGAGCCTACTCCACCACCAACCATTGACTTGACAGAAGAGGAGAAAGAGTTGGAAGCTATGAATCAAGCCGATCAACACAATGGCGGTGGAGAATATTCGCCAATGAATGACACTGCCGACAACTACCAATCCAACAACAACTTGTCCAATTCATTCCCATCAGCACCAAGACAACAATTTGATGACGACAGCGGACTTTCGTTCCCATCTGCTCCATCCTCTCAACCTCAATTCCCATCATCGTTTGGAAACAACAATGGACCATCATTCCCATCATTTGACCAATCAAACAAGAACAGCAACGGCCCATCATTCCCATCGTTTGACCAATCAAACAAGAACAGCAACAACAGTGGACCCTCATTCCCATCGTTTGATCAATCAAACAAGAATAGTGGACCGACATTCCCATCACCACCATCCTATGATCAATCAAACAAGAGCAACAGCAGTGGACCATCATTCCCATCATTTGAGCAATCATCATCTAGAAACAATAGTCCATCATTCCCACAAGCTCCCAACAGTCAATCTTCTTCATTAAATAGTAGTGGTGGAAACGTACCAACCTTTCCATCAGCTCCAAAGAATCAACATCAGCAAGAACAACCATCATTCCCATCATTTGATCAATCAAACAAGAATAGCAATAGTGGACCATCATTCCCATCATTTGACCAATCAAACAAGAACAGCAACAACAGTGGACCATCATTCCCATCGGCTCCAAAGAATCAACATCAACAACAACAACCACCTAGCTACCAAGAACAACCACCTAGCTATCAAGAACAATCACAACAACGTACTTCTCCATATTCTTCACCTCATAATTCCATGATTGATGATTCTCCACCATCATACCAACAACATCAACAAGCCTCCCCACCAGTTTCTCGTGGTCCACACCATCAATCTGTAATCCATTCTCAAAATCAACAAAATCAACAAAACCAACAAAACCAACAACAACAACATTATCAACAACATCAACCACAACAACAACAACAACAACAACAACAACAATTCCAACAACCACAACAACAACACTATCAACAACAATCTCAACCACAACAATCCCAACAATATAGACCACAACAAAAATCAAACTATGAACCAACAGAAGAGGACAGGGCAAATGCACAAAAGTTTTCCAAATGGATTACTAGCTCTCTTCAATTTGATGATGTACCATCGGCACTCAAAAACTTGAAACTTACTTATAAATATTTGACTGGTATCGACCTTTAGAATAATAAATAAATTATTAATTTGTGTTTATTTAAATATGTAAAGAAAGAATATATATGAATGTGTAGTAGTAATCGAAGAATTTTAATTAAAAAACTATTCTTTTGTGTAGGTGGTAGTAGTAGTAACAAAGAAATACAAAGATCTTATTTAGTTGCTGCCTTGTTTAATTGTTTTAAAATAAAGAAACCAGCTGCTCCCAAAATAGCACCAACTGCTCCCAATGTTATCCACACATTTGATTGTTTTGTTATTGCCCTAATTAAAAAAAATATTAAGTTTATGAATCTCGATGATTGTTAATTTCTTGTAATACTACATACTTGTTGTTGTTGTTATTATTGGTTTTAGAGTTATTAGTAGAATGATTATTTCTTTCGATTGAATCAAAGATTTGTCTATATATTAAATTATTTTTGGTCATTGAGAATGTCAATGGCACAACATTTAACTTTTTCAAGATTGCAGAATCGCTATTGTTGCTGTTGTTTGGATCTTCCGTTTTAGATACATGTACAAAGACAACTGGAATCTTTGAAAATGATTTAATAACTTGGTTATAGATATTGACTGCATAGTCTAGTGATCCACCAATACTGTTATCATAAACCAAACAAATACCATCACATCTTGTCAATTTGTTTGATTCCAATACTACTTGTGGATTATTAAATTCATTCAACTTTATACAAATAAATATGTTAACAAAAATCGATTGATCAATCATTTCTTCTTATTATTCTACACTTACAATGATAAATTTTTCAGTATCAATTGGCAAAGAACAAACAATTAAATCCTTGGTATCATCAGAGGAATAGGTTGATTGTTTGATAAAGTTTTGTAATAATGTACTCTTGCCAGATGATTTTTGACCAAACACAAAACAATTGTAGGTAGTTCTATCGCTAGTCGTTGTTTGTTGGAGTAAGCAAGTAGTATTTGGTTTCAAAATACTGTCATAACCAAAATAGGCAAAATAATTTAAAGTTAATTGATATTCTTCAAATGTTTGTAAACTATAAATAAAAAAAAAATAAAAAGAACAATCAATATTAATATTTTAAATAATACTACTACTACTATCTACTAACCTCCAAAGTGACAAGAATGAATTTAAAGTTAAATCACCAGTTGATTTGTTGATTCCAACCTTTTCATAGGATTCATCAGTGAATGGACATCCAGGTGTAGTGGAATATAATTTTTGTTGATCAGATTTACTTAATAAACCATCATTGTTTGAATCAAATCTCTTGAACAAAGATTTCAAATAAACAATACCATCATTACTTAATTCCAAATAATTACCTTTTGGAACACTTATTCTACAAAAATATATATAAAGTAAGTATTTTTGTTTTCTTTTTTTCTTTTTTTTCTTTTTACATACAATGGAGATAAATAATCTTGAGATAATTCCAAATTATCATCATACTTGAAAGAACGAATTGAAACCCAAGTATGTTGTGGATTCTTCATAAGGAATAAGAGGTTCATAAAAAGGAACCCTTCAATAGTAAAACCATTGTCATCGACACCATTATCGATACGACTACGAAGGAATCCCTTGAGATCAATGATATCCTCGGTCGACATGGTCACATGTTGGCATCTTTGTTGGAAATAGTTGATTTCCTGGTCACTGAGCGATCCGTCATTGTCCAAATCGCACAATTTAAATATTCTACGCAACACCTTTTCGCACTTGTCAGTGAGACGACCATTTGGACGATCGAAAAGAATGCGTTCTGGATAGAGAACCAAGCTTTGAGTTGTTTCCAACACTTCATGAATATTAAACATCAATTTGGAACTGCATTGCATCCAACGAATCGTTTCTCCATAATCATTACTCATCATTTGAATTGTCTCTTCAATTTGATCCTTGTATTTGTCTTGATCTTCTTCCATTTCTGATTTGGTTCCAACAATTACAATTGGTATTGGCTAAATTAAATAAATAAAAAAAGATCAACTCTGTTAGACATAGAGAAAGAGATTAGAGTCATTCTTTGATCGTTTATAGTTACATTTGAAGAACGAAGTTGTTTAATCAATGGCATCCATTTAGTACGAACACTCATAAAAGTGTTGAATTGATTACTGGCATAGGCAATAATGACAGCATCACATTGCTTCAACTCAATGTTGAGTTGAGTACGACCTTGTTGTTGAATATCATCAGAGTTGCAAGTATCGATGATTCTAGTTGCACAAGGTGCATTCAACACCTCTGCAGGAATTGTAACTTCTGGTACAACCTTTTGAACATGTTCTGCAAATGAATTACTAACAAATGATGAAATGATCGTTGTTTTACCTACTCCCTCTATATATATATAATGATGATGATGAGAATATAAAAGTAAGTTAAACCAAACTACTTCAAAAGAGTCTATTATCGATCTATCATTCTATCTTACCGTCACCAACTATAACTATCTTTATATCCTTTCTCATCATTGTGAATTAGAAATCTTCTCTCTCTCTTCTCTCTCCTCTCTATCAAGCAACAAGATAAATTATATTATATATATGGGTAATGAAAGATACTTTCAAACAGACAATCGTCCTTCTACTTGTGAGCAAGGAGGGAAAAATTTTGAATCAAGTTTGAAAATTTGAACTTCAATTTTTGAAACAAATGAATAATAATAATAATGATGATAATATATATTTAAATATAATTGAGTAATTAGACAACTACCATTCTTCTAATATATTGAAAAACAATGGTTCTAATAAATCTCCTTCACCAGCAACATAAAGATTGTTTGGCCATTCCAAACCCAATTTCAGAGTTAAGAACTTTGCAAATTGATGACTGTTGCATTCATGATTCCATTGATCTCCTCTTGATTGAATAAATTCTTTGTACCATTGATTTTGGGCAACCCTTTTCAATCCATCGGCCCATTCACGAGGATTTCCAGAATGGTATTCATTTGTAATTCTACCCAATTTCTGATGCTTGGCATATTTGGTTCGACGATAATGTAGTTCATTGCCAACTAAATTGACTGATTTTGAGGTTCCATGTTGAATTTCAAGATGTAATTCATATCCTTTTGGGACTTCTTCCGTAGACTGACCAGCTACATCAATTACGATTGTGTAATGATCACGGAGGATAGGGTTGGAGACAGCAAGAGTCTTTGATGTCTCTAATGTTTGTGTATATGTAACTAAATATACATCACCTACAAGTGATTCATCTTCATTGGTTGTAGGCAATGGTGTAGACACTGTATAAAAAATATCTGGGAAATAAAATTTACTAAACCATGATCCCATGTTTGATTGATATCTTCAAATATAAATATAAATAAATTCTATATTATAACAATAAACAAATATTAACAATAATGTTAAAGAATAGTATAGAATAGAATAGAGTAGAATAGAATAGTAGTTCTTGCTGCACCCGACAAAGAACTTTAATTTAATTTTTAATAACAAAAATATTTATTGGTTTTTAATTAGAGTGTTGTTTTATTACAGGTTCATAAGTATTATTTCTACATTCTTTTCAATGTTTACATATAAATATATAACTGTAATAATAGTAACATTAATACTGTTATTATTATTATGTACTAGTACAACAACAGAAGCACAAAAGTATCAGAATGTCAATGCCAACAGCGGAGAAGCAATCAACAAGAATGTAGAGCATTTCTTTAGAGGTCAACATACCAACAATTGGGCGGTACTAGTATGTACCTCTCGGTTTTGGTTCAACTATAGACACATTGCAAATGTATTGGGGTTCTATCGTACTGTTAAACGTTTAGGTATCCCCGATTCTCAAAGTTTGTATCAATCATTCAACCGATCAATCAATCAATCAGCTTATATAGTCAATCACTACTAACACGTCGTTGTTTGATTAGTTATATTAATGCTTGCAGATGATATGGCATGTAATCCAAGAAACTCATATGCAGGTAGTATCTTTAACAATGAAAATCATAGATTGAATCTGTATGGTGATAACATTGAAGTAGATTATCGTGGTTATGAAGTAAACGTAGAAAACTTTATTCGTGTACTCACAGGTAGACATGAACCTGAAGTTGCTCGTTCAAAGAGACTATTGACAGATGAAAAGAGTAATATATTGATCTTTCTAACTGGTCATGGAGGTGATGAATTTTTAAAGGTAAGGTATAATAATAATCATATGAATGTCACAAGTTGTATTAATCTCTGTGTCAATCTATCTATCTATAGTTCCAAGATAATGAAGAAATTTCAAGTTATGATTTATCAGATGCATTCAAACAAATGTGGGAAAAGAAGAGATACAATGAAATCTTGTTTATGGTAGATACATGTCAAGCCAATACTCTATACAAAAGATTTGATTCTCCAAATATTCTAGCAATTGGAAGTAGTAGACAAGGTGAAAACTCTTATTCTGTATGTTTAGAGAGAAGAGAAAGAAAGAAAGAATGAATCTTTATTTCCATTTATTAATTATTTTAATTACATTTTTTTGTTTGTAGCATCATTCAGATCAAGAATTGGGATTAGCTGTTATAGATAGATTTACATATTATACATTGGATTATTTTGAAAATGTTGATCCTCATAATGTTACATTGTTACAATTATTCTCTAGTTATTCTCCGCAGAAATTAAACTCACATTCTGAATATCGTTTTGATCTATTCAAGCGAAAGTTGGATCAAGTTCCAGTAACTGATTTCTTTGGATCTGTCATGAGAGCAGACATTACGCCACCAATTCCAGATGCATCTGTCGTACCCCCAACCAAGAATGAAAACAACAATGAATTAACTTTTGTTATTTCTGAAAAACCAATAACAATTGATACAAAGGAAACTGTATGTTAACAAAACAACACATCAATGATAATGGTGGAAATGATTTTATCTAATTATTATTATTATTTTATTTTATTTCTAGGGATCAAATCTTTTACCAATGTTTAATAATAACTTTTTAACTGCATTTATTGCCTTTTTTGTATTCTTTTTAATACTTTCATTCACAACGACACCTGCATCTCCAAAAAAATAATAATAAATACGTAACATAATATATAAATATACATATCTCTTTTAACTTTTAAAAATATATTTCCCTTATTATTACTACTATTATTTTATTGATTTACTTTTAATAAAACAATAATTATAATAGTAATTAATATAGCTATACCAAAAGATATGGCAACCTTTATCTTGTTCTTTTTTAAAAATCTTGTAAAACTAGCATGTTCTGTGTCATCTTCATACTCCATAATCTCTCGAAGATCATTTAAATCTTCTTCCACTGTATAATGATCCAAATTATTGATGGTAATATTATCAAACTGTATCTTTTCATCTGGCTCCACTTTCTTTTTACCAGCATTTGATTCCTGTCCAGTTAAACTTTCCAATTCTTTAATAAATTCTCTAATTGCATTATTAAATGATGTTATCTTTGGTTTAACATTGATTCCAGAGTTTTGACTACTAAATTCTAATTGTTGAATCTAAAGATTGACAACGATTGGTTAATTTAATTAAATTTGAGATTTCCACAGGGACACATACGATTGCTTTTGCCTCTTCCAAATCATTTTCAATTTCTTCAATCAATAGTATTCTTTCGTCATGTGAGATTGATTCGTCTCTATATCTTGGAAGACTTGTTTTAATCTTTTCGCAAACTTGATTAAAGTCTTGTTCATAGTGAGAAAATAATTGTTGCATTTCTTTTCTGTCTGTCTCTCTCTCTCTCTCTCTCTCTCTCTTTGTTTTATGTCTAATTGTCTAATTATCGATAGTCTTCGCTACTACTACTACTACTACTACTCCTTTGAATAAAATGGTCTATACGAATGTTTCACATGAAAGTATATGGTTGCTATATTAATCGAGCTCGATAATCTTGTATCTATAAATATTAAAAAGTAATATATTTATCTTTATCTCTTTGCTGCAATGACACAATGATTGATGATGATGAAGATAGGCAGGCAGGGAACCAACCAAACTATTTTTATGAATGGTCGCGACTATGTGTTTAAACGGCAAAAACAAGCAAAATATCCCAGGGAGCGTCTAGACTACTCCTCCTACAACCTTTTTTACAAATCGGTCAAAGCTTTGGGAGCGAGCCCTTAAATTTTAGTCAAAATATCACCCTACAACAACACTACAAAAAAAAACAACAATCCTACTTGTGTCTGGAACACACAATGAATGATGTGGATGTGATGTTGAAAGAGATAAACAGATAAGTCCTATACTTTTAGTAGATTTGAGTTTGAAGCGAGGACGAGGATGAACAATCGGGAAATTTACATCATCATATGTTGGCACATATACACACGCATACCACATCTCGTACAAATCTCGATCTGTTTATAATTATTGTCTATCCTCTTTTTTGTGGACCCGAAACCACAAATAGTGCACCACCAACAATTGGGGCAGTGGATCTACTTTGAAAAACAATTGGACAAGAGAGTAGATCTACCATGAAGGTCCCAGGAAGAAACGAAAAAGTTTTCTCAAGATCTGTCGCAAAGGTATACCGAAAAGGACGAATCTTGTTTTCGTTTTGTGGACTTGGTTCAATCGTTACGGTGGGTGGAGTACGTTGGATGGTTTAACATGCCACAAACAGGATACCCTCTCCCAAATCGTTGCATGATGATGACACTAATAACAAACAATAGTGCTACTAAATTAAAGGAGAGGAGCAATAGGGGATCTAAATCCCAAACAATCGATTGATAAGGTTGTATAAATAGAAAACGAAAGACACATTTTGTATTATATAACACAGCAAAGCAAAGCACCATTCATCAACAACTCATCATCAACTCCTCGTTCGCATAATCATTGTATCATACACACATTTTGTTATAATACAAACATATAAATACATATACAAATACATACATACATATAAATACAAACAAATAGATAGAGAAAGAGATAAAAACATGTCTGAAAAAAATACACCACCACCTACACCTCCAAGACCTGCTGCAACAATGAAATCATCTTCATCAACAGCATCACTAGAAGCACATGAGCAACCAGTTGAAAATATATCAATCTTTGGATCAGGTTTGGCTGGTTCAGCAATAGGTATGTTTAAAAAATAATAATTATTACAATCAAATAATTGATGGTTAATCATTTATTTATTTCCTTTTCCTTTTTCCTTTACTTTTTTTTAGCATTATTATTAAAAAATAGAGGATTTACAAATATAACTGTTTATGAAAAGAGATCAAGGAGTGAACAAAAGGCAAGCTGGAATAGAGGTAGATCGATTAACATGAGTCTTTCATTTAGAGGAATGAAGACTCTGGAAAAGTGTGGCATTTTACCTCAGATTTTGGAAGAGGGTGTGCCAATGCGTGGCAGAATGATTCATCATTTGGACGGATCCAAAAACTTCCATCCCTATTCACCAGACCCCAACAAATTCTTGCTTTCCATCTCGAGAGACATGTTGAATGAAAAGCTTCGTCAACATGTTGAGGGATCAGAGAGTGTCCAGTTCCTCTACAACCAACAGGTCAAGGAGGTCAATCCACGTGGCTGCACCTTTACCGTCAAGGACACTAGCAACAATGTCACCCGTACCATGTCGACCAGTACCATGATTGGTTGCGACGGTGCCTTTTCAGCGGTACGTCAATCGATGGCTCGTTTCCCACGTCACGAATACAACCAACACTATATGGAGCATGGATACAAGGAGTTGCGTATTCCAGCCGGACCCAATGGTGAATTCCAACTTGAAAAGGAGTGTCTCCATATTTGGCCACGTGGAGGATACATGATGATCGCTCTCCCCAACAAAGATGGTTCGTTCACCGTCACACTCTTTTTCCCATTCGAGGGTGATGGAAGCAGTTTTGAGTCGCTCAACACACCCGAGCGTATCGACCGTTTCTTTAGAACCAAATTCCCCGATGCCGCGCCACTCATCCCTTCGCTGATCGAAGATTTCGAGACCAATCCAGTTTGTACATTACTCACCATCAAAACGTATCCATGGGCTATCGACGGTCGTGCCGTCCTTGTAGGCGACGCTGCCCACGCCATCGTGCCATTCTACGGTCAGGGTATGAACGCCGCTTTTGAAGACGTCCTCGAACTATACAACTGCATTATCGAGCAGCTGCCCATTGAAGAGGCCGTGTCACCTCGTCCCACACTCAACATGGACCAGTTGGCCCAAGCCTACGCCAAATACCAAACAGCAAGAAAGAAAAATTCAGATGCCATCTCTGAAATGGCTATTGAAAACTTCCTCGAGATGCGTGATACTGTCCAAGACGACTTGTTTGTCTTTAAGAAAAAGGTCGAGCATCTCTTGGAGCAGCGATTCCCCGGCCGTTACATCTCGCGTTACGAACTCATCTCCTTTTCCCACATCCCTTACAAAGATGCACAACGTATAGGCAAACTCAACCAAGAAATCTTGAATGTCCTCTGTAAAGATGCAAGATTAAATTTAAATAATATCGATCTTACAATGGCAAATAATTTAATTAAATTGTTACTAGATAAATAAAAGTATCGAATAAATATATTAGATAAATGTCTGTGTGATTATTTAAAGAGATTGATTCGAGGCATAAACTAAACCGAACTTGAACCTAATCAAAATTCGTGTAGGGATGGGCCGACGAATTTCATCCCCTCCTCTCCTTTCAACAATCTTTGCTTGGTGTTTTTTGCCGAGTTTGGACACAAACGGTCAGTTTGTTTTTTTTTTTAAAATTTTTTTTTGGTGGCATTGTCCACACTCCCACTGAACCGGCGGCATCCCTATAATTATTTAATACAACGTTGTAACCCATCTCTCTCTGATTTATTATTATAGGTGTTTGTTTAAATATATATATATATATAAAATATATTTATTATAGATAGTCAGTCAGTCGAACAGAATACATTTAATCACAGGTTAGATAATATTATACAGGTAGATATAGTTACATACAAACATAGATACTCGTTCACATCATATCAAAAACAAAAAGAAGAAACGAAAGAGAGAGAGAGAGAGAGAGAGAATAATAGCATTCTTTAGTTATACAACAGTAAGAAGTATGATGATTTTATGGTATAATATTTAGTATTTTGTTAGACGTCTAATTAAACGAAGGAGAAAAAGACGATTGTTGATGATGATGATGATGATGATGTTGTTGTTGGATATACTGACACGATGATAAATGATGACAACGAATATATATGACATCTCTTAAACACTACACTCGTTCACTCACTCACACCCAACACCAAGAAACAAATAGATAGATAGATAGATAGAGTGAGAAAGAGATATAGTGAGAGATCTATATAATTTAATTTAGGTGTGGTTGTTTAGTTTGCTTCACAATTATGGGTGTTTGTAATTAATTACAAACACATTAGCAAGCAACCAATCATTCACTCACTCACTCATTCATTCATTCATTCCTTTATCCTCTTCTAAACTTTCACACCCATTCATTATATACATGTATAACGACTACTACTGTACTGTATAATAATAATAATAATAATTGGGCAACAACAACAAAAGTATTTTTTATGACTATTATAATTTGAATGATGTATCATTAAAACGGAAAGACAGACAACAACCAACAACTATAATAATAATAATCTTTTATCCACCAATTCATTCAAATGATCTATAGATTAGACTATCATTATTGTTACCATTAACAAAACAACAACAACAACATCATCAACATCATCATCATCATCATCTTGCAACCAATAATAGTTCTCTTCATTCTTTTTGTTTTTCTATTGTTGTGTTGTCACTTTCTATTCTTTCGTGTATTTCATTCCCATATTCTAATTACCTCTTCCCATTCTTAATTTTAACACTACTACTACTACTACTACTACTATAGAAAGGAAAAGAAAGAAAAGAAAGAAAGAACAAACACAACAACATATAACAACAACAACAAAAACTTTGAACACAATGGATACAAATGATCCTTTTTCCAAATATGTAAGTAATCATTAAATATAATATAGAGAATGAATAAACCTCTAATACTATCTATCTATCTATTTTGTAGCAAATTGGAGAAGTAGTAGGTAAAGGAGCATTTGGTAAAGTTTATAAAGCATTAAATATTGAAACTGGTGATTTCTGTGCAATCAAACAAATAGAGAAATCAATCATTTCAGAAAAACAATTACCTTCTATATTGGTAAGTTAAAAGAAGAAGAAGAAGAAGAAGAAGAAGAAAACAACTTTATTTTCTTTTTCTAACCCTCCCTCCCTCCTATCTTTTTTACTCTTTTGTAGCAAGAAATCAAATTATTACAAACTTTACGACATAATAATATTGTTAGATTTATCGAATCACATGAAACATCAAAATATTTATTCTTTGCATTGGAATTTGTAGAAGGAGGAACATTGGGAAAGATGGTAAAACGTTATGGCAATTTTCAAGAACCTCTGCTTTGCAGATACGTATGCCAAGTACTTGGTGGTCTAGCATATCTTCACGAGAAGGGAGTCATTCATCGAGACATTAAAAGCGATAATATATTGATCACCAAGGATGGTGTAATTAAATTGGCTGATTTTGGTTCTTGTACCTACAGTGCTCTCGATAGAAAATTAACTGTAGTTGGTACACCTTTTTGGATGGCTCCTGAAGTTATTCAGGTAAGATATATAAATACATATGTATAGAGAATATTCTATAGAAAAGTTGTAGAATCGAGAATAATAATATTAATAATTTCTATATATGTTTAGATGGATATGAATGCAAGATCGACAGCTTGTGATATTTGGAGTTTGGGATGTACAATTTTAGAGTTATTAACTGGTAACCCACCATATTGGGATCTTGGAACGATGCCGGCCATGTTTGCCATGGTCAACAATCCACATCCACCCATACCGGCCAATATATCGGCCGAGTTGAAGAGTTTTTTGTTGGCATGTTTTATGAGAGACATTAACAAGAGACCGACCGCAAACCAACTGCTCGAACACCCATGGATCAAAAATCAACAGGCACAAGACCAAGACCACCCTATCAAGCATCAAAGAGGAGGCAGCAAGCTGTCGGTATCGACTCACGCCGAGGGATACCAAGACGAGGCGGTTGAAGAAGACGAAAACGATCTCAAGGAGAGAATCGCTATTTTGGAGCTACAGAAAAAGGAGCAAGCTCAAACCATCCAAAAATTAAAATACCATTTTGTAAAGGCACTAAAAGAGAAAAAGGCAATGAAAGAGATGATTGCACAGCTCGTTCAAGAGCGTGATGGATACATGATAAAACTAGGATTGAATCCTCCCCCTCCACCACCCATCCTATTACAAACACAACTCACACCTGGATCGACACCAACACGCGCTGCTCTCGAAAATGCAAACGAAGTGATCAACGCAACTGGAGGATCACAACACAAAACACATCATCTTCGAACGGGCAGCCAGAGCAGTCCGCTGTTGAAGAGTTCTGGCTCGTTTAGAGCTGGCAACTCGAGTGGTAGTCACTCGGCAGGTGACAGTCTCAACAATGGCGGAGGTCACGGTTCATCTTCATCTTCATCGTCGTCGCGAGCTTCCATGGCAAACATCCTCAACAATGAATTCTTCCAACCTCCCGACAGCTACTCTGACGAAGAGGACACCCCGTCCTCGCCGATGGGATCGCATGAATACCTCATGAACGCACCCACCCTCAGCGATCTTCATATAATGGGACCACCCAAGGTCACCAAGCGTCCCGACCAACAGATGGGCGGCTACCTATCGTCTGGATCGAACCTACAAGTGTACAGCAAGGAGTCGACCGTCGCAGACGTTTATTCAAAATCACCCCACCAATACTCTGTCGGTGGTGGGCTGACTGTAAATGCAAGCAATCAAAATTTAGAACAACAACAACAAGTAAATAATAGCAATAGCAATAGAAAACCACCAATGTTACAAAAAGAATCTTCACAAAAGGGTTTGTTGAATCAATATATATCATCACCATCAAGGGAAAGAAGAGACAGCATTGGAAGTAGTGGGAAAACAACGTTGGATGGAAGTGGGATGCTGATTAGTGGCGGCAGCAGCGGCGGTAGCAGTATTGGCAGTAGCAATCTATTAAGCACGAGTCATGGCAGCATAGGGTCTACTGGATACAGCGCAATGTCGTCCAAAAAGTCAAATACCGTTTTACCTACCATTTCAATCAATCACCAACAGGAACTCGAAAAGGAGGAGCAGCACGTGCCACCCGTCGAACAGGTTGTCGTCAATGTGCAGCCACCCCGTGTTGGAGACACTTGCAAGGTCAAGTGTGGCGAGTTGGGTTGGTACGACGCCATTGTCGAACTTGTCAGCGGTACAACCTTTGTCGTCACAATCAAACCATTCAATATCAAACAAGAAGTTTCTCATTCCGATGTCACCCTCGCACCTTTACAATTACCTGATAATACCAAAAAGAAAGGAAAATTTAATCTTTTCAAAAAATAGAATAGAATAGAATATTTAAAAAAGAAAATCTTACTATAGTACAAATCAAAACAAAACAAGAATCATAATGTAATAAAACAATTTTGTATATACTTCTTAATTTATTACAATTTAATCCAAAAACTAAAAATATACAAACAAAACTAAAACAACAAATCATTCCATCACACCAACAACCACCCATGGAATAATTTTCATTCTCATTCGGTCAAAACGACAGTTGAATCAGAAGAGATAAAAGAAAGAGATAAGAGAGAGAGATGTCAGATCTGAATAGTACTACATCACCTCCTTCTGTACCAGTTGAACTACCACAACCAATCAAAAAAAAGATAGTGTTGAGAAGATCTGCTGCAAAAGAAGTATTTCCTCCAACACCTAAATATAAAGTTGAACAACAACAACAACAAGAGCAATCTATTTTGTCAAGTGAATCACTCAAACCATCTTGTAGACATGGTTCAATAACTCGTTTTAGGTACCTTGTTTATTGTTTCAGATACCCCATGAACAACAAGACTTATTAATTCATTGCTCTATCTATTTATTCAGATATCTAACAGAAAAGAATGAAAATGAATCTTCATCATCATCATCATCATCTTTATTGGATATTAAAAGAATCATTGAAATTGAATTTCAATTTGATAAAGAAGATGAAAATACATTTAAACCTGGTGATTATCTTAGTATATTTGCACCAAACCCATTCAATGTTGTAGAATCTATTGCCAATAGATTGAATCTAAATTTAAATGATCGATTAGACATTGAAATGATCGTCGTTCAAGAAGGAAAGGTTGTAAATCTACCAGATAATTTAAAGAGAGCAAACGCAAGAACAATCGGTTATCTATTATCACATGAATTGGATATATGTGGCATTCCATCAAAGAGATTACTTAGACTGTTGGGTGAAAATGCAAGCGATCAAGAGGAAAAGAAGAAATTGGTTCATTTATCATCAATCGAAGGAAAGGAGGATTATAATCAAATGATTGGAAATCGTATCACTCTATTGGATCTATTGATTAGTTATCCATCCATATCAAACATTCCATTACACTATTTGGTTGATTTCATCTCTCCATTGGTACCACGAGACTATTCTATATCATCATCTCCACTATCATCACAACCTCGTCATGCAACCGTCGTCTTTTCAGTAGTCGATATGAACATTAATCAAAAGGAAATTAAAGGTCTATGTACTAGTTGGTTAGAAGATAAATGTAATGAATCTATTTTAAATAATATTCAACAATTAAATATTGATAATAATAATAATAATAATAATAATAATAATACTACAACAACAATAATTAATAATATACCATATGAAATTAAACCAACAAATCATTTTACATTACCAAAGGATACTTTAAAGACACCAATGATTATGATTGGTCCTGGAACTGGTGTTGCTCCATTTATTGGTTTTCTTTCCCATTTGGAGAAAACTAAACAACCCGATCTAAAACTGGCAGAAACATGGTTATTCTTTGGTTGTAGAAGTGAATCATATGACTTTATCTATCGCGATGAAATAGAGTCTTTTGTAAAGAATGGTACACTGTCACATCTTGTTACAGCATTTTCAAGAGAATCAAAGGATCAATCTAGTCAACCATTGGGTTACGTTCAATCAAAATTATTAAATCATTCATCACAATTATTTAATTTAATTACAAATAATAATGCTACCATTTATATTTGTGGGTAAGTAAAAAAACAAACAATCAACATTATTAGAGTATTATTATTATTATTAAATATCCATATATATTAACAATTTATATAATTTTAGTGATGCAAAGGGGATGGCAGTTGGAGTAAAATCAGCATTTATAGAAATAGTTAAAAAAGAATTGAAAATGATGATGACAAACAAGCAAATGAAATTGTTTCTCAATGGATTGCAGATAAAAGATATCTATTAGATGTTTGGTCTTGAAGATCCCTTGATACTAGGCCTTTTTGGAAAATAAATAGTAGTAGTTAACTTTTATTAATCATTAATTCAATGTGAAATGAAGGATAGGTTGTTAATTTTTTGTTGTTTACATTATTATTATTATTATTATTATTTACTGGTAATGAGGTATTATATCTTTTGGCAATTGTTAGTTTTGGCAATAGATGACGAGCAGATCTATTCATCATAAATGATAATAAACCTTGTTCATAGATTTGACAAATAATGATTGGTGGTTGAAATGAATCAATCTCCATTTGAACATTATCTGTAAATTGAGAGTAACTTGCTATTAATCCAATCGACTTGTTTCCAGTAGTACCAGACTTTTCTATGAATCTTGAGAGTGTAGACTCCATTTCTCGAAGCACTGATGGACCAACCTTTTTCTTTAATTTTTTACACTGTACAATTACGTTGAAAGTTGTTTCACCAAACTCCCAAACACCATTTAAATCGATTCCTTTGTCTCCTGCTCCTCCTACCCTATTCAACTTGAATCCAAATTGTGATAATTGTTCTATAACCAACTTTTCAAATTCTGTTCCTATCCATACATTTGATATCATCTCTTCTCCTTTTACTGGTTCCTCGAGAATTTGGCTTGTTACTTCTTCTTCTTCCTCTCCTTCTTGATCATTTTCATATTCTTCTATATATTGGTCACCTTGTTGTTGTAGTTGCTGTTGGTTGTTGGTAAATTCTGTGTCATCTTCATCTAATGCAAACCATTTCTTTGTTTTCCATTTTGGTTCGATTGTTATTGTCTCTTTTGTTGTACTAATTTTCTTATTGTTTGCTGGTTTCTTTGATTTAACTATGGTGGTGGCAGCTGAGGATGGTGAATATATCTCTTCTTCTTTTTTCTTCTTTAAGAAATAGATAGACTCATGTACAATACCAACTTGTTTTTTTAGTTGAATGGATGACAGAGGTTGTTTGTCGAATGTTGTTGTTGTTGGTCGATTCTTTGTTGAATAATAATAGTATTGACATGACTTGCTCCAACTTGAGAATAGAGTTGTTTGTATGTTCTTTGCACCAATCATGATTATAAAACATTGGTCAAGGACTTTTGAAAAAAAAAGAAACAAGACGTGAACAGGTAATTTTAAAAATTTATTCATTTTTTTCATCTTCATTGCCATTATCACCCTAACTATGATCTTCCTTCATTTCGTTTATCTTCGGTATGCAAACTTGATTCTTCCTCTCTTCTTCATCATAATATGTATATTAATTCATACCTTCTCTTTTCTGCAGTTTCTTGCTGCCTCCTCAAATTATTTAGATACGACATCAGAGGATGGGATGAGTGGGAGCTCATTTACTCGATTATCAGGTGCACCATCACGCAAGTGTGACAAGAACCCTTTTTTGTCCAAGTATTTTGATCAATGGCAAATGGTTGGAAAGGTTAAGTTCTTTAAGTGTTGCGGCAAGAACACTGCTGCGCTTGTCGATGCCTTTGCACGTTTTTCCTTTAAACGCAGATGATATATGATTCTTGCAAGAGAATCCTTCGTGCCAAAGAGCAACATTGGTGGCAGTTTGTCGACATTGGTAGGTGCGACATTGGTAGGTGCTGCATTGGCGGGGATAGGAATGAGGGATAAAACAAGAGATATACCCACCACTGGTAAAGGTCTATTCCAAAGACCCTGTCGTTATCGAGATGAAGTTGAGACTCACTCCATACCTCACCATCTATGTCAAGGAGAATGGTGGAATCGGATCTGAAGGGCGCTTGGGTGCTGAAGAACCAATCACATTTAATGGTAGAGTTGAATATGTCAACAATGTGGACATCTTAAACGACCTTTTTTAAAGTTAATTTCCTACCTCTGGAAGACAAATGCAGAAGAAAATCTTCTTGAATGTTATCTTTCAATGGTTTAAAAGTAGCAAACAAGAAGATTTTCTTCTTGCACAACAAAATATGGTAAGAAACACCTATTTGATGATATTCACTAACTACACTTTGATTCATCTTTTCGAGAAACTATACCAACAACAACAATAATATACTAGTGAAATAAAGTTTATTTAATTTCATCATTAATGTTTTAGATGGATGCATATTTTAGGGCAGGAGTAATAAAGACTTGGTCATAATTTAGGATACAAAAAGTAAAGAGTCCTGGTATTAAACCTTTCAGTGACTGGGCAAAACAGGTGGTCACATTTGCCAACACCATCTTGTTGTGATCACTTTGCTCTGTTACTCTTTTGGCAAATCTAATCATATGTTTGAGTAAATTGTAATCATGTTTTGGTATTTGTTTAAATAATTCTATTACATTAAATATTTTATCTGCTTCTCCTATATTTCTATCAGCTAGACGAGATGAGAGAAAGAACAATTGTTAATACTATTATTATTTTCTTTTTCTATTTTTTTTTTAATTTTCTTACCAATAATTTCAGATGAATGTAAACGTAATGAAGTTGGGAAAAGGGAATCAGGTAATTCTCTAAGGAATAATTTCAAGAGACCTGCGACAGCATGAGTGTCACGGTGTTGATGGTATTCGATATTTTCACCTTTTTGAAGAGTTGATTTCAAATCTTGAATCTCGGTTGAAGAGCCACTGATTCGAAGTATACCCTCTTCTTGAATATTTCTTTCCAAAAAGTTGATAATCTTTGTGATGAAAGAAGGTATCTCTGCATTTGGATTTTCACGAGACATCAAGTCCTCCAATGGGACACCAAAGACACCTGGGAACTTTGTGCTATTCTCCTTTTTCCAAAGGGAGGCGGGTGACTCTTCAACGCCGCTCTTGAGATTGGTGGTAGACTTGTCACCAGACTTTGTCTTTTGATGTTTCTTTTCAGCAACAGACAATGTTGGTTTGGTTGATATTTCATTTGGTTTTCTTTCGTACCAAGAGACTGAACTCTCTAGTACACCCAACCAATTTTCCATATCCTTTTGATTTTCAAATGCCATGATACACCAAAGTATAGAGTTTTCCTTTTCTTTGATGCCAGAGGCCGATGTGTTGCTGCCAGAGGTGGTGGTGGCAGATGTAGAGGGATTATTATTATTATTTTGGCCAACCAATTGTTGTTGTTGTTGATTACTTAGACCACTGATTGAACCACCAACCAATGTTGGTCCAGCTTGACTTGATAATTGAACCGAGTTTGCTTGACTAGTAGTCAATGTTGATTGTTGTTGTGAAGTTGAGGAAGAGGATGAGGAAGAGGAAGGAGTAGTTTGATTAGGAACAGATTGATCTGCACTACTATTATTGAGGTCTTGGTCACTATTGAGGTCATTGATAATAGTACCAATTGAAATAAAGAATGATTTCTTTTTGGCAGAATCTTGGCTACTTGATACGTTGATTGATTTTTTGTCATTTAAATATACAACATCCATTGGATAAGAGGTTTTAATATTCTTGTCATTTTTAAAGTAAAAGATAAAATTGTCTTTCAAGATGGCCAATGATTTCTTTTCCTGTCCTTTTTTCCAAACCTTGGTTCCAATTTGATATTGAACTGGTGCTGCCAATGTCGGATTGAGCAAGTTATCAAATGTAATCTTTTGTTTATAAACTACATTTGCCAATTTCTTTGCACAATCATCCTTGGTCAATAAATAATCTTCCAATCTCTTTATATTATTTTTAAAATTTTCATTCTTTTTTGTTAATTCTGATGCCATCTAAAAAATAAAGAAAAAAAAATGGTTAGATAAAAACATATAATATATATCTATCTTTTTTTTTGATTTGCTTACTTGATTAGTTCTTTTTAATAACATATTACTATGAGCAGAAATACGAGCACCAGTTTTGTTTTGATCCAAAATTTCCTTTACTTTTGATTTCATTTGAACAAGATTAAAGTAATTTTGTTTCTCCTCTTGGATGATTTGTTGAAGCGAGTTTTTCAGCTGTGTACCAATAGTTAGATTGTGATTGAGAATCTCCAACAACTCGGCAGCCGATGCACTCTTGTTGGTTGGTTCTTTAAACTTGGATTGTGACAAGACCTGTTGGTGAATGCTGGATGGTTCGACCATGTGCAATGCATCGATATCGTGCTGATTACTCTCGACCAGTGAAAGGAAATCGATTGAATAGTTTTCCGAGCCTCTTGGCTTTTGAGGGTGAGTCGACGAAGAGGATGGTGGTTGTGGTTGGTTTAAAAGTGTTGAAAACGATGATTCATTTCCATTCATGGTACCGGAACTACTCATCCACGAGTGTTGCATCAGCTGTTCAATAGAAGCTCTTTTAAGTGGATCCTTTTCAAAACACAACCCTAAAAAGGCCTTTAAATCTTTAGAGATGTCGGCTGGCAATTCTATTGCCTTTGTTGAATCGACAATTTGAATGAGTGCCTCCATCGGCGATAAATTAAAACATGGTGGTTTACCAGTCAACAATTCTAAAATTAAACATCCAACTCCCCAAACATCAACTTTAAAATTATATTCCTTCATTAATAATATTTCTGGTGAATCTAAAAAAGAAAATAAAATAAAATATAAATATAAATATGATTGATTTGATTGACTCTTTCTCTTTCCTTTTTTCATTTCTAAATTACATACACCAAAATGGTTCACCAACGATTGAATGTTTAAAAGTAGAACCCATAGTACAACCTAGACCAAAATCGGATAGTTTACATCTACCACCCTTGGCTAGGAGGATATTACTTGCTTTGAGATTACGATGAATCATATCTTGCGAGTGAATGTAAAACAAACAATCCAAAATCTGTGAAATATATTTGACCAACAAGTTCTCTGGGAAGCTACCCAATCGCTTATAAATGTCGGCCAACGATCCATTGTCGACAAATTCCTGGACAATGGCCAATTGGTTGTGCTCATTGATCAATGATACATAGTTTACAATGTTTTGGTGTGATAGTGTCTTTAGGATTTCATATTCTCTTTTGATGATCGTTTGTTGATTCAAATTGATACGATTCACATCGATTCTTTTCAATGTTACATATTCACTTGAATCTAATAATGTTGCTGAATATGTATTACCCAAATATCCAGTTCCAATATTATGAATTATTTGCTACAAAAATAATAATAAAAGATAGAAAAACAAAATGATTGTTAGTCTCTATATTATATATATAATATATTATATTATATTATATATATATATTTGTTGTTAAAAACTTTTGATACTTACATATTTACCAATATTTGCAGGAGCTTCATCACCATTGGCTCTGATGGATAGATTATTAAATTGAATACTTGGAGCCGAGAGTGAAGGTTTATTGTATAATAATACAGGTGGTGTAGAGACCGAGGCAGATGACGAGGACACTGACAATGGTGATTGGATTGGTGACACGAGAGGAGAGGTAAATGGCGAGCTTTTGGCGGTGTGGTTTCAATCGAGATGGATTGTTGACCCAGATGTTGTTGTTGTTGGTGTTGGTGTTGTTGCAACTGTTGATTGTAACTGCTTAATAGTGTCTGAGATGGTGGTTCAATGTCGTCTTTGGACGAGTTGTTGATGGCAAACTTTCGACGATTACGTTTGGCCGATCGTTGAGAGAGGTCGCCTCCTCCTCCTCCGCTACCACTGCCATCCTGATCTTGGAATCGTGATGCCACGTGACTGACCAAATCATTAGAGTCGTCATCGACAGATGGCTGGTCGCCAATACTCGAGTCGTCTTGTCCGCCGTGTTGATTCAACGGCTGTCCATTATAAATGTCTTTGAGTAGATCAGAGTCGGGGTTGTTTGTGCTAGTCGCCTGAAGAAACTCTCTCACTTGCTCTTGAAGATTACTGATTGACTCGTCTCCTCCGCTACCGCCAACTCCGCTTCCCAATACTTGAGAATCATCCATATCCATCGGGATTAAGGGTTTAAATGATATCTTTGTTATTGATTGATTAAAATACAAATATATATATATATATATATATGACGATGTTAATTTGTTCTGTTCTGTGCTGGTTGATAGTAGTACTAATAATATTACAAGGACAGGAAGGATAGGAAAGATAGGATATAAATAGATTGAGATAGATTTGATTGATTTGACTTGATTGATTGATTGATTGATCTTCTTTTTCTAGAAATACAATAATAAATAAATAAATAAATAATAAATAAATAAAAAGTGTTTGATAAACAATACAATAATAAATAAATAAATAGAGATATCTATCTTTAAAGGGGCTACTCTTATGCTTGCGCAAAAACAAACATTCCTCATTCAAACTTGAGTTTGGTGCATTCACGCAAAAAAAATGACATTATTATTTGAAATTGAGCTCAAACATGAAATTGTTGTGTTGTTGCCTTTTTGGTGGTCAAAGCAAGACAAGGTAGCAGCCTTCACGCCTTTGCTACTCCATCCTTTGCCACTCAGCTCAACTCATCACAGCATACAATGATTAAACAGTGACAATAATCTAATCTAATCTAAACAAAGTCTCAACTGTCAAGAGATTAGATTCATCATGCAATGTTCTGACTTTCTGTCCAATTTATTATTATGATAGTACAACACAACTTTTTATCTATGTACTTGTGTCTGTACTCATTAATGATAGTAGTAATAAATAAATATTTATACTTTGTCAAAGCATCCCTTTCTTTAATAATAATAAAGCTACTAACAGAGGGATGAACAAAATAAATATTTATTTTGTGGTTTTTATTTTTTTCTTGATGATGAAGATGTGATGTTCAACAAAATTATCATTTTAATTTACTTTTTTTTGTTATTGTTGTACATATATATATAAATATAAAATAAAGAAAGAAAGAAAGAAAGAATGGAGAATTTAAATAGAGGAGGTTTCACTTTTGACCTTTGCAAGAGGTAAATAGATAGATATAGATATAGATATAGATATATAGACTACTACATTATTTGATTGATGTGAACGAAATATAAGATTACTTACAACTCTCTTTCTTTGAATCACCACCACATCAACCTATATCTATTATATTTATATGTGTGTAGAAATGACTTGATTGAAAAGACAGGATTAAAGATGAAAGGATTTTTAAAGACTGGTACAACCATTGTTGGTGTTGTATATAAAGATGGTGTTGTTTTGGGTGCTGATACACGTGCTACTGAAGGTCCAATCGTAGCAGACAAGAATTGCGAAAAGATACACTATATTGCAGACAATATCTATTGTTGTGGTGCTGGTACTGCCGCCGACACTGAAAACACCACCAACTTGATCAGCTCTAAACTTAAACTTCATCAACTCGCAACGGGCAAGCAACCACGTGTCATCACTGCACTCACCATGCTCAAGCAAATGCTCTTCAAATACCAAGGACACGTCTCTGCCGCCCTCATTCTCGGTGGTGTCGATGTCATCGGTGGTGTTGTCACTCCATCACTCTTTACCATCCATCCACACGGATCTACCGATCAATTACCATACGTAACCATGGGTTCTGGTTCACTTGCTGCTATGGCAATCTTTGAAGCTTTCTATAAAAAAGATATGACTGTAAGATTCTTTAAACACGCAATCAAATATTTGTATCATCATAACATCAAACTAATCATCATTTTTTATGTTTAATTTATAGAAATTAGAAGCAATGACATTGGTAGCTGATGCAATCAAGAGTGGTATTTTCAATGATTTGGGTAGTGGTAGCAATGTAGATGTTACTGTCATTTCACAAGAGGGTGTTGAGATCCATCGTGGATACGAGAAGCCAAATGAACGTAAATACAGATCGAATCCATACAATTTCAAGAAGGGTACTGCTCCAGTTCTCAGTACAAGCACTTTAGAACCATTAGGATCACGTATAATTATTGAAGATGTTACAATGGAAGGTTAAAGAAAACAACACAACATAAATATAGGAATATAAGGATAAATCGATGTATAAAAAACAAAAAAAACAATTATAATGATCAAAATTGTAATTAAAATTCCAACAACAATAATCAATAGCTACAACAATAACTACAACTAAAACTAAAACTAAATAAATTAAAAAGGTGATTAATTAAAATCAAATCACTTTAAAAATATACTCACCAAAAAAAGAATAAATTTAAAAAAAAAGACGAACGAACCGAACCGCATTATTCGATTAATCAACGAAAAAAAAGCGGGATTGTCTTAAATTAAACTATACACATAAATATAATATATATATATATATATATATACAAATACAATACAAGAAATGAATAAAGAAATAGAAGAATTTTTAAAGGTATGACGAATAAAGAAGAATCAAGAATCAAGAATGATTCAGATGATCAATTAGTTTATTGACCCGCTCTATTCTCTTTAAAGCAAAATAAAAGCTTTGTATATAACAAAGAAACAAATAGAATAAAATGTGAAGTAACTAATCATGAGATGATGCCAAAGATCGAACAATTAAAGCAACACTTGACATCAAAGAAATATAAAATGACAATTGCATATACCTTTGATTACACTAAATATGAACCATATATCATTCAATCAAGAAATAACGAGTATGTATAGAGAGAGAGAAGATAGAAAGATAGAGGAGGAGGGGGAGGAGGAGGAGGAGGAGGAGGAGGATCCAGGTTGTCTAACACTCAATTTTGGTAACTATAGAAAAAAGTTATTTTGTAAATTGACAGATCAAGCTTTAAACAAAATTCCAGAAGAGGTTGAACGTCACATCAATGGAAAGAAATATCAAGATGCTTTGAAATCAAAGCAAGTCGTTGCTACCAAGAGAAAGCGTGACGATGACGATGATGATCTCGAGGCAGATGCCAGTGGAGAAAAGGACAACGATATTGTATTCTTTGGTAGTGACGACGAACAAGAAAAGACAAAGGAAAAGGTTGTGGAATTTGAAGAAAAGGAGGAAAAGGATGATGATGATGAAAGTGAAGACGATGATGATGAAGAAGACGACGAAGATCAAGACAAAGATGATTCTTTTGAAGCTTTTGCTGATGAAGATGATGATGATGAAGTTGAATCTGAAGGAGATGACTCTGATGACTCTGATGATTCATCTGAAGACCAAGAATCTCAAGATTCATCAGATGAATCTGAAGAAGAGGAATCAGAGGAAGAAGAAAAGCCAAAACCATCAGCCAAACAACAATCAAAGCCACAACCACCAGCCAAACAGCAATCAAAACCACAACCACCAGCCAAACAACAATCAAAGCCACAACCACCAGCCAAACAATCAAAACAAGAAGCACCAGTTAAACAACAAATAAAGAAATCCAGGAAGTAGGTGATACCCACTAGTATATATATATATTTAATCTTAGTTACAATTAAAATGGGGCCCTCATTTCCATTTGGAAAATGTTGGTCAATTAGATAGAATCGTTTATTATTAAATTTATCGGTCTCTATCTCTATCATTGTATCTTCTACTACTGCTACTGTTACTACCATGATCGTTTCTATCTCTATCTCTATTTCTATTTCTATCTTGATCATCGTATCTACGGTATTCTCTATTGTCCCTATCTCTATTATTATTGTCTCTGTCACCATATCTCCTTCCGCTGTCTCTGTCATTGTCTCTTCTATCATCATTATCTCTTCGATTATCGTATCTTCCACCGTCTCTATTATCTCTTCTATCATTGTTGTCTCTTCGATCATTGTTATCTCTTCGATCATAATCTCTTCTATCATCTCTTCTATCATTGTCTCTTCTGTCATTATCTCTTCTATCATTGTCTCTATTATCAAACTTTTGTTTCTTTTTTGATCTATCATCTTGTTCTTTATCATCGAAAACAAAATCATAACCTTTGGTGCCAGTTGGTTGATGATGATTTGGATGTACCATTGCACTATTTACTCTTTTTCCACCTTGAAGGAAGTTTGCAGCTCCATTACCATACATGTGTTTAATTTTAGCAATGGATTGACAAAAGTCTACATGTATTCTACGTTCATCGATAAAAGTATTTTCCATCTTTTTGTAGGCGTTTTCACATTGTTCCTTTGACTCGTATTCAATGAAACCATAGCAAAGACTCTCGCCAGAGACAGGATCCTTTATGATTTCACAACTCTTTACAACACCACATTTACTAAATGCCAATTCCAAATCCTCAGATTCCGTATCTGGGTTCAATTTACAAACAAACAATACATTTTCTGGTGGTTTAACATTGGCCTGTGGCAAAACTCCCAACATTTCCAACAACTCTGATCTACCACGAGCACTCTTTTCATCCATCATCTCATCAATCTCTTCTTTACTTTTTCCTTTTGTTTCTTGATCTATATCTTCATCTGCTTCAAATCGTGTCTTTTATAAATAAAATAAAATAAAGGTTGTTGTTAACATCATCATCATCATAATGAGAACGTCAATTACAATTAGTTTAACATACATCATTTTCATCTTTTTTAAATTTAGGAGATTGATCTGGTATTTCCATTGTTGGGAAATCAGGGAATGGATCATCTAGAATAATAGTATGTAGTATTCTTATATTCTTTAGAGGTCTTTCTTTTTCATCGACAAAGCAATTATTAATCTCATTCAATATATCCAATCCTTCAGTTACTTGACCAAATATTGTATGTTTATCATTTAAATAATTGATATTTGATCTTGTTGTTATATAAAACTTTAATAGTTTGAATAATAATGTAAATGATTAGTAAGATTCAAAATACAAAGAATAGTAATAGTGATATATTAATGTTTATATACAAACTCTTGAAGCATTTAAATTCTTTCCATTATTTGCCATTGCAACGGTACCAATATTATGATGAGTTAGTTTTGGAGTGATCTCATCTTTGAAGTGATTTGCTTCTTGACCAAACAATAGACCATAGATACTCTCACCACCTGTACCACTGTTTGTAGGATCACCAGTCTCTACCAAAAAGTCTTTTTGAACATTGTAGAATAGACAATTGTTATAGTATTTGATTTTACATACTAAATATAAATATAAATATAGTTAGTCATCTACCTATAGGTATATAGTACATCTCTCTCTCTATCATATGAACATACATTTTAAAAAGTTCTTTGTTGTTACAGGACATTCATCAGTATATAGATCAATGACGATATCTCCTAGAGTAGTTTCTATCAATATACTCATCTATTATAACCTGTAACCTTAATATATTATACTCTACTTGTGATACAAATAGATCGAGAATGAAGATGAATAAGTTGATTAAATTAATGCAATGAAAAAGTCATCGACTCGAAGAGTAGTTCTGCAGATTAAATTATTGTTTGTTAATGTTTCAAATAGATAAGAAATGAGTAATAGTAATAATAAGAATAATAGTGCAGGTGATAAACCTAAATTAACTCTTTGGCAAAGATGGAAGGTTTGTTGAAACAAACAAATGTTGTGAAAGATAGATAGAATTGAAAGTTTCTAATTGTACAATTCCGATGTTTGTTGGTGATGAATGATACAACATATATTGTGTATATATATATATAGATGGTACCACCTAAAACAAGAATATATATATCATTTGGAATGTTGGTATTATCAAGTGTAGGACTATCGATTGAACTATTATTAAAAGATGAAGATAGCCCACTAAGAAATACGTTCAACCGTAAAGATACAACCTATATAACAATCGATTACACAAAACCAAAAGATCAAAGAGTAACAAAGATTAGAAATGGTATGGTTGTTCAAGGTAATGGTACTATAGAAGATAGTACTCCACCTCCATCTAGATTCTCTTCATTTTTGGATCAAAAAATAAAAGAAAAAGAACAACTAGAACTAGAACAACAACAACAACAACAACAACAACAATCATCCATAGATAATAAAAAGGAAATGTAATGTAAATATAAATAATAATAATAATAATAATAATAATGTAATATATGGTATGGTGGATAGATTTGGATTTAAAATTAATAATTATGATTATATGATTTATATACATTAATTTATTATTTTAATATATAGGTAAGGTGTGGTGTGTTGACTATTATTATATTATTATATACTATTTGGACCATCTTCTTCTTCTTTACTACTTGACATACTTTTACTATTACTACTATTACTATTACTATCATTGTTACTATTCTTGTTATTACTATTATCTTTGTTACCATTACTACTGCTACTACTACTACTACTACTGCTATTACTACTACTACTACTATTACTACGAGTAGTTGTACTTCTTCTTCCAGAACTTTTATCTGTACGACTAACTATTTTAAACCTTCCATCTTGTTTGGTAATATAGAATTTACGATTGATCATGATAATGGATGCAAAGAGAGTGACCAATACAAAACATGGAACTGCAATGACGACGGGCAGCAACCAACCCTTTTTGGGAACAACGTTGACTCCGTCAAAGATGCCACCGCCTCGTCCAAGGACACAGTCCTCGGCACCCAAGGAATTGCTTGTGAGTAGGACGGACACGTCTGGATCAAACTCACACGTGTGTATAAAGTGCGGCAGATGAAGGCCAATATAGACACCGTCATTTGAGGAGTTGATAACAGAGGTGCGAGTGTACCCAATGACACCGTCCATGATGGCGCGGTCATTGAAACGAGAGTAAAAGTCGACGCCGTGATAGTGCACCGTCATGTACCTGAGACCATTAAAGTCGTCATAGGCGGGTAGGACAAGAGTATCGCCCGATATCAGTGAGCACTCATTTGTTTCACCTGGCTCGAGCACGAACGACAGTTGGGCACGATAGACGACACGTATCGTATTGACCGACGACAAAAAGTCCCAGCCATTGATTTTGGCCCACACCTTGATGGTGTCTGGTTCATAGCCGGTTTCGACGTCTGCAAACTTGACCTTTTTATACTTGTTAAATGTTGTAAAGGTTGCATTGATCGAAACATATGGTTCGAGATAGGTTGCATAGTGGATATCTTCCTCTCCCGCGACGATTGGCGTCCACGAGTTGACCAGGTGCTCCCGCAAGACTACGCCGTCCAAGTCGACCTCTTGGAAGCTTACAAGGGTGAGATCCAAGCCGATATTGTCGACATAGACAGTGACGGTGAGCGGATGACCGACCTGTGAAAACTTGTGTTTCACCTGGGGCAGCCTGTTGCCTCGGGTCGACTCGAGACTGACCTCGCACGACGCTCCGTTGCAGCCAGGGTCACATACGCAGATACCGCTGCCGCATGTACCATTAGTCCCGCATCCTTGCTCGCACACCCAAGTATATTTATCAAACTGGCCGACAAACAGTAGCCCGGTCGACACGTGCTCATAGCCATCGATGCTAACCATCACCTGCTTGGGACCCTGTGATTCCATGGGCCCGAGATAGCACGTTAAAAAGTTGGATTCTTGTGTCTTGTTGGTCGCCGATACAATGGTTAGGACTGGGTTGGCGCAGGTGACATTGGCCACCTGCACCTTCATTTTGCTGGGCGGGTCTGGGATACCGCGAAAGGCCACCAAAAGAGGGTCGTTTAAAAACTTGGGGTCTTCCACTTTACCCAATGTGCCATCGTACTGGTTGTTGTAGTATATGGTCGACATAGGTTTGGAGATAAAGTTTCCAAAGAGCGTCACCATCCCTCCGCTAATGGACACGGGACTGACACCCGACACAATCGGGTACGTGTTTGCGTATCGGATCCAAGTCACCACCCGCTTGACCTCGGCCGACACTACGAGTAGCGGTACCACCCCCTGTTTTATAAGACCTTCCACAGAACACACATACGAAGAGGACGATCCATTAAACCATCCGCTGTGAAGTATTGTACAGTTATAATCATCTATATAAAATGTTGGATCTTCGTAAAATGTTCCATTGATTGTAAAATTTATATAAAATTCATATTGTTGGTAATCCACAGAGTTTATCACTGATTCTAAAAATAAAGAAATTGACAAAAAATATTTTAATTTTCGTTTCCAGATTGTCAAACAGGTTCTTTGTTGTTATTATTGTTGTTGTTGTCCTGAAACTTACTCCTGATATTGTTGCATGATACTAGATCAATGTTTGTATAAACTATAAACAATATAAATAAAACGGTGACGGGTAGTTTTTGGACGGATGAGTGATAAAGATTGATTTTTGATAATATTATCCTAAACATTATCTGATCATTTAATAATATAATATATATTGGATGCTAAGCTAGAGAGTAGTGGGAGAGATAGAAATAATAATAATAATAATAATAAAAAGGTAGAATTGTTGGATTTATCGCATTAAAACATTGTACTAAAAGATCATTAAAACAAACAAAAAAAAAAAAGAGGAAGAGTTTGTTTTTTTTTTTTTCTTTCTTTTTGTTATTGCTCTCAATGTTGTTGTTTACAAGTATGGAATTTAGGTGTTGATGAGAGAGGGATGGAGGGAGGGAGGGAGTGAGTGATAGAGATAAAAATAATAAATATCAATAAAATAATATATTTATAAAAAAATATGGAATTGATTCAAATCACAATAGAGAGTGAGCGTGAGAGACAGAGAGGTGGAGTGGATAGGATTATCAAAGTAGTTGATTGATACGATAAGGAAAGGAGAAAAACAACAACAACAACTATCAAAAATATCATCACTACCTACTCGCCACATCAGCAATAGATTATGTATACATAGACATAATAGGATATTGTAGTTGGATGGATGTATGTGGGTAGGTAGGTAGGGGGTGTCGTAAAACAGAAAATATAGAAAGATATGATTCGACCCCCACCCACCTCTATATTGCGAGTGATTGTCCATGGAATCTCGATGCATTTGTCTCTCACTCTTGATTTGGTTTGGCCTGTTTCCTCCTCTTCCACTGTTTTTCGTATAATCATTATTTTTGGTGGTAATGTATTTGATACATTGCAATTTACATGTTATTTATTTTTTATAGGTTGTGTTTGTTTCTTGACTGTTATTTTTTTTTAATGATTGATGGTGATGACTATTATTAATATTGTGATGGGTGTTGTGGAAATTTGAAATTAATTCATTTTGTTGGTTTGGTTTGGTTTGATTTGGTTGGGGTTAGTTCGTTATGTTCTATTCTTGTTCTATTATTGTATATTTTATATATATATGCGTGGGTGTGTTTAAATATAATATTTGTAGTAAGGACTGACGAACTGTCGGACGGACGGACGACCATCAGTGATTATATTTTTAATGCCTATTGTCAATTCTATCTCTATCTCTCTATCTCTCTATCTCTCTATCTCTTTATCTATCTATGTCTCTGCCAGCCAACCTGATCTATTTTTTCATTTGCATTTTACGAAATCCGACTAATCGTGGATTGTCCTTGTCCCTACCCCATATATAAATGTATATAAATGTATATAAAAGGACATGGATGGGCAAATTAATTAATTGATTAATTAATGAATCAGGACGATCTGACCAGGGTGGCCGGGGATGACAATTGATTGATCGATTTAAATCAATAGAGATTGAATAACGGAAAACATGATACATGATAACACTGTCAACGAAGACAATGAAGTCACTGGATCACTAAATAATTGACCTAATTACATGTGTGTCAAAGAGAGTGATTTGATTTGATTTGATTGGTTATTATTATCTTGTTATACTTTGGGTATATATTTAATTTAATTTAAAAAAAACATACCAAAAAGATGATTTAAATGTTTGATAGGTGATCCATAGATCATACGGAACAAACATGCTACGAAAACGATACTGTACAATACACACAATAGTATACGATGGAATAAAGGAAATGATTGAAATATGCCAACGATCCACATTGCAACATAGTAGATGAAATAGAGTACATGTAAAGATCCATCTTTTGTTAGATGTATTAATTTTAAATATGGTGTCATTGTTTTATCTATCTATCTCTTTCTCTCTTTCTCTCTTTCTCTATCTATATTTGTGTGTAGAAGGAAGTAGTTTTTAAAAAATGGTTACCAAGGTGTTTGTTTTTGTGCTAAAGGTGAACATGAACAGGTTGTTTGCTCTTTCATGTTGTGAGTTGTTTCGAAATTTACAAATCATCCAAAGATATTAGGGTAAGATCATGATTGTTACGAATAATCAACAACATCTTCACTTCACAAAAGCAGCATACAGAATTAATTTAATATTATTAATTTTCAAAATTTTTTTATTATCTCTTTTGGTCGTCGTCGCATCATACTCCCATAGGAAGATTGAACATCCCAAATGTAATTTAATTTAATTTTTATATTTATTAATTATAAAAAAGATAAATAAAATATATATAATATGAAGATCAGTGGAAAGGTAAGAAATAGACATGTCTGTCAATATTGAATATACACTACTACCTACTATCATGATACTTACTTAGTAGACCATTTAATCTTATTTTTAAAAGACATTTATTGTTACAGGAGGATCGAGTGGATTAGGAGAAGCAACAGTCAGAAGTTTACATGAAAGAGGTGCAAATGTTGTTATCTTTGATGTCAATAATGCACCAGAGTTGGAAAAGGAGTTGGGTACGGATAGATTACAAGTCTGTACAACTGATATTACAACTGAACAATCAGTCAGAGATTCATTGTCGATTGCCGTAAAGAAGTTTGGAAAGATTCATGGTGCAATCAATTGTGCTGGTATTGCTGTTGCTATGAAAGTATGAATCATATGATTATATATGTATATATATATATATATATATATGTAAATGCTAACTGATGTCTGTCTGTTTGTCTGTCTGCCTGTCTGTTTGTTGTGTTTATATATAGGTAATAAGTAATAGAGGTGTCTTCCCATTAGATGTATTTTCAAGAGTATTGAATATCAATGTCAGTGGTACATTTAATGTAATTAGATTGGCAGCAGAGATTATCAACAAACAAGAGATGGTCGATGGTGAAAAGGGTGTGTTTATCATGACCGCATCGGCTGCCGCCTTTGAAGGTCAACAAGGTCAATCTGCATACTCTGCCTCTAAATCGGCTGTTGTTGGAATGACACTCCCTTTGGCAAGAGAGTTTGCTCCATTGGGTATGAGAGTTATGACCATTGCTCCTGGTACTTTTGGTAAGAAAGAGAGAGAGAAAGAGAGATTAAGAAAAGAAAGCCAACAAGACTAACACATTTTAACTTTAGCAACTCCAATGTTGTCTGGATTACCAGAAGCTGCTACCAAAGCAATTTTATCGACCATTCCATTCCCAAATAGATTTGGTCAAGGATCAGAGTTTGCAGCTCTCTGTATTCATATTATCGAAAATCAATATTTAAATGGTGAAACAATTCGTTTGGATGGTGCACTTCGTTTGGCTAAACTTTAAACATACATACATTCATTTTCTGTACAGAAAAACAATGGTAAAGAAAGAAAGATAATCAATCACACAATCAACCAACAAACACATATTTATATAATTATTATTCAATCCTATTTTTAATTTTATTTTGTTTTTGTTGTTGTTGTTGTTGTTTGAATAATAATAATAAATCATGTAATATATTTAAAATACTATTTTTCATCATCATCATCACCAAAAAAATGATTATTAGTCATCATCATCATGGTCGATTATAAATTATCAATCATCAAAAAACAAAACATTTTAATTTTTTAACCGTTGTTTATTATCCATAAATAATATGTGTTGTGTCAAAAAAATATCTATATATATATAATAACCACAAAACAATTGCAATGGAAAGAGAGGGTTGTGGAAAAAAAGAGATATTTTTTAATCTACAATTAAAAAAACAATTATTTTTATGTTTTTTTTGTGGGAATTATTATTACTATTATTATTATTATTATTACAGTGTATATGTATACAAATTTAAAGTTACAATCTACCAAAGCACAGACATTGGTTGTCGTCGAATAATTCCAAGTAGGCCTACTACCACTGCACACACCAGTAATAATTATTATTCGTCGTGCCATTATGTTTTGTTTTTATTGTTTAATAATATTATCTTTTACAATCTTTTACACAAATAGTACTATAAAGGACCTTTTCATTTTTCAACCAGTACTCTGTCTGTTTTTTTTATGCACAGATTCTGTCGATTCAAATGTCGACAAAAGATAGTATGGATTGCTCTGGAAAACGATATCGTTATCTTGCTCATGGCTGCTCTACACCACCCCATCACCGCACCAATACCTACCACTTTGTTGGTGGTGGTAGGTTTACCATTTACAATGAACTCATAGTGAAGCTATGGTAGCAACATAAATGTGAATTATCAACAATAACACAAATAATAATAATAATAATAATAATGGGAATGGGAATGTGATTTGTTTGTCCACAATACAATATATATTGTGTTGTCAAGTTTGTTCACCATACTATCGTCACACAGAACTGAAAGTTGCCGTCACAACAACATACCACTACCAATACTACTCTACTACTATTAAAATTTAATAATGGTAACGGTAACAACAAGAAGAGAAACAAAACTTGACTGACAGACGGGCAACAAAGAGAAAAATCCAACAAGTAGATAATAAGATTAAAACTTTATTTGTTTTTTATTAAACCAGTTTCTTTCTTTTCCTGTTTGACAATATTATTGTTCCCCAAATCTTTTTAAACATTTAAACAACAAACAAACAAAAATAGTTAGTAAACTATTATCAATTACCATTTCTAAACTTTTTGATAGATAATCTAGAATATATATATATATAAATATATATTTATAATAATATTATTATTATTTATTTAATCAATCCTCTTTTTAATATTGTAAGTGAATATCTCCACTCCACTACAACAACAACAATAATAATAATATAATAAGAATCATAATAATGAATGACTGAATGATTTTCCTTAACATACACATAAATTGTGGATCACTCTATCTATTTTTAAAATTTGTAAATTGATGGGTCCCAATTACAAATCAAATTTACCAGTCAGTCTCCAAACACTTACACACACACACACACACATCTTCACCACCACCACCTTCAATTTGAAGACACTTCCTACCACTAACCATAAATGTATAAGATGTCTACATCGTTGGATAGATCAGTCGGTCAGTCAGTCAGGCCGGATATTTTGCATTGACTTTATCTGTGTGTTGGTGTGTATTTGTCAAGATTGATCCTCTTTATCGTCCGTCCTTGTCCATCTTTACTTGTTTATTTTGTTGTTGTTTGTGGTCGCATATTGTCAATCACAAGGGTGGGTAGTGGTAGTGACCATCAGATTTGATTCAATTTAAATCAAATCGTCATCATCATCCAAAAGATCAGTTATTGATTGCCAATTTATATGACTTGTATACCAACAACAATAACAATAACAATAACAACAATCGATTGACCAACATATCAGCTATTAATATTAATAATTTGGTTTGGTCTGGTTATTGTTGTTGATGCTACTTAAGGTTGGATCATCATCTTTTATCATCATTAACCTTTTTATAAAAATTGTAATGATCATAAAATAAGGAAGGAAGGTGATAGTGGTTATTGTGATGATGATGATGATGATGATGATTGTCCCTTCAAAAGAAGGAGGAGAAGATAATATCATAAAGCCAGCAAAGGGAGCAGAGTAGAGTAGAGTAGTTGAAACGATCGTGACCGACTGGCTGGTTGAATTTTCTTTAAATACATATGTATATTTTGGTTTATACCCTTTTGCATTCTTTTTAGTTTTTTTTTTTTTTTTCCCATTTTATATATAATTTTAAAAAGACAGAGATCTTTTAAATCATCAAAGTTACCCTTTAAACTTGGTTTGTTACTTTAACTCTGCTTTTTTTATTCACAAAATAATAATAATATAAATATATAGTCTAAGCTTGTGATTTGATAAAAAACATAAAAAAATGTGTGTGTTTTTGATAAAAAAAAGATAAAAATACTTAAAATTTAATGATAATAGATTAAATTTATGATCATAAACTACAAAGGTTCTAATACCCTTCCCTTCCTCCATCTTTTAGAAAGAAAACTTAAACTTTTAGAAATTTATATATTTATATATATATTCATTTGCGCGCAAACTAGTAAGAGATAGTTCTCATTCTTATAGACCATCTTATCATCATCACCATCATTAGATAATCTTTAGCCAAAGATAGTTACTTTATCTGTACATATACATATATATATATAGTTACTACTTGTTTGATATATATCTATCTCTATATATTGTAAGTACAACTATAACAATAATAATAATAATAATAATCAATACTTTTGTTTGTTTAACATAGTTATGCTAGTATGGACAAATAACTGGAAATTTCCAATTCCAATCACCATCATCATCATCATTCATGACATTCATTCACTCATGACAAAGACAGACAACAACATATGTTTTGTTAATATTTAATTAATTAATTAATTATTCATCATTCATTATCCATCCACCGTCCATCGTTTGTTCGTTCGTTCGTTCGTTCATTCATTCTCGTGTTGCAGTTGTTATTGTTGTTGGATTAATTTATTTGTTGGGTAGGGGTTGATGATTTCATTTTTAAAACTACATGTATAACGTTGTGTGTGTTTGGTGGGGGTGAAAAAAAAATCAATTGTGATGGAAAATGGATAGAGGTGACTGCAGACAGATAAAGAGAGATGGGATATTCCATATTTAGGTAACTCTTTATTCATCACGAAAAAAAACAAAATGATGAATGAAAAAATTGGGAAAAGATAATAGATACTATTAAAGCAATCGTCATCAAACAACAACGACTTTGAAAGAGAAGGGAAATTCTCCTTATCTTAATCGTCATCATCATCATCATCATATGATGAATTACCCACCAACACCAAAACACAATCTATCTTTCACATTCCCACCACAATCATCATAATCAATCTCAACCAACCACAATACAATCCATCACTCTCTTTACTACTATGTTTCCGAATCAATCATTTCCTACCAACTTTTTACCACTTGCACCATTTCCATCCAAAAAAAAAAAAGTGGCAAAATTACAAAAAAGTTGGGAAGTTGATTTCCTGAATCAACAAATTATTATTTGGAGTTCACAACATTTTTTTGATACTTTAAAGTATCAAAAAGAGATCAGTTTTTTTGTATATGACAAACCCCCCTCCTCCTCTTCAAAACCGGAATAACAATCTTTCTAAACGAAAACACAAAGATGGAAGGATGTAGTCAACCCAAGTAGTAGTAGTAAACAATCAACAACTACCCCTTTTCGTTTTCATCAACTGTTTTAAAACCTACCACACTCTTTCTGTTTTTTTTTTTGGATTTTTTTTTTTTTTTCTTAACAATAACAGATGGAATTGAATGATGCTGGGGGTGACTTTTCATCATCACGATCCAAATATATACATACTAGTATATATATAAATGGATTAGTTGTACATACATACATACATACATACAAACACACATACTTTTATTGGCACCCCTCTCACATCAATCAACAAAAGTTTGATGGATATTAGTTGGAAATCAATTACATGATTTATTGTATAATGCAGACAGACAGTCAGTCAGTCATTCTGTCAATCGTTCTGTCAGTCAGTCATTCTGTCAGTCAAGACACGGATGGTGGGGTGTGGGTGTGGTGTGCCTGTCCCCTCACCATATGATGCCTAAACACATTCATCGTTTTCAATTTCACTTAAACGTGTATTAGATAAACCATTATCAGTTTGTTGTTACCTACCTACCTACCTACCCTATATCCCCACACACACATATGCATATACATATACACAAAAAATATTTTAATTATGTATCAATCACATCAGTTTGCCTTGGTTTGTAACATCTGTTTACCTCTCCATTCTTCACTACTTTTATGTCTACCTCCCTACACATACACACATTTAATTCATTTAAACTCCAAAATGCATCAAACAGTATGGAAACCATCAATCACGATACTGCTTCCATCCCCACCCCACCACCACCACGTCTGATGCATCAAACGTGTCAAACTTAAAACTCTCAACTTTGATATTTTTTTGAATTCCACTACTTCCAACTCGAGTACTCTTGTTTTTCCAACCTCAACAACACAACATTTACTTGTTCAACAAGCATTGCTTCCTTTTTTCAACTTTAAAACCTATCTATCCAAATTTTTTGTATTTTGTTGTTGCCTTTTTGCCAACAGTGCTTGTATCTACACCAAAAACCTCCTCCTCCTCTTGTGTTCACCCACACACAACAACAAAAATACCAACAGCTCTCTCTCACTCTCTCTCTTTGTTAACCAATATAATTAATCATTCTATAATTCATCAAAGAAATTATCTCTTGCATCATTGGAATACTAAACCACGCTCTAAAAGAGATAGATAGGTGTCCAAGTGGATTCACAATATTCCTTTTATATACATTGAGTAGTATCCAAACTCTGTTATTTGTTGGCAATTAATTTAATTATTTCCATATATACCCACCATTCAATCACTTTGCACACCTGCCACTACCACCCACACCACCTCTTTCTTATTCCTCCACTACTACTTCTCCTGTTGTATTATATTAATATTTTGTTGTTGTTGTTGTTATTTAAACAACATTATATTTACTAATCTATATTTTTAAAAACCAAAGTAGTACTACATCCAATTCTGTTTTGTTTGTTTTTGCTAATCTACTTTTTTTTTTTTTTTTTTTCCTATCTCTTTAAAAGTATTTATTTTCTTGCTTTTGTTGTTACCACCCCCAAAACAACCACCAATCACCACCAACCAACCTGTAACATTACTACTACATTTTTTTGTCAGTCCAGTCAGTCATTATTTTATTTATTAAAAATATCTTTTAGATAGAATTAATTTCGAGATATATATAATTATAAATTAATATAAATATACAATTGTACTCACACCCCATACCATATTCAATCTCTTTCCACCTACTCATTCATTCCAAATGAAACCATCTATCCTCTCGATTGACACCTCTTCTATAAACAATATGTTTAGTATCCCCTCATCATCATCATCGGTGATATCTAACAACCAACAAGCAAACTCGTCTGCCAATACCACTCCCACCGCTCTCTCGGTCTACAACAGTAATCCCTCTACCCCCGTTGGCAACAAGTCCAATTCTCAACAACAACCTACCAGCCCTGAAGCCGATTTGTTTCGAGGTTTTGCCGCAAACATCCATCATCATCAACAACCAAGTAGCAACCACCACCACCAACAACAACAACAAGATCATCATCACCACAACAACAACAACATGTCCAGTAGCAATAATAATAATAGTTATAATACCCAGCAACAGGATCAAAAACTCAAGTGGATGGATCAACCAAACCAAAATACAGGCGCCTTTGACCTGGATTCCAACACTACTGGATATCTTTCCAGTCTGCCCACCCCTACTTCGTCGACCAACGCCCTCCCCATCCTCTCGACCTCTTCGCCATCGGTTCTCAGCGCACCTGCCAAGAAGCGCCAAAGAGACGATGAGATGTCGCCCACCAACAACTCGACCAACGCCACCCCCCTTGTAACATCCTCCTCCAACAATTCATCCTACTCTATGGATTCCTATTTACCAAGAGATGACAAATCGTCTCTCCAATCGTCGTCGTCGGGTGCCTCGGTCACCTCGTTGGACAACACTGTCACGCACGAGCAAGCTTCACAATTGCTCAATTTCACAAACCAGATACAATATCAACAACATCATATCTACAAAGTGGGTGGAAATAATAATAATAATAATAATAATAACAATAATACATTACAACAACAGAAATCACCATCTCAACAATCACCTCCAGTTGTCACTGGATTAAACAAACAACAAACTCCAATTAAATCACCATCTGGATCAGCTACCACCACATCCACTTCATCAGCTAATTTGAAATTACCATCATTTCACCATTTGGAATTGGAAGCTGAAAAGACTAAACAATCCAACAACAACAATAATGACGATTCTGTTAATAGTCCAGGTACACAAAGTAGCATTTCACCATTGCCATCGCCACTACCACAACAACCAGGGCAACAACAGCAGAAAAAGCGAAAGTCTAAACCATCCAAATACTCAATCCCAACTAGTAACACTCTGCCAACAAACGCATTCTCATCGAGTAATACCATGGTTGGTAACTATGCCAGTCCCAACTTGATCACTGGCAACTCTTCCTTTAACACTTTGCCAGCTGCTGGCGACTTTATGCTCAACTACCACAACTCCAACTCGAGTACTCCCAATGCACAGTCGTCTGCCCCTTCTCCGCTCATCGGCACCTACTCTACACAATCGGGATCCTCTACAGACTCTGGTTTGTTGTCGTCACCAACCTCGACACCATACTTTCAACCAAACAATGTACTATATAAAAACAACTCTACCACCACCAACTCGTCTACCTCTGATTTGTCAACTAGCGGCGACTATATTCCCGCCGGAGGCAACAACTCTTCCACTCTTGGTACACTCTCAAATTATTTGATGGGTCAGCAACAACAACAACAGGGAGTTGGTAATCAATCCAATCTCACTCCACATTCACCACCTTATCCATTGGAATTTGGACGTGCTACCAACTCTTTTGTACAAGATGATAATAATATGTTACAACAACATCAACAACAACATCAACAACAACCACAACAACAACAACCAAAACAAACTACATCTTCGTCGTCATCATCAACAACATCATATTACAATTCACTCAAGAGTGGATCAACTACAGCAAAGAGTTTTGGTGATTATAGTGATCATATGTCATCACCTCCTATTGCATCGTCGACTAGTTCACCCTCATCGGCCTACTCTACCTTTATAGGAAATGCGACTGCCTCTGCGCCATACGCCTACTTTGACCTATCACATCACCACGTTACCCAAAAGAAGACCCACAGAAGAAGACCAGCCAACATTGACAAGAGTACTCTGTTTTGTCATACTTGTGGCACCAAATCAACACCTGAGTGGAGGCGTGGACCCGACGGACCTGCCACATTGTGTAATGCTTGTGGTTTGGCATTTGCTAAAAAGCAAAAAGAGGATGAATCCAACTACCAAAAAATGTTAATGTCTCCCTACTCTTACCATCGTGGAATTATGCATGAATCCTATGTCAACCCCTCTCTTTTACCCCTCAATGCTGCAGCTCCACTCCCATACATTAACAATAACAATCATCATCATACCACATCCAACTCTTCTTCCTCTTCCTATTTAACCTTTACGCCATCCACAAACTTTCAACCATTGTCTTCTAAATCTTCAAGTTATAACCAAATGAAATCAACCTCTTCTAATAACAACGCAAACACCTCCAACACTTCCAACAACAACAACAATAATAATAATAATCTTCAAAACACATTCCAGAAATCTTTTTCATATGATAAATTTTAAAATTCAAAATATTTTATTATTTTTTTTTCTCTCTACTACTAAATAGATACACATACAATGTAAAATAAAATATTGATTTTAAAATAATTAAAAATTATTTAATAATTTGATTTGTTTATATATTAATAAATAATTTTATTTCCAGATTGAGAGAGAGTTAAAAAAAAAAGAAAACTCATATGTATGTATGAGAAAAATTGTTGTTGTTGTTGTACCGGCTCTTTTTTTGGTGATTAAAATGTGTTATTACTATTCTTGTTTTGTTGATTGTTAGATTGCCAATTGAGTCATTGGTTCTTCTAAAGTATTTCCAGGATGTTTGTGAATGGTTTCAGTAGTTGTAGTGGTGGTTGCGGTAGAAGTTTGATTATATACAAGGCTTGGTTGATCAGATGAACCGTTGAGTATTATTTCCTCGGTCGATGATAAACTGCTGGTAGTGGTGGTGGTAGTAGTCTCTGAATGGAATTCTTTGATAAAATCGTCATAATTAAAACTGGTTGGATTCTCACCACCTAGATCCTGTTCCATTTGATCCATTGAAATGTAATCGGCAAGATCTGGATAGACACGCTTTCCATTTACCTTTTTAGAATAACAAAACTTTACTTTGGACAATGTAACTTCATTTAAAAATGGTGAAATCACTTTCCATGCAAACCAAAATAATGTTGGTGGATCTAAAAACAATGATTGTCCCATTCTCTCTGGACAGTGATCTAATAATAAATGCATACTTTCCTATAAAAAGAAATAGAGGAAAAAAATTAGCATATTTATATTTATATCTATATCTTTTTTTTTTTTCTACATACTAGATTTGTATTCATATCTAAATTCTTTCTAGAGAATTCATTATAATCTACAATAAAACAAAATTGTTCAACACCTCTTGATTTATCCATTTGTCTGAAACCATGTTCCAACCAATATACCAAATGTTTGAATTTGTCGGCATTGCTAACACCCTTGACATTGTCTCTTCTTGGTCTTGCCATCAAGATTGGTCTTCCCTTTAAATCCTTTCCATGAATATACAAACAACCAGTTTTGGCAATATCTGCAACCTCTGTCAACTTTACATCTTGTGGTCTATATTTTTGTCTCCATTCCAAAGTACCTCTTAATAACTAAAGTAGAAGAAGAAGAATAAGGAAATATTAATATCTCTTGGAAGATATTTTCATTTTTTCCCATCGGTTCTCTCTTGTCTTTTTTTTTTTTTTCTTTCGGGTAATCTCCAGAGTTGTCGTCTCTCCTCCCTCAACTTCAAGTTATCGTTGTAAGATAAATTATTACCTTTTCTGATTTTGCAACATTATAATTTCTAGCACGAAGATATCTAAGAAGACACATGTCATCCATCCAAGCTACATCTTCTGGGTCTGTTAAATCTGATAGATTCTCCTTGATCTCTTTGAAAGCTGCCATCTGCTTTTCATTGAGTTTCTTGAATGGGTCAAATACTCCCTCTCCTTTAAGGATAGGAGTTGATACAGTGTCTTCAGCTGTTCCAGATAAAGTTGGTGTTGTTGTCATTTTTGTTTATGTTTTGTTTGGGAATAATATAATAAATATATATTATGTAATATAAGAGATGAATAGAGAGAGAGAGAGAGAGAGAAGAATAAAAAGGAAGAGAAGGAAATAGAGATATTTTGTATGTTGTGAGTAAGAGTGAGAAAGGTGTGGGGGGTGTTTGTGAAAAAGAAATAACAAACTAAAAGTAAAAGTAAAGAAGTAAACAGAATAGAGAGAGGTGCGTTGATTTCTTTGCTTGTGAGGTAGCTTAGGTCTAGTTTCTCTTAAAAAAAATTAAATAACGCAACTGGGGAAGTGAATTAATGATGTTGATGATGTTATCTAGCAAGTGAGTGTCATCATGTTGATGATGTTGGTGATGAAAAAAATGTTCGATTTCTTTTTTTGTTTGCTGAAGTAATCGCGGCGTCGATTTCTTTTTTCAAATGAATGGGTGTGGTGATTTTTTTTTTGTCAAGAAATCGGTGAGTAGAAAGAAAAGTGTTGTGCTATAGTGTTGTGGGGGTGAACAGGATACTTGTTGGATTTATCTTATTTTTACTCTCAATAAACAAATTCATTCATTCATTCATTCAATTACATTCTATCAACCCAATCCATCTTTATCTTAATTATTATTAATTAAAAAAAAGAATCATCTAAAATCGATTTATCTTTTTTTCATTTTAAAAAAAAAACAATTTGCTTCTTTTTTGATAGATTTAAAAAAAAGAAATCTAAAAGTATTTTTACAATTTTTTATTTTATTTTTGAAATTCCTCAAATGTCATGAGATATCGATCTTTGGTGCCAACAATGGACATCCAACAACAAACAAGACTTCCTCATAGGGACGTGCACTTTACCTTTTAAAAATCGAAAGGTCATTATTGTTTTTCATTCACTTTGCAAAGAACTTGTTAAAAATCTTGATATTCAAAAAGAGTGAAGGTTGGTTGTGAATGTTTATTTAATTGTTTAAGAAAATGATACTAACTAAACATGCAATTCCAAACATTGACAAGGCAGCAACACCAAGAGAACGAGCTTCTTTTGATGGTGATCTAAGAAAAGCAAATCCTCCAGCCCATAATGGGAATGCTATACTATAAATGAATAAAATGGATGTTAGATAAAAGAGAAATAATAATTATTAAAAATAACTATACATACAGTCCAAAACAAAATATTAGAATGGCATTTATACGATCTTTGTTAATTTTTTCTTGGGTTCTAGCTATTTTAGCAGACTCCATCATTTTTATTTGGTTGTAGAGAAATTGTACATCAACAAGATGTTCTTTCATTGGTTCAACTGGAAGATGAACAATTATTGGTTGATTTGGATCCATCATCATATTTTGACGAGATGGATCAAATGGTAAACTACCATTATTATTACTATTATTATTATCTTGAACTCCCATTTTCTAAAGAAAGAATATAATTAATTTAAAGATATTATGAATTTAATAATATTTTTATTGTATTATTATTATGGTTCTCCTTTCTTTTTAAGCATAAGGTGTTGAATCTTGAAATATTATTGAATTTCAAGGATTGTTGTGGAAATTGTGAAAAGGTGAATTTCACCACCCCCGAAAGTTGATACAAAATTCCATTATTCTTTTTACTCTTTTAAAACCCAAATCGGAATTTTAAAATATTATTTTGTTTTACCTATACGATACACTGTATCATATCTTTTTAATGTTAAATCGAAAAAATAATACAACAAATCAAAAATGGTATAGAGGATGGTTTAGTATGTTTTTCATCAATGTGTGGGTGAATATAATACATGTACAAACAAACCCCAACCCAAAAAGAAATCATCAAAAAAAAACGATAATGCGTATAATGGAATATAAATAAAATCCACACACACACAGTCATCATTTTTCTATTATTATCAACAACACAAATGGACAATCAAATCAATAATGAAATCAATAATACCAATTATCAATGGGAAAATTATCATCATTCTTTTCATCACTTAATCAATCAAAAATTTTAATTTATATATATAAATGATTTATATATGAATCATAATACCTAGAAACATATAAATTTATTTAAACAAAAGAATTGAATCTTGGTTATTATAAATAATGGATATAAATATTGAAATTAAAAATGGAATAGATAATAATAATGATAATAATACCAATAATAATTTAAAAGAATTAACAAATGATCAATATTATATGGATGAACAAGAGAATAAAATAATAATATGTTTTAGTAAAAATAATGATAATAGTAAAAGTGAAACAGATGAATTGGAAATACAAAAAAAGAAAGAAGAATTTGTTTCCATGGTTATATTTGGTTTTGGATTTTTCTTTTTTCCTGTATTTCTTTTTGCAGTTTGGTATATTCGATCAAGATCAAAGTTTGCAAGAACCTTATCATTCTTTAGTTTATCAATTTTTTTGATTTTATCATTTACATTGATTGGATCAGCAATCTATTTTCTATCAGTACCTTCTGCAAAAAATCATCATTCTGCAAGGAAAAAAGATAGTGATGGTTATTAATAAAAAGTAAAAAAAATATTTATTCATTAAATTTAGTTGTTTGGAACCAAATATTTATTACCACCTTCTTCAACAACATGAGCCAAACGATTTAATAAACTTGAAAATAATTTCTTTGATTCGTTGGTTTTGAGATGTTGTTTAAAGATTTGAATGAAATCGATTGTTTTGATCTTTTTTCTTTCTGCTAGTACACGTCTCATTGCTACTTCTGTGAGTTCATCTACGGCACCTGAAGCTGTTGGTGGTGAATTTGGTGGTGAATTGGATGGTGAAGTTGGTTCTTGTTTTACCTTTTTCACTACCTTGCTAGCGGCAGAGGCAGCGGCAGTAGCCGTTGCAGTATTGGGACTGGTTGGAGAGGATGTTTCCTTTCTTTTACCAGTTGCTTTGGATTCACCTGGTGGTGATCCAATCTTTTTGGTACCATTGTTGGTTGGTGTACTGGCAGCAGCCTTTTTAGAAGACTTTTTGGGTGCTGGTGTACTAATGGTTGTAGTTTGTGATGGTGATGGTGGATTGGAAGTATGTGGTGATGATTTGTTATTGTCCTTGTCTGCTGCTGTAGTGACATTACGAGGATACCGACCAATCAATTGTGCCTTGGTAAGTGTGAAATCGTCTTCATCGGGATCCTCATCGTCATCGTCGTCATCGTCGGGTGCAGACTCTTCATCTTCATCGCTGTCTTCTTGTTTGACCTTCATATTGTTGATGAGCTTTTTCATCTCGAGACCAGTGGCAGTCAGGTTGCTGTCATCTTCCTCTTCGTCTTCGAGTGGTCCGTCGTCGGCCATGAGGTCATTATCCTCAAATGCCTCGTCATCATCGTCGAATCGTCCTTCAAAGTCGGGTGCATCTTCGTCTTCACCGCCGCCACCTTCCTCGTCATTGGAGCGGTTTCGGCGACGTTGTTGTTGCAGCTGTTGTTGCTTCTTTTTCTCGTCGGCGGCAGTGCCCGTCTGGTACTCTTTGAAGCGATCCTCGTCTTCGTACATTTCCTTGCGGTACTCTTTGTCTTCGTCCTTTTTGTCGCCGCTTGGCCCGGCCACACCATCACCACCCTCGGCACCCGGGGCAGCACCCTTTTTCGATATTCTAGCCACGGCTGCGTCTCTGTCACGCGCATTCTTGGACATGATCTCCTCGGCCTCTTCGGTCGTGTATGCTTCAATGTCTTTGCGCAGTCTAAATGTGTACCAGTCGGTGCAAGGCACAGCCGTGATGGTATTGTTGCTCGTAAACATAAACAAAAAGTAGGACGACGACTGGTTACCCTCGATCATGCCTTGAAAGGCGTGGCTGCCCTCACTGTCTTCAAGACGCCAAGGAATCGTCTTTGGATTGACCATCTTTGGTCTTGCCTCTGCTCTCTTTTTCGTTCTCATTGGAGCTACAATGGCTGGTGCTCCATTGGCAGAGGATGTTGTAGAGGTTGTCGATGTTGTTGTGGTTCCAATAGTTTCTGTCTTTACCAAATTATTTGATTTGTTGTCTGTTCCATTGTTGTTGGTCTCTGTCTTTACCGCATTATCAGAACCATCGTTTGTATCATTTTTTGTATTCTTGTACATCTTTACAGGTTTGACAAAGTCATTAAAGTCAACCTTTGATGTAAACTTTGCTATATTCCATGTTTTGGTTGTATTTGATAAATAAATTGGATATACTGTACTATTTATATCTGTTGTTGTAGTAGTAGAAGAAGAAGTATTGTTGGTTGTTGAAGTTGATGAAGTTGAAGTTTCATCTTCTTTTTTTATATTATTATTATTATTATTATTATACATGTTTTTTTAAACTAAAAAAATAATGAAAAGGAGGAGGTGATTAAGATATATTGTTTATTAAAAAGATAATAGACGACTTACAATTTTTATATTATATAAAGTCTATGATGGAAAAAAAAAAAAAGAAATATATATAAAAATACTATTCTCGATCTGCCTCTTTTGTAGAAATAGAATAGTTGATTCAAGTTGTGTAATAGTAGTAAGGTAAATGTTCTAATCTAAACTATTATTATCTCAGAGATAGAAATAAATAAAAACAAAAAGAGTTATCTATTTCTATTTGATTCAAAAAACAAAAAAAGAAATGAATCAAGAGTGGAGAAACTTCTTTTTATCAACATTTTTTTTTTAAAAAACAAATAATAATTAATTAATTTCAAAAAGAGAGAGAACTCAGTTTCAGCTGATCAAAAGATCGCAAAGATATAAATAACAATAGAACTATAGTACTCGAGAGAGAAATGAAAGAAATAAAGAAATCTAAAAAGATAATTGAAGGTGAAGATAGTGAAGATGAAGATGATTATGATGAAGATGACTACAACAACAACATTAAAGATGAAAAGAAAAAGAAACAAGAAGAACAACAACAACAAATAAATATAAAACAACCTGAAAATGTAAATAATAATAATAATAATAATAATAATAATGTAATATACAACAATGAATCAACATCAACAATTCAATCTTTAAATACGACTTTAAATACATCAATAACCACTACAACACCAATCATTGTTGATGATTCTACGAATATTACATATACTTTGGAATCTCCTCCTCCTCCTCATCCTTCTTCTTCTTCTATTACAACTACTACGACTAAAATAGTATCATCACCTACACTATTACAATTTCAAAAACCATCTCAATCATCTCAAACAAGAACACCGTAAGTATAATATATATATACATATATTTATAATCAACATGTATAAAGAGTTATAACTGACGACAATTTATGTTATTAGTTTAAGTCTTGGAGAAGGTCAACTTAAACAAATGAATGAAACTCTTAGAAAAACATTGGTATCAAAGAGTCATTCAGTATTTTCATCGATCAACAAGGAATTGATTTATACAAACAATAATTTGACATCTGTCTTGGATATTACAAAATCAATTCAACAAAATATTAGATCATTTAACGATGATATAATGACACTGACTGAAAAATTGGAACAAACTGAATGGTCTCTACAATGTTAACAAAGCGAAATAAAACAACAATATTGTTGTGGAAAAAAAAAAATCAATCAACAAACCAATTATGGATATACACTTTTTAAATCGATATATCTTTATTTGGTACAACAATGTGAAATTTAACCAAATTTGGAAAAAATATTTATTTTCACTTTTTATTTTATTTTTTTTTAAAAAGTATTTTTCCAATTTGGAGTGGAAATCTAGATCCATATTATAATATTTTATAAATAACATTTAAAAGGATAATAGTTTATTTTAAAAATAGTTTATAGTTTAATTTCATATAGATAATTAATAATTTACATAATTAAAAAAATGGTATTAGATAATAATAAAGCAACTGTAGAGGATCGTAAGGTTAAAATTACGGTAGATGAAACCGATCCAAACAAGGTTACCACAACAAAGACTACTACAACCACCACAACCTCTGCTACCGATGGTGCACCACCACTACCACCAAGAACATCTACTTCAACTTCACCTAAACTAAAGGAAGAGGTCAAAGAAGGAACCGAACAATTAAAGGAAGACGCCTCTGTCGCTGGAGAAAAGACTAAAGAATGGTTCAAGGAAGCTGGTAGAACCATCGCTGAAGATATCAAGGAAGGTTATCTAGACATCAAGAGAGATCTCAGAAAGCTTGGTGATAATGCTAGCACTGGTAGACGTGGAGATTATCATTAAATAAATCATCCTTTTTCTAAACAAATTATTAAATATTCTTTAAACATTTAAATTTCCAAATGAATATTATTTGTACAACTAGATTATTTTTTAACAAAACCCTATTCTTATACTATATAATTAAAGAATTATTTATTGTCGTAGGAAAAACAAGTATGATTATGAAATTCTGATAAATTTTTAATATCTTTTTAATAAAGGGGACTAGGAGGGTTCATTTACAAGCATATTTTTGGTAAAATTACATGAGTTGGAATCAAAGTAATGCTTTTATTAATAAAATAACAGCTCAAAAAATAAAAGAGGACTAAAAAGGTTCTATAAAGTGTCTAGTATAATACAATATTATTTAAATTGGTTATAATTTATGTTTATACTACATATGCATCAAATAAAAGGTTCTTTCTGCAAGTAAAAAAATTGAAAAAACGAAAAAGGTACAAATTTTTTGTTTTATTTTTTGGGGCATCCAAAAATGCTTGGATAGCTCAGCTGGCAGAGCGTAGGTCTCATAATCCTAAGGTCGGGAGTTCAATCCTCCCTTCAGGCAGATTTTTCCCTTTTTTCCTTTTTTCCTTTTTTCCTCTCTCTCTCTCTCCTTTCCTTTTTTCCTCTCTCTCTCTCCTTTCCTTTTTTCCTCTCTCTCTCTCTCTCCTTTCCTTTTTTTCCACTCTTTCCTCTCTTTCCTTTTTTCCTTTTTTCCACTCTTTCCTCTCCTTTCCTTTTTTCCTTTTTTCCTCTCTCTCTCTCCTTTCCTTTTTTCCCCTCTCTCTCTCTCTCTCCTTTCCTTTTTTTCCTCTCTCCTCTCCTTTCCTTTTTTCCACTCTTTCCATTCTCCTCTCCCCCTGAAAAAAATCAGGAGTGAGGAAAAATAGGAAACGAGAGCAAAAAAGGAGGAACCAGTTCAAATCGGAACAAATCATGATCAGGACAAAAAGAATTGAAGTTAGCGAGTTAACTTAATAAATAACTATCTAAAGATATAAACATGATAGTTCTTAGAGTAAGATTGTAGTTATAAAGATACATATGATATTAATAAAAAATAAATAAAAAAAAAAAACTGTCTAAAAAAGGACAAAATGCAATATGCATTTTCATTCATATTCATTTGATCAAATCACAAGCAATTAAAAAGATGAAATATAAATTATACATAAAGAATGCAACACAACTAGTAACAGTATCTAAAGACAATAAACCATTCCTTGTTGGTAAAGAGATGAGCAATGTATGATTCAAATAAAAAACATCACAACCTATCTGATGATCATCACTCTTACCTCTTCTTACCTCTCTATCCACACGTAGGTAGAGATTATAGAAAATGGATCATTAATAGTCGATGAAAAAGGAGTGATTGTAGATGTAGGAAAAGAACAAGACATTGGACCCAAGTATAGAGATGCCGAGTTTGAGCGTGTGATAGACGCATCTGGCAAGTCTGTGATACCAGGCTTTGTCGACGGACACACTCACCCCGTATTTGCAGGTGATCGTGTACACGAGTTTGCAATGAAGTTGGCTGGAGCCACCTATCTAGAAGTACAACAAGCCGGAGGAGGTATCACCTTTACCGTCAATCACACTCGTCAAGCTAGTGAAGACGAGCTATTATCGCTACTACAGCCACGTCTAGACCGTATGTTGCGACAAGGTACGACAACAATCGAAGCAAAGAGTGGATATGGTTTGGAAAAGGACACCGAGATGAAGATGCTAAAGGTGTTGCATCGCGCCAACAAGATTCACCCCGTCGAGATTGTATCGACCTATTTGGGTGCACATTCAATTCCAAAGGGATCGACAGCCGCTCAAGCAACTCAAGATATTGTAGAGAACCAGCTTCCAGAGTTGGCACGTCTCAGAGCAGCAGGTGAGATCTCACCCGCCAACATTGACGTTTTTTTGGAAAAGGGATTCTTTGAACTCGACGACACTAGACGTATCCTCGAGGCTGGTAAAGCACTCGGACTAGAGATTAACTTTCACGGCGACGAGCTTAGTTATATGGCATCGGGAGAGTTGGCCGGCGAGCTCAAAGCACGTGCCATCAGTCATTTGGAAAAGGTCAGCGAAGAGGGTATGAAGACCATGGCCGCCACACCAACCTTTGGTGTCCTCCTCCCCACCACTGCCTATGTCCTTCGTCTCGAAGCACCACCCGCACGTCGCATGATCGAATTGGGTGTACCAGTATGTCTTGGATCAGATTTTAATCCAAATGCTCATTGTCTATCAATGCCATTTGTTATGAATCTTGCTTGTGTCTTGATGAAAATGAATATGAATGAATCTTTAATTGCTGCTACTTTAAATTCTGCTGGTAAAAAAATAGAAAGAAAACAAAATAGAAAATAGAAAAAAAAAGAAATATATATATTAATTTTTTAACTTTATTTATTTTAGCATCATTAAATATATCAAATACACATGGATCACTTGAAGTAAACAAATTTGGAGATATGATTGTGATTGATTCACCAAGATGGGAACATATTATCTATGAAATGGTAGATCCTCCCATTTTAAATGTAATTAAAAAGGGTACAGTTGTTTTTAGTAAATAAAAAAGACAAAAATTTAAGAAATCAAACAAATGAATCATATCATTTAATAATATTATTATTTAAAATTACAAAAAAGAATGTTAACATATATATATATATATATATATTTATATGTTCTATTTATTATTAATATTTTTGATTTGATTAATTATATTTATCACCAGCATTTAAATATTCAAAATCCTTTTCAACCATTTCTTTGATTAAATGCTCAAAAGAGGTTTTAGGTTTCCATTTTAGAATTTGTTGAGCTTTGGTTGGATTGCCCAAGAGGATGTCTACTTCGGTTGGACGAAAGTATTTGGGGTCGACCCTAACATAGACTCTGTCGCTGTGTTGGTCATACCCTTCTTCGTTGAGATCTTCTCCACGCCATTTGATAGTGACACCAATCTCTTTGAACGCCTTTTCCGTAAACTCTCTGACCGAGTGTGTCTCACCAGTGGCAATAACGAAATCTTGTGCTTGGTCTTGTTGCAACATCAACCACATTGCCTCTACATAGTCTCTTGCATGACCCCAATCTCTCTTTGCATTCAAATTGCCAAGATACAAGGTGTCGTTTTGACCGGCCTTTATACGTGCCACAAACCGTGTAATCTTTCGAGTGACAAATGTCATACCTCTACGAGGAGACTCGTGGTTGAACAGAATACCGTTGCACGCAAAGATACCGTATGCCTCACGATAGTTTACACATGTCCAGTATGCAAATTGTTTGGCCACTGCGTATGGTGACCGAGGATAGAATGGCGTCGTCTCTGACTGTGGTATCTCCCTTGCCTTGCCATACAGTTCACTCGTAGAGGCCTGATAAAACTTGACTTGTTTCTCCAAATTACACGATCGAATGGCATCTAGCAGACGTAGACACCCTAGAGCATCCACATCAGAAGTATACTCTGCACATTCAAACGATACCTTTACATGACTCTGTGCTCCAAGATTATATACCTCTGTTGGATTAACCTTGTGAACTATACTAACTAAATTGGTTGAATCTGTTAAATCTCCATAATGTAAATGTAATCCTAAAATATATATATAGAAAGAAATGTAGATAATATTAGAAATCATATAAGAAGAGTATACTTGGTTCATTTTCATTCTTTACATACTTGAATTTGGTGAAAAGTCTAAATGATCAATACGTTGTGTATTAAATGATGATGATCTTCTAATGATACCATGTACAGTATACCCTTTTGATAGTAAAAACTCTGTTAGATATGATCCATCTTGTCCTGTTATACCTGTAATCAAAGCTACCTTTCTTATCTCTTCCATTTTAATTAATTATCTTTAGAGAACAAACAAGCAACTAACAAACAAACTAATTTTTGAAAGTTGGTGTGGGGGAGTAGGTAGGTAGGTAAGTGTGTTGTTTTAATTCAACTTATCATAATCCCGATGGGGTAACCGAAAGATGTTCGATGTACACCGATGCATGCATGTAGACAAAGTTAGAAACTACATCATTTTGGGAACATCATTTTTAATTTTATTTTAAATAAATAGTTAGATTCTTACCGACACTTTTCAAGTCCCTCATCTCCACGAAAGGAAATTTCATTCAACAATAACAACAAACATAAAGATATATATATATAGATAGATATCGGAGATGAATAAGATAGTACAATTACATTGTGTAGCACAGAATTATAATTGGGGTAAATACGGTGCTGATAGTGCTGTAGCTAAACTATTACAAGTTAGTGATGATGATCAATCTACTCCTTATGCAGGTATGAATCAATCAATCAATCAATCAATCAATCAATCAATCAATCAATCAATCAATCAATCAATCAATCAATCAATCAATCAATCAATTGTTAACCTTTATATAATTTTTTAGAACTATGGATGGGAGCACATCCATCAGGACCATCAAAAGTAGAAATAGAGAATCATAAACTTGTACCACTAAAAGAATATATAGAAATGAATGGAGGTAGTGAAAAGCTGCTTGGTAGCAAGGTAGTTGAAAGATTCGGTCAAGATTTTCCTTTTCTTTTTAAAGTCTTGTCCATTAGAACTGCTCTATCTATTCAATCTCATCCCGATTCTAAATTGGCCAAACAATTACATTCTTCTTTTCCCGATATTTACAAGTACGTAATCAAATCAACAACAACTATTCGTATTCTTCCTCTTATATCATTTTTTTTATTTTGTTAGGGACCCATATCATAAACCAGAGATTGCAATTGCTTTAACTCCATTTAAAGCATTATGTAGTTTTAGAAAACTATCTGAAATATTAGAATTTATTGATAATGTAAAGGAATTAAAAGATACCATTTCATCTCAACTTGATTTAAATCAAGGTAAGAAAAAAAAGAAAAGAAAAAGAAATGATAATTTTATACTAATCTCTCTTTTACTTTAGTAAACAAAAATAATTGTAATTTATATCTTCAATCAATTGTAACAGCATTATTACAAGCTGATAGTACATTGGTAGCAAATCAATTATTATTATTGACCAATAGATTGGAAAAAGAAAGAGATGGCAACAACAAATTGAATCAATTAATATTAACATTACATCAACAATATGTTGGTGATGTTGGTGTATTCTTTGCCTATCTTTTAAATTATATGGAGATGCAACCTGGAGAGGCATTGTATCTTCCTGCAGGTGAACCACATGCTTATATTGCAGGTGATTGTATCGAATGTATGGCACCAAGTGATAATGTAGTGCGTGCAGGTCTCACACCCAAACTAAAGGACTGGAAGACACTGGCTCAAATGCTAACCTATACCACTGGATGTCCCAGCTATGTAACACCAACAACCCATGAATCCAACGGTGTCAAATCATGTCTCTTTCAACCACCAGTCGATGAGTTTGAAGTTGAACGCATCCAATTATCACCATCATCCTCTTACACTTCTACACATCAATCTCCATCCATTGTATTACTAACAGATTCTTCTGTAACCATCAACAAAACAAATTATAACTCTTCTTCTTCTTCCTCAAACCCAACAATACTACGTCAAGGTACTGTTTTATTTGTTCCTTGCAATACTGAATTAAAGATTGAAAATCAAAATCAATCAACTGATTCAACTCTATTTATTGCTAGAGTCAATAGTAGATTATTTAATCAATAATAAATCAAAAGTATATATAATATATAATGACGTTGTAATCCTAAATTAAGAAATCTAGAACATCAATATGTCGATTCGATGATGATATTTTCGTTTGAACTGGAGCCGAGGAAGAGAAAGACGAATTTAGTTTTTCGGAACACCCATGTCATTCTCATACTCCGGAATTTTCTTCAGGAATAAGAATCATTCATCACAAATGCTTATATAAAAACAACAATATCTATTTATTTGATTCATTTCAATTTCAAATATACATACATATAAACATATAAACAAAGAGATATATATATAAATAATCATTTATATATATTATTTACAATTAAATCATATCAATTAAACAACAATTTTTAAAGATTTCTAGAAAGATGATGAATGCAGCAGTATTACATAAAGCAGGAGTTCCTGTTTATGAAACATTCCCAATCCCTCAAGTATCAAATCCAGAAGAAGAGGTGATTGCCGATGTATTGGCATCGAGTATCAAACAATTAGATATTGGTAAAGCTAGTGGAAGACATTACCTCTCATACAAGACATTCCCAACTACCGTAGGTGTTGATGGTATTGCTCGTTTGGATGATGGTAGATTAGTCTATGCTATGGGTATTACTGGTATGTTTGCTGAAAAGGCATTGCTTAAAAAGGATAAATGGGTTGTATTGGATCAAGAAAATACTTCAAATGTTGTTGCTGCTGCTTCTGTACCAAATGCTATTTTAGGTGCTGGTATGTAAAATATATAAAAGTATAAGTAAAAGTATAAGTATACTTATTCTATTTCAATTTCTATTTCTAATTTAGGAATGGCATTAAATATTAGAGGACAATTTAAAAAAGGAAATGTTGTATTTGTAAATGGAGCAACTGGATTTACAGGTAAAGTAGCAGTTCAACTTGCAAAGATATCGGGTGCAGCTTATGTAGTTGCATCTGGACGTAATGAAAACACATTAAAAGAGATGAAGGAAAAGTATGGAATCGATGACTATGTAGTACTAGGTGACAATGAAGAGGCATTTACTCAAAAGGTAAAGGAAATACATTCAAAACATCCATTTGATGTTGTCATTGATTATCTTTGGGGTCGTCCAGCTGAATTGGTTTTAGATGTATTGGCAGCTGCTCCCAAACACACCGTAGACAATATCATTAGATATGTTACCGTCGGTGAAATGGCAGGTTCGAGTGTACCCATCAAATCAGCCTATCTACGTTCTTCGGGTCTTGAAATTGTTGGGTCTGGTTTTGGATCATTCCCACCAGGTGAAATTGAACGTTATCTCAAACAACACCTAAACTCTATACTGTCACTTGTCAATCAAGGTAAATTAATCCTTGATACTCAAACTGTTGAATTTAAAGATATTGAATCAAATTGGTTAAACAAAGATTCAAAAAAAAGATTAGTTGTTAAAATTCAACAATAAACAAATAAATTAAAAGTATTTATAAATTATTATTATTATGATTATTTAAGAGGAAGATGTTTCAAGTAAAGTTTTACCAGCAACACAAATAGTTACACCAGTTAATACACATAACATTCCAACATATGATCCTAAAAATAAATAAATAAATAAATAAAAAAGTTATTAATCTTTCTTTTTCTTTTCTTTTCTTTTGAATTCCTTTTCATACTCCAACCTAATAATCTTTCCTTTAATAACATTCCAGTAAAAGCAGTGAATAAAAAGGTTAAAGAGTTTGAAATCGGTACGACAAGAGATATGTCGGCATGACCAAGAGTATAGAAAAATACGATAGAGCCACTAAGATTGATGACCATCGGTATAAAGTATGTTGGTTTTGTCCAAAGATAGATAAACTCTGATATGAATTGCATGACTGCACTATTTTTCTTGATTGATGATACTCCTTCACTACCACGTTTAATAAATGGATTGGTACATCCCCAAATCATTCCAACTGCAATCAATGCAAGTGCATTTTCTATGTATAACAAATTAGAAACATAAAGTTGATAGTAGTCATTCATTCATTCGCTCCATACCAAATTGACCCATCTATCTAATCTATAGTTTTTTATAAACTACTATTCTCTTTTTTAATATATGTACAAATGATGATGATGATGATACTCTCTAAATGTGTGAACAAACAGATCGCTTCAAATGAACCTTTTAAAATTAAAATATTAAATAAATTAAATTCACAAAAATCACCTCTGACAGAACATGAACCAAGACGAAAATAACTTTTAAACTCTGTTGTTAGTATCATTCTTCTTTTTAAACTATAACTATTCATTTATTCTATCTATCATCATATTCATTCGTTTAGACTGATATAGAGGTAGAGTGATATATAGAACGATAGAGAGAGAATATATAAACCTCAGATAGAGAGAGAGAGAGAAGGATGATTAAAATATTTAAACATACAAGTCTATATAAAAGGTTTGGTGATGATTTAGGAAACATTATATGGTTAATTATACTTTGTATGTTATATATTATACTTTTACTTATCTTTTTTCTTTTCTATTTACTTTTTACTTTTTTAAGATTTATTTCAAGGTATACCATTAGGATTAACATTTGGTACTATACCTTTCTTATTACATAAACATTCAACGTATACACAGATTGGAATATTTTCATTGACTGGATTTCCGTATAGTCTCAAGATTCTATGGTCACCGTTTGTAGATAGTTACTATTTCAAGAGTTTTGGTCGGAGAAAGTCATGGATTGTTCCTATTCAATTGTTGGCAGGTTCAATGTTTTTGGTTCTGGCCAATGGTAACATCATCGATGATCTCATTGAACACAGTGAAACAGAGATTATAAAGATTACTCTGTTGTTTGGATCGTTTGTCGTTATGATGGCTACACAAGACATTGCAGTTGATGGATGGGCTTTGACTATTCTCTCTAAAGCCAACGTTCACCTTGCCAGTACATGTCAGAATATAGGACTTAGTACTGGTTTCTTTTTATCGTATACTGTCTATTTGGCATTGTCTAGTGCCGAATTTTCAAACAAATATATTCGTCCGTCGTCACATTACAATGCCGATGTTGGTATCATCACACTATCTAGTTATTTGTATTTCTGGGGTCTCATCTATATAGTATTTAGTATTATTTTGGCGACAATGAAAAATGAAGAAAGAACTAATCAATCATCAACACCAAATGGAGGTTCACCAAAATTAAATAGTAGTACAAACAAAAAATTGGATGATCCACAACAACAACAACAATTAATCAATAATAATGAATCAATGAATTTACAACAACAAGAAGATGATGAAATGGAAGAAACAGATTTAAAACCAATTCAAATCTATCAATATCTTTGGAAGATTATTAGTTTACCTCATATTAGAACACTATCGATGATGTTTTTATTGAGTAAAGTTGTTTTTCAATCAAATGAAAGTGCTCTTTCTCTAAGACTATTGGAATTGGGTATGAAGAAAGAGGATTTGGCTAGTTTCTCAATCTTTCAATTTCCTTGTACCATTCTATTCTCAATTGTCGCCGGTAAATTAATTAGAGATAATCCTTTAACAATTGTATGTAAATTAAATATTTATTAATATAAATATTAATGAATCAATCATTCTTTTCTTTTTTAGTGGACAAAAGCATACTTTTTTGGTGTAGTATTTGTATTTTTGAATATGTTATCGGTTGTATTTTTCCAAAAAGGTTGGTTCTTTTATTTCATTTTATTATTATTGTCTACTTGCTCATCATTCATGTCGACGCTTATGAGTGTTGGTCAAGGTGGTTTCTTTTTAAAAATTAGTGAAAAGAATCATCATATAGGTGGCACTTATTTAACTTTTTTAAATACTAGTATGTAAAAGATAAAAAATAATAATTAATAATAATAATATATATATTTATTCATTTTTCTTAATTTGAATTTAGTTGCAAATCTTGGAGGAACATGGCCTAAATTTTTAATTCTAACTTTGATTGATAAATTTACATCTACTCAATGTGTAATTCCAAATGGAGGTAAGCTTAAACAAACTCAATCATCTTTATTTTTAATATTAATTTATTTATTTATTTTAGTGATTGTTGAATTAATTGGAACTACAGACGAAATTAAATCACTATGTAATGATGAAGGAGGTGAGATTGTTACCACTAGAGATGGATATTTTACGGTTACAATCATTTTGGTTGTATATGGTCTCATTATGCATAGAATATTAACAAAAAAGATGATCCCCATTGAAAAGATTAAACCTTCTAGTTTCGCAATTGCAAAAGGGGAATAAAGACAACTAATAAAAAATTAACTTGAATAACAATAATGATCATTCCAAATGTGGTTGGTCTTTTGCCGTTTGATTTTTTTTAATTTTTCAAACCATCCGCTGCGAGTTGATTGGAGACGTGTCCACGTGGGCTCCCAGATATATGTGATTTTTTTGAACAGTTAACTTTGAGGTTAAAATGAATCTTCATCTCTTCTTTTTTTTTTATTCTCTTCTCTCTCTCTCTCTCAACAGATAAACAGATACAAATACAACAATGGAACCTATTAAAGAACAAGTTTGGTATATTACTGGTATGATATGTTATGATCTTCACTTCCTCACTTTTCATAAAAGCTTTGTTAACACATTTATATTTGATATTGATATATTTAGGTGCAACTGGTGGTTTAGGTCTAGCTTTGGCTGAGAAGGTACTTTCAGCAGGACACAAGGTAGCTGGTACCACTCGTGATCTTCAAAAGTTTGAAAAGACTGGTCTTGCCACTAAATATGGTGACAAGTTTTTAGCAGTCCAAACAGACCTCATCGATGAAGAAATCTTAAAGGCTTCCTTTGTTAAAGTTGTACAAGTATTTGGTAGAATTGATATCGTTGTCAATAACTCTGGATATGCTCAACCAGGTGCCATTGAAGGTAAAATTAAAAAAATAGAAAAAAAGGGATAATATTGACACTTTATCTTTTTTAGAAATCTCAACCAAAGAATACAAAGAAAACTTTGATATTAATTTCTTTGCACCATTGAGTGTTATGAGATACGCTATTCCATACCTCAAGGAAAAGAGTGGACACATCTACAATATTGCTTCTATTGCTGGTTTCACTCATTTCGAAGGATGTTCAGCCTACTCTTCATCCAAGTATGCTCTTATTGGTGCCAGTGAATCATTGGCCTATGAATTAAAACCATACAATGTAAAGGTCACCGCTGTTTGCCCAGGTACCTTTGAGACTCCAATTCTTGCCGGTTTCCCAAAACCTGCTCATGTTATCCCAGAATATGACTCTGCCAACTTTATCCATGTCTGGTTGGCAAGAAGAAAGGGATTGCCATTGGGTGACCCAGAAAAGTATGCCGAAATTTTGTTGCACTATGCCAACAGAGATGATGCTCCAGTTAAATTGTTCGTTGGTCCAGATGCCGTTGACATTGCTCAACAAGAAATTGATAAAACTCAAGCTGAATTGAATAGTTATAAGGAATTTGTTTCAAATACTGCTATTGCTCCAAAATAAATTAATTAATTAAATAATTTTTTTTTTTTAAATATTTATAGTTTTCTTTTTATTAATTAATTATTATAAACATTTCTTGGAGTTGTGAATGGAGTATGAATACCACCAAAAATGATCTTAAAATCAGATGTTGACTTTGCAGCATTATTATTTAAACGGTCAGAGTCAGAATCGGAGTCGGAATCAGAATCAGAGTCAGAGTCCCCACAGTGATGGTTTGGATTTGGACCTACACACTTGCTAACAAGGTTGGCAAGTTGTTGTGGGAATGGATCACATGATGCATCCTTGAAAGTGGTTTGGCAAGCGTTAGTGGTGGTGTTGCACAATAATTCAATGGCCTTGTTGTTGTTGTCACAGAACAACGTTTCAGAGAAGTCTGCCAACCATAACCAAGAGGTACCGTTGGTTACGTACTTGGACCAATTGAAATCAGACTTGCACTTGAGATTGGTTTCAGAGTATGACTTCATGTAGAGACAAAGAGTATCTTTGGGTGGCTTGATGGCCTTACGGCTGACGGTTAAATGAGCATAAAAGTATGGGTTGGTAGGATACCCATTCTTGAATCTATAACATTTGTCAACGGCTGAAGAGTATGGTCCATCTGGTGCACCGTTACAGTTCTGTGCACCGAAATAGTAATAACTATCAACATTGGTACCATTAAGTACATACTTTAAAGCATATCCTTCAAATGGAATACTAAAAAAAAACAAAAAATTAATAATTATTTTATAAAAGATTTTTTTGAATTTACATACCAAGTATTGAGTAAATAGGATGTACCATGACCATCAACAGGGCCAGTACAATTGACACCTGCATAAGGTACATAGTTCATGTATTTTGGTGGTTTGTTATTGTGATGGCCACCATTGGCGCCACCAGCAGAGACATGTAATACTGCTAAACAAGATAGTAATAAAAAGAATGCGAATTTCATTATTTAAATGTGATTAAAGTAGTGAAGTTGAAAATGAAAATGATTCGGTCTAGTCCTCAGCTCTTTATATTTGCGATGGCAGAGATATTTTTTGGTGCTTCAAATTGAAAAAATCTTTTTTATTATTACAATAAAGCTGTTGTCCGAACTGTTTGATGACGAATTATAATATATACATTTTAATATAACCTCGTGTCCCAAAGATATTTTTATTTTTAACCAAATAAACTGTTTTAATTATTGTGTTCTCCGTACCTTCTATCTCAATCTCTCTTTGGTTTGTCCAATCAAACTAGAGAACCACCGATGGACAAAGGGCAACCCTGGAGAAAGCAGACGGACCTTCAATTTTCCATCAGAAAGGTGAAGAGGAAAACGACAAGAGCAAGAGGTGCTAGGTCGGCTTTCCAATTTCCAAAAAGAAAATATCTGATTTTCTATATATTCCAACAGAGGGTATTCGATTGGGTTCTGGTGTTTGTAAGTGGTGCGTCTTGTGAATAAAGCTATTTATATATATAGTAAAGGAAAATAAAAGATTAATACATACTATATCAATCATTCCAAATTAGAAAACTAACAATACAAAAATTTACAAATATATAGTAATATTAGACCAGTTTATTGATGGGTTGATGATTAAGAGTCAAGGGTTCGACCAAGGGCAAAAGTGCAATGTGATGGTCTTTTTATTAAAGCAAAAAAAAGACATGCCCATCATTAGAATCTAAACTTGTTGATAATGATCATAAATAAATGTTGCTCTAATAAAAAGACCATCACCTACAAATGGCTTTTAATTTAAAAGCCAATCGACGGCATGAAATAATGAATCATTTGCCAATATCTAATTTAAATCCATGACTACTAATGTCAACTGTAAACCAATACCATACAAAACAACTCTAAAAAAAAAAATATATATAAATAAATAAATCCTAAAGTAGTCGCTGTTTCTCTATACGTACAATCTAGTTGTCTCTTTACTAATCCATTTTCCATCATGCACGCTTTCATTGTAGGTGACCCTATTAAAAATATATATAAGTTATAAAAAATTGTAGGTTTGAATGGGTGTCTTTTATATTTAAACTTACAACAATGGTGGGTTTGGTGGCACGTTTGATTTAAGATCTTCCTCGATCGCTTTTTTACCCTTTATGATCGACTTGTGCATGTTATTTTTCTGTGCCTCAACTTGATCTTTGGAATTGATATCAATCTTTTTTTTCATCTCCTCACAATGACTCCAATCTTGGATGATTGGTCAGTGCCATTGGTAGACGACGCTGCTACATATGGATAAGAGTCGTTAATTTTAACCTCCATTGAGATTGTGATTTTGGCAAGGATCTCTTTGAGGACCTGGATCGTCGGAGCGGTCTTCATTCATGGCGATTGAAGAGGTGTTGAGAGGCTCGTTGACCCATATTTCAACTGATAGACGCAGCTTTTGGTCAAACGACTTGAGGTCTCTACCAACAGCCTCTAGAGGAACATGAGACCTGTAATAATCAAGGTCATCATCACCATTATCATCATGCAATTCACCTCCAATATTGGATGTTGTTGATAATGAAGAAGCAGACATCGAGGTAGATGTTGAAGAAGTAGATGAAGAATAATTTGATAAAGAGGTGGGTTCATCGTCGGTAAACTTGACATCATTACCTCCATTGGGTTGGACAGGGTCGACTTTGAAACAAAAGGGTGTCAATCGAGGTTTGGGTCTTCTTGGCGGCAGCAACCTTCTGGGGGAGTAGGAAGAGGAGGAGGTGCAGCTTTCTTGGAGCAGGTAAACAAGTTGCGATTGTTACCTCCATTGGGGTTGATATCGACAAACTGGGTCATGGAGAGCTGATTCGAGGTTGAATTGCTTCGTGGATACTTTTTTAGGATTCTCTTTTAAAAGGGAATCACCCTTCATTTCTTTTTAAATTTTTACTAGTATCCATGTTTTACTGCTGTTGGTAGTTCTACAGTTTTAAAAAGTAGTAGTAATAATAAAATGTTAATGTGTGTTATTTAATAAAGATTATTGATACGAGCTAAATAATGATGCCTATTCAAGTGTGATGATTGAAGATAGAAAAGGGAAGAAGAACTGTGATATTTGTTTCTTACAATTAATATACTTGGTAATACTATATAGGTAGAATGGCTGTGGCCATGGAGGAGGAGGAGGAGGGCTCAGATGCGAACAGATACTATTGTTGGCTGGTAGTTTTTATAGGTTCCTAAATGAGATTGATCAGTCCAACATCCACCGATCGGTGTTAGTGTATTCATTAATTCTCCTTGTATCTCTGTATCTTTTCTATATCTATATGTTGCTAGTGATTGAAAATCGAAGCTTGGTTGTTCTTCTTGCAGTCTGATTGTCGTCACCTTTCCTTTCAGTCTCAGATAGCTGACTGACTGTCAGTGACAGTTGGAAACGTACAAGTCGATAAAGTTTGTTATAAGATGAACTACAATAATAAAGAGAAATTTTTTTTTGAAGTGAACCACACCTCAGGCAAAAAAAACAAATTAATTTTAATTATTATTTAAGAATAGAGACTGTTCATTGTGTCAAAGCCTATAGTAACTCAAGAGAATTATAATTATGATATTGTACAATATCATAATAATAATTCTCTTGATAACACCATTTAAAATCAGATCTGTTAACCGTAGAAAATATTGATTTTTTTTTTCATAAATTACTAAAACGAGGGCACCACCAGAACCATTCCATCATCTCTTATTCTTTGTTGTTCCTCTGGATCAGATAGTCTATGATCCTTGGTTAATGTCAAGGTTTCACCTGCATAACTAAGAAAAGCAGAGGAATCACCAACATTGGCAGATTGTAAAATCTTTGTTCTCCAACTCTCCATATCAAAACAATGGTTGCTGTTGCTCCTTCATATTCATATTTTGATAAAAGAGCATCGGTTTCTTTAAATGTACTTAGGAATACTCCTCTCATATCATAAATGTTTTTACCTCCACATTCTTTTTATGTTGTTTAAATATATTTTAATAATACCTAAAAAAATAAAATGATTAATAAATTATATTCTTCTTTTCTTTTTCTTTTCTTTTTCTTTTTCTATTTACATTTGGTAAGAATTCTTTAGCAGCAACAGCACAATTTTTACCAGAGTGTCCATCAAAATGGCAAATAAGGCCATCTGAGGATCATCACCAGATGGATGCATTGTTAGCCATTCATCTTCCACGTCTAGGTTCTTTATAGCTCTTTTAAGACCTCTTATATTGGCATTGGAGTGACTTGGAAGAGAAGTTGGATTATTGTTACTACTGAATAGTCTTGGAAACAACGATGAAAGACTGATTCTGGAGGTTGTTGTGTCTCCAGACATTTCCAATTGACCTTTAATTCTATAGGCATTGGTTCGCGAATATACGCCATAACATCATTATTTCATGGAAGCAAAAGTATTCAGAATTGGAATGACTTGAAATTGTACTCACCGAAAAGCCACATAGTATTCTGCCAGTATTTCTTGTCCTTGTCCATTCTAAATTGAGGACGATCATTTAAGAAATTCCGTACCACAAACTCCTGCCATACTAGTATTGACCTGACCAGCTTGCCAAAGCATTGATATTCTTGGACTTCCATCTTCCCAAGAATATAAAACTCAGAAAAAGTTTAATAAAGACCAAATGATTATCAAAGTGATTGTATGATTGTTTGTATAATAATGTTGTTTCTTTATTATTGTAGAAAGGAACTTGATAAACCAAAGGTTTACTCGGAACCAACACCACCTTCGAAACCGAGCAACTTTTGCATCTGTAATAGAAAAAAAAAAAAAGGAAAAGAAAGGAAAGAAAAGGTGTTAGTATATCATCTTCTTTGTTGATATTCTTATATTATGTGATGCCTACTTCGTCATAAATTACTAAAACGAGGGCACCACCAGAACCACGGATGGCGTTGGAGAGGGCACCCTTGAAGAAAGCAGATGGACCTTCATTCTTGGCAATCTTTACCCAACAGTCCCAGGTGCTAGAGTAGAGAATGTCAGCACGACCGGCTTGCATCATCATTCTACGTCTAACAGTATCGAATGGGTATGAGACGACACCAGCAATGGTGGTGACAACTTGGGCGATAGCCCAGTTTTGCCAGAAAGTGGCGTTCTTTGGATCGTCGATGAGGATACCCTTGGCAGTATCATAACCACCAAAGAAAGCAGCACGGTATACAAAGATACCTCCGACAGAGACACCAAAACCTCTGTACAAACCAATCAAACCGTCACGCTTGTAGATGGTTGAGATACAGTTACCCAAACCAGTGAATTGACGTTGACCACCAACACCAACATCAGCACCGAGACGAGTACGGGCGAAATCGAGTGGGTAAACAAAGAGGAGGGAAGTAGCACCAGCAGCACCACCAGAGAACAAGTTACCAACAAAGAACTTGAATGGGTCTTGCTTGGGAGACCATCTGACGAAGAACTTCTTGTATCTGTCCTTGAAGGCAAAGTTCAAGGCTTGGGTTGGGAAGTATCTGATGATGTTGGCAAGATTTCCTCTCCTAAAAAATGAAAAATAGTAATATGAATAGAAGGAAAAAATTAGTCATGTGAACTTGATTCGATTCGATTTTTTTTCGGCTTTTTTAGATTTTTTTTTTCCTTTTGCTATTTTTTTTTTTCGTTCCCCATCTATGTTGATGATCAAGTGATGATGGTGGTGAAGATGATTGGTGTATGTATGTATGTATGTATTTGCTGGTATGCTGTTACTTGTACTACTGCTACTACAATTGTGTTGTTCTTCTTGTTGTATTACATGATTTATCTATTGCCTATTATTTGTTTTTTTTTTTAATATATTTACCATAAAGACATGACACCTTGTTCCTTTGAGACTCTGCTGAAACAATCGATGATACCCTTGTATTGCTTGTCAGCGGCAATTTGGGTGGAGGCAGCTTGAACTTGGAGGAGGAGCTTGACACGTTCAATTGGGGCGACAATGGTCTTGGAAACACCACCGGCGGTACCACCAATCAAGGAATCCTTGATAAAGTTGAAGACTGGGTCTTGTTTTTGATCCTTGGACATTCTGAAATTATGTGTATAACAAATAATCACCTGAAACAACAAAAAAAAAAAAATATACAAGAAACTTTTGACGAGCTATCACACTGTGAGTGAGAGAAAAAAAAATGTTAAAAAAATAGCAAAAAAAAAAGATCGATTTTTCGCTCTCCACTTTTCAGTCGACTGATGGCGACTTGGGTTTTTATAATTTTTTTTACGTACATGTGTAATTATGATGCAATCTTTGTCATGACCAGGTGTATGTTGAGGAGACCATTCGGCAACCCATTCCTCTTTTGAACCGCACGGTTAGATAGATTGATCGTCTTTCGTCGTCCATTTGAGAATACTACGTTTTCTTCCCAAAAAAGGATTGAATCAATAGATCAAATCGATCAACAAAAAGAAGATTTATTATATATATCTATAATTGCGAGATTTGATGATAAATAAAGTAATGTTGTTATTTTTTTTTTATTTTTTAAAAAAAAAAAAGATTAATAGATTATGTATTTGTTGTTATTTGTTATTATATATGTGTTGTTGATAATCCTTTTCTTTTCTTTTTTTTTTAGTTGTTTTTAAAAGGGGTTGTTGATTATTAAATATATTACAAGGTTGATACAATGATTGAAATATTATCTTTAGATTTAATCGATTTTAATGCACATTGAAGTAATAAACTGGCCATTTTCTCTTCAGTTTGTTCTGTCTTTATCATTTCCAATGCTCTATTACCTGAAATAACATCCCACAACTAAGAAATATAGAAACTAATTAATATTTTTTTTTTGATTTCTATTTTCTATTTTTTATACATACACCATCAGATGCAACAATTAAATGAGAATGGAAAGGAGTAAGGGAAATTGGGGGTGAAATAGTTGGAGAACCAGATAAACCACAATTTAAATGTTTGATAAAGTGATCACCCAAAGCTCTACTAACCATGAGACCATTGATTCTTGTTTGGTTTTCACCCAATTCGATTCCATCATCTCTGATTCTTTGTTGTTCCTCTGGATCAGATAGTCTATGATCCTTGGTTAATGTCAAGGTTTCACCTGCATAACTAAGAAAAGCAGAGGAATCACCAACATTGGCAGATTGTAAAAATCTTTGTTCTCCAACTCTCCATATCAAAACAATGGTTGCTGTTGCTCCTTCATATTCATATTTTGATAAAAGAGCATCGGTTTCTTTAAATGTACTTAGGAATACTCCTCTCATATCATAAATGTTTTTACCTCCACATTCTTTTTTTGCTGTTTGAATATATTTTAATAATACCTAAAAAAATAGAAATAAAATGATTAATAAATTATTTATATTCTTTTTTTTTTCTTTCGATTTACATTTGGTAAGATTTCTTTAGCAGCAACAGCACAATTTTTACCAGAGTGACCATCAAAAATGGCAAATAAGGCCATTTGAGGATCATCACCAAATGGATGCATTGTTAACCATTCATCTTCCATGTCTAGATTCTTTTTAGCTCTTTTTAGACCTCTAATATTGGTATCTGCTTTACTGGCAAATCCTCTGATTAGAGTAGTTGGTTGTGGTTGCAATAGTGGATAGTAAAACTTGGATGGCGCATTGGAGTGACTTGGAAGAGAAGTTGGATTATTATTACTATTGAATGGTAATCTTGGAAACAACGATGAAAGACTGATTCTACCAGGTCTATCTCTTTCACTGACCGTTGGAGGTTGTTGTTGTAGTTGTTTTGGTTCATATGGTTTTTGTGGTACGGTTGGATCGCCAAAAAAGTGATGAATAGACTCTGAATCGGCAAAAGTGATGGTACGTGAGAGTCCTGGTTTCTTTTTGGTTAGGTTTGTGTCTCCAGACATTTCCAATTGACCTTTAATTCTATAGGCATTGGTTCGCGAATCAATAAATAAGGGTGGTGATGTAGTTGTAGATTGGTTGTTTTCATTATTATTATTATTAGATTGTACAGGTGGTGAGTTGTTTATACTCGTATTATTCATGTTGTCTTTTTCTTTTTCTTTTTCTTTTTCTTCTTCTTCTTCTCCTCCTCCTACTTGATCACTATTAATGGTTGTAGTACTTTTAAGAGATGATGATGATGGTTCTTCGAGTAGATCCATTGATATGGATGATAAAGCATTTTGATCAAAATCCAATCTACCAAGACTACCATTCATTGCACTCTCTTCCTTGAATTCCAAAGATATACCATCCAAATCTAGATTCTTTAATGAATCCAATGACAATGATGATAATGATGATTCCTCTTGAAGTTTTTGTTGAGGTTCTAAACTTTGAACCAATTCACTCCATTTTGATTTTGATGAGGATTCACGTAGTTCAGTTGCTTCACTACTACTTGTAGCAATATTATTACTGCTGTTGGTAATACTAATACTTCCGTTGCTTGGCATCTCGTATGATACCGAACCTCTAATACTTTGATCATCAAATTCAGCCTCCATACTAGCATTTATATTTCTTTCAAGAGGAGGTGGTTGGAAAAACGACGAGTCGAGTACTTGGCCACCTGATCTTGGCGAGAGTGCCTTGAGTTCTTGACTCTTTCTCGATGGGTTGGTGATAATGTCGATCGTGTTGACATCGGATGGAGGCAGGTTGAGTTGCAGTCCCTTGTATTGACGACTGTGACGGAGTGCATTGGTTGAGCATGGTTTTGGTTTGGTCTTTTCTTCACCACCACCTCCCTCTTCTCTAGCAGGTGCTCCACCTTCGTCACCCAACTGATTGATGATTTGCATCAATGGTGATGGTAGACTACCTCTGTATGGAAAGGTTCGGTAGATTTGATATCCCAACGATCTCTTGCCTGCACTACCAATAGAATTTGTTGATTTATTACTATTGGTACTTGTTGAAAGTATATTCTGTTGTTGTTGTTGCAATGAATGATTCGAACAAGTATCTGAATGTTGATTCAATTCATCAAGTAGTTCTGGTATATTTAGTGATGGAATAAGCAAATCACTTAAATCACCAAAGTTTGGTACTGTTCCTTGACCATCATCAACTCCTCCTTCAACATTATTATTATTATTATTAATATTATTATTTACATTATCTTCTTGATCGCCATCTTGTAGTTGTTGTTGTTGTTCTTGATCGTCATCATTTTCTCCTTCTCGGTTCTAATTAGAAATAATAAGATATGGTTATTAATAAAGAAGAAGAAGAAAAAGGGAGATGAGCTATTATCAATAATAAAATACATACCTTAAAAAAAGAAGGAGATGATATAGAAGTTGATAGTGAAGGGACCATCATCCTTGCTAATAATGTTGTAGTAATAGTAAAACTTATTACTTTATATATATATTTATATATTTTATATCTATCTCTTCTCTTTCTTTCTTTCTATATCTTTTTTTCTTTTACTTTTAGTTTAGTGATAGATATATTATATATATATTAACTCTTGTTTGTTTGTTTGTTTGATATTATTTTAACTGCCGTATTCTAGTTCTTCTCTCTCTTTTGTTTTTAATTAATATATTAATATTTTTTTGTTTGTTTTGATTATTCTAATTTATTTTGTGGTTTGTGGTTGGTTAAAGAAGGGTGGTGTAAGAGCTAATTTAAATGCGCCTTTTTGTTCTCTTGCTAGTAGTAATAGATGATGATGTTGTTGTTGATATTATTGTTTTTGTTATTGCTATTAATGTTGAGAGTGCAATAAGATGAGATATTTAATCAACGACGATCGTTTGTGTTGTTTGTGTGTGTGATATAGATAGATTGTTGTAATATAATATTTGTATCCTCCTAATATTTCAATCAAGCAGGTTTAGCACACAAAAAAATGTCGAAAAAATCCATTTTTTTTTAATTTTTTTTTCGGACGTCCAAAATTAAATTGGATCGTTGGGGTGGTTCAGTAGGATTTTTTTACTCATCTTGACCAACCAATAAAATATCAAGTCGACAATGTAGTTAGTTTTTTTTATAAATTAAAAAAAAAGTTTTCAAAAAGAACTACACATTTCAACTTTCAAAATTTCTTTTCAAGAACATTTTAAAATTGATATAGATTCAAATTTCAATGGATAATATTTTAATTTTTATTATTTAATAAAAAAAAAATTGAAATTAATTAATTTTCTAGAAACATGGAAAAGAAGACAATTTCCTTTTTTGAATAAAAAGAATATCTTGTTGTTTTGAGCAGGGACTGTGACGAGCTTTTGTCCACTAGGTTGTCTATTTATTTCGCAACAAGAAGCTGAGCTAAAAGATCATCCCTTTTTTTCTATATCAAGGACTGTGTTTGGTAGAAATGATTCTTTATGTTTCTTTAGACAACCAACCCTTTCTCTTTCTCTATCTATCTGTTTGATGTTGTTATTTTTATCTAGTTTGCTATAATTAGTTTTTTTTGTTTGGAGAAATCATTAAAAATCATAATAGTAGTAGTAATGGGCATAATATTATCAGTCATCAACATCATCAAGAATTTAAAAAAGAATCAACATCATCTAGGAGAATTTGAACCCTGATAATAAATTATTAAAAATTAATTTTTTATAATCCATCTTTTTTTTTGCAAATTATACCAAGGTATGATATCAACACTCTAAAACAGTAAATAGTAGAAGTAGAAGTAGAAGTAGAAATAGAAATAGAAATAGAAACTTTCAAAGTTTATTTTTGCCCATCATATCCCTCCCTCTCGTTTTTCTTGTGTGAAACCCCCACCATCCATCCCTCCACGACATACTCAATTAATTTTTTACATCGAGATAGAGAGAAAGAGGGTTAATTACATTGTAACTTTGGTTGACAATGTTGCCCCACTAATTTTCCTCTCTTCTTTGATAATTAGTATATACTTCATTTTCATTATTGGAAGCAAATTTAGTCGATAGTCGACTAGTATGGGGCGAGGAGGAGGAGGAGGAGGAGTAGTCCATTAATTAATCTATCAATTATCACACCCTTTTAATATGATTCACCACTGTTTTCTCCCTTCCCACCATTCATTCACCATTTCGTCATTCTTCATCATGAATCAATCTCATATTTCCACCACCTCTCCTCCTCTTCGTCATCCCTTACCTCGACAACAGCCTCCCCATATATCTATTTTTTTTTTTTCCTATGTTCTCATTGTGTACATTAAAAAAAAAAAGAGAGATGAGTATGCCAAAATGATGAATAGTGTTTATAACCCTCATATTTATTAATAAACAAATTATCCTTTTCCAATTTAGAAAATAGATTCTAAAAAACATCACAAGATACCCTCCATTACTTTTTGTTTTTTTTTTGAAAATCCCTTTATCATGTCCGATCATCGTCATAATCATTTTGATCTAAATAATAATAATAATAATAATAATAATCTTCATCATAATCATTTTGAAACTAATCATAACCATAATCATTTTGATTTGAATAATAATAATCTTCATCCATATGTAAATCATGATCATCATCCAATTCATTCAACTTCAAATTCAAATTCAAATTTAAATGTACATATACCAATTCAAGATGATGTTAGTTCAAATAGTTCAATTTCCAGTAGTTCAAATTACAGTAATGGTTCCATAAGTGGTTCCAACAGCAGTTCTTCTGGACAATACCAAGTTTTTGAATTTTTTGGTACACCTATCATTCCATTATTATCGTTTCTTCAAAACTCTGTAGATTATATCAATTATAGAGCAACAAGGGAAGGAGAGATATCTCCATCCATCTATAATGATGCAACTAGAATTCAAGTATTGAATCTATTGGATATCCGAAAAGTGGTCATGGCCAACATTAAACTGGTCGACCATGTTTTCAATATGTCTGGTGACCCAGAGTTTGGTATTCAAATCATTCTATCAAAATCTGACCTCACCCTAGTCAACATGATATCCATTGGCTATTTGTTATTGGTCCTCAGAATCTACCCAACTCTATTGGCCAACATTGACAAATTCTTTAAAAGTATTCTTAGTCCCCAAGGATTCCTCACCTACCAAGAGGAATGTAACCTCATGAAAAAAAACATCGTCACTCATTTTGACACTCAATTCTTTTGGTGTTGGATAGAACATTTCTCACACGGTCATATGGGAGCTCTATACAAAGGGATTAGTAGTCTTTGTGCAGACTATAACGCCAAGTATCCAGAATCGCAAATCAATTTCCCATTCAATGTTTGTAGTTTTTCTCCTGCTACCTCCACCACTGACTTTTCCAACCACTCGGACCCCACCACCTCGACGGCCGCTTACAATAGTAATGAAACTACACCGGCAGTGTATAGTACAAGCAGTCAAGAGGATACCCAAACCATGATGGAAGACGAGTTGATAGACGACCAAGAATACAATAGTGAGCGAGAGTCCATATCCTATTGTCTACCGAAAAACCTTTGGCATTTAAAACAAAACGAACAAATTGAGAAACGTGTACTTGACTATCTCACTTTCGAAAACCAACAATTCACCGTCGAAGGATGCAATGCATTCTCGGAAACATCATCACTATCGTTTACCGAATACATGGATAATATCCTATTCAAAATCCGGTCTTCATTCGAATCAACCCTTTCCATCTACCTCTCGACTTCGTCGTTTTACTGGTTTGACAACTCTGGACTGGCACAATACATGTTGTACTGTATCAATGTCCAAAAGACAATCCATGCAATGTCCAATGTCAACCGCGAAGGTAAAGAGAGAATATTCGATTACATGACCACTGTTGACGACCATTGGAAGTACCGAACCAGAAGTATCACATCAACCAAAGAATGTGAAGAAAAGAAAGAAATCCTTCTCAAAGACATTGAACAAGAAACAAACCATCTAAAGGAAATTCAATCACCAAATCAAAATACCTTGGATCGATTGGCTACCCTTCAATCCATCAATCAATACATTCGAGATAACCTTGCATCCATCAATTCAAATCACGATACAAAACCAGAAAATAATTATTATTCTGTTGATGTTTTGGAAACAAAGTTTAATGATTTAATTGCTGGTTATAATCATGTAATCCGTAAAAATTAAAATAAAATTGATCAAATATTGTACATAGTCAAATCAATACACTTTTTTTTTTTTGTTTATTTTAAAGTTTTAGAAAAATCTAATAATTGTTTAAATTTTGATTCAATATGATCTGTAATTAATTTGTATCTTAAATATCTTGGGTCTTGTCGATAGGGTAATGTCATATTATCTAATAGTTGTTGTTTAGTTTGTTGGTCAATCTCGGTATTTAAAAGATGGTCACATGTAAAAGGTTTACCAATGGTAATATCAATACTTTTAAATACACGTGGAATAGGTAGTTTACCCAATGGCATGGATTTATCCAACCCAGTGTGATATATTGGTAAAATCAAAGGTGATACCTTTGACTCTGCTATCATTCTACCAATACCCCATTTAAATCTTAACAATTCATCTGATTGATTTACCTTTGCCTCTGGAAACAAATGTACCCATTGACCATTTTCCAATTTTTCAATACCAATATCAATTGCATCTTGAAATACTCCATCTCCTCTAATTGTTTTAATCTAAATAATATAAAAAGTAAATAAACCATAAATATCATATGTACATTATATTTATATTATATGTTATGTTTTTAATCACATATGTGGTTCAACATACACATTTACCAAGAGTAAATATTTTTGAATAAATTGGATTTGTAAAGAGAATATTTGAAGCGGCCAAAGTCCAACGCATATGAATTGGATTGCATAATGTATCAAAGGGTAATAATCGACCCCATAAAATAGGGTCATCTAAATTACACATATGATTTGATATTGTTACAAGTGGTCTTGGAAGTAAAGGTGGTATTTGTACAACATTACTATTAATATTATTATTATTATTATTTCCAATGATTCCATTTGATATTAGTTGATCAATATCAGATGATTTGAATGTATTGTCAAAAGTGATACATTTGTTCATATCAACTATTCTTTTGTTCATCACTGATTCAAAATGCTTTTGACCATGTATCTTCCATAGATTTAAACTTGACCAAGCTTTACATGTTAATCCTATACATTAAAATAAACAATATTGTTATTCAAGGTCGTTCCGACGACATAGATGCATGTGACCTTAACCTTCCTTACCTACAGTTGTAAAAGCTAGTTTACTCAAGGTTTTTGGTTGTGGTACAAATATAGGATTATTAACTATTCTTTTCATCTTTGTATCATCACTATTAAGTAAAGTTAGTGTTCATTGAAATCTACTTTTAAAACAGAATGGAAGTGTCATTCACCTCTCTTTCCTATTGTCTTCCTTTTCTTTCTTTTCTTTTTTTTTTTTTTTTTTTGTTTTTTTGTTTGTCAATTGATCCGTTGAAAACTAAAAAAAATCCTCTCTATTCTTCTTCTTCTTTTTCTATTCGACTTTATAGATAATAATAGATAGTAGTAGTAATTGTAATAGTTGTAAATTGATTGTTTTGTAATTTTAAAATATATTTATTTAACAAAAAAGAATAGATAGGAATTAGATAGATAGATTAGATAAAAGAATAGAATAGACTAGATAGAACAAACAAAAACAAACATAACAACGACGAAGACGACGATCGAAAAAGAATGTCATTGTATATTGGAAAACTATCAAATGAAACAAATCGTAAAGATCTAAATGATCTATTTTCAAAATATGGTACAATAACTAGAAATGATGTAAAGCAAGTAGGTGGCAAATGCTTTGCTTTTATCGAATTTAAAGAAAGAAGAGATGCTGACGACGCAATGAAAGCTTTAAATGGTATATAGTCATTATACAGATGAATAATCAAAACAACTACTTTTCGCGACACTAACACAATCATTGTAATGTCATATGATAGGTTTAAATCTCCATGGAGTTAAAATGTGTGTAGAATGGGCTAAAGGTGGTAAAGCTGGTAAGTACATTCTCTTTATAAATTATCTTTGGTATATGTATATACGTATATATCTTGTTTAATCAAGAGATCATTATCATCGTCACGTCTTACAACGTGGATTGAATCGAGATTGCTTTTAATTTTCCGAAATCCGAAACAAATCAGATGTTAATCTCAAAATATGACTTCTTTGTCAAATATATATATTACTCTTTTTTTTTTTTTTTTTTTTTTTTTTTACTATCTATAAAGAGTGTGGTTCTCCTCTTCCTCTAAAGGGATTCCTCTTCTTCCTATAAATTATATATATATATATATCTATTCCTTTGCTCTGGCCTGTGCATCCAAGGGGCACACTGCCACCCTCTCCTTTGTTGTTGGTTTAACTTTACACAAGTTTAAGTTTCACAATTTACAAAACTTGCCAAGTTTGAAACCCAACACATCGTGTGAGGGTACTCCTTCCTTTTCTGTCTGTCCTTCCATTTTTTTGCCAATTGCCAAAGGTCCGTCCGTCAGTTCTGCATTGTCTAGGGGTCTTTTTTAATTTTCAGAAAGCCAGACGTTTAAAGCAGCTGATAGACTGGACCTTGCTCGCCTGCCTTGGTTATTCCTTCCTTAGTTTCAAAGAGATGAAGCTAGCTCTGCCTACTGCTGATGCTGTGCCGACTGTGTACAGTGCGTGCTCGTGCTCTCTCTCTCTTTCAAAAGGAAGGAATAAACCAGTCCACCGGTGTGCTTCTTTTCTTGATTTTCTGTCTTGGCCTCCACCCACTACCTCCCCTTATCATCCATCCGTCTACCCCTTCCTCTCCCCCTCTGTGTCCTTGTCGTCCTCCCTTGTTTTGTTGCCCCTCTTCTATGTCTCTTTACATATATATATATACCGAAAACAATAAAACCAAATCAACTTATATATTAATGAAATAATCTTATCTCTCTTTCTTTTAATTTACATTAGTCGTAAATAATAAATGTTTCACATGTAACCAAGAAGGACATTGGTCAAAAGAATGTCCAAACAAGGGAAAGCGATCCCGAAGTAGAACACCATCACGCGAGAGAGAGAGGGAGAGATCGAGAAGCAGGGGAAGACGTTCACCCAAACGGGACAAGCGATACAGATCCTCTTCACGCTCAAGAGACAGAGAAAGACGTAGAAGAAGCAGAAGAGACCGTTCAAGAGACCGTTCTAGAGACCGTTCCTACTCGAGGGATCGTTCCAGAGATAGATCCAGAGATCGTTCAAGAGACCGTTCTAGAGACCGTTCAAGAGACAGAAAAGAGGATCGTTCCTGGTCACGCGACAGATCCTACTCGAGAGATCGTTCAAGAAACAGATCAAGAGACAGAAATAGAAGAGATAGAAATAGATCAAGAGACAGAAAGCGATATAGATCATCGTCTAGAGATCGTTCAAGGGATCGATCAAGAGATAGAAAAGATAGAAAAAAAAGAGATAGATCAAAAGATAGAAAGGACAAGGATAGATCTAGATCAAGAGATAAAAAACGTTCATCAGGCAGTAGAGATTCCTCTCCAACAAAATCAAATGAACCAACAAATGCAAATAGTAGTTTAGATCATTCAAATGATAATAATCATCAAAATGGTTCAAATGGTCATGAAAATGGAAATGGAAATGGAAAATAAAAAAAAGATAGATAGAGTAAGAAGAGGAATCCAACAAACAAACAAACAAATAATAATAATAATAATTTTCATACCTTTAATTTAATTTAATTAATTCAACTCAACAACAACAAAAACATTAATATAATATTTAAAAATTATTTAATAAACAACAACAACAACAACAATTATAATTATAAAACAACAAAGAAGAAAGAATATTTTTTTTGAGGGTTGGTAAAAAAAAAAAAAAAAAAAAAGGTTAATCCCTTGTTTTTTTTTTTATATTTAAATAAAATATATATGTTGTTATTAGAGATCGGTGAAATTTACAGTTACTTGTTCTTTTGGTAAAAGGTTTTTTTTCATTTGATACATTCTTTCATCGGCACATTTGATCAACTTCTCGGTTGAAGTAGATTGAGATTTGGTAAATACAACACCACCAAAGGATAGAGATACCTTGATGTTTGTTTCGTTGGTGAGGTTGATACAGTCGGAAGATACACTTGATAAAAAGCCATCGATAAATTGGTTGGCATGTTCGGTCGATTCAACGTTGCGCTTGACAATGAGGAACTCATCGCCAGAAAGTCTGACTGGAAGGACAGACTCATCGGCAAGTTGTTGGAAACGATTGGCTACTGATTTGAGGACAACATCTCCATTGTCGTGTCCATAGGTATCATTGATTTGCTTAAAGTGATTGAGGTCGATAAAAAAGATGGAACAAAGGTCAGATGAAGACTTGTTACAAAACTTTTCAATCTTGTTATTGAGACGGTATCTATTTTGGAGACCGGTGAGTGGGTCGTGAGTCAAGGTATCTCGAGTACCTGAGTTGTTGTTTCTCTTGGCTATTGTCGAGAATGATTCCTTGAAAGATGCCAGTGGTCGGGTCATACTTTCCCGAGAGACGGTAGTTGGAAGAGGAGTTCTTGCACTTGATTTGAATGTCGCTTGGAGTAAATGGATTCATGGAAGAGGCGATCATATTATGGAGGACGACTGGGTCGATTTCGTGCGATTGACAAAACTCTTCGATAAAAATAAAACCTTCGTTGCTTTGCAAGTCAGACTTGTTATTGTTGTTGTTGGATGAAAGTGGGTTGGTGCTTTTTACAATACGCTTGTGGAAGTTGATTTCCAATATGGTGATGGCTGGTGTGAGGGAGAGGATTTCCATAAAGTGACTGGCTGAGCGAGTCAACTTTTTTTCACGCTTGTGAACAGTATATAAGAGGACAATTATGCAAAAGGCCATGTAAAAATAGTTGGATGGAAATAATGATGTTGGGAATCTTGTAAGTGAATCAAAACCTGCAAAATTGTGTCTATGTAAGGCCTCGCCCATCATTGGATAACGGAAATAAATATTTTCAATTGCCATTTTTTTAAATGTAATTATTGGTGGGGGTGGTGATCGATTAAAATTTAAACTTCGTAGTTTGTTGTTGTTGTTGTTGAGGAATTAGTTTTCAACGCTTTTTGTTATTTGTTATTATTGTTGGTTGATTAATTAATTGATTAATGATTAGAAAATAAAAATCAAAAGGTCTATTTATACAAAATGGAGGGATGGGAAGGATGGGATCAATTGGTGAAGAGTTTGTTGATTGATTGACTGATCTGGGATTATGGAGTGTTTGTTTTTTAGTTGGTGGGTAGGGATGGTGTTGGTTGGGAGGATGGATGGTGTACAAGAGAGAAGAATCTAAATTGGAGAGAGAATAATAGAGAGTTGTTAATATATAATATCAAGAAGAGGATTTAAAGGAAATACAATGGAGGAGATGGGTGGGATGATGATTCGAATAGATGATTGATTGATGATGATTTTGTGTAGATGGAGAGTGGGGCGATTGGAATATCGCTTGCGATTAGAGAGGGTAGGGATATTGCCAATAAATCCCACACCATGTTGAAGTTATGGGTATTTCAAGCGGCGTCCACCCCATCTCTACGACAGTGTCGCACCATACTGGCAAGTGACACACCCGGCCATCCAACCCGGCCGGTGATGGATGGTGACATGCCAATGGTGATCGGAGGAGGAGGAGGTGAGTGAGACTGTTGGCAACTCTAAAACCACTGTGTTGTTCCTGCTGCTGCTACTATGCTTCTCTTTGTTGGTGTACGTTCGCACATAGATGGAGCTCCCTTAAACATCTCCCACCAGATTAGCATAGGGATATTATGATTAATTAATTATCTTTTTAAACAGATACTTTGTTGTGCTGCTCGTGTTGCCAATAGCAACAATCACATATTTGGCATTTGTGCCTGTTACCCCTACACGTTTGGAATATTTCATGTGCACAAACTATTGGAGTGAAAACTGCTGACTCCAATTTTAGGGTAAATTTCCGAAACGAGGAGGAAACAGGGCAACCATTTATCACCCATCCCAGCAATACAACAGACAACAGACAACAGTATAAACAACAATAACAATAACAATAATAATGATAGTCTATCCACACCAGCACAAGCACAATTGCCCGCTGGAAACTAATGTCCCCAGATCAACTATTTGTTGATTGAGTGGTGAGCGAGTTTAAATTTGATTGGATTGTTGGTGTGTATTTTTTTTTCTTAATGGGTGGCGAATGGCAATTGATTGATTCCATCATCCCAATCCATCACCCCGCCAGAATTAACGACTACATCATGAATAAACAACACCCCTTTGATTGTTTTTTTTTTTCCTATCCAAACCCCCTCCCGCAACGCACCACTGCTCTTCCTGCTTTCCAGCTGCGCACATTATCAAGAAGTGTAAACGATATCGTTGGTTGAATGGATGGATGGATGGACGGACTGTTGGTAAAGTGGTAGTAGTGCTTTTAGAGTAAAAGTGTTTTTAAAATCGTTTAAAAAATGATATCATGTCAGATCAGCAAACTGATCAAAACCAGATGCTATCAGATCAAAAAAAACAAAACACATACAATTTAAATTCTAGGTTAATTATTATTTTTTTTCAAGAGTATCTTTTATCTTTCAAATTATATTCCCATCTGATCGTCCTGAAAGAAAAACAAGAACAAATTTGGATGGATAATAGAAAGTGATGACCCTATCCAAAATAAAATTAAAAAGTGAAATAGATCTATTCCTCTGTCATGATTGCCATGCAGACTATCCTTTTTTGAAATCTATGAAATTACAATTCATCTCGTGTGGTGATGTTATCATCTAGAAAGACATCGCGATGGTATATTTTTGTGATTGATAGACATAGTTTCATACTGCAGCCATGTTGATCTATTATTAGATCATAGAAAAACACTGGCAACACATAAAGAAGAAGAAGAATGGATGGATATGGGTGTATGCGTGTGGGAGAGTGTTATGCTAAAAAGCATGTTTACGTTTGTGTACGTATAACAAATAAAGCAAATAATAAATGGTGGGTGTTTACACACGGAAAAGAAATTCGCACAAATCGATGGGTGGATGGATGATTAATATAACACATCTTGATAAGGATTGGATTATTGTTTGAAAATATTCGAATGACTGTTGACTTGGATACCAACAATCAATCAGTGTGTGTGGAGAAAGAGGAGGACATGGATAGTGTGGTGGGTTGGTTGTTTAGTTGGGAGGAGGAATTGTACTTACAGAATTACAACAGACAATTATAGCTATATACGATCGTTACCAATATTACAAGAACAATTTTTTTAGTAACACAAAGATGGAGAGCATACACTTTGAATTATTACCAATTGCGAAGGGACAAGATATTAATGTGACAGACAATTAATATTGATTGATGAACCGAAGAGAGTGAAGGAATCTTTGGATTGGATTAGATTAAAAAATTATTATTATTATATCTGATTAAAAATATTTTTGACCGGTGGCGGTAATATTATTATTATTATTTTAATGTACTGTACTGGTTAGACAAGATTAATAAAGATTTTAAAGATGGAATATTATAATGCAACAATAATAATTTGAATAAATTAATCTGACTGTCTCTTGTTGGCTGGTTGTTTGCGTCTAATAAATAGTACACTAGTCACCTATGAGCAGACACACATGAATGCATGCATACATGTCAATGTTTGTTGGGTTTCGATGGTGCTGGGTTAACTGTTTGGTTTAACATTAGTAGGTAAAAGAGAGATTACATTGTTTAAGGAAATGGAAACATATAGTAGTAGTAAAACAGATACAAGGATTATACGGTATGGATATGGACGTGCCGACGTTAACGGGGGGAAATTACATTTCGTTTCATACAATAGGTAAAAGGATCATATCCAATATGTGATTGTCCATTCCCTTTGCTGTGGAGCATGTAAAGTATCTGCCGATGAGCTTGAGCCCGTCTAAAACTGTAAGGAAATCGACTTGCATTTAATTGAATCCGATATTACTGCAGGAAAGGGGTGTTTAATCCATAGTTGGAAATAACAATATCTTCCCCCTCCCACAATCGCAAAACAACACAACCACTGCAGTTTGTTGTGATATCACCACCTCTACCACAACCACTGCAACATGTTTCCCACATTGTTAGCATGGACATTCTTTTCCACTGCTACAAATTGGCAGAGAATATGTAATTTCAAATCGTATGATGGAATTTTTAAGTAAATTGATACCGATCGACCAACCACAACATTGGTTTGATTGCTTGATTGATCACACGTGAATAGTGGGTAAAGATAGATGGATGGGTGGATGGTGGATGGATGGATGGATTGTCCATGCATGTATATGTGATTGCGATGGATTAGTTGTTGAAAAAATATCCTTCTTTTTTTGATACACTTCGCAAATGGGATAAAGAGTTGAGTTCCATTGGAAAGTGTTGGGGGGAAATGGATTCATAGACATGACGATGGTATTTGATTCTTTTACAAAATGCCAAGATTGAGTGGTGCCAACGAAATCCTCTCTCTAGAACAATTGTCTTTTCATCTTTTTGATTCCTCTTGTTTGCGTGCGCCGTGCCGGCAATAGCTGGTCAACAGCTCCACAGTTGTTTTGGTTTATGGGGGAATGAATGAATGGATCGTGGGTAATGGGACCGACACTTTTAATCCTCTTGATTCATAAAAGTACAAATATTATTATCTAATTAATTGTATCAAGAGGGTAATGCTATTTCATTAAATCGGCGTTTCATCCATCATCATCCACAAACCAGTCTGGAAGATTAAAAACAATGGAAAATAATCCTAAGATTCACACCAACTGCCATTGAAACTAGCACTAGTTATAGAAACATAGATTATAGAACAATCTTTGTAGATCTCTTTCCAAATTAATGTTTAAATCTATCTTTTGCCAGATTCAAACACACACACATACATATATACCATATGTATATGCAGATTCGTTCGTTCGGTCGGTTGAATGTGGTGGATCTGATTCAAACAACCCCACCACCACCACGTTCATTCATACACACTCACACACTCTCGGCCAACCGATGATTTGTGGAAGAAGAAATTTCCATTCATTTCAAACTGGTCAGATTCAATTGACCTGTTGTTCCATTGTCATATTACCAAACTTGGTAAAAAAGTAGATGATTAACATAGATTCATCCAATATTTGAGGTAAAGGAATGGGATTAATCTTATTTACTTACTCTTCTTCTTCTTTTTTAATAATGCAAGATAGATTTAGAGAGATTGAGAGAGAAAGAGAAATGGATCGATCGATCAATCGATGACTGTCTATTGATTATTGAAATGATTACTTTTTCCGGGTTGTGGTTGTGGTGGGTTGTTGGGGTAGTGTTGGTTGAGAGATAGATCCGTTTCTAATTAATCAATCTTGTCTGTCCGTCCTTCTGTCAAGGTGTTTCTTTTAAAAAAGATGGAAAAGATAATGTAAACCATCTCTACTCTATCTTTTTCAATCATTCTTTGATTCACTAATTAATTGTGTTTTGTAAACGAGCTGGTCTATACAATATATTATTCTTTTTGCGCATGTTGTCCTTGTGTTGTAAGATGATGACGTCTATTTATCCACTACAAGTTGGTCATCTGACTAATCATATAATTCTAGAATTACAACTAGTTAATCAATCATAGAAGAAGAATAAGAGTCGGATGAGGAAGAAAGAGTAAGAGGTCTTTTTATGATCATAAAAAATATAATATTAAAAAGTCAGAATATTTAAAAATACCAAGTATTCATTATTTATTTGTAAATTCTGATCAAGATATCTAAATTATTAAATTCTAAATATATTATATATTATATTTTTTAATCTCGATATCTTGATATTAATTAAATAATTAATTAATTTTTTATTTTTTAATTTACCCACACCCACCACTCCTCTGCATCATGGGTTAGTTGGAGCAGTAGTTGTGTGTTTGGTTATCTTGTTTTAACATTATACTGTTGTTGTTGTTTAAACAAAAGAGGGCGGTTGATATTTTATATAACCCAACCAAACCAACCAACCAACCAACCAAGATTATTGTCATAATAAAACACACACAAATAAAGGTAAGTGACGGCAATAACAATCAACCAACCATCATCACCAACCACCCTTAGACGATGATGATGATGATGATGATGATCTAAACTGCTTTTGCAAAAGCCTATTCTGCACTATACTAACGTATTATGGTTCGCGTCAACACTTTCAAGATCATTTTAAAATGTCTACAACCGTATTCTCAACCATTATACGGTCAACCAAGTTGCTCATTTTTAGCCTATGCTTGACTGCGTTTGGGTTTGTCGTATTAAACCTATACTTGGGTCCAAAGATTCCAATTGAGGTATGTACAAACACAAACAACCTATCCTAGCTTTTTTTCAAATAACAATAATGTGACGTGATCATCATCAAGCAATTAATCAATCAATTATCAGTTGATTAATTGATCAATATATTGCACAAACCGGTTGACAAAAGAGAGAGTGTGTGTTGGTTGATGATTGATGGTTGATGATTGAAGCAATATACGTACAGACACAACAGTTGACTTATCGTTTGATAATCGATTCACTCCCTCATTAATTAATTAATTATCGGTTCACCATGCATACGACGGTGTTTTGTTTGTTGTTGTCTCTCTCTAGATATTGGATAAGCAATTTGGATACCAAGCAGAATATGCTATTAAAGAACTGTCAACCTTGACCAAAGAAGAAGTTGAACACTATAAATGGGCTTACAATTCTGGAATGGATATCATCTTCCCTATTTCCATCGCTGTTGATATGATGATTGGTCTAGCTAAACTGTACACCCACAACAAGTTTGTCACGGTCATTCAGTTCCTACCGCTCATGTTTATGTTCTCTGATCTGATTGAGAACTACTACATTTATAATACGCTAAAACAATTTCCGTTATCTCCAGCAAGCGACCTTCAATTAATTCAATCCTATCTTAAAACTGGTTCCCAACTAACCATTTCAAAGTATATTTGGTTTGGTATGTAATTGATAATAACCATCATTTTTTTTATTGCCATTATCATCATATATGATATGGCGCCATATCTCTTGGACAACTCACTAACTCATTCTTTTCATCAACAACAGTTGTTTGTATATTATTTTTAATTGTTGGTTTCTCTCCAATTAATAGATCAAGACAGGAAGCCAAACTATTGGAAAAACAAAATCAATTAAAAGCAAAATAATTAATCGCCACCATCAATTTGATTAGATTTAGATTTCGATTTAAAAGGGTCAATATAATAAGTTTATTTTTTTTTGAAAATGTAAATAATTTTTTTTTTGATTTGTTTTCCTTTTTATAATTGACCTGGATTACGCCAATTAATGTTACCATTATGAGATCTGATAGCTTTTGGAATTTCATGTTTGAGAATGGTTGAATTTAATAATTCATATCTTTCCTTTGATAGTTTTAATTGAACACCACGTTTTAATCCTGCATCTTCTTCACCATGTGCATCCAAATAAGATGAGCCAATGAATCCAATACAACCATCGAAAAAGGTTAATACAATCGAGTGTTCGACGAGGACATATACACCAATATCGCCACCACATTTTCTAGAGTGAGTGGTTACCTCTCCTTCACCATTTTGTTCACGACAGCACATGGCGCTGGCACACACCATACTACCGCATAAAAGACATACGACTTGGTCTCGCTTTGATGGCACTAGATCACATCTCTTACACTTGATATTGCATGCAAAGATATCATCATAGTTGTTTGGTAATGGAATAATATGGAAATATTCAATATCCTCTCTTTGAATGGTTGATAATTCTTGTGATGGCGTAGTAGTTGAAGTTGTAGAAGTTGAGGTCGTCAAGGTAGTAATTTGTTGTTGTTGTTGTGTTGGTTGTGATGATTTAATATTTCTATAATCAATTATATAATTTAATAATGAACTGTGGAATGGTTGTAAATGATCACCTTGGAAGAAAGATAGATGTGGAAGAGTACGAGATACCGAAAAGATATGATCTAGGATAGACAATCTTCTGAGGAGGATAGTATGCTTGACCAATTGCTCAGGGGTAGCCAATTGATCTGGATTTCTTGAAATGATTATTTCATTTGAAATCATTTTATAGGTTTCCAAATTGGTCACTCTAGATGATTTACTAAACATAGTTAACAATAATTTGGTAAAATCATCATGTCCAGTTTCTTCTGCAGCATCTATATCCATACTATTGTTACTAGATGGCATGTTAACAAATACATAAAGAACATCCAATAAACTTCTTAATGAATTTATAATTTTTTCATCAATATTTGATCTTGCAAGATTCCAATCACTATTAAAAAAAAATATATATAAGTAAAAAAATAATAATCTTTGTTCATTTTTTTTTTGTTTGATTAAACATACCATTGATATCTTGATTGATATTCAAGAGAATTAATAGTTGATTCAAAAATATCAATGATTGAGAATTTTTGACTCTTGTCATGGTTTAGATTAATACCACGAATAAATCGGTTGGTAATTCTCTTTTGGAAATGCTCAAAACATTCCTGGAGACTAGTTTCCTTTAATTGTTCCCAATTATTGGTACCGTGTGTCATAGTTCCATTGTTTTGCAAGAATGAATAATCCTTTGGAACTGGTGGTAAAAGTGCATTTGAATGGGATGTACAAAGTGGACAAATAACAAAATTAGGTACTTGTTTTGATTCCAATGTTTTATAACATTTAAAATGTAATGAATGTCTAAAATAAAAAATAATTAGATAAATTAATAAATAATAAATAATAAATATTCTTCTTTTCTTTTGGTTTGTTTTTCCTTTACATACCCACAAAAATGTGAAATTAAATTAATATTATCATTTGTATAATATTTAAAATCATAATCTTTTTGATCTTTGGTTTTGAAATGATATTTGGAATCTGAAATATTTTGGTGACGTTCAGACATGATCTTGGAGAGACGAGAACGTTGGACAAGACAGAGGTTACCAATTGGATTGTTGTGGTCGTTGACATAGGTCTCCTCACGACAAAGAATACAAGTCTTTTTGGGATTGTTTTCAGCCTCTGTATTCTTTCTGAGTGTGTCTTGGTCGAGCTCATCCTCGTCGTCTGAGAGATCGTCGCCAGAGATGGACGACGTAAACATCTTTTGTTGTCTGGTGAATTGCTCCATAATCTTTTTCTTTGCTTCCAACATTCTGCGTTGCTTTTCTTCGTCTTCTTGTTCGGCAGACGATGAAATGCGGAGGTTGCTTGGACTACTGTTATTGTTGTTATTGTTGTTGGTTGACTTGGTTAGAAGAGACAAAAGTTCCAAGACTGATGGGTGGAAGTACTTTTTAGACTGGTCCGAAGAGATGGCTTGGAGCAGGTCGTAGATGGACACGTTGGAAGGACTGTGCTTCTTGTGCACGTGGTCAACGACCATCTGTAGACGGTTGGTCACACTGTTGTCATTGTGGTTGAGCTTGTTGCTCGACTCGTCAACCGCCATAAACAAGAGATGCACAAGATGGTCGATGACGTCAGTACGCTCGACACGACGTTGCGACGTATCAAACTCATCCAATGCTGCAAGATCTTCCATCTCTACAACACATTGGTACATACTGTAAAACATAAGACTGTACAACTCCTCGGTGTACAAAGTCTCTAGAATAGCTCTAAACTCTTGTTTGATGGGTGGCATCAATGGCAAACGACGTAACTTGCTTCCGCTACTTCCACCACTATTTGACTTTTCATTGTTACGATGAGAATCTTCAGCACGCTCGCGCTCCTCATTAGAGTAACGTGAATAGTACTTGTTGTAGACATTGGAAAACTCTGGTTTCAACGAAAACTTTCCTTGTTCTTGTAGTGATGGAGAAATGTAGTTTGCCACTTGATTCAACACCTTTTCAACAGTCTTTGTTGAAATATCCAAATATCGTTTCTCAATGCCAAAACTGCTAATCAATTTGGTAAATGTACGATTCTTTAAATATAATCTATGAATCACATCATATTTAATAATCTCTTCATCACTAATATCTCCAACAAATGATCTTTCACTTATCAATGTTATCAAAAATCTAAAAAAGTTTGATAATACTCCCATCTAAAAATAATAAAAGAAAAAAGAATGAATAAATACAAAGAATAAATATATTATGATAATCATTTCCTCTACTTACTTGATGATTATTAAGTGAATGATTTGTTTGGAATAAAGATCTTGATAAAGATTTAAAATGTGAAAAATAAACCTTTAAAAATGAATTTGGTCCAATTACACAACATAAAATCTATAATTGATGCGAATTGATTAGTATTATATATCAAATTTAGCTTCTTTCTTTTTCTTTCTTTTGACATACTTGTTTTAAAAAGAAATCAGGTTCAAAGAAGAAATAACGTAAATAGGAATGAGAATTATAATTAAATATTTGAGAGGTAATTGGACTACCATTCTTTAACCACATTCTAGAATTACTCTCAGAGATGAGATTATCAATACTTGCAAGACCATAAACCAACTCGCCAGCCAATTGTTGGTTATTGTACAATGATTCGGTGTATTGTTTAAAGGTGATTGGATTATTTCGATGACCAACAAACTTTCTAACCAACAACAATGTCAATTTGGATAGTGCACGATGAATTGGTAAATGGAATGATGTACCTTCTGTAGTTGTTTTTCTCATCTTTGAAGCTGCATTTTAAAAATTAAATTGATTGTATTTTTAATTGCTTGTCCCTAGAAAATAAAATAAAATAAAATAAAATAAAATAAAATAAAATAAAATAAAATAAAATAAAATAAAATAAAATAAATTAGTTTCCTTTTTCTTTTTTTCTTTTTTCTTTTTTCTATTTACATTTTCTTCAAAATGATCATCATTATGTTCAATTAAAGATGAAAAAATGGCAAAAGTTTGTTTATCCAAAGCAAAGGAATGAGTAAAGTAATTAACCCATGAACTAGATTCTGAAAAGGTTTGAACGTTTCGAATATTTGGATTGGAGAGATGGAAAAGAGACATGGCATCTATCCATTGAATGAAAAACTTGGATTCCACCGCATTGTTCATCATGTTTCTAAATACAGGATAAATGGACAATACATATTGAATATCAACAAAAACATGTTTGATTCTTTCAAAATAATAATAATATTTATGTGGTGAATTCACAACTCCATCATCTTTTAATTCTCCTTGGAATCTAAAATAATTAAATAAATTAATAAATTATGATTTGATTATTATTGATATTTGATATAGTTTTTACATACGGTGGAGAATTAATATCTTTAACTAAATGTTTTTGAGCAATTGAATAGATTGAAGTCAAGAGAGTTTCCAAGATTTGATACTTTTCAACCAAGAGAGTTGTAATGTATGGGATGGTAAATATTTGAACAGTTAATGAAAGCATTGAAGTGTCGTGATCATAAATATCCTTTGCAAAATTATCGGTAATGATTGGATAAGATTTGGCAAAACAAATTGAAAAATCAATCTTGAATCCTCTATCAAAAGTCAAAGAGAATAACCAATTCTTTAATATCTCTTGTTTTGAACTTGGTAAATACTTTTAAAAAAAAAAAGTAACAAATATTAGTACAAATCTTTTGAATAATATTTGTTTGTTTTTTTCATTACATACTTGATAATAAGTTAGGAAATATTTTAATCTACAATTATCATGATCAAATACGTTACCATCATCATGATGGTATTGACCCATGGGACGAGTTAAAAGATTGCAAAAGATACGTTTAAAGCATGGAAGGGGAGTGAGGTGTACAAATAGTTCCAAAATACTTGAAAAGTTTTGGAATGGGAAAGCTTGGAAACGACGGGTAAGAGTAGCCTTTAGATTGATTTTATCCAATGACTTTAATACACGATTGCATTCAGATCGAGCTCCAATAAATACTATACACTTTCCATTCATATGAACATAATGAGCATAATCGGTTGCTGGTCCACGTTGTAATCCAATGGCTGCTTTCAATTCACCTATTACCGATTGGAATGAATTATGGTCATCATTATAAATTAATACTCCATAACAATCTTCATCTAATTTCTAGAATAGAAAAAAAAAAAAGAGAGTAAATAAATAGTATAATAACAATATTTAGGTTTAGTATACTTACAATATTATAATTTCTTGATGGATCATTATAATAGAAATATAATTTTTGTTGGAAAAAGATGTCTGAAGAATCACGAGATTCATTGTTACGAAGAGTATTGAGAATAATATCCAAAAGATAACCCAATACACGTTCACAATAAGCTAAATGACCTTCACCCAAATCTTCAATTGGTTTTAAAATAACTTGATCAACTTCCAAAACATCTTTATGTTTTGAACAAAATCCTTCTTCTTTCCATGAATCACTATCTCCACCTAGAAAATTTAAAAATAATAATAATAAGTAAAGTTGCAATAGTTTTTATAATATATATATTTATATCTCTCTACATACAATCACAGCAACCACCTTGACCAACTCTAATCATTTGATAGTCATGACCTTCATGATTAGAATCTCTAAAACATTTTTCACAAAGAACACTAGTAGAATCTTCTTGACATTGTTTACATTGGAATCCCCATTCACCATTTTTGAATACATATCCACATGTTGTAATGGTTTGTTTTTCCTTTATATCTTCAAAACAATTTCTTTGTTGCTAAAATAAATAGATTAATAAATATACTTTAATATATTATCTTTTTCTTTTTTTTTTTTAAACTACATACATCACCAGTTGTTAACTTTGTTTTAAGATCATCTAAAAATCTTTCAAATAGTTTAGTGTTGCTTGTATGAGATGCAATCTTTATCCAATCGAGTAGATCACTATCGATTTGTTGTTGTTCAGTGATCCAATCAATACAAGTATCCAATGTCGATTTGAAATCCAATGATCTTGAAACCAACGATGGTTTGAATCCAAATTGTAATAATGCACTATACATGTCTCGGTATAGTTGTGAAGTTGGTGAAATGATTGATGATTGTTGTGAATCTGCTGTACTTGTTGTTGATGTTGTATTTGACGAATAGGAAGAGGAGGAGGTATCCTTTTTCTGATTTGTAAATGGGTCAACAATAGCTTCAAGTTTAGCAATACGGTCTAATAGAATAGGTGTTCTTGGTTTATAATTATACATTTCCTCATCCAACTTTATATTCTCCTTATCACTTTCAGTTGAATCTGTACTTTGATCCAATGCACTCTTTCTTGAAGAACTTCTATTATTATTATTATTATTATTGTTGTTATTGTTATTGTTATTATTGTTGTTATTTCTTTCTCTGTTTCCAAAAACATCCAATAATTGTCTAAACACTCCTGGGTCAAGACCACCTTCAACTAATTGTTCAAGTGCCAATTCAGCTTCTTCATCTACTTCTTCTTCATCTTCATCATCATCATCAAGGTCATCGCCATCTTGTTCAACGTCTTCTCCATTATCATCGATTTGTCCAGCACGTAGTCTAGCCAAAAATCTTCTAAATGCAGGGCTCATCATTTCCATATTCTCTAGTATTCCAGCTGCATCCATATCCAAAGGATCTTCTTCATCTCCTTCTTCCTCTCCATCATCAACTTCATCTTCATCTTCATCATAGGAATGATCTTCAAAAATTTGGTCTTCTTCTTCCTCTTCTTCAACAGATGCACCATCATCATCAACATCATCAACATCATCAACATCATGATCCATTGAATCTTCTAATTCAACCTCATCTTTGGTGGTGTTACTATCTTCTTGATTATTGTTGTTGTTATTATTATTATTATTGTCATTGGGTGGTGCTTCATCACCACCTCTTCGTAATCTAAACATCTTCTTCTTATCTACTATTACTACTACTGACCTGATATGTGAGGAGTTGTGAATAGATGTATTAAATAGATAAAGTAGATGTATCGTGTAGGTGTGAATGTTAATGAGTCAACAACACTCACTTCCCTTCCTCACAGTCAATCCCATCATAAAAAAACAAAAACCAAATAATACGATTTTCAAAAAAATACTAAAGTACTAATACTTGGAAACAAAATCAGAACCAAGTCGTATTATCAACATTATAGTTATCAAATATGATAACAAAGAAATGATATTTTACTACTACTCTTGATTATTAAATATTGTATTATACATTACTTAAATAAATTTTTAAAAAATCACAACAACAAAAATTACAAATAATTAAATTTGTGAAAACGAACGAGTCTTAACGAAAAACGAATTGCTCATATTTATTTATTATTTGTTTTTGATTTATATATAGAGAAAAAGATGGTTAGAAAGAAAGTAGATAATAGAGTTAGAACAGTGATTGAGAATGCTGTTGCAACCAATCATAGATCATTCTTGGTGTTGGTCGGTGACAGAGGTAAAGACCAAATACCAAACTTGCATTACATTCTCTCAAAGAGTGTAGTCAAAGCTCGTCCAAATGTATTATGGTGTTACAAAAAGGATTTAAATCTTTCAAAGTATGTATATTATATATATATATATAATAAATATATAGATAGTATTATAGTTAGTTTAGAGACAGATAGATGAATGAATGATCTAACTTGGATTCTTTTATCTTTTGATATATCTTAATTTTTTGTAGGAATAGAAAAAAAAAGATGAAAGTAAAGGAGACGATTAAACAAACCAATGGTAATGTGACAGTGAATGGTGAGGATCCATTTGATGTATTTGTATCGACTACCAATATTAGATACTGCTTTTATTCAGAGACACATAAGATTTTGGGTAACACTTTTGGTATGTTGGTGTTGCAAGATTTCGAAGCTATCACACCTAATCTTTTGGCACGTACTATTGAGACGGTCGAGGGAGGAGGTATGGTTGTTTTGTTGCTCAAGACAATGTCTTCACTCAAGCAGTTGTACACCATGTCGATGGACGTGCACTCGCGTTTCCGTACGGGTGAGGATGGTGCCAAGACGACCAACTCGGACGTCGTGTGTCGTTTCAACGAACGTTTCCTCTTGTCGTTGGCCAAGTGCGAGCAGTGTTTGGTGATGGACGATGAGTTGAACGTACTCCCATTATCGTCCATGTCGCGTACCATTGCACCGGTAGAACGCGTGCTAGAGACCAAGGACGACGTGGAGTTGCGCGAGTTTAAGCAGTCAACCCACGACACGGATATCGCCGGGCCGCTGATCGACAAGTGTCGCTCGATCGACCAGGCCAAGAGCGTGCTCACATTTATCGATGCCATCTCGGAAAAGACGCTGCGCAGCACCGTCACGCTCACCGCCGGCAGAGGACGTGGCAAGTCGGCGTCGCTGGGGCTGTCGATCGCGGCCGCCATCGCGTTTGGCTACTCCAACATCTTTGTCAGCTCGCCGACGCCAGAGAATCTCGTCACACTCTTCCAGTTTGTGTTTAAGGGATTCGACGCCATGGAGTACACCGAGCACGTCGACTATGAGTTGGTCAAGTCGACCAACCCCGAGTTCAACAATGCTATAGTCCGCGTCAACATCTTCCGCTCGCATCGTCAGACTATCCAGTACATCCAACCGCAAGACTACCAGAAACTCGGCCAAGCAGAGCTCGTCGTCATCGATGAGGCTGCCGCCATCCCCCTCACCTACGTCAAGAACCTGCTCGGGCCCTACCTCGTCTTCCTCTCGTCGACCATCAACGGCTACGAAGGCACCGGTCGCTCGCTCTCCCTCAAGCTCATCAAGCAGCTGCGTGAGCAAAGCGGCACGTCGGCCGCCAACCCCAACGCCATGGCCAGTGTCTCCGGCCGTGTCTTGCGTGAGATCCAGCTCCTCCAACCCATCCGTTACGCTTCCAACGACCCCATCGAACGTTGGCTCAACGAACTGCTCTGTCTCGACGCACAGGTCCAAGTCGACAAGAAGGGTGGCTGTCCACACCCCAACGACTGCCAACTCTACTATGTCAACCGTGACTCGCTCTTTAGCTACCATCGTGCCTCTGAAGCCTTCCTCCAACGTCTTGTCGGGCTCTTTGTCGCATCCCACTACAAAAACACACCCAACGACCTCCTCCTCATGTCTGACTCGCCGGACCACCACATCTTTGTCTTGCTCGGTCCCATGACCGACGACGGCTCCGGGCTCCCCACCATCCTCTGCGCCATCCAAGTCAGTCTTGAAGGAGCTATCGCCAAGGAAGCTATCCTCAACTCGATCAGAAAGGGATACCAATCCAGCGGCGACCTCATCCCATGGACCCTCACCCAACACTTCCAAGACGAAGATTTCCCACGTCTCTCTGGTGCTCGTGTCGTCCGTATCGCAACTCACCCCGACTACCAAAAGATGGGTTACGGTACTAAATCTTTAGAATTATTAACTCAATATTATCAAGGTGATATTAATACAATTAATGAAGAAATGGATGAAGATGAAGAAAATGAAGATGATGAAGATGAAGAAGAAGAAGCTGAAGAAGAAGTTTCATCATCAACTATTTCAAAATCAAATTTATTAATTGAAAAGATTAAACCAAAGAAGAATTTACCACCATTATTATACAAGTTGACAGAAAGAAAGCCAGAACTACTTCACTATGTTGGTGTCAGTTATGGTGTCACCTCCCAACTCTACCAATTCTGGTCAAAGTCTGGATACCTTCCAGTCTACCTTCGTTTGGCATCCAACGATATCACTGGTGAACACAGTTGTATCATGTTGAAGGAATTAAAGATTGGTCAAGAACAACAAACCATTGCATCCGAAGGTTGGTTGTCTTCTTTCTACCAAGATTTCAGAAAACGTTTCATTTCACTACTTGGTTATGATTTTAGAAATTTCCAAGCTTCCCTTGCTTTAAATATACTTCAAGATAAATTAAATAAGGATAATATTGAAAGTAAGTAAATGGAAAATTGAAAAAGAAAAGAAATATTGATATTAATTTTTGGTTTGATTTTTAGACGAATTTAATTATAAAGATTTAGATTTATATTTTTCAAGTTATGATTTAAAGAGATTGGAATCATATACAAATAATCTTGTTGATTATAATGTAATTGTTGATATGTTGCCAATGGTTGGTAAGTTATTGTTTAGCAATCAATTGAATCAAGTTAGATCCAACCTTTCGTTACTTCAAATGGCCGTGATCTTGGCCATCTCTTTGCAACACAAGTCTTTGGATCAGTTGGCCACCGAGCTCAACGTCCAACACAACCAAGTCTTGTCTGTCTTTTCACAAGCCATGAGACGTGTCTCGCAAGCACTCAAACAATTCAAGCAACAATCCATCGACGACTCTATCCCCAAACCAAAGAAGGTGTTCAAGAGCAAGAACGCTATCGTTGAAAGTGTCCAAGATGAATTGGAATCGGAAGAAAAAAAGATTAAAGAAAAATTGTACGCAAAGCAAGAAGAAGAAGAGGAAGAAGAGGAAGTGTTGGAAGAACCTAAAAAGGTCAAGGCATTGACTGAAAAGGAAAAGAAAAAGGCAAATGCCGGAAAGAAGGATTTGGATATGGACCAATTCAAGGAATATTTAATCGATCAAGATGAAGAGGTTTGGAGCAAGGCTTTAAAGGGAGGTAAAATCCCAACTACCATCTCTGTCCCTTCGGCTGCTGGAAAACGTAAACAAACTGATGGTGGTGACGATGAAGATGGATCCTCAAGTAAAAAGGAAGCCAAGGATATTCAAGACCCACATCACCAATTAAAAAAATTAAAAGAATCAAAACAACAACAACAACAACAAAAAGGTAATTCTAAAAAGAAATCATTTAGAAAGTAAAGTAAATAAACAATAGATCACCAAAAATCATGATGATCTCTTTAAATCTACACAAACGAGAGATCAAAAAGAAGATCTTTTTGTTTTTTTAAAAATAAAATTATAAAATTTTAATTGAAACAGAAACTTTACTACACCATTGCATTGATCTGTTTAAACACATTGTACAAAGATATACAAAGAAGAAAGAGAGAGAGATAGAATGGAGGAGAATAACCAAGTAATAAGAAAATCAATATCAAGAATTGAAAGTATATCAAATCATTTACAAGTTGTTAATGTCGCTGTAACTGAACAACAACAACAACAACAACAAGTAAAAGATCAAGTAAATGTTGGTGGTAGCGTAGATTACTATGGTTTAAATGATTTATTGAATGATAAAGAAAGATTAATTAGAAAACAAGCAAAACAATTTGCTGAATCTAAAATATTACCAATTGTAAGATGAAGATGAGATATATTTATATTTATAATTGAAAGAAACTAACTATATAGTTTGTTTGTTCTTTCTTTCTTTTTTACCTATAGGCAAATAAATATTATGAAAAAGCAGAATTCCCATTTGAATTGATACCATTATTAAAACAATTAAAATGGGCAGGAGGTAATATAAAAGGATATCAATGTCCTGGAATGACAGCAACAGAGTTGGGTATGATTGCAATGGAATTTGCAAAGGTATCGGCTGATATTGCAACCTTTTATTCTATACTTCAAACCATCTCAATGTTGCCCATCTACTATTGTGGCAGTGAACTACAAAAACTAAAATACTTGCCAAAGATGGCTGCTATGGATTCGATTGGATGTTTTGGTTTGACAGAGCCATTGGCTGGATCAGATGCATCTGGACTATTGTGTGAAGCTCGTAAAGTTGATAATGGATGGATACTCAATGGAGAGAAACGTTGGATTGGCAATGCTCCCTTTGCAGACATTATCATTGTTTGGGCACGTGACACCGAGTCAAAGAAAATTAAAGGTTTCATCGTTGAAAAAGGTACACCAGGTTTAAATGTTGAAACTATTAATAACAAAATATCTCTTAGAATGGTTCAAAAGTAGGTACTTAGTGTACATACAATCTAAAATATAATAATCTATAATATAATATATTAATATCATTTACTTACTTTATTTTTACTAGTGGACATATATATTTTAAAGAATGTTTAATATCAGATGATCAAAGATTACCAAATGCAAATGATTTTAATAGTGGACCTGGTAAATGTTTGTTTTTAACTAGAATCATGGCAGCATGGATTTCATTGGGTGTAGCTGCCAATGCCTATGAATCATGTTTCAAATATGTACAATCTAGAAAACAATTTGGAACACCTCTGTCTAAATTCCAATTGATCCAAGAACGGCTGGTAAAGATGTTGGGTAATCTCCAAGCAATGACACTCATGTGTCTACGTGTCTCTCATCTCTTTGACCAACAGAAACTAAGTTATGGACAAATTGGATTACTCAAAGCCTATTGCACAAGTCACGGTCGTGAAATTGTTAGTCTTGCTCGTGAATGTGTCGGTGGTAATGGTATTGTCACCGATTATGGTGTGGCTCGTAGTTTTGTTGATATGGAAGCTATCCATACTTTTGAAGGTTCCTATGATATCAATACTTTAATTGCTGCTCGTGAAATTACTGGTCATTCATCTTTTCGTTAAAATATAAATAAACAAAACAAATAAATATAAACAAACAAATCTAGAATCAATCGATCTATCTCTATTCACCTCTATTTATCTATCTATCTATTTTTTGGTTAAAGGTTACATTGTAACTGTTTGTTGTTAGGTTTAAATTAATATCTATCTACCTCCTATTGTCTCCTAACACCCCCCTTAAAAGGGGAAATGGATGAATGAATGGATGAATGATGAGTCCGTCGCCATCGTCGTTTCCAGGCGACCATGACATCGTGACGATAAAAACTTTCTCCCTTTGGGTAGTTTAGTAAGGGAGGGAGGGAGATTTTTGTATCTTTGTACATGTAGCGCTCGAGCCCAACCAGCAAAGGGTACGATCGTACACCAAGCAAGGGCTGCAGGTGCCCCCAAAAACATTTTAAATAAAAAAAAAAAAAAAAAAAAAAAGAAATTTTTCAACAATTAAATTTAATTACCCTACAAAAAGTCTAAAACTTATTGATACTACCGTCTTGTGCTGAAACCATCATCATCAATCATCGATAATCAATCCATCAATCATTCATTACATACACACTATATATTCATTATATATAATATAATATAAAAGAGGAGAGGGATATATATCTTGAAGAAACATTATTAAAAAAGGTGATTAATCAGTAGTAATAATAGGGTCAACAAACAACAACACTCCCAAAACAAACAAACAAACAAACAAACAAACTCGACCCCCCACAAATAATAATAATAATAATAACAAATTATAAAGAGAATATCGTGGTAATAGCAGAGATAAAGCAATCATATAGTTAGTTATAGTAGTAGTATTTAGTAAAAAGACGAATAGTAAATAGACTATTTATATTCAGTCGACTCGTTTGAGAGGAACTATAGAGTAGTAGTAATAGTAATAGTAATAGTAGTAGTAGTAGTAATAGTAATCTTATACCTATAGTGAAAGATGACGTCCTCACCGTCATCTTCAAAGATGGTAAAGAAACAACCACCTCAACTCAATGTCAAACAATTGTCTGATAGGTTGGGAGTTGTCATCTCTCCAGAGGACCCAGGAACTATATTTCAAAAACAAGAGCGTCTGGGTAAAGGTTCTTTTGGACAGGTATTCAAAGCGATCAATATGAGCGATGGCAAGGTCGTAGCAATCAAGGTCATCTCACTTGACGACCCCGAGGCCATCAAAGACGTACAAAAGGAAATCAACATTCTAGCAGAATGCAACGACATTAACATTGTCAAATACTATGGTAGCTACTTTAAGGATCACCAACTTTGGATCGTTATGGAGTATTGTGGAGGTGGCTCAATCGCCGATTTGGTTCAAATAACAGAGACTGGTTTGTTGGAGGATGAAATCGCTCTCATCTGTAGAGAAGCTCTCAAAGGTCTGACCTATCTTCATGAATGTAAAAAGATTCATAGAGATATTAAAGGTGGTAACATTTTATTAAATGATCAAGGTGAAGTTAAATTAGGTATGAATAGAAAAAATATAGTAGTAAACAAATGATGATGGTCCTAACTCTTTTCTTTTTTTTTTTTATTAGCTGATTTTGGAGTTAGTGCACATTTATTTAGTACATTTTCTAAAAGAAATACATTTGTTGGAACACCATATTGGATGGCACCAGAAGTTATATTGGAAAATAAGTATGATGGAAAAGCTGATGTTTGGTCATTGGGTATCACTGCCATTGAAATGGCAGAGGTCATCCCTCCCAATGCAAATGTACATCCAATGAGAGTTATTTTTATGATTCCAAGAGAAGATTCTCCTTCTTTACAACAAAAAGAGAAATGGTAAAAACAAACTAAAAAGGAATAATAATAATAATAATGGTAATGTCTATTTCTAATTCTCTATTTTTTTTTTTTTTTACTTTTCTTTTAGGAGTATGGTATTTCAAGATTTTTTATCAAAATGTTTAACCAAAGATCCATCAAAGAGACCAACGGCATCTGAAATGTTGAAACATGAATTTGTTCAAACGACAAAGCCAATTACAGTGTTGGGAGATTTGGTTGAAAAATGTAGAAACATTTTAAACAATGCCGAATATATAGATGAAGACGAAGAGGAAGACACGTTTGTTGAAAAGAGTGATGACGAGGGTGATTACTCGACCGTTGTCACCAAGGATGTAGAATATTCGACTGTCATTTCAAAGGATGAAAACTACTCGACCGTTGTCACCAAAGATGAAAACTATGAAAACTACTCGACCGTAGTTTCAAAGGATAGCAACTATAGTACTGCCAAGGATGACGACAATGAAAACGGCAATTATTCAACCGTGGTGACAAAAGATGACATGTACAGTACTGTTGTATCAAAGGATGAAATCTATAATCAAACACCAACCAAACAACAACAAAATAGTAGTAATGGTTCATCACCAACTCAGGTTAAGAAATTAGTAAACAAACATAACAATATTGCTGGTAATAATAATGAAAATCAGACACCTTCTAAAGAGAATAATAATGGTCATTCAATATTATCACCTTCAAATCAAAAACCACCTCTACATAAAAATATTACTAATAATAATAATACTAATGGAAAAATTCTAACACCAATTAAACCAAATAATAATAATAATAATATATCAGCTCCTTCACCAAATAATAATATAATACCAAAGAATATTAAAGTACTTAAAAGTCCTTCACCTCCCACCAACAACAATAATAATAATAATAATAATAATAATAATAATAATAATAATAATAATAATAATAGTCCACCATCTCCATCAACAAAGCCTGTCAACAAATCTAATCAATCAAAAAATATAAAATCAAAACTACCAAAAGAAACTTTACCTGAAAGTGTAAGTAAATATATCTCATCTCAAAACAACATTTTATTAATCTAAATTTATTTATGTTAGTTGCACGCAATTTATAGGAGTGATTGTACCATTCAAATACCATTTTTAACTCTAGGAAATATTCCTTCTGATTGTTTATTAAGTACTGAACCAAAATATAATGATTTCACATCAACTCTTGGTGATTTATGTTCTGATCAAGATGTAAGATAGAAAAAAAAAAGTAGTAGAAAAATCACAACCATCCATACTTAATTCTTTTTTAGATAAATAGTTTAAGATTTTCTTTTAGTCCTTCAGTTGGTAATATATTTAAAGCATTGACATATCATAAAGATAGACAAGAAAACGTAGTAATGAGCCAAAAGGAAAATATTCAAAATATGAAAGTCATTGGAGATTTGAGCTCAACTGTAAAAACAATTTATAGGTTATAAATTAATCGATAGATAATTAATAATTAATAATTAATAATAATAATAACAATAATAATAATAGTAATAGATGTCATCAATTTGTAATAATAATATCATCCAAAAACATTCTCATAATATAACAAAAAAACCATCATCAACCAATGGTTATATCTCTCTCAATCCGAAATGTTTAAATGTTTTATAATTATTCTTATTTGTTTGATTGTTTTTTTGTATTTATATTTTACAAAGTTTTGTTTTTGGGATTGATTTTTATTTAAGGTTAATGATTACTTGTAATTTTGATTCTCTTTCTTGTTCTTTTTTATCTCTTTTTTTTTCTATTCATCTGGTTTCTTGTGACAATAAAGACTTGGGACAATTTCTCTAGTGAATTTGATGCCACTGACAATGTTTGGATCAGTGCTTTGAAGCATATTGGAGAGCTTATCGGTTAAAATTGTTTTCTGGTCAGCAGAAACATAGGTGACGTTTTGGTCGTTGGTGAGAATGATGATCGAGTTGTCTACAAAGTTTACTTGAATCGTCTTGTCGCTTAATCTGAATGCAATTCCCTTGGGTGTCTCTTTCCACTTTTTTACATAGACTGGTGAAGCCAAAGAGTCGTCAGTGTATAGGATTCGCTGTTGTCGTTGTAGTTGATGACGATAGTTGATATTAAATTTTACAGGTTGCTGAAGGAAGCGATTGGAAAAGTATTTCATGAGGGTTACCTTTTTCTGGGTGTCGTGTGGATGCTCCTCGTTGATATTTAAAATTCTCTTGCCGTCGCCGTCATCTCCCTTGGCATGCTCCATGTAATATGCAATACCAGTGTTGAGAAAAGTAATCACCTTGGTGGAATCGTTAAAGTAGGCTCCAACCGATCCGTTTGACAAATTGTATGCCATTCCATATTTGCTGGTAAAATCTTCAAATTGACTAACAAATACCAAATCTCTTGGGAATTGACAACTCTTTGCAAAGGCGGCTGATGGGGAAATAGCCTTGACCGGTTCGGAAATATGATTATTGGCAATTCTAGTCTCCAAATCTTTAACATTGGTACAAATTTGTGCTTGTTCTGGTAATGCTAATTTTTGTTTTAATAATTTAGTTTTTAAATCTAAAAAAATAGAAAAATAAATAAAAATATTAGTATGGGATGGTATTTTCTTTTTCTTTTTTTTTTTCTTTTTTCTTTACCATTTTCTTTCATTTTTTCTAATCTTCTTAATTTTCTATAATGGAAATCATCTTTTTCCAATTCAGATAACTTTTGTTGTGATTGTGGTGATAAAGTACCAAAAAGATTTGGCTTTTGTTGTTGTTGTTTTTGTGGTGATTGATATTGTTCTTGTTGTTGATGTTGTTGTTGATGTTGTTGATTAATAATATTTGTATTTTCAGTTAGAGGCAAATGATTATTATTGATAGAGGAAGGTAAACGGATTAATTGAGTTGGAAGAGTTGTTAGAGCTGATACTGGTAAATATTTTGGTATTGTTGGTAGTGAAAAGAATTCATGTTCCAAAATTTGATGTAAATTTGGTCTTTTTTCTAAAAGTAGGAAAAAAAAAGAGATTAGATATTTTTGAAAAAGAGGTTTTTTTGTTTTTTAAACTCTACCTGGAACTGGATTTAAAATTGAAATGATTAATTTTTTTGTACTATCATCAAGTGCTGGTTCTTCTGGGAATGAATATTGATTTGTTCTAATACGTTCATAGGTCATATTTACATCTGGCGTTTCAAAAGGTGGTTTACCAACCAATAAAGTATATAGAATAATACCAATTGACCAAACATCTGCTTCATAAGAATGTCCAACTGTTTTATCTAAAACTTCTGGTGCAATATAATTTGGTGTACCACAAATTGTCCTAAATAAAATAAATAATAATAATAAAAAAATAAATATATTAATAAATAATTTATATATATATATTTTTTTTTGGTTCATACTTTTTTCTTTCACCTTCACGTTCAACTCTGGTTGAAAGGCCAAAATCACCCAACTTTATGCGCATGTTATCAATGAAAAGGTTACCCAATTTCAAATCTCTATGAATAATCTTGTGATCGTGTAAATACTTTACTGCTTGAATCACTTGATAAACATAATATTTAACTTCACATTCTAATAAAAATTTTCTTCTTTTATGAATATCCATTACAGTCTAAAGAAAGAGAGAGAAATAAAAAGAATAAGAGAAATTAATAAATAATATATATATAATTATTATTATTTAAATATTTATAAATTTACCTTTTGATTACATAAACCTAAAAGAATAAAAACATAATCATCGGTTTCAAAACAATGTTCAAACTTTACAATATTTTCATGATTTAATGAACTATGAATTCTAATCTCAGCTTTAATCTAGAAAGATTTATAATAATTATAGAGAGTAAAATAAATAATATTTGGTAAGTATTTTTGAATTTCAATCTTTTTTTTTTGTTTTTTTTTTTTTTTGTTGGGGGGAAAGGAAATATCCAGGTCGAGATTTCCAACCAACACAAACTTGATCATGTATCAACTATAACAAATTTGTTAAATTAATTTTGGGATACTTTACCTTTGATTTTGCTCTTGGTTTAATCAAGGATGATTTTAAGACTACTTTGGCAGCGTAAACTCTATTCGTTTCCAAATCGGTCAAATGATAACATTTTGCAAATCCACCCTAAATAAATAAATAAATAAATAAATAAATAAATAAAAGTTGGAAATGAATTTAATAATTAATATATTGGATGATCATGTGATTATATTATTTGAATAAAAGATATTTACCTTTCCAAGCAATTCACCACGTTTATATTCTTTAACGATGGTACTATCACCGTTTCTAATGATTTCCTTGATAAGAGTAGGAGGTTCAGTTGAAACTGGTGGTGCCATTTGTTGTTGTTGTTGTTGTTGTTGCTGTGGAACAACAGAGGCAGAGACTTGGACAGTTGGAGTTGTCATGAATGGATTATTACTGACACTTGGTTGTCTTGACGAAGAAGTAGTAGAAGACCCACCGTTGTAAACACTGTTTATTTGGTGATGTTGCTGCTGCTGCTGCTGGTGTTGTTGCTGTTGAATATCTCCACAATGCGTTGGTCTAATGACCATCGACTTTGTGATTAAAGATGACTGTTGTTGTTGTTGTTGTTGTTGTTGTTGTTGTTGTTGTTGAAGTTGCTGTTGTTGCTGTTTTAAACGAAGTGATGCACTATTGTTGTACTGATGATTGATATTGATATTTTCTTGATTATCATATGTTTGTTGATAACCACTAGTATTGTACTGTTGTTGCTGTTGCTGCTGTTGCTGTGGATAAGATGATGATTGATGAGTAGTTGCGGGACCGCTTGTATTATAGAGATGAGAGGAAGTAGAGATAGAAGTAGAAGTAGAGGAGGTAGGATACTGATATTGTTGCTGTTGAAGACCAATACTAGTTGAACGATGATTATTATTATTGGTTGTATAAAGTGATTGTGAAGTTAGGGGTGGTGATGAAGAAAGTTGCTTGTAGTTCATCATTGTCAGAGATTAATATTTTCAACGAACTCTTTATTTTTAAAAATAATAAAAGGTTTTTTTTTTTGGTATCTGGAAGCAGAGGGAGGGTAGGTAGTGATTTCGGGAGAGGTATGTAGGTAATGAATGAAAAGTGTGTGTTTTGGAATATAAATGCTGATTGGTTGATATTGAAAAGACACAATAAAAGAATGATCAGGTGCAATGATAATAATAATAATAATAAAAATATAATAATATTGGTATTGGTATTGGAATAAAAGTATAAAAGTATGTGTTAAACTAAATCTGATGAATGAATATAGTTTTTAGTTTGATAAATAATATAAATAATGATGATGATGATGATGATTAGATTTTTTTTTTGTTTTCTACTCTTTATGATGAACCGTGATGAAATAAATAAAGTTGAATATATAGAGATAATGTATGTATGTAATGTATGTAATGTATGATATGTATGTAAACTTTTGGGAAAAGTGATCAACAACTAATGTTGAATGAAATCAAGACTATTATTGTTATTGTTATTGCTATTGTTTGTTTGTTTGATTGACTGTTGCTGTTATCATCTAAGCTAATCTAATCTAATCTTTCTCTAAAAGTTGTAGTTATAGTTTCATAAAGGTATGTATGTATGTAGAAAGAGATAATAAAAGAAAAGATGATGATGGTGATGATGAATGAAAAACAATCAATTATCAAGTGACACAGTTGTGTTTTTTTTTTTTTTCGAAACTAGGCGCCAACCTTTATTTATTTGTTGTACAACAGCTAAAATAGAACATTTTTGGGTTTTTTATTTTCGCTTGTGTTATTCTCTATACAAATAACAATATCAGTACTCCCGTCACCTATCGGTTCCCACCAATAAACCCTCATCCCTTGATCAATCACCTCATCATCATTGCCACATTTCAATACTATAACTGGAAACTATAAAACTAAAACCAAAAAAAGTCTAGGATCATGATCCTCGGTCGGGGAGGGAATTTTCAAAAAAAAAAACCATCGCTTGGCAATGCGTGAATCCGTTAAAAATTCCCCGCCGATTTTTCAAATTTTTGAAAAACTAAAAAAAAAATCGAACTTCCCCACCAACCAAAGATATCTGACCCACTAATAATGAAGTCTTTAGAGGTCAAGGGGTTGAAAGAAAGAAAGAAAGGAAGGAAGAAAGAGTCATTTAAAACAAAAAAAAAAAAGTCAAGCAATGATGACGAATACAGATCGAAAGAAGAGTGTTGCTTTATAAACAAAGGTACCACCATCTACATTACATCTGATCTCTCTACTTTTTTTTATTTGTTAAAAAATGTACGAATAATTTTGTCATCATGGTGTTGCAAGATAAACCTCCTTTTAAAAAGAAAAAAACCCGAAAACAAAAAACTTTTTATTAATATTAATTTAAACCTTTATAGTTTTTTTTTTTTGTATATACACCTTGAATCTTAATTAATATAATTTATATATATAAACAAGAGAATGGAAGACCCATTACAAAACAATAACAATCATCATCAAAAAGAGGAAGAAGAAATTGTTAAAGATAACAATGATAATACTACTACTACTGTACAAACTATATCAGTAGCTGTGTCAGAATCTGAGCCTTCTACCGCAGTTATAGTACCAAAGACAAAGGCACACTTTGAAAATGGTAAATGGATAGACCCATATTCAAAGGGTGCTACAAGATCATTTTCAGAGTATGTCATACTTTTATTTTAATCATCACATGTCTCTTTTTCTTATTCTTTATATTTAAATCATTCTTTTTTTAATAAGTATGTGGAAATTAGTATCAGCAAGAAAAGAACCAAAAGCATTAACAAAAGAGGAAAAAGAGCATATACATCCAGTTTTAAAGATTGATCAAGATTTATTGAGAACACCAGTTGCCAAGGGAACTGCTAGAACCACTTGGATTGGCCATTCAACCTTTTTCGTTCAAACACCCAATGGAATATCATTTTTGACGGATCCAGTGTGGAGCGATCGTTGCTCACCTTTGCAATGGCTTGGACCAAAGCGTTATCGCGATGTCCCATGTAAAATACAAGAACTACCATTGGGTGCCGCCGACTTTGTAGTGGTCAGTCACAATCACTATGATCATTTGGATCATTTTGCAGTGATGCAACTCAAAGATACAGTGCATTGGTTTGTACCATCGGGTCTCAAAGAATGGTTTAATGGATGTGGTGTCACTAGAGTGACAGAGTTGTCTTGGTGGGAAGAGACTGTCTATCAAGATCGTTATCGTTTGGTTTGTACCCCTTGCAAACATTATGGTCAACGTACACTTAGCGATCGTTATGCCACTTTGGCTTGTTCATGGGCAATCATTGATGAATTGGAAAATAAGAAATATTGGTTTGCTGGTGATACTGCCTATTGTGAAACTTTTAAAGAAATTGGTCATCATATTGGTCCAATTGATTTTGCTTTTAGTATGAAGAAAAAGAAAAAAAGACAATTGGAAATATTATTATTAATTTTCTTTTTATTTTTATTTTTAGTACCAATTGGAGCTTATTTCCCAAGATGGTTTATGTCTGAATTTCATGTTTCACCAGTTGAATCTGTCATGATTCATCAAGATATAAAAGCAAAACAATCGGTTGGTATGCATTGGGGTACGTTCCGTCTAACTGATGAACCATATCTTGAACCACCTCAATTCCTAAAATCTGAAATGGAAAAGGCAAACATTCCACTTGAACAATTCTTTGCAATGAAAATTGGTGAAACTAAAACTTTACTTCTTTAAAACAATACACAACATTTAAAACATCACATTTGTAAAAATAAATAACTTTTTTTAAACATTGTATCATACAATAAATCATGGATTGACTTTTGCTAAGAAATGTTAACAAGGTCTTGTAATTGGATTGTAGTAGGAAAGGCAATTATTTATTGTATAATCTTTAAAGGACTTAGGCTTGAGCTTGCAAGTAAGAAATGGTATCAGCTCTGTCTTGGGCACTCTTAAATCCAGGGAAAGCCATTTTGGTCTTTGGAATATATTTCTTTGGATTCTCGAGATAGTCAAACAAGGTTTGTTCACCCCACATGACACCAGCGTTCTTGTTGGCATCAGAATAGGCATAACCTGGAACAGTTCCAGACTTACGACCAAAGAGACCATAGAGATTTGGACCTATAGAAAAAAAAAAAAAAAAAAAGTCGCTCATATTAATTTTTTTGACTTGTTCTTGCATAGTAGTAGTAATTTGGTTGTATTTGAACATATAAAGTAAAGTTCATTCAACCAACCAATATATTATCTATATTGAATATTATATACCTTGCTTGTTTGGAGCATCCTATATGTGATTATAAATTATTAGTAATGTGTGGTGTGGGTTTAGGTTGTTCAACAACATCAATCTTCTTCCCCTTCATTCTTCATTCTTCGTTATACAACTATTTGCAACTTGCAAAACAACAATCATCAGTCAACTCAACTACTGTTTGTATTCATGTTGTTGTGTGCTGTTACTATCTGTGTTTGTACTACTATAACTCGAAGAAGAAGAAGATCAATCTATATATAAATATGCTGATCAATAATTAATTACCTTGGCAACAGTGTGGCATTGAGCACAACGAGCCTTGAAGAGCTTTTCACCGTTTTCGACGTTTCCTGGTGGGATGGCAGACATTATGAGATATGTGTAGTAATTTACTTTGAGTAATACAAAAACAAAAATGAGCGTGATCAATAGGATCAAAAAACGACAAACTGTCTGTTGGAAAAAAAATTTAAAAAAACATTTTTTGAAAAAGTTTGCTCAAACGAATGACCGCACAGCATATCACTACATCATCACCACAGATCTCTCATCATAGCACATCCTGGTTGATCTGCCCTATTATGTACATTATAGGATTAGATCTTTTTAATTAAACAATTTAACAATTAAACAAATAATAATTCACACCAAGTAAGTTTGGTATATATATTTTGTCAACATACAAAGCATGTATTAATTATTCATTTATCAACTTGAATGTATACATTATCATCCCATTCAGTTATTTTTAACAATATAGATAACTGTTCTCTCTGTATATCTTGAGTAATGGTTGTTGTTTGGAATAACTTGAGAACTAGTTAGTAAAAATGTGCGTCTCTAGAGATATCTAAAACCAAATCAGATGATTTTTTCATTGACTTGAATAATCGATTTAACAAAAGCAACGTGTTTCAAAAAGAAAAAACTATTTAAATCTCTGTCTCCAAAACAAATCAATATTCTATTCTTTCTTTAATTAATATAAATAATACATACAAAATGGTTAGTATTCCCCTTTTATTTATCCCCTTATTATAATTTTATTAATTATTATTGTTCTTTTTTTTTTTTTTTTTTTTTTTTTAGGATTATTTAAAAAATCCTAATAATAATAATAATAATAATAACTACTCAAATAATAACAATATAAATTTATTTGGATCATTTGGTTTTAAATCATCACCAATTCAAAATATTGAAAATGTTGGTAATATAACACAATATATTAAGGTTGGTAAAGATGGATCAACATTGATATCAAATCCAAAGGATATTGGTAAATCGGAATCTGCTATTGGATTGATGGGACCACCAGGATCTGGAAAGAGTTCAATTTGTAATACCTTGTGTTTTATTCTCTACAAGATCATGGAGCCATACTTTGTGGCACTTCGTTCACACGAAACTGTGACATTGGGCGTGTACACGCTGTCACAAGTGGCAAGACTGAAATCACCAGTGACCGTAAACAAGGATGTGTTGGATATGGAGGGACATGACAATAGTCTTGAGCGAAGTTGGAAGATGGCAATGCTGCTATCGGTCATTTGTGAAGAGATTGTACTTTGCAATCGTGATGCAAGAGCAACTGCATTGATTCAGGCCGTCTCTGTATTTAAAAAGGGTATGGATCAATCGAGTGCATTGGGTATGCGTCCAATCACCAAACAAATGTTTTTCATGGTCAAGAGTATGAGAGATGCTCCTTCACTCTTGCATATGCTCGCACAGATCCTCCCGAGTATGGAATTTATCCCTTTTACAGTGCCAGAGTTTACCGATGACGAGGTTGACCAGATGACTACACCACTCGAGTTTCACCCCGCCATGGTCAAGGCCATCAAGGAAGGTGTTGTGGACAAGATCAAGCCACGTCTCGACAAGCAATCGTTATCGTCAAAGGCAGACTCTATCCAACAACTATTGCACGCATTCAACATTGGTGACTACTCTCAGCTCGATGCAATCAACAAAAAGTTGTTTTTGGCCGATTGCAATAGAATCTTGGACGAGGCAATAGCCAATGGTCACATTGATCACATGGATCGTGCCAAAAAGATCACCGTTTCTGAAGGAATGACATTGGCACAATTCCTAAAAGGTGTCAATGGTGCTCTTTCAGTTGATTTCAACAAGTCAACCTTTTACGTCAAGGGCAAGAGTGAAGGATACATCAAACAACATTTCCCATCACCATCGATTCCAACCAAAATGATAGAGTCGATTTACACGGCTCAGTATAATCTCAAAATGGCTAAACTCGCCGAAGCCAAAGCCATCGCAGAACAAGCAGATAGAAACAAAAAGATGTTTCTAGAGGGTGTCCAAATAATCAATAAAGCTGCCGAGCTCAAGCTTTCACTCTACATTGACCAACTAAAGTTTGGTCAGTCTTTTGTCCCTTCAAAGGAAACGTTTATCGATCGATCACCCATCGCCCATCTCAAAACATGGGGCTTGCACTATGATTTTGGGCCATTCCACCGATACTATGACTCTGTTGTACCGGGTATCGCACAAAAGTGGATCGACCAAACAAGTCGTGCCAAATGGAAGGCACCCGTACATGCTCACGGAGACATGACCTGTCAAGGTGGCTGCAAGATGAATGATTCTGTCTTTTGTTATAAAAGTACTTGTCGTGGTAGATTGTATTGGGTCGATGGTCCATCGTCTACTGCAATCTGTCAAACATGTGAAACAAAAGCTTCATTTGTCGATACAACTCTTTACTGTATTGCTTGTGGTAATCGTTGTAATTGTACTACTCGTCCTAATGGTTCTTATATTCCTTAAAGTATAATATATTAAATAAATTAATATTGACAATTTCATCTCATTACAAAATGGTTATTAATATTTTAAATTGATTTTTAAAGTAGAGCTAAAATAGATCTTCTAATTCTATTTAAACAAATTTGGGTTTGATCATGATTATGGATAATAATATAATAATCAGGGAAAAGGAGAGCACTAATAAATATATGTAGAAAATAATATTTATTTTTATACATATTTTCTTCGAAACTTTTATACCTTGATTATTAAATTCAACGAGTTAATACTAAAAAATATTATTATAAGAAGTTATGGTATAGAACATCAAGTTATTCTGGACCACTCTTGAAAAAAATAATTGAAAAAACAGAAAAATTCCAAACACCTATATGAAAAAACGTTTTTTTTTTTTTAAAGTAATTCTTTTCCTGTTCTCTCGTATATGAAAAAACGAAAAGGGTACAAATTTTTTGTTTTTTTTTGGGGGCATCCAAAAATGCTTGGATAGCTCAGCTGGCAGAGCGTAGGTCTCATAATCCTAAGGTCGGGAGTTCAATCCTCCCTTCAGGCAGATTTTTTCCTTTTTTCCTCTCCTCTCCTCTCCTTCCTTTTTTCCTCTCTCCTCTCCTCTCCTTTCCTTTTTTCCACTCTTTCCATTCTCCTCTCCCCCTGAAAAAAATCAGGAGTGTGGAAAAATAGAAAGGAGAGGAAAAAGGAAGGAAAGGAGAGGAGAGGAAACTCGGAACAAATCAAGTTTCTATTGACCACTTTTGATCAGGACAAAAAGAATTAAAGTTAGCGAGTTAACTTAATAAATAACTATCTAAAGATATAAACATGATAGTTCTTAGAGAAAGATTGTAGTTATAAAGATACATATGATATTTAATAAAAAATAAATAAAAAAAAACTGTCTAAAAAAGGACAAAATCCAATACGCATTTTCATTCATAGTCATGTTCATTTCAATCAAGCACAAAGCAAATTAAAAAGATGAAATATAAATGAATGAAGGAGTAAGGATTACCCAAAAATAGTGGAAATCACTCTTTTCAATTATTTAATATATTTATTTATAATTATTGATCATCAGCTAAAACATTGATAAGATTTTGAACAGTAGTATAGATATCCTTTGAAACGTCGCCATTGTTGATTTTGATATTAATTTTGAAACGATTAATATTAAAGGTACCTGGTTGAAGGAAGCAAATGTTCAAGGGCAGCTCGATGTTTTCGAGGGGCGATAGTTGTACCGAGTGTTTGGTGATACCAGTCCAAAAGTATTGAGAGGTGCTCTGTGATTGAGCGTCGAGGTTTTCGTGTGGCAGCAACGTGTCGACGATTAATTGGAGTGTTTGGTGGGTCGAGCAGTTGCTGAGTTGCAATTTGAGTGGCATTGTGCAAATGGATAGTTTGGCAAAGTTGTGTTTGATGGTCGAGTCGGGTGTGAGGATTTGGTAACGAATGGGAGCTTGGAACTTGAGAGCTGGGTCAATGTGCAATGTCGATGTTTTGCCAGTTGGCGAGGTTGTGTTTTTCCAACTACCCCATGGAGTAGCCAACAATGGGTCGTTATAGTGAACTGGAAGGAAAGAAATTGAAGTTGAATTTAAAACTCCCATACGTGTTGGTTGATGTTGTGAATTGGACGACGAGACTGTACCAAGCTTAGAGGTCGAATTACTTTCCCAAAACAACATCAAGTCTAATTGATTATGATGTTCATTACCAGTACCAAGATTATTTGATATTGTGTTTGGTTTGTTTGCCTGTTGTTGTAACTGTAGTTGTTGGTGATGAAGCTGATCGGCAACGGCGAGCTTTTCATAGTCTAGAAACTGGTAGACTGGGAATGAAGAACTATCATACATTGGTTCATTCTTGTCAAACGAAATGTTGGTGACAGTCTGGTCGCCACCCTTTTCTTCGTTCAACGCTGCTGTGGGTTTGATGGATGGTGTGATTCTAAAAAAGAGATTTGTGAATTGACCTGGGTGGAGTGTGAGAATGACAGAGTTGGGGACGTCTGTATGATAAGAGAGTGGTTCGATTTTCCAGTACTTTGAAATGGACGAGATTTGTTTTAGGAAAAACACATCTCCACCTCCTCCAATGATTGGATTGTCTACTTCCAAACCGAGGAGATAGGCATCCAAATCGGTTGAACTTTGTTGTGAAAAGGTAGAAATTCTTAATGATGGACGTACTTCAAAATCAGTTTGACAACGAGCCAAACGATATTTGAGGTCAGTATTTCCACTTTCAGATTCATAATAAACCAAACATCTAAGAGTATACTTTCCAACACTTAATCCTCCTCTTACCCATATTGGTACCATCACCGTTGCTCCTGCTGTCAATTCTATTGAATTTAATTGTATCGATGAATTTAATGAATTTAATATACATGCATCTAAAAAAAAGAAAAAAAAGATTAGTTTTTTTGGTTTGTTTGATTTTTGTTTTAGTTTTTTTTACCTTGATTATTTGAACCAAAACAAACCAAAGTTGGATGACTTATTCTAATTCTAACATTTTTCAATCCCATTTTATTACTACAATTTTTAAGTAGTAATTTTGCTTGTTTCATTTCACCAAAACAAATTGATGATGGGAAATCTACAAATTGTGCTTCTAATCTTGGCATTGGTGATGTTACACTAAATGTTAAACTTAGGTTTTGTTCATAACTAATTGATTCTCTTTGTGTTTTTGTTCTAAAAAAATAAAAAATTAAATAAGTAAAATATTATATATTATTATTATTTTTTTATATTTTTTTACTTACTTGTTTAATCTTTTTTGTTTTAATTTAAATTCTCTTTTACCCCAAATAGTACCACACATACATAAACCAATACCTCTAATATTTAATAAACCTTGTTTTAGAGGGATGATTGAGAATTTTAATTTTTTCGTTTCACTTGGTCCCAAGAGGATGTCGATGGTTTCAACCTTGAATGGAAGTTCACCATTTTCCATTCGTTGGAGTTGAACTTGATCCAATGGTGACATGTTCGATTCTTCAATACCATCTGGACTCTTGTAAGTGGCAACCAAATGAACACTATTAAATTGAAGAGGGATTTGAAGAGGATTTCTAATTTCAACGTCGACAGTAATTGGTTCTTCCACTACGATTGTTTTTTCCTTTTCAACCTCGATGAAAAGATCACGTTTCCAAAGATCAAAACCTTGTAGTACAGGTTTGGTAATGATCGATGCCTCCTTTTTAAATGCTTCCTCCATGTCACTCCACCATACCTGTTGATGTGCGTCCGAGGTATAATCTGACAAGAGTACAGTGATACGATCATTTGCAATCACTGGAATGGGCAACTCGCCAATATAATTGTCCTTGGTGTAAGACTTGGAAATGTAGAGGAATTCTCTAATGATAGAGTTTTGACTCTGGAACGATTGTGAATTCTTTTCCAATAGTTTGTTGATAAAACGCAGAGCGTCACTAGTATGACCTTGGAAAAAAGAGTATCTCACCAATGAAAGATGAAGATGATCATCAATACCCATCCAATCTCTACCTTCATAGACGGAATAGGAGAATCTAAAACATCGAAGAGCATGCTTTCTCTTGGAGGATTCTGCATACTTGTCACCTGCCAATACAATACGCATACACGCCTTTCGAAATGATGGAGATTGACCTTGTAAAAGACAAAAACCTGCTTGTTCCAATAGAATGGCTGCACAAAATGCATCCAAATTCTCTCTTTCCGCCATAGTCTTGTACAAATCTGCCAACATTTTGAAATTTGATTTTCTCTTTAAAATTTCTCCTTGAATAAATGTTGTCCTAACTGCACAAACATTTAAATTTCCTCTTTGATATCCATTCAATGCTGTTTCAAATTGTGCATCAGTTTCCTTATTTAACATAAAATTACATATTCCAATCATTTCCTAAAAAGTAAAAATAAAAATAAATAAATAAATAGATATGTTTTTTGTTTTTTTTTTTACATACAAAAGAAGCAGCATAATGATTTGGAGATTTATCACTATTTAATTCTTTTGAAAGATTACGATAAAATGAAAGGGCAGTTTCATAATCTTGAAGTAAAAAGTAAAGATCTGATAATCTTCTTAGACAAGTTTCAACTGGAATCGATGTTGAAGTTGATGATTCCTTATCATCTCCTTCCTTTTCATTCTTTTTATATCCAATTCTTAATGATACTTTCATTTTTGAAAAAAAACTCTTTTTATTTGCTGTAATCTAAATGAAAAAAAAAAAAAAAAAAAGAAAGAGTAAATAAATAATTTCTTTTTTTTTCTATATTTCTTTTTTTTTTTTTTACATTTTCATTTAATTCAGAAATTGATTTTTCAATATAAGGAGGAATATGTTTTGTAATTAAATCATTGATTATAGTGTTTAGAGGATTTGAAGCTAAATTTGCAGTTGGATCAAATGATAGACCACCATCATCTTCCTTTTGATTGACACGTAAAAGATAGGAATTATTTGCACCAAAGGTATTTTTCATCTCTGAAAGACGTTTCTCAGACTCTGTATTCTCAGAGTGTGCCAATATATGGATTTTGGGAATATTTGGATCGATATTGAATTGAGAAATGATCGATGGCGGCTTTGATGGTTCAAACATTTTGACCAACATACCAATTGGATTGGGATCCTCTACCGATGCAATCAATAGACATGCTATTGGATGTGCAAATGTTTCAACTTCATTACATTTTAATGATTTTAAATATTGATGTCTATATCTTTCAAACCATGGTGTTGGATCTTGACAAACTAAAAAAATAATAGAAATTGGTTAAGAATATAGATCATCATTATAGTATTATCCTTTGTTTGTTTGTATCTTTACCTTTATTAAAATATGGTACATCTTGTTTACTTTTAATATCAACATTTGAACAATATTCATCAGTTGCCAATGAATCTACAGATGCAGCAACATCTTTTAATATAGTATCATATGAAGTTTGTTCTAATTGTTGTAATGTTATAAAATTAACCTTGAAATCATTTAATTCATAATATGATTCTCCAACTTTAATCGATGCTAAAAGTAAAAGTAAAAGAAATAAAGTGTCAATACTGATATTGATTGACTTTATATCATCACTCACTGTCTCTCTTCTCTTTCTGTTACCTTTTTTCTTTTCAAGATATTGAGTTAGAATATCAATAAGGGAATGTGACATTCTTTTGAATTGCTTTTGAACTGTTGGTGATGTAATCACCAATACTGATGGAGTTGCCCATGATTGTATTGAAGTTCTAATATCTTTATGTTGATTTTGTTGTTGTTGTTGTAATAGTTGACTCATATTCCCTGTTTTTTAATCAACCAATAAGGTTTGAAATAACTGCTACTCTATCTTACAAATCTCTACTCTCTATGAATTATTTATTATATATATATATGAATGATGATGATGATGAGGTGTAAGCAAAACAAGAAACAATATCTTCTCTCTTTCTTTTTGTCTCTGCAAAAATTTGTTTTTTTTTTTTTTTTTTTGATCAAACAACCTAACTTCATTTTCCCTCCTCTCACCTCTCATTGTTGTTCTTCACATAATATTTATTATTATTCATAAGAAAGTCAAATGATTTCATCAAGATTATAAATCAATTTATCTCTAGATAGATAGTATTTAAAAATACTGCAATGGTTGTTTGTTTGTACAACCATACCCAAAGGTGACGTTGTGATCGATGCGGAAAAAGAAAGAGAAACTTTTTTAGATTGATCTCGGGATTTCGGATATTGGATGGTTATTGTTTGGTTGGGACCCTTACATTAAAAGTAATCGGGAGAGAGAGAGAGAGAGGATGGATGGCTTTGTTGTAAAAGACAAAGATGAGAACAGTACAACAAAAAAGAAATCGTGAATCGTCCAAATTTGGAAAGAGAGATTGCCACCCATCCTTCAATCCATCTGTTACACCCCCCCCTCCCTCACCACAAACACAACACAAACAATGTAATACATTGTTGCGATCAATCCCATCAATGACGACATTACCTTTCTTCCTCTCACTCCTCCTCATCCTATCAAACTATAAACAACAAATCACCGCCATCATTTAAACAAAATTCGTAACCTTTAAAAAAAAAGAACAAGAGGACCCTTATTTTTTATTTATATTATTTATTTATAACTATCTATCTATCTATCTATCTATAATTATTTATTTATTTATTTAAAGAGAGAAGATGGAATTTGAAGAACCAAACTATTTTCAATTAACTCTAAAACAAACTAGAATTCTATTGATTAAAAACTGGAGAATAGCATATAGAAAAAGAGTCACCACTGCCATTCAATTAACAGTTCCATTCTTTTTCGTACTTGGACTTTATTTAATTCAATTGGCTGTTGATGATGCACTTTCAACAAATGATTTATTTGCCGATAGTATGATGAAATGAAAGAAAAAGAAAAAGAAAAGTTATATATATTTATTTATTTATTAATTTATTAATTTCTTTTACTTTTTTTTTTATTTATTTCTTTTATTTTACTTTTTCTATTATTTTAAGCACCATCATCATTTAATAATCCAATATCATTAATACCAAAATGTATACCACATCCAAGTAGTGGATCACATTGTTTTACATTTATATATGCACCAGATGATGATATTATTCAAGAGTTTGTTAGTGGAGTGTTACAAGATAACCCACATCTTGGTCAACACGATGTCAAAGCCTTTCCAAATCCACAGGCAGTCAATAATTTTATTCTGGCCAACAAGAATAAAACACAGGCGGCCTATATATTCAATAGTTTTACCAATGGTATCATCAACTATGACATTCAATACAACACCAGTTGTGCCAACAGTTGGAATGGTAATGGTCAATGTCCGCCTCCCATCGACTCTGTCATTGCTCCCATGCAAGTTTCAATGGACAAACAAATCATGAAACTATCCAACCACAAATCATCCTCTCATACACCACCATCATTTATTCCAAACTCTATTTCAATTGAATGGAGTAGTGGTTTATTAGCTCATCCAAAAACTAAATATTATAATAGTAAGTAGTTTATATACAAAAAAAAAATATAATATAATTAATATTTATTTATTTTCCTTTTTTTTTTAGTTGTATCAGATTTAGGAAGTATATTCTTTTTTGCATCATTAATGTTTCAATTTGTATTAATGTTACAAGATATGGTAGTGGAAAAGGAAACAAAGTTAAAGGAAGGTATGAGAATGATGGGATTGAAAGAATTGGCTTATTACTTGTCATGGTTCTTGACCTACTCTGTATTTATCATTTTAAATGTATTTTTGTTGATTGCCAGTGGTTTCATCTTTCAATTCACCTTTTTCAAACGAAATGACTTTGGTACCTACTTTTTCCTATTTCTCTTGTTTGGTATGTCCATCATTTGCTTTGGTTTCTTTTTATCCGCTTGTCTTAGAAAGAGTCAAGCTGCAACCTTTATCGGGTTCTTTTTGTTTATTCTCTTTTCTATTCTCCAAGCTTTTATTCCCAATCTACTCTACATTGATGGAAAACCATACAGCATCCAAGCCATCTTTTCACTACTCTCTCCCATCGTCTTTGCCAAAGGTCTCACCGATCTCGCCACTGCCAGTAATTTCGCCGGTCTACGTTGGTCAGGTATCGCAGACCATACCCATGTCTTTCCGCTCCTCCTCGTCTATCGTTGGATGGTACTGGATTCTTTTATCTTTCTCGTCCTTGGTTGGTATATTGACAATGTATTCCCAGGTGAGTTTGGTACTCCCAAACCTTTCTTTTTCTTTCTTCAACCTTCTTATTGGACTGGTAGACCAAGTCGTTTAGATTTTAAATCAACAACTCCATCTCAATCATCACAAATTTTAAATCATTCAAATTTAGTATGTAAAAAAAAAAAAAAAGTAAACAATATAATATAATATACTAATCATTTTTCTATTTTATTTTTGTTTTTAGGATGAAGATGTAATAAATGAAGAATTAAAAGTAAAAGAAATTGATCCAAAAAATTCAAATGAATTTGCAGTAGTCATTAAAGATTTGGTAAAGATTTATAGAAACAATGCCTTTTTTAGATCTAAAAAGGATTTCCATGCTGTTAAAGGGTTGTCATTGACCATGCAAAAGAATCAATTGTTTGCTGTTTTAGTATGTTATAACATTTAAATACTATAACATTTATATATTATATTAATATAATTATTGATTAATTATTTTAAACAAACCAAAAGGGTCCAAATGGTGCAGGCAAGACAACTACGTTTAGTATGTTGACAGGTCTATTTGGCCCCACTCATGGTGATGCCTACATCTATGGTCACTCCATCTCGGATGAAATGAATACTATCCGTAAATTCATGGGTGTTTGTCCACAACATGACCTCTTATTCTCACATCTCACAGGTCGTGAACATTTGGAATTATACTCTGCCTTTAAAAACATTCCAGTACATCGAATCGATCAAGAGGTTGAAGAAAGATTAAAAGAAGTAGGATTGCTTGAAATTGGTGACCGTTTTACAACTGTATATAGTGGTGGTGAAAAAAGAAGATTATCAGTTGCCATTGCAATGACTGGTGATCCTAAAATTGTTTTTCTGTAAGTATCAAACAAATCAAAAACAAACAAAACAAGAATATTATATACTAATCTCTTTCTCTTTTTCTTATTTTTAAGTGATGAACCATGTACAGCAATGGATCCAATTGGACGTAGACAAGTATGGAATATTATTGAAAAGATGAAAAAGAATAGAGCCATTGTATTGACAACTCATAGTATGGAGGAAGCTGATATCTTGTCGGACAAGATTGGTATTATGGCTTTAGGACGTCTTCGTTGTCTTGGTGATAACTTGCATCTAAAGAGCAAGTATGGATCTGGTTACAAGGTCACTGTCTACTTAAAGTCACAAGGACCGTCGTCGTACAACAACCTAGCACTAGCCAAATCAATCCAAGCCAAGATTGTCAATTTTGTCCTTCAGAGTGTTCAAGGTGCAACGGTACTCGCATCGTCGACTGAGCACGTGACTTTTAGCATTCCACGTGACAAAACCAATGAACTGCCCGCTTTCCTAGAGACACTTGAAAACAACCAAACGTTGCTCAACATTGAAGATATCGATGTTAACATTTCATCGCTAGAAGAAGTCTTTTTAAAAATAGTAGAAGATACTACTAATGAATCAAAACAACCAATAACCCAAGAGTAAGAGTAGTAGACCAATAAATTAATTAATAACCCAAATAATATCCATATGAGTATAGTAGTATAGGGTACACGGTGGTCTGTGTTTGTTTGTTTGTTGTTTGTATGTACAGTAGTATGTTTTCACACAAACCAAAGAATGACGCAAGAGAAGAGCAAAGTGTTTCTTTGTTTTTAAAGTGTGTGTGTTTGGGTTGCGTGTTGAATGTATACTCGAGAAGCAGCAAAAAGACTGATATGATGTTATATCTAATTAGAATATGATGTTACAATTTTAAAAAGAGAAAAAGAAGAACTGAATGGTCTACAAACTAATCTAACAAGTTGGTTTAATTTTTAATTTACACGACGATGCACACACCTCGTTTGGAGACTCTGAGAATAAATAATATACATATTTAGTAAGAAGAGTGCTGCATCTTGGGTATGAAACTCTTCAAGGTAAAAATCTTGCAAATGTTGACTCCACAAACACAAGGAATATTTTATTTGAATTATGTTAAATTTAATTTGAAACTAAACTGACCGACAGACACCTCTGATTATAAATAAATTGTGTTTTCATATTAATCATCATTTCATTTTAAAAATATTATAATTAATTATATATATATAGAGCTAGGAGCATACCTACTTCTATTATTATTTTAAAAATCAAACTAATTAAATCAATCAAATTTTATTTATTTATTTATACAAATACAAATATAAACTATGGGTGCCTGTGAAAGAATTTGGTAAATATAAAAATAGTAGAAAAGAATGTATAAGTTTCTAGTTTATTAATCCTTTCTTTTCTATCCGAAAGCCTATTGATAATAGCTGTGCTATTACCTCCTCTTGCTGTTATCTTGAAGGTATGTCATTAATAGTATTATTATTATTATCATTGTGTGGTGTCAATCAGAAATCATATGATTATTAACAATGAAATTTATTCTTTTTCAAACAAATTGTAGAAAGGATGTTCAGGAACTTTTTGGTTAAATGTACTCTTGACTATTCTTGGTTATATTCCAGGTGTAATTCATGCTATATTCGTTGTACTTGATTAGACAATTTCAAATACAAAAATCAAAGAACAACAATAATAATAATAATAATAATAAAAAACATCATTTTATCTGTATATTAAACTTATTATTAGAAACAGTGTTCCGGTTCCCAATGGGCCACGAAAAGTAGATATTATTGAAGAGGTTTTAATTATCGGGGGCAAAAACAACCTCTCTCGCTGAAAGAATCAGGAAAATTATAAAATTCACGAACCATCCAAGGAACATTATTTATTTATTTTGGATTGAATTAATTTTCTTCCTTTTCTTTGTTATTGTTGTTGTGATGATCATTATTATTATTGTTGTTATTATTATTATTGTTGTTATTATTGTTATTATTTTCATCAGCTTCTTTGTAAGATTTAACTAAACCAATAGCAACCATTAATGACCATGGTAACAAGAAAACATTGACAACCCAAAAGATGGCAAGGGCAATACCAAGGTAGGTACTGAGTTCATGACAATAGGGACTGCTGCCAAGATCACCACCACAGTCTCTACGAATGTAACGACGAACTAGTGCAGAATAGATAATAAAAAGTACAAAGGATTCAAGAAATGTGACAAGGTTGACGAGTGAATTCAATCTAATGAGACCACGACTTTGGACAAGCGATGTTGACATGCCAACACATCCAGTTACAATACAGAAAATACCATTCACTACAAATGCCCATGCATGTCTTGTACGAAGACCATCCTTGGCAGATGCAACTACAATTTGAACGATACCATGAATTATTACCAATACTCCAATAAAGAAACATAAACTTGCCAATGCTAAAAATATGAAATAGAAAATAATTAATTAATTAATTAAGATATGGATTGAAAGTAAAACTTTTGATTTTTGGTTCCAAATATTTATTACCTTTAAAGAATGTTGATTGGTGTTGTTGATCTTGTTTTTTAAAAAGAGACATTTTTTTGGATGCTGGTTTGGAGGACGAGGATGATTCGTCTTGGTTGTGGTGAGCAGAAGACGATGATGGTTCTGGGTGAATTGGACTTGGTTGAGGTTCCTTGATTTCAACAAATTCATCACCATTTGATGATGGTTGGTGTTCATGTACTGATTCAGACATTGTTGTTGTTGTAGTTGTTTTTTTGAATAAATTAATTAATTATTAAACAAAAAAAAATAGAATAGAATATTTAAAATAAACAAACAATTATATTAAAATAAAATGAATTATTATTAGTGACTGTCACTACTACAAATACACTCTTATTTTTAATCATCATTGCAATTATATAATATATATAATAAATAGCATTTAAACATTTTGGTATCATTATCTATTCATACCCATGCTTTTTTTAAGAAAAAGAGAGGGGTTTAAAGATGTAATGAAAAGAGACAAAGAGACTTCTACCTCTGGTTTCTTTTGGATATAGAGAGTACTCTCACATACCATAATAATTATATCCATGATAACACCAACATACATATTATCTATAGATTTTTGGAGGACAATTTGAGATATCTTTGTACCCCCCCTATTAAAAATAAATAAATAATAACAACAACGATAACAGCCAACGTTGGACAAACAACATTGAATAATATTACTACTTGGTTAACATTATTATTATGTCATACTTTTATTAAAGGTGTTTGAAAAAAAAAATATCATACATGGATACAGATTAAATATTAAAATTAAACAACCAAAAGGGAAGGAAATTTCCAAGTGTAATACTTTGTTTGATGGGTATGGTTGAAACTTGGAAGCTGGAATATATGATTGATTGCAACTATAATATTTTATATTCTCTATCATAAATTCGCTATGGTAGTCTCCGAAATTGAAAAAAAGCAAAGTCAGGTGAAGTCGGAGAACACATAAAAAAAGCATATTAAAAATAGAGTTAGAGTTGCTGACCACCTATTACTTTTTGTTTGTTTAAAGAGATAAAGAGATAGAGAGAGAAGAGAGACATAACAACGAGAAAGAGAAAAGAGGAGAGAAACAAAGTTTAGTAACAATTACAACAAACTTCAAAAAAAGTTATCACCTCTTTTTGAATTCATTCATCATTCATTATTATTATTATATAGTTTACTGGTCATCTATATATTGTTAATATAAATTATATATATATATATATAGATAAGAAAATAGTAGTTAAAAAGTGTTAGATAAAGATACAGGATATGTCTAGAAGGAAGTTATTAATTAATCTTCATCGGATGAAAGATGAAGAACTTCACTTTAAAATATTACCTTCGACTACAATTGCATTGAATGCTTTCCACAAGTATGTGTGATATCTATCTATCTATATATCTACTACTACTGATCTATGAATACATTCATATTTACATTTTGTTTTTCTTTCTTTCTTTTCTTTTTAAAATAAGTGATTTAAATGATGTTCATGCAGATAGATTATTGAGAAATAGATATCTTTATATCTTTTTAAATGGATTGCTTGGTATAGCATTTATGATTGTGGAATTACAAGTTTCATGGGATGGCAAAGCTATTGTCATTGATAAATCAACCAAAACCTTTAGAATATTAATCTTTTTCTCTACTTTGATTCTTCGTATGTATTGATTGAGAAAGATATAGAAATAACACTGGTAATCATAATAATAATACTGGTAAATATATATTAATATTTTTTTTAGTTTGTCAATTAATGGATTACTATAGACTTTTATTATCACATACAACACATGGATGGTTGACAAAAAGAGCAAGAGGGTTTAGAGTAACACCTCTCAATGTGGTGAGATCAACTACTTTGGCACCACTCTTTTGGGCAGAGGTTGCCATTTGTATATTGCAGCCCATTCCATTTGCATCGGGTGACCTTGCTATATGGAACGATCCAAAATGGGGTCTCTTTATGTGGCTCAGAGTTTATATGTTTGGTAGAGTCTATAGAGATTTTAGTCATGTTTATAAAATTAGACAAAGTATTATTAGAAAGTAAGAAAGAAAACAAATTAAGATAATATTATATCAATGTATTGACAATTTGTCTCTTTTTTTTCTTTTTTTATAGGTATAGAGATAGAATGGAGATTCCACCAAAATTTAATTGGGCATTAAGTTTTAAATCACTTTTATTCCAACAACCATTGACTACATTTATACCATTTACATTGTTTATTATATTTATTTGTTCTCATATTATCTATGTCTTTGAAAGAGAAGCTAATCCCGAGGGATTCACATATCCAGTATCACTGTTTATTTCATTCCTTAGTATGTTTACAGGTTGGCCAACTGATACCTATGATGAACATAATCCTGCAACTATTTTTGGTAGATTTGGTGCCATTGTAAGATAAGAAGAAAACTTATTCCTCAATCAGACGGAAAGATACTTACTTATTCTTTTTTTCTTTTCCATTTTTAGTTATCATGTGTATTAGGTTTATTCTGTTTATCATGTTTAATTGAAAACTTTAGTAATTTAACTCATCCAACTCCACATCAAAGACCAATCTTGAATTATATTACATTATTGGAAACTCAAGAAAAAGAAAGAGATTCTGCTGCTAGAGTAACTATAGAAATAAGAAATAAGAAATAATATTAATATTAATATTAATATTCTTTTTTTAGTTAATTCAAACAGTTTGGAGAAGATATAGATGGCAACATTCAAATAGTTTTGCAGATAATCATACAGTTTTTAATACTCAGGAAGCATACTTTTGTATGAAATATATTGAGGGGGCAAAGAACTTTGGTCGTTGTAGAAGATATCGTAAACAGATTGAATCAATTGTCAATGATGGCAAGGGTAAAGAAGAAAAGGAGGACAAGAAACAAATAGAAACATTGCTCAAAAACTATGAGATTGAAAAACAGGTACGATTCTCTGTTGAACAACGTGTCTCAACGATGGAAGAACACCAAGAGTTTATGATCCGACAAATGAACATACTTTTACACAACCAGCAACAACTCTTACAAGTACTTGGTCAAAACAATATCCCTCTTCCTATCCTTCAACCTCCTCTTCCTCCTCCAGCTGTTAATATGCCAACTCATCATTCAGTTCAAGTTGAGCCATTGTTCCATCCCCAACAACAACAACAACAATCTACCAGTAGTAGCGTAGGAACAGGTTCTAGTTCTCAACAACAAGGTTATTCTGAACAACAAGACCAACAGCAACAACAACAACAACAACCATTTTACCAACAACCGTCATCGCAACATTCCTATGAAAATAGAAGTGAACCATTTGGTCATTTCTCGACATCAACATCAAGCAACGATAATAGCTTATAAAAAATATCAATTAAAACCAATCAATTTCTTTTTTTTCCCCGACCGACCTCCAACACAATTCAATGACACCCCGTTAAAAATTAAAAATATTTTTTTAAAATTTCATTTTCGCTCTCCCAGACTCTCCGATGCGAGGCGACACACCCTTTTAAAAAGTTGAGTAGAGTGTTTTTTTTTTGTTGTTTGTTTTCTTTCATCATCCCAGTCAAACTAATATTAGAAGAAGGTGAGAATTATTTATACAGTACCATCCCCCTCATTCATCTAAAGTAGTAGTAGGAATAATTATAATAATAATAGTTTGAAACATTAAAAAAAAGTATACTTTTTTTACTTTATCGGTCGTTGTATACAAGTTGTTTATCATAATAATAATAATCGTCATAATAATATTAACGAGAAAAAGAATTATTTCTCGTTTTTCAAAGATTGAACTTCCATTCATAATAATATGTGTATATCGGAACTACAAAGCATTTATATGTGGCTCAACAAGATTATCTATTCATTCAACCGACTTTGTAGAAGGCATAAAGGTGGAAGTTCATAAAACAAAAAAAAAATCAATTACTTTTAAAGGTCGTTCAATACGTATTCAATTTACAAAACATACAAATTTATTTATTGCTGGTCAGAGAGAGAAACAAAAACAACGAGTCGTTTATTTGTGAATCTTTAAAGAACTAGAACTTAGGAAATAGAAAAAAAACATTTTAGAATCAATTTAGATTATTACTTTTTTTTTTTTCTTTCAGCTTTAAAAATTGTAAGAAAGAATAGATAATTGGATCGTTTTGTTGTTCATCATCAAATCAATCATCATTATTCCTCTTCCTCTCCCTTCACCAATACATTTATTATTAATATTTATTTTCATTGGGTGGGAATAAATTAATTTATTCCATGGTTATGAAAAAAGAGGGAAAAAAAAGGTATCCAATATCAATTATATGTGGACAATCAGATAATAATAATAATCGTAAATAGTAATAATAATAATAATAATAATATTTAATAATAATTATTACAATTATAATAATTGTTTCACTCTACTATTCACTTTTGAAATTCATTTTCCTCCTCATCATCATCATCATCAACATCATCATCGTCGTGTTTTTGTCGAATATAGTATAGGATAGGATAGGATAGAAAAAGTAGGTAGTACCAATACAATGTTGTCATCGGTGATCACAACAATGGCAAACAATAGAGGAGGATATAAATGGAATATATAACATATATAAATTGGATATGTGGATAGATAGGTTTTGTGGAAATGTACCGTTGAACAGATTGCCGGCAACAAAGAGGCAAATCCACCATATTATTTATGATGATTGCACCAACTCACAACAAGACGATTACGATATTCTTCTTCATCCTCTGAAAGTCTAATAATCAATAGCAACAATGTATTATTATTGTTGTTGTTATATTCTCAAAATAAGAGGAAGAGAAGAGGAGTAGTAGTAGTAGTATAACAACAGGAATTCCTACTATCCAATCGATTTGCATGCAGAAATACAATAGTTACAAAAACTATCATTGTTGTAAAAATGTTTCGAGATTGTAGACATACCACCCACTCACCACATATATACTCACTCACTCACTCACACCTACCAACAACCACACCCCTCCCTCAATTGAGTGTCGAGGTGACAAATTATTGCTGCTGTCTGTCTTTTTCTTGTTTTTTTTTTTTGTCTGTCTCTTGAATGAGCGAGATAGCAGAGCAGCTGTAACAACTAGATTGGTAACAGATAAACATAAAGATGATTTTTATGATGATTTTTTATATTTAAACAAAAAACACCCACAACCAACCATTAACAACAACTAATTGTTGCCTCCATTCAACATTGTTCCTCCTCTTTTCCTTTTACAAACAACCAAAATATTTATAAATGTTTTGATAAAACTCTATAAAACACCAACAAAAACAAAAAAGAGCATTGAAAAATTCAAACTTTTTTTAAGAGTTAGATTTAACATACATCACAAATAATACTATTATATTATATTTTTTTTGTTTAAACAAATATATTCGAATTGGTATGTTTCAATGTTAATAGTAGTAATAATAGTGATAGTGATATCTATAATTGGCGAATATTTTGAAAATTGATCCAAGTGATCACATCTGCAAAAAAACATGTTTTTTTTTTATCGTCTTGTGTTTTTTTTTAATTTAAAACAATATTAATCATTCACAAACAAAAAGTATTAATTCCTTTTATTTTTTTTATTTCTATTCTATTTTAGAGACTTTTTTTCTAAAGTTTTTCAACTATAATTCTTTTTTATTATTATTTTATTCTTGCAAGTATCCAACAAAAAAAGAATAATAATTTACTTTGTTATTGTATTATTACAACGACAATATATATATAAAAGAAGAAGAAATGATGGAAATAATGATGGAATCACACCACCACTCTGGTATATCACACCACAACTCTAATGGTTCTAGTACTTCGACCACAATCGACTCGTTGTCACCATCCCTATCGATCTCCAACTCTTCAACACCACCATTATACAACAGTGGCGATAAGAAACGACTCAGAATTTTGTGTTTGCATGGATACAAACAAAACGCAAATTTGTTCAAGAGCAAGACCGCTGTACTTAGAAAATCTTTAGATGATATTGCAGAGTTTGGTATGTCAAGAAATCAAAGATGAACTCTCTCAATCAATCAAGAAGGAAAGAAGGAGAAGAAGTTGATTCTAACTTTTTTTTTTTTTAAAACAAAAAAAACAAATCCATCATCTACCCTACCCAACCTACCTACTATATATATTTTACATAATATTTTAATATATTATATAGTTTACGTTGATGCTCCACATACAATTGATGAAGCTAAAGGTACAGCCTCTTGGTGGAGAGCTAGTGGTGATGGAAAAGAGTATCGTGGTTGGGAAACTACTCTTGATTATCTTAAAAATATTTTTATTAAAAAGGTAAATTATAATTTTTCAACATTTCTTTTTGTCACTTTCTTTATTTATATTAAACATTTGTTTATTTCTTTTAGGGACCATTTGATGGAATTATTGGATTTTCTCAAGGTGCCATTTTATCAAGTTTAATTAGTTCAATCTCATCTCTCAATCAAGAGAGTGATAATTATTTTACTGGATACAAGGAAATTTCGATCAAATTTAGTTTGTTGTTTAGTGGTTTCCAAAGCAGAGCCACTGTTCACCAATCTCTCTATCCTTCCAACGACAATGAAAGCAATCAAGGATCATACCCACTCTCCAAGATTGCTACCCCTTCTCTACACGTCTGGGGCAAGGCTGACGAATTGGTATCCGCCTCCAATTGCGAAAGTCTCTCACTCCAATTCTCTGAACCACATATTTATATTCACGAACAAGGTCATCTCATTCCTCTCTCCAAGAAAGATATCGAACACTATAGAAACTTTCTTCAACAATTTTTAAATAACGAAGAAGGGTTGGAATAACCTTGCTACCTCTAACAACACTGTATAGAGGATTCTTTAATAATAATAATAATAATAGTAATAATAGTAATAATTTTTTTTTAATTAATAAATTTAAAATTTCTTAACATTTATAAGTATAATAATTATAAATATTATATTATTTATTTCTAATATTTTTATTTCTATTTATTTTTTTAAAAAAGAATAAGTAGAAAACATTCTTTGAATGGTTAATAATTTTTCATTGTTTCCTAAATGCTCGGATTCTAGGTCTTGAAGGTCTTGATGAATCCATTCTCTTTCTTGACTATTCTTGTTGTTGTTTAGGTGTTTGGCATAGTGTTTCATTCTTTCGATTAGAATGAGTAATTGACCATACTCTTCAAATGGTTTCTTTTGTTGTTCCAATAATGTCTTTTCATCATCGTTGATCAAAGGTGGTTGATAGAGACTAATTCGATAAAAGGTTGAAGCTACTCTTGTGGTAATGGGAACAATTTGATCTGGTAGACTTGTATGTTTGGTGATTGTTAGTCTACGATGAATCGAACGAAGTGTTGATAGGATTGATTTTTGGGCATTGACTGTATTCTTTGATTCCTTGACAGAGAAAGAGTCATTGATTTTCCAAATAACAGTCCAAACAATGAGAACCGATGGAATGGCAGCTAGTAATTGGAAATTGAGTTCATTGCTTTGAAGCAACTTGTCAATTGCCAACATGGCTCTATCAACATCGACCTTTTCCTTTTGTACTTGGATCAATGCCAAACGCAAAAAGTCACCAAAGAGAGCAGACTTTATGGGAGCTCTAATGTTTAGTTCATAGGGTTTCATAATGTCACTTAGGTCTCCAAGTGCTACTCGATGTACCAACGAATCAATTTCGGCTTGACTCATATTGGATTGTGTCTCTTTGCAGAAATCAGTCACCATACGAGTAAGAGAGTCTAGTGAAGATTGAAGTGCCGCAGGATCAGTGACATTCATTGATTTCTGGTCATATCGAATGACATTCCAAATATTCAACAATGGAGTTTCAATATGTTCTCTTGAGAATCTTCTCCAGGCTTGATAGTTTTCCATGACCGACGTTTTAAATTCTTGACGATGTGAATAAGCATAACGAGCACCAAAGACAGTCAAACTAGTGCCAATTAAAATCTTTGACCAATTACGAACCATCCAACTTGGTGGTCTTTCATCTCTAATTGCATCTTGACCTCTTAGCACCATTGATTGTATTGAAATTGTATTTTCTTTTAATAGATTAAATAAATCTTTTTGATGTTCTTCTAATAAAGATTCATTTAATTTATCAATGCTACTAGATTGTGAATAATCACATTTCTTTTTCCATTCTTGATATGATTTTGCAAATGAATCTTCTTCTTCTTGTTGTTGTTGATTTTCATCTTGATCTTTAAATAATAATTCACAAGTATCTTTAATTAATAATAAAGATTGATTTATACCAATAATATAATCTGATAGTCCAATGGAATTAGTATTATTATTGGTTTCACCATTTTCAAATAAACTTAATGAATAAGTTAATCTTCCAATGGCAATTGATAGATTTGAAGAGATTGTAGTAAGAGTCTTAATTCTTTTTGTTAATTCTTTAATTGGATGAAGTATTGATTCTCTTTTAATTTTTGTTGTAGTTGAAGTGTTATCTTGATTGTTATTATTATTATTATTATTATTATTATTATGATTTTGTTGATTATCATTATTTTCTTCATCACTAATAAATTCTTCATCACTTGGATTATCATTTAATTCTTGTTGTTGTTGAGTATTGTTGTTGTTGTTATCATCTCTTTTAAAAATAGTTTTTTTAATATAGTTGGTTGCCTTTTTTTGGTATTGATTAAATGTAACAATTGAAGAATTGAAACCAATACTTTTGTGAAGAGTCTTTTCAAAAGATAATTTACTATTCCAAAGACTATAGTAATATTGTACCCAAAAGAATGGAGTTTTTTCAAATAGATACCAATAACGTGAGTCGGTTCTCTTTGTCCAATAATCTTGAGCCGATGTAATCTCTGATTCAACCATCAACAACAAATCTACCAATAAAACCAATTGATCAACCACCAAATTTGAAAGTAATAGTTGTTTTCCAGTCTTGTAAGTGATTGTCGGGTTAAGTTCAGCTCTTTTGTTTGTACCAGGTTTTAAAAGGTCACCTTCACCAATCATACCATCATTACCATACAAATTTTCAAATGATTCAAGTTGATTTTTAAATGATTCAATCTTTTGTAATAATGGTTGAAAGAATTGTTGTTGACCTATTAAATTTAATATATATCTATTTCTTTTTTGTTCATGTTGATGTTGATGATGATGATGATGATCTGATTGTTGTTGTTGTTGAGTATTTGAAGTATAAATTGAAGAAGAAGTAGTTGAAGTTGAATAAGATTCATTGACTATACTTGTAATAGCATTCAATAGTTTAATATCCAATTGATGATCAATGTGATCATGTTCAACATGTAAACAATCCCATTTCTTGATTGATGTTGAATCTAAAAGATTCTTTTTAACTTGTTTTGCTTTCTTGTGAATAAATGATGTCATAAGTAATCTAAATTATTTGTTTGTTTGAAAGATTACAATGCGAATGATCATTCTTACCTCATATCGATTTTTTTTTTTGTGAACTTCTTCTTCTTTTATTTAGTTTTGAAAAATTTTATACATTTATTTATTATTTATTACTTTTATTTTATTGAGCAGTTAATTCAGATAAAGTTGATTGTAATACTTCATTCTTACGACATTCTTCTTGGAATTCCTTTGTATATTTATAATAGTTTCTTTCTTGTTCGACAAGGGTAATGTATTGATCAGAGAGCGAGGTATGTTTAGACTTTTCGTGTGCACGTTTACCTTCACTCTTGCTCAAAACCTCTTGGATACCGGCGATGATATTGTCCATTGATTTGATAAACATTTCCTTGTTGGTTTTGGAAGACATGGCAACATTGTATTTGGTTTGGATCGATTGGAGGATGGAAAGTTCATTGTCGAGAAGCTGGCGCTTGTCATCCAATGTATTGTAGGTGGTATAGTATTGACGAGTCTCTGTGAGTTTGGCGTCGGATTGCTCAGACAACTCGATAAATTGTCTCTGGTATTGAAGGAGTTCGGCACGCGATGGCAATTCATCGAGATAACGTTGGAGTAGTGAAATGTCACGATTCTTTTTGTTGAGTAGTTGTTTGAGTTTCTTGAACTTTTCGAGGTCGGCCTCGAACGCCTCTTCTATCTGTTGGCGACGTTCGGCATCGTCTTCGTCTTCGGCGCTACCGCCACCACCCTTGACCAGCTCCTCAATCTTGGCCTTGTACTCGAGCATCTGCTTCTTGCAGCTGTCCTTGAACATTTGCTCTTGTGCCACCAACGTCTCGTTGAGCAGGACCAACGAACGCAGTGCTTGGAGCATCTTTGTGTTTTCGGGTGTTTCGAGAGCATCCAATTTCTCAGTCTCTGCAATGATACGCGCGTTAAAGGCTTGGCGCTTGGCAAGATCGTTTTGGAGTTGGTCGACACGCTCTTGCAACTCTTGACGAAGCTTGGCAATACGCTTGAGCTCTTCTTGGCGCTGGCTGATTTGTTTGTCGAGTGCTGCCACCTTTTGACGATGTAATTTCTCGCCCATCGCTTTTCCAGACGGACCGTCAACATCCATCTCTGAATAACGATGTGCGAGATCGTTGATTTCGTCGGTCGCCACCACCGACTTTAAAATGCCACCACTAATCTTGTTGATCTTTTGACTGTCCACTCCACTCATACTCTTCATCATCTTTTGAATACGCTTCTCTTCTTCATCGGCTTCACCAGAGCCATGGCCACCATCCTTGTCTTGACCAAGTGCTTGTTCGAGTTTGGCAGCTGCAGCCGACTTGTCACCACTTGAAGGTGTGACTCTACTTAATCTGTGCAGTTTACCATACTCTAACAATGTTTCTTGGGGTGTGGCTGTACTGCCAGTGGTGGCAGCCGCCTTTCTAAATTTACGTGATGGTTTGTATCTGTTTTCAACCTGATGAACAAATGCACACGAGGCATCTAAATTGGTCTTGGTTTCCTTGTCTGTGGGTGTTTGGAACCCCTTGTTAAACATACTCTCTGAATAGATACGAAGAAGATCTCCAGTCTCTTCTCTTGTCTCTATAACCTTTGCAATCAACCATCTAATAATTGGGAATAGATTTGGATAATTTAAACCTTGAATTTGTTGTGCTTGTAATGGGAATGGACATTTCATTCTTCTCAATGATTTAATTAATTCTTCTGACAATGCACTAGAAGATTTGAAGATTCGAGAGTCAGTATTTAACTCTTACAAACTACTAAATATATATATCTATCTAATATACATTACATTTTTTGTCTAATATTTGAATTTTCTTGAAAGAATAAATCACCATCTACATCTACATTGGAGGCAGTGATTGACCAAGCCATACCACCTACTACCTTGTCAAATGGAGATAGACCTTGAATACGAGCACGAAAGTAACCACCAGTCACCAATAGTTCAATAATCTCTTGATACTTTTGTTCAGAGTCTGTATCCTCCATCTGAGACAATTCACCTTCTCTTGCATTGGCAGGTGCCTTGACCGTTGATCTCTTTGTAAAACTACTTAGATCATTTGAACTTGTATTTGCATCATCTGCAAAGAATATACTCTTTTTCTTTGCTTGTTTTAATGTATCTTCCATCCTCTAAATATATATAAAGTACAAATAGAAAGACAGATAGAGAAATTAATTTAATAGTAGATCTTGTTTAAGTGAAGAGTTGAGTGTCTCTTGCAAAGAGCCTGGCTCATAAAAAAAAAATCATCAAATTCGAAAGGTTTTGTGATTATTCTTTCATTGCTCTGATGATCTTTTAATTTCCGACATAGGCGAATGATCATTAGATACTAAGGAAGTAGAAAGAAAGGAAGGAAGGAAATGATCAACATTAGAAGATTATTAAATAATAGAAATACTACTAAACTATGTAGTATTCAATCTACTTTTAAAAGTAGTAACTATAGTCGATCATTTACAACTATTTACAAATACCAATCTTCATCATCTCTATCATCATATGAAACATCTCTATCATCTTCACTAATCAATAATAATAATAATAATAAGAATAGATATTATTCAACTGAAATCAACAATAATAACGATAATAAGGATAATCAAAAACAACAACAACAAGAAGAACAAGAAGAATCTGAAGAAGTTCATGGTATTGATAATGTAAAAGAGATCATTTTAGAGAAAGCATTAAAGAACGTATCATTGTATGGATGGAGTGATACATCAATATCGATGGCATGTACTGAACTTGGTTACTCTAATATTACACATGGTCTATTTGAAAATGGAGGATATGATTTGGCTTACTACTTTGTCACTCGATGCAACAATCAACTCAAGGAGAAATTGTCATCAGACATTTTGATGGGCCTTACACCAAGAGAACGTATCAAAATGGTGATCAAGATTCGTTTGTCAATGCTCATTCCATACATTCATCGTTGGTCTGAAGCCATGCAATTATTGGCTCATCCAAAGAACCTAATCAATAGTGCACCATCAATGGCCAACCTTGTAGATGAGGTTTGGCATCTTGTTGATGATCGTTCATCTGATGTAAGTAGACTAATAATAATAATAATAATAATAATAATATTTATATTTATATTAAATTCATTCTTTTTCTTTCAATTTAGTTTGAATGGTATTCAAAGAGAGCATTATTGGCAGCATTGTATACATCATCGGAATTATTTATGATTACAGATACATCACCAGAATATAAAAATACTTGGAGATTTGTTGATGATCGTGTTGATGATTTAATATCCATTATCAAATTTAAAAGAGATGTAAGTAGATAGATGAATAATTATTAAACAACAATATTATTTTGTAATCGGACCAACCAACCAACCAACCGACTGATTGACTGACCAACCAACTAACCAAACAACCCATTATTAACTTAAATTTTCACTTTTAGGTTGGTGAATCACTCTCAATGACGACTGGTGTTGTTATGAATATGATCAACAATACATTCAACAAAAAATAAAAGTACCCCATCCATCAACTTTGTTTGGCAGAATTGGAATATTGTAACATCACAGAGTAATTGATATTCATCATGGTGTGTGAACTACGTTGACGTTCAAGTTCATACTCATTTCTTGATCAGATAGTTGTGGTAATCATTTCCATACCATATTTGGTTATTTAATATTTAATACAGTTTACCAACTGATCGATAAACCAACACCTACCATTATTCATTTCAATTCAATTCAATTCAATTCATTCATTATTTATATTTAATTATTTACTTTTTATTTTATTTAGTTTCTATATACATTTAAACACATTCAATGTGTTTCATATTTATATTCATATTTTTTTTTTACCTATCCTGTATTAAAGCTGTAATGGACATTGACGACTTTGATTGTTGATGTTGTATAGATGGTAATAATTTTGGAGGTTGGAAGGTAGGTGGAGATGAAGAAGATGAAGACGATGATGAACAGACAGATTCCAAACTTAGTTGGGAGGGTGGTGGAGATGAAAAAACAGATATAGTGGATGTTTGACTATCTCCACTTATTGACGAGCTGCTAGGCATTGGTCCCATTGTAGGTGTGGCAAGATTTAATGGGGAACAAGATTGTTGAGAGTATTGTTTTGGTGATCCCCCTCCTCCTCCATCACCTTCACAATTGTCCATTGAATTTAATTTGTCAAAAGTCTCTTCAATTTGGTGATAGGTAGCAACTAAATGATTCCATTCTTCTCCAGATGTTGTCTTTCCTGTTGTTGTTGTTGTTGTAGTTTTTTTTGAAGGAGATGATGATAATGGACTTGGTAATAATTCATTATTACTATGATTATTATTATTATTATTATGATTAACTAAAGATTTATGTTTTTCAATTAATCCATTAAAATGATGTAACAATGTTTTCAAATCCTCAACAGAATGTAATAATTTCTCTTTTTCACAATGCAATTCTAAAAAAACAAAAAAAGAAAGAGTTAATTATTTTTTTTTCCTTCTTCTTCTTCTTCTTTTTTTAATCTATCTCTTTCTTACGATGAGAAGGAATTTCTAGATCCCAAGATTCATTATTACTTGATTCTTTAATTTTTTTTCTTTTTTCACCTCGACCTGGGATTGAAGATTTCCTGGATACCTTTTCTTTTTTCATTTCCCATGGATCATTATCTTGTTTTAATTTCCAATAACCATTCTGTCTGAAATGGTCCATTCCACTTTCAAACAAGTCCTTGCTATGACTGAGCATATCTTGAATTTGTTTTTTCCAATTGTCAGACCCTTTGGAATTGGATTATTAGCTATCCTACTATTTTTTTTACCTTGAAATTGAAATAGTACATACTTTTTCTATTGATACAAAGATTTTGCCAATGCGAGGTCATAAATCCATATACTTCTGTCTTGAGATTAAAATAATCCTTTTTTGGCTCGTTTACCTTGAGACAATAAAAAACTACCCTCATCACACACGCCCAAGTAGGATTTCGTATGAGAATGGTGGGACTCCCATCTTTACACATTCGACATGATTTTAGAGTACAAGGATGATTTTCTTTTTTGCCATTGTTGGTGGTGCTAGTGTTTGGATGCAAGGCTGGGGTCAATGGTGGACTAAGTGGATATGGAATAAGGGTAGGAGTATTTGGACAACTCTGAGACAGATTTCTATGGTTTTGACTGTGTGGATGAAGTGAGTTGACATGATTCATTGATGGTGATGGTGGGGGGGCAACTGGATTTCTATGTGGCAATGGACTTGTTTCCCTTTTTGGTGACATTGATGGTGTTGAATCTGTACTATTTATTGAATTGATTGGTGGTGATTGGAATGGATTTACCATTATATTTACAGGCTTATGATTTGGTGACGGAATTGGAAAAATATTATTATTATTATTATAGGTTTGTCCATTATTATTAGTAATATTAGTAGGATGGAATTGATTATTGTTGGGAAGAATTGGAATAATAGGTCTATTTGTTGGAGAATGAGGAGGGGGAGGATTTGATTGTTTATTATTATAGGAATTAAATATCATTTTGGTTGATTGCATTTTTTTTTTTTTAAAAAAAGGAAATAAATCCTTTAAATCTAAAAACAATAATATTTTTTTGATTAGAATGTTTTAAATAATTCAAAAAGTAAAAGATAGGATTTAAATGTGTAGAGAAAGTGTAAGATGTGTGTATGATGAAGGGGTATATATAAATATATATATTTCAACCAAATGTGGTTAATTAAAAATAAAATATCAATCCGTTAAACGTTATTAATAATTTCGATTAATTGTTTGATCACAAGATCTTTAAAAAAATAATAAAAGATTAAACTATTTTTTTTTAATTTGAAGATGTGTTGGAGGTTAGTAGATAAAAAAAATTGGTAACTATATTTTGGTGATTTGAACAACAACAACAAATGTTAATATGTACATCTACATTATCAAGGAGGTGGACAGATGAATGAAGATTTTTACAGCTGCTAGATATTTAATTATTAATTTTAAATGCAAGCAAGCCATAAAGGGATAAGGGATTTAGTTGTGTTGTTGTTGATAAATCTAAAAAAAAATGATTAATATGATTGCTGGCTGACATGATCCATGTGTTTTTAATTAATTTTTATTGTTGGATGGAAATCTACATACAAAGGAGGTGGAGCAGGAGGAGGAGGAGGAGGAGGATAGATTAGATAAATAGTTTTTCCCACGATACAATGTAGGAAGAGATTGTATTGTTGATGATTGCTCGATAAAGATGATGATGATGATGAAGATGATGATGAAAGATGATGATGATGATGAAGATGATGATGAAAGATGATGATGATGATGAAGATGGTTGATCAAGCACAGCTGCTGCTAGTTGCAGCTGGTGAAACAGCCAACAGCAAAAATAAGCATACCTGGAAATTGATTTTTAATTAATTAGATAAGTTAGAGAAGCAGTACATCATCACCTTTCGGATGGGTAGCCAGAACAACAACAGCAACAAATGATATATTTATTATTTTTTAAAAAGCACAAAAAAAGTGTCCACCATTTACTCAAAATACCCACTACCATCAGGAGGGATGGTATCCCATCTCGTTTGCACTCCTCATAATTTAATTGAGACATACTACTTAGAGAGAGACAGAGATTAAATTAAATTAAATTGTTGTTGCCTGCCATGCATGCATGGAGGGAAAATGAACATCAACGATTTATTTTATTTATTATTATCACAAAAAACCACAAACACAGTGATAGATACAGCAACAACAGAAACAACAACAACAGCAACAGCAACAGCAACAATAACAACACAACACAACACAACACAACATCACAACCAGTTTGGAATCAAACTACTTCTACTCCATCAACCATCACAAAAAATGTTATTTTATTAATGTTGAACAAAAAGTTGTTGTTGTTGTTGTTGCTGTTGCTGTTGCTGCGTTGTGTTGTGTTGTGTTGTTATTGGTGCCACAAAAAAAAATCACTATACCTGTTCATATTCTCTATAGTGATCATACGATGGTTTATGATTATTTTAATGGGGGTGGTGAAAACTAAACACAACTACCATCTTTTGTGTTGGGATAATATTTTTACTGTAGAGGATGGGTGTTGTGTCTAAATAAATAAACACACCACCTCTTTCTATATGTAATTCCATGGTGATGCCCATTGAATCTTTCACCAAATCATCATTCATTATTGTAGAATGACATGGGTGATGAGTGATTTCCCAAACGACGATAGTTGGTGTTGGCAATGACAATTTTTAAAAGCATAACAAGAGAAGAGATAGTTTTTGTATTGTTTGTTGAACGCATAAAGAGACAGATATCAATAATCAATCAATCAGTAGGGTGTGGAAAAATTAGCCGTTAACTTAAATAAATAAAACGATGGTTACAACAACAACAACAAGAAAACAAAATATACTTTATAAAGTCGGTATGTAATACTGACACTTAAATCAATGATGATGATCATTTTATCAAAAGAGAGCTCGCTTCAATCAACAGATCCACACTTTACTTGGTGTCATCCACACTTTACTCTTGTTGTTGTTTGTTAAACTAGTTGAATTTAACAACACAACAAGAAGTACAAAGTTGTTTTATTAATACATTGGTATTGGTTGGTGATTTTGGAAAAAAAAAACAACAATTGTTTTTTATACCTGGTAACGATTTAAAGATTATCAATTACTATTACTTTGATGATGAGTATTTCCAATTTGATATTGGTGAACAAGGTTTTCAATGCCAAAGAAATTCTTCATTTCATCGACAAAGGAAGTGATCTGTTCAATACTTAATAATTGTTCATCTTCCAATGAAAGTATATGTGTAACAAATGTATCAATTTCAAATGATGGATGTGATTGATTTGGTATATGATTTGGTTTCAATAAACTAAAAGGAAAGATAAAGTAAAAATAAATAAATATTATAAACATTCATTCATTCATTCATTCAATCATTTTTGTGTTACTATACCTTAATAGAGAATCCAAAAATAATTTAAATTCTTGATAATTAATTTGTTCATCATGATCTATATCATACATATCAAAAACAAACTAAAAAAAAAAAAAAAATATTTAGTTATTTTTTGTTTTTTTTTTTTCTTTTTTTTCTTTGTTTTTATATTTACATCTAATTCTTTCATTAATATTTCCTTTTGTAGTAATAGCAGTCATATAAACAAATTCATCACCAATGATAAAATCATCCATATCATCATCTAATAATTTAAATAATCTATGATGTAATTCCACTTGATTTTTCCAGGCACCTGGTAAAACATCTTTACAAATTTCCATAAATTTGTTTCTACCAATTCCCAATTTACTTGTACTTAATGATACATAAGATTGGAATAAATCATAAATAATTTCTAAATCATTTCTTGTTACTAAAAATAGAAAAAAAAAGAAAAAAAGTTAATATTATATGTTTATATTTTTTTTCTATTTTTTTTCTATTATTTACAATTTTTATATCTTTCACTCCAATCTCTAATTTTTGATTTTTTAGTTGTTATTTGTACATTTTTAATTGCCATGAATTTGTTTGAAGATCTAATTTGTTCGATTTTGTCTTGTTGGATATCATCAAAAGTTTCCAAAACACAATTAAAAATGAGGTCAACGTTATAGTTTTTAGTTTTAAAAACCTTCATCACCTCTTCTTCACTTTTACAAGCCAATAGTTGATTTTCCTTTGATTTACAACAAGACAGCGCAGCTTGAAGGAGGAAATTTGAACCTTCATAAAAGAAACAATCCAAAATACGTAAACTTGCTTCCATCTGAACGTGTCCGATAAAGAGACACAAAAGCCATGGCAAAATGATCATTGACAATGAACAATTGAGTTTTTTGATGTGTTGATCGAGTTCTGGTAGGTAGATCTCTACCAAATGTTCAAATGTTTTACCGTCGGCTATACTTCCAACCATACCAGTTTGATGATAATAATCCTCTACATAGTCTTCACAAATAGCCGATAGAACCCAAAATGCCTCCTCTTCATTCATGTACAATAGTAGAATGGCACCAATAATATTCATTGATTGACAATAACCAATCGATTGGTTACGAAGTGAATAGGCAATTAAAATGTTTCGAAGTGAATCGATTCCTTGTTCGGTTTGGTAGTAAGGATGTTCTGGGAATGACCGCTTCAAATCCTTTTCAATATCATTTTTAAATGTCGATGGTGTTTCTGTTGCATGAAGATCCAACAATTGAGTATAATAGTTGGGATGTTGACAATAGGATTTGTAAATGGCACCAGAGGTTAATAACCATAGTGTACGTCTATAGTCATCTGGAATAGTTCCACGAATCATCATCTTCAAATCATTTCTATTGATCATTGCAATTCCATCTCCATTTACTTCAAAATATTGATTCCAAATATGAGTTTGTTCTCTTTGAATCTTTTCAAAATCACTTGAAAAATATTTCAAATCTTTAAACATTGATTCACAAAGTCCAACTCTTTGATATTCTGAATTAAAAATTGATAATGACGACCCAATAGTTGAACCAGTTGATGTTGATCCAGTTTCTAACCATAAATGTCTTAATAAATCATATGTATTTTCAACTTGATTTGTTAATAAATAAAACTAAAAATTAAAAAAATAAATAAGTATATTTGTTTCTTTTTTTTCTATCTTTTGTTTCTTTTTACCTTTTGAATATTTTGAACAGTAATTTTAATAATTCTTTTGTTTGAATCATCAGTAGTTAAAAATGATATTTCTTGAATGGGAATGATAAAATTTAAATCTGTTGAACCAAAACAAACAAAGTTTGTTGAAATGTATAACTTTCCTGGTACCTCTTGTTTGGTACGTCCATGATAAAGTAATAGTGTTGATTGAAACTCCTCGATTAGGAATTCTTGTGAAGGAAGATTGAAAAGTGATTGGAAATCTTGATTTTTAATTTGTTCTTTAAGTATTTCTTTTACATTTACTATTGTTTGATGACTATGACGATGTTGTTGATGACTATTATGTTGTTGTTGTTGTTGTTGTTGTGATTGTTGGTGATGACGATATAAATGAATACCAGTTGGAGTTTTACCAAAACTCATTCCACCAAAACTTTGAGAAAGTAGTGTGTTGGTTGAAGGACTGTGGATAGCCGACGACGAAGATGATAGTGGAGTCTGTGATCCAAAACTTGGGTTGACACTAGTTGGTGAATCCCAATAATTGGTGGTAGATGCACTTAGTGAAGGAGGAGCTGTTGCCAATGGTGAACTGGAATAGTAACAGCTGTTATTGCCACCCGTTGTAATGTGACTTCCACCACCACCACCACCGGTAAATGGAGTTGTATAACTACTTGAAGCCGCTGCTCCAAGAGAAGATGATAGAGAACCATATGGCTCACCAGGTGGTGACAATGAAATATAAGGGGATGGTTGCCAACTTGACGATGCAATATTATGAATACCACCATCAATCGATTGAGCTGCACCAACTCCAATAGGTGCTTGAAAATATCCACCCGATGCCTTTAACGAATTGAATTGGGAGGATATTGGTATTGGTATAGTAGGCATTCCCATTTGTTTGTTGTTTGAACTATTTGATACAACCGTAGTTGTAGCCGTTTGAATCATATGTTGTTTATCTGCATTGACAATCATTCTATTCATTGCCAGTTTACGAATCTGATCCAATATTTGAAAGGTTTCATCAATCTTGAAAAAAGTATGGAATATGTATTCCTTGGCCTCGGTTTGTATCTTGATCGTATCGGTAATCGACGACAAGAATCGAAATGAATTGGAATGTGTACATTTCTTTAATTCCAATATTTCATTAAACATAATCTTGATCTTTGTCGGTATAATCCTACTATAAAAACATATATAATTCTCTGATATATACATACAACCATGTCTTTGTATTTTATCCATTAATGAACATGAATATTCTTAAATTGATAATTAAAAAAAATATTAATATTTATCTTTCTTCTTTTCTTTTCTATCTTTTAGCTTACGAGTAACTAAAGATTCATTTGTATTAAAATTAAATCTTTTTTTAAAAGCTCTTTCTTTTTTCTTGAAATCTTTATCTTTTTGTTCTCTTTCACGTTCTTGTTCTTTGTTGTTTTCGTCGTGTATGCCAAGACATGTGAATTTGAGTGATAGGAATTCAAATATTTCGTTGCTATTGTTATTCATCTTTTGAACCGATGGTATAATATTGTCTTTGATCCATTGCCACATTGATTGAATTTCAACAAGATCATTTGATATTCCAATACATTGATATGCCTTATTTTTTAATGCTATTTTATATTCTTGTTGATTTAAATTTGAAGATGAAGAGGATGGTGGCTGTTGTAATCCTTGTGATTGTTTTAAACTTGAAGAAGATGCGGGAGGAGGAGGAGTACTATTAACAGTAGTAACAATAGTATTTATATATTCATCAGAATAATAACTATTTAAATAATCCAAATTACTATTTCCATTCATATTGTAGGTATTTCCACGATCTAGGTTTGGATTTGATAATATCTCTTGTGACGATCCAACACCCTGTGGGATCATTGAAACGAAATCCTGTATAATCAACGAAGGTGTGATACATTTCTTTAACAATGCAAAGTATTCATCTTCTTCAAGTACTGCCCATGCCTTTTTAAAGGTAATTGATTTTGGTTTGATCCATCCCATAGTTTTAATCTTTCTTCATATCCAACCAAGGTAAAGAAGACTTTTCTTTAAATATAAATGAAAAAAAGGTTGATTAAATTGATTAAATTGATTAGTTGTTGTTTGAATATGGAGTTATATTAATGTTGTGTATGTAATTACTTGTCAATGATGGTATCTTTTAGAAAATGGAATGAGGATGATGGATGGAGGAGAAGGGTGGAGGGTATGAGTATGAGTATGATAAGATTAAATCAAATCGACTTTGTTGCTAATTAATTAAAAGAGACACCTGTTTACTAACTACTACTACTACTGCTTTCTAATTGGTTAACAAACTACAAAACTTATTGAAAGAATTATCAATCAATCAATGATGATTAATATGATTAATTGTGTGTATGAATGAATGAAATAATGATGGTTTGGTTGATATAATAATAAAACAAGAGAGTGGAGTGGAGGTGGTTGTTGTGGTGTGTGATTGATTATTATTATTAATTATGAGGGGGGAGAGGATAAAGTTGTGGGATGATCCGTTCTTTTAAATAACTCTATTAATACATCCAGTGCAATTGAATTGGTCAGTTGCAAATATAAAATAAATGATATGTATATACAAATATTATATTATTATTATTATATGGTTGATCGTCTTTTTGTCTCTTTTTATTATTGTGATGATGATGATGATGATGAGTTTGTTTTCATTCTCTTTCTCTCTCTCTTTTGATGTTTCTGCTGTTAGTGGTAGCTCTCTTTGAAACAACGAGAGGAGGAGAAGTATTTAAAAATGAACTATGGTAAAAAATCACACTCTCTCTCTTCGATGGAAAAACAATTATCTGAACGGTGAGATCGAGATCTGAGTGTTTTGTGCCAAGTAAAAAACCATGGTTGTCATTACTTTTTTTAGGTTGCCACTGTTGTATGCAAGTTCTTGATCATCAGATCGATTCTTTCTCTAATAAAATAAATTGAATTATTTATTATTAAAAATCCTTATTATATTTGTTTGTTTGTTAGTTGTTTCCTATCTATTATCTTTTTTGTTTAATTAACGATGTTGACTATTTTGTTGAGAACTTGAATGATTTTGTTGTTGTGAACTTGAATGATTTTGTTGAGAAAATTTAGGTTCCAATTTTTGAAGTAAAGCAATAGTATTTGATTGTTCTTGTTCCTTTTGTTGAATTTGACCTTTAAGTTCTATACCACGTTGAATTTCTTCTTGTAAAACACGATCAACCTCTTTTCTAAACAAATAAGAGTTGTGTTTTGATTTTTTGTATTCTTCCAATAGATTCTTTCTTCTGTACAACTCAATGTATTCTGCTGTTTCTGTGACTGGAAGTTGACCCAAAAGATATTCATCGCGACCATGATCCTTTTTGCCAACAGTTACAAAACCAGAACCTTCAATGATTTCTTCGTCTTGCAGTGTAATGATGGTTGGACAAGGTTTGTTTCTCTTGGAGAGGTAGTGTCTATACTCTAGAGCATCCTTGACAGTGTTAAACACCAAAGTATCTCTAAACAATGTCCATCCCAACGTAGCTCTATATTGTTCATGTTTCTCTCTAAATTGTACTCGATTCACCAAATGTCCAACATATCCATTAGATGGTGCTCCTGGGAATGGATTTAATTGTAATTTACCACCTTGTTGCGATTGTTGTTGTTGATGACCATTTTGTCCATTTTGTTGTTGATTATTACTATAAAAAGCTTGAATTAAACTAATAGCAATAAAAGAAACACTACTACGACTATCTTTGTAACGGTTCATATAGGTTTGAAGTTTATCGTGAGTTGTGAAAATGACAGCTTCCATACGTTTGCCAAGGACACGAGCAATCAATTTAGATTCTGTTGGGTTGTCACAACATATAATCTCCATGACTAAACCAATGATACCAGTATCTTCGCCACCCGATCTTGCCAAATCTGACATTTCTCTAGAGATTTGATTGTTGGGTGTTGGGGCGCGTCGACGGTCCGTACGATTCTTTAATTCTTCCAAACGAACCGAATCTTCATTGATAAATCTCTTTACTTCCTCTGGATTGTTGGATTGTTTGCTAAAATCGGGAATGTATTTTTCGAGTTTGGCAAGTAAATCTTCAGATTGATCACGCATTTGTTCTTTTTTGGTTCGAGATATTTGCATGTTGAGGGCAGTTTCCTCTTGCATTTTACGGAGATCGGCAATCTCTTTGCCCAGAGCGACACGACGCATTTCAAGTTGTGACTTTTTGTCAATGTCTTCTTTGAGGTTGCGGAAAAAGAATTCCTGTGATCGAATGGGTGGAATCTTGCCTCCAGACGCTTCAAAGACGAGTTGGTACGCTTCAGAGAGACCAATGTTTTCTTTGAGGGCGATTTTGGGAAAAGTGGCGTATCCAGTGGCCAAATCAAACGATGATAGGTATTCTTGAGCCAAGACGGGCATGTTTTGGCTCTGACTGTCGGAACGAGAGGCAACGAGTTTGATTCTGACGGCACCCTTCATACTGGCCGATATTTTGTTGTCATAACGATCAGTGGCGTATATTTTGAGGTCGGTTGCGAGGACAGACGATGTTTCTCCGCTAATCTGTCCTTCGATGGCCATCTTGGCAGGTGGGTCGGGCATGATGAGAAGAGTGGCACCCAATTCAATCTTGAGACCACTGGCAGTTTGATACACGAATCGAAGAGGATGTTCACCAGCCTTTCTAAAGGACTTGGCACCGGCAAACACATAGACTGATCCATCTTCATCGGTCTTTTCACAATCGATTGTCTTGTGGTTCATCACCAAATGAACATTCTCCTTGGCGACAATCATTCTCATACGTTCGGCATTGAGAAGGGCTATACGGATCGGTGGCAGATCCATGTTGGGTTGAATGACCATTGGATCTTCATTGTAGAGGTAGATAGACATACCTCCCTTTACCGTGATTTTCACAGTGGCCGGTTTGATGGTAGGTAATTGTGTTCGTACTGTCATCTCGTACACTCCATCTACACTTGTTAGAGCTACATTCTTTGTTGATATCAGTCCTTGACCTCCCTTGATGATAGTTTTACGTTTCACTACAAAGGGAGTTTCACGAGAATCTGCCCATTCACAAATGAGTTCGACACCATTGATGGTTGGTACTGTATTGCCTAGAGTGTCACAAATGGTGACTTGGAAGTCCTCAATGTTTTCTCCATGACAACAATTAACCGATACCAAAGATAGACCATTGATTTTGACTGCCGATGCCGATCCTTCAATCATTGTGAATCGTAATGTATATTCTGATATATTTTTGTTACGATCAAGTACTGTCAGCGCCAAATCACCATAACCAACCATCACCAATTTACAAGGATACATTTGTTTGTCGGGGTCAAATTCTCCGATATGGGTACTCTTGATTTCCATTTGAGAGTGTGGTTTGTTGGCAGCATCGGGTTGTGCAGCCAGTTCAAACACTGGTTCAATGACAAATTGTCCACGAGAGTCGGCTGGTGTAACCGTGTTGCCACGTTTGTCGTGTAGACGTAATTCCAAAAACACCTCTGAATCACATCTAATCTTGGTGGTGGTACCACGACCAAAGGTTGCGAAAAACGATGATGGAGTGCCACCAGTAGTCTGAACTGAAAAGTCACACTTTAATTCTGCCGTTTTCTTGGTCTTGCTAGATGGTACTGCGGTGGCTGCTGTAATGGGTAGGGCAGCAGTAACAGAATAGATAAACGATCGTGTCATCTTGTCTGTGATCAGCTTTGGTAGAGTAAACATATTGTTTAGATTCATTTCCATATCTTTAGATGATTTGGGGTCCCATGATGCTGTGATCTTTCCATCGAGACCACTCAATTCAAAAGGACCACGACCACCACCACCTGCACTATACACTTTGAGTCCAAACAATAGTGTTGATCCTGCCATGGTACGGAACGATCCATCGTCCATGGTGATTGCTAGATTGGTTTCACCTGCGCTAATTGGTTCGATACGCAAACATGCTGGTTTGGGTGATGGCAAAATCTTTAGATGCTTTTCACAATAGAATATTTCCTTTTTGTCAAAATAGTAGGTAAATTGAACGATTGAAGTAGAGTGAACGTCAATATCCATTGGTTGTGGAGCTAGTTCGAATGGGAGGACAACCTTTTCTCGAATAAACAATGCTTTACTGTCACCAAATGTAAAGTCACCTGTCACTGCATCACCAACCACCATAATATCTTCATCCAAAACTGCACTAGTTACGTGAATGTAGCTCGATGGTGGTTGATTTGCATTTTGTTTGACACGAGATGACCTTTTGCTTCGTTGTGATGATACCGATGTATCATTCTTTTCACCACCAGACCCTGGCACAAAAATATTTCCACTCTTGTCCTTGAGGAATACCTGGAACGATGGAACATAGGAAAGGTTCTGATAAGGTGTTGGGAATGGATCATCATAAAATGACATGGTAACTGGTGGACCAGAAGTAACACGGATTGGATCCAACATACAAGTATAAGTTGTCAAACCATCAGTACTTGGTATTTCTACAAACAATATGATTCTTTCTTCTGACTCTTCACCCAAATCTCCTTGCATAATCTTGATATCTTTTAATATTAATCTACCATCTTGATCAATTAATATTGATATTGGTCCTGATATCACAACTCCTGGTAATTTCTTTCTAATCATCTTATTATTATTATTATTTTGATTATCTTGACTATTATTATTATTATTATCATCAATTAAAACTTCAGCAGAATATTTTAAAGATTTTGGATTTGGAGTGTTGGAAAAGGGGACTGAATTTTTTTGTTCATCAAGTAGAGTGATGACAACAAGTGGAAATGGTGATTCTAGACAAATTGAAAGATCTTTTTTCTGTTGTTCTTTTGTCAAGTCAAATGAAGCAATGGCACCACATTCCTTGCCATGAATGACTTTGGCATAATGAACGGCTGGAGAAAGTCCAGGATAGTTTGATGTAAACGTAAACTCGTATGTACCAGCACGTTTAAATTCGTCAATATCTTTGAATGACATTCTACCACCTTGATAAAATAGAGATGACTCTCTTGTGAATAGTAGTTGCTCGGGACCACCCTGAGGATTCTTGTATTTGATGGTGAGGGTAATTAGAATCTTTTCAGAATCAATCATACGCTTCTCTACCTCTTTGGGTGGTTGTTGGCTATCGAGCAACTGAATCGACAACCATTTAATATATTCTCCAGAATTGTATTCTCTTTTGGGGAGTGGTGCACCATCACCTTCATAAATCTTAATCTTTGATGGGAGTTTGGATTTTGCAGTATCGAGTAGCTTTTTAAATTCGGCTGGTTTGAGTTTTACTTTGATACGACCACAAAGATGTTGTTCAAGAGGCATTGGTTTAAAGTGAAGTTTTTCATATTCCATGAAAAAGTCGCCGGTACGTTGTTCGAGAGTACCTGGGAAATAAATGGATTTGATGGTTCCATGAGAGGTTGGTTTGGTTGTCAGTGTGACATGTTCTTCATTATAATAAGTAACACCATTAAATGAGATGGATTTACAATAGGTACGATTAAAACCAGAATCATAACGTAAAAATTCAAATTGAAAATCTTGATCCATTTTGTGACATCGCTTGAGCCACTTTTTCCACTCTGTATTGTTTTGACGTGTTCCTGCCTTTTCCAAATTTGAAAAGATTTGATGTTCCTTGATAATATGCATCTTGTTGTGTGTCACTGGGAATGAAGATCCTAAAAAGATGGCACCTTTTACACGTTGTACCCACTTTTCCTCGAGTCTTTCACCATCTACAATACCAATCGTCATGAAACCAAGACGATCAATATGAGCCTCTGAAATGAGTCTACCATTCCAAAACACTTCAAATCCAGGTTTTCTAAGTGTCAGAGGGAATGTTTCCAATTCTTCAATAGGATGTTCTCTTTGAATGTGATAGGGAATGGGAAGTGTTTCACGTTCATTAATGTAGGGAAAGTAACGTAAATGAACCATTACCATCGAACTTTCACCATCTACAGTTGGAACACGCAATTCAAATGTTTTTAATCGATGTCCAAATTCCAAATACAAAGATTCCATATCACCTTCTACCTTTCCAAGATCGACATTGTTTAGTGAAATATGGTAATCCATAGGCTTGACTATTTTGGCTGGTTTTGGACTATCTTCATTATCCTCTTCACCACTTGATTCACCTCCACTATCATCCATATCTTGTGTTCCTAAATTGGGTGATGATTGTTTCTTTTTCTTTTTCTTTGCTGCCGCCGCAGCAGCAACTTCATCATCGTCAAACGAATAGTGAGAGGTGCTGGCAGGATCAGCATGTAAATAATAATAGTAAATATGAGCCAAATCTCTTTGTAAATTGATCATGGTATCGGCAAATGAGGCGTCGCTAAACATTGAAACATCGGATATTGTCACTTGTGTGAATTGAGGGTGAGCCAACTCTTCGTAGGATGCCTCACGCACTGTGATTGGAATTTTCCATTCCTGATCTCCAGTGGCACTAAGAATATCCAAAGAAATCTTGGCCTGATTCACCAATTTACTACCTTGTACTTTGGTAATAACTGTAATCTCTTGACCCAAATAAAAAGCAGACTTTTTTGCTCCAACTCCAAATCTTGAAATCAATCCAGTAGTTGCTGCTGAACTAGGTGTTGACGATGACGTTTTCGTCACAATTTGATTCATATCTATTGAATTTGCTTGACTCATACCCATTGTTGCCCATCTTTGTAATTCTTCTTTATTCATTCCTGATCCATTATCCCAAATTATTATACTCTAAAAAAAAAAAAAAAAGAAAAGAAAAGAAAAGAAAAGAAAATTAATAAAATCAAAAAAGATGATGAAAATAAAAAAAATTTAGATAGATACATACAGAAATATTATTATGATCAGGTTTTTTAATTGTAATTTTAATATGTTTATCTGAAAAATCATTATTTCTAGTTGCTTGAATACTATTATCTATAAATTCTGCTACAGCATTTGGTAAACTAAAAAATAAAAAAGTTAATATTAAAATATAGTGGTGATTAAAAATTAATTTAATGATCTATATTTACTTGTATTCAGAAGTACCAGCTTTTAATAAAATATTTTTTGAAGGTGTAACATCAACCATAATCTCTTCTGGTGTTTCTAAAGGATTCTCACCATCTGTATACAAGATTAACATATTGTTTTGAGTGGTTAAGAATTTCTGGTATGATGACTCATCCTGTACAAGATGATTTGATAAGTCACAAAAATACATTGGATCCTAGAAAAAAAAAGAATAAATATTAGTAAATTTGAATCAAAAAGGAGAGAGAACTATAAAATATTCTTTAATACTTACTGATGAATCAATTAATTCTAAATTTTGAACTACTACTTTTAGTTCATTAAATGTTGGAGGCGTTTTAAATGAATAATGTTCTCCTTTTCTTGATATGACAACTAATAGAGAAATAAAAAGTTAATTTCATTGTCTGTATCTATCTATATCTATATCTATTCCTATTCTTACTTGATTCAGGTGTATTTTTAATTACCAATTCTGAAGGATTGTATTGTTGTTTACCAGATCCACTACCACTACTACTACTGCTACTACCACTACTTTTATTACTTTTAGGGATATTGGTTCTTTGTTTCTTGATGACTATGGGAGGAGGTTGTTGTGAAGCTGTTGATATTGTACTTGATTGACTTGTATTATTGTTGTTGTTGAAGTTGTTTGTAGTTGCTTGGGAAGGTTGAGATGGTGGTAATACGACGGTATCTCCGAAATCGAGTCCATCTATATCTATATCATCTTCTTCTTCTTGTTGTTTTTTTCTTTTATGCTTTCCATTTGAACTGCTACTACTTTTCTTTGAACTACTACTGCTACTTGAACTACTATTCTTTGTCATTGATTAAATAATATTGTTGATTGGTATTGATTATTAACAATGGTGAAACTTCATATAGATATATTATATAGAGAGATATAGATATTATAATGTATATCAAATTTGAGGAAATGAAACGAAAATGAATGTAATAATAGGTATCTCTTCACCCCTCTTTCGTTTTTTGAAATTTGTATTTTTTGTCTCTGAGTAGATTTTTTCTAGGAAACCTTTAGTTTATTTATTTTTTTATTATTATGATTTCAAATATATAAATCTACTATTCTTTTAATTTCAATGTTTAAAAGTGTATTTGATACTTGAAATAATTCTAATATTCCAATTTGTACTGGTTCAATACTAGTATTGTCTCTGTCTTGTTGTTGTTGTTGTTGAACCAAACAAGTAAATTCATCAATTTGAGGATCAATATTCCAATTTTGATCATATTCCAACAACACTTGGTTTTTGTTCTTCTCTTTATCTTTCTTTTTGATTATTAAAAATAAATTGGATAGAAATCTAAATGTATTAATCTCTATTTGTAAAAGATAGATTGAATACTCTGCAATGATATATAGATGATTGATATTATAATTTCTTAACATTTGAACCAATTTTAAAGTTGAATGAAAGAATTGTTTTGATATTTTGACAACCTCTTCTATAAACTCTATTGTATCTAACAATACCAAATCTCTACTTGATTGATTTCTATTAATACAATTTTCAATATCAAATTTACTAAAATAATGTTTGACATCTATCATTGTATTTGCCAATTTATTTACATCTATTCTAAATGATCTAATTGTTTTAACATGGAATAGATCAAATGGTATTTCACCAACTAATTGATCCAATAGAGAAAATAATCTTTTTGTATCAATATCTTCTCTTGACATTATTTTCTTTCCAAAATTAATTAATTAAATAATTAAATAAAAAGAAGAATAAGTAGTTGAGGTGGAGTCCTTCTCTACCTTCTTCCCTTTCTTCCTTTTTTCATTTATATTTTAATTATTAATAATTTAAATTATAGTAGTTAGAGATGATTAATAATATTTTTTTAATTTCTTATTTGTTGTTTTTGTTGATTTTTTGGTTGGTGTTGTAGTTATTTTTCGAATCTTTAATTAAAAGACTGGCATCATATGCCTATCTTTCAAGGTGTCAAAGCTGAGAAGGGTAGGGACAGGACATGTGATGGATTGCCGAAAGGGAAGGGGGTTAATATTCCTCCGCCAGTTAATGGGTTACATAGTGGGTAACCTAACGTCTTTGGTTTATCTAATTGCGTCCAAGGAAGAGTTATTCTTTTTCTTCATTTTCATTTTCTAATGTATCAATTTCTTGAAAGATAAATAATTATCATTATCATAAGGGTCATCATCCAAGGCAAGATAATGTTGGAGTATATTAACTTGTCTAGATTGAATGATTGATAGTGCATGTTCACGAGGTGTATGTCAACTTGGTCAAAGTGTATACATCTAGATCTGTGATGCAGATCTGATATGTAGATCTATCATCATCTTCATCTACTGCAAATACTAGTATACCAATATTATGAACATTTCTCTCTAAATAATTCTAACTGTATTCATTTTATATTTTTCGATGAAACCGAGAATGACTTGTGAGAAGATGACCAATCCAGAATAAAAAAGATATTAAAAAAAAAAGGATTTTACTTTATCTTTTTTTGCTTGAACAAATAAAGAGAGATAGAATGAATAGTTTAAAAGAATTCTTCTCATTTTTAACTACTACATCTAATAACAAAAAAGAGGAAGAAGAAACTATCATTATAAAAAAGGATAATGATTTTCATCAACTATTACTTCAAGATATCATTCAAAAATCTATAACCCATCATAATAGTGATAACTCTAAAACAACAAATAATAATAATAATAATAGTAATAGTAATAATAATAATATAACTTTTACAAATGATATTTTAATAAGATTAATAATTCATAATAGAGTAATATTTTTAAAGATATTTTCAAATGTTTATATGTTGTCTCGTTATTATACAAGATGTATAAAAGATGCAAACCTTCCTATTATAAACAACTATCATCAAATGACTGATGTTTCTTGGATGATTGATAATGGTTATGTAGGAGTGTTACACTCTAAATTGGATAGAAATGAATTTCTACAGATGGAAGGTGAAATTGGACTTGATACTGCACCACTAGAGAAACTATTCCGAACCAAAGACTATGGTCTCATTGAAAAGTTGGTCAAGAAATATAGAATGCACTTTTACACTGAAAATTCTATCGATTTGGCTTGTTGTAGTGGTCGTTTGGATGTCGTTCAACTGATCATATCCATTCATGATCCACAAAACCTACCAATTACAAAAAATGCAATTTTAAATGCAATGAAAGCTGGATCTTTAGAATTGGTTCAATTCTTGGACACCACTTTTGATTCTTGTAATATTGCCATAACTATGATAGGATCGATATCTAAAAACTCGGACGTCATCTCTTACTATCTAGGCAAGATTTCAATTGGTGGTGGAAGAGTTGATGGATTAATGATTTTATCTAGTATGGATATAAATCTAATCAAGAACCATTTTCACTCTACAACAACCTTTATAAATGCAACTACAATGTTGGATTTTATAAAAAAGGCTACTCTCTTTTCACCATCATCATATCATTTTGAATTGAATGGTTTTCCAAAAAATTTAAAACAATTGGAAGGAAATGAAAGATTAATGGATAATATAGATAATATATTATTAGAGAGTCAAGAATATTTTAAAAAGTTTAATCAATTGATACCTCTTTTATTTAAACAACAACAACAAAATGATGAAAAGATAAATATAAATATTTCAAAATTAATGAATAATATTAATCAAAATAATAATCCAACAATATATCAACCATTATTTAATATATTATTGGTATATGAATATATAAATTTGGATTCAATATTACAAAAACATATTGATACTATTCATAGAATTGTTTTTAGAGCCATTACAATTCTTGGTTTGGTTGATAAAACTATTTTTAGTTTTATTATTGATCGACTAAAAGAAGTAAATAATTTATCAATGGATGAATATTTTAATCAAATTATTGGTAATTGGACAAATATTGATCAATTAAATTTAATTTTGGAAATTGATCCATCATTGTATCAATTTAAATTTATAAATTTAAATAGTACTAGGATAACTATACGTTTTCAAGAAGAAGTTTTGGAAAGGTTAATGGAAATTGGTATTATTCAAGAAGATGTACTTTTAACAGATTGGAGATTACGTGTTGTTGATGATTTGGCAACTGTAAAATATATTTTATCACGCAATACTGCTAAACAAAATTGTTCTATGGTTTGGGATGTATCACGTTTTAAATTTGGTCCACTCTCTAAAAAATACCATGATGAAACTGCAAAATTACTCATAGAAGCTGGTTTCTTACCACAATATGTAGATTCAATGCATGGACTCGTATATCTATGTACCAATCATTCGACAACATCCAACTTTTTAATCAAATATTTGGTAGAGTCATGTCTAACCTATGACGTTTATGCTTTAATGGGTGCCATTCAATCACAAAATTGGGATTTATTTGATTATATTATCAAGGTTGAAAATGTTAGAGAATATCCATTTTTCGAATCTGAATATTATTCAAAAGAATTTTTAAAACCAATCAAATATTTGATAGCAATCAATGATTTTGATAGATGTATAGAATTTATTAAACGTTTAAATAACAAGTCGATTTTATCGCTGGTACCAAATCTATGTGTTGGCAATATTCAATTCTTTTCACAATTTGTCAATCAATACCCACAATCATTAAATTTACAAAAAATGGTCGAAAGAACCATCTATGATTGTCATGTACCATTTATGCTCTTTCTCATCGATCAATACCCAACCTTTTTCCAACAACAAGCAGATTTAATCGATCTTTTTGGTAAAGCATGTTCAGTTGGATCTTTATCAATTATGAAAATATTATTTGACCACTATGGATGTTTAATTGACAATAGTTTTGTCGGTTTACAATATATTTTAGTGGCTATTAATCGTGGTCATGTAAATTGTTTGGCCTATTTAGATTCTTTAAAAAAATTTCAACCACCACTAGATTCACATAAACATATTCATTATTCTAGGTTTGGTTATCAATTAATGGATATATTTTTAAATAGACAAGCAGAAAAGGAGAAAATTTTAAATAATTATGGAAATGAACTTTTATTTTAAAAGGAGGAAAATTTTTTATGGAAATAGACAATATTTTCAAACCCCCCGAAAGTTTTTGTGTGTGTGAAGTTACAAAAAACAAAAAAAAACAAAAAGTCTGGATTATCCGTCCAAGGATAATATATAATTCAAACAATATAAAAAAAATAATCAAATCCATATAATTATATTATTTATTTATTTAATGTTAAAATGTCAATAATTGGAAAAAGTGTAGAATTTAATCAATGTGGAGATTGGAAACAATTAAAGGTAGTTTCAAGACCAGTTAGAGAACCAATTGAAAATGAGGTTCGAGTTAAAATGGATTGTGTAGCTTTGAATCGTGCTGAAGAACTTTATCTTCATGGTAAATTTGTTGAAACTCCTATTTTCCCTCATGCTGGTATTGGTTATGAAGGTAATTATAAAAAAAATCAAATTTGATTTAAAAAATGATTAATTTATTTTTTTTAAAAGGAGCTGGAATTGTTGAAAAGATTGGTAAAGGATGTTCAAAATTTAAAGTTGGTGATAGAGTATCTGTAATGATGAATGTTAAAATGGCAAAGAATAGTACTCAACATGAATATGCAATCTTTCCCGAAAAGGTATTGGTTAAACATCCAGATAATGTTTCTCAAGTCGAAGCAAGTACAATGTGGATGGCTTATCAAACTGCCTACTATGCATTGGTAGAAGTGGCAAAGATTAAAAAGGATGATTATGTTGTTGTTACTGCTGCATCGAGTAGTGCTGGTATGGGAATGATTCAAGTGGCAAAAGCATTTGGAGCAAAGGTAATGGTAACAAGTAGAACAACAAAAAAGAAACAAGCCATTATGGAGTATGGTGCTGATCATTTTATTGCAACCAATGATCAAGATATTGAAGAAGAAATTATGAAATGGACAAATAATAAGGGTGCAAATATCATTATCGATCCTGTTGGCGGACCTTACGTTGAAAAGTTGGCAAATGCTACCGCCTATCTTGGTACACTCATTCTTTATGGATTGTTGTCACCAGATGTCACACCATTCCCAATCATTCAATGTTGGTCAAAGTATATCGAGGTAAAGGGATATATTGTCTTTAGATATGCTGATGACCCAATCCTTCAAGAAAAGGCGGCCAAGTGGATCAATGAAAAGTTTGCTAAAAAGGAATTCAAATCGATTGTTGGCAAGGTGTTCAAGGGTATTGATTCGGTCCCTGATGCTTACAAGTATCTTGATGGTCATGACTTGATTGGAAAAGTGGTTATTGAATTTACAAATAATTGTAATTAACAAGACTCGAATAAATACTATTGTACATCAAATGTCCTTTGTACTTGACCAAAAGATTAAATTCGAATCAAGTGAAATAATATTAAATAAGGAATAAGCAATTTAATTGAAATATATTGATTTCTCAGTAACGTCTTCTATAATTTCAGTTACCTACACTGAACACGCCAACCGTAGAACCGTAACAGCAATGGATGTCGTTTGTGCACTTAAGAAGCAAGGTCGTACCTTATACGGTTTCAATGGTTAAATCCATTAGCCGTCCAACCTAAATCGCTTAGACTTCGGTGTCTCAAACTCAAAGGGTGTTTATCAACACCACCCATTCTAAATTAATCATATTCGATTGTTTTTTTTGTCTCTTTCTCTCTCTTCTACTACTTCTACTAATTATATTCACTATAGGTATTACTGTTGTACAAACAAATTAATCAATAAATATTCTGCTCCAACATAATTATTATTATTATCCTAATCTAAACCCCCAGACTTCACTATTTATCTGATTATTATCACTGTTCTGCCACCAAATCAATATCTTCACCAGCTTCAAATCTTGCTTTTAATTTCTTTAATAAAACTGCTCTTGCACATTTGCAATTAAAAAATCTACTGATCTTGATACAATTGATGGTATGTCTGATTGTATAGAGGAAGATGAAGAAGAAGAAGAAGTGATTGCCTTTAAATCCAATGGTCCCAATCTATAAATTTCATTTACATTGATTTCTTTTACAGAATTGAATGGTTATAAATTCTCTACATCCAATAAAATACTTGACAGTGGTACTGCTCCAATTTAATCACAAATTGATCTATATGCTAATGAAAATGATCCACATCCTCCTGTTTGATTATCTAATGAAATCATTCAAGATGCTAGCAGAATCAGCTAAACACATGGCAACCATATCCACCATTTATCAAAGCTGTCTATCCATCATTTACAACCATTGGATTAGTAGCGATGGTACTAACTTTGGTGATGACACCAACAATCTAATATTACTTGTAATATTACTTTTGCATCATCATATCAAATTTTGAAATCACCTCTGGTTGAAGGTATCAAACTCCTTCCGATTTCAATTTCAGTTGAATATGAACATTTAGACCTCATATTTATACATACAAATAATTAAAAAATAAGATTATTCTTTATAGTATGATTTCATATTCTGATGCAATACTCTTTTTGAATAGTCTGTGACAATAGATTCGACTCAACTATTCTATTTGGTGGAGAATATGAGACTAAAAAAACTAATGATTGCAACACCCAATCCTCCATACATTGGTGCATTCGAATCAAACATTAAATTTATTTGGATATATCAAAGCTTTTGGCAAGGTGTTTCATACAACAATAGCAATAGTTTTACAAGAAATAATGGTCCATTCAAAGGAACACTAGATCCATATGAATGTGTAGAGACTACAGATCGATCGAGAGTCATCATCGTCTTGATGGTTATCATTTTTCCTACTCTCTATTACAATAGTGGGAAATCATTGTATGGAAGGTGGAACCCCAACTAACAGACCATAGAGAAACCGTAGAAATGGAACCATTCCAAATACTAAAGAAAATTATTAATTAAATTAATTATATGGAAACGATACTCGATAATCTTTAATAGATTTGTACGCTGATGAAATTAGAAAGGAAAAAATATTAGTTAGGTATTCCTTGTGTTTCATTTATTTACTACTACTTACCCTTCTTGTAGTTTGAAAGAACAGAACACAATCACGGAATCAATTCAAACTCAAATCTTTCTTATAAAAAATATCAGCCGACCTACAGACAAGATGAACCAGCTGACTTGAGAGACTCGACAAGGCACACATGAGCTTGCACTGGATACAGATGAGCTTACGCTGGACACACAAATCAGCTGACACTGGACACGATAGACGGAATCAGCTGACACTGGACACAGATGACACAGGACACAATAGACGGAATCAAATGACACAATCAGATGACACTGGACACAGATGACATAGGCAGGACACACAATTAAGCTGACACGATAGACAGGAATGATACCTGACAGATAGTAATGGATTGGATTAGGATAATAATAATTATGTTGGAGCAGAATATTTATTGATTATTTTTGTTTGTACAACAGTAATACCTATAGTGAATATAATTAGTAGAAGTAGTAGAAGAGAGAGAAAGAGACAAAAAAAACAATCGAATATGATTAATTTAGAATGGGTGGTGTTGATAAACACCCTTTGAGTTTGAGACACCGAAAATCTAAGCGATTTAGGTTGGACGGCTAATGGATTTAACCATTGAAACCGTATAAGGTACGACCTTGCTTCTTAAGTGCGTAAACGACGTCCATAGCTGTTACGGTTCTACGGTTGGCGTGTTCAGTGTAGGCAACTGAATCACGGATGACATTCTCCAAGAAATGACGGAGGACGTTACGGATCTCTTCATAAATTGGGAACGAGATACGCTTGACACCACCACGACGCGCTAAACGACGGATGGCTGGCTTGGTAATACCAAAGATGAAATCCTTCAAGGCCTTTCTATGTCTCTTGGCTCCCTTACCACCTTTTCCACCTGTTTTTCCTCTACCAGCAGTTGATGACATTGTTTGATTGATTGGTTTGAATTAAGCTTTAAATTTACTGTGAATATTAAAAATATTTAAGATATTGAATGAATATTAGATTAGTGTGTTGTCCTTTTTGGATCTAAGCTAGCTAATGTTGTAGATTATACCTTTAAAAATTTGATGTCTAAAAGATATATTTGTTTTTGTTGTTGTGACTGAACGATTTTGTTGTATATAAACAAACCAAAACAAAAAAAAATTGAAAAAAATGTAAAAATTGGTGGGTGATTTTTTGACACATTTTAAATTGGGCGCCAAAGTAAAATAATGATTTTTCAATGATGCCAATTTGAAACGAAAAATTTTTTAAAAAAACACCACCAAATTCAAAAATTCAAATTTTCACACAACGTACATATTTTTAATTATTTTATTTATTTATGAATATATTTTTTTTAATCTTGAAAATTAGTAGTTTGAATATGATTTTCTTTCAAGATATCATCGATGATATTGATTTTATCAGACATCCAAGGATAGAGAAAGTTATCACCACTTGGAGGAGAGATTAGATTCTGAGCATTGAAATGCATACGAGCATTGAGAAAACTCTTATAGTTGATCAAAGGTGTTGGACCGTTTCGATTGAATATATCTCTAAATATTTCTTCTTGTGCTTGTTTATCTTTTAGATAACTGGTAGCTTCAACTGCCAAAAATGGTAAAATTAAATGTGTCAATCCAATTGGATATCTATATGGTAGTATTACTTGGAAAGGAAAATTAAAAAAGGTTAGAGAGAAAATATATAACATATTTCAGCTGATTTATCTGTATCTATATATATTTACATTTGCTAATAGCAATTAAAGGGAAAAAAGTAAAAGCAAAAGCTTTTGCATTTGAACTAATCATATCTTGACCAACTTTAAACTTTAGTGTTGTGTTGATAACTTCGATATTGGCATCTTCTTCATCCTTTGTAATTGGTACAATTCTAAAATCTTCGATCAATTTCTTTCTTAGTTCCTTGTCGTTGTCAATATCTTTAAATGTTAAATGTTCAATTGTACTTGTATCATTTCTATATCTTGTCTTTGTTTCTTGATATGTTTCAAGTATCTTTTTATCTCTTTCTCCCAACTATAATAAAAAAGTAAAAAGGAGAATATTAATATATTTATTTATTTACTCAATCTCTTATTTATTTATTACTTACAGCCCAAGTATGAGGAGTTAGAACGATAGCATATTCATCAGAACCAAATTCCATTTGAGCATCATCGATTGATAGATAAAAGTCCCATTTGTTATAGTTGGCATTGTAACCAAACTCTTTACTTTTATTGATAAAGTAATCTAATCGTTCTTTGGGCAACGACTTCATTGGTTTCTTTTGGTCTTCAACCATTGCTTTGGTACTATATTCAAATGGTGCCTTTGCAAATAATCTTACTCCCATCATTGAAGTATATACAAATAATCCTAATGCTCCTATCTTTGGTGAAACTACCATCTTATAATATTATATAATATATAACTACACACAACTAGTTATCGTAATGATCATATGATATGATTTTCAAAAGAGAAAAGAGAGATTAATTAAGAAGTTTTTTTTCGTTTAGTGTTCTTGAACATCATCATCATTGTGTGTGTAAAGAGAGTTATATAATATTAATCAATGTTTAACTTTTTTTTATTTGTTTTAGATATCTATCTATCTATCTATCTATCGATCTATTCATGTCATATGAATTAATTAAAACCCAACGGTGCTCCACCAGAGAAACTATGATTCACCGAACATTGGGGACAGTGGTGCAAGAGGTGGATGTCACCTCACACCACCGAAGCACGTTAAATTTTTTTTTTTTTAAAAAACACAAAAACATGATCATTACTTCTTAATCTCTTTTGTTGTTGTTATTTGTATTTGTACATTTTTATACCTGTTTTATATATATATATTAATATTAATAATGAGAGAAGAAGAAAACGATTATTTATTCAAGAGTATGTTGTTGTTATTATTTTACCCTCTTTTCTCTATTCCCTTTTCTTCTTATCTAATCTTATTCTTCTTTTCTTTATAGTTGTAATAATTGGAGATTCAGCAGTAGGTAAATCAAACCTATTAAATAGATTTACAAGAAATGAATTTACAGAAAAGACCAAAGCAACGATTGGTGTAGATTTTGGAACCAAATCGATAGAGATTGAGGGTAAAGTAATCACTGCTCAATGTTGGGATACAGCAGGACAAGAAAGATTCAGAGCAGTTACAAGTGGTTATTATCGTGGAGCACTTGGAGCAATGATTGTATACGATATCACCTCCAAGATTAGTTTTAAAAATGTAACAAGATGGTTAAATGAACTTAGAGAAATGGCCGAACCAGACATTCTAGTCATGATGGTTGGTAACAAATCTGATCTAGAATCTTCAAGAGAGGTTTCAACAAGAGAAGCTCAATCTTTTGCTGAAGCAAACAAAATCTCTTTTCTTGAAACTTCTGCTTTAAATTCTACAAATGTTAATCTTTCTTTTGAAAAATTATTAACTGGTAAGAAATTGTAGAAAAAAATAGAAAAAAAGAATATAATAATAATATTTCTTTTTTTTATTTTTTTATTTTTTATTTATTTATTTTTTAGATATTTATAATCAATTTGGACAAAAGAAAGCTCAAGTTGTAATGGACGATGGACAAGAATGGTTAAAACCAACTCAAAGTGGTCAAAAGATTACACCATTAAACGAAGCTCCTGTCAATGTTACTTCTACTCATCAAGAACCAAAAAAAGGTTGTTGTTAAAAAAAACATTAACAATCACAAACAAAACAAAACAAAATAATACTATCACTACATTAACCTGTTATAATTATTTATATAAAATCAATATTATTACTTCTCTCTCTCCTCTTGTCACAACCACCATTGCTACTTTTACTAATCCTCTACATTTTTTTTAAAATAATAATAAATGATAACCTCTATCATCTTTTGTTTTCCTGAATATGCGATCCAGGAAATAATTCTATAATAATATCTATAATATTTTATTTATTTTAATTTGTATTTACAATTTATGTTTTATTTATTTTTTGGTTTGATAGGGAGAATCTAAATCATCATCAAATTCTCTATTAAAATGTAGAGTATTATCAAATGTATTTGTTTTCTTTATAGAGATATCTTGATAGGGTTCAGTTTGTTCAACTTGAACCAAACCTTTGGTGGTGAGGACAAGTATTTCATAAAAACTACCTGCGACTGCCATTCTTGTTTGTTTTTTACCTTCAACCATTTTGAAAAAATCAATGGTAGATGTATGATTTACATTGTAGTAATTGTCTAGTACCTTGTGCATCGATGCAGTACGAGGTGTCCAAGATCCAATACCAGGTGCAAGTGGTGTTTTGCTAGATTGGGGCGTTTGCATTTGTTCAATAGGAGAAAATGGTGGTGGCTCATCAAATCCTCCACCAACTCCACCAAAATCACCATCACCAGGATAATCTTCAACTTGTGGAATTTGATTATCATCATTATCATTATTTTTAAAAATGTCAGTTGGAAAGACTAAACTCTCTTCTGAGGAATGAGAAGATTTGGTTGGTGAACGTTTGAGGGTATTCAAGATTTGATCCCATTCTGAACTAATGTCACCTAGAATTTCATCTTGTTTGTCTTTGGGTACTGCATCAAATTTACGACGTTTGGTTGGACTAATACCCAATTCCTCTTCAATGTGTCCTTGTACCTTGGAGAGAATCACTTGTTCTTTTAGATCAAAAGAGTCTAGTGTAATGTTCATGTCACGACTCTTGGGGAGACCCAATCCTTCGCAAACACGATCGTCGGTAAAATTGTTGGTTGCATCTTGACGATAGTTTTGGAGGGCCTTGTGGACTTTGGAGGTTTTGAGATAGTCCATCAATTTGGCGTCTTCATCAATCAGTACAACTGGATATTTGGTTTGGATAATGTCACGGAAATGACTTAGAATCTTGTTGGACATGGTTTGACGAATGGGTGCTAGGAGAGAGTGTTTGAGTCCCTTGGATTGTTGAATTCTAGCTTTGAATGTTTGTGGTTGACTGGCGAGTTGATCACGACTAGTTACCAAGTCTTGCGGACGTCTACGATGAACACGAATCTTTGTTTCTAATCTTGCCAATCTTAATCTAGCTGGTGTATTTAGTTGAGCCAAAGTAGTAGTTGTAGTAGTAACAAGTGTTGGATCTAAATGAATAAATGGTACTGCTCCTTTTTTGGTGTTAATGGTGCATCAATTGGTACTTTTCCATCATCTTCTAGAGTGTCTTGTTCTTGATTTTCTTTTTCTTTTTCCTTTTCTTCATCTTCTTCTTGAAATGAAGGTAAAGGAATATCATCTTGACCACCAAAACCACCATCATCCATTGGTTGATCTCTTTCACCACCAATTGATTCATCCAAAAATTTGATTGGTTTATCATTATCTTCAGCCAATAAAAGATCGTCTTCTTCTTCTTGACCTCTTTTGGAAAGTGATTCTTGTTCTTCACTCATGGAATAATCCATATTTTTAAATACAGAGTTTGGATCAAACTCTACTTCATCGGCCTTGAAATCAAATGAACTTTGATTAAGAGATGATTCATCGTCCTCTTCTCCTTGTTCTTTTCTTTGGGTATCTTGAAACTTGCCCATCAAATCACCTATTGATCCATCACTACTATCTTCATCAAGTGACATTGATACATCCTTTACATGTGGTTTTGATTTTCTTGGTGTAACAGATAATGCTGGTCTCTCTGCTCCTCTCATTACTACTTCATCTGGATGAAAATCTTTCATCCATACAGAAAATTCAGATTCTTGTGGTGATAATGTACTAATAAAAAAAATAAAAAAAGAAATAAATTAATAATCTTATTTATATATATATATTTTTTTATATATTTACGCATTAAGTCTAGCAATTTCACCTTCAACTTGTTCATCTGCATCTTTATCTCTTTCACCATCCATAATAGATGAAGGAGTTAATACTTCTTCTTCTTCTTCCTCTTCTTCATTGACAGTTGGTTCATCCAAAAGAGTAGAATCTACAGGAGCAGGTTTTTTTCCTTTTACTGGAGTTGGAAAAGCAATCACTGTATCTTGGCCTCCTTGTTTACCCATTTCTTGTTCATAAAGTTCTTGAAATTTTTTAGATTCATAAAATTTATCAACTACCAAACTAAATAGGAATAGAAATTGATTAATATACATATAGGTATATTTATATTTTACTATATAATTTTACATACTCATCCAATTTTGTAATACCACGTAGATATTCATCAATTTGTTGAGTGATTGTACTTGGTTTTGGTTGAGCAATAACAAGTGCTTCTTCATCTTCTTTTGTTTGTGTCAATGTAATACCTGCCGATGCTGATTTCGTTGTTGTAATCTGATAAAAAGAAAAGAGAGAGTGTGAGATTGAGGTTACAATGTTTATATATATATATATTTCTATACATACAGTTTTAATTCTAACTACAGCTTCATTACAATCATCAGATAGATATTTAACCTTTTTAGAAAAGATACGAACCACACCAAGTAAAAGATGAGATGTCATACGAAGAGCCATTGGAAGATGTGGATGTAGAATTTTATCTTGAAAGAAAGAAATATCACAGAGAGAGAGATTTTAATTATTAGTTTGATCATAGTCGAGTCGTTTATACTCTACTTTTACATACAAATAGATCTAGGGATATTAGTTTTAAAGATTGAATTCTTTGTTATTTTCTTGTCCCAATGACCAGCAAGCCAGATCCTACTCAGAGGACCTCTCTTTTGTAATACAATCTGTGAAAAGAACATCTTGACGAGATTCGACTAGTAGTTGATAATAATAAATATTTATTACTACACCACCTAACCCAACAACAAACACAGAATAAGAATAACCGTCTATCAGTCTATTTTCTTCTTCTCGTGTTTCGTAGATTGTATCTATAGATACAAATATGATGATATAGATATGTAGAAATAGAACTATTACTTTTTTTGAAAATGAATCCGTTGAAGTCTTTATAAAAAAAAAAAAAAATTTACCACGAACCATTGAAAAAGGCGCCAAACCAAGCTTGTAGTAATCACTAGCGATATATTTTCTTTACTGTTCATTTTATCTTGTCTCTATCTCTATATATATATTTATATATATATATAATATATTTTTCATAATTTCACAAAGTTTGAAATCTTCATTTTTACCAGTTTATCTGGATACTGGGTATATATATGTTTATATATATATATAACCTCCCTTTTGGTGGTTGGGGTATATACAACTAATTTTGATTCATTTTGAACAAGAGGGGCTCCTCCTCCTCCTTTTGAGACTACATTATAAAGTTGGCAAGTTCACAACCCTACCAATATTGGTACCCCCACATATATACATATGTCTTGCTGTGTGAAAAAGAATTATTATTTAGTTTAGTTTGTCTAGACTTATTATTTGATTAATTATCATTTATTTATTTATTTTTCAATCAATGGATACAGAAGCATATTGCATCGTTTTATTATATGTAAGACTATCAATTCAAAAGGACTGATTCAATCTTTCATCTATCTTGTATTAATATAACACTACCCTCTACCTCTCTCTCTCTCTTTAGTTTGGTTATGTTTTAAGTGTGATTTATAATGTTTGTCGTCGTCAAGACTCTTTAAAAGGTTAGAGAGAGATACCAAATAGCGATTCCAAATATTATCTGTTATTTCCCAATTCAATCAATAAAGGACAGGTTGTTCGTTGCCTTCAATTTGTTTTGGGCAAAAGATTTTTTTTTTACAAAAATTGTTTCAAAGACCCTTTTGATCGCTGAAAACTCTTTAATTTGTTTATTCATCAATCCTTTATACACGTCTATTTAATCAATCATTTAACTTTTATATCTTATCTCTTTTATCTCTTTTATTCCCACATACGCACTTTTTTTTTTAAAAGCAATAGAGAAAGAAAAGAGTTAACACATTTTTTTTTATTTGTTTTTTTTTATTCTACAACAACTACAAATATATATAATACTACTACTATACTTATACAATACAACAATGGAAACATTAGAAAATAATAAGATGTTATCTTCATCTTCATCTTCATCTTCATCTCCATCATCTTTACCAATAGATGAAAGAACAAAACAAATAAGTGAAGCATTTCAATTGATTGTTGGAGTATTTAAAGAATGTATTACTAGAATCGATGATGGTAGTGCAAAGGATGTGATTGATCTTTTCAAAGGTTATGTACCAGATGAAAAGTATGCAACCCTAAAGGAAGAGTACAACAGAGAAAGGTTAGAGATGGAGAATAGACAAGCGGTCAATCAACAGATGGCCGAGCACAGTTTTGAGAATTTTCTAACTTCAAATGTGGTGGCTGCCAAGCTTACCAAGATGGTAGCTCGTAAGATTCCAAGTCAAGTACCACCTTTTTTGGGATTAACAGGTAATCAAGCTGCATCATATGCAACACCTGCTGCATCTAGAGAGTCTGCTGCCAACAATAGCGGTAGCCATGGTGGACAAAAAAAGAGACACCACCACGAAAAGGATGTATTTGGTATGAATTGGAACTCCATCATCAAGATGGCTTCAACTCTTTCACTCGATCAAGTAAAGTCAATGCTCAATATGTTGGTCATGGTCATTAGTCACATGCCAATCCCTGTCATTCTTCGTGAATTCCAAAAATACAGAATCCTCATCTCTGTCTTTTTCGATCTCATCACTGCCATTGTCAAATTGGATCCTCGTTACCTCGCCACTTCAATCGTTGTTTCTGTTCTTTCTGTAATGTCTTTTATGAACAAAAAAGATAAGAATTTAAATGCTGGTAAAGAAAGAAAGAAAGAAAAGAAAGTATTATTTAATTTTATCCTTTTTACTTATTATTATTTTCTTTTTTTAGCATTAAATGTAGCAAAATATTTCCATGGAGTTGGAGCTAAAAAGAAATTTGCATTATTTAGATTATCAACATTGGTTTTAAATCTTTCATATCTTTTTAAAATTATTAATCCACCTCCAATTACTCCAAGTGATTTATATTCTTTAGGTAAAGCTTATTTAACTTCAAAACTTTAAAATAAACAAATAAAAGTATTATTATTATTATTTTGTTTTAAAAATATTATTTATTTGATTGAAAGAGATTTTGTTTAATTTGTGTTAATTTGTGTTAATTTGTGATTTTTTTTGATAATTCGATTAAAGTTGATTTGAAACGTTTAGCCTGATCATTGGTATCAGAGATTTGAGAACTAAATGGTTTTAAAATATCAAAGAGTTGAGAGATTTGAGCAGTGGCATCTGCATTGCCACTCATAATTTCAATTGATTTGAGTGAATCTGTAAGGTTTGACATATTCTTTTCAATCTCTTCTGTAACATTATTCATTGGTTGTTGTTGTTGTTGTTGGTTTGGATTAAAATCTGTCAATGTAGAGTTTAGAGAATTAATACTAGCAATCAAGACGTTGATTTGATCTTCAACGATTCTAATGACACTAGCCAAAACTTGATTTGATTGATTGGAGAGGTAATGTTCAATCTCTACAAAGAAACGTTTGACAGTGGCGAAAAAGTCTTGGTGATGCGAAAGAGTATGTGGATTGGTGATGGCAAATAATACAACCGATGCCTTTTCTTCATCCTTTAGATGGATTGGGTTCTTTTGAGCCAATTCCACCATGGCAACATAACCACGATCCAATCCAACCGAAATCATCTCTTTAATCAACTTTAGAATAATGGTGAAACCTTTGTGTTGAACTGGTGGTTGATTGGTGTTTTGCATTGCCAAATCAACAATACCCATCATTTGTCCATAAAATTCTTCAAGTTGTAATTGTTGTTGATTTACTCCAACCAATATAATCTCTTGAGAATTTTGACTATTATTATTATTTTGATTATTATTGTTATTTTGATTTTGTTGTTGTTGTTGTTGTTGACTAATATTTACAGGTTGAGTATTCTTTTTGTTTAGACAATCTGAAAGAATGTTGATCAAACCAATTGGAGATTCCAATGCAATAAGGTTAAAGATTTTAACAATATTTGATGCATACATTGGTTGATTTTCAAAGAATTGGAAAAGACTTGTTACAACAAATTTGAGTTGAGGATTGTTTGGTTCCCAAATTGAAACTTGAACGTCGTCAATCTTCTTTTGTTGTTGAGGTGGTGGTAATTGAACAACATTTTCTTCACCTGCAATACCATCAATTATAATTGCATCCTTTGGTGATGATGCTGATTGAGGTGGAGTATTTGTCATCGTCATATTATTATTATTTTGATTATCTTTTCTAACTAAAAATAAAATTCTATAGATTAGATCCAACATTTTAATATTGATACTTGGATCATATTGAAGACATTTAGATTTGAGAGATTTGAGAATGGCTTCAATTGGGATCCATGAACTATCAGAATTAATACGACAAATATTGAAAAAGAGAGCAGCGTCACGTTTCTTTTGGAGGATGAGCAACATGAGAGGAGCAAGATGGGGAGGATAGTGGGAAAAGTTGTGGAAGCTGAGACAAGAAGATAGAATCTTGGTCATTTGCTGTGGGTACTTGACGCTAAAGTATTCAGTCATTTCAAAGAGCCAACGGGCCGATTCAGCATACTCTCCACACTCCAAGTAGATATAGTTGAGTGCCCAACAATAGTTGTTGTGTCCACACACGTTTTGGGCAATCTCTGGTGACACTTTGATCAGTGTAAACAAGACACGATAGAGATAGGGAAGTGACTTTGCATTGTACAACTTCAAATCCTCCTTTGGTGAAATACTGATGAAATAGTCCATCAATTTGGTGGCAAATGGGTTGGCGAGGAGGATCTTTAGATTCTCTGGGTGGTCTTGGATCATGGTGGCTACAAAGTGCATCATCTCTTGACGGTTCTTTTCAATGGCTGCATTGATCGTGATAAAGACGGAAAGAATCTTGAGTGCATTCTTGCTAATGTCTTTGAAAGTCTCTTTGAGCTCTGGATCATTGAGCAAACAAAATGTCATCAATTTGATATAGGATTCGTAGCGGTTGTAGATACGTGATTCCTTGTCGTTGCCAGTGACAACATTCTTGACGTCTTGGAGATTGCTGACCAAACTTTCATAGAGACGACGGATTTGACCGAGTTGGTTGTCGGTCAATTGTGGATAGATAAAGTCAGAACCACCGGTCGATGTGTAATCCAACTCTGTAAACTCAAACATGTCTGTCAAGAGATTGAATGCATCGTTTCTAACGTCATACGACTCATTGACCAACCAGTTAAAGGCCCATTCGTCCAAGTTTTGTTTGAACCATTGCTTGACCGATGGCTTGCTCGATGCCAAGTCAATGATCGACTTGGTGTAGGTGGCATAGGTACGTTGCTTGGCCATGCTACCGGCATCGTCGAGTAGATTAATGTAGGCTCTAATGGCACGGTCACAACGTTCGTATTGGAATTCATCGTCGAGTTCAATGAGTACAAACAAGGCGTCGAGTGATGAACGATTGTCAAATTGTTCAATGGCGCCAATCAATTGGAGTGAGTAGTCGAGGTCACCATAACAGAGATGGGTAATAATCTCGTTGGTCGACTTTTGTTGGATCTGGTCACGCAATGTCTTTACGATAAAGGCTGGATTGATCAACATTTCATAGTCGTCGTCGTTTATGTGAATGAGTGGATCATTAAAGCAGGAAATGGCCTTGTCTGCGTCGAGTTGGCTAGTGTACTTGGTGTGTGCCGAACGACAGAGAATAGAGATGGTCTCTAGCATGCCTGCATACTGTGGTTGTGCATACTTGTCGCCCATCTTTGTCTTTTTTTGGTGTGGTTCGCGCATTGGTGATTCCTCTCCCATGTAAAAGTCAATCAAGTGCAACAATACATTACGGTTCAACAAAAGAGCACGTTCCTCCCATCCAACAAGTGAAAAGTCTCTGATAAATCCAAAGTATTGTAAAAAGTTTTTCCAATAATTGGGTGCATCCTTGATAAACTCGAGATAGACATCGAGGAAATGAGCAACCAATGATTTGGGTATCATATCTTCCTCTTCTTCTTCCTCTTCTTCTTCTTCATCATCACTATTGTTTGGTGACAAATCTCCAATTCTAATACCATCATCCTTTGCAATAATTGATTTTAATGGTTTCTTGTCCAAATCCATTGGTTTTTCTTCTTGCAACTGTTGATTAAAACCTTTTTGACGATGTGCTCCTACAACTTGTTGTTGTTGTTGTTGAACTGTTGTTGGTGTAACTATATTATTACTATTATTATTATTTCTAGTTGGTTCAAAATCAAGATATTGATGTCTTTCGGTTGGGATTAAGACATTTAAAACATGGAAAAGAATCTTGGCGAGTGATTCTCTTGGTTCAGTAGTGATACAAACCAACATGTTTTGTTTAATCCAGGTAGGATTTTCAATGATGGTACTGAGCAACCATGCACAGGCATCTGGATTGCGTCCGTACATGCGAATGATATGATCGACAAAGTCTGGGAGTGGCTTTCTTTCCTTGGAATGAGAGATGGTTTCAATGATGAAACGGGTACCCAGCTCGATTGCCATCATTGATTGGTCAAATGGTTGTGACAGGCGAATATTCTTGGGAGTGGTGGCGATTGGATCAATACGCAACACTTCGGCAATAAAGTTAAAGTAACTCTGGTCAAAGATATTCTTGTCATTGAGGAATTTCATATTCTTTTTCCACACTTGATTGAAAATGTCTTGTGGCACCAACTTGCTCTGTTGGGTGGGAGTGAGGTTTTGGAAGTTTTGCTTGGCTCCCAACGACTCGCTGTATCCAACACGTTCATAAAACAACATGTAGGCATTGTTGTAACGTGGAGTGGGACGTCCCATGATACCCTTGTCGTTTGGTTGGTCATAACCACCAAAACATGCCTTGGCAATATCCTCTGGGTTGAAAATCTCGGTCAATTGATCATTGAATTGAATCCAACGTCTCTGTTGACCAGATGCTGGATGTGGTTCACGTTCCTTGATAAATGAATAATAATGACCTGAATCGGCTGTACCAGAATGAACCAAAATACCAGATAATTCATATTGATAATATGATGCTGGTTTCATTTGTGGCAAAGATTTCTTTTCTTCTTGTAGTTCAGCAGCTGCTGGTTGAGTTGAACCACTTTCACCATTTTCACCATCTTGTTGATTTGATTGTTGTTTTTCTTTTTCCTTTTCAATTGCTTCCTTTCTTTCAAGATATTCTTTAGTGTAGGGAGCCATATCGAGGGTCATTGGGAAACGAAGAGCATCATTAATCTTTGTACGACGCATTAAATCCAAATCAAATTCGAATCTCTTGTTGTGAAGAATAAGAGTGTTTGGAAGTTGTTTGACACAACGTCTCATCAAACACTTTACCTTTTGAGAGCATTGACTACAAAAGTACTTATTGTCACCGTCAAGTGTTTCACTTTCAACAAACAATTGCAAACTCTCTAAAATGTCACGTTTGTTCTTTACCTCTACACTGACAGTGTAGAATGATTCTTCACGTTCCGATACGTGTGGACATTCTTGAGAGATAAACTGGTTGACAGTGCTACCACCGAAAAAGTCATTGAGCAACTTTTCATTTTCAGTGCCTTTGAGTTGGTTCTCGAGACGGTCAAAGAGCATGTTGAAAAACTCGTCGACATCCATCTGAATGTAGACATTGATGGGTTGGCCGTCATACTTGTAGGCTGTGCAAAAGTCTTTGGGATCGTGTGATCGCTTTTCAGATTCTTGGAGGTTGGCAAAGATGATCTTGAGTTGTTGGAGCAGACTCTCGTTGGTTGGGTTGACTTCGTCCGTCTGTAAAATCGAATAACGGAAAGCGGGAATCATAAACAACTGTTGCATCAACGAGTTGATGTAGCAGGTGGCACCCAAGTTCTTGAGACCGACATAGCCACAGCCAGACTTTTCAGTGCCGGTTGGCTGATAGTTCCAGAGTGCTCTCTTTTCATCTGGCTTGTTTTGGAGGATGAGAAGTTGGACAAGACGGGAGTAGTTTTCGGCACAGTCCTTGGCAAGCTCGAGAAGCAACGTAAAACATACATCTCTGCTCTCCTTGGTCTTGCACTTTGGTGGACAGAGTGGACCGTGATTCTCGGCAGTCGCAATGTCAAACAGGCATTGGTGGAAGATCTCGCCAACCAAATCTTGATTGAATCCAGCTTCCACCTTGAAGGTGTGACTGGCACGAACTAGCGTAGTCACCAATTGGATCAATCCAATGATTACTTGGTCGGGTTGAATCAGATTGTTTTGTGTCTCGACGACTGGATGCTCCTTGATCCACTTGACCAAGTTGTTGAGTAGACCAGAGTACTGGTCGATAATAACCTGCTCGGGTTGGATTGGGTGTGATGGTTGTGATGATCCACCAGACAACTGCTGTTGTTGGTGATAGATATGGTTGGGTTGACAGCTATGTGTGAGCAATCTACCAAACAATGTAAAGAATTGCGACGAGGTAAACGAGTGCTTATCCGATCCAACAGTCTCTTGCACAATCTCGAGACATTTGCCAAGGAAAAAGCTGTGTGCCTGATCGCTGGTGGAACAGAATTGATCGAGACGGTTAAAGGCGCAGTCACGAACCGACACGTCCTTGCTCTCTACAAGCAGCAAAAAGATCCACTTGCTAATATTGGGACGCTTGCAAAACATCTCCAACTGGTCAGGCAAAGCCAACAACGAGAAGATGAGCCACATGAGGTTTTGAATAACCTCTCCATCATCGGTGAGGAAGTGGTGAAGAGTAAACTGCTCCTCTTCTTCCTTGGTCGTCTCTTGTGCCTGGTTCCAGGTGAGGTCAAGCAAACGTGACAAAAAGTGAGAGGGTGGTACGCCGAGCAATGTCAAATTGATCATATAGTTTTGGTCATACAACATTGGAGTGATGATGGTGAGCAGCAGAGTGAGACATTTCTTGCGCTTGGGTCCCTTGGACTCGTGTTGCAAGTCGACCGTCATGAGGATATTAATCAACTCCTTGAGACCTCCACTCTCGATAAAGTGGGCACGCCATTCGGCACCCGAGGCAAAGCGATCGATGATCAACAACGTGTACAACAACTTAAAGACAGACTGATGGTCAAGCAACTGCTCCCAGTTGATACCCGAAGCAGCTTCATTGGTAATCGACGACAACACGTCTACAAAGTGACGATTGACTGGCAACAACATCAACACCTCCCAAAGAGTAGGTGCAATCGACTCGATCGACAACAATGAAAAGAGTAGTGAGAACTTGCTCTGGTCAAAGTCCAATTGGATTTGATCGTCATTTTGGGTAAATGCACGTGGTTCGCTCATTTCATTGACCAAAATAGTGTCTTGGTTGCAGACACGGTAATCATCCAACGTCTCCCAGTCGTGGTGCATTGGCTTGCTCTGATGGAACAGTGCAAGACAACCTGGGTGAACCTTGAGAATGCTACCTAATCGGTTCTTGATTTCACCAACTCGCTCGCTTGCACGAACTTGAAGTGTTTGTCTCATCTTTTGGTTGCTAAAAGTGACATTGATCGATGGAGCAAAGCATTTACGGAAAGAATCAGATACAGTACCACCATAAAATTCTACATAGATTTTCATCAACGATAGAATTCTCATTACCGTACTGTTTCCTTCTCCACTCTTTGCACTTTCCAATGGAATTTCTGATAGTTTTTTCATACAAAATATTAAAAATTCTTCTTTATGATTTAATGATCGAATCTAAATAAAAAAAAAAATAAAGGAAAAAATTAATAAATATTTTTCTTTTTTCTTTTTTTTTTTTTTCTGTTCTTCTTACATATTTATACAAATCAATCAAGAATGAATTAGTTTCTTTACCAACTTCTTCATTTTTTGATTCTAATGCCATTCTCCATAAAGTGCCAACACCAATCAATTGAGATGTTTCATTGGTAATATTATTATTAACTTGTTTCATACAAGTAATATATAATGATGCACCTGATTGTTCTAAATCAACAAATGAAATTTCTTCAAATTTGTTTAAAATATAAGTTAAATGTGATTCCTAAAAAAATAAAAAATAAAAATAAAAAGAAAAGGAAATTAATAACTTTTTTTTTCTTTCTTTTTCTTTTCGATTTTCAATTTCTTACATTTAAATTATAAAGACATTTTTCAGTCCATTTAAAGAAAGTATCACGATCTTTTGGAGAGATTGGATTAACAACAAATACTTGCCAAAGAATATTAAGTTGTTCATTTGTGATTTGATAATTTCCTTGATCGAAAATAAAGTAGAGGAAATTGAGATAATCATTAATTTGTTCAAAGTGATTATGTTTTCCTTGGAGGACGGTTTCACAGACTGAATGGTCGACTCCATCTACGATCATCATCTTGGAGATGGCAGCCTCACACTCGGACTTGTAGTAGGTGAGGTGTTGGAAAAAGATGTGAATCAAATGGGTTTGTTCATCGACTTGACGAATACAGTTGGCGGGGATGTCTTGCATGGACGGGGCTTGTTGGTTACCACCCATCATGACCATGGTCCCAGTGTTGCCACTCTGATATCTCTGTGAACGGAGACGATCACTGTGTGTAATGATGATATTTTGAATGATACGAAGCGAGTAGAGAACAGTGGTGTGGTTCTTGATATTGTCGACACACTTTTGAAGATACTCGGTGCGATACGACGAGTGGAAGTTGAGAGTCTCTTGGAGATGGTACAAAGCCTGTTGTGCCAACTCTAACGAAACCTCACTGTCATCCTGGATGAGCATCCAAAAGATCTCAAGACCTCTTGATACAATCGTTTGATTTTGTACCAATGAAGTTGGTGAAGGTGGTTGAGATGATGACTGTTGTTGACCTTGTTGTTGTTGTTGTTGTTGAACAGACGAGGAGGAAGGTGAATAATTGGGAGAGGACGAAATGTCACTGTCGATGGCATTGATACTGTTGTAGTGGTGAGTACGATGCTGGGTGAGACACGAGATGAGTTGCAGGGTTTGGTTAGTGTATTGCGAGAGTGGAATTTCCTTTATCTTTTGGTACAAATACTCGACTTCGCAGAGTGGCAACACCTGCGAGATATTGCCGATGGTTTCATAGATTACATTCTCGATGGTCTCGTGTTTGCCCTCGGCGGCATTCCACATGAGATCAAGATACTTTCGTTCAAAAACTTTCTTTTCTACAAGGAACTTTAATATATCTGTACATTTTTGTAGTAACTGCATATGCATCGTTTCACCATATAAAATCTCTACAATCTTATTTTCTTTAATCCAATTTACCAATTTCCTAAAGAATCAAAAAAAAACCAAATAGATTAATATATATTTTCTTTTTGTGTTTTCTATTCTATTTTTTTATACATACTCTTGAGAAATTGTGTTTCCTTGTTTATACATTAAATAACCTTCATTGATTTTAGTATACTTGATGATATCATTTAAACCTGCATTTCTCTTTTCGAGTGATGGTGATTTGAAACATTTGAATGCAACATCCAAGCTAAAGGTTTGAATGATATCTGCAAAACGAGTTTGATTGTCGGTAGTGTTGACAATGATACTATTAAGATACTTTATAATCAGATCCATATCTTTTTTGTTTTCATTCTTAAACTCTTCATCACTGGTTCCAAGTACCTTGCTAAATACAAGCTTTACAAATTGTTCAATATCTTGTTCAGTATCTTGTGTTTCCATTTTCTTTGAATACTAAATAAAAGAAAGAGATGTGAAAAAAATGAGATAGAGAGATAGAGAGAGAAATGATTAATACTATATCTTTCTATCTATCTATCTTTTGTTTGTTTTTTTTTTTACCTTTTTAATAATATTTAATAATTTCTTTAATGTATCAAAAGAATATTTATGAACTTTGATCTTTTCTTTAATTAATTCAATACCACTAAGTTGACCAAAATAATGAATTAAATTTTCAGAGATCTAAATATATAAAAAAGATAAGAAAGAAATCAATATTAATATTCTTAAAAAGAACCTGATTGATTGTTTTTTTTTCATTACCTTGTTTGGAATGCTCTTTTCATTATTGTATTCATTTGAAAATCGATATTCGGATCTTGTGTATGGTTTTGGTGAAAATAATACAATTATTAATCGAAGGTAATCATTGGATCCCTCTTCCTTTGATAATCTACTAATGGCATAGTCTATACAAATTTTCATAAAGCTTCTAGCTTTAGTTGTTAATTCACTTGGGCTGACTCTGATATTATAATAGTAGTAATAAGGTAAATGAAATGAAATGAACAAGTAATGAGTAAGATGGTCACCTGATGTCCTTCTCTTCCTGCTCCTCCTCCTCCTCCTCCTCCTCCTCCTCCTCCTCCTCCTCCTCCTCCTTCTCCTCCTTCTAAAAACTTACAATCTCCACCATAAAGCTTCAATCAAATCTGGCAACTTTTCAAGTGTTTTGAAATCTTCTAAATAGACATTTTCATGATTGGGGTCATCGTTGGCGTCTATACGAGCTCCAGCATATTGATTGAAATAGTCTAATATTTGTCCAATATCTCTAATTTCTTGAGCTAATCAAAGTAAAAATAAATAAAAATATTGATGATAGAGTGAGTAATGATAGAACAGTTAGTTAAATATATCAATATATCAAGTTATATCTATCTTTAAAAAAGAAGAATAGAATAGAAAAAAAAAAAAAGGCTTTTTTTGTGATTGATTTATCATCGAACTCTAGTTGGTTGCAAGTTTACAACTTTTAAAGTATACATACCATTTTTGACAAGATCCAAAAAGACCTTTATATCATTAGTGGACATAATTGATTCAGTAGCGAATTGAACGGTACCCCCTTAACAGCTACTATTATAGATAGATGATGATGGTGGTGGGTGATGTAAATGATAGAAAAGATAGTATTATATATAAAAATATAATTAAAAAGAAGGAATGTATATATTGATCGCTGAACTTTAAAGTGATGTTATGTATGTATAGGTATATAATTTGTTGTTGTACTTTTTTATAAAATGAATGAATCACAAACACACCAACAAAACAATGGATGATTGTTAGATAAACAACAACAGCAGATAATGGGTGTTGGTTGGATAGATATTATTGTTCTTTGTTTGTTTTGTTTGTGATTATATTATAATGAATGAATAAAAGTATAAAGTGAGTTTACTTGTGTATACTCTTCTCTCTTCTTCTTCTCTCTCTCTTTAATCGACTATATAATAATAATAAACAAAAATATATTAATCTTTTTTTCTCTCTTTTTGTTCAATTTAAATTGTAAAAAATCAACATCACAAAAAAGCTCTCTCATTTTTTAAAATTAATTTTTTTTTTTTTTGGAAGGGAGTTCATGGAAGCAAGTCCCATAATTCCATCACCACTCTAAAGATCAATATTATAGTTTTAGATTTAACTAAAAATAAAAAATAAAATAAATAAATATTTGATGTAACCTAGCTTTGGGTTATTACAAGTCTCTAGAGTCACAAATTTAAAAATATATAAAAACAAAATTAATAAAAGATATAAAAAATTAAATTAAAATTGACACACAGAAACTTATCTCATTTTCTTGAGACATTTTTTAAACCAACAGTTATTATATTATTATTTTATTTTATCCAAACAAAAAACAAACAAACAAACAAACAAACATAATATATTATATCTCACAGTAATAATATAGCTAGCTACCCTTTGGTTCTCTTTCCTAGATTAAAGTTAAATATATAGTAGTCCTAGTAGTACTTTCTTTGATCATATGCTATTAAGAAGATCGCTCAACAAGAGGAGAACAGCAGAGGATAACCACAGCATGCAAGAGGATGAAGATGGTCTATGCATGAGGTTGATCAACAGCATCGATTTCGACAAGACTACATTGGGGGAGGTTGTATCGACACTCTTGTTGTGGTGCTTTTCAAACAAGGATATAGAAGCTTCCGTCATCACTAAATACCTCAATGCTGCATTCGATCAATACCATCTTACAAACTATCAAATCAATCAACTCTTTCAAGCTCATTCTTTATGCAATTATCGGTCCTATACATCTACACCACCTTCTACTCCCCCTCCTCCTCCTCCAACTTCAACTGGCACAACTATTAATTTTAATGTCAACAAGAAAGATGATGATATTACTGAAACTACAACTACAACCAATACAGTAGCTACTACTACTATTGATACGGAAACAACACCTCCTATTCCAACTTCACCAAACAGTAAAGAGTCAATACCTTTATTACCAATTCTTTCATTTGACAAAATCATTGATGATACTAATACTAATAATAATAATAATAATAATAATAACTCATTTGTAAATACAACAACAACAACTACAATACAATTTAATAATAATAATACCAAGGATTTATATAATAATATATTTTTGACTAAATTAAAATCGATTAAAGAATCTGCAACCATTTTAACAAATATAACAAAGTATTCAACACAATTAAAAGATCATATACAAACTATGATTGAAAGTTTTGGTGAAGAAGAATTGGAACCATACATTATCAAGAAATCATTAGACTATCAAACCAATTTAACAAAGTTTGCAAATCAAATATTTCAAATTTGGCCTCGAGAGGATAGAAATGCAATATTGGAAGTAATAGAATCAATGATTTTAATTAATATTTATGAATTGTATGTGTTGTATAGATAAATCTTATTGATTTAGATTTGATAATTAATTCTTTTTTTTTTTAGATTATTTCCATTTAATATTCAAAAAGATAAAGAGATTAAAGAATCAATTAGATTGATACAAAAACATCCAATTGATTATTTAGATACAGACTCTGATAAAGTTAGTGCTGTTGAATGGGAACAAGCCATAGCAGAATTGTCATCGATCAATGTTTTTCAAACACCAAGAGACAAGGTTATGTGTATATTGAGATTCTCAAGAATCGTATCTCAAGGTCTCCATTCTTCTGGTAAATCATTTGGTGCAGATGAATTTGTAAATTGTATAGTGTATATTTTAATTAAATCAAATCCTGCTTATCTTTATTCAAATATGAGGTAAATTATAAAATTAATATGTATATATTACTTTGGAAGTGGATTATACTAACATCTTTATTCTGCAGATATATTGAATTATTTAGATCAAATGATTTATTAGTATCAGAAGCAGAGTATTATTTTGTATCGATATCATCGGCAATGATGTTTATCGAAAGAAAATATCAAGAATTAAAAAATGTTGAAATTGATGAATCCTACATTGACAGTTTATCATCATACTCTCAATCTCTTCGTCTCTACAACAACAACAATATCAATGATGAAAATGAGACAACTACAAATACTTTAGATTCAACAAATACTTATCCTTCTACTTCATCAACATCACCAACAATGAATGAACTAAAATATTCTTCTTCTTCTTCAATTGGAATGGAACCATTATTAAATGATGAAAACCCAATTCACAAAGAAGTTATCAAGACTGCAAATGAAATATTGGCCAAACTCTTATCGATTGCTATATCAGAGGGTTCTTATGACTCGAGAATAAGATCGGCTCTATTGAGGTTGTCAATGATTGTTAGCCCCAAGGAAGAGGATGGTTTACCCTTTTTTGCCATTGAAATGGCAGTTGGACAGACACTATTTGACGAAAAGGAAAGAAAGCGAATCAACCGAGGTATTCTCAATGTTTTTGAGCGAACCACTTCAAATCATCGTGTACTAAAGGTGGCTGTTGCCACTGTAACAGGTGGCATACTCCTTGCAGTGACTGGTGGATTGATAGCTCCTGCCCTCGGTGCACTCCTTCATCTTATAGGAGCAAGTGCAACTGTCTTTTCAGCACTGACATATGCAGGTGTTAGCGGACCGACTCTAACCAGTCTACTCTTTGGTACCGTCGGCAGTGTCATGTCTGCAAATCGTGTCTCCAAATCAACTGCAGGTCTCGAAAGATTCAGAGTCAACAAAATACATGAAACATTTGGTCTTCATGTAGTTCTTGGTGCAATTGGTTGGATTGAAAATGAACCTCCTACAAATACAACAACAAATACTAATAATATAACAGACAAAAAAACAGATAAAAAGAATAACAAAAAAGAAAAAGAAGAAGAGAAAAAGAAGAAGAAAAATTGATTGATATTTCAAAATGGGAACAAGATTTATTGACTGGAGTATTATGTCTTGGAGAAGTATTTTCTATTGAATGGGAAAATAATCATTTATACTCTTTATTTGAATCATTACAAGATTACAAGAAACAAGTCGAGGAAAGTAAACATAGTACATTTACAAGATTCACCACTAAAATGATGCATGATGCAATTAGACCATCGGCATCTATTCTCGAGCATGGTTCCATCATTCGAACTAGCTGGGGTATTGTTAAAGATAGAGCTCAAAGGGCAGGAAAACTCTTGGCAGAGGAAATCTTGGGACAAGCATTTGGTAGACGTCCAATCACCTTGGTCGGTATATCAATGGGTGCTCGATTAATCTATCATTGTCTTTTGGAATTGGTTGATAAAAAGGCATATGGTATCATTGAAAATGTTATACTCATTGGTGCTCCCATTCCCTCTGATGATATTAATATTTGGTCAAAAATTAGAGTAACTATAAAAAACATTATAATAACAAATCATATTTATAAATGTTCTAATTGTTTTCTTTCTTTTTAGAAATTAGTTTCTCGAAGATTGGTTAATTGTTTTTCACCAAAGGATATTATTTTAAAGATTTGTTATGAAAGTAGTAGTATTACAGATGATGGAATTGTAGCTGCTGGTGCAGGTTATACAGCTATCGGTTCTAAAAAGACTTCTATTTTTAGTGGTGGATTCTTTACCGATCATCATAAAAAGCTTGGTCAAGAAATTCTCAATAAGAAACAAAGTATGTTTAGACAGAATTGTAAAGATCAATTCTACCTTTCAACAAGTAAACTAACCATTTTTTTATTTTGTAGAAAATATAAAAAGTATAGAAAATGTTGATGTTAGTTGTTTGATTGATTCTCATTTGGATTATAGCAATTCGAACATTAGACGTGCCATTTTACATCATGTTAATATCAATAGTTGTGTTCCATGTAATTCATTTGTAGTCATTGAAGATGATGACAAAACTGTCCCTTCTCCTACCACCGCCACCAGTACCAGTACCAGTACAAGTACAACTATTAATTAACTAGTTGGTACAAATATTGTAAATAATAAATAAATCAATAATATTACAACTTAATTGAGTATATTTTTCAAAGCTTTTGTTTTAAATTGCCCTTTTTTCATGATCGACCGAGTGTTGATGAAGATCATTAATTCATTCTCGAGATATATATACACAGATACAAACAAACAAATAAACGATGAATAGAAGAGGAGGTAATCGTGATGACGATGATGAAGATGATGGGAAAAAGGATGAACAAGAGAACACAAAGATACCTAAACCATTATTCCCTCCACGCAAAGATATCCCACCTATCCCAAATCTAGACAATCCAGCATTCGAACCATCATTTATCTATAAACAAAGATTTAGAATGTCTGTCTATCAACTTAAACCAGTTGAAGTTAAAAAGGGTATGTAAAACAAAAGATCTCTCAGTTTAATGTTTCTTGTTATTTGTACTAACATTCTTATCTACTTCTACTCCTTAGACAAGATTGATAGATATTCACAATCATTTACATCATCAAGAGATACTGGTCAAAGTTTAGAGAATTCTTTACCTCTTCATTCTGGTTACTTTCCGACAGAGTTGACGGTAACAAAGAGAAAGAAGAGAAAGTCAATGATGACAAATGTAAACAAGACATTGGATGGTCTTCAAAACCTAGAGAATCAAGGTGAAGAAGAAGAGGAAGTAGAAGAAGATGAAGAGGAATCAGATATGGAAGATGAAGAATACGCTAGAGGTGAAGATATGGATGATGATGAAGACATATCTGTTAGTGGTGGTGAAGAAGAAGGTACCTTTTAAATCTAATCAAATCAAATCGAATCAAAGAAGAATCTATACAAACACACCGACCGACACAAAAAAGAATAAGAGATAGATCAAATTTAGCAATCAACCAGTCACATACATTCATTTCAATCGAGTATTTCATCCATCTATCTCTACCGAGAGACTGGCCAATCAAATAATTAACTAATCTTTTTTTGGTATAGAGGTATACCAAAAATAATAATCAAATCATGTTGTGGAATATTATTTATTATATATAGTGTAAATAGGACATCAACAAATAATAATAATAATTAATAATAATAATAATAGTAATATTACATAAACTAATTCAATCTATTTGAATTTAAACAAAAGAAGAATAATATTTATTTACAAATAATTTAAAAGATTTGGTAAATGTACATTTGGTGTTGTGTTTTGTGGCACGATGATAAAAGTTAGTTGGTAGATTGTTCAATAGTATCAACAATAATGGTTGAAGGATTTAAATTGGCAATGGTTTCATTATTAATCATATTGTTGTTGTTGTTGTTGTTGTTGTTGGTATTGTTGGTGTTAGTATTAATACTAGTAGTTTTTGGAACCTCCTCCTTTTTGGTCAATCTGTGACAAATGTTATCAATGATTGGAACAAATGCAGCATTCCAGATATATTTCTCTGTCTTTGTTCGTGTATATTGTATGCATTGATTGGCATAACCTTTTGCAGTCTTTGTAATGTATGATTTTGCATTATCTTGAAGTACCTCTTTTGAGATTGATGATGGTATCTTGACGGTTGGTAGTACTATTGTAGCCACATAAGCTGTGCCTGCATCCATTGCAATTCCAGTGCCAGCCTCTACAAAGTTATCAACACCACCTTTTTCAGTATAGATCTTTGTTAATGGTTCAATAAGGCCATATGGTGTATACTTTTTGGCATTTGCACTTGATATGCCTGTAACGGTTCCATCATACATGAGGCCCCCAACCACTCCAATATAGGCTCCACCCATCATACCAAATCCGATAACAGCTGATGTACGTGTCGAAGATAACATTGCTTCATTGCCCTTTTCTATTTGACCCTTTCCATAATGATAGAGCCCTTTGATATGTCCAATAGCTGGTGTATAGTTGGCTATACCTTCGATACTTTGTTTAAATGATTCTGATTGCACCATTTTACTGAAATCATTTGATAATGATTTAATAGCTTGTTGTGGATTCTTTGAGCTCTCTCCTATATCAAATGATAGATATCAACTATCAATATATAATATTCATGTGTTCTATCTAATATAATATAATATATCAGCTCTGTCACAACTAATATCCTTACCTATGTAACCTTGGGCCAATTTGAATTGAGATGATATATTCTCCCAATTCATTCTTTAGCGTTATATTTGTATATTTATATATAAATATATATAGATGGAGTAGAGAGGAAACAAACTAGTTCAAATTTGAAAAAAAGTTTTCATCACACAAAGTAATATTTAATATTTTTACTCTTCACGAGCTGCTGTCTTCATTCAATTTTAAAACACATCATTTTCTCAAATCATAATAATAATATCGTTAATATATAATGATCATTGGTGAATAGAGAAGGATGGCAACAGCAATTTATGTTGTATATCATAATCAAAGAATGGATATGTCGTAGATGATGAAGATCATACCCACACCGACAATCGTTTACGAAAAACTAACCACCCTTCAAAACTAAACACCCAATCTACTAACCTGCCAACAGATAATCTATGTTGGTCGTTGGGTGGTGAGGGGGTGTAGACTACTACAAATATTGGGAGTATACTCAACTTGTCCCTCTTGTATTACTATTATATTGAATTGTTTCCGTTCAAACAAGTTATTCATTTAATTTTATGGTGGCGGTAAATATTAAATTAAATTATTATTATTATTTATTATTAGTATTATTATTATTATTATGTAGTCAATACTAATATTAATATTTATTTATTTTAGTTCACTATATAAATTATAATTATATAGTTAATTATAATTAACTATTTATATTGAATAGAAAAAATGGAGACATTATTATTTTTTAATGTTTTCAAGAATCAATTTCTAAGATTTAAATTATTTAAATCAGTTCACGATATTTCAATAATTGAATACAACTCTTTTGATTATACAGAGAGTAATCGAATCCAACTCAACCCATTCTCATTCAACAACAACTATTACTTTGCCAATGAAAAGCACCAAGAAGTCAGGAGACTGGATTTTATCAAGGGTAGAGACTTGATCAAGCAGCACAGTAGTAATAATAATAATGATCAACGATCATTGGAATTGATTGGAAAATATGCAATGCCATGGTCATTTATCAAACATTATCTACCATCAAAGGACCGTTTCGACAGCACTACAAGGGAGAAGGCAATCAAGCGATACTGCACCCATCCCAATGCAACACTTGGTTGTTTGAGACGGTTGTTGGACTGGTCGCCAGACATTAACGCCGACGCAGAGTTGTTGGCTGATGTTGCCAAGGCTGGACACTTGGATATCCTCATGTTTTTACAGGGTCGGTTCCAAGGAATCGAAGTGTCACCCAAAGCAATGGATATTACTGCTTTTCACGGCCATTTGCATATACTAGAGTATTTGCATTCGAGTGACAATGATTGCACGAAAAATGCAATGGATTGGGCTGCTTTTAATGGTCATTTGGATTGCGTTGCTTTTTTGCATTTCAATCGAACCGAGGGCTGCAGTCAGCTGGCTCTAGAGTACGCAGCGATCAACGGACACTTGTCCGTAGTGGAATTCCTCGACAAGAACCGTACTGAAGGATGCAACTACGTAAACTCAATGGACTATGCAGCAAGCAACGGTCATTTGCCAATCGTCGACTACCTCAACCACAACCGCAGTGAAGGGTGCACTGTGCAAGCCATGGATGGGGCCAGCAAAAATAACCATATGGATGTAGTCGAATACCTCCATTTCAATCGTACAGAGGGGTGCTCAATAAACGCCTTGGATTCGGCTGCGGAAGGAGGCCATATTGAAATAGTATCATTCCTAAATGACCATCGCACAGAAGGGTGTAGTATCCGAGCCATTGATTATACTGCAAGGGTCGGACACCTTTTAATCATCCAATTCCTATCTCAACATCGTACAGAAGGATGTACAACCTATGCCATGGATTGGGTAAGTAGTAAAGTAATCCAAAAGTATACAACACAATATGTGAGAAGTCAAAACAACTGTGCTGGGTTTTTCGCAACGAGTTTTGATTTTTAACATATGTAACATTACAATCAATCAACCATTCTAACAATCAGAATTCTCTATCTTTATCTATTTATTTAGGCATCTGAAGGAGGATATTTACCAATTGTAGAATACTTACATTTCAATAGAAATGAAGGATGTACTCACAATGCTCTAGATAATGCGTCTAAATATGGATTCCTTCCAATTGTCATTTTCTTGAATGAGCATCGAACAGAGGGAGCTACGGTACAGGCTATGGACGAGGCCAGTGCAAACGGCCACATCGAGGTGGTTCAATACCTTAAAAGATACCGTCATGAGGGGTGTACAGAGAAAGCTATGACCATGGCCGCTCAAAACGGACATCTTCCAGTCGTCAAATTCCTGAGAGAGGAACTAGTCCAAGAAATATTTGACCTTGAAGCTGCTATCCGTGCAGCAAATCAAAATGGTCACCAATCAATCGTTCATTATCTCCAACATGACATTGAACAAGATCTTGATGAAGAACAACCCAATATCTGGTAGCTAGTAACTTAACCTATACCTATCTACCCTCCACGTGCCTAACCAACATCCAATAACATATAATAATAATTTAATACTAATACCAATCAACCAACCAACCAGCCACTTTTACTTCACTCTTGAAAATATATTTTAATCAAATCAAATAAATAATAGTACTAACTAGTTTAACCTATGTTTGATGAATAATGGGATATGCTGAAATAAAGTTTAATAAAATTAATTGTTCTTGATCCTTGATATCTATTATTGTTAATTTATTGTTTCTCTGCAGCATCTTCAAGTTTTGCAATGAGCTGAATCATGGTAGGTCTCTTTTTGGGATTATGGCTTAGACACTCTTTGATGAGTGATGTAATAAAGTGATTGGTGCCACTTGGAAGCTTGGGCTTTAGTTTCTTTTCATAGACAGTCTTTACTAGATCGACGATTGTTTGAATTTCGGGGTAAGGTTCGCTGGCTGTGACCATTTCATAGAGCATCATACCAAAGCTGTACACATCGGCGGCCGAAGTATAGAGATCACCTGCCAAACATTCGGGTGCCTCCCATTTGGGTGTACCAGCGACTGCAGTCATATTGAGCTGAGTGACACGACTGAGACCAAAGTCACCGACCTTGGCATTGTCATACTTGTCAATGAGAATGTTGGCTGCCTTGATATCACGATGAATAATATCGATCGAATGAAGATAGGCCAAGCCCTTGGCAACCGAAACAGCGTATTTAATGACCAATTGGAGTGACAATGGGTGGTTCTTTTTAACGACGTCCCACAGTGTACCCTTGTGCATGATTTCAGTGACAATCATAAAGATAGAGTCTACTGATCTTGGAATAATACAAGCACCCTCTAATTTTAGCAGATTGGGGTGTTGGATGAGACCCATGATGGCAACCTCTTTTAAAAAGTCTTCCAATCTAAAGGTAAATGACACCTCACTAAATATCTTGATGGCAACCTCTTTTCCATTCCACAATCCCCTATTCACACGAGCCAATGCACCAGCTCCCAAAAATTCTCCAATCACCAAATCAGATTCTTCAATCTTTATATGTGAAAATACTGCTCCATGTTTACAAATCTCTAAAATGTGTGATAATGATCCCTTATTTTTTAATTCTACAAGATTTTCATCTAAATTTAAAAAATAAATGGAAATGGTAAATAAATAAATAAAGTTTCTTTTGTTTTTTTTCTTTTACATACAAGAATACTTTGCCAAATAAATTAAAATTTGAGCAGATTGAATTCTTAAACTTTCAGCACTTGGTCTATTTGCTTTTGTACAATTATTACTCTTGTCCAACATTTCAATAAAGTTTTGTAGTGGAAACAAATCTGAAAATTCCCTTTTTGATTGAGTCGATAGACTTGGATAAATATTTGTCAAAAACAAACAAAAGTTTGGTGAAAATGTATAAGCATCATCCTTTAAAGATATATCCATAAATATTTTAAGATTATCTTTATATTGTTGGAATAATTCATCTTTTTCTTTGTCTAAAAAAAAATAAATTAAAATTAGTAAAAATAAATATTTATGAATATTTTTTTTCTTTTGATTTGTTTTTGATACAATACAAATTTTTGATAATTGAGCAATTGATTTAAATACTTCGGTTCTATAAGATTTAAATTGACAACAAACAGCACTTTTAAGTAAAATATTAACCAAATGTTGAGTTGATTCATCTGACTTGTCCTTTAAATTTGATCTAGTCTCTGCTAGAATGCTACCAAGAAAAGTTACCAACAACTCATCTCCACAAGATGATAATAGTATAATATGTTGATAGTTTCCATGAATGATTTCCTTTGAAATCTTGTGTAATGGTGATAATATAATAACACTATCCTCTTGACTTGTTGTTGTTGTTGTATTTCCTGATTGATTAGCACCATTTGGTTCAGTAGTAGAAGTAGAAGAAGAGGAAGAAGAAGAAGATGATAAAGAAGTGGGCGTAGGTGTGACAGAAGAAGAAGAAGAAGAGGTAGAAGGTTCAGATGTATAATTTCTTTTACCAAGAACCATACCCATAAACCCATTAAGGAATGATGTTGAAGTGGGTTGTTGTTGAACCAATTGTTGTAAACTTTGTTGTTGTTGTTGTGATAATTGTTGTGGTGATGAACTAATCGATAATTGATTAACTGATTTTAATAATGAAAATATATTATTATTTTGTTCTAAAAATGATTTTATAGAATCTGATATATCTAAAATAATTAAATCAAAAAGGTTAATAAATTATATTCCTTTTCTTTATCTTTTTCTTTTTTCTATTTTTTTACCTTTATCAATTTGAATAGTAATATTTGTTGTAATTGATTGAATTTTCATAACAATATTATGAACATGTTTAATAAAACGAACGATATAATCTTTTGGTAAAAGATTAAAGTTTTCCGATTGTTTGATTCGATTGATAAATTGAACGGCAAGAGTGAGACGTCCAATGGTGATTCTAACAAGATGACGATATAAAAGAATAAATAGTTTGTCAAAGGTTCGCATGGTTTGATCAAATAGTTCCACTTCTTTTTCCTGAGAGACGATAAAGTTTTCAATCTCTTGATCCTTTGTCTTTAGATAATCGCTATAGGATGACTTTGATCGTGTTGCTCCAATTTTGATTGGTTCCACCTCTTGGTTACTGATACCCTTACTTTCTTTGAATAGATTGATCTTGGTGAGCATGATTTGTTTGATAACACCAATATTCTTTGACACCTTTTTCAATAGATCGACCGACGACTCAAGGGCATTTGGAATAAAGTCAAATGTCTCTTTAAATAGGTAGAATATGTACTCTAGTACAATTGGATCGAGTAGTGCAAGTGATAGATCAACAAAATTGGATTGCTTATTGTTTGATTGAATGTCATAGTATTTGTTGATATTATCAATTGTCGATTGCTTTTGGAATTGATTCTTTAGATTATTGGCAATTGGTTGTTGTTGTTTTAATTGATTTTGAATAGAATTGACATTATTTGAATTGGTTTTTGATAATGATGGTTGTTGTTGTTGTTGTTGTTGCAATTGTTGTTTTAATTGTTGTTGTTGTTGTTGATTGGTTCTAACTCCAGTGGTTGTTGATGATAAACTACTTGGTTGTTTTTGTAGGATTGGTGGTGTACCTCCTCCACTTGCAGCAGCAGATCTTGGTGTTGTAGCTGTAGATGATAAATTACTGGAAGATGTAGATGAAATTCCATTACTACCATTTAAAGCTGTTCTAGGTGACATTTGTCGATTTAGATTGATTTTGGAGAGTAATAGGATAAACTGCTCCTGGATTTGTTTGAAGCGTTTGGTGAGGTTGTAAGTCTCGAATGGTTTTTCTTTTTAAATACAGATACTATGTCACAGATATGATGTACAAGGAATACAGGAATGTTGTCGAAATTGTCGATTGCCTTTGTGAAATGTTTGAGTGTGGCGATGATTGGCTCGACAACGTGCTTGGAATTGGCTGCATCCTCAATGTCGAGCTCGAGTGAGAAGGGTAGTAGCTTGTACAACTCGTTCTCTTCTGGTGTCGGGATGATCGAATGAGCTTGACCTTGACCCTGACCCTGATGAGCTGCCGCTGCTTCTGGTTCGAGCATAACATTATTCTTGGTGAGTGGATCGGTCAACAACTTGAACACCATCTTTTCAACAATGGTAGATTGCATTACGAGTGTTGAGAGTGTGACAAACGAACCAGACTCTAAATCAGGTACGACAATCATAAAATTAGATGGAGTGTATCCATTATCACTACCGCTGCCTGGTAAATCCGATGCTCTACTAATCAATGGCAACTCCCAAATCGAAATGAATCGAAGCAGTGTAACGAAAAACTTGTCCTCTTGTTCCAACCGATTCTTTAAATATCTCGAAGTGACCACTCCAAAAGCTTGCTTCAAACTTCCGTTTCCATTGGCGTTTGATTGGATCGATGAAGAAACACTTGGTGACGAAATAGATGACGACAGACCCGACGACACTGACGAAGCAGTCGATGAAGATGATGTCAAAAACTCGCCAACCTTGTTTGGTGATCGAATCATTGGACGTCTCAAATCGTTGTTATCGTCCTCATTGGGATGAAGGTTCTGAGCTGTCGTACCGTTGGTGAATGTAGTAGTACTCGCACTTCCCAAGTATGGCTTGGCAATTGGGAAATCATCAAACGTCCCTACAACCACTTTCCAATCATCCAACATTCTCTTTAACTCATCATTTTGTGGTAATGTACCTGTTGCCAAACTACTTGACATTGATTGTGGTGATTGTGGTGGTAGAGGTTGTGATTGTGATTGTTGTTGTTGTTGTCTTGGTGATTTTTGTGGTGGTGATGAAGGTAATTGTTGTGTTTGCAGTTGATTAGATTTATCGATACTTGAATCTATCAATTTCAATAGTTGATTTTCATTGTTATAGTATCGAATGGCTACACCATTTCTCCAAAACTCTTCTTGAACTGTTTTGTTTTTTGCAAAGTGAAATGATCCGATACCATTTGCTCGACTACTCGCCCATTTACCTTGGTAATAGTCACGTGTCGACAAATACTCTGGCGTCTGTACCTTGACAATGACAGAATCAACCAATGTAAACGATTGGTTGGTCTTGCTCTTTGTCTGATAGTTTTGGTTTCCAGGACCATTAATAATGACTTGATTCTCGAGTGACCCTGTTGTCTTGAACCCTACGTCTTTGTTGGCCGATATAACGGCGGTGGGAGGGATGATACTCGATAGTTCTTGGAATGTCTTGTATCCATCATTGACTATCAATATGCCATCACCACACTTTTGGTCATTCTTCCACTCTCCGACATAGGTACAGGTTGGATGCAAGAATACACCTTCACCTTCCTTGTACATTGAATCATCTATTTTACCTTGATAGAATCCATAATTTGAATGAATCTAAAATGTAGATATTTAATGAACAAAAGCAGCAACAGCTGATTATTAATAAATAGTATGGTGTGTGTTGTCGACATGAAAGAGGATGAATACATACACTAGCCTTTTCATTATTTGATTTAATGATAACATCATATGAATACGATGGTGGTCTAATAACATCAAAATCCATCTTGACCTATAGTTTAAACTTACTATCTATCTTTTTATAGATAGGGTATAGTTGTTGTTACCAATAATTATTGTTGTGTAAAGATTGTTTTGTGTCAACTAAATCAAAAGGTTTATAATATCTTGAATTAATAAACTAGTATATATATATAGTCGTTGTACAATGATTGAGATTGATTGATTGATCTTTTGCAGCTATAATAATAATTGATTGGTTTGCTTGTGACTTCTTCTGATATCTGATGATAATAATATGTTTTGGTGAAGAGATGTTATATAATAATAAATAATATAATAATACAATGAAGATGAATATACTACAGTAGATTGATAGATAGGATAGAGATACTTGTTTACACAGTTATCAAAAGAAATATCAAAGGTAGGATTTTTCAACAAGCTTGTTGTTTATTCTTTTGATGATGAATTCTTTTAAAATTTTTGATTAATCCAAACTCCGCACATAATATATTATATGTGTGGGTGGGGATGTCCTAGCTAGGAATAGCGAAACGTCACCCCATACTACAATGTACTATACTACTACTCATCAATCATTGAATATTCCCAAATAGCTGCTATTATTTAAATATAGCAATTTAATTGATTGATTGATATATCTTACCTTTTTGTAATTAAGTTCTTTTTGTTTTTTTTCTCTCTATAGATCTATCTATCTATCTTGATAATAATTATATAGGTTTGAAATAAAGTGATGAATATTATTTGTTTTGATTGAAAAGAAAAGAGAACTGGACTGACTGATTGAAACAAAAAGGGGTGGGTTCAAGATAGAGACATACAGACAGACAGACAGACAGATAGACACGCCAACACATTTAAAATGTGATCAATCGTAACAGCAAAAATGGTAACCATCATCCTATATTGGTGGTTCTGGTATATCCATTTAACAACAACAACCATCATACACATCATAGGGAGCAAAGGAAAAATGGAGGGAAAACGTGTTGATGATGATTGATTGATTGTAGTTGTGGTGTTGGAGAGAGGTAGTGTGTGTGGTTGGTTGTAAAATAAACCATCATCATCATCATCAACAATGGTGGTGTAGGTGATCGATTGTCGTGTAGCAGACAACTTCACTATAGGTGTGAAGGTGGAATTTATTCATTGTTTAGGTTGGTTGATCCTCCTGCAGAAAGCAAACCCACCAACACCACCAAGTTTAGGGTTGAGGTGTCAGAGTTTTCTTGTTCATTGCTGCACTAAACTAACTCTTACTTGTTGGTTGGTATTAAAATACAATACAATATATTATATTATATTATACTTTTAGTTTTAATAATGATCTTTATAACGTCTATCATAATTCATATTTGGATTAAATAATAATCTTCCAAAATCTTGAAGTGGAGAACAAGCAGCTACGAGGAGATCATAGTTTAAGCTAAACCCTCCATTGTAGGGATTTCCATAGGACAGTTGATTGAGGATTGATGGATCCAAGGGTACCTGTTCTCTATTGATCCTACTTTTCAATCTTTTTTCAATTTCGATTGGGTCGTTTAATCTTTGTGATCCACTTGCAACTAGCCATCCATTTAAAAGCACCCAAAAGAGTTGAGCTTCTCCAGTGACGGGATCGATCATAGCCAAACTATCAGATGTTGGGATACCTTGATCAGATTGGATGATCTCGTTTTGAATGACGACCATATTGACACCAAATCTCTCTCTCACTGCCGACGAGATTTGATTAGGACTTGCAAACATTTTCATCACATCATCTTCTTGCAACAATTTTGCTATTTGATGTGGATTCAATGTTAAAATAGTGCCATCCTTTAATAGACACCCATTTCCACTAAAGGGTGCGTAGTCTGTTGATCCTCCAAAGTTGATGCACGCCTTTTCAGCCCAAAACGGTGATTTCTCGATATGGTTTAGACACTCTATCACCAATCTTTTACAACTATCTAGAATCTCTGACATGTCGTTGTACAGAGTACTCGTTGAAACGAATATTTTGGTAGAGTTGCATAGTTTTCTTGAAACTCCCCATGTAGTGGTGATGGTCGATTGCTGCACCACCTCGAATACCTTGTCAAAGATACCAACCAACATGATATGGTATACCGACGGATCAATTGAATACGCAAGATTGTATCCAGCATCTGCCGTGTAATGTTCGGTTGGATGACCAGGATAATGGGTGTAACAGGCAACCGTTGTCAATGTAGGTGAATGAACCTCCATAAACGAGTCTTTTACGAGGTACTGGTAGACAAACGATTCCAACGATGCTTTTAATCTAACCGTTGCCTGATGTAATGGTAATCGATTACAAAATGTTTCTGCCACTGGATACAAAGATGAAGCTGGTACCATTGGATACCAAAATACATTCTTGTCTTTTTGATTTTTTTGGTCTGTATCATTATTATTATTATTATTATTATTATTATTATTATTATCTTTTACTACTACAACTGCTCCTCCACTATTATCATATAGTTTCTCGTCTCGATGAAGAATATGTCTATATCCATTGTCATGGTCAAGGGGAGGATAGGAAATAGCGATTGAATTGTGATTTCGGTAAACACTCGGGTTGGTTGGTTGAGAAACCACTTTGAATGCAATGACTTTAAGCTCCAACGATCGGTTTGTTAGAGGATTGATACGAAGATGACCACCTGGTGGACTAGCCTCTACCATAGCTTGTATCTCTACCAATGACTCTGGTAGTAATTTTGACCAAATCTTTAATGTCTGTTGATCAATATAACAATTTGATGATTTAGCAATACAATCTAATATCTCTTTAAGTAAATACCGATTCTTGAATACAAAAGTAAATAACTTTGTTGAATATTCATTGTGTATTGGTGTTGGTCCCAATGGAAGATATAATTCGTTTGTTGTTGTTTCAATAGGACCACTACCACTAGCAGCAATATGATCTTTATATATATTGAATGCTTTTGTTTGATTGAGTAGTTGAGATTGAATGGTTGAATAGATTGGTGATGATGGATCTCTAAGTATACTGAGTGTCAATTTACCCAATGATCTTGTTGATTGTATTCTAGCACGTGTAACTATAACTCTACCAAGATGCAATGATTCATCTAATCGATGAATTGGTACAAATGAATCCCATTTTGGTGTGATTGATGATCTTTCACTTGGGTATTTCTTGGTTGTATAATTTTTAAATGGTGATAATACTATAATATTATTATTATTATTATTATTATTATTATTATTATTATTATTATTATTATTATTATTATTATTATTATTTGACATATTTACTATTACAATGTTTATGTTATGACTCTCTTGTATGTCTATTCATATTCTAACACTCCACTCCTTTCTTTACATCATGTGACGAACGACTTGACTTGACCTACTCCAAAAGATATCCAAAACGTGCATGAACCCATGGGTTTACAAAAAATCAGTAAAAAACAAGAAATAATAACTTTAGGTTAATATTTATTTATTTTCTTTTCTTTTTAATATATATAATAAATATATATATATATTATATTTATATTAAAATGAATAAAGGAACCAAGAATTATAAGGGAAATTATTATTGGATTGAATTGATTTGTATTGTAGGTTGGAAAGATTAATAGTTGTTAGAGTTGTAGTGACGTTGTTGGTCGAGGTAAATAATGTTAGATAATTGGAATCACTCGATGATAATACATATGGAATACTTTGTGGTGGGTATGGGTTATTGATTTGTAATAATGATTTGAATTGGCCACTATTGTTACTATCGTCTAATTCAATTTGTAGTAGTGTTAATTGTTGTCCAACTTGTGTGATACCATATAATTGTGGTGCTTCTCCTCCTTGTTGTTGTGTTGGTGATATTAAAAATACTGTTGATGATATTGTTGAACTTGGTATCCAAGTACTCAAGATATAATCTACATATTGATTGGTTGTAGTGTTGTAGGTGAGAATACGGTGTAGTTGAGTGTCTTGATCGACAAAATGTGTGTAATAGGTAGAGGAGTGAAGATTGTATGCTCCAGTTGGAAAGGAACTATTGTCAAAGGCGTACTGGTCGTTAAATGAAATAGGGATCTCTTGTTTCTCTGGGAACTTCCATTCCATCAATGTGACTGTATTGTTTTCCAAATTGGTCACTGCCGTTATAATCATTTCCTTACTTTCATCATATCCCATTGGTATAGTATCGATAAAACAATTTGATTGTAATGGTAATGCTTTGATTTTAGTTAATTGTTTTTTCTACCCAAAAAGACATAATAAAATGATTAGTAATTTGTTGATCATAATATATATATTATGATCACCATCATCATGATGATGTTTACATACATTAATATCAAATGAACCAATTGTATTGGCAACATTCTTATCATTTAAATACAATACAAGGAATTGTTGAGAGGTGGCATTGAAATCCAAGATACCAATTAAACTTTGGTATTTAAAAGGGACGACAAATTGATTGACAGGTTCCAATTGGTTGTAATCATAAACAGTCACATTCCAATTGGATGATTGATCTATCAATATTGAATATAAATATTGTGGTGCTTGTGATTCTACCTAAAATATTATCAATCTAGATTAGCATTGGATTAAGGATGATGAACGAATGAATGAATGAATGAATGAATACATACATAATAAAATGTAGATATCATCAAGACTATGAAGTATAGGACAAGTGACTTTATCATTTCTATCTTATCTGTACTACACCTGAATGTATGTGCAATGAAACTAAAACATGGGATGGATGACAAATTAATAATAATAAACTGGGGCTGCAGACAGATGATTCGTTTGAAACGAGTAGACCAAGCAAAGCAAAGAACCAGAACCTTTATTATTGCTTTATTTTCTAAATATCTTCAAGATATTTGTATTGATCTTTCTCTCTTGCAAAAGAATAAACAGAGCGCTACAGCTGAAGTGATGGTAAACCAAGAAAGAGATTAAACAAATATTAAATATTTAATATTTTAACAGAGAGAAGGGTTGGTTGGTTGGTTACTCACCATCACGACGATCAAGTTCACCCGTTGCTGTGGGTTAAAATCATACAACACCGCTTCCATCACAGAGACGGAAGTTCACAGCCCTAAAAAATATGCAAGAGCTCTTGCAATGAATTGAAGTAATTTGATTATGTGTAACAAACAATATTGTCTGTCTCGTTCAACGTTATTTATATAATCAGATTTAATACCCTTTTCCGAAATGACAGACAGAAGATATAAAACGGCGCACCTAGGCGTCTCCCAACATTTTAGATTCACCGAATTTCGATGATTCGACGTACAGTAATAATTTACGATAATGGATCGGTCCAGCAAGGCATGCACGTACAATGTCCTTGAAGTCCCATTACAAGATACTTTTTTCAACAACAACAACAATAATAATCAATACATAAAAGATCGATGAATCTGCTACGGAGAAAAGGAAAGAAAGGTGTTTGAAATTCAATTCAAGTATTATTATTATTATTTAGAACAAGCAAACACAATATTGTATTTGTTTAATACATCAATCAATCACTCAATCAAAGCAGAATCCATTCAAAACTTGAAAAGTCCTTTCACTTTAAATTGGCTTTCTCTCTCTTGTTTGGTACAATCACGTGTATAATCAATCAATAACAAAACAATACTACTTCTTTAATTTACGAATATACATTTAAAGAAGAACAAAGATTTGTGTAAGTATTCAGTGTTTTGTACAAACAAATAATAGATATGTACGCGTGCGCGTACGATGCTATACCTCTTCAGGAAAAAGCGATACGAACCAACCCAACTTTTTGTTGAAATATGGTTTAGCAATCAATTCAATATGTTTGTTCGCTTTTTTTTTTCAATCATTATTATTTACGGATACCAATTCCAATTAGATATAAATATTAATCTTCTTTTATTATAATTATTACTATTATTATTATTACTATTATTCTTTAAAGAAATACAACAAACTATGAAATCATTGAAAAGTCTTTATTTTTCACTTACAACTTCAAACAAAAAATTAAATGAAAATACGGTATCTAATTTAGATCAAGATGACCACCAAGATCAAGAGGACGGTAGTGGTGGAGATGGTAGTGAACATACAAATACCTCCAAAAATTATTCAAAATCCTCAAGGAGTAGATACAAAAAAGGCCATGAAAGAACATTATCGGGAAATGAAATCAATGTTGAAGAGTTGGTATACCGAGAAGAGGAAAGGAAAAGACTGGAAATATTAAACCAAGAAGAAGAGGAAAATAGATTGTCGGTATTACCATGGATCATTCAATGTTATATCATTGAATTGTTTATGCATGCACCTTCAGAGGTGAGGACCGACCGTCTTGGAAAGATTACATTCAACAAACTAAACACTCGTAATCCATTGATATATGTCTGTCGTAAATGGTTTGGTCAATGTTCAAAGATATTCCAACGAGACGGTGCTATACCCTTTAGACCGACAATGAGTGTCACCGAGTTTTCGACACACTTTGCCTCGGTCAATTGTCTAGCCAACCATATCAACACCTTGGTCCTAACCAACGAGTATGAACCACCCGTCCAACCCCGAGCCAAGTTTTTCAATCCACAACGAAGAACCAGTCGCACAGACTATCTCTCGAGGACAGGTCCCAAGGACGGCGACTTTTACGCCAAGGTCAGACACCTAGTCATCGAAGAGAACGAGTCTGTTATTAGTGATATGATGTGTAATACTTTGGTAGTTCTTTTTGGCACTAAAGATATATGGATACAGTCGATCACTTTGTACAGCTCATTATACGTGCCAATGGTCGCACCGTACCTTGGTAGTGTCCAGTCGCTCACTATTACCCTCACCACTCTTTCATGCCAACACACATTACTCGAAGCACTCCAAATCGCCGAGTCATTGACCCATCTCACCGTCATTGTTGACATGGGTGGACAACTGTCATCCGACTTTTTCCTCCAACTTCCCACCACTCTGCGCTCACTGCAAGTCCAGACCACCTCGAGACATCGTACCAACTATCTGATGAACTCTCTTGACCTATGTAACTTTGTCCAATTCTCAAGATACCCAAATCTCAACCGTCTCTCCTTGTCTCCCAAAGTCGTATTTGACCCTTCCAATCTAATCACCCATCTCAACAAAGACACAACCCAAATCACAGATTTATCTGAGTTTATGCTAGAGTTTACACCAGAGGTTCACTCACTCTTGAAAACTCAACCCAAGATTACACACTTTAATATCTTTGTATCGACCAACAGCATAGCAGATAGTAGTGTCGACATTTTAAACAACAACTCTACAAACCATCATTTTACCATTAGTTCAATGCCAACCGTTTCTTGTTTTGAACCTATAACAATACATGACAAGATTCAAACTCTTAAAATCGTTTCATTTGGTCTGTCTGACGAATCAAAGCTTATAGTCTCAAATATTCTAGATAGTTTACACAATCATAGAGATTTGTATTCGTTGTATTTGGAAGTAGGACAAATCAATGAATCTATACTCAATTCATTGGTTAGACTATTAGACAAGAATCGGTCTATTACACGTCTATATTTGTTGCCCAAAGGTGCATCGGATGATATTCCACTAACTGGATTTTTCAACCAACTTCCAAGAGACCATCTATTGAATCTTCTCCAAATCATTGCAACCACCAAAACAATCAATACCGTCATTATGCCATCCAACCTAATTTCACACAAAGATCCAATCAACAATGAATTACCAAAACAATTTGATTTTGTAAATAGTTTTTGGTTTACAGTTTTAATTAGATATAAATAATTTAATAAATAATTTAATGTTTGTAATTGTAATTGTAATTAACTATCTTTTCTTTATTTATAAAATTTTACAACATTTATAACATGTTGGTTTTTTAACAATCTTCTTCTTCTTCATATTTAACTTCTTTGTCATCTTCTTTTGTTTCTTCTCTTCATTTTTTTCCTCATCTAAAGAAAATTCTAGTCTAAGAGATTTAATGTCTGTTCTAGAATATTTTATGAGGTCTCTAAAGAATTGAGGCAATTCTATTTCCCTCCAAGATTTTAAAACAAGGTCTGGTCGATCAGACTCGATTGAAAGTATAGTTGATCGGATTGCTGGACAAGACATTAAGATGAAGGTCTTTACAAATGACTCATTGTCATCAAATTTGGTGGCAAATATTAATTTCCCGTGATCCATTAGATCTAGAATCCTGTCTGAAGCAGTATAGTATGTTCCAGTGTAAACCTCCTGATCCTGTTTATCCTCAAAAACAGCTGAACCCCAATCAATGAGAATTGGCATTCCAAAAGGATCAATGATAATGTTTGATGCTCTGACATCTCGATGAATGATACCTTTTTTATGAATTCTTCCTAGAGTGTCTAAAATCTAAGTTGAAGTTGGATATTGCAACCATGGGATTATTGGTTAGTACCTAAAGATATGCTCAAACCTTTTTAAAATCTTACAGTTGAGAAATGAAAAAAGGAATAGTTTTCAATAGTGAAAGGTTCTCCAACAGGTTGAGTAGCTATCCAATTGTAACCATGATCAATGAGTTTTGGAACATATATAATATTATTATTGTCAATAATCGCCTCCATTATTGAAAGTTCATGATCTTTGGCCGTAGTGGTCTGGAAAATTTTGAGTATATACTTCTTTGTCTTTTTTGTTGGTGATTGACAAGACCAGACCTGAAATGCCAGATCCAAGGAGATGGATGTTTTCATGCATCAATGGCCCTGGATATTCTTTTTTAAGACTCTTTTTCAATCTTCTGGACTTTTGGGTTGTTGGTGTTGTAGATTCTAGATCTATTAAAATAGAAATAGAAATAACATAATTTAGTTTAAATTATAATTAAATCTGTTTAAATAAGATGATAATTTTAATTTCTACATACAATGTATTATTGCCAACATGGGGTAATCAATTCTTTGACGTTGATTGGTTTCTTTTTCATTTAAAACTTTAACTTCAATTTCTTTTAAACTCTTGTCTATTTTACTTTCCAGTTCTAACAAGACCATGTCTTCACCTTGTTTTAAACGATTGTATAAAAGAATACGATTGTTGGCAGGGACTTGTAGTAGAATGCTTTTTCTAATTGGTCTGATTAGGTCATAGTTGTGTTTAACATCAACAAATTCTATTTTGGCGAAATGATTTCTACAATACACATAACCTATGAATGTTATTGGTTCATCCATGACAATAGTAATATATAATAACTACAATTACTATATGTAGCATTTTGAGTGTTTCTCTTTTGTTCAAAAATGTATTAATTATTATTGTATACCTCCTCCTTTTTTTTTTTGATTACAATAATAAATCGTCAGTCCCTTTTTTTAAAAAAAAATCAAGACCAAAAGATTAGATTCCACAAATCAACATGATACTAAATATTTTTTAATTTTTTTCTATTTTTTTTATTTTTAAATAATTATTATTAAAATACCTTTTTTAATTTACCAATATATATGTTCAAAATATTTGTGTTTTGTTCTTTACTATTATTATTATTTCTATTCTTATTATTATTAATATTTTTTTTTTAAAATTATTTCTTTCTATTTTGTTGTTTACGTTGGTGATGATTGTTATTGTGGTGGTGATTGTTATTGTGGTGGTGTGAAGTAGCGCCAGATGGACCAGAAGAGGTTTGGGCAGCACCGGCATTTGTATTGATTTCATCAAACTTTTTGTTACGGAAACTGCCAAACTTGATATCGTAGATTCTTTCGTTTTGTTCGACAAAGTTGATGAGCGACTCTGAGTAGTTGAGGGCGAGGTGTTGTAACTTGGTTTGTTCGGAACGATGGAAGGTGATGGTTTCGGTCGAGTGTTCCCAAGAGGCAGAGATGTCGTGGTTGGCCATCATCTTGGAGACGACAGAGTGGACATGGTTCTTTGGTAGACTGAAACGCTCGGCCAATTCGTCGAGACGCATAGTGTCATAGTAGACCGAGTAGGTGTAGAGGAAAGTCTTGAGACTGACTTCTTGAACGATACGCTTGAGACGCTCGAGTACCTTTTCTCCGTCTTGGATGACGGTCCACAACTTGAGGGTCGAGAGCAACTTGATGGTGGTTTGGTAGTCGCCAGTGGCGAGGGCCTTGGACGAGGCATAGATGATGTCCTTGAAGGTGTCGGGTGGTGGGATAAAGACTTGCTTGTCGAGGTGATCCATGTGACGTTGGTAGAATTTACAGATCTTGAGCTTCGAGTCAAATGGACGCGAGGCACTTTGTGGCACGGCAATCAACATACCAGAGATGAGGTTGACAGTCTCGATAACGTCGAATGGGATGTGCATGTGTCCTGGCAACACTCTTTGCTTCTCTTCAATCTCACGGAGTGGCTCCTTTTCGTGGAACTTGGTGTAGGCAGAGAGACCTTGAGCGAGCAACTCCTTACGCAAACCGGAAAACTCGGCCAAACAGTTTTGAGCTTCGGCAATGTAGCCGTTTCTAAAGGCACAGAGACCGACTTGGACCATAGCACGATTGAAGAGGATTTGGGCTTGGATGTCCATCAAGGTGGGGTTGTCTTGGAGATGGGACATGAGCATCATATCACGGGCTTCATGGAAACGGTTGTGGATGGCGTTAAAGTAGATGTTGAGCAAGATGGTACGGGCGTTGAGACGCATGTCACCATGTTGGTAGATAAAGGCACTCAACTTTTTGATGGTCGATTCTTGGTCGATACCGAGATGGTAGATGTGTTCGAGACGACGGATGGCAGCACGTGCAGCCTTGTCGTTTTGGTTACCTTGTTCGAGGTAGGTTTGAACGGCGGCACCAATCTCGAGGAGGATTGACTCGTCGGCAAGACGCTCAGTGTACTCGGCCGATGGGAAGGTCAAGTGTTGGAGCGACTTGTTGAGCTCTTCATCGAGACGCTCAAAGAGCGAGAGAAGGTTGCCACGGATGTAGACGTTGCCTGGGACACGGTTTGGCTCGTCTTGTTCGCTGATGAGTACAAATTGTTTGTTCTTTTCCAACAAGCTGATGATGAGTTTGATGTTGGAGGCGGCACGCTTCCAGGCTGGACTGGCCATCGACACTTGGATGGTTGGGGCAAGATCAAACAAGGCGTTGACGACGTTGTACAAGATGCTAAAGGTGTCTTCGTCTTCCTTGACGTGCACCAAGAGACCCTCCAAAAGGTCGATTTGGATGTTGGCATTGGTACCCTTCTTACCACGTTGGTTGAGGATGTCCTTGAGCTTTTGGTGGACTTCAGCACGTGACAATTGCTTTTGACCGGCGGTTTCGGCTGGGGCGGCGGCGGCGGGCGACGAGGCAGCCTTTTCTTGCTTGAGCTTGGCCTTTTGGTCATCATTCTTACGTTTGGTGGTGGTGGCGACCTTCTTGTCGGTCTTGGTGTCGGTCTTTTTCATCCAACGCTTAGACTTGTCAACCTCTTCGCCAACGTCAGAGTCGTCGCTCGAATCACTGTCGTCACTGTCGTCGCTGTAGTCGTCAGAGTCGTCTTCAGAGTCGTCTTCAGAAGAAGAGTCTGATGCGGCGGCACCACCCGACTTGAACCAGCCATTCTTGGCAGCGGCCTTTTTGGCGGCGCCAGCAGCTGGCTTCTTTGGAGCAGCCTTCTTTGGGCCGTCGCTGTCGTCGTCAGACTCACTCTCGCTCAAGTCAGAGTCGTCGCTCAAATCACTCTCTGAGTCGTCGCTGTCCTTGTTGGCACTCTTTAACAAGTCGGGGTTGTCTCTGTAGACCTTGACTTGAGCCTCGTAGGCTGGTAATGTCTTTTTCAACTTTTGCTTCAAGGTTTGATGTGCCTTGACGTTCTTGCTGTTCATCTTCTTCTTGCTCGATTCATCCAAATTCAAAGATGTTTCAATTAAATATAATGCCTTGACTAATCCTGGTGGTACACCTTCCTTTTTGATAACATTGGTTGATTTTTCAATAAACTTGATCATATTTTCAAAATCTACAAAATAATAATAAAAAGAAGATGGTTAATCATCATTAGCGTCCTAAAGATCCCGAATCTGTGTACACAGTCCCAATTTGTTCTGTATAGAGGTATATTTTACCATTCAAGATTGCGCTCCAATCGTTCATGTTGATATGATTCTTAATGTCGTTGAAACTCTTGTCTAATTGTTCCCATGTCTTGTCCTTGGCAGACTTTACAACTCTCTTGACTTCAACCTCATCTTCAGAAGAAGAGGCAGCGAAACGATTTACTCTCTTTTGTTGTTGGGCTGCGCCTGAATCTGATGATGATGACTCTGAATCACTATCTGATTCTGAATCTGATCTTTGAAAGAAACGTGACATCTTTTCTAGAAAGTAAATTTATCTATATAAATAAAAATAACAATAGTATAAGAATAGAATAGAATTGGAGTTAATAACAATTGGATAGATCTAAACAATCCATCAATCCATCCATCCATCAATCCATCAACCAAATCACCATATTATTGCTACTACCACACAATAAAAGACGACACTGACGACAACCTGTTTATGAAAAGTTTGTTCACAAGTAGTCGTGTACAAATAGTATAATGTTATCTTGTTTGTCATCTGCTATACTATCTGTCCTGTTGTCTGTCTATCTGTTGTTTGTGTTTGAATATATGTCTTTGGAATGGTTGATGGAAGGAGGTGCACAATTGATTGTGTGATTGATTCTTTCTTCCTATAGTCAACGATTTGTATGACATACATAATAATATTAATCGGATCGGGTATACTGATTAAAACTAAACTTGAATTGATTGGATAAGAGAGATATATAGAGGATGACTGTCTTCTTTTCTCTTTCTTTAATACTTCTCAACAACTACAAGCCTGTTATTATTACTACTATATAAAATTACCTGTCTTCATGATCGTTTTTGATGCTCACTACAAAAAAAAAAAAAAAAAAAACAATTTTTTTCAATTTTCTTCTGAAGGGCGAACAAGACGACACAGAGAGGATCCACACAAAATGACAGACGATCGGAGTAAGATTGAGAAAACGATAGGATCTATTGGTTGTATTTGTTTGTTTCTATTTATAATATTATTATTATTTATTTTGTTCCATTTCTATTTATTTATTTATTAAAAATATCTTGTAATTTTTTAATTAATAATTCAATCATTAGAGTTTTGTTTGGCATATTGTGAAGACAGTCGAAAAGTCTCTTGTGGAAAGCTGGAACCTCAGTGTCAAAACTAGTCCAGAGTTTGGTTAAAAAGTCTTTGGCTTCAACTGGTGATAACTCTCCTTCTTGTTGTTGTTGAATCATTGATTTGATAAAACTGGAATTATTAAATGATGATTGATTAAGTGCGGCCGCATTATTATATGGAACTACTTGAGAGTTATTATTATTATTATTATTAGTATTGTTGTTGTTGTTATTATTGTTATTTGTAACTCCCTTTAAATATGAAAATACTGATGACATGAATTTACCAGTTGATGATTGTTGTTGATCATTATTATTATTTAAAAATATATCTTGTTGTTTTTTGTTGTTGTTGTTGTTGTTGTTTGATAATTCATTTAAGTTGAGGATTGGTTGTTGTTGGCTTACAAAAGATGATGAGAATGTAGATGATGATAATAATGGTGAAGTAGTATTATTATTATTATTGGACAATGATGATGCATTAGTCATTAGACCATGAATAAATAGACCTTGTACCGAGACTGTAAAGTGGTAGGCATGGGTAACAATGACTAATAACAAAGTCTCAATAACCTCTTTTAACAAATCACTATTGTGGTGTCTAAATGCCAAACGTTCTGTGAGCTTCTTGATGACCATTTGGTTGCGCTGCGACACTTCAAGGTCTTGGTAGGACTGGTCGTCATGCAAGATTTGCTTTAATTGGTAGTTGGACAGATTGTCTACATTTTCAATCGAGTGTTTCAAAAACTCTACAATTTCCAATGACTTGGAATACGACACCAAACACTCCTTCATATATTTGATTGGTACATCTAAACTTGGTAAAACAGAGTTTTGTAATGTTCCATTTCCTGATAATAATGTAGATTTAATAGTTGAACCAAAACATGCTGATCCGAATTTTGAGTCTAGACAAATAATAAATTAATTAATTAATAAATAAATATTTTCATTTTTTGATTTGTTTTCTTTTCTTTTCTTTTCTTACTTTGAATAATTGAAACTCTTCTACAATATAAAATAATGTCACGACAGATAAGAGTAATGAGATGGTTCATTTCAACGTCAAAGATGGTTGGTTGTTCCTTTTGGTTTGTGAAATCGACACTTTGGTAAGAGGCTATTTCATCTTCGTCGAGGTTACTATCGTCTCTGTCCTCTTTGATCTTTGATTTCAAATGTCTGCTGTACTTGCCAAAGAGAGAGAGGATGGCTGAGTGGAAACGGGTAAAGTGGGCCTGTGTCTTTTCAGACTGGTAGTTTTGGGCAATCAACTTGCTGTTTTGTGACAAGAGGTGGACAGAGAGCTGGAGGATGGTCAACGAGGTGTTGGATGGAGGATGGGCATCTTGGAGAATAAACTTAAAGAGGTCGGAATGCTCGGCCATGAGTGATTGGACTTGTGCATAGATATCGACACGTTCATGTGGGAAGTTGAACAGAGAGACGAGTAGACGGAACAAAGGGATGATGAGTGAGGCGTATGGCGACATGGAAAGATCCGATGGGACGTGTGACAGGAATGAACAGGCTGAAAACGAGGCAACAATGTTGGAAGCCATCAATAATCGGATACCGTCAATGTTTTGGGCCACTCGGATCAATAGAGACATTTGACTGTCATAGACACGAAGGTCGCGGGCATCCAATTGCTCCCATCTCTGAAGGGTGTTTGTGCATTGACCAATAATCGAAACAATGGCATTGCGATCATCCAATGCTCTGAGTGTCTTGTTTGATCTAATACCATCCAAAGCTACCAAAAGCTCCATACAACTGGTAGCAGCAATCTTCCAACCACCAGAGAATGAACTGCAATCAGAGATTAACAATCTAACAAATCTATCATCAACCTTGTTCAACAATAATATATTATGTTTTTCAATTGATTTTATATTATGAATGGTTGTATTATTACCATTTAAATCATTTGTTTTGTTTTGATCAAATGAATGAGTTAAACTAGAAAAAAAAAATTAAATTAATTAATTATATTATTAATAATTTTCTTTTTGTTTACTTACGTCAAATATTTAATGATACAAGTATAAGCAATACCTCTAATTGGTTGATAAGAAGATCTAAGGATAGTTTGAATTAAACCTTCGAAAATTCCTTTAACCTTTGATTCCAAGATATCATTGAAATTGTTTGATAGTTGGAAAGTATCCTTTTTCATCTTGAGAACATAAAACAATGTCAAAATGGTATAACCCAAAGAGATTCCACATGTAATTGGATATTTTTCATTTGAAAATTCCATTACCAATCTTTGTAATAATGTTAATGGTATCATTTCATTCATTGATCTAAAAATAAATAGGATAGAATATTAATATTTTAACAATCATTAATCATTTTTCTTTTTTTCTTTTTTTCTTTTTCTTCTTTTTCTTCTTTTTTTTTAACATACATTAAAGTATCAACTTGTAATAAAGCTTCATTTACAAATAATTTCCAACCTTCGAGAGCACGAGTTTTAGAATCTACCAAAGTGATGGTTGCATTGAGACGAGCACAAATTTCCAATTCTCTGTCAATGTCTTGAACGTTGGTGAAACGTGGATCAGACTCTAGATGCTTGCGGACGAGTGGAAGATTGACGATTTGACAATCACGGTAATTGACCAAGCAAGAGGCTTCGAGGACAGGGATGAGTTCGAAAATACGTGGTTTCTGGAGCTCGGCAAACTCAAACTCAATGGCATTGAATACTTGGAGAATCTCGAGTGCGTTGCTGTTGTAGGTGTTGCCGTTGCCACCACGACCGTCTCCGCCGACCAACAAACTCATAAAGTAGTTTTTGATAAGTGGGTCGGATCCGCAGTGCATGGTGGTGGCCATGGTCTTGAGCAACCACGACAACGCCGAGATGTGTGCGTCCTTTAGCTTCTCATTGCGACATTGTTGCAAGCATGATTTGAGTAGGGCAATGTTTTCCTTAAAATAAGAGACTGGCAAAAAGTTTATAATGGGTTTGGTGGTGGCCGGAGTCGACACCATGCAGTTGATGATTTGGTGGTAGCAGTCGTTGAGGTGAGGGAAACGTGTGACAAAGTCGACGTCAGATACCTTGCGCAGCAGAACGGTTAGGCAAGTACGCGAGTGCTTTTCAAAGTCGATCGACAGGTCATAGACGGAGGGACACCCGAGCAAAAAGTGTCCGAGTGTGTAGCGGTTGGCGTTGCCCGAGCCGACGACACCGCCAAAGCTCGTCTTGGATGCTGCGGCACCGCTGCTCGCGCTGCGGTCGATACAGTAGAGGATGAGCTGTGCGATGGTCCATTGAATCGATCCCTTGGCGTAGCGAGAGAACTGCTCCTCTTGATCGAGGTACAGTGTGGCGGCATGCATGCGGTGGGCGCCGCTTGAGGTCATCTCGCTCTCTTGCTCGACACATTCCATGACACGCACAAATCGCTCGAGCAGTGCGTCGGGTGCAGCGGACGCCAAAAACAGCGAGCTAATGCGTTGTGTGTACACTTCGAAAGAGTAGATTAGACGCAGCGCCTTGAGACCAATATCGCGGTTCTCATGGTCGACGAGCTTGGCAATCGCGATGATGGGTGACGATGTGGCGGGTGCAGCCGACAACTGAGTGACGATCGACTTGGCATCGTCGACCCCAAACACGTTGCTGTCCGACACGAGCAGAACAATCTCGAGACATCTCTCCAAAGTATTTTGAAAGAGGTCGTTTTGGACGCCGAGCAACTCCTGGTCGTCGGCGCTGTCTGATGCAGCGGCGGCGGTCACGATAATGCCAACGATGGTCTGGAGTGTGTGGTGGTGTGCCATCTTGGTGACTTCAGCATACAATGGATACACTGGATGACGACGGTCAATCACGCGGTTCGACACACCGCCCGTCTTGAACTGGTTGAGACAGTACATAAAGATATTGAGGATAGTTAGCGTGAAACGCCACTTGTCGAGGATATGGTTGAATGCCTTGTTGTTGAACGACTGGAACAACTCCATGATATGGTCCAAGTACTGACGCAACGTGTTGTCGTTGCTGCGGTCAAACAAGAACGGCGACACTTGTAACAACTGGTAAAACAACTCCAAAAATTGTTGTGTGAATGGGAACTCTCCGTGCTCTGAGCTCTGTGACTCCATTCTCAAACCAGCCGGGAAGATCTTGGAATCAATCAACAACTTCCAGATATCTGGTACATAGATGGGGTAACGGGCACAGGCAGCGATCGCACGCAGTGTAGTTGACTTTAGCGACACGGATACTGGCGACGTGATGAATCTAAAGAATAAAAAGACGAGCTGCACATTTCGGGCTAGCATCTGAGCCAACTGTGGTGCATAGCTGATCGTCTCTGTGATGAGACATAGGATGGCGTTGAGTGCCTCTGTGTCGGCCGGACTAATCTCACTATTTGGTTGGTTGAGTGCGTCGACATAGATTTGCAAGTGTTGAATAATCTTGTTCCATGTAAAGTGACTACTGTCCTTTGTAAAGAAATTGTACACCTCTATACCATTGCTAATCGACAATGATGCCATCATGTGGAACGAACTAACAATCAATCCATTGGGAATTTGCATCCACAATGATTTCAAGAATCCACTCGTTTCACAACACTCCCAAAATCTCTTTGAACTTGTACTACCATCTTTATAAATTGATACCAAAAAATTATTAAAATTATTTAAAAATGATATTTCTAAACAAATAAAAATAGAAAGGAAAGGTAAGTAAAATAATCAAATTATACTTATTTGTTATATTGTTGTTTCTTACGATTATTTTTTTCAGTTGAAATTGGAAATAATTCAACAATTGAACAAGCATAATCATCAAGAATGAATTGATATAGATTCTTTAAAGATGAATTTTTAAATTCCTTGGATTCAACAATCTTTACCAAAAATTCCATTCCATTTCTATCCTTTGGGAATGCTTTACTCTTGTAATTATTCTCAACTCCACTACCACCTTCAACTTTTAATTTAAATATATAAAATAATGTTAACAAACTTGATTGAATTGATATATCTAGAAATTAAAATAGAAAAGATTAATTAATTTGTCTGTCTACTACTACTTATTATTATTTATGTGCACATACTATGTTCCCATTCATTTTCGATATCAGACAATACTGATGATAAAAAGGTTTGATTTGATAGACAATTGTTGGTGGTTGGTTTCTTTTCGGTTGGGTTCATTAATACCACCTTTGGTTCTTCAAACAATACAAAGATTGTCAATAAAAGAGTATAGGTGATTTGGAATAATTGATGATAGAGCGTAGTATCGATTTGTTGATTTGAGAATAATTTTGAACATTCTTTTAATTTTAATAATATAGCTTTAATTGATTCCTCTTTAACTATAAACTAAAAGAAAATAAAAGTAAAAGTAAGTACTTGGTGGAAATTGATTGATCGATCAATAAGATATTCAATTTTCCCAATTTAACAACATACTTGGAAACAAATTAAATATAAACATTCAACTATTCTTTGACACTCTATAATTCTATATTTGAATTCTTTTTGGTTGGTTGGAACGGTAATGTTTTGAATCTTTTCTTCAAACAACTTTAATAGAATGGATACTAAATTGTTGGTGCCTCCAGACAACAATTCACATATAAACATTTGAAGTACATCTCTTTTACTTTTATCAATCTCTGAATTTAAATACTATCAAAAATGAACACATTAATATTTATATCCAATATTAATATAATAATATCAATTTGAGAAGACTTACACTTAGGATTTCCTTTAAAGTATTAAGATAACATGATCTAGTTTGATAAACAAAATCTTCACATAATATTAATAATTGTGAATTATCTCTTATTGATGTCTATATATAAATAATAATAAATGAAATGTGGATGTAAGTAAAAGACTAATTAATATATCTATCTCGATTGATATATACCAAATTTAATACATGAGCCAATACTTGACATGCAAGGTATTCATCAATATTTAACTTGTCTGATAGTTGAAAGGCTATTTGAATAAAGTCGTCGACGACTTCGATAATATCACCTTTCATGATGAACTGCTTTCTCGCTTTGATCTCGTTTCTTCGTGTCTCTGATTCAGTAGCAGACTTTGGTCTGAGACGACAAAGACGTTCGGAGAAGTTGTGTTTCTGTGACCACAAGAATTGTGCCAAGTCTTGAGTCACTGCTGGTAATGATAATGCATACTTGTTGCCATTGCTACCTCCTCTATCGGCTGCACCACCACCAGCACCACCACTCGAAGCCAACGAATCATCAAATGATCGAACATGTGATACCAACTTATTGTATGGATCACTAAATAAGTCTTCCTCCATTTCTATCTATCTATCTTCTTTGTCTAATCTATCTAATCGAATCTAATCTATATCTATATATATATATATCTAAATGTATTATGTATCGTATATTTCTTCAACTACTAGTAGACGATGAACAATTCCAAATTGATCAATGTTATTCTACTAACTAGATGTGTGATGTTGTTGTGTATGTAATATATAGTATAGATATAGAAATAGACTCAATTCCTATTGCGGAAGATAATGCATGAATGATCATACCTCATCACAGAAATGATGATCAGCAGCAGTCGTTAATTTTTTTTGAATATTTTCAAATTTTCTCAATGGGCCACCAAAGGGAGGGAACATATCTTAGATATAAGTAAACTATAGTCTATTAATACCTTGAATACAAATGATGATTTCATTTGTTATTAATAATCAGTCAATTTAAAACTATAGTTTACTATAGGACATTTATGGCTTTCATACAAGTTTGATGAATGGAACCGAAAAATGTAAAGTTTTTTGTTTTTTTTTTGGGATCACAAAAGAGATAAATACTTTTTTTTGAACAAATAAATAAAGATTTGATTTAGATGTGTAATTACTTTATACAAATTATGATAATGTTATTTATTATAATCGGCTTTTAAAACTATAGTTTACTATAGGACATTTATGGCTTTTCATACAAGTTTGATGAACGGACTACTTCGGTCAAAAGTTCGCAGGATTTGAACCAAAGGGCGATCTCTCTCTTGGCAGAATCGGCGGAATCAGAACCGTGGATGATGTTACGACCAACATCAACACCAAAGTCACCACGGATGGTGCCTGGAGCAGAGGCGAGTGGGTTGGTAGCACCGATCATAGCACGAGCCATGGCGATGGAACCCTTACCTTCCCAGACCATAGCGACGACTGGACCAGAGGTAATGAAAGAGACGAGACCACTAAAGAATGGACGTTCCTTGTGTTCTTCATAGTGGGATTCAGCGAGGTCCTTGCTTGGGACAACTTGCTTGAGACCAACGAGGGTGTATCCCTTTCTTTGGAAACGGGAGATGATTTCACCAACTAATAAATTGATCAAATAAAAAAGAGAGAAGAAGAAAGCAGAACAAGTAGAGTCGGAGAGAGAGAGAGTATTAGAATTTGAATTATAATTATTAAATGTTGGTTGATCATATTTGTTGATCAACATCTGATGATGATAACATACCGAGACCACGGGCAACACCGTCTGGCTTGATAGCAATGAAAGTTCTTTCGTCGTTTGACATCTTAATATTCTCTGGTTATAGATAAACTGTAAAGAGTTTGAAAGACAACTTTTTTTTTGTGAACAGGTCAGCAGAGGTGTTCACTGTTCGTCAAAAAAAATACGAAAAAAATTCAAAAAAATGAAAAAGAAATGAAATTTTTTGTTGTTCATCCGTGATGGAGATGGTGTTTCCTTATTTAATACGCGTTGCAGTTCCGATTTACAACCCCTAAAACTAAATCACAATAATTAAATTAAATTAAAAAAATATTGAATAATTATGGATGGTATCGATAGATGTTGTTGGTTTATTAAACTTTTGGATGATGAAAATCACTCGTTTGTGCTGCTATAGTACTATTACTACTACTACTGCTACTATTATTATTATTGTTGTTATTGTCAACCTTATTATTATTATCGTTGTTATTGCCAATTCTATTTCTTTCCTTGTTGGCATGTGAAATTTGTTTTTTGATACAATAAAAAATGGCAAATAATATGGAGAGTAAAAGTATTGATCCTGCTACAATGGCAGAGATGACACCTGCAGACATTGATTTACTACCAAAGCTAGATATTGCAGAATCTTTAGAGACAACAGACACCATACATTGTTTAAAAGAGACAGTGACAGAGTCTAAACTACTTTGAACTCTTATATTACAAGATATTGGAACTGAAACATCTTGTTTTTGATTTCGGTAGTTGTACACCATGATATCAGTACTGAAATTGACCATATTTGACATAAAACTATTTAAATTGATTATTTCGAAATTTCCATCACCAAATAATAAATCTGAATTAATCTTTATCATTAACTTTGAATTTGGTAGTGAAACATTTGATTTAAAATTCACTAATAAATAAATAAAAATGATAAATAAAGATACTTGGTTTTTACTTTCTTTTTTTAGTTCTCTTACAATTTGTAAAATTTGAAATAGAATCAATATAAATAAGAATAGTTGAATGATTTCCAAATTCTACAGGTTTAATAAATTGGAGTTTAGTTTTAGATTGTGGTATACCAATTGTCGAGGATTGACCAATGTACATTTCAGCGTCAATAGTGCCTTCTCCACCAATCGATCCATTTGCTATATTTACAAGATACTTTGATCTAATCGTACTATTATAATTTAATTTAACAGCACTATATTTGTTTTGTGATTGTTCGATACGAATTGAAGATAAATCTCCATTAATATGTAAATAACCATTATTTTCAATTATTGGCTAAATAAACAAAAAAAAAAAATTAGTTAAAAGGATAAATACAATTATTTAAATTATAATTATTTTTTTTTCTTACAGTTATAAAATCATCTATTGAATTTTTTGGTTTTTGAAAAGTAATATTATTAATCCCCATTACAACATTATTAATGATTCTACTTGTTGTATTTGCACTTTTAGAATCATAGATAATGATTGGAATTTCATAAAGTTGGAGAATATTATTATTGATAATGATCGAGTCGTTTAAATAGATACAGTTTGTTGTTTGTGAAGAACCACTTTGTTGTTGTTGTTGTTGTTGTTGTTGTGAAAAGGTTCTTGGTTGTTCGATTTGAAGTGTAGACTCTTTTAAGAAAATGGAAATATCATCAAGTTGATTTCTTTCACTATGATCCAAAAAGAAAGAATGCCTTGAAAGTTTTAATAATCCACCCTAAACAAATAAAAAAATAAATAAATAAATAATATAAATTCCTTTTTTTCTCTTAATGTTTTGTTTTTCGTTTACCTTTAAAGATTTAAAACTACCACTAAATTCATTAATAGTAATTCCAAATAGATATAATTCTTTAAATGATATAGTTCCATTTGATTTAATATCACTTCGATAGAATGATAGAGAATAGGATGAATCAATCGTAGAGTCATTGTCCATTCTAATTTTTGCATCATTAAAAGTTAAACTTTCAAACGAACCACTACTTTTAAAAGTTGAATTGTACAGAGTGATCCTAGATCGATTAATATCATGTAGTTGATTATATTCTCCTCCATTTTTACTACCAATTGAAAAGGTTTCAAATATTGAGTTTCTAAATAAAAATGTTGAATTGTATGTATCTATTGTTGTTGAATTCTTTAAAAAGTAAAAAAATAAAAAAAATAAAAAAATAAGTATACATATATATTTTAATCTTCTTGCTAATAGTTACAGCAAAAAAAGTAGCAGAATTTAAATTAAAAGTACTATTTTCAATATTCATCCAAGTATTTAATAATTCCATTCTACCATTATATTTTCTCTTTTTTAGCTCATCAAATGAATTGATATAAGTATCTGACCATTCAAATTGTTGAAATGGATGTTTATCTTTACCATCATTTGGATATTCTTTTTGAATATAATATTTTGAATTTATAATATCAATTCCTCCATCCTAAATAAAATAAAATAAATTGAATTAATAAATGACTCTTTCTATTTCTTTTTCTTTCTTCTTTTTTTAGACATACAGTTACAATTAAATGATTAAATTGAATTCTATTTGCATTTTTAAAATATAGTTTTGATTTTGTTGTATTCATGATGGTTGAATATAGCTCGGAACCACTTGTTATTCTTAGAATGGAATATTGTTGCATGATCATATCGGATATGGTAATGATTTTAGAGTGACTAGATGCTACCAATTCAGAACCAGACCTTATTTCAATTGGACCATAATCACTTGATAGAAACTTGGCAGACGAATTATTTATAATAAAAGTTGCCTGATTATCTAAAATAAAAGATGGTGATACAAATATTGATGAATCTATAGTGTACAAAAAGGAATATGTAAGAAAATGGTAGTAGAGAGAGAGACTATAGTAATATTTAATAATAATTACATAATTCAAAAGTTGATGATAAACCAGAAACTAAAAGCCTAGAATTGGCAGGTGATAAGAATAATCTTGACTTTTGGCTGATAAATGATCCCATTATGATCATTTCTTTGGAAAAATAATAAGTTGTTGCGTTGTAATCGTTGTTGATGATCATGATGGATGGACTATAGACAATGGTGGATTCGGTGTTAAAGATGGTTATATTTCGGATGACTAGTTTAGAGACAATGGTGGAGTCGTTTCGACTTCCGATTTCGAGGTCATTGAGATAGTATGGAAATTGGTAGGATGGAAGGATGGTCTGAACCGTCACATTGGTGTTGATGTATACATAATTGTTAAAGGGATAGAATCCAGTCGGTGTGCATGACCATGGTGTGGTGTCATTCTCGTTTGGTTCAAACATTCCTCCATCGGGTGCTGCATATGTACAATTATTATTAATCTCTTGTGGAAGTACAAATGCCAAAGTACAACAACAAGACCAACAACTCAAATAAATCATCAATACCAATATTGATTTTATCATTCGACAATCAACAATCATATCTAATCCTGATCAACCAAAACAATTATAATTTAACCTTTCCATCCACAAACAAATTAAATAATATTTAGTTAGTTTAAATGAGTGAACTTGGCTTGGAGATATAAATAAATAGATAGATAGATAGATAGATTTAGTTACCTTTTATTATAGTTCCTATAGTTGATCTTGATTGTGAAGATGTTGATGTTGTTGTGCTGCGCAAGATGATCGTTGTTGTTCTTTCATGAGCGTTGTTGTTTAAACCAAAATAACTCTCTTTATTTTATAAAATAACTACTAGTTCTTCTTAACCTCAATAAATAATATTAATATAGTATTATTAAATAAAGAGAGAGAGAGAGAGAAAGAAAGAAAGAGAGAAAGTTATTCAAACAAAAACAACTGGTTATAACAACTGCTGATATTAATATTCATCATGACCTCTTTCTGATTAATTGATTGATTGATTGATTGATTGATTGATTGTGGTGGGTGTTATCATTATTATGTACATGACAGCAGTAGTATTGTAGTAGGTACTACTGCTCCTTCTTCTTTTGTTGTTGCTGTTTTACTACTAACATTATTTCCTTCTTTTATGCAACTACTTATTATTAATTATCGTCAGTCAGCATATATATATACTCCATGTCGTACATCTTATCTTATCTTTTCAATCATAACACCTCCTCCTTATCCTCTCCTCTCCCACCCTCCCTCCTTCCATCAGATAGATACAACAACAACATTATTATTATTATTATGATTATTATTATGTCGATTATTTAAATAATAATCATAATAATGTGTTTAATTGTGGTTGTTTTGTGTACACCAAACCACAAAAATTCAAATCTGTTAATTTATTTGATGATTCTATAATTCAATCGACATTTACAACCAAAGGAGAGAGGGAGAGAGATATACACCACTGATCCATAAAAGTTAGTGATGATGGATTCTTTAAATAACAAAAAGTCAACCAGTCGAGAGAGTTAGATCGATACTTTCTGATTGACTTTCATTTCCATATCCATCAACACTAATAATAATAAATTAATGGGTTGGACCCGACTGGATTGGCAGATCTGTCAATTGATTGATTGATCATTTACTCTTGTTATTAATCAATCACAGATTGGATAAATATTAAATAATTTAATCTTTTTAATTATAATTAATCATTTAATCATTTAATTATCTTTTTGATTTAAAATATATTATATATGCGGATTATTTAATAAATTATTTATTTATCGTTTTTGCTTACATAATAAGGATATTGTGTAGTTGAATTGGATGTGGTGGTGGATGGTGTAAATGGAACCGACGACGCAGACAATTGTTTTGTTGGGATATATTTGAAAATGGCTGGTGACTGTGGAGGTGGAGGTGGTGGAGATGAGGTAAAGTGCGGAAAATGATGTTCCTTGGAATGACTACAATACCTAACACCACATGCTTTTCTATAAGTTACTCTATGAAAATCTGGGCATGTACATCCTTTAAAATGACACGGTGATATTAATGGTGATTCATGAATTTGATTTTGGTTATTATTATTTTGATTATTAAATTCCCATTTAGTACCACTACTACTACTACTTCCAATATTTGATGTTGAAGTAGTAGTAGTTGTACTAGTCGTCGTTGTACTGGTCGGATTATTTTTAATGATCGGATTATTATTATTATTATTATTTTTAGTATTATTTCTACTACTAGATCTATAATAATAAAATTTAATTGAAATTTAATTAATTAATAAATAGGTTTCCAGAATTCATAATTTCTTTGTTATTACCAAAATAAATTCATTCAACTTACTTTGCCAACAAAGTATTATTATTTTGTTGTTGTTGTATTTGAGGTGGCGGTGGATGTAATTGTAATGGTTCATTATTAATATTATGATTATTTTGATTATTTTGATTATTTTGATTATTTTGATTATTTTGATTATTATTAAAATTAATATTATTAATTGTTAATTTTAAATGTGCATTTTCATCTTCAAGTCGTTTTAATTTCTTAAATACATCTACTTCATCCAATGATGAATGATCATTTAGTCCAACATCTCCATGTTCCAATTCTCTTTTAATTACTAAAACAATCAATCAATCAATCAATTATTTTTGGTTAGTTAGTTATTATTATCCATATTATTGATTATCCATTTTTACCTACATAAAGAATCATGGTATTGAGATGATAATTCAACATAAATATTATCACCATTATTTAGTGTGATGGCAGACAATGGGTCCAAGGGGACACGATGGACATTGTTATTGTCAGAGGGTGGATCGACATAGAGTCGCAGTGCAAATGGAGGTACGCGAAGAAAAAAGTCGTCCCTGATGTGTCGTAACAGGTCATCGCAATCGTGCACATTGCCAAAGGTGATTTTGGTCAAGTCATCTTGGTAGTGCACAACCAATACTATCGTTCTACCATGGTCGTGTTCAGGTGCCACTGTTTCAGTGTTGCTCGTCGTCGTCGTTGTTTGTACATTGAGTGACAATGATGATGATGTCGATGTCGATGTAGATGTCGATGTTGATGTTGATGGCGTTGTATCGGTGAATGATGAAGACATCGTACGTAGTCTTCGACGTAGGTTAATAGTTAATCTCTCTCTCTCTTTCTCTTTAATCTCTCTCTCTATCTAGTTACTAGCTAGTAGTCTAATAACCAACAACTATACGTCTGCTGCTATATCATCAGTCTACTTCTCATCAATCAACAACCAATCACCTACAATGTTTACTCTCTTCTCGTGCGTGTGTGTATGTGTTGAGGAAGAGGAGGAGGAGGAGGAGGAAGAGGAAGATGATTCTGATCCTCAACAACTATACCCTGCTGCTGCTGCTGTTGCTGCTGCTACTCTATACTATAGTGAATTGGTGGGTAGAGAGAGATATATAATAATAATATCTGAAATTGTGATGAGAGGGGAGGGAGGGATGTGATTTAAATGAGAGAGTGTAAAAGAAGAAGGGATGACTCTAGGGTGAGAGGATATATGCCAGGGGAGGAGCCTATTATGGGTTGGCAATTGTCAACCTCAACCAGCCGACTATAAAAGTTCCCATACGATTTCCTTTTTGGTTTTCGCAGCAACAACAACATCAACAACAACAACAACAACAACAATGGTTGACCGGTATATCAGTTTGAAGAACAAAGAAACAAACAATTAACACCTACATCTACAGGTTAGTGCTACTATTATGTGTTTTGATATTATCATAATTATAAATACTCTTCTTCTTATTTTTAGTTGATCTGGTCACTCTAGTTGAGTGTGTGGTAGGTAGCAAGTATACTTGGTGGGTGTTAATCTGCTAGGGTATATATAAATCCAACCACCATCTATTGCTGCTACACAAACGACGATGACGATCATACCAATCTAATCTATCCCTTCTTCTATCATTGATTACTCATGTTTTCTCACACCCCCTCCCCCATAACAGTTATAATTAATTAATTAAATTGTTGTACCTTTTATAATTCCTTCTCTCTTCTCTCTCTCTCTCTCTTATCTTATCCCAACATTGTATTATCTCAATATTGGAGAAACTATTAGTGGAGCTTATTTCCAAAAGCCACTTTTCAAAGATTCCGCCCAATTTAATTTACAGTTTGTCACTTTCGGCCTGCATCCAAAATATCTATTTTTTTGTGAACTTCATTGATTCATTTAATTTAAAATTATTAGTTGATACCAAATATAGAGTGCGACGGTTTTTCTATCTGGATGAACAGACATAGGTGACTTTATTGGTGATACCACAGAGATTGGAACCAGCTTGAATATAGATATAACCAAGCAGGACAGTGACTTTGAAAAAAAAAAAAAATCATTTTATGAAAAACAAAATGTTAAAAGTTCCAAAGAAATAGACTTGAATAAAGAGATGTGTACCAAGACTCGATTTATTTAATTATAAATACAACATTGTATAGATTGATTATATTGTACTTTGTAGTTTTAGTTTCAAGTGGATTTAAATTACTAAAGTTGATTTAGTGCATTTTATGGTAGTTGACAGTGTTGCTGCTATCTGGATGAACGGATACATAGGTAACTTCATTGGTGATACCACAGAGATTGGAACCAGCTTGAATATAGATATAACCAAGCAGGCCCCAGTCAGTTCCCCAAGAGTTACGTACAATAAAGTAAGGGGTCTTGGAAGTGGCATCGGTATCATATCCAACGATTTGGACACAATGGTCGAGGTCATCGGAACAGGTGGAACTAAAGATACCGGATTGGTAACTCATCCATGGCTCGGCATTGACGCAGATAGAGAGTGGGCCGCGAGCAGCCATGGCCTCTCTGAGTTGGGTTTCATTTCCTTGGCTGGAAGCATAACCAAAAGCGGTGACTTGGACGGCAGGAGCGGTAGAGTTGGCATAACAGGCACCGTTGGCAGCAGTGTATGGATAGGTGACGTTGAGGGTGAGACCACCGTTGTTTTGGACATACTGGTAGGCGGTATATGGATCACCTCCACCACAACCTCCATCGTATGGATCACAATCGACGATTTGTTGTTCAGAGAGATACTCGACTTGACCACCAGCCATAATGTTGGCAGTTTCAATTTGCTCGGTTGCAGAGAATGCCCAACATGATCCACACATCAATTGGTTCTTGACGGGGGTGACGTAACCCTTGGTTCTCCAGTCGAGAGTGGCTGGGATGTTGGATGGATAGTTGAAGGTCTCCTTGGTGACACGTGCCTTTGGCTTGTAGTTGGGCATCAAGTAGTGCTTCTTGAATTCATCGAGCGAGAGATCAGAGAATTTGTTGAGACCAAAGGTGGCGGTTCTTCCATACTGTCTGTTCATCTTTTCAATGGAATGGATGTTTCTGATAAAGTTGGAGAGACGAAGATAGAATTCCTCCTCCTCATGGTACATCTTGTTGTGTTCGACCATCCAAGTCTTGAATCTAGTTGTATAGTCATCGGCAGTAGAAAGACGAACATTGTATGCTGATACGACAGCAAGCATGATTGCTATCAATGCTAAATATCTCCACATTTTTTTTAATTATTAAAGTTTGTTATAAATAAAATACTGGAAAAAAAGAAAAAAAGAAATAATTAATTAATATTTTTATAAAAGTACAACAAATAAAAGATAGATAAATAGATAGAGAAAAAGATTGGGATGATTGTTTAAATAAAAAGAGAGAGATGGATTTGGAGTAGGATGGTTATGATCAGTTGGGTTGGGTGGTTGATTGGATGGATTAGGGATGATCAACAAACTTTTTTTAAAAAGGAATAAAAAAGAATAGATAGATAGATTCCGTTAACTTCCAAACAAAGTACTAAATTCATCTACTAGCTAGCCAATAGATGCTCTTGTAATATTGTGTATTGCCATGTTGAATTATTTAAAAAATTATTATTATTATTATTTAAATAATTATAACGACGGGATGAGATGTTGGTGCCAATGTTGTGTTGACTGTTCAAAAGGGGTGGGTGGTGAGAGTAAAAGTAGTAGTTGGTATGTGGTTATTTCCCTCGTTTTGTTTGATGATTGGTTTAAACCGTAGTATGATCACTCACACCACAATTGGTTTTTTTAGAGTGTGTTTGTGGGAGTGTTTTGTTTTTTTTTTTTGATTGGTGGGGGGATCAAAACAATTACAATTATTTTTTTAAGGAGATTTAAAAAAAAAGATAGATAGATAAAGAAAATAAATTATACATTTTAAATTACTTACAAAATATGTTTTAGATTAAGATGGCGATCGTGCGATGTTGATAATGATGGTGATGATGATGATGGTGATTGTTCCAAATAAATGAATAAATATTTAAATAGAGATAAATAAAGGAGGTGATGGTTTAATTGATAGAGTTAAAGTCAGCCTAATTTATAGAGCTCAAGAATAAAATAAACCTTTAATAAAAATCAATTGCACCTCTATTTTAAATACCATTGCACCAATAATAAGCCAGTTGATTGCATGTCAATCATTCGATTGGTCAATCACATCCAACTTTTTGATTTTTCACCACAGATTGTTCATTGTGTTCCACTAAGAATCCACAGATTGGGTGAGAGTCCAATATGGACTACACATTTATACCACCACATGTGCTGCTGCAAATGATCACACCATCTGCCTCTATCGATATGTGACTTATCCATCCAATCCAATCTATATTGAAAATATTCCTTTGAATATTCTTCCTTTCTATTCCCCCCAGGTCTGTATGAGTGTATGTTATGTAGCCACCTGTGGATATTTATTTAAATGTTGTCCAACATTCTAATTTTAGGGGTAGTGATATGTTGTTGATTGGATGTAGTGATTCGATAGGTTGAACAATATAATATCTATCTTTTATATCTCTCATCGGTTTTATTTGTTTGATATTATTTGATTTAGAGTCCAACCAAAAAAAAAACGATCGACCAACATCTCTATGAATATATGTGATTCAGTTGTGATCAATTATCTAAACTCCAATAAGAAGGACTAGTAACAAATTTAGAGAATGAAAAGATGACGGCATGAGAATAAACATGATCACGATGCAATAGACCATTGGTAAAAATACCCATAGCACCTTCATTTGATCTAACATCAGTCTTTGATGTTATTTGGTCCATGACCTCTGCCAATTCCTTGCCATTGTCGATGATCTCATTCATGACTAACTTTGGCATTTCGAATCTTGATGTACTTGAAATACCCGTTCTACCATTACGATCAACCGTTACAATCCATCCACATTCAAACCATTTATCACCTATTTTATGTACTCCTCCTAATAATTATATTATTATATTAATTAATTAATTAATTGGTTTTATAATAATAACTAAATAGTTGTATTTCATTTCAATTCATTGCTTACCCTCCAAACCAACACCATAAAGGGCAGTTGGTTCCTTTTCAAGAGCCACCTTTGCACGATGCTCAGCACCTTTTATAGCTTCGTCATCGTCCATTGGTTGAGCAGACACACTCGATTCAACAGAAACTGCTAACACTTGATGTGTCTGTTCTAATGGGAACACCTGTTCCAATGCAATTTGTACAGCACGGATTTTAGACTTGTTTGTAGATCCAACTGCGACAATCACCATTCTCTTCTCTCTTTTGATTAACTAACTAATGAAACCTTTTTGTCTGAAAATGCCTTTAAAGGATCGATATCTGTTATCTTGATCTATGAATCGTTGATTGATTGATTGTTGATTCAATATCAATAATTAAATAACGTCAAAGCATGCTAGCAGAGGAGCGGTGTTTGTCTCCTCTACTTTTCAATTAAACAATCAAGCGCTACAAACGAATAAAAATAATTAATTAATTGAAATGAATCACCCTTGATGCGAGGATGGAGCCAAGCCATCAGAATCGTTCTTCTTGTTATTCCCAGATCTGCATTACCCCCGCTAAATGCGGGAAGTCAATACCACCCGGTTTGATCGTTGATCTATTCAACAAACAACACCTGGGTGCCCACATACTTTATGCCACCCCTACTTATTCGAATTTCGAACAAACCAATAATGCATTGCCCCATTAAAGTGTTCATAATCACTACATGTGATTGTGATGGTGATTCTAATGACAGAGAGTGAGTGAGTGAGTAATGAATGAGGATGTCTGGTAACACTTTCTCTCTTGTTCTTGTTCTTCTTCTTCTTTTATTCTATTCCTTTAATTTTATTAGCAATTTATTTATTTAATTTATTAGTAAACCAGCTAAGCTTTACTATCCCATTGTCAACCCAATCCAACCCAACCCAACTATACAGAATATTGTATTGTAGTAGTTATAACTACTTTCATCATTTCTATCTGCCTGTTGTCCACAGATATAATATATATTCTCCCACACACACACACACACACATTTCATTCATCTATTTAATCATCTACCTGTAAATATTTACTTAGTGTACATACATACATATAATCATTTCATTCAGTCAGTGCTCTATTCATCTATCTGACTCTTCATTATAAACCAAAATAATCACCCTTAACCCTCAACCTCACACCACACAATAACAATAATAACTATTAAACCTCGCACCCACCACCATCATCATCATCAGCATAATAAGTTTATTTTAAAATAAACTTTGGAAAGAAGCAGTAATAATAATAATAACAGCGCTGACACTTGTGTAATACTAATTTAATTTACTTGGAATTATAATATTATAATTCCAACCGCCTCTGACATATTACCATATACACGTAAATTGTAAGTTTTCTTTCTTTGATAGTAGCAAAGCAACCAAACCACAAACAAACAAACAAGAGTTTGTTGTTTTAAAATAACAGACAGAGAGACACCGACACGAATGATGATTAAAATTATATAGTATTACTCATAATCAACCCATCCACTAATCTAATTTATTATTTTCAATCCATCAAACAAACACCAACCAATATTTAATTTTTAAAATCATTTTCCATTCATTCCATCTATCTATCTTTTCTTCTCCTCACACTCTTTCTCTTTATTATTATATATTTATTTATATATTTCACGCCTCCTTCCTTCTTACTACTCCACTCTACTCAATATTATTATATTTACATAGCATCAATCAAAATTTTGATTGAAACACAACTCGGGATTAGATTGAATCATTTAAAAGAATTTAAAAAGAGAAAAGAGAATCAATATTACAATTACAATTATAATTATTGGATGAATAATCATTATCAATCAATCAATCAACAATCAATCCATAATCCATAATCAATCTTTTAAAACTATAGAGGTAGTTTGTTGGTTGATCCTTTTTTTTCTGTTTTTTTTTAATTCCATTCTTTATTTCTACTCAACATTCATTTCAATTGTATATATTTATTTAAATAAGAAGTTGTAAATATATTTTTATAAATAATCATAATAATACAAATATCAACAACAAAAAATGTTATTCAAATCACAATTTGGAGAAGATAAAAGAAGATTTAGGATAAAGGAACCTAGCTTTCCTTGTCTTTGCTATACCATTTCATCATTGTATTGCTTTGACAACAATGATTTCATATATACCATTTTCTATTTGGACGATGAAAATGAATGGATCACTCTATCTTCAACAGAAGATTTAAAAGAAGCTTTCACAATTTCTCCAAAAATAGTTAGATTACTTGGTAATTATTAAATAGAGAATCATAAATCTAATTTAAAACTAAACCTCTCTCTCTCTCTATTTAATAGTAAATAAATTAGATTCACCAAATAAATTAAAATATAATAATAATAATAACCAAAATCAAAATACTAATCAACAATCACAACAACAACAACAAAATAATGGATCAACATCATCATTTACAATTGAAAATATTGCAATGAATATATTATCAAATCAAAAATTAATGTTTGGAATCAATTCTTTGATTAGTCAATCATTGACTGACAATCTACCACAAATAATCAATTCAACCGTTCCATATGCCATTCCATTATTGGTATCCTCAATATCTACTTTGAAAAATGAACAACAAAATGAAAATGATGATAATATCGACAACAAATCTTTGGATACTAAACAAGTTTTGGAAAATAATAATAATAATAATGATAATAATATCAACAAAACAACAACACTTGCAAGTAATGTTTCTTTTGTACCATTTACTTGTACAGAGGAGAAATGGTTGAATATCGATTTACCAACTTCTTCCATTGTCACATCGGCATCATCCACCTCGATATCATCAGCGTGTTCTTCAGCGTGTTCGTCTGCTTCCAATAGCGCTATTCTACCACCACTCACAAGCAATAGTACTATGGTCAAACCAATCGCTACACCATCCACCACTACCACCACCATACCTGGTAATAATATGGGAATGTCACTCCACATGACCATGCCATCCAATTTATCGGCATTATCACAATCATTGCCATCGTTTGCCTACTCACTTCCACCACCTCCGTCTGCTACACCAGACATTTTCTATGTTCCCAATTCACCAACTTTGAAGGACTCTAAAGATGATATTCCTCAACAACCTCAACCTCAACCTCAGCAACCACAACCTCAACAATCTGCCGCTGCAAGAAAAACATCTTCACCTTTACCATTTTTATTTGGAAGTGGCAGCAGCAGTAATAGTAGTAATAGTGGAAACAATAGTAACAACAACACACCAACCAAAGCAACTGCAGTGAGTGAATTGTCAGAGTCAAATGGGTTCCGACCAATCTCACCAGTTACAACTGAATTGAGTGAATCTGGTGCAATTAAAAAGAGAACCTTAAAAGGTTTCTTTTCATCCATTTTAAATAGTAATAATAATAATAACAATAATAATAATAATAATAATAATAATAGTAATGAATTAACATCATCAAAGATGATTTTCCCGCCATCATCTTCACCAATTACAATTAATCCATTATCATCTTCAACTAGTTTAAATAATAATAGTAGTAGTAGTAATAGTTCCACTTCACCAACCAAACAACAAGGATCATCTGATAGTAGTAGTGGTATATCACCAACTCAAATGACCAATATTACTACTACCAATCCATATATCACTGCCACAGCCGACACTATCGAACAATTATCGTAGATTTAAATAAATAATAAAACAATGAATCAATTAGATTATCTATCTATTTTTAAACATTTATTTATTTACAAAAGGGATGGATGAATAGAGTTTTTATAAAACTCTTCATTCTCACTAGTTACACTGTATAAATTGGAATGTGAATGATTATTAACATATGATTGGAAAATTAATGATTGTATATCTCTTCTCGTAAACTCTTGGAAACTTTTTTCTTTTTGTTGTTGATGGTGTTGGTCATGATGATGATTATTATGATGATGATGATGATGATGATTAGTATGACTATTATTATTATTATTATTATTATTATTATTATTATTATTATTATTATTATGATTATTAATCTTTTGATTTAATGGATTTAATTTGTTATAGAAATTAAAATCATCTTCTTGATTTCTAATATTAATATTTCCAGCTAGATTTTTAGTGTCTTGTTCAACTTGATAGGAAGTTTTTAAATAGGTTCGATAATATTTGTTGTTGTAGATTTCTTGAGAGCCATATTGAGATTGATAGATACATAGACTCTGTTGTAAAGGTTTGGTATAGTCGACGAAAACATCCTTTTCGACCTTGTCAGTTCCGAGTTCCAATCCAAATTGTTTGAATGGTTGATAGTCATAGATGGCAGATACGTTGGTGGCTGTCTGCTTGGTGCTCTCCCCCTTTTTGCCACTCTCGTCTTTGTTGTCTTGCCCAGACTTGGTTACACTCTGAGGCGTGTTTTTACGCGATAGAGAGAGTACCCATTTTTTAATGTCGTATCGGTTGGCCTCGCTGGTGGAGCTAGATACCGTCTGTGAGCTGGCCGGGCTCTTGGGCTTGTTCTTGGCGGCGTCGCTACCGACAATGATGAGGGGTGACGGCGTTCTAAAGCGGACAGGGTCGTTAAAGCGATATTGAAAGTGTTTGTCGAGCAATGAGATGGTGTCAGCTTTGAAAAACTCGTCTTCAAATTCATAGGCTCGTGCACGTGCCTTTTTCATGTCGATGAGGGAACGTCGGGCAGGCAGAGAAAAAGTAAGAGATGTGCGGGCAAAGTCAGAAAGTGGGTTGGACCACCAGTCGGTGTGTGCGAGCAGCTTGTGTTGGGGACGGTAGCTCTTGTTGTGCATGTAATAGTCAGTCTCGAGGTCCCAAAGGGGGACGGGCTCGATGGCACGGCTCGGCACATAGTAGCCGAGGAACAAGTTGATCGAGTGCTGCTTGTCAACATCGATAAACGAGTTGGAAATGTACCGCTTGATCGTGGTCATGAGATCACGCGACTGTGAAGACAACGAGTTTTTAGTGTAGGTCTTGATCGTGTTGGCGAGCTCTGACCCACCATACTGCAGCGCAATCTGGTTACCGCACGCTTCATACATCTCGATGAGTAGGTCAACCAACCCACTCCCAAACTCTAGTGTCGTGCTATCCATTATACCCATCGCGTACAACTGGTGTCCCAACGCACACTTTCCAATACAAAACTGTGCAGAGTTGGTTCTATCCAACGAATCGATACAATTGGTTCGAGCCACTCCAATCTGTTCACACCCATTATCAATGTATCCATTACTCAAATTCCTCTTTATAAATGGGTGTGGTCTGTTTCTTTGTTTGTATTCTTCATCCTCTTCACCTTCCTGTTGTTGCTGTTGTTGCTGTTGTTGATTTTCACGCAATGTAGTACAATATAGTTTCTTGGACGAGTGGAATATACCAGTTTTGAGAATAGTTTGTTGCGCAAACTGATCCAACCAACCCATATGATCATCGTCTTTAGACTTGGCAGCCTGATGGAAATCCCATGCACAATAGTCTATCTGATACTGTGGTGGCAGCATTTCATTGAGTGCATTCATACAAGTAGTAAACTCGTTTCTCAAAATCGACTCTCTCGGTTTCTTTTCATTGGATTTGACAAGATTAAGAATGATGATGGGTGCACCATATTTCCTAAACAAGTGTTGAAAGTGAAGGATGGTGGCTCCATAGAATGGATCATGTCGTTGCATTTGAATGGGTGGTTTGGGTGTAATAATATTATTGTCCTGTTCCCAAAACAATGGGATCGACCCACGAATCTGCACAAACGACGAGAACTGAGCCTGTCTTGAGTTTCCAGACAATGGTTCCTGAACAATCTGCTCAGTCTCTACATCATTGGCAACATGTCCGTCTTGATTAATACCACGTTTAAGAAATCTTGCACCTGCATAATATCTACTTCTTCTTGCTATTAATATTAAATCAATTGCTTTACCAAATATATCAATTTCTAAAAACAAATAAACAAAAAGTAAGTATAAGTATCATTCAATCTCTTTTTCATTCTCTTTGTATGTTTTTCTTTCGTTCTTACTCTCTTGAATATAGAAACCATGAATGATTGGTAATGTCCAATTCCAAGTTTGAGATTGTTCAACGAGTGGAGTTAGGAGGAATTGATTCCAAGCAAATTGTTCGTTATAACATAGTTTGGCAGCATTTGTTTTAGGGTCACGTTGTATGACAGTGTGAGTTGGATTGTGGAAATAACGTGTCATGTTATATTGGAGTGTTCGTGTGATATCATAGGTATAGGAGAAATAAAAGTCTTTGGTGAGATCGAGTCCGAGAAACAGACCCTTGTACCTTGTCTCATCGGCAAAGTCGGGTGCATTGGTTCGTGGTACAGTGGTTGGTATGTAGACATAGGTAGTGTCATCGATACCATAGATAGTGTGTGTTCCAATAATACCAACCTTTCTTCGACGTGTAATCAAAATGATATAGTATCCATGCAAGAATTGGATGAATCCCAATATACCATAGGCCGAGCATACACGTGACAAACCTTCCTTGTTGGCATTACCAATCATTGTCAACAAGTCTTGTAACTGTGTCTTGTTGTATTCCGTTGGATCCTCTGCAATGACAACCTCATCTTCATAAGTTCTATCAATCTTTAATAATCTAAATCTATTCTTTGTTCTATTTGATCCTACTATATAGAATCTCTAGAGATATCAATTTGTTAGTATCTGTATATCACATATCTATACATATCCATATCTATTATATCTATATTTATATTTATATTTACATACAGTTTTAGTTTCGTATAATACAAATTTCTGCATAGAGAATGAAGTGATTGGCATTACAAAGTCACCTTCAATGGTAGATGATTTGTTCTTTGGTACATTGCTATTGCTACTATTGCTGCTACTCGAGTCACCAGAGTTGAGATCCTTCCAAAACGACTTGATCTCTATCTTTTCGACGCTGTCTCTTGACGACGTAGATAGAGGTGATGAAGGTACAGATGATAAAGTTGGTGAACTCACCAAAGGTGGTGTCGAATAACTATTATTGTTATAACTCATCCCTTCCTCCTTCTCTTTCTCCTTCTGATCTAACCAATCTAATAATAATTATACATATGAATGATATATAAATAGATATAGATAGATAGATAGAAGATAGATAGATATATTAAACAACGTTCTAATTAAAGTAAACAAATCAAACTATCTATCTTGTCTAACCTTGCACCAAACCAGACTCTGCACAAGAAAATTCCTTTTTTTTAAATGATGGTGACACCAAAATAGAAGTAGCCTTTTTGAAATTGTAAATTGCTTAACGAAGCATACTACGTCATACAGATAGAGATAGATAGAGATAATATAATAGAGAGAGAGAGAGATAGAGAGACAGAGGTTGTGATAGATGAACATATAAATATAAATAGATGGGAGTAGACAACATTGTCAGCAGCACATCTGTTGCTGCGCCACCATCATCACTGACATCGACGTCGACATCAACCTATTACTTGTTTGGAATGTTGGCAACAGGATGCTTTGTATTACAATATATACCTCAAATGTATCTAAATTACTCGAGAAAGTCTGTCCAAGGATTCTCATTGCACAGCGTTGTCATCAAACTGATAGGTGCTGCTTTTTTATTTGTTAATAGTTCTCTAACTGGAGGTATGTTAAATAGAAATAGAATATAACAGTCTGATACTAACATTATTTAATTCTTTATTTAGAAACGATCCCAGTTATATTATATGGTCTTTTTAATGTATTACAACATACAATCTTTATTTTTCAGTAAGTAGAGAGATGTATATTCACACATCTTGGAAATATATATATATATGAATATTAATGGATCTATTTTCTATTCTATTCTATTCTATAGATTCTCTATATATTCAAAAGAATCATCGAATTCAAGTCTACCATTTATAGGTTTTCCAGCCATACCGTATTTAATAGGATATTTATATCCACAATCATTGTGTATGTTGAGGTGTTTGGAAACATCTATCCATTAATTTATATGGAAAGTTGATTGGATTGATTTACTTATTTAATTTAATTTTAATTTTTAGATATAACAAATAGTATTAAACCATTAACTCAATTATTTAGTCATATTCCCCAAGCCGTTTTATGTGTGAGGGACAAGACAACAACAGGAGTTTCTCTTTCATCTCAATACCTTAATTTTTTCGGTGGCATTGCCGGAGCCATAATGTGTTATGGCATACCTCCAGTATCCTTTTTAACATACCTCATCTATTATAACAGTGTATTACAGGCAGCATCGATTTTTATACTTTACTTTTATTACGACTACAATAAACTAATACACACTGGCGTCAAAGATGATAAATCTTTTGTCTAAATATAATATAATATCAAAAAAAAGAAATGAGTATACACATCAATTTGGATTGAATCTTTAATTGGGATTTCTTTCTTTTTGTTTGTTTGGTTATTATTAATGTACATCATTGAAATACATAAATTATTAATTTGAATTTATTTGGGGGATACATAGTTTTTTTTAAAGATACTATTTCTTTTGATTATTATTATTATTATTATTATTATTATTATTATTATTATTGTTGGCAATTGATTGATTCGATTGAATGGGGATGGTTGAAATAAATAAATGGTGATATTGATATTATTATTATTTAATATTAAATATTATTAATTTGTTAATATATTATGATTTAACCTCTATGTGAAGAAATCATTGATCTTCTATCAAATAGATCATTCTTTTTAAAGACGAATCTATCGATTTTATCTTCTGCTTCAAGAAGAATTTCATCATCATCGAGGACACGTTCCAAACCGTCTCTGACAATATGTAGCGAGTATTCTGCTTCTTCTTCACCTGTCACCTTCATCTTTTTAACTACCATCTGTCTAACCTTTCCACAAAGAGTATCATATCCAATAGCAAATGAACAGAATAATACATCTCCAAATCCTTCAAGACAAATTCTAACTACCACCTTGCCACGATTTTCTTCTGGTTGAGGTGTTTGTTCTGATTGTTGTTGTGATTGTTGTAAATTATTATTATTATTATTATTATTATTATTTTGACTACGAGGTGAACCTGGAGGTGAAGGCATTAATTCACTCAATTCTTTCAAATTGGATGTTGATTTGGTCGATGATTTGGTTTCTTTTTCATTTTCTCTTGATATATTAGCTCCATCCATTTCATCATCTTGTTGTTCATATTTTTCATCATCTACATATTCCAATTCTTGTTGTTTTTTCTCTGATTCATCTGATGATTCATTTTCATCCGATTCATCTGATTTATCCTTTTGATTTTGATTTTCATTTGGTTTAAATGATAAAGATGACATTGGATTTGATAATTCTTCATCCAATTTATCAAATATATTCATAATGGAAGCTCTTTCATTGATTAATTTGTTGTTGTTTGAGCCAAGAGATCTTGCATCACGTCTTTGACGTTCTTGTTCCTCTTCTTGTCTGAGTTGTTCCAATTCCTCTTCCTCTTCTTCCAATAAACGTCGTCTGTCATCTTCTTCTCTTTGTTCTTGTTGGAGTTCTCGGAGACGTATTTGATTGTCAATGTCTTCTTGGGCCTGTCTGAGCTCTTCGTCTTGGTGCTCCTGTTGGGATTCTCATTTGCTCCCATTCGTCTTGTTCTGCTTGAGCACGGCGCATCTCGTCCAACTCCCATTGCACATCGTCGTCTTGTTGTTCTCTCTGCTCGCGCTCTCTCAGTTCTCTTAAGCGCTCCTCTTGCTCGAGACGCTCCAATTCCTGGCGTTCTTCTTGTTCCTTCTTTTCGCGCTCGATCTTTTCTCGCTTGTCTCGCTCTTCTTGGTCCTTTTGTTCACGTTGCTTGCGGAGTCGCTCGCGTTGGTCCTCTTCGGCCTTGGTCTTGTCCTTTTGCACCTGAGCGACGCGGTTCTGGCGCTCGCGCTCTGCGTCGGCACGTTTCTTGTCGTCGTCGGCCTTTCGGGCCTCGGCGTCACGCATGACACGCACGCGGTCTGCTTCCTCGCGCTTCTTTCTCTCTTCGTCGTCGCGACGTGTCTTTTCGACAAGTTCGCGTTTCTTGCGTGCCTCTTCCTCGATTTGCTCGCGCTTGAGTTTGTCCTCTTCGTCCTTTTCGCGCATAGCCTTGAGTTGCTTGTCACGTGCGCTCATCATATTCTCTGGTTGGATCGGTTGTTTGGCAGAGACACATCCGCGATAGATCGCTGCCTTGTCGCCGTCCTGTCCCGACAACAAGTAATAAAAGCACGACAAGTAGATCATGTAAGAGCGCTCGTCCATCGAGTCCTCGTCCCACGCCGACGCCTTGAGAATCTTGGGGATCTGCTTGGCATTAAACGCAGCGTCTAGCACAGTCTGTGCCTGCTGGGTCTTGCTCTTTTGGCCGGCCACTGACTGATAGTCGATCGCGCCAGGACTGCATTTACTCAACAACGCAGCAAACACCAATGGATTCGACAGGCCCGACGGACCATCGACCACCAACGCCTTACTAACCTCTCCAACTCTTGCATTACACCAACCAATTAATTTATCTTTTACAACATATTCTTTTTCTAAAAATTAAATTAAACCAAATAAATCAAAATAACATTAATATTAAAAAATCCATCTATTTTCTTTTCCCCTTTTTTTTCCTTTCCCTTTTTACAACATACCACCATTTGAAATAAAAGCAATAAATATTGACCAAATAACACGATGAATTATCTTTGCTACTTTACATTCTACGATATCTTGGGATAGTAGTTTACCAAAATCAGCTCCAACTTGTTGTAGAGCTTCGAGGACTGCATCGATATTGTATTGCATTTCATAGACTGATTTTCCTTTTCTATATTTCAAGGTACGACCAAACAACTCTTCAATGAGATTGATGAGGACGAGACCGTCGCTGTAGACACTGAGAATGTCACCGCCATTGGACGACAAACCACGACCAGAGACAAGGTAGTCGGTCCAAGCCACATAAGCAGCGCTTTGAGTCTCGGAACACTCCAACTTGGCATTGAGTTTTCTTGCATTGAGGTCACGACTAGTTGGCACAAATGCCATGGCTGGAGTGGCAGTACGTGTGGTTTGAACGGCCGTGTAGGCAGTAGTTGCTTGTAATTCAGTAGCCCATGCTTGCAAATCACCTTCCTTTTCAGCGGCCAATGTGTGACGCTCGCTATTAGACGTTGTCACAACAATAAACGAACCCAATTGGCTAACCTTTAGTTCAATGACTGCATTCTCCAACGACAACTCTATGATGGGTGTATCCTCTTGTTCGTTGTGATAGAAACTAATATATTTGTCTTTGGAGATGGCCCATACCTTGTCAAACTTGTTTGCCTTTTTTCTTAGTAGAAATCCACTCATTCCCTTGGTTGGTTTGATGGTATTGATATTTGGTTGGGGTGGTTCTCTAACTGGAGCAGATGTTGATTGTTTTCCTGGTTGAGGTGGTTCACGTGCAGGAGCACCAGTTCCAGCACGTCCACCAGTTGCAGCACTTGTCAATTGACTTGCCATCTTGTCTTGGAAACTCATAAATTCACCCTTTGAATTTAGGAAATAAAACTTGTAATCCTTCTTTTCATTTTTAATTATATAATCAAATGGGAAATCTGTCATTTTTAATGATTGTTTTACTAAAAGTAAAACAAAATAAAATATAAAATAAAAGAAAATGAATTAATTAATATTAATCAAATATTAAACTTTCTTTCTTTCTTTCTTTCTTTCTTTCTTTCTTTTTCTTTACATACCTCCACCTTCAAAAAAGAATAAACCAAATTGTTCCATATCACCTTCCTTCATGAAATACTTTTTACCAAGTTTCTCACATACCTCTCCGGCAGGTGTACGTGATTCAACTGCCATGGATTTATACAATCCATCCTTATCATATACTTTTAATACTTTTTTAATGATTGGTTCCATTCTTTCTTTTTTTTTGTTAAATATCTATAGAACTATCTTTGTGTCTAAATAGATCAAAGATATATGATTGATATATAATATATGTGTGGGTTGTGTATAGGTGTGTAACAATGATTCACAGCACAAAGTGTGTGTGCTTATTCTAAATATACAACTGTCTCTATCTATATTATTATTGTCTATCAATTCTATTATTATTATTGTTATTGTATAAAGGTGCAATTGTTATCTATATATCTATCTATCTATCTATCTGTATCTATTAGCTCTACTATCTATCTATTATCTGTTTAGAGAGAGAAACGAAATTGAACCGAAAAGAAAAGTCGTAATTAGTAAACAGGAAGCAATGGTTGGATGTGTTGTGTTTGGTGAATTCCCTTCTTTTCGGAGGGTGTGATCGCACAATCGTCGTCGGATGTTGGGGGTGGTTGATTGATGGTTTTCGCCCCTCCTCTCCTAATCGACGATTCCATTCCCACGCACACCTCCCCAATACATTGATGATCTTTTTCAAACTTTAAAACCTACGTGTTATGTGTGTATCTGTCTCTCTCCCTCTTGTCTGTTGCTCTTTCTATCTATCTCTTTTTTTTTAATCCTAATTTCTGTTTACTGGTAGTAGTTAGTATCTTGATTGTTTGTGTTATTAATGATGAATCTAAACAAGAGCCTAGATTTGCTGGCAAAAAAACCCAAATTAACAACAATAAAAATCTTTCCCCAACTGCTGCAAAAGGTGTTTCTTTTTCTCTTTATGCTACATACTGCTACACTTTATTCTGAGCTCGAAATTGTTTTCACGTCGTTCAATGTCGTAAGCAAAGGTCGTACGTGCGCGATCTTATCGATAAGATAGTTGATACAAAATTAAGGTGCAAAGTTATATACTTTAGTTCTTTTTGCAAATATATTGACTGTTGATATAAATAAATAAAAAGACAAATGACAAAGAAATCAGAGGGGGGCTAAACGGCTTATCACTTCTATTATTGTTATTCAACTCCAAAGGCGATTGTTGTAAAAACCTCCCCACAAAATTGCCATCGGAGAAAAAGGTTAAAATATCTATTTTTTTTTTTGTCATTCAATTAATTGTTTTATTTACAAGCGGGATGGTTTAGGGTGATCCTTTATTACCCTTACTACTACTATTGCTACTAATAGAAATGAACTGGAGGTGGAGTGTAACCCGAGGAATGGAATCTGACTCTCTTTGTTGGTTGTTTAATTGCCGTTGTGGCGTTGGTAGTGGCAGTTTCCAACATGTCATGTTGATCACGTTTCTTGAGGATGGATCTAACAGTCTTTTTTGATGGTTTGTCAATAGATTGTTGGAATTCGGATGCTCCTCTAAATTTAAATGGTCCCCAATTTTTGAATTCTTCATCGTCCGATTCTTGTGAACTCACGGTCTTTTGTTGTTGTTGTTGTTGTTGTGATGGTATATTATTGAGGCGTTGGTGTTTGGGACTATTATTATTATTATTATTTACATTTAATTTTGAAGATAGTATTTGACGAACACTTATTTGTTCATCATCACCACCAAATCCACCATTATTATGGTCATTGATAGATTGACTAATACCATTACCATTTTTGTTGTTGTTGTTGTTTGATTGTTGTGATTTAATTGGAGTAAATGTTGTTTCAACAATTGGTTTTTCATTTTGTTGATGTTCATAGGTCTTGTTGATGGTTTCTACAGTATCAAATAACTTCTTTTGATTTTGAAAGAATGCTTTCAAACTACTTGGATCGTACTTTGCCTTTTTGTTAATGTCATAATTGACACGACCCTTTTTATCAACTACCACATCTCCATCGCCTTGACTACCGCAAGTGTCGGTCGAACCACCAAACATATCCTTTTTAGGTTTCTTTGCAGAGGAGGATGGAGTTGAGGGAGACTTTGTTGTCTTGGTTGGTGTTTTCAATCCCCCCTTGACTGGAGTTTTCTTTGTTGGAGTTGTTGTTGTTGTTGATTTGTTATTTTGAGGAAACCCAACAATATTCTCATACTGTGTGCCATATTCTTCCTTTACATGTACGTGTTTCGAAGTGTTTGTAGCACTTGTTGGTTCTGAATCATTGATTCCACTGAAATCGAGTGTGTCTGGGTCTCTGTTGGTACCACTCTTGATCAATGCACGCACCGACTCTTGGAACTGGGTGATGTGGGGGTCGACAAAGAGGACGGTCAGCTTGTCGAGCATTTGGTAGATCTTGGCCAAATGGGTTTGATGTTGGAACTTGTCAAAACGGAGAAGGGGGAGTACCTTGGTGAGCTCTTTGGTCTCACCTCTAAAACATGATATCAGTTCCTGACAGATTTGGATGGCTATCTGTGGATGGATGTCCTCCACCTTGAATGTTTCGACTTGCGACACTGTCATTTGTGACGATTGCACAATGAGATCAGAGGTACGTCGCGACAAGCTGCTGATGGTGGTCTTGACCTGAGCGGCGTTTTTGCATGGCTTGTCAAACAAGTACAAAAGGAATTTGGTGAGGTCAATCAAATTGATCAGCGCATAATTCGATCCCTTGACCGACTGTACGACCGATTTTAAAATAGGCAACGTACTATTAAACAATAGAATCTTGTTTTCCAATGAATCGGCAACATATGCTTGGAAAAATAAATATAAACATTTTCTCAACTCTAATAAATCTTTTGTTGCTGGTGACATTAATTCTAAAAATAAAAATATTAATATCTAAAATAAATAGAAATAGAGTTAATAAATAGTTTGATTTAGTTTTTCTTATTATTATTATTTTTTTTTTTTACCTTTTGATCTTGAACAATACCAGAATATAATAATTTAACAAAACCTTCAATACAAATAATTTTTGTTTCATCATTGGTTGAAACTTGTGAATATTTTCGAATCATTTTGTAAAGTGGTACAGTTTCTTTTGGAATGGTTTTGGGTGATCCAAATACCAATATAATATCAAATACAACCCTTAAACAAGCTAGTTGAATTTCAGGTGTATCAGTTTCTAAAATCTTTTCAAATAAATTTAAATAATTTAATGCTGCATTCTATAAAAATAAATAATTAATTGTTAATATATGATTTCTAGTTTCTTTTTGTTTCTTTTTACTTACACGTCTATGTAAACAAAAAATACCAAGATTTTGAACACCTAATTTACGTAGATTTGGTAGTGGATGTTGAATACTTGGTAGAATGACCAATTGCAAGAGACCATCGATTTCTGGTGAATTTGAGAATTTCTTTGCATTGAGCAATAGGTAATGAGTAATGATGGAGCATTTTAAAATGGCTTGTGTTTTACTACTTTGAATGATTTGTTTGAGTTGATTGATTTGAGTTTGAATGGTTTGCCATTCCTTTTTGTTTTTGATACTTTTCTTGTCAATCGCTTCCAACTCTTCCAATTTGGTAATGTTTGGATCGACTTCTAATGGGTCAAGTAGATCAGATAGCAACTCTACCATTTGCAATATAAAAGTTCTTTCTATTCCAATAACCAATGAAAGACAAGATAGAGTTTGTTTGATGAGTTGAAATTCTTTTTCAGCCGATGATTCGTCCACACCTTGGCATTTAACAACTCGTAATATTTGTAGTAGAAATACTTCCATATTTGTACGACCGACTTCGTCACCAAAGTCCAAGCTTTGCAAAGCTTCTAGTAGTTGTCCAAGCACATAAAACTCTCCTAAATGTGCAAGCAATATATCACGATATTCGGTGAGTGTTGGTAGTAGCTCGTCCAATCGCTCCATCAATAAGTATTTTGAGGCATTTGGTACGGACACCGAGGTCAAATGGTGTACTGTCAACTTGTGGTGGAATGCCTGTTCGTTGGTAATGTCTTTTCGGCAGAGTCGTAGGGCGAAATCATCCAAACCAGCCTTTTCATAGACTGCCAATAACGATCGTTCGAGGAATGGCCCATTCTCGACGACATCGATCTTTTCGAGATAGATGTATAGGTAGTGATTGGGATTCTCTGATTTGAGTTTGTTGAGCCAACTAGTGAGAAGATCGAGTGAAGCTTCTTTGACCTTTGGTTCAGGGTCGTTTAATCCTTGACTGATCACTTCAATAATTTGTTCGCTTGTAAAGTCATCCATCTTGTACCATTTGCTTAGGATGTTGTAGGCTGTCGATCTGACCTCTAGTTTAATGTCTTTGGTACGACGAATAACATGTTGAATCAAATCCAATGTATCAAATTTAACAGCCACTGCAAAGGGAACAATCTGCTTGAGCAACGTGTTTCTAATATTCCAAACTGAATCACTGTCCATCATTTCGAGCACTTCTTCAAAGTAGGACTGATCCTTTTTGTTCATATAGTATTTAACCGTTACATTGACTGCAGACAACCGAATATTCACATTTTTATCTATACATCTTGTATCCAATATTGATTTTATATCCATATAATTTGATTTTTTATCAATATCAAATAATCTAAAAAAGAAAAACAAAAGTAAACAAGTTAGAGAGAGTGAGGGAGAAGGAGAGAGATAGAGATTATATAATCTTTACATACTCTGTTTTAGTATCAGGATCTGATAATATATTATTTAATAATTGAAGTGATCTATGTCTAACTACAGTTTCTTTGGAATCCAATACAGTATATAGAAATGATAAAACTGCATCCTTAGATTGTCTCTTTTTTTGTTTAATCAATTCAATGTTTTTGTTATTATTATTATTATTATTATTAGCAGTATTATTATTTGTTGTTGTTGATTGTGAAGATGTTGATATAGAAGAAGATGATGAATTATAAAGATAAACTAAATATTTTGATATAAATCTGCAAGTTGCAGTTGTTTTTGAATCTTTTGAACTTGGACAACAGAGATATAGTTTGATTGGATAGATAAATGATTCTGCAAATTCATTTGCATCTCTTGATCGCATCAAAGCTTTATCCAATTGAATAAACGATGATGTAAACGTTGATTTCAATCCCAGTTCTGATGCTTCTCCAACTGTCTCTTTGAATATTTCACATATCGTTTTTAATGTTTGATTCTGATTATTACTATTACTATTGTTATTGTTATTACTTGTTGTTTGTTGTGATGTTAGTGATTTTCTTGCCATTTCTTTATGTATGTACAAAGCAAGAGAGATAGATATCTATATATTTCGATAATATTAAAATGTTCATAATGAACACCCCTCCTCAATGAGCAATACCAAAACCTTCGAAGTTCTTAGAATTCACACTTTTTTCAAATTTTTGAACTCCGAGTTTGGAGTTTATTTTTTTTATATTCGACTCGAAAAAATCTAACTTGATGAACATGTTGATGGTCTTTGAAATCGGTCAGTCACCCTTAGATACGAGTTAGGTTGAGTGAGAGATAGTAAAGAGAGGGATGTAGAATCGGTCAGTCACCCTAGGTGACACAAGCTATATAACAGAGCTGCTCTCACCATGTGAATTCATTCAACCAAGCACACCTCCTCTACCTCTACCTACCTCCTACCTATCTTCACAACAAAGTTATTATTATCTCTTTCATGTCAACTACTACTACTTCAATTGCACTACCACCTTCATGCTTACTACCACTGGTCTTTAGTACTACTGACTCATTATTTGGCTATTTGTCTGTTGCTGTCTCTGCTGCCTCTGCCTCTGCCTCTGCCTCCCAGTCTCTGTCTGTCTGTTTTGATCCGTCTTCGTTGAGTTATTATCCTTATAGCTATCCCGACTGTGCTGGCCGCCAAGACCTACTCGTCTCTCCTACTACTGTTACTAGAGTAGTGGAAGAAGAGGAAGAGTATGATCACGAAGTAATGGGTGCTGATAATGATAATGACGGTTCCATCGGCATGGCTATCGACACCAATATCTATTTAGTGCCTAGTATCTATGAATCTGAATCAGGAGCAGGGCCATCGTCACCATTGTCACCAATGTCCCCAGGCTTGGTTAGATGTAGTTCCTTTTGTAATGGAAATCGTCGGTTGGAGTGTGTCCACTGTGCCCATTTAGAGTTGGGTTGTTCTCTGCTGACTCCTTGTGTCTCTCTGTCCAAGCAAGAGTCATTACCATTGCCATTCTCTGATCTAGATGATGTGTTGGATAATGATATTGTTGTAGTCGTCAAACAACCAAACAACCCGGCCAAGTCAGGGTTCGAGTCAGAGTCAGAGTCAAAGGTGACACTACCAAAGTTTTGTTTGAGTATTATTCTCAAACATCTCTGGGATTCAATGTCTGACGAACCTCTCTACACCAAGTTATCAGTGCTGCCATACGTGAGCCATTACTTTTTCGCATGTGTCAAGTCTCTTAACTGTAACCTCAAGCTGACACTGACCAACCAATGTTGCCAAAGATTGATGCGTTGTTTCACTGGCCGTCCACAATACACCCGTTCTCAACTCACTATTCTAAAGGACAGAGTAATGACCAACAACAATAATAATAGTAGTACCGAGCAAGACAACAGTAACAACTCAACAACGGTTGGAAGATGGAATTTAATCAATTCTATTTCATCAATTACATTGGTACAAGATGGTAGTACTAGTTGTATTGGTAGTGTTGAAAGTTTGTTTGTGTGTCCACCGTTCCGTAGGATGATTGATATGTCGCTCGAGGATATCAATACCACCGATCAGAGTGTCCACAATCTGGTTAGTGCCATTCCCACCATCAAGTCATGCACAGTTACCTGTTATCTCGACCAGATCCCACGATTCTCTACACATTTTGATCGAGTATCTGCACACCTGGTAGTACAAGTCGCCCAAAAGAGAAGGAGAGTGTCATCGGTCGTACCACAATCGTTGATTGACAGTTTCAATCATGTTGCTCGTATTCATATACGATTCTCTTATTCACCCGACCACTCGAGCAACCATTCACACGAAGCAGCCTATGAGTTTGTATTGCAACTCATCAAAGCCAATCATGCCTCCACCGAAATTCACCTGGAATTGGATATCGTCCAAGGAAACACCGACGATGAACAATCATCATCATTGTACAACGATAAAAAAGATAAAAAGATACAAACATTACGTAGAACATTATCTAATCGTAAACATCTTTTAAATCATACCATTTCAATAAATAATTAAAATTAAATAATTAAATAAATAAAATGTATTAATAAAATCGGATGAATCATCAAAAAATCAATATTATTAATATTACTTTTGAACTCATAATTTTAGAGTACTTACTATTTTTGTATATATATATATATATTTATTTTGATTATCATGGTAAGTTATATATATATAAGAAGAGAAGAGAAGAAAAGATAGATGAGTTTGAATCTAACAATCAATCATGTTGTTCATCTATTTATTTATAGTCAGCAATCTTTAATTTTCAAAGTTTACTAGTGGTAATATTACTCTTTATCTGTACATGTACTTATATTAGAGCTTCATATCCAAAGCTATTAGAAGTTAGAAATAAACATAGGTATGTTGATTGATTGATTGTTTGTTTGTTACCAATAACACAATACAATACTAATCAATGAATGATTTCATATATAGTATATCAGGGTTACCTTGGAAAGCAGCAAGAATAGGTGAAAGATTAAGTCCTTGGGTTTCAGCATCATGTATAATAATGGGAGCAGTTCTTTTATTTTGGTAGATTTCTTTGTACTTTGAATAGAAAGAAATATTGGTATCAATCGATCTATAGATCACTAGTGTAGTGATACAAAAAGAAAGTTTAATAAAAAAAATTTAATAATATATCAAAGGGAAGAGTTCGAAGACACATTATAATTCTAATATATTAATACATCAACATTTCTCTCATCACAAATTTTAGTAAACGTAAAGTGATTAACATCTATCAGTGATTCATTTCAAGACATCACCTCCATCAAGAACCTCGCTTTAATTTATTATAATATTTGTTGTATACATTTTAATTATAAATCACACTCATTCTATAGTCTTTAATCCCATCTAGTCTATTTTCATTGTCATTTATACATTCATTCATTTATTCATTAATTACTATCAATTTTTTGGAATGGCTGATCATGTTGCAGCTGTTCGTCGAAATATGACTCTTTTAGTTCACTATGGTTCTGATGTCACCGAGATTGAATTTATAAATGTTGGTACATATGACCACCTCCGTCAGGTCATTGCAAGAGATCCAGTGCTCAACATTCCCTCTGGCAGGATACTACTCTTTTTGGCACCCCAATCCATTGACACCAGTTATGTTCGAGTCCTTCCGTTGTCTCCAATCCCTCTCCCCAACCCTACGGACATTTATGTACAAGTTGAAGAACAAAGTATGTATTAAGTTAATGCTCCAATATAATACCAAGTATATGTGAGAAGTCAAAACAACTGCGCTGGGTTTTTCGCAAAACTCATATAAATTTGTGAGAGACTGCAAAATTCTCTCACACAGAGTGTTTTGATTTTTAACATATTAATAACTATTTTTTTCTATAGCACCTGAGATTAGAATATATTCAACAGATTTGTCTGTCCTTAATCGTGAATTTATGATAGAAATAGGAGTGAAAGAAAGACTTAAAAGCTTTGGGGAGCCCACAAATCAAGAGAGGGTCCGGATGCGTCTGGACTCGGAAAGTGATCTTGACCATCATCCAAACACCCACTGTTCCTGGAGACTATGTCGTGGTCGTCGGACCAAAAACAAAGTTTACAGTCAATTATTCATTGACCACTTTTCCATTTAACATTTGGACAACATCTGCAGAATTTGAAATTCCAGTTTTAGGGGATGAAGCAAATTGGAAAAAGTATATTATTATTATAATGATATCGTTATCATGTAGAGAAGGTTCTTTAGTGTGTCCAATATATCCTAGAGAATAATTAATTAAAAAATTCAACGATCCAACCTAAAAGATCAGTTAGTGTGAAATAAAGTATTGGATTTTGAACAATATTACTCACCCAAGGTAAATATAGAGAGTATACACCACCATCAACGATGGACTCTCTGTTGATTAGGACCTGTTTGTTGTTAGCATCCATCAGAATCGAGTGTGCGCCAGGAGTTTGACCAAACTTGTTGTGAACAATTCTACAAGAGTAGGAAAAAAGACATTGATTAATTAACACACGTCATCAGAAATCATTCGACCTATTGGATGTATATTCGTTCCTCCTCACCAGTAGCTGACCAACCTTCACAATTGGAAGTCACCAGGCAAGCATCAAACAGAAAAGCACGTCGAATAACAAAATATGGTCATACTAATTGATTTATTATTAAAAGATAAATACAACTCGGCGAACATTATTGAAGATGATCCATTTATTTTCATCAGTGACTAATCACATAATATTAAAGTATTATAAGATGGGTGGATGCATTGCATTGCATTGTATGGTAAAAGCTATCTGTACAAAAGTTGTTTATTATTATCATTGCGATATTGTTGTCAATGGTGGTGGATCGATTTGTTGTTGTTGTTTGGTCATTGTCGCCGTCGTCGTAGTCATCGTCAATGTACCAATAGAAACAATAGAATCACCTTTTATAAACAATTGACCATAATGTCGTTTCACACGAACCTTATTTCTTTGGTTATTATTATTATTATTATTATTGGAACTATAATGATCAATGATCGAGTACTCTTCATCAACATCTTTGAGGATGACATTAAAATGTTTATCGAATCCAATAATGTAGCCAGTGCAATGACCTCTTATAGTCTTTGCACCTCTAATCACTATTTTTACTTTGGTTCTTGTCTCTAGACACCTTCGTAAAAGGCTCAATGGGCCCTCTACAAACCTTGATGCCATATTCTTTAGCACCCTATGTTTATCTTTTTCTTCTTTTTTATCTTGTTCCTTCTTTTTTAATTGTTCTTCATTAGGGTCAACCAAAGAACTACTACTACTCGATGGTTGTTGTTGTTGTTGGTTTGGTTGCGATGGAGCAGAGGAAGGAGCAGACTTTCTAGCAACCATGTAATTTGGATCATTGGGTGGTAGTAACTGTCTGCATTTATGTATATTATCCAATGGCTGTATCTTTGGGTACAACAATTTCACTTGCGATGAGTTGTATAGTGCGTACAGAGGATCAAATGACTCTGACAACAAGTTTAATCGAGGATCATCACTACTACTACTATTCTTATTATTATTGTTATTATTATTATTACTCTTTAGGTGATTATTATTTGACATCAGATCTGATGATAGATAGACTGACTCCTCCTACCAAGTTGTAAATGATAGGTTAGATATCTCGGGTTAAAGCCTGTTGCATGAATGATGAAGTGGAAGAGGAAAATTCAAAGTCCCGATGCGAGCAATCTGTTGATTAAATGTTTTAAGCAATCATTCGCTGGGTGGTTAAACAGCTGTTTAATGAAAAATCTTGAGCTCTAAAAGATCGAGAGATTATTAATACTATTATTTATATTAGTAGTACAAGTACAAGTACTAATAAATAATAATAATAATAATAATACAATGTCTCATTCAATTAATAATACATATGAAGATATAAATCAACGACAAGAGGAAGAGGAGGAAGAGGAAGAGGAAGTAGATAGCAATGTCATGGGAGTAATCATAGCAACACCAGAATCTAGTCATGGAGGTACCTCACCTCTTATTCCACAAAATGAAAGAGATGGTTCAGATGCAGAGTATGAAGCTGCCAATAATGATAATGATAACAATGACGATGACAATAATACAAATAAGAGAAAGAATAATAATATTAGACAAGGTTTCAAAGATGGTCTATCTAAAGTAAAATCTATAAATAGAGATGATTTAAAGTTAGAGTATGTTGTTAATAACTATTAATAAAAGATTGATATATTAATACTTTCTATCTATGTAGTACATCAAAATATTTAAAGAGTATAATTTATGGAGGTATGGATGGATTAGTTAGTATATTTGTATCTGTGGCAGTTGTAGCAAGTGGAGATGCACCAATATCAGTTTTACTAGTGATTGCAGTGGCCAAGTTGATAGCAGGTGCCATTTCAATGGGAATGGGTGATTATTTGGGTACACAAGCAGACGTTGATTTTGCCAAAGGAGAACGTCAAAGAGAGACATGGGAGGTGGAATACTACATAGAGGGAGAAAAGAAAGAGATGGTAGAGATTTACTGTGAAAAGGGTATTCCAGAGGAGATCGCCACCGAAGTGGTCAATATTCTTGCCACTAACACAAAGGGATTCGTCGATGTTATGATGGTCGAAGAATTGGGTATCACACCAGACGCTGAAGGCGAAGTCGCATGGAAGAATGGTATGGTCAATTTTGTATCTTTTCTCATCTTTGGTATTATCCCCCTACTCCCCTATCTCGTCTATTTGGCAGTAGCCTCTGTTCGTCATAGTGGATATCGTGACAATCTACCAACCTTTATCAGTGTCATTGGTGTTGCCATTGTCACACTCTTTGGAATGGGTATCTTTAAGGCCAAGAGTACACAAACCAGTCTCTGGAAAAACGGTCTCTCCACCGTATTCTTTGGTTGCATTGGTGCTGGTGCTGGTATTGCCACCGTTGAAATTATTAAAGCTATTAATCCTGATATTGATATCAATGGTTAAATTTAAATTAGATAACATAACAACAACAATAAAATTATATTATTTTAAAACAAAAAGGGTAGCAAAGTTGCCCATAAATAATCTAAGTCATTCCATTGTTTTTCTTTTTAATTTATATTCAACAAAGAATTCTTTGCTTGTTCAACAAATATTATGTATGATCAAGAAAGTCAGACTCAGATAATAACATAGCATCGATAAATTCAACACACTACTAGTATTAGTACTATACGAGAAATATAAATATTATTTTATTATTATTTGTATTTGTATTTGTTATTGTTTCATTGTATATATAGTCTTTTTTAATTAATATTAATATTTTAACCAACCTCTCATTTCAAGAAATGAGCAACTCTACTTCTTCATCTTCCTCATCTTCTTCTTCATCATCATCTTCTTCATCATCATCTTTGCCTATACCTATTATAACTACATCAACAACAACATCAACTGCACCACCAAACAAAGCACATCATCCTAAAAGTAATAATAATCATAATAATCATAACAACAACAAGAATAAAATAGAGAATGAAGGAAAAGTAGGAGGAGGAGGATCAAGAGGAGGGAGATCAGAAAGAGGTAGAGGAAGAGGTGGAGGTGGAAGAGGAAGAGGAAGAGAAGATTCTGGACCACGTGGTATTCGTACCTCAGATGATAAAGACTTTCAAGCTGAATTGGAACTTGCTATTGCTCTTAGTCAATCAGAGCATGATGCATCATCATCATCATCATCAACACCAACAGCATCTACCGCTACATCCAAGAATAACAACAAACAAAAGAAAGCAAATAACAAGGTTGATATGACTCACTTGATTCAATTTCAATATAAACCTTCAAGTGATCCTGTTAGAGGTTTTCTTACAAACTCTGGAGGTGGCACAAGATCTCATCATCATAATAATAATCATCATAATAATCATCATAATAGAAATAGTGGTCGTGGAAGAGGAGGTGGAGGTGGAACTTCTACTTCTTCTACAACTACCAACAGTAAGCCAAGATATAATAATCATAGTACTCCAAGACCAAGTAATTTCCTTCAAGCAAAGTATGAATCTTAAATTTAAGAAACAAACAAATGATTATGGTTTATTAAACTCTTTTTCTCCTCCTCCTCCTCTTAATCTAGTTATTTATTCCAAATTAATTCATATGGAAATTATACAACAAGTTTAACCAATTCTGATTCAATTGTTTCATGGACCAAAATTGAACAAGTAGTTTATTTACACGATTCTGATGAAGATTATCTTTGCCCTATTTGTTTTGAACCACCTTTTGCTGCGTAACTATCTATCAAACAAACGAAATATTTAATATATTATCAGATTGTTAATTTAATTTATTTTATAGCAAGGTAACAAAATGTGGACATATTACATGTTATGGTTGTATATTAAGAAGTTTATCACATTCACCTAAATGTCCACTTTGTCTAAGAGTGACTGATAAAGAAGAGCTAAAAAGTGTGATCATTTCCAAATCAATTAATTTCAGAGAAGGAGATGATATTACTCTTCAACTTGTCAAATACCGTGAAGGAACAACGGTTCCATTTCTAGATTCTCAACCAATCGACGAAGTCATTTCATTCCCAGATAAAGGCAAACCCAATTCTGTTTTTTCAAGATTTTCCATCATCAGAGATATCACATCCATCTTGGAGCGTGAAAGATCTGAACTATTGATTGCCAAAGAGGCTGCAATGAGCGAAGGTGAATGGGAGGGTTCTAGTTATTTGGCAAGTGGCGAAAAAGAGGTGGCCACTCGAGAAATAGAATTTAACAAATTAAAAGAATCTAGAAAGGTAGAGTACAGCTCTGTGACAGTTTCCTCTATTCCAAAGAAAAATTCTCCTTCTCCCAACAACAATGGCAATATCAATCTACCTCAATTCTCACCCTATCAATACAGTAACAACACTGATATTAAAGCAGCTTTGGCAGATTACTATAATGATGAAGATGATTATGATATTTCATCTCCTGATCTTTCAACTACTTTGGCAAACAAATTAAATTTAATTAAAGAAATTGATAATAATAATGATATTAATACGACAACTACCACAACTACTTCAACTACTACAACCACTACCACTAATAATAATAATAATAATAATAATAATAATAACAATAATAATAATAATAATAATCAAAATAATAATAATAATAATAATCAAAATAATAACTCTCAACCAAAATTGTTAGAATATTCATATGAAAATCAACCAGTAGAAGCATTATTTTATCTTTATCAATCCAAAGATGGACAACCAGTTTATTTACATCCATTGTGTATGAAAATATTGGCAAAGGATTTAGAGATTAGAAAATCAGAGGCGTCAAACGATTATGATGTCTACCAACTACCCTCAACCATACATTCAAAAATTTTGGAAATTGAAAACCAAGAAATCACAAAGACCTATAGAGATGCAAACAAGGTATTTAGCTATCTTCCTCTGACAACAGAAATCAAATTTATCGAGATTGATTTGACAAACAAGGTTTCAAAGGAAGCATTGGCAGAGTTTGGACAAGAATTGAAAAAGAGAAGAGATGCTCGTAATAATATCAAGAGACAAGAGGTTAGAAAACAAAAAATCAAGGAAAAGGAGCGTGAACACGACTTGGTACGTTCCAAGGAATTGAGAGAGGAACATGAACAAAAAATGGAAAAGAAACGTCTTGATATGGAACAAGAGGAAAAAGAAAGAAAGGAAGCCGAAGCTCAATTGAAAAAGGATGGGAATAGTAGTGTTTTTTATTTAGAAGCCATCAAGGATTATAAATCTTATAATACAGATTTTGGTTATTCTCTTGGTGATAACAAAAAAAGAAAATAAATCAAAAATATTATTCTTAAACTACTTTAGGTAATTTAAATATTAATAAAAGTATTTGGCAATAGTCATGATACGAGTGTTTATTTATTATTTACTATTATTGTTATTATTATTATTATTTGAGGAGGATTGCAAAACGATCATATTTTTATCTTGAGTTTCTTCATTATCATTGTTGGCATCGAATTTATAAGATTCAAAGAGACATGATCTAATCTTGGTATCTAGTTGAATGAGTACCAACTCTTTGTCGCAGTGAATGGTAATTTTCTTTTTTGTTTGGCCAAATTTGCCAAACTTGAGTGAACGTTTGAGATGGATGTTGATATGATTCTTTTCGGGCTTTGGATGACCGAGACGGGAGATTTCAGTGAGTGGGAAAGACCAGCGGTATGTTCCTTTTCGTGACAGGCAGACCAGAGAGACACTAGTCAAGAGAATAGTGCAATCGGGGAGTACCATGTGGAACTTGTATTCGAGTCTTTTCAAGCCTTGGCGTTGAGTGATTGGCTTGCCATTTTGACGGAGCAAAAAGTTTCCTTCACTTTCATCGTGGCTGTATTCTTTGAGTGGCTCTCTTGGGTTAATGTAACGCGGCACTCTTATTCTCGAGCGTTCGGGGTGGATGTTGGTATTGTTACGGATACCTTCAGAGGTACGTGAGGCAAAGTCAAAGACACCGGTAACTGGCTTGACAGCAATACCAGCCACACCCTTTCCAAGACCTTTGAGGAACCCAAAGATACCTTCTTGCATGGCACCGCGGACCGGTTGGACGACAATACCAGTGACACCATCGAATATACCAAGAGCAAGACCCTTGGTACCGAGGAAGATACCTTGACCAATGTGTTTGGCCTTGACCTTTTCTTCAGTGTCTCTACGACGTAGATATCTCTCATCCATCGACCATACAGCAAAACCATTGGAAATGGTACCAAAGAGTTTGGCCGAACTGTTGGCTGCAGCGTACAAAATACTCTTCATCAAAAGGATAGAGCCACGGATTGGTTCTTCGATTGCTTCGTTCATACCGGTTGAAATGGTGTTGAACAGTACAACAGGACTACCAAAGATATTGGATGAACCCAAAATAATATGGACTTGACGTTTCATTTGTTTGTGGTAATGTGTTGTCAAATCTTCTTGTAAACGTTTCTTGCTAATGAATACATTTCTAACACCCAATTGGCTGATTGTCAGTGGTGCATTTTCCAATTGTCCTAACGATTTACCTAATGATGGTACTAATAATCTTAATGCTGGTAATTTACTATTTTTAAAAAAATAAAATAAAGGAGAGTTATTATTATAAATATTTAATATATATATTTCAAATTAAACATACTTGTAATTACTTAAAATACCATCTCTTGAAATACTAAATGTTAAATATAATTTGATTTCGGCAATAATTAACCATTTAACATAAAACATATTCCTAAATAATGATAAATAAATTAATAAATCTACTCTAAAAATATAACTATTTAAGATGACATACAAATTTGATTGACTTTGATTATTACTAGTATTTAAATTATTTGGAGATGATGAGAATTTATCCAAAGGTAATTTAGAATAGAATGAATGTAAATTAATTAAAGTAATATCATCCAATTGAACATAAAGTTCATTCAAGTATAATGCTATCAAATCATAATATTCAAAGTTTTCTAAATAAATAAAATAAATAAATTAATATTAGTTATTCTTTTTTCTTTTTTTTTTTTTTTACTTGATTTACCTTTAATTAATTTAATAGCAGAGAATTCAATAAATGGTAAAGCTTTTCTGTCCAATTTTTTATCACACCACAAGAGGACAGGATATTCAGTATCTGGATGTTGATTATCGATTTGAACATCTTGAATGATGAGCCAAGTTGTATGGGTAATATTTGAGGTACTGTACCAATACGAGAAATCCCTGAGATGAATATAGATGAGTTCCTCTGGTACATCGTTGATGATTGATATTCCCAATTTTTCAAAGGTAATATCAAAGGCAAAGTCAATCATATCCAATATCTTGGCTTCACCAGAGTTGGGAGAGAATACAAGTTGACGGGTTTTACCATTGACAGCTTGACAGACTGGATAGATGGGAGGATGAGTTGGTGGTTTGATGGGTTTGAATTGCTTGATCTTGTTGAGATTAATGTCGCATTGAACTCCTTCGACTTGAACATTGAGCAAAAGTTCTCCACATGGATGATCCCAAGTGTAGTAGATGTCTCCGCCTGGCAAGAGGGTATACTTTTTAGATCCTTGATTCTTTTGAACGACAGAGATGACGAGGTCAGTCTCGTTGCGAATGTGGTATGGCAATGAGAGTGGATCGATCGCATAAAACATAACCATGGTCGATTCATTGGTATCAATAACATCGACACGAACCACTTGTTCCAATTCATGGTCTACAGTGCTACAAAGTTTGAGATAGTGAACACCAACATTATCGATTCTCAATCCACCAGACCATGTCCAATCTGAAGATGGGTGTACAGTGATGGCGATTTGTTGTTCTTCCTTGCCGTCGAACCAATGGAATGGTATCTGATCCTCTGGTTTCAATTCTAGACTTTCTCTAGCCATTTTGATAATATCCTTCGAGTGTTGGGTGTAGAAGAGAGGAATGGGTAGTTTGTTGACGAAAAGGAATCTCGAGTAGACATCTACCTTTCTCGTTCTAAAGAATGCGTTGGTACCAGTTGTTACCATTGTCTTGAACTGGTATTTCATAGTATCACGGTCTTCAAGTTGTATTTCAATAATGTCTTCCTTGCCGAGAATAATATCAAACTCTTTGGATGTGATATCGGGGAACGATGGATGAGACAATTTAAATCTGTCTTGACTCACCAAGATGGGTTCTTCGTTGGTTGCCAGTGTGAGTGTGGTGGATTGTTTGATGGGTCTTAGGATAAATGGAATCATGGTGTGGTTGGTGATAGCGTTGGTGCAATAGACAGTGGCAATGTGACATCCACCTTCGAGACGGTGGTCAATCTTTAGCATGAGCAAGTATCCATTGTCGCAGTGGAATGGAATCTCTTGTGTGAATGGAGAGTGGTCGGCGAGTGGGTTGTTGTTGACCAAGCTAATCTTGCTAAAGCTTGCATTCATGTCGCTGCTCTCACCCAGTATTCCATAGGGTGTCGGGTAGTGCAAATGAAAGTATTGATGTCTTCCGAGTCCCTTGAGCGATATTAAAATGCCTACATCATTCTTGACCTGTGAATACCATGGACATTGTTTACCCGATTGCAAATGAATTGGTGACAATGCATCTACGATGTTTTGGAAATCGGATTTGTTCTTTTTCAATGCATTGTGACTGGTAATTCTGAGTTCCATGTCCCAAAACAGAGCATTTTCGACGATCAGAGGTGGAGTAACAACAAGGGTCGTGCAAATGAGACCGGTACGTTCACATCTAATACCACTTTGGAGGAGGGTAGCCAAGTTTTGATGAACGACAGTGGTGGAAAAGGATGATAACGATGAAAGGTTGTTGGCAGCATCGCTAATGTGAGAGTATGAAGAGGCAGGTGAAATAACCTCCTTGGTCGACTCAAAAATATGTGATTCTGGCCATGCCGACGAATCAACCAATTCCAGAGTGTTGGTATTGTCAAACAGGTAGTTGTCTCCGTATGGACGGACACTAATCGAGCTATTATAGTTGAAAAAGTCGACTGGTACATAAAAGTTGTCGTCTTGTGCAATCGGTCCAAACACTTGATGTGAATCCGACAGGTTGTTGTTGTTATTGTCGACAGCATTGTTGCTAAGACTGTTGTTTGTAAACAAAATATCTATTGGTACAGTAGTATTGTTACGAATAATAACTGGTGATCGGAGTGTGACAATCTTGGTTTCATTGTTTTCGTTCCAACCAACTTCGCATACAATAATATTGGCCTTGTTACCATAGGGTGGAAAGTAAAAGGCATCACCGATTTGGTTGATTGAAACGTTGTGAATCCAATCATCCTCGGAATCGGTAAACTTTAGAGCAATGTGAGCATTCAATGATCCGTGTGCCTTAAAGTCACGTGTCTTGAAGAGTGCAGAGTTGAGTTCGAGTGGTCTCTTTTCGCGGTTACACAACTGATAGATTTCTCTCGTCTTTATAGACTTGGCTTCTTCTTGCAACTCTTGTTGCTCTTCTTCCATTTGTTTCTTTCTTCGGCTGCTCATTGCTCCGTTGGATGAATTCTCGTTTTCATTGGTCAACTTGTTGGGAATAAACTGTAGTTCTTCGACATAGTATTGAATGGCCTTGCCTGTAAGATTGACAACCCAGAATAAATGTTGACCAACCGTACTAAACAGTTGCTGGTTGTTCAATGAACTAGACAGCGTACGATGATGCAGACTCTTTCTCGGTGAGCTTGGAGCGCCGCCGCTGCTTCCACCCATCGGACTACCACCATGAGAGTTAAAGTGCGAGAGCACAACAGATGATTTCATAGAGTCTCTCTTGGTGCTAGCGATAATCGTCGTTGAAAGTGACGGACGTTCAAAGTAGGCATTGAGTTGTGGTTCGACTCTCTTCCAACGGATAGTGTCTTTGGGAGAGGACGACAAGTCGCCATGGTTGGGACTAGACCCAGGTGATGACGATGATGCACCACTTGTACTATTTTGCAACGAGTTGAAAAGGGCTGTTCCTGTACTACTACGTCTTCGGTGGTGTTGTTTGGGATGTAGATATTGAGATGTTCCACCAGTACCCACACCGTTGGAAGTACCTTGTTCCATCGCAGTAAGGGCAATATAACTGTTATTTGGACTGAGCATTGATTGTGGATGTATAGTGTTTCCATTCTCATCGACATTTTGCATGTTTTGGTAAAAGGTGGCCATCGAGGCGATAAATGGATGAGAGATGTTGATGTTGACAATATCCTCGGTTTTGATCGATACCTTTAGCTTGGGATCTTCAGATTGAAGGATTTGAATGTTGATTGGGAACTGTTCGACAACAGAGTCAAATGCCATATGCTTTTGGTTAAAGTTTTCAACCTTGAACAAGGCACTCGTCGATATAAAGGCATATTCACTCCATCCCCAATAATCGGCATACAGGTCACACAAAGTGATTTGAAGGAATGGTATGTCTTGAAGATTGACATGTTCATCCAACAATGTAAAGTTGACACGACCATTAAAATCCAAATGAATTCTTTTCTTGTGCATTAATTGAGATGAATCTTCTGGTCTGATAGGTGTCTTGAATCTCTTTTCATTTTCTTTTCTTCTCATTTCTTCTTCTGTAATTTCATTAACTTGTTCTTCTTCCTCTTCTTCCACTTCATCTTGTTCATCATCTTGAATTTCTTCAATTTTTGGTTGACGATCATGATCTTCCTTTTGGTTATCTTCCAAAGGATTAAAAATGGAAGCTTGTAATTTTTTGTTCTTATCTTTGGAAGCTCTAAGAGATTGTTTCTTTTCCTTTTCCTTTGTATCAATCAAAGCTTGTTGTTTTTTCTTTTCTTCCAAATCCTTTAACATCTTTTCAATTTCGCCCATTTCGAGTTTGTCGTCGCTGTCATGATTCTTTTCTTCGACCTTTTTCTCCTTTTTGTTAATGTCTTCATAGTTGATGGTGAGATTGGTGAGAATCTTTTTGATAAATATGATTTCCTTGTAGGTGGTAAAAATGTTGAGTGGTGTAAACTTGACATTGATGGTGGTTTGATCATTTTCATAAAAGTAGAGGTAGATCATATCAAATGCAAAGTGGTTGGTGATGGGTGTCGACGAAGTACCTTCATTGTCAGAGAACGGTGTGGTTCTAAACAATTTACATCTTGGGGCCTTGAGTTCCATCGTTTGGTTTCGTTCTGGTGTTTTCGAATAATGGAATTCGATTGGCATCTTCATAACCAACGCACGTGTATTTTGTTGTGTTTCGTCTTCGACAAACAATAGTTTTGGCTTTGTCACCTTGAGATAGAATCTTTGGTGTTGTTGTTGTTGAGCTTGTGGTTTTGGTTGAACATACTTTAACTTGTCAACCACACTACTTTGATTGGAGACTGTTGAAACAATCGAAGCTGCCATATTGACACCACCTCCATCAGAGGAATGGATACTTGATCCTCTTGATCGTTGTCCATTGTTCGTGGTGTCGTTACCACCAGTAGAGGCAGATGGAGCATCGGGATCAGCTCCACCTTGATTGATCAATGTAAAGAATGCCAAAATTGGAGAAATCGAGTTGGGAGACACAAACAACATTGGTCCATTTGAAAGAATCGATGTGAATGCTCTGTTTCGATGAGTATCCATAATCCAATCTGCAACAAGATGAGCATCACGTGGAACTGCTGCAGGTTTCGGAGAGGATGATCCACTCTCCTCTTCATCTGAACTTTGATCATCTTGTCTTGACTGTTTTCTAGTGAGAATATGTTTGAATACACAAGATGTATTTTGACGTTCGTCAACAAGTTGTACATTTTTAGCAACCATTTCCAACTTTACAATAAAGTCTCGGTATTGCGAGTAGTTGAATGATACTTGTGTCATGGAAAGGAGAGCAATGGTGTCTGTATTCGGATCGGTATTACAAATTTGGATAGAGAGTGATCCAACACGGGTAAAGGTCGACATGAACATCTTCCATCGTTGGTGGGGAACGTTGATGAAGCCGACGGGAGAGGATATCTGCTTCTCGGCGATTTTCATTTGTTCCTCGTGCGATGGAGGCGAGTAGACAAAGGAATGACCCTCCCAGACGGGGACGGGTGGTGCGATGGGTGGGGGAGGGTTGGCAACAATGGCAAAGTGCAACCAGTCGCTTGTAAACACCGAGTAGATAAACTGGTAGTTGTCTTCATTGAGTGTGAGCTCGAGAGAGGGTATGTCGACGAGAAGACGTTGTTCTTCCATACCGTGGTTACCCTCTGCAACGTACCATCGTTCAATATCAATATTGATGGGGGTGGGATGCACAACACGAACTGGGTCAAAGTCGGAATTGAGAATCGATCCAAGACTTGTACTCATACTCGATCCAAGCTCACCCTTTAACTTTTGAGTCTCTACAACCATCTTTGAAATGTTTAATTCGAGCACCTCGATTTCAAACTCTTGGCCATCGACATTGGGTCTTTTAGCCATAAAGTTGGACATGCAAGTTGCACCAAAATTAAAGATGATATAGTCGTTTCGGAAACGCGACATGTTAATGTTGGTAGTATCCTTGGCAGCTTCGTTGTTGTCGATTGGCATGGGCACGACAAAGCGCCATGGTTCCATGTTGATGACCTGTCGCATACGGTTGGTGCCAGCTGGTCGGACGGGTGCATTTGGGGGCTGAACAAAAGGTGCTGACAATGGTTCCATCAAAAAGTCACGTGTCTTGAGCAGTGTTCCCATCATCGACACTACATCGACGCCAAATAGATCGATGAGCATTTCAGATGCCCATTCAACCTCCATCAATGGCGAATAACTAATGTACTTGAAATTCATAATTTCACGACTCTGGTCTTGTCTAATGATGAGTGCATTGTTGAAATTGGTGCGATCGATAGAGTTCATTGGGCCATACACAGTAGCATCCTTGATGAGACCGTTGATTTCCATCTTTGATGCGTCCATATCAATCTCCATTTCCAATTTTTGTAGTTTGACTTCACTGTAATTTTCGACCATCGATGTGCGCATCAACATCATCTTTAAGAGTTGCACTTTAAAGAATACCTTCATCTCTAGTTTGACATCTTTTTCGACGAGTGGTTTGGGTGGGATTGGGTCTTGATCATATGGTCCAAATTTGAATTCATAGTAACGCTTGAGACTCTTGTTGGTGACATTGTAGATGAAGCAGTACTCTTCAATGGTGGTGATGAGGTTCATGTCTCCAAAGTTGGTGTCAATCAGTGTCTGTGGAAAATCGGATGGTCTGTCTGCATCAGACAACCATCTATTGACACGATAGTCAACGTCAAAATTGAGATCGGTCAACACCCGACTAGTAGATTGGTAACCGTGATCCTTCATAATAGTATTCATCGACATTTCGGTAATCTTGAGTGATATTTGATCGATTTCAAGATTATTTTTTCCACCACTACTGCCACGTGCATTATAAAACTTTGGAACGATCAAACTATTGGTCATTTGAATCTCTTTAATATCCATTAAAAGGTGATCATTCATTTCCAAGTGTTGTGGTAATTTAATTGTACTATTGTTAAGTATAATTTGGTATTTTAACCATGGTGTTTGAGTGGTGTCATCATTGGGAATGAAAGTTGTTGTTGATGTTGATGGTTGCTTTGAGAAATAATCTTGAATAGATGACATTAAATCGAATTTTGGCATCATAACCATATCATTAATTTCTAACCACAATTTGTTGGTCCAGTTACTATTTGTACCTTCTTCGACTGAACTTTCATCCTCTGCATCAAAAGGTGAATAGGTAAATGAAATGTATGATTTGGTAGATTGTTGAGTTTGTGATTGTGTCAATGACATGCCCGATGATCTTAGTAGATTGGTCGCACTTGTTTGTTTTCTAGTCTGACGATTATTCGGTTGGTTTGCCTTGGAGTCTATGACATTTAAAAACTTTGACAGTACCATGTGTCTACGACTATCACGTAAAACCAAGTTACTAAGACCACCTTTAATATCAAATGCAATGGGATCGAGAATATTGATTGACGATTCAAACTTTTCAAAACTAATATCTGCCAAACTTTTGTTGTATTGGTCTGCAAGTGACACTGCCAATTCTTTAATCTTGATTGATAATTGACTCATAATTCTTGGATTGGTCGTTGACGATGATCCAGGCTGTTCTGTTGCATATTCATCAGTCTTGGTTTCACTTTGATATGATTCATAGAGATCCAAGAGGAAGAGGTAGTGGTCTTTGGAGAGTGTGAGGTGGATGTTGTCCATATCGATGATAGTCACCGACTGGGGTGGTGCGACGGCAGTGTTACCATCGTCGTTGATAATGTCGGCAATGTCTTGGAGGAACTTTTGGTAGTCACGTACCGACACCATCGATGCCTTGAGCTCCAAGTCACTGAGTAGTCTGACTGGTGGTTGCAGATTGTTTTGTTGACGGATTTGAATCATCAATGCTTCAATGTCATACCACCACGTCTCTTGGTCATACGACTGCACCTCTTCAAACAACTTCTTTTCAATCACGTTGCTTAGTCCCAGCTTATCGACACTGAGAACCAAGTCACGGGCGTCGGGGTCAGTTTGTTGTTGTTGGTTCGAAAGGATGGCACGACTGGTCACAAAGTCAATTGCCAACTTTGTACGTGTCGAAGGCTTGGCCTCGACAGAAGAGTATCGTTGTGGCATTGGTATTTGCGAGACTGGATCCATCAAAAACTTTTGTATTTCTCCAAGTAACACGAGTGGACGTGGAGGTTTGATTTGAACATTCTTGAGTGTGTACTCTAGATCTGCATCCCATCCATCCTCGGTTCTCTCTTCAAACGACTTGTAAGAGAATGACATTCCGTGGCTCGATATGGCACTTGAACGTAATCCATTGCCTTCGGTGGCTTGGAGTGGTTGGATGATATACTCGCCGTGCTTTCCATCGATCAACTCGACCTTCCAAATCGAACCAGTGATGTGGGTCATATCACCATGTTTGACACAATGGTTGACTGCCATTGACTCGAGATTGAGTGTTGCCAATAGTCCACCTTGATAATGATGATCCTTGCCTTTCATTTTGATTTGAACATTTTCAACTTGCATCAAGGTGTCCATGTCATAGGGTGTTGGAATCGAGTCGGGCTTGTGGAACTGTAGTTGAGAGGGATGATCCGACTCTTGAAGACATTCAAGTGCGTGTGTCATACACTTGTACAAGTCCATAAACTCTTGCTGGTTGACTTCAAGTGCCAATCCATTGGTTTTGATGCCAATCTTTTGCATGGCAAGTGTTTGCATATCCTCGTTCTTGGGAATGGTCTCCATCGAAACGTGAATGTCAAAGTTGGTGGCGATGGTTTGTTCGGCAGCACCACCACTGTTGTTGGACATGGAGAGCAAAGTATTGTGCAACGACACCATCATGATATCTTCTTCTCTGACTCTCATCTTGTTGACCAAATGTATTTTGGTGGGTCGCACAAACATCGATCGGTTGTTGTTGTCACTGGTCGTTTGGTATTGGTCGCCAAGCATAATCAACGGTTCAAACATCTCGACATTCATTTTCATCTTTGATTCCAGATTGGCCAATTGAAGTTGTTGTTTTTGGTATTCCAACTCTTCGGCGTCGATCGAATCATTGTACTTGTCGACTTTGTATTGTCCAAATACCGATGTCAAGTTGATGACGAGTGAGTCCCAGACACGAAGCATGTACGATGCATTGCCAACAGCAACCAAATGGTTCATTCTAAAGTGCAAATCACTCGATTCAAAAGTTGACTTGTTGGTCTGATCATAGGACACAAAGTCAAACTCGATCATTGGATTGGGTGATGATGGAGAGAGAGACAAGACATTGGTGTCTTTAAAATGGGCGTGTCTAAAATTAATTCTTTCGTCACGCACTGTCAACGATCCAATCGTTCCTTTGACCGACATTTTCTGTACTTTGGCCTTGGTTGCAAGCGACACCTGAATGTTCATGTCTCGGAGAAGGGCATTGACAAACGGACCACCCTCCATTCCCTTTTGAATGATTTCCAAGTGTGGGATGTCTAGCTCGACACCCATACCAAAGATATCGGCAAGACCATCCACCTCGTTTCTGGCCAAGAGCACATCCAACATGGGTGGGTTCTGCTTGACGAGTTTGAGGGCTGGTGCATCGTCCAAAAATCTAAACAGCTGTGACACCATGTCACAAAAGTGCAGATACTGTCGCTCGTCGACATCGAGTACCAATCCATTGAACATTTTGATCTTGGCCAATGAAGGTTGAACTGTTTTGCTCTTTAATACATCGATTGTATTGGTTTGTTGTGAATCCAATGATTGATAGTCAATTTCAAGACATGTCTTTTTGTTTGGAGCACACGACGATCTTGAAATCAAACGTTTCTCTTCGTTGTACACTTCAAACATATCAATGTTGGACAATTGAATGAGAATACTTTCAATTTCAATGTCTTGATTGTTGATCTTCCAATTGATGTATTGATTTGAAACAACGATATCGTCCATATCGACGATGATGGCGTGGGTGGTATAGGGAGAGAGTGGGATTTTGATGGATGGTTTGACGAGTTTAATATTCATCAACAATCGAGATGGCACTAACCCATTTTCAAGACTACCAAGAGTTGGAATGACAATTGACTGTGCATTGTGTTGCATATCCAATGTAATCCTCTCATTAAACGGTAGTAAAAAGAAATCTTTTAATCCAAGAATAAATCCAACTGAACCAACTATATTGCTTGGTGCAATGACCAACTCGACTTCATCACTCCATCCCAATTTGTCACTGTCTTTGAATGAGAATTTGATCATTGGCTCGAGTACTTCTGCTGTCTCTTCCAGCGGTCTTGATGAAAACACTGTAGATATGGTTTTGTCAAATGGTAGAGTATGAGCTCTAATATCTTTGACGACAAGGTCTTGGACAGCACCACTAATGATTGATTTTGACAATCGATTGGTGGCCGATGTGACCGATACTCCTTGACATGCAATCGTTGCAAAATCCCTCTGTTGATTGTTACCTCCTGAATGAAGTAATAGTTGGAAACTGTCAATCGATACTTGAACGAGTGATAGGATGTCGTCGGGTGACCCCTTGATTGATGGAGCCGGTAAGATGGCACCTTGAGACTGTGAAATGGATCGAGTGTATGGTGAAGCAGATGACGCAGACAGGGCAGACTTGCCACCAGCGGTTGAAGAACTAGCATTACTAGCCTTACCAGCAGATATCTTCTCAACTACATCTTTGGTGATTGAATAAATGAGTGAGTGTTCCAAATCTTCAAATTCCACCTTGATCTCTTTGACATTGACTTTAATCTTTTTCTGTGTGGCCACAATGTCACGTGGAACGGCGCGTTGCTTTTCAACATCGTACAATAGACTATCAACCTCTGCATCCAACGATAGGTTGTGAAGTACCTGATGTCTGACACCATTCTTGATGGTCTTGATATTCATGTCGGATAGTTTTGCTCGAATGGCCTCCCATTCGACAGCAATCGGTTGTCCATTGTCTACTCGTGTCTCTTCGGATCTAGTAAATATAGTTGTAACTTCTATCGACCCAAGTTCACTAATCACCTTGTCATCGGTAGTTGAAAGACTATCACTTGATGATAAAATAATTTGTGGACTCTCTAAAACAACTCTATAAATTGTCTTTTTTGGTTTGATTATTTGTTCCAAATCGACAGTAGAAATAGTATTATTATTATTGGTTGTAATACTATTATTATTGTTATTATTATTATTATTGTTGTTATTATTATCAGTTGTATTATTTGTTTGATATCTGTACAAACTGTCATATTTAACAGTTTTAAAAGGAAGAGAAATGATTCTCTTTGTTTTAAGAATAAAGTCGACCAAGACAGTAACACGAATACTACGAAGATTGATATCGATTTCAGAATCTACATCTGAATCCTTTTTACCTGATCTACTACTATTCGATTTGTATTTGAAAGTTGCCATTGACACTTTTTTGTTTTTGGGTGTCAAAATCTTGAATGGTTCAAAAGAGATGGATGATGTTGAAGATGACATGGATGACGCTAGATCGGTTGTTGTGTTTAATACTTCATTTGATTCAATGGTGATATTATCCAAATAGCCTTCGACCGATGTTGAACGACCATTCATCAAACACTCTGTAACAACCAATTGATTGATTGAAAATCGTCCAATTTCATTTCCTTCATCATTTAGTGATATAGACAATGAATAAATACTAGCATTTGCTTTAATTACACTGTAATTTGTTGCAGTAGTAGTAGCAGTGGATGAAGTCGATGTTGTTAAATTGGTAAGTTGTTTTGGTTTTTGATCAGAGCTAGTTGTTGACTCTACCATATTATTGTTGTTGTCCAAAGCAGGATGTAATTCATCTTGAATACGATAAGTCTCTTCCATACAATAATCCAAATAAGATAAGATGTGACCAATGGAACGAGGGTTATAATTCATATTTAATTCACCAAACTTAAAGTTGATAAAGGTGTCGACCTGTGCATAGTCGGGTGAATCCTTTTCGATCATTTGATGGTCGATGGAAATAAGTGTCTTGGAGTCGGACGCAGACGCACGCGATTGTGAAGTGATGAGTGAAGCAAATCGTTCGCTGCGTTCTAGACAATCTACCACCTCTAATTTAGATAGTCTAAACGATCCTCTAAATTCATAGGTCTTTTTACGAAGCGAAAGGACAAGTGAATCGATTCTTAATTGTACAAGTTTTCTCAACTTTGGTGCCGTTTGAATATTTCCATTTTCAGAATGAATAAAGTCAGGTTGTGGTTGACCAATTTGACGAGATGAATGGAAATCAATGACAACGTGTTGCAGTGTAAAGTCACCTTCAAATAACTTTCGACGTGCCAAGACACGACGGTAAGTGTCAGAGAGGTGTACGTCGACCGCTGCAAGATCAGTTGCGACGGTACCAATGTTGGTGGGTGAGGTAGGGTCGACGCCACCATCAGCGGCAGTGGGTGAGGTAGTCGAGTAGATCGTGTCCATGATGGTGTTGTAGGCAGACACTGAACGCACAGTCGATGTTTGCATAGAGAGAGTTTTATACATATGGTACAATTGCAAGTAACAGGCGTCACTCATGTTTAATTTGACCGACGGTAGCGTACCAGACACCTTAAACAGTGCCAAAGACAGTTCGCTTGGCTCTATAGAGCTCTGAATGTGCAAGTTGATCGCCATCTCCTCCACCAATGAAAAGCCATACTTTCCAAACTCATCCTCCAACTCTGTTCCACAATTCCACCATTCCTGATTGTTTCGTGCGATCAATACTTTAATTGACGACATCTCAACACGATAATGGTCATAGAGATCTGATACTTTGAGTGATTTGTTACCACCACCACCACTACTATTACTTCTGTTGTGACTACTACTATTATTACCACTACTACTACTAGTACTATTATCCTTATCTTGTTGATCGTCTGCTTCTTGTTGATCAGTTTCAGCTTCTTGCTTTTGTTCGTCAAAGGTTGTGAATATTTGGTCGGTCAGTTGGAAGGGTTGGTCCATGTTGCTACGTTTTTTGATTGGTTTCTTGGACAGATCACTTCTCATGATACAGTTGCCAAGATCGAGGATGATGAGGGTGGTGTCGAGCTGGCCCGACGACTCAGGTATGATGATGGTGGGGGCCTTGGCATCGACAAAGAGCTCGATGGTCTTGTGGTGGTTGATAGCTTCTCTGAGCTGGAAGATGGTCATCTCCTTGAGCATGATAAACTCTTCCAAAGCAACCGACGATAAACTAAACAAATTTACACTTTCGTCGGGTGTTGCAAACTCTATCAATCGTTCAATCTGTGGTTTGTTGATAATAATCTCTAATGAATTTAACATGAGAGAAAGAGCATAATCATATTCACTGTTGATCGGTTTAGTTTCGAATATGATATTAAAAAGATGATGTGATTTTTTTGTTGTTGTTGTTGTTGTTGGTATGATGATTTCTTTACAATTTTGATCTGTTGATGATGTTGATGATGATGTTGATATTATTGATGATGTTGATCTTTTATATTTTGGAGTTGAAGTAATTACATATGGGAATAGATTTGATTTATCAAAATGATCAACTACATTGAATGATTCCAAATCCAAATCCATTCTAAAACCTTGTTGACGTTGTGACATTTTAAATGAAATATTATTGAGATAGGATTTTATCAATGGAATCGATTCTTTACCTCCAAGTACTGAAAATACAATTGCATCAACTTTAATTTCAAATATATTTTGAATATACTAAAGAAAAGAAATATATTGTTAATATGTTACATATATATATATTTTCTATCATCATTATTATTATTCATTATTATTTATCACTTACTTCAGGAGGCATTTCAATAGTTGCACTTAAAGCAATTTCATCATATTCCATTGATTTTAAAATTTCTTCTTGTTGTTCTTTTGACAGTTGAATAGACATTCTTGGTTCTTGATTGGTTGGAGATGATTTCCAAAATCCAAAGAATCCCTTTGTTCTATTGACGGTAGGATAGAACTCACCCTTTTTCGAGTCTGCAATGGCCTGTTCCGATGCCAACTCTCTTCTAGCGACCGATCTAAAGTAAATGATATCTTCAAATCCGAGATGTTCTTCCATTTCTTGGAGTCGTTTTGTTTCACGTTCGGTTATAGGTTCAATCCACTCGACACCTTGTAACTTTTTAAATAACAATACGTATTCCTTTCGATTGGTTCTTCTCTTTTGTATGTTTAACCAACTTCTCTGTTGAATCTTTTCTCTAATCGATTCTCTATAAACATCTGCAAAATATCTCCACCATGCTCTTGGATCTTGTTTTGGTCTAACTTTTGGTCTAAATTTTAAATACTTTTAAATAAAAAAATAAATTAATTAATATTATATTATATTTAAATTAAGATTAAATCCTTTCCTTTCCTTTCTTTTTCCTTTCATACTTTAATTTCTTGAGCATAATTACTCATAGTTGTAATGAATTTTAAAATTGATTGATATTGATTTTCTTCAATGAAAAAAGAAACCTCTTCAAATTGACAACAAACTTTAATCTTTGGAACTAATTTATCCATATTTAAATTCTTGTTCATTTCTACTTTAAGTGTTACAGTTATTGGTTCTAATATATATTTATGTTGTCCTCTATTATTAACTGATCCAGTCTAAAAATAAACAAAAGAAAAAGGGGAGATATAAATTTAAGTATTTTGCTTTTTGATTGATAATTATTATTATTTAGACATACTAAATCTTTCAACTTTAAAAGAAATTGATCATTTGATAGATCTTTGACTGATTCATCATCGTTGTTTTGGTAGATTGAGAAATCAGACAATTCGACAAACTTGAATAGTGTTTCATTGGCACTGGCAGAATCGTGGAATGCTTTGGTCCAATTGGAATCGGTAGAGTAGGCAGAGAGAGAACCAAACGAGATACCAAGTGAAAAGACACGACCAGCACGCACCTCTTCATAACGAAGATGGAATGTATTGATACGCACTTGAATGTTATTGAGTACCTTGGTCAACACGTTTGCAATGAATCCTCCATCTTGCTTTTGTAGAGTGTCTTGTGGATTCGCTCCGCTTCCCTCCTTCCACGAACGTATCATTTCAAACTTTTCCAAACGTTTTTGCTTGCTTGCCTGTTGTTTGCGTTGTTCCTCTTCTTCGTCATAGTGGTAGGATCCGCTTTGGGGAACCGTAGCCAACAGACAAATCGAGTCGATTTCGAGGATAACTGGTGCACCCTTTAGGTTTGTCCAAGGAATCTTGAGTTCGAGTGTGCCAATGATACCGCGATGTACGTGAAGCGGTAGTTTGAAGCTTTGTAATGCCTCTCCCTTGATCTCGAGGTTTCGTAACACAACATTACCCGAGAACAGGTTGACTCGCAACTGCTCGCTACTAAGATTCTTTATATACTCACCGATATATTTCACCAATATATCAGCTACTATCGATTCAAACATTTCTGCTCTTGTGTATAAGTCAGTCTATTGAAGATTGACCTAAATTTAGATAATGATATATATATATGTAGGTAGACAAGCTTCTTCTTTCTATCTTCTTCTTCTTTGTTATATATATATAAATAAAAATTAATTATTCTTCTTCTTCTTTCTTCCTTGTCTCTAGTATTATTTGATGAATGAAAACTCTGATGATTAAAGAGTGGAGTGGAAAGCAGTGTAAAACTTTTTTGATGGTGAGATTTTCTCATGACCTTTCGTTTTTGCAAAGAAGATCAAAGTTTGAGACCAACAAAAAGAGATCGAGGGAGGTTTCACTGTCAATACCGCAAATATCTTTTTCATCCATTTGTGGTTTCCCATTAAATATCTTATCAATTGGAACGGATGGATACGGAATGGGATTATTTGTGTGATTATTTATACATTAAAATTTATTGTGTCTGTAATTCTTTTTTGTGATGGCGAGCTGTAAGTGTTTTGGCTTGGGTTGTTGGTTTGTAATCATAATATTATTTTAATTACTGTTGGGTGGATTGAGGGAGGGAACAGAGGTAATGAAGTTAGTTACTATTATTATTATTATTATTATTATTATTTGCTATTATTATTAATTATTTAATTATTTTGATTATGATTCTTGGTTATTTTCAAGAGTATTATTTTTAGTTGAAGCTTGTTTGAAAATCTTTTCACGTTCTTCATTGTTGTTGCTCAAGAATGATACATCTAAATCTTTATCTTGTTTGAGTTTGTAAATGGCTGCTTGGATTTGCTCGTTGTTTTCGAATCGGTCAATCGTTGACAATTTGGTAGACAAGACATCGGCGACGACCAAACGTACATTGGGTACTTGGTCATCAACCAAGTCCAAAAATAAGGGTAAGAATTGTTGATCAAACAATTCTGCATCGATTTGATTGACCAAATAATATGTCATCCTTGCGTATCTATAAATAAATAAAAATAAAAAGAAATTGTAAATAAATTGGGAAATAATTATTATTATTATTAACTTTTCAAAAACATACCCTTGTCTATTTGTATAAGAATTATCGGTTGCAAATGATTTAAGAGTTGATAAGATATCATCTTTTATACTAGATATATCATCTTCTGTTGTATTGTTATTATTGTTATTATTATTATTATTATTATTATTGTTATTATGATTTTGAATTAATTGGATTAAAGTGCCTACTCCACTGGCAGCATAATTTCTGACTTTGGAAACGTGATCGGTCAATAAACTGATAATAATTGGTGCAATTTGAGTTAAAGTTGTCTTTAAACTAAATAGTGAACATAATTTTTCTAATTGTCTAAAAAAAAATAAAAAAAATACATTAGATAAATATCAAATTTAAATTTGTTTCTCTTTCTCTATTTCATACTTTGATATTAATTTTCTAAATCTCCATTTGTTTGGATCATTTACAAATGAATTAAGTGTTGGGATATAATGATCTCTTAGTTGTGGATCGAGACATTCAAGGAAATCAGCAAAATGTTTAATGACACCAACCTTTACTTCATCCAAATCTTGAAGGAATAGATTAAAAGTTGGAACCAAACTTGATTTGGTTTCTGCTGGTCCCAATATCTTTGCAATTTCATGAAGTGAATGTGATAATGATCTTCTTACTCTCCACTATGAAATGAAATGGATTAATATTATTTGTCTAATATCTCAATATAATGATTTTCAGACTTACAGTAGTATCACTAACCAAATTACTATAGGTTTCAGATAATTCTGACCATCTTGAACTACCAACAGTTAAAAGTACAGCAGGAAAATTAAAAGCACAGTGAGTAACCAAATCACTCTCTGGGAAACGGTTCTTGTCTGGTAGAATCATATGAGTAAAGTATTGTAGTAGCTTTGGTGTGACCTGAGAACCATCAAAAGTGGCAATAAAAGGTCCAAGGTTTTGGAATGCTGCACTATTAACCCATCTCGAGTGATCTTCAACGACAAATTGCTCAAACACTTGAATCAACTTGCTATATCTTTCAATTGGTGAAACATTTTGTGATAGAATAACCAAAACTTCAGCACATCCTTTTCTAACTGACCAAATTTCATCTTTTGATAATGATAAAAAGATTGGTAACTAAGAGAAAAAAAAACAAATAAATAAATATATTAATATAAAGAAAAGAAAGTAATAATCTATCTATCTCTATCTTATCTAATTCTATTTTCTATATCATACCAATTGTTCAGTTGTAGCTTCAACACCAATAGTTTGACAAATATTTCCTAAATTAGCGGCAATTGCCTTTCTAACTCTAAATGATGGATCACCAGACAACTTTAATACAAAGGGTAAAAATATTTGTTTGGTCATTGCTTCTCCAATAATTGGTGCAAGATTATGTAATAACTATAAATAGACAACAAAAGAAAGCTATTAATATGATCGTCTTTGAGTAAAAAAAAAGGTTGATTTCTTTTGTTTGTTTCATACATTGGCAGCTTGTACTCTATGTTCTTCTTCAGTTGAATCATTGACTAGACTACGAACAAATGGAATCAAATGTAATTCCAAATCCTCGTGTTTGATTAATTTAGCCATATCTTGAAGTGATTCGACGGCAGACATACGAACTTGTGGATTACGATCGGTAGCAAGTTGAGCTACGATGGGGAAGAGAGTGTGTAGAATCTTGGCATAGCCAGTATCACCACCCGATCTGAGAAACTCTTTGGTGACGAGTGGAATCTGTTCCACCAATCCCTGTCTGATGACTGGTTCCTCGTCAGTGACCACCTCTTCAATGATGGGTAACAAGGTAAAGTTTAATACGCTAAATGGTTGTTCATTGGCCACCTCTGAAAACTCTCGAACTACAAATAGTCTATGAAGTACCATATCACTCTTTATATACTTTTGTATCTTATCAATGATTGATAGTGATTCATCAATCTCTAAATCTGATTCTCCTGCTAATTTATACAATATTATAGGTAAAGGGTAAAGGGTAAAGGGTAAAGGGTAAAGGTAAGTTAGTGTTTGATATTCATCCACTTTAAGTAATAATGAGAGTTGAGGTGGTTGTATGTATGTATGTAGGGGTGTAAGAAGTATAAAGACACATACGTTCATTCAAACCACCACTTGTATCAGAGTACCCTATAAAGTCTAAAATAAATGATGATGATCGAAAAGAGAGAATAGAATTCTATTGTTAGAATTCATTCAAGTCGACGATGGACGATAATGATGATGATGATGATGATGATAACTCGTTGGGTAGTTGTAGTTTGTAAAAGTATACATACCAGACATCTTAAAGTATTATTATGTAGCAGTTGTTTCCTGTCTCTTTCTTTTTAGCCTTAACTTGAACAATAGTAACAACAATCAATGATACTACTAACCTAAACAGGGAAGGGCAAAAAATAGAATTTAAAAAAAAAAAAAAAAAAAATCACCACCCCAAAATTTTTTCCCCTCAGCACTCTCATTCTGTATTTCTTTGGGTGTCCTCATGAAAATAATAATATTAATAAAAATATTTCTTTTTTAAATCCTAGATCACAATCTCCATCTATCTTGAATTTGATTAAATTAAATATTTATATACAAAAAGAGGGAAGGGTTGATTTTATTATTATTATTATTATTATTATAATTATCCATCAATGTACTTGGATACTATTATTATTAAACTCTTGACAATGATTATTGTTCATTGTTTTCCTGAATATAATAATAATAATATAATCTTTTTTAAAATGTGTTCGAGCTATCTGTCTGGGTCTTATTGTTGTTGTTTGTTGTTGTTTAGCATTGACATGACCTAGCCTCACTGTTTGAAGCTAAAACAGTATTACTATCTCCATCACCAATTTGAATTCCTAATCCTTCCATATCTATATTACCATCATCCAACTTTGAAACCACAGTCTTGGCGCATTTTAAAAATATTTCTTCAACATTGTCACCAGACAATGCACTAGTTTCCAAAAATAATAAATCTATTAAATTAAATAGATTTAGATTGAATGAATAGTTAGATCATCAATGATATATACTATAATCAAACATATGTATATATAGTTTGGACCATACCATTTTCCATTGATAAATTGGAAGCTTCCAAGAATGATACTTCTCTCTTTTCTGAAAGATCACTCTTATTTCCTACCAAAATAATGGTAGCATCTTTGCTGGCAAGTGCTCGCGCATCGCTTAGCCAGTTTGTAATATGATTATAAGTGTCTCTATTTGCTACGTCGTATACTAAAACTATTCCTGCTGATCCACGATAATAACTTCTTGTCACTGATCTAAATCTTTCTTGTCCTGCCTAAATTTAATTCAATCGATCAATCAATCAGTCAATCAATAATAATAATTAGGTTTGGTTAAACCAATCAACCAAACTTTTTTATTTATCTATCTACTATAACTACTTACTGTATCCCAAATCTATATATAAATGATCACATGTGTTAATAAGATAATTATCTAATTACATTTTAATTATTAAACAATGATGTATACATACCTGCAATTTAACTGTTTTCCCACCAACCTCTACTATCTTTGAAGCAAAATCTACTCCTATCGTATGATTAGACATACTCTTGACTGTATATTAAATTGAATTCAAAGATATTAATTAATATACAATATATATCTCGATATAGATATTTGATTAAACATACATTTGTTATCTGTAAATCTATATAGTAAGCATGATTTTCCTGTAGTATTGATGTTTGATGTATTTGTTTGTTTGTTTGTTTGTTTGAAAGAGAGATGATCGTAAGTAAGTAAGTAGTCAATGACACATGTATGTGTCTGTCTTTTGTTGTTGATACCAACCCACAGAAGGATCGCCTATAACTATGAATTTAAATAAATATAATCCTTTTCCCATTGAAACTATGAGTATGTAAACGTAGTTGAGATGTCTCTACAAATATTACTAAACTAAAACTAAAACTAAAACTAACTACTACTATACTTTTACACAAAATGACTTTGTAAAGTCTGACTCCTCCACACCCCAACAATAAAATCTTTATAATTTAATTTGCGAAAGTCGACCTGGTCTTCACTCAACAACTTTGAGTATTAAATATTGGTATAAAATAGGAATATATTATAATATAATATAATATAAAATAATAGATTTATTTAAAATATTTATGATTAAATGGAATTGATAAAGTAAGAGCAATTAATTAATTAATTAATTTAATGGAATTGAACATTTCTAAATTCAGGTGGGACATGATCAGCTCTGTATTGGGGACCTTGTGATCCATCAATATTGGAATGTGTGTTGGTAGAGAGGAGAGCGTGATTTGTACCTCCAATGGCAGAACCACATTCATTGCATTTGGATACTTCCATGGCACCACCACACTCTCCAATGTAATAGAGATGTCCTTTTGGACACTCGAACCAATGTCCGGCTGTGAATCCTTCGGTGTGGTTGACTACTCGATCGATTTCCTCTTGACTGATATAATTTCGAAGTTTTTCCTTGATCTTTTCAATCTTGGCCCATTGCTTGTTCAACAGATCCTTGTATCTTACGATACTCGAGTAAATGACAAAGTTGCATTCAGGACATCTCTTGAGAGTGACGGCTCCATCATCGCTGACCGAGTTTAAGTGCTGATCAAGCGACTCGGTGTGGAATGTATGGTTGCAATCGAGTTGTATAAATGTATCGGTATCATCAAACTCGGATAGAGTCATTAGAGTGATCGAATCCTTGTGGTCAGGACTACAAACCTTGCAAAGAGTAGGACACTTCATACCACATATTCCAATACATTGATGTCTACACTTTAATAGTTTGGTGCAACGCACTTCACATGGTTTGGCGTCACACACTTCAGAACACTTTTTAGTGCATCCTGCTTGATGCTCACATGCTACAAGCTTGCACTTTTCAGAGCACTTGATGCACTCTGCAAAGCATTGTCTTGAGCATTTCGAGTGCGGGCACTTGTTGGAACACTTCTTGGCACATGGTTTGCACGTTTGGTTACACGGATGGGGTGGATCGCATTTGTGAGTACACACTAGAATTCTGTCACAAGACTTTGTGCATACTGGGTGCTTCCCATCGACATGGTTGTTGCAAGCCTGACCACAGGTGTGTCCACAATCGAGGATGGTTTTGCATTTGGTCTTGCAAACGGTCGATTTGTTCTGACACGGCTTTTTGTGGTCATGTCCACAAGGATAGGTTCGTGTCACCTCGACATTGCAACGTTTCTCCAAACACGATCTACCACATACATCAGTACATGCGTGTCCGCAGTCTGGACGCATCTTTCGACACGGTTCCTGACAAATGTACGATGATACAGGTACAGAACATGCAATCCTGACCTTGTGACCACACGCAAGTATACGGTCCACCTGAACAGTGCATGGAGAACATTCATTAATGTGGCAGTGGAACGTGCATTGATGACCACATTTTTGGTGTACTCGTTCACAAGTTTGGATGCATGTGACGATGGTATGATTGGGATCATCAAAATGACATGTCTTTGGGCATTGATGAGTACACTCTAATCGATAGTCACATCTCTGCAAGCATCCACCACACGGTACATTTCTAAAGTCTGAACCTTGCTTGATAATGGTGACAGTGTCATGATGATTCTCACAACGTAGACGGAGATGATTGCCAAACTGGTCTTGTTTCTGCTCATTGTCTTTGAGGTTTTCAAAAATAGTACTCCAAATGTCGTTGGCAGATTCCAATAGTTGAGAGTTACCAACCATATAGAGTGCATTACGAGCACGAGAAAGAGAGACATTGATACGATTACGAATGGCAAGGAAACCCGAACTCTTTTCAGGATTGGATCTAACCAATGAAAGAATAATAATATCCTTCTCTTCACCCTGGAACTGATCGACGGTTCTAATAGTCAGATTGTCCAAGTCTGGGTTACCCAACGATCTCTTCTTTTCTCTAATTTTAAGTAGTTGACCAGTGTAGGGTGTCAAGATTGCCATGTCTGATGACTTGTAATTTTGCTTCACCAAATAGTCGGCCAATCCAATGACATAGTCTGCTTCAAATTCATTTGATTTACTTGAAGTATGTTCATTGGTTGACTCGAGATTTCGATGATCCAAAAAGTGTATGTTGGACGGCATACCACGCAATGTGTTGCCGAGTTGCTTGGCTCTTTCAACGACCGAATGATGGTTTTGCATCTTGGGATAGATGGCAAGAATGTTTTGAGAGATGTTTGGTACCATACGTCTCTGTGTGTACAGTGTCTTGTAGTTCATTCCATTACGAATGATACGTTCAAAGAGCGACAAATCCAACTGATACTTTTTAGCCAACTGATAGACAGAGTTTGTTGGTTTCAATTGTTCATGATCACCAATCATTATAAGATGTTCAATCGATTGTGGAATAATTGATATCACATGTGATTCAAGTACTTCGGCAGCTTCTTCGATAATGACAACCTTTGACTTGATAGCATCCATCACTCTTTTAAGACGGGATGCACCAGTTGTCGTAGCAGCCACCACATCAGCCTTGACCAATGCATCGGCATATGCCTTGTCTTCATGCTCGAGGATCATCTTGGTGAGTAGACTGTATCGGTCTTTGAGCTCGTTGAGCTGTGCCAACGGCACTGCAATCTTGCATTGCTGCCAGTGACGATAGAGTAGCTTGCGTTCCTCCACATTGAGAGAGTTGATATTATCCTGTTCCCTAAAATCACTTGATGGTTGGGACATGACCCACATTGGATAACTGAGATCGATTTTCTCAATATCCAATTTGTTGGCATCTTCCTCGTCATCGTCAGCAGACAACATATTTCTCTCTTTGATCAACGATTCCACCACTTCTTCATCTTCTTGGTCACTATCATCATCATCTTCACTAGTCGATGATACATCCCAATCTCTAAGAACCTTTTTCTTTTCAGTCGGTGTTCTAGATGGTGTCTTTTTATATTCCTTTTTGTTTTCTTCAAAAATGATTTCCTTTATCGATTGTAACCATTTCTTGCATGATTCTTTACCTTGATAATATAAAGTTTCACTATGATCATATAATGCAATTTCATTTATATCATCTTCATTTAATGGTTTTATAATATCTAAATAAATAAATAAAAAAGATAAATATTAATATTAATATTAATATCAATATTATTATTATTTGTTTGTTTGTTTTGTTTGTTATTAATTTACCATTTAAAATATTTTTCATTAAAAAGGTTAAATGATCTCTTTCTTTAAATCTTTGAAGTTGATAGGTATCTCTTTTGATTTTGTTTCTAATGTTGAATTGTTCTAGATCCTTTTCCTTTGATCTTGAACCAATTCTAATGACATTGGTAGTGACCCCCAAGATACCCATTAAAAATTGGTCAAGAGCATGATTGGTGTAACATACGAGAAGGATTGGAACCTTTTTCTCGTGATCGATGGATTGAGTGTGTCTGTAGATTAGCTCAAACAACTTTCTACCGATAAATGTCTTACCGCTGCCTGGGAGGCCCTGGATTAATGAGATCTCTGATCGAAGACAATGTTTGAAGGCTTCGAGTTGATATTCATCCAATTGGTCAAGTTCGGTTGGGAAGGAAACTGTTACATTATGGTGAGCTCTAGGTTCGACGTCTTGGAATGTTGAACTAAAGTCAATGTTGGGGTTTCTACGAATATAAGCTGGTGGTTGTGTCTCTGTATCACAATTGAGCAGGTATCTTTGAAATGGAAGAGTATCTTTAATTCTCTGAAGTGACATTAAAACATTCTTGTAAGATTCAAAATAAGCTGGTGATTCAATCATATCAAATTGATGTACAAATAAATATTGAATCATATCATCTGTCATATCATTTTGAATTGATACTGTCAACTAAATATAAAAAATTAAATAAATAAATAATAATTATTGTTAATAAATATATTTAAAATGTATGGATGGATGGATATATATGTATTGTTACCTTTGCAAGTGAACCTTCAATAGGTCTATCTTCAATGACACCCCAAATAACATTCTTAAAATCTTCATTAAAGAATCCAATCAAAGATCCCTTTAATAATCTTGATTGTTTTTCCCAAACCAATTTTCTATTTGGTGTAAATGATACTGTAAAAGATAATGCTGAATAGGTACATGATAATGCTAAATTAAAAATATAATAAGTAAATATATAATCTAAAATATAATGATTTCTTTTTTTACATACACTTAAAACTAGCATTTCTATAAAGATATCTACTTTGTTTTGGATTATCAATTTCATCATTCAAAGCTTCTCTCATTGGATGAATCATATCTTCACGCAAGAGACAGAATTGAACATCGATATATTCCTCCAAACTAGAGTATTTACCAACTTTGATGGCTTGAAGATGTTCAGGAAGCTTTTTAGATTGAGAAATCTCACTTGACAATGGAATAATTGGAAGTGTCTGATACTTGTAAGACGATCCAATTATTGGATTTCCAGATTGATCCATTGCTAAATGAGGTGGAAGATTGTGATTGTGTTGGTTGTATTCTCTTGATCTTCCCATTTCATTAATCATAATCTTCTTTTGTTTCAATTTAGTCAGAGCATTTTGAATATGTTCATTCTTTGAAAATGTTGAATTATCTACAATATCAACAAATAATTCTAATGGTATTGATTTAATACCAGTTGTAAATCTTAAATAAATAAATTAGTTTATGGTCATTTAAATGAATATTTATGTATTTATATATATTTACCTTTCAGAAAGTTGAACAAAGATAGTTGAAAGTTGTTTTTGAAGTAACAATTTTGTTTTAACTTGATCTTTTTTAATAAAACTTGGCAAGTTTGAAAAATGACCAAGAAAATTAGAGTCTTTGAGCATGAGGTATAAGGTGTTGACCTCTACTTCCAATAGACTACCAAGTAATGATTCATGGGCAAATAACTTGATCACAAAACTAACTGTTGAATCTTCTAAATTGAATCTAGATAGAATATCATTCAACTTGGCTTGATTCATTGGTGATTTCAAGGTAGATACTACATCTTGCTTGGCATCCAATTGATCCAATTGATTTTTCAAATAGATATCCATTGTTTTGGTATTTGGGAATGGTTTATAATCAACTGATAAATCTCTTGTTGGTTGTCTATGTTGTTGTGATCTGTTGTTGTTGAAAGAAGAAGAGGAGGATGATGATGATGATAATGAAAAAGATGCAGCTGATTCTTTCAACTTGTTTAATTCATTTTCGAAAATGGCTTTAGGACCAATCTTTGAAATACCAAGTTCACCATAAAAAGATGGATTGATGGCAAACAATGATTGTCCCGTGATATCATTTTCTCTAAATAATGGAACTGCATCTTCTAATCCGATTGATGATAACCAAGATATCACCTTTTCAGTATTCCAATCTTTTGGATTAACATTATTATTATTATTATTATTATTATTTCCATAGGATGGTTTGTTGTTGTTGAATGTAGGATTCTTTTGGTATGGTTGTTTTACATATGATGATTGTTGTTGTTGTTGTTGTTGTTGTTGTTGTTGTTTGTAACCATCATTTCTTTTAAAGTTATCATCTTTTTTAAAAGATTGCTTATTATTGAAAGATGATGAGGATGAAGGAGGTTTAGATGGTTTTTGTTTGTTGTATTTGTTATTGTTATTGTTAAAAGTGGTTGATATTGTTGATGTTGATGAAGATGATGATGAAGATGACATTTTCATGTCGCCATCATCATCATCACTACTATCCAAAGCTGTACCAAACTCTATCTGAATATCATTTAGTTTAGCTTTGTTGATGATGATTGGTTGATGAGGACTCTTTGACTGGAAAGAGCCTGGGAAGGCCAACTTGTTAGAGGTTGTTCCTTCCCTTAGTAAAGTTGCTTTTGGATGAGACATTGCTTCATTGTCATTTTCAACATCAATAGAGTTGGTGTTGAAAATGATTGGTTGTTGTTGTTGTGATTGTTGAACATATTGATTGTTGTTTGATGGGTTGTTGTTGTTGTTGTTATTATTTAACTTGTTAGGAAAGCTATTTTTGTTATTATTATTATTATTAAATCTATTATTCGGAGGGGAATGAGTATTGTTTTGTTGTGACATGCAGGTATTTATAAATTAATGTACAATAGGAGAAGACGAGGGCTCGATTGTTGCGAAAAGGTTACAGCTGATGTCAATACTTGCGAACATGTAAAGAACTTCTTGATAACTTCTCAAAAATTAAAAAATTAATTTAATGCTACGACATGAAGATCTTTGCAAAAAATATTATAGCCGTGCCACGTGGAGGAGAATGATCATGTCAAGATATGACACTTGTACAATATTGGCTATATAGAATATATATTTAAATATATCTAATAAATCTTTGAATAATACTATTATTTAATAGTATTATTTAATATTATTATTTATTAATAAATAAATTTTTTAGAAATGTTTGATGTTTTTTAGCTGCAAGCAACACTTTTCGAAAAATGAATAACAATAATGAATAATAATGATGATGATGATGCTACATGTAGTATAGTTGGATTACCAGATATAGTAATACTCAATATCATCAGTTATATCGATAACAATGTAGATGTCATTTGTTTGATGTTGACTTCGACAAAAGTTTGAAAAGATATGTAGGGATTACAACACCAACAATCTAAAAGAGAATACTATTAAGACTGATCATCATAATGCAAATGGTCTACAATGTGGTGGTCGTCGTCGTCGTCCCCTTCCTACTCTTTTACGGTTGTTTAAAGATGTACGAACACTTCCAGATGCTACTCAATTCCCCAACAATCAACAAATGAAGGTATTCCAAGAGATCTATGAAGCAAGTTTATCACAATCATCAAGAAACAAAAAGAAAAAGTTGGTCATCAAAAGACAGAACCTATCAAGTATCAAGATAGATGATCAACATATTGAAAAGATCAAGATCTCCAAGTGTAGTGGTGTCATTGATAAAGACAACTTTCCTCCAAGCGTCGTACAGATGGAGGTCAATGTTGTACACATCGAGAAATCAACCAATGTACGAATGTCTCTCATTATCAAGTCATGGCCATCGACACTGACTCGACTCACAGTTAGAGAACCCACTCAAGCAATGATCAATGTTCTACCATTGACACTCATCCATCTCGAAATCAGGAACGTTTTTGGTCAGCTCAATCTCAGCCATTTAGACTCGTTGATCGATCTATGCATGTCTTCAATGAATATCTCAAAAATTGACATGATTCGTCTGCCCCAGAATCTTAAAAGGCTTAGATTGATCGGGATACCAATGCCAACCAACTATGCCCCTCCCAATCTCGAGAAACTAAGCGTCGCTTGTCTGAGGGCGCGAGGCATGTTGCCGTCGACATTGACCAACCTGGGTATCGACTATCGTCAGACGAATCCTAGAAAAGTGGTGACACCATCAGTCAAAAAGCTAACTCTCTGGCTTGAGGAGGCAACAGACACGTTGAAAGCGGGAGATATCCCACACGGCGTCGAGAAACTAGTTTTACATCGATATAAAGGTGGTCCCAAGACACTCGAGATCACTCAAGAAATCATTCCAGGCTCTGTGGTCGAATTGAAATTGTATGGGTACAACACACCACTACTCGATTTCATTATTCTTCCAGTCAATCTACAACGATTAAAATGGTCGTGGTATCTAACACTACCACTCACTGGTCCCATACCGCCAACACTCACAACACTCACTGAAATATACAATCCTATAGGTCCAGCTGCTCCACCCACTGTCACCTATATTCCAACATCATTGACTTCATTGACATTAGTATTTGACAAAAACCATTACTCTAATTTCTCACTTCCAACCAAACGTATTCGAATCATCAACAACAATCAAGACAAACACTCTCAACTCTATCAATCAAAACAACTACTCTTACCATTCACTGTAACGTCATTGACTGTTTTGTATGATTTTACAAAAAATGATTTTAGTATTCGATTGGATGATATCATCAATCATACAAATGTCACCAATTTAAAACTGGACAAATTCGAATTTCAAATTAAAAGATCACCCGATCGTAATAGTTTTATGTTTATCGATAAACATACTTTGATTGGTGGAATAGTTAGACAGGAACAACAACAACAACAATCCACTATGAAAAAGTTATTCCTTAATATTAGATTGTTTGGGGAATCTTTCAAAGATTACAGTTTATCAATATCTGATACCCCAATCTATCCTGTCAAGATACAACAATCAGCATTTATAAATCAAAATAACAACAATAATAATATTATATTTATAATAATAATGATAATATTAGTATTAATATACGGGCCTTTACCCGTATCTTTTAGCAATTATTGTCGTTTTAACCCTTTAAGTTGGGTGTGCTGAAATGGAAATGAATGAATAAATGCTATTATTTAAGTTCAAGAAAATAATTAATAATGATTGGATATTCAATTCCATCATCTTTGTCTTTGGTTGATTCTATACATCTCTAAAAAATTTAAAATAAAGAAATTCTTTAATTTTAACATAATCGGGATTTCGACTCACTAAACCAAAATGAATTCATTAATATTGGTTTCATATGCCAAAGACTATCTCTTGAACGAACCTAGAGAACTCAAAGTTATGAATAGAAATGGGGTCATATTTGTCAACAACAATGGAGGATAATAGTAAGGATGAAATGAATAATTATTATAGTGATAATAATATAGATTAACAATAATAATAATAATCAAAATAATAATAATTATAATAATAAGAAAAGAGATAATAATAATGATATGTTATTTACTTGGATTACAAGATATATTAATACTCAATATAATCAGTTATATAGATAACAATGTAGATGTCATTTGTGTAATGTTGACTTGTAAATCATTGTATATTGGCAGACGTGAAAAGTTTGCAAAGATATGTAGAGATTACAACACCAAAAATCTAAAAGAGAATACTATCAAGACTGATCATCATAATACAAGTCTTGGTCATCGTTCTCTTCCAACTCTTTTACGATTGTTTAAAGATGTAAGATCACGTCCTGATCCAACCAAATACGCCAATCAACAAATGACAGCATTCGAAGATATCTACAAAGCTAGTTTATCACAATCATCAAGAAGGAGAAAGAACAAGTTGGTCATCAAAAGACAGAATGTATCAAGTGTCAAGATAAGTGGACATATTGAAAAGATCAAGATCTCAAAGAGTACTGGTGTCATTGATAAATGCCTCTTTCCTTCAACCGTCGTTCAGATGGATATCAAGATTACACACGGAAAATCAGTAGTTAATCCAAGTATCATGTCATGGCCATCTACAATGACTAGACTAACCATTAGAGGACCCATCCAATCAATGATCGATATTCTACCATTGACACTACTCCATCTTGAACTTCAAGAGACCCCTCAACACGTCGATCTCACACATCTAACTTCGTTGGTCAGTCTTGTTGTTGCTCAAATAAGGAACAAACCAGCTGATTGCATGCATCTACCCAATAACCTTAGAGAACTTACGATCTATATGAATTTCAACCGACCAAATCCCTCCCAAACTCGAGAAACTAGCCGTCACTAGTCTAAAGGTTGGCACAAAGATACGCACGTTGCCGTCGACATTGGCAGAGATGGAACTCAACTATCGTATGGCTCTGGCTAGTTCCAGAGTGGTGACGGGGTCGGTCAAAAAGCTAATTGTCATTCTTGGACCATCAGACGAGTTGAAAGCAGGTGATATCCCACACGGCGTCAAGACACTCATTCTATGTCGTTTTGGTACAAGTCCAAACACACCTGAACTCACTAGACAAGTAATTCCAGATTCAGTCATTGATTTGGAAGTACAAGGGTACCAGAAACCATTACCCTACAATGTTGAACTTCCAAAGAATCTACAACGATTCTGTTGGTCATGGTATATGAAGATGCCACTCACTACGGCATACCACCGACACTCACGACGTTTGATGAGATGTACTATCTTACCTGCTCCACCAGTCACCTATTTACCAACATCATTGACCTCGTTATCATTGGTATTTGATAGCCCAGACGACGGTCGACCTGTTTTCTCACTTCCAAAACACCGTATTCGAATCATCAACAACAATCAAGACAAACACATGTCTCACTATCAATCAAAAAAACTATTCTTACCATTCTCTGTCACACAACTGATTGTTTTGTATCATTGTAAAGAGGACAGTTTTAAAATTCGATTGGATGATATCATCGATCGCACAAATGCCAGTTTCAAATTAAAAGATCACCCGATCGTAATAGTTTTATGTTTATCGATAAACATACTTTGATTGGTGGAATAGTTAAACAAGACCGAAAAAAACGACAAAAACAACAACAACAAATCAATTTAAAACAGACAATTTACCTAAATGTCAACATGTTTGGAAAAGAATACAAATTATCAATATCTCAACCAGGTTGGATGAAAACCAAAAAGAAAATATAATAAAAACAAAAAAAAAGAGATATAATAAGTTTGTAACAACACAACAAAATTGACAATTAAGATTATATATATATCATGACATTCCTACAACAATATAAAATCACCGAATAAAATAAAAAGAAAGAAATTACAACAAAAAACAATAAATATTTTCAGAGGAGCTCCTGAAAGTATTAATAACAATGTTGTTTCAATTGATATAATAGTAGTAGTAATAAAAATAATAATAATAATGTAGAGACAACAATGAATGTAATATTATCAACTTTAAAAAATAAATATATTGTTCAAATAATAGTTGGACATGTGAACAAGATCAATTTAATCAGATCTGGAGTTTCATATAGATTCAATAACATACCTTCATTGAAATGGGTTGTAGAGAATGACACTGGTGATCTATTACATCTACTTTGTAAACCATCTTTAAAGGATGGATCATTGCCACTATCAAAGCTACAAGTTGGATGGGCAACATTGGACATGATCGTTGCTGTCTGTTCACCACATCGCTATCACAAATCAATCACCTTTAAATTAGAATCATTTGATACGATATTCAAATTCTATAGCCGAGCATTCAAATATGAACATCTTGCAGTTGATGCTGCATCAGAATCGGGTAATATAGAGTTGGTGAAATATCTACTCGACCAAGGTACACCATTCACAACCAATGCAATCGACTTTGCATCAAAGAATGGATATTTAGAAGTCATCAAATTATTATTACAAACTAACCCTATTAATCATCCTAATCTATTTGTATGTAAACATTACTAAATATTATAATACATTGTATGATTTATATTAATTTAATTTATTAATCTCTTTAGGATGATAATGTAAAATTTACAAATCATTCTTATGATTTGGCTGCAACTAATGGACATTTACGAGTGTTATTTTTCTTTGATAACTTGTTTCAATTGTATGATCAAAAGAAATCAAAGTATAGAGTGGAATTTACAGTTAGATCTATTGATGGTGCTGCAAAGAATAAGCATTGGGACGTGGTCAATCATATCTTGGAGAGATATTCAAAGCACAAGAAATATAGATCCTATTTATATAGTCAAGACTCGCTGAAATGGTGTATCGCTCATAATAATTTGAATCTTTTGATTCAATTGTTTGATTACCCATACCTAGACAAAAAGAAATTGTTTGAAAAGGATAAGTGGTTAAAAGACGGACTAAGGGAGGCTTCAGAAAAAGGACACATTGACATGATTAGATGGGTGTATAACCAAAAACTAATCAACTACATACCAGATAGCTCAATGATGGTAGCTGCCCAAAAAGACCAACTAGAGATACTACGTCTCTATTTTGAAATGTATAATAACGAAAAGCCAGGTAGTGCTATGAGGATCTCATTTCCTATTTTCAAAGCAACTCATTCGGCCATCCAGCAGAGCCAAAAGATAGAAACTTTTCAATATCTATTCCAAATCTATCAAAGTATCGCCACTACTACTACTGTCGATCATCAGAATCTATCGACTTTACCAATATTGGAAGCAGCCTTCAGACATGGTTGTTTGGAGATTTTAAAATGGATAGTACCTCTGATTGGACAAATCCCACAAGAATGGCAATCTTCATGCATAAGAGTGGCGGGGTTGAATGGTAGATTGGATGTACTCAACTTTTTAGTTGACAACATTCCTGGACTGAAATTCAAACAATCAAACTTGGAAGATCTTTGTGGTTCTTCTTGTAGTCTGGAATGTGTAAAGAGTATCTTGTCGATGGGTGTCGAACCCACTGTTCGAGCCATCAATAATGCATGTATGAGGGGATTTGACAACATCCTAGAATGTTTGTTAAGTTCGCCAGCAGCAATGTCTCCTCGTCTCGTTCATACTCTGCGAGGACCAGAAAACACAAGAAACTATTATGAATATATCATAAACTCTAGATCACCCGGCATGTTGCAGTGTATTTTGGCAATTGGAAAAGAAGGATACGAGGTCACTGCCTCTGACTTGTACGTGGCAGTATGGCAAGGAGACCTCAAACTGGTTAAATACTTTATCCAAGAGTATCCACATTTACTCGACTCATCACAAGACCAACACTCGATGGATCAAGCCATCCAGAGTTTGGTCCGAAACAGAAACTACCAGATGGTAGATTATGTCCTCGGGTTGAAATGTTACACCAGAGAAGACTTGGAGTGGCGACCAACCGAAATGGATAGGTTCAATGTTGAGGAGAATATTTACCAGATTCCATTGGAATATGCCGACCTTCAAATGCTTGATATCATTCTACAGCGCAGACCAACTTTACCTTGTCCAAACGCCAAGATTTTGCTCTCTCAAGGTTACTTTGACTATTACGATAAAATTGAAAAAAGAAACAAACAACTTGGATTGGATGATAGCCTAGTCAATCATTCCACAGGATTTGCCAACAAATGTTGGTTTTTTTATGCAATTATCCTTGGTAATATTGATTTAATTCATTATCTAGTGCACTACTTGAAAAAGATTCAACTACCGCCACCACAACCACAAGTGTATCTTGTGCCTCGAAAGTGCTCAGCACGAGCTGCCATGTATTTATCATCTGAAGATTTAAAACTCTACCCAAAAGAATTCCATCTTAGTGCCAAAAACAATTTTATATTGCAATTTGTTGCGACTGGCAATTATACAATGTGTAAATGCATTGAAACTGAACTGACCCACAGTGTTCAAGTCTCACTAGACACGGCAGGACAACAATCAAACATAACATTACTACGTTTAATTTTCGAAAAAAAGAAAAAAAGTATACCATCTTACTTTTATACAGCTGCAGAGTATAATATAAATGTAATTAATTTTTTTAAAAAATGTAAATTAATAAAATAAATGGAAAACTAAATTCATTCAGTTTTATTACACATATACACCAAAAATCAATCGAATTCTATCTCATAATCATCATCTTGTGTGGATGGTTGGCTTGAATCACTAATATTATTGCTACTATTACTATTATTTTCCTGACTCCCAAATGATACTTTCAATTGATTGTTATTATTACTAATAGTAGTACTTTCCTGACTGGATGGACCAGCTTTTATATTATTATTATTATTTCTACTACTGGATGTTCTAAGAGATATTGTTTTTGTCGGGGTCTTGTTTTGAGGAGGAGGTGTATTTGTGGTTGAGGTTTGGCTATTTGAAATTGTTTTGGTTGGCAAAAGTAAACTTGGAGTCGAGTTTGTATTATTCTTATTATTAGGTTGAATGTTGTTGTTTTGACTATTATTATTATTATTATTATTATTTTGATTTTGATTTTTAAATACTGATTGTTGTGAAATAAGAGGAGGAGGAGATACAAAGTTTTGTGTCATTCTTTGAACACCATTACAAGTTTGTTTGTAAGTAAAGAATACTTTATCTTTGATGGAATCGGGTAGATATTGCTGATCGACATCAAGCTGTGATTCATAATCGTGATTGTATTGATAACCCTTGTGATACCCAATATCTCGCATGAGTTTGGTAGGTGCGTTACATATTTGTAAAGGAACTGGTGGGGAGTCATGATTTGCGAGGAAATCGCATGTTTCATTGTACGCCAATTCCAAGCTATTGGATTTGGGTGCTTGTGCTAGATAAACTGCTGCTTGCAAGAGTGACAATGAACATTCTGGCATACCAACTACATCTACAGCTTGGAACGCTGCAACAGCGATACCCATGGCTAGAGGGTCAGCAAGTCCAATATCTTCACTTGCCATTCGAATCATTCTCCTACCCAAGAATCGTGGGTCACTTCCAGACTTTAACATTCTCGTCAACCAATACGTTGCAGCATTGGCATCACTACCACGAATGCACTTGTGCAATGCCGATATCATATTGTAATGGCTTTCTCCATTCTTGTCGTTTTGCAAACTAGCACGTTGCATCAGTCCTCCCAAATGCTCTCGTTCGATCGTCATTGACTCTTTGCCAGAGTTTTTTATTCCTTTCAATACCATATCAATGACATTGAGTGCTGATCGAGCATCTCCATCTGCCAACTCTGCCAATGACATGAGTGTTGATTCTTCAATTTTGATCTTGACCTGTGCATACTGGTTACTCGTTTCAATCGCTCTTTTTAAAATGGCTGCTATATTATCGGTCGTTAATTTCGTTAAAGTAAATACCCTACATCGACTTAACAATGCATTGTTTACTTCAAATGATGGATTCTCTATAGAGAAAGAGAGAGAGAGATTGTTGTTCAATATTCAAATATCTATATTATTGATTCATTTCCAAAAACATACCAGTTGTTGCTCCAATCAAAGTAACTATACCATTTTCAACAGGAGGTAATAATGCATCTTGTTGTAATTTTGAAAATCGATGAATCTATAGAAGAAAAGAAATGATTTATTTGTAAATATAACAGATCGTTGTTTTTTTGCTGGTGGATTGAATGTACATACTTCATCAATAAATAATATAGTTTTTTTACCAAAAGCAAGAGAGTTTTGAGCTTCTTGGACATGTTTTTTGATGTCTGCTACACCAGAGCCAACAGCACTCATCATGATGATATGAGAACTTGAATTCTTGGCAATCAGCCTTGCTAATGTTGTCTTTCCACAACCAGGTGGGCCCCATATAATGCAAGATGGCATGTCACCGCTTTTGAATAGAGTGGAAATTAAACTTTGATCCATCAATTCATGTTGTCCTATAAATTCTTTCATTGTAGTTGGTCTCATCTTTTCTGCCAATGGCATATGAATTCCTTTCTTTGTAAAATTAATATGATATCCAGGTAATGTTGGTTGACTTTGTTGACTTTGTTGACTTGGTTGTTGACTTGGTTGTGAAACTGGTTGTGATTGTTGTTGGTGTTGTATTTTTTGAATTGATAATGCTAAAGATGCCACAGGTGTATTACCACTATTACTTGGTAATACAGGAATATTATTATTATTGTTATTAGTTTTGTTATTATTATTATTATTATTATTATTGTTCAGATTGTTAGTCGGTTGTGATTGTGGTTCATTATCATCAATATTAATGAAACGGTTACTAATATTATTATTATTATTATTATTGCTATTATTATTTGTTAATGGTTTTGGTTTAGATATCAATATTGAAGAAAATGGTGATGATGATATGTTAGGTGTTGGAGTAGAGGATGTTATCATTGGTCGTGAGTTCTTTCCTTTATTGCTTGGAGATAGATTAGCACCACACTTTGCGAAATGATCATTGATATGTAAAGCTAACATCTCCTTTTCGCATACAGGACATGACACAAAGTTTGTCAAATTCTCTCCGTCCTCTACTACTTGAACGAGATTGTTGTTGTTGTTGTTGTTGTTGTTGTTATTATTGTTGTTGTTGTTATTGTTATTAGCTGGGTTATTCAATGTAGTTGTAATAGTTGTAGTTGTAGAATTGACAACAGTCTTTGTCGTCTTGAAAGGACTAGCTAAACTACTAGTTGCACCATTATCAATCCCATTATTTACACTATGAATCGTTCTTTTATTCATTGCATATAAACAAATGTCAAAGATTAAAAGTTAACCTTTGTAATATAAGAATTCTCTTATTTGCTTGTTATACAATGATTTTTAATTTAATAAATTATTTCCCTCCAAATTTGAGTGATACATGAAATCGATTTCTTGGAAAATGGATGTTTAATGATATATTTATTTAATTAATTATCTTTTTTCTAACTTTACAGAGAATGGTTTTGATCTAACTGTTAACCCAAATACTATTGTAGTAGTAAAGAAAAGAAAGGTGTTAGTTTGGTGGTTGGTTGTTTTTTAAACTTTTAATATATTATATTATATTTTGTTTGTACAAACATACTTGGAGTATCATCAATTAAATGATTTTGACCATTTGGTGATGTTAAATTGTAGTTTAATAGTATATTGGAAATACCTATAAACATAAAGTCATTGGATAGATGTTGACCGATACAAGAACGAGGACCGACGCCGTAAGGTAAGAAAGCCATATTGTTTGCCTTTCTATTGTTGTCGTCTTCAAACAACCATCTGTTGGGATCAAATACATAAGGATCTTCATAGAAACGTTTGTCATGGTGTGTACTGTGAAGATTCATCATTACTTGTGTTCCTTTGGTGACTGTGTATCCTCCAATCTCTACATCTTCCTTTGCAATTCTTGGTAACCCAAACACCGCAGCAGGTGCTACTCTCATCACTTCTTTAATGACTGCTAAAGTGTATGGACAGTTGATACGATGCTTTAGATTGATCATACCATTATTATCACTATCGTCAACATCATCGGCCAATACCTTTTTCAACTCCTCATACACCTTTTGTTGAATCTCTGGATAATTGGTCACATACAATAGAACCCACTCCATTGCTACTGCACCTGCTTCAACACCTGTCAAATATAAATCAACTCCAAGTCTAAGAATTCCCTCTACATCTTCATCACCATAATCTAATATAATTTGATCATATAAATCTCTTGGTCTAAATAATGAACAAGTAAGTATATTGCACAATATTATTATTCTATAAATTTACATACTTTTCAGGATTTAAATCTTTTTTATGTTCTTGTAATAATTCATTCATGTAGGCCTTTAAACCATCAACTGGAACACCTGTAATATACTTTATCCAGATATAATAGAATGGTTGCAAGATACTCACTACATCCATAATATTACCTGTTTGGTTATTAACAAAGTTCTGGTTGGTTAATTGGATCAATTTATCCAATCTTTTGTCTTCATAATCCATCTTTGATGAAAATACAACCTCTAATATAATGTTTACAGAATATCTTTTCATAAATTCTTGTACTTTAAACTTTATAAAGAAAAAAAGGTTAGTAACTATCAACAACAACAACATCGATGATATCTCTACATCCATACCAATGAACCACTTTCATAAATCTTATCAATATATTTCATCAAAAGTTTACACTGATTGTTTAAGACTGGAGGAGATGTAGTCTTTAAATTCATCTTTGAAAATGTATTGGCACAAAGGTTTCTGTTTCTTCTCCATCTATATTCTCTTGCCATAGCGATATTACTAAAATCACCAGATACAACTCTCATGGTAGGGATTGCTGGAACATCATGAAAATTATCCATATTGATATGCCATATTTCTCTAATCATTTGAGGGTCACTAACACAAACAGTTTTACTAGAAGATATAGAACAATGTGAGTAAAATCAATATCCAGACTGTACAATTAGAGAAAGAGAGAAAGAAAAGATGTACAAGTTAACATACTAATCACCCATATAGAACTTAAAGATTGGACCTGATTTCTCTGCCCATTTTGTAAGAGTTTGATGAGGACGGATTCCTAATCTAAACAAACTACCTACCAAAGGCCACTCTATCGAAAATGCACTAGGAGGTTCATTGGATGATGATTTCCTATTTTTTTGGATCTTTAAAGTAAATGTTAGAATGTTAACATGTCAATCAAAAATACAAAGTACTTACAAAGTTTACAACAATATATAAAATAAATATTAACAGTATTTGGAGAAACATAGTAATAAAAATAATAAATAATTTCAAAGCAATAATAATAATAATAAACTTTATTTCAAACCACCATTCAATAATCAAAATGAATTGATAACGTTTCGAATATCAGTGGAAGGTTTAACACACCAATAAATAACAAATATTAATACACCTCCTTTTTTGTTTTTTTAAAAGATCTAAAAGAGATTGACAAATTACAAACTGCTTCTAAATAAAAACAATGAGATACAAGTTGATTTTTTAAACATATATGTTTTGGACGGGGGAATTCAAACTCACTCAAGAAGGATTAAGAATAATTGGGATTATTTGAAAATAAATTATAGATAATTTAATTTGGTTATGATTTGTTGGTATGTTTAGGTGGTGGTATCAGGTGTTGGAGAGAATGGTGGGAATCTGACAACCATAACGGATATATTATCTGTGCTTCCTCTTGTAAATGCCTGGTCTCTTAATCGCATACATGCTTTCTCTGGATCTGAAATGGGTGCAACTATTGCTGTTGCTTCTTCATCTGTTACAACATCCCATAATCCATCACATGCTATAATTAAGTAAATTAAATATTAAATATTAAATATTAAATATTAAATAAATATTATTGATTAATAAATATTATTTGATCTTTTTTTTTTTTGATTAACATACCAATAATCATAAATTGATTTTTAACTTGATTTTCAAGATTGATAGGACCATGAATATCAGGTTCACACGATACATAGGGACTGAGAATAGAGTCACCTAGTGCTCTACTTACAGCCAACTGACCATTGACACGACTAGTGACGACACCAGTGACGGAATTGGTGGTTGTAACGACGTTGCCGCCAAGTGCTTTGATACGCTCCTCTTCTTTTGGTACATTGGGTTTGTGATCGATCGATACACGCACTGTAACGCCATCCCGACACAGGACGGCACGTGAATCACCGACATTGGCAACATACCCCTTCTTTCCGAGAAAGAGTGCAATGACGGCGGTGGTACCACCACGCATACGACGCTCGGCAATCATACCGTGCACAATGTTGAACGACTCTTTGAGTGCGCGCACGGGATTACCTGAATCCTTTTTCAAACGATCCGAGAGCACACGATGCATCTCTGTCGAAGCAAGCTCGGCTGCCTCGGCACCACCGTGTCCGTCAAACAATGCAAAATAGTCTTCGTCATAGTGTCCACGATACGAGCCATAGATGACTGCATCGTCTTCCATCGTGGGACGTCTCCCAATAGTATCGGCAAAGCCAACCAGAAAACGTGATGAATGGTGCTTGACCACCTTGTTGGCCATTTTAGTTCGTCCATGACCCTTTCTAAACTTGCCAAAGATGCCAGTTGGCTTACTGAGCAGCGATGAGCTGTCTTTGGGCAACACATTTGAGAATGGGCCGGCAGCGGCAAGCGGAGACTGGAAGGGTGGCATAGGGGGCAGCTTAACCTCACCATTTACAATGGTGGGTGGTTGTTTCATGTAAAAGGCATTGCTACGCCCTCTTCCTCCACGTGGCATCTGATCTTCGTCCTCGTCCATCGATGCCTCTAGTATGCTCGTACCACTAAAGCTGTTGCCTCCTCTGAACAGATTGTCCGCACCTCCTTCGTCAGACATTGACAAGAAAGCTAATGGATTGGATGTCACAGGCACAGATGATGACAATATAGGCATAGAGTTAAAGGTGGTGGATGATGACGATTCTTGTTCGTCTGCAAATGATGATGTTGTTGATGTAGTTGTAGTTGATGTTGTTGATGTAGATGTGTTGGTGTTGTTGGCCACCAACAAAGCGTTATTATTTGGTGTCGCAGAATTGGGTGAAGTTTCAGAGCTAGTACTATTCTTTCTACTATCCGACTCTTCTGTACTTTCCTTACCATCACTATGATGATCTCCAATATCCGTCTGACCATCATTATTATTTTTGTTATTTTTGTCATTATCATCATTACCTCCAGATCCATTTCCAGAGTCATTTGATTGTCCATTATTATTATTATTATCACTATTATTATTATTATTATTGTTTGGTTGATTATCATTATTTTCATTGGAATTCTTGTCATTATGTTCGTCGCTATTACTATTACTACTACTACTATTATATATTTCCTCTTGTTGTTGTTTACTACTATTTACGCCAAGTTGATTGATTTTTACAGGTGGTGTTTCTACTACTAAATGATTTATGCTAGAAATATTTTCTTTTTTCTTTCTCTTGAGTCCCCATGAACGACGGTCTTTTTTCTTTTCCTTCTTTCCTCCTGGTTGTTGATGATTATGACCTTCATCAGAATCAGAGATGGATGACAATGACGAGTGTGACGATGACGAACTCATGTTGGTGGTGGTAGTTGACTCGCCGCTTGATACCGTCTCTTTGTCTTTGTCTTTGGACTCTCGATTCTTTTTTGATCGGAACTTGTCAAATATGCTAGATGTTGCCGACTTTTCCTTTTCCTTTGGATGATGGACTTTGGATGATGGGGAGATGGCCGGAGTGGACTGTGAAAGCGGTGACACGACAATGCGCTCCTCTTCCTCTTCCTCCTCTTCCTCTTGTACACTTTCAGGCCCCGATCGATCTTTCTTTTTTGGTTCCTTTGCCAAGAGATCAATCGAGGATGGGTACTTGGTAGGACTTAGGGTAATTATTTTTTCATCTACTTTGTTTGTTTCTAAAGTAGAATTACTACTATCAATACATTGTTGTTGTTGTTTTTGAGGTGATTGTTGTTGTTGTTGTTCTATATTGGTTGATGTTGATGATGATGATGATGATGTTACACTTTGGGGTAGGGATGGTGCAGATGCCGACATTGTTATTGAAGGCACTGAATTGCTTGGTGGGATGAGATTGACTGGGAGTGATGAAGCAGAGATGGATAGCTTTCTACCCGACCGTTCGTTTGTGAGACCATTATTATTATTATTATTCTGTACATTATTCTCACCACTGACTCGGATAGTACTAGCAGCAGCTGATAAAGGAGTTTGAGGTTGTTGACTCTCCACCACCTCTACCATTGGATAGAGACTACTATTATTATCACCTCTTATAATCTGTTCTTGTTCTTCTTCTTCATCACCTCCACCAGCTTGATCAAAGTTGAATAGATTCATTGTATCTTCAATATCTTTGATGAGAGAGAATATATTCTCGTTGGATAGACTGTTTGTGGAATAAGCCTGCGACAACATAGTAGGCGACGAAGAGTACTCCTCTACGAGTGTGATTGGATTGCGAACAATGTGAGCACACTTGGACGATCGGTTTGCCGTTGCCGACGATCCCAATGGCATTGATGATGAGGAGGAGAATGGTGAATTTAAAGCTAAAGCAGTTGCCTCGGCTGCTGAAGGAAATGTTATAGTCTCTTTTAAAATGTCATCGATTGCCATTAAAAGACCTGTACTAGCTACTTTTTGTTGTGCTGGTACTGATGGTACTGTCAATATACTCTCTCGATGATGATGATGATGATGATGATGTTGAACATATAGAGGTGATCCTTCACCATCAGTTATCTCTTCATTTGATGAACTGGAAGATAAATCATCATCGATTACATTGGGATGGTAATGTGATGGATTAATGATTATATTCTGTTGTTGTTGTTGTTGTTGATGTTGTAGTACTGGTGCTTGTTGTGATTTTTCTCCTCCTCCGACAAAGAGAGAATCATTTTGTTGTTGTAATTCTGTCATCTTTGAAAACTATGTAAATAATAATAATAATAAATAATAATAATAATATTAATAATAGTCTAAAGTTAATATCTTTCTCTATCTACACCTTCTTGTTCTTTATATTGATATATATCGAACGTTTTGATGATATTTACTCTATCTATTTTAATTTGTGATGTATTGTTTGGTTGATGGATGGGAGTGCTGGATGAATGGACTGATTAGACGAGTGGTATTTAACCACTCTCTCTCTTTCTCTACTTATTATTCTATATACTATATTTTAATATCTTATCTTCTCAAAGTATGTAGTTTGAATGATTCCTTTGAATGAATGATTGATAACGACTTGTTGAGTTGATTGATGATCAATGATCTATCTTCTTTGTACAAAGAATCAACGAACCTATATATCTTTCTCTTCTCTTCTCTTTTGTTTCTTTGTGGTGTGAGTTGATAATAAACGACGTCGTTGTTGATGATGGTTATCTATCTCTTTTCTCTGCTGCTCACTGATTTGCCTCCTCAACTGTGAAAAATAAAAAAAAATTATTTCAACAACTTTGCGATTGAGTTATTGTTATTGGTGTGTTCTTCCTTCTTTTTCTCTGATATTGGTAACAATAATAAAGGGTTGTCAGTTGGTTTGGTTGGTCTGCTTTGATCGATGAATGAGTGAAAGGATTCCCACACCCACACACTCACACACACACGCTACCTACCTACTCAATGATAAAGATAAATAAGGTAACTAACTTATTATTAATACTACTCTTAGCTATCTAGATATATATATATTATTGTGAATGATGATTATTCTTGCTCTATAATGAAATTTAAATATATTGTATGATTGATTGTATTTTTCTCTAAGAAGTAATGCAAGTCGATAAGCAGCAGCACTACTTGCAAAAAATAGTAAGAATGATGATTCAATCAATACAATATTAACAACAAACTCTTACTCACCACAACCACTCAATCACCTCCACACCAACTCACACTCACCTCATCATTCAGTCACACACAATAATAATAATAAAAGTAGATGAGAATGAGGGAGAATCGAGGAGAGGGGGTCGTCAGCCTGAAATAAACTCTTGTGGTTGTATTGAGATTATCCTCCTCATTCCTTTCTCTTTGAAACGACCTATTTTGAATATACAATATATTATCTCAATCCATTCTATAATTCCATTTCCATTTCCATTTTTGATCCTTTTGATAATTTTGGACCAATATTATTATGGTTACAATCACAATTTGATGAACATCACAAGTTAACAAGATTATTATTTGTCGTTCAAGAGAAACGATCGATATGATGGATGTAGTCTCTTATCTATCTATATATGAGGGGTAGTATACTATAAATAATTTATTATCGTGTAATGTTTTTATGGGGTAGGTAGGTTGATTTTTTAATCTGTATTATATTGTTACTGTTACTATTATTACTGGTTTGGTTGAGTTTGATTTATGATGATGAGTGATTGGTGATGATTTGTGGATTATATTATTATTTAATTATATAATTGAGATTCTCTTTCAATTAAAGTTTTGTTTAATGCAGTTGCCAAATATTTAAACCATCTGGTAGCCAAAGAGGGATTGAGATCAAAGAGGATATTTACAAACTGTCCTTCGATGGCATAGATTTCAACGTCGTGATTGTCGGCGACTACTGTGGCGGTGACTTCACCACTCAATAAAAATGTAATCTCTCCAAACGTTTCGTCTTGTTTCATTGTTCCGAGTACCACTGTCTTCCATTCACTGCTAACGTGTGGATTGTTGTGTTGGGTGACTGCCACTGTCTTTTCGATTCTACACACTCCCTTTCCAATTTGGAATATCTTTTGGATACGATCGCCTTGTCTAACAATGGGTTCGTCCTTTTTGTAGATGGTACAACGCGATCCCTCACGTCCAATCAATTCCCAATCTTCCTTGGTCAATTGGTCGGCTGTCGACTTGTTCTTTGGTTTCAATGTTGCGTGTTGTTTCTTTCTCTCTTCTCTCAACTTGATCTTGAGGTCATCGGCAGTTGATGTCGTTGCCAATTTAGCAGATTCACATAAACTATTAATAATTCCATATGCATCTTGTCTATCTTTGGTTGATGTAAATGTAAACTAAAGAAATAAAAAGAAAAAAAGAAATTAAAATTAATTAATAAACAAATCTATTATTTGTATTATAATAATTATTACATACTCTATAATTTCTTTGGGAACTACTTTTTAATCTTGATAAATCTAAAAAGGTATTATTTACACAGAGAAGGTTTTGGATTTGTTTGAATGGGATAACCTTTTTGGTTTTGTAACCAAAGAATTTAGAGTAGAAACAAACGTGTCCTTGTGAGATGTATAGTCTTCCAGAACGATTGAGTGAGCATGCATAGTCTTTGATGACAATTTCATCCAATGAGAAACGTTGGTTGAATTCTTGGTCGGTCTTTTTCTCTTCGTTTTGTTGTCCACCCTTGTTGGTGTTGTCGTTTGACTTGTCTGACGATGCTGTGTACTTGAGGTTGGCTTGGGTTGGTGCACGAGAAACGCTGCCGCTACGGGCACCTTCATCTCTACTACGTGGAGTTAGTATGTGGCTAAGTGGGCCGCCGCCGCTACTGCCACTGCTATTGTTGTTGTTGTTATTACCACCAAGACCAGACGTGTTAAAGTTGGAGACAGTGTTGGTACGGTGCTGAAGATGTGGGTGAATGTTGGCAAGGAAGGGGTTGGGAGCAACTGGTGTGCGTGGGGAAGCTGGTGGTGTGGACGTGTTGAGGCGGTCGAGCGCGATGGACGGCACGACGAGGGGAGGGGGTGGGGAGGCCTCCTTGGCAAACGGTTGGAGGAAGGCTGACGAGCCAGGCCCGCCACCCATTGATCCAAATGATCCAGCACCGCTGTTGCCTGCGAGGGCACTGACGAGTGGCGAGATCATCGAAGGTGGTGTCGAGGGGGGTGTACCGGACGATGGGGTGTTGGCGGGTGGCGACGATTGGGGTTTCGACCATGGCAGGTTCTTGAGACGCGATGCAAGCTGGTTGGCCATAATCTTGTAAAACTTGGCACCTAGACGTGGATGCGACACAAACAAGCTGTTGAGGAAGGGAATGTCCATCACGTAGAGGTCAGCAGTCTCATCGACGACGACACGGGCGGTCGTCTTGTTGCCGAGGAAGCTCATTTCACCAAACATCTTGGGTGCGTTCATCGACGACACCTTGACGCTCTTGCCATCACGGTTCTTTTTCTCGACGCCAAGCACACCACTCTTGATACGGTAGAGGTAGCTGTTGATGGTGTTTTCTTCAATGACAACGTCGCCGCGGTGGTATGTGATGACAGTGGCCGACGTGAGCAGCAGCGACCAATCACGCTCGGTCAGCTCTTCATTGCCAAAGCCGAGCGAGTCGGTGTGGCGGGCCTCGCGTTCGTCACGGTCGTCCGATGTCTGAGAGGTGGCCGACTTTTCGGCGTCGTACTCGATCTTGCGCTCAATCTCTGAGAGACGGTCTATTTGGTTGTAGTCAAAGGCACGTGTCTCGGCGATATACGCTTGGTACCAGATAAGCGGTGTCGACGACAACATTGGGCGGTAGTTCATCGGCATCTCCTTGTACTGCTTAAACATCTTCATCTTTTTCGAGAGACGACGCATACGCAGGATATTAGTCATCTTTTCACCGTTGCTCGAGATGAATGTCTGGTTCTCTGTACTCGTTTGTGACAGGTCGGCAATCAGTGCGCCTAAAAAGGGGATAGTTGGACAACTCGAACGCGACATGTGTGGGACAAGTGAAGGGTAGTTGCTCGAGTTGATCGCGGTTGGGTTCTGGTGCAGGATGATACGCAGTGGCTGGTAATTGCTCTCGCACAACATCAAACGTGACAGATCGATAAAGCAGTCCATGTACTTGGGTGTGACACGGGCCCATGACGAGGCGAGTCTTGCAATCGGCTCGGAATGCAGTGCTGTCAACACCTGCATCACTCCGTTAAAGTTCCACAGCGACAAGTACTCGAGTGCAATCTTGATGTATCGCTCAATCATGTCACCTCTGAAACGGACGTCACGTTGCTTGACAATTTCAGATGCGGCAAGGTTCGACATCTTGTTGAACCACTTGAGATACTGGTAGATGTGTGGGAAGTTGGCTTGCTTCCACTGCTCAATCTCGAGTGATGTCATACCGCTGTCATTGGTGGCTAGACCGACCGAGAACCCGAGCAATTCACGTGGATGAATGTCTTGCAAGAACTTGAGCTCGAGGAAGGTGTACTGCTGTGCAACAAGCTCGGTATCGTCGTCGAGGAAGGTGTAGTATTGTGTCTGACTATCGTAAAACTCAATCTTGTTACCACCCTTGAGATCGGCGACAACTGTGCCGTCTTCCGACAAGAGATAGATAAACTGACGTGTATGGAGATCCATGGCGACAGTCTTGGCATCCTCACGCGATGGCAAAGAGGTGATCTTCATGAGCCAGTCAATACAATCGGCGCCAGTAAAGCACTTGACCCACAACACAGCTTTGTTTTTAAACTTTTTCTCGCGGACTGGTACACCGTAGAGTGGGTCACGGATACCAATAGCAAGGTTGAGGAATGTCTTGGAGATGTTTTGCATTTGTGAGGAGGCACCTCCGAGGACTGGTGTAGTCGAAGCAGATGAAGAAGAGGATGATGGGTGGAGAGGGGCCATGCCATTCTTGATACGCAATTCCATCTCTATCAATGTCTTGGAGATATTCTCGTAGCTTGCCAAGATACCAATGATGGCGTTGGCGACAGGTGGTTCACTCACCAAACACACGTTGGTAAACTCAAACACCTTGTGGTAGAGCCAGCAAGCATCCTGCTTGTACTCGAGCTCGGTAATGTCGTTGCACCAACGCTTGAGGAACGACGACACACCCGATCGGATCTGTGGACGTCGCTGCTCGAATTTTTTGAGTGTATAGGCATCGCTCTTGTTGGGACGTGGGCCAAAGAACCGGCGCACAAGCATCTTGAACACTTTGGTCGGTGTCGTAAACGATCGATACACTGACAAAAAGTCGTCGATAAAGTTCTCGTCCAGCGTGCTCGTGGCACTCTGCACAGAGAGCGATGGGATGCTGTTACGGTACGATGTCGAGGATGAGGAGGATGACTGGGGAGTGGGCGACATTGAGGAGAAGCTGGGGGGTGGGAGGTTCTTTCCGGCAGTGTCTGAACGCTTTCTTCCGGTGGCGCCGGCGCTGCCCATACCGCTGGTCGACGACATGGACGATGTCGAGGCGGTCGATAAGGAGAGTGACGATTGTGTCTCGGACCGACTGTACATGGAGCCTGGAGCAGGCATATTTGACAGTATATTAGACGCCTGTGACAAGATCGAACTGGGGATAGGTTCAGGACGTGTCATGAGCTCAATCATCTTGGCGAGTGTCGCAGCGACAACAATTGAGTTGGAGCTAGCCTGTTCTTCGTCAAATCCAAAGAGGATGCCACGTTGTTGATCGTCGTCGCAGAATGGGTATGGCTGCTCGAGCTCCTCTTCAGTGTAGATATCGAGTGAGTGCAGGTCTTCGTCAGAGACGATATCATCGATCAGGTCTGATGACGAGGGTGAGTGGTGTAGACTGCCACCAGCGGCAGCCGATGACAACGACGATGAACTCGTGTTGGCAAATGTCTGTTGTTGCTGCATGGCAATTTGTCCAGGATGCTGACCCGATGACACGAGACTCTGTGTCGTCAGGACCGAGCCACCCGTGGGTGTTGAGCCATTGGACGAACCCGACTGACCACCGTCTTTGGTGGATCCCGTCGACACTGTCAAGTTCAAACCACCCGTGATACTACCCGTCAACATTGACTCTGAAAACGACGAACTACGCGACTTGCGCGTGGCCAGTCTAATGTGAGGTGGCAGAGTCGACTGCAAAGGAGCAAACTTTTTCTTGAGATTCGTCAGTGTCTCGACGACCGAAGTAAAGGTGGGTCTCGAGTTTGGTTCGTGCGTCCAACACGACTGGATGAGTTCGGCATACTCGGGAGGACAGGTTGTTGGAATAGTCGGACGCAATCCACGAATAATCTCGTCCTCCAACTTGGACATCCACTGACCAAACTGGAACTCGTCATATGGATGTGCGCGAGTGTACAACTCCCACAGGATAATACCAAATGCATAGACGTCGCTTGGCTCGCTATAAGCCATCGACGCCATCACCTCTGGTGCCAACCACAACGGCTGGTCGACGCAACGAGCCAACGCAGCACCGCCATACAACGCGGTCGATGTACCGTAATCGATGATGGTTGAGACGGGAGCAGGACCCTCGACAGTAGCATGCATCAGAATATTAGGTGACTTGAGGTCACGGTGAATAACCGATGGGTTATGGCTGTGCAAGTGTTGCATGCCCTTGGCAATCTCGCTCGCTATCTGTAGACGCAGACCCCAAGACACTTCAATGGTCGGGTTGGACAATAACGAGTAGAGTGAGCCATACTTGACAATCTCTAGTGCCATACACAGTGGTTGAATACAGAACCCACTAATCTTCATAATGTTGGGATGAGACAACCGCGACATCATATACACTTCGTGACGGAACTCTCTAAACACCTTGAGACGATCCTCCTTTTGTTCATCGGCCGACATATCGGTCGAGTTTTGGTCGTCAATGGTACGAGGAATCAACTTTTTGAGTGCGACTGTTTCGCCATTCCACTCTGCCTCGTACACGACACCAAATGCACCTCTACCAATCTCTTTGAGCAATTTAATCTCTTTGAGATCGAATCTTGGTCTTGGAATATCGAGCATTGCAATATCGGGTGCCAATATATCCAATTTCAAACGATGAGTAGTTCTTTCTTCATGCTCATCTGCCTTTTTAAAACAATTTAATACAGTCTTTCCATCCATTACTGCCAATTCACAATCTTCAATTGTAAATAATGTTGGATTTGGATCGAATAAAAATGTACATTCATAACAACTTATACATCTATAAAAATTAAATAAATTTAAAGGTTAATAAAATGGAAATGTATCTATCAATGTTTTTGATTGTTTGTTTTGATTTACCTTTTAATATCTAATTTATACCATTGAGATAATAAAGATTCAATAGTATCAGTTACAATACGAAGTAAAGCAACGGGGGTAGGTAAACCACGAACATCAACTGTTAGGACACGTTTTCTAGATTGATCACGTGGATGATTTGTTTTGAGTTCAATGAGTGCTTCGTGACCTGCGGCATTCTTGACAATGACAGCTCGCTTTAGACACGATTCCACCTTTACAAAGTGGATCAAACGGATGATCAACTTGCCAAAGAATTTATCTGGGATGAATGGAAGATGATATTGACGATTGAGACGAATGACATCTGGATCGTTGAAATCTTCCCATTGACTGACGATGTTACCAGTCTCGGCCAAAAGGTTGGGTACGAGATGACGGTCGTTTGAAGCACCTGCTGCATTGGTGTTGGGTGAGATACCAATGATCGAGGAGCCAGTGGTCATGACTGACGCCAAACTCATTGTACTGCTGCTGTTGATGCTAGACACTAGTGTTGAAAGACTGCTTGTGCTAGTTGTATTGAGATGGTGACCGCCGAGTGAAGAAGACGATGCAAAGGGATCGACGAGATCGTCACTCTTGACAAGATCGCCTGGAGAGAGCGGGTATGTAATCTCAAAGGCCTGCATGATGGCCAACAAGGCACCTTGTAGGTGCTCGGGGTACGAGGGTGACTTCCAAATGGCGGCGAGCTCACTCGTACGGATGATGCCGTTTTTGGTGAGTTTGGCAGTGATGAGTGCTGTGATGCAGTTGATAATCCACTGCACGTCGAGAATGATCATCTTGCCTACAGTCGAGTTGGGGTCGTTAAAGTAGACGATACTGCCAATATTGTGTAAGAATTCTGTAGCACGTTGGATTTGTACGGTGTCTTTGGGGTTACAGATGTTTGCGAGTGCAATATACTCATTCCACATCATGATGGGTGGGATACGCTTCTTGCGCACTTCAATGAGTGCTTCTTCGAGTGTAAAGAATGAGGATGGTACCTTTTCCTTGAGATATTTTTGTTGTTTGACAATGTCCTCGACGACTGATCGCAAACGGTCGACATCGTAACCGGTGGTGCAGCTAACCGAGATGATGGCTTGGATAGTCTGGAATGTCTTTTGGAAACGTGCGGCAGCCTGCTCGAGGATGAGGTTGACGCGACTGGTATCTTCGTAGGCGTCAATGTGCGTGCCGACGAGGATGATGGGTGAGGTGGGTGCGACTGACGTGACACAGTGCAGCCAGTACTCGAGGTTGGCCTCGTCGAGCGTCTTGCTAATGTCCCATACAATGACATGCACCGACCGCTCGCTCGCAAACAGCTGGTTGGTAGCTTGATACACGTCGTTGTTGGTGATATCCCATGTCGACACGGTGACGGTGCGACGCTTGCGGTCGTCTTCATCAAACACTGCGTCAAACTCGTATTGGTCGATTTCAATGCCCGGTGCAACGTCGCCAGATGCCGCGGCGGCCGCAGCCGAGCGCTTCTTGGACACTGTCGACGACTTGCCGCCGCGGATGGCCGTCACGACCGATGTCTTGCCGACACCAGAGTCGCCGACGACGATGATCTTGGAACGCAGGCATGGACGGGCGCCCGTCTCGAGCTCGCGCAAAAAGGCGACAATGTCCTTGAGACCCTTGGAGATGATGGTGGATGGCGGCGTGATGATGGGGTTCTGCTTGATGTTGAGCGTCTTGAGCGACGGCAGCGACGCGATCGACGTCGGCAGCAGCGTCAGCTTGTTGTTGGCGACCGAGATCACCTCGAGCTTGGACAGCTTCTCGAGCGAGCACAGCTGCACGAGGTGGTTGTTGTCGGCCTCGAGTCGCTTGAGGTTGACGAGGTCGCCAATCGCGTTGGGCAGGCTCACGAGACGGTTGTTCTCGAGAATGAGCACCTGCAGCTGCTGCAGCTTGCTAATGTCCTCGTCGAGCGTCTTGATGTTGTGATGTGTCAGCACCAGCTTCTGCAGCCACACCAGCGAGTATATCTGTGGCGGCAATGCCACCAGCTGCGTGTACGACATTTGAAACTCTGCGTCTATCGATATATTATTGTCTGCTGTACCCTGGTTTGTTGTCGTGCTTTGGCCACCGCTACCACTGCTCTGGCCACTGATCGTAGTGCCTGCGCCTCCGCCACTCGTCGAACCAAAGCCATGCACTTGGATTTGTGACCCTCCAGTGCCCATTATTTTCCCATTGTTTCCAACGCCCGCCGACACACTATTCGAGTGTCCCACCAACGAGCCGCTCGTGCGGTTGCCCGTGGCACCATCCTTGAGGTGTTGAAACGAAGGGTTGTCCTTGACATTGATGCTCATCGTCGAAAATGTATATTGCAAGCCGCCGCGATCGCTCGACGACGATGACGACGAGCTCGACGAAGACGACGCTGTCGACTGCAAGTTCTGTACATGCGTGACAATGTCATCTGCCGTCATAAACGTACCATCTTTCTTTTTCACAAGATTCTTGGTTATGAATTGATTGATCGCTCGTTCTGCCTTTATAAACGCCTCTTCCTTTGTTGGAGCAAATTGATACTCTTGAAATTTAACTTTACTCTTTTGCATTATGATCTTCTTCTTCTTCTTATTATTATTATTATTAAAAGGTTATTATTATTATTATTGGGGGGAAAACGAATGTATTCTACAGATATATTAAAAAAAGGAGAGGATGATCTAAAACTACAAAAGTAAAGGAAAATAACAAAAATACACTACTTTTATAAACAATGATCAATGATAAGTTGGTTAGTATATAATGATGGATGAATCAACTGGTGACTGATTACATACACTTTAAATTTACTAATTAATGAAAATAGATAAACTAAAGATTCACTCTCTAAAAGGATTGTTGTTGATTATATGATATATATATATATTATATTGTTGATATGATACTGTTTGTTAAACTAATGTACAATTATTTTCTTTTTTGAAGAAATAGTAGAGTAGTATCTAACCTAATGATAATAATAATAGTAATATACAAGCAAACAAATAAGGTTAGTTTAAACAACAACAAAACATAAATGATGATCTATTTCAAAGAAAGATTGATTGATTGATGAACCCACTGCTGTGATTAGATGGATTTGAAATTCTTTTCTTCATCGTTATGATGTGTTGTGGTTGTGTGTGTTGAAATGTCAGTCATCTGCCATCTGATTGTTGTTGTTGCTTGTGAGTGATTCGATACTCTCATCGAGAAGGTTGGCTCAATCATCAACAATCAATCAATCAATCAATCAATCAATCAATCAATCAATCAATCAATCAATCAATCGATCGATCAATCAATCTTTATCTATGCTATCTATCATTTGAATGAATGAATTCTACCTACTCTTTATATGTATGTCTCCACTAACTACCGTCCGTATGGTGTTTACTACTACTACTACAATATGCCTCTCTCTCTATTTGTTGTTGTTGGTTTTTAATACAACAACAACAATGAGTTGGGTAGCGTGTTGTGAATACGCTGTGTCTGATGATGATTGTCGATGTATAGAAGAATCTCTCTTTAGGATAGGAAGGATAAATATCTGTTGGTGTTCTCTATTTATCTTCTCTCTCTCTCTTTCTATCTATCTATCTATCTCTGGCAATAGTTGTAGATTACTTCTATGTTGTTGTGATGTGATGAAAGTAAATAAAGTGTCAGTGGTTCACTTTGCAAGAAAACCTCAGCAGACAGAAACGGCTTGGTCAAGAAGCCATCCAACTCTAAAAAAAAATTTCAAAACAAACGACCTGCGAATTTGAAGCATGCTTGACGGTGGGATCGAAATCATCTTAAGTTGGATACCCAGCCATCCTTCACATAATCATCATTGTTAATGTACACCACGAATAATAATACTCGGTTCGATTGATGATAATACTAGCCAAATAGAATTATCTCCGTCATCGATTGATTGACACACACAAACTAAAAAAAGATCTTACTATGCCGATCTTAAGATTCCAGATATACAAAAATGGTTTTGAGATTAAATTAGTGGTATATCTCCCTCTCTCTGTACATCACATAATTAACACAGACTATTATCTCATTGAGAGTTTCATTCAATATATATTACATGGATATATAAATAATGAATGACAGTCTTTGAGAAAAGTAAAGTTTTATGGGCTGCAGCCAACCGATAAAATACAGACATCCAAGATAAGATATTAAAAATTGATTTTTATAGGCAACCCATAGCAGCATTGGCAAAAGAATCATCCTCCGCTGCACTTTAACTTTTTTATTATTTTTATTATCAATAATTCTTTAACTACCCAAGATAAGATCCGATTCGAGAGGATCATACACTCACTCACTCTATCATCATTTCTCTATCATTTCTTTTGTATTAGTAGTAAAAGTAGTAGTAGAAGTATTAGAGGATCTATACATCGAACATCGATCCAATTAAATAGGGATATATATATATATATAGAGAAAGAGAGAAAGAGATGAAACTAACAATAGAATACAACAAAAATTCAAAAGCATTGACATATGAGACATCGACGAGTACACCCATTGATATCAAAGATTTGATTACAAAGATTGCTGTACTATTCTCTATCCCTCTCACACCATCGATATCTCTCGATTATCATCTTGCAACTATTCCAAATGGAACTGTTATTGATGTATGTTATAAATAGTAGATACATCTATCTATTGTATATAGTTTATTAACTATCTATCTATCTTTTTAATAAAAGAAAAACAATATTGGTTTAATTACAGATGGATGTGAATTGTCATTAAAGAGTACAACGATCAGTAGCAGAGGAACTGCACCACCACAACAAACTGGATTCTCTTTCATCAAAGGTGAGAGAAGAGAAAGATTAAATAGTGTAGCTCAGAATAGTTTCTTGGGTGGATTTGGTACACATCACAATAATACTGCTACTAATAATGCTGCCAATACATCACCAACTTCGACTAGTCCTTCTCCTTTATCTGCTCCATCATCTCCCATCCCAACACCATCATCACCACCACTTTCGTCATCTGGTACAATCCACAATCCATCTCTATCACCAAGATCACAAACTGTTGTCCAAGGACCATCTTCTGCTGCCGCTGCACCAGCACTCAACCTAGGTGGAAGTAGCGGAAGTATCCCAGTATCATCTTCATCTCCATCATCAACTACCCCTGTCATTGCAGGTGCCAGTGGTGGTGGAAGCAGTCATTCACCATCATCTGCTAATATCAGCGGACCAACCATCGACTCTATCTTGTTATCACTCAACGACTTGTCTTTAAAGAAAAAGGCTCTTTTCGATTTAAAAGAAGTATTAAAAGTATGTAATATAGTTAAAGAGAGAGTAATAGATGATGTATACTTGAATATAAACAGTCTAATGTTGTTGTTGTTGTTTCTTTCTAGGATGACTCAAATGTTAAAAAGTTTATTGAAAAGGATGGATTTGTATCGATTGGTGATCAACTGGGAGAGTTGACTGGAAATACGTTGTCATATGCATTGACAGCACTTCAAACTGCAATGCAATCGGATGCAGGTGCCAATACGGTCAATGCAACTTTGATATCTAGGGTGTTACCAATGTTGGATCCCAACTCTAATCCAAATATTCTAAAATCCGTCCTATCTATTCTTACACTCTACTGTACTTTAAATCGTGGTGGATACCAAGATTTATGTGATAACCATTTCCCACGATTCAAACTTCAATCATCATCAACATCACAACCACAACAACCAACAACCATTCCATTAACATCATCTGTAGATAGTAATGGAAGTGATAAAGAGAAATCAAACCCTTCATCTAAACCAGTTAATATCTATTCAGTAATTGTTACATTGTTATCATCATCAACTGTAGATATTCAATTAAATGCATTGGCATTTATCAATTCAATTGTATCAAAGGCTATTAGCAAGGATCAAAATCAAGCACGTTCTCTCATTGATGAATTGGATACCCTAGATATCAATAATAGACTTCGTAAGATCTATGAAGGAATTGTATCACAAGAATTAAAAAAACAAGTGTATTATTATCAAGTATGTATAAAAAAAAAAAGATAATAATAATTATAATAATTTCTTACTAACTTTTTTTTTAGAAACATAAATTAAATTTAATGAAAAGTAGAAAGAGTATAATGTATAGTAAAGAATCACCAGAACATGAAGCATTGTTGATGAAATTATGGACAACCACATTCCCAGATGTAAAATTGGAGAGTAGAGTATCGGAACAATGGAAAATACTTGGATTCCAGGGAACCGATCCAGCCACTGATTTTAGAGGTATGGGTATTTTTGGTCTTGAAAATTTGGTCTATTTTGCAACTAGTCATAGTGAACAATTCAAAAAGATTGTTCAAACCAACATCGAAAGAAAAGAGAGAGATTATCCAGTTGCAGTTGCCGGTATCAACTTGACTCAAATGTTTTTAGATCAATTCAAAATCAATGAGGATAGTAATCCAGAATATCCAATATTCCCAGTTCTATTTTCTCATAAACATGCTTTTGAAGAACTTTATTGTATTACTTTTAATTTATTAGAGTATGTAAAAAGAAACATAAAATAATAACAAGAATACTTATTTTTATCTATCTATTTATAGTACAACATGGGATACAATGAATGCAAGTTATATGGATTTCCCAAAGGTACTTGCAACTGTTAGACAATCTACCGTTACAGCATTGGATAATAAACCAACTACACTGGAAGCATTCAATTGGGGACAACAATATGTTGGTGGAGCCAACAAGAAACAAAACCCTCATTTTGAAAAGGAAGAAGACGATCACTCACAAAGTGAAGATATCAAAAAACTCAAACAACAGATCAATACTGGCATCATGGACATTATGAAGAACCAAAAGGTCAGTATCATGCAAGAAGGATTGTTCTTTAAATTGCAACGTCCCATCAAAGGTGGAAAGGTGATTCAAACACACTTGTTTGTTAAATTGTCATCTGATTGCCAGGAATACCAATATGCATTCATTCCAGATCCATCCAATCAATCGCCTCCACTCGCATCGACACCATCTCAATCTAGTATACTATCCACTTCATCTTCACTATCGAGTTCTGGCACTTCCATTTCAAATCCATCTCAATGTGCAGATAAATCTATTCAAATTACAAATACTGTGAAATTGAATGATATTACATTCATTTCTTCAGATGTAAAGAAAGATCAACAACAAAAGAGAGACAACAAACAACAGAATGAAAAGAATATCTCACATTACTTTTCAATTGTCATTGCCAAAGAGACCACGGAATTATCATCAAATAGCAGGGACGACATTGCCAACTTTATTGATTCTTGTAAAATCTTAACAAACAAACCAACAGAGTGTGCTGAAACTATCGAGGTAACAAGAAGAATAAGAAGAAAAGAATCATTGAATTGGAGAATCAAAAGAGAGAGAGGAGGTGAAAATCACCACCTCAAATCGTTTCATTAATGAAATTGGTGGGGGTAGATAAGATAAAGATAATCTCCTCCTCTCCTCTCCTCTCACTCTCCAATGAATGAAATTATAATGATAACCGTTTTATTAACAACAATCTTTCTCTCTCTCTATAGGAATTAAAAGTATTGATGGATTTAAGCTTAAAGTTAAAACTATTGGAATTGGAAGGTATTGATTTACCAAGATGTCCACCACCTATCCCAGAACTACCCAAATAACTTGTTGTTGTACCCTATACCGTGACGGTCGTTGCCAATCTTGTTGATCACTAGCCAGCGTGTGTGTGATACCACCGTTCTCTTTCTTGTACCCCCTATCAAAAAAATGGGTGCCCTTTAATAAAAATAAAAAAGACAACACCCCAAAAAGAGCAAATATTTAAATACTAGTGGGCTGGGAAAACTCAACCCCAAATGAGGTCGACCTATTGCCCCCCTTTTTTGCTTTGGCTAAAAACTGTTCTTATTTTAGAGAGCTGGCCTGTTTTGAAAAAGAACAAACAAAAAAGAATACTCTTTGAATAATATTTTTAATAACCCAGAGTAGAGTAGAGTAGAGCAGAGTATACCAAGTAGTAAGAGTATTACTATTTATATCATAATATCAATATAATCATCACTCAAATCAAAAAGAGAGAGAGAAGAAATAGTTTAGAACATTACAAGGTAGGTTAATCACATGATAAATAAATATCATATGACAAATTAGATTACATGTTGTAAAAAAAAAAGAAGAGAAGAAGAAAAGAAGAGTAAGAGTAAGAGTAATGAACAATGCTATGTTATCTCTTGGAGTTGGAGTAATAAGATAGATAGACAGAGAGAGACAGACAGATCACCCATCCACACACAAATAGAGACAAAGACAAAGAGAGAGAGAGAGACATGATACACACGCACATAACACAAGTTGGATGACAGTATTTTTTATTATTATTTATTTAAATTATAAATAATAATAATAATATTATTATTATCGTGCATGAGCTACCCCCACACTCTTTGCACTACCACCACGCATACACATACACACCCACGCCATGGCAGGCGATGTTGTGTGCCCACTTGGGGGTGAGTAATAAACATCCATCCACCCACTCTCAGTCGCCCGTCCATCCATACTGTGTTGTTTTTTTTTATTATTGCGCGCAAGCTGGCAAGTACTCCTACTACTGCTAGCCGACCAAACTTAACCTATTAATAATTTTAAATAATAGATTAATATATAATATTATATTTCCTCCTCCTCCAATTCAGTTCTCAAAAAAACAAAAAGGGCATACTTGCGTCCGCACACCAACAACAAAAGAAAGAACAATCATTTCACAGTTTTCTTTCATTCGTTAATTGCGCACCCTCACCATTTGTTTGTTTAGTTTGGTTTCTTTGTTTGTTTGTTTATATTATAGGTTTACATCATCATCATCATAATCAATCTATCTACATTAACTAGCCATTAATAGTCAATAGCCACACAACAAATAAACAAACAACAACAACAACAACAACAACAACAACAACAACAACAACAAACATATTAATGCCTTGATTTCAGATTACTATAATAGATAGATAAATAGATAGACAGACATTAGTAACTTCAGACAGACAAACAGACAGACAGTTAGATATATCGATATATTCTATAGTTCTCCGGCAATCCCTCCCATTGATACGGCCAATCAATCAATCACACTCATACACACATTACACAAAGCTTTGACACAACCATGATGGACCATACTCAAACCACAACGGCATCAGGTTCCCTACCTACCTACATGTCCTATCCATACTCGAATCCCTTTCTAGCTCAGCCACCACCTTCAGCAGGACATCACATCATGATGCAAATGAAATTCTCAAGACAATGTAAGTTTCCTCTCTTGCTCTTCTTCTTCAAATCATCAATCTTTGTTTAGTAGTTTCAACTTTGGGTAATCATATATAAAGACAACAACAAAAAGCATTCATTCAAAAAGAATAGTATCTACCTTTGGAAAAAGGTTATATGGGAACTCTACTCTCTATAGAGAGTTTATCAATCAACACACCATATCAACAACACAACAGTAATAGTACCCAAATCGTAGTGGAAGAGAGTTTTAAACACAGTTTGTTATAGTTCGTTTCACAACGATATCAACAAGAGGAAGATGTGTGAGTGTGTGAGTGTGTGGTATATATGCATGACAATCCTGCCAATTGACAAACAAACATCATGTTCATGAAAATCTCATTCTTATACCCCACCCGATTCAAACAACAAAAAACATAAGCAGCTCGTTCATCTCATCACCCCCCCCCCCCCCCCATTTATTTGATAGGTGGGGTGTAAAGTGGGTTGACATTGACATGGAGGTGTGGGTGGGGGTAGATCCAATTCGACACACAATTCAAAGATTTAATCAAATTAAAAAATTTGATTGATTGATTGACTGATCAATCACACACCCACCCCACACTTATCCCATCCATTCAATCAATCACACCAAATCACCATACTATACAATTTGATATTAATGTATTTTTTTTTGTATTAGCCAAAAAATCATATCAAAATAATCATAATCATAATCATAGTTATGGAGCTCCATCATATCCTTATCCATATCCATCGGCGACTGTTAATGTAGGTGGAGCACCAATATCACCATTTGTAGTGGCCGACTATGGTATGGTTGCTGAAAATGGGGCTGGTGTACCACCAAATATAATGGCCGATATTTCCAACACGGCTATTAATAATGCCAACATCCACCAACAACAACAATCCATGTCGTCGGCATCTGCTTCGTCGTCGTCGTCTTCTGGATCGGGTAACAACCAAAATGTACATTCACAACAACAACAACAATTCACAAACACAGTATACTATCCCTACCATCAACCACCTCCACCACACTACCTTCACAGTCACGCCAACGGCACCTCTCACTATGGCAACGGAAACGGCAACAACAACAACGGCAACAGTAACTCGTACAACAACAAGAAAATGCATCGCAAGAGATCGGTCAGTGACAGTGCCACTGTCAAAATGACACCCAAGCGCGAGTCGGCGACTACCGCGTCATCGTCGGTGGCAAGAGACAACCAACCTGCCTTTTACAAGGATATCGACCGTGAGATGCCGATCCTCATGAAACAATACCTCGCATTCGTCGACTCTGATGCCGATGACAACCCACCTGTACAAAACCCCAAGCATATGGTCTTTCCAGTGTTCAAGGACTACTTGAAGGATTTCAACATCCACCTTGACGAGAAAAAGAAAATAAGTGATAACCAGAAAACAAGATGGCAAGAAATGGCTGAAAAATTATTTACAATCATCGTAAGTCAAGAAAGAGAAAATATATAGTTATATAAGTTGATCAACCCATTCATTGACACATATCCTATTTATTAAAAAAGTTGGAATTACAAGATACTTTTCATCCAATTAAACATCGTGCAAGATTGTTACAACTTCAACAAAAAGCAAAACAATCAAACGAAAAAGAAATTGATATGATTATCAATAACTATCTTTGTACAGTAAGCTAAACTAAATATTTAATTTTTAAAATTAATTAATTGGAAATCAATATCAATTTGGTTGGTAAATATTTTTTTGGAATAATAATAATTCCAAAAAACAACAAACAACAAAGATCTTCTTTTAATAATAATAATAATAATAATATATATATCTATCAAATAACAACTTTTAAAAAATAATAATAATAATAATAAGACGAATACTATAACTAATAATAATCACAGCTAACCAACCATAATCACACACAAATAACAACAATCGATAAATCACTTACATGTATATTATTATCGACAAACTTGATGTAACAAATTTTGTATAATCCAAACAACAACACAATTAACCAACCAACCAACCAAACAAATCCAAATGAATCCATAGATATCATCGATCATCCAACCAGTTTTTAATTTAATACAGGTAATTTTTAAAAAGATCAAGATGATCAAGGATTCAATGATCTACCACCAACATATATATATTATAAATACGTATATAATTTCAGCAATATAATGATAATGATAATAATTAATTAAGCAACCACATAGTTTTCAATTGGCAACTATCAATATAGATGATGATGGACTAACTAATTGTCCATTCATTTCATATCTCTTTTGCTGTTCGCTCTTGAACCCCCTCTAACAAAGGGTTATAACTATCAAACAATAAAACTAGTTCATTCTAATCCATTCCAAAATAACAATCATTTTTTGATGATTTGTTGTCCAATCTATCTAAATTGTTTGGTAGTAATAAACTCTTTCCACTAGTTTATTATATTATTATTATTTATCGTTATATTATTATTATTATTGTATCGATTATATACAAGTATTGGTCGTGCACATGTGTTGAGTCGTAGTAGTTGAGGTTGATGTTACTACTTTTTTTAAAAAAAAAACTATTATATATTAAACATTATCTATCTATTATCGCGTTACAATTGTTTGTTTGCTTATTTCTTTCTTCTGCTAATCTTTTCTTCCTGTAAAAAACGAGTTTAATGATTATTAATACAACATGTTGTTTCTATCAATGATCAAAGATCATTTCTTTGAGTCTCGTCACTATCATCATCATCATCATCTCTCATTAATGATGATGACTATCTATATGATGTTGTTTGCTGTTGCTGTTGGTTTAATGATCATACTTTGAATAAAACATGTTGTTTAACGACAGGGTCATATTTTCTTAATAACAATTTCTTTGTATTCAATTTAGCGCTCTTTGTAGTAGTATAGTAGAATCCAGTATTTGCTAAACTGACCATCTTGATGATGACAGTGCTAATCTTTTGAGCTGGTCCTGCCATTCTTCTTATCTCTCTTGAATATGTCAATATATTATATAATGAATGAACAAATCTATTGTCACTCAGAGATCACACCTATGATGATGAAAAAGAGAGACGCGTCTCATATGATTTATTTCATTTTTCGATTTTTTTTTTCGTTTCCTTGGCATTGAAGTAATATATAACTAATATTCCAGTACAAAAGAATCTCCTTTGGAATATTAAAAACATATATATAAACTAGATCTATAAACTTTGTTGTCAACATACATGATAAATATAAAAAGGCAGGCTCCCTTTCAACACGAGCACCCAACTATGAAGAGTGACCAACAAACCAGTGTACCGTTTGTTGATACCTATTCGTAGTTGGGCACTCGTACGAGCGTGTTGAAGCTCCATATTTCTCCATTTGGTTTCTTGGTGTACTGGTTGAGCCAACCAACACTTATCAACTGGAAGGACGCCGTTCTCCCGTCACGCCTCTTCTCAAGAGAAATCAACCGATTTTTAAACAGGTCCCTAAACAGTTGCCACTATTTCACTATATCGATTACAGTTGTAACACAAACCTTTATATATTTCTAGTTTTCTCTTGAACCATATTAATAGTAGTCGTCCTCTCTAATAAGATCTTCACAAAAAAAATAATTTGAAATGATAAAACAAAAAAATAATTAAAAAAAATTAATATCTTTGAGGTGGCAGGGATTTCATTGAAAGGGATCGAAGTAATGCATCTATTTTTTATTCACCTTCATTCATTCCCACCTCACCACACACCCAATAGTAGCAAGCCAAAGCATGAGCTTTCAAGAAGAATACTATCAAATCAAAAGTGTATGTAAATATATAATATCAACTTCATTTATTCTCTGTTATAGATAGATAGATAGATACAAAGTTTAGCATAAACAACAAAGAACAATAACAAACTACCAACTATCAACTATCAACTTTATACAACATTTGATATTAATATAAAGAATATATATATATATATATATACTCTCTTCACAACACACACATATTAGGAAATGTCACAACTCGTAACATTAGCTGGTTTAATTAAAGATACCATCTCTATTAAAAAGGAGATCGACGATATTAGAGTTGAAGCTGAAAAGATAAAGGCTGAAATCGCCAAGCAAAAGGCTACCCCTGCCCCAGCTCCAGTTGCTGCTCCAAAGCCAACTCCAGTTGCCGCCGCTCCAAAGCCAGCCCCAGTTGCTGCTGCACCCAAACCAACTCCAGTTGCTGCCGCACCAAAACCAACTCCAGCTCCAGTAGCTGCTGCACCAAAGCCAACTCCAGCTCCAGTAGCTGCTGCACCAAAGCCAGTAGTTGCTGCCTCTGCACCAGTCTCATTCAATGGAGCTGCTGCTACCAGTGCACCAAAGGCAGGTGCTACCTTGCAAGGACCAAACCCACAAATCAAAGACCTTGTTGACGCTGTCAAGGCAAAGGCCAAGGCCGACAAGACTCTTGACCCAGCTAAACTCGAGGTATGTAATAGGCTCTTTAAACAACAACAATATCAAACCTTTCATCTACCCTTTTACTCATACTTTTGTATATTTATAGCTTTATTTGAGTGACGCCGACTTTTAGTTGTTTTGTCTCAAAACCGTGCTGATTTTGCCAAGCTTCCAAAGTGGAAACAAGATGGCAAGAAGAAGGAAGTTGGATTGTATTAATAGATTAACAAATATAGATAGAGAGGATTGAAAATAATGAAATAAATCATTGTAATTTAAAACCTACTTTTGGAAATAGTCTTTGGTTCACAAGAAGGGCAAACATATGATTGTTCCCTTACCATTTCAATTCTTTCGAATGAATAGAGTCTAAGCGAGCAAGATTGCCACCATCGTGGCGCATACCAATACAATTTGAAACAATGAATTCATCGGCAACCTTTCGTTGTTGTAACCATGACTTTGGCCATCAAAGCAAACCAAACCTGAAAGGAAATTTGAAGATCTAAAAGAGAAGAGGGAGGAAGAAGATACTTTGTATTAATAGGGGGGGATGAGTATGTAGTACATCAATCATGTTTTAAACAGATTCCTCATCTCCCCCTATAAACAACATTTCTTGAGAACAAAAGAATGGAAACCGATTGTGGCATTCCTCTTTCTTCAGGATTGTAATTTAATTTAATTTGACAAAATACAAATATTTCATTGACTAATTTCACTTTACTTCTGACTCTCTTCATTTTGTTTAAAGCATTGAGAGAGAGAGAGCTTATTTAATAATTAATAATATATATATACTTACTGACAATAATACTTACTATAATACAATACAATAATACAATACTGACAGTAGTACTACAAAAGGACAAATAATATAATATTATCAAGTCATTTGTTTCGTTTCGTTTCGTTTTTAAAAAGAATACATATAATAATATAATACATAGCAACTATGGGTTTACAAGATAATAACAATAATAATCCAAACAACAACAACAACAACAACAACAACACTATCAAGAGTAATAATGAAGTAGTTGTAGGAGCTGGAGATGGAGAGGTATTTACTACAGCCTCACCTCAACAACTTTCACCTCAACAACAAACGAGTGACATTGAACAACCATCATCATTGTATCATCAATACCCTTCAGTTGTAGGTGGAGACAATGATGAAATTCCATTCTATACTCCACAACAGCAACAACAAATGAATGGTAATGGACAACAACAACAATACCAATTACCAAACCAACAACAACAACAACAACAACAACAACAACAACAACAACAACAACAACAACAACAACAACCAGCAAGAGAGGTACTATCATACAATGTGAGTGGAACTAGTCCAAGCAACTACCCATTCTATCCATCTGTACCAGGTTCATCCCCACCAAATATCAATCATGTACCACAACACCAACAACAACAACAACAACAACAAGCATTGGATCCAAAACAACAAGCACAATTACAATACCAACAACAATTACAACAACAACAACAACAACAATTCTCACAACAACCACCACCACCATATGTTGCTCCACAACAACAATCTCCACCATCATATATTGGAGGACAATTTGCCTCACCTCCACAAGCCATCTATCAACCATTACCACAACAACAAATTAAATCACCATACCATAATGTAAATATTGTCTACCAAACAACTCCACAACCTGCCATTTTACCTCCAATTTTAATTCCAATCGATTCTGAAATGTATCCATGTTGGGGTCCTGATATGTATGTAACAAATATTATATAATATAATATATATTGATTCTAATTATTATTTATTTATTCTTTTTAGTTTTTTAAATGATCCAAAATGTCCACAATATGCAATTGGTACATTACCAAATGATGAATGTCATTTGATTAAAGAGAAATGTCAAAACTTGATGAATATCTATGTTAACCAAAACCATCATCACAATGTCGATGATACACTATTGGCATCGTTTATGGATTGTAAATCGTTAGAGTATTTGAATCTCAGTAGTTGCACCAACTTTAGTAATGAAATGTTTATAAAGGTGATTACCAAGTTGCCAAAACTTAGATCGATCAATCTCAACAAGTGTACACACTTGAATGATGCATCCATCAAGGCAATGGTTAGAAATTGTTCAAATCTCGAAGAGATTCATCTCAACGGTTGCTACCAATTGACTGATGACTCTGTCGCTACTATTGCCGACAAGTGCAAGAATATGCGTACTCTTTCGCTGAGTGGTTGTACTCGTATTACCAACCGATCCATTATCAATATTGCCAAACGTCTATCAAAGTTGGAAGCACTTTGTCTCAATGGCATCAAGTTTATCAATGATTTTGGATTCACCGAGCTCAAGGTACTCAACCTTAGTTCGTTTTACGCTTACAATACACTTATTACCGATAATTCAGTTTCAGAATTGGTACTGAAATGGAAGAATCTCGAAGTGTTGAATCTTGCAAAGTGTATCTTTATCTCGGATGTTTCCATTTCGACACTTGCTTTGCATTGTCCAAAGTTGCAGAAACTGTTCCTCCAACAGTGTAAGCGTGTCACCTCACAGTCTATCCTCTTGGTCACCCAGAGATGTAGTATGTTGCGTGTGATCCGTCTTGACGGTTGTTCTAATATCACCGATGAAGCTGTCGAGCGTCTCGAGGCACTCAAGAGCCTTCAAGTGCTCAATCTTAGCCAAGTCACCAAGATCAATGAAATGTCCATTATCAAGGTGATTGGCTCGTTGCCACAGCTCGACTCTCTCTACCTCTACTCGAACCCACGTGTCTCGGACCTCACCCTCACCCAGATTGCCTCGTCGCTACCTAACCTCAAGAACCTGCGTATTGACCAATCAGTCTTCCCAGGTGGTGACAGTGCCCTCTCTTCGCTCGTTCACCAGTGTCGATCTCTGCGTATGCTCAACTTGTCATACCTTGACCAAGTCAGCAACCAGTCGATCGCCATCATTGCCAAGGAACTACCATACCTCCAAAAACTCTATCTCACTGGTTGCAAGGGTATCTCTGACGATGCACTCACTTCTGTCTCGTCAATCCAAACACTTGAAGTATTGCGTATCGATGGTGGATTCCAGTTTAGTGAAAACGCAATGTCCAACCTTGCCAAGCTCATCAACTTGACCTCTCTCAACATTAGCGGATGCACTCATACCACCGACCATGTCATTGACCTGCTCATTTGCTATTGTCGCCAACTCACTCAACTCTATTGCTCCAACTTGCCATTGATCACCGATAAGGTCATCCCACCCATGCTTGTTAGCTTGGTCAACCTCAAGTTGTTGCGTGTCGACGGGTGTCCCAATATCTCGGACCGCTCCCTCAACGGTCTTCGTTTTAGCAAGATTCTCTACCTCGAGACATTCAACTGCTCGGGTACCTCGATCAGCGACCAAGGCATCTTTTCCATTCTCTCACACTGTGCCATCCGTGAACTCTACATGTGGGGTTGTGATTTAATATCCGACGAGGGTCTTCGTCTCATTACACCCTATCTCCAGAATCTCGAGGTGCTTCGTGTCGACCAATGCCACAAGATCACCGACAAGGGTATTCGTGTGGTACTCATCAAGACTGCCATCCTCAATACACTCAACATTAGTGGAACACAACTCTCTGACGACACTCTTTCCAACGTTGCAGCCTACAACAAGCTACTCAAAAAGTTGATTTGCAACAACTGTCCAAAGATTAGTGACAAGGGAATCGGCGCCGTCTCTATGCAATGCACCATGCTCAAGATGCTAGAGTGTGCCAAGAACACTCGTATCACAGATACTGCCCTCATTGAATTGTCGACACGCAGCAAGTACCTCAAAAAGATCAACTTTTCCTCTTGTCCCAAGATTTCAAACACTGGTTTTATCAAGCTCAGTGTTGGATGTCCACTACTCAAGCAGGTCAACATCCACGAAACCTTTATTGGTGAAGTAGGTATTCTCGCCCTATCCACCTATTGTAAAAACATTATTTCTCTCAACGTCTCGAATTGCTCGCTCGTCTCTGATCTCAGTATCATTGGTATTGGCAGAGAATGTACCAATTTGAAATACCTAAACGCCAGTTTTACAAGCATTGGAGATGGTGCGGTCATCGAGGTTGCTGTTCGTTCAAACATTAATCTAGAGACTCTTGAAATTAGAAATACAAATGTTTCCGATGCCGGTCTCCAAATGGTTGCCAACATGTGTCCTTCTCTTCGTGTCCTAGATATCTTTTCCTGTAAATGGACTGCTCAATCAACTCATGCCATTTCAAATTCTTGTAGATTATTAAAAGATTTTAAATATTAAAAAAATAAATATATCTTTTTAATTGCGTTTTATTTTTACATACTTTGTTTGAGCATTTATAAATATTTACCTTTTTTTTTTTTGACAAGAGATACGGATCAATTGCCATTGTATTATTTAAATTGTTGTACAAGTGATTCAATAAACATGTTTGAATCATTTCATTAACCCAACAATTTAAATAATACAAGACAATTGATTGGGTTCTATGGCGACAGAGGACATTCTACCACGATATACCTTGAAAGGTTTTGCATTCCAATAACCAGATTGTCATTTCCGTCTTTGAATTGACATACAGGATGGAATTCTGTAAGGATAGCGTATGTTGGCTAGAACTGAAGGGGTGGAAGATATTTACATTTAGTAAGGGAGCGTAGAATTTTAATTTTAGATGTATGTGTCAAACAAATCCATTTCAATTGTTATATTCAAACCGTTGAGGGTCTCCATTGATGCCCATTTGGTATTTTTTTTTTTTGGACAGTGAAACACTGTAAACTAAACTATTTGATATAACAAAAAAACAAAAATAGTTTGGATTTGTGTGCAATATTTAAAGAAAAGCATTTTTGTTCTTTGAATAAATCCTTTTCTTTATTATTGAATAACAATAGTTCCAGTTGTTGGACGAATATCTTTAATCTTTTTGCTAAACTCTATAACCTTTTTTCTAATTTCATCTTCATTCATTGTTTGAAGTACAGTATTCTTTAATAAATTTTTTCCACCTACCCAAACATCAGTTACCCTAGAGAGAGAGTTTAAAAATCAATGATTAATATTTAAATAATAATAAACAACAAGTTGATTAATGAATTTCATACCTATTTGTACCAACATAAACCAAATGAGAAATAGCATCATAAATGGGTGGACTGGTAACTTTGATGGCAACGATATCAGCAAATTTTCCAATTTCTATACTTCCAAGTTCCTTGTCGACACCCAAAGCTTTGGCGCCATTGATAGTAGCCATGGAGAGCATACGATGTGAAGGGGTGACGCCAGATGATTGAGGGTTTGGTTCCAACTCTGATTTGAGAGTCATATTGTAGCAGAGCTTGTCGACGAGAGCAGCACATCTCATTTCACTCAACATGTCCAAGTCGTCGTTGGAGGCAGCAGAGTCTGTACCAATGCAAACATTGACACCACATTTTTCCAATTGATGAACGGGGCAAATGCCAGCGACACCCAACTTGAGGTTGGATTCTGGACAGTGAACCACATTGACCTTGTTGTCAGCGACCAATTGACACTCTTCCTTGGTCAATTGGGTCATGTGAACGGCAATTAAACGTTCAGAGAGAACACCCAAACCATCGAGTCTTGCCAATGGTCGTTTGCCATTAAGTTTTTCTTCGTCGGCCACTTCTACGTGAGTTTCGTGGAGATGAGTGTGGATGACGAGGTTGTGTTTCTCTGACAACTCTTTTACACGAAGATAAGCTTCGTCAGTGATAGTATAGACTGCATGTGGTCCCAAAGCAGGACGAATCATCTCGTTGGACTTGTATTGTTCGATGAATTTCTCACCCTTTTCCAAATACTCTGCTTCATTGTTTGCATAGATGGTTGGGAACTTGATGATTGGTACAGATACAGTAGCACGCATACCACTATTTTCCATCACCTCTGCAGCAATCTCTGGATAATAGTACATTTCATTTGCATAGGTAGTACCGGTTTTGATCATCTCCAAGCAAGCCAATTCAGTACCCAACTTTACAAACTCTTCACCGACCCATTTCGCTTCAGCAGGCCAAATAAACTTGGTCAACCAATCCAAAAGACTGACGTCGTCTGCATAACCACGCAACAGTGTCATAGCACTATGACAATGCATGTTGAAAAATCCTGCAGTCAATATGTATTCATCCAAGTCAGAGTCACCAGCTCTTGCACCACCACCCAACTGTACAACCTCTTTTGCTTTGTACTTTTCATCTACTTGACTCTTTTTTACAATATCTACAATCTTTTTATCTTTTACTACAATCACATGATCTACGAGATATGTTCTTGATGGTACAATGGGTATAATATATTTTGCTCCTATTATTAAATCTACTTCTTCCATTTCTACAAGAATAATACTATATTATAATATTACGTAAAAAAAAATTAAAGATATAGATATATTAATGATGTTTGTTCGCACAATGTTGTAAACGAAAAACGACTCAACGAATGGAAGGAGTCAGATGTTTTTAATTTAATTTTTTACAAATATCCAAACAAACCGAATCAAATATATTTGATAATTAATAAATAAATTATATAAATTATATAAATAATACAGATGTAGTTGTTACTTTATTAATTGTTAGAATTGTTATTTTAAAATGATTTTGTTAATATTAAATAAATGTATTGTTGTTGTAGTTGTTGTTTTTAATTTGAGTTTGTGGAATAAATATAATTAATTGTTTTTCGTTTCTTTATGGTTCACCTTTACTATCTCTTTTAGATGATGATGATCTAGGAGTTTCTAGATTTTTACCATTATTATTAAAGATACTATTATCACCACTAGCTAGTATTGAGGAGACATTGAGTTCTTTACTTTCACGTTTTGGTTTGGTATCTTTGACGGTTAGGAAACCAGATTTCTTTTTTGGGTCTTTGATGAAATTTGGAATCAAACTAGATGGTGTCAAACCATCAAATAGAGATGAATCCTTTTCATTGTCGTACATATCTTCGGTGATGGTGAGTTGAGATGAATCATCATCTGCATCATCTTGTAAGATTTGATCCAACTCTGCCTCTTCGGATTCATTAATCTCGCCATTGATGTATTTCTCCATCTTGAATTGTAAACGTCTGTATCCTTGTTCCAACTCGTGATGGAAACTAATTTGATTCATTTGAATGTTACATTTGTTCAAATCCAATGCCTTTCTACAAAGTACCAAAAACTCTCTACACTTTTCCTCCAGTTTTTGAACATACAAATTATTCCAATTGACTCTTGAATTCTTTGATAAAAATCCTCTACAAATTTCTAATGCTCCTGCATTTACCTCTAAAATAAATATTAAAAATAAAATATAAATAAATATATATAGTTTCTTTTTGTTTTGTTTTTTTAAACATACGTAATAAAACAGAACCTTGTAAAACACCTTGAAGAGTTTTAATATTGACAGGTTCAGTATGAATTTCAAGTGATAATAATTTACTTCTTTGTTCAATCGTTTCAATACTGTTTTCAATTGGACTAATCTCAATCTCTTTGTACTTTACAATTGGATATCTCTTTAACATGTTTGGTGCAGTACAATCAATAGAAATAATTGATTTTCTATGGAATTGTTCTGTAATTGATCCTTGAATCTTTCCAGATAATGTAAATGGTGTAATAAATACAAATTTGGCTAATTAAAATAGAAATAGAAATAGAAAAAGAAATTAATAATTGATTGTTTGTCGCTTTTTGTCTTTTGTTTTGTTTCATACTTAATAAAGTTTTTCTATCAATATAAGCAATTCTTGGTTCTTCATCAGATTTTGAATCAAAATAGGGTTTAAGAGAAGTGATTTGAAGATATAACTTTTCTTGATCTAGGTTGGAAGGAACGATACGACCACTGTCAGGGAAGATGTTTATGGTTTCACCTAGTTTCTCACGGTAGAATGTTTTGAGACGTTCGGCGAGTGAAAAGAGATGAGTGAGTTTGGGTTCTTTGTAGACAAATTCCTTGCCATCGAGGTCTTCAAACTTGCGACCATAGAAACCAACACGATAATAACGACCGAGCATACGAGACTTGTTGTCGTTGGTCTTGATGATTTCCTTGTAGAGTTTGTGGCTTTGTTTGTAGTAACTAGAGAGCTTGTCATATTCACGTGTCTTTTCACTCAATGGAATGATGAGTTTGTAGAGGAGGATGGCAAACTCGTAAAACTCACCCATACGGAACTGGTTGATCGCTAGGATGACCGATGAGATGAGACCGGGGATGGAAAAGAGTGGTGATGTGCATACACCTTCATCCTCTTCGACGACGACTTCATGGAGCTCGGGTACAATGTTTTTAATGAGTGACGTGTCGAGACGACATGGCAAGAGGTTGTGTTGGTCGAGATAGGCGTGGATCAACATAGCAATACGAATCTTGCAAATGGCAGCTTCAACATAATTTTCTTGTGAGACGTGGAGTGTGGCCAGTGCGTCGAGCCAGTCGACTCTGATGATAGGCGTGTCAGAGTACCCATCGGCAATCTTGCTGTACAACTCGTGTATGGTCTCGGGATCAGAGTTTTCTTTGAGTTGGTTGACACGCATAGTGTCACGGATAATCTTGACTAGTTTGGTCGACATGTTTTGGATTTGTTGGCCAAACTTGTCAACTGCCTCGGTCACTTGTTCGGCTGACAATCCGGCTCGTTTTTGGCGGTCGATGATCGTGTCGGCCACGGCACCGGCCTCTTCTGAGCGACTGTACAACACGAGTGTCGCCAAGGCACGTTCGAGGTTACGGGCACCGACCTTGCCAAAGGCATAGTTGTCCGATGCCAACTTGGACAGTGCGATGGTCGACTGGATCTTGACACGTCCGATATTATCCACCTCTTGGTGGTTGTGCTTGAGAAGCGTGTAAAAGAGTCCAGTGGCGTCGGTACGCACACTCAGAGTGGGTGAGTTGCACAGATAGAGCAGTTGCTCGCAAATCATGCCGCAGTAGTTGTTGTTGACGCGGAAGAACTGGTTTCTAAACTTGTGGATAAACGAGCGGACCGTCGAGAGGAGTGCACGCACCACACGATGACTCTGCTTCTTGGAGAGCAGCGAGATGATGAGCGAAAAGAGCTTGTCAAAGATGGGCGACGACGGGTCGGTGAGTTGGTCGCGATACGTCTCGATAAAGTCTTCGATAAAGTCAATGGCAATCAAATTGGCCTCTGCACAAAGTGTTGGCTCGTTGTTGGAGAGTGGACGCGACCGAGAGATGGACGGCGAACGTGTGAGTGTCTTGGGCACGTGGATAGAGTCCATCGAGGCAATATTAGAGTTGCTGCTGCTGTGGTTGAGTGCGTTCATCAGGAATTGAGCTGGAGACGGTTGGCTGACCGACTCGCGACGGTCACGACTGGTCGTGGTGACAGGACTACCGTTGGCGGGCGTTCCATTGGTGCTTGGGGGTGTGTTGGCGCCACTTGACCCGCTGGCACTACCAGTGTCTCTTGGCAACTCTTTACTGAGTGCAAGGGATGACTTGCTGCTACTATTGCCAGATACAAGACCGTTCATGTTTCCAATACTCGAGACTGACAAGAGTGGAGGTGTAGGGGTGTCCAAGTGACTCGAGGACGATGGGGGGTAGGGCAGCGACATGCCCTTGTCCTTTTCCTTGCCATGGTGCTTTTTGAGCAGCTTGGAGATGTGGCCGAGTGGGAGACCTCCCTCTGGCAAGATGGACATGGAGGGGATACTAGTAGTACTCTGGGAGATGGACGGTGATGGCATACCCGCCGACGAGTTCATGGCCGATGTGACAGCTGCGTGAAGAGCAGGTGGAACATTTCCAATCGACGGCATATGAGGTAGCGAGTTGGCCAATGATTTGGCAGGACGATACTCGAATGGATTAGTGCAATAATCAATCATGGTAAAGAGCGTGTTGATACGTTGAGGTACCTCTTTGAGCAGCCAATTACGCAATAAATTCTTGGACAGGTTTTTAAAGACAAACAAGATACTCGAAATAAGCAGACGTTTCTCTTCTGTACCAGACACGAAATACCAATTTGTAAACAACTCAAAGTTGTCCAAAAACCATAATATAATGGGTAGATAGATCGATGCGATACGTTCACGTTTATCAGCTGATTGATAACGACCGTCATACTCGTGTTTGATGAGTAGAGCGAGTAGAGTGTTGAGTGCAACACCTCTTACCTCGCTTTGTGTGCTAGTAACAGCTTCCATCACCTCGGTAATCAATAGACCGGCCACTGGATGCATGTCAATGATCTTTTGTTTGATTGTCTGTATATTGGTGACTGCGTAGGGTAATGGAATATTGATATTGATATAATGTTCATAGTCGGTAACAATCTTTAAGAAATCAAATTTAAAGAATGTCATGGTAGTTACAAACGACTCGTTGGCAGAACTAGATGTCCCTTGTTTCATTTCGCTAGTGTATCCAAACACCAAGTCAACAGTGATACCTCTATCAAACACTGAAAACAAGTCACGTACAAACAATGCCAAACTATTATTTGCCTCCAATGCCAACCTTCCATCTGTACTACTCAACACTGCTCCTTGGAAATGATGAATAATAAATGATATCAATTTTGGTACATATTTTATAAAATCTTGATCATATTTGTTTTCTCTTGATCCTTTAACTATAAAAATAAGTAAATTATAAAAAGAAAGTATTAGTATTTATATATATTTATATATTTATATATATTATATATTTTAAATTTTACATACTTGTATCCAAAGATGATAAAGTAATAGATTTAATAATTAAATCAAAAATAAACCAAGAAAATGAAAATAAAGTTGAATTGCTAATATCTGGTGATGTGGAATTACCAGATGCACCATTATTACTACCACTACCACTACCACTACTATTATTAATACCACTTGAACTACTATGTGGACTGTTATTTTCCTTTTGACTTTCCTTTGCACTTTGATTGCTTTGATACTTTTTCAACATTAAAAAGTAAACAAATCTAGAACAAAGTGCAGAATAAACTGGTATCTTGGTATCAGTTGGACAATCAAATACATGTGATATAAATGAAACTAAAAATGGTATTCTAACATTTGAATCTTCAAAATAATTTTGAATCCTACAAAATAAATAAATAAATATTAATATTTAATAAATGATTGAAGAAACAAAATTATAATTTAATCTCTTTTCTTTTTTTTTTTTTACATACTTTGATAATAAAATAAAGATTGCTTTAATTGCATTACAACCAACAGTTGCATCTCTATTACACATTACATAAATCAATTGTCTAATAATAACAGGGAAGAATTTAATTGATTCATATGCATCAATATGAATAAAATCATTCAATATCTAAATAATAATAATAATAATAGTAAAAAAAAGAGTATTATTAATAATTTGATTTCATTACTTTTACTTTTTTGTTTTTTTTTGATTTTCTATATTTACTTGATTTAAATCAGAATCTGATAATTTTTCATCTAAACTATTTAAAAAGAAACGATTAAGATAAGAGTTTTGAGGATAGATTGAAGAATTTAGACGAAGGTTAAGTTTGAATAGATTCTTTCCATTTTCCAAATAATCCAAATCATCCTTTTTGAGATAACCATCTTTTGGAATACCCAATACAACTGGAAGGTTGTGAAGACCATTATCTACAAGTTTCTTCTCACTTTGACCATACAATGGCAAGAATGAATAACCAACCAATTGTTCAGATTCCTCTTTTTCCTTTTTCTTATTACAAACAATATGATAATATGAAAATAATATATGATATTTTGTTGTTAATCTAAGATAAAATAAAATAAATAAATAAATAGATTAGTTTTACTTTTTCTTTTTTTCTTTTTCTTTTTTTTGTTATTTTTTTGTTTGTCTTCTTCTTACTGAGTAGGTAATTTAACTTTAATTTCATCATTAAATGATGGAGTTTTAGTATGATAATGAGTATCGGTATAAAATTGATTGGTAAACTTTTGATTTGAACTCTTGCCATAGATGACAGAGAGGGGTGGTTGAGAGACTGAATCAGAGTCTCTAATTTCGACTTTAATACAAATGTTTCTACCACTAGCTTTGCTGAGATTGACAGTGTCGGGGTAGATGTAGAGATTGTTAATGTAGGCGCTGTGAGGAATGAGGTCCTCTTTGAGTGGGAAACACTGTAATTCACGGATAACCGGAACAATGGCGTTGAGTGTCGATGTACGACTAAGTGAAGGTGATGGTGATGATATTGATGTATTCAACAATGATGGTGAGGTGACTGATGGAGTAGTCGTAGTAGCACTTGCCAAAGATGAAACAGAGATGGATGGTGTAGCTGATAGTGTACTTGGAACAGTCAAAGATATACCTGTAGTAGTAGGTGTCACCGAGATGGGTGGTGGAACAAGTGAAGCTAAATTTGGTGCAGATGTAGCATTGACCAGTAGTACTGGTGGTGTCAAAGAAGAAGAAGAACTGGTAACTATACCAGGACCAGCACTAAATCTATTGTTGTTGCTACTAATATTTGAATTTAAAGGTTCGACATTGATAACAGTATCAAAAGATGGATCTAGACGAGTAGTGTGAGGTGGTAGTGCTGTTCCCTTTGAAATGTTATAGGAAAAGGTACCTGGAATCGTTTTGAGTTTCTTCTTTCTAGTGGCATCTTTGAGATCGGCAATCAACTCGTCAATGTCGTCATTGTCCTTTGGTACCTGTTTGAATAACGAGTCGCTCTCGAATGCACCATTCTTGACATCACCGTTCTCGCCAGTCAATGGAATCGCTGAAAAGGAGAATGGTTGTGTGTATTTGCCCAAACGTTCACAAAACTTGGTGACAACGTCTGATACTTTGGCCTTGTTCTTTTTAATGACCTTTACATCCTTTTCCTCTATTTTTACATATGGTTCCTTGACTAGATCAGGGTCACCTTGCATAACCTTATTAATTCGTACCATCACCCAAATATCATTCATTTGTTTAACTGGTAATGAAACAATTAAATGTTTTGATTGTGTTGTAATATCTGCCTTTTCCTACAAATAAATTAAAAAGTAAGTAAGATTATTAATTATTATTATTATTATTATCATCATACATTATGTTTATCCAATAAAGATCTCAATTGATCAGAATTAAAATCGAAATGGAAATTCTCTGATATTCTACATTTGTTGACAGAGTCGTAAAGATATAATGTACAAAAGAATGGTTCTAAATCTCCCAACATAAATACCAATCCTTTTAATTCAATTAATACATTTACATAACTATAAAAAGTAAATAAATAAATAGAATAATAATTAGAATTTGAAATATTATTATTATTATTTTTTTTTGATTTATATTACTTTTGTTTTGACCAAATATCTTGAGGAGTTCTATTACAAATTGAAACTTCAGTACCTGATCCCCAATTATAATCTGGACGAAAATAACGAAAGAAACCAACTCTACCCTTTTTACGATTGGCTGTGTTTTCAGTGTCGGTATCTTTGTCTTGATAGGTTTTTAAAAGATCGTTTTGTATTTCATCGGCTGGTTGTTCGTTATGATTGGATGAATTTAGATTTAAATCAATCATTGGACTATTGGGAGGAGTTCGGTCAATATCAACATCATATTTATCATTGTCAAAGTGTGTTAGACGTTCTGCTTCCTTTTTAAATTTCGAGTAGTTTTTGATAACTGTCTTTCTAGGTGCTGCAAAACTTTCCAATGACATTTTAATGTGTTGATGTATGTTGGAGGGAGTAGTGGAACCACTACTGGTGTTGTCAGTGTTGATGGGAACAGTTGATTCTTTGGTTCTATGTGATTGTACAGTTTCTTTAATTGAAATGTCATCCACTGGATAATTGATGAGATGTTTGGCTAGTGGATCCATCTTTACGCTGTTACCAACCAATTTAGCTTCTACGTAGTGACGATATCGATGGAGGTGACGGTCAGCTGCTCCGGCATTGACACCGCTCATTCTTGATGGTAGCATGCCTAAACTGCTTGTATGAATCAGTTGTGGATTCGATAGTCGTGGTGTCAATCCTCCTCCTCCTCCATTGTCCATGGCAGTGTCAGACGAAGTGTCTGACAAGGGTGTTAAAATTTGTGGTGGTGGTTGTGCTGTAGAGTCAGAGGCAGCAGCAGAGGCGGCAGCCTGTAACAAGTTCTCGGTCGACTTTGTATTGTTTGGAATCTCTACCATTCTTTTAAGTGGTGATATTGCTCCTGCTGTTGCTGTTGATGTAGATTGATCCACTACTATTGTTGTTTCTGTCAAAATAGGAATTGGAGTGGTATTTTGGTTATTATCAGTATCATTGTTGGTGGTGATAATGGTTGCACCGTCAGCTGCTGCCACTGTTGGAGGTGTTGTAGCAGTTTCTGTTGGTGAATCATATGTAATGTCCATCATGGTTGATGATAATATAAATATGAATATATAGATATAATAATATATAGATGTATGTATTACTACAAAATAATAATAATAATAATTAGACCAACAATTCTACTTTGAGAGAATGTGTTGTCGGATGGATGGATGTGGTGTGTTAAATGAGGTTGTAGGAGGTACCTAATATTAGCCCCCTCTCCTATGTATGTGACTACGATGATGATACTATCTACACCGATTCAAAATAGTTGGTGTGTGGTGGTTGTGTAATATAAATAAATAAATAACAAGATAGATATATAAAAAGAATTGGAGATAGGTGTAATATTTAATTGAAAATCTAAAAAAAGAGCAACACTGCTAACATTGGGAGGGGCTAATAGTGCGACTTTGAAAACCGTTACACAAGATGATTTTTTGTTTTTTGAATTATGAGAGACCGCGGTGCCACCCTGTGCTCAAGGCTCAGCTGTGAAACAGTGTTAGTTGTTGTGAACAAACATTTCCTTTTTAAATGAGAAGAGAGAGATGTGGGTGATCTGTACTAGATAGATGAGGATGTTGATGGTATCAGTCTTTGTCAGTCTTACCAACAGTTTAGGTTTGAATCTCGATTATAGATTTCGACTCTTATTTTGCTTGTAGACTGCCACTTTTAAAGCTCTCTTTGTGTAAATATATATATTAAAAAAATAATAATAATATTATTATATTTTAAAACAACTTTGTTGTTGTTGTTGTTGTTGTTGATCCGTAATTAAAATGGGATATATATCTAGATGGGGATTGTTGTTGTTAATTTAAATTAAATATTTAAAATTAAATTCCATTCATTCATATGATCAACAATTAACAAGGAGGAGGAGGAAGAGGAGATAACAATAATGAATAAGAGGAGACAATAACAACAGACAGACAGACAGACGGACAAGAACAAGTCAAATGACATCCATCCATCTCATCAATCGAATCTATCATCAAAACACACACACAAAAACGAAATGCAAACATCATCGACTGACTACATACATTACCTACTCCCTACCTGTTTGTTTTTGTCCATATTACATCATGAAATTGAATAGAGTGGGTGAGTGGGTGGGTTATTGGTAGGTGTTAGGTTGGTTGTAGAATCGAGTACATGATTTACTAGCTATTGTCAATCTATTTTAGTATACAACAGACAACCAATCATACGATTGATAGACACCAAGTAACTAACCCTAACCCCAACCACCACACGAATCATCACTATCCATCCATCAATGATCATGATTTTATGTGGTACCACATTTCATGTCATCACCCACCCATTCATGTATTTGGAACTTCATTTATTAATTTGATTATATCCATTTGCAACTGATTAAAATTGTTGTTTTACTAAGTGTCATTGGGATGCACCACCAACCTTTTTGCTCTCGCTACGCATAAAAAAATTTTGGAGTTATGGTGCCCTATTCAGACATTCCAACGTTCTGGAGATACTTTGTATACCCTCTTAACCCAGCCAGATTCTATATCGAAGGTATTGTCACCAATGTTCTCAAGGATCTGGTTAGTAAGTAATAATAATAATAATAATAATAATAATTATAATAATAATAATAATAATAATAATAATAATAATAATAATAATAATAATAATAATAATAATAATAATAATAATAATAATAATAGATAGATTTACATATATTTACAATATTATTTTTTTTACCCAAATAGTTGAATGTTGGGATGACTTTGGTCCAAAGCTGTTCAATAACCTCAATCAGATCAACTCAAGGTTAGATGAGAAAAGCCCCAAGTCTCCACTTGATAAGGATACCATGTCAGTCCCCTCATCTAAACCATACACCAGATGACAGACAACCCAGGTACCGTTGTTCAATTTCACGGTGGCTTCTGGCATGGTGGTCCACTCTGTGTGACTAACGATCCAATCCTCCATGAGCAGAGATTTAAAAGGACTCTTGCTTCTGATACCGCCATTCTCGCAAAGTATGACATGATTATTGCATGGGAAATTCCAGTTGGCCATCGAATTCGTTTAGGACTCGAAAACTATGTGAAATCATATAAACAAGGCTACCCTATCGATATTAATGATTATGCCTTACCAGCATCAGCATCCAAAACAAAAAAAAAAGATGACAACAATAATATTTCCAAATAATTTTTAAATAAAACATCACAACCATTGAATAGTACTTTAGTTTGTAAAAGTGAAAGGTCTAGTATTTATTGATTAAATTTTAAAATTTTTGTTGTTGATGATTTTAAAACAGAAATAAAATGGTTGATTGGAAACGAACAGAGTCTATCAACAAACTTGTATGAGCCCTCACAATTCTGTCAATTAGATGATGGTAATAGTCTATGGATATAAAAAAGATATAAATCATCACAATCAATTCTGTTATATCTCATCTTCCAACAACCCATAACTATCATCTGGCTGGGTGCTTGATATTGATGAGAACACTTCTCTATCTCCAACATCCATCATCAAACATTACCATCCAACACCCACCAGCTTTTCCTTTTACAGCAGATTGTCCCACAAGACTGCTACAGAAATGTTCACTTTTCCAAATGTCTTTGATGGTTATATCTTTATCGTATCTATCTATTATCCTATTTGTTTTTTGATGAACAAAAAAATTTTATTAAATTTAAATTTATTTTTAGTTTGATTTGTCTTTATCTGTTGGCACGTCTAGTCAAATAAACAAAGGCAATGACGAGGAGAGTATTGAAAACCCAGAAACAGACGATGATTCCAAAGTTTCTCCAACGATTATCGGCAGACCATTCCAAGGTATCATAATATTCGGCACCTTCGTCAAAGGTACAGTAACCACAGTTGGCAGTGTCATTGGGATTGTCAAGGTAACCTGGAGCAAGATCGGTAAAGGCTTTGGCATACTCGCCGCAGGTTTGTCCTGGTGGTGCGTTGAATTTGAGGAGATCGGTATCGGTACATTTTACCTTGACGTCCTTGAGAATGTTGGTGACAATACCTTCGAGGTAGTATCTGGCTGGATTGAGCGGGTATACAAAGTATCTCCAGAACGTTGGGATATCTTTTGGTATCACCATAACTCCAGAAAAAAGGAAGAGGAAGACGATGAGCAATGGCACGATGATCATGGCAAAGAACATGTTGGCACAGATGGCAGCAATGACTTGACCAAAAGAAACAGAGAAGAAAAGGAAGACATTTCCCATCAACCAAAAGTAGAATCCACTGTCGGCATCGAATTGGAGTCCGACTGTCCAGTAGGCACAGAAGAAGAAGATAGTATTGGTGATGATAATGTATGGCAACTCTACAACGACGATGGACAAGGCAAATGGTCCCCATGAATAGTACTTGGATGAATAGTCACGTCTGAAATACTCTCTTTGAAGGAAGAATTGTGGGAGAGCAATAAAGATGAGCATGATAGCAAGGAAGATGGCTTGGAAGATGAAAAAGACACGTTGAAGCATATCCGACGAAGAACTTTGGATATTGTAAAAGGAGAAACCGAGTACGAGACCAGTGAGGACAGATTGGAAGAAACGACCAAACGAGTAGTATGGATCACGCCACCAGATAATGTTCATACGTTTGTAGACTTCCCAAAGTTGGTACATGGTGCTAGTGGCAAATTCACGGGCTGGTTCTTTGTTTTCGACAATGTTGGCAGAGCTATCTCTCATTTCATTGAGTTGTTTGGTAATGTCGGCGCATTCTGGAGAGGATTTCCAGGCAGCTGGCCAGTCAATATCGGTCTTTCCATGGACACCAGCACCAATAGCTTCGAGCATGTATTCGGCTGGATTCTCAGATGGAATACAAGCACGGACACCATGACGTTCAAAATAAGATGTCAAGGTCTTGCTGTTTTCACCAATATCACCAAAGTAGGCAGTCTTACCACCCTTTGCTAAAAGCAAGAGACGGTCAAAGTATTCAAACAAGACAGATGATGGTTGATGGATGGTGCAGACCAATGGCATACCAGCATCAGCAAGCTTACGAATGAATTTGATGATATTGTATGACGACTGTGAATCTAAACCACTAGTAGGTTCATCCAAAAAGAGAATATGTGGCTTGGCAACGAGTTCAAGACCAATAGTAAGACGTTTACGTTCTTCAACAGAGATACCAACACCAGATTCCAAAGAACCGATAAGAGCATCACCAAGATGTTTCATTTCCATCATTTCAAGTACGTGTTCGACATAGCTAAACTTTTCTTCCAAAGATACTGATGGTTCTTGACGCATCTTGGCAGAGAAACGGAGTGCTTCACGAACGGTTAAATGTGGGTTATGGACATCCATTTGTTCGACATAACCAGTAATACGTTCGAAATCAATGTCCAATGGTTTACCATTCAATAGAGATGTACCTTGAACAGTACCCAATGTCTTACGTTTGGCCAAAACATCGAGAAGTGTAGTTTTACCGGCACCTGAACTACCCATCAAGGCAGTCATTTGACCTGGTTTAATCCAACCCTCAACATCGTCTAAGAGGAGCTTTTGAGTCTTGTCTGGAAGTGGAACAGTGTATTTGATATTTTGCCATGAGAATTCACCACCTGGCATCTTGAGGGTATCCTTGATCTTGGCAGTAGCTTCTTGAACCATACGGATTTGTTTGAGTTCATCTTCGGCATCATTGATCTTGGGAGCTTTTCCTGGCTTGTAGACCTTGTGAGTGTAACCTCCAGATGTCCAATCAAACTTTTCCATGGCCCACATGTTCATGGCGGTAAAGAGTAACCACCAGAGGTAGACGACGCAAACGTTGAGAGCACGGTCATCAATCTTGAAACCGAGGGCATAGTCGAGATAGGCTTCACCAGTGATGGACATTTGACCTGGTGAACCACCTGGAATGGGACAGACACGGTAGGCTGGATCAGTGTACCCTGGACCGGCTGGGATGGCACTGCTGGTACAGTCAAATGTGGTGTCTCTAAATTCGTTGGCCATCAAAGCCTTGAAAGCATAGGCGACTGGATTGATCCAAAAGAACCAACCAAACCATGGCACTTCTTGGATCTTGGGGTAGGGGATAATGTAACCACCAAAGGTCAACATAAAGATGAGATAGACAGACATGATGTTTTGGGCAATATAGAGCGACGAGCAGAAATTACCAAACAGACGGAACAAGTTGGTGAGAGCAAGAGCGGTACCGATCAAAGTAAAACAGAAAATAAAGAATTGATCGGCCGAGTATTGCAGACCAAACATGAAATAGGCAATGATCGAGTAGAGGAATACTTGGACGACGAGAATGGGGATATCCGAGATGACTTGGGCAATGTGGAAGGCCGATGGACGGTACAAGGCGTAGGATCTGTGCTTTTGGAGGATACGACGACCAAAGAAAGTCATTGGCAACTCTCCCTGTGAAAGGAAAGCGTTCAACAAAAGACTGGCAAAGATGGCACCACCTCTGGTAAACAGACCATTGAGATCACCCTTTACTTGGAAAAAGATGGATCCATAGATGAATGATTGGATAATCAAGGAAATGTAACGAGAGCAAATACCAAACTTGTCATTACCAATCAATTGGAAATGACGGACGGTCAATGCCATGACTTGAGTGACAAATGAAGTGACGTATGGCTTGCTGTTGGATGTGGTACGGGACTTTTCAGCAATGACTTGTTCGGCAAAGGCAACATGTGGTTGTTCACGTTCGAGTTGTTCTTCAAATTCCTTGTGTTGTTGGCTGGAACGTTGGTATTGTGGGGATTGTAACCAACGAGCTTCAAAGTCGGCAGAGGTTTCTGGTGGTGGTACACCAGAGTAGTTTTCAGAGATCTTTCTTTCTTGTGGATTGGTGACACCAGTCAAGAAATCAGCTACCGATTTTCTTGGTTCACATTCAAAACCCATATCCAAAAAGTATTGTTTGGCTTCACCAATTGGACCGAAATAGATACATCTACCCTTTTCCAATACCAATACATTGTCAAATTGATGATAGATTGAATCGGATGCTTGGTAGAACGAAGCGATAGTGGTCTTGTCGAGTGTATCAGACATGATACGAAGTGATTTGGCATAATCGAGTGCAGAAGCAGCATCCAAACCACGAGTAGAACAATCCCAACATGTAATGGGAGCGGCGGAAACCATAGCTTCAGTGATGGTCATACGTTTACGTTCACCACCTGATAAACCACGAACCCATTCATTACCAACCATTGTATCGGCTTGATGTACGATACCAAACATATTGAGTAAAAGATTGAAAATCTTGTCACGGAATGTACGTTTAGTTTCATCTGGTAAACGTTGGCCTGGTGTCTTACACTTTAATGTAAAGTCAAGTGTTTCTCTAACAGTCAATGTTGGATGATGACAATCTTCCTCTGGAGTATAAATAGCTTCACCTCTATACTTGGACCATTTCTTTGATGGTAAACCACCATATGAAACATCACCCTTGATGGCAACATAAGATTCACGTTGATTTGATACAAGTCTAAGTAATGTACTACAACCACTTCCAGGTCTACCCAAAACCAACAACATTTCACCATCCTTTACAAATGCATTTATATTATGAAGAATTATCAAATGTTGTACCATTTTCTCCTTTCCTATAAAAATAAAAAAATTAAATAAATATTAATATTAATATTAAATTAAAATTGATTGATTTTGATTTTATGTATTTTATACATACCAAGAATATGGATTAAATAAATTAAAAAACCATTTAAGTGGAGTCAACATATCTGGAATAATTGAAGCATCAGCACCTATATTATAAAAAAAAAAAATGAATTAGAAATCAGATGATATATTATATATTTTTTTTTCTATTTTAATATTTACCTCTTCCAACTACGGTCAAGTCACGAATACTAACACCCATTTTCTTTGCCTTTGCACCATTTGATGCCAATTGTCTTTGAGAGTCTTCGAAATAGTTTCGAAGTTTAAAATCTTCTTCAGTTTCGGCTGGCCGACCTTCAACATCTCCATCCTCTAATCTTAATCTTTCGCTTTCCATTTCCAAATGGGCAGCCATCTTTTTGAATTCTCTAACACCCTTTTCAACATTTACTTCTCCATCTTGATTTTCTTCTTCAACATGTGGAGTATTATAATTTTCAGTGTTGTTATTATTATTATTATTATTTTGATTTTGATTATTATTATTATCTAATTGAATTTCTTCAACGATATCATCTTGATCTTGATTTTCATGATCAAGGTTTTCGTGATCTACCATTTTTGTTGATTGATATATTTATATATATGTATATTATATAAAAAACAAATATTTAATTTAAAATAGGTATTTACAAATAAAAGAAAGAAAAGAATGAGTAATCTATCTTTCTATCACTCTTTTGGTTTAAAATAGAATGATTCGATTGATTGATTAGAATAAAAAAAAAGGAATCGAAGGTTTCACGTGATAGAAACAAAGAGACCCGAGTGAAGTTGAGAGATATGAGATTTGATATTAATTATAAAAAACGAAAAAAAAAAAGATATTATCTATCTATCTTATCTATAAGTTATTATTATCTATTTCTATCTCTTGTTTGAAAGAAGAAACCGAATGAATTGTGAATGCTTGTTGGTCTCGGTTTTAAATAAACATTGATGAAAACAATGATAGGACCATCACCAGACAGCGGTCATAGCTCTTCCTTTCTACTCTAGTCTGAGCTCAAAGTGGATCGTACGCAAACATTACATTAATTGAACATGGTTTGCAGGATACACCCTACCCACATCCATAGTAGTGTCTCGATAGAGGGGGGTTCCAAAGATTGTGCGATCAACGTTGCCTTTACAATAAGGATAAAAATAAACAAGTGGCAAAAGAGAGGGAAACTCTCGGTCATAATGTCGATCTCTTACTCACCATCCTGATGCTTTCTATAATTGGGCATAAAAGCTTCGTTTGTTGGCGTTGGCATCAACGTTTGCGCAATCTCTGATATCAAAAGTCTGCAAAAAAAAAGTTGGGAAAGGACTATGTAATGATTACGCTCAAAAATAAAAATAAACTTAATTTAAAATAGAACCGAGTCCGGACTAGAGTAGTGTCTAGAATGCTACGAGTTTTGGAACCCCCCAAAGATACAGTACCTATAGTCACTTTGAGAGGGTATCTCGTTTCCTGGAAATGCAATGATTATGTGTTATGTTTGTCTCTCAGAGACATAGTGGTGGTGTTGGTATAGAGATGTAATTGGTACCGAGATCCTTTTTAGTTGGATGACCATGTAGAATGATAAATGCGTGTAGTTTAGCTCTTCCTTTCCAAGAACTGAACCGCTACAATGACAATTGTAAATAACAATCTTTTTTGTTATTGTTGTTTGCAACATACCGCAACATATTGATGCTCATCTCGTTTCATCTGTGTGCATCGTCACCATTGAAGATATCGATCATCTGACCAGTCGACAGCTGACTATACAACAATAACAATATACTTTTACTTTTATCTTGCTTTTTTCCTCTTTTAAGTCTTGTCTCTACACTTTTCTAAAGTACTTTATTAATATTCATAACAATCATTGTATCACGTGTTATCATCGTTGACACACATAGAATATTTGGTAGAGTATTTTCGGTTGTGTTCATTTTTTTTTTTTTTTTTTTTTTTTTTTATATTAATTTTTTAATAAGAGCAGATAAGGACATGTCTGGATATGACAGTCAAGATATTTAAACTATTAATAGATTAACACACAGTCATCCTCATAATCATCTGATGGAGGAGGTATGTTGCAAGATTGAGATGTGAGATCAAGAATTGTCCAGAAAGTTGGTATTTGATCAGGAGTCATCATAACCCGAAAAAGAGGAAGAGGAATACGATGAGGAGTGGTAGGTATGATGGTGATCATAATTGGTGGTTTCCATATGTCGTTTGGAAATAATTAATTAATTGTTTTTAAAAATAGGATTTATTTTTTTTTATAATGATTTTTTTTTTTTTTGAAAATACTGGAAATAATTATAATTTTTTGATTTATATTTTTTATCTTGCTGCTTTACGAGTTAAATAAACGAAACCAATAACCAACATTGTATTAAAGATCCAATAACAAACTAAAATACCAACATTTCTCCAACGATTGGCGGCAGACCAACCAAGACCTTCGTAGTATTGGCTGGCATGACTGAATTGACAATATCCACATGATCCATCATCCATTGTTGATACGTAACCAATAGCCTTGTAGTCGTTAAAGAATACATTGGTGTATTCATCACAAGTTTGGCCAGCTGGAGCATGGAAGATGACCATATCATTTGATGTACATTTTACATCGACATGTTCGAGCACATTGGCAATGATACCTTCCATAAAGTAACGAGCAGGATTGAGATGATAGACCCATTCTCTCCAGAAAGTTGGTATTTGATCAGGAGGCATCATAACTCCCGAAAAGAGGAAGAGGAAGACGATGAGGAGTGGTACGATGATCATGGCAAAGAACATGTTCATACAGACTGCACCAATAGCTTGACCAAAGGAGACGCAAAAGAATAAGAAAATATTGTAAGAGAACCAAAAATAGAATCCAGTGTCGGCATTGTACTCTAGACCTGCAGTCCAGTAGGCACAAAAGAAGAAAATGGTGCCGGTTGCAAGAATGTATGGTAATTCGACAACGACGATGGACAAGGCAAATGGGAACCATCCATAGTACTTTGAGGCAAAATCACGTCTAAAGAATTCTCTTTGAGTAAAGAATTGTGGGAGAGCAATAAAGATGAGCATGATACCAAGAATGAGTGCTTGGAAGATAAAGAAGATTCTAGAGTTCATATCGGATGATGAATTTTCCAATTGGAAGAAAGTGAAACCAATGACGAGACCGGTGAGAATGGCTTGGAAGAAACGACCAAACGAGTAGTATGGGTCACGCCACCAGATGAGATTCATACGTTTGTAGACTTCCCAAAGTTGGTACATAGTGTCGGTAGCAAATTCACGGGCTGGTCCAGAGTGAGCGTCGCCGCCAGAGAGATCGGTGGTTTCGAGTTGACCGAGTTCTTGAGTGACTGCAGCGCATTCTGGAGAGGATTTCCAGGCTGCTGGCCAGTCAACATCAGACTTTCCATGGACACCAGCACCAATAGCTTCGAGCATGTATTCGGCTGGATTCTCGGATGGTGTGCATGCACGGACACCATGACGTTCAAAATAAGATGTCAATGTTTGAGAGTTGTCACCAATATCACCAAAGTAGGCAGTTTTACCACCCTTTGCTAAAAGCAAGAGACGATCGAAATATTCAAACAAGATGGATGATGGTTGATGGATGGTGCAGACCAATGGCATACCAGCATCAGCAAGCTTACGAATGAATTCGATGATATTGTACGACGACTGCGAATCAAGACCAGTAGTAGGTTCATCCAAAAAGAGAATGTGTGGCTTGGCAACAAGTTCCATACAGATGGTAAGACGTTTACGTTCTTCAACAGAGATACCGACACCAGATTCCAAATCACCAATAAGAGCATCACCAAGATGTTTCATTTCCATCATTTCAAGGACATGTTCGACATAGCTAAACTTTTCTTCCAATGGTACTTCCTTTTCTTGACGCATCTTGGCAGAGAAACGGAGTGCTTCACGAACTGTCAAGTTTGGATTATGGACATCCATTTGTTCGACATAACCAGTAATACGTTCGAAATCAATGTCCAATGGTTTACCATTCAAATAACTCTTTCCAGAAACAGTACCCAATGTCTTACGTTTGGCCAAAACATCGAGAAGTGTAGTTTTACCGGCACCTGAACTACCCATCAAAGCAGTCATTTGACCTGGTTTAATCCAACCTTCAACATCATCCAATAGGAGCTTTTGAGTCTTGTCTGGGAGTGGAACAGTGTATCTAATGTTTTGCCAAGTAAAGATACCACCACGCATCTTGAGAGTATCCTTCATGTTGCTGGTAGCTTGTTGAACGATTTGATTTTGGAGTTTTTCTTCGGCGGCATCGTTGATCTTGGGAGCCTTGCCTTCTTTGTAGACCTTGTGAGTGTAACCTCCAGATGTCCAATCAAACTTTTCCATGGCATACATGTTCATGACAGTGTAGAGGATCCACCAGAGGTAGACGACGCAAATGTTGAGAGCACGGTCAGATGTCTTGAAGGAGAGAGCGTGGTCGAGATAGGTCTCACCAGTGATAAAGAGTTGACCTTCGATGGCACCAGCAGATGCACAGATACGGTTGGCGTCATGGATACCTTCGTAGGCGGGTCCGGCGGGGATAGCACTGTCTGTGCAATCGAATGTCATACCAGTGAACTCATTGGCCATCAATGCCTTGAAAGCATAGGCGAATGGATTGATCCAAAAGAACCATTGGAACCATGGATGCATCTTGTTGTAGGGGATGGTGTAGCCGGCATACGTCAACATAAAGATAAAGTAGACAGACATGATGTTTTGCGAGACATACATGGATGGACAGAAATTACCGAAACAACGGAACAAATTGGTAATGGCGAGTGCAGCTCCGACGAGTGTGAAACAAAAGATAAAGAATTGATCGGCACGATACTGCAGACCAAACATGAAATAGGCAATGATCGAGAACAAGAATACCTGCGCAAAGATGATGGGCAGATCAGTGACGACCTGTGCAATATGGTAGGCTGCTGGACGGTACAAAGCGTACGATCTGTGCTTTTGAAGGATACGACGACCCATAAAGGTCATATGTAATTCACCTTGTGAAAGGAAAGCGTTAAACATGAGTGCTGAAAAGATGGCACCACCTCTGGTAAACAAACCGCTCAAATCCTTTGGTTGGAGGAAAAAGAGTGAGCCATAGATGAACGATTGGATTAAAACGGAAAAGTAACGAGAGCAAATGGAAAACTTGTCACCCCAAATAATCTGTGCGTGACGCAATGTCAATGCACGTACTTGGGTAAAGAACGATGTGACGTATGGCTTGTTGTTGGGAGTGGTACGAGACTTTTCATTGACGACCTCTTCGGCAAATTGGACGTGTGGCTGTTCAACTTCGATTTGCTTTTCAAAAGATGATTGTTCGTCGAGCATACGTTGTCTGAGTGGTGAACGCAACCATGCAGATTCAAAGTCGGCAGATGTCTCTGGTACCTGTCCTTCCATACCTTCACGAACCATTCTTTCTTGTGGATTGGTGACACCAGTCAAGAAATCGGCGGTTGATTTTCTTGGCTCACATGTGAATCCGAGGTCGAGGAAATATTGTTTGGCTTCACGTCCTGGACCGAAATAGATACATCTACCCTTTTCCAAAATCATTACATTGTCAAAGAGTTGATAGATTGAATCGGAAGCTTGGTAGAACGAAGCGATAGTGGTCTTGTCGAGTGTGTCAGACATGATACGAAGTGATTTGGCATAATCGAGTGCAGAAGCAGCATCCAAACCACGAGTAGAACAATCCCAACATGTAATTGGAGCGGCGGAAACCATAGCTTCAGTGATGGTCATACGTTTACGTTCACCACCTGATAGACCACGAACCCATTCATTACCAACGAGAGTATCGGCTTGATGTACGATACCAAACATACTAAGTAAGAGGTTGAAAATCTTGTCACGGAAACTACGTTTAGTTTCATCTGGTAGACGGTTACCTGGTGTCTTGCACTTTAACGTGAAATCGAGTGTCTCTCTAACAGTCAGAGTTGGATGATGAGTATCTTCTTCTGGAGTATAAATAGCTTCACCTCTATACTTGGACCATTTAGTTGAAGGTATACCACCATATGAAACAGTACCCTTTACATCTACATAAGATTCACGTTGATTTGAAATGACTCTAAGCAATGTACTACAACCAGCACCAGGTCTACCCAAAACCAACAACATTTCACCATCCTTACAAAATGTATTTACTTGATGAAGAATATCAAATGTTGTACCATTTGCTCTTTTCCTACAAATGATATAAAATATTATAGAGAAGTATGAGAGATATGAATTAGGATATATGAAAATGAAAGACAAAAAATTGATGGTTTGTTTCTTTTTTTTTAAAATTTTTAAAAAGAGAGAGAGGATAGTTGGGACATACCAAGAATAAGGATTAAATAATGAAAATATAAATTTAAATGGTGTTAACATATCAGCAATTACAGAAACATCAGCACCTATTGAATATCAATGTTTAAATAATAAAGATATATTGGTCAAAAAAAAAAAAAAGATAAAGAAAAAAAAAGTTAATATTTTGTTTGTATTTTTTTTTTCTATATATTTATAAATACCTTTTCCTACAACAGTTAAATCTCTAATTGAAACACCCATCTTTTTTGGTTTTGAACCATTATCTAAAGCTTGACGATGAGAGTCTTCAAAATATTTACGTAGTTTGAAATCTTCCTCGGTTTCAGCTGGACGACCTTCTAGATCATCTGGACTGCCATCCAATCTATATTGTTCCGACTCCATTTCCAAATGGGCAGCCATCTTTTTGAATTCTTGTTTACTTTGTTCGACATTGACCATTGACTCTTGCAAGGCAGGTGATAATGAACCTCCTACTGGTGTCGTATCTATTGATGTAAAATCATCATCATGATTATTATTGTTGTTATTGTTGTTGTTATTACTATCATTGTTGATATTGTTATTATTTTCATCTTCAAATTCTACCATTTTTTAAAATTATAAATTTTGAAAATGAGTTTAAATATATTATATTATATATTTAAACTATTTTTATATATATATATTTATATAACTACTAGGTGGTACAATTGATAATTGGATAAAATCTTATCTTGATATTTATAAATTATTATTATTATTTTTTGATTCTTTGGAATTTTAAAAAAAAAAAAAAAGAAAAACAAACAAACAATTATTTTGGATCTCTAAAAAATATTAAGGAGAGGTTGGTGTCTGCTCACAAAAAAATAATAATAAATTATGAAAGGATAGAGTAAATGTGAATGTGAATGTGAATGTTGTAACCTAACTAAACTCTAACTAACTAACTAATATTTAATAATGAATGAATGAATGATGAACCCAAACTAACCCGAATCCCAATCTTTAAATAAGGATGACTTCAAAAAAGAAATTAAATTAAATTAAATACAAAGACGGCTTGCATGAGAAGTTGTCAGATGGTCTTATGGGTTATTAATATGTTGCAACAGGGTGCTATCAATCATATGACTTTCGATCATGCTATTAAAGTTGTTGGAATTAATACTAAATGGGATGTATTTGGAAAGTAGTACTCCTTTTAAAGACACCCGCCTCACTAAAAACTCAACAACATGTCTCTCTGTCAATCGATTGATGTCGTCAGCTGAGTTTTTTTTAGCTGAACACTGCCCAACTGCCAGCTTTTTTTGAGTTTTTACAATGGTTGACCTCTGTTGTCGTAATCAAGCGTACTCATAAGTCATCTTCTGGTTAAAGCGTCTCTCACACAAACACAACAGAGTCACCCACACTAGGTTGTTTAAACTTGTAATAGAGAGAGATCTCCTTTTTATTTACCCTATATCTCTCCTTTTTCTCTCTCTTTGTTGAAACCCCCCATTTTCGTACCCCCTTCATTCAACAAGATAAAGTAAAGATAGTTCATAACACTCTATACAACAACACCATAATGGTGTGATGATCGATTAGTCATCAATGCTCATCATTGTTTGTTTTAAAGAACGATCGAATAATCCTTTGATTACTTTTTATTCGTATCGTGTCATCTCTTGACAATTAATGAATCAATTCATCAAGATATCTTGTTATGTACAATGGCGATTGAGTGTTATAATTATATCCCCACAACACTCATCATCAACATGCATCGACTATATTAATTAATCATGATTGGCTCACTACTAACTAACTAACTAACTAATTCATACTATACTTGATGGTGTACTATATATATTATAGTAGAGATTATTTGTTTTTATCGGGGTACACATTTAATTTTAGAAAAGTCAAAGCGATGACTTGAGGGAGGGTCGGCTTTGCCTCAGAAAGCCATTTTCTGAGTTTTGCGATCTTGTGTCATAAATTATTTGAAAAATTCTTTAACGGTGAGATCGACCAAACAAAAAAAAAAGCTTCCTCCCACACACAACTAATCAAAGAAGAAGGAAGAAGAGAGAACAGACACGAGTGTTTGATTATTACTTGTTGTACGAGTGTAGTAGTAGCAGTAGTAGAAGGAACTATAGTAGTAGAGTTGATAGATTAATCTACCTTCTTCTTTATCATTACTCGAGAACATCAATCATTCAGACGAATACAAGGAAAGGATTTAGAGCGCTAATTCTGATAATAACCTTTTTTTAATTTTTTTTTGTTTGAAAAACAACTTGACAAAGAAACTTTCTTTTTTGCAAAGACTGTGTTATTAGTTAGTGTCTCTCTCTTTTCATCATCATCCCACCAACCAATCAATCAATCAATCAATCAATCAATCAATCAATCAATCAATCAATCAATCAATCAATCAATCAATCAATCAATCAATCAATCAATCAATATCAACATCAAACTCAACTAGATAGATAGATAGATAGATAGAATAACTAGTTAGTTTATTTGGTTTTCTTGATCGTACAGTAATTAATCATTATTCATCAAACATAGTAACAACAACAAAAGTAATAGTAATATTACCTATCTCAAAGAAAAAGAAGAAGGTGTATCATCATTTATTCGAATATCAACTCGAAAAGAAGAGCAAAGAAAAAGAAGAATAGTAGTCAGTTGATCACAACCTCGTCGGAGATTAGATCACACCACCCATCAAGCAATCACATTCATTCATTCATTCATTCATTCAACAGCATAGGCTTATAATCACAGTTTTTTTTTTTTTTTTTTCTAAACAATCAATCGATCCAATCACATCAATCAAATTTGTATATATATAATTAATCAAATTATCTGTAAATAATAGTCAATCAAAGCAATAACAACGCAGCAAAACAACAACAACAACAACAACAAAAAAAAATCGATAACACGTTAAGACAACAACAACAACCTGACCTGATCATCAAAACAAGAAGAAATAGAAAATATAGTAGTAAGGAAAAAAAAAAAAGAAGATTACATAAATGGTACTTAAACTTACATCCCATGATTCTGGGTTGGAGATTGTATCAGTAAATTATCACCTAACAATAATCGATCGTTGTTGTGATATATGCTATAATATAATCTATCAAAATACATCAAGTATACCAATCTCTTTAAAGTATGTCATACAAAAAGGAGGAGACAAAATTAAATGATAATAATAATAATAATAATAATCATCATGGCTAACCTTTTTTTTTATTATTTTTACCAATCAAAGAATTGAATATGATAATAGTTTTGATTTAGGAAAATTATATAGTTTAGAATCGACGATTGGAGGAATAGGAGTATTTGAACAATCATCTAAATTTTGTCCATTGCAATTGTACAGCGGTGGTGGTACTGGTAATAATAATAGAGGAGCAGTCGATGAAAATAGTTTTGGTCTTGGTAAATTGGTGGATTTGTTGCCAGGTAAAGAGATTCTATTCAACACTAGATACGTTAGAGAATTGTTGGGTGTCGTCTCTGAAAAGACAATCAAGGTTGACATTCCATTTAGAGCCTATCCAAAGTTACAAACGGTTGACTTTAGACTTGAAGGTTGGTTTAGTTCAAACATTAGAAATTTAAAATCAAAATCTCATCCATCATTTGATACTATAACAATTGAAGATAACAAATTGACTTCTCTACATAAAATTGTAAGAAAAACAAAAGACAAAGAGAAAGGAGAGAGACATTTGATAATTAACCTTTTCCTTTTCCTTTTTCTTTTATTTTATTATTTTAGGGATCAAAGGATTATGATAAAGTTCAACAATATTTGGTAGATGTTGAATTACAAGATATGAAGGTGGTTAGTGGATGGTCATCGAGTTCATTGAATCATGAAGGAAAATATTTTACAGCGTCAATGATTACATTCAACATTGATCCACAGGAAACACACTCTATCAACAATGTCCACATTCAATGGACAGCCGAAAAACAAATCAAACTAGAAAGAATCCAACCCAGCAACGGAGGATTCATTGTTTATAACGTCGAAACTCATACAACTGACCAGACAGTTGACACTCATCAAAACACCATTCCCATATCCTATTCAACCCTTACTAACTCTAATACCGCCGTCTCTTGCCAATGTAACATAAAACTTCAACCAACAAGTTCATTATTAATTTATAGATTTTCAACTCTTTCAAAATTAAAGTATGAAACAGAAAATAGAAAACAAATAGAAAAAAGATAGGATAGATTATTAATTGTTTCTTTTTTATCTAGTATAATTCACAATTACACATCAAGTAATGGTTGTAATAATGAAAATAGTAATAGTAGTAGTAATAATGATATATCATTTTTAATTAAATTATTTTTAGAAAATGTAACTATAAAATCAACGACAACGGATAATATGTCATCTCTATCAATGTCATTGCCAGATTCTGGAACATCACAAATTACATCAAGTTTGGATTTATTGTCAAATATTAGTAGTCATCCTGGACGTGTGAAACCACCTGGATTGCAGTCGTTTACGGCTCCACCGACATTTGTAAAGGATATCCAGGCGAATCCAATCGCGGCATTTGTCGCCAATGCCAAACAGGGTCCGACCGCGTTGACGGGGCCAAAGCAGGTGCGTAGAGGTCCCCCGATGCTGGGCGGCAGCGACATTCGTCTGCAGCGTCTGGCTAGCTACAACAAGGTCAACAATATGTGGAATCTGTCTGCGAGCGACTTTACCGAGCGCCACACCATCGCCATCGAAGAGCTCGAGGCTACGGCACTCGACCTCGCACTCAACCACGTGCGTGCCAACTGGTGGGGTAAGGGTCGACTCGGATCGATGCGCGAGATTCAGGCGTTGCGTGGAGCAGTCGAGACGATTGTCAAGAGCTCCAAGATCGATATGACCTATGTCGAGATTCCAGTACAGCAAAAGAGTCAGATCGAGACGGTCATGAATAGCAGCTCGCGCGATCTCGGTCAACTACTCAATGCACTCAAACCAAAGCCTGCGTCCGACAGCGCCGCCGGTGCCGAGACTGGGCAGTCGGGTGCGGTCGAGGAGCCACAACGCAAGGAAAAGGCAATCGACGTCATCAAGCTAAAGTGGGTGATTGAGGAGATGCTCGATGGTGACAAGCAAGCATTCCCACGTGACGATGACGCACACATTCGTCAGCAGTCGTGGTACCACGTCGACGCTGCAGAGACAAAGGGCGAGCGCGGTCATATGGAGGACAAGCATATCGTCATTGAACATGTAAATAGATTGTATTCCGCGACCACAGACAAACAAGACACTGACAGTGAACAACTGTTTTTAGGTGTATTTGACGGACACAATGGAAAGTTGGCAGCCGATTTTACAAAGACACACCTTCCATACGAGATATATAAAAGTAGAGCAGCCGACAAATCATTGCCAGCATCAATGATTGCATCGGGTATTGTTAAAGACATTGAGACTACGATGGAGAGTGCATACACTCAAGTGGATCAATCGTTTTTACAGTTGGCAGATCGAGATGATAAAAAGGCTGGTAGTACAGTGGCCACTGTCATTGCCATGAAAGATAAACTGGTAGTGTCCAATGTTGGCGACACTGAAGTAGTCTTGTCAAGTGGATCCAAAGCGAGTGCATTGTCGACCATGCATCTGCCAACCAACGAAATGGAAAGAGAACGTGTTGAAAAGGCTGGTGGTGTTATTATCCAATGTGGTACACTACGTGTCAATGGTGTATTGGCCGTCACCAGAGCCATGGGTGATCGTAATCTAAAGGATGTCATTACATGTCTTCCCGACACTAAAATACACCACCTCACACCCGCCGATCAATTCCTAGTCATTGCTACCGACGGTCTTTGGGATGTCATGAAACATCAAGAAGTGGTCGACTATATCATCCAACAGAATCAAGAAAAACAACCACAAATCGCAGATAGATTAGTTGAAGAGGCTCTTAGAAGAAATTCAAAGGATAATATTACAGTTATCATTGTTTATTTTAAAAATAATTATCAACCTTTTATAAATCAATAATAATTAATAACTAGTAAATTAAATTAAATTAATAATAAAACAAACAAGAAGAAATAAATGAAAGAAAAGAAAGAAATAATAATAATTTGGGCAAAAATAATATATATGTTGTATATTTTAATTTTATCATCTTCAGTATTTAAACGATGATGAATTTGAAGTTGTTGTAGTAGTAATATTGTTGGTAGTTGTTGTTGGAGATGAGGTATTGTTTGAAAAATCAACATCATGAATAAATCTCATCTTTAAATATTCTTGTTTAATTTTAAGAGCCAAAGATTCAGCATCTTTGAATTGTGACCAATTGACACGAATGACGGCAACATATTTTGAAATGTCTTGAAGGAATTCTTGGTATGCACGATTGAGGTTGGTCAAGTATTCGAGAGTGACAGTCTTTTCACAGTCACGATCTCTCATTTTGATACGTTCGAGTGATTCCTCTGGTGACACGTCCAAGTGAATGATAAGATTTGGCTTTCTCATGAAATTGGAGAGATTAGAAAAGAGAGTGCAATAGGTTTCATAGTCTCGCTTTTCCATCAAACCACTTTCCATCAACATCTTTGCAAATACAGAATCTTCGTAAATGGTACGATCCTGTACTCCACCTCTTCCTTGCCATATGATTTGTTGTTGTTGACGGAATCGATTATTCAACAAATAGATTTGTAATGGAAAACTATATTTTTTTGGGTCTTGATAGAAATCTGCCAAGTATTTGTTATCAATTACTTGTTCATACTAAATTGAAAAAGAAGAAAGATAGAGTAAATACACAATTTTAAATGAATGACATTCATTCCTTTCATCATTGTAATAATAAACAACATACATAAGTTGGTAAATTTAATACTCTTCCTAATGCTGTACAAAGTGTTGTCTGTAGATAAATAAATAATAATAATAATAATAATAATGAGGGTTTATTAGAGAATGTACATAGATCGTCTCATTGAGATTTATATATTTATAAAACATCTTCATCTTTACCTTTCCAACACCTATTAACCCACTAATACCAATATGTAAACCATCAAGAGTATCATTTCCTTGTAATACTGGTGATTGTGATGATGAAATATCTGTATCTGTCATTTTTTATGTATGTATGTATGTATCTTTAAAACAATCGATTATTACAAAAATGCAACAAGACGAGTCCTGGAGACCTTCCCTCCCTTTTTAATTTTTCAAATTAAATTAATTCGTCAGCTTTACATCATTCGGGATTGTTCATAGTAGCCCAATTTGAGATGATTATTAATATAAAAGGAGCTATATAGATACACTAACCACCACTACAAATAATAATTGTAGCAAATAAATGGATTAGTGGGAGAATTGAATAGAACGGATGAAAAATTATTAAATTAGATTTTTTACCATTGTTTGTAATATGTACATACATACAAAATACATACATACAAAATATTTGGAAGATAATATGGATGGATGAATTGCAACGGGATGAGAGAATAGATAGATAGTAAAAGAATAGAAGTATAGTTATATAATTTATTTAATTTAGAGGATGAAACAATTTTTAGATTTAGTTTTTAATAATGGTCATTGTACTGGAATGTCAATATTTCATAGAGATGGAAAAAAGATATGTAGTAGGAGTTTAGATATCTCAGAGGAGGAGATTATGGCAATCAAACAATTATTCAAACAGAGAAAATCAGTTCCCATCAAAGGTTGTGTTTTAAAGATACAAGGTGTACCACATTTTGTGGTAGCTTCAAAACGTGGATCATTCTATTTGTCTACCAATCCTCAGACATCGCTCAGTCTGCCATCGGTCTATGAATCATTTAAAAACATATTGTATGATTGCTACATGTTGTTTGACAAGACTGACAAGACATTCACCGACACTACCATCGATCCACAAGCCTACAAACAATTACTAGACTCTGAGAAACCTGCTGCTACTGGACCAACTCCAACCACTGTACCTGTACTCGCCACCGATACAATAGACCAAACACTTTCAACTGCATCTGCATCATCCATCGAAGAAGCAAAGATAAAGGTAGAGACACAACCAGGTATTTTAAGAGAATCATGTTGTCTGATTGAAAAGACAGAAACCATGATTATCATTGGAGTCAACAATAACATCCCCATTGCCAACCGTGAAAAGGTTAAAGAGATTACATCTACATTCTCTTCAATCGGTCAATTTGCAGATGATCTTCGTGGCTCTGAATTATTACATCTTTAGTGATAACACCAAAAAGAGGATTTTAAAAATAAATATTCAAATTATAAAAAAGCTTACGACTCCACAATAATAATAATATGTAGGTTATTTCAGTGTATACACACGTATTATATTATAATCATCATATTTATTTTATTTTATAAATATTCTATTCTAAAAGAGAGAAGATAAATATGATATATTAACAATATCACAGCTAACTATATAGATCAAACTATTTTGTTTCAAGATTTTGATGACCAGGTGACCCATAGGTGTAAGGGGTGTAGTGGTTTCATGCATCTTTTGTTTCTAGCCACCGATGATCAACTTTCGTTTCGGTGTCAAGGGTCATCGTCACGATGTTCATGGACATTCTCGACAAATCCGATCAAGGATGCAAACACATCAAAACAAATTTATCTTAACTCTTTACCATCTACCGTCACCTCTAACTTTTGTACACATTAATAGGTACTACTGTTAAAAAACAAAGCCCTCCATGGAAAGAAAGTCTTTCATTGTTCTTTCTCAATTTAATCATACTCCACCACGGGTTCTGAAGGTCTATTAACCCATTGCATTTAATGTAACTAGTCTCATTTTATTTAGTATAGTTTCACCCTGGCATGGATGTCTTGATCCATGATCGATGATTTATGAACCATGAATTTGGCCATGGACCATTGATATTTGATCATGGATCAAGTATCTGAACTGGTAATTAATTATTTAATTGGGTAATATTATATGATGCAAATAAAAAAAAAAACAATAAAAAAAAAGATCAATTTAAATTTAATTTAGCTCAAAGCATACTGAAGCACAGATATCTGTTCATTTCAATATCGTCTTTTTAGTTTACATGTATACGCAGTAAATAGATATAATAGACACCAACATTATATTAGTTAGTAGTAGTACAATCGTCGATAATTAACCAACATCAACAACAAAAAGAATTATATTTATAATAAATATTATTATTATTATTATATTATTAATGGAGAATAGCAGAGTATTATCAATTCAATCTTGGGTGTGTCATGGTTATGTAGGAAATAAATGTGCGGTGCTTGCATTGCAGCATCTTGGTGTAGAGGTTGATCCGATCAATACGGTTCAGCTATCAAACAATACAGCCTATTCTAGTTGGAAAGGTGAAACATTGTCGTCAAGCAAACTGTTAGAGATATACGATGCATTGGACCACAACAAGATTGCAGACTATACACATGTACTCACTGGCTACAACAACAACGCAGAGACATTACGATCAGTATTAAAGATTGTAAAGAGTTTAAAGGAAAAGAATCCATCGCTCATCTATGCATGTGACCCGGTATTGGGTGACAATGGCAAGTTGTATGTGCCAGAGGATTTAGTTTCTGTATATCGTGATGAAGTCATTCCACATGCAGACTACCTATTCCCAAATCAAACTGAAGCAGAGTAAATACATATTAAATTCAACACAATCAATCAATCATCTGACCGTTTTCTTTTAATTTAGATTATTAACAGGAGTACAAATTAAAAATGAAAGTGATGCATTGATTGCAGTCGATAAATTACATGCTATCGGTATAAAGAATGTAGTGATTACTAGTTTATTCTTGGACGAGACACAAAAGAATATAATGATGTTGGGAAGTCAAAAAGGAGGTTCTCGATTTAAGATTATAGTTCCCAAGTTTGAAGGATACTATACGGGTACTGGCGATTTGTTTAGTTCGCTGTTACTGGGCTGGAGTGCAACTGAACCAAACCTAGCGGTCGTATGCGAGCGTGCCGTTTCCACCTTGTACAATATCCTCAAAGTCACACATGAAGCCAAGGCTATCATCCCCAACGCTAAAAATATTGAATATCACGAATTACGTTTGGTACAAGCACGTCATTTCATTGGATCAAAAGAAGTATTATTCAAAAGTTCTACTCTCTAATAATCCCAACGTATATATATATAACAACAACAACGGTTGGTTGGTTGGAAGAGGAATATAATATAATATAAATATAATAAATCGGCACTAATATATAATAAATTAATATTAAAATTAATTTTTAAAAAAAAAAGTTTAAAGGTGAACAATCCAAGCAGGCTCAGAATAATGAATGGTACACGACTCCAACATTTGAAATTTCCCAAAGACCCCCCTCCTATTTAGAACACATAGATTTGTGTGATTGAAAGCTAGGTCGTGTGCCAATCATCTGGTTGCCAACATGGATAATGATGGTTGTCTTTTTACTTTTTAAGGAAATTTTCAAAGTTCACGTGTGGGTGTTGTCTGTCGGTTTCATGTGATCTATTTAACAAAGAACAGCAACCATGAGCGAGTTTGTTTAAGAAAGAACAACTATATTAGTTTCAATTTAGCACCCCCAACGATGGTGGGTGAGACATGCGCCTCGGTCAAGGGCAAAGATCTGTGGGCTTCCATACCTTCCCACCACTACTCCGACCAACTCAACTCACCCCAGATTCAATCATAATAACTATCCATTCATCAACCGACATTTCACACCCCCTCCCTTTGAAGAGGGAGTTAAAAGATATCATCGAATGTCACATGTGACCACAACCTATAAATACTAGTTTAACCATCGTCTCATCACAACACATCACATTTATAATCTACATCTACTCTTCAATTTGTTGTAATTAGTTAGTTATAATTTATAAAACATGTTACTATCTGCACTCATTACCGCATTCAGTGTTGGTAAGACTGATACTGCCACCACCACTCCAGCCACACCTGAGCCAAAGAAACCACTTGCTCAACACAACTTCTTTACTTCGTACGCCGCCAAGTCCAAAGAGGTTTTTGACGATGAAACCGTTCCAGTTACCTCTACTGAAACAGGTGGTAGAACCAAGAGAGACACTGGTACAGACTCGTTGCTTCCATCCAAGAAATTCGAGTTCCCAGCATTCGATGCTGCCACCGAACTCAAAGATGGAATGGGTTTGAAGATGTTAAAGAACATGTCAATCTTTGAAGGAAAAGTCAATGTATGTATCAATCAATCAAATCGATCCAATATATAAAGTTTGGATAGTCCATTCATTATCTAATACATATATTCATTTATACTCTATCTAGGTGGTACAAAACAATGCTGATAAGTACTTTATAGAGAACGTATTACACTTTGGTGATCCAAACAACGAAGTATTGAAGTTGTTTGGTATTACCAAGCCAACCATTCCACAACTACGTTTGGATATTTGTGATGAAACTTTGATTGGCTTGTGGTATGGCTTTTATGCAATCTTTTACATTCCATTGATGATTTCCCAAACTGCTGGTTCTACCATTGCCTCCAAGATTGATGTCCAGAAATGTAAAGATAATTTGCATACTCTTGAAACTAATCAAGTTTATGGTGTATGTATACAAATATATTTATATATTATATTATATTATAAATAATTTATTAATTGTTTTTTAATTTTTATTTTTTGAATTTTTTTTTTAGAATACTTTTATTCATCAAAGAATGTTATTGTACAAGTATGCTTTTTGTGAAAAGAATCCATGGATGATGAAGATCCAAAAGAATCCAGAGAGATGGTTACCCATCTTGACCAAGGACTTGAAATCCGAAGCATTCATTACCAAGTTGATCAGCTCTCAAAATTCAAACAAAACAAAGGAGCAGTTCCATGCCTACTTGGTCAACTTGAAAGCTATCCTTGATATCCTGGATCCAACCGCCAAAACTTCAAGTAACATGGTAAACACGATCACTGCTGCCGCTCTCATTTCCAAGGTTGATGATCCAAAGTCCATTAAAGACACAACACTCAACCGCGCAATCATGACTGATGTAATTCAGAAATTGGTTGACGCATCGCAGGAAGCTGATCAGGATCGCGTAACTATTACGAAAGACCTGATCGCTACACTTGGTTCCACAGCCAATGCAGTCACCGAGCTCCAAAAGGGTATATTCAACTACCAATTTGAATCAATCGATGGTCCAGATATTACCAAGGGATACCATCAATATTTGGAGGATATTGGAAGAAGAGTAGCCAAAAAGATGCAAGTTCCAGCTGATTCTAATGACAAGGTATTCAGACGAATTGGTACCGTTGCCAAGGCTTGTCAAATAGGAGTTATCCTCTATAGTTTATCTCAATGGGACAAGGTAATTAATTATTCATTCAAAAAAAAAAAAAAAAAAAAAAAAATTGTCCTGGAATTTATATCCATAGAATATCTATTAACAATTGATTTCCTTTTCATTCAATATTAGTTGGACACTTACAATAAAGATATGTTTACTGCAGACATTGTAAATATAGCTTTGGATCTAGGATCTGGTGTTTTGAAGATATCTGAGGCTTTTAGAACGGTTGGATCGAGTATCGGCGATCTATTGGTCAAATTACCATCTGGTGACAAGGTGACTACTGTAATGGGATCAATCTTTACAACAGATGTAGCTACTTTTGTTGGAACCAGATTCAGTCCAGCTTTAATGGGTGTTGCAGCCATCAAGAGTGTCTATGATGCCGTCCAAGACGCTCTGATTGGAAATATTGGTAGTATGGTCATTGATGGAGCATCTGCATCACTTGGACTCGCAACAGCTGTTGCCATATTTGGAGGTTGCGCTTGTGGGGGCCCCTTGGCCTTAGCAGTTGGAGCTACTCTACTAGCACTGGCCGTCATCAAATACACATTCTTCTCACCAACCAATGATGAGACATACTATAGTAAGCATCTGCCATCTGAACTTAAATTATCAAAGTAATAAATAAATACATACATTGATTGATGATTATTATTATTAATAATAAATAATAAATATATGATATTTAATTGTATTTCGTCTTAACTTTTTTTAATATCACAGTTTTTGAACAGGCACCTCGATTTTTTTTTTTTTTTTTTCACTCTTTCAGAGAGACGGATGGATCATTGTCTTCAAAACATTACTAGTACTCTTTTTGCTTATTACAAAATACTCTTGTTTATTTATATATTATAGTTCCTCTTACTTATTATACTAGTATACAAAGGAAAGACTCAAGCAGGTGTAGTAGTAGTCGTCGTTTAGTTTGAGAGATCATTAAATAGATCGATAGAATATCAATAGTTGATTGTGTAACTACTATACTATACTACATCAAAATATGGAGAATCAAAACAATAATAATAACAGTAGTAATACTACAGCAACGACAACGGCACCAACAACAACAACAGCAGCAACAACAACAACAGGAGGTAATAATAACAATATAAATAATATGAATCATACAAATACAAATACTAATAATGAACAAACGACTACTACTATAAATACTACATTATCAGTGAATAGACCAATACCATCAGTAGGAGGAGGAATGAATAATACTTTTAATAATAATAACAACTCTAATAATAATAATAACATGGTAATGGATCCAGTCAAAACGTTTGAACACTTGCTTAGAAAGTCACAAAGATTGTTTATTGGTTTAAGAGACTTGCCTCAATTTGGTAGACAGTGGCAACCTTTCTTTCAAAAGACATTTGAGTTATATACAAAACTTTGGAAACATCAACAAAAATATAGAGCCATCTTGGAGGACAAGAGTAAATATGGATTAAAGAGATGTGAAATTGGTGAAATTGCTTCTAAAATTGGTCAACTTTATTATCATTACTAGTATGTGTTTGACAAAGAACCGTTAAAAGGAAGTACTATAGTTGGTTTATTATTAACATTCTCCAATCCATCTCATTTTAGTTTAAGAACTTGTGATACCAACTATTTAAATGAATCTTATATATTTTATGAAGCAATTAGACTTCGATCATACTTTAAAGATGTTTCTTCATTGGATCCAAAAGTGTAAGTAACTCTCTCTCTAACAAAGATTGAATATAAATGATCAAAACTACTATTTATTTACAATTATAATTTATTTATTTTCACAGACCAGATATGATGGTAAAACAATTAAGATATTATGCAAGATTTATAGTGGTTTGTTTACTTTTAAATCGAAAGAAAGTGGTATATGAATTGGTAGAGGAATTTTATAAACATGTCGATGAATATACCAAACAATACAAACCAAGCGATGCTAATGAATGGAGTATTGTACTTCAAGAAATATTTACCTTTTTACAAGCAGAACAATGTATTTCAATTACTTCTGACAACACTGCTACCACCTCCACTACTGGTTCTTCTACAACTACCACCTCGTCTACGACCACTGCAACAGTTGCACCGGTTCAAATATCTCATAGACTTTCATCAAGTAATAATATTACTCTTAATGAATCAACATCATCACCATCGATTACATCATCGACTACAACAACACCAATTCTTCAACAGGCAATACTTGTGAGTAATCATGCAAGTCAAATCAAATTTAGTGAAATCACACTTGACATGTTTAGAATGGTTCAATCTTTAGAATATGATTTCCAAGATACAAACACTAATAATAATAATAATAACATTGTAAATGAAAGACATCAAGAAAGCAAACAAGAATTATCATCATCATCATCATCTGGTAAAAAGAAAAACCCTCATAAATATTTATTGTACAGACCTACCATTTCCCAATTATTCCAATTCTTATCAAATTCAACAAAGGTAAAAAATAACAATGAGAGACAGAAAAAAAGAAAAGTATTTATTAACATTATATATTTTTAGGAAATGGGAGGAGCATTATTATTATATCTTTCAATAGATGGAATTAAAAATCAAATAGATACTAGTGATGTTAGAAGTGAACAATATTCCAAAGGTTTATTAATGAATGTTCAAAAGAATACTACAGAGGTTCAATCAAATAATAATAATAATAATAATAATAAGTCAACCACTAAAAACCAATCTCCACAATCTCAACAACCAGTACAATCACAACAACAACAACAATCACAAGATGTTAAAATCGATGCATTGTATCCAGTTGACATTTTACCATTCTGTAGAAGACCATTCTTTTTAATCATTGATTCACAAAGTAGTCATATCTTTAATCAATTGATGCCACCATTTGATCAACCATACGTTGCTTTATTATCTCCGATATCAACTCCAAAGAGTATGTCAAATATTATAGACAAAAAATTATTTAAATTTCTTCTAATATATCCTTTATTTTTTAGAAATTTCAACCAATCCAAAAAGAACATCACCATTTGGTAATTTATTTACATTTTATTTACATGATCCATTGGGAGCATTCTGTGATACTACTGGAGTATACAAGATCTCGGCCAAGGGTCTTTCCAATTATCAATCAATTGTTCAACAAACACTTGTCAGTATTTTGAAGCAATTGACCGAGTGCACTACTTTGCACCAATCCTATCGATATTTCTTGGGTGATGATTTCTTGAAAACCTTTATTCTTAGATTCATCTTTTGTCATACAGTCTATGCACTCCACAAGGATTTCCAATCCCCAAAACCAATACAACCAACAACCCCCGAGGCAGATCAAAACATATACCAAGTATCATGTCAACCACCACTCCCAACAACATTTTCCAATTCAATCATCCACCATCACATCAATCAATTAGCACAGGCATTGAATGTTGTCGATCAATTTAATTTCAATGCAGATTTATTAAATACTTATCAAACCAACAACAACAATAATAGTAACGGTAGTGGTCAACTATCAAATAATGAAATTGAATCTACCAATCATCAAGCAACTCAATTACAAAAATTACATATATAAAGAGAACAAATATATATAATATATTAATTTATAAAACCAACAAGATGATGATTTATTCCCATCGATATTTTATTTAATACTAATATTCCTTCATTAATAATTATGGCCAGGTTAGATCACGATTGCCAAAATTATTCAACACTATCATGTCATTGATAGTGATGAATCTTGTAGATCTTAAGAATAACTCTCGATTATTCTCCAAAATCCCGGGACCAAAAGATATACCTCTATCTGCTAATTAAAAAAATCATTTTTTATCTCAATGATTCCTTTTGCAATATTATTAGACTTCATCTTGTTGTTTTTTGATTTTAAATTTCTCCAATTCAAACGTTTTGAGAATAGGAAATCCTTTAAACATCATTTCTAATTTTTGTTGTCGTTTGTGTAATGGTGATGTAGTCATTGTACCAGGCAACTGGTATCTACGAACTTTTAAAATTAAATTTCTTTCCTTTAGATTTTGTAAATGTAGTAGGATTTGTTGTTGTTGTTGTTGAAATGTTGGTTGTTGTTGTTGTAAAAGCTGTTGTTGTTGGAATATTAATTGTTCAGTATCATCAATTGTCAAAATTAAATTGACCCATCTTGGAAGTGCATAATGAAATTTATCATTATATGTAGAATCTGTTATAATAACAAAACATGGTGATTGTTTTTTCTCCAATTGCCTAGAATAATAAAGGAACGAATATTAATATATACTACTCTAAACATTATTATTATTATTATTAATAATATTTACCTTTTGTGATTAATAAAAGATAAAGTATCTTTTATATAGGCCAAAGTTTTAGCATAATCTGTAAATAGATTTGATCCAGAATTGAAACAAAAGGTAAAGTCATCGATGAGAATCAAATCTGGTAATATATCGTATGATGGAAAATCCATAAAGTAGTGTCTGAGGTCCATGTTGGAATCATCTTCAAAGGTTTTAATCTTTATATTTTTAAATGCAACATCATTATTGTCAATGGACAGATGTGATGGTACACCAAACGGTGCCGACTCTTCAAATCTCTTTTTGTTGCAACAATACAATACAAACTTATCTTCTCTTGCAAATGAATATCCATATTGAAATAATAAAGATGATTTTAATCTATAAATGGAAGGAAATATATATTAGCAAAGTGAGTGGTCAATCTAATTAAAAGATGGGTATCCATACGCTTTTTGTGGTGCAATTATATAAGTAATTTCAGAATAGAGTGTCAGAGTAGATGATATATTTTGGTATCTTTTGTCATTCTGTTCTTTGGCGCGAATATCAAATTGATTATACCCAAAGAATCTTTGAAGTTCAATCTTTGGTGGTCCATAAACTATCGTATTGGTAGAAGTATTGGTAGTAGTAGTAGTAGGATCACTAGTAGTAACATCAGATGTAATGTTGGGTGTTGATGAAGATTCATTTGCTATATTATCATTGTTGTTATTGTTGTTGTTTGGCAAAGTGCTTGCAAACATCACAGTGTCACCATCATCATCGTCATCTTCAAATATAGCATCTTCATTAAACTTCTTACTGGTCGATGATATCATCGATCTGTATATATCTATATAAATAAATTAATGTATCTGAAGATACACTGACAACAATCTTAAATTAAAAAAGTAACCGTTAAAAATGGGATGCCAATATTTTTTACTCTGAGAGTCGGTTCGTAGAATTTTTTTACTTAAAAATATTATCTCTACTACTTTTGTATAATTCTATATATAATTATATCTATATCTATTATTCATACACACATACAATATTGATAGAGAATGGAGAATGAAATTAAATCATTGAGAGCTGATTTAGATAAAGCAGTCGAAGAAAATGTATGTGTTAGCAATGAATGAAATGAAACGAAATGAACGATAGATCATTCAATTTACTTACTTACCCCTCTTTTAATTAATTAGAGTATAGATGAAATAGTAGCGCTTCTCAAAGCAATTGGTTTATTAAATATATCTAAAGACCTTTTAAAAGTATGAATATAGATAACAAATGATATAATTAGATTGATCAATCTGACACTATAGTTTTGTTTGTTTGTATTTAGACAACATTAATAGGTAAATCAGTAGGATTATTAAGAACACATAAAAACAGTGCTGTTTCTAAAGAGTCTGGTGTATTGGTAGACAAGTGGAAAGATCAACTTCAAATACCAAAAAAGATAAGCGAACCAACATCACCTGTCGTCGAGTATACAACGACCAACAAGCTTAAAAAATCTACTACTTCTTCAACTTCTACTACTTCTAATAATTTATCTTCGTCATCATCATCGACGACACCTGATAAACCAACAACACCAAAGAGAAAAACATTTGATGAAGATGAATATGAAGATCAAGGAAAACAAAATAATGGAGGCACAAAGAAACAAGTCATACATTCCATAGTAAATACAACATCATTGCCACATTTGGCCGATGCAACAAGATCTACTACTCTCAAACTGTTTGCAGAGGGTCTCAAGATGGACGAGATCACAGAGTTACATTATAACCAAGCTGCTGTCGAAATTGAAAGCCAATTGTTTGAAACATACGGAGGTGCAAATAGTGACTACAAGGTCAAGGCTCGTTCAATCATCTTTAATCTCAAGAGTAACCATCTCTTGAAAAAGAATATACTTAGTAAAACTCTTACTGTCACTAGATTTTGTACAATGGATGCTACTGTAAATATAAATTATTTATTATAATATATATGGAAAACAACCAATTAATTAATTTAATCTATATTTTTTTTAGGAAATGGCAAATAAAGAATTAAAAGAAGAAAGAGAAAGAATGCTTAAGTATTCAAGAGAAGCTGCTACTCTTAGTCGTGAAGCTGCAACAACAGATCAGTTCCAATGTGGAAAGTGCAAACAAAGAAAATGCACCTATTTCCAACTCCAAACAAGATCTGCTGATGAACCTCTTACCACTTTTGTCACTTGTGTTAATTGTAACAATAGATGGAAATTCTGTTAGATTTAAATAAATAAATTCCTTATTCCTTATTATTTAATTATTAAGTTGATCCATTTTTGTTCTTTTAATTTATTCCATTTGTTGTGGAATGATTGATCATTATTTGTAGTCCATCACCACAAAAGACATCTTTGTGAATGTGATCCAAAACTATATATGATCACTCTTGTGTGTTTAGCCAAGCGTCTTGATCCAGAGACAGACAGAAAAAGCCAAAACCACTCCCATTAAGACACCATACCATCACAATTGGGTTGATGAAATAATGTTTACAATGATAAGCAATAGATTTACTCTGGTTTGTATCTTAAACCCATTTCTCCTTCCAATTGTTGACGACTGACTGAGCCAAGTATACCTTGATGGCCCTTATTAAATACACTATATGCACTCATTTTACCCTGTGATTTGATTGATTAACTATTAGTTAAAGGGTACTTATAATTGAATCATTATCATATCTATGAATTCATACCTTTTCTCTCTTTCCCAAATTCTTTACCATCAATACAGCACATGATGATATAAAGAAAAAGGCACCAAATTCAATCTTGATAAATAGATATTGAACCACCAACCAAACAGCAAACTTGATGATCAAACCATAGTTGTTTTGAATTGTTTCTAGATATTTCATTAAACCAAATGTATTAGTTGACATACTAAACTAACTAACGACAAAGAAGATATCAGTACAAGTGTAACACTTACTAATTATATTATCCTTTGTAAATGCAAAATGAAATTGAACATCTACATCATCTAGATCATCTTGTTTATTGCTATTGATTTGTTTGATTTGACCATTATGTACAATTGTTCTAGCTCTGTTATTATTGTTATTTTGATTATAATTATTATGATTCATTTCTTTCTTATCTATTTGTTGTACCAATGATAAACAAAATAAAATAAAAAAAAATTTTTTAATTAAAATTGGTGGAGTGACCATTGGAGTCTTGGATAGTGGTCTTTTCATTCATTTTTTATTCACCAAAAACAAATAGAACAATAGATAGAGACAAAGAGATAGTAGAAGATCTGTGTCTTGGAGCTACCCTTGGAAAAGGGGTCAGCAGCGATGAACGAGGAAGGTGTTCAGCCAGTCTTCTATTTCTTGTCATTTCAATGTATGTTTATATTTATCTTTTTTTAGTTGATTCTAAAACTAATCAAATCTATCTATTAGTTGATGGTTGAAATAGCTAGATTTACATATATTTACAATAATATACCCATCAAGATTACACATTAATAATAATATAATATTTTTTTAATGGATACGATGCACAAAGGCCATTTACAACAGCTTTGCTTATATGCTATCACGATGAATTAGGATTTCCATCCCTCTGATCAATTTAAGAAAAAACAACCAAACCTTTTTCATCTTCATTGGACATTAAACCTTTTAGAGAAGGAAATGGCAAAAAAATATAAAGAAGAGGTATTTATAATTTTGTCGATTCAATTATTATTTATAATTACAAATATTAAACAATTGCTTTATTTTGGTATTTTTTTAGATGAAACCCCAAGAGGTAGCTCTACCTCTTGCGTCGATCTTGTTTGACCCATCTGCACCGGCACAGGGCCGAATTGCTGATCCAAAATGGGACAGGGTTGACCAAGAGTTGTCCGATAATCAGACTCTCTGACAATGAAATGTGCAGAGTTTACGAACCTCAAAGAGTGGCCGAGAAGATTTGCACGATGCAAGCCCGCACTTTTCAAAGAAAGAAGAGCGATGAGCATTTTGTCCCAAGTTATTCAATAACTTCAATCAAGTTTGAGTTTGGGCACTCCATTCTTTTGAAGGAAAGAGGTAGAGATGATACCATCTCTCCATGTTTGGGGTACCAACACATTGGCACTATCATACTGGTTTGAATAGAACATTGGAGGCATTGTTTACTCTTCGGATTGATTCCAGAGATATATCTCAAGATGGGATTTGATAGCTTTTCAATGATGATGGTAAAAGGATGTGTGTTGTATTGAAAACCTATTAAATCCCATCAATTATTAATCAATCTAGATGGAGTACAAACATGTCAAATAATTGTCTAAACTCACATTTGTATAGATAGATCGGTTGTAGCAAAGGTCAGTTCATCAATCTAATCAATAATAAATTAATCATTTTCCAATATATAAAGATAAATCAAGCAACGAAAACGCATGTACATCTTGTTTCCTTTTTTATTTCTTTTGTAAAAGAGGTTTTACTCTTGTAATAAATTCTTTAAGATTTTTGGTAAATTGTTCAGTTGCTGCAAAGTTTAATTTGGTATGGGCTGGCGGATTGGAGATGTATTGTTCATAGTGACCCAAGATGAGTGGTTGGATGGATGGGTCTTGTTGTTGAATTAATTCAATCACCTTGGCCTTGTATCCATCTGGACAACTAATAACTAGCTCAGAGAGTGTTGTCGATGCCGAATACAATAAATCGTCCATGTTGAAATCTTGCAACAATAAAAAGTTGAGAATCGATCCAATTAGCTTGGTGAATGGTGTCTTTAAATCAAGTCCAGCAGAAGATGCCCTGTTTAGATTTTTGGTCATCGATGCAATTGATTCTAAACACATCTTGGCAATATCAGTATCATGACTAAGATAATAGTAAAAAAATAAAAAGAATTAGTAGATGATTATCATTTTGTGATAAATATATCTTGCATACTGTGAAATTCCAACTTCAACAAGTGAGAATAATGGTAAAGCTACTTCACTTGGAATCTTTGTTAGATCAATATCATCAGAACTAAAAATATATTTGATAATATCAAAGAATCTATTTGATAATTTTGGATACTATAATAAAAACAAACAATTTATTATTAATTCCAACATAGATCACTTTTTATATTTTTTTTTGTTTTACATACATCTAATAAACCACGATTAGTAATACTTGGCATAACTGAACAAACACCAGTATAAATGGTTTGAATGAGTAATTCAGATTCTACATCTGAGTTTACAAGGTTGTGAAGAATTTTAATAACAATTTTCATTCTATCGTAGAAATCTTTGTTTTGGGCTTGAACATTATTAAATAAATGTTCAGATTTAAATAATTGTACAAGTACTTGATAAATTAATCCTGATCTTTTATCTAGAAATAAATAAATAAATAAATAAATAAGTATTAATACTTTTCAAAGTATTGGTTTTTTTATCTTTGTTTTTTTTATACATACCATCTAAATCTTCAAATTGATTTTTAGTAAAACGAGAAAAAAGATATAAAATTAAAACAATTGTATCTTGATTGTGAGAGTAGAGAGGGATAAGGGTATTGACCAAAGATGCAGAATATTTCAAAAAGAGATCAGAACCTTGATGGATTACACAAAAATTACCATCGACACTAAAGCGTTGAGGAGATACTGATATGATACCCTTGATTCTTTCGAGAATAATATAAAAGCTTTCTTTGATTTGAACATCGTTGCTAATCATCTTTAGATCGGCTCTTGAAAGTAAGGCATCGAGTCGCTCCATGATGGGGATGGCGAGTTGATTAAAGAACTGTCCCAATTCAGCAGTTGTCTTTGTGGAATAGACAATGTTGGTAAAGGATTGGTAGAGTTTGCATTGGATGGTTGGTACCAAGAGATCATTCTTTAATGGAAATAAAAGATTCCACGATGAGAAAAGATATGGCACCAATTCAGTGTTGATGGAAATGTTGCCAAGAAGTGAGCTGGTTTCTCTGAGGATGGCTGGCTCACTTGACCAATATTCAAGGTTGAGTGAAATCTTTTCGACAAGATGTTTGACAATGACAGCGACTGACTCTGGTTTGCTGTAGGCAGCTTCAAGACGTGGGCTGAGATGAGGATTCATCGATGATGATGGCAATAGATATACAAGTGACCAACCGGCAAGGAACCACATGCTAGACTCGGTGACCAATGGTGAGAGACGCTCACAACTCTTAAAATGAGCAATCGATTTTAATTCATAGTCAAATGCATAACGAAGAATACTATTACATAATTCTACAATTGGATCATTTACATTGTTGTTGTTGTTGTTTTGTAATGAAAATTGATAGGAATATTGTTCGATGGGTGTTGGAATACCAGTGATTGAAGTGTTTTCAGAGTCAAACAATAAATGACCTGCCAATAAAATCAACCAATGCAACGTTTCTGCTACGTATGCATATTCCTTTGGTTGAATATTTCCACCTTGTTGAATTAATCGATCAACACATCCATTGATTTCATTCTTTAATATTTCCAATGAACTTGCTGCACTCATTCTACCAACAAATGATACCATTTTTAATTGATCATTATATTTATTAATATCTTGATCTAAATCTAAAAAATAAATCAAATTAAATTAATTAATAAATAGATAGATTAATTATATATTTTATAAATTTTCTTACCATCATCAGCATCAAAAGATTCCAAATCAATATGAGATAATTGAATTCTAGTTTTAACATAATTTATATAAATTTGATCATTACAACTCTTCAATGTATGATATAATGGTTCAAAATGTTCCAATAGATTTGCTTTTTTCTGTCCAATTAAAGATTCAATATCTGTCAATAAAGAAACCCAACCTTTAAGTAATAAAAGAAAACATTCATTTTCAAATTCATTTTCCATTTCTCCATCTCCTTTTTCAACTGCTATTTTCATTATATTTAATGATGATAAAATAAATCTAAAAAATAAAAGAAAAAAAGTAGTTTAATAACTTTGATTTCATATTCATATTCTTTCTATTCTTTTCTTTTTTTTTTTCATACTTTGAAATATTTTCAATAAAGATTGAAGAATAATTTAAAGGGATTGAGGCTAAAGCTTGGAATTTGAAATTACTACAAATACGATGTAAAAGATTAGAGAGATCTTCCATTTCTACCCATGATGAATGTTGTTGAATGGCATTGGACAAGAGTGGTGAAATATGGTTCAATAGACGAACGAGGTATTCGTTACGAACGGTTGCTTGGTTGATGGTTGGACCAGAGAGACATGCCAAACGAGTCATGGCAACTCTGAGAAGATGTGAAATCTCTTTGTGTCCACTGAGGCTCGAGTAGAGGCCAAATACCAAGTCGACAATGTTGACCGATTCATTTGTCTTTTCGGTCGAGTGAATGAGTTGACGCCAACTTTCGAGTGGTCTAAAGAAACTGGATTGTATGTTTTTGGGCATAGCCGAGAGATAGGTCATGTGTGTGGCAGAGGCCTCTGTGAATTGCCATTCGAGTGTCTCGACCAACAACTGAATCGATACGTGAAGAAGAGGGATGGTGCGAGCACTGACGACAAACGACATTTTGGTGAGCAACGAAAGAATGTGACGGACAATAGGTTGAAGATGTTCGTTTTGGAAGCTGACTAGTGTGCGTTGGTGATAGTCCCATGTCAAGTGGATAGGTGATGACTTGGACGAACCAGACATTTCGGTGACGAGTGATGCAGCAAGTCCGATACCAGCCATCAACACATTCTCATTGTCCAATTGCGACATCATCGAGTAGATACGTGTCATGACCAATTGCGACAATGACAGGTTCTGCTCGGTGAACTTTTCTGGGTCCAACCATGCACGCTTAATAATCACTGCCAATGCATTGCATGCTTGACGACGTGTAGTCGATACAGCAGCAGCCTTGTCAGACACTAGATAACCAAGCAAGTACTCGACGATTCTCGAACGATCATTCGATGCAATCGAGCTCCATTCTCGCACAGCGGCATCACGAATCGTAGATAGAGTGTAAAAGTGAGCCAATACAACAGATGATCGTTCTAAAATGTGAAAGCACAATACATATGGGCTTCTCATTTGATTAAATGATGCAATGATTCTCTCTGATGTTGCTCTCTCTTGTTCCTTGAGAGATTGTAATCCAACACAAGCCAACTCTATTTGTTCAGCTTGTTGTTGAAGTTGTTCCATCTTGACTATAGTCTCTCTTCTCTTCCTCTCTCTCTCTTTATCTATCTATCTACTAAACTCGAATGAAAATAAGAATCTCAAAGTCATGAAACACAATAAGATCAAAATTTATTATTATAGGAAATGTATTTTTATAGTCAAAGGAGAATGACGATTAACTCTAGTGTTTGATATCAGCCTCTGGAGGTTGTTGAGGATGTTGAGGTGGTTTGATTGACCAAGCTGTTTTCAAGTAAATTATAAATATTTTCAACATCTCCATACTCCGTCAAGTGATTGAGTACTTGTGTAAAACGTGCCTTTATAGTCGACTTCTGCCTCTAATATATATATATTTATTTTTATATTATTATCTTTGAGCCTTTCTTGAAAGATAAACAAATCCCATTATTAATAAGACATTGAATACCCAGTAACATAAGACGATTCCAAAGTTTCTCCAACGATTAGTTTCAGACCACTCCAAACCATGATAATAATCACTTCCATTTTCATAGATACAGTAGCCACAGTTTTCAGTGTCCATTGGATTGTCAATGTAACCTGGAGCAGCGTTGATAAACTCTTGGGCATAGTCACCACATGTTTGGCCGGCTGGCACATTGAATCTGAGGAGATCGACTGAGGAACATTTGACAGTGAGGTCTTTGAGAACATTGGTAATGACACCTTCGAGATAGTAACGAGTTGGATTCATAGGATAGGCTGTATACTTCCAGAATGTTGGGATGGAGCCCGGGCTGACCATCACACCCCCAAATAACCAAAGGAATACGATGAGAAGAGGTGTAAGAGTCATTGCAAGTGTCATGTTGACACAGATGGCTGCAATCATTTGACCAAAAGATACACTGTAAAAGAGGAAAACAGTACCAGCCAACCAGTAATAGAATCCAGTCTCTGCATCGAATTCAAGTCCGACAGTATAGTATGAACAGAAAAAGTAGATGGTATTGGTGACAATGATGTATGGCAATTCGACGAGGACGATGGACAAGGCAAATGGTCCCCAAGAATAGTACTTGGAGGCATACTCTCTTCTAAAATACTCTCTTTGAATAAAGAATTGTGGGATGGCAATAAAGATGAGCATGATCGAGAGGAGAATACCTTGGAATACAACAAAGAGTCTTTGAAGCATATCCGATGACGAGTTGTCCAGTTGGAAATAACTGAAACCGAGTACGAGACCAGTGAGGACCGATTGGAAGAAACGACCAAATGAATAGGATGGATCACGCCACCAGATGATATTCATACGCTTGTACACCTCCCAGAATTGGTAGATACCCGATGTGGAGAATTCTCTTGCTTTTTGACTTGATTGTTCGTTGATGCGGACATTTCTTTCTCTCATTTCATTGAGTTGTTTGGTAATGTCTGAGCATTCTGGTGATGCCTTCCAGGCAGCTGGCCAGTCAATATCGGTCTTTCCATGGACACCAGCACCGATGACTTCGAGCATATACTCGGCTGGATTCTCTGATGGGTTGCAAGTACGCACACCATGACGTTCGAAATAAGATGTCAATGTCTTGCTGTTTTCACCAATATCACCAAAGTAGGCTGTTTTACCACCCTTTGCCAATAATAAGAGACGATCGAAATATTCAAACAAGATGGATGATGGTTGATGAATGGTACAAACCAATGGCATACCAGCATCAGCAAGCTTACGAATGAATTTGATGATATTGTACGACGACTGTGAATCAAGACCACTAGTAGGTTCATCCAAAAAGAGAATATGTGGCTTGGCGACGAGCTCAGTACCAATGGTAAGACGTTTACGTTCTTCAACAGAGATACCAACACCAGATTCCAAATCACCGATAAGAGCATCACCAAGATGTTTCATTTCCATCATTTCAAGGACATGTTCGACATAGCTAAACTTTTCTTCCAAAGATACTGATGGTTCTTGACGCATCTTGGCAGAGAAACGAAGTGCTTCACGAACTGTTAAATGTGGGTTGTGGACATCCATTTGTTCTACATAACCAGTAATACGTTCGAAATCAATGTCCAATGGTTTACCATTCAATAGTGATGTACCTTGAACTGTACCAAGTGTCTTTCTCTTTGCCAAAACATCGAGAAGTGTAGTTTTACCGGCACCTGAACTACCCATCAAGGCAGTCATTTGACCTGGTTTAATCCAACCTTCAACATCATCCAATAGGAGCTTTTGAGTCTTGTCAGCAAGTGGAACAGTGTATCTAATGTTTTGCCATGAGAATTCACCACCTTCCATCTTTAAGTTTTCTTTGAGCTTGTCAGTAGCTTCTTGAACGATACGGATTTGTTTGAGTTCATCTTCGGCATCATTAATCTTTGGAGCTTTTCCTGGCTTGTAGACCTTTTGAGTGTAACCACCGCTGGTCCAATCAAACTTTTCCATTGCAATCATATTGAGAGCGGTAAAGAGTAACCACCAGAGATAAAGGATACAAATATTAAGAGCACGATCATCAATCTTGAAAGAGAATGTGTGTTCGAGATAGGCTTCACCAGATATTGACATTTGACCTGGAGTTGAACCTGGGATGGGACAGACACGGTAGGCTGGATCAGTGTACGACTCACCCATGGGAATAGCACTGGTAGAGCAGTCAAAGCTGGCATCTCTAAATTCATTGGCCATCATTGCCTTGAAAGCATAGGTAACTGGATTGATCCAATAGAACCAACCAAACCACATAACCTCTTTGATCTTGGGGTAGGGGATGGCATAACCACCAAAGGTCAACATAAAGATGAGATAGGCAGAGATTGAATTTTGAGCGGTAAACAACGATGGGAAACAGTTACCAAACAGACGGAATAGATTGGTATAGGTAAGAGCCGAACCAAGCAAAGTAAATGCGAAAATAAAGAATTGATCGGCCGAGTATTGCAGACCAAACATGAAATAGGCAATGATCGAGTAGAGGAATACTTGTAGTGCAAGGACTGGAATATCAGTGATGACTTGGGCAACAAGGAAGGCTGATGGACGGTACATGGCGTATGACTTGTGCTTTTGGAGGATACGACGACCGACAAACGTGAGTGGCAGCTCACCCTGTGAAAGGAAGGCATTTAAATAGAGACTGGCAAAGATGGCACCACCTCTGGTAAACAGACCATTGTAATCACCACCAGCTTTGTAAAATACAGAGCCATAGAGGATGGCTTGAATGGTCAATGAAATGTAACGAGAGAAAATACCAAACTTGTCATTACCAATCAATTGGAAATGACGTACTGTCAATGCCATGACTTGAGTGATAAACGAGGTTACATATGGCTTGCTGTTTGGAGTGGTACGGGACTTTTCAGCAATGACTTGTTCGGCAAATACAAGGTGTGGTTGTTCACGTTCAATTTGTTCTTCAAACTCTTTTTGACGAGCCAATGAACGTTGGTATTGTGGGGATTGTAACCAACGAGCTTCAAACTCGACAGATGTTTGGGGTGGAGCAAGACCAACGAATCCCTCACGAACCTTTCTTTCTTGGGGGTTAGTGACACCAGTCAAGAAATCGGCAATTGATTTTCTTGGTTCACACTCGAACCCCATATCCAAAAAGTATTGTTTGGCTTCACCAATTGGACCGAAATAGATACATCTACCCTTTTCCAATACCAATACATTGTCAAATTGATGATAGATTGAATCGGAAGCTTGGTAGAACGAAGCGATAGTGGTCTTGTCGAGTGTATCAGACATGATACGAAGTGACTTGGCATAATCGAGTGCAGAAGCAGCATCCAAACCACGAGTAGAACTATCCCAACATGTGATGGGTGATGCTGAAACCATTGCTTCAGTGATGGTCATACGTTTACGTTCACCACCTGATAGACCACGAACCCATTCATTACCAACCATTGTATCGGCTTGATGAACAATACCAAACATACCAACCAACAAATTGAAAATCTTGTCACGGAAACTACGTTTGGTTTCATCTGGTAAACGTTGGCCTGGTGTTTTGACCTTGAGTGTGAAATCGAGTGTCTCTCTTACAGTCAGGGTTGGATAATGAGCATCTTCTTCTGGAGTATAAATAGCTTCACCTCTATACTTGCCCCATTTCTTTGATGGTAAACCACCATATGAAACATCACCCTTTACCTCTACATAAGATTCACGTTGATTTGAAATGACTCTAAGCAATGTACTACAACCACTTCCAGGTCTACCCAAAACCAACAACATTTCACCATCCTTTACAAATGCATTTATATTATGAAGAATATCAAATGTTGTACCATTTTCTCCTTTCCTATAAAAAATAAAGAAATAAATGATTAATATTAATTTAAATTAATTGATTTTGATTTTGATGTTGATTTTTTTTTTTTAATTTTTATACATACCAAGAATATGGATTAAATAAATTAAAAAATCTTTTTACAGGTGTTAACATATCTGGAATAATTGAAGCATCGGCACCTATAATAATATTATAAAGAAAGATATTTTTGATTAAAAACTTTGTTTGGAAATAGTATCTATTTTTAAATATTCAAAGTTATATTTACCTCTTCCTACTACAGTCAAGTCACGAATACTGATACCCATTTTCTTTGGCTTTGCACCATTGGATGCCAATTGTCTTTTGGAATCTTCAAAATAACGACGAAGTTTAAAGTCCTCCTCTGTTTCGGCTGGACGACCTTCTAAATCACCATCATTTTCTAATCTATACCTTTCACTCTCCATTTCCAAATGAGCAGCCATTTTCTTAAAATCCCCTATACCTTTATCTACATCTACTTGGCCATCTTCATCTGCTCCATCTTCACTATTATTATTATTATTATTATTATTTTGATTATTATTATTATTGCCTAATTGAATTTCTTCAATGATATCAAATTGATCATGATTATCGGTATTATTATTATTTTGTTCTTGTTCAAATTCGACCATTTTTTTGTTATTGATATTGATTGATTTAATATATATATTTAAAAATTAATTATTGTATATATATTATGTGAATGAAAAATTATTATTTATATGTATATATGTTATATGTGTTTGAATATTATTATTATTATTATGATTATGATTAAAAAATTAAATTATTATTATATTATTAATTAATTAAACTTATATATATAAATCAATTAACTTAAATTATGTCTATTTACAAATAAATGAAATATATAAGTTAATGATGAATTAGATGTGTGATTCGTTTGGGTTTAAATAGTTCCCGGTACCTTGGATTAGAAGACGATTCATTTGGTTCATTGGCTTCACTAGAATTTGTCGTAATTCTGACAATCAATGATATTCATGAAGCATTCATCATTAAATTGGATCAACTACATAATGGTAGGGGGGGGTGGAGGTAAGATGATGGTGGGGGGGTTAAGAGAACACAGCGATTTACGTTTCAGACTAGAGTAGTGCCAATTTAAAAATAAGCACAGAGGGAGCTGTCTGAAGAGAGAGGGGTGCAATGTCCCGGTCGACCCACTCGAGTAGTAGGTGATTAGCGCGATCCATCCGATTTAGGCAATAGAGGTTGAGAACTTTGCAGGAATTCATCTTGGCAAGAGAACAGAAGAAGCAAAAGAGCTAAAAAAAAACTTTAGTCTTCTTAGAACGACCTTCGTATCGTACTATGCAACTTTTGATTTTTCATTCAGTTTTCTGAATATGAGAGAGAGTGAGACAGTAACGAATTTAAGTTCCCTTCCTCCCCCTTTCCTTCTTTACAAATTATATAATTGTTATACACACCCCATAATGAGAGAGAGAGAGAGAGAGTTGAACGATCTCTTCTTCCCCTCTCTAATTTCATTTACCCACATGTTAGGTGTACATACACACACATTGAATGTGTGTATTTGATTCTAGAAACCGAAAGAGAGAGAGAGATGTTAATCAATATTGATTTAGTTTGTTAGTTCTCATCCCATCTGTTGTTAAGTATCTACCTACTTCTTTGTAGTGTATATGGGGGTTAGTTAGGGTAGAGCGTCAATTAATTACGATCAGATGATCTGAACGAAGTGAACCATACATAGGGATATGTCCTTTCATTTGATGTTACATTCTTGTTGTTGTTTGTTTGCATTCATCATCATTAGCATATTCTATCTTCTCTATACCATCTGATCTTTCTATCTTTATTCGAATAGAATATTATAGCTTTAAAGAGATACAAAAAGAAGGAAGAGAGAGGTTCATTGGACACGAACTTATGATGACAACTACCTCACAAAAAATTGGGAGAAAAAAAGAGGTGAAGCGACACCTGACCTCGCTGGTTAAAGATCAGATAAGATTCATTTGACAGAAAACAGATACAGAATAGTAATAACAAGATAAAAGATGAGCATTGAAGTCAACGCAGTTCAACCAACTACTACCTCTACCCCAGTTGTAGAGGCTGCTGCTGCACCAAAGAAGAAGATTTGTTGTGCTTGTCCAGAGACTAAAAAGATCAGAGACGAGTGCATTCTACAGAATGGTGAAGACAAGTGTTTCCAATTCATCGAGGCTCACAAGGTTTGTCTCAGAGCTGAAGGTTTCGATATCTAAACATACAACAAACAACAACAACAACAACAACAACAACAACAACAACAACAACAACAACAACAACAACGATATCCTCCAAAGAAGAAGACGAAACGAGACAACAACAACATTATTTATTTGTAAAAAGCAACGATCACAGTAATAATACACAAAACATGTACATAATCTTAATAAATGGTTTGATTTTTAAATAACCGTATATCCCTTCTTCCTCGATCATCCTCTTCCTCTTCCTCCTCTGACAAAACACACGATACAATAAATCTTTCATCATAATTATCTTTATCTTTCTTTATAATCCAATCAAGATTGATGTACATTCCATTGATGTACAAAGAATTCTTACGTTGGTTCATTGGCAAAACCAATTATAGGTAGATTAATTAAAGGGGGGGTGTTAATCGCCACAATGATGGTCATACTGGGTTGAGAACAGTGAGAGTGAGAGAGAGAGAACTCGGTGAAAATTGGTGTATCGAAAAGAACAAGAAGCAGATTCTCAAGTCGTCTTGTCTCTTTGACGATATTCCAAAATATTATTATTTTGTTTTTCGACATTGGCTGCAAAGATCTACTGATGAGAGTCGGGGCGGCTTTGGTGGGGTACCCCAACCACACACACGAGCATCTTTGTCATCATCCACCAAAAGAGAATCCATTCTTCAAGAAGAAACGACAACCAACCAACCAAACCAACAATCTCAAACCATTATTTAAAAAACTTATCTTTGAATTATTTGCCCATCATCAACAATCAATCAATCAAATTAATAGTCTTACTTACACATCTAGAACCCCACAAACCCACAAACCCACAAAAAAGACAATATCTTTTCTCTCAACAATACACAGAACAACAGAACAGAACACAACCCAACTTGGCATTAGCACTTGACGCAGACGACAAACCCTTATTTATTAATCTCTCTCTCAATACTACTACTACACAAGTTAGTTTTAAAGTTATAGTTATATTGGTAGGTTTAAAGAACTTCAGATTATAATCTGTTTGTTGGCATGAATGATCATCACCTTTGGTAGTGATCGACGGTTGTCTACAAATATATCTTCACCCCTTTTTCACCTTTGTGTCACCTGATGGTATACCCCACTGTTGTCAACAATGTGAGTGTGTGTATGTGTGTATGTGTGTATATGTGTGTGTGTATATGTGTGTGACCAATACCAACAACTAGAAGCATAGAAGAAGAAGAAGACAGTGGAAGCAGCTTGGAGAATGATGATGATGATGAATATTTGAATGGCTCATGTCATTACATCAAAGGAACAGAAGAATCATCCCTCCCCACTCACTCACTCACTCACCCACTCACACACACACTACCTTCCAACAACGATGACATCCGTTGGTTTATTTATAAATCGAAAACTGAACTTATGTTATTGATCAACATAATAACAATACATTTATAAATACATAATTCATCCTCACTACACTATTGATTTATCTTATCGTTCAAAGAAGAAAAAGAACTATATATCACAAATAGTAAATAATTATATATCTTTAACAGTAAATATATATATAATAATTAGTTTAGTAGTTGGTCACCCACAATTGTGTCAGTCAAGTCATTCACATTCATTGTTCATATATAATACTTAAAAGTAACAATTAATAATATTGTTGTTATTTTATTTGTTGGTGGGAGTTTATATGTTTGTGACGAATTGCCATCTAGATAGATAGGGTTGAGTCTACGCAGTATTTTAAACTCAATATATTAGGTAGACACCACCAAAAACAACAACAACAACAACAAAAAGGGGAATCTGTAGATCCCATCCTGCTCATTCATTCTCATTCCAAAACCAATTTCATAATTATTATTTTATTTTTGATGAAAAGAAGCAATACTCAACAATACAAAGGAAAGAGAAGAAAAGAAAAGAAGCGAACCATCTTCTCTGCTCCATCCATCCATCCATCAACTTGACTACTACATTATAAAATATATTATTTATTTATACTTTTTAATGCAACATTTAATAACAATAATAATCAGTCACAATACATTATTATTATTATTATTATTATTGTCTTCTCTCTCGATAAGGTAGATATTATTATGACTGAATGAAAAACCAGATATTTCTTTTTATGGATGTAGTGGTGGTGTTTGTGTAGTCATTCAATTGAAAAACCAAAAGAAAAAGAAAAAAAAACCTTTTAATCTCAAATATATATAATAGAGAGAGAGAGAGAGAGAAGAGATAAGAAAGATAAAGAAGGAATAGAAACTAAAACTAGAATATATTGTTGGTTTATTCAATGTAAATTTACAATATTTATATTTATTTCATCCATCCATCCATTCCATTCACATCCATTCGTCCAAGTTGTGTCCAACCGTTTCATTTCATTCGTTTCCCACCCCAATCTTTTATTCCTTCCAATTTACCCCCCTTTTTTTATTCCCTATCCTCATCCTCATCCTCCGCAATCTTCAAATATATTTTTTGAATCATTTGATACTAATCCATAATATCCTCTCTTTTTTTGTCATTTTACAACCCATTTGACATATATATATAGGTAGCCAAGCAATATTAATATTAATAGTATTATTTATATTGATCTTCACACAACCAACCAAACAAACAAGAAAGAATCATTCATTCATTCATTCATTCATTCAAAATTTTAAAGTAGTTTTGCATATATACATATATATATAATCAGAGTCTAATCATCATCATGGGTTTCATAGCAGAAGGAAATACATTAAATTGGGATGACGCACAAAAACATGTAGCTTATATCAAGGAACATGGCATCATTCAATTCTTACACATTTATAATAATAACAAGGATCGTATGAACGATCAATTCAAATGGGGTGATGAAGTCGAATACATTCTTGTCAGAAAGGACAAGGAAACTGGTGAAACTAAATTATCTCTAAGATCTCATGAAATATTAGATATCCTTTTAATACAAGAAAAGAAGGATCCAAAGTATGTTAAAAAGAAAGAAAGAAAAAGAAAGAAAGAATGAATACTTATTTCCTTTTACTTTTACTTTTTGTTTATTATTAGTAATTGTGAATTTTTATGGAGACCTGAATATGGTAGATTTATGGTTGAAGGAACACCAGGTAAACCATATGTTGGATTGGGAAGACAATTATTATCGATCGAGGATAGTTTGGTGAAACGAAGACAAGAGGTTGTCAAATACTTGAAACAAGACGAACATATATTGACATTTGCAGCATACCCACGTATGGGAACCAAGAATTTCACCAATCCACCAGGAGAGACGAGAGGAAAGGTTGCAGAGTCACAATTCCTTCCAGATACAGTGATCAACCCACACTTTCGTTTCAGTACGTTGACGGCCAACATTCGTCAGCGTCGTGGTAAGAACGTGTCAATCAATATTCCAATGTTCCGTGATACCAATACACCAGCCTATCTCGACCACCAAACCTATGTATCACCATCCAAGAGTGCAACCGACCCATACAACCAACCATACAATATCTATATGGACGCAATGGGGTTTGGTATGGGCAACTGTTGTCTTCAGACTACCTTTCAATTGTCAAACATTGAAGAGGCTCGTTCAGTCTATGACCAGCTTGCCGTTCTCTCGCCACTCTTCCTTTCACTTACAGCTTCCAGCTCTATATTCAAAGGCTATCTTTCAGATATCGATGTAAGATGGACTGTTATTTCACAATCGGTCGATGATAGAACCGATGAAGAGTTGGGTGTCAAGCCATTGAATCAATCGAAAATGGTCATTAACAAATCGAGATACGACTCGATCGATAGTTATATTTCAAGAGGATCATCGCTACGATCGGAATACAATGATTTGAATTTAGTCTACGACAAGGATATTTATAAACAATTGATTGATGGAGGCATCGACGAATTGTTGGCCAAACACTACGCACATTTGTTTATTCGTGATCCTTTGGTCATCTACTCGGACAAGATCACCATCGACGACGCCAAAAACGCCGATCACTTTGAAAACATACAATCTACCAATTGGCAAACCGTCCGTTTCAAGCCACCTCCACCACACAGTGATATTGGATGGCGTGTTGAATTCCGTCCAATGGAAGTCCAACTCACCGACTTTGAAAACGCAGCATTCATTGTATTTGTTTCCATCATTCTCAAAGCCATCTCGGATCTAAAATTAAATTTCTATATTCCAATCTCAAAGGTCGATGAAAATATGAAAACTGCTCATACTCGAAATAGTATCAATGTTGGTAAATTCTATTTTAGAAAATCTTTAAATGGTAAATTAACAAAATCAAACAAATAATATTATTTTTGATATTAATATTTTTATTTCTTTTATTTATTTATTTCTTTTATTTTTAGGATCATCACCAAATACAGGAAATGTTGAAAATGAATATGAATTAATGACTATTAATGAAATATTTAATGGAAAGGGTAATGATGATTTTGTTGGATTAATTCGTATTATCAAGGATTATATTACTTCTTGCAAGTTTGACGATGAGACCAATACCTTGCTCAGCAAGTATCTATCATTCATCTCTAAACGTGCATCGGGTGAGCTTCTCACAATGTCAAGTTGGACTAGAAAGTTTGTAGACTCGCATCCAGACTATCTCCACGACTCTGTTGTTTCTCAAAAGATTCAAGATGATTTGATTCAAGCCAGTGTAGATATTGTCGAAGGTAGAAGAAAGGAACCACAATTATTAGGTGATTTTTAAACAAACAAACAATAGAATCAACAAAATACTCATCATTTAAGAAATAATAATAATAACAAATAATAATAATCATCATCATCGCATTTCTAAAGAAATAATAATAATAATAATAATCATGATATTAAAAATAATTAATATTAATAATGACATGGATATTTTTTTTATGGTTTAAAAAAAACTATCCAAGTACAATTAATAATATTAATAATAATAATAATAACCCTCACATATACACACACCCTCATATAAACCATCCACCACCATCACATTATTTAAATAAATTAAAATGTATTATAATTAGTAATTATATAATTTTAACAACCACACATTAAATAATCATCTCATCTCTTCAGTCAATCGCTCCCCCCATCTTTCAAGATATGTATCTTTTCCTGAAACAAGGACAGTCTATAGTCGAATTGACTAAAATATATTAATATCAACCATTCCATTCTTTCTTTTTGAAATTGAATGGGAAATGGGAGGGGGTGGATGATTGTCTGTTTTTTAAAACTGTAAAAGATGTCTAAAGACAAGATAAGATAAGATGGAGATTGAGATAATGGAGATCGGCGTTTGAGAGATTGTGTAGCTTACATACATACGGTCCGGTTCTTAAATTTAGTTGTAGCAATTAAATATTTTATAGTATAATAATATTATTACACAGCACAGACTGGTCAAATTGACCAAACCTAACATTTACCCAAGGATTAGTAGTCAGAGTGTCGCTATGTTGTGCTATACCAATGCCATAGTGGTGGTGAGGGTTTAGATTGAGATTTCCAGATCCCATTGCCACACTCCTCCTCCTCCTCCTCTTCCTCAACAAAAAGTCTAGTCTCTCATATTTTATGTTGCGTATGACAATTATGAAATGTCAACCAAAGACTATAAATAGTTGAGAATAATGTCAATTATAAAATCATCAAATCAAAACAACAACAATTTAAACTAAATACCAATTAAATTAAATCCCCAACCAATTCCAATTCTAAAAATGAACAAGTTCACCATCTTATTAGTCGCCATCGTCGCCATGCTCTTTGTTTCAATGGCCTCTGCCACCTACGAAATGCACTGTGGTAACTGCATCTCCAATGCTCACAACAACTATGTCAGATGTATTACCGACGGTAACTCTCACCAAAACGTAAGAAACTCTAAAAAAAAAGAATTTATTAAATGAATCAAATCAAATCTAACACCAACCATTCTCTTTTAATATATATAGTGTCTTACCAACCTCCACAACAACCTCATGCCATGCAGATCCCACGGTTGCATTTGCTAAATAAATGATTTAGAGTCATCCAGCATACTCTCTAACTCTATTCCATTGCAAAAACAAAATGTTAAATAAAATCAACATTCATTTACAATGTTAATGGTTCATGATATAATCCTTCTCCCCCTCCCTCTCTCTCTCTCTTTGTTCTAGAATCTACTTTTAATTTAATTAATATGTGTGTTCCATTTAGAAATTGATTCGGCAACTCCCATTTCCAAAGGGTGCAAATTTAATCAGCAAACTATAAGTTTGAAAAAGCCACTGAATCCTCTTGAAAGATTTTTTGACAAAGACACACACTTACTATAAACTTTCATTTCTAGTTTTGTTATTTTAGTATCTCTTCTTTTCATTTATTATTTATTATTTATTTATTTATTATTTATTATTTATTTATTTGTACACAATCTATATATTATAATATAGTAGTAGAACTAGAAGAGGTGGAGATATAGATAAGATTTATATTAATCATGTCAAATACTATACCATCGGTCAATGATGGAGAGTCGAAGACCAAACTATTGAAATCGTTAAAGAATGAGATTATAGAACTCAAGTTGCAACAGCAGAACCACAAGACACACCAAGACACGTTGGAGCAGGGTTTGAAGCAGCTCGACGCTGTGCTCAAGCAGCAGGCTGGTCAGCTCAACGATGAAAAGGCGACACGTGCAAAGATCACTGGCTGGATCAAGGATAATCTGGGACCAGACTTGTCGGTTGTCATGGAGATGGTGGAGAGTCGGTACGTTGCGTCACTCGAGGACAAGCTCAAGACGCTGTACCAGATGCTTGATCGCAAGATCCGAGACAATGAAGAGGGTGCCGAGCGCAGATACGGCAGCCAGCTGACACTGCTCACATCGCAGGTACGCGACAACTACTCGTCTCTCAACGAGGCTGTGCGTAGTACATCGAGCACGCTGAATGAAGCGATACGCACCAACTCGAACCAAGTCAAGGACGTATCGTCTGATATGGACGAGCGTATTCTGTCGGTGGACCAACGCATCAAGGCCACTGAAGCAGCACTCGACAAGAAGTTCTCGGCCAGTAACCTGTCATTTGACCAACGTCTACGTGCTAGTGAAGGTGTGTTTGACCAAAAACTATCGAGTACCTATGCATCGCTCGAGAGTCAGATATCAATCGGCGAATCCAACTCGGACAAGAAGTTGACCAGCTTGGGCAACTCGTTTGATACGCGTCTCATCACTGCATCCAATACACTCGATGCCCGTATTACCGCTGGGTCAACTGTGCTCGGTGCACGTCTCGACAGCGTTGTTGGCACGTTACTCCAACGTCTCGAGGGGTACAGTAAAGAGTTGCGCAGTGAATTCAACGCAGTCACCGAGAAAGAGGCTGCACGTGTAGTACGTCTCTTTGACAAGATGGCTGTAGAGATTGCACAGGTGCGATCGGCCTTTGCCGACGAGTGTCGTCGTATCGAGGAGGCTGTCGAACGTGCCTCTCAAAAGGACCGCGAGTTTGTCACTGACCACGTGTCGACTGCTATCGCCGACCAATGGCGTAGCTCCCAACTCCCCATCGTCAACAATCTCGCCAGCACATACTCGCGCAACGAAGGAAAGCGTGTCAGCGAGGATTTGACCGTCTTTGTACGTTCCGAAATCAACCAACTTCAATTCGAGTTTGAGCAACGTCTCAAGACCGATCTTCAAAAGCTACGTTACGAGCTCACCTCACTCATCAACCAAAAGGCAGAGACACTACACGACGAACAAAAGGATTTCCTCAAACACGAACGTATTCTCCGTGAAGAAGATAGAAAATATTTGGAAGCTCTCAAACAATCCATCTTTTCATCACTCAAAGAAGCAAAGATTGAAAGAGAACAATTATCAAATCAAGTTAACCTTTTATTAAAGGAAAAGAATGATTCTGCTGGTATGTATGAAACATAAAGAAAACAACAACAACAAAACATACTTCTTGACTCTTTTATTAACCATTCCATTTGCTTATTTTAGAACTAGTATTCGAAAAACAAATGGAAAGTGGAAATACTTTACTTAAACATAATGAAGAGTTATTGTCAAAGATGGAAGAAGCTAGAAAGACACGTTTGAGAGAGATGGAGGAGAGTGAGGAAAAGATTAGAGCTCAAAAGGAACAATTGGTCCGTGAAAAGGAGGGATTGGAGCAACTCAACACCCAACAAAAGGACAATGAGGAAAAGTTGATGTTGGAACAATTGAAACTCGAGAATCTCCAGAGAAAGAAAGAGATGGAGGAACGTAATCGTCAACGTGAAGAAGAACGTCAAAAAGAGATTGACGAACTACTTGAAAAGCAAAAGCTTGCTGAAAAGGAGTTGGAACAACACAGACGCGAGAAACAACAACACAAGGAGCAACTCGAACGTGAAGATCGTGACCGTGTCGCTAGAGACAAGGAGAGAGAAGAGGAGAAGCGTCAAGACGCCGAACGTCGTCGCAAGCAACAAGAAGAGGACTGGAAGCGCAAGGAAGAAATCTACGAAGAAGAGAGAAGAGCTGAAAAGGACCGTCAACGCGAGTTGCAAGAGCAACGTGAAGCCGAGATTGCCAAGCTCCTCGTCGAGGAAAATGAAAAGAGAAAGCAGGTAGAAGACCAGATCCGTGCTGAAAAGGAAAAGACATTGGCACTCGAAAAGGTACTCGAACAAGAGCGTGTCAAACAAGAAGCCGAAAAGAAAGAGATCCAACAACAAAAGGAAAGAGAATTGGCCTTGCACAGACAGCAAATGGAAGAGGCAGAGACCAAGAGAAAGTTGCAAGAAGCCAGCGACAAGAAGCAACAAGACGAACAAGACAAAAAGAGACGTGACGAAGAAGACGCTGAAAAGAAGAGATTGGCAGCTGCTCAAGAAGAAATCGACCAAAAGAGAAAACAAGAAAAGGCTGACAAAAAGAAAAAGGAGCAACAACTAGAACAAGAACAAGAACAAAAGAGAAAGCAACAAGAGGAAGAACTTGAAGAACAAAAGAGAAAACAACAACAACAAGACCTTGAAACAAAGAAAAAGGAAGAGAAAAAGGCTGAAAAGAAAAGACAATTGGAAGAACAAGAGGAAAAGGAAAAGGAAAAGGAAAGAAAGAGACAAGATGAGGCTGATAGAAAACAACAACAAGAAGAAGCTGATAGAAAGAAAAAGGAAGCTGATGCCAAACAACAAGAAAAGGAAAAGAAAAAGAGACAACAACAAGAACAAGAAGAAAAGGAGAGAAAGAGACAAGAAGAGGCTGATAGAAAGCAACAACAAGAGGAAGCTGATAGAAAGAAAAAACAAGAGGAAGAAGAGAAAAAGAAGAAACAACAACAACAACCACCAAAACAAACTCGTGGTGCCCTTCCACAAACCCCTCCTGTAAAGGAAACTCCTGCTCCTATTGTCAAAGAACAACCTCAACCTGATGATGATTCTAGTGATTCCTCTTCTTCAGATAGTGAAACCGAACCAACACCAGTTGTTGTTGCTCAACCAGAGAAACCAAAACTCAAACCAGTTGTCAAGAAATCAGCTGCCAAACCTGTCGACAGTGGCTCTGAAGATGATTCTGCCGATGATTCAAGACCAACCAACAATGTCTTTAAAAAGATGGCCAAGAACAATGAAGTTCCAGAATCATTGGGTGGTGAATTGTGCAAGGTTTGCAACAAAAAGGTGTACAATACTGAACGTATCTCTGCTGAAGGTATTGTCTTCCACAAGGCTTGTTTCCGTTGTTCTATTTGCAATTGTACTTTGAAGCTTGGAAATTATGCTTCCATGCAATCCAAATATTTCGTAAGTTTTATTAATTCTAATTATTTATTTATTAATTTAGTTTATTAACAATGATCACTGTCTATTTCTCATTTTTAGTGTAAACCATGTTTCAAAAAGAATTTCCTTTCAAAGGGTAATTATAGTGAAGGTTTTGGTGAATTGAAACCACAACATCAACATGATCTCAAGAAGGGTATTACTCACCCAGGTCTTAATCCAAGTGGTAGTGAAGATGAATCCAGTGTTCCTGTTCAACAAAAGGTTGTTGAGGTTAAAAAGGAAAAGAAGACTCCAACAACAGTTGTTATTCCCGCCGCACCAGTCCAACAAAAAGATGAATCCGATGATGAAGAAATTATTGAAGCTCAACAATTAAAGAAGCCATCACCAGCAGCATCAGCAAAGAAACAACAACAAGCTATTGAAAAGAAGGAGGAAAAGAAAGAAGAAAAGAAACCAGCACCAGCCAAAAAGGCCTCTTCATCATCGTCAGATGTTCAAGAGAATCCAGATGTTGAATGTGATGTATCTGCTCCAGAATTAAGAGATGCTTGGAATGACATTCGTGATGATGCTACAGCAACCAACTGGATGCTTCTTGGTTATGGATCATTGAAAAAGACATTATCACTCTATGGATGTGGATCTGGTGGTCTCAACGAGTTACTCAAGAGTCTAAAGGATGAAGTTCAATATGGTTATCTTCGTGTTCTCTATGGTGACTCTGATCGTGCTAAATTTGTATTTTTTACGTATGTAGTGATAAATAGAAGAAAGATAATAGATAGACTTTAATACAAATACTAATTTATTTTGATTTATTTATATTTTAGATTTGTACCAGAAACATTATCAGGAATTGCAAAGGCAAAGGCAAATATGCATAAACCACATGTTGACAAGTTCTTCAAGTATCATCATACTCAATTGCAAGTCATGTCGCGTGATGAAATTTCCATGCCAATTATTGAGGCCAAGCTCAAGGCCGCTGCCGGTGCCAACTATGGCAAGGGTACATCGCCAGACGATACCGCCAGAACCGAGAACTTTAAGGGTATCAAGGACAGCGCCAAGTTCTTTTACGACAAGACCGAGAAGACTGGTGGAAAGGCCGGAGGAGGTGGTGTTGACATTGTGTACAACAAGGGTCCACTCGGAAACGTCACTCCTGTCAGTTTGATGGGTCGTGCCGGTATCACTGAAAAGTATATCAAGACTGATGTCAAAAAGAAAGAGGAGTTGGCCAGCAAGACCGACGGATACCGTCCCGTTGGCCGTGCTCGTGCCAGTTCAACCGCTTCAAATGATTCATTTGTTTCAAATGACTCGTCAGACTCTGAACACAGCACAACCAGCTCCAATACTCCACCAGTTGCCGTAGCAGCCAAGGAACCAACACCTGTTGCTCAACCAGAGAAACCAAAACTCAAACCAGTTGTCAAGAAAGCTGCTGCCAAGAGTGAAAGCGAGTCGGAAGATGATGTTGCCGATGATTCAAGACCAACCAACAATGTCTTTAAAAAGATGGCCAAGAACAATGAAGTTCCAGAATCATTGGGTGGTGAATTGTGCAAGGTTTGCAACAAAAAGGTGTACAATACTGAACGTATCTCTGCTGAAGGTATTGTCTTCCACAAGGCTTGTTTCCGTTGTTCTATTTGCAATTGTATGTTGAAGCTTGGAAACTATGCTTCCATGCAATCCAAGTATTTCTGTAAACCATGTTTCAAAAAGGTTTTCCTTTCAAAGGGCAACTATAGTGAAGGTTTTGGAGAGTTGAAACCACAACATCAACATGACCTCAAGAAGGGTATTTCTCACTCGAATCCAAGTGGTAGTGAAGATGAATCCAGTTCCAACAACAGTGTCCGTGAAGCTGAAATCAAGAGAGAAAAGGAAAAGGAAAGACAACAACAAATCCTTCGCGAGGAAAAGGAAAAGAGGGAAAAGTTAAAGTCAAACAAAAAGACTGTTGATTCTGATCATGAAGAAGAACAACAACAACAACAAGATGACAGTGACGATGAAAAGGAAAAGGAAAAGGAGAAAAAGATCCAACAACAACAACAACAGGAAAAGGAGAAAAAGGATCGTGAAGAAAAGGAAAAACAGGAAAAGAAGGTTGCTGCTCGTGAAGAAAAGGAGAGACAAGAGAAAAAGGCTCATGATGAAAAGCAGGAAAAGAAGGAAAAGGAACGTGAAGAAAAGATCCAACAAGAAAAGGAAAAGGAGAAACAAGAAAAAAGACAACGAGAAATTGAAAATATGGAACGTCAGAAACAAGAAGAAAAGAAGAAGCAACAAGAAAAGGAAGAAGACTCTGCTGCTGCAGTAGTCCCATCTCCAACCAAGTCATCAAGCTCTTCCAATGGTGGTGCTTCATTCTTGAGTGACTACAACAAAAAGAAGGAAACTCTTCTCAAGGGATCAGCATCCTCTTCTCCATCTGGATCCAAAGACAACAAAAAGAAAGAGTATACTTCAAGTTTATTCGCAAATGATGAAGATGAAGATGAATTATTCAAGTAATTATTCAAGTAATTAATTCCATTCAATCTCAATCTCTATATCTATTTATATATATATTTTAATAATAATAATAATTCCCATTTATATTTTGTAATAAATTCATAATAATAAAAAAACTATTTTCTCTAAAATGATGAAAGAGTATTTGAAAGTAGTAGGGCAACAGTAGCAATATCGAGGATTAAAGTTGGTGTGAAATGTTTATCTTTCCATGATTCTGCATCGATGATTCCAATGACTTGGTTGGCATTGGTTGCACTAAATATAGGAATACATAGTTCACTTTTAACCTTATCCGAACAATTGTAATAGGGACCATCATATTCTTGGAGTGATGTAATGATTCTTCCAGTTCCTGTCATACCAACAGTTGAATTGTTTGAAATGAGTGCAAAATCATCTGTCAATGGGAATATTGGTCTTGAAATTTCACCTTGATATGCTAATTTAATAAGACTAAATATAGAAGATAGAGTTATGTTTAGAGAGAGAAAGAGATATTTCCAGGTTATGTAATTTAATTATCCATACGCTTTATCATTATCAACAGAATAAGTCTTGTAAATTCCAAACCAATCAGATCCAGTATCATTTGAAATTTGTTGTACAATCTATAAATCGGAAAATGATTAATAAATAATGATAACTATTCCCAATGATAGGTATATGAAAGATACTTACTTTATATAACTTTGAAATAATGATTGAAAGTTGATCAGATCTCTTTCCAATGACAGTCTCTAGATTGAATGTTTCTTGTTCATGTTTGAGACTACATGTACCACCATCGCCCAACTTTGGTACTGTAATGTTGTATAGTGAATCTTGATTGTCAATCACATCTGTCTTGTGATCGATGATTTCATTGTACCATTTGTTTATTCTAGATTGATCATGTTGTTGAATATCCTCTTTTGTAATGTACTTGTCAAGCTTTGTTTTATTTATATATTCTTCCATTTAATCTATCTATCTGTATCTATATATGTTCAATATAATGAATTTGACGAACATAAAGAGGACACGACAGTTCCCAATTTAAATAGAATTAATTAATTCCGGGAGGAGCTTCTTCTAAAAGATATTTTGTTTTCTCGTTTGGAAGAAGCAGAAGATTCTTTATCTCTTTCATACCCGTCATCGGACAAACCACGACATTATGACTAATAAATAAATAAATACAATGAGAGCTAGAGAGAGATTGATTGATTATCTGTACAGATACGAAATAATAATAATGATTTAATTTGAAAAGTTTGATTAAACTTGAGCTGCATTTGCATCATCATTTTGTTTTACTCATTTTTAAAGTACATGTAATAAATATGTTTAGAATTAATAGTACAATATTACAAAAGACAACAACAACATTATGTTGTCGATATGCTTCATCAGCATCATCATCAACGATGATAATGATCAATAGAAACTATACTACAAACAAAAAGAACAACACCGATGATGAAGATCCGTTATCAGCATTTTCAAACAACAAACCAACCGAACCAACATCATACGACAAGATCTTTAGTGGATTTAAACAAACAACGAGTGTATATGAACGAGAGATTGAAGAGCAGAGAAGTAGATATGAAAAGGCAAAGGAGGATGAAAAGAAAGCAAATCCATATTGGAAGAAAATACTGTCAAAGAAGAGCGAGCTTGCATGGGCTATCCTTGGTGTCGGCACATTCATTCTCATGTTTAAATCATTTGCACAGTCCAAACAGAATCAATCACTCTCTCAACAAGTTCAAGTGCACAAAACATCAACCATCAATGAAATCGATCAACTTAAACTTCAACTATCCAATCTACAATCGGTCAGCGATCAACAACTAAAAGAATTAATTGTCAATATCAACAACAACAACAACAACAACAACAACAACAAATCTACAACACCCAATATAAATCAAACATCAACTATAGTACAACAAAGTGGTGGTGAAGTAGAAGACCTTCATCTTCTCTTGCAATCCATTAAACATATTTTAAATAGTAATAATAGTAATAATAATAACAGTGATGATAGTCCAAAATAATAATAAATAATATACACCGACCAATAACAATAACAATAACAACAACGATCCACTTTTCTCTGCTGTTGCTGCTATTCCACTCACTTGTCTATAAATAGACTATCTCTATAATCATTGGATTGTTTTGGTATGGTCAGTCGCAATATATATAAATATCCTTCCACAAATATATATATAATTAATTGGGGGGTTGGTTGTGACAACAATGAATAACAACACAGTTCTTTTTCTATCCCTCACCTCACCATTCAAGTTGTTGTTGTTGTTGTTGTTGTTGTTGTTGATGATGAGTGAAGATGATGATGAGTAGATACCTTATCTAAACAATTAAACATTTACTTCCATTAAAAGTATCTATTCGTACATCGTATTTTACCACTACATATCTCTACCCCCCCCACCACCACTACCACCACTGTCTTCTCACCCTCTCTACTTGTATTATTCTTGTTTGATGAAATGGGATGATAGATAAAGGTAGGTATTGGTGAACCCATGGGAATATAATATAATATCATATTGATGATTCTGGAATTGGTGGGGTGAAAGCGTTTGTGTTGTTACTTATTCAGTCTTGTTGTTGATTTCGTTCCTTCCACGATCCGTTCCTCCTAATTTATCCAACAACAATCCTTCCCTCTTTTTCCTCATTTCTTTTGATAGCGAAGATGTATATTCCCTTCTCCTCCTCACTCCTTTCCAAAAATAAATAATTGTTGAACAACAAACACAAATCATCTCCAACAACAACAACAGCAACAAAATCCATCATCATTTATAGTTTTAGTTAGTTTGATAGTTTCTAGAATAAAACCTCATCATTCAATATAAATTGTTGATTTAATCAACGATCGCATCTGACTGTCCTGTCCAGTCCACAACAACCTATCCACCCATTTTTTGGTGCACAATTTAAATTCAAGGTTTCACCAACTTAGGTATTTTCACAACCTTTTAAAATATCCCAACCTTTTTTTTCAATCCCTTTTTTGCACCAACCATATTAGCTTAAAGTTGACATAGGCAACAAACAACCATACAGACAAACAGCAAAAGTAATATATATCATATAAACAACAAAAAGTATGATCATACAGTAATAAGAATAGGTTATAAAGAATAGAAGAAAAGAGAGAATATTATTATACTTTACACTACACTACACCATCGCTTTCTTTCTTTTCACATTTTTCTATCGCGATTATTATTATCATCATGCTAAATTAGAAACAAGGTGTATACAAAGTTATATATATAATATATATTATACCCAAAGCCAATGCTATTATGCATAAAGTAGTAGTAGGTTAGGTTATTCTCCTCCTCTTGAGGATTTCTTAACAAACACATTTCTTAACACCATCCACCATCTATCTTCTATCTATCTCATCATCATCATCATCATAAGATCGAAATGATACATTCTTTTTTCATATCAACTAGACAGTGTTCTTTATGATTGATTGATACATGATGATAATGGTGAAAAAGATTGGTGACATTTATCATATACCACCTCCTCCTTCTCCTCTTCTTTATTCCTTTTAATCGCTACCCCCCTCCTCCTCCTCCTCCTCACCACAAACAAACAATCACCACCCTTGCAAACAAACTCATATTATTCTATCCCTGATCCATCCCATTTGCTTACTTGCTCATGATCTCGGTCATGACTTTATATTGATTCCACTTTGACCGATGTGCATCAGTAAAATAACAACAAACAATAATAACAATAATAATAATAATAACAAAAACATCGTTATTTGTTTTAATATTATTCCAATGGTTCATTGATTGATTGATTTGGACTTGTGACACACATATCATTAATTTATATATATATATATATATTTATATTAACAACAAAAACCCATCTTATCAAACCAATTTAGTAATACAATAGCATTATCATTTTCAACACTCAACATCATCATAATAATAATAATAATAATAATAAGATAATATTTATTATTTTGTTTGTGGCACAGAGGTAATAACAAAAATATAGTAGCAAGACATTGGTTTTAATTAATTGAGACAAAAAGAGGACAACAAGACATAAATAGATACATAGCTACTTCTTTTGGTGAAGCAGCATGTCCGATGCTAATCGAGGTGCTAGAAAAAGAATGTCCAAACAGCACAATGGTTTGTTTTCAAAGTTTATGGTCACTCAATTAGATCTTACGACCTATAAACCACTACTCTCATTTAAATGGCTGCCAAAGGGAACACAAGACAGCAGGGATGAAGCAGATGAAAACAAGGTTTTACAATTCTGTTTTCCAGAATCAATAACTGTTTTGCAATCGATTATATCTAATATGTATGTCTGGATGGATAGAGGGATTGTCTTTTTACGACAATAATATCATATATATATAGATATATATATATATAGATATAGATATTAATATTAATTTCCTTTTTTTTTTAATAGAACAACAGAACAAATCGATTACTTTTCATTTATCCTAACAAATTCATATGGTGGAAAAAGTTTTGCTTATTGTAAGAGAATTTTAAAAGAGGATCCAGTTTGTTATATTTTTATTAGTACAAAGTAAATATATATAAATATATATATAATCCAAATCAATCGATCAATCAATATCAGTCAAGATCTTTTTCTAACATTTTTATTGTTTAGACCATATTTTAGTTTATTTGATCAAATATTTACAGTGATTGAATCAAAATATGAAAGAAAAGTAAAATATAGTATCAATGCATTGTTAACGTCATTGTTGATGTTTCCACTTGATCCTACACTTTCACAGATCGAGATAAAGGCATCGGCAAACAATTCACAAACGGAAAACTATGAATTCCTATACACCAGTCCCACGACAGAGTTTGAACACATCTCTTATGAACCCATATATAATATGAAACCTGCTCACGTTATCAAACTCTATGAATCTATATTGACCGAGTGTAGAGTCATTCTTTGTTCTTCTTCTATATCAAAAATTTCCAATTCAATTTTGGCAATATCATCTCTTGTTAATCCTTTTTCTTGGCAAGTATGTATATAAATACAAAAAGTAGTAGAAGTAATTTAATTAAACTTTCAACTTATAATCTTTTCTTTCCTTTCCTTTCCTTTCCTTTCCTTTCCTTTCCTTTCCTTTCCTTTCCTTTCCTTTCCTTTCCTTTCCTTTCCTTTCCTTTCCTTTCCTTTCCTTTCCTTTCCTTTCCTTTCCTTTCCTTTCCTTTCCTTTCCTTTCCTTTCCTTTCCTTTCCTTTCCTTTTTGTAGCATATATTTATTTCTATATTACCAGAAGGTTTGATGCCATATGTATCAGCACCTATCCCATTTTTAGTTGGTATTTTAGAATCATCTTTGAAATCATTCTATCAACAACCGACCGAACAAGTTATTTTATATAATCTCGATAAATGCGAATTTATGATCGATCCAAACTTTAAATCTCTATTACCAGTTCATATTAATACCTATCTTGAAAATTCTTTAAAAAAGATTAAATCTGAACATCCTTCTTGTATGTCCAAAAAAGAAAAGAAAAAAGAAAAAGGAATCATCAATCATTATTAACAACAAATATTTATTTATTTATTTATTTATTTGTAAATTTAGATGATAGTGGATTTGACAAGGTAATTAGAAAACCATTTTTATCAGTTATTTATCACTTGTTTCAAAATTATCCAAAGTTTATGTTAAAGAATGGAGTATCTTATTCATTTGCCAAAGATCAATTTATTGATTCTCATTCTGGATCAAACAAAAAAGTATGAATTTAAGAAAGAAGAAGAAGAAGAATAAGTTTATTTATCAACTCTCTTTTCTATTTTTTTATTTTTATTTTTTAGTTGATAGAAACATTAGTTTGTTCACAAATGATTGAAATGTTTTTTAATGAAAAGGAAGTTGAATTGGCAGATGCAGAGGATCCACAGCAATGTTCATTTTTATTGGGAAGTAGAGATATGGTTGATAAGATTCAAGTGACTAGTTACAAGAGACAGAGTGTATTGGATTGTCCTATTTGTATGCAATCGACAAACCACCATGCATCGATTGAATTTGCCAATTATTTGATGCATCAAGAATGCTTTAAATGCAAGACATGTGGAAGAGGATTGATGGACTTTGAGAGGGAAAAGGTGATTCTCAAGAGAAAGGATGGTGAGCGAATCCAGTTGTATTGTGCCGAATGTAGAAGTGGCACCTTCCTCAACAAGCTCAAAAACACTTCGAGCCACTCCAAGCAAAAGATCTATAGTTTCTTTAAGAATTTGGATAGTGAGGATGTCAATTCATTCTTTTATTCGTCGCCGGCTATTCGATACTCGCGACAACAACACCAACTCCAACAGATGCAACAACAGCTACAACAACAGACCAAAGGTGTCAACATATCGAATCCAATGCCTTTGTATGGTAGTAATGCGGCAGGTGGATACCCCATCATCCCCGTCAAGACAGAGATACAAAACTACAAGTTTAAGAAACCGCCTCCCAAAGATCTGGGAGGCAAGGCACTCTCGATGGGCAGACTCCACCCTCTGCACAATGAAAAGTCGTCCACACTACCCAGCTCGTTGCACAAAACTGGCGGCTCGGCGATATTCACTCCCAAGGCACAATCGCCACCTCCCAAAATATCGTCCTCTTCGTTTAACAAATCACTACCCGATCGACAAAAGCCACCTCTTCCTCCAACACCGAGCGAGATGAAAGAGAGAGCAGTCGAACAATTTAAACAGAAAAATATACACATTCATGGAGGATATCAACATGTTGACGGTGATCCTCCATCATCGTCGTCGTCATCTACAAATACACCAAGTATATCACCGAGCAGTTCATTTGATGAGGCGCGTCTTCACAACCATCTTGCAGCAGATACCACCAACTCGTCGGCGTCGTCGGCCAATAGTACGCCGTCCAACACACCACCAGCAACATTGTCACTCACCTATCAAATTACAAATGAGACGAGAGCGATGCAGTTCTCCAAAGCTCTTCCAGAGGTTCCCTTTTTGCCAATCAAGAAGCCTGGCCCACTTCCTCCACTCCCTCCCATTCCTGCTCCTGGTACACCCGCCTCTTCCAGACCACTACCCATCCCTCGACCAAAGGACACAACAGTCGTAGTTGGTGTATCACCATCATTGTCGCCACCTCAATCCACTGCCACATCACCTCGATCAAGAATTGTACCAAGCAGGGGTCCATCTCCACCAACAACTAGTAATCAACTAGTTGGTCACAATCCTCAACCACCTTTTGTACCAACCAAAAAACCTTTACCAATCCCAAAATCACCTTCTGTAAATGATCTCTTAACACTAAACAATAATAATAATAATAATATCACAAGTACCACTACAACTACAACTACTACCAATACTACTACATCAATAAGTAAACCACCTTCACCAATACCAAAATTAAATACACCATCACCCCCATCACTTACTAGAGAATCACATAAACAACCAAATATTAATATTAATAATAATAATACCTCATCTACTACTACTACTAACAACAATAACAACAAAGATAATATAGTATATTCAAATAATGTAATTATACCAACTAATAATTATTATACAAATAGCAGAGCCAAACCAGCCTCGCCTCGTACTAATAATTACAAACCTACAACACCCAGAGGAGGAGGCGGAGGTGGTGGCGGAAAATCACTTTTATCACCTCCAAGTTCATCGGTGACTGCCAACAAATCGCCATTGTCATTGTCGCCTGACAGTTCTCTCTCGCCAAGAAGACTCAACAAACATTGTTTCAAATGCAAGGTTCCATTGGTGCCAACAGACGACATCACAGTATCAGAAAGAAAATATTATCACTATACCTGTTTCGAAAAGGACAAGGCCGCAAAACAACAACAATGTACCAAGTGTGACAAGCAACCTTTACATGGAGAGTATGTTAGTAAAAGAATCCAAATGTTTGAAAATATTAAAGGTGGAAGTAGTATTATTGGTGGTGGCGGCGGCAGTAGCAGCAGCACTAATCGTAGTGTCGGCACCAGCAAAAGATAAGAAAACCAACCGATCAAACGATTCCTTTTCTGCATCCCCTACCACCAATCAATCTACCCTTCCTTCCCTCTTTCTATTCAATCAACTTTTGGATTCCATATCTTTTGTACATAGTTTCAATAACTTAAAACAAGTTATATTAATACATAAACACCTTTATTTATTTACATATCCCCACCCCACCCATCACCATCCAACTCCCACAATCGCAACTCTTAATGTGTCGTGTTTTTTAAACTATAATAGATACCATGGATGCTCTTTTAGTTCAGATGATGATACTATCATTAATATCCCAGCTACCATTGTATAATTACTCAAAACAAATAACCAACCAAACAACCAAGTTGGAGCCTAGCCCCTCGAGCAAATTGGAGCCGCCCCTAACCAACATTACATTATATATTACTACTAATTTATGTTTGTTTTAAAAATCAAACATCAATAAACACTTCCATTCACTATTTATTAAATACCTATAATCTATTAGTTTTTATTAGTTTTCTTCTATTTTTAGAATTGTAAACAAATTAATGTTGTACTTTGTGCATTCCATGGTAAGCCTTGATTTAAAAGCTCTTTGGTGATTTGTCTTTAATTTGAGAATCTCTGTCAAGTAGCCAGGGTTTGGTAATATCTTTGTCAATGTAATGATTTTGTCAACTAAAAGGTCTTCAGATGCTAATGATTGAATTGAATAAGTAAATTTAAATGTTTGAAATCGATTTTGTTTCTCTTTTTTCCCACTTACATATTAAACTATCAGTTACAATATCATATATATTTAAAATTCTTTCCTTATTCTCTAGTGTTAGAACGTCTTTAATAGTTCCTTTTTTATATCTCTTTGTTAGAGAATTTTTAATCGTACGCCATAGGACTGGATCATATGGGACATAGCATAACCTAGAACTAAACGATTCTACAAATAGATTTAAACCAACTGGTCCCTTTATAAAATATTCGCAAATCAAACTAAATCCATAGTTTGACAATGGATCTAATTTCATTAATTGTATTGCACATTCAATAAGATCTGTTTTCCTTGATTTTAAAAAATGTTCTCTTAAAAATGTTCCATATAATCTAAAGAGAGAGAAATGGTTAGCTGAATGTTACTACATTTATATTTATACCCAATTTACATACAAATAAGAGTTTGCATTGGTTGGATTATTTTTTAAAAAAAATCTTAATATTTTATCTACAGTTGTTAATCTATTTCTATACATTGCAAGCTAAAATAAATAATAATAAATTCATTAATTAAATGACCTGTACTCATGATCACATTCAATTTCTATTAATCGATTTCATACCTTTACTAATGGTAAAACTAAAAAATCCATTGATGGATTATTTTGTAATCCTTTTGTTAAACGGAGATAGGCCTTTGAATAATATTCGATTGGTGATTGTCCAGTCGGATAAACTACTTTGGGATGATGTGTTTTGACTTGTTTTGGAGTTGTTGATTTAACTTTTTCTGATTTCTTAATATTATTATTATTATCTCTCTTTCTCTTTTTTTTGTCTTTTTCATTGTCTTGCAATTTAACTTTAATATTGGTTGATTTGTCATTTTCCTTTGGTTGTTTTGATTTTATCATTTCACTGTAGCAAGTTGGTTTGACGTATGGAATAATTGGGGCTGGTTTTTTTGGTGCAGCAGATACGCCTGTAGCTTTTTGTGATGGATAGTTCTTGTTTGTACTTGTCACTGATGGTGATGTAGTTGTGGGGGTGGCAGCTGCCGACACTGTTGATGATGATGAAGAACCATAATTTTTGTTTACTCCAGTCAATGATGGTGTTGTTGGTGGTGATGATAAAGGTGGAGTTTTAATTGGAGGGATGGCAGCGGCATTATAATTATAGTTGCTATTGGTTGACATTGGTCGAAATGGTGGTGTTGCAGGTGGTGATGTCTTGGTTACCAATGGTATTGGTGCCCCTCCTTCCGGAACTACAACCAATGCACTTGAAATGGTTGGAGATACCTGTAAAGGTGTTCCAAATGGTACCAATGTCAGCTTCATGCTTTTGTGTGGTTGATAATCCTCCTCTTCATCTTCTTCTTCTTCACCATCGAATATTTCGTCATCTTCTTCTTTATCATCATCTTTGCTAATATTCAACTCTTCATCGTCAGAAGAGTCTTGTAAATGATCATTGTCATCATCATCATCATCATCATCATCATCTTGGTTGAGTGTAGGTAGAAATATAACTCCTTTTTCTTCTTTAACAGAATCTTGATCAAATGAAAGATGATCAAAAAAGCCAGTGATTAAATCGTATTTACGAGCGTTGGCGTTCTTGTGTATGTCTCTTTGTTGTGAATTATAGATACGTCTATAATCATAAATATCTCCATTGTTCCATCTCTTTACCATTGACTCCCATCTCATAAAACAAAGTAAACCAGAGTAAATAAACAATAAAGGAAATTTTTCTTCATCCAATTTAACTAAACATCTTTAAATTAAAGGTAAGGTGAGTATTCATCACAACTTCTTCTTCTTGTTCTTGCAGACATACGATTCTATAGTATCTAAATAATTGATTAGATTTAGATTATACATATCACAAGAGAATAATGAGAATAATAATTGGTATGGCTAATAATAATGAATTACGAATTAGTAACAAACTTTCAAGTCTCAAATATATTGATGATTGTTCTTTTTCTCTACATACACCATCTTTTATAGTACTATATTTCTGTAACATTGTAGCTAGTTGATAAAAGTCCTTTCTTATATTATCTTGATATGATTTTGAATCCTTCTCAACGAGTAGTCGGAGTATAGATGGTATGACAGCTAGAGATATAGGTGACTGTTTGAGCAATGGTTCTATCAACTCTCTTGCCTCATCATCTCTATGTTGTTCTATCAATGAATGGAATAATGTTTCTATGTTCCATTCCATTTATCTCTTTTCCTTTTATAGTACTATTTATCTCTCTCAAGTGAGATGAATGATTAATCATTTCATTGACTCGTGTATTCGAAAACTGACAAAAGAGGTCATTTTCAATTTAAATTTATTTATTTATTTTATCCTCCAACAACACCAAAGATGAATGAGTATTTGTCTCTTTGTGTATTAGTATAATACTATAAATAAATAAATAAATAAATAAATATTTATTTATAAAAGAAGTATTTTTCGTATATTTTTATTCAAAGTTTCTCCTTCTAGGGAGACTCTTTAAAATATCTTTTTAAATTGAAATGATCAAGTTAACAACCAATTGATAGTACAATTTATTTATTTGTATTGAGATGATGGAACAACCAAATACCACCACCTTTTTATCGGTATTTAGGGTAGGATATATAAGACGTACAATATTAGATCATATCCCAAATCTTGCAAGACAATATGCTCGAATTAGATCAAGAGATAGAATTAGTCAAGGTAAACAAGAACAATCAGTATATATGAGTCCTGATCGTTGTACTAAAACATACTATAATGCAAATAATATAAAGTATGTAAATCATAAGAGTTGATTGAACGATTGATTGATTAACTAATCTATTATGTTATTTTTAGATGGTTACTTGTAAATGGATATGAATCATTATTAAAAGATAAATATGAGGCTGGACATTTATTTGAAGCTGATCCATTGTTTTCATGGATGGAGTGTTGTACTGAACAGGCTAGAGTACCAGCTCCTTTGATCGATAAACTCATTGGTGCCATATCATGGCAAGAAAGAGAAAAGTGTATTAGAAAAGCAATTATCGGTGGTAATTTGGTATTACTAGAGAAACTTTTAAAGTTGTTTTCAGAGGATACAACTCTTACTTCGATGGCATTGATCTATGACATTGCATCGAAATGCCAAAACAACCCTACATTTAAAGAGTTTATCAATCGCACTTGTGCTCAACACTTGGCTAGATATATTCACCATGGAAGACAACTCGCAGACATTACTACACAGGAACATGGTACGAGAATATGTAAAATGATCGTTGGTGTGACACCAATTGGAACCAATAGTCTGTTGAGAATCCCTGATAGTTGGATACTCCAAATCAACAAGGATCTCATCATGTCATTTGATGTAAAAACGTTAAAGTATATCACCGACGAGGTTCATCTCATTTCATTCAACGTTGTGGCACTTTATGATTTTGTGGAATCGGTTCTTTGCAATCCCTGGACTATTCAAGACCAACACATCAATACAATTAGAGATATTTGGAGATTGGTTATGCTCAGACACCAAGATATATTCAACTCGAGAGATTCAATTGAACAAAGAGTCATTGATAAATTACAAATCGATAGTCGGTGGAGTGCAACAACACCAAAGACCAACCAACCATTCACCTTTAAACAATTGGTTGACCTCTTTTACTTTATCGATATGATTACAATGTGCAAGATAGAGTACAGAACTTTGGACGACAACATTGCAACTACAATAGCCTTTATCAGCTCATTGACACCACCCCACTCCTCCAAGGATACCAGTACAACCAACCAAGCTGCATTCTTTGTTGGTGTTGTTGACTATGTCGAGACATTTGTGCCAAAATCATTGATAAACTATGTATCGGTCTTTGGACGGTCATGTCTAGTGTGCAGTGTTCCAGCAGTCGTTTACTTTGAACAAAAGATGAAGACATCCAGTTTATTGAAGGCACCAATCGTTTACAATGACGCTCGAGTATTAGAGTATGTGGCCACCAAATACACATTCCAAAACGAAACATTGGAAAAGATTCTCATCGAGTCATGTACAACTGACCATGTTGATATGGTCGGTAGCATCATCCACCTCTTTTCAGAGACTGTTATCAGGTTACTCGATAAACTATTGGTTGAGTCTGCTCGATCAGATAGCTTAAACACATTCCTCCTACTCTTTGAGACATACCCGGCGCAGTGTGTGGTTATATTGTGTAACCAACCAATTCTCGTTAGAATTTGGAAACCCTCTTACTTTGTACTCAGACATTTCAACAAGATTATCCATCACTTTGAATCGACCAAGTGTCAGTGGAGACCAGGTGTACTTAATGTCTTTATCGAACTAGCCATTATCTTTTGCAACTTGCCACTTATCAAGAGACTGTTATTACTACCCAAGACAAAGGTGCCAACCGACCAGTTCAACGTTGGATACGCTGTACCATACAAACCAATATTAGATTTCTTTTTCGATGCTACTATGCACCCCGATGGCACCTATGTCTGTGGTACCCATTTTACCTTGTCGTTTGGTAACTTTTGTTGGGCAGAGGCAACCTATGCAAACGATCCAGCCAAACTAGACTTACTCTTCCAACTCAATCTACTCAGAGCTCCAGGTCCATACGAACAAGCCTTTTCTGTGCAGAATGAACTCCAAAAAACCATTCTCCCACAGGCATTCAAACACGGCTCGGTCAATCTGATCCAGTATTGTATCGATACTTACAACATACGAGTTCGTGATGTCTTTTTAAAACAAGACCTCATTTACAAAGCCATCACCAGCAACAGTCTCCCCATCATAAAACATTTAATTAAATTCATCCAATCACGTGCACAAGCAGGTGACCCAGAACCAAGAATGTACAGCATGATCATTGGAACTGAAAAGAAAAAAAAAGCGGTTATTGAACAACCACCTACACTACTTGAATATATGTATGATACTGCCAATACATTAAATCAAAAGGAAATATTAAAGTTTTTATCTTTAATAAGAAATAATAATAAAAAATAGATCAAAAGGTCTATTTGTATTTGTATTTGTATTTATATTTATAAATTTTTGTTTGTATTCATTCCACATTTATTTATTTATTTAATTATTTATTTTTCTTGTGGCATGAATCTTGCAAAAGTTAAGTAACCGGTATGTCCTCTTTCTTCGCTTTCTGGTTTAGCCAATTGTCTCATTTTTCTTTCACCTTCCATTGGCCCCAATGTAAATGGTTGGCTTGATCCCTTTTCCCAACGTTTCTTTTTGTATGGTTGTTTGGTTGCTACTGTAGTAGTGGAACCATTGTCGCTATTCGTAGATGTATTTTCAGTATTATTATTATTATTGTTGTCGCCATTATTAGTGTTATTATTATCGGTTTGAATTGCATTTGGATTTGGTTCATATGGATTATATAAATTTAATATTTCTTCTTCTTGTAATCTAACATCATAATTTCTAATTAATACTTCAACTGTTTTAATATCTAAATAAATAAATAAATAAATTGATTAATATTGACTTCTGATTGAATCTTACTATCTTTTCTTTTTTCTTTCTTTCTTCTTTTACCTTCAAAATCAGATTCATCTAATTTTAAACAAGTTGCTTGAACTTGTTCTATACATGGAGAGAATGAACACAACATACCACCTTCACGCATGACTTGAGCAGCGTGATCGATGGCATCCCACGGACTGGGGAGATCGAGAAAGACAGCGTCAATATGTCCAATCATATTTTGTTGATCGTCGAGCTTGAAACCATTCTGAATGACGTTACGATGAGTGACGGTGACATAGTCTGTGAATCCATTGGCTCCAAAGTCTCTTTGAGCCTGCTTGACACGTTCCTCGTGAAACTCGAATGTGTAGAGGTGACCCTTTGGTGCAAGGGTACGAATAAACGAAGTTGAAAGAGATCCACTACCAGTACCAGACTCTACAACCTTGCTACCATTCTTGACCTCCAAATTGAATAGAATCGTGCTAATGTCGGTATTGAAGAGGATCTGTGTACGCAGTTGAAGATTGCAACTCCACAACTCTGGTGTCAAGTGAAGAAGATGAACGAATCCCTTTCCGTCTTCAGAGTTGACCTTGCTACCATACTCTGATCCGATCAATCTATTATGTTTGAACGATCCAAACTTGCTGTTGAATACTTGTCCCTCTTTAATGTCAATAAGAGACATCTTGTCCTTTGAAAAGTAGACAATCACTCTATCTCCACTTTCTATAATCTTCTTTGACTTTAACATCTTCTTCTTCTTCTTTCTCCCCTATATAATATATATATTCTACTCGATTAATATCAATGATCACTTCGTTTTATTAAAAGACATTTGATCGGCACACGAAAACAGACAAGACATTCTTTAAAAAAAAAAAAATATAATATTACGAATATAATAATAATATTTTATTCATTTGTTTGTAGAATCACAGTAGTGATTATCTATCGATAGAGATACTACTACTACTAGGGGTAAGTTATTGCTCTTTGAAAGTAGATCTAATAGAATGTTGAAGAGCAGCTGGGAGTTGGGCACTTCTTGGAACATCGGTTGGGGAAGCGACAAGATGCGATTTGACGGTTGCATTGGTTACAATGTCTTCAATGTTCTCGAGAGAAGTTTGCTTGGGAGCCTCGGTATATGGGGCAGGTACAAAATCCTTGTCGTTGGGGTCAAGTGGAAGAGTCATGGTGTGTTGGTGGCCACGGAATTGGATGACAAGTTTCTTGACGGTCGACTCGTGGTTGAGATCATCCATGGTGATGTGCGAGGGCAAATGGTCTAAACTGAAACGAGCAGAGACCTCGAGATTTCCAATACAGTTGGAACAGGCACGGACGTTGAAACGACTCAAAACTGACTTGTGGCCGACATAGTATTCAATGCCCTTGACAATGACCCAGGCAATGAGAATAAAGGATCCCTGGAACAACTCACGATTGATGCCCGAGAAGGTAACGGTTCTCTTGTTGGGAGTGGGAGGCTCGAGAGTGACATTGTCGAGTGATCCAGGACCATAAGAGTACTTCAAGTCGGCGATATTGGTGACCATTCTGCCACTGGTTTCTGCCCAAGGCAAGAGAGGGGTATCCAGGGTCAGCTTTTGGAAGAGTCCAAAGCCATGGGTAGGTCCATTCCCACCGTCAGTACTGAGGGTTCCAGGGTAGTTGTCGATAATAGGGAGATCCTTGGTGGCTCCGTGAAGCTTTTGCCAGATCCAAAACACACGATCAATGTTACAGTGGTGGAAGAAAAAGATGGGGTCGAGACCAGCGGTGTTGTTCTCTCCCATGTCACCTGCTGCTCCATCTACGAGACCAGAGAATTCGGTTTTGTCGGAAGAGGAGCCCTTGGCGAGTGGTTCAGGGATTAGGACTGGGTTTGGTCCACCCTCACCAATACTTGCCGAGAACACACCTACAGCCAGATGGACATGGTTGTGTGGTTCCTCCAATGCCACAACTTCGTGACCCTTTTCAGAGCTGCTGTAGGCATTGGCAGATGTGATGTTGGAAAAGACTGTGTAGTTGGGTGCCTTGAGGCAATCCTTGAATTGGTCTCCGACGGAAATTCTCAAATTGGGAGCTCCATTCAACCAGGCTTTGTAGTTTTGGTTTAGCATATCTACGCCATCTTGGGCACTGATTTGGCTATTGTGCTTGTCAGTCTGTTCTTTGTCCTTGGGAGTACCCACCAAGCCACTGTAGGGGTAACGCACGGTTTGGTAGCCCGATGGCTTGGCAAAGAGGTTGGTGTCCCACGATACATTGTCGGTAAGCCCTTGAGGCAGTGTGAAGGAGGCCAGTGGGTTTGGCACGGTCCCACCATACTTTTCCTTGTACTTTGGGTCAGTAAAGGTGTAGGTGGTGTCGGTAAAGGCGGTTGGAAGGCCACGATACGTCTCTTTCCCCGTGGCAAGATCAAACTCGGTCTGAGTCTCGTCCCAGAATGGCAACATTACGCCAGGCACTGCCGATTGGAGAGCTTCCTCTAGCGCGAGGATGTACTTTCGGTGCCAGAGGGGGAAGAGAACGTTGCCGTGCTGGCAATAGCCTCCCCAGTAGGTATACTGATTGATAGGGTCCAACTTATCAACTTGGTCACGGTATTCAAAGGGCTCGCCGTGCAATCCTCCGAGGTAAAAGAATGATTTTTTGTCTTGATATTGTCCGCTTTGGATCTCGATCCAGGCTGCAATCAAGTCGTCCATTGGCTGGGTCACTCCTTGCTTGTGTAACTTTTGGATGTATTGGATACTGTAACGAGTGTCTGCCAAGAATGGGAGGGTCGATTTACTAGCAGTACTGGCGGTTTGGGCTGGCTTTGGGTCGACTTGCAATTGTGGACGTTCATCATCGGCGAGTCTAACCAAATCAGGTGATTGGGCTGATGCTGCGTTGACTGATGTGACAATAGGAGATGACTTGTCTCCCAACTGGTGTTGTACATAATTGTGTTGTTCTGTTGCTGTTGACATTATATATAAATATATGTGTGGATAACAAATAATAATAATTATAATGAGAATGGTGTTTTGGAAATGAGAATAAATAAATAAATGGTTGGTGTGGAGATAGGTGATTTACAGGAGGACTTTCAAGAGCGCAACAAAAGTTATAAAAGAATAATCATGACAAGGTTCCTCGAAAGATATCTTTCGGAGGATGAATGATGTGTTATAACATTCCACCCAATCACTAGCCAGCCTCAAGAATCTTCTGCCTATGTGGCAATAGGGGTTTCCTTCTTAGGTCTTGTCCTTGCAAAAGACAGCTAGTTAAATTTTGTTTCGGCCTCTAAATCTTGATGGAAGGAACCCCGACCCATCAGTGTTGTCGACTCTGATTGAAGACACTGCTGGTCGATATCCCTCCTTAAAAATGGGCGATTTTTCATTGTAGAGGCGGGGCAATCAACTCGAGGGCTCCACATTCCAATCGACTGGAGTCAAAGATAAGCCCTTTGAAAGGACATCTAATGAACAAATCCCCTGATATCATCAACCAATAATATTACCACGATGGTCATCATTTTTTGTTTGATCATGTGAGGTGATGGCGCATCACATCATGTGTCACATGATACACAATAATTAAATAAAATATATATATTATGTTATATTAATTATAATACTTTCTGGGAACTTGAATTGAGAAGAAGATGATGATGATGATGGATGATTTAAATAATGTTGATATGTTGATTATAGCTCACCCATTACCTATCCTGTCATATAATGGAGAATCTAAAGGGACAAAAACTAGTACCTACGTGTAAATTGAATAACAGATTATAAAATATTATTTTATATTTCTAAATTTTATACTGTGTCTGTTATTTCATTGATAGTATTTGATTAATAAATAAATACAAAGCGCGCAAAGAAAAGAAAGGAGTTTGACAAAATACAAAAATGAGTAATTTAGAATAGAATAGTAAATAATTAATTTAAATAGTACAAATAGAAAAGAAACAGAGTGAAAGATGAATCACTCACACCAACTCATTCATTCGATTATACAAAAGACAAAAACCCCCTATCACCTCCTTTTTGCAAGAAGATCATACTCTAGTACTAGTACCACGAGTAGTAGTAATCATAAATATGATATAGTAATAGTTGGAGGTGGTATAGTTGGTACTGCAACAGCTAGAGAGTTGTTAAATAGGTCTTATCAACAACAAGTAGATAACAATAATAACAACAACAACAACAAGAGACTGTCAGTTTGCATTATTGAAAAAGAGAATGATATAGCTCCACATCAATCATCACATAACAGCGGTGTCATTCATTGTGGTATTTACTACAAGACTGGTTCGATTAGAGCTAGGCTATGTGTTAAAGGTGCTGACATGATGTATGACTATTGTGAAAAGAATAATATTCCACATGAACGTTGTGGTAAGTTGATTGTGGCCACTAGACAAGACGAGGTACCCAGACTAGAGGCGTTGATGGCCAATGGAATTGAAAATGGTGTCAAAGGACTGGCAATGTACGACGGAGAGGCAATGAAACAATTCGAACCGCACATCACCGGTGTTCGTGCCATTCATTCTCCCAACACTGGTATTGTAGATTTCAAAGTCGTTACAAACTCCTTTGCCAATGATGTAAAGAAGAATGGTGGAAATATATTATTTGGTTTTGAAGCAACTCAATTTGATTTTAATCATCAACAATCTAATCAACAACAACAACAAGAGACTGACAGAAGAAGCATTAAAATCAAATCAAAAGATGGTAGAACTATTGAATCAAAATATTTAATTACTTGTGCTGGAATGTATAGTGATAAAGTATCAAAATTATCATTTGGTAGTAATGAACCATCTATTGGTATGCAATCATAATAATAATATTAACAATATATTTAAATAATAATATTTATTAATTTTGATTTAATTTTTTATAGTACCATTTAGAGGACACTTTTTAAAATTTAAACCAGAATATAGTCATTTAATTAAAGGGATGGTATATCCAGTACCAAACCCAGAATTTCCATTCTTGGGAGTACATTTTACTAAAAAGATAAATGGTGATGTTTGGTTGGGACCAAATGCGGTATTGGCATTTTCAAGAGAAGGTTATAGTTACAAAGACTTTAGATTAAAGGATTTTATAGAGTTTCTAGGTAATAGAGGATTACAAAAGATGGCACTCAAACACTTTAGCTATGGAGTAGGTGAGCTACTAAGAGACATTTTCCCATCGAGATTCCTCGAACATTGTAAACCATTCATGCCATCCATTCATATTGACCAAGTGGTCAGTGGCGCTAGTGGTGTCAGAGCCATGGCCATTGACAATGAAACTGGTAAACTAATCGATGACTTTATATTCGATGCTCCAGCACAAGGAAAACATGGTGTACTCCATGTCCGTAACTCTCCCTCCCCATCCGCAACATCATCTCTTGCCATTGCAATTGAAATTGTTGATAAAGCCGAAAAGGTTTTTGGTTTAAACAACATCAACAACAAGTAATATTAATAATAACAAGAAGAAATACTTTACTTCTTCTTCTTCTTCTTCCTTCACAATATTATATTATTAAATAAAATAAATAAATCATTACTTAAATAGAGATAAAGTATCCTATCTGTTGGTAGGATCAAAAAGTGTATCGTGATGTGGACACTCCACACTCGTTCATCATTTTCTGACAATGGGCTCAAATCTCAGAACAGTCGATTTAGAGAGATCACGTGGCTAAAAACAAAAATCGAGAACAATTCAAAGTAAGGGGGCTGATGAGGTCTTGGCACCCCTGTCATTGTAAAAAAAAAACTCCCACAAACCTACTTGGATGGAATTTACAAAACTAGTTCATTCATTGTTTTCAACCTAACCGAACAACATTGTGTGTCCTTGCAACAACACATCAACATCATTATTAATACAAAGAAAAGAAAGTTATTTATAAATATATATTTATTTTACATACAGTTTAAGTTCTAGACTACAGTAGTCCCCATTCACCATTCAACACCCCTTCCACACTTTACACAAACAACAACAACAAAAAGTCGGTCATTCATTCTCATAACCCTCGACGATCCTTACTTTTTAAAATAGTAGTGGTAATACAGTACAGACCAATCAGTCAAGCAACTCACACACACACACAACACTACAGTATAGCATTGCATAGCATCTAGCCGGTTACAAGAATAAAAAACTCGATCAAGTTCATCAATTATTGTAACATTGAGAGTTTAAAAGTCAACACACACAGACTTTCCCATAGCTAGCCACCCAACAAACAAACAAACAAACAAACATCCCGTCCGTCCTACAGCAAACAGACAAACCAATAATAATCAATTACTTTAATTTGTCAACTTCACCATCATCATCTCTATTTATCCACATACGCTACATACATACATTAAATAATTATAAATAGAATATATATATAAATAATATAAATAAGTTCAACTGACAAAGGAATAGCAAATAATAGAGAGAGTATAAATATAGTTATTTATTTATTTCCATTTGAACAACTCTACTATTTATAGTAGACAATCATAATATAAACCTTCTCAAACGCTAGGAAATGGCAGAGAAGGTAGAAAAGAAAGAAAAGGAAGGTAGCAGCTTGTCCAGTTTCTTTAAAAAGGGACTAAAACGAGAAGGCTCTTCCTCTTCACTCAATGGAGGCAAGAGTAATTCTCTAAAGAGTCAATCATCGTCATCATCGCTTCCACCTGGTCCAACCTCTATATCATATCTCCAATCCCCACATGGAGGTATGTTACCAACGGCAGCTTCATCTCCATCGTTGACTATACCAGGTAGCGGTGGTGGTCTTGGCGGTAGTGCCTCTTCAACCACATTGTCATCTGCCAACACCACACCCACTATCAACAGATCATCAAGTAATCTATCTGTCAAGTTTCAAGATACCATTACAATCAATGAACCAAATACAAATGATCCTGCTCTATCTACTTTTAATAGGTATGTTGTAAAAGTAAAAGTAAAACAACAAAATACTTTAAACAAACAAAACTCATTACCACACCCCAATTCTACACAATTGTGTTGGTGGTGAGTGGGTTGTGTTTGTTTTGCATTGAATGACTCGTCTCAACATAAATGATACTAACCAATGATTTGATTTGATTTGATTTGTAGACCTAGAACAAGTACATTAAAACAAGAAAAAAAGGAAAGATTTAGTTTTATAACTAGGTCATTGAGAAAATCTAAACTTAATCTATTGGAAGATCCAAATAATGCTGCTGCTGATAATAATGCATCGTCTACTTCGAATAATAATAATAATAATAATGGTACGGATGACCATCATAGTACTGGTGGTGCACCTGATCATGGTATGTCGTTACGAGACTCATCTTCGTCTATTACTTCGATTAGTTCGGCCACTTCGTTCAACTCTTCGGAAAAGAAGTCTCGACGAAATAGTATTTTTGTAAGACTGTTGAATCGTAAATCCAGAGATATGTCTCATATAACAGAAGAGGATTTTGTTAATGACCACCATATTAGTAGTGATGGTGCATCTTCTGGAATTCAACAACATGGTCATGGTGGTCACCACCTGATGCATACGTCAAGTACAAGCGATCTTGGACGTACTTTGCATCATCACCATGGTCACCATCATCATCACCTCAAAGAGCGGTCAGCGTCAGCTATCAACATCTCGACGGCCATGACACCTCCACCTAATATTCTAGTGTCGACATACGACCCTACCGTCAAGGAGCAAGAGACCAACGAGCTGCGTAGTCAGCTGAGTGAGGCCAACAACCAACTCTCAACACTACGTGTCAAAGAGACTGAATGGCGCAAGGAAAAGGAAGAGTTGATTCGAAAGATACAGTTGTTGTCAACAACCAGCCAAACAGCCTCTAGTTCGCCATCCACCTCGTTTAGTGGGTTCCACAGTCTCCAACACCACCACCACCACAACTTTTTCCACGACCTTCATTCACATTTGGATTCAGCGTCGACTAGCTCACCATCCATGTCAAAGTCGCCGTCTATCCAATCACTCTCACTCGAGGTGTCTAGCTCTGTGGCGCCCCTCTCGCTCTCATCCTCGTCCGTGTCATTCTCGACCGTTGGCACGAGTGCCACCACTCCCAACCCATCGCCGCCACTCCCACGTCGCCAAAATAACCGAAATAGATACACTGTCGCTATTCCCAAGTGGGACGAGTCAATGAATTTCAACGGGAGTCCTTTTGAGCGTTTGGTCGAAGTTCTCAAAAACAGTTGTGAGATTTTCCCATCCGATTCAAATCTTATGAATGTGATTGCCGGTAGTCCAGGTTCCTCTTCTTTCTCATTGCTTGCTTCTTCACTTCAACACAGCCAAACCGCTCACTCTCAAGAATCATCATCACAACAAATCGCTAGTGCAGCAGAGTCTGTCAAGTCGCCAAGAAAGCCATCAATGGGTGCACACCAACCCAGTGCTGGTGGTGCTGGTCATTCAGATCAATCGACAGCTACTGATGGCATTAAAGCATCAACATCCAACGACTCTATCAATGAGGAAAAGATGCTCAAGCAACACATTCTATCGATCAGTCTAAAGAAAATGGTTGCCAAGCTTATAGGTGAGAATACAGAATCCTCTGCAGTCTTTAAAACATTTTTCTCAACCTATGAATGTATATATACCTCTGAAGATATTTTAATTGCTTTAATTGAACAGTATGTGTCCAAAAAATGGAGACCAAAAAAATAATGTTATTAATATTTCTTTTTTTTTTTTAAAAAGATATCAAATTGAAAGTCCACAATCAAAGATTAGAATTTGTACAATATTAAAAAGTTGGTTACAAAGTAATCCTATATCATCACTTTCCAACATTGACTTTGTCAATCGATTCAAAGAGTTTTTGGTCGATATTCGAAACACAGACAAGGAGTCACAAGACTACAACTTTTCAAAGATTATTGAGGTGTGCAACCAAATTGCCTATATACTCGAGACCAAGATATTGGAAAGAGGTGGCATGCCAATGTACAGTAGGGGATTTGCCGAGGCAGAGAAATCATACGTATCCAAGAAATCCAAGCAAAAGATCAAAGCGTACCTATCAACCTCACTTAAACACACTAGAACCTTTCCAGATATTGAAGAGGATATCGACGATACGTCATCGATTTGTGATGTCAGTGACACTACGAGTCAATCCAATTTGGAGAGCTCGTCACCACCACCATCACCAACAATGGGGCTCTCCAAGGCCGATCGTGTCAACCAATTGTTGCCAACTGGGCACCTCAGCTCTAGTGCCATCGACCACCATCACTCACCATCACATGATTTCCCAGTGCGAGTTGAAACCAGACCTCGGTCATCTACATGGTCCACATCTGATATCTTCCTCTCCATCATGGATGCTCCCGCCAAAGAGATTGCCAAATCCATTACAGTTGTAGACTATAGTATATTTATTTGTGTTGAGCCATCGGAATTGATGAATGGAGTGTGGGGTAAACCACAACACAAGGACAAGGCAATGAACATTTCAAAACTAATTGCTAGATTCAATGAAATCTCAATGAATGTCATTCAAACCATTCTCAATGAAACTAAATTAAAGGATCGTTGTAAAGTTATGGCTAAATTTATTAAAATTGCAAAGGTAAAACGGAAAATTAGAAAATTAAAAAAAAAAGATTGAAAGAAAACTAACTTGATTTATTATTATTATTTTAGTATTTACATGAACTTCGTAATTATAATTCAATGATGGCAATTTATGCAGGTATATCGCATTCAGCAGTTGTTAGATTAAAATGGACAAGAAAGATTTTACCAAAGACTAGTCAAAAGACATTACAAGATTTGGAAAGGTTGATGGAAAATGAAGAAAACTTTAAAAATTATCGTACTGAATTAAAAACTATTACTACTCCTTGTATACCATTTTTGTATGTAAAAAAAAAAAAGAAAGGAATTTAAAAAGATATAGAAATAATTAATTAATTGATGATTATTTGTTATATTATTTATAGTGGATTGATTTTATCAGATTTAACATTCATTCAAGAAGGAAATCCAGATTATATTGGTACAGATGATAGTAATTGGACATTAAATCTTACAAAGTTAAAGATGGTCTATAATTGTATAAAACAAATCCAACTATACCAAAAGAATCATTATCTCATGAATGCCGATCCAAGATTGACACTTTTATTAACTCCAAATCTTAATATTTTTGGTGAACCAATTAATAATTCATTTTTAAATATTCCTAAAACTAATAGTAATAATCAATCAAATAATACTACAACTACAACTACTACATCTACAGCTACCACGACTACAACTACTACACCAATTAATAATAGTTTAGTAAACCTTAATAATAGTAATAGTGATATCAAACCATTAATTCCAAAACCAGATAATTTGGATGAAAAGGATGGTGTAGAGGAAGAAGAAGAGGAATCAGATGATGATGAAGAAGATTTATCAGATGAGGATCATCATCAAGAAACAAACCAACAAAATGAATCAGATGATAATCATAAGAATAGATTAGATGAAACAAAGAAATTGCAAGAACAAAATAATAGATTATTTAGAAGTTTCACATTGGATGGCGATCAATTGAAAAAACAATATTCTTATAATACTTGGAGTCCAAAGAAATCTATTACTCCACCACCCTCTATAAACTCTCTCAAGAGTCCACTTGGCCGTCTTAAAAAGGTTGAAAGAAGTCAAAGCGAGGCTAACCTGCCAACTGTCAAAACACTCTTGGAGATACAAACACACCAACTCTTGGACTCGATCATTCGGGGTGACCTTACTGATACGCCAAAGATGACATCACCAAGACACAACTTTTCAACTCCTATTCACAGTTCTACCATCTTCACCACGGTCTCCTACTACCAATACTAGTCCAGACAATAATAATAATAATACCACTCCAAGAGGAGTTTATACTACTCCCACAATTACAGCTACGACTGCATTATCACTTTCACTCTCAACCACAACTCCACCACCATCTCCACCACCATCATCATCATCACAACCACAACCACAACAACAACTCTCACGTCCATCACTCTTTTTTGATAGAATTAATTCTAGATCTAGATCACCTTCACCATCTGTTACAGGGTCATCTTCTGCACAAGGTTCTCCATCATCCTCATCGATTAATACATCTACTGCCAACCTTTTATCAACTTCAGTTGATGGAAGTGCTGCACTCGGGGGGGCAGGAGGAGATTCAACCAACCCCACTACCACCTCTACTACAACCACGACAGCCGAAGCATCATTAGGAAAGAAACCAATTGGAAGAAGAAAGAGTGTTAGTACCAATAATATCTTTTCCATTCTCTCACCCAAAGATACTCAAGGTCACCACTACTATGTCTCAAAGAAATCACATAGCAGAAGTTCATCGGTGGCAGGCACACCAGGAAGTGCCGGTAATAGTAATCCATCCTCACTTCCAGCAACCCCACCAAATGCACTAGTCAGTGGTAATTCATCTCCATCTCCAACTCCCCCTGTCACAGTTACCAACACCCATACCAATAATAATATCACACCACCACACAACGCAACCAATCAAATGACTGGAGGACACAACAACAACAACAACCCACACCATAGTTTCTCAATTGTAGCAGCCAAACGAAAGAGTATTTCCTTGGAACGCCCACCCCATCTATTTAAACCAATGACCGACGAAGGTTTATTTTCTCTATCTCTTAAACTCGAACCAAGAGGTGTTAAATATCAAGATTTAATTTAAACTAAACTAAACTTTAATAAATGATTGTATTGATATCTTTGTAGAAATAATAATAATATAAAATAAATTAATTGATTTCTCGTTTTTAACGTTATTTTTTGAATTGGGGAGGTGAACAAAAAACGACCGAATCATCTTTGAATTTTAAAAGTAGTATATTTGTAAATAGAGAAGATATATATATAATGGACGGACAATTCAGTGTTGGTAGAGGTGGAGGTAGAGGTAGAGGAGGAGGAAGAGGTGGAGGTAGAGGAAGAGGAGGAGGAGGTGGTGGAGGCCGTGGTGGAGGTGGCGGTGGCGGCGGTAGAGGTCGTGGTGGTAGCAGAGGTGGAGGTAGAGGTGGTCCAAGAGGAGGAGGAGGTAGAGGTGGAGGAAGCGGAGGTCTATCAAGAAGAGACAACGATGGTTTCGATATGACTCCAAAGAAGAGAAAGAATATCGAACCAGCCTCTGTCGGTCATATCAACCCAAAGACTAAGAACAGTAGATCTGCCGATGACTTGGACTCTTACGAATACACTGATATGCTTCCAAAGAGATCAAAGAGATTTAATTTAGATCATTATAAACCAGTTGTATGTTTGAACAATATAGTCGAGTATTATCAGTGGACTACAGTGTATTGACAATTTAAATATATATTTAGGAGGACAAAGAAGTTGAATTGGCAGAAGAAGAAGAATCCACCTCTAGAGTTAGAGGATCAAAAGCATCACCAAATATTAAAATAGCACCAGTAGCAGCAGCAGCTGTTGAAGAAGATAGTGACGATGAAATTAAGATTATTGGAGAGGATAATGATAAAGACAAAAAAGCAGATGGTCAAAAGAAAAAGAAACCAAAGAGATCAGAAACAGAAGCATCAAACAATGATCAAATGATTACTATTGAATGTATGGAACCAGAGGATCAAGGATTATATTTATTACGTAAACAAAAAGACTCCCTTAAAATGACTGATTTGGAAATTACAAAATATCATCGTATGTGTTTATTTAAATCAAATTATAATATAATTAATTATATTAATATTTATTCTCTCTCTTTCATAGCATCATGTTTTATTAAACCAAATGATAATGTATCAGATTTACCATCATTTTTAAATCAACTTCATTCCAAACTTGAAGGTTTCCCAAACAAACGTGCTGGTGCCCTTAAAGTTGGTTCCCCATTAGTTGTTATTGTTTCATCATCTGCATATAGAGCAATTGGACTTGAAAAGTAATTATCCCCTATCACATTGAAAGGTTAATTCATAAATATTAATATTTATTTTTGTTTAATTACAGAGAATTAAGAAAACATTTTAAATTCCCAAAGATTGGAACATTTTTCTCAAAACATAAAAAGGTAGAGGAACATGTAGAAATGTTAAAAGCACATCCATACAGAATTGTAATTGGTACACCAAACAGATTATTAAAATTGGCTGAAAGTGGAGCATTACAATTATCAGGATCGACACTTGAACCAATCGATTATGGTACCGTCACTGAAAAGGATGAAACTGCTACTGCTGCTGCTTCAACCACTTCCACATCTTCTACCTCTAGAAATCAACCAAAAACAGATGAGGAAACTAGATACGTTGTCATCGATAAATCATATACCAATCAGAAAAAAGAAGATGTTTTTGGAAAGACTTGTGTCAAAGAGTTGTTTGAATTCATCGATAAAATTTGTAAACCTTTGGTACAAGATAAGAAAATGAAAATATGTATCGTTTAAAACTTCCCCTCTTAAATAAATTAATCCACAAACCAAAAAAAAAATAAGGAAATTATTATAGTACGTTGTTATTATTGAATGACGGTATGACAATACTGGCAAACAAAATATTTAAATAAGGAAATTCATTTTTGTTTGTAAAAACAATAATTATAATAACACTACTGGTTGCTCTATTGTTGGATCTTTCGACCACTCAACATAATGGTATGGAGACATTGTTTTTCTACTGGTGGGGGTCGATAAGAATGTGGTTGGTTGTGTATGTATGACTTAGCAACAGTATTATATTATATTATGCATGCATGTTAGAATGAACAAATTGTTGTACAATTCGTTTAACTACTCTACTGTACTACATTTTTAATTATCTCATCATCTGATGATGATGATGGATCGATGATAATGATCATTTGGGTGTAATGGGAACTTTCAAAATCATTCTATATTTACTCTGTGTGTTGTACGAAATGTATGTTTGAGGGTTGAGGTGAGGATGATGCTGAATCGTTGCTGGAATCTTAATCGATAGAGATAGCATCACTGATGGTGATGACTCAACAGACAGAGAGGAGAGGAGAGAAGAACATGAAGAAGAATGATTAGATTTCTGGGAGAGAGTCGTGGCGACCCGGTTCACAGGAAAGATCTTAATTTAAATTAATATGTTTGGCAATGCAAAGGAGAGATGTAGGAAGCGTCATGACGATTGTGGCCCGGGCTATACAGTGTTGTCAGTGTAGAATTTGGTAAAATCGATTCGTCATTCGCTCGAACGTAGCGATACACCTGCCTTTTTGGAAAACGAACAAAAAAATTTTTTTTTATTTATTTCAATTTGTTGGAAAGGTCAGATTGTGAATTCAGACCCTAACACCAACTATCCCTACCTACCTACCCAATTAATAATTAATTTCCTACTCTCCGCTACTGTTACGAAGAAACCTTCTTGTGTGTGTTTTGGGTTTCGATCTCTCTCTGTCTCTTTCCCTTCCCATCTACCTCCAACCAACATTAAACCCCCTGTCCGCTATTATTTACTATAATAATAATTTGGTTTTATTTTCTATTTTTTTGAAACCTTTTCTCCCGTTGTTCAATCTTATTTATAATTCTTTTTTTATCTTTTTGTGTTCACTCTATATATTTTATTTATATCATCATTATCTCTCTTTTATTTATTTATTTATTTGATTTTATTTATTACAACCACCCTTCTCAGCCAACAGAGACCTTGTCATTTTTTATTCAAAAAGGATAATAAAAATCGATATCTATTAGTACATTTCTCAAGAAAAGGAGAGCGATAGAAAGATCTTTGTTTTATACATTTTTATTTCTTCAACGTTCTAGTGTGTGTTAGTACTACTATTATTTATTATTATCTTTATTTCTCAACTTTTTGTGAACCCTATTTTTATATTCAAGACTCGCTCGCCCCTACCCCACCAACAAGTAGAAACCCCTTCTCTAAAAATAATCGATATTCATCACCAAACATAGGAATTCAGTCCGGTACTTGGATTTCAGTTCAAAGATATCATTTTTTTTTTAAATTTAATTAATTTTAATTAATTATTATTTTCTCAAAACCTGGTTTCTATTTCCGCAAACTTTGTCTATATATTTCTTTTTCACCTCATACAACATACTTTTAAAGGAGATGATAACCCTTATATAAATCTTAAACAAACAATTATATTATAATATACCCACAAATTTTAATTTTTTACAACAATAATAATAGTAATAGAATAATAGGAATAATAATAAGAATAGATTAATCAATTTTTTTTTAAATATTTGCAGATTTGAAAAGCAACAAAGAAAACTAGATACTATCTATCTATTTAAAATTTTTATCATTAAAATAGCCTTATTGTAAATCCCAAATTTATTTTTTATTGTATCTTTTATCTGACGCACAACTTGCATTGTCAATTTAACAAGCAGTAAATAAGATCTCTTTTTGATTTTACACCTTTTTTTTTCTTGCTCCAATCCAATTTAATCCTACCCAGAGATATGAGTAGGTCAAGAAATCAAAATTTATATTTAGGCTTTTAAACTATATTTTACACAACATATCATTATCATATCACACCCCCAATAGTTAAATATATTTCATTATATATTCACTATACCATATATATATATATATAACATCATCATTTAAATATAACATCATCCAAAATAATAATATTATAACCAAAAAAAAAACAAAATGTCCGAAGAACTTTCTCAAAGTCTTGGAGAGAAACCAACGACATCATCCAACAATCAACCATCATCGTTGAATGATAGCGCCCAAAGTGCACCTGATCTTTGTAGTAGCTGTGGATTCACATCACAAAAGAGAAATTCAATCATCAAGGAATTGGAAATGCTGGAACTCCACCACATTGGAAAAGAATATCCAAATACACCAGATGCCTATCATTTGTTGGAAGCTGTTGGTGAAGGTACCGAAGGTTTGGTTTGGAAAGCCAAATGTCTTCCATATGAAACTTTTGTTGCAGTTAAAATCGTTGATCTTGAAAAAGCAACTCAAGAATGTGTTGAAGATGTCATTGTAAGAAACCAAAAAAAATATAAACAAAACAAACAAATCAATCAATTGTACTAATTTTATTATTTATTTTATAGAGAGAAGCAAAAGTAATGAATGGAAATAATCATCCAAATTTGGTTCAATATCATACATCATTTTTACATGAATCTTCATTATGGATAGTCATGGAATATTTGGGAGCAGGATCACTTGCCGATATTATCAAGGACAAGTTCCCAAATGGTCTACCTGAAGTACTTGCCGTTTCAGTTTTGAAGAGTTCTCTTAGAGGACTTCAATATCTTCATAGTCATCACAGAATTCACAGAGACTTTAAATCTGACAACATCCTTATTGGAAACAAGGGTGAAATTGAATTGGCTGATTTTGGTGTCACAGCTGTTCTTGAAAAGAATCAATGGAATCATCGTAAAACTATTGTTGGAACTCCTTGTTGGATGGCTCCTGTATGTAAAGAAGATATATTATTTAAAAACAGACTACTAATTATTAATTATTATTATTTGATTTAGGAAATTATAACAGAAAAAGGATATAATGAATTTGTTGATATTTGGTCATTTGGAATTACTGCCATCGAATTGATTAGAGGTAAACCACCCAATTGCGAGTTACCACCCAATAAGGTTTTCATGAACCTTTTGTTTTATCCATCTCCTTCTCTTCATGAGGAGGTCGAAAAGGGAATCGTATCCCAAAACTACAAGGACATGGTCGACATGTGCCTTCAAAAGGACCCCACCAAACGTCCCTCTGCAACCAAGTTGTTGGACAAAAAGGTATTCAAGATTGCCAAGAAACCCGATTATATAGTACACCATCTCATCAATGGCCTTGCGCCATGTGAAGAGAGATTTAGAAAGTCACATGGATACATCTCACCACCATGTTCACCTGCCAACACTAGTCCTCCATCATCACGTTCCAGCTCGCCTGACCCAGCCCTCGTCTCCACACCAAAGAATCGACGATTGTCTCTTGAGAAACCTCAGCTCAAGAAATCATCGTCCGACTTTGGACTCAAAGAGTCTGATGTTAAAATGCCAAGAGCATCATCACACCCATCTCAACTATCCGACCTCGAAAACAAAGACAAGGTCAAGTTGCACAATGTCGTTCCAACGGCCCACACATCATCCAATACTCCTCCAACCCCATCAGGTGGTATTCACAAGGAGCACAGACGTTCGTCCATCTTCTCACACTTTAGAAGACACTCTCTTGGAAAGATATTTTCAACCTCTCCCAAGAATCACAAGGATAACACTTCACCTCCACTACCAAGTAGCCCTCCAGAGGGAGAGACTAGTCCAGGAGGATCCTCACACCACCATTTCCATTTCCCATCTTTTATGAGACACCATGGAAACAATAGTCCAATCGACGCTCACCACTAAACAACCAAACAAACAAATAATAATAATAATAATACCGATTAAATTATACTATAATAATAATAATTATCCAAGAAACAACTACCTACATACCCAGATATAGATCTATGATAATGATGAATCGTCATCATCATCAAACCAAATTTCAATTGTACTAATGAAACTTTTACAGTAAATAAATTACAATTGGTTACTTTTACAGTAGTTTACCAATTGTTTTCCTTTTAAAATATAAATATTTATTATTCTTTTATTAGTTAATTTACAATTGTTGTGATGTATTTTTGTTATTACCTCCCAACTTTTTCATGATAATACTCTTTGCTCCTTTGAATCGAAGTCGCAGACGATTGTTATCTCTAACATAGACAATGGCAGCTATTGAGAATGCAATCAATACAGCTCCACCAACTACAACTCCAACAATAATCTTCCAAGTGTTGGATGATGATGACGTTGAACAATCAGGTTGTTCATTGTTTACTACCAATGCACTGAAATCAGGATCGAGTAAACAAGATGAGCATTGTCCACCAACGTGAACACCAATCAATGCCAATGATGAATGTGGTAATGTTGGAATGGGTGTAGTGCTAATTAATTCATTCTTGGAGTATGACTTTCGACCGTCAGAGTAAGAGTATGAAAGGAATCTACCATAGAATTGTGTGTTGTTTTTGATGACTCGTAGATAACTATCTCCACCACCAAACATCTCTTCAAATGTTGGAACTGATCCATCATCACAAGAGAGAATGGATTGCTCATTGTTTACAACTGTCGAGAATACGATTCTTAGATGTGATAAAATCGATTCATATTTCCATCCAGTTATATTCACTCCAACCTTTATACTATTGGCACCTACTGTCAACATAGAGTCACCAAATGCAACTTGTCTATCTTGATTAGAGTATTCAATCAAAGTAGAAACGTTTGTCAGCTGTAAATTTGGATGTGTGGTTGTATTGATTACAAGTTGGTAATCGAGTGATGTAAGACCTCCACTACTATTATCTGTCACATTCCATTGGTCAACCACCAATTCTTTAACAATCTCACCATCAATACCAAGTTCTTGAATTGAAACCATATCGAAAAAGAATTGATATCCATCCAATTCAAATGTTGCCACTGGTCTTGTATTATTTTGTATAAAAGTTACATTTGGATTATCTAGAGAGAAGGAGAAAAAAATAATTAATTAATTTAATGTTGAGAGATTTAATACACTCTATTTGTACATACTATTATATCTACAATTATCAACATAATTTGTTTCACAAACACAAACACCCAAATCATTACATTGACCATGACCGTAACAATTAGAGGTATCATCAATACACTTTTGTTTTAAATTAATGGTCGATGGGAATGGGATGTTAACCAAATCATTCCATGAGACTGTGTATCCTTGAACCGTAACTTGTAAAGAGGCAGGTCCTGGTAGTAGAGTTGATGCAAATGAACATTCAATAATATTTGTAGATCTAGATAGAATTGTGCATCCCAAAGTATTATTCAAGGTGACCGATAATGTGTTTGTTGTCGGACCAAAGTTACCATACAATGTTAATAATTGTGGAGTTGAAGTTATTTGAACAGAATTTACCAATGGATAATCATGTTTTACTAAAATAAGTAGGATTAAATATATATATTAATAAATTAAAATTAAAATAATATTAAAATTAAAGAACAATATTGATTTACATACTCAGGATACTAGATAGTTTAAATGAAGTAAAATCATTTTCAACTGTAATATCATAGGCACCATTGAGAATATTTTTTAGTGTTGTACAATTGATTCTTCCAGAAGTTTGTGGTAACGAAATGGCACAAGTGATATTATTCAATCCACTACCTATAATAACTCGATGTTGAATAAATGGATTATAGACCAAAGTGATACTAAATTTGGTTGGAGATGTCATTGCATATTCATTAAAAGAGATGGTTGCATCTACAATTTTAGTTTGTCCTGTGTAATTGAAAAAAATCAATGTTACCACTTCTGGTGGACCAATCGTTGGATATGCAACACTATATAGTTCATATGAAAAAGATTGTTGGGTTAGTAAATATTTAAGTCTCACAATACAAAGAGTTTAGTAATATTTACGCTATTTTTGAATTGGGAACAACGATGGAAAAATTTGATGCCCGACCCATGAATCCAAACCCTTTTCCTGTTATTGTAGCCATTCCATTGATCGATGGATTAATGTCTCTATCAAATTTTACAGCTTAAAAGAAGATAAATTAGTTAATAAATAAATAGAATAAATAAATGGCTATACTTACAGCAATCTAGATTTGTTGGTTTAGATAACGACTGTGGAATTGAAAAGAAACCTTCTTGTCCAACAAAGCACCAAAAGCAATCTAGATAATTTTTAAATAATAAATGGTTAGGATTGATAAAATGTCTAGTCTACTATTGCGTGGTAAAGATAGAGGAGAATAAGTACCTGGCATATGACTGATTGCTGTATTCTTTAGATATAATTGTTTGTCACACCAAGAGTCTGGAATGGATCCTTGGAGGGATGGATTATCCTCAAAATTTACATTTCCTCCAACTACATTATTCCACAGAGACAAAGGAATGGTTCCACCGAGAAGATTTCCTGTTAGATCCAACATAAAGAAATCTTTTGGAATAGCAAGCGTAGTTGGAATTTGAGTTAGTAAAGAATTTTTAATTGCCCTTGTTTGTGAGAAATAAAAGAAATAGATTAGTAATGATTTAATAAAAGGGAATCGTATTGGTGGTGATGGTAGGTGGGTATGCATACAAATGCTCCAAGTTGGTCGGGAACGAGCTGAATGGAAATTGAGAAAGACTTGTGTTAAAAAATATGACATCTTGTAAACTGGTATATAGAGCAAGGTTGATTGGATTAATGGTAGAATCTTTACCATGTAATTGAAATTGTGTTACATAGTTTGGGTTCTCAAACTTTAAATTGTACCCAGCATCACTAGTTCTCAAGATACTAAAATAAAAAATAATAATTAGAAAATATATTTTTGATTTAAAATCAAAACTATTTGTTTGTTCAAAATACTACTTACACCTCTTTGATATCTTGAGAGTTTATAACCACATGGCACACTGCAGTTCCGGTTGATTGTAAAGTTATCGATTGTAATTTAGGAAATGATTGTTTTGTAAATGTCCACGTTTGTATTTGTTTTGGGCTGATTTCAAGTGCCATATTATCAATGATTGGTAGATTCAATGAGCTGTCAATACCCAAGGTTTCAATTGAATATCCAGATATGTGGACAATTCTAATCGCAGTATTGTTGAAAAAGTTGGCTACTTGGTCAAGTGGACACTGTCGTATAAATATAGAATTTAACTAATTATATGGTCAAGTGTTAGTATTCTCTTATTATCTTTTTCTCTCTTTTTCTCTCTCTCTTTGAAATGTTGGATATACCTTTGGAAGAGTAATTCCAAAATCCAATGGAATATAAGAAACAGTAGTATCATAGGCAATACTAAGTAGATGATGATGATAATTATTGTTAGGAGGATTTGTCAAACAAGTAAAGTTAACAAACTTACGTTATTACAGCTAGGTTGGGCATATTTTTAATCAGTGTTAGGATATTTAACATTGAGATGGGAGGAGCAATTGGCAGAGGAGGATTATTGATTTCAAAATTGATTAATTCAGGGAAATCAAGATAGGCAAGTGATGGATCCGGAGATCCAGTTGGTATATTACCAATTGAAATTTTACTTTATAACAACAACAACAAAAATATCAAAGTTAGTTGCGATGTATGTCACATGTGAATCAATTATAATGGGTTATCCAATATGAGAGTACTTACATGGTTGTCACATGATATATTCCATTAACAATTTGACAGTTAAAGAATGAGCTTGGGACAGTATCGTTGTTACATAATGATTGATCTTCTGATAGATGAATATTGTATTGTCTGATTAGGAATATAGCTGATTTTACTATAGTATTTTTATAGATTAGATGGTTAGATTAGAATAAATCAAAAGTTCTATTATTAGACATACACTCTGATACTGATAAAGCAGATGCTGATTGAGCATTCAAGTATACATCTTGTAAAAGAGTTACAACGAATATGAAAGATAACAAATGTATCAGTAATAATTGTAGTTTCTTCATTATCTCTCTCTCGCTTCCTTTAAGTTGAAAGATGGAAAGGAGACAGACACTTATTTCATTGTTCAAGTAGCCGTTTAAACAAATTGAAATGATCAGAAATATCTTGATACCACCTAGATAGATATTTAAAAGGAACAAAATAAATTTAATTCTAAGATGGTTGTACAGTGTAAGCGATCGCTGATGGAATAGAGTTCTGTTCCATGTATCTACCAAAGCAAGGTAGGTTGACATTATCATCATTGTATGCCTCTTAATCTTGAAGGATTCCTTCTTATCCTACTGATCTCTCTCTCTCTCTCTCTCTCTCTCTCTCTCTCTCTCTCTCTCTCTCTCTTTTTTTTTTTTTTTTTTTTTTTGAACTATTCTTGTATACATTTAGAGTACTATCAATAAGATGCCAATATCTATCATTTAATTAAATGTAAATGTATTTATGAATAGAAAGTAATAAAATACAAATATAAATAAATAAAAAAAGAAAAGATCAATGTTGTTGAAAATTCGACAAACGATGAAAGAGGAAGACAAACAACTTCAAAAAAGTTTTATTCATTATTTTATTTATAAATTTATATATATATTACATATGTACAAGTAAGAGAGGAAGAAGAAGAAGAAGAAGAAGAAGAATAGGAAGGAAATGGATAAATTAGAAAGAATAGAATTAGAGTCACAGATATGTATGGAGTTGGAGAATTTCATTGGGTCGTCAGACAAGGTGTTGGCAGAGTTTATTATCAGTTTGGCTGAAGCCAACCCTAATCTATCAGACTTTAACAATGCATTGGCAGAGAATGGAGCTGAGTTTCCTGAATCATTGGTTGCTCATCTCTTGAACCTCGTCAACAAGATGAACCCAAAGAATAGAAAGACAAACACTTCAACATCATCGACCTCTAAGCAATCATCGGAATGGGACAAGACCGATGCTGCTGACCCTCAAAAGTTGGCTGCAAAGTTCCCTGCCCTCTCAATCCCAAATACTAAACAATTTCTTGAAGGAAAGGTATTAGATATGGTACAAGAAGAAAAGAAAAATAGAGACATTAATAGAGATAATAATAGTAGTAGTAGTAGTAGTAGTAGAGATAATGATAGAGATAGAGGTAGGGATAGTAATAGAGATAATAATGATAGAGATAGAGAAAGAGGTAGAAGTAGAGAAAGAGAAAGAGATAATGGTGGAAGAAGAGATAATGGTGGAAGAAAAGAATTGGATAAAGACGCAGAGTTAAACAAGATATATAGTGGTAGAATTACAACGATCAATGATTATGGCTGTTTTGTTTCGTTGGAGGGGATAGTGGGAAAGAAGGAAGGTTTGGTACATGTGTCACAAATCACTAAAGCAAGAATAAACAATCCGTCAGAGATTGTAAAGAGAAATCAAAATGTAAAGGTCAAGGTGTTGTCGGTGGTTGGGTCACGTGTCAGCTTGTCGATTAAGGATGTCGACCAAGAGACTGGACGCGATTTAAATCCACAGGCAAACCAGCAATCGCAACAACCAATCAAGAGTATATCGGGAAGAGATGACCGCGATCGTTTCAACCCATCGAAACCACAACAACAACAACGATCCGGGAATGATGACCAAGACAATCATAACAATCAAAAGTCGCGAAAGAGAATGACGTCACCCGAGCGATGGGAATACAAGCAGCTGATTGCTGCAGGCGTTATCAAGGCAACTGATCTCCCCAATTATGACGAAGAGGCTGGTGCGTTGATGCCAGACGACGAAGAAAACGAAGAGGTCGAGGTTGAACTAAACGAAGAGGAGCCAGTGTTTCTCAAGGGCACAAGAGGGTCGATGCAACAAATGTCACCCATTAAAATCATCAAGAACCCCAATGGATCGTTGCAACGTGCTGCCATGACGCAGGCGACGTTGGCCAAAGAGAGAAAGGAGGAAAAGGATATTATCAGAAACGAAATGATGGATAATATCCCCAAGGACCTCAATTTGCCGTGGGAGGATCCTATGGCCGGTCAACACGAACGTCACATTGCACAAGAGTTGCGTGGTCTAGCTGCACCCGTTGCAGAAATGCCCGAGTGGAAAAAGACAACCCAGCAAAACGTGACATACGGACAGATTACGAGCCGTTCGATCAAGGAGCAGAGAGAGTCGTTACCATTCTTTCCGCTGCGCGACGCTTTTCTTCAGGCTGTCGAGAGTAATCAGTTGTTGGTAGTTATTGGAGAGACGGGTTCTGGAAAGACGACACAGATGACACAGTATCTTGCTGAAGCAGGGTATGCATCGGCCAATGGAAGAATTGGGTGTACACAACCACGTCGTGTGGCTGCCATGTCGGTAGCTAAGCGTGTCGCTGAAGAGTATGGATGTCGTTTGGGTGAGGAAGTAGGTTACGCCATTCGTTTTGAAGATTGCACATCGCCATCAACCGTCATCAAGTACATGACCGATGGTATCTTGCTCAGAGAGTGTTTACTCGATCCTGATCTCTCCTCCTACTCTGTACTCATCCTTGATGAGGCTCATGAACGTACCATTCACACTGATGTCTTGTTTGGTCTGCTCAAGCAGGCTCTCAAGCGTCGTAAAGACCTCAAGGTACTCATTACTTCGGCCACGCTCGAAGCCGACAAGTTTTGCAAGTATTTTATGAACAGTCAGTTGTTTATCATCCCCGGTCGTACCCATCCCGTCGATATTCGGTACACCAAGGAGCCAGAAGCCGACTATCTCGATGCTGCACTCGTCACAGTCATGCAAATCCATCTCAGTGAGCCACCCGGCGACATCCTCCTTTTCCTTACGGGTCAAGAAGAAATTGATGCTGCCTGTCAAACTCTCTACGAACGTATGAAAGCACTTGGATCAAATGTTCCCGATCTTTTAATCCTTCCAGTTTACTCTGCACTTCCAAGTGAAATGCAAACTAAAATCTTTGAACCTGCTCCAGTATGTATAAACAAAAAAAAAAAAACAAAGAAAGAATATCTAATACTAACTTTTTATTTTAATTATTTAGCCAGGATCAAGAAAAGTTGTTATTGCAACCAATATAGCTGAAACTTCATTGACAATTGATGGTATTTATTATGTGGTTGATCCAGGATTTTCAAAACAAAAATGTTTTAATCCAAAGAATGGAATGGACAGTTTGGTGGTTGCACCCATTTCACAGGCTGCTGCTAGACAGAGATCAGGTAGAGCTGGTCGTACTGGACCTGGTAAATGTTATCGTTTGTACACAGCCAATGCATTTGAGAATGAAATGCTTCCGTCATCCATTCCAGAAATCCAACGTACCAATCTTGGAAATACAGTGTTGACACTCAAAGCAATGGGAATCAACGATCTTATTGGCTTTGATTTCATGGACCCACCACCCGTACAGACATTAGTGTCGGCCATGGAACAGCTCTATGCACTTGGTGCACTAGATGAAGAAGGTTTGTTGACCAGACAGGGCAGAAAGATGGCCGAGTTTCCACTCGAACCACAACTCGCTAAAATGTTGATTGCATCGGTCGAGTTGGGATGCTCAGACGAGATTCTCACAATCGTCGCCATGTTGTCAGTACAAAATGTCTTTTATCGACCCAAAGAAAAACAAGCATTGGCCGATCAGAAACGTGCTAAATTTTACAGTGCCGAAGGTGACCATCTCACACTGCTAGCCATCTACGAAGGTTGGAAAGCCAGCAAGTTTAGCAACCCATGGTGCTTTGATAACTTTGTACAAGTACGTTCACTCAAGCGTGCTCAAGATGTGCGTAAACAACTCATTACCATTATGGATCGTTATAAATTGGATATCGTAACATGTGGTAGAAACCACAACAAGATTCGTCGTGCTATTTGCTCTGGGTTCTTTGTCAATGCCGCCAAAAAGGATCCAAATGAAGGATACAAGACCATGGTCGAGGGACAGCCGGTATTCATCCATCCGTCATCTTGTCTCTTTCAAAAGAATCCCGATTGGGTCATCTACCACGAATTGGTCATGACCACCAAAGAATACATGAGAGATGTCATCACTGTCGACCCCAAATGGTTGGTAGAACTAGCACCCAAATTTTTCAAGTTGGCCGATCCAAATAAAATATCAAAACGTAAAAAGAAAGAAAAGATCGAACCACTTTGGGACAAGTATCGTGATCCAAATGAATGGAGACCAAGTAAAAGAAGATAAAAATAAATTTATTAAATATAAATATATATATTGGCAACAACTACCAATACCAAGGGAAACATCATTTTCCTTATTTCTATCAAAATGGAGAGGAGGGGTGAATGTTATGTAAAGCACATGTAATGATGAAAATATTATTATTCTACTCTTTTAAAAATATTTAAAACTACCACGGTGTTGTTTGAACAGTGAGTATGATATCCTCCCCACATATTTAATTGCCGGTTGTTGGTAATTTAATCATCCCCCAAAAATTTGATTTTAAGTTAGGGGGTTTTAAACATCTATTTCGACTCTTTCTCTTTGCTTGCTACAGTATGCTTACTGCGCACATACTATTCTTCTTTCGCTCATTGGTTGATCAACCATCATCTTTAAACTTGTTAATACTCTTCAAATAATAATCACATTATAATAATACTAAGAGAGTGATATATTTATTTATATATTTATAGTTTTGTTTACAACGAACGGAATCTAGATTAGATTAGAGTACTCTGTTCAATGAATTTATAATCTAGATTCATTATGAAATCATTAATTAATCTATTACTTTTAATATTATATATAACCACTACCACTACTACTATCGTTGCATCGTCGAAACCATTTGTTGAAAAGACAAATGGAGACGATTTAAAGACATTCGAACAGATAGTAATGGGATACGGGTATCCTTGTGAATCACATTATGTGACTACTCAAGACGGATACATATTGCAGTTGTTTAGAATACCGTATGGACAATCGGGAGACACTCACACCACAAGACAACCTGTGCTATTGCAGCATGGTTTGTTGGATTCTTCATTCACATGGATTGTCAATCTACCGGGACAGTCACTCGCCTATATTCTTGCCGACCAAGGTTACGATGTCTGGATGGGTAACAACCGAGGCAACACATACTCTACCAACCATACAACACTGTCACCAGAGTCTGCTCAATTCTGGGACTTTTCATTTGATGAAATGGGTAGATACGACTTGCCTGCCACAATGGAATACGTCGTCCAATCTACTGGATACAAGACATTACCATATATCGGTCATTCAGAAGGTACTATTCAAGCTTGGATTAGTTATCTTTCAAATTCAAGTGTTGTTGATTGGGCTCCATTATTTATTGGTATGAAATAGTATAGTAGTCTCTTTCATACATTATTAATACTAACTAATATATATCTCTTTTATTTTTTAATATATATATATATATATATTTAAATATATGTAGGATTGGGACCAGTAGGAAATGTATCAAATATTCAAAATAATGGATTAAAGTACATGGCAATACATAACATTGATACTGATTTGGCAAAGATGGGTATGCTTAGATTCCTTCCAAGTCCAACACTACTTCGTAGTTTGTTTGTTGACTTTTGCTTGGGATGTGATGAATGTTGTGCAGGAGTGATTGAAGCACTATGTGGACCACACAGAGGTGCATTCAATGACAGTAGGATGAGTGTTGTAGCTGGACACGAGCCAGGTGGAACAAGTCTTAAAAACATGCAACATTGGGCACAAGGAGTACGTGAAAAACAATTCCAAGCCTTTGACTATGGCTCTTCATCTGCCAATATCCTTCACTACAACGATCCTGCACCACCAGTCTACGATGTAAGAAACTTCCCATCATCGGTAAAGGTTGCACTCTTTTCTGGTGGTATGGATGAGTTGGCTGATCCAATCGACGTCTCTGATCTAGTCAAACAACTGCCTAGCTCGAGTCTGCTGGTTTGGAAGATTATACCAAACTATGCTCATCTAGATTATGTCTGGGCAATCGATGCAAACACAGTTATCTATCAAGATGTAGTACAATTAATTCAAAAATATTTTTAATAGAAATAGATAGATAGAAAGATAGATTAGATTGACTTTTAGATTTATTTATATCATTAGCAATTATGTACATTTTCCCCACCCTTTTTAAAAAATAAAATAAATATTTATATATTTATATATAAATAAATTATATATAAGTATATTATCTATCTATCTATCTATAAGTTTGACAAAGTTAAAAAGGTGTGATTTAAATAAATACATGAGTATTTATAAATACATTTCTTGACTTTGTTTGTTTAAAAAATACAATCGATATTACAAACAGGTTTCCATTCATTTTGCCAAAGATTATTATTATTAATTATTATTATTATTATTCTTCATCATCATTAAATGATAGTCTTTTTGGAGCAGATTTCTTTTGTAATTGTTCTTTTGGTTTTGTGTTTGTTTTCTTTATCGTTGACATTGTATCTTTGAGTGTTGATGATGAGGCAGTGGCAGAAGGTTTCTTGAGAGGTTTTTGAAAGACTAACTTTCTTTGAACACCTTGTTCTTTTGCCTTTTCTTCTTCCAATTGATCTTGTTCTATTCTTTTAAGTCGTTGTGCTTCATATTCTTGTTGTTTCTGTTGTTCTTGGATATCCTTTTTTTCTTTGACATCCTTCTCCAACGTTTCCATATCTTTCATGGCCATTGCAATAGCCTCCTTTTCTTGAGCGTCTTCTACATTGTCATTGTTGTCGTCGTCGTCTGTTCCAATATACTGTTTGAACTTGTCACCCAACTCTACTTCACGTGCATCAGAGTTTGTTGATTTCAACTTCGCGAGGAATTTAGGTACAACTCTTGTAAACTCTAGTTGGTGTCTTCCCAATCCTTTACCATTATTTGATTTAACTTGTCTTATGTTGTCATCGCTCATCCCTTTTATCTCTATATATCTCTCTCTCTCTCTCTCTCTCTCTCTCTCTCTATCTTGACGCTTAACTAAAAGAATGATTTTATCATGATATGAAATTAACACACTCAGTGCTGAGACAAACTCATAGAATTTTCATTAATTTATTTATTTGTATACAATGAATTAAATCCCCCAAAGAGATAATTATGATATGATATGATATGATATGATATGATATATGCAGTAGAGTAGACCTTAAACTTCATTCTACTTTTAGAAGTTTAGAGTAGAGTAGAGTAATAAGGATCCCTACTAAAGATTTGTGTGGATCTGATTAAAAGAAAAGATAGAAAATATACAAATTTACACCTTACGATAATAATAATAATAATAATAATAATGATCGTCACGATGGTGAAGATGGACAAGAACATAATGCGAACGAAGAGGAAGAGGAGGAAGAAACATTTGGATCAACTCAGCAAGACAATGATAGTGATAATGACAGCACGACAAGTGCAGATAGCGACTACAACTTTTCAACAAACAAGGATAAAAAGTACACCAAAGAGATCAAGGAATACCATAGGTGGAAGAAATGGAGGAATCAAAGGATAGAAAAACTAAAAGAAAAAAAGAATTTAAAACAAAAAGAGAAATTAGAAAGACAACAAATATTGACCAATAACAATAATAATAATATTAATAATAATAATATTAATCGTGATATAAAGAATGATATTTTGTTAACCAATAATAATAATAATAATGATGGATCAACATCAACTATTCATACATCTAAAAATACTCCATTGGTAGCACTTTCAACCAAACAACAACCAGAGATTATTGAACCACCACTACCATCAGACCAACATATGGAAGAGGAAGAGGAGGACCATCAAGGACATGATCATCATGGCCACTTTAAAAAAAGTCCTATAAAACTACGTGCTCGTGATAAACTGAGACGTATCAGAACACCAAATGTACCTCCACCAAAAGGTGTCAACATTGTAGACGATCCATTTATCGAACTTGATAGTGTTGACTCTAGGTACATGGAAGATGAAGATCAAGCAGAAAAGAGAAGAATTCTTGGTACTAGAAAATATGAAACAGCATACATCAAAATCGATTATTATTTGGAACACATCAATATATTCTTTTCGGTTGTATGCTATGGAATCTATATTGCAATATCCTATGTATCAAATGATAGCCATGCATACAGTATTTTAAAAACTCTCTTTTTGGTTCTATTTGCTTATTTCCTTGCTGATTTCATTAGAGGTTTAATATTTGCTGGAGCAAAGTATGTATATATTATATTACCCCCCCCCCCCCCCTTAATCTAATTATATTTATGTATTAATTGTTTGTTTTATTTTTTATAGATTAAGATATTTAGCAACATTTACAACATTTATTGATATTATTACTATTTTACCAATGGCAATAACGATTGCACCGACATCAGCCATCGATATTAGACCATTGGGATTTATTAGAATTGTTAAATTGATTACAGTTCCAAATTTACTAAGACTACATGGATATGATAGTTTGGTACAAAAGGTAGCACAACTTACCATATCGATTGCTGTTTTGATCCTTCTTACAGCTGGTATTATGATGGAGATCGAAGAATGGCCTTTTCATAATTCACTTTATTTTTCAGTTGTCACTCTGGCCACCGTAGGATACGGTGACTTTGTACCAACCTATGTTGTATCTAGAATGTTAATCGTAGCAATGATCATTGCTGCTCTTTTATTCCTCCCAATTCAAACATCTGAATTATTAAAAGCAATTGGTTCATTTAAATGTAATTAATAATAATAATATGAAAAAATTAAGAAGGAAATCATCATTCTAATAGTTTATTTATTTTGTACATTATTAGCATGGCATGGTAAAAATAGAACAAATCAACCATTTTCAATGATTGTTGGAAATATAAATGAAAGATCTTTAAATACTTTTTTAAAAGAATATTTTTTTAATGTAAATATTAAATATAAATAGATTTATAAATGTGTTGGTTATTAACTATTTTTATTTTATAGACGAGAATATCATCAAAATTATCAATGGTAATATTTAGTATTCATGAACCACCACCAGTATTTCATAGATTATCAGAAGTGTATAGTCAAAATAGATTTTTATCATATATTCAAGGTTCATCTTCAAATGAACACGATATTGAAAGAGCCAATCTTAAAAAGGCACGTTCAGTATTTATCTTTTCAAAGCAATCCTATCAAGAATCTAAAAAGGATGATGTAGATAATATTCTAAGAATAATGGCAATTCGATCATTCTCTGATGTACCAATCTACGCTCAAGTAATGAATCCAAATTATAAAAAACAAATGTATGATGCTGGTGCCACTCAAGTAATTTCAATCCAAGAACTTAAAATGATGATGCTCGCTCAATCATGTCTATCACCTGGATTTAGTACATTGATGATGAATCTTTTACGTTCAGACGTGACAAAGTATAGTGAAATTGATGAATATGGATCAGGAAATGGTTATGAAATCTTTAATGTTCCTCTTTCATCTGCATTCTTTGAAATGACCTTTAAAAATGTTACAAAATTAGTTTTTGAAAAATTAGGTAAATCAGTGAGCATAATAATATAGTAATTATATCTATCCTAAAGTTTATTAACTTTTATATTTTTTTTTATTTAGGAATGACAATTTTTGGAATTATATCGATAATGGAAAATGAGAAAAACCAATTTAGATTAAATCCATATCACTATACTATCAAACCTGGTGATATAGCTATCATGTTGAGTAAAAATCGTATTGCAGCTAAAAGAGTGACCAATGTTACGAGTGAATTTCTTTTTAGCGACAAGGCAATGGATTCCAAAGGGAAATTGGTTCATTCTGATTCCTCAAAACCAAAGATCAAGTGGACATTTGATAAAAGAACAAAAAGATACAAAGTTCATATCGATTTTGATGAACAAAATACACCAACAACCAAGAGTCCAGACTCACCCAAAAAAGAACATAAACCATCGATCAAAGAGAAATTGGATAATTATTTTGGATCATTGGATTCTCCTCATATGTTTTTCGAACCAACCATTCCTCATGAAAACAATATCAGACATTTCTTGGCAAAACGCCGTCATTCCTTTTCTACTTTGCCCCTCTCCAAGTCTTGTGTCTTTAGACCAAAGCCTCTCGACACTCCTCGTATCACTCGTGACATGGTTCATCATAAACAATCAAAACCTTTTTATAGATCAGATCTTTGGCAACCAAGATCTTTTGAAGGTATGTAAAAAAGATTTATTTAAAACTAACGTTTTATTAATATTTAATTTAGATGCATTTGTTGATAGTGTAGTTGATGATGAATTTGTAAAGAATCATATTATTATAGCAGGTGATGCTCATACAATGTATTGGTTTATTAAACCTCTCCGAGAAGACTATTTACATCGTATCGACCCAATAGTCATTTTGACTAAACATTTTCCTATCAAAGAATGGTCCCTATTATCAAAGTTTCCAGAGGTTTATATTATCGAGGGAAGTGGAACAAAAAGAGAAGATTTAGTTCGAGCAGGTATACTCAAGTGTTCAAAACTTGTAGTAACTTCTTCTGAAAGAAATCAAGACTCTGAATCTATTTTACGCGATAGGAATACTCTTCAAACAGTGATTGCTGCCAAACCATTTCTTCTATCTCAAAATAATTTCTTTCCCATTTTTGAATTGGAAATTCCTCAAAATTCACATTTTATCCCTGGTAATGAATTCTGGCGCCAATCCACTCCCATTCACCTATGTCCCTTATTTGCCAGTGGTAGTTTGGTATTTAAAAGCGTCTTTGATAGTCTTTTATCACAATGCTTCTATAATCCTCATATTCTTTCTTTAATTGAAACTGTATGTAAACAATAATAATATTTAAATACTATTTTATTAACTGAATTTAATCTTTTGTTTAGCTTGTTGGATTAAGTTCACCAAATACAAAAATAAGGACTAGACTTTTTCAAGTAGAGATTCCTCCCAAGTTTGTAGGATGTAGATATGGGTTCTTGTATGAATCTTTGGTTGATTTTAATATTATTTGGTAAGTTGAAAAAAAAGAAATGGAATTTGTAGATAAATTATTTACACTTTTTATTTGAAAAGTTTGGGATTATTTAGGACCAATCCTCAAAATTTACAAACCTATCCTGTTCCAAACCCAGAATCAAGTCTGCAACTTCGAGACGATGACCATCTATTTATTTTGGTTCGAGTATAAAAAAATAAATAAATGTTTTCTTTGTTTTGATTATATATATTTTACAAACATTGTTCAAATACGAATTGTTTATTGTGAATCTAAAGAATTGGTTGTTTTACGAGGTGTAATTTTTGCCGATGGCACCCATTTATGTGTTGTTGGAATCTTTGAAGGATCTGATCCTGATGGGGATGGTGAAGTTGACAATAAAGGACTACTTGCAAGAATATTAATATCATTATTATTATTATTATAGTTATTATTGTTTGTTGTTGGAATCGCTATACTCTGAGATGATATCATTGGTCCAACCCATGCACTCTTTTGATTATTATTATTATTATGTATATGATTATTTTCGGTAGTTGTCGTATTATTTATACAGTTTACGTTGGTGTCAAAGGAATTATTATTATTATTATTATCGGAATTTATCTTTGAAATATTATTATTATTATGATTATTAAATGCTTGGGAAATTGTTGAAATAATTATCGTATGATTATTATTATTACTATTATTATTTTTTATGTTGTTGATGATAGGTTGTAAATCGTTATCATTATCTTTATCTGTTTTGTTTTCTTTTAAGAAACTATCCAATTCGACATCACTGTCACTGTCATTTTCTTTTTCCTTGTTGTTTACACCATTTATATTTTCGTTGATCTTGTTGTTATTATTATTAATATTTTGATTTTGATTTGACTTTCTATTTTGATCATCATTTTCATCAACTATTAATTCCAAATCACCACATTGACTTCCATGAATACTATTTTCAATTCTGTTGACACTGTTGGTATTGTGTTGTTCTTCGACAACTGAATTAATGTCAGAATGAGTATCTGAAAAGTTCAATGGCAAGTCTTCGAGATGACATGGAGTTGTATTGATCTTTTTCTGATGAGCCTTTGAATGTAATTCGACCAGTTCCTCTTCGTCGCTATATTCATCCTCACTATCTTCGCAAATAACTTCTGCCACATAATGTTGTCGATGTTGTCCACCGTCAAGTACATTATGAACACTAGAGATATCAATTGTACTTCTACTCTTCTTTCGATAGAAATGGTTGTTGGGTGTAACATCCATTCCATTGATCAATGCCAATGAAGAGGTAGAGTCTGTCAAACTACCCAGCGAGAGGTCAAGACTAATATCGCTAGAAATCGATGAGTTGATACTAGTTGTAATCTTTTTGTCCCTACTGTCGACAATGACAATAGTGTCTCCACTTTGACCCATACTTGGAGGCTCGGGTGTGCTCTCGCCGCTGTGGAGTGGTTGTGGTAGTATCGACGATTGACGTTGTTGCATTGGATGTTTGACAATACGATGGCCACTTGGCAAAACATTCATCTTGGCAAGTGAAGAGTGAATATCCTCGGCTGAAAACGATAGTTTACGGGGTGATCGGCCTGAACTACCATCGGCGAGGTTCAAAGACATGAGATTGGGGGTGTTGGGTAAACTGCCGACCACAAATTGATCTTTTGCTCCTCTGCCAAACAGTTGTGGACTAGTTCCTGAATTGGGAGAGGTGACTTTTTGGTTCGACGTGTATATGGGGATACGCTTGATATTATTGTTGCTACTGTTCATCGACATGATCTTGGATGACTTGGGGGGTACTGGAGGAGCGGGCAGTTGTTTTTTCGTTGGTAGATCACCTGCACTGAAATTGAGTGACGAAGACATCATGGGAACAGGACTTCCTGTATCCATCGATCTTGTATTGTGTCCAATAGTAATCTTGAAGAGGCTTGGCGAAGACGCCGAAAAAGAAGAAGGTGAAGCAGAGCTAGTGGGTGAAAAGAGGTCGGGAGATTCTGGTCGTTCCGTCTTGAATCGTCTCCAACCATTACGGAGAGGGATTGATTTGCCAGTGCTTGCACCTCCCATCATGGCACTACCAATCGATTGGCATTGGTTATCAATAAATTCCTTAACCTCTACCAAAAAGAGTGCACTAATGGGACGATGATCACTCTCGTAGAGTTCGTGACGACGATAGTTGATTGGTTTGATCGTCTCGCCACGGTAAAGAATACGATCAGTGTAGGAAGGTGTTCTATTCTTTTCACTTGTATCGTAAACACTCGTTCCAACATCGTATTTGTAGGTGGGTGGGAATGTCAATGGTTGTTCTTGAAATCCAATAAATACTCTACCAGCTCTTCTTTCATTTAACAGCTGATCGGCTGCATGTAATGTTTGCCATTGCTTATTAAAAATTAATTGTTTTGCTTCATTTTGTCCCAAATCAATTCTATAATTTAAATCTCCACACCATATTAAACATCTATAAAAAAATAAAAAATAATATTAATAAAATATAATCTATTTTGTTTTATCTTTTTTGCATACTCATGATCCAAAGGTGATAGATGATTATCAAAAGACATCATTTGAATCTTTTTAAAATCTTTTTCTCTTCTTTCCATTCTTTCATGTGAAGGTCCAGCTGCCATATGAGTATTTATAAAACAAAAACCAGTTTTATAAATTTGAAATCTTATACCAACTCCTCCTTTATTTCCCTAAAAATAAATAAATAAATAAATTTATAAATATAATTATTTATATTATTTTGATTTTTTGATTTACTTACAATACCCATTGCACCACAAGCAACTTTTTGACCATGTTTTTCCTCAACAAAAGGAGCATGTTCTTCTTTTACATAGACCAATAACATGATACCAACCAAAACTTTACTCATAACCTTTACATATTTGGTACCACCAGTTGACAGTGATAGAGTTTGTTCGATATCATGTTTCCAAGGATGATATGCGTTCTCCTTGTTATTATTCTTGTCGGCAGCCGTTGCTTTTACAATCGAGCTTGCTTTCATATCTACAATCTCTTGTAGACCAATGACTACAACATCTGGTGCAAAATTATTACAAAGTAACCAATTTGCTAGATTGGTCGATCGTTTACCATTACAATTCCATGATCCAACCCAAACACTAAGATGTTTTCTCATTGAACTTGTAGTAGTATGATTATTATTATTATTATTACTATTATTATTATTGCCAGTATTTAAAAAATATTGGTCCATTATTAATGGATCCATAACACTTGAAGAATCTTCAACAAATAATGCAGAGCAGTCGCCTGCTGCAAATATATCAGATGCCTTTAATTTCGGTGGCTTTACGATTAAAGATGGCCACATTCTATTCTTGTTGTTTCCATGTCCCAATTGATAGTAATCACTATTTCCAAATGTATATACTTCGCCGGTAATCGTTACCAATACAGTATGGTTACTACCCATTGCCACCTTTTTAACCTTTTTATCTTCAACATCTACTTTGATTTTAACAGGTGATACTTGATCTTCTAAATCTCCATTACCAATTTGACCATATTGATTTGATCCCCAACAATATACTTTGAAATAAAAAATAAATTAAATTTAAATTAATGAATTACTTTTTGTATGTATTTGTTTACTTACAAATTCCTTCTTCAGACAATGCAGATGAATGATAACCTCCAGATGAAATATCTACAATTTTAAAATAGGCATTGTTTTCTCCACCGGCCATTGACTTGAGATCGACCAATACAGGGATGACTTTGTTGTTGCGATGTCCAAGTCCGAGCTGTCCAAATTCATTGATACCCCAACTATAGACGGTGCCTCTTCGTGTGAGACCAATCGTATGCTTTTCTCCAAACGTCACCTTTCTCCAACGAACACGTCCGCCAGACCCTACGCTACTGCTGCTAACATTGAGATCGTCGAGGGGAAGTTGGGCAGGTTGTGGTACCATCTGGTTGGCTCTGTCTGATGCCTTTCCATTGGCCAATTGACCATACTTTGCCGATCCCCACATATATAATTCGCCATCCGATGTAATGGCAGCGCCTGTCATTGGACCGGCTACAATCTGTCGTATGTCTGGAGGCAATAATACTCGGAGGGGTACAGCACTCTCGCTAATGTCTTGTCCGACACCCAGCTGACCCTCATTGTTGTATCCCATAGACCACACGCCATCGTCATCGGTAGACAGTATGGTATGGTTGAGTCCGCACGACACTGAATTGACACGCTTTCCCCAAACAATCTTGAAAACGGTCGTATGCTTTCTTCCCAACACCTCTCCCCACATCAAACATTCGTCATTGACTATCGCAGCTGCATGATTCGCTCCAAGACTCAATTGACTTAGATTGAGTGATAATAGTACACTTGGAGGTGTTGGTAGTTTCTTATCAACATTGTGACATGTATTTCCTGTTTTACCTAGGTATGTTTAAAAAATGAAATTAATTAGATGTCTACTACTATTTGTCTACTCAACTTACCTTTTCCCCATGTATATAGAATTTTTTGTATACTCATCGTTAATGATAAATAGATAGATAGGTATATAAAGATAGATAGATAGGTAGATAGAAATACTACTAACTAACTACTTGTTACAAGGCAAGAAACTACTACTCCTTCTTTCTTGCCTTTTTTGATCTAAACGTTTGTTTGTTTTTAACCTCACGAACAATGATCGATTCTAATCTTTCTTGTCGAGTAATCTATATTCCATATATCCTGTTATCTATTATTCTCTCTTTCTCTCTCTTCTCTTCTCTCTCACTCTTACTACTACTACTACTACTACTACTAATACTGCTGCTAGCTAGCTGTGATGATTGTCAACAACACCTGGGTGTAATGAGTGGAGTGACTGATTGATTGATTGGAATGATGACTAAAGATTTCAAATAATACGAGGATTTAGATCGACAGTTATTGGTTGGTTTGATGGATGGATGGATGTGGTTTGTGGTATATGTGGTAAGCGTTATATATGGTTGTGGTAGGTCGTGTTAGAATGTGAGTGGGAATGTGAGTGTGTGAGATATTGTCGTTGTTTGTTTGGTTTCTCTTTTCTTATTTTATCCACGCTATCTTTTCCGAGACTATACTCTATAAATAAATAAATAATATTAAAAAAAAAGAACTTAAGAAGGAAGGAGAGGGATAAGTTGTTAGACTTTTTGATTACACAGACAAGCTCGAAAAGCAGGTCGAAACAACAACAATGCCTCCTGAGTACGGATTTTTATTTTTTTATTTTTTTCTCTTTTTTTTTCAAAGAAGCCTCTTGAACCAAAGGCAACGACACAATCGAGTCAGTCGAGCAGACGGTTCTTACCAACAAACAAACAACAAACAAATACTCAAATACTCTAAACCTCCTACCCAGGGAAATACTACTACTACACATAACACGAATAATATGTTTAAAGGGGTTATGTAAAAAATCTTAAAGGTTGTTTTGGAAATGGACCTTTTTGAATATTTATTTATTTATTTAAAACAGATACAATTGAATATATATATATAACCTTTAAAGTTGTAAAGATGTATACATGGAATTCAAAATGACAATATTTAATTTAATTGGGTAGGGATAGTTTAAATCGGTATCGATCTACTTTTTTTTAAAATACAATCTCTCCCACTACTTTACTTTTTTGACAACAAAACTCTTCTCTTTCTTAATTTATCACCGCGTAGAATTAAACTATGGGTGGAGAGAAACCAATAAATATTAATAATTAATTCGAATTATATTAAAATTGGCAATATTTATTTATTTAGAAATAATAATAATGATAAAATACCCATTAATTATTTTACTATCAACCTTTTTAATATTGGTGGTTCTCTTTCAAGAAGGAGGACTATGTTTGGCATCACCAACACAAACTTTAGATTGTCAATCATGTTTATTGAATGCTCAATTAAGATATGGACAATGTATGAAAGAAAGTACGGATGAAAAACACTGCAAGTTTAAATACACTATAGATCTATTGCCATGTGAAGAATTTTGTACCCCAGATTAGAGAGAGAGAATCCATGTACCCGTCTATTCTTGTTTTGGAATCACTCCACCATTAAAATAAAATAAAAATTATCATCATCAACCTATTATTATTATGATCTACAACCACACAATCGATTGCAATTGGATGTTCATTTTTGGGGGATATTATTTCGTGGTGGGGTCTATCAATATTAGTCGGGGTATATTTCCCCAACTATTTTTAGTAAGTATCCAGTTTAATTAATTATTTGAATTCGAATTTATGTTATATGATATCACATGCCATTTATGATTAACAATCAATATAAATATAAAAATCTATAGTCTTTAATTTATATTTATAACAATCTATATATATATTTAATTAACTAAATAATTAAAACTAAAAAAAATGGTTAAATTATCATTATTATTCCTAATATTTATTTTGATTACTGGATTTTTCATTCAATCTAGTACAGCAGATAGTGAAATTGGATTCACTTGTCGTTCATGTTTAATGCATTCTCAATTAAATTATGGAGAATGTTTATTGGCCAATCAAGAACCAGAGAATGATTGTAGAACACGCTACCATATATTATTATTTGAATGTATCGATGCTGGATGTGCAAATATATAAATTTAATCAACCTATAAAAGAAATAATTATTTATTAATTAATAATCACACACAACTCTTTTAAATAATATTTAAATAAAAATTTACCTTGTTTAGGTACCATTGTAATATTTAAAATAGTTCCAATTGATTGAATGGAAATGGAATAAATATTTTCGAGTTGTTGATGTGATGATTTTAACTTAAAATCACCTATATCAAAGTAACTACATTTGATAGAGAATAGGGAAAGTGGTTGGAGTTTGCCCTTGTGTCGAAGTAGTAGTTGATCGAGAATTGGGTCGAAATAGATAGTAGTAAATTGTATGTTGAGCAATCGAAACGATCTAATATACTTTAGTTGTGATACCCAATGAAATGAATTGTTTTTTTGTATTCTCTCTGTCGCCAGAAGTGAGAAATGGTAGGTTAGTTGAACGTCGAGAGGTACTGTATTGTCACGGGTATTGGCATCCATCAACCTTCCCAACGATGTAAAGCTACAGTCGGTAACCTTTAATGACTCGAGTTTGGGTGGAAATGTTACAACCAGGCGACCACCCAAAACAAGTGACTTGATGGATTGATTGCTTGAAAAGTTTAGGGGTTTACTACTGGGTGCTTTGTTTTGTGCTGCCACCGTTAACTTTCTGACGTGGAGTGTCTCGAGTGGCGACAAATCGGCAAGCTTTGCCAACTTTAGATAAAGGTGAGAAAAGGCATGTCGGTCGGGGGTAGCATAATGGATGTTGATAATGGTGTAAAAAGTGTGGATGAGTTGTGCGACAGTCTTGTCATTAATATCTACCCTAGTATCGGTATATTTAATGGTACGGATAGACGGGAATAATGATGGTTGAAGCCATGTCAACATATTTGTTGGATCATCGATATGTTGAAACTCTAAACTTTCCAATTTTGTGTTTGATTGTTGAAAGATAGATTGGTAAAACTCGTCACTTGGAGTACCCAAAGGTAGTGAAAAGAATTGAATCACTAGTCTCTTGGGACACCCCAATTGTATAAAGTCCCGGATCGGTTCGTTCCCGTTCAACAAGACATCGGTCAAACTAGACACTACAAGTGTATCTACATCAAACCCAGCCGACTTGATCACCTCTGCCTGTTTATCAAGTGAATGAATAGCAGTGCTTTTAACTTGCAAGTAGAGGCTAATAGGGGATTTGATACAACTCTTTCCACGTCTTAATACAGAGTCATAAAAGATAGATCTTTTCAATTCAGAGACATTGAATGATTTATCATTGGTATCTAACCCACGTATACTTGATAATTCCTCCAAGTATTCTTGTATTTGTTCCTTTTCGTGTGTCTCTAATTCCAAACTTGTATTGTAAGTTATATTGGTCAAGTAATCAGTGTGTAGTGGTACACTATATTGGAACTGGATATGTCTAATCACTCTCCAAACCCTAGTATCAAATACACCCTTTTCTTGGTTCTCCTTTTTCTGTCTTTGTGCACTCTCTCTTTCAATCATATCTTTTGGTGCACTTTTACCAGACTGTCTATTTAGATGATCTAGTATAGTAAATGGTATTGACATTGACAGTACATAACTATGATCAACCCAATCACAAATCCATTTAAACCATTGTTTTGATACCAAATCTAATGATAATTTAACTTTCTTTGGTATTAACTTTAGAGTTTAAAAAAGAATGGTAAGTAAGTACATAGATACAATACAATACAATACAATGCAAACATATATACTACATACATCACAATTTAATAGTAACTTTAATATTTGTTTTTGAACAATCAGTGGTATGGTAGTTGTCATCCTCTCTCTCTCTATCTATCTATCTATCTATCTATCTATCTATCTCTTATCATAAAGATAACAACTACTGCTTTGCTTTCCTTTTGTTGGTGTTCATTAAAAGAATCTTTTCTTTCAATATTCGAATATCTTTGTCTACTTGACAATCTGACTTTTTGTTTTTGGAAGTAGTCACATCACTGATACTAAATACTACTATTACTTGTATCTATCTTCGGTGTGTATATCTATATTTGTATAAATATATGTCATATGAAATGACATAGTACAATCGTACTCTTTGGATGACATCGAAATTTGATGATTTTTTTTTTTATTTATAATTTCCCTCCCATTCTTTTGTGCCGATCAATTTGCAGATATAATCTCTTCATTATTATTATTATTATTACTTTTGTTAATGACTAGACTATAGAGTATCATTCTTCAAAAAAGTCGATAGATATACAGTAGCAGCAGTTAGTAGTAGTAGTAAATATATAAATAATAGATAAAAAGAAAGATGGCAATCGACTATAGCAGCTTCATTGAACTTGGTGATCTTACAGACAAGAATATTGGTCAATTAAAGTTACTAAATACATCTGTATTACCAGTATCATATGACGATAAATTCTATCAAAAGATTCTTGCTGCACCATTCATCACTAAACTTGGTATGGATTCAATCAATCAATCAATCAATTAATTAACAACACCAACAACAACAACAACAACAACAAACTCGAACGATGAACAATGAAATATGAGATATATCTATGCGATGATCATACGATATCTCAAGTGACAGCTCACACATGCAAACACACAGTAGTACTGACATACTACTATACCATACTATATAATATTCAGCATTTTACAATGATGTACTTGTAGGAGCTGTTTCATGCAGAGTAGATCCACCAGTCAATGCTGGTGAACCACAAACCCTTTATATAATGACATTTTGCGTGTTGGCAGCCTACAGAAAGCTTGGTATTGGAAAGAAACTCTTGGAGTTTGTCGAAACAACCTGTGCCAAGAACAACTATTGCAAGGTAACCCTTCACGTACAAGTCAACAGCGATGCCATCGATTTCTACAAGAAATATGATTTCACCATTGAATCTACCATTCAAAACTATTACCGTAATATTGAACCTACCGATTGCTACTTGATGGCAAAGCTCATACCAGTAGATCCATCTGCTGTCACCACCACTACCACCGCCACCAATCCTGCCGCCAACAACAACAACAAGAATAAAAAGTAAACAAATTAATATTTCTTTATTTTGATATATTATTATAACCCATCCCCCTCCCCTCATCCTATATATTTATACATATATATATATATATATATATTTATTTGTAAATATTTATTATTATTATTATTTTTAGACTTTGGGTCTTGAATGATCCAACATTTCGAATTATTTCTTATTTTCCAATAGACCTAGGAACCCAAACAAATCCAGATAGAGTACACTAGTATATTGGTTATTTATTTATATTTAGAATTGATCAAAATGTAAAGATATATTATTAATTGTATTTTTGGTTATTTGTGGTATTCCAAATATTTGTTCCATCTTGTCTTTTTGTTGTTGTTGTTGTTGATTTTGATTATTATTTCGACTATTAAAGTCAAGAGTTAAAACATTTTTATAATACTCTAATATATTAAATGAAGTTTGAGTAGATATCATTTTTTTTGAATATCTTGTTTCGATAGAGTGTTGAATGGCAATTAAAGCATTTGGATCTTGGATGATGACCAAATCCAACACTTTGTATTGTTTTTTATCCAATAGATGCCCAAACAAATCCAAATAGAGTATACCAATATCGTGTAATTGTTTTTTCTTTCTTTTAGTTGACACAATATTTGTTGTGAGTGGTGGCATATGTGATTTGCATTGTTTTATCTTTGTCTTTATAATATCGAAATTGTCGCTTTTACATTGCTGTTGTTGTTGTTGTTGACCAAAATGTAGAGCAAGATCTTTAATGTATTGTAAACACAATACCCAATAAAACATGTGTAGGGGGTCTGATTTGTTTCGAACTGGAAATTTGAAATTAAACCGCTCCAAACATTGATCGATAATTTCCAATCGTTTCTTGGGGCAATCCATCGACTGAATGTATTGATGTAATGCTCTCCAACTTGTCGAGTAATCAAGATGCACAACGATTTTTTGTGAGATAATTGCACCACGATCGGCAAGTTTGCTAAAGGTTTCTGGATAATATTTCAAGAGTTGGACCAACTCTAAAATATATAGGTAGCTGAGTCTGGGGTCTTGGAAAAAGATAGGGACATAGGCTGGAGGGAAACTATCCTCTTGAAATAGAAACAATACGTGTCTATGCCTTATGATGTCATTGTAAAGTAGTCTCTTTCTTGCTGCTAGTTCGAGTGTTTCTTTGTCTAGTCGTAAATGAGGTACCCAGTTAACATCGCGATACCCATAGCTATAACTTTTAAATTGGTAATCACCAGGTTCAATCTTAAAGAGATCACAATCCTCGATAGTTGTATTGTTATAATGTATGCTTAGTGATCTAATGAACTCGATGGCTAAAAGAGGGTCATCTTTGCACATGCTATCAATCGATTCTAGTTCATCTCGTGTGATACTATATTTCAACGAAAGCAACTGTTGCATCCTAATTTGATTTAATTGTCTAACATGATGATACACCAAACTAGATACATATCGATTTTTAATAAAGATCGATTGAAATAGTTGAAATAATCTTTGATTGTATTGCAATATGCATTGTTGTTGTATTTGTTGGTTGTTTTGTTGATGTTGTGATTGATTCATTGTTACAATGAAGTAAGTGAATGAGAATCTTCATTGTATCTCATCATCGTCATGTTAGACTTGTAGGTGAATGAATGTAATTTTTGTTCAAAAAAATAGAACTTTGTATCTGAATCTTACTTTCATGTTTATTTATATGTGAAATATTAAAATAGTTAGTTATATTATTATTATTATTATTATTATTATTATTATTATTATTATTATTATATATTGGTTATTTATATTTAGAATTGATCAAAATGTAAAGATATATTATTTATAGTACTCGAATATAGTAAATGATGTATGTCTAGTCTGGATAGAGAGTTTAATGGCAGTTAAAGCGAGAGATGCCATATGCACATTGCTCGATAGTGTCCAAGTTTACCATGCGGCAATTATCTGTTTCCGTACCATTTCCTCAATTACAATATGTAAGGAAAGGGTAAAACAACCACAACCTAAGATAATATCATCAAGAAAGTGTGGTGATAAAAATGACAATGGTGAACATGCAACTGTTGGAAACCCCATCACTCACGCATCAAATCAGTACCCACTCCCCCGATCCATTGAGAGTTAGTATGAGGGTGGAAGAATTCTCATACACCCAGATGGCATACTGCCAGCTTCATATGCAACCTTTTTGTTTAGTACATTTAATTTGATTTATTTTAATTATTTTGAATCCCCAATCAAAGAGACTGAACAATGATCATTCACTAACTCATAAAACTAGGTCTAATAACGTTTGTACTAAAATATTAATAGTCTATTAGGAAGATTGATCAATCCACTTACTTTATTATTTATGTATCCATTTCAATATACAAAATACTTTTATTAGAAATTAAATTATTTCTTCCATTCCAACTTTAATTTATTTATTAAAATCATGGATACCTTCTCACAAAATAATAATAATAATATTCCCAATAATAATAATAATAATAATAATATTGTAGTCTTTGAACAAGCATCAAAAGTATTAACAGAATTTGATAAACAAAATGAAATCAAACAATCTAAAATAATTTTAGAGTGTCCTCAAGACTTAAAAGATGATCAACCTTTCAAAACATTTATCAACTTTGTCAACAATTCATGCAGATTTGCTAGCGATTCATCAAATGCAGACAATTTGAAACAGGTTCCAATCATATACAATGATATCAAAAAGCTTATTATTGAACTCAACAATGAAGTTAAGCATGTTGACAAACTTTCAAACCAAGTAAATCAGATCGCTCGCCAATTGGTCTCAACCGTGAAAAATTTCCAAATATTTATACGACCGATCCTACCAAGAGTAGAAAAAATGAAAACAGACATCTTAGTACATCAAGATTGTATTAAAACAGATGATGATCTTTCAGAGGTTGACCAACAGGACATTGGTATTGCGCTCAGTAATCTCACAACTGGATCGGATGAGATTTCCAAACATATTCTCATCTCTCAAAATTTCTGTATTTCCAAACAAAATGAATTACTCGAAGTGGAACAGGTAGTTCTTGAAAAAAAACAAACTCACGAAAGAAGATTGGAGTTTCTTAAAGAAAATTTTGGAATCATTTGTGGATTAAGCACAACAGGTGTCCTTTCACAATTAGCACTTACCGAAATTGGTACAGCCCTCGTATCGACGATTCCAATTGCAGTCAATATCCCTCCGGTTTTTCTTGGACTTATTTGTGCTGTCTAGGTGGTTTACTTATTGGAGGAATAGTTTGGATGGTTGTCAAATTATTCAAGACCAGTAATCAATCATCATTGGAGAAATTGACTCGTATTCTAGCAGGTATTGAACGTCTCAAGAATATAAACGACTATTTCATCCGTTCATTCAGCCAATGTAATGTGGATGACAGTAGAGTTAGAACTAATTTAAAAGAAATTTCAGATAGTATGAAGAGCTTAAGATATAGAAAGTTAAATCGAGCTGTTTTCCAACAATTGGAAAAAAATACCAATTCTCTAATCCACAATCTTACAATCATTTCTGAAATGAAGGTAATGGATAACTTACTAGGATCCTCTTCAACACCCAAAACTAACCACATAAAAAGATTAAAAGCACCTTCAAATTTAACAAATTCAATCAAACATTAAATTTTAAAAAAATAAAGAAATAAAAGAACGTATAGGTTTATTAAATAAATAATTAATAATGCCCTCAATCTCAAACTAAGCTAGAAGAGAGAGAGTATTTTACCATTATCTCGTAAAAAAATAGAACTTGGCTAAGATTATTAAAAAAATTACATATATTGCTTGTTATTTATTATTATTATTACTAGTATATTGGTTATTTATTTTAGAATTGATCAAAATGTAAAGATATATTATTAATTGTATTTTTGGTTATTTGTGGTATTTCAAATATTTGTTCCATCTTGTCTTTTTGATGTTGTTGTTGTTGTTGACTTTGATTATTATTTCGACTATTAAAGTCAAGAGTTAAAACATTTTTATAATACTCTAATATATTAAATGAAGTTTGAGTAGATATCATTTTTTTTGAATATCTTGTTTCGATAGAGTGTTTAATGGTAATTAAAGCGTTTGGATCTTGGATGATGACCAAATCCAACAATTTGTATTGTTTTTTATCCAATAGATGCCCAAACAAATCCATATAGAGTATACCAATATCGTGTAATTGTTTTTCCTTTCTTTTAAATGACACTATATTTGTTGTGAGTGGTGGCATATGTGATTTGCATTGTTTTATCTTTGTCTTTATAATATCGAAATTGTCGCTTTTACATTGCTGTTGTTGTTGTTGTTGACCAAAATGTAGAGCAAGATCTTTAATGTATTGTAAACACAATACCCAATAAAACATGTGTAGGGGGTCTGATTTGTTTCGAACTGGAAATTTGAAATTAAACCGCTCCAAACATTGATCGATAATTTCCAATCGTTTCTTGGGGCAATCCATCGACTGAATGTATTGATGTAATGCTCTCCACTTGTCGAGTAATCAAGTTGTACAACGATTTTTTGTGAAACAATTGCACCACGGTCGGCAAGTTTGCTAAAGGTTTCTGGATAATATTTCAAGAGTTGGACCAACTCTAAAATATAGAGGTAGCTGAGTCTGGGGTCTTGGAAAAAGATAGGGACATAGGCTGGAGGGAAACTATCCTCTTGAAATAGAAACAATACGTGTCTATGCCTTATGATGTCATTGTAAAGTAGTCTCTTTCTTGCTGCTAGTTCGAGTGTTTCTTTGTCTAGTCGTAAATGAGGTACCCAGTTAACATCTTTGATTGCATTGTAGTATGCATTGTTGTATTTGTTGGTTGTTTTGTTGTTGTTGTTGTTGGTTGTTTTGTTGATTGTTTTGTTGTTGTCGTTGTTGTTGATGTTGTGATTGATCCATTGTTACAATGAAGTAAGTGAATGAGAATCATTGTATCTCATCGTCGTCATGTAAGACTTGTAGGTGAACGAATGTAATTTTTGTTAAAAAAAATAGAACTTTGTATCTTGCCTAAATTTTTATTTATATATGAAACTACAATAGTTAATTATTATTACTATTATTTTTATTTCATATTGGTTATTTATTTATATTTAGAATTGATCAAAATGTAAAGATATATTATTAATTGTATTTTTAGTTAATAATGGTAATTCAAATATTTGTTCCATCTTGTCTTTTTGATGTTGTTGTTGATTTGGATTTTGATTATTATTATTATTTAGATTATTTTGATTATTATTTAAAACATTTTTAAAATACTGTAATATATGAAATGATGAAAGAGTAGATCTCGTTATTTTTTTATATATAGTCTGGGTAGAGTGTTGAATGGCAATTAAAGCGTTTGGATCTTGGACGATGACCAAATCCAACACTCTGTATTGCTTTTTATCCAATAGAAACCTAAACAAATCCATATAGAGTATGCCAATATCGTGTAACTTTTTTTTTCTAAAATTGATCTCCTTTCTTTGAAAATCACGACTAAATCGTGATTTTGATGGTGAATCTAAATCTATAATGAGTGGCGGTATGTTTGATCTACATTCTTCTAACTTGCTCTTTATAATATTGTAATTATAGTTGTCACATTGTTGTTGTTGTTGTTGTTGTTGTTGTTGTTGTTGTTGTTGTTGTTGTTGTTGTTGTTGTTGTTGTTGTTGTTGTTGTTGTTGTTGTTGTTGTTGTTTATCAAAATGTAGAACCAGATCTTTAATGTACTGTAAATACAATACCCGATAAAACATACATAGGGGGTCAAGATCTGAGTCATGTATGGCTATAAAATAGAATTCAAACCGTACCAAACATTGCTCAATAGTATCCAATCGTTTCTTGAGGCAATCTATCGACTGAATGTATTGATGTAATGCCTTCCACTTTCCACGGTTACCAAGTTGCACATAGATCTTTCTTTTGGAGACAAGTGCACGATTGGCAAGTTTTCTAATGGTTTTTGGATAATATTTCAAGAGTTCCATAAACTCTAAAATATAGATGTAGTTGAGCCTGAGGTCTAGGAAAAAGGTAGAGACATAGGCTGGAGGGAAACAATCCTCTTTAAATACAAACAACTCGGGTCTATACCTTTCTATGATTTCATTGTAAAGTAATCTCTTTCTTGCAGCTAGTTCGAGTGTTTGTTTGTCTAGTCGCAAACTAGATATCTTCCTGGAACTAGTGAATGTGAAATCACCAGGTGAATGACTAAAGAAATCACAATCCTCGATAGTTGTATTGTTATAATGCATGTTTAGTGATCTAACGAGCTCGACACCTAAAAGAGGGTCATCTTTACACATGCTATCAATCGATTTTAGTTCATATCGTCTGATACTAGTTAGCAACGAAAGTAACTGTTGCATCCTAATTTGATTTAATTGTCTAACATGACGATACACCAAACTAGATACATATCGATTTTTAATAAAGATTAATTGAAATAGTTGAAATAATCTTTGATTGTATTCCAATACATGTTGTTGTATTTGTTGAAATATTCGAATTATTTGTTGTTGTTGTTGTTGATGTTGTGATTGATTCATTGGTCCATCTCGAATAATAATGACAATCAACAAATATTTGAGTGTAATTGGGAAAAAAAAACGATCGGTTAAGTTTAATTGCCACGCTGGCAGACCAAATTAGATATTATTATTATTTATATTTATATTTTTGATTATTATACAATTGTATGTTGTGACGTCTAATTAATTTTATTATTGGTATTGTCGTTGTGGTTATATTGTAGTATCCCCCTGTCTGTCAGTGTTCCCATTTTTAAAAATACTTTTTGTTTTGTTTGGTTTAGTTTGTTTGTTTGTTTGATTACAATTGATGTATCGTCGTCGTCTTTGTTGGTCGTCGAGTTACAATTGATGAATCCACCATTCGCAGAATTCTCTTTCATCGATACTGCCAGAGTAGTTTCTGTCAATCGAGTAGAACAAGGTTTTGGTTTGACCCTTGCTAAAGTAGAAACCAAGATATTTGATACATCTCTTGAATTCCTTCTTGCTCAAAGTTCCACTGCAGTTGGAATCAAACATTCTAAAGGCGGCGCTGGCAGACATCATCTTTTGGACGAGGTGTGGTGGAAGACCAACTGGCACAACAAATGCAGCGGTTCTGACATAGGTGCTGGCATAAGAGTATGCTGGTCTTACATAGGCAGATGGTTGCGAGTAGGCAACAGCTCCATAAGCGCCACCTGGAACAGCTCCGACGGCACCATAGGCACCTGGCATAGCTCCTGGATAACCGGCAGTTGGTGGATAAGCACCTGGCATAGCTCCTGGCATAGCTCCTGGATAACCAGCGGTTGGTGGATAAGCACCTGGAACAGCACCTGGGTAGGCTCCTGGAGCTCCAGTTGGTGGGTAAGCACCTGGAACGGCTCCTGGGTAGGCTCCTGGAGCGCCAGCTTGTGGGTAGGCACCTGGAACAGCACCTGGAGCACCTGGATAAGCACCTGGTTGACCTGGATAGGCTCCTGGAGCACCTGGCTGACCTGGATAGGCTCCTGGAGCGCCTGGTTGACCTGGATAAGCTCCTGGTTGACCTGGATAGGCTCCTGGAGCACCTGGTTGACCTGGATAAGCTCCTGGAGCACCTGGATAGGCTCCTGGTGGCTTGGCACCAGCTTGTGGTGGGTATCCAGGTTGACCTGGTTGTTGTGGGGGGTATCCGGGTTGACCTGGCTGTTGTGGTGGATATCCAGGTTGACCGGGTTGTTGTGGTGGATATCCAGGTTGACCTGGTTGTTGTGGTGGGTATCCAGGTTGACCGGGTTGTTGTGGTGGGTATCCGGGTTGACCGGGTTGTTGTGGGTATCCAGGTTGACCGGGTTGTTGTGGAGGGTATCCAGGTTGTCCTGGCTGTTGTGGTGGGTATTGACCTGGCTGACCGGGTTGACCTGGATAAGCTCCTGGTTGACCTGGTTGACCTGGATATTGACCGGGTGGCTTGGCACCGGCTTGTTGTGGTGGATATCCGGGTTGACCGGGTTGACCTGGAGCACCTGGATAGGCACCTGGTTGACCTGGTTGTTGTTGTGGTGGGTATTGACCGGGTTGACCTGGTTGACCTGGAGCACCTGGATAGGCACCTGGCTGACCTGGTTGTTGTTGTGGTGGATATTGACCGGGTTGACCTGGAGCTCCTGGTTGACCTGGATAGGCACCTGGTTGACCGGGTTGTTGTTGTGGTGGGTATTGACCGGTTTGACCGGGTTGACCTGGTTGTTGTGGTGGTGGGTATTGACCTGGAGCACCTGGAGTAGCTCCGGCAGTTGGTGGTGGTGGGTATTGACCAGCTCCAGTTGGTGGTGGAGGATATGGTGAACTTGGGGAGGCAGCGCCAGCTGGTGGTGGTGGATAGGCACCTGGAGCACCTGGTTGACCATAACTTGGGCTTGATTGACCTGGCATGACCTTGATTGGCATTTGGGAGTATTGGTCAGATGCAGTTCCAGGGGGTGGAGGGTTTGGTGGGTTTTGCATTCTATCTATTTAAAGTTTCTATTATTATTGATTATAATAGAAAAAAAAAAAGTGAGGTGTTAGAAAGATTCTACTCTTTCAGATTAATCTAATCTTTGGTGTTTGTATCTTTTTAAACGAAGTGTTGTTGTTTGTTGGTTGTTAACCTATTTCCTTTGTCACGTCACTTTTACTTCTGTGAACAAATGAATGAATTGATATCAAGTCTTCAAAACCCAACAACATCAACATAGTTTAAAAATTATCTATCTATCTATCTATCTATCTATCTATCTGTCTGTTCATCCATCTTTTTGTCTGCAAACAAACAAATATCCTGTTTAGTTTAGCTGAGGGTTCTTACATTGTAAAACAATAAGGGTGTATGTGAAAGGAGGAGAGAAGAGTGAATTGAATTAAGAGATAGTTATATACTAGATGATGTAATACAACTAACTAATAAACTAACTGCTGCTTTTAATGACTAAAGAAGTTGATGATTCCTTTTGCCCTTGTGTGAAATTAGAGGTTGGGATAAAAAAAAAAAAACAAAGTCAGAAGCTCAACAGTTTGGTGTCATCCAAACACACATTGCAAGTAGCAGCATATCTTCATTGGCAAAGAATGGGATGGCTTGGCTACATCACCCACCGATGTTTCTTTGGATCACACCCTTTATGTCTCCATGTTCGTTGCTGTGTCGAGGATTACAATCATTGGACAAGAAATCAAGTAGAATAGCGTGTTTATACCCAAAGCAGATTGAATCAAAGAGAGGAGAGAAAAAAGATTTATGTACAAAAGACGAATGAGTTAAAGTTTGATTTCTAACTACAAGCAGTACCATAATAAGGTGTAATAATCGATAATAATGATAAATGACATTTGTTGTTGTTTTTTAAAGGTTTAAAGAGGGACAAATACACAATAATTAAACTACCATATATCTTTTGATTATTTTAATTTAGTACTGTGGTTTATTGAGGGTCATAAATTTTTAGACGATGGTACCTGTAATAATAATAATAATAAATAGTGTAAATGGGTTGGGGGAGTAAAGATAGATTAGTCATATGATCAATTTCAAGAGTTTAGAGTTTGTTTGTTTTCTTTCATTTTATACATACCAGCGTTGGTGGCAACCTTTGGCCATAAATCAGAGCATTCCTTGGCAACTGGACCGAGGATGTTACCCTTGACTTCACCCTTTGGGTTGCAGATGACACCAGCATTGTCTTCAAAGTACAAGACAGTGCCGTCCTTTCTTCTCCATGACTTTCTTTGTCTGACAACCAAACCAGTGGTGACCTTCTTTCTGAGATCAGGCTTACCCTTCTTGACGGTAGCCATGACCATGTCTCCGACACCGGCGGCTGGGAGTCTGTTCAATCTACCCTTGATACCCTTAACGGCGATGACGTATAAGTTCTTGGCACCAGAGTTATCAGCACTGTTCATGACAGCACCAACTGGGAGAGCGAGTGTAACTCTGTAGTTAGATCCGATTGCTTGTGCTGTTATTTCATGTATTTAGATAAAGTATGTTGTGATGAGATTGTATATAGTAGGTATATGAGAGTTTAAAGGTGTAAGTATACTTGAATATGTAGATCCGAGATACACGTTTCTAACTAAACGAAACGAGCATCCTTCTTTTGTTCTTCTAGTTGTAACATAGCAGCAACATACGCTTAGACATTTTTTCACAACAGGAGAGGAGGTGGAACTATTCACAGGTATTTGGCTCTTGACTATCACCTAGCGAAACTCGGTCCTCGGTCGCCTCACGCTCACTCCTCCAAAAAAATAAAATTCAAAAATAATTGCAAAAAAGCAAAAATTCCGTTTGAAAAAAAAAGAAAAAATGCCCTCTCCGAAAGACATCGCATGATCTTTCAAAGTTAGAGTGCAGTAGTTTATTCATTAATATTATTATGTTTGTTATGATGTATTGTTATTAAAGGAGAGGAGACAACTATTACTTATTAGTTAATTTATACAAATCTTGTTGATAAATATATTTTAAAAATAATGGACTACGTTCACTGATGAGAGCTGGAAGATATTTTGGTTGCGATGACAATGACAATGATGATGGTGATGGTGTAGAAGAGGATTGATTATTATTACTACTATTATTACTATTATTATTATTATTATTATTATTATTATTAATACTGTATGTTTGAAACCAAATCTTTCGAATAGTATGGTATTTTTTGATGGTATTGATGATAGTGCTAGTTGCAGTGGACAATGCTTTGATACGTTCTTGTTGGTCTAATATAGAATAGATGTATTCTATCATTGATGGAGTTGCATCTTTGTGTGATCTATTCTCCTTTATAAAACGATGGACAAGTGATGCATAGTCTGGTGATTGATGACAGATGGTTATAAACATATCAGGTGTTCCAAGTCTTAGGATACACATAAACAGTCTTTCTATGTGGTCACGGATGTTTCCAATCTCTCTTGTTTTGTCATCTGACGATGATGATGATTGTACAAGTGGTTGTGTGTTTGGGTGTCCAAAGATCATACTCGACAAGAATGGACAATGCAATTTGATAGTGTCGAGTAGGTGTAGTGCATACACTGGTAAATGGAATCCATTGGGTCGTGGACCTTCAAAGTATTGCTTGGCATCGGGATTGGTTGGTCGTGACACATGATGCGATTCATTGTTTAAAAAGTACCATGGTTGGTTGCGAAATGTTGGATTTGGTTGTTGTAATAGACTCTCTGTACGAACAAGATGTATCTTGATCAATTCTGCAATAAGAGAATAATCCAAATCAATACTGGCTTGAACATCAAGTATTCTTTGGTCTTCCAATCCCCCCTGTCCTCCTTCTCCTTCTTCTCCTCCTTCCTTTGTCTCTAGATGTAATGGTAAAAGAGAAGATACCAACTGTGGGTATTGATAGACATCCTCGCAACGTTCAAGGATTGTTTCTGTCGACATCCCCATATGATAACAAAAATAGGGTGTTGATTTGTCAGAAGTAATGGCTGTCGTTTGAATACTACTTCTTGTATGAAGCTTGTTCCATTTAACATCCAAATTTAATCGATAGTACATATCTTTGATTCCTTCCAAAGTAAGTGTTTTACCAAGGAGCAAAGTTTGATCACATTCCACTCGTTTGGTTCTGGCGGGCAGTCCGTAGAGACTAAAGTAATAATCGAGATTTGTGAGGTCGCCTAAATTATCATCCAGCTTTTTAAAGAGAGGTTGGGGACGTTTGTCATTGTAAGACGACCGTAGCGATAGGTTGGGAACATGGTGGAGAATAACTTGAAGGTGTGGGATAGCGTAATCGAGTCCTAAAAGGGTTCGGATATCCCCTACATTTTGATGAACAAATCGGATGATATGATGTTGGTTTTTAGTTTGGTAAGAGCTGACTCCAGATGCCAATGACAAGGTTGTTGACAATCGTAAATAACGTGGGTCGTGTATCATTACAACCAGCTCTTTAATGTCGTACGCGTCTTGGGATCTAGGGCAATCTTCTCCTTCTTCAAAGTTCATACGAGCCAAGGGAAACCCATAGAGAACGTGGTCATCAGGTCCGAGATAGGTAAACGAGTGTTTATCAACATCCAATATCTTGGTGTACTTTTGGTAGATGGATGATTTGGGTGATAGGCGATTGAGTGGAATGAGTTTATAACGACGATACTTTGAATAGGCATATGAAATGACATGTTGATGTGTATAGTTTATAGTAGAGTCCTCGGGTATCTCGATCACCCTATTGTTGTCAATTAGTGCTTTTGCCAACAAATCAATCATTACCATATCCTCCATCTTTTCAAGGTGTGACCACGTAAAGAGATGCAAATGATTTTTGAGTACAAGATTGAAAATATCTAGATTGAGTGACATTTTCACCAAGTGCGTGATGAATGACTGGTCAATCAGCTGATCGAGTTTACCTTGTTTAAAAAGTACAAGGAAATATTTGGGTGACATGATCAATAAATCTTTTGGTTGTTTTACTCTTGTCCAATCCAATCTTTCCAATGATGGTAAATGAGTAAATGATAATATTTTGTTTAATAAATATTTGTTTGAAAATACTGATGAAATAATCTTTAAAGTTGAAGTTGAAAAAGGTAAAGAAGATGAGGATGATGAGGAGGGTAATGGAGGAATGATTTGTTTTTTAACTTCTCTCTTGATCTTTTTCATTTTCTCTGGAATTGAAAGATTAAATTGTTGTAATAATAAAATGAGACAGTTTTTAGGACTATGGTTGGCAAAGAAAAATGATTTAGAGTTTAGGAAATCTTGTTTGATGGATCCAAGTTGAAGAAGATATTGTAGTGGTGCTAGTGACAGGTTGTGTCGTGAGAATAGATGGTTCAACTGTCTCTCTGAGAGTTGAGGATGATCAGAGTCTAATCTTTCTTTTATGACCTTTGAAATATCGACTCTATTGTAAACCAATGATTGATAGAATAAATATTGAAGATCTGATTGTTGTAATGTTGGTTCTAGGTCAAGATAGTATGATGTAATCCACTCGGGTTTCTTGTTGATAAAACTATGTGATACATTTGAAATATCAATTTTACTATACAACTCTTTATGATGATTGGTGTAATAGTATTGGATGATGGGGATGTTTCCATGTCTGAATGCTTCAACAAGTGTACTTTGATCATACATTGTGTGGTTACGAGATTGGCAGTCTCGATGAACCATTTCAAGGTGTTTCATAGTTCCAGATTGTCCAATCCAACTCCATGTATCTTGAGTAAATCCAACACCATCCAGTCTACTTGAAACGATAAATTCGACAAGTTCATCATTCATACCAACCAAGAATGCATCATCAAGAATAGATGTTCTCGTAGCTTTACCAGAATTGATAATATCATCGTCGTTGTCTGGAAAGAGTTGATAGAGTAGTTTGAATGCACCGAGTCGTCCATAACAACACATTGACGCAAACAGATTATATATATCTAGTCGATCTCTAAACTCGTCAAAGATATATTGTAGCATTGTTGCCAGACTGTCGTCACATAGCCGACTTGCCATTTGATCAATCAAATATCTTGAAATGATGATTGGTTCGGTATTTCGATGTTCTTGATATTCACCGTCGTTGCCCTCGAAATAGACTTGAGTATATTTCAATAAATCTAGGTCTAGAGACATGAGTGCAGTTTGAATGTTGTAGTATCGTCCCAACGCAGGTTTATGTTCAAGTAGATACTTTACAACTTTAGGATTGTGATTGTCAAGTATTGCAAATTGACTGCATTGTTCATTTCGATTTTCATGCAAGAATGTTGTAATCTCTAATGCATATGCAAATTTATCCTTTCGTTGTGCAGCCCAGTCCATTGCATGATACGACGCTCTTGCTTCAGTCGAGTTTTCCTCGACTATCTTGGAGTGGTAGTATCTGACTTGTTCGGGAGACCCAAGCTTGCAAACAAGGTCAAACATGTGATTGTAAAAGAAATGTCGTTCCTCCATATCAATCAACCCATCGATAAATTTCATCGCCGATGGTTTGCTGCTGCAATGTTTAGCAATCAACTTTTTCAATCCTTTTGTAGCATTATGATGTTCAAAGTATCGATAAAGATGAAATGTATTGATATCTTCTGAAATGACGATGATATCAGATGATGAAGAGGATGATAAAGGTGGAGGGGATGAAGGGGGGGATAAATAAATATTATAAATTTGAATTAAATCCAAACATAATGATTCTATTTTTTGTCTGTCTTGTAGTCCATAGTATTTAGATTCATGTTGTTTAAGAGTTTTAAATTTGAATTCATCAAGAAGCATTGTAATGAATATCTTCTTTTCGAGTGGCTTGCAAGTGAGGAATGAAAGGTCTGCCATCTTTGATTTAAACAACTCTATCAACCTCAGTCCATCCTTAAAGTATGTGTACCCGAGTAGTGACACTTGTTGATCTTGAGGTCGAACCTGATGACATTGGATGATTTGATTGGCGTGTTGATACCATTCACTGTTTTGCTTGCGATGACCATCAAAAAACTCTTTGTACCCTTCTTCACCTTCATCCTCCAAGTCTTGCACATGGCAATCAAAGTAGATGGTCGGTGACAATGGTGCAGGTGTCTTGGCTAGTTGGTGTCGTAAAAAGGTTGATCCAAATAGACGTTCTATTTCACTGGCACTCTTGCACCGCTCATAGTCTTTATATTTAATCAACAGTGATCTTGGGTAATGTGAATAGGCACTATCAGACAATCTGATCAGTTGCACATTAATACAATGTACATTCAACCAAATCAATTTCATTAAATCTTCATCATTTAATATCTTTTTGAATGTAAATGATAATTGTTCCATCCTTTCTTTCTCTCTCTACACAATTAATAAATAAATTGTTAATCAATAAACACACTCAATGTAACACTGTCTACTCTTACTCTTACTTATACACTTTCTAGACCTAATCTATCTATCTAATCTATTCTATATATATACATATAAATACACATGAACACTAGTCATCATAATAGTACATATTACTAAACTAAAAGTAAAATATGGAATGAAAAAAGAAAAGAAAGTTTGGTTTTTAATTTTATTATTATCTTCACCAAGAGTGAGAAAGAGAGATAATACTATTATTAGTAGAATGAATGATCTATACTTTTTTAAAGTATTTAGACATTCATATCTTCGAGATCAATTATTTAAACAGATAAACAAGATTGGAGATGATATTTATTCAATTAGTGTAGAAAAGATTAGATCGCTTAGAGGAAGACACTTGAAATGTAAATCGTTAAAGAGTGTGGTTGCATTCAATTGCTACTGGCTCTTTGAAGAGATGTTTAAAGAGTTTATGGAGCTTAAACTTAAGGGTACGACAGAGATGAAAAGAGACAGTGTATTGGATGGGGTACTCGATAGAGCACTTGCATATCAAAACTACCGTGTTGCCAAACTACTGATCGACTGCAAAGACTATATACGTCCGTTTGCAAGTGACATTGAATCATTGAAACAATGTATTGCATTGTCATGTTGGTATGGTTGGTTAGACGTATACCAATTCCTGACCAAAGAAAGGAGAATGGTGGGACTGGACCAACTGTGTATGGATCATTTGGTACGAAGAAATAATATATCATTTCTATCATTCTATTTGGAGATGAGAAAGGATACACCTCCAAAGATGTATGCTGGTCTATTAGAGAAAGTAGCTCATTCACATACCGACACGGTTCAATTCTTCTTTCAACATCCATCGTACCAATTGGAAATGACCAACAGGATACAAAATGTGTTTGAGGAGGTGTGTCGAGCCGAAACAAGTGACACCAACAACAATAGTACCTATTTAATAGACACACTCAATTATCTTGTCAAACTAGACCGAAATGTAAAGATTACCTTTTTAGCATTCAAAAATGCTTTACTTTCAGGTAATGAACATCTTGTCACCTATGTATTGGACATGTATAAGGTAGAGGATTTGACATCGTCGACTACACCAAATCAATTTGTAAACTTGACAACATGTTATAACAACAATATTGATTTGATGGAGAGAATATTGGATCATCCATTGGTAAAGAGTGACTTTTTATTGAAAATAGCTATCGATAGCAACATGTCATTCGAAACAATTCTATTCCTTATTGGACGATTAAAACCATTTTCGTTCAGCTCTGGTTGTGCCATTGCAGCCATCGAGCAAGGTAACATGCCACTACTATTACTGTTTGACGATATCATTCAAGATATTCTAGGTGACGAACACCTAAGGCAATTGGCTGTCATGGCTGCCATCAAAAGTGAAAATGTACAAGTTGCCGACTTTGTATTTGGTTTGCACGCCAAGATTGTCGATATCTCAGAGATTGATATTAGATTGAACCCATCAGAGGACCGACACAGATCAATCTTTTCAAATATGATAAGTTTGGATATGATAAAGTTATTATATCAATATGGATTTATAGACGGTGAACCTATATTGGAGCAAATACGAGAATATCCTTTATCAGTGACACCTTTCTTTTACCATTGTGATAATATCAACTTTATATTTGACCAAGTTTTAAAAGATGTCACACAACAACAACAACAACAACAACAAGAGTCGTACGTCATCCCACCATTTCAATATAGCTCTGGAAGATGGAGTTCGTTTGATGACAATATGGACACTATCCTTTGTAATTTATATGATAGAAGTTTGTTAACTGTAGAAATATCAAATCTCTGGGAAATCATACAAAAAGGGTACCTTGGAATGATCAAAAGAGTAATCAACACTTTTAATATAGATAAATTAAATCATAATCAAACTTTAATTGGTAAAGTATTATTAAATCAATAATAATAATAATTACAAACTTTATTTTGCTAACCATTCTATTTTTTTTAATATTTATTTAGCAATGAGAAGTGAAAATGATGAATTGGCTGAATATTTATTACCAAAAATGGATTTTACAACATTGGATGCATCAGACATTAAATCAACGTTTGAAATAGCAATGTGGATTGGTAATGGAAGAAAGGTGATTGATTTGGTTACCAAACATCTCCCACCAAAAAAATTAGAAAAAGTTGTCAATCTTTTGTTGGAAGTTTGTTACAAACAAGGAAATATTTCATTATTCAAATTATTAAATAATAATAATAATAATAATAATAATAATAATAATAATAATAATAACCAAAAAGTGGCAAAAAATATATATAGTAGATAGCTATTTAGCCTCAAACGAAAGTACTGTTATTTTACTTTTTAACCATCTAGAAGAATATTTTTTGTTTCTTAATATATTTATATTTATAGGGAGAGAGAGAGGACATACAGTATTGGTCATAATTCATTCCTATAGATATTATTTCTAGTACACCATGTCAACTTTCAATACACCTTCTTCTTCTTCATCATTACCACCAGCACCACTATACGACTCAATTAGAGTCCAAGAATGGACCAACGCAATGGTTGAGACTTGGTTGGAAGATTGTAGAAAATTATTATATTTCCAAAATAGGGTAGTCTTTTGCGATGCCCATATCACAGGAGTGGTCCTTTTACAAAACTTGGCATCGGTAGATGCATTTGATGGCATCTTTATTCCACCAACTCAAGATGTAATAGATGATCCTCACAGATTAGAAAAAAGGGATATGTTCCTTCTATGTCTTTTTCATGACGCCAAAAGAAGACATAGTGCATCCCAATAAATTCTATTTCTTTATTTCTGCGAAAGAATATTCTAATTCTTGAACCTTTTTTTTTTTTTTTTTTTTGTATTATTGCTTTCTGTTTATATATATAAGTATACTTATATATATATAAGTATACTTATATATATATATTTGTATAGTTTATATAAATTATGGTAATAAAAGAGGAGACGGAACCATTTTTTAAAGTATTTAGAATAGTTATACTTAGAAGGATTATATTTGGGTATATAGAATCGATTGGAGGTGATGGTATATATTACAATACAAAGTACATTCAATCATTGGATCTACTTGGTATTACTAGATTTGGAAGTGGTGTTCATCATATCATAAAGAGCAATGTAGAGAGATTACTTGTAGAGTATCCATCGTTTGTAAGAAAGTTTGATATGGAGGATATGATCGATCGGATGGATTACAAGACTGCAATGCTTCTCAATCAGAATGGTTTATTCGATTGTTTGAATCAAGATGATTTGCTGCGTCTGCTTTGGAAGACATGTTCAAGTGGATGGCAGGACATGTTTGAAATGATCTTGGCAAAGAAACCATACAAGAGGGTATTTTGGTCAAAGCAAACAATGTGGTTTAGGATACAAGGTCATATTCGGCTCATTGCCAACAATCATGTGGATTTTCTAAAGTACTATGTGCAAAAGGATATTGATAAATGTTACGGATCGGTTGATATGGAAAGTTTTGTGAATCCTCTTTACATTGCCTCCAAGAAGAATGACCATGTAGAGATGATCAAATATTTGTTGGAGCATCCCGTCTACTCGAGACGACTCTCTTGTCATGTTCAATCCTTGTTTGAACAATCAGCTTTTAATGTTCAACGGTATCTTTTCGAAACTCATCATGCAACCATTACCATTAGAGTGTTGCAAAGGGCGTGTAGCAGTGGTCAAGCCAATCTCATCACCTTTATGTTGGACAATGAGACTATCAGCAGTCAGCAGGCACCAAATTACCGTCCATGTATATCATTGGGATACGGTAAAATCGTTGATAGTATTGACATTTGGAAAAGACTATTGAGTCATCCATTGTCCTATCGTCCCGACCAGTCAATCTTGCAAACTTGTTTGTTGACAGAAAGGAACAAACACCTATCACTTGAAACATTCAAATATCTTTTGGACAAGTTATCATTTCTAGTGGATGAACGGTTTTTGATAGATGCTATCAAACTGCGACCACAGTTGGATTGGATCAAACCTGTGTTTGACAATCTATCAACAACTCCTGGCAAGCTTACAGACCCAACAAATGTTTTACAAGTTTTGATGGAATATGGTAATCTAGAATTATTGAAATACTTTATGTCTACAACAAAGTATGACAATAATATTAATGGTACACTACCACAGGATATTTCACTTTTTTTAAAGTCTATACCTCTTGGTGCACACATACCATTGGATATAATCACATTTATGTTTGAAAGTCAATTATTTGATGATCAACAGGTTCAACCTCACGATAGTACCGAGGGATACCATAATAGTAGATATTATGTAGAATCTGAATGCTATCTTTATGAAAAGGGTGTGTTTCAACATACCCTATATTCACTAGACTGGATTGCCGATCGTGGTCATCTTGGACTTGCCAAGATCATTGTCGAAAGTAAAAAGTGTCGCTTTGGTAGATCGGTCAGTTTACCTGATGCTATGAATTTGGATCCTGGCCACCTCGACACTTTGGAATATCTTTACGAAAAATACCCTTTCTCCTTTAATCATTCAGACATTTCGTATGTATTTGTTGGCAAGTTGATATCACATGGTAAAGATGCATTTCTAGAAAAAATGATCAACTCTGACCAAACATCTCAAGTCGTCAAATTACATCTACTCTGCCAACTAAGAAAACAATCATTAAAATATGGTAATATTGGTGTATTGGATTTTATTAAAAAATTAATCAATCAAAATTTAATTCAAAATTGGAAACTAGAAAAGGAAATTTTAAGATATAATACATATAAAAAAAAATATATAAATAAAAATAGTATCATATTTTGTGGATAAAAAAAATAAATAGAAAAAAAGAACGATATTTATTTATTTATTTATGTATTTTTCCAAAACCTTTCATCGAAGTTTTTGGATTGGGAATTCCAAAATGCCTCTTTTTTTTTTTTTTTTTTTAATTTAGTTTCATTTTCATTGCCTACTCTACTCACTATTCCTACTACTATACACTCTACAAGAGAATGGGAATATGATTGTGATTGGTTTGGTGATGGATCTACTGCTATGGTGTGGGATTGGGTTGGGTATTATTTTTCACCGTTTTTTCTACTCCAACTCGACGAAATCACCACACTGTTTGCTGAACATCACCATCATCAATGATAACAGTAATGTTTAAAAAATAATCAAAAGAGAACCACAGTTTTTAAATCAAAGCAAACAAACACAAACTAGCATTTTGGATTATTAAAGTATGTTCGTTCTATCACACACTTCACCACCTCACTCTACCTACGTCTATGTTTCCTTTTGTTTTTTTAAGGTGATTTATTTTTGGTCTCGCTCGAATCATATCACAAAATAATGCTACTACCTAGTCAATTAAAAAAGGAGGGTTCAATCAAATCAACATGCAATGCATGATGATCACTTTAGTATATGTTTAGTACTAAACAAATAATATTAAAAATATTTATTTATAAATATATAAATAAATAAATAAATAGCCAGAAGAATCATTTAGAGAGAATTAGATAGAAAGATAGAATTAGTATAATCATCATGATTTCGATTAATTAATAAATGAATAAAAATATTTATATAATATAGAAAAGTATATTTGTATGTCCATCACATAATCAATGTTTCCGTACACCCACAACATTTAAATTTTAAATACGAGGAAATGAATAATTAGAATAATAATTAGTTACTAGATTTCACCTAATCAATCAAATCAAATCAAATCAAATACACTCTTAAATAATAATTCATAGATCCATAACCCCTAAAGTCGGATATTTTAAAATCAAACTATCCTTGTTGTTAGATTGTGTTTTATAAATATATATTATCAAGTTTTCACAACCAAATATTTGATTGGTTTTAAATTATACCATGCATACAAGGTATTCAAATATAAACACTGATGATTACATTATTGTATTCTTTTTTGTAAGATGACCATCAACAAACCAACATATAGAGTCACTGTGTTTCAAAAATCATCATCACCATATTTAGGGATGACCAAAAAAATGTTAATGAATGTTACAATTCATTAATTATTATTAAACATAGATCAAACAAATCCTTTTTTAATAATAATAATAATAATAATACTCTATAAAAGATAATTTTAATGTAAGATGAAGAATAATTTAACAGCAACAACAAAGACACAAAAATAATCTATTGTTAGAGTTTAGTAATAATAATAATAACACCAAAAAATACCATTAATACTCTATATTGTTGTGATTGGATGATCGAAAAAAGAAATGGTGTGTTTGCGAAATCGCGTGTGGTGGTTGTTTTGAAAGAGAGGGAGAGAAGAACGAAGCAGAATCACGGGTGCTGTTTTTTCTGTTGTTTTCACCCCCCTCTCCATCCCACCCACACCGATGTCTTCCTATCTTGTACTTCATACTTGTCTCAAACAATAACAATACCAGTAGGAAGTTGGCCAGGGTAAAAAAAATATCTGTAGAGACGAACGAGTAATATTAGTACAACTTGAGAGAGAATCGATTGTCTCTGCACAAAAAGTAGACAGGATAGAGTAGTGGCAACCTGAGACATTGGTGTAAATTTGAAAAAGAACACAATAATATATTCATTCATCATAATAGTAATAGTAATAATATTTGTAAAAATAATTGTAATAATAATAATAGTAGTATTCAATTCTATTCCATTTAATTAATAATATTTATTAATTTATTGATATTATACCTACCGTATTTGTATTTTTACATAGCTTGCCCACCACCCCCAACGACCACATTGTTGTTGTAATTGTATACAATAAAAGTAATATCTACTCTATTCTCCTCTCCTTTCCTTTCCTGTCACACTCTCACTCACTCACACACATCAAATAATTAAATAATTACAAAAAAATACATACTGTTGGACTAGTATAATTATTATTATTCCCAAACACCTCTCCTGCTATAGCAATATTATCATTGTGCAATCATTTTGCTTTTATATATTTCCAACCATTAAATTTGTATTATTATTTAAAAACAATATTATTAGATAAAAAAAAAGATAGATAGACAGAGATAGACAAAGAGAGATAGATAGAAACGATTGATTGTTTAATCTTTATAATTGGAATAACCCGAACACGGAAAATCAAATATCCGTCAACCATTATCATTTGGGCAATAATAATAATATTTGTAGAGACCAATACATTTTTGAATCCAAAAGGTAATCAATCAATTTCCAAATACCCATCCTCTTTCACACCTACCCTACCTACCCTTATTTACAGAGCATTGGGCAATTTTAATAATATTATAATTATTATTCCCATCGCCATTGTGTCATTTTACAAATAGTTATTATCGAGTATAATAGTAGTAGTAGTAGTAGTAGTATTATTATTAGTGATTGTAAATAAGTCTATCGTAGGTCATGTCCAAAAATATTATTATTATTCTATATTATAATATATATTTTTTAATTTGATCCATAGTACATTTTTGTTATTATAATTATTATTGTCATAAAAATCAACCAAATATCCTATAGCTATCTATACATTATCACTATAAAATTTTAATAATTGCTAATGGTCGAGGTAGGAAGGAAGAGTAATAATAATAATAATATTTAAAATAATTAATAATCACCAACAAAAAAAATAATAATAATAATAATAATAATAATAATAATAGTTAAATAGTGTGACATATATCTAGAGATTTAATATTTATATTTATAATTTATAATACCTCATAAAACATTTTTTGACAACCCCCCGTTTGTATTTGTATTTATTTTATCTATTGATAAAATTTAAACGATTAGAATAGATAGATTATTTTATTATATTGGAAATATTATTAAAAAAAATAACCAGTCATATTCATTGTGTGTAATAATTCATAATCAACAAAGAACACTTCCACACTTCCATCCTTCCTTCCACACAAATAAAAACATTAATATTTATATTTTGTTTGCTAATATAATCATCATTTTTTTTTAAAAACAAACATTTAATTTTATATTTTATTATTTAGGTTATAAAACAAAAGAAGAATCAAAGAAGATTAATAGAAGAATCATAAAAATTTAAATTCACATAAATAATAATAATTAGGTATTATTGAAAACAAGTACAAAAAACAAAAAACTAAAAAAATTGGAAATTAATTCGCGAATCAATTCTTTTAAAATCTAAATTAAATAACCTAAAAGAGAAGATATTCTATAAAAGTAAATAATATAAATATATTATCAACAACAACAACAACAACAGAACAACACAACAAGTGAACATCAATTTTTTAATAATAACAACATTTAAATAGTAATACCAAACCCTGATCAAACCAACCAACAAACAAACAAACAAAGAAATAATAATATAATTTAATTTAATTTTTCGAAAAATGGAAACTTTAACAATAGAACCTCAATCAACTGTCATTAAAGACACTACTAATAATAATAATAATACAACTACAGATAGTAATAATAATCAAGATGATCAATTAGACAATAACAATAATGATAGTAGTAGTAGTAGTGCAACTGCATCTTCATCATTTGATGTATTACATATTATATATTCACTTTCCAATTGGTTAAGAGGTATTGAAAACAAGGAGGAATTTGATGAAGAAGAATATAGAGTGAGAGAAAAGGAGTTGTGGAAGGACTGGGAATGGGTTTTATCGACGACCGAAGAGTTTGTACTCAAACAGAATCAGATCGAGAGTGAAAAGGTGTTGGGTGAGATCAACAACCTGAAAAAGACTGCCTCCAATCTAAAGTTGAAACCATTCTTTATCAATCGTGCATCAGAACTACTCAAACGTCAACCACAAGATGATGTTGAAACATTAAAGGCTCCACTCGACTCTTCAAAAAGATCTGCTGTCGTTGCAGCCGTCGTCAACATTATGGAAGAGGAATGGTTAAACTATATAAAGGAAAAGCTATTTAGAGAGGAATTTTTAAACGATAGTATTATAGAGTCTCAAGCTGCTGCATTGGAAGATTCATCATCATCTTCTTCTTCATCATCACAATCATCATTGGACGACCAAACTGAATCAGCTGAAGAAGGTTGGGAAGAAAAACAAATAGAAAAGGAAGATCAACAAGAAGAACAAGAGAAACCATCATTACCATCAATCGAACAACAAACAAATGAAGAAGAAATTAAAGATTTAAAATTAGATAGTACAACCTTTGATATGTTTGTTTTAAACAAAAACATTAACAAAATCACTTGGAATCAATTTATTGATAGTTTTAAAGGTCAAAAATATTCTAAAGGAATTAATGTTAGAATGGTATGTAAAATTTAATAATTATTTAATGAATAATGGTCGTTATTTTGTTTATTAATTTAATTTATTTACTATTTCTATAGAAAGATATTGGGTTTCAAGCATCACATGGATTTGATGGTTCATTAAATTCAAGAGTTTTGGGTGATATAACTTGGTCGATTTGGAATACATTGGCAACTGCATTAAAACAAATTAGAGAATTGACAGTTGAAGAATCCGATGGTTTGGTTGAAATTGTTTGTTCTCTTCAACCAACTCTTTTAAAACTTTGGTTAAATACAAAACTCAATTCAAGAGTTGGTGCCAAAAATGAAGGTCTTGTTGTAGAAAAATGGAAAAATGAAGAAGTTTTAAAAAAGAAAAAGTAATTATAAATACATAGTAGTTGTAGTAGTGAGCGACATATATTTAAAATTAATACTAATACATTTACTTTTTTTCTTTAATTGTTTTAGAATATTAGAGTTAAAGAAATCTGGTAAATTAGATAAATATACTGGAGAAAAGACCAAGATTTTGGCACACGAAAGAAGAGAAATCTCATCGCTTCGATCAACTTTGGAAAAGAAATTAAAATTACGAACCAATTAATTCATAATTATAATTTCCATCACAACCCTCCCTACTTTTTTTTTTTTCCCCATCCTCCGACTCTTTTATTCATATTACTCTTTCTTCTCCTTTTAGGATTTTTTAAAAGAAGAAGAGTATTCTATATTTGCATCGTCAACTATACAACATACATATCACACTATCTATATATTTATTATATAACAATCTGGAATAACCCCTATAATATCAACTAACTAACCCCCCCCCCCCTCCTTCTACCTACCCTTCTATCTATTTATTTATTATCTATTTATTTTAAATATTTGGATTTCCTCTTCCGTTTTCTCCTAAAATTCACTCATTATATATACACACCAATCAAATACATACATAAACCAACAGATCATTTTCCATCAACCATAGAGAAACCAAATCTTTTTAATAAATAAAATATACTCAACATGATGTATTTTTATATTTGTATATAAAACCAAACCAAACCATACAAACAAAAACATTTAAATTAATTTATTTGAAATTTTTATTGAGTGAGTTGAAGTTGTTTCATGGTTGCATCGAAAAGTATACTTTTCAATATATTGTTTCTCAGAGTTTAGATTAGATAGAAGAAGAAGAAATGGATAAATTTAATAGTTTATATCAACAATCTAAAGAAACAGAGTCAACATGGATCAATAGTTTAAAGAGTTTTAATGATATTCATGCTGGTATGTTCAAAGGCATAGTACTATAGAGCAAAAGAACACAAATGTTCTAACCATACACAATTTATAGATGATAGAGCATTCGAAAAGATCTATGGCAATGATAACAAATTTAAATTTGATAGTAATTTATTTGATATACTAAAGAGAGAATTGGATGGTCAAGTACAAATATCAGATAAACCATCATCAGCTGCGATCTATCAAACTCTTGTAGCTCTTAGAATATCTTTACGTGAACAAATTCCTCAAGAAGAATCACTTTTAATTCAAGTAAATATAGATAAGAAATAGAAAGAAGAAGGAGGAGGAATAAGAGTTAGGTTAACTCATTCTATTTCTATTTGTAGAATATAGGAAACTTTTTTAAACTTGGTAATATTGGAGAGAATGAAAAGACAAATATTTATTCAGATGAGATTAGAGAGGAAGCTTTAAAATCTTTACTCAATTGTACAACTAGAAACAAACGACTACAAGCCACCTTTGACACTGAAATGAATGGACCACACCTTTTGACCAAAGAATTGATCAATGGTTTGGATGACAAGGTTGCACTTCCAATCTATAAGATTCTCATTCATCGTTGTACACTACCAGAGACACGTGCAATTGTTTGTCAAGCTGGTATTATGGATCACCTTATCAACCAACTAGAAGTTCGTACCACAGGTGCCAACTTTGACCCATCTACCATTTTGGGTGATTTATTCCGTCTCACCTTTACCGCTACCATGCATCTCGGTCAATTGGACAAGTCTGGTGGCAAAACAACCGATCCCTCTGACAAGGAGATTGAACAATGTCGTAAATTCTTCCCAATCTACAAGCGCATATTTACCTATCATTGTGATCGTGACCATCCAATGTATGCAATTAAAATGGCCGTCATCTCTGCTCTTCTCAATACTCCAAAACAATTATTGGAAGAATTATTAGATGAAGTTGATCTATCTTATTTAGAAGATATATTAAAATCTCAATCTTATTTTGCTGACAAGTAAATTAAAAAACAAAAAAAAGAAAGAAGAAAAAGAATAATGTTTATTAATATCTTTATTTATTATTTAGACCAGAAGGACCAGGAGAATTAATTCCAATTTTAATGTTATTAACAAATATTACACAATATATTAAAGCAACTCGTGATAGATTATTTGTTTATACTTTTCCAGAGGAATTAACAAAGGTCACAGATGAAGCTGTTGGTATTACAATAGAGACACCAAAGGCTGCACTTCAACATGATACAGTTAGTTCAAAATTAATTCCATTAATGACAGCATCGGATATTGGATTAAAACATTTTGTATCTGAATTTTTCTATTATATTTGTGATGAAGATCCAAATGAAATTTGTAGAGTAACTGGTTATGGTAATGCTGCTGGTTTATTAGCAATGAAAGGTTTATTAAGTTTAGGTGGTCAATAAAAATAAATAAATAAATAAATAAATTAGATTCAAATACATATGTTTTCACTTCTTTATTATTTTGATTTATTTATTTTCTTTTATAAGTTTTATCTTTTAATAGAAAATCTTTTAATTGTTGAAGATCAGTTTTCCAAAGTTGATCAGATTCTTGAGATTGAATGAAATTGAATTCTTCGGTACGTTTTGAAAGATTTTGTGTGAGTGTATCAATCTTTTCCTGTGTCATATCGAGGATGGGAAGATTAAATAGGTAGTTGAACATTTCCTCTTGGTTTTGATTGGGTGCCAATTTAAACTTGTTTTTGTGTAGCTCTTCGATGATGAGTTGTTTGGTTTTACCACCAAGTTTGACCTTGCCCGATGCAATGAGACTGATAAATTGAATGGTAACATTAAACTTGTCGATTTGTTTCTTTAGACGATCTTGTAACATCTTTTTTCTGTCTACATAGAGTTTTCTACGGTACTGGAAGAACTCTCCGATAATTTCTTCGGTCGATTCATACTTTTTAATGTTTCCATTGGTATCAAACAACATCAAATTGGAATGAAGTGAAGAGTTGAGTTTGAACTTGTCAATCAATTCATTGTCTGTCATTTCGTCAATCTCTTCCAATTGATCGTTGGTAAAGTGGATGGTAAACGATACACTGTTTTCAGTGTTGCCATCATGATAGCTTTTGATGAAATCCTTTTCAACCAAATCATTCAAAACCACCTTGTAATCGACTGTCCATTTACCAATTGGCAAATCACTAATGACCAATGTACGACCAACGCGAGTAATCACACCAGATGTTTTGAATGATCCATTGACAGCATTACTTCCTCTAACAATGGTACCTGTAAATCCTCGGTACCATGGTACAAGTGCTTTCATTTGCTTTTGATTATTTAATAGATTTAACAAATAATCAATCAAATCAATTGGTGAATAAAGTGGTACACTATTTGACATTCCAACTCCAATACCATCTGACCCATTTACTAATATCATTGGTAATATTGGTACATAATAATTTGGTTGAATCATTTCTCCTTCTTCTTCTAAATATTTTAATAAATCTAAAGATAAACAAAAAATGAAAGAAAATAAAAGTATTAAAATTAATTTTCCATTTTCTATTTCTTTTTTTCTATTTTTTTTTTACCATCATCTAAATCATTAAAAATTAAACGAGTAATTGAATTTAATTTTGTAAATATATAACGAGGTGAAGCGGAATCATCACCACCTTGAAGACGAGTACCAAATTGACCTCCAGAAGTCAATAATGGGATGTTGTTACTACCAACAAAATCTTGAGCCATTTTAACAATGGTAGAAGAAAGAGATTGTTCACCATGATGATAGGCAGTATGTTCAGCAACATAACCAGAGAATTGAGCCACTTTGATTTCACTTGTCAACTTTCTTTTAAAAGCAGCATAAAGAATTTTACGCTGACCAGGTTTCAAACCATCCATGACCGATGGGATACTACGATGATTGGCAGCCCAACTGTAATGAATCAACTCTTTGTTGATAAAATCATCAAAACTTAATTCTTTGATTGAATGGTCTACAGACAATTGAGTAGTGTCACTTGACAATAACCAACGTTGACGTGCTTGTACTGCATCCTTGTTGAAAGCCATGGCAATAGCATTTGAACTTGGCTCACCGCTCCATGTAAACTTGATAATATGTTTTTTTAGATTGGAAAAGTATTCTTTGGCTTCGGCACTTGTATTGGTACCCAGACCCTTGTAATATTTGATTGTCCAACCCTTGGTGACTCCAGATTGTGAATTTTTTACCCAATTGTGATAGTCGTTCATTGTGAAAAATGCCTTCTTTTCCGATCCCTTTGATACCTTTATGATGGGTGTAACAAACTCTTCTACAAAGTCACGTTGTAATAGTTCTGGCCAGAAATAGTGAATAAAATTAATAATGAGACCCTTGATATGTGAACCATCATTATCTTGATCAGTCATAATCATAATCTTTCCATAACGAAGGTCTGCCATTGATTCCTCATCAATATACTTTTTCTTGTGTGACAAGCCAAGAATATTGGTAAGATTATTGATTTCTTCATTGTTTAATAATTGTTTTGGTGTTACATCTCTAACATTTAACAATTTTCCTCTTAATGGAAAGACACCATATTTATCTCTACCAATTACTCCCAACCCCGATACTGCCAATGATTTTGCAGAATCTCCTTCTGTTAAAATTAATGTACATAATTTTGATTTTTGTCCTCCTGCCCAATTTGCATCATCTAAATAAAAAATAAAAGAAAATTAAATGTTAACTATTTTTCTTTTTTTTTTTTTTTTTGATTTCTTTTTGATTTTACCTAATTTATGAATATTTTTTAATAAAGAAGCTTTTGAAGTTCTAGTACTAGAAGAATGAACCAATTCAGCTTGTTGTTTCATTAAAACCCAACCAGCAATTTTTTCAAGGATTTTAGAATTCTTGACAAAGGCGGCGAGGACGGGTTCTGGAATTTCAGGTTGAGAACCAAAGTTTTGATATTTTGTGGTAAGAGTTTCCTTGGTTTGAGAGTCAAAGGAAGGATTATCAATGAGACAATTGACAAAGAGAGCCAAGTGATGTTTGATGTTCATTGGACGAATTTCCAAATCATTGTATTTCTTTTTGAGACGATCTGAAATATAACGAACCACTTGATCGGCAATGAAATTGACGTGGGTGCCACCCTTGAGTGTATTGATACTATTTACAAAACTAACTTGCATAAATTGACCAGTATCACTTGTGGCCAACCCAATCTTCCAACGATCACCAACATTTGCAAACACAAAGTTGTCTGCAGTGTCGGATGGATTCTTTTCTTGATGTTTGGAGAGATGATGTTCGAATAGTGAAACGTAGGATTGGAAATTGTATTGAATGTGCTGACCGTTAAAGTAGACCTTGATATCTGGACAACATGCTGCGATATCATAGACACGACGCTCCATCAATTTGAGTACATCATCGTCACGAAGTGACTCCATATGGAATCGCTTCAAATCTGGACGGAATGTGATTCGAGTAAATTCCTGTTGATTCATTGGATGTACCGATTTGATGATTGGTTCTTCTCTCTTGCCCATATTATCCTTCCAACTTTGTGAATAGAGTAACTTTGACTTTGCATCATACGTCTCTACCTTGAAATCCGATGAAAAGATATTGGTCAACTTTGCACCAAAACCATTACGACCTCCAACCACCTTGAGCTCTGCATCATTGAAATTGGATCCACTCATCAATGAACCCATTACCATCTCGACGACATAGATCTTTTCACCCTTGTGAATAGATACTGGTATACCATGACCATCGTTCATGATTGATATCGATCCCTTGTCGGCATCAATATCAACACGAATGGTCGACATTGCAGGATCTCTTTGTTTATTATCCGCTGCATTGACCAAAATTTCATCAAATATCTTTAATAAACCTGGTATATACTTTGCCTTGATATGATGAATAAATGGTGCTACAGGTGTTGCCGATGACGATGATGATTTCTTTTTCGTCTCTTGATTAAACTCTGAATTTGATAATACCCATTGATCATCTTCTATTCTTTGAATAGTACCAATATAACTATCAGGTCTTAATAATACATGTTCAGTTGGTGTCTTTTTTTGATATATATCTTCGATTGACTTTGATTTTGAAGATCCACCAATAGTTGAAGCTGAATATAATCTCTTGTTGAAATTATTATTATCTTGAATGATTGTTGAAAGTAATCTATTTGATATTGAAAATGTTGTATTACTAGCAGTATTACTGAATGAACTCGTAGTAGAAGTAGTGGTGGTGGTTAAAGAAAGTGGTGGTATGTTGCTGCTGCTGCTGACATTCCTTGGATTTAATAATCTAATTACTAAATCTTTTTTTAATACTCTTGATACCATTATATAAAAAGTATTAAGAGTAATAAATAAGTAATATTAATAATTATAATGATCATTATTTGTCATTACCCTATGATAGGTCGGCTCTTTAAAAAAACAAAAAAACTAATTTAAATTAAATCGATCAAAAGAAGACACGAATAAAATAGTTGTCACCAAAGAAGAAACCCCTTTGTAGGTCCTCTATTTCCTAGAATTTATAATTAATTTATTTGTTGTTCGTCATGATCATTCTATATCTAATACTATAATACTATATTAAATTTCAAAAATTAAAATAAAATAATGAAAAAAAATACTTTTTTCGTTCGTCTTTTTGCTTTCTTTGTTTCATCTCACACTTTGAGTAGTTTTATCAAGACTATTATTCTTCAGAGTAGAGAGAGAGAGAGATACAAAAGAGAGAGAGAGAGAGAGAGATGGGTAGAAGATCATTAAAACCATCATCACAACATTATGGAAGTAATAGCAATACAAGTGGTAGCAGTGGCAGTAGTGGTAAAGGAGGAAAATCAAACGACGAACAAGATAATATGATCATATTACCAAGATGTTGGGATTACTTTATTAGATTCAAAGATCCTTTTATTATGCCATTTCAATCATATACTATAGAGATTAAACAAAGTTCAAAAGGTAAATGAAATTAAATGAAATGAGATTGACTTTGTGAAACTAGATCTGACACTATTCTATTCTATTCAATTCTTTTCAGGACCACGTGTAGGATCGACTGTTTGGGATGCATCAATTGTAATGTCAAAGTATTTTGACAGTGAAATTGGATCAAAAGCATTACAAGGAAAGAGAGTCATTGAACTTGGAGCTGGTGTAGGTCTATTGGGTATTAGTTTATCTTTGATGGGTGCTGACATTACTCTTACCGATCAACAATCAATGCATGAAATATTAAATCTAAATGTTAGAACTAATTGTCTATTGACTAAAACTAAAGTTGCCGAGTTGTGGTGGTATGTTAAAAACATATAAATACTTTAGGAATCATTTGATCAATTATTAATATTATTTTTTAAACTAGGGGAAATGATGTAACTGATTTCCATCCACCATTTGATATGATTGTTGGATCAGATTTAATGTATGAAGATGATTGTGTAGATTTATTATTGGCAAGTTTATTGGATCTCAGTTCATTCCATCCTAAAAAGGTGGCAACTGAAGAAGAGGAAGGTTATGGATTCCATACCAATATTCATAAAAAGAAACAACCAGATTCTAAAATACAAGAAGAAGAACAAAATGATTCATCATCACCCTCTACAACATCAACAACAACTAATAATAATAATAATAATAATAATAATGATATAAACTCAATAACTGAATCCATTTCAAATGTAACAATTCAAGAACAAAAAGAAGAAGAACAAAAAGAAGAAGAGAATGATAAACCAAAAGAAAAAGAAGAAGAAGCAGTAGCTGAAGAACCATTATATATGAAATCATCAAGATTACAAGCAGCAGATACAGTCATTTACCTTGGATATGAAAACCGTAGTATGAGTGCAGAATCTTTATTTATGAGTAAAGTTACTCAATTTTTTAATGTTGAAATGGTAAGAATAATGATTGATTATTAATAGCAATGAAAAACAAGTCAACTAAAAATAATTCAATTTTAAATAATTTATTTAGATTACAACAAGTCATCTTAGTCCAGGATTTAAAAACATTGATGTTAGAATATTAAAAATGACAAGAAAGGACTATAATCCCGTTGGTCATAGAGAAAAAAGGAAGCAAAAAATGCATTCGAAACAATTCTTTAATGGTTCAAACCAACCCGAATAAATAATAATTATGTATTCATTTGAGATAATCAAAGCATTCAATCGATAGCATTTGCATGTTGGGGAAATTTAATTTAATTTTTTATTTTATTTTTGGAATTGTGGACCTCATCAAAAGAATGGAATGACAAAGAAAGTTTTTTCACTTTTATTCTGCAACCATCGCCCAAAAGTATGTAAAAGATTATACTAACAAAAGATATAGTCTCTACTCTTCAATCATTGCGCAATAAGTATTCCACTTGCTCTTTTAGTGTTGCAAGAATGTTGAAATCCTTCGGAGTAGGTGTGTACATTTATCTGTTTTGTCCAAATGGTTGGATTGTTCCTAGAAGCATTGTCTACATTTTTCTCCACATGTTGTGTGTTATCATGTACTGGAATTGACTTTTGAATGAAGAAATACTGTACAATTGGAATAGCTGTCCCTTTTCGAGAGTCGACACTGGTGCATCCCAATCAAAGATCAACCAATCAAGATTCCCTCAATGTTCTGCCACCATTCTAGATTACAATCCTGTAAAGTGAGTTATCCAGGATTGTAATCTAGAATGGTAGTAGAACAGATGAGAGGAAACAAAACACCCCTGTAACTCTGGACATCTAAGAAGAAGAAGAAGAACAACCACCAAACAAAACAATAATTTATATATATAAATAAATATTACCACACACATAATTAATTAATTCTAAAAAGTATTCTTTTCTTTTCTTTACTTTACTTTTTAAACATCTTTTTTAAAAAAGAGTAATAGTATGATTTAATTTTATGAAATGGCTTTTATTTTTGAAACATGTTGTTATATTGATAAGTCTATTCTTTCTTGTTTCGCTGTTAACTGATGATAATGGTGAAATGACAAAAAAATATAACGACGCAACTAAACAGATCGAATAATTGTTTACTTCTTCTTTCCAAAAGTACGGGCACGTTCGAACTTGTTGCCCTTTTGGAGGGTTCTGGTACGGGTGTGACTGCCTGGGAGACCAGCAGCACGACCAAAGTATTTGTAGGCAGTTCTGCCCTTGACGGCACCCTTGATGAGGAAAGTGTTGTTTCCACGTGGTCTGAGGAGGGCCAATTGGTCAAAAGTGAGGCACTTACCACCGGCCTTGACAATACGGGCACGGACGGCTTCGGAGAACTTGAGGGCACAGATGGTGAGCTTTGGAGTCTCGATCAATCTTTCGTCGTCGACGACTGGACCAACGATGACGGCGATCTTACCGGCCTTTCTGTCCTTCATGAGGTTAGCAACACGTGACAAAGAGACAGCCATCTTGTTGACACGGGTGGTTATGAGTCTCTTCAAAACGATACGGTTGAACTTTGAACCGGTTCTACGTGAGAGGAAACGGTACAACTAAAAAGTATAGTTAATTTTAAGTAATATTGTGGATGATGTTAGTAACCTAAACTATAGTTCTTTCTTTTCTATTCTATCTATCCTACCTTGACCAAGAGGGCCATGTATGGGTTCTTGCTGACAAGGAACTTTCTGCCAGACTTTCTTTCGAATCTGTGTGATCTATCAATAGCCTATATTGTGTAATGAGTAGTGTGTATGGGGGTAAAGACATTGTTAACATTCTCTATTCTCTTTGTCTCTTTTCTTATCTATATGGTGTAACGTCATACCATTTCTGTGTGAGAGTCAAACTAAGCCTGCTTGATGCATAGAAACACTTGTGTATCAGGTCGAGACAGCCATCGTTGGCGGCTTCCTCGCATTGTTCGTCCAAAATCATTTTTTTCATTTTTTTTTCATTTTATTTGGCGAAAATTTTGCCCGATCCACACAAAGAACCCTAAACAAAAAAAACCGACTCTACATCTCTCTCTTTTACAAAAGAAACTTTAAAGTAGGAGAGAGCTAGCTAGTCAAGAGTATGATGATAGAAGTGATGATGAGTATAAGGTAATATGATTTATATTTATTTTGAGAGATAAATAAATTATTCGGTTGGGTTTTGGTTTAACTTAATAATTTTTGACGTTCTTGGTTATGATGGTGATGATCGATCATTATATTAGTGTCGGTAGAGTTGCCGACATTGATTGTTGTTGTATCTATTATATTATTACTATGACGATGATGATGATGATGATGATGATTATGATGACGTTCTGATTTATATTTACTATGAAAATATAGAAAAGTAAAAAGGATGGCAAATCCAAGTGATAGAACAAATAGACAACTACCAAAATAGAAAAATTGACTTTTAATATCCAAATTTAACATTCTTTCGCCAACTGATAATTGAATAATCACTTGAATTGCCAATGCAATCATAATATTAAAAGAAAATAATATTCCAATTCTTGTATTTAATCTAAATAAAAAAAAGAAAAGAAGATAATTAAATAAATAAAAGGTTTTCTTCTTCTTCTTCTTTTTCTTATTCTTTCATACCTTTTAGCAATTTGAACATTTACAATTGGAGACATAAATTCAAAACAACAATTATAAACTACAAAACTAATTGCACTAATAATTATACTTTCACCAATTCCCATTAAAATTAAAAATAATCCTCCAATCAATCCAAATCCAATTAATATTACATTTTTAATATTATTCTAAAGTAAAGAACATAATGACAGATATTAATATATATAGAGTATAGATAGTTATCTTTTGTTGTATTGTTGTTACTTACAATATTATTATTTCCAAGTCTAGCAGGAATAATGGCAACAAATGAAGCAAAGAAATAGGCACTTGATGATATATAACCATTCCATTTTTCTTCATTATTTGTTTGTAAAAATAAACTTTGCCAATCTAATAAAAAAAGAATAAGTAAGTAACTTGCTTGATGCTGATTTGATTGTGTTTCTATTTTCCATTTTCTATTTTCTATAATCTTACAAGTTAAGACAATTTGATGAATTGAAATAGCAACACCACTCCAAATATACCATCTAATGATATCAGTTTGTTTATAGGCAGATAATACTTGACCACAAAGTTCCCGGAATGAGAATAATTGTTCGGATCGATGATTGGTAAAACAGATGGCAACGATCAATGCAATGACATTGGTGATGGATCCAACGGTGACCAGAGCAATCAATGGAACATATTCAACTAAAAACTGTCCAATCAATCCACTAAGTACCACTCCAACCAAATAGCCAACATTGACTCGACATGCCATCGTCTGGTAGTCCTTTGGATCCAAACTATAATAAATATACGCCAAAAATACAATATAGGCTGCAAATGCCATTCCATCTGCCACTTGATCTACTATTAATAATCCAATACTCTGTGTACCAATTAAAAGTATTGTAGATGCTATCACCTTTCCTATCATTCCTATTATTATAATTGACTAAAAAGAATGAATAAAAATGTTGTGTTTGGCAAGAAGAGATTAATAGTACATACCTTGTAACCAATCATTTCACCAAGAAAACCAAATACCAATAGGAATATGAAATAAGAGTATGTCCAATAGGGATAAATGGTTTCATAGACGACAGTACTATTGACATGAAGTACATTTGTGAGGTACTCGACAATATACGGTTCTGAAGGGTCAAATGAAAATAGAAATGAAAAGCTACAATACAATATAAATGATTTAAATGATAACAATGTATCTTTAACTATTGAATTGGTTTCTTCTTCTTCTTGTCGTTCTTTTAATAAATTTATCCTTTCTCCCTTTTCTTGTTCTTCTTCTTCTTCTTCTTCTTCTTCTTCTTTTTCTTGTTGTTGATGTTCTATTGAATATACAACAACTATATCATCATCATCATCATTGTGATGATGATTTATATTATTATTGTTGCTGTTGTTCATTTTTATATGTTTTGTTTTATATGTGTTTAACTTATTACTATGATTACTATACTCTATACTCTATACTACTTGTTGTTGTTGTTGTATGTTGATACTATTCCTGCTATCAAATCTATATATCTATCTACATATAAATCATTCTGTAATTCTATCTTTTTCTTTTCAACAAAAGGTAATAATAATTAATGAGTGAGGTTGGGATTTATTTAAAAAAATCAAAATATAAATATAGGAGGGGGGAGATAAAGGGGGGGTTTAGATGAAAAGGAAACAACTTGCGGTACAACATCAGTTGTTCAAATTCCCGATGGAATAAGAGGTACCTCTTCAAAAAAAATCATAAAAAAAAATCAATTAATTGTTCATTTCAGCATACACAACCTTTTAGTTTTATATTAATCTCTCTGTCTGATGTCTGTCTCAATGAGTCATCAACACTTGTGAATTAAACGAACGAGTGATGTGATGTTCACACTGACCAATCAATCAATCAACCAGTTCCAGCTGTTGTTTGGGTGGGTTTCAAACCAAGATATTATAACCAAACCAAACCAAACCTAATCACCACATCATATGATGGTGGTATTCAACTACAACTATGATGATTGTCGAGCTCTTTTTGTTTCTATTTACAGTTTTACTTTACTTTGTATAAAGTTTTTTATTTTGAGCATCTCTAAACTTTCTTTCTTTAAACTTCTTTTTAACTACTTGTTCATTGATTTTCTTTGTCTCTTTGATGACTCGTTTATCCTTGTTCAAATGATTCTTGACCAATTGTATTTTCTTTTGATGTACGTTTGATTTTTCGTGAAATGCCAATGTCTCTCTATAATGCTTTAAATTTTGTTCTAATATATCTTCTGGTGTCTCTGTTTTCTTCTCTATTCTCTCTGAAAGTATATGTAAAAGATAGATAGATAGATAGATGTTGTAATGTTAAATGTCCATTCAGGGGTCACATATGGTAGACGATCTTACGTAGCGGTGAGATATGTGATTTAGGTACCCATTTTTTTGATGCTTTCTGTTCACCACTTAACAAGTTTAATTGTTGTTTTATAATCTTATTTGACATCTTTAGTAAGTATATATATATCTATATATTTATAACTACTCTTACTTTAATTACAAAAAACGAAAGAGACGAAAACTTGTTGGGTTTCTTTTTTTTTTTTTTTTTTTGTTTTATTAAATATTTTAAGTCGGATGAAAAGGGGAGGGTGTTCTTTCATTTCCTGTTCCCAGAACCATCCTGAAATGAACAAAGAAATATTAAAACAATTCCCCTAGAATATGGATATGCCTGGGGTTGTCCTTAATATTTATATATTTTTATTTTGTTCTATTTGTTTCAACCAATCCTCTTGGGGGATGGGTATTCTTCCATCAATTTAAATTCAAATTTGACTATTAAGCTTTTCATTCTATCTCTTTGATCGTCGTTGTTTTTTGTTAATTACTATATACTTTATTCAATTAAATTCAGATAATTTTATCTATCTATCTATTTGTTATTAAAGGTTTATTATTTGAAACATGGGTCAAAAAGAAAGTAAAACAAAAACTGCCAAACTCATTATCTATATTCATTAATATTTATAAATATTAAATCAATATTTATTTTCAATATAATAATTTTTCCCTCTATCTTTGTTTTCTTTTTGTAAATATGAATTCAGATGATGAATTGGAAGAGGACTTCCCATTAATCATACGATTTCCTGAGGTATCCCTTACCTTTTAGTAAACGTATTCTATTCTTGGTCAAATTTGATTTCTGTCCCAAATGTTTTGAACCTTCACGTTGCCAGATATTTCAACACAGTTGATAATCAATGGAATGATGACACCACGATGAATTTCAAGAACATTCCTGTATTCTTTGCACTGATGTCTGTCATCCAAAAACTCCATGGTAAGCCTATCACATTAATTGATTATCGTGTAGTAGAAGAGTTTTTATTAATATCAACTCCATCACCTAGGTTATTCAATCATCTACCATCCTATAACAATTATGCTACTTCAATGCACCAGGTCCAGCTGCAGCTCCCACTCCAGATCCTGTGAATCAACCAAACCTTCCAATCAATTACAACTAGTAGCTATTCGTTTGTCAAACGGTATCAATAAATCAAATGTTTATATTAATCATCACTTTCTTCCCTCCATTATAATTCCACTCAGTACTAAAAACAAAAGAGAGATGACAACTTGTTGAGTTTATTTTTTTTTTTTTTATTCAATATTTTAATCGGATCCTAGGGTGTTCTTTCATTTCTGAGTAGAGATCAATAGGTCTATCTATTCAATACAGATAGAGAGAGAGAGAGAGATGAAAAAGAAAGGAGAGAAGGAGAAAAAGAAGAAAGAAGCAAATAAACTAAAAAAGGAAGAGAAATTAAAAAAACAAAGAGAAATAGATGATAGTCAAGATTGGAGGACAAGGAATGTTCAACTAGAGAAAAGTGATGAAATAAAAGAAGAAGAGCAGGATATAGATAATAATAAAGGAAATAGAGGAAATGGAAGAGGAAAGAAAGGTGACAAATCAAAGAGAAAAGGAAGTTATACAGTTCCAATGAGTCGTCAAACAATAGATAGTATATACAATGTAATAGAAGGATCATTATTGGATTTTGGAACAAGTGATTACTTTGCAATTGATGGAGATTCACTTTTAATCTATTTGTACAGTGTTTTGATCAATAGTAGTGACTCCTCAGAAGACTCATCCTCCTCTGATCAAAACATTACACCACCAAGAATATTTGAAAATAGATTATTGGATCTCGAAAGATGTCAATCATTGGTACTTTTCCATTACTTTGAATGGTTTTTAGATCATCTACTTCATAGAGGTGTACGATTTAGAGTATTTTTTATACTCAAATTGGATGGATTCTATCTAGACCAAACATTATTATACATTCGTAATCTATGTATTGAATACTATTCAAAACATTTTAAGCAATATCAAACTGATGATGAACACTTGAAATCACAATTTCCAAATAGAGGAACTATAGATTTTGATTTTATTCCAACTATAAGACAAAAACATCTTGAACCTTATTTTAATCTTTATAATGTAAGTAATTGTAAAAATAATAATTAAAAAATATATATATATTTATTAATGTATTTAAAACTATATAGTTTTCATGTTGTATGATTTATTATCCAAATAATAAAATGGAAATAGGATTTATTGAAACATTGGTTGATTTTGGTATTTTGGCTGTATGTAAACAAACAAAAATATTAATAATAATCATTGAATCTATAATATATATATTTATATTAACAATTCTTTTTTTCCAAAGGGATTAAGATTAAATTATGGACTATTTTTTGGACAATTTTTAAATTTAAATCAATTAACATTTAAAGGAAATAATGTTGTTGGAAATATCTTGACACCAAGATTTGCAAGAACTACAGCACTTGATATAAAGAAATTTAAACCATTTAAACAAGTTAGACAACAAATTCAAGATTTATTACAATTAAATCATCCATTTTTAAAATCACCAAGATCGATTTTATCAATATTGGCATTCAAGAATCATTTGGCAGATATTAGTCTTGACGCCAATGTAATTAAATATTATTGTATTTATCTTGGATGTATGGATATTTTACCAATTGAATTACGTAAATCCTATTTCCCACCATTAGATTATTTCAACCAAACAACAACAACAACAACAACAACAACAACAACAACAACAACAACAACAACAATGGATGAAAATGTTTTGAATGAAACAGTATCAGATGAAAATGTATTGAACGAAAAAGTATTGGATGATCAAGAAGAATCTTCTCAATCTCCTTCCCAATCTTCTCAATCTCCTTCTCAACCACCTCATCCACAACCTCCTCTAACATTTAATTATTTAAAGAATATTTTACCATTTTTACAAGAGATTGGTAGATTTGGACATTTATATTTGGATCAATTTAAAACTATTGAATTGGATTTGATAGATTATAAATTATTTTTCCAAACTATAATGATGATTGGTCATTACTTTTCACTAAACCAACAAGAATTGATGGTTGATCCAAGATTATTATTTGGTAAAGAAATTGTATCAAGAGCAACCACTTTTTATCAATTAATTCATGGTGAAGAATTTATTATCAATGATCAAGAAGAAGACTCAAATATCGATGTATTGATAATTGAAAGATTATCATTACCATTATCATTTATAGATCGTTGTGAATTGGCAATGAAAGAGATTAAAAAGTTGACAATTGAAAATGATAATAGTCATATTGAAATGTACAAGATTAATAGTGATTTTATTAATCAATTAATACCAGATTTATTAAATGATCACATTCAAAGTGATTTGGTATCAAAAGATAATAATAATAAGGAAATGGCAGTTAAAACATTTTATGATAATTATCATTGGCATAATGGTAAATCAATTGACCCAATGGATTTTATCATTGTCAATCGTAACAATAGTTATGATAAATGGATCACCCAAAGTAAATTTAAATCTTTTACAAATTCTTTAATCGTAGATCGAGTAGAGGAAAAAATGGTAACTGGTGGACAAGGTGAATATTTAATTTGGCAATTGGAAAATTTAATCTTTATCATGAAACCAAAAGAGGATTATAAAAAAGATCTAAATCAATTTAGAAATATTTTGGAATCTTATCAACAAGAAAGAGTTAATCCTCTACCAAAAGAATCACCAGAATATCAAGTATTATTTAAAATGATTCAAAGTTTTTTTAGATTTTTAAATCATAAATATGGTAATAATAGTGGTAATGTCGCATGTTTACCATTACCAATTAGTGAAGATTATATGGAAATTGGAGGATTATTATATTTTCTTTCAAATAGAGTATTAAATTGTTGGAAATGGGCAAATTTAATTAGAATCATTTTTAATCAACCATCAACGTCGAGTCGTGATCAAATAGAACCAACCAATTCTATATGTCCAATAGAATATCAAATGAAATATCTTGATGATAGAATCATTAGAAATACAAATTCAAAACAAGATCCTCGTATTAAAGATTTTAAACCAGATGATTGGCAAATTCAATTATTAGATATAGTTGATAAAAAACAATCTGCTTTAATTTCAGCTCCTACTAGTTCAGGTAGGTAAAAGAATAGAATATATATTTAACTTTTTACTTATTTATTTTAATTTATTTAGGAAAAACATTTATATCATATTATATAATTGAAAAAAATTTAAAAGAATCTGATAATGGAATTGTAGTTTATGTTTCACCGACTAAAGCATTGGTAAATCAAACCTATGCAATGATTGAGGGAAAATATAAAAAACAATATCCAAGCGGTTCCTCTAAAAAGACTGTTGGTATATTTACAAGAGATTGGAGATTAAATGTACACAATTGTCAAATTCTCATTACAGTTCCTCAATGTTTGGAGATTTTATTATTATCTATACAAAATATGGCATTTATACATAATATTCGTTATGTTATATTGGATGAAGTTCATTTAATTGGATCCAGTGGTGGTTATACATGGGAAAGATGTCTCATTATGAACCCAGCTCCATTTTTGGCACTATCAGCTACCATTTCAAATTTACAACCATTTTATCAATGGACTCAACAATTGGAACCAACCAAAAGAGTAGTTCATTTAATTCATCAACATCTTCGATACAATGAATTAAAATCTTTTATCTATCATCAAGATCAAATTCAACCAATTCATCCTGTTGGTGCTGTGATTCAAGTTTTTAAACAATCAAAAAAAACATTGACCTATTCAATCTCTGAAATTTCAAAAGATTTACAATTAATTGGTCAAGAATCTGTTGACCTATTTTATCAATTGGGAAACAACAAGGTAGAATCACCATATATATTTTTATCAAAATTACAACCAGAAGCCTCTAGAAATCAATTATTATTCAATTTAAATAATCAAAATATTTTTGATTATCAAAAATATTTATTATCAATTTTACCAACATTACAACCTCTTCAATTAAAAGGATTAAATGATCAATATTCAATACCAACAACAATTAAAAATCCTTCAAGAAAAGATTTATTTCAAAATGTTGGAAAAGTCCTATTAGAATTTAAAAAACAAAATCAATTACCAATTATTATATTTTTATTTGATAGAAATGGTAAAAAAACAAATAGAAATAGAAAAATCAAAAAAGAAAATTATTTATTTATTTATTTAATTTATTTTAGGATGTGAACAATTAGCAAAAGTAGCAATCGAACAATTAAAAAAAGAAATTCAAGAAAGATATAAATTAATTTCTAAACAATTGGAAAATGAAACATTAAATCAAATTGATAGATATTATTTAGAAATTGAATTACAAGAGATAATAGAAATGATGTATCAATCAACAACCAATTTTAGAGGACAAGAAAATATTAAAGGAATGTTTAGTGATTTTAACAAAAAGGATATTTATCCAAATGTTGAAAATAATTTAATGTCTAGTGGTTTGATGGAACCACTTTATCAAGGTATTGGTGTTCATCATTCTGGCTGTAACAAAAATTATCTTAGAATGGTTGAAGAAATGTTTAGATTGAAAAAGATTCAAATTGTCATTGCTACTGGATCGTTGGCATTGGGAATTAATATGCCATGTAAAAGTATATGTTTTTATCAAGATTCACCTTATTTGAATCAAATGACCTATAGACAATGTGCAGGTAGAGCTGGTCGACGTGGAATGGAATCAAGAGGAAATGTAATCTTTTTACATGTTGCAACGGAAAAGATTAAAAGACTATTGAATGGAAAATTACCAGACCTTTTGGGTAATACAGTCATTACACCAAGTCTTACACTTGGTCTATTGGCTCGTTACAATTTTTCAAAACACATTTCCAATCAACCAACCAAACAAACAGAAATTGATATGATTTCAACCATGGCTAGGAAATTGGTTCAACTTCCACTCTCCTTGTCACTGAGACAATCGGTTGAAACTCAATTTCAAATTCAATTTTCAGTTGATTATCTTTATCGTGAAGGTTTTATTGATGGTCTTGGTAATGCTCTCAATTTATCTGGTATTATAACTCATCTTTCTTATTTGGAACCAGCCAATTTTCTTATTGCCACCCTTATCAAAGATGGTGTATTTAATGATTTATCAATGGTAGATGAAGGTACTGTCATTATTAATACATTGGCTCGTGTATTTTGTGTTGAAACACCAAAAGGTACAACTTCTCCAAAATTCAGCTCTCTTTATTTCAAATCTATTCCAGATTCTGTTATAAAATCAATTCAAGATCATAATCAAAGGGCTATTCCTGCTTTTTTGGCTTATATTAAATTTTTTAGAGAAAAACATCAATCTAAAAAATATCAATATTTATCAGATTTTGAAACCATCCTAGTAGAGGAGGAAAAGGAGGAAAAGGAAAATTTAGATTCTATAAAATGTTGGAAAAATCAAACCGATGGATTATTATCAAAAAATAATAGTGTTAGATATGGATTATCAAGTTTAAAAGGTTTAAATAATGATTGTCATTCGATCCAAGATATTAGTTTTCATATACCATCGAAAACACTTTTCGATTTATCAACCATTCCCATTACAACTCGTATCAACAAGAAAATCAATACCTATATTATGGATTTCTATCAAAATGGTGATTTTAATAGTTTACTAGCAAATAGTGGTATCATTGCAAGTGATTTGATTTCCAAATTAAAGGATTTCTCTCTTGTACTTCGTACCATTGCCATTGCTCTTGACCAAATGGATCCCAATCATTCTTGTTCACAATCTTTTATGCGTGTATCTCAAAGATTTTTGGATCGTTACACCTATTGCTTTCCAAATGATTTTGATACTAGTAAAATAGAATTAAAAATTAAAGAAAGAAAAGAAAAAAGACAATTAAAAGTAAAAGAAAAAGAAAATGAAAAAGAAAAAGGAAAAGGAAAAGGAAAAGAAAGACAGTTTGGGAAAAAGGAGGTTCAAAAGGAATTTAAAAAATTGGATCTAAATCCTACCAATTTTAATTATTCAGATGAAATCATTTTATTTAATGGTAATGATAACATTGATAATGATAAAAAACCAATTAATAATAATAATAATAATATATCAACAACAACAACAATGACAACTACTACTATAAATACTGGTAAATCAAGATTATATTGGCCTTGTTTTTCTATTGAAGATAATTAATAAATTAATAAATTATGGATTTCTATTTTAATTTTATTTTATGATTAATGTTTACTGGAGGATCAATAAAACCATTATATTTAATTAAATAATCAATGATTGGTTGATGTTGAAATGTTTTGGCCCATTTCATGGCTCTTTGTGTGCAAGTTGGGTCTTGAAGGTTTTTATGAATATATTCGAGGACAGATAGATGACCATTCCTACAACTATTATCTATAGCATCAACAGAACATCCCTCTGTTCTATTAAAATGTAGAAATTCTATACAAGATAGATTACCATTAAATGCTGCTTGATCAATTGCCATCTTTGAACATCCTTCTGTTCTATTGTAATGTAAATATTTTAAAATGTGAAGCATCCCACTTTCTGCAGCATAATCCATAGCTAATTTTGTACTACCTTCTGTACGATGATCGGTTAGAAATGATACAATTGACACGTATCCACTACGACTACTCCAATCAATTGCCATCTTTGAACATCCTTCTGATCGATTGTAATGTAAAAAGCGTACAATAAAATAATGACCATTTTTAGATGCACAGTCCATTGCATCATATGTTACACCTTTTATGTTTGGGTATCGATAATGTAAATACTTTGCAATATTTATATGTCCACTTTCTGATGCTTGATTGAATATTGATCCATTTGGTTGATAGTCGAATGGATAAATGTAAAGTAGTATATTGATCAATGTTGAAAGATTTGCTTGTGGATGTGAACAATAATAGATCAATAATTGATCTAATAATAATATATGTTTGTTTATAATATCCAATTTAAATTGATGTTTATGATGTTTAATAAAACTCCAATCTACTCCACACTTTAACATTTGTTTTGTATTGTTTCTTATCAATCTACCTTTGACCCAGGAGAGACTTGTAGTTGTAACGTCTATCGATTCGATTGCATTAAATATCGATTTTCTAATAAACCAATTTCTAAATATATCTATAAATGTAATAGTCGTTGTAGTAATAGTAGTACCACTCATATTAATACAATTTAAATTTGAAAATAGATACAGTTAAGAGAGAGATCAAAAAAAAAAAAAAAAAGATAGCATCTATTTTTTTAAAAATTAATATAAATATTTTAAAAAGTTGACAATTGGCAACTATCAGTTTGAAGTTGTAGTTGTTCTTTTCTTGGTCAGAAAGAAGTATCATGGCAATTGACATATTTTATGACCGTTAAAAAATAATCTTATCTTGTTCCACCCACTTTTTTACAAGTACTCGTATTAAATAGTGTTTGGGTTAAGGATCTGTATCTTTTTAAACAATATTTTTAAATTCAATTGTGCGTGTGTGTTTGTAGGTAATAAATTAAATTAAATTAAATGGTGTTTTTGTTATTTAACATTGATTCCAGTAATTTTAAACTTTGAACTATGGGTTTTAACAGATAGTTAGAGATTAACTACTTTTACTTTTTGCTGTGAATATTAATAAAGAGATGGTAACGTAAATATTTCTCGAACCATGTTTCGGTTGGTCCGACCGGGAAGCTAGCTATCCTTTGCTAATGGATCCATTGCATAACCTATAAATAGACATCTCTTTTCCTTTATTAAAACCATTCAAAAATAATTAAATATAAATATTTTAAATTCTCAATTTATCAACCATACTACAACTTTTATAAAATGATTTCAACTAAATTTACACAATCAATGATCATTGTCATTATCTTTGGAATGTTATTCATTTCAACTGCTTTTGCTGGTGATTCTATCAATGAACAATGTTTGGGTTGTCTGGAAATAGCCTATTCAAGTCAGACTGCTTGTATCAACAATGGAATTGCTTCTAAAATTGTTAGTAATCAGAGAGTCTATCAATACCCATTTTGATATTAATTAAATTTCTTTTTCTTTTTAAAAAAAGTGTGATGAATTTTTGGATGATGCCCTTGCTCGTTGCTCTGAGGGTATTTGCTTGAACCAATTCTAGTTTTAAATTGTTGAATGACCATCACCCCACCCTATTCATTTTGTTTTTGATCATTTGATTGAAACTTTAAATAAATCTTTTTTCATTCATATGTGGTATCAAAAGCCTCTTGGTCAACATCACATTGTTATGTTAACATTATCTCAAAATGAATAGAAATTTATTCATTAGTTAATTATTTTATCAACAAGTGTTTATTGTAAATTCGTGGTTATAGTTGTTATTTGAATGATGACTCCATACTATAAATTGTAAAAAAATCATAATAAATAACTTTGTACAATGTCATGATTTGTTATATATATTTTGATTTTACTTACTATTTCTAGAGTTAGTATTTGATCTTGCTAATATTGCATAAAGAAACAGAGATCGAGTTATTCTCAACAGGGCCGAGTCGTTATGACAAGACGATTTTGAAATAAAAAAAACTCTGTGTTTTGGAAAAAACTGAGTAAAGTGGTTACAGGTCCATTCACAATTGACTTGTTCAGTGCCAAAACAAAAGTGCATCGATGTAGGACAGAGTTGGTACGTCGTTTTGGAATACAGAATTCCTTTGATCATCCCAATATCCTCCTTTTGTAATTCAAATAGTATCTGTTAAGCACCTAATTCATCTGGGTAAGTTTTAAAGAACAAAATCATAGAGCATCTCGTTTTAATATTTTGAAAACCTTTCAGTGGATCATGTAATGGGACGAATGAATGTCAAGGTTGGCTTGAATGTATAGGAGGAATATGTGTTGAAGCAAATTTGTAAATCATACTTGAATGAATGACTAAATAAAATGATTAAAATCAATTTCCATTCAATTGAATGTATGTTGGTCAAGCTGGCACTGGGTGTGGAGGAAACATTGCTTTTGATAGGTCCCAACAAACTTGTAAACATTTAGGCTATTCGGTCATTTCACCAACAAATCGTGACACTTCTGACTCTGGCTCTGACTCTACCCCTTCTGTTGCAACATCAACCATCTTACATTCAATTGAATGGAAATTGATTTTAATCATTTTATTATCATACATCTATTTTATTATTATTTGTAAAAAAAGACACATCTTGAAAATCATTCTATTTAATATATATTAAAATGGCTTCAATCTTTAATCGACTAATTTAAAATTAATTAATTCATCAGAATTTGTAATAATTATTTGTAACAAATATTTGTGACACTACAACTGTAGCAATATGTGTCTTTATAAAGGGGTTCATCCAAAGATGGTTTATGGGTTTGTAACTTTAATTTAATTTGTTTCAATTATTTTACAAAAAAATAGTGTAGTTATAATAATAATACAAGTACTGATAAATTTATTGATTTAAAAGATATAATCTAAAAGATAGTTATAATCTTGATCTTTTGGTAACAATTTGATAAATTTGACCATTTCAATACCTTGATTCAAGTCGACAAGGTTGGCCTTCATCTTTTCCAAGAGGATTCTGGCAAACTCGACAAATATGATACGACGACTCTCTTCTTGCTCGACCATCTTTTGAATTTCGGGGTTGGCCAAGAGCCAATCTTCGTAGTACTCTGGAACAATACGAGGATTCGAGTTGTAACATTCTTGACAATGCATCACATAGTGGAACTTCAACTTATTCCAGTTGGCATCTCCATACTCTTCCGAGTTTGGGTCATCATAGTTTGCTCTTTGATTGGCAGATTGGCAACGACGTTCAATTAGGACAGTGTTGGCGAGCGTATAGTTTTGGAGCACATCGAGGCGCTCTGGTGATGCCGCGCATGGATGAGCAAGCACTGATGTTCTTTCGCTTGGACTCGTGATACCCAATGGCGCCCCAGTATACCAGCAACGACCACCTTGGAAATAGAACATGAGAGCAAAAAATTCGTAACAAATTTCATACTTTCCAACGAATGGTCTGTTTTCGCTCTTTCTGGTAAGAGATTGAGTCGTGGTTGTGATGAGTTTGTCGAGAGCTATCACCATCTCAGTCTGGGAAAAGAGAAAATCGAGTGCATCGTTTGAAAAGGCTGGTTGTTGATACCACTCGATAAGCTTGGCTGGATCTGTATCGGTCCATTTGGATGGAGTGTTGGTTTCACTGCAAATGATGCGACAGTTGGTGGTGGTATAGGTGATACTATCGTTGATCCGGTCGAGGCTGGCTTTGAAGTTGGACTTTGACTTGAAACGCAAACGGACCCTGAGGATGGGACATAAAGCACCTTGGTCACCACAAAGGTACACCAAAAAGTCTACACTGATATTATACACCTCAGTCTTGTTCCACGGGTGCTTGGGATTTGAGATTCTAGCTTGTGAAGCTGAATATAAAACATTCATCATTTTACGGATCTGCTTGACAACAGGATCGACAATGACCTTGACAATAGAGTTGGTGGCAGCCTTGGTAAGAGACTTGGCAGCCCTGGCAGCCCTGGGAACTTTCCTTTCAGGCCCGAAAGCATCATTGATGGGAACTCCAGCATCGACGAGTAGCATTTTCCTGTTGCAAAAAAATGGTAAAAAGAAAAAGGGTGAGTGAAAGTGAATGTATAAATATAAATCGAGTGTGATAATACACAAACGATTGATTCTTTTTTGACATACTCTCGGCAAGACAAGCAATAAAAACCATTGTTTGGTGCAAATCTTGATGGATCTTCGGTGCGACAATGTGCACAGTGGAATTGCTTTGAAAATAGATTCTCGACGTGTTCACGGCGGGCTTTGAGAACGGCATAAGATAATTCTACTTTACCCATTATTGTTGTTTTAAATAATAATAGTGGTAGTAATAATAGATAGTATATTATTAGATAGATAAATGATGAAGAGACTAATGATGAGAATGAAGAAACATGGCTCTTAAATAGGTTTGGTTTCCAGTGAGTGACAAGAGGCTAACCAAAGGGTGACTGAACGATTTTTGCGATAAATCAACAGAAAAGGATGTCAAGTATCAACCAAAAAAAAAAAATCAACTCGAACAATCGGTGATAAAGAAGAATAGTTTAAAAAAGAATCATCACTAGTCCTTTATTTAAAGTGACTATTATTGATAGTGTATGCTGTGTGATAATAGTTTTGACCTGTGCTGCTGAAATGAAGATGTTTCTATTAACTTTTTTGTATCGTTGAAAGACATTGCTACTTGTTTTAAAAAATAATAAATAAAACCACAAGCCACAAGATTCCCTTCCATCAAAAGATTTTTTTTTTTTTGATCAATTTTCATGATTCTTGAACACTGTAGGATGGTTGTAGTTGGAGGAGAATCGAAGGAGAAAAGTTTGAATTCGATTCTGTAATTGTATTTATTTCTTTTTCATCGGTTTGGCTCATTACCAAATGCCAACGATTACATGATTCAAATGTCTTGTCCCAGTTAACTTTGATTGTATGTCTCATATCATTTAGTAAGCTCGCAGGTATTGCTCGATGAATGGTTCATCTTTTTGGTGACGTAGATCATATTCTTTCGAGTGTTGCAGCAATCAAGTTGATAGTCATTGGAGTTTGTTTGAGGTTGAGGATGATGATGTCCCAATCTGGTGGCGGAATGTTGTTGGCAGTAGTAACCTCTTTCACATCACAAGTTGATAATGTTGTCAGTTCCAGCACCAGTAACTGTGGGTTGGTAGTTGGAAGTAGTTTGGTGGCGTAGTTGGGCCTTGATGGGTTCCATCAATGACATGAAGGAGATTTCAAAATCTGGTGTGTTTTTAGGTATCACTTTTGGTGGCATCCTCCTATCTGGAAGAGCACTACTCGGTGATGACGATGTTTTATTAATTAAATCTTTAGATACCAACAAGAGTTAAGAATAACTCAAGAAGTGTCTATGTTAATTGGTTTTAGTTTTAGAATAGACATAGATACCACCAAAATGCTAAATTAGGATAAGCCAGTTTAGCAATAGTCTTGGAGACAGTAGAGTTAATATGGTTTATTTGTTTTAATTTAAAAAGTTAGAGGTTCTGTTAGTATAGGGGCTTTTTTTAAAAGTAATTCTTTTCCTGTTCTCTCCTATCGGGAAGAGTAGTACTCAGAAGTTACAAAGTTTTATTAATTATACTTTTTAATTGACCAGCAAGAAATAAAGATTATCTCGAGAAGAATTAAAGTTAATTTGTTCTGGGGGTTTGTCCATGTCTATGATACATGTTTTATGGACGTTGATCATGTATCTTATTGTATAGTATCAAGCATGTTGGATTGTTTTGGATTGTTGCTTGTTCTAAAAATAAATTGGTTAAAGATATCGCTAATTTTTTTTTTTTTTTCTCACTAGCACTATAGGCTATAATATCGTGTAGTATAATTATTATTGTTATTATTATTTAGTAAATTATTATATTATTAATATTATTATTGATAGATGAAGAGAGAGTAGAAGGAGATGAAGGTGTTGAGGAGGATGAGAAGAATGAGGTTGAGGTGATCGATTATAGATGTAGTGTAAGCAGAGTCTTGTACCTCTCCAAATGACTAGGTAGTGCGATCTTGTAGATAGTAGGATGGTTGTAGTTGGAGGAGAATCGAAGGATGATAGTTTGTATTCGTTCTGTAATCGTATGTATTACTGATTCGTCGGTTTGGTTCATTAGAGCCAAATGCCATCGATTACATAATTCTAACGTCTTGTCCCAGTTTACTTTTATAATATGTCGCATATCATTTAGCAATCTAGCTCGCAGATATTGTTCAGTGAATGGTTCATCTCTTTGGTGACGTAGATCATTACGTCGGAACCATATTCGTTCGAGTGTTGCAGCAATCAAGTTTGTAGTCATTGGAGGTTGTTTGAGGTTGAGGAGGGTGATATCCCAAACTGGTGGAGTAATGTTGTTGGCAGCAGTAACCTCTTTCAGTATCTTTACTGGTAGTGTGGTCTCTTTGCCTGGCCGGGTAGAGGGGTACAACAGCCCTATTTTTCTACTGAGTCACAAGTTGACTCGGCCGGTTAGCTCAGTGGTAGAGTAGCAGTCTCCAATCAGAGATAGTAAACTGTTGGCCAAGGGTTCGACCCCCTTACTGGTCAGTCATTTTTGCCATTTTTTTTCCTCTCCTCTCCTCTCCTCTCTCCTCTCCTCTCCTCTCCTCTCTCCTCTCCTCTCCTCTCCTCTCTCCTCTCCTCTCCTCATGCCACCAAATGTGAAAGGATTTCTGTAACCATTTTAAGAAACAATTATCTATTTATTTATTTAAATTATTTATTTAAGAATGTCTTGAATAATATGACTTGAGAAAGAATAGGCAGTATGCTCCCAGAGCTTTTTGATTGTAAGAGCAGAAATGTTGGTAGATTCTTTGGTGAAACTAGCTTTTTTGGTATTATTACCTTTTAGAGTATCATCAAACTGAAGAATACACCCAACGGAGCCATCTTTTCGTTGAAATGTCACCATCATCATAAAAAATTAAGGGGCAAGAGGAGGAGCATGAGGAAGAATTGTTGCTATATTTGTGTTGGTTGTACTTGTATCTCTTGTGTTGGTTGTCAATGAATTTGTTGAAAAGGTTGTGATTACATCATTATTATCAATATCAATATTAATATTATTATTATTATTATTATTATTATTATTATTATTATTATTATTATTATTATTATTATTATTATTATTATTATTATTATTATTTTTTTGAATCAAAGGAGCATCAACACCAAAAACTTGAACAAAGTCTGTATTGTTGGTAGAAGGATTGATGGCTGCAAAGAGTTGTTGTGCTTCATTTTGGTATGTTTCCGATTTGTGTTGGAGATTTGCAGCAATGATTTCATCTACTTTTTTTGTTGGTACATAACCTCCATCAGTTTTTGATCTTTTGATAATACAATTTAATTCAAGTGATTCTATTGTATTTGAATCATCCATTTCAATTTCCTTTTCAGTTTCAGTTTGCAAATTGGGTTGAGTAGCCATTGCTGATAGAGTAATTGCTAAATTGGTTGAACCATTTTCTTGATCTTTTAAAATACAGTCTTGACTAGTTCTAGTAAAACCTCTATGGTTATTGTCAAAACATTTTTTAAAATCTTTTAAAAAATAATTATTTAAAATTATACTATAATTACTAAAAAATAAATAATTAATAAAACTCTATTCTTATTCTATTTTTTGTTTTTTCTTACTTGTGATGAGATTTAACCTTTTCAATAACCATTGAATTATTATTACCATTGATAGTCTCGTTATCATCATGACTAGCAATTGATTGTTCAATAGCAGCCAAAACCTTTTCAAATACTTGATCACTTTGAAAATTAGAGTTTTCATAACCAACTTGAGCAAGTGATCTGAGAGATTTTGAATTGCCACCAAGAGAATGTTTGAGAGATTGGAAATTCAAAAGATAGTTTTTCTTGAATGCCATATTCGAACGAAAATGTTTACTTTTTAAACAACCCTCTAGAATGGTTGGAAGGTTTTGATCTGTAACCATTGAAAGAAACAATATAGGTGTTGATTTAGTTTTTTCTCTATCAATCTCTTTCAACATTTCAAATACCTTTTTTGAATAATGAGGTATGGTCGCAGGTAATGATTCTTTAAATTCTTCTTTTGAAATCTTTTCCTTTCTACCAAATTGATTCATTAAATATAAATTATCTAAAAAAAATAAAATGTTAATATTTTTCTTTTTTTCTTTTGATTTTGTTTTTTTTTTTAAATTTTACCAATTAATTGTAAAGGATTTAATTTGATTATTTTAAAATAACTACTTGGTGGATATAATTGAACCAATGAAACTTTTTCCTTGAAATGATTGAAAAATGTTTGAAAAACATCACAATCTCTAAATAATCTTTCAATAGAGATACCTTGACAAACTACTTTATCATATGTTTTTAGCAATTCCACAACTTTGTTTATAAATGGACTATTAATAGTAGCCAAAGAGTCATCTAATTTTTTGATGTTTATGAACAGAAGCACCAACTCGCTGTAAACTAGAACAATGAGTATTGATAATATTTGAATTTAAAATGTTCATAATTTTTGTTTGATTGGTTGCAGAATCACCATCATTGGGGCTAAATGTACCATGGTCTGAAGTTCTTGAGAATTCCAAAACAACCACTTTTTCCTTGTCCCATTCATCTTTTTTTGAATCCAAGATGACATATCTTGAACTAGTAATCTTTTATAGTTTTTGTCATCCCTACCATGAGGTTTGATATGAGCAGTTAATGATGCAGCTCTACTTGAATAAACTCCAACCTCATATGAATGATAATAATGACGATCAAAACTTTTACCAAATTCTTCCAAAACTTGATTCCATGTTGCAGTTGAATTGGTTTTTCCAATTGAAGAAAACTTTTTAGTTGCATAATCTAAAATGATAGAGTTTTGAATACCTAACCTTTCCAATTGTGGATTTTCTACAATTAATCGAATCTGTTTTTCTTCAAAAATGTCATTCAAAATACCAAATTCAGTCTTGTTTCTTGTTAATCTATTTATAGCTGGAGTTGCTACAAATGAATCTTTTATCATTTTTTCTGTTATCATTTTAATTTGTCTAAAAATATAAAAAAAAAAGTAAGATAAATAAATTTGTTTTTTTTTTTTTTTTGTTTTTTTTTACCTTCTATTATTTAAAGAATGATTAAAAGAAGAAACAATTTCAGTACCAAGAATAATTTCCAAATTATTTTTTGTTTGATTTGATAAATTTAATTGATATGATTGTTGAAAATTAAATTCAAGTTTAAATTGACAACATATTGAGATAATAAACCTTCACAAAGTTCAACTTGACGATCTGTACTTTCTCTTGACCAACAAATAAATTGTTTTGCTGGTCTTGATAATATTGGATCAACAGAATTGTTATCTTGTTGGTCATCCAAAATGATTTCTTCAAATTGATAATATTGATCAATGTTGCATTTGAAAATTTTTGAATAATCAGATATAGCATCAGCAATTTGTTTTGAATGATTTTTTAAATCTACTTTTCCAAATTGAGGAATGATAAAACTTTTACTTTTAACATTATAATAGATATGTGAAATATCGACAATTCTAAATCTTTTAGATTTGCATAAATTAAAATAAAAGATTTGTTCTGATTTTAAAGCTTGTCCATTGAATGTAATACCAATAACAAAACCACCACGCTTATTTAAAACAGAGATATCTGAACAATCTTGCATCCATTTGAATTGAGCATCATTTTTTCTCCAAATGTTGTTTCAATATATTAACATGGACATGTAAAGATTCAGATCCATCTACTATTCTCTGACCATCATATGTTATATATAAAACTCTTGTTGCTTGTATTTCGCCATTTAATCTTTTGATTGTAGTTGGCAATATTGAATTGAACCATACCACAACAGATTCTTGAGCAAATTGTAATAATATCTCTTGGTTTAGAAAATCTTTCAAGAATTTCTTGTCAATGTTAACTTTAGAGTCTTGAAAAGTATACAAATAAAACCAATAGATTAAAATTTGAATATCTACTCGGTGCCAAGTTTTGTCATTCTTTATAAATGGATGATAACCAAGAAAAGAATAAACCTTTTGACAATGATCATTAAATGGTTTACCAATAGTGTCACATTTTGATGATAATTCTTGAATTTGTTGAATTACAAGTTGAAGTAATGAATTTTCTTCTTGCTGGATATAATCTTTAACAATTAAAACTTTGATTTCATTATAAAATATAAATAATCCATATTGATTATCTGCATATTCAATATATTTTGTTCTAGTTAATTGTGGTATTGATAATATTATTGAAACTAGAAAAAAAAAAAGGTTAATTTAATATTTAATTTATAAATATTTTTTTTAAAAAGAAAACATACGGGATTTAAAATAATTGGTTTTTTTATCTGTATGTTGAATAGATTTAGTTTCCTTTTCAATTTTTTGAAATAAAAACTCTGTTTCTTGATTGTTGGCCTCTTTTTATTCCTCTCCTTCCTTTTTCCTCTCCTCCCTCCTCTCCTTCCTTTTTTTCCTCTCTCCTCTCCTCCCTTGTTGCTCTTATAGATTTAAATTAATTAATTTTTGATAAAAATAGATCAAGAGGTATAGGTGCAGTTCATGTTACTATAGTTGATCACATCAATATTAAATAAGACACATACCTGTTTCATAATAAATCATTGTTGCAACAAGAGCAAATATCAAAATGTGGGTAACAGAATCGGTCAGTCATGAAAAATTTTATTGACATCAACACCGAGGAAGCCCTCCTATAAAATGGAGGCCCATCATAATAAACATCCATAACAACAACTACTCTACTACAACTACTATTACAACTACTACTATTATTACGAATATTACTACTACTACTAACAATAACAACAGTAATATTAAAAACTCTCATAGTTATCTCCTCTTTAAAAGTATACATCTATCAAATAGTTAAAAATATCAAGAGAAAATAGTTGTCTCATAAAGTTTTTTCAATTTTTCCTCTATAGTGTCGCAATTCAGTGCAACCGATATTGAATCCGGTTGGGGGTCAAGCGAGTCTAGCGTCAACGAACCATCTTCTCCTTCATGGTATTTTAGTCCTGTGAGATCGCAACAAGAGGATGATAGCACTAGTTCTACACCCCCCCAATACCCGGTGTCCCCAGTTCACAAACAACCAGATCCATATACGCCCACTCCCCCACAATACCAACCCGAATACCATCACTATGTTGCCTCTGTCCAGTATCCACCCATAATAGAACAAGAGTCGGGAGTTTCAGCCTCTGAGCAAGAAAAGGTGACCAAACGAAAAAGAGATCGTCACGACTTGATACCATCGGCTCCATCCTCATCCTCACCTCCATCTTCTGTAATATCATATAATAATATGAATAAAAAGAAGAAGAAAAAGATACAGGGGGGAAGCGATGAACGTATTCTTATTAATAGTAAGACGACAACGACTACTACCTCTACAACTACTACTACTACAACAATCACAAAAACAACCATCTTGAATGGTGACCAACATAAAGAAATCCTCAAACAAGACAACTAATTGAGGTGATGATACGTTCGGGAAACAAACTTTGCAAGTTTTGAGCAGCTGTATATTAAATCAGCTCGTAATACATACAAAAGATTACTAGTTTTATAACCCTAAATATATATCTGTCCCATTTTAAACTGTTCTTGTACTTTAATGAATTAACTGAATTAATTTTAATTAAAATAATATATTGTTTTTTCATATATCTAGAAACACTCGTATTTTTGCAATAAAGAAACATATAGATAAATAATATAAGATATCTAGATAACACTCACTACAACATGTTTGACCGTTTGAAGAAAGGTTTAGCATTGTTTCGAAGCATACACACTGCAAAAGGTCGAAGGTACCAATTTCACTTTATATATATATTTCAATAATAATAATCATACATGTCAATCTATAATAAACCAGTTGCTCACGGTGTTGCATCAACAGCCAACCAACAATCAGCAGCCGCCGAGCAACAAGTGTCATCAATGCTTATTCTTTCGTTGCTTTGACTGGTTCAAGCAAACAAATTGATATTCATTTGTCTCTATCAAAGTTTCATTTATCCTCAAAGAATGCAATCTGATGCAATTTGAGAAATGTATATCTGTTTGTTGAACTACTCTCTACACTATGTTTCATCTATCTACTCCTTTATATATATATAAATATATACTAGTTTACTATGGACAATATATTTGTAGTTTTGAAGTTCAAAAAAAATCGATTGGGGTGAATCGCGCGATGTAGATTTTTGAAAAATGTCGAGGTTGTTGGGTTGTTGGGTGGGCCATGAGTGACAGCAAAACGACTGACCGATGGTCAGTCAGCGTTTTGTGTGAGGCAGCAGCAATGAAGTACCTTTAAAAGCTGGCATTTCCATCACTTTGATTCATTTAACATTTTCTTTCATCAATGGATCTCAACAAATCCAAAAACAAAACAGTCTCTCTGTCCGTAAAAAAGATTGTCAAGAAAAGTACTACACCTAAAGAAAGTCTCGCCGCACCACAAACAAGTAAACAAAATGGCAGTATGGTTGTTGATACCTCCCCCGCCGATCATAAAAACTCGTCTCGAACCATCGAACCTCTGTTGTCTGATACCTCTTCCGATCTTATGGATATTGACCTCTTACAAGCACAATCATCTACTACCACCAAAAACATCAACATTATCAACAACAACAACAACAATCGATTAACTACTCCTACCTTTAAAATACAACCACTACAAAAAACTTCGCCCACAATCTATACCATTGATATCGAAAAACCAAACCACAATCAATTCCTCGGTCCCTACAACGACAAGTTTAAAATTAAGATTGAAAAGAATTTTTATCAACAAGATCAAACCGTCATTGGCAATCAAAATGAAGATTTAATATCCAAATGTTTCGAAATGAGCAAAAAAAGCACACAAATTTCTACTCAGCTCAGAGAGGAATACGAAAGATCTCTCTTCCTATTTCACATCCTCAATCATTTCAACCAAAATCCCCCAACTAAAAATCTAGATTACCAACTACCAGAAAAACTAGTTATCTTGGTTTTTGACACAGAGACTACAGGATTGGAATTTGAAGATCAAATAATAGAAATCACCTTTATCAATATCCTAAATGGTGATTCATTTTATGGTAAAGTCAAACCAACAGTCCCCCTCAGTTCTGAATCTTATTGTGCGCATGGTATATCTCTTAAAGAGTTGGATAATTGTTTGGAATGGGAATCATTGCAAGGAAAATTGGATTCATTTTTTCAACAATACATTGATCACAAAATTGTCATCATTGCTCACAATGTTACATTTGATCGATACAAATTGTGGAAAATGGTAAAAGATCAAGTTCATTGTATACCATTCGATAAAATCATCTTTATCAATTCCATTGAAATCTTTCTCTCATTTGGCCCTTTTAAAAAGAAAGATTCAGAGAAAGACGAGTCAATGGCACTATCCAATCTCATTGAAATATTTTCACCTCCATCGATTGAAATCTCCCAAAGACACCGAAGCTCCTATGATGTTTTAATGATCATCAACCTTCTCTGTTTTTTTACTAGAAAGAAAAGGAGAAGGAGAAAATCTATTCACATTCCTTGTCGACTATATCCTCAAGAAGAAAAGATAACACTGGTTCTTCTTTTCCAGTGTTATTCTTCTGGTTCTTCTTGAGGATCTTATTAACCAGTGTTATTATTAATATGGATTTTCAACGAAAGAATATTTCAGTGGAACTCATATCAGGTTTCTTTTCATGATACAATTAAAGAAATAAAATAAAATAATCCTCTTAAAAGCTTAATAATATCCATTCATTTCAACAAGTACAAACACGAAAATAGTAATAAGCATTTTTATAGATAAATTAGTAATATTAAAAGAGATGAGTGATTATATGACTCCTAATATTAAAAACAAATCAATTATACAATTATATAAGAGGAGTTTCTTTGTGTAAATTTAACGATTCGTGTATTATGACTTGTATAAATTGATGCGCATATGTGAGGAGGAGAATGGGGATGATGAAGATGAGGATATATATTGGAGATGATGAAGAGAGTCGACGTTGTTCCACTAGCTGATGCAGAGATACGGTGGTGGTGGTGGTGGTGGTTGTAATAATGTTGTTGAACTAAACGAGTCAGTTGATGTTCCACTTTTTGCTAATGTTGTAGAAGTATTTGTACTTTTTGCTATTCCTGCATTGTTAAATGTGCTCAGAGGTGCAGATACTGACAATGAAATGTTGTTTGTTGATTATTATTATTTATTATTATTATTATTATTAGCTTGTTGTCGTCAAAAAAGCCGACGCACTTCCAGTAGCTGTTAGTGAGATGAACCAGTAGATGGTTCTGTAGTAGGACCACTTGTCTAGCAGTAGTTAAGTGTTGTTGGCGTGGATGAATCAGTCGAGGATATTGTTCCACTTACTGTTAGCAGTTGTAGTTGGAGTGGATAATGCTGTAACAGGAGTAGGTAGCAGCAGTGGTTGGTGTTGTAGTAGGAGATGAGCAATCAGAGGATGTTGATTCCACTCGCTGATGCAGTGCACAGTAGTTGCTACATCTCACAAGATGCTTCTCAACTCATCATCCTCATCCCCGTCATCAACATGGAAAAGAAGACAAGACCATTACAAGCTGGGGGAGAATGGAAGCAGGATTGGTGTATATATCTGATGCTGCTCTGGTTGTACAGGCTAATGATCGATGCACTTCCAGTTGAAGGTTGGAGTGGATGATGCTGTACCTGTTGTTGGTGCTGTAGTTGTGGTTGTGCTGGCTGATGTTGTGGGATCTCCAGTCGTAGTAGCTAAAGCTGCTCCTGTAGTTGCTGATGATCAGTTGGAAAAGATTATTTAATAACTTGCCGCTGTTTTTCTTGTTATTAAATAATCTTGGTGATCATGGTGGTAGTTGCTGTTGTTGTTTGGGACTCGTCTAGATTTTAAATAGAAAATACGTATTATAACTTTACATGTAAGTATTATGTAATTAATATTATTATTATATTTGTACATACTAAATAAATATGATAAAGACTACAAAAATATAATCCTTTGATTGAAATAGGGTCCAAGCGACAACAGACAGCACCTTTTTGACAACAACGATCGTTGTTGGGTAAGAAGAATGGTGGTGCGAGGTTTATAAGGAAGAAGTATGAACCTATAGAGAAGCAATGATTGATAGGGTATAGAAAGCTTGATTAGAATTAGGTTCACTGCAAAATTAGCTAAACAATCTTACTTGATTAATAACTGTCCCCTCTTAAAGATTATTAACTACTACGACTACTACTCCTCCTCTTCACTTAGTCAACATATGGATGAAGAATAACATAAAGAGGATGATGAAAAAAATCAGACGTTTACTCAAACGGCTACCCGTTATACTGAATTTGGTTTGTCAAATTTTTGATTAAAAATTTTGTTATGATTTTTAATGGTATTATATATTATTTGATTATTTATGCTGCATCTAAGTGTTATTGCTTGTTTTAATCTCTCTTTTACTATGATTCAAAAAAAATTAAAAAATTGCAAAAAAGATTTGTAGTTTTGAAGTTCAAAAAAAATCGATTGGGGTGAATCGCGCGATGTAGATTTTTGAAAAATGTCGAGGTGGTTGTTGGGTTGTTGGGTCACTGGGCTATGAGTGACAGCAAAACGACTGACCGATGGTCAGTCAGCGTTTTGTGTGAGGCAGCAGCAATGAGGTACCTTTAAAAGCTGGCATTTCCATCACTTTGATTTCATTTAACATTTTCTTTCATCAATGGATCTCAACAAACCCAAAAACAAAACAGTCTCTCTGTCCGTAAAAAAGATTGTCAAGAAAAGTACTACACCTAAAGAAAGTCTCGCCGCACCACAAACAAGTAAACAAAATGACAGTATGGTTGTTGATGCCGATTCATCACTCAACGCACAACAAGTTACCATTCATCAAAAACTACAAGTCAAAGGTCAATGCCAAGGAGAAACTGAAGCTTTTTTCCATCAAAAAATAGTCGAAGAAGATCTGAAAAACTTTGCTCTAGAGTATATTCACGATTTTACCGACCAAGGCCAACCCACTGATAAAAACGAACCACAATCATCTGCTACTACCAAAAACATCAACAACAACAACAACAAACAATTAACTACTATCAAAAACAAAAACAACAACAACAACCATTTAACTACCAAAAACATCAACAACAACAACAACAAACCATTATCTACTACCAAAATCAACAACAACAACTTCAACAAAAACAACAAAAAATTGACTACCAAAAACATCAACAACAACAACAACATCATCATCAACAAAAACAACAAAAAATTAACTATTACCAATAACAACAATATCAACATCAAATCAACCAATGTTATTGTGAAACTATTAATTGACAAAGTGGAGAAAAAAAAGGAATTAGAATCAAAAAACTATAATCACCATCTATCAAATGTCATGGCACAGAAAAAGAATGCCGATAGTATTTTGAGTAAACAACACAATGAACTACAACAACAATTAGATCAACAAGAAAAAGAACTCGACCAACAAGAAAAAGAACTCAATCAAAGAGAAGAAGAGATAAAACTTAAAAGAGTTCAACTAACCCATCAAAAAACAAAGCTGACCAGTCAAATCACAAAAGATATTGAATGACAAGATATTGGACACCTTCGATTATTAAGTCAAATAAGACAAAAGTGTAAGCAAGTAAAAGAGGAATACAGTCTGTCAACCCAAATTTTGGACCTAATGGCTAGAGACGAGGATAAATTGTTTGACCACAATAATTCACAAAACATTGGGTGTGAGGTATTCATCATGGAAACAATGAGAACTGGAGTCAAACCACACGAAAATGAAATTTTCCAATTATCGATTCTAGATATCAAATCCGCCAAATCCCTCTGTCTGAAAATCAGCCCAGACATCGGTGACGTATCAAAAGCAGCAATTGGAAGAAATAGAGTGGAAGATTTGAAAGGAGTTCTTGGATATGATGAAATACATTGTTATTTCAGCGAATACTATTCGAAAAAAAGTATCATTTTGGTAGACCCCGACACTTTTAAAAGTTCTCATTATAACAGTCTATTGGCAAAGGGATGGCATGGGGACTTTCATAATGTTCAATATTTGGATTACAGATTGTTGTTGAATGGTAATATTGGATTCGGCCCTGATTTAGATTGCTCTCCAAAAATAATGGGCGTTGTAAACACCCTATCTAATTTGGTAAAAAAGCACAAAAACGATCGAAAACAAAACACAACACTTTTGAAATTCATTTGTTCAAAAGTCGAATCTATTTAAATAGATCAACTACCAATTGTAGGAATTGGATTTTTTTTTTAACAAAAACAAAACAAAAATAAAAATAAAAAAACATTTAATTGATCAACTCATACTTCGATGATGAATGGCCCATACATCTACCATGCTAATGATTCAATTTTATTTAATTTAATAAGCCACCACACTTATTTGAAAGTTCTAGAGATTTGTACTCTCAAAATAAATAAAAAAGTATAAAATATCACCTACTTTAAATATAAACAGATAAATTAAATAAATGAATAAACTTTATATTTCCAGATTATTTTTGATGATTTATCAAATGAATTAAAAGATCCATGTATTACCAAACTAATGAAGATTCATAGACACTTTTAATCCAAGATTATTATAAGTACTCAATCATGGAAAAGAATAAGTTGTTTTGATCCACATTCAAAATAATAAGCTCCTTGAATATTTGTTGTTGTTGTTGATGGTATTCAATGTTAAAGTGATTATTGATGAATGTGTCTTTTGTGAACAAAATCCGAGAGAGCAAGAAATGGGTGAAGAAAAAAAAAAAAATTGGGATAAATTATTTTCAGCCTTTACTCTAATATGATGATCGATCATAGTCAAGATAAAGATCATCATCATATCATAGATAATCAATTAATAGTTATCATAATACATTACTCCAACAATCCAAAGATCTTCAGATCACCCATTAAATTAGATTGATTTCTTTAAAAAAAAGATAAAATAAACGCAATGAAAATTTGGGCAAAAGAACTTTATTCGAATCGATGTACAGAGGTGGCCGTTTTTTATTTGAAAAAATGTCAGGTGCAAAAATCTCTCTTGACAAAAGTTTATCTTGTTGTTAAAATTTTGTTGTCGTTATTATCTACACCATTATTTATTGTATCTCTCTCTCTTTGTATCTATATATACTATACTATATTGTAATTCTATATTTATTTATTTATTTATTAAAAGCGAAAAGCACAACTAAAAAAACAAAAACCATGTACAAAAAGGGTGAAGGTGTACCAGGTAAGAAGAAGAATTACAAAGAAAACTTTGAAACAGACTACAATCAATACACACAAAACTAATCAATCTTTTCTCTTTTCTATTTTCTCTCTATTTTCTCTCTCTCTCTTTAAGACTTTGTACTTTTAAATCAAATTACAGAGAATGATTTCTTGGAGAATCTTATAACAAGACATAAATCTGATCAGATTTATACCTACATTGGAGATGTAGTCATTTCTTCCAATCCCTTTAAAAAGATGAATATCTACAATGAAAGTGATATCAAAAATTATAATGGAAGATATAAATATGAAATGCCTCCTCATATGTAAGCAAACACAAGATAATAGAGAGATTTTAATATTTTCAAGTTATTAATATCTTTTTTCCTTTTCTTTTCTTTCTATTTCTATTTTTAGTTATGCATTAGCAAATGATGCATATAGAGCAATGAGACAAAATCAAGAAAAACAATGTGTCATCATTTCAGGAGAATCTGGAGCAGGCAAGACAGAGGCATCTAAAAAGATTATGCAATTCTTGACCTTTGTCAGCAAGAATCAAAGTGATCGTGGAGACAAGATTGCCAAGATGTTGCTAGAGTCTAATCCGCTGCTCGAAGCATTTGGCAATGCAAAGACATTGAGAAACGACAATTCAAGTCGTTTTGGTAAATACATGGAGATGCAATTTGACTATGTTGGTACACCATCTGGTGGCAAGATTACAAACTATCTCTTGGAAAAGTCACGTGTCGTTGGTAGAGCCCAAGGTGAACGTAATTTCCACATCTTTTACCAAATGCTCAAAGGATTGAATCAAGCCAAACTGACCGAACTCGGTCTCAATGCAAGTGCCACTAGTTTTAATTATTTGAAAAACAGTACTTGTATTGATGTTGCCACCATTGATGATGTTGCCGATTTCAAAGCAGTCGTCAAAGCAATGGAAACTTTGGGTCTCAAAGATGAAGATCAAAATTCAATTTGGAGAATCCTTGCTTCCATCCTTCATATTGGTAATATTACTTTTAAAGAATTACCTGATCAAACTGTTGGTACTTCTTCTGTTGGTGTTGTTGATCAAAAATGTAAGAAATCAAAAAGAAAAGAAAAAATATATATATATATATATTTATTTATTTATTTATTTTTAATTTTTTAGCATTAGCATCAGCAGCAGCATGTTTAAAAACAGATGTTGGAACATTATCAAGATCATTAACTTATAGATCAATTAATACTGGTGTTGGTAAAAGATGTTCAGTTATTTCAGTACCATTGGACAATGAACAAGCAGTATTTTCAAGAGATGCTCTTGCCAAAGCACTCTATGAAAGATTATTCCAATGGCTTGTTGGAAAGATTAATCAACAAATTAATAATCCTGAAAAGGGTCTCGTAATTGGTATCTTGGATATTTATGGTTTTGAAGTTTTTGAAAAAAATAGTTTTGAACAATTAAATATAAAGTAAGTAAAAAGTAATCTAAAATATACCTATATATTTACTTATAATTTTTCTTTTTGTTTTTTTTTTATAATTTAGTTATTGTAATGAAAAATTACAACAATTATTTATTGAATTAACATTAAAGAGTGAACAAGCAGAATATAAAAATGAAGGTATTGAATGGAAAGATATTGATTATTTCAATAACAAACCAATTTGTGATTTAATTGAAAAACGTCCAATTGGTCTCATTTCATTATTAGATGAAGCTTGTTTAATTGCAAAATCAACTGATCAAACTTATTTACAAAATATTCAAAAGTATGCAAAAACAAAATATATATATATTTCCTTTTTTCTTTTTTTTTTTTCTAACCTCTTCTATTTCTTCTAGTAACTTTGATAAACATGAATATTTTCAATCATATCAATCAACAAGAGATAGAAGTATTGGAGATGGATGTTTTAGATTAAAACATTATGCAGGAGATGTAACATACAATGTTGGAGGATTTTTAGAAAAGAACAAGGATACATTGTTTGGTGATTTGATTACAAGTATGCAAATGAGCAAGGATCCACTTATTTGTTCACTTTTCCCCAGTCCAAAGCCAGAAGATTCTAAAAAGAGACCAGAGACTGCTGGAAGTCAATTCCGTACTGCCATCAATTCTTTAATCTCTACTCTTTTGGCTTGTTCACCACACTATGTTCGTTGTATCAAGAGTAATGATAACAAGCAAGCTGGTGTCATTGACGAGGAACGTGTTCGTCATCAAGTACGTTATCTTGGTCTATTGGAAAACGTTCGTGTCCGTCGTGCCGGTTTTGCCAATCGTCAAACCTATCAACGTTTTTCTCAACGTTATAAAATGTTGACCAAGGAAACATGGCCAACTTTCAAGGGTAACCCTCGTCAAGCCACCGAAGCCATCCTAAAGGCTCACAACATTCCCAAGGAAGAGTTTAGAATGGGCAAGACCAAGGTATTTATCCGTTCACCCACCACCCTCTTTTACTTTGAGGAAAAACGTGAAGCCGAACTTCCACGTATCGCTACCCTCATTCAAAAGACTTGGAGAGGTCATTGTGCTCGTAGTCGTTGGAATCAACGCAAGGCTGCCATCAAGATTCAACTCTTTTATCGTACCTATCGTTTCAAAAAGTGGTTTAGAGAATTGCATCGTGTATTCAATGACGTTAAAAACGATCCAAAATATGGAAAGTTTACAGTTTGGCCCAAGAACCCATCGGTATTGGATCGTGCAGTCATGTTGATTCATCGTGTTCACAATACATGGCGTGCAGAACGTATGGTCTTGGCTCTTGGTCCCAGCGCTCCTGCCATGCGTCAAAAGGTCCTTGCCTATGACTTGTTCAAGGGTAAAAAGAAATGGAACTGTGCTCGTCTCTTTGATGCCGATTACCTCGAAAAGACCACCAATCCAAACCAATCAAAATACGTCATTGCCATGCAAAACCTCTTCCAAACCTATGGAGATACCGAAGTTTTGTTTGCCGACTATGTAACCAAGGTCAATCCAAAAGGTGTCCCACAAAAGCGTGGTGTCGTCGTTACCAATGCCAACATTTACAAACATGACCCCAAAAACTACAAGGTCAAGAAATGGGGTACTCCATTGGCTGACATTTCTTCCATCTCTTGTTCTCCCAATAATGATACCTTTGTTGTCATTCATTGCAAGGCTCCAAGTCGTGATTTTGTATTAGACGTTGGTATCAATGGTTATGAAGCTGTATCTGAAATTGTTACAGTCATTGTTCAACAAGTTCAAAAGTTGACTGGTATTCGTCTCACCGTTCACTTTGCTCAACAAATCACTTTCAACAATGCTCGTCCAAAAGGTAGTGACACTCAATTATCATTCCAACAATCAAATGATCCAAAAGTTGATGGTAGCCAATATAAAAAGATTAAATCTGGTCAAGCTACAATTCTCTATAAATAAAAAAAAAGGAAAAATAAAAATAATTTAAATTAAATAGATAAAAAATATATATATTTCTTTCATCTTTTTATTTTTTTTAGACATTTGTAAAAGTATAAGATTTTTCATCCTTGTAAGAAAATATAATATAAAATGGAATCATTTTCCAACGACTCATTTGATTTTTAAGTTGAATCAATTTATCCTTGTAAACTTTTGGATATTTGGCAACATTATCATTATCTACAAATTCTTTAATCAATGATATTGGTAAATCTACTGCTATTACTTTAATTGATGTTCCTTTACCTTGATAAAATCCTCTATATAATTTACTAAAAAAAAGGAAAAATAAAAATTAATAAAACTGCAATATTCTCTATTTTTTTTTTTTTTTCTATTTACCAAATATAATCTTTTGTTAAAATTTCAATTTTTTTCTTTTTTGATTCATCAACAGGACCTTGAATCATAATTTGAATTGATAGAGAAGTTGAATTATCAGTAAATCCACCACTACCACCACTTGAAGATAAATTGATTGAATTACTACCTCCACCACCACCACTATTACTATTACTACCACTACTATTATTTAGGTTTTGATTATCTCTATTATCTGTAGATTCAAGAGCCATTGGATCTATAGGTATACCTTGATGTTTTCTAGATTTTAAAATATAATCTACCAAATCTTTACGAGAGATTGATTTTTCATTTCTAGTTTCAATATGTCTAACTTTGAGAAGACCATTTTGATAGGACCTTTCTTTTAATACAATGACCCAAGTAACACCATTTTGTTTACAATAACTATAGATTTCTTCTACAGTAATATAATCAGATTGAGAATAATCTGCTCTAATAGACATGGACCAAAGTTGAGCACATATTTGAAGTTTTTCAGTCAACATGAGGGCACCCAAACTACAAACATAGGCTTCAATATCTGTAGCCTTTTTTACACCTTTTGATTTTCCAATTCTTTCTTCATAGAGCAAGAGTGCAGTAACAATCTTTTCAACGGCAATGGTAACACCAACTCCACATATTTGACCTTTTAGATTACTTGAATGATTTGGTTGAGTTGGTTGACCACCAGATGATTGTTGATGTAATTGATGTTGGAATGATCTAATCAATTTATCATATCTACCACCAGCCATAATAATTTCAGTTTTTGGTTGATGATGATGATCTACAATACTCTTTTCATTTACCACTTGAAATACCATTCCATCATAATAATGATAATTGTGTACCAATGAAAGGTCCAGATAAAACTTTGGAATAATATTGATTGCTTGTAAATTTCTTGCAAGATTTCTAAGATCTGTTAAACCTGCCATTGAATCTTTTCTTTTTGCCAATAATTCATCCAATTGTGCAATACCTGGTAATAATTCACTCTTTTGTTTTAAATATATCGATAGACGATTAATGGTGGGTGAAGCTAGACCAATTTCTCTAAGGGTTGCTGCAACTTGGGTCCAAGAATTTCTCCAATGAAGTGTAGCAATGGCCATACAAACTGGGCCATGTAATTTTTGATCAACTCCACAAACTTGCAAAACACCATCCAATATACTATAATGACTAACTTTGATAATGTACGATGTTCCAAGTTCTCTAGAAAATCCTTCCATTACATCTACAACTGTTCTAAGTAGTTCGGCATCACTGACATGTCGAACTCTGCTTGGTCCAACAATATCAAAGTCACATTCATAAAGTTCTTTGGGTGAAAAACCAGGTGAACTTCGACGGAAAACTTTACTAAAGCTGAATCGTTTGGCTTGAGTGATACCATGCAATGCAACATGACGTGCCCAAGGTACAGTCAAGTCATAGGGCAAGTGAACAACGGTTCCACCTTCATCTAGGAATCTTGCTACAACAGCTCCATGTGCTCCACTTTGAACATCTCTTGGAAATAAAAGTGGTGTATCCATTTGAATGGCTCCGTGTGTTCTGAAAATGGTAGACAATCGATGAAATGTACGTTCTCGAGCTTTTAAATGAGAATTGATAAGTGTACTATTTGATGTATAAAGATATCTTGAAGATATATGTTCATCTGGATTTAAACCAAACAATTTCTCCATCAAATAGGAAAAGAGTGATAGAGTTGGATTGGTAATGGATTTGACAGCCTCTTTTAACAATTCATCTTCCATTTTACTTGGTAATAAATCACTTTCTAAAAGTTGTTTGGTAGTTGGTCTCTTGTTTGGATCGTGTTGAATAAGACTCCGAATAAGTGATGCAAAATCTGGTTTTAATGCTTCAAAACCTGGTGGAAACTTTAATTCGTTTCGAAGAGTACGTAATACATTGGTACGTTCCATTTGAGTTTGGAATGGATGACACATTTCAAAAAGGATAATACCCATTGAATAGATATCAACCTTTTCTCCATAATGCTTGGTGGTTCTTTGAAGAATCTCTGGACAACAATAAAATGGTGTACCAACACCTCCAGTCATTGTCATTGATTGATCCATCAATTCTCCTTCATTACTCATCATTTTCATCATCTTTTTAATATCAATCGATATAGAGGAAGAGGTATCATGTTGTTGTTGAAGTTGTTGTCCATTTTGACCAGTGGTACTACTCTTTCCACCTGTAGTTGCCAAACCAAAATCACCAATTTTAATGTCTCTTTCTTCATTGTCTATGAAAATGTTGGCTGGTTTGAGATCACGATGAATAATACCTTGATTATGAATATGAGACAAACCTTCTACCAATTGTCTAAATAATCTCCAAACATCCTCTTCACTCAGACCTCCAATCGTATCTACCAATGTTTTTAAAGTCTTTTTACTACAATATTCCATTTGAATATAAAGTGTATGAGTATTCTTTTTGTTGACAGCTATAGATGATTTCTTTTTTTCAATTGGTTGTTGAAATATCTTTGAACGATTAAGATAATATGATCTATCTGCTGCAGGTTGGGTTGAATCATTTGCACTTAGACTAATATCAGAATTGATAGCAATTCTACTAGTAGTATTTGAATGATATTCTTCAATGAATCCACTACCACCAGCATTGTCTTGAGTACAATCTTGTTGGAACGACTGAAGCATTGATTTACTACCAAGACTAGATTGTAAAAACCAATCTTCAGATGCATCAGTTGCCAAATCACCACTTAGATCTTCTACTTGATCTGGTTCCATTTCACCTTCAACCTCTATATCTGATCTTTCAATCCACGCCTGATAATAACGGACTACATATTGATGATGAAGACGTGACAAGGTTGTTACTTCTCTGAGCAATTTGTTGGTCAATGGTTCAGATTCACCATCAGAATTGGCCTCGGTTTTAATCTTTTTAATGGCATAATATCTACCATCCAATTTGTTTCTAGATTTTACCACTACACCAAATCCTCCTCTACCAATCATTTCAATCTCTTCAAAATCGGTTCTATATCTTGATTGATATCTATAATCCATTAGAGATGTAGTTGATGGTTGTTGTAATAGACTTGGTTTTGTTACTGATTGTGGTGTTGAAACAGATGATGTCTGTAACTGTGTGGGTGTTATTGGAACAGATGAAGAAGATGAAGTTGGTGTTGGAAGTAATGATGATGATTGAGGTGGATTTAATTGACCAATAGATTGACCAATACCCAATCCACTACTACTAGTTAAACTACTACTATTTGTACTACCACTTATTGTCAACATTTGTCTTGGTGATGTTGGTGGTGATAGATTTTGATAAATTTGATTTAAATTTTCACTAGTCTTTAAATTTAATTTAAATGATATTGAATTGTTTAATGTTGTTGTAGTAGTAGATTCTTCTTCTGATAAATCTGATAAATCTGATAAACTCTCTTCATCATCTGAATTATTTGAATTATCTGATTCATCTTCTAATGTTGTTGATTCTACTTTTACTTCTTCTTCTTCATTATCATCATCATCATCATCATCATCATCATTATCTTCTTCTTCTTCTTCTTCTTCTTCCTCCTCATCCTCCTCTACTTCTTCATCTTCTACTTCTACTTCTACTTCTTCTATTTCTATTTCTTTTTGAACTATTTGAATTGGTGATGAAGTTGAAGATAAAAAAGGATGTTTTAATAATAAACCAGCTTCCAATTTGATTTTATCATTAATATCTGAACTAAAGATTGTATATAGAAAATCTTTTGCCAAAGATGTCATATTATCTGGTAATTTGGTTGATTCATAAAGTTTAACATAATCTATATTATTACTGTTATTATTATTATTTACTGAAGAAGATGATGAAGATATAGAAGAATTTGATGAAACTAAATTATTACTATTATCTTTAATATCAATGATTGTACCAGTGATCATTTCTAAAACGATAATACCAAGATTGATTAGATCATCTCTTCTTAGATGATATTTGGAAGAGGTGAGTATTTTATGAGAGATCCATGGATTAGAGTTTTTAGAGGAGGATCTGTCAATGGTATCAAATATCTTTAGTGTCTTGCCACCATAGTTTGTAAACAAGACTCGGTTGGTGCTGTCGTTGATAAAGATATTTTTAGACTGAACATCTCGATGTGGGATGTGTTGAGAATGGAGATACAAGAGTGCTAGTAAAAGTTGATAGGTGTATCTTCTAACCAAACTTTCCTCTATATTGCCGCTAGTTTGGATACGTTGTCTGAGTGTATCAGAAGACACATATTCTTGGAAAATGTAGAGTGTACTATTTTCAATCACCGTTCCAATATAACCTACTAGTTGGGGATTGACGAGGTATTTCATCGATTCAACCTCTTTTTGGATAGAGTAGAGTTTGGACATGTTTTCTCTCATTCCACTATCGTCACCACTATCAATCGACAATTGACGACAAATCATTGGAGAGTTGGTATCCAAGTTGATACATTCATAGGTGGTTTCAAATGAATTTGGTTTACGACTAAGTTTACTTCCCAATTTAAATCGAATTCTTGAATACATATCTCCTCCACCATTATTATTATCATCAGATTGATCATTCTGTTCTTGTTGTTGATAATAATCTACTATACCACTTGGATTACTAGATCTCATCATTTGTCCACTATTACCACCATCTTCAAAGATACTATCGTTGGCATCCAATGCAGACGATCCAATAAATGAATCAAATGAATCATAAGAATAAGAATTGATCATACCATCATATGCTGCAGATGATAATACCATTCTATTCATTGATGGACTATGATGTACTCTTGAATTAAATTGATTATGATGATTATGATGATTATGAAGATTATTGTGGTGATTGTGATGATTATTGTGGTGATGATGATGATGATGGTGACCATAATCATCAGATGTTAATGGTCTTTTAATAGGAGAATCTGTGATACTTTCATCATCATCATGACCATCTGTAGTAATCATGATACCATCATCTTGACCATCGTTATCATCGTCTTGGTCACTGTCACTGTCAATCTCTCCACCGTCTCTTTTACTAATACTTGATGTTGAACAATTTAATTCCTTTAGTCTTTGGATCATTTCCTCGTGAAGACTAACTGTTTCCTTGTTGTACGTTAACAAAAAGTCTTGAATGGCTTGACAAAGTTCGAAAACAATCACTTCGCCTGCCACCATCTTTTGATTTAAAAGAATATAAAGTTCTTCAATTTGATCATCCGATAATCCTTTTACTTTTTCCAATTCAATAGATGGTAATGTTATTGGATAATTTGGTGAATATTTAACATATAATTTTACTAAAACGAAAAAAGAAGAATGTAAGTAAAATAGATCAATCAAATAATAATAATAATAAAAAGAATCTTTACCTGAACAATAATTTGGATATTGATTTGTTGGATGAGGGATTAAAGCAACTTTAAATCTTTTACAAACTGCTTCTGGTTCTAATATTTCAAAATCATCCTATACATAGAGATAGCGAGAGAGAGAGAGAGAGAGAGAGAGAGATTAATATTAATTCTTCTTTGTTTTTTGTTTTTTTAAAACATACACCATAAATTGATTGTAAACACATCATTTCATTATCTTGAGCCATTTCATTATCAGGATTTAAAGTCATGAAAAAACTTCCACTATTACTATTACTACTATTACTGTTATTGTTGCTATTACTATTATTATTGCCATTATTATTTCTATTTAATTGATTATTCATTTTGTTGTTTTAATTGTTTGTTTGTTATTATTATTATTGAAATGATGATGAAGTTTTTTTTTGTTTTTATATATAATCTAATCTACGCTATATCATTATTCTCTCTCAAACTATGTTGTCTAGTCTCTGAGTTGAAAGGATTCACAATGATTTATTGCAACAATCACTGTTGCTTTAAATGTGGTGATACTACTGATCAGTGCACTGATCGTTATGCTGTGTTGCTAAATAACTGCTGTTTGTTATTATGTCTTGTACTGAGATGGTTTGCTGTTGTACTTGTATGCTCTATACTATTTTCTTTTTTTTCGATTGATAATTGTGATTTGTTGAAGCGGTATCTATTCTCATGAGATGTATTGAGTTGAGATAATTGATTCTTTGGGTTATATATATATATAAAGTATATACTAATAAGTATTAAATTTAACTAGCTAGAGTAGTAGTTCAAAACTTGTAATGAAAAATTAGTTTCTTCTTCACTCAACCACATCATCTTGAAAAAAAGCCAAAAAAAACAAAAAAAATCATATGATGAAATTTCCAGTTTCAATGTCTGTGATGGTCTTTGAACTGGAATTTTTTTATTTATTTAATATTTAATGTATTTGTACAAATATTTATATATAAGAGTATGAGTATGATTATTCATATTTTAATTTAAAGGAATACTTCCTTCAACAAACATACTGCTGCTGTCATCGAAAAAGACAGATTTGTTGGTATCAGAGGTGTAGGTGAGAGTGAGAGCTTGACCACTAATGTCAGAGATGACACTACCATTGTTGAATGATGCAGCTACATAGACGGAAAGAGTGACAATTGGTGTGTATTCGGCTGATTGATTGTTGAGCACAGTGGTGGCATTTAGCTCACTGTCAACCTCCTTTCCATTGATGACGGCAGTTTGGGTGAGACCAAATGTGAGTGGCTCGCCATAGTTGTTGACAAGACCATAAGACTTGACAGAGGTGCCATTGGCTTGGTCAAAGAAACCGGCATTGTTGAATGGATATTGATGGGTCTTGCTGACAGACTTGAGAGTAGAGATACGACTGATGGTAGCACCATTCTGGATTTGAGTGTTACTTGCGTATAATCCATACAGCTCTTGCCATTGTAAAGTATTATTCAAGAATGGTTTGAATGTGACCCATACAACATTGGATACTTTTCCATTAACACTTTTTACAACACATACTTTTTCTTGTGATGAAGCAAGAGCAGCAAGTCCAGCTTGAGTGAATGAGAATTGAAGTGAATAGTTTGACATTGTTTGTTTGTTTTGTTTTGTTTAATTTGTTTAATTGATTGATTTGATTTGAGATGATTTGAAATGATCATTCTAAACATGTATTTATACTTTTTGGATTTGATGGCCACCAACTCTTTCTTTCTTAAACCAACCCACTATTTGGTTCACAACAAACCCGACCGACACACGATCATGACAATGAATGGGTCTCTTCAATTCGATTGATTTATTGCCCGATTGTACATCATGACCGTGATACACAACCAAATCGACAAAAAATCAAATTTTGGTTGGGTTTTGGGATGATCGACCCATGGGTTTTTCCAAAACCAAACCATTCACATTGACTTTTTGTGTTCACTGCAAAGTTTGGTGTTGTGCTAAACACTTTCTCGGTCATATCATCATATTACTAATATCTTTTGAATTATTAATATTAATTATTACTTCTACCAATAGTATCTATCTAAATCTAACTTTCAATAGAAAGTAAGATTGATCAATCGATCAAAAGAAAATTTTCAACGAAATGATTTCGATGTTGCAATTTCAAAAATGATCGTCGTGATTGCTTGTCTAATTATAGATAATAAATAATGATATTTAAATCCACAACACCATCATAATAATCATCATATTAATCAATAATATCAAGACACAAATGAGATCAATTAAATGTGTATTAGTAGGTGATAGTGGAGTAGGAAAGACCTGTATACTCATTTCATATACTACAAATACGTAAGCAAATGCAATTGCAATGATCTTTCTTTCTTTCTTTCTTTTAATATTCTTTCTTTTAGTTTTCCAGATGAATATATACCAACAGTAATTGATGTGACAAGTGTAGTTATAATGCAAGATAATAATGCATATACTTTAGAACTTTGGGATTCTGCAGGACACCAAGATTATGATGGTTTGAGACCTTTATCATATCCAAATACAGATGTTTTCTTTGTTTGTTTTAGTATTACTTCACCTTCTTCTTTTGACTATGTTTCTGAAAAATGGATTCCTGAAATACAAACAACTTATAAAATACCTATTCTTCTTGTTGGCAATAAATTAGATTTACGTGATGACAAGCAAACGATAGATCGTCTGGCCAATAGAAATTTAGCCCCCATCACATTTGAACAAGGAATGGTAAAAGCACAATCAATCAACAACTGTCAATATTTCGAATGTTCTGCCAAGACTCAAAAAGGTCTACACACAATATTTGATCAAGCAGTTACAATAGTTGATAAACCAATTTATCCACTTCAATCAAAGAGGAAGAAATTTTCAACATCTTGTATTCTATTCTAAAAAAAATAAAAATAAATAATGTAATATTATATTATATGTATATATTATAAACCTAACTCTATACCTATTCCTTTTGTTTCATTTTTATTTCCATTTATGATTATAAAAATAAATAGCAGCAGAAGCAATGGTAGCAGGGATGATTAAAAAGGTTGCCCATCTAAGCCATGAAATTGAATTGTTGTAGGATCGAGTGGCACGGGCACCCCTACCATGATCAAACCGACTTGGTGGTTCAAAGCCCATAGAGTTGGGGAACGGAGATTCGAGTAGTGACAAATCGATAGAGTAGTTGGTCCATTCTCTAATGATTCCACCTACATGACCCTTTCCAACAATAGCAACAATCTTTCGACCAGGTGACATTCTGAGTCGAGCAGCCATATATTGGTCTCTTTCAGTGACGATGGAACGAACCACTGAAGGAAACTTTTCCTTGAATTCTTCCAATAGTTTCTCGACCAATTGTTCGTCACTGTTTTTGAGTGCGTCAATGTCTTGCTCGGTCACCTCTGAAAACGAAGCAATAAAGAGGTAAAATACAAACTTTATCTTTTCCCAACGTGTCAACGAGTTCCAGACACGCTGCAGTGTAATCTCGACCAATCGATCACCCAATACAATCTTGGCACCAACCTTTTTACTCTCCAAATAGGCAGTAATAAACTCTGCACCCGGACCAACCTTGCTTTGGTTGCCAGCCTTTCTAATCATCTCGGCCATCAACACTTGTAGTAATCCAGGCAGCCCATTCTCTTTTACCAAGGCTATCATCTCTGATAATGTAGCCCTCTTGTTATGGTCTTCACTGTCTACAGGTGTTGGTGGTGTAGTTGTATACATTGGTGAATTGGAACATTCATCATCTGCCTCGTACGAAGATGACGATGAATCTGATCCATCGTCTTGTGAATTTGATCTAGTTTCGTCCGATTCATCATCATCATCATAATAATATTCCCTTTCCCCATCCTCTTCCATTTCTTCCATTTTTTCCTCTTTTTCTTCTTCTTCTTGTTGTTCATTTTCATTATTATTATTATTATTATTATTATTTCCATGTATTATATTATTATCCTTGTCATAATAAATATTTTGTTCTTCCATTATTATATCCTTTTCCATTATTCCTGGCTGTTCATCATTAAATTGACTTAATTGTTGTTCTATTATTTGTTGATGATGTTCTTCCATTTCCATATTATTATTATTATTATTATTATTTTGATTTTGATTATTATTGTTGTTATTAATTATTTTTTGTTTATATTGATGATGTTGATGTTGATTTACAATTTTAGTTTGATCATTTTCACTAGATTCAATTTCAGTTGTTGATGGTTGGAATTCATCGTCTCCATCATCTGAATTTTCAAAATGTGTCAAGTTATTTCCTCCTCTTCTATTATACAATTTATATCTCAAGGACTTCTTTCGATTAAAAATCATTTGATTATGTTGTGAAGGATCTCCTCCTCTTTTACTTGATGATGATGGTTGATGTTGTTGACTATGTTGATGTTGTTGTTGTTGTTGTAATGATTGTAATTGTTTTGAATGTGATGATGTTGATGATGGTCGATTAATATATGTCACCTTTCTCGAATCGATACTATTTAAAACCAAGCCAGCTCTACTGGCACACAACTCTATGAAAACAGTGTCTGGTTTCCATCTCCTAATAATGTCTGATACCTCATCAGAACTTGATTGATGAACATGAATTGATCCAACCAATATAACTTTATTATTACAACAAATATGATGGATAAAAGAAGGATTAGTATCAAAAGGAAATGTAATAAATTGAGTTGTACGTCCGTCACATACTTGTTGCATTTGTAAAAGGTGAATAGAGAACAGTTGCAGATGAAGGTAACTCGAAATCAATAGGTTCCAACACTATTTCATCATTATCACCATTAGTTTCTGATGTTACAGACTCTTCATCTTGTTGTTGGTCTTCTGATTCAGGTGAATGTTGTGACGACATTTCAGAAAGTATATATAAGTGTACTACAATATATTGTATTATTTCCTTTCTATCCTATCCTATCCTATCCTATCAATTAATCTATGAGTACTCTGCAATATATATATTTATACAACTATGTTTAACTTTAAATATTAATATGTATTGGTGGGTGTGATGATGAGTATTACAATTTAATTTAAAAAGAAAAACAAAAAAGGAAATGAACACCTCCAAGCAGGAAAATGAATGAATATTAAAACAAGATATTTTTTTAATTGTAAATTTCAAACAACAATACAATTATAATATTAATATATTAATATATTTATTATTTATTTATTGAGTTAGATCAAATACTTGTTCCATTGATGCCCACCATTCAGTTGGTTTGGCCTCTTTTAATTTTTGTTGAAATTTCCTATGCAACAAATAAATGTAAACAAACAAACAGGACGCTGATTAGTTTGGTTGAACAAATAAATGCAAGTATATATATATATTATTATTCATGTCTTTCCTCTTTTGTGTGTGTGAATCTCTACACCATTTGGGTATACATACCTCATTAAATTATCCCATTCTGATGTTTTGGGATTATCGGTAGCGTATCGTTGAAAGTCCACTTGAGGGTCAAATGAATCATTGGTTTCATAGTACATAAATAAATGGTTACCCAACAGATATATCTTCATTTCAAGTATACCAATACCAAGTAGACTATTCTTTACCTCTGGCCATACATTTTGATGATACTTTTTATACTCTTCAATCAATACTTTATCATCTTTTAAATCTAAAGCTGATGCATATGATTTTACCATATTTGTATTTTATATATATATAAAGAAAGAGAGAGATAAAATAATTATTTGTTTGTAAAGACAATGGATTTGTGTGTGTTAAAATTCTTAAGTTGTGATTCATTTATCATTTTATTTTCAAATGTGTGTTTCAGAGTACAGAGTACATAGTAATCAAGAGTAAAAGTAGTAATACCTATCAAATTTTGAAAGAAGAAAGATTAGATTAGTAAACAAGTTTTAAAATAAAAAGAATTGAAATAATAGAATATAGTAAGAGTTGTAGGTAATGGTTCATATGGTGATGCATGAAAAAAAAGGTTGTCTTCATTGCAATTAGCTATAGACGCAAGGTTATAATCATCTAAGATAGAGGTAGAAGAAAGAGAGAAAGATATAAAATATATGATATGAATAACTTACAAATTAACCAAGTTGCTTAATAAAAAATAGAAAGAGAATGACACAACTTTGTAGGTGATGGTCTCGGTCGAATGCTGCCAAAAAAAAAAGATAAAAATTAAAAATAATTAAAAATCTTTGATCATTCTAGTTTTTTTACATAGTTTACTAAAAATGCCTGTGATGACGCAGATGAGCTTATCTCACAACAAGTTCATATACATATATTAACGATAGTTGGTGGGAATGAGTAAAAAAGTAAGCACCGATACATTCAAGAGAATCAACTTTTTATATCAAGCATCGAATCTGATGTTGTTGGGCAACACCAACAATCAAGTTGCTTCAAATTACTATTGTCACTTGCTAAAGAATGTTGCTCAGAGAGGTGTAGTGCGTATTAATCCAACAATGAAACATACCATTTGCTCAAAATGTTCATCTCTATTGGTACCTGGCATAAGTTCAACGAGTCGATTAAAAGAGGACAGAGAATCACATATCGTCGTTCACTGTCAACGTTGTGGACACATCAAAAGATACCATACCAACAAAAAAAGAGAGAAAAATAAATTAAAAAAACAACAAAAACAAGAAAAGAAAAAGATATCTATACAACTTAAACAACTTAAACAACAACAAATTAAACAACAACAAATTGAACAACAAGAAAAACAAAAGGAATTGGAAGTGGAAGTTGATAAACCTACTTTAATGGATCAAACTGAAAATTTGGAACAAAAATAATTAATGATGTAAATAAATTGTAAATATATTAAACTACTACATGGAACTGGATGTTACTTTTTTTTGTTTTATTTCCAAGCGTTTACGCTATTTAAAATTATATTATTATTAGTTTCATTAATTTCTTCTTCATCATCATCTTGTTGAATTTCTTGGATAGGTTGGATCGGTACTTGAGATTTCATTGGAGTCATTGCTAATAGAGAACCAGCACCATCACCTCTCCATTCAAAAGTTTGTTGTGATTCACCGTGGACTAGTCTTGGAGTAACAAAGATTCTAATGTTGTTGTAGGCCTTTTCCAAAACCATGTCCCATATTTTGAGAGCCTTTTTCGAACGGTCCTCACCAATGATATCGTCTTTGAGTAGAATTTCCGATATCCAAGGAACTTCGTAGTTGGTGGCTCTGTTTTGTAGTATTCTAATCAAGTCATTGTAGCATTCGTCGACGATTAACAATTCTTGTTGTTTTCTCTTTTGTGAGAATTTATAGTATCTATAAAATACATAAGATGCAACCAATGATATTATAATTGGTAAATATCCCATGATTATACTTTTAATTGTAATAAATGTCTAAAATTAAAAAAATAAAATAAATAAATAAATAAATAAATAAATAATTGTTTGTTTTCTCTCTCTCTTTTTTTCTATTTTTCTCCGACATACTTGACACCATAAAGGTCTAATTGAATCACTATCAGTATGATAATAATATTGTTGTGAATCAGATTCATAGGTAGATAAAATTTGATCAGCTAGTTTTTGATCATTGACTGTTAATTCTTTGATTGGTGCACCTTGACGACCATCGAGATAAGATGTGAGAACCTTGAATGAATCGGAAATATCTGCCTTTTTGATCCAAAACAAACGATCAAATTCAAATTCCAATCGTTCGTAGGGCATTTCGAAACTTTCAGTCACTCCACATTCAAACTTGCCCTTGTGTACTCGCAATACATAATCAATCTTGTTGAGAACGGTTGACATGGTTTCCACCTTGTTTGGATCAACTATACATTCATCTCCTTGTTTAATATATCCATCAAAACATGAAACAAATGATCCTTTAAAACATACTCCTCTTTCTGGACATGGCATACATGAATATTTACCATTTGTATCTAAAAAATAAAATAAAAAATAGAATAATGATAAATATTTAAAAAATCAAAACAAAATATTATTATTCTTACATTTTGGAAGTGTATCAGTATCACAATAAATGATTTCACTAAAATTATAATAAAAGCCAAATACGATAAATAGTGTAATGAACCAATACAAAAATGATACAAAAATCAATGATAGACTTGATTTTGAATGGTTGTCATCGATTGGTGGTGGTGGTGGTGATTGTCCAGATTGTCCAAATTGTCCTCCACCTGATTCTTCCAATTCTCTATCTTGTTCTTCTTGTAATTGTTGATAATATTGTTGATGTTGGAATTCTTGTTCATGTTGATCTAGTAGAGTTGCATTGTCCATTGGTGATGAGGTATCAAACTCTACATGTTCATCGGTATCATATGAAATCGAGTCGTTTGATGTTTGGAAAATGGGTTTAGATGGCATTTGTAGAGGTGTTTCAGCTTGATATGGGAATCCACCACGACCAAGATTGGTTTTAGCAATTGGTGTCTTTGGATAAACATGTTTTTCTCTAAGTGATGATGGTTGAGGAGATGAAAATGTTGGTGGTGAAGTTCCACCAAAAGATATAGTTGGTTTTGAGAATGCATTACTAGTAGTAGGAGGAACATTCGTCGTCGTCGTCAATCTCGTCGTAACATGTGGTAGAATAGAAGATCTTGAAGAGGTGGGAAGTGTAAATGAAGAAGGAGTTGGTTGATTAATCTTACTTGTAGAAGTAAGTTTTTGTAATCTTTCATGTGCCAATCTTTGTCTTTCCTTTTCCTTGTCATCCATCTCTTTCTTTCTTCGCAATATCTCTTCACTCTCTTTTTGTTTTCTTTGTTTCTCTTGCAGTATTTCTTGTTCTTGTTTCTTTTTTGATTCCAATTCCTTGTCTTTTCCACGTTGTAGCTCCGTTTGACCTCCAACCGTTGAGAATCGAGCCTTCTTTTTTGCTTCTTTTGGTGGTTTAAACTCCTTGTCTTGTACATCGTAATCCTTTCTTTTGTGAAGTTTTAATACTCTTTGTTCCAAAGTATCATCGTCACTACCACCATCTTGATCATCATCACTATCACCCTTATGTCTATCAGATTGAAATATATTCTTTGGATCAATTGATTTTCTTTTTGGTTTAATAGTAGCAGCAGAAGAGGTAGTGGCAGTAGAGGTCGTACTAGTAGTACTAGTTTCATCTTTATCCTTGATGATTCCTCCAACTGATTTTGTTCTACGTTTTGGTTTATCAGTTGTTGATGTTGTTGATGTTGTTGCAACAGGTGATACTGATTTCTTTTTAATTGGTTTTACGTCTTGTTGTTCACCATCATCTCCATAATCATTATCATCATCATCCAATAAATCATCTAAATCATCTATTTTTCTACTACTAGCAGATGATGATAGTTTTGTTTTCTTTTTTGGTTCTTCTTGTTGTTCTTCTTCAAATGAGAATTCAAAGTCGTCATCAATGATAGTAGCTTCACCGTCATCAAGATAATCAATCTTTGATCTTGTTGTTGTTATTTTCTTTGGTACTGATGTAGTTGTTGTTGTTGTTGGGGTCGTTGTTGTTGATGAAGCAACAGATTTTCTTTTTGGTGTTGGTGTTGCAACAGATACTCTCTTTTTAGTCATTGTTGTTGTTGTTGTCGTGTTTACTTTATCTACTATACATACCATATATATATAGATAGATAGATATAAATATATAAATAAATACAAATAACAATAAAGATTAATAAACAAAAAAAATCAAAAAAGATGGTTTGTGAAGATCACAAAGAGACCCCCAATATTTTTTCTCTATTACTCTGAATACATTACCATCTTCGTCAATATTGACAATATCACGTTCACGTTTTATAGAACTAGAACTAGAGGAAGAAGAAGAAGAAGAAGACAATGAAGATATAGATGAATTGGGTGGTGTAAGGGAAGATGATAACAATCTTGATCTTGATACTTTCTTTCTCACTTGTCCATTTTTGTTGCCTTGTAATAAAAGATCATCGTCTTCACTATCGTCCATATCTCTATCTCTATCAATTCTTATTTTCTTTCTATTATCTATCTATCTATCTATCTTGTCTATCTATTGAACAAACAAATGAAATGAAAGTGAAGAATGAAAAGACGAAACAAACAAAAAGAGGTTTAAAAAAAAGAAAGTTGGGGACTTGTCCCTCCAATTTTAGAAATATAAATAAGAAGATTAGAGATGGATGATTTAAAAGATAATAAAATCACACAACTCACACACACAAATAATATATATATATGTGTGTATGTTGAGTGTTATGTGTGTGAGTGTAGAGTTTATTACTGATTATATGATTATTTATATATTTATATAAATTTATACAAGGTTGGGTTGAGTTGAGTTGGGAGTGGAATGATACTATATATTTATATTATTATTATTATTATTATTAATTATTGAGGTATTAATTATTAAATTACTTTAACCAAATTTTTGAATGACTACTTCTTTTAAATCTTTCGTAACTATCAGATTCCATTAATTTAAAAATTAAAGATTGTGATTCTAAAAATAATTTATCAATCATTTGAATATTTTCTATAAATAATAATAATAAAATAATAATTAATATTTGAATTATATTTATCTATCTATCTATCTATATTTATCTATATTTATATATATATTATTTACCTTTTATATCATTATTATTTACATTTTGATGATTAAATGTATCATCTAATTTCTTTACACAATTACTTGGTAGATTGACTTGTGTTAGTGATTTATCGGATATGAATAGGTTATATATTTTGATGGAATCCTTGACTTTTTTATCTTTGCTTTCCAATTGTTTGTACGTTTCAATTCTCGACCAAAAATCCAGATTTTCGTTTGAGAATTCCGATTTGAGGAATGATCTAAAACACTCTTTGGAATAGTCGTCGTGTAGTACCTCTATTAGTGGCGGGAAGGATATTGAACCCGATGGTGATGATCTTCCACCTGTACTATTATTACTGCTACTGCCAGTAGTATTGGTGGTACTGGCATGTTGACCAATAAAACTACCACCACCATAATAACTAACACTAGTACTAATACTACTCGATTTGTTTATATATTTTAAATCCATCTCTGATGCTATTTTAATGATGATGAAAAAGAATAATTATAATAATTGTATATTAATATTTTGTTGTTATTATTGTATTTGTTTTTGATTAATGTTTGGTTATTAGGCATTTAAATATATAAATAGAACAATGGAATATGAATGTAATATTGAGAATGAGTATATAGAAGCTAAATAATGGAAACAAATAAATCTCCACACACGACACGATAATTATTTATAAATAACAAAAACAGGTTTAATGATAATGACCTCCCGGGAGTTCTCCTCTTTTATCATATCTCTCAATTTCTCCTGATTTCTCTGATTGATTGATCGCCGTGTCATGTGACATGCATTTATGATCATAATTAACACGTTATTGTGGTTGTCTTCTCGATGTCTCTTTTAAATTGAATGTTCCAATGATCATCGCAATTGCTTGAAGCACTGGGAAGAGATGGGTGAGATTTGTTGCAAGGTGTGGTGTGGGTGCATCGGGAGATTTTCAAAAGATTTTTTTTATGGCCATAAAACTAAAAAAGTATACTATTGTGTTGGGCATTGTTTTTTTTTTCAACAAAAAAAAAAAAGTGTTAACACATACCTATGGTTCCTCTTCTTTCCCGAAGAGATCCAGCTCCATTGCTGTAACTATGACTGTTTCGTGTGGATGTTGTTTTCCATGATAGGTTATTGTCGTCGGTGGTTGTGGTTGTGGTGGTCGTGGTGGCGATCGTGCTACTGGTAGGCGTGCAAGGTGGCGATTTGGGTGTTGTATTGGCTGAGTTTATGAAAGATGATGATGATGATGGAGAGGAGGACAAAGGAGGTGATAGAGCCGCAGCGGTGGTGGTGGTAGGTGTTATTCTTGGGGAGACACTATTTGCTGGAGATTTCGATCCGTCTTTTGATCTCGATACAAATGGTTTGGAAATATTGAGATTAAGGACTGTTGCCATTTTCTGTAATCTTGATACCCTCACTTGTTGTGTCGTTGTGGTAGCAGTGATGGTGTTGGTGTTGGTGTTACTATTTATAGATGAAATGGATGACGTGGATACTGTCAATGGATTGATTGGTGTTACATTGTTGGAAGAGGACATGTCTGATGACATCGATGGTTGTGGAGGTGATTCATTTAAAACTGAATCCATACTTTCATTGGATGATGAACAAGATTGTTGTTGGGGTGACGATAAAGAAGAAGTGGTGGAAGCAGAAGAAGAAGAAGAAACATGGTTTGGGTGTTGATATAAATCTTGGTTAATAGAAGGTCTTCTCCTCACACTATATCCTGATGATTGAGTCAGAGTAGTAAATGGAGTGTTGATCATTGAACTACTATCAGACAATGTTGAGCTTGATACAAAACTGGCAATTGTATCAACTGATTCCGATGTTGTAACAATCTCTGATGATACTGTACAATAATTGGTTGAATATGTGTCATCTGCCTGTTGTTGTTGTTCTTCTATTTGTTGTTTCACTTCTTCCTCTTCCTTTACATTTTCATCTTCAATCATTGGTTTTTGTTCCAGCTCTAATTCCATTTCCAATTCTTGATCTAATTGTTTTTCAAATTGTTTTTTGTTTGGTTCCATCATTGCAACCTTTTTACTATTTAACTTCTTTTCACGTTTCTCTCTCTTTTCTTCTTCCTTTCTAATCTTTTTGATTTCCTTGTCCAATATCTTTTGTGAGTTTCGTTGGTCACGTTTATTCATAAATGAAGTGGTCTTGGATGCATCTCTCTCGGCTTGTTGAGTAGACTGAATAAAAGTGATGGTTGATGAACTAGTCACCCATTTTGAAGGGTCTGATGTCTGCTCGTCATCTGATGGACTACCACTACCACTACCACTACTGCTAGACTGGGTACTAGTCACCTCGGGTACATGTAACAGGTTGTTTTGGATATCCTGCAGACACTCCTTTGATGGCTTTTTATACAACTTTGGTTTAATTCGTTTTGGTGTATAATAAGTATTGGTTATAGCAGTTGGCGACGCTTGAATAACCATTGAATCACCAGACGATGAAAATAACTTGGAGTCTGCTCTAACTGGTATTGATCGATTGGCTGAACCAATCACCATTCCATTTATATTCATATTTGGAGTTAAAAAGGATGAATCTGTCTTTCTCAACATTCCATTTGTATTTGGTAAAATATAAGGTGAACCATTACCAACACTTAATTTTCTTTCCATCGTATAATTAATTGGACTATTATTACTATTATTATTATTACTATTACTATTATTTGAATCAGATGATTTAATTGATATTGGTGGCATTGATTTATGTTTCATTTTCATATTATTATTATTATTATTTGGTTGTTGTAATTCTTTGGATGATGGTTGAGGTTGAACAACTGGAACTGGTTGTTCCAAAGTATTATTTTGATGTTTTTGGAAATGAATTTGATTTGTTTCATCTATTAGATAATCAAATATACCTTCAATACCTTGATCGATGATATCTGGTGGAGGTAGTATAATTGGATTACCATAGATTTCAAATATAAATAGAGTTAATTCGGCCACTTGAACTGGAATGATATCTATTTGATTATTTGTTATATACAATTCTTTTAATCCAGTCATCTTGTTTATATCTTTTGGTATACCACTAATCTTGTTGTCTGATAAATCCAAACATTGTATATTATTTAATGTTAATAATACATTTGGGAATTTTTTTATCCTACAACAATTTAATTGATCAAAATCAAACAAATTAATTAAATTATTTTCAAAAATAATAATATTATTATTAATTTTTTATAGTTTACATACTTATTTCTAGATAATTTAACATTTGATAGATTATTTAATTTCTTTAATGATTTTGGTAATTTTTTAATCCTAAAAAAAAAAAGAAAATAAATAAATTGATTGGTTGATTGATTGATCGTTATTTACATACTTGTTATTATCTAGATTCAATGTAGTAAGTGAATTAAAATGAAAGAAATAATCATCTGGGATAGTTGTTATTTGATTATTTGTACTTTGGAATGACTCTATACGATCCTTTTCACATGGTAATTTTGAAGGTAACTTGGTGAGATCTCTAGATGAAAAGTCCATTATAATACCTCCAAGTTCACCATTGGATATTGTACCCATTGACATTTCTGAACAATTGGAAATATTCGATATATCAGATAATGATGATGACGATGAAAATGGTGTAAATGTATAGGTTGAAGTAGATTGAGGTGAAGATAAATAATTGGTTAGCGAATGATTACTAAAATGGTATGGATGATGTGATCCATTATTATTGACATTATTATTATTAATCTCTTCATTGGCAGTTGCCATTGTTATTATTTCTTGTTGTTGTTGTGGGGTTGTTATTATTGTTGATGATGTGGTACTAATACTAGATTCCATCATCATGTTTGTTAAGATTTATGGATGGGAGAAAAAAAAAAAAACAAAAGTGAAACCGGAAAACGGGAAAAGGAATGAATGATGTATGTAATTAAATTTAATATAGGTGTAGGGATGACAAGGATGAGTAGTAGTAGTAGTACAAATAAAAAAAGTTGTAATATATATAAAAAAAATATATTTAATAAATTTAAAAAAGGATTGGACAAGTTTGAGGTCGCGATGATGATGATGATGATGAACTCGGAAAAGTAGGAGGAGGAGGAACGAACAAACAGTTGTCTGTCTTGTGTCTACTGTTGTTGTTGTTGTTGTTGTTATAGTTGATAGTTGATTGTTAGTTTAAAACAGCAACTACAACTAGTACCACTGTTGTTTTCCAAATCAATCAAGAATCTAGCAAAGCAGAAGATTGGCCGAATGGCTAGCTGATTTGACTGGACGATGCTTATAATCCTATCGATTATTACTAGTAGTATAGTGGGTGGGGGTATTTGATGAATTTGATAGAGTGATTTAATTTCCAGCCAAAATAAGAACAACCAACTCATAAAACACAATTTAACATAATGAGTATTTCATCAATCGATCTAGTATAGAGGTAGATAGTGAGGTGGAGGAGGAGTAGCAGTGTGGTTATGGATATTTAAATATTTGTGATAATTGATGATGATGGAAACATTAAAAAAAAATAGTTGGTTGCGAAAAGAAGAAGAAGCTAAACAACAGCAAAAATAAACAATCTAATGGCTGTGTGTGAGACAGACACAAGATGCAATTGACAATACTAAAATAATCGCGTCTGTGTGTCGGTCTGTCTGTCCTGACTGTCTGTCTGTCCTGTCTCTCTGGCACTGTAGTATATATCGTCGATTGAAAAAAAAGATGTAGTCTAGAATGATTATTTGACAAAAAAAAAAAAAAAAAACAAAAAATCACAACAGATATCTTGTGTTTGTTATTGGTTGGATTTGACTGTCATGTATCGAGCAAGTCAAGAGTGAGTGATAGAGAAAAAAAAAAAAAACTGGGGGTTTGATTATTTGGGTTGGGATGGGAAGGAAGGAGGAAGATTGTTTTTGTGAACTCTACTAGGGTAGGGTGAGAGGTGAGGGAAAATTGCAAAAGATTTGATAGATTGTGATGTTGATGTTGATGTTGATAATTGGATGATCAAACAGACGGAAAAAAAAAACACAGTGACTACAATTTAATTTAAATTAAATTGAATTAAACCAAATTAAAATTTGGACGACTCTAACATATAATAATATATTATGTATGTATTGTGTTTGGATGAAAATATAATATATAAACCCAAAAAGACAATTTATACACCACACAAAAACAAGACAGAGGCAGTACAACATGTACTATGGATTAATATATATATTTTGTTGTCTTACTTCTTGTTCTTTTTCTTCTCATCCTCCTCCTGTGATCCACAAAACTACTGGATGGATTAAAACAAATTAATTATTTTCAGAGACGCATATTATTGATGTTACCCTGTTGTTGTTTTTGTATATCAAAAGGCTGCAAGGGGTAGTAGTAGTAGAAAGGAATCATCACCAACATGTTATGTTATGTTATTTCTATTCTATTCTTTTTTTTGTAAAACTGTGATTGATTTCCCAACCACGATATACAAAAAAAATCAAGAGCAGTGGAGGAGTGGTTATGACTTTGATGATGGTTGGTATTATTGGTATATATATATACATGTAATGCTGATGGGTATTTAATGGATAAATAAATATAAATATATAAACACTTTATATTCGTGAACAGAGGAGAGGAGAGGAGAGGAGAGGAGTGTTTAAATTGTTTGGTTTCGCACTCTCTCACATCCGATGGTTTTTATGATCATCAACAATTATAATTATAATCATCGGTCGGTTGGAAAGGATCCAAGATATTAAATCAATATTATTATTATCGATGGATGGATATGGGGTGGGTTTTTTTTGAATTTGTAACCAATTCGTGTATGTGTGTGAGTGATTTAAAACAACATAGAGATTATCTCATCCACTTGTTACTCCATCTCCTCTTTTTCTCTCTTGAATCAAGTGTTGTTGCCATTTTTGTTGTTGTTGTTATTATAATATTTTATAAACTTTTGCATAATCATATATGATGATAGATAGCTAGCTATTCCTTTATCCTGTTTCCATTTCATACCATAATCATTCTTTTTCTTCTCTGACACCAACATCTTGTTTTTCCAAATTTAAAATAAAAACAATAGAAAAGGGGAATAAAATAGTAGTAGTAGTAGTATATAACAACTCTGTTACTGTTGCAGAGTTCAACAAGAGTTACTATAAATCATGATTTGATTTTTTCAACAAAATCAATTAATTTAACTCACCCTATCTACCCACCACCACCACCAATTTTGAACTGTTGTATATATTGTGGGGGTGATGTTATTTTTGTCTGTTGGTAATTTTGACTGTGAGTGATTATGAATGATCAAACCAAATCATCTTTCCGTTTCCCTGTTTGTTTGTGTTGTTGTTGTTGCTATAAAATGTTGTCAATCTATAGATAGATCCATCCATTATTTAATTTTGTTTTTACCTTTGAACAATGATGTTGGTACTGATACTGATGACTCTATTACCATGTTATTAGATTTGATGTTAGTTGATTTTTAGATTTTGAGAGACCAACAATGAAATGATTTTAAAAATTACTACTAACTACTACTATTTTACACTATTATTATTATACAATTTAATATATTATTACTATTATTATTATAACATTATTATTAATTACTTTGGTGAAGGGTGTGTTTTATGATTATTTATTTTAAAAGTACAATTGTTATTAATTAATATGAGGGAGATTATTATTATAACTTCTCTCTTTTGGTTATAATTATTATTAAGGTTGACAGAGTGTTGATGACATTTATTTATTTATTAACAGTACTCTAAAAATTTTTAATGATGTAAATGCAGCAGCATCTGGCAACTTTCTTTCTTTCCTTCCTTCTTTTCCTTTTTTTGATGATCATGGAACAGGAGAAACAAAGAGATGTGCAAGGATATGGGTGGGGGTGAGCTGCCAAGATTGAGTGTAGGTATGAGTAGTAGTAGGGTAGTAGGTAGGTAGGAGATGGGGATAATAGTAGTAGTGTGGAGGATAACCTGATCATAGACCCCATCATCATCATTATGATCAATCACCAAGAATGAATGACGTGTGGTAAACCACTACCTAACCCTTCCATCCATGGATGGTTGTTGTGTTTTTGTAAAGCTTGGTGGGTGGGTGTTTAAAGTAAATTAGGAGTAAAATCTGGCTTACTTTGAATTATTAAGTTGTTTTGATGTGGTCTTGTCTTGTTTAATTAATTATCTTTTTTTTTCGTTGAGGATAAAACTCTCTCTTTCTTTCTTTCTTGCTGATGTCAAATAAAATATTAGATAGATTGATAGAACAGAGTGTTTGGTGGGTTTGAAGATGATAAAAAAGATAAACTACTATACTTTACAAACGAGTATCATCTGAGACTCTCTGGGGTTGAGTGAGGATTCCTCAAATGCCTTATCCTGTTTCCTGCCCGCGGGATAAACCATTCTTTCGGCTGAAAAATGAATTATCGTCGTTTTTCCTTTAATCTCCTGACAGATATTTGAAATTGTCGGGACAGTTACGATAATGGGTTTGTAAAATTGATTGAACACTTGATCTTCATCTAAAACGAACGAATTTAATTTAAACTGTTTATCCAATCAATTCATTTTTACTTTGGGAATCCTCGCGAGTGATGTTCACTAATCCAAAGGGCAATCGAGCGAGCGAGTTATGTTTGTAAGGGTTAGGGTATGGCTCGTTTCCAATCGATTTGGTTTGGAACCCAATGAAAGATCCAAAACCATCTTTGCAAGAAGAATATGATGATGATTATTATTATCCAGTTGCAAAAGATACTTTTAAAAATAATAATATTGATTGATTGACTCTTCTTTTATTCTTTAAAGAGGTTTAACTTTTGACTTTTTAATTTTTCTTTTGTTTCTTGACTGATTTGGTTGATTCTTTCTTTGTTCTTTTAGTTGATTTACCATTTTTCTTTTCTTCTTCTTGATCTGATTCTTCAGACTCTGATTCTTCCTCCTTTTCTTCCTTTTCTTGTTTTTTAGATTTCTTTTCTTTCTTTTCTTTCTTTTCTTCCTTTTCTTCTTCTTCTTCTTCTTCTTCCTCTTCTTCATCTTCAGATTCTTCTTGTTTTTTAGATTTCTTTGTTGATTTCTTCTTTTCTTGAGCTGCCTTTTCTTTTTCTTGTTGTTTTAAAAAGGCTTGATGTTTCTTTTCAACCTCTTCCTTTAATTTTAGAGCTTCCTTTTTGTCCTTTTCAATGGATTTGGCGTCCAACTCTGTAAGGGTGAGCTTGAGATCAGCCTCTTCTGGGAATACTTGGGTAGCACTGCCAAAGAATCTATTGACCCAAGACGAGACATAACGAGTAATGTCAATATCTGGATGATTTGGATAGAACTTGTAGATCTTGGCATTACGGAGATTCTCTCTATCCTGTTCAGACATATCGGCAACTTCTTGGTGGATGGCATCGAATCTAGTCTTTTCAATGGCTCTAAGACGTTCAAATTCCTTTTTGAGTTCAGCCTTGAGTTCATCGCCATCAAACTCAATCTCTGGATGATCGTCTTCAAACTCTTCAATAAAAGCAGATGGACTATCAACTTGCTTGTCATAGTTGATCTCGATGGTGATGTGAGTCTTGACTTGATTTTCTTCCTTTTCTTCTACTTGAGCTGCGTCGGTAGCCTTTTTAGATGGTCTTCCTCTACCTCTTGGTTTAGTGTCTGTTGAAGTTTCTTTCTCTGTAGTCTTTTTCTCGGTTGTCTTTTTCTTTTCCTTTTTCTTGTCTCCTCCTTTAGTCTTTTCTTGTTCAGCGGCAATGGCAGCGGCGATTGCTTCAGCAGCTTCCTTTTTCTCTTGGATCTTCTTGTCGTGGTATTCTTGTGGATCCTTGAGCTTAAAGTCCATGTTGAACTTGACAGACATGACGGGGTTTGGTTCGACGAGCTTTCCGACAACTTGTGGCAAACGCACAAATGGTAAAAGGTATTGGAGTTCTACGAGTTGTTCTTCCGACATCTTGTTGGTCTTTGTCGAACGTGTCTTCCACTGCAATGTTTGGATTGGCTTTTTGTATTTGGTAAAATCAAAGTTTACGAGTTTGGAACGGACGTAGGGTGTCCATTCGAGTTTGTATGTAGACATGTCATAGATCTCTTCGTGTGTCGATTGAATCGATGCCTTGCAAATCTTGTTGGGTGGTGCTGTCAAACAGTCAAACACAACAATGTATGGGATGTTCATACTGTCCTTTGATGTCTTGCCAACGATTGGTTGTGCACCCATAAACATATAGATGGGATGATCGAGATCAGAAAGGAAACCTTCCTTTAACTCTTGGTTTAATGACTTGAATTCCCAATCTTCATCCAATATAGAATCCCATGTCTTTACTTCAAATCCAATTGGTGTCATATCTCTCCAATCCTAATTAAATATAGAAAAGTAATATTATATTAGCTGACTTTGTTTCATCATTCTTTTTCTTTATTTATCCTTATCTCTACATACGACTTTCTTTAACTTATTTTGAAAAGCGATGCTAGCCTTTGAAGGAGCTCTTGGCTTTGCAGTTGTGCTGCTCTTTGGTGCAGCAACAGTAGTAGCATCCTTCTTGACACCTGCTGCCTTTTTGGGTGCACCTTTCTTGCCTGTCTTTTTCTCTGCTACTTCAATAGATGGTACAACTACATCCTTTGTTGATGTAGTCGAAGTAGTAGAAGTAGTTGAGGTAGTGTCTTCCTTGGTATCCATTATTATTTATAAATGATCGAAAATAAATAAATAACTATAAAAATAGTGATCAATGAGAATGAACATTCAAAACAGCCAACTACTCTGCTTGTTCACTCGACCCCAAAAAAGTTAGTCGTTAAGACCAAAAATTAAAAAATTTAAAAAATATTTTTTTTTTCTCAGACGAGACGTACTTCAAATTAACCTACCCCCAACTCTCACCACCACTTTAAGATTTGTTTATTCGGACCATTTTCCTCATTTCTTTTACTATTAGTAACCTATTTATACTTTAACTATTCTCAACTTTATTTTATTTATATATACATCATACAATAAATATAGATAGATAGTTACTATAACTAAAGAGATAATAATTACAGAATGCCACCAAAAGTAATAGACGAAGAATTAGTTAAAAAGTTTTCAGCTCTTGGGTTAGACCAAACCAAGGCAAAGGAAGCAGCTGGTAATGCCAACATTGCAAGCACATTGAGTGAAATCATCAAAGAGTCTGGTCTAGAGGGTACATGCGACAAGTCGGTCGGTGTGATTCTCTATACTTTGGCCACCAAGTATCCCGCCAATGCACTCCGTCACAGACCACAATTGTGCTCTGACGTTGTTGCCAAGCGTGTCACCAACATCAACTTGCAAGTGTGTCTCGAATATTTGCGTATGGCTGCCAACGAACCACTCAACAAGGAAGAGTATGTTGAAAAGTGTGGTGTCGGTATTGTCATCTCTCGTGACCAAGTACGTGAGGCTGTCGACACCTACGTCACTGAAAATATCAACGATCTCAAGGAAAAGAGATACCGTATCAACATTGGTCAATACTTGTTGCAAATCAAGGATCGTCTCAAGTGGGCCGATCCAAAGGAGATCAAGGAAGAGGTAGACGCAAAGATTCTTGCCGTTCTCGGTCCAAAGACTGAAGAAGACTCCAAGCCAGTTGCCAAATCACCATCAACTCCAAAGGAACCTAAAAATGCTGCCAATACTACTACCACCACCACCAATGCCAAGGAAGAAAAGGAAGTTTCAACCATTACTTTCCCAGATCCAAAAGAAAATGTTCAAAATACTCCAGATATCTTGGCAACTCATTTAAAGACTACTGGTGGACAAATTATTACTCGTTTCCCACCTGAACCAAATGTAAAACAAATATACATTATATAATCTGTTTATATTTATTAACCTTTTTTTATTTATTTATTGTTTTTAGGGATATTTACATATTGGTCATGCTAAAGCAATGCATTTAGATTTTGGTTATGCAAAGAAGAATGGTGGAAAATGTTATCTTCGTTTTGATGATACTAATCCAGAAAAAGAAAGTCAAGAATATATTGATTCAATTATTGATGTAAGTGATAGAGATGGAGAAGAGAGAGATAGAGATTAAATGACTAATATGTACATTTGTTAATTTAGTCTGTAAAATGGTTAGGACATGAACCATGTGAAATTACCTATTCATCACAATATTTTGATGAATTGTATAATTTAGCAATTGAATTGATCAAGAGAGGACATGCATATGTTTGTCATCAAACCGCTGGAGAGATTAAAGAGGGACGTGAAAAGATGCTCGATTCACCATGGAGAAACCGTTCAGTCGAAGAAAACTTAAAGTTATTCGAAGACATGAAGGACGGCAAGTACGAAGAGGGCAAGGCTATTTTACGTATGAAGGGTGATATGAAGCACGCCAACCCATGTATGCGTGATCTCATTGCCTACCGTATCAAGTACCACGCTCATCCAGTCAGTGGTGACAAGTGGGTCATCTACCCATCATACGACTATACTCATTGTTTGGTCGACAGTTTGGAGAACATTACTCACTCGTTGTGCACACTCGAGTTTGAAGTTCGTCGTCTCAGTTACAACTGGTTGATTGACGTACTCGGCTTGTACCGTCCAGTTGTCTGGGAGTACGCCCGTCTCAATCTCACTCACACTGTCTTGTCCAAGCGTAAGATCATCACCCTCGTCAACACCAAGGTTGTGTCGGGCTGGGATGATCCCCGTCTCTCGACATTGAATGCCTTCCGTCGTAAGGGATACACTCCAGAGTGCATCAATGCCTTTTGCGAGACTATTGGTGTCACCCGTACCAACAACACCTCGCTGCCATACGAATTGCTCGAGTTCCACGCCCGTCAAGATCTCAACGACAAGGCTACCCGTGCTATGGTCGTCTTGGACCCAATCAAGGTTGTCATTACCAACTTCCCAGAGGGCACCACCGACGACATCCGTGTCGCCAACATCCCACATCTTGCCGACGCTGGCCACCACACCGTACCATTCTCAAGCGTCGTCTACATTGAGCGTGCCGACTTCCGTATGGTCGACTCGTCCGACTACTTTGGTCTCGCCCCCAACAAGGAGATCCTCCTCAAGTACGCCTACAACATCCGTTGCAATGAAGTCATCACTGACGCTGCCGGAAAGGTCACCGAATTGCGTGTCACCTATGACAAGACCAACGCCAACAAGACCAAGGCTATCCACTGGGTCTCCTCACGACACGGTGAAGCCCCCGTCCCAGTCGAGATCCGTCTCTACGACCATCTCTTCCTCGATGAAGACCTCGGCGACGATTGGTTGCAAAAGATCAACCCCAAGTCACTCGAAGTCATTCCAAATGCCGTCGCCGACGTCACTGTCCTCGGATCAAAGACATACACTAGATTCCAATTCGAAAGAACCGGTTATTTCTGTTGCGACAAGGACAGTACCGATAGCAAGTTGGTCTTTAACAGAATCACCTCTCTCAAGGAAAGTAAGGAAAAACCAGGTAACAACAAACCTGATCCAAGAAAGAAAAATAGATCTTAAATCAAAATAATATAGATCTATTTTATTGGTCGATGCATTTTTGTCATTACCATTAAACAACAACACATTTACTCTTTATTACTCAAATTAAATAAATAATTTAATTTAATTTAATAATACATATTTTATTTACGTATTGATTGGTTGGAAGTCTTCACAATGCCGGGTTTAAACAAAAATTAATTTTCATCTTCATATGCATTCATTGCAATCATAGAACACAAATGAGTGATAATAATAAGAATGAAGTAATAGTAGTAGAAGAAGATACAACACCAAAAGTAGAAACTAAATACTTGTACATGCCAGAGATCAAAGATGATTATGATCGAGCAAAGTTCTCATTAGTATCTGATTTCCCAGCATGCTATCAAACCATCGATATGGCAATCGAATGCAATCGTAGTCATGGAGTAGCACCAGATGTTTTAATTAAACCTTGCAAAGAGATACAAGGCCATATGAGGTTTTGTCTACTTAGTACTTTTTGCCCGAAACAAGCTTCACTACTTGTTGATTGTATGAAAGGAAGAATACCCCTAGATGAACAACAACCTATACCAAAGAATTGTTTAAAATTTGTATGATCAACAAGAGAATATTGAATGTTATATTATATTGATATATTTGATTATTCTATTATTATTATAGTGGAATGACTTTGATTCTTGTTTAGGTAAAGCAACAGATGACTTTGAAACAAAAAATAATCCATTAAAGAAATAAATGATAATCAACATAATGGTTTTGTGTGTATTTATAAATAATTATATATTTATTTATGAATTGTTAATAATATTAATAATTTAGGAAGGATAAGATCGATCTGTCTTATCAATCTTAATATTTTTTTTGATCTGGAGTGATGGTGGATGATGGATGATTGAACTTGTCCAAGATATCTCTTGGGTTGAATGATGATTTATAATCGATTGCTATGATATCTCTTTCTCTTTTGTCGTTTTGATCAATACAGTCGAGTTTGTTTTATTTACAAATTATATTGTTGGTTGGTTGGTTGTATTATGATATGATACCATCATATCTATAATTGCTTTTCTTTCTTTTATATTCTTTTTTAAACGTATTTCATTTTCTTTTGTTTCTCTTCTTCTTCTTTTTCTTTCTTCTTAAGCATTCTTCCACTTTTCTCCACAACTACAACATACAAAGTATAGTGTCATCTTATCGCTCTTTGTACCCATAGATTGGAAGAAAATAGCTTCTCTACCATCACATGCATGACACTTTGCACCTTTTGTTCTCGGTAACGTAGGATCTAATGATATGTCATGTAATACTTGAGTTCTTTCACTTTACAAATTGAATGATTGAGAGTTTAATATCGATATTATATGTTTGATGTTTAAGATCATCTGACTTACTCTGTTGAATGTTTGATTTCATTTCTATATACACATGAATTACTAGCTTCTTCTTGATGATCGCAAATCTTACAAACCAACAATAAAGTCTTGTTTATCTTATCTGCTTGAGGATAAAGCATATTATTACTAAAAGTAGTAAAAGTAGTGTAGTTTGATAACTTGTGTTATTAGTTTCATCTCATTCGTTCATTGTTCATATGGTTCATTCATTCATAATGATCGTACCATTCACCACAAAAGTTCATTGTTTGTTTGTTTCTTTCTAAATCACTAATATATAAATAAATAAAGAGAGAGTAAAACAAATATAACAATGATCTAGTCGAAAAAAATCAAGTTCTACTTGATTTTCAAAAAAATATTTAAGGAGAAATTTTAAATTATTTAATTTTTTATTTGTTATAGTTATTTCTGGATTATTTTTTTTTGAGGTTTGTTGTTATTTGTTGTTTTTAATTTAGTTTTCTTCATCACTATCCATCAAGAAGGAGAATCTACCAGCAGCAGCATCCTTGGCTTTGGCCTTTGAAGGGGCAGCCTTTGGCTTTGGTTCAGATGAACCACTTCCCTTTTTGCCCTTGTTGGTGACGATGGTGAAACCGGCTTCATCTTCCTTTGGTTGTTCCTTTTTGATCGAATAAGAGACGACCCATGGAAGGAGATCTTCCTTGGTGATGATCATCTCCTTGCCATAGAATCTGGCCAATTGCCAGACGTTAAAGAGATGGTAACGGTAGTTGGCAATGAATCTGAATTCGTTGAGCTTGATCTCACCGTTGCCGTGGATGATGTCGTGAATACGACCCATCTTGATTCTCTTGATCTTGTCCTTGTTGATACGGTAAGTGTCCTCACCGACCTTTTTGACAGAGTCACCTTGGATGACTGGCTTGCCGGCAAACTCGACAAAAACAAAGCCAAATTGCTTTCTCTTTTCAGTCTCGCTGGCAGTCACCAAGTTCTTGTTGTAGTCGATGAGTGGGAAGTCAGTCTCGTCCAAGTAGTCGGGCTTCAACAAAAAGTCTGGGTATCTAAAGTTGGCATAGTCGGCCAAAATCTTTTTCTTTTCCTCTGATGTCTCGTAGAGTGCAAGCTCGCCAGCAAGCAATGTCAACGAATAGACAGAATAACTGCTTTGGAAAGCTGGGTTGGAAAGTAATTCTTGTAATTTTTCTCCATTCTTGATATCACTCTCTCCATTGAATAATTCAATTACCAATTTTGATACCATTCTAAAGTAATTTGGACACTAAAAAGGTATAAATAAATAAAATCAAATTAATCCATAATTCTTCTTTTTCTTCATTTTCTTCATTTTCATTTTCTTTTTCTTTACACTATAAGATTGATGAGATTTGATAACTTGATCATTTTGACAATAGTAACAACCATTTTCCTTGAGATTCCAACCTTCTTGTTGAAGATTGGCACCATACTTTTGGAGGATGGCAAGGTTGGCATTCTTGTTGTAATCGTTTTGGAGGAGGGAGGCATAGATGGGAGCCAATTGCTTGGAACGGACAATGTCGTCCGAGACGGTCTTGTTGTCGTAGAGGGCGACAAACAACTCGGAACGCTTGAACCATTTGAGTTGTTCGCTCTCGTCCTTGAATATGAGGATGAGATCAGACTTGTCGTTTTGATCGGCCTCGAAAAAGGCATAGTCGACATCACCATAGACATACTTGACCGATGACTCGGTCTTGAGGAGGTTGTTTTCGTGCATGACTTGCTCGTCGGCTTCAAAAGCAGAACGCTTGAGTTGCACAGAGACACCTTCAAACTCCTTGTTGATCTTTTCGATCAATTGAACGAGTGGAGCTTCAATGCAACGGAAACGATAGTTTTGTAGTCTGTTTTCAGTGCCGTCGCAGAACTTGTCACGCTTGGTCTTACGGTCCTTTTGACGACCATACTTTTCGTGTCCAAAACCATCAATGTACAAGAGAATGGTCTTGAAACCGTATTGGGTGATGAGCATTCTGATAAACTTCTCGTCACGTTCCATCAAAGTGTCAAAGTCGGCACCCTTGGCTTGGTTGTTGGTGATCGACACTGAAAGCAAATGACATGCATCAGCAATCAATGTAGTGTTTCCTGTCTCTGCTGGTGATGGCATAATCATTACCGATGGTACTACTACTGGTGCTTCAACAGCAGCAGCAGTTGAGGTGGTGGTGGTAGTAGCATCTGTGGTGGTGGTGGTGGTGGTGGTGGCTGGTGCAGCAACTACTTGAAAGGTTGGTTGAATGAGTGGCTTATCATTCAACTTGATTTCCTTTAAGCATGATTTCAATCCTGTAATACCCATACTCTCTCTTTCTCTCTTTCTCTCTAGATGATGTTGATTGGAAGAAGACTGTGACTTGAAGACTATTCAACTTGACAAAGATCAGTCTATACTCTAAGATCTTTTTCTTTGCCATAGTGCGCAACACGCTCCCCTCCTCCAGCACAGCAAACAGAATCGCACGAAATGCGAAAATATAATTTTAATTTTTTTTTTCAATTCAAAATACTCCAAAAAAGAAGGGAACAGATAAATCTTTAATTTCAAATTATTAATTTAATTGAAAACCATGCATGTAAGTTGGTTGGTTGGTTGGTTGGTATAGAGAGACGGTTGACAAGACATCAAAGTGTAAAAACAAACTGAGTAAAAAGAGTAAAATCCAAAAACCAAGGAAACTTTTTTTTTTTTTTTTTTACTTTTACTTTTTATAGAAATCTATGAATTCGTAATTTGACGAACCAAGTTCAAAGAAGGAGTACTGCAAAAATTAGAGAGAGAGAGTTTTAAATTTTAATATTATTATTATTATTACTGCTCTACTTAGACACAAAACGTATCATACATAATATTGAAAACATATTATATACAGATATTATCTTTTCCACAAGACACATTTTAATATTTATTATCTACACCCACACGCCCAGCATATTCACATTATCGTTATCATTATCATTATTTATTTATTTATTTATTTAAATGAGAACTATTTTTATATTTATATAATTGTTGTAAATGTATTTACAATTATTTCAGAATCTGTCCATTCCAAGTTATATTTTCATTCATTTACTCTATTTTATTCACCAATTTATTTTAAATTTATCCCAAATATACTGTTATACAGTTTCTAGTCAAGTTCAACAACCACCACCACCACCTATACTACTAGTACCTCAACAACAACAAGATAGTAATTAATTTATTTTTTCCATTTCATTTCAAAACATGCCATTAAAAATATTAAATAAAACTCTTAAAAAGGGATCATCCTCCATTGTACCATTGACCATATTTATAAAGATTGATTCCATAAGTAATATCCTTCAAGGAAATGAACATCTATGTAATAGAGAGACTCTATTCGAACTACATTGGCATCGTGGTAACCATCGAAAAGGTGTCATTCCAAATCTAAGTCTCAACAAAGACGGTGAATTGAAACCCCAAAATTCCATCAAAATACCTTGTCGATTTACGAGAGATTCTTCAACTGATGAATTATCAACTAAAAAATTAACTATTAATTTAAAAAAGGTAAACAATTATTAAAAATCTATTTTTAAATCTTTACTCACACCATTGTTTTTTTATTAGTATGAAAATGGTAAAAAGAAATCATTGATCAAATTATCAACATTACAAATAGATATTGCAAAGATTGCAGATAAAGACGACCAAAAACCAAGACAATATACTTCAACAATGAAAGGTTGTGAAGAAGTTAAATTTAAACCTTATGTAAGTTAAACTATATAAAGAAGAAGATAAAAGTATCATCATTTTACTTACTTTTGTTTTTTTTAGATTGAATTTACAGCATCAATTGTAAATGGAATTGATGAAGATGTAGTAGATGATGATGATGATCAATATGTTTCACCACCATCCAATAGAAGAGAATCTGTTTCTAGTTTGGGAAGTGGAGGTGGTAGCGATCCAAACCATTCTCATGTGAATGGAGACCAATCGTCAGACAAGAACTCTTCTCCAGGAGACGACCCATTTGATTTTAACTTTGATAGAGGATCGACAGACTTTTCAAAACAGTCACCTGAAAACAATCGAAAGAGTATTGGTGGAGAACTCGGTCGTACAGAGTCACCCATATCATTCTCTACACCTCCAACACCTTTACACCAATCGTCACCAAATATACCAATCAATGCTGGTGGAAGAGCAACACCCATCCCCACTCAACAACAGTTTATGTCACCAGGTACTCCATCCTATCTCTATGAACGGTCATTGGTCAATGAATCTTCGTCATCACCAGGAAACAAAAACTTAAATACATCACAAATGAATGTCCAATCACCATACAGTACCACTGGAGTACCATCACCACTTGCACCAAGTCCACCAAAGACAGCACGTAGAAACTCTATTCATGGAGCCCAACAAAAACCAGAGCAAAAGAAAAGGGTCAAAGTGTTTGGTTTCTTAATGTCCGACAAACAAAAGCAACAACTTCAGTCTCCAACATCAGACAAACCACCATCGCCCGCCAAAGAGTCGAGATGGGGCAAGAGAAGACATTCTATCACCGAAGCTATTCCTCCCTCTTATATGAGAGACTCTGTTGAAAATACCAATACCATTGTTCCACCCGCAGAAGATGCAAGTAGTACAATTGCCAATAATGGTAGTCTAAAGAATAGTAATGGTAGTATTCCAACTACATCTCCACCTTCTCAACAACAACAACATCATAGACAAGGTAGTCTAACAGATCAATTAAATCAAAATGAAGAAAGAATGGATCCTATTCATTCAATTTTAATGACAAGAAATAGTGATGGTAAATATCAAACAAAAAATAATAATAATAACATAATCTAATTACTTACTTTGTTTCTCCAATATGTATATATATTTAGATAAATTAAAATTTATAAATGAAGAAATGATCATTTACAAGAAACCAGAATATTCAGAAAGTATTCCAATTTCTTCAATTGTTATTTATAAATGTCTATTTGAATGGAAGGAATTCTCTCCTCATAACCATATTTGTTTAAAAAGAATATTAGAATCTTTTGATTATTTAACAAAGGTAAATTAAACTAGAAATCGAAATTTATAAAATTAATTACTTACTTTAATTTTGTTTTTGTTTTTAGATGGAAAAAATGGATAGAGAATCAAGTTGTTATTGGTTATCAAATTGTTATGTTTTATATTATTTGTTGGATAATTCATATTCATCTAGAGTTAATTCAAAGAGTCGTGGATCACCAGAGAAATCACCAAAGTCTGATCTATCGAGCAACAGTGAAACCCAAAACATCAAGTTTACCATTAATTGCATGAAATCGTTCCAAAAGAGCTTTTGGAGATTGTTTTGGAGAAATATTCAAATCGAATTGGAAATGGTATTGAAACGAATGGTTCAACTTATTGGCGACCAAGATTTCCAACAATCACCACTCTTTGTCAACTATATTCTTAGTACTATTGACTTTTTAGAGAAACGAGTACCATTCCAAACACTCTGGCCATACGTATTCAAACAAATATTCTTTTACACGAGTAGTTATTTCTGTAATCAATTCCTTGAAAACTCTACCATCTCCAATACCACATCGGTTGTTAATTTGAAATTATTATTCTCTTCAATCACTCAATGGATTCAAGAAAACAAAAATTTAAATTATTTCTATTATTACAAGTAAGGAGAAAAAAAAAAAAAAGTTAATATATATTTATGTACATTTCTAACTAACATTTTTGTATTTTTTTTTTTTTAGGATTGAAATGACACCAATATTTCAAATGTTGGATACATTAATGATTGATAAGAATACATTAATTGATGAAAATGTTAGAAGAGATATTTGTCCGTCGTTGAACCCAACACAGTTGGCTGTCTTGTTGTTGACTTACCAATCTGACCAAAGAAATCATGATGAAATCGATCCAGTAGTCATCAAAGTGTTGCAAGATGAAGGTATCAAGAAACAGAGCTTACAAATAACAACCAATCTCAACATTGTCTTTGACCTACCAGAATCTGTTGAACCAAGTAGAAGAATTCTAGATACAAAGATACCAACCTCTATTACTTCAAATAAGAAAATGAAATTTATTTATAAAAATAATCAAGTTTATTAAATAAATTAAATATATAATTAAAACAAATAATTTTATACAAATAATATTAATTTATTTATCTATTATCACTGTGAGAAAAAAAAAAACTCTCATTTTTCAAATTCATTTTTTTCCAAACCACTATACTCAAAAAATAATAATTAATTTTCTACAATAATAGTATTTATCATCAGACTTTTTTATAATTTTAGTTTTAGTTTTATTTTTGAATCATTCATTCTCATAATATTTTAATCATAAAATCAGTCAAAAAGATGATCATTTTTTTATTTTTTAATATTTTTTGACTTTTAGTTTTTTAGTATTAAAAAAAGTGACGAAACTCGTGTGGTTGAGAAGTTCACTAAATCGAACAAAAAAGTAAAAATAGGTATGAGCATACACCACCCCCCCCTTCTTTGTCCGATTTTCGTATCGACCACATCCGTCAGACATAATAGCATTAGTGTAGTTTTTAGTACTAGATTTAATATAAATTAGTACCCACCTATTTCCATATGGGTACGCGTTTATGTATCTAATTTTCCTTTTTCAACTCGACAGTTTGCTTTAAATACTCTTGTTTTCACCTCATTTCAAATCATTCAAATCAAATACATCTATTTATTTATTTATTTATTCTAAACAAACACATATTTATATCAATACAACATTCAAGTAAAAACAACATCTTTTACAATAATTATTTATTCACTCTAAACAATGAGATTCGCACCATTATTTTTATTGTCCCTCTTAGTTGGGTCAATCACAGCTCAAAACTGTTATCTTTTCAGTATGTAATATAAAATATTAATATTTTCTTTTTTTCCAAAATATTAATATTCATTCTTTTTTTTTTTTTTTTCTTTTTGTTTAGATCAAACTGCTGCCAAGTTAGATCAATTCGGTCCAGCTATTGGTGGTGATGCAGTCTACTTTGCAGACTCAAATATCCCAGGTGGAAAAACCGGATTCGTTTTCAACACTGGTTCAGCAATGTCCACAACATCCAACGGCAAGTTGGTGATCACCGGTACCATGGTTCCCACCGATGGTAGCAAGAACGTCTTTTATGATGCTCGTTTCTCGTTCAACCCATCGAGCCAAGCCTTTACTCCAAAGTTGGAGCTCCAAGATGCTGCCTACGTCCAAAACGGTGGTCCAGTTAACCCAGCCTCATTCACTTACTACACTCTCAACGCCGGTGACTCTGTCTTTGTAGGTCACGGTGATGTCGAAGGTGTCACTGTCAACCTTGCTCCATTCGAAGGTATGCCACTCCAATCTGGTGTCGGTGCCAACGGAAAGAACGTCAACAATGGTGTCTCTGGATGGTTCGCCCCAACTTTTATGAAGAACGGTCAACAAATCTACGCCTCATCTCAAGTCGTTGATATCAACGTCGACTCTGCCTGTGACCAATGTGTCTCCAACACTCTCATGGCTACTCAAGCTGGTGGTCAATCTGTCTTTATCCAAGGTGACACTAGCCCATTCGGAGGTAATGCCAAGTGGGATTTCATCAACAACTCTGGATCATTCGCCTACCAAACCAACGGTGACCTCTTGTTCACTGGTTCACTCGTCCCAGTCGGAGCCAACTCCCCAACCATGACCTGTAGCATGCTCTTCCACCCAAACACCAACAACGTCCAACCAAAGAAGGAACTTTCACCAGACTCTTATTTCCCAAATGGTCCAGTCGATACTAACACCTGGGTCTATTACAACGTCGATACCACTCAATCATCATGCACTGTCAACGGTAACACCGTCACCATCACCGGTGATATGGGTATCCCACTCCAAGTCGGTAACGGTGCCAACGGAAAGAACACCAACTATGGTGCCTCTGTCTGGTTAGAATACAACGGTACCATGGATATCTTTGATATCAACGTCGACTTGGTCTGTGTTGTCAACTCCACTGCCACTCCAGTCCCAACTGTTACCCCAACCCCAACTCCAAACTCTCCAAGTACGGATTCATCTACTTTTACTTCTATGACTCCTCCTCCTTCTACCTCTACTACCTCTTCTTCTTCTATCGCTACCACTACTACTATTCCATCTACTACTACTACTTTCTCGACAGGTGAGATTTCCTCAACAACAGGTAAATGATATAACCCAAAAGATTCACATCTCTTTCCATCTAGATGAATCATTAATTCTATTAACGATTTCTTCTCGATCAATGTATATACAGGATGTGTTTGGGTTTGTCCTCCATCTCCAACTACTACAACAACTACTACCTCTATGATGACTACTACTTCTATCTCTAATGTTACTGATACTCCTACTCCTACTGCTCCTTCTACCATCCCTCCTACTACCTATCCAAATGCTTCAACCATACCAGCTCCCATTGGTATCCTTCTAAATCTTTTATTCTCTTTTCTAAATGTATGACTCTAATGATTTGAATACTAATCACCTTTTTTTCTTCTCTCTCTCTTTCTCTCTTACTTACTCTTTAGTTGCCGGTGGTGTCAACCCAAACAGCAGTGGTAACAATCTCTCAGCCTCCAAGATTATGATTGCTGCCGCCTCAATTGCTGCCTTAGCCATCTTTGCTTAAACAACAAACTTCAAATTCAATTGAACCTAACTGTTTAAATCAACAATAAAAAAAATCATATATATCTATTTATTTATTTAAATCATATCTTGTCTAATATTTTTTTTTTTATTATTTTTGTCTTTATCTTTATATATTTTAGTTAATATTTGCATAAATAGAATCTAATATATTATTTTGACATTGTTGTGATAAACTTTCTAAACTACAAAGTCTTTGGTCTTCAGTAATTGGAAGTTTGGAAAGAGATCTTACAAATCCAATTGGCAAAACATTTAATCTAATTCTATCCAATTCAAACAATTCATTTGTCTCTTGGCAATATTCTAATAATCTTTTTGTCATCTCACTTAATGTTATTCTAAATAGATAAAATTAAATTAAATTAATAACCCTTAACCAATAATAAATATAAAAGATACTTTGGTTTACATACTTAAATAATTTAGTTGAATTCTCAATAATAGAGACTTGAGATAATTCACTTAGATGAGCTAAAAATAGTGAAGAATCAAGAGTTGTCTTGTAAAGTTTTTGGTGAATTGCCTTTGGGTCTAAAGACTTTGGTAAAGTTTCCAACGCACCAAAACATTCCTTAAAGTTTGTTACCAACATTATATAATTTAAAAATAATTCACCTCCAAACTTCCACAATCCAATATCATTAATATGTCCTTGGAATTTTTTTAATAAATCTCTAAGTTTATCATATTTTCCTATATAAAAAAAAAATAAAAAAATATTAATAAAAATATTAATAAATATATATATATTATATTTATATTACTTACTTGAAATAATATAATTTGGACCAAAATGATTAAAAATTAAATTATGAGCTTCAGAGAATTGACCAGATTTCAAAAGATAATCAATTTGGTTTTGTTCCTTGTGTTGATAACCATTATACCAAGCAAAAGCTTCATCAATCCAAGTTTCAGGAATCAATAAACTCTTTGTAAGGAATTTCTTTTCATCTCCATCTTCTTTAATTGTATGAATATGTCTTGAAATACATGATTTCATTGCTTCTTCTCTAAAACTAAAAATAAATAAAAATAAAGAAAGTAAGTAAAAAGAATATATATATATTTGTTGTTTTTTGTTATTTACAAAGTAAAATGATCAGGAATATGAGATAAAATATAAATACTCCATTGCCATAAACCTAATCTTTCCAATTGAGTAGCAAAAGAACTGTGGAGTAGGTATTGATTACTAAGATCTGATTGTTTGTTGAGTGAAGGTAATGAACGAAGGACAGTGTAGAGAGACCATGGTAACCAATAATCAAAATGATCCAAACCATTATTCTCTGGATAAAAGAGTGCTTTGAAATTATCAAATCTTTCATTTGAAAATAATTTCAACAATAGATAACATGGGTCAAAAAAGAGATTGTCTTCATTACTATTGATGTTGGTGTAGGTTGGAAGTGGAGATTTAGAGATACCATTGAGAAAAGAGATATCATAAGATTTGATAACTTCAGACAATGGATGATCAAAAGAGTATCTAAACCAAAAGTCCAAAGCAAAACTACGATACCAATCATTGACATTTTGATAAACCTCATCAATGTCACCTGCCAATAGTTTGATAATCTCGATTCTCTTTACGTCCATCTTTTCCAACATTCCTTGTTCTTCCCAAAGTCGGAGTTGTTCGGTCAAAAGGATCTTTGACTCGTTACTACCCCACAATTGGGTCATCATAATGGCCAATCTATAATCCTTGTTGGCATTGGCCAAGGCAATAGATTCCTTGAGTTTCTTGGCACTAAGGTTGGAGAACAAAACTTCCAAATAATTGTGGTTTGCCTTTTTTTTGATTTGTTGTTGTTCCTTTTCGGCAATGGGTGCAATCACATCCTTGAGCCATTGGTTGAGATTCAATTTTCTCTTCATCTCTTCGCTATACGCAGTTTCTGGTTCCGTGCCCCACAAGGATACAATCAACTTCCAAATGTGCTTGTAGTGGTCATCGTTGCTGTATGCTTGCAATTGTTCTTGAACCTTGGAGAGGGTGAACCAACCTTGACGGTTATCCTTTGAACAAACCGAACTGTTGGTGAGATGATTCTTTAGTGATTTTACAATTGGCTCGACTTTGGTCGTTGATTGTGTAGTGATATTGGAAATGGTCAAAGTTTTAATAGACTTTCCACTTGGAACAATAAATTGACCGTTTGGACTCCAACCAACTCTAAATGATCTTCCTAAAATCAAAGATGCATCTGTTTTTTGTCCATTGTTTACCAATCCTTTGAAAATCGAATCTTTTGAAGCAACCTTTACATCAAATTGTTTACTATCCAATTTAATCTTTGCGGCAGATGATGATTCCAATTGTTGTGCCTTTTTAAATGGTTGTTCTTGTGATTGTACTTGTCTTGTATTAAAATGACTTGGTTTTAATATAGTAGATTTTGGTGATTGTAAATTAATTTGTTCAAATGTTGGATTAATTGGTGATAATATTCTTTGTACTAAAAAAAAAAAAAAAAGTTAATAAATACATAAATAAATAGGTTATCTTTTCTTTCATACCTTTAGTATTTGGATTATTAAGAACAAGTGGATCATAAACTGGGATCTTTGGTTGTTGAATTGGGGCAATTTGTGATTGATTTGATGGAACATCAACATTGAATAATCCTTTCTATAAAAAAAAGAAAAAGAAAAAAACATTAATTTAAAATGATTTAAAAAAATAAATATTTTTTTATCTAAAAAAAAAATTAAAAAGTTTATTGTTGTGTGTAATTATTTATATATGAATATATTATTATTATTATTATTATTAATTGTTGTTGTTGTTGATTATTATTATTATTATTATTATTATTATTATTATTATTATTATTATTTGATTATTAAATGATTTTTTTTTTTTTTTTAATATAAACTTACATTTTCATTTAATATTCTTTTTTGGTTTGGAATTTTCATATATTTTGAAGGTAATCCAGTGATTTCGGTTTCATTATCATTGTCCAATGAAATATTTGCAGAGAATTTTGGTTTTGGTTTACTACTAATAATTGGTTGTTGTGGTGAAATTAATTGTTGTTGTGGTTGTTGCTGAACTTGTTGTTCACCTTCACCATCTTCATCTTCAAATTCATCATCTGGAGCAGAGTATTTTGAAAAATGTTCAACCTTGAAACGCCATTCACCACTGACGCCGTCATATTCAATAAATGTAAATTGTTCCTCGGCAGCCTTTCTTTGAAGTGCATTCTTGTAACGAGCGAGATAATTTTCAGATTTACGATAGCTACCATCAGAAGCCTTTGGCCAACACTGTTGCAATGTAACCATGGATCTCTTGTTGAGACCTTGTCCAACTGGTGGCTTGGTTTCCTCGTCTGGGTAGATGGATACTTCACGTACATCAATCGTCACAATCTCGTCGATATTTAAATCACGAACATCTGTGCTTCCCAAAAACATAACGGAACCATATCCCTTTCTTTCAATTGTGAACTCGCGTACACTGGCCAACTCTGACTCTGTCATTGATTCAAGTTCACGTAAACTTGGTCGACAATAATATCCTGGTTTGGTTAAAATGGGTGCATGTGGATTAATAAATGTTACTGATTTCTTTGGTGATGTTTGAATTGGTTGTTGTTGTTGTTGTTGAACCTGTTGTTGTTGTGCTGGTTGTTGTTGAATTGGTTGTTGTTGTTGAACTTGTTGTTGTTGTTGTTGAGTTGGTTGTTGGGATGATGATTGATTATTATTATTAATATTTGATTGATTATTATTTGAAGATGATAGGATTGAAGATTGTTGAGGATTATCAAGAGTAGGATAAAGTTTTGGTTGAGTTGGCATAAGAGATTGTAAGGTTTCACCAGAAGTGTTTACATTTAAAGTCTTTGAGTATTTTGAAACGAATTTCTCCAATGTTGAGACGGGCTTGTTGTTTAGGTACGAGGTGGTCGATGGTTGGTTGGCCAATACGGCAGAGTCGGATGGCTGGTTGGTGGGGAAATCAAAGCCGGCGTTTCTTCTTGGCACCAATTTAGGGCGACCAGAGTAGCTGTGATAGGAGAGTGTTGAACGACCAAGCTGAGCAACCGAGGATGAGGCAGAAGAGTCGGCACCCGTGGTCGATGGAGAAGAGTCGACTGATTTAATTGATTTGACCAGTTGGACGAATGGCGATGCAGGTACTGGGAAGTATGGCGACTGCGAGGAAATACTGTCGTTGGTTATTTGGATGGGTGCGACTTGTGCAACAGAGGTAGTTTGGATAGTGCCAGCGGTTGGTTGCATCGATCCAAAGAGACCACCATTGGTTGGCATGGTGGCTGTAAGAGATGGCTGTTGTTGGCCAAACATACCGCCAGAGGTCATACTTGGTGTGCCAAGACTGAGGGATGGTGTTGCAGAGCTACCCATTCCGCCAAACAAACCACCACCTAAACTGGGTACACCCGAGCTTGCAGTTGGTTGATTTCCAAAGAGACCGCCACCGGTAGATGGTTGAGCAGGTTGACTAAAGAGACCACCTGTAGATGGTTGAGCAGGTTGACTAAATAGACCGCCGGTAGATGGTTGAGTGGGTTGACTAAAGAGACCGCCAGAGGTTGATTGAGCAGGTTGACCAAACAGACCAAGAGATGGGGTGGCAGTCGACGAAGTAGAGGGGGTCGAGAACAAGGTAGATGTAGGTGTGGTTTGTTGGGGGTTGCCAAATAGACCACCACCCGACGATGGTTGTTGTTGTTGTGTGGTCGTACCAAACAATCCACCGCCACCACTTGCTGGTTGAGAAGTTGGTTGTCCAAAGAGTCCTCCACCAGTTGTTGAAGTTGGTCCAAATAGACCACCACCGGTTGTTGATTGTGGAGTTGTTTGTTGTTGGCCAAATAGACCGCCACCAGAGGTAGCTGGTTGAGTACCAAACAAACCACCACCAGGTGTAGAAGTCTGAGCAGTTGGTTGTCCAAAAAGACCGCCACCCGATGAAGGTTGTTGTTGAGTGACAGCACCAAATAAACCACCACCGCTTGTTGGTTGTGATGTAGTCGATGGGAACCCTGATGTCAACAATGAAGAAGATTGACCAAATGGAGTTGGCGTTGACGATGCACCAAATGGATTGGATTGAGTAGCAGTCATATTAAATTGTGTTGTTGGTTGTTGTTGTTGCTGTTGACCCAATCCTCCCAAACTACCAAATGGTGAAGAGGTTGCAGATGGATTGCCCAATGATCCCAATCCACCAAATGGATTAGAAGATTGTTGTGTTGTAGTGGTCGATCCAAATGGGTTGCTTTGTGTGGTAGGTGCTCCAAACATATTGCTTTGTTGTGCTGGAGCAGGTTGTCCTAGTGTACTTCCAAATGGACTGCTCGATGCCGATGGTTGTCCAAGTGTACTTCCAAATGGACTGATAGCACCAGCACCACCACCCATACTACCAGTCTGTTCTTTTTTAGTATAATCTTCAAATCTCAGTTCCTCAACTGATTTACCATTATATGCTTCCATTGCATTTATAGATACTAAATTTACTCCTCCTTCCTACAAAAAAAAAAAATAAAACATAAATGATTAGTAAATGTAAAAGGTATTATCTATCTTAGATATTGTTGTGTGTATATATACATACTGAAGTTTCTTTGTAGGGAGGGTTACCAGTTCCAACTGGTTTGACACCATTAAATTGACCACCTGAATTGAAACCTTGTTGTTGACCAAATGGTGATATGGATGCTTGCGTTGGTTGTGCACCAAATGAAGTCGTTCCAAATGGTGATGATGTTTGTTGTGTTGGTTGTGCGCCCAATAGCGTACCAGAAGTAGCTGTCGATCCAAATCCAAATGGTGATGATGCTTGTTGTGTTGGTTGTGCTCCAAAACCACCTCCAAATGGTGATGATGCTTGTGTTGGTTGTGCTCCAAATGTTGAAGTTGTACTACCAGCTCCAAAACCACCTCCAAATGGTGCAGCTGCTGTTGTTGGTTGTGCTCCAAATGGATCTAAATAATAAATAAAAGAAAAAAATAGTATAAGTAATCAACAATCTATAAACCCTTTTAGTTTATTTTTATACATACTTGAAGTTTGAGCAGGTTGTGCTCCAAAACCACCACTTCCAAATGGCGATGATGTCTGTGCTGGTTGTGCTCCAAAACTAGTTCCAAAGGGAGCTGCTGTTGTAGTTGGTTGAGCCCCAAATCCTGTAGAAGTGGCTCCAAATGGGTTAGATGCTGTTGTTGCTGCTGATCCTCCAAATCCTCCTCCAAATCCACCTGCTCCAAATGCTAAAAATGAAATGATAAAGAATAGATAGGAAAAGAAAGAAATATAAGTAAGTATGTTTAAATGTGTATATATATATGTGTATATGTATTAACTTACATGAAGTAGTTGTAGTTGGAGCGGTGGTACCAAACAGACCACCACCAGATGAAGGTGTACTACCAAACATAGTTGAACCTGCAGGCTTATTAGTTGAGAATGGGTTACTAGGAGCTTGACCAAAGAAAGACATTTATGATAATCAACAAATATCTATCTCTCTCTTTCTCTATATATGTATAAATATGTACAAGTGTGCTTGCTCTTTTTTGAGAGTATAACTACTTATTCCCTTTTTGTTTCAAATCAAAGAATAAAAGTATATACTTTTTAAAGAAAATAATGTAAAGAAAAAGAACAAATAAATAAATCGATTAGCAGCACCCCAAAAGCGAACAAAGAAGATCACTCACAGAGAAAACAAATGAATGAAAAAAAACAAAAATTTTTGCCTTTTATTGTTTTTGAGTTTGAGTGGAGTAGTACTGATGAAATTTCAAAGGCAACTCTAACTTTTCATTCCACCATTGACTACTATCATGTGTGTAAGTTACAACTTTTTTAAATTAATTTTTGTTAATACCAACGTTTCAGTTATTAAAAAAAAAAAGAGATAAACTAAAAAAAAAGAAAACTATGAAATATTTAATATTTTTTGTGAAGATCCAACAACAAAAATTAATTTTTAATTAATTAAGTTTAATTAGAATCTAATAAATTATTTTCAATCACGATTGATGGAAAAAAAAAAAAACAATGGTAGTATTGATTTATTTTTTGAGAAAAAAGTAGGTAAATCTGTTGGAATATTGAATTTCAACCCATAAGTAAATGATATCAATACTATCAAACCGGTTATCATTATGATTGATGTCATTGATTGATGGGCATTGGCCGCTATTTGTTAAAGAAGAGGACTCCATCTAATACCCCAAAGTTCCATAAAATCTTAGGAACAAACTTTAAACTAAACTACTAATAGTTGGATACCATGCCTTTTTGACTGGTTTTTATTTTTTTCTACAAACAAGGTAATCATTATGATTGATGTCATTGTATTGATGGGCTATTTGTTTAAGTGTAAATAAATAATTTGTGTAATTTATTTTTTTCCAGACTTTTCTTTTGATAAATCCTCATTAAACTCTGAGAAGTTATGACCCATTAGAGTCATGATGACCTTTTCTGCATTGTCCTCGTCTCTTAGTAATCCACCGCCAGTAACCTTTTTCTTTTTCCTTGCTTCTTGATAATCACGCTCCAATTGCTCTTCCTCTGTTAAAACACGTTCCTTTACCATCCAAACCTCTACATATACACATTTAAAATCTCTTGTCGACGACAATGGTGGATTAAAATAGGTTGAACTAAACTCTTTACCACTTCCATCTTCTGTTCCTTTACTATGTCCATAATCAAAAGAATCATCTATACACCATCCATATAAACTAAAATAAATCAAATAAATATAAATATAAATATATATAGGTCTTTTTTGTTTGTTGATGATTATTTTACTACTAAACATACTATTGTACACCACCAAAAGCAACACCATTATAAAGTGTTGAAGTACCTTCATTTAAATATTGATAATTATTATCTTTTCCAGTTGCTTTATAAACTTCCAAAGTTGGATTTAATTTAAATACAAAATTCTTTGCTACAATAATAATAATAATAATAATAATAATAAATATTAATAATTAATATATTTATATTAATGATTGAATCATATATGATATTCACCATTTCCATAAAACTTGGGATACTTGGGTTTCCAAGGTTCATCAGCAAACCCACCAAATATATTACCTCCACCATCCTTTACAATGACAATGGTAGATCCTTTATCATTGATATGATCACAGAACCTATTATAACTATGTCCATGTTTAGTTGAAGAGAATAAAAGGTGCCATTGATTTCTATAACCGTCACCTGGCATATTCTTTGATAGGAATTTGATTGTCTCCTCATTCAAAACTGATGACTCTGTATTTAATGTTGCTATCTTTTTAGATTCTTCTATAACTGTAGGAGGTGGAGGAGGTGTAGTTACTATAACTGCTGGTGGTTCAACTACTTTAACTTGTTCACCATGTTTATGATTATGATTATGATGATTGTTTGTACTTTGTTTATTACCCATTCTACAAACTATATACACTATATACTCAGTTATATAATTATATAATATAACTCTATATATTCTACTTCTCAAACAAACTATTTAAAATAAAGTAAAAGTTTTTGTCCACGCTTCATATGATGTTTTTCCCCAGGGTGTGTATTATATTATTGTAATAAATAATACTATGAATATAAATCATGTTATAGATATCTCTCTCTCTATGTTTGTGTGAAAATAGAATGAGTATGTGGATGATGAGGAGGAGGTTAAAAATAAGATACTACTTATTAAAATAGTCAATAGTCAATCAAACTACTTCCAATTTGCAACCCAAAACCAACTTGCTTGAAATCGTGTGGGAGTTTGAAGCCTCGTCACCTATCTGACTTTTGGTTGGTCGAGGTGTTGTTTTTTTAAAGTTTTTTTTTTTATTTCAAAAAGAGGAAGATCTTCTGTACTAGTAATTTAAACTTACTTTGACATTTGTTGTTATATATTATATTATATATTTCTGTATAACTAAAAATGAATAAATTATTAATAGTATTATTAGCAGCTTGTTTGTTCTTGGCCGCAATCAATGCACACCCAGGACACAGCCATCACCACGATTCAGATGATGAAGAGGAAGAGACCGACGTCAAGTCACATGTCATGAACCTCAACGAAGAGAACTTTGCTCAAACCATTGCCGAACACGACGTCGCCCTCGTCATGTTCTTTGCCCCATGGTGTGGACATTGCAAGAACCTCAAGCCACACTTTGCCGAAGCATCCAACAAGTTGGCCAGCAACGAAAAGATTGCTCTCGCCAAGGTTGACTGTACCGTCGAAGAGACCCTCTGTCAACTCAACAAGGTCAAGCATTACCCAACCCTCGTCATCTACAACAATGGTGTTCCAGAACCATGGGAAGGTGAAAGAACTGCCAAGGGTATTGAAGAATCTGTCTTGGCGTAAGAGAAAAAGAAAAGAAAGAAAAGAGATAGATTCAATTAGATTAGTTATTAACTTAACCTTTTGTTTCATTTTAGTGAATTATTACCACCAGTTACAAGCATTTCAAGTGAAGAAGAATTAATCAAGTTTAATGAAGCCAACCCAGTTTCAGTTGTTGGATTCTTTGACAATGATCATGACGATAGATACGCCCAATTCAAGACCATTGTTGGTAAGCTCAAGAAGTTTGCCAAGTTTGGTTCGGTCGTCAACAAGGAGTTTGCCAGCAAGTATGCCAGCAAGTCACCATCGGTTGTCGTCTTTAAGAAGGATCAAGACAAGAGCGAATTTGCCAACGCCGACTTTGAAGTCGAAGAGTTGGTCAAGTTTATCCGTTACTCTATCCTCCCATTGGTCGGTGAAATCAACGGTCAAACCTACAAAAAGTACGACGGAGCCGGTCTCCCACTCGTCTACCTCTTTATCAACCCAGCCGACGCCGACGCCAAGGAAGCTGTCCTCGCCGCCGCCACCCCCGTCGCCAAAAAGGCCCTCGGAAAGGCTATCTTTTGTTGGGTCGATCACTCCAAGTACCCACAACAAGCCAAGTACATGGGCTTGAGTGGTGATGTTGTCCCATCGGCTGCCATCGAAGTTGCTGCCAAGGCACAAAAGTTCCTCAAGTCTGAGAGCGAAGAGTTCAACCTCGACACATTTGACAAGTTTATCGGCGAGTTTTTGGCCGACAAGCTCGAACCATTTGTCAAGAGTGAACCAATCCCAGAAGACAACAACGGACCCGTCAAGGTTGTCGTTGCCAAGACCTACAATGAAATCGTTCTCGACACTACAAAGGATGTCTTGGTCGAGTTTTATGCCCCATGGTGTGGTCACTGCAAGAACCTCGAACCAATCTACAAGCAACTCGGTGAACACTTTGCCACCACCGCAAAGTCTGTCGTCATTGCCAAGATTGATGCCACCGCCAACGATGTCCCATCTGAATTGGGTATCACTGGTTTCCCAACCATCCTCTACTTCCGTGCCAACGACAAGACCCCACTCTCCTTTGAAGGTCATCGTGATTTTGACTCTCTTTCCAACTTTGTCTCTTCCAATGCATCTGTTGAAAAGCATGCTGAAACCCAAGAAACCACTCAAGAACAAGAACCAGTCAAAACTACTACCACTGAAGAAACTGCTGAATCAAAACCATCTCATCATGATGAACTTTAAATAATAAATAACAAAACAATTAATTAATAATTTTAAAATATACAAAGATAGTAGTGTAGATAATACTATAGTACTAATGGGTTGTTGGAAAAAGAAAAAAAATTATACATATTAATTAAATATTTATTTTAATTAATTTCGCTTGTAATTATCATTTATATTTGGTTTAAAGTAAAGGTCAGAGTGGAAGGTATTGGGGGTATAGATTGATTGTTTGGTTGGATTGGGGGGATGGGGAAATTAAAAAAAAAAAGTTAGATGGATGGGTTGTTATATATTTCGTTATTATTATTATTATTTGGGTTTGATTGATTATTCAGATGCAGTTGGCTTTGATTTTTTGATTGGTTTTGGGTTAAGTGGACCAAGTTCAGTTTCCATAGATTGAATCTTGTTTTTGTTTTCTAAAATCTTTGCCTTCATCTTTAACAAGGCAGATGGAGCACGAATGATATCAATGTGTTGATCGATTTCCTTGAGTTGCATCATCTTTTCTCTTGCTCTAACACCTTGCATTCTGTTCTTGTAGAATGCACGTTTACGACGTTCTCTAATAACATCGAGTCTCTTCATCACCTTTATGGTTGCACTAACCAAATCTCTATCATATTTAACTGGTCTATTACGTTTCTTTTCAAAATCAAATGTCTTATCCTACAAAAAAAGTAAATGAAACAAAAAAAAACCGACCGAGAGAGAAATAAAAATGTAAGTATACATACAAACAAACATGCAAACAAATAATCTATATCGATATCTATTTAGATATATTCTTCTTCTTTGTGATACATACAACAGTCATTTCCTTTCCAGCCAACTTTCTGAAAGCCTTTGTCCACTTTGTCTTTCTTGGGTTATGCTTCATCTTAAAGTGAGTATGACATTTGGAACGACAGAATCTAAATATTTTACTATCGTTTCTGACAAACATGATACCATGTCCTGGGTAGACTGTACCTCCACAGAAATAACACTTCTCTAATCTCATTCTCCTTCTTTCTCTCTATATTCCTACTATACGATTACTAAAATAATAATAATAACTCACTCAAATGTTTGTCGTCTTTGTGCGATTGAAAAAAAAAAAAAAAAACGACAAACAAAAAAAAACAATTAATTATTATTTTGTCGACAGACTCCTCGTTTTATTCCAAATGCTAATATATTAACACTCTATTAGTATCTATACTTTTGTGATTTATTTCATAATTATGATGGACATGATATGATGAGAGATAATAAATAATATTTTTAAAAAAAATATAGTAATATTTAAGAGCCCAATCAAAAAAAAAAAGAGATATTTGTAAAAATCGTTGTACACTTTTTTTTTTTTAAAGATACATATTTTTTATAGAGTGTAAGGGATCGACGTCAATTATAAAGTATCGGAGTGTGTGTTTTAGATAATATCTATCCGATAGTTGGGAAATAGAAAAAGAATGATCTTTTTCAGTGTCAATTTGAACAAGTGAGAAGTTTTAAAAAAAAGCGTACATTGCACCATTATTATTTCATTTCATAGGAGTTATACTTATATAGTTGTAGGACATATAATATATACATATATTGTATTAATACACAAAATATTTTACAAACAATCAAGAAAGAACTTATTTATATATGTATCAAATCAATCATGAATAGAAGTATACTATTTCTACTATTATCAATCATCATCGCAGTCTTCATCGTAATCATCGAGGGTGTTTCATCGCAAGATCAAGCATCTTTCAATAATGATCAAAATAATAACAAGAATAATAACAAGAATATAAATATAAATAATAGAAATAATAAGAATAATAAGGATGATGATGAATATACTTCTTCTTATAGAGTTGGAGGAATGGATAATTTAGTACATTTTACACCATTTTATAAAACAGAATCATGTTCTGGTGATATTAATGGAGTTGGATTTGGATCGATGCCATTTGAATGTTCATACAATGCAAGTGGATTGTCATACTCGATCGTACCGGTGTTTGGTAGTGCACAATACAACATTTCGACACATCAACCTTCACAAATAGCCTGTGCCTATGAACCAGTCTACTGGCAAGCCTACAATGCCTACGGAAACTGTCAGTACAGTTCCAATGCCGATAGTAGCTACCAAGTATTTTGGGCACCCTTTCCTCCACCCATCCCCAAATACTCTGTCGTTCAATTGAGTCTGTACGACGCATGCTCGAGTGTATCATCGTATTGGTACGCCACCAACGGCACTGTCCTCCCCAACTATGGCACCGATACAACCACCACCTACTATTGCGACGATCAAGGCAGACCATTCATCCAAACATGTTCTCCAAATGCTTCCTGTCAACAAGATTCTTTTGAACAAAAATGTTCATTTGAGAATCCATTGCAAACTTTTTGTACTACTTCCTCTATATATTAATAATTAATAATAAATAAATAAATATATTTATATTTGCCCATTAATTTAATTTCATTAGTTTTAATTAATTAATATTACAAATGTACACAAACACCTCTTGTTGTGTGACACACCATCTTTTATTATTACTTATTAACTGTCATTATTAATATTAATATCATTGGCTATAATATCGTCATCATTATAATAATTTCTATCTTTGGCTTGAAAGGTGATTTTTGATTTTGGTTTCTTATTCTTTAACAGTTTATATTGTTCTCTTTTGATTTGTTTCTCTGATTTACCAGATCGATCAATAAAATCTACAGGTATGGTTGTTTTATTAAAACTTTTTTAAAAAGGAGAGGGAAACAAAGCGTCAATACAAATAAATAATAATACTTCTTTTAAAAGCTGTATTGATAATCCTACTTTTCATTCCTAAAACTCTTATCCTTTGATAAAGGTGTTCTATTTTCTAGTACTAGTTTTGTTTTATTAAACAGTTTTGACATTCTCTCTCTATCTCTTGTTTACTACTTTTAAAAGGTTATATATATTGGTGGTGCAAATACATTGATATTATTATAATTATTATTGTTACTACAACGAGTTGGTTTATATCTAAATGATGATGACGATGGTGATGACGATTGTTATAAATAGTTCATATTGCTTTTAAATCTCTAGAAAACGAGAATTGTATCTTTCTTAAGAATGAAGAGTATTTGTTTTAAAACATATTTTTGTCCAAAGCAGACTCATTTTTTTTTTTGAATTTAATTTATATTTATTGAGTTTGATATCAAGTATAGTATACATGTAATTGTAAGAAGAAGAGGAGGAGGCAGAGGATGACTATAGTAATAGAATGTGTATTAGAGTCAGCTGTATTCTTCCCAGGTGATACACTGTTTTGTAGAGTTTATGTTAGCAATAGATCACAACTGCAACAACAACTTCAAGGTACAAGCAAAGAACACTCTATATCATGGATCAGTGCACAGATCTATGGCAACATGAGTGTTGAACCAAAGTACTTTAAACTAAACTCTCCTAAACAAAAGAAAAAGAATGCTACTAAACGTATCGTTGTTGGTGGTGGTAGTGGTATGATGGGGTCATCTTCATCTTCATCATCATCACATATTGGAATATCATCTGCTACATCTTTACCAAATATTACAGATACTGGTGATAATGGTAGATCACTATTTGCTTCACCAACTACCATTTTAACATCTGATTTAAATCTATCTTCAGGTCAAACAAAATCTTGTAAGTGAGACTCAAAGATTCTTTCATAAATTGGTTCATATATATACTTATTCTAATTTGATTATTATTTCTTAATTTTTAGTTATTTATTATGTAACTTTACCATCACCATTACCACCTTCATTTAAAGGAACTAGTATAAGATATAGTTATTTCTTATCGATTGCTGCACAATTGTTTACACATCCAGCGAGGATACTTACCATCCCCATTCGAATATTGACACCTGCCTCATCACTTAGACAATTAAAGTTTAAATCAAATATTACCAATCAATTTGATTATGAAGAGGGATCGACTGAAACACCTCAAGAAACATCAAAGGGCCTCGAGATTATTAGTAAATGGCCTGTATCACCCTTTAAAAAATCACAATACTTTCCAGTCCCCTATCCTCAAACCGTCTCTCAATATGATTCAAATAATACGAGGAAGTCTGTTATTGATCTTTTAAACAAATGTTCAAATCCAGGTAGGTTAAACAATTAATCAAATAATATTTAATTAAATAATTATATTTACTTACTTTTCTTTTCTTTTATTTTCTAATAGTTTCAATTATAATATCAAAAGGAAGTGAAAAATTGGTAACCTTTTCAATTAGCAGGACAGCATTTAAATTGGGTGATACAGTTTGTGGAGCATTTGATTTTTCGATTGCTACCATACCTTGTTACAAAATATTGGTGAAATTAGAATGTGAAGAGACGATTGAACCAAAGTACCAACAAGAATCTAAAATCAAACCAAATAGAAGATTGTATGGAGAGTTGCACGAGTACACTACCAATATTAGACAAACTCATTTTATGTTTCATATTCCCGTAGAGGCAGCCCAAGAATTTAGTACCAAACATGTTGCAGTTAGATGGATACTACGATTTGAATTTGTTACACCAGTTAAGAATCCACTCAAGGAATTACAAGTACCACCACCTCAACTAACTAGATCCAATTCAATGACGACATTTCAACCAACCAGTCCAACAAAACTATTGCCTCGAAATGCAAGTAGTCAACAATTTTTAGATACAAGTGGGTCTCTATCCAAGGCAAATTCCTATAGTGATGATATTATTGCCAAACAACATTCTACTACAACAACAACAACAACAACAACAACGGCATTGGCAACTTCACAATCTTCAACACCACCACATACAAGTAAAAATAGAGTGATTGCAGAGGTGCCAAGTGATAGTGAAAGTAATCTTAGTTCAGATAGTTTTAATGAAGAAACTCTTAGTAGTAGTGGTAGTGTTCGTAGTACTCCTGCTACCACTACTACCACAACATCATCAACAAATATCAACCACAACAACAATGGTACAAGAGTCAATAGAGGAGAGAATAATCCAGTGATTGGTGCATTGAAATCTATAGATGATACATCAATTCAAACAGTTGATACACTTAGATGGAGTTTACCAATTCGGGTTCTGGTTTGTGAATCACCTCATGAATTGTTACATACTCATAAAAATGAATTGATTCTCTAAAATAATAATAGTAAAATAAACGTTTATTTGGCATAATTCATTGAACCCCCTCCAATCATTGCCATTCGATGCATCGTATCAAAATCAGACCCTTCTCCAATGGCCACAAAAGAGAATTTGATTTTGGGATGCTTGGATCTAAATTCGATCCAATCCGTGTATCTCCTGGCAGCTTTGAAGGGGGTAACATCACCATCGCACTGAGTAATAATCTCTTCGATATTGGGGATCTTTGAAATGGCTTGTTCCATAGCTTGCATCATATTGTTTTCACCCCTAGGCTTGAGCAATTGAATCCAGTTTTTAGCCTCATTGATCATAGCATCGGATGAATTTACATTTTTACCATTAAGACACCAATAGGTTTCTGTGTCCCAACTTGCCAATGATATGTTTTTGGTTTTATAAGTCTCTAGTATTTGGAATAGACTCTTTTTTAATCTTCCCATTTGGCCTTCGAGAGCCATGGAGCCAGAAACATCTGAAAGTACAACTACAACCGATCCAGTCAGTTTTACATTATAGGTTGTCGACTGTTCGGACAATTGTAGAGATGAGGGATCTACTTTGAGAGATTCCTCTAGGGTAGCCACTGGAGGTGGTTTTAATACCACTGCTGAATGAGATAGTGTTCCATGTTGGTTGGTTACTTGTAGATTAATTTTAGATGGAGGTAATACGACAGAGTAGTCACCCTTTTGATCAGATGTAGTGTTTAGTTTGATTTCATCTCTTGTTCCATCAACTATCAATGAACCCTCTACCCTTTGAGAATAAAATTAATATTTAAATACAAATTAATCAATTCAATTGCAAAAAACATACTTTGAATCAGACATTGGTAAATCTTTTAGAGAAAAGTTAAAGTTCATCAATCTTGCACCAAGGTCGATGAATTCTGGTTCATTGTATTGCAATCTTTTAACATTGATGTTGTAAAAATAGGTACATCTCTTGAATATCCTTTTGATCTTGGGAGAATACTAAAGTTGTCATATTCAAGTGGTTAAAATTATTTCGAAGTTTAATTTAATTAAAATAAATAATTAATAAATCATTTTTACTTACAATTGAGCGGTATAGGTTCCATCTGGTAAATCAGTCAAATCTATTTGACCTTGATGGTCCAACTGGGCAATAATTGGTTGAATACCGGGTTTGGATAGTATTATTTGAACATCTGGATGATATGGATGAAATAATGGTTTGGTAGGCTTGGCACCAACTGTAGTTGAAGACTTTGCTTCAACAATTAAACGATTAAGTGTTTTTCTCAAGCCCATTGAAAGTTTTAAATCTGAATGATTAATATTATTATTATGTCAGCTATATCGATCTAGAGATATATCAACCAATAAAACTTCATCATACCTTTAATATCATCTTCAGTAAGTTCTACAAGTGCTTTGCCATCAATATCATTTTCAAATATATATTTGCAATCTTGCTCTCGTTTTCTCCCCTCGACAATAGGTATGATTTAAGTTGAGAGGTTTGAAGGCTACCTATTGCAACATTGTCTTGTAAAGATAGACTCGAGAAATCAATTCCTTCCATTATTTTGATTGATTTCAACTTGATACTGTCAATCAACTCTGTTTGTAAATATAATTAATGGTTTATAAATTTTTTCTATTGCTATTGATATGATATAGTAAATATCAAACAATATTTCTAAAGTTAACATTGTGCACAAATGAATGAAAAGAGAAAATGATTTACATCTTTTGAGGCTAATTTTTATTTTGATCCGAGTACAATAATGATTAAAAAAAATTTTACGCAACAATGGAAGAAGAGAAGAGAATAATCGAGAGGTTGGGGTATTGAAATATATATGATAAAACAGTAGATGGAGTTTACCAATTCGGGGTTTTATTTGTGAATCATTGATTCTCTAGAATAAATAATATTGATTCAATAATAATAGTAAAATAAATATTTATTTGACTATTCATTGAACCACCTCCAATCATTGACATTTGATGCATCTTATCAAAGTCAGAACTACCTCCAAATGCCACAAAAGAGAATTTAATTTTGGGATCTAAATTGGCTCCATTTAATATCATCGAATGGAGTAAAATCTCCATCCCCCTGAGAAATAGTCTCTTCGATATTGGGGATATTTGAAATTATCTTGCTCAATTGCTTGCCCCATATCAGACCCTACCCAGTTTTTAGCCTACCTGAGAGTATCTTTAGAAGAATTTACATTTTTGCCAACAAGACACCAATGTTTCTGTTTCCCAACTTGCCAATGATATGTGATTGGTTTTATAGGTCTCTAGAATTTGGAATAGACTCTTTTTTAATCTTTCCATTTGGCCTTCGAGAGCCATGGAGCCAGAAACATCTGAAAGAACAACTACAACCGATCCAGTAAGATTTACATTATAGGTTGTTGACTGTCCAGACACTTGTAGAGATGAGGCATCTACTTTTAGAGATTCCTCAAGGTTTGTCACTGGAGGTGGTTTTAATATCGCTGCTGAATGAGATAGTGTTCCATGTTGGTTGGTTTCTTGTAGAGAAATTTTCGATGGAAGTAACACGACAGAGTAATCACATTTTTGATTTGATCAGATGTAGTGTCTAGTTTGATTTCATCTCTTGTTCCACCACCTATCAATGAACCTTTTACCCTTAAAAGAAAATAATAATCCTTGTAATTAGTATTTAAATACAAATTTATCTATTTCAATTTGAAAAAAAACATACTTTGAATCAGACATTGGTAAATCTTTAAGTGAAAAGTTAAAGTTCATCAATCTTGAACCTTGCAAGGTATTTTATCACTGAAGATGTAAAAATTGGGACATCACTAGAATATCCTTTGGATTTTGGAGGAATACTAAAAGTTGTTGTAAATAAATAAAAATATTAAAATAAATCATTTTTACTTACAATTGAGTATACTATTTGACTTGGTGATCCAACTGTGCAATAATTGGTTGAATACGTGGTTTGGATAGTATTATTTGAACATCTGGAAGATATGGATGAAATAAAGGTTTGGTGGGCTTGGCACCAACTGTAGTTGAAGACTTTGCTTCAACAATTAATTCGTACATGATTGGGAAGGTTTCTTGAGGGGAAACGATTAAGTGTTTTTCTCAAACCAATTGAAAGTTTTAAATCTAAACGATATCAGTATGCAAGCATAGTGATAATTTCAAAATCAATCAATTAAACTTATGATCATTCCTTTAAAATCACCTTCAGTAAGTTCTACAAGTGCTTTACCATCAATGTCATTTCTAAACAATTTATTGCAATCTTGCTCTCGTTTTCTCCTCTTGCGTACAGGTATGTTTTGATTTGAGATTTTTCAAGGTTTCCTAAATCAATAACTCCATTATTTTGATTTAAACTATTTAAATCCAAACTTAGTACAGTTGTTTTTAAACAAAATTTCTTTCAAATATGTTATCATATAAAGAGAGAATGATGAATAAATACCTTCATCATCTGAGGATATATATTTATTGAATAACTCACACTTGAATTTTTAATAATTAAAGAGTAATAATATTTATATTTTAAATATATTATTATTATAGATAGGTAAAATTTTAGTTTTATTTTTAATTTTTAATAAACAATAATTAAAGAAAGGGTAGAGACACCACTTGAAGAGACGTTGATAGCAAATTGAGGTCTGTACTTTGGATTGGATAATGGATTGGTAAGAATGCAAGTTGGCATGCTGATTGGTTCATTACTGCTGAGGATGTTGTAGTATTGGTTGAGCTTCAAATCACGTTTTGCATTGGCAAAGGTGACAACAAGTTGAGAGGTTTCTGAAAAGTAAGCACCACCTTGAACTTGGACTGGGGCACTTGGTTGAGAAGATAGATCTTGGATCAAGACATTGAGGTTGCAGTCGTTTTCAAGATACAAGTGACCACCAATGACGACGGTGCCGGTAGCGTTGACAGATGAGGATAAAGTGGCGTTGACATCATAGTTGATGTTAGTGTCTTGCAAGAGCAATGAACTGCCATAGCTGATACCAATGGAGGTAATCAAAGTAGAGTCGAAAACTTGAACGGTGGCATTGGTGTCGGCGAGGATGGATGGGGTGTTGATGGTACTATTGTCAATCAAGAGGAGTGCGTTCTTTTCGACGGCAAAGTATGAGTTTTCATCAGATTCAATGATCGAGTCGGTGAGATCGAGAGTGGCATTTGGGAGGACCGAGATAAGAGTGTTGTAGAGTGGCGAGCTGACGATGGAACCCAATTGGTTGGAACCTTGGTAGTTGAACTTGACATAGGTGTTGGCAGAGGAGGATGTGTAGGCGAGGATATAGGCAATGTTGGTGTTGTTCAAGTTGAGGTTGAGGATGGAGCCGTCGGCGTTGTTGACAGTGTCGACGTTGAAGATTTGGATCCAAGATGGTTCACCGGTGAATTGGATGGTAGAGGCACCGCTGAATTCGACAGTACCGCTGCTGTTGACTTGACCAAGTGTAATAGTGTCGGCAGTACCAAACCAGGCGTAAGTGTATTCTTGGGCGGTGAGCGAGCCGACCGAGACAATGATGGGGGAGCCGTCTGGAGTGCTCAAAAGGTGTGGGTTGACAGAGATTTGACCTTGGGTGAAAATGGTGACGTTGGGAGCTTGGAAATCAAATGTGACAAAGAGAGCGGAATAGGCAGCAACGACAACAGCAACGTTGACTTGGAGATCTTCAAAGTAGGCTTGGGTGGTGATGAGTGCGCTGTCGAGTGTGGTATCACCATCAATGAAAAAGCTACCGCCGATGGTGTTTTGACCGTAGAGGTAGACAGTGGTTTGGTTTTGAATGAAAAGTGAACCGCTAAAGATGGATGGACCGGTTTGGGTTTCAAAACTACCATACGATTCTTGTCTATAGACGGAACCAGAACCGAAAAAGGCAGAGTTGGCAAAGAAATTACAGTCACCTTGGAGAAGGAGAGAGGATTCGTCGTCTAGGAGAACGGCAGCAGCACCGATATCTGAGCTTCCAACGACGTTCCAAGTGGCAGATTTTCCAAGATAGGCTTCTCCGGCAACATCACATCCAGAGAAGGTGTTAAATTCAACTTGGACAGATTCACTACCAACAATAGAGATGGCAGCAAGTGTAAGTGACTTGTATGAATAGATGGTTTGTTTTGGTGTAGATGGACGAGCATTTGTAAAATTGATTGATGCAATATAAATGTAATCACCATTGTTTGGAGAGACACCGCCAATCCAGTTGGAACCATCGTTAAAATCACATCCAGCCGATGATGAACAATCAGTTGCTATATTGAATTGAATAGTTTTATATGCTTGTTGTCCATTTACTAGTACTATTATTGTTAATAATAATATTATTATTGATGATATTATTTTCATTTTTATGTATATTAAAAATATTTATATGTGTGTATGTGTGTGAATGTGTGTGTATCTTTATCTTATTTTATATTGATTAGATAAGAAAAGAGAATGCGTAATATTTTGTTTACATGATTTGTCGTTATTGTTGGTGTATTTATATTACTCGTTTTCATCTGCAGACGAGACTGATGGTTTGATTTTTAGGAATGAAATATCTTTCTCTAGAGGTAGATGGTCGGAAAAAATATCAAGCAAAAAATGGAATCTTGACTTTCTCTCATGGAACGTTCGATGTGCTCCATCAGAGTCGAGTCGTTTCATAATGGTCTAGTAATCGGTGGTATTCATGGAAGATGATGTCAAGTCAGGCATAGTGGAACACTATAACTCAACCTCTTATCAAATATTTACAGTACTAAAGAAAGAAAAAAGTTAGTTTAAAAGAAAGTAATACTATTCTATAGGTGAACCGAAGCAAAGTACTTATATAAGGTTCGACCTGATAATAATGAATGATTCATAGACATACCAGGTTAGTGTTGTATTATCTCTGAAGAGAGTAATATAGTAGAGAGAGGAGAGAAGAGTGGGAGGTTATTTTAAGTATATTACAACCAATCGATTGAAAATAAATCGAAAAGAATGAACTAGATTTATAATCAAATATTTATGATATTGATCATAGATTTATTAAAACTATATAGTTTGAGTGTTATAGTAGTTCTCTAGCTCTACTAGTCACTGAACCTAGGTCTTCCTGATTGTGAGGAATGTGAGTTGGTGAAATTAATTAATACAATGATCATAGTTTTTGAAAGATAAAGATTTAATTTCTTTTAATAAAGTTAAATCAAAGATAATTAAGATTAAAAACCATTGCCAGGGAAAGTTGAATAAAATATCGCTGGACTAGTATCTAAATTAAATTGTTTTTTATTTTTTTTTATTCTCAACCCTGAACCTCCAGAGATCCTTTGGTTCTTGAGAGACGATCATTCTTTATTTTGTATAAAACACAACTCTCATAGTCATTAGTTATATCATCATATAAACATAACAAACAAATATAAGAATAAGAATAATAACAAATGGCACCAGGAACAACAACTAAGAAAATCTTGGTTTTCGGTGAAGTGGGGTTGGGTTAGTATTTGTAAACAAACAATACTCTATAATTTAAACATCTATATGTTAACATCATCATTGTCATCATGTGTGGGGGGTTTCTATCTATTTAAATATGATATTCTCTTTCATGATTGATTTCTTTTCTTTTCTATTTTCTTCATTTACTTTTTTTATATATATACATTACAACAGGCAAACCAACCTTTTTTAATTCACTTTCAAATTACTTTTTCAATGGATCGTTCCCTTTTAATTTAAAGATATCGATGGTGGCAAAAGATGATCAGCCCACCAACACTCAAGACAACTACCAATACACCAAGGATGGTATCACCTACCAGTTTATCGACACGCCTACCTTTTCTTGCAACCCGTGTGACGATATCATCATCGGTGATGCAACTCAAGATGTCCCCAAAATGAACCAGATCATTGAGACAGCGGTCAACATGCAGGGGCTAAGTGCCATTGTCGCGGTTACCAACGGAAGGGGTAGTTTTGGTGATATTGGAAAGTTTCAAACCACGTTGTACCGTATGAGAGATGTCCTCCCACAACATCTTATCGACAATGCCATCATGGTGTTTACCGATTGCACTGATCTCAATTGCGTATACGGTGATATGACACTTGCAACACTCAAAAACAACAAAAGATTCTATATGATGAACTCTGCCTTTTTCAACAGTCCCTCCCTATACACAGTGGTTGGTGGATTGTATTACACTCGTTACTTGAGCGAGTATAATGGAGCAATGCACACCATTGACAACATTCTCAAAACCATTATTAATAATGGTGATAATCCAAACAATAATACTACTATCAATCCACCTCCCAAAATAACAACTCCAACTCCATCTCCTACTCCATCAACAACCAATTCTAGAAATCATCATAAAAATAATAGAGATCGAGATAATAGGGATAATAATAACAATAATAGTGGCAATGGTATTCAACAACAAGTTGACCAACTTCAAAAACAAGTTAAAGAGCAAGAACAAGAAATTCTGCTACTTAAACATCAAGTAGCACGTCTATCAAAAATATTACCACTTGATCAACAACTACAACAACAATCTTTGGTTGAACATCAACCACCTCAACCACAACAACAACAACAACAAAGTGGCCCAAACATAACTACACGTGTATGCAAAGGTTGTTCTACATCATTTACCATTGCACATTCAGAAAAGTCACACTACGATTCCAAAAATTTAAGTTGGCCAAAGAAATGTCAGTCATGTCGTCAAAAGAAACCAAGAGGAGGAAGGGGATCAAGTGGAATCCCAGGTGGAGATGACTGGTGGGAATAATTAACCAAACTAAATCAAAAAAAAAGAAAAGAAACCTTCAATATCATAATGACACAATAACCAAATAATAATAATAATTAATAACTAAACAAGAAACTGTTCTGAAATAATATTAATAACTCCTATTAAAATAAAAAAAATAATAGTTTTATAGTTATTTCTATTCTAAAACATTGACAGAACCCTAGGGTAAAAATTTGAATCAAAATTGCTCTATCATAAGGTTAGTATCCTGGACTTTGAACCATTATCTGTGTTTGGAAAAAGATTAATTTTCCTTTTGAAAATTGATATTTACTTTGCTTATATATATATAAATGAGAATCATCTTTATGATTTATTACTTTTATTTTTCTAAAAAATTGAAAAATTTTTTTTTAAAGTGAAAAAAATTGAAAAAATTTCCTGCCCGGACAAGATCGCGAAACTTTAATTATGTACCAAAAATGCTCTATCATATAAGGGTTAGTATCCTGGACTTTGAATCCAGTCATCTGAGTTCGAATCTCAGTAGAGCAAAAACTTTTTGCTATTTTTTCGTGGCCCGTAGGAGCCGTTTTTTGTCTTAATCGTGTTGTTTACATCGTTTGGTAAAGGATTTATCGATTTCGGACCAATCCAAGTGAGAAATGATGATTAATTCTAAAAAAATAATATTAATTTTCTTTTTTTAAATTACTTTTAATCCAAAACCAAAGAGAGATGATGAAATTTGTATGATCCTGCCAACTCTGTTGGAATCGTTCTAAATATTCATTCTAGATTTAAAAAAACCATCTAGTAGTAAAATATTGATATTTAAAAAATCCAAACCATATAGTTTTTGTTAACAAATCAAAACTTTGGCTTTCAATCTTTAGACACCACAATGACAGCATTTTAACGATTTGCATTTCGTAATACATGTTGAAATTCGTATTACATGCCGTAATTCTATTCCAGAGCTCGACCGTAAAGAATAAAATGGATGATAATTTGTTCAATAAGTAGTATATTTAAAATTCCAAATTAAAGAAAAGAAAAGATGAAATTACTATTTGTATGTGTTGTAGTACTTGCAATGGTCATTGGTTCAATGTCCCAAAATATTCCAAACTCTGTCTATATCCGTCGATCTGGAGGATTTGCAGGCCGGCAAAAGGATTGTCAGATTGAGTGTCTATGACGGCATCATCAGTCACAATGGAAAGAGAATAGACAATAGCCTACATCAAAGAATCGTATTTGGGTTGCATAGCCCAGCATTCCAGAAAATCAAAGACGGCCAAAATTTCAGACCAGACTACCCAGCCTACGATGTCTATGAATTCAATGCCCAAGTTGATAACCCATCCAAGAGCTTTGCATGGAACCAAGAAGCCACCAAACCAAACATCTGTCACCTATTTGAAGAGCTTGTTGAACGTTATGGTAGACAACTCTAGAAACAAAAGATTGAATAAATAAAACTAAAACTGTTTTAATCAAGATAATGATTACGCGTACAGACAGTTGTTTGAATGAATGATCATAGGGAACTTGTGTTTTTTAAAATTAATTAAATTAAATTTTATTGTCAAACGAACAATCACAATCATATATTTATATTTGAAACATTAGTTTAAGCAAATCTCTTGAATACACTATACTTTTACAAGATGATTACAAAACAAATAATAACAAAATGTGTATCAACTAGAGCATTATTTAATAATGTTTTAATGACAACTTCAAGATACAACTATTCTACAGAATCCTCTTCTTCACCAAACAATAATAATGAAAGTTTAATAACATCATCACAAAGTAAAGAAGAGATTAAAAAGAGAAATAGAGAGATTATTGAAAGAATCATTAGAGTTGATCATGCAGGAGAATTTGGAGCATCAAGAATCTATGATGGTCAATTGGCAGTATTAGAAGACACCAAGGTTGGACCATTGATCAAAGAAATGGCCGATCAAGAAAAAGAACATCAAAGAAAGTTTGACCAACTCTTGTATCAACATCGTGTGAGACCAACTGCACTCTCACCCATTTGGGATGTTGCTGGATTTGGTTTGGGTTACGTATCTGCCTTGATGGGCAAAGAAGCTGCCATGGCTGTCACTGTTGCTGTTGAAACTGTCATTTCTGATCATTACAATGATCAATTAAGACAATTACATGATAATAATATTGATGATCAAGAATTAAAAGAGGTAAATAGAAAAAAACATAAATAATTATTATAGTTTCTCTAATTCATTTGAATTTTAGGTTGTAAAGAAATTTAGAGATGATGAAATGGAACATATGCATATTGGTATTGAACATGATGCAGAATTGGCACCATTATATAAACCATTATCAGAGATGGTTAAAGTTGGTACAAAAGCTGCTATTTGGTTATCAACAAGAGTGTAAAATTAAAAAAAAATATATTATTTATTAAGCAAATGGATCATCGTCTGAATCTATTTCTTCTTCTTCTTCCTCTTCTTCTTCCTCTTCTTCCTCTTCTTCTTCCTCTTCCTCTTCTTCTTCAATTAATTTCTTTTTCTTTTTCTTTTTCTTTGATATATTATGAGAATTATTTAGTTGAAGTTGTTTCTTCTTTAAAAGGATTATTTTCATCATCATCTGCAAATAATTTTGAAGTACTAGTATTATCAATTGCACCACTACCATAGGTATTTTCGACATAGGTGCCTATCAATAGACCTTTTGTAAATCTTCTCCATCTCGCTATGATTTCTTCTCTTTGTTTCTTTTCTTCTTTTTCATTTCGAATTTGTTGATCTTGTATCCAAGCTTCAGTCAATGTCTTTGCATTTTCCTTTGCCACGACGACACCTTCAATCTTTGGGTGAGGTCTTCTACCCCAATTCTCCCATCCAACCAAGGCTGGACCAACCGATATATTTAGTTTACGAGCAATACGCATTAGACCACCCATCTTTAGATGAACGCCACCAATTGGTATCATTTCAGGTTTGAATAGATAAACATTGCCAAAAGAGTTTGTTGGCACCAATCCATTTTTAATGATTGGTTGTTGATAAACCATGGTTTGCCATTCTCCAAACAACATGGCAGTAGGTGAAGATCCAGATTTACCCTTTACCACTTTAACTGGTTGTTCACCTTCCATAATCATTCTACCTGCTTGAATCCATTTATCTGGTACATGTAATACCTTTACCGATGACCGATGATATATAAAACTATCTTTAAATTTACCAATTGATTTTGCATTTGGTTCTAAACTTGAATATTTTGGTATATCTTTTTCTAATATATATCTATAAAAAATTAAAATAAAATAAAATTAATAAATAAATTAAATAAATATATTTTGTTTTCTAAATATATTTACAAAGGATGAGATTTAAAAGCAGAAAAACTAGTTGGAAAGTTTTCAGATTTGATTTCTTTGTCTCTAATTAATTGTTGATCAAATTTATCTGCATTGTCTTGAATATTCATATTGGTATTATTCTTTTTATCGTTGTCTTTGGTTTCTTGTTTTTCCAATAAATCAGTCCACCAAGATAGTTGAGCATTTGGTAGTCTTTTGATATGTGATACAACCACATTGTTTGTATATTTTGATGTAATATCTTTAAATTGATTATTATTAAAAGATACTACATAACCAAACGGACAGTTCTGTGGTTCCATCAATTGGGGCTGATCTATTCTATTATTAATTATATCAACCGATATCCATTTGTTTTGATTTATATCCAATATTTCAATCCAATAACCAACTATTTTTAAATCTGATTCTTCTACTTCAACTGTTATAGGATTATTATTATTATTCTTTTTTTCATCCTTTTTTTCTTTTGTTTTTTTAACTTTTTTCTTTTTTTCTTTTAGTTTCCTCTTCACTATCACTTTTGTCACTACTACTAGAATCATCAACAGTAATACTTTTTCTTTTCTTTATCAATTTCTTTTTTGGTGAAATGGTTGGAGCTGATTTTGATCTTTGAATTGCTTTTTGTCTAGAGGTTACTTTTAAAGGTGGTGTATAATCACTTTCAATATCTGATTCTGATAAATCTGATTCCTCTTCCTCTTCCTGTTGTTTCTTTGGGGAAGAAGATTTCTTTGGGGATTGTTTTTTTTTAATCTTTTCTGGTGCAGAAGTTGATCTTTTTAAAGTTGGTGATAGAGATGATTGTAATTTTTTTTGTTTGGTTGGTGTTTCAGGTGTTGCAAGTGGTGGATTAATAAAAGTAACCATTCTACATGTTAATCCAATTAATTGACAAACTATATAAAATATTTGAATATAACCATATGATGATAATATTCTATTTTTTAATTGCGATATTAAAAAATCAAATAATATATTTCTAGATTGATTATTTCTATTATTATTATTACTATCATTATCAACATCTATAACTTCTTTCTTTTTGTTATTATTATTATTATTATTATTATTTGGATCATTTTTTGATAATTTATCCAATTGTTGATCTAATTTATATTGTTTTCTAAACCATTGAATTGTATCACTAATCATTTCGTTAAAGTTGACAGTAGTGTTTGTTTTCTTTTTTCTTGATCCATTCTCTTTTTGTTGTTGCTGTTGTGATTGAAATGAATCAACCAATTGATAGATATCTTGTGGAATGGATGAAAAAACCAATGATTTTATCATATCATCTTCGAGTGTAGTAAGAGTATGTTTAAAGTTTAGAATAAAACATAATAATACTGATTTGTGTAGATTCATAATCTTTAGTTTTTGATGTTTTGAATATCTAACTTGATTTGAACTTGCTCTCTTTTTCTTTGTTGTATCAATTTCAATTGAACTATAAATTAAATAGTTGTAAATATGAATTCAAAAGGTTTGAATCAATCAATCTATCAACATACATATCCATTAAACCATCATCCAAGTCCATATTATTAGATGATATATTGGGTGATAAACTTGATTGATTAGTTGAAGTAGTAGATGTCGTAGTAGAAGTAGTAGATAAACCAATATTCTCTCCAAATGGATTGTCGCTATCCAATTCTTGTGTTTCCCCGTCTTGACCAAATTCTATATTCACATTAACACCATTATTATTGTTATCTTCTCCTCCTCCAACTATAATTACAAAGATTAGTAAAAAAAAAACAAAAAGATAATAATCTCTTCTTCTTTTGAGTAAAATACAAACCTTGATCCCATTCTATATCATCGTATGATTGATCATCGCCATCATCTTTATCATTTTCATTTGTTGTGTTGTTATGATCTTGTTCTTGTTCTTGTTCAATGATCACTTCTTCAAAGATGATATCATCATCTTGACTGTCGTTCATTCTTTGTGTGCACAACACATAAACGAATTATTCATTCATTGTTGAAAAAGTCGAAAATGTGGTACGAGTCAGATGCTTGACAGGCTCTCAATTTCTTGGAAATCGAGTACTCTTCCTAAAAGCTTAATTAATTTTTTTTTTTGTTTTTATATTCTATAGAGTTAGTAAAATATTGGTAATCAAATATATTTGATTTGATTTCCCTATACCGTTATATTTTTTATTATTATTATTATTATTCTTATTTTTTATAATCCCTTATTGTAAATAAATTCCTTTATAATATTTCCATTTTTATCTTTTAAATCTCTGAATTGTGGTTCCAAGTCAGAGGCAGATATACTTGACTCTTGTGGGAACATGGCAATAGCAGCTGGAAGAGAAGAGTTGAAAATGGCAGCAATCACAGCAAGATTGATTGGCATTTTAGCGAGTGGATACTTTTTAATAAAACTAATTTTTTCGACGACGCTCATCACCATTGGTGGAAGTAAAAGTGCTGGGAATGATGTGGCTGCACGTGATGCTGCTACCTTTAAAACTGCCTCCTTTCCTGCAACTGCACTCTTTCCATAAATATTTCCATCTTTATCTTTAATATCAATTCCAGTACTACAAGTTTGAATAATAATAATAATAATAATAATAATTAATTAATATCCAATCAATCAATGTCTTTTTTTAAAAAAGAAATGGGGGGAGGAGACAACAACTTACATCATTTCATTACTTCTCATAACCAATACATTTGCAATACCGGCTGTTGTAACTGCTGTAAATGGTACCAACTATTAAATTGAATTAAATTAAATTGAATTAATTAATATTATGGTTGTTTGTTTGGAAGTTTGATATTTGATTTGATTGTTTGTTTGATACATTACCATTCTAATACCATTATGAATAGAAAGATTATTAATTTTTAATTTATCTACAGCTTTACCTAAACCGACAGCTAGAGAACATGAAATACCGACGGCTGTGAGATAGGCAGTAGCTACTTGTTGGTTTGACATTGCATTGCTAGCATTTCTATTGGCATGGTTCAATGCGATATTGTATGATTGATTGATCCATTGCCAAAAGATGGTGGTACCAATCGATGGATTGGGTAGAATCAAGCCAGCACAAATGATAACATTGATCGGTAGGAATGAACACATTCTAAATGGTAATGGAATGGTCTCACCTGTATCTGGATGCACTGTAGCATCAATCACCTTTTTGGCTTTCCACAATGACTCTGATTCAACCTTTGCATCTATCGATCCCTTTTTAAACTTTTCCATCAATTCCTTTGCTTTTTGTAAATCAACTTGTGAAACAAACATTGATCTAGATTGATTGCAATTAGAGGTTAGTCATATGTGACTTTCAATTGAAACAAACTCTTCAGAGAGATCTAGTTGTATAATAACAAGAGAATGATATCATTGTTGTTTTGTGTATCTGTAATTCACCTTACCTTGGATCAGTTACATCTCTAAAGTTTTGGAATCTACCCATGAATGTATTATTATTGAATCTACCAGAGTCTAGAGAGAGAGAGAGAGAGAGAAAGAGAGAGAAGCAGCATAGCATCATAGTCATATGATAGATAATAATAGATAAGAATTGTTGTTTAGTTAGTAACAACGTTTAAAGATATTGATTGAACTGTCTCTTCCTCTCCTCTTCTCTTCTCTTCTTTAGACTACTTACGGCCATCGAATAGTGGTATATCAGACATTTTACTAGAGACTGTTGATGTATTATTATTATTACTGCTGTTACTGTTATTTGTTGATGTGTTTAAATTGATGGATGGTTGTTCCATTGTACAATGACTCTAATACCGAATAAAACGACAACGAAAACAGACAGAGAACTGAGTGAATGATGCGGTGAATAGTGATGGAGATCACGTCGTCGATGAGGAACAGCGTTGTGCACGAAAATTGGTTGAAAAAGTCAAACGACGAGTCAATTTCGAGTTTGAATGCTCTCTTGAATAAAAATGAATAAAAATAATAAATAAATATTCTAAAAGCTAAAAACAAATAAATAAAAAAGGGTAATGTGATTATATGTATCTAATGTATGATCGTTTGGTAAATTGTTTGAAATTTTTTGAAATTGAATGCAAGCAAGCATTGTTTGAAAAATAATAACAAACAACAACCAGGTAGGGAAATTTCAATGGTGATATTTTAATTTAATTTTTTTTCGGATGGGATAGTCGGGTGCACCCTCTGCCCACCACTTTAAACAACACTCAGCATGATACAACCAATAGATTAAAAAAGATTAAAAGAGATTTGATAGATGACAAATTTAAAAATCAATCATTATTATTTTGAATGATTTAATTATTGAATTATTTATTTAATAATGATTTTGACATTAATTGAGGATTATCATTATAAATTCTATAAAGTGTATTAATTAATTCATCCTTTGAAAATGAATTTAAAATACCTTTAACATTTTGTAGAGTAATTGGTTCTGAAGGAGTTGTTGAACTATTTGGACTCTTTGTCAAAGATGGATTAGAAATAAACCAATTTCTAACTGCATGTCCAAGTGCTGATATATGCTAATAATAAATAATAAATAGGAAAAGATTCTATAAATTAATATTAATACTTTCTATTTTATTTATTTATTTTACATACCTTACAAGGTTGATGAGATTCTCTAAATTGATCACATTCACATAGACCTTTGAATCTTTGGTTATTGACGTTTGGATCAAACTCTATTTTAACGAGTGTGTAGTCATCTGGACCATTACACACTGACCCACTAGCTTGATTCTTTCCAACCATTGATAATTGGCATTGACCATCTTCATACAACCACAAACCCTTGTCAAAACAAGCTTCTCCAGTATAGGTTAATATATCTTGTTTGGCTAATTTATCCATTCTTCCCTTGCTATTGTTGTTGTTATTTAGTTTGTTATATATTTATTACCAAAACTCCGAAATGATATTATTTAACAGTCATTGAATCCAATAAAACACAGTTCTTCAATTTCAATTGTAGATCTAGTACCATTTTCAAAATTCAATTTCCTAATTTATCGTCGTCACTCACTACCCCCTTCAACTCTAACCAACCAATAAATATGTTGTTTTAACAACAGTCACCACTTTTTTTTTCTTTTGACAAAGTAATTGCAATTCAGTTCTTGCTTGAAGCAACCACTACTACTATTGGAATATTTAATATTTGTAGGGGCTGACTTGGCTGTATCTCTTTTTAAAATTGAACCATTCGAAGACAATAAAAATCTACCAACTTTTAAAAAAAGAATAAAATTAAAAGCTTCTCTTTTGCAAGGGTGCATTGCTTTCCCCAACCCATGCATGTAACCGAATATCAGCTGATTTTTTTAGTGTCTCTTTCGTCAACCCCAAATTTGTTCTGTTTAATTTATTTTATAACAACAGTCCCATCCACATACACATACACACGTTTTGTATATCTTTTTATTGAACTGCATCATCTTTTATTATTCATTATTTATTATTCAAACAACAAACTTAACCTAACTCAAACTCACTAGTACTACTACATATATATAAATACAAAGATAACACATTGTACAATATACAACTCATATATAAATAAATAATATATTATTACAATCATTATGGAGGCAAATAATTCAATCAAAGATTATAGTAAATTCTATGGAAGTTATGCAAAGTTGAGAAAACCATCACCCATTAGAGAACTCTTTAAATATACTGTTGATCCTTCAATTGTATGTATCACACACACACACAATTGATTGTGATCATTTTGTTTATTGACATTGCGATGTTTCTGTTTCTGGTTTCTTTTTAGATATCATTAGGAGGAGGACTACCAAATCCAAATGCATTTCCATTCAAGAAAATCACGGTTGAATTAAAGGATGGTGAACCATTGGAGATTCAAGGTGATGATCTATCAAATGCACTTCAATACACACAGACTTATGGTCTTCCAAAATTCACAGCCTGGCTTAAAAACCTTCAAATACGCAACCACAAACTGCCAGCTGCCGACAACAAAGAGAGACCATGGAATGTAGGCGTGACTTCTGGTAGTCAAGAAGGTCTTGCTTTGGTTTTCAGTAGTTTATTGGATCAAGGTGATTCCATCATTATTGAATCACCAACTTATTCGTATGTCGTCAAACCTTAAAAAAAACAAACAAGATGTTTTAAATATTAATTATTCATTGATTTTTTTTTTTTATGTTTAGAGGTACACTATCAATTTTAGGACCAATGGGATTAAATATGGCAGGTATTCAAGTTGATAAAAATGGAATGATACCATCGCTGTTGGAAAATGTACTTGAAAATTGGGATACTTTGTATCCAGGAAAACGATTCCCAAAGTTGATTTATACCATTCCAACCGGTCAGAACCCATCAGGTTGCAGTATGACAGTCGAACGAAAGAGAACGATTTACAAACTTTGCTCAAAGTATGATTTGTTGATTTTGGAAGACGATCCATACTTTTATCTTCAATTTGAAATGTCCGAAGAGGACAAGGCTGAGGGATTGGTAGTCGAGCCAGGTCAACCCATCTTGGGCGTATCTTTCTTGTCGATGGATACGGACCAGCGTGTCATCCGTTTCGACTCGCTAAGCAAGATATTGTCGAGTGGTTTGCGTATTGGGTTTGTCACGGGTCCATTCAAGTTGCTAGAGGTCATGCAAAACGCACAACAAGCTAGTACATTGCATGCTAGCGGTGTATCTCAGACAATCGCTTTGTCACTCTTGCAAAAATGGGGAATCGACGGATTCCACCAACATATTGTCAAGGTGCAAGCATTCTACAGAGAGCGACGTGCCGTCTTTTTAGGCCATGTAGAGACGCATCTCAAGGGGCTCGTCGAATACGTGTCGCCGTCAGCCGGTATGTTTGTATGGTTCCGTGTGCTCAATACCGACGACACCTACCAAATGATCACATCCAAAGCCATCGAGAAAAAGGTTGTCCTCGTGCCAGGCATTGCCTTTGACCCAAACCCCGAAGTCAACCTAGTGTCTCCCTATGTTCGTGCCTCCTTTTCAATTGCAACCGACGAACAAATGGAAGAGGCTTGTAAAAGATTTGCTTCCCTTTTACAAAATTAATAAATAATAAATAATAATAATAAATCCCCAACATTGAATGTGTGGGTGATATTAATATAAATATTTATATAATATTAATTTTTACACGTAATCAAGATGAATGAACATAAAAAAAAAAATACAGAGTTGGGAATCTAAAAAAAAAAAAAAGTAGGAAGAAAAGATTTTGTTTTTTGAAAAGGTGTTTGTCGGATAAAAAAAAACAAAATCTTTTAATTTAAATTATTATTATTTTTTTGTTTTTTTTTTTTAGATTTCGCTTACTGCTACAGTTTTTTTTGAAACTCCCTCCTCTTTTAAATCAAAATATCATTATTATTGGTATTCACTTTTTTCTTTTACCACCCACCTCACTCTACTCCTTGAATTTTATTCTCTTCTCCCTATACAATCATTGCATAGCAGCTACACCCACACACATCAAAGAATAAGAGAGAGGAGTCATCACACACCACCAATTTAGCCAACAACAACAAAATATTTTGACAGCAAGGACAACAAACAAGATTATATTATAATATAATTAATATATATTCATCTATCCATCCCCATCATCATTCACTATTTATTTCATTTCATTTATAAAGTACAAAGAGAAATAATAATTATAATTATATAAATAGATTTCAGAGGAGAAAAATGAAGAATGCATTAAAGTTTATCAATTTAACAACTAATCCTTTAAAGATTAGATTAAAGCCAGTAGTATATGAAGCTGATGAAGCTGGAATAGCATCAAATCCCTCACCGGTAGCTGTAAAGGTAAAATACAAACAAATCCATAATACCTGGTATTGGAGCCCATTTGACTGACTTTTATTTTATTTTTTATTTTTTTTTTCTCTCCATCAACAGGAGTATAGAAGAAGAAATATGTTTGGAAGAGGAAAATATTATACTTCTTAAATGGTTATTTGATAAATAAGTTTCAATTCCAAAGAAACAAATTGAGAAACAAACAAATCAAGACTCTTTCAAAACAAAAAAAACAACAAAAAATAGTCCAAAGTACTTCTTCCATTTTACTTCAAGTGTAATCCCGATTCATGGGGCGGACGGACGGTTCCTTTCTTTTTAGGTCATTCCATTCAGCGCTGGGCATGTCATGACCTACCCCATCCTTTCGCGATATTAAAAAAGTTTTCTTTTAGAATTTTCCAAGTTGCCCCCGCACACACCCCTGGTCACAGTGGTGAACAAAAAGTCCCAAACATCATTCATTCACATCATTATTAATCGATTTAATAATAGATAATTCCCTCCAACTATTATCCCTCCCTTTTCAAAAACAATAAATGATCATCTTGTAAATAATTTTATGATTTGTTATTTTTTAAATGTACATTTGATTTATTTAATTTAATTTATTTATTTAATTTTAATTTTAATTTTGATTTTATTCAATTAACCATTTCAAATCATTTGAACTACATAAATCACAATCTCTTTCTTTAGCCATTTTCCAATTATCAGATTGGTTATTATTCTTTTCACGTAGCTGTACAATTTTCTCTTCAATTGTATTCTTGATGATAAAACGATGAATATAACATTCCTTTTGTTGACCAAATCGATGGATACGGTTGATGGCTTGTGCTTCGACAGCAGGATTCAATAATGGTTCGACAATGAATACATGAGTGGCTTCGATAATATTTAGACCATTGGCACCTCTTTTAGTTGGTAAAAGTAGTACTTGAATGGTTGGATCTTTTCTAAACAATGCCACAGATGCTTGGAATTGTTGTCCACCCTTATCACCTCTTTCAAACACAATTCCATTCTCTGCCAATGCCCTAGATACAATTTCCAATACCTCTGACCATTGTGAAAAAAGAATTACTTTTTGTAATGGATCTTTATCAAAAATACAAAGTAATGTCAATACAACAGATTCAATCTTTGTACCATATGATCCTTTTACTATAATATTTGTTATCTCTTCTTCTTCTTGTTGATTCTCTTGACCATTATCATTATTATTATTATTATTATTTTCATCTTTGTTTGTTGTTGTTGTTCCATTACTAATATAAGATAATTCTTCAATATTGACTCTAGTTCTACAAATTGGGCATTGAATTGTTTTAGCATTTGGTACTCTTTCAATCATAAACATGACGCATTCATAACAAAAAGAGTGTCCACAAAACATCAATACCACTTCAGATCCAGCATGTCCAAGTTTCTCTTGACATACTGCACAAATCTCTGGTTCTTCTTCTTCTTCCTCCTCTGTAGTAGCAGTTGTAGTTGTTGTTGAAGTAGTTGTAGTACTAGTACTAGTACTAGTAATAATAGAATCCTTATCAATCATTTCATTTGATTTTAATAATTCTTGATTCTTTTTTTTCTTTTCAGAATCAACCTTTGATTTTGATTTCTTTAGATTGCGTAGATAATTTAATTGACTGTACAAGTTTTTAAAGTTATCATGGGTATTCTTTTTTTGATTGACCAAACGCTCGATAAATGAATCCAATTCAATTGGTCTAATCGTAAAACTTTCTTCATATTCATCCAATATTTCACCATGATGTCTTAATCTAAATCTATTTTGAGCACTATTCACCTCATCATAAGAATTTAATAAATCTTTGGATGATGAATATAAATCTCTTGCACTTCTAATTTCCTTTTTCATTGCATCAAATAATTTAATATGTTCCGTTCCTTCATCAGATAAATCAGAATCAACAGATTTAACTAAACGAGCCAATAATTTAAGAGTAATTTCAACCTCTGAATCTACTATACTAGTTGTTTTTTCATCGACCGTAAGAAAGGTTAAATCAAATGAATCATCATCTTGACGACCTTGTTGTTTTCTCAGTCTATCCATATCTTCTGCCAAACTAGTTCTGTTTCTTGATCTTTTTGTTGCAGCTTGTCGTTCACGATCTTGTGTCTCGTCATCGTCGCCGCCACCAATACCATCGCCACCACCCATATTTTTAGATGAATACATTCTTTCTTGATAGGCAATCATGTAGCCTCTGACTGTACAATGGCTGCATTGTCCACCACCCTTTTTCGTTCGAATGGTTCGACAGTACCCACAATGAATGGATTTGAGTACTTGTTCATTGGTAAACTCTGTCTTTGCAATCGACTGCATATTCTTTATCATTTTAAGACGATCTTGGAATAAATCTTGGATATAGGTTGACAAGATAAACGTCAATCCATTGAGATCTCTGTATCGGTTGAATACTATGTGTTTGGCGTTTTTAAACACCTGTGGTTGTGTCAATTCAGATGTAATCTTTTGCATCAACTTTGACTTTTCATCAGAAGTGCTAGAGAGTGCTTCGAGTGCTTCCGACCACCACTCTCGTTTTTTCGAACGTTTATCATAATCGTCGAGCATTGTTTCCACCTTGGTATGTGATTCCTGGTAGACGTCCAGGTCTTTGGTTACCTCTGCCACACGTCTGACCTGTTGTGTACGTTTAATCTCCTCTGCTTCGGCTGCATAGTCGTCGTCACGGGTCGTATGTATCGTCAGTTTTTTGAGTGACACGAGGTACCCCAGTTGATACAGTGAGTGCAGTTGATAGAACCAATCGATCTTGTACAAGTGCTGGTTGCTCTCGAGAAGGTTCAGCGACTCTCTATAGAGCGTCGCAGCATCGTCAAATTGGTTGCGAATGATGTGCGTCGCAGCCAAGCAGTTGATGCAATACACCAAGTCACGCTGTGCGTTTTTACACTCGACTGACGCATTTTCAATGAGACGGTCGAGTAATTCATCCATTGTCATTGTATTCTTTTGTAGGTTTCGGGCATTACCAAACTCCTTGTTACCAACTTGTGGATGTTGAGATATCTTTCTCAATATCAAAAGGGGGTGCAAGATCTTTGTAATCTCTGAACTGCTCGCAGTTGTCTGACCACGTGTATATTTGTTAAAGAGTAGACGTGCCTGCTGGCTGCACTCTTCTGCCATCTTTTTATAGTATACTCGCTCGACCACTGAAAAGTTTAATAGTTTGGTATCCTTGTCATGTTGAGGTGGCAGTCCCAGTTCGTCAGCCACTCGTTCCTTTGTATTTCGCAGCATGATCGATTTGGCAAGACGTGGAAAGTACTCCTTATTATTGTTTCCACCATTATTGTTGTAATTATTGGCAATAAAATGTTTCCACCAAAATTTCGAATCAAATGGCTCGAAATGAAGAAACTGAACCAGTGCAAAGAGATCGTCTAGTCCACGTTGGATGATTGTGCCAGACAATCCCCAGCTATGTACACGAGACAGAGCAGTGGCCATCAACAACGATTTCGATGATGTCGACTCGACCATTTGCACTTCGTCAAGACACACCCTCCACCAGCGTACCGACAACAATGGGCTTTTGGGTGCTTCCAACTTTGAGAATCGTAACTTTGTATGTGTGCTAGGTGGATCAATACAATGTGACTCACCACTCAGCACATCATACGTCGTCAACACAATATCATACGATGCCAAGTCCCATGGTCCAACATTATCCTTGTAAATACCAGAATACTCGTACACTTTTAATCCTTTGGTATGTTTTTCAATCTCTTCTTTCCATTGTGCAAAAATGGGTGATGGTGCCACAATCAATGTTGTCTTGCATTCTATCATTGTGTTTCTTGACCAATATCTATTATTATTATTATTTTGATTATTTTGATTATTTTGTTTTTGATTTCTTCTATCAAGATAAGCTTGATATAATTTTCGTTTAGTGTCACTACAATAGTTGCAAAAGTAAAGGTCTTTACTTGATTTGTATCTTGTACCAACACATGAAACATTTTGCCATCTTTCACAACTATCGCATTGTACCCACAGACCAAACCCATGATCTGCTTCATTTCTTTGACAAATACATGCTATAATATCACCATTTTGTGATATATATTCCATAATGGCAGCTGGTTTTTCTGGTTCCTCTTCAGAGTCTGACTCTAATTTCATTTCCTCTTTATCATCAATTTGTTTTGGTAAATCCTTTTGATTGTTTTGATTGGCCAATAATAATCCCAAAAACTCTACTGTTTTACCAATACCTGGTTCATCAGCCAAGATACCTCCACGAATAGGTACTTTAGATGTTAAAAGAACAGGTGATCGTGACAGTCTTCCAGTATATTCGTTAAAATAAAATACAACTGATGATGATTGGTTGTCATCAGTTTGAATTGATATTCTTCTCCAAAATGGATGAATCGATTGATCTTTTGTTGTTGTTGGTGCAGATGATGAGATATCAATATCTGGTGATAATTCTCTATTGAGCATCCAAGAAACAGTTTTTAATTGATATTTCTTTAATGTTGATAACATTCCTTTACCACTCAACTCTTGTTGACTATACTCTTGTAGATCGTCAGTTGGAACAATTTGATCATAAATATGTTTTGGATTAAATTCTTCCACTTGATTCAACTCTTTTGTTAAATCATCATTTAATATCATCATCATTTCTTCATCTTGTAATTCATCTTCCACTACTTCAAATTGGTCAATATCCATTGATGACATAATGGATGATGGTTGAGTAGTAGTAGTAGTACTGGTTGTAGAAGTTGAAGTGGTAGAGGTTGTTGAAGTTTCCAAATTTAAATTGGAGGATGATTGTAATGAAGGAGTTGCAGATAATGAAGAAGTGGATGGAGTAGACATATTATCAATATCAATTGGATCATCATGACCATCCAAAGATTGAGTTTGTGATTGATCTACTACCGATTCATTTCTTAGGAAATAATTGACAATACTTTTAAATGCCTTGTTTTGTTTCTTTTGATTACCAACTTGACATGGATCTTCAATCTCTTCAAATGACTTTTCAATTAAATATACTTGAATTGACATATTTAAATGTTGATTATTATTATTATTATTATTATTATTATTATTATTATTATTATTATTATTTTGATTTTGATTGTTATAGGTAAATAAACATTGTATAAAATGATTATTATAAAGGTATAATATATCATTAATCACTTGATCTTTGCATTGAATGATAACATTTTCAAAGAGTCTATTGTTATTATATTGATTTACAATAAATCCCATAGTACTTCTTTCCTGTGTTTGCTCAGGATTAATATAAAGATATAGATTTTGATTATAATTAACTATAGTACAATAAAATAAATTTAGTTAATAATGATATCATTATAGTTATAATCAAAATAAAACAACATACAATTATTTGGAATAGGATCATGAGAGTAAATAGTGATATCACCAATTAAAATTGAACTATCTGGTTTGGTCAATGGTTCATTTGGTTTGACAATATAGCCAGTCAATAACTTTCTACTTGTTAATTTCCATTTAGCTGTTTTATCATTTAAATTGAATGGTGATGTTGATGATCTCTTTAACTTTGTTTTACTAGTAGTAGTTGTTTGTTGTTTCTTCTTTGTAGTAGGAGGAGTAGTAGTATTACTACTTTCATCTTCCAAATCAATAATTTCAATATCATTATTTGTTGTAGATGTTGATGTTGATGATGTTGTAACTTGTCGTTGTTGTTCAACAACATCTTCAATATCTCTACTACTCGATTGATGTCTTTTTAAAAGTGTAACCTCTTCCTCTTCTTCTTCATCCTCTACCATCCCCACTTGTTGTTGTGGTTGTACATCATTTCCTTGCAACACCTCTTCTTCATCATCTTGATTATCAAGAGTAGGCTTGACTTTCTTTTGACTAGTCCAACTTTGTTGAGCTTGTTTGGTGATGGTCAACTTTTTAGGAGGAGCTGATTTTCTCTTTCTACGATCACTCGATGATGAGGGTGTAGTATCATTGTTTGTATGATCACCATTACTCTGTTGTTGTGTCTCTACATTACTATTTTCTTTTAGTTCTTTCTCTTTCTCTTGTTGATTATTATTATATTCTATGTCTGCTTCCATTGAAAGAGATATAGATTCACGCAAATCGAGTCGTGTGTGAACAAATTAAATTAAATATTTGTTTTTTACTTTTTTGTGCTGCGGAAAAGAAATAAATTAAAATATTAATATAAATAAATAATAAAGGAAATAGAATAGTTGATGGGATTGACCAATGTCAATATTGATTTAATTTATCATTACCCATTGGTAATTAATAATAATAATATAGGGGGAGGGTTGGTTTATTATGGTATTTTGTTGATTATTATACAATGGTGATAGATTGTTGGTTGACGGTTCTTACAATGTTTAAAGATACGATTTGATTTGATATCAAACTCTTTTAATTATACTGATAGTGATATAATCTAATAAAGATATTTCGAAATAAATATCAAATCTCTACTTGTATCAATAATTGCCAAACAAATCTGGTCAACAACTTTCTTCTTTTTTTTTTTCTTGGTTCTTATTACTACTACTACAATGATGTTGTTATTATCTGTTATTATTATTATTATTGCTACTGGATGGGAAAAAAGTCATTGATCTAATTAACAATCATTATTTTGTCCACTTGAATTGTTGTCAAAATTATGGGATGACGGGGGAGATGATGACGAAGAGGATGATGATTGAATCATTTCAATATCAGCAGTGCTGCTGGGTGGGCAATTGCCCATTAACTCATCAACCAAATTAGAGGACGATGATGGTTTTGTGGTGGGTGTTGTCGCAGCAGAGGATGATGAAGTGACAGTTCCCAGTGTTGAGCTGTTTGATGATGAAGAAGATGATGGAGCCGATTCTAAATGTACACTACCAATGGGGATAGGAAGAGGTTCAGAAGGGAGTGGTAGGGGTATGCCAGAGAGGGGTTGTGGTTTGAATAGACTCAGTTTAGATGATTCTTCGAGGAATACTGATCGGTGAAGGTGATGATGACTCGTTGACATCAACATGGGCGAGCCAATAGGTGTGCTGTTACCCGATACAGTTGTGCTTCCATTGCTCTCAGTGTCGCTCGAATTTGAAAAACCAGATATAAATGGGTCTCCAATCGAAGGAGATGACGTTAATGACGATGAAGATGATGTCAAATTGCTTCTTCCACTACCAATACTACTGTTACTTTCGCCCAATAAACTTTTAAGTTTGAATCCCAATTTAAATGCTTCTGCTACTCTTTTTTCCATATTACTACTGTTGATGTTGTTGTTGTTGTTGCTGCTGTTATTATCAAATGATAATGATGGTGAAATGATTGGTGATAATCTGTTACTACTATTGTCATATTCATCCTCTTCAGGATTAAAACTGGGGTATCGAGAGAGTGGTTGACGGAACGATGCTGACCTGCTACTGATACCATGGCCTCGTAGACTATTACTGCCGCTACTACTACTATGTGCATGTCGTCGCTTCAAAGAGTGAAACGATGAAGTTATATCCAATGGTTTGGATGGTAACAATTCCTCACTGTTTCTTCTAATATGCTTTGCAACATGAATTGGATTATCATTCCAATTTAAATTATTATTATTATTATCTTGTGTTGTTGTTGTTGAAGAGGATGATGATGATGATGATGATGATGATGATGAGGATGAGGATGATGGTAACAATGTCATTGAGTGTTTTAATGAAGAGGAAGAAGAGGATGAAGATTGTGATTGATGATCAGGAAATAAACTTGATTGTGGTGGTTTGATGCTAAGGGTTATATCTTTTTCCTTTTCCATTTCTCTTGCAGTACCGCTACTTGTAGCACCACCCTCTTCCCTCGATTTATAGAGTTGAACAAATTGTTTTGGCGTCAATGCTCGAACAGGCTTGTATGTTACATTGGTAGTGCGTCCATTTTGATGGACACTCCCATTTATGCTGTTAGTGTTGCCCGACGCCAACTGCACAAGTTGTGACTGAGCAGTGTTGTTGGAGAGCGATAGGTTGATGAATTTGACCAAACTGGCAATCTTTTTTTGTGACCGTTCTCTCTTTTCTTCATTGTGTATAAAACTGTTAAATGAATTGATAAAATAGTCGTCTTTGTTTGATTCATCTTGGTATTGTGGCCATACAAAAAAGTGTTGTGTGTTTTGTCCTCCACCACCACCAACACTACTCTTTCCAGTAATGATTTGATTCGCTCTTTCATTTGATGATTCAGTCGATGATGTTGATGATGATGAGTTGGTTTCACCACTACCACCATTACTACTAACTTGACCATTCATATTAAATTTAAAATAAAACATTCTGTCATTTGTAAATTGTTTATCAACTTTTAATAAATCAACTTCATTATATGATAATACATATGACTAAGGTAAAGTAGAGAAAGAAAGAAGAAAGATATATATATTAGATATATAGATGATTATTAAGATATCCAATATGATTCTACATACATTATCAATTTTCATTGTTGATAGATTTCTCCAAATCAAATGGAAATGCACTATTCCCACTTTTAAAAGTGCAATGACACCCTTTTGTGGAAATGGTACAACTAGATTATTTTTATATTCACATTTACCTGCTGGAAATTCCATTAATATTTTCTAGAATTGATAATATTAGTTAGTTTGTACCAAAAGTAAGATATATTTGTTTTTTGTCAATGTACATACACTATTTTTGTACAAAAACAACATTTCTCTATGTGCATTTAAATGTAGAGATGGTTGTTGTGATGGAGGTGGTGATGTTGATGATGATGATGTTGAAGTTGTTGTCGTAGTAGTTGTTAAACTTTTACTATTACTGTTATTTTTATATTTTTCTTGATTCTCTATTTGACTATCATCAACCATATTTGATTCAGTATCCATTTTATCAAAATGCTTATTATTAGAAGGAGGAGGGGGAGGAGGTGGAATATCAACAGGTTTTCTTTGTATGGTTAGATCTAGTACAATATTGTATTTTGATTTTGGAGAATAATATCTAGACTCTATTGCTGACTTTTTACATATACCATTGCTCACAATCGATGGACCACGACCAACACTACCTGGCGTTGGTACCAGTTGATGTTGATGATGGTGATGTTTAGTGGTTTCCTTTGGTAGTGGGAACGTTCTTCTATAGACAATGATCCAATGTAATTTTAAAAGATTTTGTACAATCAATGTATTCATACCATTAGCCTCAATAAAATGTGTATAACTAATAAAGATAAAGTTTAATTAATATCTAATTTAATTCATTTGTTTGTTCTATATAATTATAAATACCAAGGATTTTCAAATATATTTGCCGATTGATACAAAGCATTCATAACTTTCAAATCACTATCACCAAAATTAATGATTTCCAATGATATTTGATTAGAGAACAAATCCAATCCTTCCTTTTTCATGTCGTCTTCACTACAATAAATAAGAGAGAGTAACTTGATTAGTATCTTTTACCTCTTTTGTCTAGAAAATTCTACAAACATACGTTGCTCTGGTTGGACTTCCGGAAAAGATGATCAACTTTTTGATATAGTTGGGAGAGTCTCTTTTCTTGAACAAAAGATGAGCCAATGTTAGAGAATCTACTATATTACAATTATGACCCAAACCAATTTTCTTTAAACTTGAACAAGATGTATTCTCTTTTGATAAAACACTATGTACTTTTGGGCTGTGATTGAAAGGTGAAAGGTGAAAGAGAGAGAGAAGAGTATAAGTGACTCCATCTTGTTATATATATATACTAAAATAACATACTTTTCTCCAGCCATTGTTACGACATAGATCGTAAAGGGTAGACTCGCAGTCAACAAACAATTGAGTTGTTGAACCACTGCCATACACTGTGATGTCCAACGATCTGTTGGTGAATAATCTCCATTGATTGTGAATTTAGAGTTGTCCAAACTAAAGATATAGATAGATCATAGATAGATAGATAGATAGTAGATGTATGATATCATTATTAATTTGTCTTCTTGGTCAATAATAATAACCAAACATACCATATAGTGATTATAATCTCTTCATTCTTTTTCATTACTAGTACAATATATAGCCTGCCTTCTTATCTAAAAGAAGAAAGAAGAAGAAGAAGAGGAAAGAAGGAAGGTTGGGGGAGGGTGGGTAGGGAGGGTGGAGGGAGCGAGCGAGAAGGATAAAGTCTATGATTTCTTTCTTTATTTCACTCTCTCTCTTTTCTCTTTTGTCTTTATTATCTATCTCTCTATCTCTTGTGATCTATTATAGTAGTATCAAATTGATCAATAGATTTACTATGATGATGATGATGATGTGTAGGTTTTGGATGATGTTTGTATTAAATTTTGATGGAGGATCGCGACTCTTCATGTTTTTTTATTTTATTTTTTGACAAGAGAGAGCTCTCTTCTTTTTTTGGACATCAGAGTATCCTCTCAAATAAAGTATTAATGGTATAATATAATTTTTATCAGATAAAATATATTCATTATTTCAAACAACTTTCATTTTTCCTTTAGTTTGTTGTTTCCAACTTTATTATTAAAAATTATTTTTTTTAGTTTTATATTAGTTGACAACAAAATCCAATAACTAAACTAAAAATGGATAAATAAAGTTATAAAACTTTCTTTCAGTCATTAGATGTTTAAACAAAAAATTGGTGAAGTTTCTAAAATTTGGTGGTAGTGGTGTGAGAGGAGTGGAGTGTATACTAGGTTTTTAGTTTTATATGGAAAGAGGATCAAGGAATTATCATTGAAGAGCAAATACCACTAGTTAAAGTTACCACTACCACTACCACCTGGTTCAATGAACAATAAAAGTACTCTCAGATATAAATTTAAAAATCATATGAATTCTTGAAGCTGATTTATAAAACTAGTTTAATTAATTCTCATCTTTGCTTATAGTTATAGATAGTATTATTATTATTACTACTATTATTATTATTTGTATTCATTCACTTCATTTCAAAAGTATTCAAATCTTTGTTGAAAAAATGTATAGATTTTTAGCATTATTATTATTCCTTGTAATATCTCTTCGTCCATCTTATTCAATTGATTCGGCTGAATGTATGTATCCAACCAACTATTTATTTTTTGAAGATTCTTAATACTAATCATTTTATTTATTTATTTATTTATAGTATACTCCTTAAATAGAATTTCTCAACAATTTGAATATGGATGGAAATTTGATTATGATTCTTGCAATACTCCATCTACTCATTGGGAATGTAAAGATGGACATGTAACAAAGTTGGATTTACCATCACCTGGATTTGCCATTGCATTGCCACAAGTTGAAGATATCAAATACCTTACAGACATCAAGTTGGGTGAACATATCTACATTCAACATTATATTTGGTACCATTTTTCAAAGTTGAACCTTACTTCATTGTTTGTATTCCCAACCGTTCATCCACCCTTTTCCACAATATACTAATTATTTTTACTTTAAACTTTGTAGAGAATGTAAAGGTGAATGTGTTGGATCTTTACCAGATGATTGGGCAAAATTATTACCAAAATCATTATTGAAAATGTATGATTTATAATCAAATAATGGATATAATACATTCTAACACCACTATTTATTATTATTATTATTTAATTATTTATAGTACAATGGGATCTTTTATCATTCCAATTCCACATTCAATCTTCCAAACTGGTGTTAAAACCATTAAATTCCGTACTAGTTCAGGTTTTGTACCAAAATATCCAGGGTATGATTTAGATAGATATAATCATTCTTTTTTTTCTAATTCTTTTTTTTCTTTTTCTTTTTTCTTCTCTTTTTAGTGTAGCAGCATGTGAAAATCAAGGAGATGGTTTTAAATGGGCAACTACTGGGCCATTGTAAGTATATATAGGTTGAGAGAGAGAGAGAGAGAGAGAGAGAGAGAGAGAGAGAGAGAGAGAGAGAGAGAGAGAGAGAGAGAGAGAGAGAGAGACGAGCTGTAAATAATAATATTAATATTAATATTAATCCAATTTGTTTTGAAAAAAAACTAGAACTATTGAATTGGTAAAGGATTATCTCGCCAAGGATGGAGTGATGAAGATTAAGGAATATGATATTACCATGGGTAATGCAACTTGGAGAGTCGCACAAATGGGAGAGAGACAAGAAAAGTGTCTCAGAGGACCAAATGGATCTGAAAAGACCATCGAAGAGGAACCATACACTCAAGAATCCATCTCGAGTACTGGTGCTGCTCTTCCAAGTGAGGTAGCTGAACATAAAAAGCAGGATAATCCAGCATCCACCATCATGGCTCCCATCTACCTTTGTACCATTATCTTTTCATTTGCAATGATATTGGTTGGTCAATTTTAAATCTATCCATCTATCAATAGTAGTATTATTATCATCATTATAATTAATCCAAAAAAAAAAAAAAAAAACTTTTATCTTGAAACATTCGTTTGTTGGTTTGTTGGTTCATTCATCCATCCATTCATTCATCGTACAATATTAATGTGTAATAAATATTTATGATGTGGATAATAAATAATTCATTATTATCCCCCCAAAAAATACACCATCATCCATAGTTTGTTTTTGGTTGATTGATTGATTGATTCTTTATATATATACAATTGTTGTTTTGTTTGTGTCTATTCTATTCTTCTTTCTTATAGTCTCTACCAGGAACAGACTTTGCTTCCCATTTTGAAAGATCAATCTTTTTAGTCATTTTCTATAACAACAACAATACAATACAAGTGTTAATAATTCTCCTCTACAGTATTCTCTATCTCACTCTTTTATATATACTTCATATTCTTCTTCCAAGGTGGGAGTAGTCTTGTTTGGGTCACCTAAACTCTTTTGATCCCATCGTTCGTACTTGTGTTCCATGAAATGATGTAATGCAAAGAATGAAACTGCTGTTACTCCCAACATGGGAATAATAGTATACATCAAAGATGATCTAGATCCCTTTCTCATCTTTGTTTCTATATCTATCTATCTCTTTGTATCTCTTTTATATCTAGATATCTATTTGAATGATTCAATTTAGAAGGTTTGATGGCCATCTAATAATTTGCTGTTTTTCGTTTAAACATTTCATTGTCAAACTTTCGTCTTTACACTGCAGTCATTAATATAATTAATTTATACATATATAGATATATCTAAAGTAGTATAGAATGATAACAAGTTTATTATATAAACAAAGTATCAATGTACTTTCAAAAAGATGTTTATCATCAACATTTAATACTTTGACAAAAGGTATAACTTCATCTTGTTCATCTTTGTCTTCGTCATCATCATCACCTGCTTGGTATAGTAGTAGTAGTAGTTCAAGTGGAAAGAAAAGGAATAGTGATAGAGTAAGATCATCGATGATCAAAGAACATAAAGTAGATGAATTACAACAATTCATCAAACAACAAGCCAACCCAGAAACTATAAACTCTACCAAACCAAGTGAAGCTAAACCAATGAATAGAAAAGAAAAGAGATCAATGCAACTCAAGTTGAATCGTAGTGCCAATAACCTTATCGTTGCTGGCACCGTATCACCAAAATCACATGTACCAACTCATATTACTGTTCCTCCATATGGTAAATATAAATATCAATATAAATACAAATACAAATATATATTGGTCAAAACTAAACCTAAACCTCTTTTTGTTTTATAGTAAATGGAGAACCTGTAATTGAATATGATTTGGAAGATGATATTACAATTCACAATGATGAATCTATAAAGGCAATGAGAGAATCATGCAAGATTGCAGGCGAAGTATTACAGTATGCTGGTAGTTTGGTGCGTCCAGGTATAACAACCGATGAAATCGATAAATTGGTGCATGCAGAGATTATCAAGCGTGGCGCATACCCTTCACCCTTGGGATACAAGGGATACCCCAAATCACTGTGCACCTCGATCAACGAGGTCATCTGTCACGGTATTCCAGACAATAGACCATTGTATGAAGGTGATATTATTAACCTCGACGTTACCATCTACTACAATGGATACCATGGAGACACATCGGCCACATTTTTAGTTGGTCAAGTTGATTCAGCTGCCTCTAAATTGGTTGAAGTTGCTAAACTAGCTTTGGAAGCTGGTATTAAAGCTGTTAAACCTGGTAGACCATTCTCTGATATTGGTAATGCTATTCAGTATGTATAAATGTATACAAAAAAAAAATCATTATTATTTATCATCATCATCATCATCATCATCATTTCTTATTCTTTTTCTTTTTCTATAGAACATTGGTACATAAACATTCATTTGGTATCCCAGCACATTTAGTAGGTCATGGTATTGGAAAGGAATTCCATACAGCACCATTTATATTCCACGTTAAAAATGATCTATCGCATGTCATGGAACCTGGTATGATATTTACGATTGAACCAATCATTGCAGAATCTACAGAACCATATACCGAATGGAAAGAGTGGGATGATAAATGGACAATGTCGACATTGGGAGGAGGATGGTCCGCTCAGTTTGAACACACTGTCTTGGTTACAGACACTGGTGTTGACATTTTAACAAAATAATAAATCGTCTCGTCACTATAGTACCATTTTTTTTATTACACATACACATACACATATTATAAGTTGTAACCTCACGTAAATCAGACCAAAACTTACCCAAATAAGGAGGTGGAGAAGAAGAGAAAACTGGTTCAAACCCCCACACATATTTAATTTTAAATTTTGAGCCAATGGAAATCATTTTCATTCATTGACAATGAATTGGACCTAATTCATTAGTAAATCATTTATCATATGACACTATAATAATATGGGTTGAGGGATGCTTCCCTTTGAGAAATGTATTTAATAGATAGATGATTAATAATACATTATAACAAACAAACAAACAAATACACACTTTTAATATTTTAATCTTTACATCTTCACAGTTGGCCCAATAATATTTAATTTAATTATTTAATTTTTAATTTGTGTGTGTATGTGTGTGTCTCTTGTGGGAATAGAGTATTCAAATTCAATTTTATTCTTCATTTCTTTCATCATCATCAATCCACCAATCAATCATCATTGTACATAGTAGTTAGTTATTGATTTATTTATTTATTGAATAAACAGAAAAGAAAAGAAAAGAACTTTTAGAACATATTTTTGGGAAAACAAGCAAAAGAAAACTGGGTTGTTGGTGCAGCAAATCAATCGAGAGGGGAGGTTATAGTCCGGCAACAGCAGCAGCAGCAGCAGGCATATTGTTGAACGATCGCCATCACTCTTCCTCTTCGAAAAAGACATTCAAGTTTTTCAAGTTATATCAGTCTTCATCATCATCATCATCAACATCGACCTCATCGTCTGCTGCTGCATCATCATCGCCGTTGGGTCGTACGAATGGAGACAACAACAACAATAATAATAGTCAAAGGGTAGCCACACGATTCGAAACCAACAATAACAATAACAAAAAGAAACAAGAACGTCGTCAGCGTAATCGTCATCGTCATCGTCATAGCCCGTCTTCTACATCCACCACTTCATCATCCATCACTACATCACCTTCATTGTCTTCGCTTTCGTCGTCAACGTCGTCTCTGACAAACGGATACCAACCACTTCACAGAGACACCACCACCTCTTTTACTGTAAATAACATTGTACCTACGACGACGACAACGAGCAATGACAATGCATTCAATAGTCATCATCATCATCATCAACTCCATTCATCCTCAATATTGGCATCATCGACGGCAATGGGTGGAAGCAAAGCACCATTGTCATCCATGAGTAATGGAAGCGATAGTGTCTACACCATGTCACCCGTGATTGGTAGTGCGGTCATGAGTGATCCAATGGGTAGACAATCAATTCAAAATTCACCATTATTACAACAACAAAAATTCAATGTACACAACAACAACAACAATAATAATAATAATAATAATAATAATAATAATAATAATGTAAATAGTCAAACCGTATCACATTCATTTATGATCGGTAATAATAATAATAATTCTACTAATCAAAATAATCAACAAATCAATAATGTAAATAATAATAATAATAACAATCATGGAATATATAATAGACAAAGGAGTAATACAAAGGAAACCATGAAAGTTCAAACTGGGAGAGATATAGATGGATTTAAAATTGTAAATGAATATGTGTTTGTCAGGAAATTGGGTACTGGATCACATAGTAAAGTTCATCTTTGTTATCATCAAGATAACAATATGTTATATGTATGTAGTAGTAGTAGTAGTAGTAGTACATATAGATATTATTTAATTGTCATTATTTTTATCAACAAACTAACCATAAATATTTATTATTTAGGCTGTAAAAGTTTATAACAAAATTAGATTGAAAAAGAAAACATTGGGAGCAAAGGGTTTATCATACGATGAAGTAATCAAGGAAATCGCAATAATGAAAAAAATTAATCATCCAAATGTTGTAAGGATGTATGAAGTAAGTGTAGATAAGTTTAAACAATTTAATCCTATAATATTAATTTAAAACCCTTTAAGGTTATCAATGATCCAAATGAAGATAGGATTTATGTAGTTATGGAATATATAGAAGGAGGATCAATAATGAGTACATGTGATATTACTCAAAACCATTGTATGTCTGAAAATTTGGCAAGAAAATATTTTAGAGATATTGTTTATGGTTTGGAATATTGTATGTCAATCAAAATCAAGTTTGATAACATTTAGAAAAATATTAATAGATTTTGTAAAAGTACATGAACAAAAGATTATACATAGGGATATTAAACCAGAAAATTTATTAGTAAATAAGGATGGGCAAGTCAAGATTACAGATTTTTCTGTTTCACATATATTTGACAACAATGATTATTTAAACTGTTCAAAGGGTAGTCCTGCCTTTTTAGCTCCAGAACTTTGTAAAGAGAATCCAGGTAAATATATTATTCTAATGGATTGTACAAACCTATGTGTTTTCTAATTTATTTTTTATTTATTTAGATATAAATTCAATTTCAGGTAAAGCAATTGATATATGGGCTTTAGGAATTAGTCTATATTGTTTAATTTTTGCAAATGTTCCATTTAATAGTGATAGTTTAATTGATATGTTTGATAAAATTCAATGTCAAGAGTAAGATTAATTTTAATAATGATCATCATTATTCTTTTATTAATTTTGTTGTTTTTTTTAGAATTCAATTCCCAAGAGAAATATCAATTGAATTAAAAGGATTAATTCAACGATTACTTGATAGAAATCCATTAACAAGAATTACATTGATGGAAATCAAGAATCATCCATGGACGACTGTAAATGGAACATTGACAATGAAAGAAATGCAACATTTAATTTTAAATGTCACAGATCAAGAAGTAAACAATGCAATCACTCTAGATTCACTTCACTCTATGTACTATGAGTCATTGGATACATCTAGTGAGAGTAGTAGTCTAGTCGGAAAGCAATCAGCACCATCCTCCATTTTCAACAGTCCCAACCTATCACAACAAAATTTCCATTATAACGCCCAATACTTTACCCCTGGTGGATTAACTACACCAACTCATCAACAACAACAACAGCAACAACAACAACAAGAAATGATGAACCTTGGTGGAGTATGCAGTACTTTTCAAGATGAATATTATGATGACGATGATGATGAAGATGGATCTAGTTATGATTATGATGATGGTGATTCTACCTCTAGCAATAGTAGTGATGAAGATTTACAACAAGTCAACGATTTCCCATCAAGATCATCCAATACATCCTTACCAGATTTTCTATCATACTTTGTTAAACCATTGACACGATCCTATTCAACCAGATCAATTGTTTAATTTAATAATTAATAATAACATTAATGGTTCTTTTTCAACAAAACTCCAACAACAACAAATAATAATAACATAATAATAATAATAATTTTTTTACCAACCATTTTTAACTATTTATACGTTTTTAATAATATTATTAAAATTGTTTAAAAATACATATTTTATTTTTATCCAAATCAAAACTCTCTATCTCTTTTAAATTCTGTACCGACACGTAATTTTAAACACTTTGTAACATATTCTTTAATCACATCATCATCATCACCATCGACAATCAAATTAATTTCTTGATTAGATTTGGATCATCACCATCATGGAATTATTAATCAATCAATCTATCTAAAAAAAAGTTGGGAAAATCAAAATCGATTGTCATCAAATATTTTTACTTTCTTTGATTTTCTAAATATTGATTGTACATGGTTGCTATAACCAATAATTGAGGAAGTGATTTTCTATTGGATACAATTGTTTAGGGGGGAAAACGAATTAAAATATTTGTAAAAGATAGAGTATCGATGAATTGGTAAACTCTAGCAAGTTATAAAGGAAAATTGTCAACTATTTTGGAAATTTAACTTGTGTAAACAAGAAACATCATCATCGTTTTTTGGATTGATCAGACTAAACATTTATGATGTGAGAGAGAAACCACAACATCTATGGTATAGTTGATGATAACTTGAATCATCTTTATGAGCTACCACTTTTGGAATTTTATATTCCAAAACCCTTTCTATTTGGTGATTGGTCATCCAATCCATATCATGCAACGATTGACTATAATATAAACGTCAGTTAAAATATAATATAATAATATAATAAATATTAATTGATTGGATTCGTTATTGATTTTTTACAATATTTTGATGATGTATGATGTGGGTGGAAAAACGTTGATGAGAGTGGTGGTAAGAGTGGGATAACCATTCACTCATATAGATTTATCAACTCACACACACACGTATCAATTGATTGTGTATACTCCCTTGTTATTGATAATACAATAAACATCTATTTTTGTTTAAAATCATTATCCCTATCCCTACCCCATATTCATTCATTATACACTTTGATTGTGTTATTCTTAAACACAAAAGTTGTTTTATCAATTTGTGGTATTTTTTGTGGATAGAGTGTAGAATAAAATAGGATAATAATAAACCAATATATGGTGATGATATTAATTTAAATTAATATGTAACCAACCCCCTTAATTAAAAGATAAATCAGTGTATTGTTTTCAAGCACTAGTGATTTACAATTTGATTTAAATTCTGGCTTTTTTTCCTGTTTCCAGATGACAGATACCAATCTATTTTTATATCTGTAGAAATGACCATTAAAATACAAACATTCAACCGGTTTGCATACTCCACCCTAAAAGAGGAGCGATCCCTCCCTTGTCCACTCGACTGGTCGATATGGATATGGTTACATTGGTATGGTTGTACATACGTATTCGCTTTGCTCTCCACCCGTCAATTTCTCCCCCCTAATAAAGTTTACTGTTTTCTTTCTTCTTTTGATCGTGTACATCAATTCCATACATGTTCGAATTTGTTTCCAGGTTTTAAAAACCAATAATAGATCCATCATATGATTATGTACGGGTAATTTATTTTATTAAAAATCCTCATCATCAGCATCATCATCAACACATCAACAATAATCCAGACGTCTGCTCACCAGCATATGCTGGATAACTGCTCTACCCAAAAATTTAACTATGAATTAAAAGATCATACCTTTTTGTCATGCACCGATACACCCTAATATTTCCCATCACCACCATTCATTTATCAACACGGTTTATCATCATCATCATAGTTGTAGTTGTTCTTTACAAACCCCTTCTACTTCTCCACTTCCTGCTACTACTCCAAATGGATTCCATTCATTCTCCCCCTTCCACCTCCTCTTCCTCTTGTTTTCCTCAACCACCAGTATATACTCTCAGGCAATCATGGTCATAATCAAATATCATCATCACTAAACTAAATCTAATCCACTTTTTACTTATCAGACATCTCATTCAGCATCATCAACAAACGAATCAAGTTTTATCAGCATGGGTGGGGGGTTCGTTGGGATTGTAAAGAGACACTCCGACCCGTCTATTTAAACTCTGTCCAGACATGCTTTTCAAAACAGAATTCATTTGATTTCCAACACAACAACAACAAACAAATAATTATATAATTAATATCCATCATTTAATCATATAATTATTGTTTTATAACACTACCAACTGTAACACCAACAACAAAAACAACAAAAACAATGTATTTACAACGTTTCTATTTTGCATTTATTGCATTACTCTTACTCTCTGGCGGAGCATATGCCAGAACAGTCAAACTCGACAAATGCAGCAGCACATGTAGATTGGACTCAATGTTGGCTTTGGTCGGCGGTGCACTCACCCGTGCCGACGATGTAGTCATCCAAGGAACTCAAAGCGCCATTTATAATATTGCACAACCAATCACCTGTCGTGCCTTGTCCATCGCCACTGGTACCGTCAATCTCAACTCCAATGTTAATATCCTCGGCGACCTCCGTGTCGACGCTGGAGCCAAGCTCGTCATCAATGGTGCTCTCTCTGCCACCGGTCTCATCAAGGTCGATGGTGAATTAATCGTCCTCGGTGGTATCTCCTCGATCGGAAACATGGCCTGTGCCGGTAAGGTACTCGTCCAAGGTGGTACCCTCAACATCAATGGTTTGCTCTTTGCCGACACCTCTGCCTTGACTGTCGCCGGTGGTATCGTCAAACACTCTGGAAACTGTGCCTACAACACCTTGCCAATCGTCAAGGGAACCGGTCAAATCTTTGTCAACACTGGTGCCAACATTGACCTCAACAAGGGTATCAAGTGTCTCGACCAATCCATCCTCAACCTCGCTGCCAACGCCAAGGTCAACCTCAACGCTGACTCGCAATTCCTCACCCCAATCATCGTCAATGCTGGTGCCAACGTTCTCGTCAACAAGGGTAAATGCGACTTTACTGGTGGTATCAAGGGTACTGCTGGTTCCATCTTGACCATCCTCAACGGTGCTGCCAACGTTGCCGGTGACCTCAACACCTGTCACAAGATCGACCTCACTGGTGCCGGTTCACTCAATGTCAACGCCGGTGCTCTCACCTGTGCCGACCTCAAGGCCATCGCCACCTCCAAGATCAACCTCTCTGGCAACGGTGCCCTCCTTCTCGACGCCAACGCCAACGTTGTCGGTAAGATCAACCTTTCTGACCTCTCCAACATCGTCGTAAAGGCCGATTGTGATGCCAAGATCTTGGGTGGTATGACCTGCTCTGGAAACTCTGTCGTCCAAGTCCTCGACAACGCCAAGCTCGACCTCGCCAAGGACTGTCACTTTGTCAACCCACTTACCATCGGTTCGCAATCCACCGTCACCCTCACCAACGGTATCACCAACTGTGCCAAGGGTATCAACTCCAAGCCAGACTCGACCTTTATCATTGACGACAAGGCCACCTGCAATATTGCCCACAACTCCAACGTCGGTGACATCAAGGTCAACGCCAACGGTGCTCTCAACGTCAACGGAGGTATCACCAACGTCAACGGTATCTTCCACACTGCCGACAAGTCAACTGCCGCCATTACCAACGCCATCCTCAACTTAAAGAGCGACGCTGAAATCAACAGCAAGTTGCTTGCCCTCGCCAACTCCAAGATCTCCCTCGAAGGTCTTACCAACCTCAACGCCGGTATCCAAGCCGACACCACTGCCAAGATCGACATTGCCAAGACCTGTAACATCAATGCCGCCTCTACCCTCAACTGTCACACCAACCTCAATGCCAACGCCATCCTCAACATGAACGGTAACAAGGTCACCCACTCTTGCGGAAAGATCACCACTGCCCCAACCTCTACCCTCAACCTCAACAAGGGTTGCAACCTCAACATCGTCGGAGCTGCTGATATCAACGGTGCCACCAAGCTTTGCGATGGTTCCAACATTAAGATCCATGGTGTTGCCAATATTAACAGTGGTATCCAAACCGTCGGAAATATCCAATCTATTGTCAATGGTAAATAATAATTAATAATTAATCATTCATAATAATATTCATTCTAACATACTTTTTTCTTTTTTTCTTTTTCTTTGACTTATTTTAGTTGCCAAGGCTGGTACTTGCAAGCTTGCATCTGATACCTCAATCAACGGTAAGATTTTGATTGATGCCGGAGGTAACCTCATCGTCAACGGTAAATGTGCTGTCAATGACCTCCAAAACGCTGGAAAGGTTATCGTCACCAAGCCAATCACCATCACTGGTGACAAGTTCATCCACGCCAACGCTGATGCCTCTATTGATTTGAACGGTGATGGTATGATCTCTTGTAAGGAAATCAACTTTGCCAAGGGTGCCCTCAACGGTGTCGGTAAGATGGCCTGTACCAAGTGTACTTTTGGTAACAACATCGATGCCAACCTCAACGTCCAAGGTGATGTCGTCATCCAACCAACTGCCAACCTCATTGCCCGTGTCCACGCCGATGCCACCGGTGCCATCCAAGCCGTCCCAGTCATCATTGCCTCTGGTGCTGCCAACATTGCCGGTAACGTAAACATCATCTGTGACGCTGCCACCAAGATTGCTGCTGGTCACGTCATCAAGCTCGTCTCTGCCGCCAACGTCTCTGGTAACCTCAACGTCGTTGCCAACGCCAGTGCTGCTGCCAATGCCAACATTGCTGCCAATGCCTGGAACATGGTATACCCCAAGTGTGCATGTGAATGTTACCTCCAAAAGAAGTAAACAACAACAACAAGTTAGTTTGTTACTTACTTACTCTTTTCGTTCGTGTCTAATTCATATCTCTTTCATCTTATTCATATTACTCCTCCTTTTAATATATGTATATTTATTTATATGTATTTTATCAACAATATATTTACAACATCCAACAAACAAACAAACAAACAAATTAAATAAATTAAATTCTTTTCGTTTTGAAACATTACATCTTCAGCATTCGTCTTTAGCATTAAAACTATTTATATTAATTTAGATTTATCAAGTTCAATAGACAAGACAAGACAAGATATGTCAGATACTAACAACGATATATATCATGAAGATCATTATCAATATCAATACAATAATAATAGCAATAGTTTAAATACTGATTCAAATAATAATAATAGTTATAATCCTTCAGACCAACAACAACAACAACAACAATCATATAATAATCATAACCAACAACCTCAACAACAACAATACCAACCTCAACAATATAACAACAATAATAACAATAGTTATAATGTAGAACAACCATATAATAATAACAATAATTATAGAGGAAGAGGAGGAGGAGGAGGTTATAATAACTATAATAATAATAATAGAAGAGATTATAATAATAATGATAATAATAGAAGAGATTATAACAATGATCATAATAATAGAGGTGGTGGTGGATATAGAGGAGGAGGTAGAGGAGGAGGTAGAGGAAGAGGAGGTGGAGGTGGTAATAATAGATATAATCCATATGGCAATAACCAACAACAAAATCATCACCAACATCAATATCAACAAAACAACAATAATGAACCATATGGTACAATTAACAAATCGATATCAGAACATTATGGACAAAGAACCAATATACCATTACATATTAGAGATCAAAGTCGTATATTGAATATGAAGAATACAAATAATTGGGTCAAATCTGTGATGATTCAAAAGTATGTCAATCGAGATGACAGTGTATTTGATATCTGTGGTGGTAAATTAGGAGATCTTCAAAAATGGATAAAGGCATCAATCTCTACTCTTTACATTGCCGACGTTGCTTTGGATTCTTTAAAGGATGGAGTAGAACGTCACAATGAAAGAATCAAAAACATTCAGTTCAACACCACCTTTATCTGTTGTGATTGTTTCTCTCCAAAACTACTTCAAGCTATTCCTCCAACCGTCAAGTTTGATCTTGTCAGCTGTCAATTTGCCATTCATTATTCTTTCCGTTCAGAGGAGAGTGTACGTAATTTCCTTCAAAATGTTTCCTCTGTCTTGAAAGATGGTGGTTATTTTATTGGTAATTTCCCAGACTCTCAATATATAGTGTAAGTTGATCACAAATCAAAATATATATATATATTTATATATGTAATACTGATTGGACTGTTTATTTATTAATTTAGTGAAAAATGTAAAGAAAACAATTCAAACAAATTTGGAAATTCAGTATTTAATATTAAATTTAAAGAGGATGAACCAAAGTTTGAAGAATTTGGGTGCGCATACCAATTCTTTTTAGAGGATGCCATTGATGGCTTGGATGAATATTTGGTCGATCCAACGGTATTGTCGAGAGTTGCCAAGGAATACGATTTGGAGATGGTACAGGATGAAGATTTCCATACTTTTATTGAAAGAGAAAGAGATGCCTCTGACGGTAACAAATCTCTTTACCATAAAATGCATTGTCTCAATGATCAAGGTACCATTTCCAAAGAGGAATGGGAAGCATTAAGAATTTACAGAGTTTTTGCTTTCAAAAAACTTAAAAAAGAACAACAACAAGATGATCAAACTTCAACATCGACAAATAATGATAATAATAATAATAATAATGATAATGGTGATGGCGATGATAAAAAAGATAATCAAAATAATAATAATAATTATCAAAATAGAAGAAATAGAAATAGAATTCCATTTATCAACATCAACGATATAATAATAATAAATTAATTGGAGAGATAAATCAATCACATCATGTGACATGATGACAACATAATGATGATGATGAATATATATAATAGGATCGTCTAAATACAAGTGTTATTATATTATTTAATTTTAAAATCTATACAAATTCGGAAAAGGTTTGAAACTCGATCGAGAGTAGTCTTTGTGTGAATATTATTTATGCGTTTGTTGTTGTTGTCGTCGTCGTTGCCACAATTGTCCTTATAGACTTTGTTCTAATGCCTGGTTTAGTAATAAATATCGATCATAACTTTCACCTTCTATAATTGAATTCAAAACAATCTTTGAACTAGTTTCCTGCATTTCTCCTCCAATTAAAAATTCATCCAATAATAAATATGCCTAAATATATATATATATATAGATTAATTAGATTGATTTCCATACCATATTGGTAACATTATTCATCATTAAATATACCTTTTCAAAACCATAAATCAAATCCAATTCGCAAACATTTTCAAATGCTTGATCTAATATGACAACTATAAAAAAAAGAATATATCAAAGTGGTTAGTTTGTGTACCAATCATATGATATATATATCTATATTGTTCTGTGTCTGTCATACCAAGTTTATGTATAACTTCCAATGTAATGAGTTCATTGTCTTTGTTATCAACAATCATAGCAAAAAAGAGAGAAGCATAACGTTTATATACGACGGTGTATTCTCTCCATATGATAAAATTACAATCCTTTTCACGTCTTCTTAGTACCTGTCCAGTGATCTCTCGAAGATATCTATCTTTTTCTTTTTGTGTATAGGTAGAGTACCACCGAGATAGTCTCATCCTTCCTTGTCTATTAAATGTAAATACTCCATGAATCTAAATCGTTGTTATAGTTAGTTAAGTTCCTCTTTACAATATAAAATCTATCTATCTCTATATCTCTCTATCTCTATATCAAGTACCATTTTATATCTATGTTTGTATGTGTCAGGTGATCGTTCACTTGATGCGTTGTTGTGGGTAGTTCTATTCGAATCTAAAAAGTAGTGACTAAATGGGATATATAGAGTTTATGAATGATACAGAGAAATCAATCCAAAGTAGTGTTACAATAATAATGAATATAATTAAAGTTTATTCGATTCTCCCCTGCTCGTGATGTTATTTACACTAAAATTATAAATAATTCTGATTTGTCCATTCGTTTTTCACATACCCAACCTTTTTTGGGTTTGTCATCTAAAGAGAGACATGTCCCTGGGATATTGTTCTTCAAATAAATAAATAATAATAAATAAATCAATAAATCAATACAGTTTAATAAATAAATAAATAGGGTAGGGGTTTTTTGTTTTATTGTTACGATACTCAAATCCAAAGTGTACTGTTGTTGGATTGTAATTTAATTTTCCGACATTAAGGATATTGTTCGGTGTGTTGTTGTTGTTGTTGATGGTGATGATGAAGTGGAAACTGTAATCCTTTTTTGAATTGTTGGTGTTGGTTTTGACGTGGAAGAATACGACGACGGGCATTGGTGAACCAATTATTGATTTGACTGGAAGAGAGTAGGGTCTTTTGGGAGAGATCTACCTTTTCATCTTCGGTTGGGTATGGATTGTTGTTGTGTTGGTACAACCAATTTTTGAGAATTGATGTGGCTTCTCCTGGTAGTTTGCCTCGTTTCTTTTTCAGCATCTGTGCTGCTGATTGTTGTTGTTGTTGTTGTTGCTGGTCGTTGCTTATTGGACTGCCAACGCAGCTGCTGCTTGCCTTTGATTTGTCTGGTGATAGTACGGATTCGGTTGTTTGGTCATCTTCGAATGAATTGTCAGGTGATAAATAGTTGTTGGAATTGTCAACACCATCAGATTGTTGTTGTTGTTGTTGTTGAAAGTGATCTTGATCAAGATCAATTACTTCTGATGGAATCAATTTCTTATTTTCATTTGGTGTAAATTGATAAAAGACAAATTGTTTACTATTATTATTATTATTCATCATATTATTATTATTATTATTATTATTATTATTATGTATGTTTGATATTGATTGTGGAGGTGAATTGGGTTGTGATAGATATGACTGTGGAGGTGGTGGAGGTGATGGGATTAATTGGTTCGGTTGATTTGGTTGTTGATATGGTCTGGATGATGATGATGATGATGGTTGATATTGATGGAAAACTTTTGGATTTCTATTAATAGAATCATCCCTGTGAATTTTTAATTGATGTTGTTGTTGTTGTTGTTGTTGAAATTGTTGATGTTGTTGTTGGAGTTTCATTAATTGGAATGGGTTTGGAGCTATTGGTTGGTATTGAGCAGTTGGAGAAGAGGAGGGTACTACACCAGAGATTGGTTTTGATTTTGTATTGGCAAGAGTAGTACAATCAATTGAAGGAGGAGGGGTTGACGATCTTGATGATTTGGGCTGATGATGTGCATGTTGATCAGTGAGTGTCATGAGCATCTGTGTAACCCATTCAGTATTTGGATTTCCACCATTTGTAGTAGAACTACTAGAAGAGGATTGAGTAGACTGCAATGGTGACGGACAAGGAGATGGACCAACTGCCTTATGATATTTAAATGGTCGAGAGGTCTCTTCCTCATCTTGAGAGTCTGGAAAATCATCAAAATCGGCATCACTAAAATCAGAACAAATAAATTGATCTCTTGACGATTGACTACTATAACTCTGAACCTCTGTATCTGGTGTAATCAATGAACTAATTGAATATTCTAAAATAAACAAATAATAATAATTAGTTAATAAATGAAACAACAATCATCAACTCCAAAAAATAAATAAATAATTAAATCCATTACCCTTTGAAAGTGAAGGAACTTTTTGTGAATCCTTATCCTTGTTTTTAAATAATCTATACATATTCATTTCAATTGATTCAATTTCATCTTGAATTGATGCCAAAAATAATTTATATTCTAAAGTGACCGAAATTAATAAATATTATTATTATTTGTTATTTGTTATTTGTTATTATTAATTTTACATACCATATTTTGTCATTGTTGATGGATGATTTAATTTTAGACCCATATCATTTACCAATTGTTGAGCAGTATTAAAATATTCTGCCCCATCCCAATAATTTAGAGTTGGTGATGGAGTAGGAGACGACGAAGTAGATGATGTCCTACTACTGTGAATCAAAGATTGTACGGGTTCATGAGAGTGTTGGGTGTATCTCCCTTGTTGGTGAATATCCGTTGGATATCTATAATAATTTTGAATACTTCCTTTGGAATGATGATGATGATGAGATGGTTGCATTGGCAATTCTCTATTTGGCCAAGTATTAAAAGACGACATGTTGATTATAAAATCCAAAAAGTTTAAAAAAAAAGATTGGATGGAAAAAAAACAAAAGAAAGTGAAATGAAATATTGGCGGGATAATATAATAAAATATAATAAATAATTATTTAAATTTGAGAGTAATATATATTATGTGTAAATGGATAGATATGGATATAAAGATAATATAATAGATAGAATTAAAATTAATATATATCAAAAAATATATATATATATAAAGTATGCTTTATAAATAATAAAAAGTGTAGATTGGATTGGAATGAATGGCAAAAGTGTAGTACTATAAAACAGTATTAAGTAAATAAAATATTTGTAATCTTTGATTATTATTGTTGTTGTGTTGTTGTTGTTGCTGTTGTTGGTTTTGTTTTGTTTTGTTTTGTATGTTTGCTTGTTTGGATTTAGATTGATGATATATTATATATATAAGAGGGGGTGATGTATGACAGACACATGTTGACACAACCAAACACGCACACACAAAGTTTATATTAATATTTATCTCTGCTGCGATACACTATAGTAGTAGTAGTAGTAATAATAATTAAGAGAGTAGTGAGTGCTATGGATGGCAGAACCCACCCAAGAATTTTGTCATTCTTCTGATCTGCCAGTCTTTGAGTTTGAGAGCAAACAAGCATATACTACTCTCCTCATCACACTCCTCTTCATTCCCTAATCACTACTCACGTCCCCCTACCCCCACACACAAACACTCACTCAAACACATTACGATGGTGGGCTATCTATCCAAGTTGATCTGAAATGGCAGAAGCACATCAAACCTGAAAACCAAACCAAAATCAGTCCAGTCCTCTTCCCAACCAAACCATATTAAACAATCAGATAACAACAACAACAACACAACACTCTGTGTCAATCAATCATTGATTTGTTTCTCTCTCTCTCTTTCTCTTTTAACGTTCATAAACACACCATTGCAGAGAGAAAGAGGGGGTTGAAAACAGATGGATTGAAATGATTGTTTGATTGTTTGATTGATTGATATGATGGATTTATCGATGATGTAATGTTGTATTCATACGGTTAGTGGGTGGGTGAGAGAGATCAGGTGGTAGACCAAACTTGTCAAAAAAGGATGATGAGGAAGGAATGTACTTGATGATGATGATGATGATGCAGACAACACCACCATCTTTAGAGAGAGTGTGGGAGAGAGCGACCAACAGTACTGTTTAAGGAGGGATGCTGCGAGAATCATGTACTCTAGTCATAATCTGAAAGTACTCTGTTTTGTTCTACAATGACTCTGTTTGGGTGGGGGGGTTTGTTTTTGATTGATTTTGTATTGTTTGAGCTGTTGATCCTCCCACCCCCTACGGTTCATAAATAAATATTTATAAATCTTTAAGGAAGGGTGGCGGTTGGTGATATTATTAACCCATTGACTCTTCTATGCGATATGACGACGCCGTCGTCTCTACACAATGATACGTTGACCGGTTATTCGAATCATCCATTTCAATCTATTCTTTCTCCTCTCTACAACTACTACTTGAATCTGTATGCATGTTATAAATGGAATAGTAGTGTCCATTCTAATGATAGCCTTTTAAACCTATGAATAGAATACAATATGATAATATAATACAATATCTCTTTATCTAATTGTGTCTCTTTTCTCTGTCCTCTTTGCAAATGTTTTTTTTTTTGATGACCCACCCAAAATTAAATTAAATCAACAATTAATTTAAATACTATTAATTATGGACTTGGTGATGGAGTTTGTGTAGATTTTATTGATTATTTATTTAAAATAATGTGTATTATCTATCTATCATTCAAGCAAATATATATTATATTTTAATCTTTAAAAATATTTATTTGGTTGTGTTGGTATTTGATTGAGGTACCTATGACATTTTTGACCAAGCCAGCCCTTCATATTAATTAATTTAAAAAAAATACACCTCACGGCCTTTGGAACGCGACAACTTCCCGCCGCACCGAATGAGTACCAGACCAACATTGTGACACCATAAGAACTGGTCCTGACCATCATTTTCATTTAGTGTGAGACATTCCTTTTTAAGTTCATTGGATTGGTGACATCATTTTCATTAATTCCAAGGATGAAATAGATATAAACATTCATAATAATATGTCATTCCAAAGTGAAACCTGTGATAAACAAGTTGGATTAAAAGAGGTTCAACAAAACAGGATTGTTAACAATCAAAAATTAATTTTGATATTTTTGGTGTGTGTGTAGAATGTTTTTTCACTGTTCAAGTTTATTTTTACTTTCTTCTTGCAACTACAATCATACAGATACAACCGTTTATATATTTATATATATATATATTATATTTGCCTATAACATCCAAGCACAAAGAAAGAGAAGAGAAGAGAAGAGAGAACACACATGTCCGATACTAATGACGAGTTTGGAGACTTTGAAGCTACTCCCCCTCCTCCCCTTCCTCCTCTTACCTCCTCCTCTGATATCATAGATACAACTCAACAACACAAGCAAGATAATGATGATGAGTTTAACTTTGGTGACTTTACCACCACCAATAATGATAACAACAATAGTACATTCAACTCCATGTCAGTGAATAATGATGATGGTTTCTCTTCATTTCAACAAACTACATCACTAGACAGTACTCTACAACAACAACCACATCAACAAGATCTCTTTGATTTTGATGCTCCACATCCTCCTCCTATTCCATCATCCAGTTCAAACAACCTCAACAACAAAGACTCAGCCTTTGATTTTGGTGACTTTGAATCAACACCTCCTCTTCAATCTACAAACAACATTATCAACGATCAAATAAGATTCGATACATTTGAGACTTCATCTCCTCCACTCAGATCATCTTTATCACTATTAGATGATTTGGACTTTGGTGATAGCAGCAGTATTAGTAACAACAACAATACAAGTAGTTTCGGAACATCTGATGCTTTTACCTTTGATAACAAACCAACTGCAACAACAACAACAACAGCAACATCAACAACCACAGGATCAGAATCATTTGGTGACTTTGATTTTGACTATTCATCTAAAATCACCTCCTCCTCTAATCCTACGTCGGATCCATTCTATGACCTCAATAGTAATAATAATATTGAACAACAAGCCAAGCTAGCAACAGTGGAATCAGATTCATTTGACTTTGGAGTAGAAGAACCTAGAAAGATAACAGCAACACCACCAACATCATTTGCAAGTGATGCCAATAACACACAAGATGAATTTAGTTTTGAAGGAGAAACAAACAACAAAAAGGAAACTGAAGATTTTTCATTTGATGGTTTTGGATCATCAAAGGAACAACAACAACAACAACAACAACAACAACAACAACAACAACCATCGTTTGATGATTTTGGTGATTTTGGTGATGGAACAAATGATACAACAACATCCAACAACAATGACTTTGACTTTAATAGTAATAGTAATAATGATAGTTTGACAGTAAATAAGCAACTCGATGAACAACCATCGTTTGAAGATTTTTCAAATACTTCTTCCTCCTCTTTGACTCAACAACCACAAGAAGAAGAACCAAAAATAGAATTAGAGTCATTTGAAGAAGAGATCAAATCATCATCATCAACATCACCACCACAAAAGGCAACTGAACAATCATCTTTATCTGGAGATCATTTTGGTGACTTTGGAAGTTCTGATAATATTAAATTGGAGGAACCAACAACAACAACAATATCACATTTTGAGGAACCAAAGCAACAAGAACAAGAACAACCATCCTTTGAAGAATTTATTGAACAACCAACCATAAACGAGCCATCATCATCTTTGCCAATTGTAGATGATATTGAAAAGAAGGAAGAACAATCAAAATCAGAGTCAGAATCATTTACATTTGATGATGAACCAAAACAAGAACCTCCTAAAATTGAAGATGAATCATCATTTGATGATTTTGAAAATACCAATAATAATAATAATATACAACAAGATGATATACCATCATTAGAAGAAGAATTACGTGGATTCAATCAACCATCAATAATAACAGATACCATTAACAACAGCAGCAGCAGTAGTAGTAATCAACAACCAACCGAAACCGCCGAGGTTAGCTTTGATGATTTTATTAATAATAATAATAACAAAAAAGAAGAAGAAGAACAAGAAGAAAAGAATAATAATAATGTCAATTTTAATTTGGACAATAATCAAAATAACGATGTAATACTACAACAAACAAATAATAATAATAATAATAATGACTTTGATTTTCAAGAAAGTAATAAGAATAATATAGAAGAAGAAGAGGAAGAAAAAAATGTACAGGATTCATTTAATTTTGAAGAAGAAAACAAATTGTCAACACCACCTATCAATTCGGATAGTTTCGAGGATAGTCCATTACCAGTTAGAAAAATTATTAATTTTGATTTATCTTCTGGTATTCAACAACAATCACAACTACAAAAAGATTCTTCTTCATCTTCTTCTTCAACAAAAGAACAACCACAAATTGAAGAGGATGATTCATTTGAAAGTTTCTCGGAACCAATCAAATCAAGTTCTGAAATTGACATTAACCAATTTATAACAAAAAAGGAAGAAGAGGAAGAGCAAAAAGAAACAAAAGATCAAAAGCAAGTAAAGGATCATGACTATCAAGAGGAAGATTTTGAAAATGATGAAGTCAAGAGTCGACCATTGGAATTGTCACTTGATCCTCAACTTCGACACCTTTCTCACTCTCGACAGGCATCAAGAGACTTTGTACCAACCAACAATAGTATATTCCAAGAGGCAATAGACGAGGAAGACAATGACGACAAGATGTTTAACATTCCACCTCCATCGTCATCGGCTTCAAACAAGGACCAAGACCAAGACGATGATTTTGGTGACTTTGGTGATTTCAAAGATGATTCTGGTGCTGCCACTGGCAATGACCAAGACTTTGGTGATTTTGGAGACTTTAACGAAAATCAATCAACATTGAAAAGTGACAATGGCGACGGTGATGATTTTGGTGACTTTGGAGATTTTAGTGCAACAACATCAAATAATAATAATAATAACAATTTTACAAATGCAACCACTACTACATCTACACCACTTTCATTTTCCTCATCGACAGCTTTCACCTCTTCTAAAGCAACTACTGTTGAAAGTGTCAAAGATTCAATCAACAAAATACTAAACCAAAACAAAAATTGTTTCATTGTATATGAGAAAGATTCAATGGAAATAGAAAAAGAAGAAAAAGTAAAAGAAAATGAAAAAGAAAAGAAAACAACAACACTAGACACTATATTAAAATCATCGGAAATGGATCAAACCATCTATCAAAAATCTGATCAATCATCCTTCAACGCACCACCTTCACCATTTGTATTTAAAAATTCTCATATTGAGAAACAATTTATTCATTCATTACAATTAAATGAACAATCAATGGAATTGGTAAGTAATAATTAAATTAATAATAGAGCAAAAGAAAATTAAATATTAATATTATAATTAATTTAGTTGAGAAAAATAGAACAAGAAAGAATTTCACAACCATTGAAACCACTTACAAGTATTTTGACAACAGGAACTCAATCGACAGTTACTACATTGGATTTTATGGATTCTCCTGTTACTGGAATGGACTCTACAGGTAGTAGCTCTACCAGTAAAATGATAAACATTGGAACAACGGTGGAACCATCGGCACTATTGGGTGTTGACCCTGCTCCCAAACAAAGTATTTTGCCAAATTCATTAAACGATGTCATGTCTCGTATCCCAGACCTAACATTTATGTTATCCAACAAACTATCGATTCCAGTCAAAGGTTCAAAACATAACTCGAAAATAACTACTGTTCCATTAAAATTAAATTAATCAAATATCTCGCAAAAAGTAATAAAAGAATAAACACACGTGAATATTCATATTTTAAACATATAATATATAATAATAATTTAGTTGGTAAAGTTTATTATAACTGGAACAACTAAATAAATTAAACTACAAATTTGGATTGATTGAAAAAAATATTATTATTATTATGATTTGTTATTATTACTGTTGTTATTATTATTATTAAATATATATATTTGTATTTCTTTCTTCGCAATAAAATGTTAATAACATAATTGTTTTTGTGTTGTAGTAGTAGTAGTCAACAACAATAACAATAATAAAATACAAATAATCAATGATTTTTAAAAATATATATACTGGATCTCTTCTTCTTCTCTACCTTCTTCTTCTTCTTCCTCTTGTTTCTTTTGTTTGTTTGTTTCATTCTTTGTTTGTTTGTAATTTAAATTAAATTTATGGTGCAGATGATCCTGATGGAGTTGGATTTGTATTTGAAGTTGGGTTCGATGTTGTTGCTGGAGTGGTGGTAGCTGGAGGAGGTGGGCTATTCTTTTGGTTGATTAATTTAATGGCAACCCACTTTGTACCCTTGATGACTGGATCGCCTTGATGAAGAGACAATGGATCGACCTCTCCATTTGGCTTGCAATTGTAAAACAATACAGCATCACCCTTTACAGGCTTCACCTTGACACCAACCTCTGGGAATGATGTCTCTCCACCTTCCTCAACCTCTGAGAGATACATTAAAATGGTACAAACACGTTGTCCATACAATCCAATTTTCATCGCTCCATTTGTTGTCAATGGATTAAAATAATCATAATGTGCTGATGTTTCTTCACCTGGATGGTATCTAAATAAATTGAAAATAAATAAATATAATTAATTAATAACTGATAATCAATATTGTATTGGGTTTTGTCACACGTGATAATGATGAATCAATGATCGTCATAATTAGGAACATACCTAATAACTTGCATTACTTCACAATTTTCAGTTAAATTTACAAGCATTTTCATTCTTTGGAATATTTTCTTTACTACATCGTGATCTTCCTCGCCCTCTTTCATAAACAGGCCCCAACCACTACGATGGACGCCCGATGAAATTTCGTTGCATGGTCTGAGCTTGTTCTTGGATATGTCGATAAGATGTTCGCATTCAGCGGGTGACAAGAAATCTGGAACTCGGTATACTCTTGGACATTGAGACATCTCAATCAATTTTGGCAACTTTTCAGTCTCGCATTTCTCTCCACTGACAACTTCGTTGTCATCATTACTAAGTGTCATCATCATTTTCTACTTTGCTTTCTTTCCTTTTGTAAAATAAGAGGGTTATTAATAAATGTAAATGTAAAAATGAAAATGATTGTATATTGTATTGTATATATGTGTATAAGAATGAATGAATGAAATAAAGAACACGTGAATATTAATGCAAAAAAGTTGCTTTGCTTACTACTCAATCCACAAGCATCACATCATCAATATAATATTGATTTTGATCTGCACTCAATCTCATTCACATTTAAAAAAAACCAAAACAAAATAGATGGCGATTCTGTGCAAAAATAGAACCAAGTTAAGTAAAGTATGGTACAGACACATTATTACTATTACAATGAAGAGGAGGAGGAAGGAAGGAAGGAAGGAAGGAGATAGATGTAATAGAAGGAGGAACAAACTAATGAATCCATTCCTCTTTTTAGACAAGTTGACTGACTGTCAGTCCAACCAACCAAAACAAAATTTACTTACTTGTTAAATAAATAATCTATAAAGATGTGCGTTCTGTAGTAGTCCTACTTTCTAATTCTAATTCTAAAATAATAATAATTTTAATAAAATTTAATATAAATATTAATTATGAACGATGAGATTGTTTATGTTGTAGTAACTGAGGTTTGTAGTAGTAGTAGTATGTGGTTGTTGGTGTACTTACAGGTTTTGTTCTTTTTCTTTCTTATTCAATTTTGGAACTCAACAACAATTTAATAAAAAAGAAGTGTGTGGGGGTGGGATCAATCGAAGTCAACACACCAATACCACCAAAACATAAAGGATTGTTCTTTCTCTCTCTCTCTCTCTCTCAAATCTCTGCATAATAGTCTTGTATTATATATGTTCGTCTGTCGGTTCATTATAGTCTCTCTCTGTGTCTCTCTGACTTTGCTGTCTTTGAAATAGATAATAACAGACCACAGTACTATAGTCTCTTTGGTTGGTTGGATGACTATAGTCTTGAGACTCTATATAGCTATTTTTGATGTATGAAATATCAAATAGTTGTTGTTTCTACATGAAGTGAAGCAACTCTCCTTTCATTCATTTCATTGTACAACCTATTGATCCCTAATTTATCTGTATCAATCATTCTTCTTGCAAACTGCGTACTCTGTTGCTCAAGTCCAAAGAAAAAAAAATGAATTTTTTTGATTTTTCTTGTGGTGATCATTGAGTGAGCAACAGAGAATGAAAAGAGACTATTCGTATATTATATCCATTACAGTAGATTATATATATAAAGATGGCTTTCAAACAACAACCATTCGGTCAATGGGCCGCTTACCAAACTAAACACTTCTGGCCATTCATGGTCGGTGCTCTCGTATGGGGTGCTCTCATCACCAAGGTACACATTGGTATCACTGGTACGTAGTTTATCTCTCTCTCTTAACATAACATCATCTTGATGTATACTACAAATATATTAACTGTTTCACTACTACTACTATTACATCTTTATCAATATATACAGATAAGAACAGAGCTGAATCAGGTAAATAACAGATAAGAACAAGAATTATGCATATGATTGATGAAATGCGAAAAGAATCGATATTGAAAAAGAGAAGATAGAATAAGAAAGAATAATTATTGACACATTTATCTTCATATCTATCTATTATATATCTCTATCTATCTATCTATTAGCCTACTATGAAAAGACTCAAAGACTTACTCACCCAGAGAAGTTCCAAGGTCACGGTCACGGTCACCACTAAACTTGGTAGATTTCATATTCCATTCATATAAATATCATGTTTGCTGAGAAACGACAAACAACAACAGTATTATTAGTAATGCACCGATTAATCAAGCAATACAATATGATAATATCAAAGCAAGCTGGTATTTAATAGAACTAATAAACAGTGTATCAAAAAATTATATATCAAAACAATCAGCAACAATATTAGTCAGTAATAACAATGTGGATAAATAACATCGACAGAAGAAAGAAAGAAAGACATGGAATTTACAAAAGAAAAATGTTTAATCTAAAAAGTTAAATTGATAATGAATATATATATGAACATCAACCAAAAGAGGAGAAGACAAGATCACGACATTGCCATCATGTGATACTCTCTCTTTTGTTTCATATGATATTTTCAATCAACTCTTCCTTTTTAGATAAGAAAATTTATGTATATGTGTATCTGTACGTCTTTTTTTTGAAAAGGGTGCCTTGTTTTATCTATCTCTTTTCATCCAATCCATGAATCCAATTTAAAATGGTTATTATTATTTGTTGTTGTTGTTGTTGTGTGCTTGTGTTATTTCATCCATTTATGTACATAATAACAATAATATTTTTAAAAGATTGGTAATATGTAATTCCCATTTGTTGTTGTTGTTGTTTGTTGTTGTTTGTTGTTGTTTGTTGTTAAATCCCTCCCCCACCTTTGATAGATAGATATTGTTACTATCCATCCAATCCATAATACACTATTATTATTCCACAACGTTCATTATATATCTACTATTATTATTATTATTATTATTATTTTTTAAACTGCCATCGCCAATACACTAACAACGATTAAAACCAAAAATAATACACAAATAATGATCCAATAGGGAGTTGTCTTTGCATCTTGAGTTAAACGAACCAAACTCTTGTTTGCATTCCTTAGTCTACCATGAGTGCTATCTACATGTGAATTCAAATCATCCAACATTATACTCTGTGATTCTGCTTCAGAGCCTATACCAATTGCCAATTCCTTTTGTCTTGTGACACTATATGATAATGAATCCAACAATTGATCTTGTTCTATAAAAAGTGAACATTATATAATGTTATGTGTTAACAAGATTTATAATATAATATCTATCACTTGAGTCGACATACCTTTCATAACTTGAGTATTTCTATCTAATATTTGATTGTTTGAATATGATGAAGACTCTTCTGTCTCTTTTACTCCCCACTTTCTATTACCATTGTTATTATTATTGTTTGTTGCACCTTCGAATAATAGAGCACTCCTTAAAGTATAGGTAATTAAGTAATTATGTAAGTATGTATAGGGTGTGTATCAATCAATGTATGTATAATACAAACTTTGCAGCATCTGATAAATAAGGTTGATTGAAATTAGGTTTATTACTATTATTGTTGTTATTGTTATTGTTATTGTATCCACTTCCACCTCCACTTCCATTTCCCCAATTATTATAATTGCCACTATTATTATTATTATTGTACATCTTGTTTGTTTGTTCTTGTTTTACTCTCTTTTCTTCTTCTTTTTTTTAAACCTATCTATCTACTATACTAGTAAACAAAAAACCAACTCTCTTATTCTTGTTTGTTGTGTGAATATATCTTTCTCTCTCTCTCTTTGTAATGAATGAATGAATGAAAAAAAAGTAATAATTAATTACCAAACACACATCCGCTCACGAGAAGTCATTTAATATTTTTTTTTTATCCTATCTCTTGAAAATTGGGGATCGTGGTCAATCGACTGTTCTGTCTGTCTAATCTCAAGGTTTAGTCACTCCTACTGCTACTCGATCCATAAAATACTTCAAAGAATTCATTGACAAGAGAATGAGAGAACAGTGACGATGGATGATACAAAGTAGTAAGTTCATGATATGATATGATATGATGATGGTTGAATGAACATTCCAAGGAATGATTTATATTGCTTATCGATATCTTATGTAGTACTAACCAACCCAACCAACCAACTTCTTCATCCAAAAAATAAATACAAATAACTTAATTTATTCAGTTATTTGTGCAAAACTAAACTAATCCAATGATTGTTCTTGAGAACTATATTTGTCGTTGGACAATGCAAGGGGGACAATAATAACAAAAGTCAATATAACGAAGTTCGCCGTTGACTTGACGGGTCAAAAAAAAAACTTGAGTCAGTTCAACTCACTTTGACCCACCAATTCTAAAAGCAAAGCTTCTTTGTTTAATTTTAGTATACTTACATCCTCCAATATATTTATATATTTATCTTATCTTTTTTTTAGATATCTTATACAGTATTACCAACATCACAATGGTATGTCTTTTATGTCAACTACAACAAATATGATCTAAACATGTTCTAACTTTATCAACTCTTCTTCTTCTTACTTCCTTGTGTATAGCAATCACGTGTCCTCCGTCAAAAGTCTGAACGTATCAACCAATTGGCTGGTAAGAAGATGGAACAAAAGAAAAAGGAAGGTGGTATCTCTTTGAATCCATATGTCCTTGGTTTCATCATCTTTGTTGTTGTTGGTTCATGTATGTATAGAAGAAGAAGAAGAAAAAGAAGAAAAAGACCTTTACCTTTTAAAGATCTTTAATACTAATCATATTGTTATTGTTATATTATAGCCATCTTATCAATCTTCAAGGGTCAATAAACAAGATTAATCAAGTAAACCAATAAGAACAAAAGAACAATATAGAGGGAAAGGGACAAACAAATAGATATCTATTGATTAGATAGATAACTAATATAACACGGAATATCAAATAATAATAACCATAAGAACAATTACAATGTTTTAAGCGTTGTAAATGTAACAAATAAATTAATGTATAAATAACTTATAATACCAAACTACATAGATATCTGATATGTGTGTCATTTTTGAAGATTCTTTCGTTTTATGCACAAGCGGATGAAAATTTGTCAAAACTTTATGATGTAGACCCTGAAACGAGATCATTGCATTTGTATTCATTTCAGTGTTATTACTTTACAAGTACTTAGATAGATCTAGAGATGAATACTATTGTAAAGCAATCAACTTCAACATTGTACAGTGCAGCTGTATCATCATCATTGGGATTCCGTTTTATTGCTGGTGCAATCAAAAAGAATCAACCGATCGTTAGAAGAACTACTTGCATCTTGTCAAACGGTGCTACCATCCCAATCTATACTTCAATGCCATACGCAGAGGTTTGGAGATCATCTATCGATAGTTATAACACTAAACCAGATCATCAATTCGACAGCAAGTCAGAGACCAAGAAAAAGAAACAAATGAAGAGAGATTCAAGATTCCAAGATTACAAAAACTAATCTAATCAAATACATACAACAAGATATATATACACACTTTTTAAATCCTACATTTGGATGCTATCATGTACATGGCATCACATTAACAAAAGATTAGATGGATAGTCATAGTTAAACATATGACTATTTGTACACTATCACAAACACGACAACGACAACGACAACGCATAAGAATATAATGAATGTACAAGGAATAAATCATTAACATTACAACAATCAATCAATCAACAAGTTGATTTGGAGAAAATGAAAAAGAAAGAACAAGATATCTTGGATAGTCATAGTATTTAAATATTTTAATAGTAATACATTTATTTATTTTTGGATTTAGATTGATCATTTAATGTATCAATTGTTTCTTTTCATTCTCTTCAATCTTTTTAATGTGTTCAAGTAAACCAGGAGTTTGAACTCTTCCAGCAAGGCGTGCAATTAAATCATTCTTTAACTTAAAGTTTGGTTGGTGAATATGGATATGTGTATGATGTGGTTTGACTGTATGGATATGTTGTTGTTGTATTTGTTGTAATAATGGTGATGATTCGGTTGTTGTGGTTGCTGTCGATGTGGTTGGTTTCATATTGATAGTATGTTCAATTGGTTGGAAATGGTGTTGTTCATATTCCATCAATGCATCACTTGCTTGGAACATTTCATTTGGGTAGACATTCAATAGTTTCTTTAGATTATTGGTACCCTTGATAGCCGTTAGATGAGAGTAGAGACGATAAATGTTATAGGCCAAAAACACATTTGGTCCAGGTAAAATGGTTGCAGCCACTGTGAATGGGATCATCAATGTATGAACGATAGACCAGAATTTATGATACGATGCACGTTGACGTACTACTACACCAGTATATTTAAATGCTCTTCTTTCACCCAAATTACTTGGGTATAATATTTTAAATAATGTCTCGGACGAAGACGATGAAGTTGACGTTGAAGTTGATTGTTGTTGTTTATCAACGATAAAATCTTCAACATTGATAGATGAGAATTGTTGAAAGATTGCTTCTTCTGGATGTATCTTTGATTCCAAGTAGATGAGTAGTTGTTTGAGACGACCTTTGACTCCGACACCTTCTGACGCTTCGTCAATCTCGCGTCTTGACTCTACAGCCTTTGCTTTGGTGTATGCGACGGCACCTTGCAACCGCTTCATCATACTTCGTTGCGACGACTCTTGTTTCTTGCTAGCTGGGTCAGTGTCATCCATAACCATGTCGGCTGCATTTGAAGACTCGACCGACAACGACGCCTTGTTTGCAATAAACTCTGCCTTTTCACTATACAATGTCCATCTTCTCTGTGATATTCTAACTAGAAATACTCTCATTCTTTATATATATATATATACAAATATAGATAGATAGATAGATAGACAAGAGGGTGTACACGAATGAATATATAAATAATATTATAGATATTTATGTTGGGAGAATGAAAAAACTTATTCTTCATGTCCCCCAAACTAACTGAACCGACCCCCACCTAAATATTTTAATATTTGTATCATACCGATTTGTATTTGTTCGTTTCGAATAGTCATCTTCATCTCATCATCTGATCCAATCGATCAATCGATCAAATTAAGCAATAATATAAAGAGATGGTCAAGAGAAAAGATAAAGATACAACAACAAAGACGACTGATGCAATTCCAACAACATCGTCGTCATCGTCGTCGACTGCTGATACAACAGCAACTACTACAAACAAGGAGAAGAATGGAGTACTAAGTGCAAAAAAGATGAGAGGGTATAAGAGAATGTTTCAGGCATTTGCCAATGATGATATAGAAACTAATCAAAGTATGATATATACAACAACAACAATACTTGAAGTTACATTGATGATGATGATGAATGACTAATTAATTCAATCTTTTGAATTAAAAAGAATTATCAGAGACATGGGACTTGTATCAGAGATATGGACAACAGGAGATTGGAGACATTAGTAACCCGTCGTTAGAATATTTAAATGAAATACAAAAAGGTGTCTCTTTTAAATTGGTCGAGAGATATAAATCAAAGTATCAAAAGAATCAAAAGGTTACGTCAACCATCGACCATAAAATGAGACAAGTGTATGACAGTGAACAACTTGTTGGTGGCGACAATAACAACAATAACACTAATCAAACAACAAACAAAAAAAGAAAATCAAGAAACGACAATGAAAGTGATGACGAAGATGAGGAAGAAGAAGAAGAAGAAGAAGTACAAAGTGATGATAGTCAAGAAGATGAAAGCGAACAAGAGTATAGGAGTAGTAGTAGTAGTAGTGATGAAGATTCATCTGATGATGATGAAGAAGATCGAAATAGTCGAAAAACAACCATATCAACAACAAATAATAATAATAATAATAATGACAACTCTCAACTCATTCCAACGATTGATGAATACGTTGAAAGGGAGAGATACAATAGATACCCATTAAGTAGAGTCAGCCTATACTCTAGAAATGTTGAAAGAAAGTGTGGTCCTGAAATATTAATGGCACTTGGTATGATCAACAAATTAATTAATCAATCACCCCTCTACCTCCTCTCCTCTCCTCCTCTACACGAACCCTGCCACCCCCTAACCCCCACAAATCGAACCGTTTCAACTTACTAATCGACCGATGTTTGTCTATTACTATTAGGTATCTTTCAACAACAATATTTAATTCAACTTATCCAATCTATCAAGCCATCAAACAATGAATGAATGAATGAACGAACGAGGAATGAACCACTTTCAAAGCGAACATCATCATCGTCATCATGTCTCCTACTAGTACTAGTCCCATTCCTCTTCTTCTTCCTAATCTAGTAAGTTTACAGTGAGGGAACATTTAACATTTCAACCAATCAGCCAACCATTATATATATATATATATCTCTATATCTAGAGTTGTTCATCAGCTATATAGATTCCCTTTCCGGAAATTGTGTGTTTATATTATTATCCTAATAGTTGGACACAAAAAGTTTTATCAGAGCAGCAGATGGAAAAAACGAGAAGCTATGAAAAGAAAAGAAGAGGGAGAGGAAGAAACCAAGAAGAAGAGGAAATACTTATAAATTTAAATCAATCAATCATCTCGTTGAAAACAACAATTTTGTTATAATAATAATAATAATAATAGTTAATATATTAGATATGATTATTATGGATATATAGTTATAACGTTTGACATTAAAGAATAATAAATAGTTCACCAATCATCAAAAAGAAATAAGAGAAAGGAGAAAAAAAAAATAAGAGATAAAGATAGAGATAGAGATAAACCTTTACTTGTATATTATATATATATGGTACAAGTTTTAAAAGGAGTAATATAAGATAAACTAGTTCTCTTTTTTTTTCTTTTTTTTAAATTTAAAAAGAGGAATATTAAAAAAGGGAGGGAGCACCATCAAATTAAGAATAAGTTGGAAACATCATCATCATCATCATCATCGATACCGTGATAGGAAAACTAAAAGGTAGGTCAGAAACTCATTTCCTTTCATAGTAGTCCTGTTCCCCTCATCACATCATCTTACCCCCCCACACACATTCATTACCCACTATCTCACATACACATTTTATATTTCCCCGACTGATGTCCAGATGAGGAGATGATCATCTGCGACTTGTAAAAGATCATATGCATGATGTTCCTTAGTGCCCCCCATTTTTACACTTCAAACAATCATTGGTATATTTTTTAATTTTAAAATGATTTAAATTTACCAATACCATTTATTTATTTCCATTTTAATCCATTGGTAAATATAATAGTAGAATTTTCTTACCTACCCTAATTTAAAATATAAATTCAATATATATATAGTTTGTTGGTTTGGTTGGTTAGTTGATTATCAAAACAATATTATTATTATTATTAATTTCCATTGTATAAACTAATTATTCTTATTATTATTTGTATATTTCTTTTTTATTTATCTATCCATCCATCCACTATTTATCTATATAATTTTATCTTTTAATCTTTTCATTTTAGACTAATTCTATTATTGTTATTATTATTATTGTCAACAACAATAATAATAATGGTGATTAATAATTGTCATCATTGTCATCTATAAATTAATTAATTTATAATTCCTTTTCTTTTTATTTTATTTCTTTCACAACACACAAGATGATAAATAATAATCATTCACCAAGAAATCCTCTTGGATTTTTTTCACTTCTCAACAATGATCAACCAAACAACAACACCACCACCTCCATTTCAAGCACAAGTACCACTACTTCTGCCAATCATGTTTTATCATCACCAAACAAGTCCAAACAGCAGGCTGAAGAAACCCATGAAAAGTATATGGTTTCATACAAGGTATCTGAATGTTCAAAACATTTAACTTGTAAAAATGATAGAGATTGGTAAATATCAAAATTAAATTAAAAAAAAAAAAACAAAAAAGAAAGTATCCATTTTATTAATTATTTTATTATTTATTATTATACAGTTTCTTTTATCACAAAATCGAAGAAAAGAGAAGATGTCCATTTGATCTAAATGGAAACTTAGTTTATTCCCACCTCCTTTGTCCAGAAAAATGTGATAAAGTTAATGTATGACAATCAAATCACAACAAACAATTAATTATAATTTAACCAATATAATAATATTAATCTCTTTTATTTTATTTCTTTTTTTTTTATTCTTTTTTATTTAGTGTAAATTTTCACATAATGATGTAGAAGTTATGTACCATCCAACAATCTATAAAACCAAGATGTGTAATGATTTCGCGAGTAGCACAAATAAGTGTAAAAAGGGACGTTGGTGTGCCTTTGCCCATGGTGAATTGGATCTTCGTGTTGTGTCTAGATCAGATGGAGGAGTGAATGGTTCAAATGTATCTTCATCGCCATCAAGAGTATCACCAACTTCCAAGCAATCCCATCACAATGGAAGCAGTCCATCAAAGTCACCTTATTCTGGTAAATCCATTGGTAATAATAATAATAATAATGGAAGATTCTCAAAGTCCAACAACAATAATGGTCACAGCCACAACAATAATAGTCATAGCAACAACATTAATAATTCCAACAATGGTTTATTATTCAATCAATCACCAACATTATTAACAACTAATATTTCAAATTCTAAATATTATCCTGATCATTATGATCCAATTGCTATTGGTAATTTATTAAGTGTAGGTAAACAACATATAATGATAAATAATTGCAATATAATAATATATATTTATTAATTTATTAATTTTTTATTTTTATATAGAATGATATAATTAGATTTGGAACTTTAAAGATTGATAAAAATGATAAACCATATGCATATGTTGATACAAATATGCTACCTGAAGATATATTGGCAACAATGGACGGTATCAAGAAAGAAAAGATTGGTATTTTAAATCAATTTCATAGAAATCGTGCCATGGATGGTGATATTGTTGTTATCAAGTTGGACGGTTTGGATCAACAACCATCACCACCATCACAACCATTACAAGATTCAAACGAAAGTGAAAACTTGTTTAAAGAATTGGCTGCTCTTGGAAATGGCTCCAACTCGTCATTGAGCAACGAACAATCCAATCATCAAACCATACCCATTGGCATTCAAGAAAAGTGGAGAACTGGTTCAGTTATTGCAATTTTAAAATCCAATCACAAGACTGTCTACTCGTGCACGTTTAACAAACAAGTTGGTGACGTGCTCTATTTTACTCCATTGTTGGATAAAAAGGTTGAATGTATTTTGGTCAAACATCCACAAAGAACCATCTTTAATCCTTCTCACTCTACATTTTATAAAATTGAAACTCAACTCTTATGGCCAACCAATTACCCTTTTGTTATTGGAGAAATTAAAGAAACCTATCAATCTCATGATGAATTGGAACAAGAAATAATGGTAACCAAATCAAATCAAATCAAATCAAATATCATCTTTAATCAATTAATATTAATTAATTATTTTATTTTATTTTACCTATTATTTTTACCTTTAGTCATTAAGTTTAGAAAATGGTTTAAATGGTGAATTCTCAGAGGCACTTCAATTACAAGTTCTTGGCCTCAGAAACAATATAAATACTGTCAAAAGAAAGGATTTGCGTAACTTTCTTACTTTTTCGATTCATCCAATCCAACAAGACATTCCAGTTTGCTTTTCGTGTGAACTGTTACCAAATGGAAATGTTAAAGTATGTAATAAGAAAGAGATTAATATTGATCAATATATTGGTATAAAGAACATATGTATTAATTTTATTTATTTCTTTCTTTCCTTTTTATTTGTATTTTTATTTAGTATTATACACATATTATTGATATTACAAATTATATTAAACCAAAAACATTTACAGACATTGAAGCAGCAAACCGTGGATTTCACATTGATATGGGATCGTATTCATATCCATTACTACCAACCGAACTCAAAGAACAACTTTCACTGACACCTGGAAAGGACCAATATGCCATCACCGTCGATTGGGAGCTATCAGAGAGTAACATTGTCAATACCAACATTTATTTTTCAGTCATCAACTCCAAGTGTAACCTGACCTATGCTCAATGTCAATCGTATCTCGAACCCAATGGTGTTATCGTCGGCTCTCCAAACCATGATTTAGTGGAATCTTTAAAGAGAATGTTTACAGGATTGAATCATTTCTATTTGTATTATGCCAAGAATACCTATGAATATCCACCTGTCAACTTTAGTTCTCAAGACCACTCGTTTATCTATACCATGGTGGAACAGATGAAGGTCATCTCCAACTATATCACTGGCAATATCACTCCTCTACCAAACCATCATTTTATTTATAAATGTTCTACTACAACTCCTCCTGCTTCCATCATCGACGAACTATTGGATACTGCCAAGACTCACAACATTGTCTTTCCTACCATCTGTTCAAAGCAAAAGGATACCATCACACTACAAGATATCGTTGGAGATTTAAAATCTCATTATCCACAAGGTTTAAATTATTTTCTATTTAAAATTGTAAAATTAATTAAATATCTTGGTATGTATAAAATATAAAAAAAACAAAAACAAAACAATATTTATAAATACTAATTATTATTTTCTTTTTTTTTATTTTCTTCTTTTTAGAATCATATACATTTGATAAAAAAAGTTATCAACAATTCCCATTTTATTTGGAAATCACTGATCCATTTAAAAGATATGGTGATATTTACAATCAAAGAATTTTGGCATGTGCATTGACCCGTTTACAACAACAAGATGCTTCGGGCCCAAACAAACTACTATCTCCAATGGAGATATTTGATATCTTGCCACCATCTCAGCCAACCGGTCAACAGCTTTTGGATCATTTGGAGAAATGTAGAACAAGAACAGCAAAGTTGGAGAGACAGTATCGTGTCGCTTGCTTTACTCATCGTCTACGCGCCAAACCACTGTTTACCACCTCTACCATTGTCGCCATCACACAAGACAAGATCGTCAAGCTTTGGGTTCCACTTTTAAGTGCCGTCTTTGATTTGGATATGAAGATGATCAATGGATGTACATCCATGTGGATGGATCAATCAAGCACACTTCAAACTCTATGGGATCAAAGATTCATTGGTATTGATTGCTCAGATTTCATTCCTCTCAAATCAAATCCATTATCACTTTCAACCATCAATCAGCCAATTAATAACAGCCACCACAACAACAACAACAACAGCAACAATCATCATCATCATAACAACAATATTAGAAAGTCATTGGATGGTCAAATTCAAAAACCACAAGATTCACGTTTAATGCCCATCAGTTACAAACTCTATGATTCACTTCAAATTCAAATCTCGTCTCATCATAGTAGAAAGGTTAGAACAAACGAGTATTCTTTGCAATTCCTTTTCAACAATGATTTCTTGCCATGGTGTAACGATCATTATCAAAAGACTGAATGTTTCATCAACTCCAAGTCTATTACACCAGTTGATAATTTCGATACTGAAGTCGCCTATATCAACTATTGGACCTCTATCATTGATTTGAATGCTTCTCTTGTATGTATAAAATAATAATAACAATAATAATAATAATAATATCAAATATATTGGAAGCCATTATGAATATTATATTTATTTATTTTATTTATTTAATTATTTTTAGAATTCATTACATAAATCAGATTCAGTTTATGCTCATGATTTAACAGTATCTTGGAGTAAGAAAAAGAAGAAATATGTTGGTTCATTCAATTTGCCTGCCAATCAAATACCAAAGAACAACAAGATTTGTCGTGGTGATTTCCTTTGCCTTAGATATCTCGGTGAAGAGAAAACCATTCTATCATTACATGCATTGATTACCAAATCAACAAAAGATGAAAAGAACCTTGGAATGTTACTTGTTAAATTCTCTACTAGATCTTCAAAATTAACACAAAAACATTATTCAGTTGTATGTAGAAATATATCAAAAAAAAAAGGATGTTATCATTCTAATTATTTAAATTATTTATACTAATTAACTTTGTTTTTTATTTATTTTAGGAAATAATATTTAGAGATGAATTTCATAGAATGTTGGCAGACAGTGTACAAAATATGGTAAGTCCTTCTGATGAGATTCGTCATTTGGTATTGAATTCTCTACGTTCCAATACCGATGGTTCAAGTATTGTTAGAAAGGACTATAGCCATAACGATTTTCAAGATTTTCAAGGTGCAATTGATTCACTTCCAATCAAACCAAATCAAGAACAACTCGTTGCACTCCATAGTTCACTCTTTAATACTGCAACCATCATTCAAGGTCCATCTGGTTCTGGAAAGACTGCTTTGATATCTATTATCACTTATCTTGCGGTAGGTGATTTCAAACATCAAGGATTCGTTCCAAAGGTTTTAATTTGTGGTCCAAATGATTATAGTGTTGTAAGTATAAATATTATTTATTTTATATTTTAATTTAAATGAATATTTATTAATTTATTTAATTTTAGGATGTAACAACCAAATCTTTATTAGAATTATTCCCAACTTTGAAGGTATTAAGAGTTTATCATAGTTCACAGGAGACCAATGGCCATTTTGATAATGGAATCTACTCTATTCCAGAAGATATCAAAGGTATCACTTTGCACCACAAAATCAATGAAAAAAGATTATCTCTATCAACTTCAAGAGATAGTTTAACTTCTTTATGTATGTAAAAAAAAAAAGAATGCAAAAAAAAGAAATATTATGTTTCTATTTTAAATTTATTAACTTTTTATTTTTCTAATTTTAGATTTAAATGATGCAAATGTTATTTGTTGTACTTCATTGACAGCAACTGAAAAAAGAATTATTGATTTAAATATACGTTGGGTCATTATTGATAATGCACATCAAGAGCTTGAACCACAATCAGTTGGTGCATTGTCCAAAGCAAATCATTTTATTCTTGTCGGTCAACCAACACCAGATATTCCAGCAAACCAAGTATTGATCAAATCAAAAGTCATCAAGGACATTTTCTCTACTCCACTCATCAAGAATCTTGCAAAGAAGATTCAACCATTCAATCTTGCCCATGTTTATTCAACTTCTATTTTTTCAAAACCTTTATTTTTCCAAGTATGTAAATTAGAATTATATATATTTACTCAATCTTGGTTAATATTTATTAATAATTTATTTTATTTATTTAGGATAAAAAAACAATTACATTTTTTGATATTAAAGGAGAAGAGTCTAGTGAATCATCACTTTTTGAAAAGGATCTATCTTTTAGTTTCTTCAAGTCATCATCATCAAAGGATATGGGAAATCTATTGAATCAAGAAGAAATCAACTTTACAGTTCACCTACTCCGTTACTTGATCAATGTTCTCCAAATTCCATCGTCTTCCATTTCAGTCGTCTCTCCATATCCATGTCAAGCAAGAAATATTCACAACGCTTGTATTCAAAAGCAATTTCAAAATCACAACTTATCCGTCAAGGTTTTATCAAGTGATGGTTTTCAATATAATCAAAATGATGTAAGTAGAAATCAATCATTTAATTATTATTTTTTTTAATGAATATTTATTTATTTATTTAATCTTTTTAGTATACTATAGTATCAATGGTTAATAATAGATCTTGTGAATCTATTGATTCCTCAATTGGTTTTGAAAATGAAGAAAGCTTTGTAAGTCATCCTTATTGAAGATCAAATCATATCACATTTTAATTATTAGAATACTTTATTAACCATGCATCTTCATTTAGATTAAAAAGATTCAAAGTTCAACAAGAAAAGGATTATTTATAATTGGAAATATTGGTTCAATGAAAAACAAATCATTATGGAAACCTATCGTAGATCAATTTGCTCCTCATTATGTTCAATCGGTTGACACTAGCAAAAATGAAAAACCAATCTTTGCAACCGAGGACAAGGATGATTTCATTAAAATCGTGACCCTTCCAACGACAAACAACAACAACAGCCCAAATGAAATCCATCCCAATGTCCTCCCTTTCTTCTCGTCACTCCAATTAACCAATTCCTTTTCCAACAACAACAATCAATTAAATTAAATTAAATTAGGGTTCCATAACAATTAAATTAAAAAAACAAAAAAATTAAAAAATAAAGATTTTTTTATTCATGCAAGATGAACCACACAAAAAGGATGTTGATCACACCCAACCACGCTTAAATTGTATTAAAAAATTTATTGTTGTATATTTGTTGTTTGTTGTAAAACTAGATAAAAGAAACAGTAGTATTAGTATTATTAGTATTAGTAGTATTATTATTGTTACAATAGAAGAACCTTCATAATCATAATCGTCATTCAATACATTCATTCATTAGTAGCATTACGCGTCATCGAATAACATAACAGAAAGAAATGGACAAAAAGTTGGAGGGATTACATATAGACGAACCTGATCAAAGAGGAGACGATGGTGACTCTAATGAAGAAGAAGGAGAATATGAAGACTCTGGAGAAGGTGATCAATATGATGATGACGACGAAGAATTCGAGATTGAAGATAGTTCAAACTTTTCAAAAGAGACATTGGATGCTGCAATCGCCACCAAAGTATCAATCGAGCAATACTATACATCATTGTTTAAATCACTTAAAGAAAGAGAAGAAAGGTAAGACCTAGTTAGCAGCAGTAATAATTGGTAGAAGCAGGGAGAGAGCAAAGAGATAATCACAGGATAAAAAAAAAAAAAAAAAAAAATTACAATTTTTTAACTCTCTCCCCTTGTATACTTCTACTTCTTCTTCTTCTTCTTCTTTAGACGTTTATATTTAGAGAAAAAGATGGAAGAAGCCAATCTTAAAGAAGAACAAAAGTCAATCAAGAGAAGAGAATTGGACAAGAGAGAAACTGAATATATAAAATCTCGTAGAATTAGATTGACTGGACATTCATTTGAATCGTTAAAGATCATAGGCAGAGGTGCATTTGGAGAGGTTAGATTGGTTAAAATGAAAAAGAATCATAAACTATTTGCGATGAAGAAACTTGATAAATCAAAGATGATAGAAAAACATCAAGTAAGACACAACCAAACCACCATGTTTCAAACAGTTTTGCCAAAAATACTTACACAAAAAAAAAAATGACCATTTTTTTTCCCTTTCTCCAACCATGTTTTTAGACTGTTCATGTACGAAGTGAAAGAGATATTCTCGCAGATAATAATAATGTAGCTGGTAATAATCCATGGATTGTCAATTTGTATTATTCTTTTCAAGTATGTCTCAAACAACAAAAAATATTTGATAAACAGGTTATTGATGCATCTTTTTTTTCTTTATAAAGGATGCAAACTATCTTTATTTAATTATGGAATATGTACCTGGCGGTGACATGATGACACAACTTATTAAATATGATACTTTTTCAGAGGATGCTACTCGATTTTATATTGCTGAGACTGTATTGGCATTGCATTCCATTCATAAGATGAATTATATTCATAGAGATATCAAACCAGATAATTTATTAATTGATTCAAAAGGACATGTTAAAGTATGAAAAAAACCATAGGTTTTTAAAACAAAAAGTATTTTACTTTTATTGACACATAGTTTATTATTTTTTTAGGTTAGTGATTTTGGACTTTGTACAGGTTTACAAACAAATAGAGTACCAACATTGGCAGAGATTTATAAAAAGTATGAGGGTGATCATTTGGAGGATAATACATCGCTTGGCAGATCGGCCAGATTCGATTCGTGGAAGAAACAAAGAAGAGTATTGGCATACTCGAATGTGGGAACACCAGACTACACTGCACCAGAGGTGCTTATGCAAAACGGATACAGTGCAGAGTGCGACTGGTGGAGTGTTGGTGTGATTATGTTTGAAATGTTGGTTGGGTATCCACCATTTTGCTCAGAGACACAGAGAGAAACCTACCACAAGATTATGAATTGGAAATACACACTGCCAAAGATCATGGAAGAGGCCAAGGCTGAAGTGTCGTTGAGCCCCGAAGCCCAGGACCTCATTGAGCGTCTCCTCACCGACTCTAACAACCGTATCGGTGTTAATGGTGCCGAAGAGATCCAAGACCATCCCTTCTTTAGAGGTGTCAACTGGAAGAATCTCAGAGACACCCAACCACCTATTGTACCAATAATCACATCACCTACAGACACACAAAACTTTGACCACTATGACGAGGAACCAGCTTCACACATTACACCAGAACCAATGCCTGTGTCTCGATCAAGAAGAAAGATCAATTCTTTTGATATTCCATTCATTGGGTACACTTATAGAAACTTTGATGCCATGAGCAGCCAATTTGCCACTATCACTGGTAAAAGTCCATTTGCGACGCTCAACTCTAGAGAGGCATTGAACCAACAATAACACTTATTCAACATAACAAAACAAACACGACACTCCCCCCCCCCCCAAAAGAAAAGAATCATTCAAAAGATAGACATATAAACCAAATAAAAAATCAACCACCAAATTTGTAGCTTTGAAACAAAATATATATATATGTATGAACCCTTATAATACCTTTTAAACGGTGTTTAAGAGTTTGAAATTTGGCGCCTACCAATTATTCAGAGCCACCCACCGCATATCAGAGCTACCCTTTTTTTTTTTTAAATCAGCACTAAAGTTAAGGGTTAATCAGTCGCTGTAATGATGATTTTGACAATATGTAAATATTAATTGTAAGAGATATACCTCCTTTTTGTGTATATTCGATTGATTCTTTCCACCAACAAATCATCAACCCTCCTCAACGAGAAACACATCCCATGTTCCTAAACAATGCTTTGATCAAAATCCCGCCAACGCCAATACCCTTTCTTAAATTAAATTTTGATTTTTTTTTGTATAAGACTTAAAATATGTTCATTCCATAGTTCATTATTACCTTTATCAAACACCAACATCACTATGACACTTTATGGTAATTATTTAATATTATAGATTCCAGCAAATTGCTGACCATTTATTTCTTTCTATATCTTTTTAATAAAAATTTCCCAAAGAAACAACCATATCTGTTGCCAAGGCCCCAATGGTTCAAGAGGTTCCAAATATTCCTAATCCTCAAAGAGACAATGCAGCGCCATTCGGTGTAATCATACCTATAGAGTATAGACACTTATTCGAGACTAAAGAAAAAAATTCTTGTAATATCTTGTGATCAAAATTCGGTTCTCCTTTTGGCCATGGCGACTTGTCATGTTTAGATCATTCGAGATGCTCATTAAGATCAATTTAAAAAACAAATATTAATAATAAAAATTTCATATATCAAAAGACATCAATATTATCTCAATGTGTAGAGCTAGTGAGGTCAATAATAATTTTGATAAAATAAATTAAAACAATCAACTTTTCAAATAAATTAAAACAATCAACTATTCATTCTATAGAATTCAACGACACCATAACTATATATTTATTTTTATTCACACATAGAAACAACTGTATCTATTACCAAGACCCAAAGGTTCAAAAGATTACAAAGACTTTACTTCCAGACACTCCCCAAAGTACTTTAAATTTGTCTTCAGACAGAATAAAAAACCTCCCTCTTTTAAAAAATATTTTCGGATGGATAATCTTTACAATTTATTGGATGATGTTGTTTGTTGTTGTTTAGTTTATGATGTTACTGTATTATGGGTGTTGTGTGGAAGGTGGTCATTATAATTATGGTGGATGGACAATGTGTTTAAATACATTGGTTGAAACTTTTTAATAAAAATAAATAAATAAATTAATTTTGTTTACACTATAATGAAAAATATATTAATATTATTATAAATGTCTCTATTCTATTTCTATTTCTTTGATACTTACATCTTTAATACAAAAAATAAATTCATTTGGAAAAATAAATAAATTTGGGGTGATTTTGGTGGCACGCCACGATCGTTAGTGCTTTTCATCGATATAGGGATGATGAGGCATGGAATAAAGATGATGGCTATATCCATGATGATCGGCTGGGGCCCAATGACCAGTATGATGATGCACACCATTTTCCAAATGGTGATGGACAGCTGGTTGAGGTTGTTGGTGATGGTGGTGTGGAGGGTAGGCCCACGGATATTCCATTGCACCGGTGAGTGGGATAGATGGAAGTGGTGGATTAGACATTGATTCTGGTTTAATCTTTGGTGAATTATTAGTATTATATGAATTATTTTGTTGAAGGTGAGGTGGTTGTTGTTGTTGGTGGTGTTGCTGTTGTTGTTGTTGTTGTTGGTTAGTACTAGTTGTTGAAGTGGTAGATGTAAAGATTGATGGACTTGATTTAGACATTGGTAATGGGGGTGGAGTTGGTAATGGTGAGCTGGGGATCAATGCAGATGAGCTTGTGCTGGCACTTGATCGATTTAAAGGCTTTCTCTTTGGTCGGTCCGAAGGACTGGAGGGAGCGACTTGGTCATCCCTTGGTGGATAGCCATTGAGGGTTGGCGATGGATAGGGGAGAGCCTTTTTACGAATAGAGTTTGCATTGTGTTTTCCATTGTTGTGGGCATACAAATCGACAGAGTGGGCTTCGTATTTGACACCATCCTTGGAGAGTGCCGATAAAACAATGCGGAGTCTCTTGCTCAGCTTGGCCAATTTGAGTTCAAACTCTAGGGCAGACAAGGCTACCGAAGTCGACGATGGATATCTGTACACTCGAACCGACTCGACCGACAGGCCTTGGGGGTCTGGAGGTGGCAACTGTGTGCTCATCGATTGAGGGAGAACTGGATTGGGTGATGATGAGGGTGGACTCACTGCAATGGCAACAGTGTATTGACTGTTTCCTTGGAATTGTGATGGGGATTGGATAGGCGATTGAGCTGGTGATGAAAGTGAAAATGAGGATGGTGATGGTGAGGTGTTTATGGAACTGGCCATAGTTTGCATAATGTTTGAAGGTGATGGAGATTGTTGTTGTTGTGTATTGGTTGGAGGTGAATTGGCTGATGCATTCTGCCCAGACCCGCTATTGTTGGATTGGTTAAATGGTGTGTTGGCGGTTGAGCTATTTTGTGCGTTTGCAGGAGACGAGGATGGGGAGTTGGCAGACGACGCCTGATTCGATCCTCTTCTACCTCCATTGGCAACATCCTGTGAATCCAAGAGTTGAACTTGTAGTGCGATCTTGACCAACTCAGACTCGCTGTGTACTATCATTTTGAGACGCTTTCCCTTGCCCTCAGTGACTCTGATTTGGTCGTTTTGAACGATTTGCATCCAAGTTCCCTTTGAGCCTCTTGGTTTGTGATAGAGGTCGATTTTTATGTTACCTTCGATAGTTGGAAACATTGGTGGATGTAGGGTATAGGGTACAGGGGCCATGGTGGGCGATGGCGTGTAACCGAGATGGAGTTGTGGAACCTTTTCCATTTCGGCGGTTTGTGGTGGTGGTGAAGCCTCTTGAGAATATGAGTAGGCGGCACCAGTTGGTTCTTGTCCAAGGCCACCACCAGTGGACGCGGTCGATGTGTTGAGTGGAGGAGGTGGGATAAGATTTGGGAGATATGCAAAATAGTTGGGGTAGGGACGCGACCATTGTTGAGGAGACTGTGAGATTCTGGGAGCATTGTTGTCAAACAATGGTGCATATATAGATGGATAGATCACGCCCTGACCTCTTGGATAGTGGTAACTCATGTTGGTTGGTGGGCTGTGAGTGTTTGAGATTGAGTGGTGTCCATCACCTTGGAGATCATCAGAAGAGTCTGACAATCTGGAATTATAGAAATGGCTTGGCTGCTGAACATTTGGTGGTTGTGGTGTTGGGTTTGGTTGCTGCTGTTGCTGGGTTTGGTGAGACGAAGGTGATTGTCGCTCGGCAGTTTGAGATTCCTGATATTTGCTCATAAATGATTCATGAAAATTGGGGAAATAATGTTGCTGATGTTGTTGTTGTTGTTGAGTTGGGGTTTGATAATCCTGGGGTGACTTGATTGGTTCCTGTTGTTTTAGTACCAAGGATCCTTGTGAATGAATTTGAATTTCTCTAATGTTATTGTTGTTGTTGTTGTTATTGGAATTGTTGTTGGTTGGTGGGAATAATTGTTGTTGAGGGGTATTACTAGTGGTCCTATGATTGGTTTGTTGACATAAATTCGTAATATTAGTAAATTGAATATTTTGGGGTTGTTGGACCTGATTTTGATGATGCTGTTGATGTTGATTCTGGTTTTGGTTTTGGTTTTGATTGTTTATAGTACGGGGTACTGAAAAATGATGGAAATTGTTTGTTCCCATCTGGAAACTTGGGGTATGTGAAATAGAATAATCGGTACTATTGTGGTTATTGTTGCTGGCTGCTGGTTGTTGATGTCGATTAAAGTTAAAATTACTCATTGGTGGGGATGGATGAATTAATTTCACACATAAAATAAATAAATAGATTAAATAAATAAATAAAGAGATTTGTAATAAATTAAATAAATAGATTAAATAAATAAATAAATAAATAAATTAAATGGTACAAAATAAATAAATAAATAAATAAATTAAGAGGTGTTGATGGATTGATTAGATGGATCAATTAATTTTATAATAATTAATCTGTTAATTTGTTTGATATTTGTGTTTTAATTTGTTTCTCTGTCTACACTTGGTAGAGGCAGGAAAAAAAAAAAAGGTTTAAAATATTTTTTTTTGATGGTATATATTGGATGTTTTTAAAACATAGATAGTATAGTAGTTGTGTAGATCTATAATAAGTATATTATTATTGTTGTTATTGTTGGTGAGTTCTTTTAATGATGGGAAACGATGTTTGGGAAAAAAAAAAAAACAAAAAAGATGGGATTGGATTGACAACAGCGATAATTAACTAGATGGCACGAAGAAGAAATAAAGCTAATTGTTGTTGTAGTAGGAAATGATATATCATTGTTTTTTTTGTCTCTACTGTCCCCTGTTTTGCTGTGCTGTTGAATATTAAAAATGCTAGTTCAAGATAAGGGGAATTCTCTTTTAGGGGATAAATATCCAGAGGTAGGAGGAGAACATATACAATAAAATGAATTAAAAAAATGGTGTGATGAGAAACAACCAAAAAAAAGATAGATAGATGATCACTGTTGTACAACAACAACAGGGTTGTTTTGGATTTTAACAACAACAACAACAAACTATAGTGTGCGTTATTGACTGAATTGAATCAAATGATGTGTTGCAGTTTCACTCTCTAGTCTGCTGCCATCTTGATATATTGGAGTATACATTCCCCTTATATTAAGAACCCCAATTTCTTGCATGGAAAACTGTAGAAAGATGTTTTAAAATGGGTATCTTTTTTCTCCAAGGAATCGCTCTACACATCATTGTTGCATCCCCTGAAAAATAAAGTCAACTTTCGAATTATGTTCTACCACCGGTCAGTCTGTGTGGGTAGTGTTTGAGTGGTGGTGATAGTGATTGATCGAGTAGGGTGGTGGGTAGAAGCACGGAGAGTGATATGTCATACGACAGTGACGAAGATGAAAAAAAAAAAAAAAAAAGTAGCGTGCTGCAGTGCAAAAATAATCATAATGGTGTGACTGACCTGACTCACTCACTCACTCTCACACAACACAAAGTTTCAATTAATTAATTAAAAAAATGCGGTGCAGTCGAGGAGGAGGAGGAGTGGAAATAATTATGATCATAACGATTAGACGACGTGTTATCGTTGACTTTTGGAGCACGAAACTACTACTACATGCAAACAAGTAGGTAGAGCATAGGGTAGAGGAGGTGAGTGGTAAGATGGAGAGGATTGAGGGATAACATAATTATCTCAATCTATATGATGAGATCATGTGAACACGACAAACTCACCCACTACCACTACTCTATATAAATATTCTACTACACTACTTGTTTGTTGCAACCCACTTTTTTCTTTCTTCTTCCTCTTCTTCTTCTTCCTTCTTCTTTATCTCTTCTTTTTTTGTTACCACACCACCAGTGAAATTGCCATCCAACCAACCAACCAGTCAACCAATCAATCCATCAATTAGCATAGCTGACTGGCAGACTGGGTAAGCAAAAAGGGCGCCAGAACTGGACTGGAATCCAGTTTCTTGGATGGTGCAGCAGCAGCAGCAGTTAAGATGCCATTATTGGAAAATGGAGAAAATAGAACTGGGAACAAGCCTATCATCTGATCATGTAGTCAAAGATGATGGAATTGATGATGTATGACTCGTGCGGAGTATTTTTTAATTAATTAATTGCTGGTATTACGCATACGAGGAGGATACGTATTTGTGATGGGGGACAACAAAATATATTTGATTGATATCACCCACCATCTGTACTGTCTATCATATATATATAACACATCAAATTAAAATAAAAATATCAAAAGACTACAAAACGAAACATTGTGTTTTTGATAAATCAAATATCACACCACGATTTTCGTGTATCCAAAAAAAAACAATTGTTGGTGTGTGGGTTATTCTAAAAATAAATAAAGATAAGATGGATGGATTGATGGATTATTTGTAGAATGATGTGTTTGGTTTTCAGTCCAACCCATTCAAATAAAAAGGAGAGATATAATTGGACTATGTCTTGATGATATATTTACATTATGATGTCACTCATTGTTATTGGTGTTGTTGGTGTTATTGATTCCACCATTGGATTCGGTTGGTAATCCAATTGGAATCTAATTCCGGAAGACATTTGGTGGTTTTCCCGATGCTCCTGATGTTGTTGGTTATTTCCAATGTAATGTAAATTGGGGGATTGTTGTAGGTGTTGTTGGTAACAATAATCCATAATTATCTTTTTTCGTGTGTTTAATAATAGGCGGTAGTTGTTGTAAAAGTCTATCAAAACAAAACAAACAAAAAAAAAGAGTAGTATAGTTTTTGTTTGTTTGTTTGTTTGTTTGGTTGGTTGGTTGGGATATGTGATTTTGGTTGGTTGGATATTTTTTGGAAACACAATAACAATTAAATATTGTTTATATAGGTTCCAATAAAACAGAGTTTAGAATTAAAGATTTAATTGTTTGTGGAGAACTGAGCGGTTTGGCTTTTTTGGAACATATTAATTACAATTTTTGTCATTAAAAGATTTAAAACCAATTGGTTCTCTATAGCTAGGTCGATTCTTTTGTCACAGTCTCCTCTATAGCACTATGATTACCCATTATACACAAATAAATAAATATCTATTTACTACCATATTATGGTTTACAACAAACAAACAAAACACAACACATTATCTATATCTGATAAATCCACAAAATATCTATCTCTGATCACATTGTTGTGGTGAGTGTATAAGTGTCTTTCTGGAATATGGAAAAAGGGTCAACCGCCAATATGGAATGAGGATAAAGGGAAGGGAAGAGTGAGGGGGGTATGAAAAACCATTGGGTGATATATATCACTAGGTATGGTGCAGTAAAAAATATCTTAGATGTCCAATTGTGAATGAATATATTCATTCCACCACCCTACCACCACCACAACCACCACCATATTCACAATTTGCTAGTGCCCGCCTGTTCTCGACCAATACCAATCCACCCGCTTCCAATACCCGTTCCACATCCCATATTCATAAATAAATATAGAGAGTGGGACTGATGCCATGGTGATTCTCTGACATTGACACAAAGTGAGAATGAGAGACAGAGATAGTGTGTGGAAACATAAACAGAAAGCCAAGCATCATATTGGCTGGCGCTATATTTATATTTAAAATTACTCTATAGTTTGTGGGTGGAGACATACTTTTAAATTGAATGAATGAATGAATGAATTGAAATTTCTTGTGCACAAGCAAGCAAACAATCTTTTCTTACTTTTTGCAAAGATAAGATGACACTATTGCAATATATATAAAATATCGATCGGAAGTATGTATCTATAAATATAAACAGACACGCACACTAGACTAAACTAGAAAGTTTCTTAATTTATCTACTCTACTATTATTATTGTTTTTGATTTGGCGGGGTTTGTCGTGATGGGTGAGGGCAGATTCAACCCAAATTGCGCAAAAAAAAAAAAATGAGGGCTCGCAAAAAAAAATCAAAAACAAAAGGTCGGAGGACCTTCAACAATGGTGATCGGAGTGATGATCGGGTGCGACACCCACACAATGTTTGTTTTTAAGGGGTGGGGAAAAGTTATTCTTGTATTCCTATGATGATTTAAGATTTAATTATATCTTTTTTTTTTTAATATAAACATAGCACATTCTGTGCAAAAAAAGCTAAAGAGCCCATTCCATCCCGAACAATGAACTAACTTTAAAAAAGATTGAGGGTTTTTTTCTATGTGGTCGGTGTGGAGATGTCAAGTTGTTACATAGTCTATCTTCTATTCTTTGTTGCGGTTGTTGTCTTTTAGTTGTTGTTGCAGTTATTATCGTTATCGTTGTCTCTGTTTACCTTTTTTAAATAAAACTCTAATCTAATAATAATAATAATAATCGTCGGGTTTTGTTGGAGCTATTAATAAATAGTAATAAATATAAAATATACAATAATAATAATCTTTATCTCTCTTTATTGTTACTGAGATATATATTTTGTCTTGTTCTTTTGAATGATCAGAAGCAACCCCACCTTTTTGAGGTAAAAACAGTAAACATATCAAACATTCCTAGATATTAATTGAGGCAGAGTGAGAGAGTGATTGCAACACGCTACCTTGCACCTTGTGTTTCTGGAGATATTTTCAAGTTTTGGTTTTTCTCCTCTTCCTATCGCCACCCAAGAGACGTGCAAAGTTTTTGATTTGGTTTGTGAATGAAAAAAATGTCTATCCAACGATTGGTTCATCCGTATGTTTTGATGTTCTCAAAGGCTGAGGTTGGTTTTTATTGATTGAATCCATCTCCCAACCGTTATGCGTGTGTTTCGAGAGAGAGAAACGACTGATCCCAAGATTCATCAATTAAAAGCAGCCTCAACGAGGCATGGTGTACCCCTCCGACTAGACAAAAAAAAAAAAAGGGTTGTGATCCAAAAAGAAATGATGGATGGTTTTTCATGGTATGATGCGATTTTATAAAATTAGATTTTTTTTTTTACAATATTACTATTTCGGGCATAATGATACGTTGTTTAAATTCCATAGGTCATCATTATTATTATTATTATCCCCCTTCTTTGTTGTTGTTGTGTATAATTCCTGTTCTTTGTTGTTGGTGGTGTTGAAAATTTTGCTCTTGTTCTTATTTTTTTTTTAATAGTTTCTTTCTACTCCATATCTAAACTCTTGTACGTAATCGGCTTGTGCGATTGGTGCGTGAATGAATTGTTCGGCGATATCAAAACTATTGACAAGGTCAAGACCGACTGGTAACATATCTTGGCATAATTTACTCAATGATTCCTTGATGCGGATGCCACTTTCATGAGTTAAACCGTCATAGCACATAAAGTAACTAAAGTAGTAGTAGGTAGAAAAAGATTGGATTGATTGAAAAGGGTTAGCACATGGTTTAGACAATGGTAAAAAGTCAAATTGAGTCGATTTTGATTGACTTTGTAGAAGGATCATCAGAGGGTGGGAGATAAATTAAAAAGGATAAAAAAGGAAAAAGAGGCCAACCCAGGGCTTTCTTCTAAAAAGTAGGGGGATGTACGACATGTTCATCCAAAGTTGAGGGGGATGATCGATGGTGCGCTGTTGTGTAGGCAAGTCGGCGACACTGACTTGGGGTATGACATTTCGCCTTGCCAGCGAAGCGACACTTTTTTTTTTGTTTTGTAAAAAAAAATATCATCATTTCATCCAATTGCCTTTTTTGGTCACAAAGTCTTTTTCCCTCTCATTCTTTTTCACTCTCTTCTATTCGATCCTTCAAACAGTTTATCGACGGGTTGAATTTTGTTTGTTTTGATTTGAAGTTTTGTTTGTTTTCTTTTACATACCCTAAATCTTCAGTAACTCTATAAACAAAGAAAAGATTTCTACAAAGTTCTAATACTGGTTGAAGGGATGGAGCAGCCTTGTTGATACCTTCTTGGAAGAACTCCAATGTGATACGTTCTATGTAGGCCTTGCCCAAGAATGTGACAGTGTCGAGACAACTGTTCCAGGCGACTTGGAGGTTCTTGCCTTGGTCGATGAAACCCATGATCTTTTGTGAGAGGGTTTGGACAAGATGTGATTCTCTCCACTTGAGTGTTTGAATTTGGAAAGAGGCGTCAAAGATCTTGGTGCCGTGGTTTGGAAGGGTTGGGGTGTAACGACCCTTTTGGAGCTCGACCAAGAGGAAACGAGCGACCTGTTGGAGGAGGACGTGGTTGTCACCTTCGTAGGTCAAGTCAACGTCCGAGTCTGACTTCCAGTTGGCGATTTGGTTAAGTGAACTGAAACCTTGACCACCGCAACTCTCACGTGTTTGTTGGAGAGTGTGAGTCTTGAACCATGTGACGACGGCCTTGGCACCCGAGGCGAGGATATGGAGGTCCTTGACATTTTGAGGGGTCTTGTTTGGTTCGCAGTACACTTGCTTGAGTTGACGTACGGTGAATGTGAATGCGACGGCCGATGCGACGAGTGGGAAGAGACGACGTTGGTGCGACAAGTATTCCATGATGGGGGCTTCCTTGCCCTTGCTGCCAAATTGGCGACGTTGGTATCCGTAACGCACGCAAATGATCAAGGCTGCCTTGGAGATGTTGAGTGCCGACATGGAGATCAACACACGACCACCAACCAATGGGCTGACCATCGTACCAAATCTCTTTCCCTTGCCTTGGATGGGTGACGAGTAAGTGCCGTCCTTTTGGACATCACCATATTTGTTTAATAAATTGTCTCTTGGAATTCTCTTATTATTAAACCAAATTCTACCATTATCAACTCCTTGTAATCCAAGTTTATGTCCATTATCCATAATTCTAACATCTAAAAACAAAAATAAAAATAAAATAATTAGTTGTTATTGTTGTTGTTGTTGTTGAGTCTCTTTTATCTATCTATCTATCTATTTACTTTCAACAATTGAACCATCTGGATTACGAATTGGAACAACAAATACATGTACACCATGATTGACACCACCAGTGATGAGTTGAGCAAATACAGAACATGCTTGACCGTGTACGGCAGCATTACCAATCCAAGACTTTTGAGCACTCTCTGATGGAGTGTTGATGACAAACTCTTCAGTGTCCTTGTCATAGGTGGCAGTAGTTTCAATGCCTTGGACATTACTACCATGTCCCAATTCAGTCATACCAAAACAACCTGGAAGCTTCCAAGTATCGATATCTTTGAGGTATTTGAGGTGATGCTTCTCTGTACCAAGGTTCAAAACAGCATTACCAAACAATGAAAAGTGTACTCCCATCTTTACAGATAATGAATTATCGGCAAGTGATGCAAGTTCCAATGTCATCAAATATTTGTTTGGATCTCTGAGAAAAACAAAAAAAGACTATGAGTATGCAAGTTTGTATACGTATTGTGAATACTTTCTCTTTATCTTGTTCTTTTACTTACCTATTAAGATCAGTAATTGAAATCAAACCTTGTTGAATGAGTTTGACAGCTCTCTTTACAGTGAGTTCACGCCATTCTTCCTTGTTCATGTTATATCTTGGTGCAAACAATGGATCTCTGAGAGCTTCCAATATGGCTTGCTTGTGTTGCTTGTAGGCAGGGTTGCTTTCCAAAAACTCACGCAACTCTTCCTTGTCCCACTTTGAGATTGGCTTGCTTGGTTTGTCTGGTGTAATATTCAATGGTTCACTGCCATTTGATGTAGCAGCAGTCGATGCTGAAACATCATTTGATTCAAGCCAAATGTCATCAACCGATGGCAAAATGTGGCTAACTATAGTATGAATTCTGTCATATGATTCCATTTCTCGATATTGTATAGTAACTTTCTCTCTCTCTCTCTAATATAAATATAAATAATAATGTAATGGTTAGAAACAACTCTGCTACTCTACTTGTGATGATCTGTCTCTTTGCAATGTTTTTTTTTTTTTTGTTTTGAAGATTTCTTTTTGGTCTATTTTTGTGCAATTTCAAAAAAGTGTAGAGGAGAGATGAAGCGCTGAAGACGAGATGTTGTTGTTGTTGTTGTTTAAACGAACGAAAGAAAGACGAGAGATAAAAGAAGAAATAGGAGAAATGAAGAAATAATAAAAAAGAGGGAAGAGATAATGACAACTTACTTTTTACTACTTTCTTTGGTTATGGTGTGTGGGTATTGTGTTTTGAGTGTTGTGGGTTGTGGGATGTTGTGGTAAACGACGAATGACAACCTTTCTTTTATCTCTTGGACTAATATATATATATATTTATATAAATATAGAATACACAGATAAATTAATTAATATACAACAATATTTGTTAATAATGATCTCTTTGTTTGTTTGTTATCTTCTTCTGTTTTCTTGTAGTGCCACCATCCCATGCACAATTGCAAACACAAACAGTTAAACTAGTTTTATTTTTTTTTTCTTGACGAAACTGTCCAAAAAAGGATATACATGATGGGGCAAGGAGGGCGCACCAACCTTCAGGTTGAGTTTTCACCAGTTGGCAGATCTGTCGTCTTGTCAAATTTCGAGCCCAACCTCGGAAAAAAATGAAAGATATCTTCTTCTTTTTCAATTTCAAACAATTAATAATCGATCGGCATGGAATCCTTATCCTGAGGTAACTAACCCAAATCAGTGGAAATCATTTTCCAACAGATAAACACAGATATAATAGATTTATATAGCTGAGTGATATATAATATTGATTTTAAAATATATATATTTTTTTTTGGTCTAACTTGAAAATAATAAATGTTTATTTTTTGTAATAAACCAAGAACTTGTACAAATAAAAGTATTGGTACGATACTCTTTGATGTCAATTTTTAATAATTTAAAGTGATTTGATTGAATGTCACTGACCAAGTATTGGAGCAAGACTGTTTTACCACCATTGAAAGCTCTCCACAAGTCATTGCGTGTGATTTGATAATTACACTTTTGAACTAGATGGTCGAGTACTTGATAGCGACCAAAATCAACAGCACATACTCCAAGGTTTATCAAGTCTTCTTGAGTGTGTTGAATAGATACGAGGAAAAATTTGACAAGATCAATGTGACCTTGTTCAATGGCATGTGGAATGAGTTTAAATGAAATGAATGGAAATGAGAGAGGAGGCCATTTCAAGAGGGCGTATACAATATATCGTACCAATTCAACTGATCCACTTTGTAATGCCGATGTCAATGTTTGGTGTAGCTGATTATCTCTATAGTTTTTATCAACAAACTTGGTGATTGCTCTAAAAAAGTCTAGGTTGCCAGAGATGGCCACCACATTGAGTAGTTCGAATGAAAATACATAGCCGTCTGGCACCTGTGACAGGATTAGATCAGTAATTTTAGAGTGTCCCCAAAGCAGAGCAGTTTCCAATGCCTTTTGTAATACCTTGACTATATGAGTCTTGTCAAGATGTTGATTGGGTTTCATCATCTTTTTGATGAGCCATTTTACAATTTTAAATTGGTTTAGTTGAGTTGCCTTGTTGAGAAGATCGAGTTGTTTAAAGTAGTGGTATCGCTTTACATCGCTAAATGATGGGTCATATGTAATATATATCTTTTTAATAAAAGCTAAATGACCACCTTTGATGGCCAGATAAATTGTCCTTTCAATGTGTCCAGTATCTTGATTTAGTTGAAACTCGTCATTAAACTCGTCACCACCAACGTTGTCCTTGTTAACCTCGTCTGGACATGTAACAAATTGTGTAGTTAAGTGATTCTTTTTAATTTCTCTTCGGATAATGTCATTGGCAACCTTGTTACCGTGATCTTTGTAATAAATATACATCCAATCGACATCGTTGATCGGTGTTGTCAAGAGTAACAATAGTTCCATTTCTCGTTGTTCCATGACAGCTGCTTGTATCATACCTTGAACCCATCTATTCTTTAGTCGAATGCTCTCTATTCTACCAGACTCTATCATCCATCTCAAATAAACCCATTTATATTCCTTTTCATCGATATCCTGTTTGTTATTATTATTATTATTATTATTATTATTATTATTATTATTATTATTATTATTATTATTATTATTATTTTTATTATTGTTGTTGTCTTGCATACACTGCATGATAGATTTTCTTGTTTGTAATCCTCCTCCTCCTCCTCCTCGTCCACTAGCACTAGCCAGTTTTGATTCGATATAATCGATCATTTCTATATTACTACGTGTTACGGGTGCGGGATAGAGTCGTTGTTTCGTGGTTTTTTGGTAGGATTGGATTCCAATGAGTGTCTGTAGGTGTGTCATGTAACGATCGGGCATCTCTATTTCACCACCATCAAAAAAGTAATCAGAGGCGACAATGTCTAGCCATTGGATATACCTGCTTGTAACGATGGTTTGGTCAGTCGTCGGTGATCCCAACGAATCCCCAAACACCAATCGAAATACATCGAGTGGTAGATGGAAGTGATTCACTGATATCAGCTTCTCAGGTGCACCCCCGAGTCGCTTCAATGTGAAGTTTCGCATGTTTGGTAGATTAGGTGGTAGTTGCTGGATCCACCGACATACTAGACGAGCCATCTCGTCGAGATTACCGGGATCACTTCGACATGAATTAAATAGATCGAGTAAACCCAATTTAAGACTCTGGGTTGGATGTGAGAAGAGAGGGTCTTGCAACTGTCCAGACATGACCATCTGCAATCGATCGAGGAGAAAACTCGTACATGGGACGGACCGAGCCATTGCAGCGCAACGAACTGTTTCAATTCTCCACATTGCATAACCACCATCTTGTTGTGATCTAGATAGTAGTAGTTTGAGTGGGTAGGCAGTCGCTCGATTCTTTGCAGCCCCATTAACAACACTATGACAAAGAAATAGATGACTATGTTTAAAGTAGATATAGTCAAATATGTCAATGTCTTGTTCAGTCACCATCTCACACAACAGTGCAACGTCATTGCTATCTAGTAGTGTTGTCAAGTGATGTCTATGTGCCAACTTGTGTCTGAGTAGTTTTAAATATCCATTTCTAATCATCCATCTAATATTCCTCATATCCTTGTATCTAAACATTCGCATTGGATCAGCAGGTAGACTTCCATCACCCAAATGCTCTAATCGATGTATTCGTACTTGTTCAAAGATACATCGTACCAAAACTTTACTTTTAAACACCTTGTTAAATACATCCTCGAAGATAATAAGATATCTATCTTTATCATTCATTCGTATATATATTCTTCTTCTTCTTTTTAATATATTCTAACAACTACTAATTTTGTCTTTTAATTCTTTTAAAACATAAAGAAATCCCAAAACTCCCAAAGTTTGATTTCTTTATTATGTTTACTTTACTGGAATTTGTTTGTAAGGTTTAAGTAAAGTCAATGAGATGGTAAGTGGTGGACTTTCTTTGCATTGGAAATTACCTTCTGGTAGTTGGTATACCTTTCCTTGACGAGTCAAGGTGACCGATGACATTGTCATTACACGTTCACTACTCCAAATATCTACACCAGTCTTGCTTTTTACTTGACTAAATTCTAAAATCATTTGAAGAGGGAATAAGCCCAATGTAGAATTCCCATATGTAGCTACATATATCAAAGAGGAAAAGGAAAACAAAAGGAACGCTTGTCAATAATAGTGAACTATTAAAAATGAAGATCATCAAAAGTGTTAGTTCAAATAGATTTACTTACATGATCCATCTATAGTTGAAGTTCCTCTCTCATGAACTACTTTAATGGTGGTTGGAAAAACGTTCATTGTTATTGTTATAAATCGAAATATCAATTGAACATTAATAAATAAGCAAGCCGTCATCGCAGGACTCTGTTTGTTATTTTTTTTTATACCATTTCCAAACACAAATGGCAAATGCACGGTTAGGTTCATGCATGGTCACGTGCACATAAAATAGATTTCAAGATTAAAAAAAACACATACTCTCAACCTTGAATTTTAGAGAGGATTGGAAAAGGTTCATAATTATTTTGATTTAAGTTTAATTTTAATTTATTTAATTTTAATTTATTTAATTATGAAAAAAAAAGTTATTGATTTAATTTTGATAATAAATATTTCTTTTGATCGGGAGGTAAAGAATTTAATATTTGTACAAAACCGTCGAGAACAGCTTCATTGTCTTGACCATTGAATTCCATGATTTGTTGTTGAATGTATTGTGAACGCAGCTGCGAGATTCTTTCGGTGAGAAGGGTAAACGATTTGTCGATAAAGTCGGCACGCCATTCGTTGTTGTGCAATGTTTCGGCGGGGGTGTTGGCCGGTGCAATGTTGGCGATCCAGCCGTCGAGCAATTGACGACGCTGGAGACGCGAGAGCGTGGGGTTGACACGTGCAATGAGACGGAGTTGTTGTTCCTCAAAGAGACGGCATCGGAGACGGTTGTAAAAGTAGAATCTCGATGTCTTCCATTGGACAACGTCGGCAATGACTCCCTTGGCCTTCATACGACCCGGGGTGTCGTGGAGATCGGCAAATTTAATGGCGATCTGTTGGTAGATGGAAAGGAGCTCCTTTTCACGGGCGGCAGCTTGGGCACGCAGGGGTTTGGCGTCGTCGGCACTGGCAGCTTGGGCAATCTCGGCGTCGAGCTGGATGAGACGGCTGTCGAGACGATGCATAGTGCGGATGAGCTCGGGGTCACGATACTTGATCTCGACGATGCCGTTGGGCTCGAGGACACCACCACGGGCACTCTCAGACGCGTACATTTCCATCATATCGAGATTGATGGTTGAGTCTAGTACGACCCAGGCACCACCACGCAACTCACCTTCGGGTGGGATGTATACAATGACTGGTTGTTTATAGTCGCGTAGGTTATCGACAATCATCGAACCAAACTTGAGTATCTCGTCAAACATGTCACGCATACCACCCGAGAACCCACGCCAGTTGGCGAGGATAAAGAGTGGTAGTTCTTCACCATTGTTAAAGTCGGCGATAGCTTGAGCCGTCTTGAATGAGGAATCGGGGTACCACACCTGAGCAGCTTGCGACGAGACAACCTCTTGCGAGAGTGGGTTGGCTGGGTCAGCAGGGACAACCTTTTCAATGGTACGTGTCTCGACACCAATGACTCCGACTGGAATACCACCCAGACGGGCACGACCGCAGACGACTGTCTTGGCCCATCCACCTAATGTCTCGGTAAACGAGTCACGATCAAACAAACCACTGATCCATACCAATGGGTCAATATCTGATGAATGTCCTTGAATCATATCGCGTATATTGTATTTGGTGTTGAGCGATGGGTCGAAATCAATCTCACGGTTGGGAGTATCGATTGGTGCTAGAATGGGCACCATCTCACCCTTGCTACGTGGTACGTATGACACCCAGTGCAAGATCGAGCGAATACCTGCCAACTCATCATTGACAGAGATGTGAGACACACCATTTGGATACATGATCTGTGCACCACCCAACTGCTGGTTAGATTCATACACATCCTTGCCAAGCACCTTGTTCAATGCCGATGCACCCGTTAGAATGATGGGTGCGTCGTTTTGGATGGTACGCTGACCAAGACGAACGAGGTAGGCGCCAATACCGACTGAACGACCAGTGACGAGGGTGATGGTAAAGATGTCCTTGTAGGCCTTGGACGTCTCTCCAGCAATCAAACCACTCCAACTGAGATTCTCAACACCAATACCATTCTTTTGACCGATAATGTCGGTGAGGATCCACTTGTCGTCTTGCTTGACTGCGCTGATGGCGTTGGTCTCGGCAAGACGTTGGTAATCTTGGTCTTCGAGGTAGAGTGCACGCACACCCTTGGACGGGTCCTTGTCGTTGTTCCAGAGTACCTTGAACTTTTGCTTGACCTCGTCGGCCAGACCGATACGTGCACCCGAGTTGGACGATAGGTAGATACGCGGGATCTGCTCAGTACGAGCCGTCTCGGAGGCAAGTTGGAACAACAAATCTTCTTGTGGTCCAAACGACCCAATTTGATGAGTAATATCGTTGGCAATAACGATGACTTGACGACCAGCAGGGTACTCTGGTGTGTAGAGCGTCATGCGCCATGCGACCATACCAATGTCGTTGTAGCCAATTGGACGATACGTCTCTTCGAGCTTGGGACGTATGTCTTCGGGTAGCTGGCAGAATGGGACGGTTGGAGGAACATCTGTCTTGGTGCCGGGTGCCAAGATGAGCTCGACGGCATCGACGACGGCGCGAGGAGGTGGGTTAACCTTTTTGGGATTGGCACGGTTTGCGTCCATGTACTCGACCCACAGCGACTGCAAAGCCTCTTGGAAGAGGTCGGGGAAGTCATAGACATAGGTCGTGTCAAGACGCTGTGCCTTGAAACGGTTACGTTGCACGGCGTCCATGATAGGGTAGGGGGTGTCGACGGGCATGCCCTCCCAGATACCACGGTTGCTGCCTGGCACGACGGCAAACACGAGTTGGCCGGCTGCGTTGAGTTGTTCATAGTAGCAGTACACTTGGAAGGCGTAGCCGGTTGGGTTTTGCACAAAGAAACGAACGGGGATGAGCTGGTTCTCCTTGCGCAATTTGCCCTTGACCTCGACTTGTCCAACACGCAGCTTCCACATACGTGCGCCGAGACGGTCACCAATCTCCTGCACGACATATCCAATCATACGCTCGTCAAACATGACCTCGGGTAAGATGTTGAGGAAGATGTTGTGGTTTTGTGCGCGTTCGTAGCGCTTGGCACTGGCGATGGTCATCTCAAGCGCTTCGAGAGACTCGGACAACATGGCTTCAATCTGGCTGAGCAAAATATCGACAATCTTGATCTCATTGCTGCCCGAGAGATCACCATAACGCAACACTGAACGCACAAAGAAGCATCTGTCGGCGTCTGGATCAGTCTCACGCTTTCCACGTTCCTGTGCATAGTAGAGATGTATACGCTGGCTCTGTGTGGGGACGTGTGAGATGTCAAAGTTGGACAGCTTACGTACTTCAAGATGGTAGGCCATGGCAGGCTCGATGTGACGGAAGATAGGGTCCTCGAGGTACATGTGACGCTCGCGGAATGTGTAGTATTTGGGTTGTTGACCGACCTCTCCGCAGCATACAAAAGTGACACGACGCACACGAGCAGTAATGAGCTCACGGTAGTTGCTCTTGAGGATGGCCGCAAAACGCACGGTCGCGCTATTCTCCTCTGCGAGTGTGTCGGGGTAGTAACCGGTGAGAACGACCGAGAGGATATCGGTTGACTCGCCACCTTGATTCTTGGGACGACCGCCGTTAAAGTCGTCCTCGACATTGTAATATCTGAGTATTTGTGGTAGTGTCTGTGCAAAGCTAGTCTCGTCGGCAAAGTGCACCATCATACCATATCGAAGCTTGCATTGGTCTTCGACAGCTTGTAAACTGTCGGTCGAGTCGGTACGCAGCATTGACAACCCGTTCATGATGGGGTTGTGTGAGCGCGAGCCATTCAAACCGGCACCGCCATTATGTGAACGCGAAAGTGCCATATGTTGCTGTTGCTGCAGTGTTGGGCTGTTGTTACCTGATGGCAGTGAGATGTAAAAGTGCCACTCTACACAGTTGAACCCGCGTTGCTTGGATCGCTCGTCAAGCGAGTCAGTCACACGGGTGTCCTCTACAAAGTATGAACGATATGAATGGCGTATATACGCCTCCATTGCAACCTTTCTCGTGGATGCACAGTCTGCTGTAAAGTTGGGCACGAGGATATCGCAAATCTCGGCCGTCTGTTTGGTCAACAATGACATTTCCTTGAGATAGGCAATTTGGTTGAGTGCTGGTGCATTGATTGATGTTGGAGGTGTAGAGGATGAAGAAGATGATGATGTTGTAGAGTCAGTTGATCCCTCGAGATCGGCAGCAGACTGCTTTTGAATATCAATAATATTTTTGATGGAACGACGTAGTTGGTCGACACGCTGGTCACCCGATGGCAGCTGACTGTTGACTATGATTTGTTTGGCACGCAACGAGATCTCAATGGATGCGCCAGACAGGCCTGACAGCTTCTTGAGCTGGTCGGTATAGTCGGCGGTCGAGTTGGTGGCATCGATCTTTTTGAGGATGGTTTGGACGAGGGCATACTTTTTGCTTTGTGGGTGGATCGAGAGGGCAACGTCGCCAACCTTTTTAATGTCGTCCTTGTAGAGCTGACGCACGCTCTTGAGGACGGTCTGGATGTTGCGGTGCTGTACCAAGTCCTCGAGTGTGATAAAGTCCTCGAGGATGGAGCGCACCGTGGCGATACGGGCACCGCCGGCGCCGTCGACGTAGCGTTTGGCGAGGTCAGCAATCGGCGCGACGGTCGTAGCGATAGTCTTGGCAGCCGACTCGTTCTCGACCATCTGACGTGTCAGATAGTTGTTGAGACGGTGCAGGAGCACCTTGGAGGTGAACTGGTCGCGTTGGACGAGTGCATTGCTTATTTCCTCGCGGATCAACTCGCATAGCGGCGCGGGGATACGGTTATGAATCACCGACAAACTCTCGTTGAGCTCGTAGTAGGGGAGCAGGGGGTCGGTCATTTGCACAAACAAATTGTCGATCAGAGTCTGCACCGAGCACACTTCATAGCCCGTCAACACATTCTTGACGGCCACCAAAGTGGCCTTGGCGAGTTGGTGTGGTTTCTCGCCACGGAGAATGGGTGGCTGCATGCGGTCGAGTGTTCCGGCAAACACGGTTGATTTCTGCACGGCGCACCCTTCCTCGAGCTCGAGGTTGGCGATGATGGCGCCAGCACCCATGGCCCCACCCTCTGACAGGTGGAACTTGATACGTCCACTCTCGGGGGCGACGAGGGGCATGTACATCTTCATGACCTCGATTTCGGCATAGGCCGCGCCCTTGGAGACGACTGATCCGTCGTCGACGAGGTAACGCACGAGCTTACCAGGAGAAGGAGTACGCAAGATGGATGGATCGTACTCTTGTGAAAATGTGCATGTCTTTTGGTCAATCATCAGGCGCAACCCAGTGACTTCATCGCGGCCATAGACTACATGTGTCTTGCCATTCATCATGACAATCAAACCACCGTCAGTCATGCCAACCACGTTAACGTCTACGATATTGGTCTTGTCGCGCACAAGCACGATGGCAAAGCTGGTGGGTGACCGACGGATCACCTCGAATTGATACTTGATGTTGTGGTAGATGAGTTCGACGGGCACGATGTTGGCGAGCAGCTCAAGTGATGGCAGTTGACCAACAGTCACCTGGCCTGTAAACTCGACCAATCGTTGCTGGTAGGTGGTGTATGCTTTGTATAGTGCACCGCACAGTACGACAATCTGAGTGTCGGGTTTGTGCGACTTGATCTTGTCGGCGATACGTTTGTCGAGCCAACCCGTGTGGATGGCGTTGTTCTTAAAGTCGTCTGTCTCCAAGAGATGGATAATGTACTCTACGGGCGTGCGAATGTCGCCACGAATCGAGATCTCTTTGAGTCCGAGCACCATGCTCTTGCGTGCGTCCTCTCTGGTGGGGCCCGAGGCAAAAATGTGGCCAAACTGCGAGTCGGCGTATTCGTGCAGGCCACCGTTGGCACCCACACTAAAGTATCCCCACACGTTGGGCGTGCTGCGAAACGTGAGTTCATGTATACCTCCCGAAGTGGGCTTGAAGCCTTCGTCGGGGTTCTCACCCGTGATACGCACGGCGATGCAGTGGCCCTTGGGTGGAAGACGCTTGGCATAGTCTTGAAGGTCGATAGCTGCGTCGCCAAAGGGTGTCTGGCCGTAGAGACGGCGAATATCTGGTATGCGGAACAACGGGATACCCATGGCAATCTGTAGCTGCGTGGCGGGCAAGTTGACACCCGTAATCTCTTCAGTGACTGGATGCTCGACCTGTAGACGTGGGTTAAGCTCGAGGAAAAAGTAGTCGCCGTCTGCAAACAGGTACTCGACCGTGCCGGCACCGACGTAACCCACTTCTTTGACAAGACGCACGGCTGCGCGCTCCATCTCGAGCCAGACCTCTGGTGTGGGGGCGAGGGCAGGACCTTCCTCGATAATCTTTTGGTGACGACGCTGCACAGAGCAGTCACGTCCGTTTAAAGAGATAGCTTCACCATACTGGTCTCCCACAATCTGTACTTCAAGATGACGTGCGTTGGGCACGAGTTTCATGATAAAGACGGGCGAGCCTGGCACCTCTGACTGCACCTGACGAAAGGAAGCGGCCAACTCGTCCATCGAGGTGACCTTTCTGATACCCTTGCCGCCGCCACCCTCGCTAGCCTTGATCATTGCGGGGAAGCCGATCTTTTCAATGACCTCTTTGGCCTCGTCGACCGTCTCGACGGTTGCCTTGCGATAGATGGCTGCGTCGACACCACCCGTAGCCTGGTAGTCGACTGTTAAACCCTGTCCACTCCATGGCACACAGGCCACTCTTGCAGACTGCGCGACAATGGTCGATGCGATCTTGTCTCCGAGATCACGCATGGGGCCTGCGGGTGGGCCTATAAACGATATACTGGTGCTAGTTTTGCTCAGCAAGTCTGGCAAACGTGGGTTCTCTGATGCGTGGCCCCAGCCAGCCCACACAGCCTGCACGCCCGCGCGCTCGGCCAAATCCACAATTGTATCTACATTGGCATAGTTGTTGTTGTTGGAGCCGCCCGGCACCTCGATGATCTGGTCTGCCATACGGATGTACTCGGCGTTGGCCTTCATATCCTCGGGCGTCGCCATCACCACAAACTCGATGGCTCGCTCATTGCCAAAATGTGTGTATGCCCATTTTCGAACGGATCTGATTGCTTTGACGGCTGCTATACCATTGTTGGCAATCAATATCTTTTTTATAATCTTTGTTCCATTTAGTTGATTAATGTATTCTTCCAATATCAATGATTTTGAATGGTCCATCTAAAAAACAAAAAAAGTCAGTCATGTTTCAATTGATTTCCATGGTTTTCCAAAACTCTTTCTTCTTACCTTTTTTGTCTTCTATATGTTTGTGATATAAGTATATGTGTATAATATAATATATATATGTGATATTATAATTAGGAATTATTACTACCGACTATGTGGGATAATAAAACCTAACCTACTACTACTACTACTACTAGTACTACTACTTCTACTACTTCTACTTCTACTGTTACTACAATTTGATTTCGTTTGTAATAAACTATACATGCATAATAATACCAGCCGTTGCTATATTATTATTATTATTATTATTGGTTATTGGTTGTTTGGAAAAAGGCAAAGAAAACCCTTAACTACTATAAATATTGTTCTATATATATATATATATAAATTGAATATTAATATATTGATATAATTTAGGTTGGGATTATTGGATTATTGGTAAAACAATATTGCTGCTTTTTAATTGAACAAAACTAGTAAAGTTTAAAGATTATTTTAACCTTGGACACCTGTCCACCAACCAACATAAAACAAAACGCACAACACACATAACATATACACACACAAAAAACAGGTCGGAAATGAGTGATGTAAAGTACTCAACATCATCTGGCAGATCTAAAATATATTTTAATTCATTTGTATCGCGTGCGTCTTTGTAATGTTTACTCTAGTATAGTATATCCAATTATCTTTTCTAGATGATGGAGGGGGATGGGATGCAAGACCGATCCGAATAAACAAAGCAATATTGTTGTTTTGTCACAAATAGAAATATGTTGTTATATATAAATCTTTTAAACTATAAACCAACTCTATAGAAATTCCTCCAATTTTTATAACATCTAAATTCTTAAATTGAACTTACAATATAATATATTGTATTGAAGTTGATAATGTAATGCTACAGAGTTGTTATTATTATTATTATTATTATTAATTTTAGATATTGTTGTTGGGTTGTCAATCTTAAAGGCTTGTTGTTGGTTATACTGTTATGATGATGATGATGATAATCCTTTTCCTTGACTGCTTTGCTGTTATTCCAATAATTAATTAATCAAACCGACGTTGTCACTTGTCATTCATTCAAGTACTATTATTCTTCCTTGTTCTTGTTCTTGTATGAATCTCTGTTTATCTTGCGGTTGTTGTTGTTGTTGTTGGTCAATATAAGTTATGTACATCTCTCCACCCATCTGCTAAACCTGTTACCACAACATTATTCATTATTGAACCTTTCAAACAATATGTTTATAAATATGTTATAACATTCGATTATCTATTGGTTGGCAGAGTATCCTATGAACAAGTAGAGAGAGAGAGAGAGATATAGATATAATATGACACCTCCCCTTTCACCACATCATACCATTCTGACACACGACGACTACATACAAAAAGTCTTCTACTTCATAACCAAAACGCACACCCCTTCCTTCTCTTCCTCCTCCTAACCATGTCACAAAGATTATCGATTTTATATATCTTCAACCCCTTTGCTCTCTTAATAGTCACACACTATTATTATTCTTCACCGATATTGTGTCAAATAAACAATGACAATCTTGATGAACACCACCATCATTCATCTTCATCTTTTCTCTCTCTCTCTCTTTCTCTCGTGGAAATGGTGCAGTTCTTTCTTTGTACAATCACATGTATGTATAAAAGAGAAATGTAACAAAAGTTACAAACACTACTATAGCTACAAAGGTAATACCAACATTTTAATTAATAATGTTCTTTTTAAACTGTGAATGAGGAATCGATTGATTGATAGTTAAACTCTTAAGAGACTTGCTATAGTTGGTTTTTAATATAAATAATATATAATATAGATTGATGTCGTTACTAATATTGTTGTTGTATCTGTTATCTTTGATATTGTTATTATTACTATTGTTGTTGTTGTTTTTGTTTTTGGTCTGAACAAATGAACTATTTAATAATAATAATACAGATATATATATATATATATATTTAAAAGAATAAGAAGAAGAGGATAGGGATAAGGATAGATGAAATGGATAGGATGGGATTATAGAATAAAAGTTAATAAAAGAAAGACAAAACCAAAAAGTGTTTTGGTCCAATAAGGTGTTGTCAGGTGACGCCACACTTCAACCCTTTGGTCTCCTTCCTGTTAAAGTTGTAGGTGCCTCTTGAGATACAGAGCCTGTAACTTTCTAGTTCCCTCAGTTTCCCAAAGCCGGCTGAATTTCATCTGCCAAAAACTTTCGTTTTTTATAAATATCTTCAAAGTTTTATCCACTGAGAGATCAGGGATTGTTGACTTTATTAATGTATGAAAGATAGATAGAAAGATATTTGGCAGTAGATTACATAAGGGAACTTACACACTCAAAAGTGCAATGGGAACCGACAAAAAACAGCAAACTAACACTTCTCTCTCTTTACTACTCAAGTTGTTTACAACTAACTTTTCAATCGATCTTTATCTCAATTAATATCATTCATTGACCCGATGCATTGAATTGATTCAGTCTTTACTATTCTTTTCAAAACAATCAGCTGACCTCACCAAGATTGCATCATCTGGTTCGATTCTAATGATTGATTATTTAAATCATCATTGTATCTATACTTGTTTAAAGGACAAATAGATATACTCCAACATTATATCATCAAACAACCAGAATTGAAGAATACTCTTCTTCAAAATGGTCTTGTCACTCGAAAAGATATAAAGGATACTATGACAGAAAACCATATGGAGATGTTTCTATACCTTTTGAAAAAAGGGTATTTAAAATATTATCATTGTCGTAACCAATTTATTTAAATGCGATACAACCTTTAATTAGCAAAGGATCGTTATAATAATCCTAAACTACGAATCATATCAGGTCACTCACCACATTGCACCTGGAAATGTAAAGTAATGTTTGTCACCACAGTTGTTTCTGTATAGTCTTTATTATAACAGTTCATTCCTCTTCACAAACAATGTAATAAGATAGCTATTTAAATATCAATCAATTTCGAATCAGATAAAAATAAATGATTGATTTCTTTTTTATTTATTTTTATCTGATTTGTGGATGGGTCGGTCACTGAGGAATATACCGATACGGTTGGTCACTCACTCACTCAATATTCCTTAAACAAAGGATCTAAAGATTATTATAAATAAAATCTGGTGGTGGACCAGAACCCAAATTTACCAGAATGCAGGGTGGCGGCCGAGAATAACAGCCACTATGACGATACACTTTATATTGATTTGGTATAAAACATCAAGTTTTCCAGCAATATTTTCATTCAACTGAAACTGTTCATTCTACAATTTTAACAACAAACAACAATAACATCTTCATCATCATGCCTCTTTTTGGTAATTATTTATTTGTTTAAAATGGTTGACAGTATCGTTGCACAACGTTATTAAGTTCTTTCCTTATTTCTTTAGAAACAACTGTATCTGTTGCCAAGACCCCAAAGGTTCAAGAGGTTCCAAAGATTCCGAATCCCCAAAGAGACAATATAAGATTTGGACCAACCCCAGTCGATGGAAGTGGGAGCAAAGGTGGTTCATCATTATGTATTATCCAGTAGATTACTCCCCAATTCAATTCGTGTCTTGACAACCAACCCAACCCAACCCAACCAACTTCACAAGTACTATAGACTTGTTTAGATAGATCATAAAGGAAATATAGTTGTTCAATTTTATTAATAAACTTAAAAACATTTCTTTGTAATAAAATAATTTGTCTTCTTGTCTTGGTTGTTTCATTTGGGATCTTTTATAATTATATTTATGTGTTCGCTGTATAAATATTTATATACTAAATTAGTATCATCGATTGCAAATATAGATTCCAGACTGACCAATTAATTATTATTGAATGATGTTCAATCTCTCACACTTTGTTTTAGTGTATTTTTTTTTTTTTTCCTTTTCAACTATGGGCTGTATGTGAAGAGATATCTTCATTTTTGTCTATCTTCATAACTAACTAACTAATAACTATCTATCTATCTAATTTGTAGTTGTTTATCACATATTTACAATCAGTTTAATATTCCTAACATGATTCATTCATCTCAACTTTAACATTTATAAAATGACAGCAAATATATATATTTATTTGTTAAAAAGGCAACTTTAACAATCAAATATAACTCTATATTCTAGTACTTTGAATGAATCAACAACATTAGAATATTCTTCTTCTTGTGTGTGTATTAAACAAAGGAAGTAATCACTCGCTCACTCAGAAACAGAAGAAATGCATTGTTCCCATTTGATAGTAAACCACCTCTATCACTACTCTCTTGTTGCTTACAACTTTTTTCAATCGGCATTGGAACCATCTTCAATCTTTCATTCACAAATGTGGTATGCCCATACAGAGAGATACTAATCAATCCAATCAAATCTCTTCCCTCCAAAAAACAACGGTGATCATTTTGGCGGGAGGGAGTTTAATATGATTGGATTGATGTTCATTACACTAAAATGATTATTTTCAATAGTACTCAAACACAAATAGAATAATGTATGTATATAAATAGTAACTATAACAATAACGATCCTCATTTTGTTATTAAACTCAATCTTATTTATTTATTTAAATAAAGGGATAAGAAATATATCATATTATTGTTTAAGAATATATACTTGAGAGAACAAGTTAAAAAGTTCTTTCCAAAACCTGACTTGGTCGAAGGTTTAAGAGTGTATCGTTATGATCATTGGCATACTGCTAATCAAATGTTGGAGTATGGTTATGGTGGATTGTTACTCGACAAGATCAACAGAGGTATTGTCGTTCCTTTTCAAGGCAACCAAGCTATCGAGTTGATATGTGAAAAGGTAACAGACTATGACATGTTTATGCAGTTTTACAACCTCAAAAGGGATGCATTTCTGTCAAAACATCTCGTATCGTGTGCAATCAAAGGTGGAAATGTCAGAATTGTACAGACTCTTCTTGACCAGATCACTCCAATGACAGTCTGCACAGACAATGCCTATGTTATGGCTGTCTATCATGGTCGACTCGATGTGCTAAAGTTGTTGATTGAAAGAAAGGTTGAATATTGTGCTGGTGACATATCTCGAAGCCTACAACTGTTGGATTCAGGCTGGACATCCAATGACCTATCTTGCTATGGTCTCCGACTCGACACCCTAACGATTCGAGACGCCACCGATGCCATGGCAGCATTCAACTTTCTCAAAAACAGTAAACAATTCAAATCAATACCCGATGTCTTCAACCAAGGTCCAGACTTTAATGAACGCAAAGGCAACTTTGGTCCATTTGTACGATACGAAGAGTTTCTGAAAAGACATCCCCACATGCTTGACAACAGACCCTACCTCACTGAATACATTCGGTTGTTGCAGTCTGGTTCAAGTTTTGGCCGTTCAAAGCTTCAGCGCATCAAACACGAGCTATCCGATCCCAAACTCAATATTCAAGATTTACTTAAAGATAAAACGACAAAATGGTATAAAATACGAGCATTAATCAAATGCGGGAGTTTGGATGATATGCCTGCCATCATTCGCAGCATCGATATTGGTGGACCCGAGGTGTTTGACGAAGCAGTTTCTCGAAAAGATGAAAATGCACATTTGGTGGTTGAACTGTTACTCAGCAGTGGAATGAGTATCCCCCAACCTTGGCGTCGACGTAAAGTGGATTCGGATAAAACTTGGGATCTTCTCGAACCACTTTTACCACATGGATCTGAAAGAGAACCACAGAGAGACTCCTCGAATCATTATGTAGACAATAGAAAAGAATCAAGCAGAAGAGCAAATGTCATTTGCAAATGTATGTCATTGGAATTGTTTTTCGTACATTGCCGTCAATACACCAAATACTCTCAATATGACCATGATCATTTGTATAGCGTCATTACAAATGGAAGTGCCCAAAGTTTGGAATTTGTAAAGTCAATAGTACAACATCCAAAATTTCCAACCAAAGAGTCAATTTGTCTCACCAAGATTGCATCATCTGGTTCGATTCTAATGATTGATTATTTCAAGTCATTGTATCCATTATGTTATACCGATCGTGCACATTCACGTGCTCTCTTGGAATCAGGACAAGTAGATGTACTCAAACATTATATCACCAAACAACCAAAATTGAAACGTATTCTTAGCGGTCTTGTCACTCGAGCATATATCAAGTATCTCTTGACAGAAAACCATATGGAGATGTTTCTATACCTTTTGAAAAAGGGGTATTTGGAATATTACAATGGTCTTCAATCAACGTCTGCATATAAAAAAGATCCAATTTGGAAAGGTATTATTTTATTTGCAAAGGATCGTTATAATAATCCTCAAGAAACAGATGATGATGATGATGATGAAGAAGATGAAGATGAAGAAGAAGAAGAGGAGGAGGAAGAGGATGAAGAGAAAGAGGAAATCATAAAGATACAACCAAAAAGAAAAAAGCCAGAAGCAAAGCAAGAACCAAACGGCACCACTAAAACAAAAATGAAGAAGATTGAACAACCAAAAAAGAAATCAAAGAAATAACTTTAAATTATATTATTATTTAATTATAAATAGTATCCATTTTCTTTCTTTGTTGCTTTGATCAATAAAAAAAAAAGTGAAGTTTTTAATATATATATAAATATAAAAAAATCAACTAGCTGAACTTCAATACTATTGCAAGTTCCCCCAAAAATACTTACTTTACTTCGAAACACACAAAAGATGATTGTTAAACACACAAAAGAACACTAGTAAAATGATTATTTCAATAGTAGTAGTTCTCAAACACAAATAGAATAATGTATGTATAAAATAATAACGAGAGTAATGTGATAATTAGTATTAATAAACTCAATCTATTTATTTATTTATTTAAATAAAGGGATAAGAAATATATCATCATTGTGTTTAAGAATATATACTTGAGAGAACAAGTTAAAAAGTTCTTTCCAAAACCTGACTTGGTCGAAGGTTTAAGAGTGTATCGTTATGATCATTGGCATACTGCTAATCAAATGCTAGAGCACAACCATGTTGGATTGCTACTAGACAAGATCAACAGAGGTATGGTCGTTCCTTTTCAAGGTAATCAAGCTATCGAGTTGATATGTGAAAAGGTAACAGACTATGACATGTTTATGCAATTGTATAACCTCAAAAGAGATGCATTTCTGTCACAACATCTCGTATCGTGTGCAATCAAAGGTGGAAATGTCAGAATTGTACAGACTCTTCTTGACCGGATCACTCCAATGACTTTGTGTACATACAATGCCTATGTTATGGCTGTCTATCATGGTCGACTCGATGTGCTAAAGTTGTTGATTGAAAGAAAGGTTGAATATTGTGATTGGGACATATTCCTCAACATAGAGTATTTGGAATCTGGACGACGTAGGGACCTATCTCGCTATGGGATCCAATCTGACGTCATAATGATTCGAGACGCCACCGATGCCATGGAAGCATTCGACTTTCTCAAGAACAATGAACAATTCAAATCAACAGTACCCCATTACATATTTCCACGCTTGACCTCAGCCCAAGGCAACTTTGGTCCATTGATACTGTATGAAGAGTTTTTGAAAAGACATCCCCACATGCTTGACAACAGACCCTACCTCACCAAATACATTCGATTACTGCAGTCTTCAGACCGACGTTACTCTCATTCAAATCCTCATTCAAGGTTTGAATGCGTCAAACACGAGCTATTGGATCCAAGACTCAATATTCGGTATTTACTTTTGGATCATGATACAACAGAGTGGTCCAAAAAAAAAGCATTGATCCAATACGGGAGATTGGATGATATGCCGGCTATCATTCGCAGCTTACATACAGAGATTGATGGATCAGATATCTTTGAAGCAGCCGTGTCTCGAAAAGATGAAAATGCACATTTGGTGGTTGAACTGTTACTCAGTAGAGGAATGAGCATCCCCCAACCTTGGCGTCTATGTAAGGTGGGTTCAGATAAAACATGGAACCTTCTCGAACCCCTCTTACCACATGGATCCGAAAGAGAACCACTGACCTCCTCTCCGTGGTATGAAAAAAGTCGCAAAGAATCAAAAGAAAAAGAAAGAATAGCTGATATCATTTGCAGATGTATGTCATTGGAATTGTTTCTCGTACATTGCCGTCAATACACCAAATACACTGCATACTCTGAATACGATTATAATTCAAAATATGATCATTTGTATAGTGCCATTACAAATGGAAGCGCCCAAAGCTTGGAATTTGTAAAGTCAATAGTACAACATCCAAAATTTCCAACCAAAGAGTCAATTTGTCTCACCAAGATTGCATCATCTGGTTCGATTCTAATGATTGATTATTTCAAGTCATTGTATCCATTATGTTATACCGATCGTGCACATTCACGTGCTCTCTTGGAAATCAGGACAAGTAGATGTACTCAAACATTATATCACCAAACAACCAGAATTGAAACGTATTCTTAAAAGTCTTGTCACTCGAACATTTATCAAGTATATCGTGACAGAAAACTATATGGAGATGTTTCTATATCTTTTTAATATGGGGTATTTAAAGTATTACCATGGTCTTCAATCAACATCTCCATTTAAAAGAGATAAAACCTGGAAAGGTATTATTTTATTAGCAAAGGATCGTTATAATAATCCAAAAGAAAAAGATGATGTAAAAGAAGAAGATGAAGAAGAAGAAGAAGAGAAACAAGAGGAAGAAGAAAAAGACGAGGAGGAAGAGGAAGAAAAGATACAACCAAAAAGAAAAAAGCCAGCAGAGAAAAAGAAAGAATCAAAATCAAACAACACCACAACAACAAAGATGGATAAGAAGATTGAACAACCAAAAAAGAAATCAAAGAAATAACAATAAAGATACATAGATTTTACATTATATATTATTATTATCTAAAATTTATTATAAATCAAGAAAAATAAATTTATTAAAAAAGACAAAGGTTGCAAATATGTTTTTTTTTTCCACTAAACTTTACTTTGGTATGTTGTGTGAAACAAAACGATCGATGAATAATGAATTTGTTGTTATATTATTTCACAGTCTACAATAAATAATGTATGTATAGTAATAATATCATGTTTTATTTAAAAAGATATCTCTAACTCTCTCTCTCTCTTTGCTTTGATTTCATAAAGGGATAAGAAATATATAGTATCTCTGTTTAAGAATATATACTTGATAAAGCAAGTGAAAAAGTTCTTTCCCACCCCCTACTTGGTCGAAGGTTTAAGAGTGCATCGTTATGATCATTGGCATACTGCCAATCAAATGTTGGAGCACGGACATGTTGGATTGTTACTTGACAAGATCAACAGAGGTATTGTAGTTCCTTTTCAAGGCAACCAAGCTATCGAATTGATATGTGAAAAGGTAACAGACTATGACATGTTTATGCAGTTTTACAACCTCAAAAGGAAATCATTTCTATCAAAACATCTTGTTTCGTGTGCAATCAAAGGTGGAAATATTAGAATTGTTACGACTCTTCTTGATCAAGTCGATCCTATTACATTGTGCACAGACAATGCCTATGTCGTAGCTGTCTATAGTGGTCGACTCGATGTACTAAAGTTGTTGGTCAAAAGAAAAGTCAGCTACTTTGCTACTGACGTAGATCGTATCCTAGTTAATACCAGATATGGCACAAACCTATCCAGTAGTGGTCGAGTTGGGCAATTCAGCATCTTAAAGATTCGAGATGCCATTGACGCCATGGAAGCATTCGACTTTCTCAAGAAGAGTAAACAATTCAAAAAAACAATACCCAACGCTAAAAAAGCAGAGCTCTACAATGTCAAAAGCTCCGAGCCTCACTTTGATACATTCATAAAGTACCCAGACTTTCTGAAAAGACATCCCCACATGCTTGACAACATACCCTACCTCACTGAATACATTCGATTGCTACAGTGTGGTTTGCATGTCTTGTGCGTCAAACACGAGCTAGCCGATCCTAAAATCAATATTCAGGATTTGCTGAATTTGGATCAATTCGATTCTCAGCTGTCTCAACACGTAAAACCAGCATTGGTCCAATACGCAAGTTTGGAGGATATGCCAACTATCATTCGTAGCTTAAACTTTACTGCATTGGGTTATCGCCAAATATTTGAAGCTGCTGCTGCCCGACAAGATGAAGATGCACATTTGGTTGTCAAATTGCTACACGATAGTGGGATGGCTATACCAAACTACTGGAATGGATACAAAGTGGGTTCACAAAAAACATGGGACTATGTCTCACCATTTTTATCACCAAGGTGCATCCCACAATTCCTGCCAGATACAAGTGTACGTAGAGATACAACAAAAAGAATAGTTGAAGTCATTTGTGTATGTATGTCACTGGAAACTCTTCGCTCAAACAATCAATACTCTGTATCTGACTGTTTGTATCGTGCCATTGCAAATGCAAGTGTCCAAAGTTTGGAATTTGTAAAGGCAATCTTACAAGATCCGAAATATTATCGAGCTGTAGAGATGGACCTCACCAAGATTGCATCATCTGGCTCGATTCTAATGATCGATTATTTCAAATCATTGTATCCCCACCTTTATAAAGATCACGACCAAGTCCTCGCTCTCGTCAAATCAGGACAAGTCGATATGCTCAAACATTACATCACCATGCAACCAAAATTGAAGGATCTTCTTCAAAGCGGTCTTATCACTCGAAAAGATATAAAGGATATTATGACTGGCGATCATTATGAAATGTTTCTATACCTTTTGAAAAAGGGGTATTTGGAATATTACAATGGTCTTCAATCGACCAATTCATATAGATGCAATCCAACCTGGAATGGTATTATTATATTTGCAAAAAATTGTCATAATAGAAAAGAAACAGAAGAAGATGAGAAAGAGGAAGAAGTAGAAGTTCGAGAAGAGGAGGAAAAAGAAGAAGAGGAAGAAGAAGATGATGAAGATGAAGAAGTAGAAGTAGAAGTTCAAGAATCAGAGGAAGAAGAAAAAGAAAGCAAAAAGATTCAACCAAAAAGAAAAAAGCCAGCAGAGAAAAAGAAAGAATCAAAATCAAACAACACTACTAGAACAACAAAGAAGAAGATTGAACAACCAAAAAAGAAATCAAAGAAATAACTTCAAATTATGACGATTGTATTTGTATTATTCTTAATATCATTTTGATTTACCATGCAGGTTTTGGTTTCATTAATTCGATAAAAGCACCAACTGAAAGGGCCTGGACACCCCTGTACATCCTAATACCCCATTTGGTACAAGCAACAAGCCATCCTCCTACTCTTTTTAACTCTTCTTCGCTGAAATACCAAATTGGTCCATACTCTGATTCAGCTATTGGCTATTAATAATTGAATATTAGCAACTTTTAATAATTATTATTTTTTGACAATACAAACATATTTATAAATACTATTTTGTGTTAATTGTGGCATTATTTCTTAATTCTTATCTATCTAATCAATTATTGAATGAATCATTTATCCACTGTGTGACAAACCCTTTAAGAATAGCTTGGATGATTTCCAAAACCTAAATTTTTAAATTTCTAAATGGTATTTCTTTTTGAGAAAAAGATTGATGGATGATATCGAGAGAGATGATATTTGTTTGTATTATTAATTTAGGAGTATATTTATTTAAATAGAGGGGGGAGGGAGTTTTATGATATTATTATTATTATTGTTTTAGTTATTATTATTATTATTATTTGTTATTATTTATTCGGCCTTTGTTGAATTTGAAGAAGTATTATTTGAGCTTTCTCTAAAGTGTTTCAAGAGTTTTTGGGTGACATCTAATTTCTTGTCAGTGTCAGCTAATTTCTTGTCGGCGTCAGCCTTGTCCTTGACGAGTTGTTCGTTTTGGAGCTTTAATTCAGCAACAGAAACTTGTAATTTTTTGGATTCATTATCAGCGGTTTCACTGTCCTTGAGAGCCTTTTCCAATTGGATATTGATGACCCCAAATCTAGCCTTCTCGGCATCGAGTCTGTCTTGGAGGTCTTGGATGTCGTCAGAGCCATTGGTGTTATTTAATCTTACAGGTTGTGGTGGTTGTTGTAATTCGTCAATCTTTTTCTCGAGATCTTTGATGTGTTGGTCTTTTTGTTTAATGTCAGATTCCTTGTTATTTAATTGTTCATTCTTGTTGTTTAATTCTTGTGCCTTGTCATTGAGTTGCTTTTGGAGTTCTTCTTGGTCGGCTTGTGATTTGGTGGCAGCAGTTTGCGATTCTGCAGTCAATTTTTCGAGTTGTTCTTGCTTGGCTTGTTCGTCCTTGCTCTTGGTGTCCAACTCTACGTTCTTGGCATCCAATTGGCTCTTGAGGTCTGTGATTTGAGAGTTGACGGCAGTAGAAGAGGCAGCGAGTTGCTCATCCTTTTGAGTCAATTCAGCATTCTTGGCGTCCAATTGAGACTTGAGGTCGGTGATTTGGTCATTGACGGTAGATGAGGAAGCAGCGAGTTGCTCATTCTTTTGGTTCAATTCTTGGTCCTTATTTTTGATTGCTTCATCCTTGCTCTTGATCTGTTCGTTGGCAGCATCGAGTTGCGATTGGAGGGATAAAGTTGATGCGAGTTGTTCGTCCTTGTTCTTGATTTGCTCGTTCAAGGACTTGAGTTCATTTTCGTTATTTTTGATCGTTTGTTCCTTTTCAGCCAATTGGGTGTTGAGTTGGTTGACTTGTTCTTGTGATTCAGAAGAGGTTGATTGTGATTGGCTGATTTGTTGGTTCAATTTTTCAATGGTCGATTGCAAGTCGGTGGCCTTGGCTTGTTCGGCTTGGACGTCCTTGTTCTTGGTATCCAACTCGACATTCTTGGCATCCAATTGAGCCTTGAGGTCGGTGATTTGAGAGTTGACAGCGGTAGAAGAGGCAGCGAGTTGCTCATCCTTTTGAGTCAATTCAGCAGTCTTGGCGTCCAATTGAGACTTGAGGTCGGTGATTTGATCATTGACAGTAGATGAAGAGGTAGCGAGTTGCTCATTCTTTTGAGTCAATTCAACATTCTTGGCGTCCAATTGAGCCTTGAGATCGGTGATTTGAGAGTTGACAGCGGTAGAAGAGGCAGCGAGTTGCTCATCCTTTTGAGTCAATTCAGCATTCTTGGCATCCAATTGAGACTTGAGATCGGTGATTTGATCATTGACGGTTGAAGATGAAGAGGTAAGATCTTGGTTCTTTTGGTTGGCAGCTTGGAGTTGGGCGGCAATATCGTCGACAATCTTTTTGTTTTGTTCGGCGATGGCTTCGAGTTGGTCTTGCAACTTTTCAATTTGGAAGTTCTTCTCGGCCAATTGGTTCTCGGTGATCTTGTCCATGGTACGTTCTTCCTCTTCGATAGTCTTGATACGTTGTACCAACTTTTCACGTTCTTGTTGAGCGTCGGCAAACAATTGGCTCAAGTCCTTGTGTTGCACTTGGAGGGCAACAAACTTTTCGTTCAATGAGGCGCTTTGCTTGATGACAGTCTCACGCTCGTTGTGCACCTTGGAGAGGTCGCCTTGAGTCTTGATGAGGTCGGTCTGTGTGTTGGATAGGTCTCTCTTTTGGGCCTCAATGATGGATTGGGCGGTGGCAATGTCGTTCTTTTGCGACTCGACGGTTTGGTTGAGTGCATCGATGGCCTTTTGTGAGGCAAGATTGACTTGGGCATTGTTGTTGGTGTAGTTGTATTGGTTGAGCGAGTTGGCGACGTTACCAGTCTTGCCAGATTCGATTTGACGTTCGAGTATCTTGATACGCTCGGCCAAACGTCCCTCGGAAATCTCCTTTTGCAATTGAACATTGTTGATTGTGTCTTGTTGGAGGTTAAACTTGATCTTGTTGTCTTCACGCTCCTTTTCCAATGCAATCTCGGCAGCTTGGAGCTTGCTCTTGATGTTTGACAACTTTTCCAATTCGGTTGGGGCGTGCTTGACGACCTCCCATCCTGGTCCGTTCAAATCAGCCTTGTCAACAGCAGCTGGGTTTAATTTCTTGGCTGGTGCATCCAAATTAACAATCAATGAATCCTTTTTATTTGATGTTGAAAATGGTTTACCTAAAAATTAAACAAAACAAGTTAGAATAATGTACATTGAGATTATCAACACATCCAGAATATATTAATATTAATACTAATTAATATTTACCTTCTTTCTTGTTTTCAGTGGCAACAACTGGGGTAGTGGCGACGACGACTGGAGCAACAACGGCAGCAGCGGCAGCCTTCTTTGGAGCAGCGACTGGTTCAACAGCAGCCTTCTTTTCAGCCTTCTTTGGAGCGACGACTGGTTCAACCTTCTTTGGAGCAGCGACAGCAGCGACGACTGGTTCAACCTTTTTGACCTCTTCGACCTTCTTTGGCTCTTCAACAACCTTCTTGACCTCTTCAGCTTTCTTGGCCTTCTTGGCAGCCTTCTTTGAAATGACTGGAGCAACAACTACTGGTTGTTTGACTTGTTCGACCTTCTTGACTTCTTCAACCTTCTTTGGTTGTTCAACAGCCTTCTTGACCTCTTCAACCTTCTTTGGCTCTTCAGCCTTCTTTGGTTGTTCAACCTTCTTTTTGTCAGCAGCAGTCTTCTTTGATTTGTTGGGGGTGTTGTTGGATGAAGTTGCCTTCTTGGTGGTGGCAGCAGCCTTGTCCTTTTGAGACTGTTCGCTCTTGAGAGTGTGTTGGGCCTTTTCAAGTGCACCCTTGTAAGCACTATCGGGCTTTATTACAAAAAAGTAATAAAAGTACCCAATCAAGCCAACAAATGCGGCTCCTAAGATTAAAATGGCTACCATTATTGTTTTGTGATTATTATTACCTTTGGAAGAGTTATTAATTACTACTACTATTACTATTACCTATTTATTACTATTACTACTACTATTACTAATACTACTACTATTGTTGCTGCTACTACTACTAATAAATATTCTATATAATGAATGAAAGAAAGAAAGAAAGAAAGAAAGAGTTGAGTAATTTATAAATAATGAATGAATAGATAAATAATGAATAAATAGAATATAATGATTGTTGGTCTTCAAGAAAACAAATAGAAAACAAAAAGGTAACTCTAGAGGTGGTTATATATGTGATGTTTTGGAAAGATGAGATGGATTGATTTCCTTTCCTTTCCTTTGTTTCTTTTCTTTCTTTTCTTACTTTAGATACTATGTATTGTTAAGGGTAGGTTATTTTAAAATTAAAAAACAACACACAGTAGCTGCAGGAGCTAAAACAACAGCCAAATGTGAGAGGTGACGGTGGTGGTGGTGAAGTGGGGTAGGTTGTTCAATAAAACAAAGAGCAGTGACAAAAAATAGAACTCTGACCAATCATAAATTTAGATATCTAAAATTATAATTATATTATGCCAAACTTTTGAAGACAGAGTAAAAGTAGACTTGTGGAAGAAATTTTTTTTGAAAATCATGACGATGGTGACGGTGCTTAAAAATAACATATGACAAGAGGTTCCTCTCTAAAAATAATATGACAAGATGATATGTTGATGGTGATCCAACCAACTGACTGATATAATTATTATTGTAGACAATTATTATATCTATACTATAAATCTTGAGTAACCTAGTACGATCATCATTAATCAACCCGTACGTAAGCAAGCAAAAAGGGGGGTTCACAAAAGAGTTATAAATCTTTGTGTGTGTTGAGTGTAAAAGAAGAGATCAATCAACAACACTCTGTAATTCTGTCTAACTTTTGTTTATCTATCTTTTACTGTTAACAAATATCAGAGAATAGTGATAAACAAAAGAAATGAAAAGAAAGAGAAGAAAGGATCTGTCTTGAGCTCCACATGTGGTATGTAGATGATGATATTGACAAACTTACAATCAGATGATGATGATGATGATGATGATGGTAGCTCAATACTTCTAACTACTACCTTACCTAACTAACTAACTAACTATTGGGGGAAATATATATAATTAATTCTAAGCGAGAAAATCGACTGAGATAATGTCAATGGAAAAGTATTGGGAGAAGGGTATGATCATCACACCTTTGAGCAAGAAATCTGATCAGAGAGGCTGAAAAAAAAAAATTAGAAAAAAAAAAAAAAAAAAACAATCAAAAAGAGGAGGAGGACAACCCAACCCTTCCTTTCATCACCAACATACGATAATATTGATCACCTCTACCCTATGTTTCAAAGTACCTCGACATCCTCTCTTGCATTGTCATTATGAAGATGGATGGACAAGAGGGAGAAACAGAGTACTATTTGAACTGGACTTTAATTTGACCAACCATAGTTCCTTTCTTTTTGAAAAGATGGTGATGATCTAAAAGAAATCGAGGTGATCAAGAGTACCCGAACTTCAAAAAACGAATAAACCATGATTATTATTTGATTTTCATCAATTTAAATGATCTCAGTTCATTCATTCTTTTACTTTAATTAATTACTGTAGGATAACAAACATATAGACATTTCAAGATGCTATGAGTCATAGACGTCCACCCCCTCTATTTCCTGCTTATGCAAAGGGGTCTCCTCCTCCACCTCCACCTCCTCAATTAGCTTTACCTATTCAACCTCCTCCTCCTCCTACTCCACCCGTGGAAGATACAAGGAGTAGTTCCCTACCACCTCCTCCTCCACCCCCTTCTACCTCGTCAGATGATCATCTTCCACCACCACCACCTCCTCCTCCTCCACCTATAGAAGATCCAACAAATAGTAGTACTACTCTACATCCACCTCCACCTGTACCTCTTGATTATAAAAGGAAAACAGCAGCTGATTTCTTCTTTTCAACTGCTTCCTCTGCCTCTACTTCTTCATCTTCTTTATCTGAAGAACTACCTCCTCCTCCTCCACCACCACCTCCATCTGTACCTCTTGATCCAAAGGAAGCAGAAGAAAAAAGACTACTAGAAAGAAAAAAGAGAATAGAGCAAGCATTGATATCATATCAAAGAGATGCAAGTAGTAGTAGTGAAGAAGACGATACAAGTGATGACGATGATGAAAAGAAGAAGAAAAGAAAGAAAAAGGATAAAAAGAAGAGTAAAAAGAAACATAAAAAGTTAAAAGGGGAAGATACTAAATTGTAAGTACATTAAAAGTAGAGCAGTTTACACTCAACATACATATACTTACACATTATTTTGTACATTTAGATCTATATCATATTATGATGATAAGGGATATGTAACAGACTATAAAGGAGACAGATCATTATTGATCAATGATATGATACCAAAGGATAAGTTGGCATCCTACAAACAAGACCGTTCAAGTGTATTGGGTTTGGATGGATACTCGTTGGTGTTTAACAAACATAAAGGATTGGTTTTGGAACCAACCGATTCAATTGGTTATACAGGTCTAACAAGATATTGGTCAAAGTTACAAAATAACAACAACTCAAAGTCGTCGGTTGTATCAACCATCAAGATTACTCCATCCCTATTGTCAACCGATCCATTTACAAAGAATCAAGATTATATTGTATTTCCAAAAGATCAAAAGGATGATGATAATGCATTATTGGATGATAATAGTAATAGTAATTCAGATTTAGTTTTAAAAAGAAATGCAGAGTTGAATGAAATGGTTTCAAAGGATCCACACAATGTAAAGCTTTGGTTAGAGTTGGCTGAATTTCAAGACGAGTTTGATATCTTTAATTTCCTTGGTAGTCGTAGACAAAGGGCTGGTGTGGTGAGCAAGGCAAGACGTGCAATCATTGAGAAAAAGATTGCGATTCTGCGAAGGGCGTTGACTGAGAATCCGCAGTCTGAGCGCTTGACAATCGCCTATCTCCACACAGCTGCCAAGATTTGGGATCCAGAACAAATACTCCAATTGTGGCACCGAGTACTAGACGCACAGAGTGACGCGTTCTTAAAGTCACAGGACCGATCCAACACGACCGTCTTTTCAGAGACATTGTGGCGCGAGTACATTGACTTTGTTCAATCCTATTTCAAGGGATTCACAGTGACACACACGAGAACTATCTATCTCAACGCCATCAAACGAATGCTAGCTAAACGAAGATCACTCAAACCCAAGGAAAAGGGGTTCGACGAACAGGTTGGATTGGTCGAACGCGCCATACTTGTGATCGTGTCTCAATGGACTCGATTTGAACGACAGGCTGGATACAGCGAGCGCGCTATTGGCATCTACCAGTCACTGATCGAATTCAATCTATTCATGCCACACAAGCTATCAACACAGCCCCAGAACACCATCATAGCCAATTTTAAAACTTTTTGGGATAGTGATCAACCAAGAATCGGTGAAGTGGATGCTGTTGGTTGGAGCAATACCAAGTTGGACGCAGAGTTAGATAATATGACACTGGAAGAAATGGAGAAACTTTTAGCACAACAAGAGCAAGATGAACTAGACCAAGAAGAAAAAGAAAAAGAAAAGGAAAAACAACATTATAAAAAAGCATCCGACTTTTTCTTTGATCTTCCTCCTCGTTCACCAAAAGATATGGATATGAATCAAGAACAAGAAGAACAAGAACAACTCATAGAAGAAGAAAAAGAAAAAGAAAAAGAAGAAATTGAAATTGAAAATAGACAAATGGAATTGATTGAAATTAAACAAGAACAAGAACAACAAGAACAAATACAAGTAAAACAAGAAAAAGAAATTCAATCAAATAATAACAATAATAATATAAAGATAAAAGAGGAACAACAACAACAAGAGACGATATCGATAATAGAGAAATATGATGGACCATATTCAGAATGGATATATAAAGAAATGACCAAAGAATCAAAGGAATGGTTACCAAGTAAACTATTAGATGATGTTGAAATGGATGATGATGAAAAGAATCAATCAAAAGAAGAAGGAGATGATGATACAGAGAGAATAGTATTATTTAATGATATAAAGGATATTCTGTTTCGTATTGTCCGAGAAGATTATAAATTGGAATTGGTGTACCAGTTTTTAGATTTTCTTGGCGTTGCAAGAGACGAAACTGTACAAATGTCCATTCTACCTAGATATTCATTTGACAATCCTCTTCGTAGAGAATCTTCAAATTCAATTGAAGATAATCTATCATCTTTATTTTTAAATTTGGAACAGAAATCATCATCATCATCATCATCATCACAAGTTGAACCAACATGGTCAAAGGCATTTAATATATTTAATCCAATTAAATTATCAAATGATAAATTTGATTTTATAGAGTATGTAATATCATAATAATTTCACCATACCATTTCTAACATAATCATTTCACTTACTTTTATTAGGAGAATATTTAAACAAAGTTTAAATAGATTTAAAGGAAATATAGAATTAATGATTCATTATATTCAATTAAAGTCAACTAGGAATATAGATGAATCTATACAATTGTGTAAACAACTATTGGAACAAAATAGAAATGCTGTTATTCTTTATGACACCTATGCATCGTTGTTGTTGAAACAAGGTAAAATACAAGAATCTAAAAAGATCTATCAAACATCGTTGACTATTGTCAAATCACAAATCGACTCGCTTCAACCATCATCGACACCACCACTCCTCTTCAATGGTCAACCACAACAACAACAAAACCAAATGAAAAAGGATCTAGAGATTATTTATCGACAATATTGTCTTGTTGAAATGCAAATCATCTATAATACGGTTACAAATGATCCTAGTTTAGTTAAAAAATTCATCAAGGCTCGTAAACCATTTACTGAAATGTTTACATTACCCATTCACATTCTTTGTTGTTTTATTGAAAATCAATTCCAACCATTCTCTATTAAATCAACTCCCATTACATCAAGTAGATTATTAATTTGTCAAAAGGTAAATATATCAAATAGATAATAGATAATAGATAATACCAGTACTAGTTCTATTTTATTCTAATCATCATTTTTAATATCTATCTATCTATCTATTTATTTATATTTAGAATTTTGAAAGTCAATTTAAAGAATATTTTAATGATAATTCTTCTACTTTTATAGTATCAATTAATTTTATAATCAATTATTGTATATTTCAATTATTGACAAAAGATTTGGATAGTTGTTTAGAAATATTTAATCGATCGCTACCACTATTTAACAATAGTGACAATGACAATAGTAGGAGTAGAGAAGGATTAGTAATTTATTTGGTAGAGGTAATTACAAAGTATGGTCCTATTATTGGATCGGCACCTTTTAAAATCAAGAATACCATTTTTGGAGTATTGAATGATTACTATGATCATCCAATACTGTTGTCATCATTTTTGAATTGGGAGTCAAAGAGTGGAGTGATTAATAGAGCTCGTCAATACTTTGACCTCAAGACAGTGTCGACACCATCCACCACACTTTGGCTCTACTCTATCGAATGTGATAGACATCGTATTGGAGCAGGTACAAGAATCAAATCGATATTTGAACGTGCCATTGAATCCGACACTCAATCAAAACACTCTATTGTATTGTGGCGACTCTACATACTATTTGAATTCTATCGTAACCGTCATCGTGCCTCCAAATCACTCTACTATCGAGCCATCAGAGCATTACCTTGGGCCAAAACCATTTGGCAATTAGCATTTACAAAATTATCAAATCTATTCAATTTGAATGAATTAAATGATATCATTCAATTAATGAAAGAAAAGGAAATAAGATTAAGAATCACTACTACTACTATATCTCCAACTCAAACTCAAACTCAATAATTTATTAAATAAATAAATAAATCTCTCGAATATTTATTTATTTCCAAAGAGATTCATGCAAGATTTAGATAAATATATATTTAGATTTATATTTATTTATTGAAAGATTTATTTGTTTTGTTATTAGTGGGGGTAAATGCAAGTGTGACGGTTAGGAGGGTAAAAAAAAGGAGGGAAGACCATTGCCCCCTAACGTGGGGAAATGAGATTGAAGGTTTTGCCAAAGAAAGGATAACGGTTACACTGGTTCGTCATCATCAGTATCAAACATTGGAAATGAAAATATCTTGAAAGATTCACTATGATTTAATTGATTCTGTATTGTTTTCCAATCATTGTGTTCCCTCCTTTTTTGCATCAAAAGTTCCCTCCTTTTTTAAAGGAGTGATTTGAATTTTAATTGGTTTTTTTTTTTTTCTCAGCATCAACACTTCAGCTTTATAAATCCACCAAACAGCTAAGTTGTTTATTATTTAGTATTATCCATATAACTATATATAATATATCTCGACAATATGTCTTCAATCGACGATCTCATCAAAAAGTTTGCTACTGCCACCCTCTTTGAGGACCCATCCTTTGCTTCAAAGGTTGCCCTATCAGACGAAGAAAAGGCCAAAAAGGACGCCTCCCTATCTACCAAGAAGATGAAAGAGCACCTTTTGGAAAGATGCGAGTTCTACGGTCTCAAGGGTTTCCTCCGTACCCTCTCACTTGCCGAACTCAAGGAATTATACACCCCATTCGTTGAAAAGGATGAAAAGGTATGTACAATAATATATTATTATTAATATGACACCCAACCAAACCACTCCAAACTACACTAAAGTAGTTTGTTCAACGCTCAACAACCAACCCACACAAAGTTGAGACCCGTCTCAACACAACGAAAACAGTAATATATAATATTTGTATCAGAGATACTTACAAATGTTTTTTTTTTTTCCAACTATTTTTTTTTTTTTTTTTTTTTTGTTAATAGCCTTACGCAATGAGAATCAAGTACATCAAGAGACTTTCGACCAAGATTGCTGGTTTGACCATCTCCAAGTTCTTGACCAAGCACTGTAATGACAAGATTCTCGAAATCCTTGCCGAACATTGCACCACCCCAAAGGCCTCGTTAAAGACCAACTTGGTTGCCGAGCTCCGTGAAGGTGGTCTCAGATTGATCTTGTCCGACACTCCAAACGCCGTCCTCCAAAAGATGGTCGACGACCAAAACATCAACTTCCAATCCAACAACCAAGACCTCTTGATCGACACCTTGATGAGTGGCAAGGCCCCCAAGGAGATCAAGAAGAAGAAGAAGGAAGTCGTCATTGAGTTTGTGGACAAGAAGCCAAAGCTCGCCAAGGGCAAGAACCTCGGCTACCACGACATCTTCCAACACTACAATCTCGAAGAACTCGCCGATTATGCTCGTGACAAGAGAATCAAGGTCTCGGGTACCAAGCCAGAACTCATTCGTCGTATTCTCGCTTTCTGGGAGACCGGTGCTGATGGTTTCAAGCCAGAAAAGGTCAAGAAGGAGAAGAAGGAAGTCGAAAAGAAGGTCAAGAAGACCACCACTACCACCACTACCACCACCACCAAGGCTGCCACTCCAGACACTGAAGTCGCCGCACCCATCCAAGACGAAGAAGTCGAGTCTGACGAAGACTCCTCTGACGCCGAAGATGAGGAGCCAGATCAACAAGTCGAAGCCGATGACACTGACGACGAAGAGGTCGAAGTCACCCTCAAGAGTGTTGCCGCCAAGACTACCGAGACCCCAGTCACTCCAATCAAGAAGCAAACATCTGTCATCAAGACCAGCAAAAAGACCCGTGGAAAAACTACCCCAAAGTAAATCAATTTGACTAACAACAACAACAATATCATTATCCTCCCCAATATATTTATCAACTTAGACAATCATCAATCATAATCTTCTCCCTTCCATCCCAGTACTTATACAAACACTCTAACCCCTCACTTTCTATACATACAACGTCGTCATTCATTGTGTTTTAGATTGCAATGATATCTATATATTATTTTGTAAATCCTTCTTTTTCTTTAAAATACTTCAAACTTCATTGTTTGATGTATAATAAATAACAATAACAATTATTAAAAAAAAAAAAAAACCAATAATAATCATCATTCCCAAAATGGGTTTATTAATTTTTGTAACCGCAAAGATGAGGGGATGGATGTGAGGTTAGGTTGTCTCTTGTCCCTTGCAACAACTTTTTCGACTAACCATCATTAATTTGTCAAACAAGTAGAATAAGTAGAATAAGTAGAATAAGTAGAGATAGGATAGAGTAGATAGAGATATGAAATCAAGTTATGACGATTCCATCATGATGGTTGATGAGTCGTCTAGCAGTACGAGATTCAAAAGACATAGCACGAATAGTCATCATCATCACAATAATCAATTTAGTGATAGTCATTTCATTGATGATTGTAGTACTCAATTATTGTCATCATCTTCATCGTCGTCAATGTCATCATCATCATCATTATCAATGTCATTGTCAACGACATGTTATATCTATTCATTGCCAGTCGAGGTATTTGAGCAAGTTATGAAGAACTTTAGCTCAAAGGAAATCTGTATATATATGTCAAGTCTATCAAAGTTCTTCTATAGAGTATCACAATCAAATTCATTGTGGCATTACTATTGTGTAAAGGATTTTAAAATTAATTCAGGTAAACTATAGTAGTAGCAGTACCTGTACTTGGCTAGAAACAATTATATATTATACTAACCTTTCTATGTGAATCTGGTTATAGGTGTACAAAAATTATTTAAACAACAAATAGATTGGTATCGAGAGTACCATGTTTTATATCAAGCATTAAAGGATATTAGTTTATCACCTTTATATCTAAGTGATGACAATTCATTGAGAATTACAAATCATCATCAATTACAACAACAACAGCCAGATCAACAACAACCAATACAACAACAACAACCGGATCAACAACAACAACAACAACCACTTTACATACATAATCATCATTTAAATATTATACCACCACCTCCACCAAATCATCATGATTTACTTAAATCAAATATCAATACTCATCATCATCACAATTACAATAGTCACTCTCCTAATAGTAATACAATTATATTAAATACTAGGAAATCAAAACCAGATTCTACTCTTGTATGTTATCAATCATAATGATGCAGTGGAATGGAATGGACAATGATTGACGATTTTATTTATTATTTCTATTTCTAGTTTATTCAATCAAAGAAAAAAATAACACCATTACCATTTGGTAATTTTACTGTTGCCTATTTTGAAATAACATTATTGGCTGCTGGAATTGATCAAAATATATTTATTGGTTATTCCCTTTCTTGTGAACAATATGATAAGAAACAAGTTTTAAAGTATGTAAAGATATATATATATATATTGATGATGAGGGGCTATTTGGAATAACACTTTTTAAATTTATTTATTTATTTTTTTAGGACAAATGTTTCATTTCATGGAGGTGATGGAGGAATGTATTATACACCGGTGATGGGAAAGGAAATTAGTGAACCTTGGATGCGCAATGATACGGTTGGATGTGGTTATGATTTTTCACAAAAAGTTATCTTTTTCACAAAGAATGGAGTGTTGCTGGGCAAGTCATCGTTGCCAATCAGCATTACAAAGTTGTATGCTACTATTGGCACTATCTCTTATGGAGACAAATTTTCAATCAATTTTGGAGGAGATGGAGCTAAACGTTTTGAATATGATATAGTTCAATATCAACAAGAACATCAACAGCAACAGCAACAGCAGCAACAACAACAACAACAACAGATACCTACACCATCAGGTACCCATTTTATATATCCATTGTATAGTTTACAACAACAAATGCAAGAAAAGTTTTTGGTAGAGTATTTTGAGGACGAGTACTCCAAGTATCATGACGAAGAAATGAACAAGATTGCGACACCAATCAACAAGGAGATTGCGTATCTGTCGAATCTGGTCGATTTTGAGACTGACCGCATCATGAAGAACAAGATACACAAGTATTGTCATCAAATTGGACAGCAGATAAACGGAGGGTTTGCAATCCCACCCGAAGACCAGAATATTGCAGAGTTGCGTCGTGGGTTGGCTTGGTACTGGGTGGCGACCAAACAACACTATCTGCTGCTCTACTTTGCACGTGTGTCGGCTCAGTCGGCCGAGATTGATCTTAAGTACAGTCCGGCACGCGATCTCGACTTTTCGCACGCATCTGACGATATAGAGTACGCCGAGGAGATTGCCAAGCGCCGAATGGCCAAGGATATCGGTGTGTTGCTCTCTTCACAGTACGACATTTCACATCCGTTTGTGATGAGTGTCATACGACATGCGCGACAGACTCTTCGCCGTTTCAACCAAAACATGACGGCACAGGAGCGATCCATCTTTAACGACTTTGAGCAGATGTTGCAGGCGGCCGAGCAAGCCGACCAGCGCATGTTTCTCGCACTTTCACTCTCCATCATCACGCAAACCAAGGAAATCATCAAAAACACAAAATCAAGACAAGACAAACGTTTCCATTACTTTAAAAAGGAAAAGGAAATGAAACAAAGAGAATTAAAAGAATTGGAATCTTTTGGTTTTATAAATAATAACGAACAACAACAAGATAATAATAATAATAATAATAACGCAACTACTACTACGACTACTACTACACATGGTGGAAATAGGATCATTACAACTATATTTAATCAAATTAAATTTGAAGATTTTATTAAAGTATGGCAAGAGAAAATAGAGGAGCAAAGATTATCACAACAACAAGATGATGAAGAAAAGGTGACAAAGAGTGCAAAAGTAGAAAAACGATTGAATCTCTTAAAGAAGCAAAGCGATGCTCTAAGATTGGAAATTACATTACTCAATCAACAACAAGGAGGTGGTAGTGGTGGCGGTGCTGGTGTACCATTGTCTGACCATTGTATAGATATTATTGCTTGGACATCACTCCGTCTATCAAACAATATCAAGGAAATCTCTTCAATTGCAACATCAAAGAATGCAGTATTGGAAACATTGCAACAGGATCGCATACGTCTGGAGAATGAAATGAAAATACAATTCAACATTCTTTATCCATCTGCATCGGAAAGCAAGTTTAATCAATTTTACAATCCTCATCAAAAATACTATAGTAACAGTATGACAGAGTCGTCAAATAGTAGTAATAGTAATAACAATAACAACAACAGAGTAGATGATGAAGATGATGATGACGACGATGATGGTAATAGAGTTGGAGTACCACTCAATGATCTTGGAATCGAGATTCAAGAAGATATTGTCAGACCTTTGAAAAGAATGGCACGTGCACGAAATAATCGAAGGCTTGTTAAAACTCTTGCAATCAGTACTGTTGTTATATCTCTAGTGATTGTTATTATAATAACATTGACCATTCTATTGGTTTCAAAATAATAATAATTATATATATTATTTGTTTGTGACAAATAACAAAAAACAAATAAATATCCAACGATGATGATTCTTTTTTCTTTTTAATTCACTTAATATTGACTACTTTAAAGATTAGATATGAGAGAAACATACCTTTTTGTTTAAATCCAATTGGGGGATGCTCAACTTGACGATAAACTTTAGTTTTTGTCATGATGTAATAGGACTGCCAATATTGTTAACAATTGTAATAAGAGTCTACTACTATATCATGACAAAAACCAAGATATCAGCATCAATCCATCGTTTAAGCTTGTCTCTAAAACGTTTCCCATATTCGAAAGACTTGTAGACGTGTGGAGCTCTGATCTATGTGTTTGAACCTTATAAGTTGTTGTACTTTGCAACTTCAAAATAGAAATATATTGATGAGAAGACTTGTCTTGATGGTGATATATTAGTTTGATACCTTATTTATAAATGATTTAGTGAAAAAGTCGTTGTTTAACTGATAATGGTTGAGTTGCTATTGTTGTTGTTGTTGTTGGTGCGATGTGAAACATATTGATATGTCGTTTAAATTGTGTTGTACGGGTGAAAACTTCGATCTCTCTGTTGGCGAGTTACTTGGTACTGGTTGTTATCATCACCTGCATTATGATCATTTTGTGTTGAATTTGCGTTATATAGAAATGTAGGAAACGTGTTGGTAGGTTGTTCTACATTGTTCATATCGTTTGAATCGAATTGTTGTGAAACATAATTTGAAACATATGGTGATTGATAAATACTAGTGTGATTATTATCTTCCACAAACGGTAATCGGTTGATGATTGGTGTTGGGGTATCTATGTTGTTAAGGTTGAAGATGTTGTTCATTATTTTCTCTCTCTCTTAAAAAAAAAATTGGATGATATAGACTAAGACGAAAGTTGAACACCACCAGTGGCTAGCATGTTTATTTCAAAAAATTAGTTAAAAAACATTTTTTTTTATTTGTATTTATTTGTTGGCGGTATTTTTTTTTATCTTTATCTTGTTGTTGTTGTTGAGCTACTCTTTGAACAAGAGGCATGATTGTTTATCCAAAGGGACCACAACTCCTGTTGTAATGATGCTATGGAATTGAACCTTTAGAAATCCAGCTCGGCGGTACTGGTGCATGTCAGATGAGAATAGCTCTCTGACAATCACAATTTTTGTTTCAATAGATATGATTTCCCCTTGAGACACCAGATCGTTCTTTTCATATGAAGGACCATCATTTATATAAAAATAAATTACTTTGCCAAGTGAGAATTGCTCTCTGAGAATGGTGACCGAGGAGTACGACGTGTACGTTTGATTTCCATCGGCCTGAAGATTGTAATAATATGCCGTGGAGGCATCGGCAACTTTGACTGTCACCTTTCGACCATAGGTAGGTTGACTTGAGCATTTCATTGTCTCGGGGTTGGTCAATAAGATTAAATCTCTCATATATTTGACATATTCAAGTGAATATAATCGCAGGTACGATTTCTGGTTTGTTTGGCGCTTAATTACCTTGTCAATCTTGTAGTGGTTGCTTTCTGAGAAATAAAATATTTAGATTAATTAAATGTTTATAAATATTAATATTCATAATAGTGATACTCACCGTAGTTGTTAGAACTCCAGTGTATAGGGGGCCCATGTCTTCTTATCATGAGACCCCAATGGTTATTGTAGTGAAGATTAATTACATGATGGTTTTTGAACCCGTATAAGTATTCAAATTCATTTCCAAAATCCAAAATTAATTGTTCAATCGTTGAGATGTCTTTTTCGGTGATGGTTCTTTGACGTAACATAAAAAAATATCTAAATATATACAATGTTCATTAGTTTAGCTGTTTAAAAGAATATTTAATAAAATCACTTGTGCTTACCTGACATGAATCAATAAACACTTGTAGACACGTTGGTATCGAATGTTATCATGAGTTTTCATCCAGCCAAATATATAAAGAGAAAAGGTCATCAGTTTGAGCATTGTGTTTCCAGTGAAAGCATTTATCTCTAAATAAATAAAAGATTGTCAATGATTTATAATTATTATTATATATATTAAAATGTCAAATTTGCATACTTGATAGTTCTAAATTTCCTCCGATCTCGCTCTTGTAGTTATTAATTATTCCTTGGCAGTTTAAAACCTCTTCAGGTGTAATTTCTATAATAATATATTATTGAAGATTAGTAAATGAATTTTTGTACAATCAAAATTAATGATTATATATACCATCAACTATAAATAATAAATGACGCTTTGCCAGACCAATGAGCTGCGCATGGAGGAAATCTGGTGGACAATCAAGGAACATATTGAACTTGGGCAAATACAATAAAGGACCTTTGAATGTAGAATAAATAATAATAATAATTAGTAGATTTTATAGATGTACAGTTTATCTTTTAAAATAATATACATACTAGGACTATCTTTGAGACCCAAGTCAATCCCTCTTTGTTTCATTATTTCTCTTTGTGCCGGTTCAAGATTGTCTAGATGATGATTTTGAGTACCATTCGCATGTATCTCTCATGTCTCGTAATGGATGAGATTCTGATGAGGAATTCATTGTCTCTAGAGGACACAAACAATATCGACACGGAAGATACGAATTGTGGTTCGAAATCGACAACACCTCATGGGCACCAGGAGTGTCGAATATTCCTCTGGCAATATGGACATTTACTTTAATTACTTGACCTCTAGAATGAACAAGGGTGGTAATACCGTTGATCTAAAATTAAATTTGTTAATAAACAACATAAAAAAAACATAATTATACAATTAATTTTATATACATACTAATAAATCCTTCCAATGGGAGATTATTCTTTTCAAACAAAATTGAATGGGAAGCGCACCCTTTGGGAATATTGCTATCAAAATTTTTCTGGGCAGCTTCAATGTTGAGTTTATGATCCCCATATAGAAACCGTATTGAGATGCACCATTGGATCCAGTCATAAATGAATCTAGAAAAAATTCCAGAAATATGTGGCAACCATTTGTATCACCATTGACTATAGATGCCCATTTGTTGGTTGAATAAAAGTGGTTGTATGTTGTCTCACTTATGTGAACCCACATATCGTCTACATCTTTTTGGCTAGAAAATAATAATTAGAAAGTGTTAACCTAGTGTTCAATAAAGTATTTATATATAATGCCTACTTTAAAGACATAAATTGTGAATATTTGCTTCCAAGAATATCGGCCAAAACAGAATCTAATCTGGTCAAATAAATAAGAGGCTCCTGGGACATTGTGGTGATTTTCTTGTATCAAAATGAATAGTTAATATCAATGAAAAAAACTTAATGTAATGTATTTTAATATCTTACATCTTTTACTGCCGATTGGATGAAAGATTTATCCCTTTCTCTTAGGTTTTTTATCTTGTCAAAATCTATTGATCTTGCCAAAGACAAGATCTTCTCACCTATATCAAGAGATAGGTAATTATCATACAACAGGTTAAGATATTCATTTTCTGCATCTTATAAATTAAAAAAAGTTAGTATCTATAAAAGTTGTATATGTATAGATATTAATATACATACTAGAGACTGATGAGGCAAACGTCTCCCAGGAAGCCTCTTGGGAGGAACCAAGGGGTACGTATGCTCTGCGATCATCAATAAAAAAATAATAGTGATGGTTAGTTATTTGAAATAAAATTACGAGATTGGCCGCTCGTTCTAACTAATTACCCATTTGCTGCACTGGGGGGAAGAATCTCCTCAAGTGGGTATAATTCAAGAAGGTCTTGAAAAGTTGTGGTACTACTTTCTTCCGAGATATCATATCTCATTGCATTATTCAACCTAGTGTGTCTTCTTCTCCTTCTTGAGAACAACTTTAATGCTTCTTCATAATCATCATCTCCAACTAATTCTTTGATAAATTGTTTTAAAATTTCTAAAAGAGATAATAAGAATGTAATGAAATGTAATAGATATATAGGTTATTAATATTTTATTTTTTACTTTTTTTACGTAGATTAATGTCGAACCTGTTTTTGTTTATGTGAAAATAATTAAATTTACCTGAAACATGATTTTTATTGTGTTTTTCACTGGTTTTGTGGTTGTGACTTTTCATTGTCTGTTTCGAGACTTCAGCTCCACATTGGATACATACTCCATAGTGATCATAACCGTGATCGAAAATAGAATTTTGGTCAGTAAAAGTGAAGTTACACAGATCTCCATGATTTAGCGCTTTTTGGCAACGCATTATATATATATATATAAAAATAAATTCATAAGATTTCAATTTCAAAGATCAGTATTTATAATGATATTCCTTAGATTTAAATTAAAATAGCAACAGTCGGGACGAACTAGCTCAGGTCGCAACAAGATCAGCAACTGATCATGTCTCAAAAGGAAGGACCCTCGTCTGTTTTTTTGATCACGACATTTTTCATCTGCGGTATATGAGTGCTACATGTCGTATTAATAATGATCAGTTGCAGATCACATGGTTGTTACAATTTCTTTGTCATGAACTGAATTTTTTGTTGTCATGAGTTGATCATATCAAGAGGGTGACTTTATTTTTATGCTCCTGTGGTTGTTGTTTTATCGTTATTCAGAATCATTGAGAATGTCATTGCAATCTTTAACTCTACAATAGAGTATCACCCGGCTTTGAGAGTGTTCTAGATTTATCTTCAACTCCATCCATTGCTAGTCTTTAGAATTGCCAAATTGTTGGTTCTGATTTAGAGGGAGGGATGGATAGTTGTTGATGAAATGGAAATATTGAAAAAAAATAAGATACGAAAAAACATTTTTTAATATGTTTCTCGAGAGAAATCTGTCCTACTCTCAATCGGGGGATTGACCTTGCCGAGCTTAGGGTTTGAAAGTCCTATTAAAGAGATATCTCTTCTTGATATAGGAACCCTATTAATTCTACTATATATATATATATATAGACAAGACAAGAAATCAATATGGTAGAATCAACAGAGGCTGCAGTCTCGATTGAAAATGTATCTAGAGGGTATGGAAAGACAAAGGTCGTCGAGAATATGAGCCTTCATGTGAACAAAGGATCTATTGTTGCTTTATTAGGGCCATCCGGTTGTGGTTAGTATCTCTTGTATTGATACATCGACCAAACATTCTTACTAAATCTTACTATCTATACCTACCTACCTACGTTACGCCAACAGGAAAGACAACACTGTTAAAAATCATATTAGGAAGATTGATACCTGATTCAGGTAGAGTACTAGTGTTTGGAAAGGAACCACATAGTGCAGGACACACTGTACCAGGTTCCGATGTAGGTTATGCACCACAGGAAACTGCTCTATACGATGATTTGTCGATTGCAGAGACACTTCAATTCCACGCTACACTTCATGGCATGGACGATCAAACATTCAAAGAAAGAAAGGCTTGGATAATGACCTTTCTCGATCTACCACCTGAATCTCGTATCGTCGGAACACTATCTGGTGGACAAAAGAGAAGAGTATCTCTCTCGGTTGCATTATTACATGGTCCCAAAATGTTGATTCTAGATGAACCATCTGTTGGTATGTTATAGTGTAGACGTCTATAGATAGACAAGGTTTGATTTCATTGATTTTAATAGACAAAGATTCTTTTTAATATTACTTAGGTGTTGATCCATTGGTAAGATCAAAGATTTGGAATTATCTTCGTGAAATTGCCTTGTCTGGTGTGACTGTCATTGTTACAACACATTACATCGAAGAGGCAAGAATGGCCGATCGAGTGGCTTTTATGAGACATGGTAGTATCTTGGAAGAAGGTGTACCAGACAAATTAATGAGAAAATATAAACGTGATACATTGGAAGATGTATTTCTCTTGCTTTGCAAGTCAAGTGATCAATCAGTACTAAATCAAGACAACAACAATAATTCATACAACAATAATTTAGAAGCAACTACAAGTACTGATTTCTTTGATGTAATGGTATCCGATAACAATAACAAAGATAATAATAATAATAATAATTCAAAATCACCTGACAATAATAGTAATGGTTTAAATTCAGAAAATGAAGAAATTGGTAAGAAGATCCTTCAACAATCTAATCGACTATAATATAATATATACATTACTGATCCAATTTAATTTTCAAATATATAGAACCAATGTATTCAGTAAATGATAATTATGATTTAAATGAAAAGAGTTCATTGTTGAATCATAAAGACCAAAGAAATCAATTTACAAAGAATCTACAACAAGTAATGGCAATGGCCAAAAGAAAACTGACACAAATCTTTAGAAACAAGGTTGTATTGTCGTTTGAATTATTGTCACCAACCTTTCAAATTGTTCTATTCTTTATTTGTATTGGTTCAACTCCAAAGAATTTAAATTTTGCTGTAAGTCAAATGTTGAACAAATGTACATTATTATCATTCTCTTGGATACTAATAGAATACTATACTATATACTTATTTATATTTAGGTTGTAAATAATGATATAGGAATGGGAGCACCATTTAACCTTAATCTTGGAACACAATATATTTCATTCCTTTCTCAATCACCTTTATTTGAAATTAATTATTTTAATAATACAATTGATGCCGTAAACTCTATAAAGAATGGTTATAGTATGTTGACAGACAGACAGACCGACGAACAAATACAATCTACAAAGATTAATATCTACTAATATTTAATACTTTGTTTTTAAAGATTATGGAGCAATGATAATACCAGAAAATTTTACATCAACTTTACCTTTAAGATTCCAAGATCCAACAGACACAGCATTGGTTAATCAATCAAATATCAATTTATACTTGGATTACAGTAACTATCAGATTGTAGTATTGATTGAACAACAGATGCAATTGTCATTTGAAGCATTTGGTGAATCGTACAACATGAGTCTAAATCCAATCATTATGGAACCGCCAGTATATGGTACAACGAGCACCAATTTATTATCTTTCCTCGCTCCTGGTATGATATCGCTAATCATTTTTGCACACTCGATTGCCATCACTGCAGTCTCGTTTGTCAAGGAAAAGAGTGATGGATCACTCGATAGAATCTATGCAATTGGAGTAAACACCAAGATTATTATTGCTGGTCACTTTTTAGGACATATGGTACTGCTCATTGTTCAAACTACAGTTCTCATGTTGATCACTATATTTGGGTTCAAGGTTCCTATCCAAGGTGATCTTGCACTTGTAATTGCCATGATTATGCTACTTGGTTCGGTTGGTATGGGAATGGGACTTGTTATTAGTTCTGTCAGTACTCAAGAAACTGAAGCTATCCAACTCTCACTCGCCACATACTTCCCAACACTTCTCCTATCAGGTGTAATTGCTCCATTGGAATCGATTCCAAAATGGTTCATTTGGGCGTCCTATGGTTTACCAACCACTTGGGCTGCCAAAGTACTTCGTGATTTAATGATCAAAGGTTCTTCCTTTGTTTATCGTGATGTTTGGAAAGTATGTATATCAACACCAACTAAATAATAATAATAATAATAATAATTAACCTATCCATCCATCTTTAATATTTTATTTATTTATTTCTATAGGGATTTTTAATTGTAATTTCATGGGCAATCTTTGTACTTACACTAAGTACATTTTTAATGAAATCGAAACAATCAAATTCTTCATGGTTTAAAAAGAAATCCAATTAAATTAAATTAAAATAATTATCCGATCAATCAATCACAATCAAACAACAACAACAACAACAACACATAACCAATAAACTATTAAGAAGAAAAATGTAATGTTAAAAATCATCGTCACTATTGTCATCACTATTATCATCATTGCCAAATCTCCATTTAAAGTATGGTTGAAGATGAATAACAACACACAAAAAAATATGATGAGGTTGGTTTTTTCTTTTTTCGAACTGTTTTGTTTTTTTGCTCATCATTGTAACAGATAAAGAATATATCTATCTGTAGTAAACAAGGTTCAAATAGATCGATTGACAGTACCAAATTCATTAACAACAACGATGTAGCTACCATAGTTGTACGCGTCTTGAGGTGAACATGCATTCAGATACGTCAATACTAATGGTCAGATCGGCAGCACAAGAGTATCAGCTGCAATATTGGTGTGGTTATTATTATTATTATTATCACGAATGTGGCTGGCTTGGGTGACTTGGTGTTGCACTTTCCTATTTCCTCACTCTTGGTTTTATTAGGAGATTTATAAAATATTATACCCCCACCACACAAACATTTATATATTTAAAATTTTTTTTAAATTTAAATATATTTATACTTTCTAACGGACTTTGGATTACGCTGCCCAACCCACTCCCGCTTGCACTCACTATATATAGAAACTGCATTCAAATTTATTTCTTTTATGAAACTTGTTTCAAAAATCGTATGATATATACAAATAATTTATTCTCTCTCTGTCTCTCTCTCTCTTTGCTATCTATCCTCTGTCTCTCTCGCTCTCTCTCTATACTATATTAACATTTAAATTAATCTTTATTTTCTACCATCTTTTATAGCCTTTACAACACTCAATCAATACCAATCAACAATTAAATTTAAATCCATTTTAATCTACTCTCAAATTTATTATGCACTCTTTAATCATTATCATCTTTATTTTGTCAATCTTTGTTTCGTTTGTTGTTTCTCATAACAACAACGATTATGGTGTTGTTTACAACACATCATCATCATCATCTTTATTCTCATCGTTCAACCATCATGTTGAACTTCAATCAATTAGCATCAACGATCATTATGTTTACCATAACACCTCATCTTTCAACCATGTTGAACTTCAACCAATTCCAATCATTTCCATTGCTCATAAAAATAATAAATCCTATTCATTTATTCACCCATTATCCATTAATAATTCAAGTGATATTATTGTGTCTCAATGTCAATCACAACCATTACCATTACCATTACCATTAATTTCAAATTACTCAACAACCAACCTTATTCTTTTAGAAGAAAAGGAGAAGACTGTTCAATTGAACAGCAGCACCAATACAATTTCAAACACTTGTTTAGACAATAATCCAATAATTTGTTTTCCATCCATGTCCTCTGACATAATAATTCAATATAATGATGAACATTCATTCAACATTTCAATCATTAATAATAATAATATTAAAAACAACAATAATAATAATAATAAATCAGTCTCATTTATTCACTCATTATTCATGTACATTCAATTTAATTCAAGTGATGTTTCGATTCATTTTCAATTACCACCATTACTCTTAAATCATTCATCACCCAACCATTTTCTTTTAGCGGAAGAGGAGGAGAAGAAGGAGGTGTCATTTCAATTAAACAACACAATCATATTCTCATTGTTCAACCATGTTGAACATCAATCAAATACTATCAATAATAATAATATTTCTTTCCATCAATCAACCATTTTATATTATAATAATAATAATAATTTATCATTTAATTCATCAATGTTAACTCCTTTTAGTTTAAATGTTTTGTCTCAATCTCATTTTCAATTACCATTGAATCATTCAACAACCAACAACCACATTCATTTAGAGGAGGAAGAAGATTATGTTCAATTGAACAGAACCACAAATACAATCCCATGTTTTGAACATCAACCAATTCCAATCATTTCCATTCACTCATCCATGTCACCCATTCCATTAAACTCTAGTGATGTTTTGTTCAATATTAATTTAGATCAGGAGGTGAGCAGCAGTACAATCTCAGTTTCATATTTCAACCAACCAATTCCCAATAATAATAATAATAATATTTCATTCTTCAATGACCATCAATCATTGATTCCATGTTTTAATTCAAGTGTCATTTTCACAGATTGTCAATCATCATTACCACAATTAATCTTAAATCATTCAACAACCAACCACCACATTCTTTTAGAAGAGGAGGAGGAGGAGTCTGTTCAGTTGTCGTGTTTCAGCCATGATATAAACCATTCATCAGTTCTTATCGATAATCAATCAAATAATAATAATAATAATTATTTTTCATTAGTTTATTCATTATCCATTTCACCTAATCATTTCAACACATCCACATCATCAAACACATCATATATATCAAACACAATCAAATCAACAAGATCAATTGCAAGCCCATTTAAATCAAGACATTCCAACATTTCAAAATTAAAAAACAAAGCAGTAACAAACTCTTTCAATTTGATTCAATTTACTCACTCTTCTTTTAATTCTATAGATACTTTTACACTTGCCAGCAATCATTCTCTCAACTTCTTTGGCTCCATTCATCCAACAATAATTCAACAATCATCACCAATCAACAATCATACAATCCTTACCAATCCATCCCCTCATTCACCAATCAATCATTTAATCAACCCACTCTCCACAATCATCACCAACCAACAATCTTACAATCCTCACCAATCGATCCACAATCCTCAAATCATCATCCGACAATCTTCAATTAATAATAATTATAATAATAATAATATTAACTCTTCCATAGACAAACAACCCCTTTATTGTTCACCAACCAATAATAATCATAATAACCCACAGTCATTAAATAATACAAACAATATTAACATTAAATTTTGTTTTTATTATTGTTATTATTAATATTGTTTTTTTAATATTTTTTGTTTGATTGTTGGTTGAGATGAATGTTTCAACAACTCATCATCATCATCATTCTCATGTTTCAACCATCCACAATCCATATTCACCAATCAATATACTCACCACAACCACCCATCAATCATATATTGATCTCCAATCAATCCACAATATAAACAATTGTCCAACCAATAATACAAACAACATTAATAATAACAAGAATACATTTGATAATAACAATTTAAATAATAATAATAACAACAACACAAGACCAACAAATAATAATAATAACAACAATTATTCCTTTTACATAGACAGACAACCCTCACCAACAAATAATTATAACATTTCATTTACAACAAATAATAATAATCATAATATCACAACAAACAATAATAATACAAACAACAATAACAATAAATAATAACAAGACACCCTCTTCAATGTACAAACAACCCCCATCATTGTTCACCAACAAATAACAACATTACAATTACAACAAAGAATAATCATAATAACATTACCAATCACTCCAATCCACAATCCTCATTCATTCATTCATCACCAATCCTCTAGTCAGTCGCCCGTCCCAAATCCAGTGATCAAGAGTACCAGTTTCCAAGCAACAATTACCACCATTCGTAGACCAACATAATAATTAACTCTGTATCAAATGTTGATAATTAAAATTAAATTTACTTACTCTTTTTCTTTTTATTTTATAGGTACACTAATCATTATTCTCTTCAACTCTTTTGGTAATAACAACATCTTATTACAATAACTAATAATAATACAACAACAATAATAACAACAATATTAATAATAATTTCAACAACCTACAACACTCACTAATTATAATAATAATGATAATAATAATAATTTCAACCAACAACAATAACTAATAATTATAATATTAATAATAATTACAACAACAACAAGCAATTACAATCCTCTTCTTTTCTAAAAAAAAGATATTCAATTACTTTTACCCAAGTGGTTTCCCTCTCTTCCTACTCTTTTCTTTTTATACATTTTCCGTTGCCTCGTCCGTGTCCATCATCGTCCATCCATGTTCCACGTTTCCCTAGGCTTTTATACCCAAAAAAGATATTCAATTACTTTTACCCAAGTGGTTTCCTTTACAAAAAGATATTCAATTACTTTTACCCAGAGGGTTTCCCAGGTTCGCCCCCGTGTAAGTCGATTTTCTTCGCATTGGGGGGCTTTTTTTTTTTTTTGGACTGTTCCCATGGTCTAAACAACCATGGGAACAACCAAAACTATATTTTTCTATTTCTTGCTTTCTCTCTTTTCTCTCTTTTTATTTATTATTTTTTATTAATTAATTAATTCTTTTACCCGCCAAATCAATATTATTTTTCTGATGAATTTAAAATTAATTAATTCATCATCAGAATTGTAATAATTATTTGTAACAAATATTTGTGACACTACAACTATAGCAATATGTGTCTTTATAGAGGTGTGCATCCAAAGATGCTTTATGGGTTTGTAAATTAAATTTATTAAAATTAAAACTTTATAATAAAATAAAATAAAAAAGCAACCACACCCACTTGAATAACTCTGACTTTTTGATCAGACCATTTATTATTTTATTTTTCTTGTATTTATAAAAATAATTACTGACTTGTTACTCACATCATATCAATATATATTCATACATTATCTAAAGATAGAGATAGATATACTAGATGATGTAATATGATATGTGAGTATTGGAATTCTATAAAGACAAACACAAAAAGAAATAATAATATTGATTTAAATTTATATTATTTTAGAGGACATCAGCAATGTACTATATTTGATACAAGATTAAGGGTGGAATTGTAAATAGTGGATCCTCTGTCTACCATCCTCCACCATCCATCTATCCATCAATCTCAGCCACCATTGCACATAACCAACCAACCTCCATTGTCCGCCCCACCATAAAGTGGAAAATCAAGAATGATGGATCAATTAAAATAGAATCACAAAAGTACAACTTTAAATATGATGATATTATTTTACTGACATCAGCAATGGACTAAAGTTGATACAGTACATGATAGATGTGGGTTTTTATTATAATGATTGTTTATTACAAAGAAACCAATAAAAATATAAAGATATTTTAAAATATAATTAAATCTAAGACTTCTATTTCTATTTCTATCCAGCATCCTCAATCCTCATCTATCCTCTATCCATCCTCTATCCATCCATCCTCTATCCATCCATCCATCCTCTATCCACCTATCCACCATCCATCCATCTACCATCCATCCACCATCCATCCATCCATCCTCCGCCATACATCCATCCTCTGTCCACCCACCATCCATCCTCTATCCATCCATCCTCTATCCATCTATCCATCCATCCTCCATCCATCATCTATTATCCATCATCTGTTGTCTATCATCCAATCAATGAGGGACTGGTTTTATGAAAAAATTGCAATGAGTCTTAATAATTGACAAAATCCAATTAACTAAGAGGAGAGAATCAATTATTAATTGATATTATTGTTATTATTTTAATTTTTTAATTTATTTCTTTTTTTTGTTATAATTATTAATAATATTATTAATTTTTAGATAAATGGAGGAACATCTTTTAAAAATGGGTGATTAATACATTCTTTTGCGGTTGCTCTTTTTTCAGTATTATAATTTAACATTGGTAAGAGGAATGATTCAAATTGTTTGGCTTCTTCTTGTGTAAACTTGTACTTTTCCGTAAATACGTTGAATAGTGGCCACTGATCCGAGAGTTTGGAGATGTTTCTCAACTCGCCCTTGTGGTTGAAATAGGTCTTTGACTTGATGCCATAGTGGGTGACAGACTTGGGGAGACGACCGAGCAACTCGATCATCAATGCCAAGTGGTCGTCAGACTTGTCAAAGTTCTTGCCAGACTTTGGCTTGAAGAGATGGTCGCCAGTGGCCAATTCAAAGGCCATGCAGGCGGCACTCCAAATATCGACAGGAGTAGACCATTTTGCACGGACGATTGCCTCTGGTGAACGGTATTGACGTGTTTGAATGTCGTCTGTGAAATGCTTCTCGATCCAACATGCATTGCCCAAATCCACTATTTGAACCTTTGGATAATGCGCCTTGCCAAATGATTCGATTGGTTGTTTGGATACTGGATCCCTAAATATCTTTTCGTAAAACATATTTCCATTTGAATGAATCTTTTCAATTGTCTCTCCTTCTTCTCCTCCTTCTCCCTCTCCTTCTCCTCCTTCCTTTTTCTCCGCTGCCGCTGCCTTTGACTCTGCAAGTGCCTTTTGTTCCAATTCAAGAGCTGTTGGTCTTTTCTTTTTCAAATCCTCTTCTGATCTTTGACGTGATGGTTGTAAAGATTTTTGTCTTTCATCTCTACTACCTTCTTCTTTTCCATTCGTATTGTTGTTGTTGTTATCTTTCTTTTCATCATCTCCTCCTCTATGACGGTGAGGTGTAGAGGTGGTGGAATGGGTATGTGGTTCTTTAAAGAACCCGTATTGTTGACCCCAGGTGAAATCAGTGTACAGCATGTCATTGAACTTGTCGTTGAGCAGAACGTTTTCTGGCTTGAGATCAGTGTGGATGATGCGACACTGGCTGTGTAGATCCTCGAGTCCGACCAACACTTGCTTGATGATGCATTTGACGAGACGGAGAGGAATGCCGCGGTAACGGTAATGCTTGATGAGGTCGAGTAGATTGTTTCCCAAAACATCAAACACCATACACACATGCTTTCCGTGTGGTCCGCGATGAACAAAGTGGTCGAGCAAGACGGCGACGCAACGGGATGTCTTGGCTGCCGACAACAGCTTGATCTCATCCTCGGCCGTCTCGGTGTAGCTCTTGGCACTACGCACAATCTTGAGTGCTACCTGTCTCTTGGTGTCGCGGTCAACACACAACCACACCGTCGAGAAGTGTCCCCAGCCGAGCTTGTCCACAATCACATAACGTCCATTGTACACCTCGTCCTTGCGTACTGGGTGGTATCCTCCCACCTTGTAGTCTGAGATGCCTTCGTCATCCGAATCGCTCACCGGAATAAAACTGGCTATATAGTTGCTTGAACCAGTCGACGATATCGACGATGACGACGATGCCAACGGTAACTGTCCCGCATTTGCCTTGTCCTGTTGCTGCTTCTTCTTTTTGTTGTTCTTTTTTGATGCTGTCGATGAAGTCGACGATGTCAATCCAGTGCCCGACGATCCTCCCAATGTCGTATTGAATATGGTTGTTGTTGATGTCAAAGGTGTAGATGTTGACGTTGACGATGTTGATGGTGCTGCTGCTGTTGCTGTTGCTGCCGATGGTACTCCTCCAAGTGTTGTCATGATAACTTCCTCTCTCTCTCTCTTTTTTGATAGATTAATAATGATCAGATAGAACAAAAACTAACCTTCATAAACAACATAAAAACATTATTGATGTGACTTCTCACCGAAAAAAAAAGAAAACAAATTCAAAAAAATTGTGAGCTGTATCTCTCTCTCTCTATCTATCCTTCCCTCTCTTTTATTTTATTTAGTCTCTCGCTTCAATATCCCCTTTTTCTTTCTCTTGTTGATTATGTATCTCTAATAAACAGATAAGTTAACGTAATCGTAATGATTCGGTTTCGGTTGGTAGTTCTAGAATTTTGGATGGGATTGATTGGTCGAAGGTTTGATGGGATACGCATCATCAAAAGTGTGTCTCGTTATATCTTTAAGATTTTCGAACTTTTTAACAGATGAATGAACGAATGAAACAAGTTGGAAATATCGCGCAAACCTTGAGAAGCACTTCAAAGAAGTGAGAAGGTGTCGTAGCGACAGACCAACTGATCAGGGGGGATACACCGCCTTTGACCGGACCAATTTCAAAGCCATCGCGCCTTGAAACAAAAAAAAATTAAAAAAACTCAATTGATGATGTAACAAGCGCCGCTCTCCCTGTTTTTAACAAGATTGTTGTTGTAGTACTAATAATAATAATAAAACACCCCCTAAAGTAAATGTTTTGTTTTGTTTTATATGAATTAATGAAAAAGAGATAGATAGATAGATAAACATACATACACCTCACTCACACAATAATTTAGAAAAAGTGAGTGTCACACTACCCAAACAGCACCCACACCACCTCATCACAATCTAATTCGGGGTAGAAAAAAAAAAAAAAAAAAGGCAGTAAACCACAAACTTATTTTCGTCAAGGAATACACAACAAGCAAACAAACAAATAATCTTCATCTCACTCACTCACTCACTCACTCATCACCTATTGTACATAATTTATTCAGTGTGTTTTAAAAGAGAGAGAGAGAGAGAAAGAATTTGAAGAGAATTAGAAGAATCGTTTAAAATTGATAATGTAAAGTATATTCTACAATAAAGAGCAGCAGCAGCAGTACCAATACCACCACACATAGTCGATTCTATGCATAGTCGACTCCCTCTACCCTCTATCTTTTACACCACTCTTTCTTTCTTTGCGCATTCTCCTTCTCCTCCTCCCCAACAAAACAAACGCACAAAAATAACTTTCTCCCTCAAAAATATCTTGTTTTTTCTGTCTGCTCCTGCAGTATATTAATTTTTACCCTTTATTGTTGTTTATTACATCATTATATAGTTTCATTGTAGTATATAGTAGTAGTAGAATCAGTCAAAAGAGTCAGCAGTCAGTCAATAAAAGACAGACAACCAGGTGATTGCTTAATCGTAGGGAAGTTGTTGGAAATAGAGCGCGTGGTGTTATTCGATGTCAGATAATAGTAAACACTCAACACCAATAGAATTAGTAACAGTAACCGTACATAGACCAGCGAAACAACAAATCAATCTTCGTCAAAGCACCAAAAACACACCACAACCCATCACATCGTCGCAATCTAGGTCTACCGGATCACTGATCAACGTCGACAACAACAACAACTATTGGAAGGAGGAAGCATTGAAATGGGAGCAGATTGCTAACACCTATTTAGAAGAATTGACCTATTTAAAAGCAAAACTTGCAAAGATTGGAAACAACACAAATAACTCGTAAATATCCCCGACACTTTGATAGTTGACTACTACTACTTAATAATTGAATTTATCTAACCAAACCTCTCTCATTTTTTTTTTTCAATCAACTTATCAATTAATCAACTGATCAATTAATCATGTGTCATTGCATCATTATTATTTAATATTAATATTAATTTCATTGTTGTTATAAATATAATGAATGATGGAAATCATATATTGGTAGATTATCAAACAACATTAATAATCAACAACAACAACAACAACAAGAACTAGAACAAGAAAATAATTCATCTTTATCATCTTTATCATCTTTGACAAGTTTATCATCTTTTAATAATTCATCATCAAATACATCACCAATATTAACATCTCAAAAACCTTCATCATCAACATCATCATCATCATTATCAACATCATCATCAAATCCAATTTCAATTGGTACTGCAAATAATATTCGACAATCAACCTCTTCATCAAATTTATCAAATTTTACTAATAATAATAATAATAATAATTTCAATATGTCATCACCAACAAATCAATCAGATTCATCTGTATTATCAACATCAGCCAAGAAAAAGAAATGGTTTGTAAAGTTTTTAGATGGTAAAAAAGACAAGAAAGATTCAAACAATAATAATACTATAAAGGACTCGACCGATGTGTCTAATAATGGTGGTATTGACCAATCATCTGGATTTGAATATAACGAACGAGGTCTTTCGACACAATACCATCATCTACCCAAACTCCAAGTTGTACCATTAAAATGCCGTGGCAGTCGTTTGACGTATGCCAAATTCACCGGACCCGACTATAGTCCACCAGCCGAACCAAACCCCGTGTCGGGTGCACCCAAGACCGTGTACGAAGCCACCTACTCGGACTCTATCTACGCCATCTCGACCAGCACATACCCCTACAGCAAAGGCAATCTGGGACGGGACGGCGACCCCATCGCCGATCGATACAACTGTGTAATATTTGAAAATAGACTGATCGCCTGTCTGGCCGACGGTTGCAACTGGGGTGCGCGACCAAAAGAGGCGGCTATGAAGGCGTCAGAGGCCTTTCTCGACTACATGGTCGCCAAGAACGACCAAATAACCGATGTTAAAGAGGCTGGCAAGATCTTGTTTGGTGCCTTTGAGCAGGCGCACATCTCGATCATGAAGGGCAAGGACGAGTACTGGGAGGCGGGAACAACAACTTTGCTTGGTGGTGTTTTGTGCCAAATCAACAAGGGCCAGGACAAGTGGAGTCCCGAGTGGGAGTTTGTGTTGGCTAGCGTCGGCGATTGCAAGGCGTACGTCTTGTCGGGCGGCGAAGTATGTGATATCACCGAGGGTAACCGTATGTCTCTCGACCCCAAGGATTGTGGTGGTCGTCTCGGTCCACACCTCGAGGAAGGCAAGCCCGATTTGCGTAACCTCAACATCTTTTGTGCATCGGTCAACACGGGCGATCTCATCATCCTCACCACCGACGGTATTTACGATAACCTCGACCCTCTACACCTAGGAAAGACGCCGCAAGACATGTCCAAGGTGTTTAACCTCACCGGCTCCAAGTGGGCCGACGTCGACCTCACTAAAGCCTTCCAGGCCAAGACCGCCTTCACCACCTCGTTCCTCGAATCCATTCTCACCGACCTCGACGAGCCCTCCAAGATTGCCAACCGTCTCATCCAGCATTGCTGGAACACGACCGAGTCGTCGCGCGATTTTCTCGAAAATAACCCTGGCAAGCGTCTGCCCCAAGACTACAACAAATACCCGGGCAAGATGGACCACACCACCTGCATCTGTTTCCGTGTCGGCGAGTTTGACCTCGACGAACCTTTCCAGCAACAACAACAGCAACAAATGAGCCAGCAGCTGGGGTCCACGCCTCCAGGCGATGAGTTGCTCAACTTTTCACCACCAAACTCTGTCTTTTCAACATCACCCAACCATGTGTCTAACCAGTCACAGTTCACAACCACCGGTCAGCCAAAGGCTTTCCGCGACGGTCTCCTCTCATCCAATGGAAAGGATTGGGTCAAAACGTCACCATCCACAAAGCTAGGTGGCTCCCTTTCCAATCTCAGTTCACAGGGCCTGTTGTCCAACACAAAGAGTGGCAGCTCGTCTTTTAATCTTTTAGATAATATAACTGGTTCTTCTCCTGTCGACCCACCAATTGTTTTGGCAGGTTTCAAACCAACAGATTCTGACAAGGCATCTTGTTCTGTACCTATCACATCAAATATTAATAATAATAATAGTAATAATAATAGTAATAATAATAATTTATCAACCCCTACACCTTCATCCTCTCAATCCACACCTTTAGATCTCAGTCCAAGAACTAGCGATTAAAATAATATTTATATATATAAAATAAAATTAAAACAAAAAAAAAAATTAAAAATCAAATCAACACTCAGATCACAAAAACCATTGGTATTTGATTGATTGGCATCACATCTTTACTTTTTTGTGTGTGAACAGGTGTTGACAACAACAACAACAACAACAATTTATAAATAGGTACAAAGAGGGGCTCATAGCACCCAAAATAAGAGAGAATTGTAAATAGAGTGAACCATCCCAAACATGTCAACAATTTACATGTATGGAGGGAGAAGAGTATCACGTTGTGTGTATGGGCGGGCTCCTTTCCCGCTATATATCCGTGTCTGTCTCTTTGATTTCAAAAGGTTCATTGCCATGTCATGGATTGGTCGAGCAAAGGGCCACCCCCACAAAACAGTGAGTTGAAGATCGCCAAAACAAATCCCCTTTGCGAGCATTTAGCGATAAAACTTACACCCGTGGCCTACCAATTTTGCCTCTGCCATTTTGATGCCCCTCTATGGCCTTGGCACCCCTCGACCAATTTGTGGTGGCGCAAACTCACAACTTTCTTGGGTGGTTATGATCTCCAATTTTCAACCCTCACAGTCTATCAATATCAGAAACATTCGCTTGTTCATTGTCATAATGCCAATGGTGATCACTCCCATTTTAACCCCCCTTTGCTCGCACTGATGTGGGGTATTTACACCAATGTGTTTGCTTTTGATAAAGAATCCTATAGGGATGATCCGTTCGAGAGAGGGAGAGAGATGTGGATGTGGAGGTAGTAACCAAGAGTATGTTAGATGTTTGTTGCAACGGTGTTATTGTCATCAAAATCATCATCGCTTCCACCACACTCCTTAAGAATTTTGTTATTTATTTAATTTTCTACATTATAAATAATTCACATCCTTCATTCCATATTAACATTTCATTACATCACATCAAACCAAAATCATTTGTTCAATTCGCTCTCTATTCATTTCATCTTATCGAAATCTTTCAATCGGTCTATTGATTATCTCGTTTACATCCTCTTCTCGATCACCCATCTCATTTTTCACTCTTCACACCCAAATCAAGATTTTGTACACTTTAAATAATTTGGTTTTAATTCATTACAAACACATTCAAACAAATAGGATAATAATAATAATATTAAAGTTATAAAATGTATATTTTATATTCAATTATCTTTTTAGGAGTATTCCTATCATTTTTCAATTATCGTAAAAGATCAGCCAAGGTTGACCAATGGAAGGTTAAATTGACAAAGTTGGATTTAAGCAAGCCAGAGGATATTGATGTCGGGATCAACTACATCTCTACCATTGATTTTCCATTTGAATTATTTATTTCTACAAACTTGGCCTTTTACAGAACTTTTTGTTCTCCAACCATCTCAAATGTCTACTACAAAACTGGTACCATAGAGAAAACACCAGACAAAAGAGTTAATGATACCGATTTATTAATGTTTACTTGGAGTAAGTATGAAATTAAACCATCAAATATATTATAAATAATATAAAACTTACTCTTTCATTTTATTCTTTTATTTTTTAGTGGAACATGGATTAGATAGTGAATTAGGTAAATCATCATATGAACAATTAAACAAGATTCATGGATTACATTCATCTAGAACTAGAAATGTTGATTTTATTTTTGTTTTGTGTTGTTTGACCATCGATGCTATTCAATTTTGTAATGATTTTGGATGTCGTTCTCTCGAAGAAAAGGAAAAGCAAATTGTATGGGAATTCTACCGTCGTGTTGGTGTAAGAATGAACCTTGCCGACATTCCAGTTACTCTTGAAAAATGCCATCAATTTGTTGAAGACTACACCCAAGATGATCGTCAATCTAGAGTCACTCAAGATGGAAAGGTCCTCACCCAAGCAATGACCGATCTTGTTGTTCGTTGGTACAACTTTATCCCATCGACTATTGTCAAGATGGGTATTTCAGTTGTTCTCCATTACATGTCACCAGTTTTCCATCGTAAATTGGATCTTCCAACTCCATCGGCCACCGAAATCACTTTTATCAAGGTTTTGCTCAAACTTCGTAGAGCTGCCATTCAAATTCTTCCACCACGTTCCACTCCACACCATCTATCAAGCAAACTTCTCGATCAAGACTATGGTTGTCCAATGTCAAAACATGTCTTTTCAAAGGTTGGTCCAATTGATATGATTTCTAAATTCTAATCCAAATTAAATAAAAAATAATACTATCAAATGATTGATTAATCTTTTGTTTTTAATAAATAAATCAAAAAGAAATATATTCTTTCTTTTTTAAGATTTTTTATTATTGGGAGAAGGTCGATGGCGTATTGGAGATGAAGATTCCGATTTGGAGAGTCTTTTATCTCTCCTTTCTTTAAATCTGTTTCTAAGATTCGTTACAAATGCGTCTTCTTCTTGGTTGTTGGGTTGTTGTTGATGTTGAGGGTTTTGTTGAAGGTTTTGTTGGAAAAGGTGTTGATTCAAAGCAAACTCTAAATCTTCAGAAGAAGAGGTAGAATCATCGGATTCTATCAATTGGTTGCCTTGTTCGTGTTGTTGTTGCTGTGGATCTGGTATTCCATGTACATCAGAGAATAAGATATTATCAGAGAATTGACCAATATGAGAGTTTGATGACGAGAGGTTGGAAGATGATGAGATGGATGATGAAGTTGGTGAAAAGTGATTCGGATCAACAACAGCCGTCGTAGGGGAATTAGGAGAAAATATATCTTGGTTGGCAAAATCGAGGTGATCATTTTCATCACCATAGATTGAATAGAATTTTAAGATATCCTTATTTCTTTGTAATTCATTTTCTTGTTCTTCAATTGTTTTTTTCAACTAAAATAAAAAAATATCATATTAATCATTAATTATGATTAAAAATTGATCAATTTTGGTAGTTAAAACTTACATTGACAACAATGGCATCATTTCTAAATAATATATTAAATTTAGGCATACATAACAATATGGATGTTGATAATGCAAAAACAAAAATAACAGAACCAACAATGATTGTAGAGGCATTTGGGTTTTGAGGAAATGAGAATCGTAGTGGTATAATAATAATTAATAAAATTAATCCATTATATAACTTTAGAGTATAAATAATAAATTAAATATGTGTTAATAATAATAATATTTATATATTTATATGTATGTAATATATTTACCATTATACCAATTACATTTGGCTCATGAAAAGTGCCTTGTCGAGTTTTGTATTTTCTAAATTTAATTGCCATAACAGATCCAACAAGACATATAGCTACCAAATAGATATAGATTAAAATTAAATAGATATTATCACTATTTCCACATGTGTATGCTACTTTTGAATTGTTAAGATCATAAACATATCTTGGTTTCAAATTATGAATAAATATACTAATAAATGCTATTATCTAAAAAAACAAAAAAAAAATTAGTCAATCTAATTTATCGTTAATTCATTTTAATACCTACACCAGTTGGTATAATAGCAAAAGCAGTTCTAATAATAAAATATCTAGTGTCAATTAGAGATGCTCTATGAGATACTGCCAATTCTTTCTTGTCTTTAAAAATTCTATACTGTTTCACAAATATGGACCCTGCAACAAGGGAGGGTCCTATGGTACTGGTTAAAAGCCTAACTCGGCATCTATAGATAAAAACAACAAGTTAATGATTTATAAAGTTTCAATTATCTAGATAATATCTATATTCTTCTTTTTTACATACACAAATGTTCCAACAAAAAGAGTAGGGAAAATTGAAACTGATGACAAAAGACATCCAAATAAAACAGTATACATAAAATACTGATTTGAATAATGAATAATGGGATGTTCTCTTTTGTAAAATGTATATGCGATACAAAACATAAGAAACAAAGTGATTACAATGGCAATGGTGCTCATGATTATTTTTAAAATGTTTGAAATTCCATGTAGTGTAAGACAATAATAAGTGTCTTCAACTATATAAGGTGTGGCATCTCCAGTACAATTTCTCACTACCATACTTACATTGATTACTAGAAAAATAAAAGGAGTTGGTTAATCAATCATATATGTATGTTGTGTGTTTTTAGTTACCTTGAGGAGTTGGTAAAAGTAAAGATACGGCAGTAAAAGTAAAATTACAAACTGTGCCTGGTGGAGCACTGACTTTGATATTGTACATTACGGCCATACCAACCATCGATAGTCCAACATTTCGAATGCCAGTAAGAGTAACATTGGGACACGAGGAAATAAAGAAACTGACATCGGTGCGACCTTGCAGCCTATTTCCAAATGCATCCAATGCCAAAAAAATAGCTTGTATCTGTTCTGGAGTGCCCATGGTACGAGGAACAATCACCTCGAAAGAGTCAAAATAGGTGTTGTACAATTGTCCATGGTCGGCAGTGTTATTTCGCTCATAACAGGATCGACAGATAAATCGCATTAGGACATCATTCTTTTCGTAATAGACGATTGCTCCTGCCTTGGAAACTGAATTGCCAATGATTGTATTGTTTTCAAAGAACCCAAAGTAACAAAAATTTCTTGGATTCTCTGGACAATGCGTACATAGCAGAGGAGCAACACACCTACTATAATATGTATTATTGTACATTTCAGATAAAAAGGTCAAGTTGTGTTTGGTTGGGGTTCTTAGATACAACACGGTACCATATTGTGCAGTATTGTTTATAAAATGACTATTTGTCATTGAAATGGATCCTGTTTGATCTGATTGAATAAATACTCCTTTCTATAAAGTCCAATGGTTAGTTTAAACAAAGAGAGGAGATATAGAACTATTTTTCTTCTTTTAACTTTTTGTTTATACATACGTTTAAACCAATATTATTACCCAACCAAGCATTATCAAATGTCATTTCAAATTGATAGAAACCAACAAACATGTGATTGTTGAGAGTATTATTGTTGGCATAACTGGCAATCCAAACCACCTTTGCTCCATACTTTGAAGTTACAAAACTCGATACTGTATTATTGATAAATGAGCAAAGAAGCAAATATACACGAGCTCTATTAAATATTACAATTAAATCATCGGAATAATTATTACTAGAAACCTCTGTATTTGTTATAATGGCTTCTCCTCTTCCATATGATGTCAACATTTTTCCTTCATGCACTTTTATAATAAATAAAATAATAATTATTAGTAATTGCTTTCTTTTTCTTTTTCGTTTTTTATTGTTAAACATACTTGATACTTTTGAATGTACAATATATAAGATTGAAACTTGATCCATTTGAAAAAGTGTTCCAATCATACCTTTAAAACTACAATCTGCAAATAGTGTGACTGCAACACCATACATTGTCACTTGAGTTGTTGCTTTTGTTTGACCTATAAATTCGCAAAGTGAAACAACTATTCCTTTGGATGATATAGAAAATGCTGCACTTGCAGGTGCATAATTTTTATCAAATCTACATAATGTTATACTTGGTAGGGAGTAGGAAAAGGGAAATTAGTATTAATATTTATACAATTATTTATAATTATTAAAAAATCTACATACTTTGATTGATTATCACCTTGAATTGAAAATACACCACCATTATAAGATGAAACATTTTCTCTAAAAATAGATTCACTAATATTGAATAAAGTTCTATTGTTTGCTATTATATTTCCAAATAATGATGCATTTAGTCTGAATCTTGATCTAGCGATTTTTAAAATTGATGTATCTAAAAAGAAAAAATAAAAGTAAATAATTAACACATAATATTCTTTCTTTTCTTTTCCTTTCTTTATAGCATACCAAAAAATAAAGCATAATCGGCAGTATTATAAGTAACTATTCCATATTCGAAAAAAAATATAGTTCTAAGACAAAAAGTAAGAAAGTATGCGTTGTTACTCATAATGATACTTCTTCTCATCCAAACTAAACTTTGTTTTGAATATATAATATAATCTGCTGCATTTTGACTGATCGTTACACTACTAAAATAAATGTCGGCTACGGAAAGTAATTGTCAATTAGTGGACTATTATATAATAAATTCCTTTTTTTTTGTTTAATGTACATACACGCAATTATTACAATAATTGATGAATTTTTATCCAAACCAATTCCGTTATTAATAAATGTACAATTGTGAATGATTCCACGAGAGAATTGAAAACACATTAATGCCTGTGGATTATTGAAGGAAATGTCAGCCTCTAGAGCGTCGGCATTGATAGTATTGCCCTTGACAAATTCTCCAACCAAATTGGTGGTAGTGTTGACAATGGATACACCAATAAGAATGAAATTGGAATTGTTGACATAGAACAATCCCAGGTTGCTGTGGAGCATGGTATAGTCGGGACCATCGACTCCTACAATCGTATAATTTGCATTTGCTATCGTTGTGTAATTTGTTTCAAAGTAATCGCCAGGCAGTAAATTGATGACTGCTCCAAATGAATTGGCAGCTTCAATCTCTATTGTATATTTAATCGATTGGCATGGTAATGATTTGCTTCTACCACATCCACTATTATCGTCTCCATCTGGAGATATATAAAATTGATCTCTTCCAATTATAATTAAAAATAATACTAAAGAGAGAGAGAGAGAGAGAAAAGTAAGTAAGTTTGTTTGGGTTTTGTTCCTCATTTATTTATTTATTACATACACTGGAAAAATAATAATATTAAAATTAATTTCATATTTTAAAATCAAACTAAACTAGTTAGCTTGATCTAAAATAAGCAACTTTCTTCTTCTTCTTCTTCTTCTTCTTCTCTCTTTACTCTAACTAATGATGTTGCTTCTGATTTATATATTATCATTCATCAATTGTCCACATGTTTTATAATGGTTTGAATGAATTACCACAATCCAAAATCTGAATAAATGACAACAATAACAATAAACAGGACAGGAGAGAGAGAGAGAAGGTGGAGTGGACAAGGGAGGGAACAAAAAGTCAACAGTAATAATATATTATAAATAAATTTGAATAATCATGCAAACAATATTGATGATAATAATCATGGATGGAAAATGTGTGTGGGTGCAGATCGATTCATTCATTCACTCTCTCTCTTTGAGTGTAGCTATAGATCATCATCGATGACATTCCGTATGACCATATGATTCCTTTCATTTTTGGTTAACCTATAATTGAAAAATGAATCATCGCGATGATTGTCTGATTTACTACTAGTTGTTGTTGGATGTGGTAGTAGTAGAGCATAAGAGGTGAGTGGAGTAGGATTCTATAGCGAGCGATTGTGTGATGTGGTAGTCGGGGGTGGTGTGATTCGCAAGTTTGACAACCACACTATTTCTCTATCAAAAAGAGACAGAGAGTAGCAAAGAGTATGTTCTTTCATTTCTATATGCATCATTCTAAACAAATAATTATAGAATGAGTGGAGTGAATGATGAATGACTCGAGTCATGCCGCCGGCAGTCGCATTTACAAGAATATTGGTTGATTAATAAAAAGATTAATTAAATAATAAGAATAAAAATATATTAAAATGCGAGTGGGGGTGTGATGATTTTGTCTGCAAAAGCTAAAGATATCGATTCCAATAACTTATTTCAAGACAACTAACTAACTAACATGTTGACTAGTATTAAATCAACATCCCTTTACAGGATTGTTAGTAGTAGTCATACAATACTTGGCAATCATCTTATAAATAATAGTCAAGGAGGTTTTTTATTGCGATCGTATCGTTCTTCGTCGTCGTCAGGCGGAGGAGGAGGAGGAGGAGGAGGAGGATCAGAAGCAAGAAGTGTAGATAAAGATATTATATTTGGTAGAAAGAGTAATAGTAGTGCTGGTGATAATAGTAATAGTAATAGTAATGGTGGTGGCAGAAATAATAGATATGATAACAGAGATGATCGTAGAGATGATCGTAGAGTTGACGGTCGGTACGATAATAATAAGAATCATACTCGAAGAAATGAATATCAACGATCAAACACTGCCGACTATAGTGTTGGTCGTACTACCAAGTATTTGGTCGATAACAACAGCAACGGTGGAATGGACAAATCATCAAGAAGAGAGTTTAAACAAGAATTAAATAATATTCAATATGGACAACAACAAAGATCATCATCTCCACGTGTCTCAAGACAACAAGATGAACCAAAAGAAGAAGAATCGGGAGGAGAAGGAGTAGTAGAACAATTACCAAAAGATGAACTACATATAGTTGGATTACATACTGTTTTGGAGACATTTAAATGTAGACCTGAATCATTTCAAAGATTATATATCAATAAGGAGACATATGACAAACAATCGGCTGCACTGGGTGCCATCATAAGACACATGGTTGAACACAAACTACCATACAGATTCTTTGACAAGGAGGATGGACAGATGGAACGAGTGGCCAAGAACAGACATCATGAAGGTGTATGCGCAGTCATCAAGTCGAAAAAGGTGTTGACACCAGAAGAGGCGTTTGAAAAGGAGATGAACAAGACATTCAAGCAGACACCACCTGTATCACACTCGTTTACATCGACCAACAAACAAACGAGTGGTGAAACCAATGTGGTGCGTCCCATTGTCGTCCTCTTGGACGGTGTAGAGAATCCAATGAACATTGGTTCGATTGTTAGAACATGTGCTGGTTTTGGAGTAGAGACACTCTATCTATTCAATCAAGAGGGTGCATCGGCCAGTGGAAGAGTCAATCCATTCTCAACGGCCTCTTATTTGTCGAGTCGTGGAGCTATCGAACATCTCGACGTTATCCCCATCACCGCTAGAAACACTGCTATCAATATGATCAAGGAATTTGCCGAACAAAAGTGGGAGATTGTCAGTACGGCCACTGCTATCTCTGACAAGGCTCTCACACTCTTTTCAGAGGGTAGTGCATTGACATTGGGAACTAAACCACTATTACTTATTTTTGGGTCAGAGTCACACGGTATCAATCCTGGTATCGCCAAACTGTCCACTGCCACCCTCACCATTCCAGGTACTGGTCTCATAGACAGTTTAAATGTATCTCAATCAGCTGCTATTATCCTTGCAGAGTGTTGGAGAATACAAGGTAGAAGATTAACTGGAAAGTTAGTAGACAGTCAAAAACAACAACAATCCACGTCCTCTAAAAAAATAACCAAAACCGAACCACTGGAAATCACTCCACAACTTTTGGGTATCAATGAAAATCAACTTTATAATGAAGATTTTAATAATTACAAATCCTGATCATCATCATCATTATAGAAAATAAATATATAAAATAATTATAATAATATTATTATAAATAGTAGTCGTTTTTAATCATTAAATTTCCAAGAGAGGGTATTTTCGAAAAAATTCAAAAAAATAGAGGGGATTCCAACGGTTTCATGAAGTTGATCAGTTGATTCAAGAAAGATTAATTAATAGTAGTTCAAGAAGAAGTAGAAAAAGAAAGAAAGAAAGAAAGAAAGAGATGACTAGATCCTCAAACGAATCAGATGATGAGGAATTATCTTCGTCTGAAGAAAACTATAAACACAATGGAAAGAGTCATCGTCGCAAATCATCATCTTCACTTGAAAAGACTACGACGAATAATAACGATGATGATGATGATGATAAGGATGATGGGGAAGTGGAGGAGGAGGAAGAAGAGGAAAATGGAGATCAACATATAGTCAATGGAGAACAGAAAGGCGATAATGAAGAGGATGGTCATCATGATGATCGAGACGACGATAACGATAACGAGAACAATGACGACAATGATGGTGAAATGCATCAAGTAATGGAACAAGACCAAGATGAAAACGATGATGAAAACAACAATAGTGATAAACAACAAGATGAAAAAGAAGAAGAAGAAGAAGAAGAACAATCAGATGATCAAATGATCAAAGAAGAATCAAGAATATATAACGCCGAAAAGAAAGATCATAAATCATTGTCATCGTCATCGTCATCATCATCATCATCATCATTGACTAAATCAACAACTACTACAAATACTACAACAAAAAAGGAAGGAACACAAGTTGATCCAGCCGATTTGGATGCATTGACCAATTTGATCGTTCACAATATACCCAAACACTTTACCAATGAAGATTTAAAAGATTTGTTTGAGGAGTTTGGAGAGATTGAAAGCTACAAGGTAGTAGCCAATAGAAAAGCACCGTCTACTCTTTTGCCCCAACAACCACCACCACAAGCCAACATGGGCTATGGATTTGTAAAATTTGTACATTCAGAGAGCGCAGCAGCCGCCATCGAATCGATGAACGGTCACATGACAGACTCGAAAACCATAAAGGTTTCCTATGCTACACCGACATCACAACAATCTACACACGCCAACCTCTACATTAATCGACTTGAACCACACGTCACCAAAGAAGACTTGGCAGAGGCTTTTTCCAAATTTGGTGAACTCGTCGAAACCAGAATCCTAATGGACCTCAACACCAACACAAGTAGATGTGTTGGTTTTGTTCATTTTTCTAATCGTCGTGATGCACTCGCTGCATTATCAGCAATGAATGGTGCAAACATTTCTCAACAATCAACTCCTATTTATGTAAAAGTATGAATGAAAAAAGAAAAGAAAGAAAAAGAAGATTAAGACAAGATAATTGTTTATTGTTGAATTATATTATGTGATAAACTTAATATTTACTATTATTTATTTAATTAATTAGTTTGCAGATCAAAAAGATGATAATAAGAAAAACAAAGTTACAAAAACTAAAGATCCAAATGATAATCGACTACCCATACAATCTTCATCATCATCATCATCATCATTACAGCAACATATGAAACAACAAAAACACAGTAATAATAATGGTGGTAATAATACATCATCCAAACATCATCATCATCAAAAACAACAACAACACCAACAACAACAACAAATTCATCAACACCAACCTCAAATTGCTCCAGCAATATCTGGGTATCAATATATGGATCATAGTGGTTTATTGGGTAGTATGGCCATTCCACCTACACCAGCAGCTTACAACCCATCTATATATATGTATCCAATGGCTAGTGGCGGAGGTGGTGTATATAGAAACACCAATCCTCCATCTCGATACGATCCAATAGGCAGAAATCTTTTAACCAACCAATATCATCACCATCCAGCATCTATTCAGGCCGCTTCCAACCCTTATCCCTTTTCCTACTATCCACCTCAAATCTCTCCCATTCAAACTCAATTATTAAATCGTATGATGAAATCCATAATGAATTAATTAATTTAATATTTAATACTAATAATTTAATTTATATATTTCTTTCTTTCTTTTTTTTAGTTTATAATACTCAAGCTTATGTACAACAACCACCACCACCATTAAATTATTCGCTACTATATTCAGTTCATGTTTCAAATCTTCCCAACAACTCCGATGAAGCCTATATTTATAAATTATTTGGAGCATTGGGTGCAATAGCAAATGTAAAGATGCTCAACAATCACCAAGCAATCATCAACTATTTGACAATCGAAGCCGCTCAAAATGCAATTGTCAATTTAAATAACAAGTCTGTTGGTGGCAAAACCTTAAAAGTAAAATCACAATAATCATCCGGAAAACAGATCATATCAGACCAGACCAGACAAGACAAGACAAGACCCTTAAAACAAACAGAGAAAATATAATATTATTTTTTTTTAAAAAAGTAAACATATAGAGAAAATAGAATATCATCAACCTATCCTATTTTTGTTTTATATATTTTTTAAAATGTAATTGGTACAGGAGAAGAATTATTATTGTAATTTGAAAATGTTGGATGTTGCATTGTTGTCGTCGTTGTTGTTGTACCACTATTATTACTATTACTATTTGTTCTTTCAACGACTTTATCAATTCTAATTTTAAAAGATGTAATGTATTTCATTAAAACATCCTTGTCTTCGGAATCAATCGCTATTGATAATAAATAATCCAATAGAATTAAACCATCGTTGTAGTATTGCAATGCCTTTTGATAATCTCTGTACATTTCCTCGAGACCACCATTTTTACCCATATCCAGTGCCGTTTCATAGATGTATTTGTTTGGTGAAAAGTTTGACCCAGTCGATGAAAGACTTGATGATTGCTCCAACAATTGTGCATGAATACTAGTATTTGTAGTAGTCGGGTTGTTATTGTTGTTGTTGGTATTTTGAATGCCAGAGTTGTTTGAAGAAGTTGACAAGGCTGATGAAGCTGCGGTGGTAGTGGTGGCTATTGTAGAAGGTGACTTTGCATTATAAATTTCATTGAATCGTAACAATTTACCATAATACTCGTTATAAATGTCTGCTATTCTATCCATCACTGAATTGAACTTGTAAAGATTCGACGATCCAAAACAATGATTATTTGAAGAGTTTGTCTGTAACTTGCTCTTTATCAACACTAGTGCTTTTGTATACAATATAATACATTCATTTGGTTCGATTTGTCTTAGATCACCCAACTCGGCAATCGCCAATGCCCTCTTGCTCGTCGTATCCAAAGCATTGATATATTCCTCATCATCCATAATTACACAACTTTTTTCAAAATCCAATGATGATGTCGATGATTGTTTCTAATAGACAAAGTATATATTAGTATATTAATATAATAAACAGTCAATGTACTTTGAAACTTACAATTTTTAATAATGTATTGGATGATGGTGGTGCAAGAGGTTGTTGTTGATTTGATTGTTGTTGAATAATATTATAAACATAATTATTATTTTCTGTAAATGATTTTGATCTATTTAAAGATCTATCTCGATTATTATAATTATTTCCTCCTCCCATTTTCTGTTGTTGTTGTTGAAGAGGATAACCTTTTTGCTGAAATGGGGGTTGCTGTTGTTGTTGTTGATAATGACTTGGATAATATACATTATTATCAACTGGAGATAATGAAACAATTGGATTGGTGGTAGGTGCAGAGTGAGGATGAGGTTGTTGTTGATAAGGTTGTTGTTGGTATTGTTGTTTTTGTTGCTGATAAATAAATTGAGGAATGGATTGTGAGAATCCAAGCCATGGATGTTGGAAAAAGTCCTCCCAAGACAATCGATTCATTTCATTTGTCTGTAAGAGTGAGTGCAAGAGATCCTGACATTCTTTGCTGATGGTCTGTTGAATATGTGAAGGTATATTGATTGTATTCTTTTCGAGTTGGTGCAAGAGATCCACTACAGTATTGCAATTCAATGGTGGTTCTCCAACCAACATTTCATATAAAATAACACCAACTGACCATAAATCTGCTTTGACTGTATAATTTTTTCTATTTAATATTTCTGGTGCCTAGAATATAGAATAGATCAAAAAAGATTAGATATTATATATATATATATATTATATACTTGTTTTTACATACCATATATAAAGGGGAACCACAGAATGTATCAGATAATGATTGTACATCGATAAAACGAGCAAAGCCAAAATCAGCAATCTTGAGTGTTGGTGAGTCACCTGAATCGCTCAAGAGAAGGTTTTGTGGCTTGAGATCTCTGTGAATAATGTCTCGCATTCGAAGAAACTTTAAACCATTGGCTAGTTGTCTCATAAAGTATTTTGCTTTTTCCTCTGTCAATCGTTTATGTTTTCTAATGTACTTTGAAAAGTCTCCTCCTTCACAACATTCCATAATCATATAAATAAATGATTCATTTTGAGGTGGTGGTGGCTATAGAGTATATATATATATAGTATATATAAATAGATAGGTGAGAGGTTAGTTTGTGTTTTTGTTTTGATTAGATGTGATAAGTGGTGATAATTTACCTCTATAACATCATACAAGGTGACTATATTGGGATGTGAAACAGTCTTTAATATTCTGATTTCATAGTTTAAGTTTTCTTTGAGCTTTGAGTTTCTTTCTGTCAATCTATATACATCTATCATCTTTACAGCCACTATATTTCCAGTGCTTTTCTGTACCGCTCTAAATACCTGTGCAAATGCACCAGACCCCAATCTTGTTTGGAATGCATATTCATCTTCTATTCCTTTTAGATTCATATATATTTATAATGTCTTTATGTGTGTTTGTATGTACAAGTTTTACTACTAATTAACCAACTAACAAGTATTGTATGTTTGTTGCTGTGTGAAATGAAATGAATGAATGAATCTGTTTGTGTGAAATAAATAAATAATAATAATATTTGTTTGTCGTTGTTGTGTTCTCTCTCTCTCTCTCTCTCTCTCTTTCTCTCTCTATGTTTGTTGTTATAACGGAGAACTAACTTTTATATTTATATAAATATTTGAGAAATAAAGCAAAGAATGAAAACTTTAAAAGTCAATGTCCTCTCCCGTGATAGTGAGGTGGTTTGCATTCCCGATTAATTTAATTTATTAAATTTTTGGGTTTTTACTACGAACAGTTCGTCATTCACCTAATGATTTCATTTCTTCTTTTATGTATTATTGTTTGTTGTAGGGTACAGTTATTTATTTTATTTTGTTTGTTTATTTGTTTACTTTACTTTACTTTATTTAAAGAATGAAGAAAAGTCTATTTGACGACGTTTACAATCGGTAAAGGAAGACAGTAGAATGGAATGTTTGAGGTGTAGTTGGAGTAGTTGGTTTGCATTGGGTGTGAATTCATCAGAGTTGAGAGTGAGTGAGCAGAGACGGTCACTTTTAGAGATGGTTGGTAACAGGTGATCACCGTTGAATCGGTTGCCAGATATATCTAATTCTCGAATATTAGACGACGATACAGATAATGCATTGGCTAGATGTTGTTCGCATTCCTGCAATCCATTGTCGGCAACTGAAAGATAATAGAGTGATGGGATAGAAGAGACGACTTGTACAAGTGACTCTACTACTGTATCGTCTGTCAATGATCCACCTGATACCTTTAATATCTCTAATTTCTTGCATTGTAGTAATGATGTAAACAACTGTGCGCTACACACTGGCTGACACGACTCGATTGATAGTAATGTCAAATGTTTACTAATCTCATCGTCTCTACTGAATGTCAATAATCCTTTTAATTGTTCCTCTCCTCCTTCTTGCTCTTCAATTCCATAAACAAACAATTCATTTAGTATTGATTGTCCAAGATGTGTTTGGAATTGATTATAATTGCCTTGGTAATAATTGAATGGAGTGTTTAGCGATACTAATCCACGATTGTTTTCTAGTATCTTTGACAGGTTGTCCAAGTCGAGTGACATCAACCCGCTCAACTGCAGTTTCTTGAGGTTGACAATCTTGCCACTGCTGACAGTATCGATGATCACCTGTTCCATCTCTTCAGTTGGTTGAGCAGGGTTGATTTGGATGTCTGACAGTGTCTGATGCTTCTCCAAAGTCTCTGCCAACACTCGATAGTTTGTGCAGTCATTTTCTATATACAAATACATGGTCTCTAATCGGTTGCATTGTTCAACGAGTCTTGCCAACCATTCTACATCCAATACTGGTGTTGCAGATGATGACACTACCAACTTGTTAATAGTACTATTCTCCAACGTTGCAGCCACTGAGCCAACATTAACCAATTGATTCAATAGATTGTCAGAATCTATAAACAATAATGACTGTATATTATTCTTTGACCAGTCAAATGAATTTGTGAATATACTAGCCAATGTTTGATAGAACTGAGTTGCATGTTGATCGATTTGACGTGGTCTGTCTAAACTCTCAAACTGTACATGTTTGAGAGCATGTGATCCAAAGATAGAGTATGGTCGTGACTGTCCTTTGAACGATCGTTCAAGTTGTTCAACTTGTTTGATCGATGTATTACTATGAATGACCACTCTATCAATACATTGCGATACACCTCTAAACCAATCCTTTGATACCAAGACCAAATGGACGATCCATCTATTACGAGGGTTCTCTATTCCTCCACCATTTTCATCAAAGTAATCTTTGAATACATGCTTAATAATAGTATCGATTATTTTAGTTTGATTCATCCCTAAAACAAAGATAATATATATCTAAAACAAAAATCAAACAAATGCGTGATGGGTGTTTGTTCAAAATTAAAAATACAATCAAGATATAATAATAATAATAATAATAATAATAATAATAATATTAGAGTTCGTCTAGTAATAATAATAATGGTCATTCAACCATAAGATTTGTTTATTATGGTTTAGGGATCGACTAGTATTATTACATCGTCGTTTGTTGGGATCCAAAGAAATGGGGGCGTTTAGATCTTGTTCTTTTCGACGTAGTCAATGAGGAACTTGTACTCTTCTGATTCCTTACCAAAGGTGGTAATGGCAACAGAGGAACAGGCAACGACCTTACGGGCGGTGGCTTCCTTGTCGAGCTTACAGAGACCAGACCATTCACCGAGTTGCTTGGAGTCTTCAACGGTGATGAGTGGGATTTGGTGCTCAGCGCAGAGGGCCTTGATCAAACGGACGTAGTTTTGTTCGTCACAGTTTTCAGCCAAGACACAGAGACGGGCACTCTTTTGGTCGAGCTTACGGACGACTTCATGGAGACCACGTTGGAGACCGTTGACAGCCAAGGACTCCTTGAGAACCTTACGAAGGGCAACCATTGGGTCAGTTACCTTTTCGACTGGGTTGGTAATTTGTGATACAACATCTCCTTCAGACATTTTGTGGAATTCCTTACTGTAAGTATGTATATAAGTGTAGTAGGTCTGTTAGTTAACTGTACGTCCTATGGTGGGGGATGGATGAATAATTACATGAGTATCTAAGAAATAAACTTCAAACTTGATAAGGTTGAGCTGATCATAGAGATACAAGATTCCTCATCACCACGCAACGCAACACCCGAGCCGCTCAGAGCTGTGAGAGGTCAGACGAAAAATTAATTTTTCAACAATTTTTATCATTTTCATTTTCTCAATTTGAATGCCCGCTATTATTATTGAATAATAATCCAGACTTGTGAATATTTATCTATTACTATTCTTTTTTTCTTTGAGTTTAATTATAAACGAATATTTATTTACAAATAACTAGAGAAAGTTATTCTTGTGCTTTTTGAACATTATTCTTTTTGGGAATAGAAGATGAGGATAAGGATGTAGTGGAATTCTTTTTAGGTTTTTTTGACCGTTCTTTAGGTTTCTTTAAAACTTTAACATCTTGTCCCATTACAAAATAGTATTTATTGGGTTGATGGATCTATTAATTGTAGTAGGTAGGTGTGGTAGGTGGGTACAAACAAACAGAGATATGTAAGTTGATTGAACAATTTAAATCTTCTCTATAAAATTGATAATACCTTTAAATTGAATTTCTCTTTTAATTGTTTTTCCAATTGTTGAATTTGCTTATTTACTACTTTTTTCCTTAATTGTTTAATTGGAACTGTTGATCCTACTTGATACTAATAATAATAATAAAATAAATTAGAATCACTGACACACATTAAATTTAAAAATGGATGATACAAACCTCTCTTAGAACCTCTTTAATTGCACTTTTTGTTTTAATTACTTTTTTTTTCTTTTTCTTTTCTACTTTTTTATTATTCTCTATTGAATTCCATAGTTTGGATGAAGAGGAGGGATCTTGTTTGGTAGAAGATGGATGATTATGATTTAATTCCCCAACAATAGGGGTGACACTTAGGTTGAAAGTATCAACTGGTGATATTCTCTGTTCCATTATTAATATTATTCTATGATATACACATGTATCTTTTCTCTCAAATTGGTAATAATGAAATCATTAAAAAAGTTCAATTTACATTTCAATAAATAAACAAGATTGTTGGTTTCAATTCCAGTAATTTAATTTAATTTACTATAAAATGAATCTAGAAAACAACAACAGAGAAGAAAAAGAAAAAGAAAAAAGAAGAGTTTTGTACCATTTTGTAAAAACCAAAAAAAAAAAATATATTTTCCAGCTTTTTCCTTTTATATCCATATTATTAGAATGTAAATTTGAGATATATTATATTATAGTTTTCTATATATACCATCTATATGTATACATACAACGTCGGACTGACCACCTCATTTTATTGTTATTGTCATTTGTTTATAAATAACTTTGTTGATTTGAAAAGTAATATGAAAATGCAATGTTCTCTTGATTGATGTAGGTATTAATGAGTGGTGATGTTCCACCAGCAATTAATATTTGATTTCGTTGATGTGGGTTATATGACAGTGTATATAATATTTCAGAGGTTGATGGTACTTTCATAAGTAATTTACCATCTAATCCATAATAATTTACATATCCTGATGTTCCTGCTGTTAAAATCTAAAAATACATAAATATAAAAAATGAAAACATATTATTATTAGAGAGATAATATAATAATTATATATGTATACTTTTGAATTGATGATGACATACTCTATCTTTTTCAAAAATAAGGGAATATATAGATTCATTAAATTTAGATGATAATAGAGAGGACATGGTATTTAATTTACCAAGATACCACATACTAGCCATATTTCCACCAACTGCCAACCAATTACCAGTTTCATCAATGTCAACTGGACCTGTCCAATATTGATCTCTTGTTATATTCCCATTTCCAGCATTATTATTATTATTATTATTATTTTTGTTTCCATTACCATTATTATTATTATTATTTCTTGTATTTGAAGATGAAGAAGAGGAAGAATTTGAATGATTAGACAAGAATGAATCAGATTCTGATATTGATTTTTGTAACTTTGGACAAAGGATGGTTTGACAGATGGCAGTTGATGCATCCCATATTCTTACAGTACCATCTTCCGATGATGTAATGAGTGAATTGTATCGTTTGTTCCATTTAACACTATGTAGATATTGTTTATGTCCTTGATACCTCGAAACACATTTCAATGTATTCAAATCATAACTATATGCATTACAATCACCAGATGCAAGATATAAATGTCCATTCTAAATAAATATAAAAGAATGAATGATGAATGTTAACAATTATTTTGATTAATATTTATATATTTACATACATTATCAATATCCATTGAATTAATTTCACATCTTTCAGATAGACTACCTCTCTTTCCTTCCTTTTGTGGCGATGGTATGACAAAGAGTGGTTGAATGGCTTGTTGAGGTAATTGTCCACCGATTATTTTCTTGATATCTGTCCAATTCCATGCAAGAATATCAGTGTCGTCAGAAGACAGTAGTACAGAGTCATTACTAATCAATAAAAGACTATTGATACATGACTGTGATGGTGTTTCAAAAGAGTAGTGACAATTTGTAAGTTTGTTGTTATTTGATTGTTGTTGTTGTTGTTGAATTGAAGGTGATAACAATACTGTATCTTCATCCATATGGTGTTGTTGTTGATGATGTTGTTGATGTTGATGTTGATGATGAAGTATAGTTTCAGGTAGATACCAAATATTGATAAAACCATGATTATTAGCAGCAATCATATAATCTCCACAATTTGAAAAGATACTGCTCACCACTATCATATCTCTTTGTTTAATGTGTTGTATAATCTGTTCTCTTGACATCATGATTGCTTTGATTTGTTGATTGATTCACTCTACTAATAGTATTAGTATTAGTTTAAAGTATATGTATATATGGAATAATGAACATACACTCAATGAAATATTTCGAAGAAAATATGTACTTGAGCAAAAAACAACTTTGATCCACCCTCTTTGTCATTATTATTTTTAATTTAGTCATTTCATTCATCTATTTGTACATATATAATAATCAAGATAATGGATACTACTAATGATGATGGTGGAGATAGTAGTAGTAGTAGTAATGTGACGACATCTACTACGACAACTAGAACGGATAATACCAAACCACAAGATGAAAATCGAGAAGATGAAGAAGAAATAGAAGTAGAGGATAAACAACCTCAAGCACAAGTTCAAACCCAAGTTCAACAACTTGAAACAACAAAAAAGATTCAAAAGTTATCAATTGATGTAATTAATAGAATATCGGCAGGTGAGGTTATTCAAAGACCGAGTAATGCATTAAAAGAATTGATAGAGAATAGTTTGGACGCTCAATCGACAGTGATCAAGGTGACTGTCAAAGATGGTGGATTAAAGTTACTCCAAATACAAGACAATGGTAGTGGTATTAAAAAGGATGACCTCGACATTGTCTGTGAACGATTCACAACAAGTAAACTACAAAAGTTTGAAGACTTGCGAAAGATTGAAACCTTTGGATTCAGAGGGGAAGCTCTGAGTAGTATTAGTCACGTCTCACATCTCAAGATTCTCACAAAGACTGCAGACTCTAATTGTGCTTATCGAGCATACTATGCCGATGGTAAACTGGCACCATCCACTGCTGGTGATACTATTGACCCTAAACCATGTGCAGGTGTCAATGGTACTCAAATCACATCAGAAGATCTCTTTTTCAATGTACCAGCTAGAAAAAAGGTATTAAGAAATATACTCGAAGAACATGCAAGAGTGGTTGACCTAGTTAGGAAATATGCTATATTTAATAGTAAAGTTAGTTTTATTTTAAAAAAGGTAAGAAAGGGAAACAAAAAAATAATACAATCAATCAATTAATCAATCAATCAACTTTTGTTTTAACTTTTATTCTATCTGTTTCATAGGCTGATATAAGTACACCCGATGTATTTACACAAGGTGGTGAAGGAACAACTGAAAAGGAAGTTATTTCATTAATATATGGATCAGAGATTGCAAAAGAATTGAAAGAATTATCATCAAGCAATGATAAATTAGAGTACAAGATGACTGGATTATTCTCAACTACCAATTTGAGTTCAAAGAAACCAATATTTATTTTATTTATTAATAGTATGTAGTGTAGTTATATTGATCAACAATAACAAAGACCATCATTTTAATACTAACTATATATTTATATTTATAGATAGATTGGTTGATTGTAGAAATTTGAAATTAGGATTAGAACAATTATATACAAAATATTTATCAAAGGGAGCATATCCATTTATATTTGTTAGATTATCACTCAATCCTCGTAATGTTGATGTCAATATTCATCCAACAAAGAGTGAGGTTCGATTCCTTTATGAGGATCAAATCATTGAACTCATTCAAAAGGTGGTTGATACTGAACTCAATCTATCAATCTTATCTAAAACATTTCCACAAGCTTCTGATGGTGCTATTCCTGATAGTATGCCAGATGGTCCTTCTTTTAGTAATACTAATAATAACATTAGTATTGGTAGTAATTCAAAAAAATCATCAAAATCATCATCGATAGCAGATGACCTTGGAAACAGTGAAAAGGATAAATCAACTCCTCATCCTTCACAAATGGTTAGATCATTGGATTCAAAGACTCAATCAATTAGTGCTTTTCTTATACCAATGAATGGTCAGAATAATCGTGATGATGATTATTCAGGTGATAACAGTAATAATAATAATAATAATAGGAACAAAGATATTAATAATAATAATAATAATAATAATAAGGACAATAATAATAATAATAATAATAATAATAATAATAATAATAATAATAATAATAGTAATAGTGATAGGTTTAAGCAAACAACACTTGATAATCCCAAAAAGAGAAAGGAACTTGCAGATAAAGCAATAATGGATAGAGCATTTGATCCAGATAATATATTCGATTTTAATAACAACAATTCAGCTCCAGCAGATAAAGATTTGGATGAAATTGATAATAATGACAGCAACGTTGACGATATCTTTAATAGTAGTATTAGTAGTAATAATAGTAGTAGTAATAATCCCAATCAAACAAATGCAAAACAAAGTTTGGATGAATTTAAACAAGCAAACAATGGCTGTGGTGATGATACAACAGGATTTGCACCAAGAAGAACAAAGAAATTTAAACAAACAGAATTGATAAGCATAAAGGAATTACTGGCTACTGTCAATACCAATAAGCATGTAGGTGGACTACAAGAATTCTTTAGAGATTCTACTTTTGTTGGTTGCTTGGATCATTCTTTTGCATTGGCTCAACATCAAACTAAATTATATATTGTTAATATTGAAAGTATAAGGTAAAGTTAATAAGTAAAAAAAAGATTAAAACCAAAAAAAAAGAATTAACAATAATCTTTTTTTGTTATTTATTATTTTTTAGTAAAGAGATAATGTATCAAAATATTTTACATGGATTTCAAAATTTTGATTCCATTCAATTCTCGGTACCTTTACCAATTGAAGATTTATTATCTACTGCTTTAGATTCACCGTTTGGCAATTGGTTAATTACACCAAGTACACCAAAAGATACATTGCTGCAAGAACTAAAGTCACTGTTGATGAACTATGCTCCGATGCTCAATGAATACTTTGGCATTAATTTTACAAATGGTAGTATATGTGGACTGCCACAAATCATCGACAACTATGTACCGTGTCTTGACAATCTTCCAATGTTTTTACTTCGTCTTGGTATAGAGGTCGATTGGAGATATGAAAAACAATGCTTTGAAATGGTTGCAAGAGAGTTGGCACTTTTTTATAAAGTTGAATCTTCTTCAAAAGAAATTCAAAAACAATTAGATCAACAATTACTACTTGAAAATGGTACAAATAATAATAATAATAATAATAATAATAATAATAATAATAATAATAATAATAATAATAATAATAATAATAATAATAATAATAATAATAATACAACAAAAACAAAATCAATTTTTGATGATGATTATGATGCAGATGAGGAAGAAAAAAATAATAATACAAACAAAAATAATAACAACACAAATAATAATAATAATAATCAAGCAGCAGCAGGAACAGGAAAAGAATGGGTAATCCAGCATTTAATATTCCCAGCTTTTAGAAGACTAGTCCCACCCAAATCCTTTTCAAGCGATGGTTCAATTATTCAAATTACAACTGTCGAAAATCTTTATAAAGTTTTTGAAAGATGTTAATTTGATCAACATACAATTAATGATCATGTCTATCTCTTTATTGTGACGTCACAATGTGTGTAATACTCGTAAATCATGCTCTTCGTTGTCTTTCGTCAACCTTTCTCACTACTCCAAGATATTTCAAATAAAATCAGCCCAAAACTTTGTAAAAATTTATTTAAAAGTATCTAGGATGGCGTGGCAAAACTTCGGCACAAAATACACCCTCATATTTGATGGGTGGGTATGAAGTGACACGGTGTGATCGGGGAAGGTGACGTCAAAAGTGCTTTAATTATTTGTAAAGGGAATGCCTTGCCCAAAATCTAGATACTAGGCTAGGAAGCCGATTCATGAACAGCGTTGATGAATGTTGGGAAGAGAGAGGTGGGAAACAGCCTTCAGAACGATCATCCCCTCAACCAACACTCACACCTCACTCTCTTTTTATTTATAAATCATAACATAACAACAAGAGGTAGTAAAGTTAGTTAGAAATTATAATAATTAATTAAAAAAAGAGAAAGAGAGGAGGAGAGGTAGAGAGAGGTGAGCAAAGCAATTCATCTATTTCTTTAAAGACAACCATAAGATTAATCTTTTAGATAGCTTTTTCATCATCAACCATCGATTTTTTAGTGTGGTAAGTGTGTTTGTTTGTGTTAATGAAGATTCTTTCTTTCATAATAATTCACACCACTCATGATATACTAGTTGTATTGCATATATTATATATATAATATAATATATATATTTTGTATTTGTATTTTATTTTTTGGTGACAATGATCCATATTGTACAATAACCATTAATATTACTACTATTCAACAACAATAACCAACAACATCTACAGAATAGTTTTAGAGATAACAAGAGGTGTGAATAGATTAAAAGAGAGTGAGTTAAAGTTTAAAGCATACTGCTATAGCTATAGGAGTTGACTTGAAGATCCAACATTATTAAGAACTTTTAATATTATATATCAGAAATCATTGCACCTTTTATTCATTACTTCATTACCCGCCACGATAAGGTATCATCTCCATCCATTTAAATATATATATATATATATATATCATACAACTTTATTATTTATTTATTTATTCATTGTTGGTTGTTGCTGTTCGTTTTTTCACTATTTTTGGGTAATTTTTAAATAATACAATTAACGGCATCACAAACATTCACATACATACATCAATTTCATTCTTTTATTCTTTTTATTCTTTTTATTCATTTATTATTGTTACTTCTTCATATCTATCTTCTTTTAAAAATCAATTATTAATATTATTATTATTCTCCCATTCGTTTACCCTTTTAGTTTTCAAGTAATAATAATAATTATATTTATTCTATTTTTAGATAGATAAAAATAAATAGTCATCAATCATGATATTATATAGTTTAGTTAGTTTTAATGGAGAGATTGTAGAGAGTAATGATATATATTCACCATCATTTACATTGTTGACACGAAAGATATTGAAACAAATCAATCGGAACCAATCCAACCGTAAATCATATCTCTACAATAGCAATTTCATTCATTACATCTTGGAGAACAAAACAATCTTTATGACAGTATGCGAAACTTCTACAGACTCTAGCGTTGCTTTCGAGTTCCTTTTGGATATTCAAAATGAATGGAATCACAGTCATTCCCTGTCATCAATCGATTTGTCAAAAGCAGAGAAAATGCATCACATGGAATCTTTCCAAATTTTATTAAACAAAAAAATGGTAAGTTAAATATAAACAAGATGAATCAATATATATATGTATATAAACTAATATAGTTGTATATCTTTTATGTTTAGCAATATTATTCACAATCATCATTTGATAATAGAGAAATTAAAGAACATGTAGTTGATATCCCCTATTTTGAAACGATTGCAGACATTGATATTGAAAATGGATTAAATCAATTTACAGAAGATGTTGGATTTCAAGGATCATCGGATAATCCCCATGACCCTCTCATTGTTAAAACTGGAAAACGACCTCCCAATCACAATGAAAAGTATTGTTGTGGTATCTCCCTTTCAACTTTATATAAAATCATCTTAGTTTTATTTTTAATTGTAAGTAAATCAATCATCAATATCTAAATAATTACTAATTTATTATTATTATTTTAGATTTGTGTTTATGCTTTAATAGCTATATCATGTCACGGTATATTTTTCCAATCATGTGGTAGATAGATAACTATAACAACGATAATAATAATCAAAACCAAATCTGTAAATTCCAAAGACAAAGAAAAAAAATCTGGATAATTATATTATTATCCATTTTTTTTTTCTAATCCTCTTCCATTCCATTCCATCCATCCTCCCCCAAAACAAAAAAAAACTACCAACCATCCCAACCAATCATTGCAAAAAAAAAAAAGATAATAGTTTAATCATTGATCATGATTACATGTCTTTTCATCACCATACCCATTTTTTTATCAGCATCCTTCTTACAAATGTTCTATTTATCCCTCCTCTTCCTCAATGGTCATTAATGGGAATGACAAAACAATTAAATTAATTAATTAATAGAAAGCTACTCTTTTGAAGAGAGTAGAATGTAGAGAGCAGAGACATAGAACACAAATGTTAACATTACCAATCCAATCCATCCTTTATCTTTTTTAGAAACCAATAAATTCAGCACTACCAAAAGAGAGAGTAGGAGGTGATCGGTGATCAGTTTTATACACACATAAATATATGTAACCTACATACAGCATGTTGTTCAATTGAATTTTCTTTTCCTTTTTGTAGTATAGGTGGTTTTTAAGCATCATGATCCTTCCTTTTTTAGATCTGCAAAAGCTTTGCTAAAAATCCAAATTCGGGTCAATAATCAGTGTCCCAGGCCATAGGATTTTAAAATATCTTGTTACGTGCGCGTTTGCTGACCTTTGAGAAAGCTAAAAAGCTCGCACCTTTGGGCGGATATTTAGGATAATCGATTTATAAAGTTGGTATAGTCCCGTGGGCTTGTTCCTCCACCTCCTCCTCTAGCTCATTCCACATCATTCTCATTCAACAACCAACAGTCTTCATAGGAGATAGTAATAATATAATAAAGGAGAGAGATAGAGAGAGAATGCAAAGAAAGAGATGGGTAGATTAAAACTAAATAAAAGTAATACGACAAACCAAGGTATTTTCGGAGTACCACTCGAAAGATTAAACCCAAAGTTAAAGATAAATGACATACCTAATCTAGTACATCGATGTTGTAAATACTTGTCACAATCTATACTTCAACTTGAACAACAACAACAACTCAAACAACAACAACAACAACAACAACATAAACAAGATATAGATAATAGTATTAATAATAATAGTCATAGTGATGATGATAGTAGTAGTAATGATATAGTAATTGAAGAGATTGAACAACTATTTAAATTAAATCCAAATGACTTTATAGATAGTAGTAATAATAACAATAATAATAATAATAATAATAATAATAATAATAATAATAAGAATGAGAATAAGTTATTATTATCACCATCATCATTGGATTTATTAAGAATAGATTTCAACTATTGGTTATTTGTGTATAGTCATAATGTTAATCCTAATGATACTACAAGTAGTAGTAGTAGTTGTAGTAGTAATAACAATAATAATAATAATAATAATGGAATTGGATCGGAATTGGAAGATTTCAAAGAGAATATTACAAGTAAAGAGGTAGTATGGTTACTATTAATCTATTACTTGCAGTCAATGTCAGTGTCACTGTTTGATAGTATTCAAGATGACCTATTCAACAGTGACGCTCAGATCATGCCGTTAATACTGTGCATGAATATGTTGTCACCTCTAGTCCGACCAACCATAGTCACTCTCCTATCATTCTTTAATCAACTGTACAAATCAACCAACAAAGCTCAACCACTACAACAATATTTAATTAATTTACTTGTACCATACTTTTTCACTACTAACATCAACAATAATAATAATTATAATTTATCAACATCACCTTCTAATAATAATAATAATATGAATAATAATAATATTAATAATATAAACTCTGATATTAAAATAACAAATTGGAGATTATTATTAAATACATTCTTAAAGAATTATGAAAAGATATTCTCTAATCAATTACCAAAACAACCAAGATTGATTCCAGGTGAAGATGTTGTATTTCCAGTTACAATTGCCAAGTATTTGGTATCTACTACTTTAGATATGAATCAACAATCAATGTCATTGTCATTATCTTCCTTGTCATCGTCATCATCACCAATAGTATTCTCAACATTAATGATGTCAGCATCATTGCCATCGGATTATGGGTCTAGTGCAAACAATTTATCGTCTGCTGGTATATCACCAACTACTGCATGTGTTAGTATATGGGTGACCAACTATCGTATCATCTATCGATATTGGGTCGATGGTAAACAAGACCGCATCTTTGAGACTCAAGGTATCGAATTGTCCAGTATTCAAAGTATCACCAAACAAAAAGGAACACATCGATTCATCAGGGTGACTACTAGGCATTTCAAAGTTGTCTATTTTGGGTTCCTCTCCAAACAAGACGAAGAAATGTTTATGAATATCACCATTAAAATGGCATTCCACAAACCTCTCAAATCTCTATTTGCCTTTTCCAACCTTGAAAACAATCCAATTGGCAATAACCTTGTAAAACTATCAAAATATCGTCTCATAACAACCATCAAACATCATCAACATTGGGATCTCTATAACAAAATTGAATATCAAAAATTAAATCTTGATCCTTTAATTTGGAGGTATGAAAAAAGAAAACAAACAAAAACAAACAATAGTTTTATTAATTTATTTTATTTATTTATTTTTCTAGAGTATCACAAATTAATATAAAGAATGATATATGTTCAACTTATCCAAGTTCATTTATTATACCAACCAATGCATCTGATTCATTGATTAGAGAGATATCACATTTTAGAAATAATAAGAGGTTTCCAGTGGTTACTTGGGTCAATCCAAACAATCAATATGTATTCCTGGCGATATCGGATCAACCTAGAATAGATTATTTATTGGTGACTGCATCATCATTTGGAGATGACGACGATGAACCTGCTGGCACTGGTTATGATCTTGGTCTAGTCGATTTGTTACATCAAACTAGTACAATGAAAAAATCTGGTTCTGCTCTTGGAATGGATCAAAATAATAATATTGTTGATGGTGGTGTATCAACAACGAATCAAAAATACCCATTAACAATTTATGAAACTGGTAGTTTACCAAAAAAAAGTAGTCTTGCCTATGAATCATACTATCCACAATGTCGATTTGTTTATTTGGGTTTGGATGGTATAGACAAGTTAAGAGATAATTATAGCAAGTTGGGTGAACTGTGTATGACCTGTCTGCCAGTACTATCCAGTTTTCTTTCAAATAGTGGTGGTGTCGTTTCATCGTCGTCAATGTCAAATAACAAAACAGAGACAATCGATAAACGTCGTTGGAACGATGAAATCAACAGATTGGATTGGATGGATAGTGTCAGAGCGACAATGAGTGCAGTGATAAGAGTGGTCCAACACTTTTCACATGGCAAGTCTGCTATTGTCACTTCGTCAGAGGGACATGATCGCGACGACCTATTGGTCTCTTCAGTGGTACAGTTAATGTTGGATTCAAGCTTACGTACAATCACAGGATTCCAATATCTAATCGATAAGGAATGGTGTGCATTTGGTTATCCTTTTGGAGACCAATTTAAAATTGGTAATAGTAGTAATGATGTATTATCATCTTCGTCGTCATCATCATCTACAGGTAGTGGATCAGGATCAGGATCAGGATTAAATAGTAGTGGTACACAAAATGTAAATGCAACTATCTTGTCATCGGTAGGTCAACAACAATCACCGATTGGATCAAGAGCACCAGTTTTATTCATTTTATTTTGTGATTGTGTCATTCAACTACTTCACCAATACCCAACCGATTTTGAATTCAATCAATCATTGGTACTATTTATTAGTGAGAGTGTGTTTAATGGCAAATATGGTAATTTTTTATACAAGAATCATAAAGAGGCAGAACAATTGAATATCAGGAAAAATACTCGGTCCATTTGGCCTGATATTCATCTCAATGTAAATAGATTTATTAATCCACTTTATAATTCTTATTCTACAACTTCATTGTCAACAAATCGGTATGTAACAAAAATATTCAAACCATCGATTAGATTATATATATTGACTTGATTTGTTTTTTCATTTCAATAGATTTAATTTAAAACAATTAATATTTTGGGGAGAGTTTTATACAAGATGGGTAGTATCAAGTCATAGAAATACTGCCAAAAAACTATTGGAGCTACAAATGGAGAATCGTGACATCATTGTTCAACAAAAATCGATGGACATTAATTTAAATTGTGTAGGTCTTTATGATTTACCAGACTCTATTCTACATGAATCAAAAGTGATTCCATATGTTAAATTTATAACTTCTATTCATTTATCAAATAATAATTTAACTTCACTTCCATCTGTTTTATTAAAATTTCAAAGTATGTTAAATTGTAATTAATAATATTGTCAATAGATCTCTAATTAATATTCTTTCATTTCTTTTTAGATTTAAAAGAATTAATTATTGATAATAATTTAATTAATCATTTACCTGGAATGTTTTTAATATTATTACATGATAAGATTAAAGGTCTTGAACATATTAGTATAGCTCAAAATCACTTGACAGTGATACCACGTGAAATTGGTCAATTCACTTCATTGAGGAAATTGAATCTAATGGATAATCGAATCGAAGAGATATCACCACATCTCTCAAAATTGGATAATCTCTTGTATTTGGATCTCAGCAGAAACCAACTAAAAGAGTTTACCATGGAATTGATTAATCTTCATTCATTGACCGATCTTAGATTTGCTGGTAATCGAATTCAAACTCTACCAAGTCTATTATCAGAGTTGGTTAATTTAAAAAACCTTGATCTTCGTGATAACTTAATCTCAAAGATTCCTCATTCCCTAGAATCACTAAAACAACTTAAAAAATTAAATCTTTTATCAAATAATATTAATAATGTAAGCAAAGTAGTAATAATCAAGAATATACCCTCCCAATACTAATCTAATTATATCTCACTCTCTATTTAGTTAATACCATTATGTAATATTGTATCACTTGAAGAATTAATCGTTGATCATAATGTATTGGTAGAGATTCCATTGTCGATTGGTAAATTGGTTAATCTTCATCACTTGTCATTACAACATAACAAGATTCAAGTGATTCCAGAAGAGGTGATGAGTTTAACGTCTTTGGTGACTCTTAAATTATCGCATAATCAAATATCATGGATCCCTCCTTCAGTATCATCATTGGAAATGTTGGAGAATTTGTCGATTGGACATAACTTACTCGATTCACTTCCACAATCGCTGGCAATGATGAAGAATATACAGAAATTACAGATTCAAGGTAACAACTTGAAACAACTACCCAAGGAATTAGAGTTACACGATGTCAAGGGTATTCTAAACTACCTCAAGGAACATATTGAAGGTATACAACCTTGTAACAAGGTTAAATTAATATTCTTGGGTCATCAACAACAATCTAGTCAATTACAACAACAACCAGCAACATCATCTACTGGGTCGTTGTCACCTCAATTACATCTATCTGGTGATCAACAACAACAACAACCAATACAACAAACATTAGTACCACAACAACAACAACAAATATCAACAACACGAGATACTATATCATCACCAGTATCTCCATTTGGTATTTTGTCATTCCTTTCTAGAGATTCTAATCAGAATAATGCCAATAATAACAGTTTATTCCATCAATTGTTTGGTCAACAATTATCCAAACAACAACAAAAAACAAATCAATCATTGTCGACAAAGGCAGTTGGTATAGAGACACACTCTATATCACTCCAAATCAACTGTACCAACAATGAAAATGCCGATCCTACCACCATACAATTGGATTGCTGGGAGTTTGACGCCAAGGAGGCACTATGGGCCTACCAACCAATGTTTTTCACCGATAAAACAATCTATGTCATTCAGTTTCACTTTAATGCATTGGAAGAGAACTGTACAGTACTAAACAACTACCTCAATGGAATATCTCACAAATACTCGAATCTAAAGATATTTGTGATTGGAATATTGCCAGATGGCGGTGGAGTGTCAGACCAAACGATTCACTCGTGGCTAGCCAATTGGAAATCACTCAACAAACATACTGCATTCATAAACTTGAAGATGGAATTTATGTTTTTGAATATTGGTGAAGAGGAAGATATCGATTCATTGAAGGAAAAGATTGTCAAGGCGATTGCTGATAGTGCGACAACACCATCGTCGAGGAAACCAACGATGGTCAATGAAATGGTGCCATCGCCATTTGTATTGTTGGCAGATTACGTAGTTGAAAGAAGTTCGCAGCGACCGATTGTTGAAAGAGAAGAGTTGGTTGATATGGCCGCCATCTTTAATATAAAGGGTCGTGCTAGAATCGGAAATGTTATTCGGTACTTGGAAACAACCGGTACGATCATTCAACACGGTGGTGACTATCAATTGGGTGATTTGATCATCATCAAGCCGCAATGGATCATTCAGACATTCACCAATGTCATCTTGTCGATGGTACCAACGGGCATTGGTTGGTCGTCCAGCTCGGGTATTGTCGGACGTTCATTACTCCAGTCTGTCATTGAGTCGTCCAACCAATACTTTAACTACAAGCAAATGAGCGATGTATCGGTCGAGCGAATGCTCTCTATATTCTACCGATTCGATATAGTGTCGCTCTTTCAACCTCTTATCGGTCCCTACCTTTCACTCAAAGACGATCAATTCAAAATACGAATTGGCAATAACTATCATAGTGGAAATCAACAACAACAGAGTTTAGTCAACGCCGATCCATCCTCTTCACAATTCAACTGTAAGAAATGGTTGTTTGATTATTTAATGGAATATAATTATATATTCTTTAGACAAGCAGATGATAATAATAGGGATAGTCTTGGTGGTGTTCAACAACAACAACAAGACAATAACAATACCAATGGAATCATTTTAATTGAAAGATCGATTCAATTTAATTATTCATTGCCCTCGACTATCATCACAATCATCAAGAGTAGAACAAGTCAAGTTGCCAAAGTTGAACAAGACAATAGATTGGGTGCACTCTATCTATCATTACAAGACCATTTAGAGAATAGTATTTCATCTAGATCTCAAACTGTTCTTTTAAATAATAATAATAATAATAATACTAATAATAATAATAATAATGGAAATTTGGTTAGATTATTAATTGAACAAGTATCAGAATCTAGAATTTATTTATCAGTTGTTGGACCATCACAACGTATTTATTCGATTCAAGATTTGGTTGAAAAGGCAATTAATATTATTGAATCGGTTGCATCATTGTTATTGGCTAATAACAAATACAAGGTATTGGTTCCATGTATATGTTGCAGACAATCCGATTATGATTCATACCAATCATCTAGATTACGTAGTCCTAGTTTAATCGAAAAGTTAACGTCGAGCAAACAACAACAACAACAGAGCAATAGATCATCATCATTAATCAATCCAAAACTATTTGACAATCATTCAAGTGTGTCTGTCAATTCATTGGTCATCGATGATTGTGGTTACTTTTTATTAGAGATTATCGAATTGGCCTTTCTCAATGATATTAGAGAGTTTAAGTGTCCGTCGACCAAAGGAATACAAACAACTTCGATTCCCGTTAAATGGTTGTCACCGGACATTTCAATGTCATATTTACCAACCCCGGGTGTTGGTACTTCCAATATTCTCCAACACTCTTCGCTCATCTATGAAAAGGAACTTGGTAGAGGTGGGTTTGGTGTCGTTTACAAAGGTAAATATGGTCAAGAAACTGTTGCTATCAAGAAGTTGATCATCCCTGAAAGAGAAAATCAAAGTGCCGACGATCAACAACAACAATTGGAATTGCTAGATTCAACGGTCACTCTAGATGTTGTTGTTTCATCAACTCCATCCAGCAGTAGTAGTCCTCCAAACACCAATCATTCATTGATGAACCGTAATCGTAGTAGTAGCAAGATAGTCACTGTTGACATGCTCAGTCCACAAGACAACTTGGATATCATTCAATGTTTTAGAGATTTTAGAAGAGAAAGCTATGTATTGGGACATTTACAATCTAAACCACGTGTATTAAGACTGGTAGGATTGGTTTTGTTCCCATTATGCTTGGTGACAGAGTTTGTTGCCAATGGTGACTTGGAACAGTTTTTGGCATCGAATAGACCATTGCCAATCCCCATCTGTTTGGCTCTTTCATTAGACATTACATGTGGAATGATAGAAATGCATCATCGTAACAGTCCACCACTCCACCACAATGATTTGAAACCTCCCAACATCCTCCTTCAACAAATACCAACCATTCAATCATCAGATCAATATCTTTTAGATTTAATACAATCTTTACAAAAGAAGCAACCAACGACATCCTCTTCTTCATCTTCATCTTCATCATCATTATCATTGTCAAAGTTGAATTATATTGATCAAAATAATATCAATGCATTTACAGTGATTGGTGATTTGGGAACTGTTAGAGACTCTTATTCATCTAGAATTGAAGGTAGACTAGTTGATAATCCAATCTATTTGGCACCAGAGATTATGAAGGGACAATGGCACAATCAACAGATAGATGTCTATGGATTCGGTGTCATGTTGTGGGAGATGCTCTCCAACACTGGTGGATTCTTTTCAGAGATTAGTTTTTTGGGTGGTATCGAAGAGACGGTTTGTAAAGGTAATCGTCCACCTCTTTCTCAAGATCCATTAAATACACCATTTAAAAAACTCATTGCACTATGTTGGAGTCAAGATATTACACGTCGTCCTAGTTTTCTTCAAATCAAAGATCATTTGGTTGAAATTACCAAACAATATTTAGTTTCAAACAAATTGGCTCCAAATACAATTCTAAATCAAAATAATCAAAATAGAAATATGACAATTATTAATAATAATCAAATGACAAATGATGATAATCAATCTTCTTCCAACTCTTTCAACTCTATCAATAATAATAATAATAATGAAGACAACAACAATAATATAGATAATATTGACAATGAGATGAATATTACATCAGTTGGTAGTATTAGAAATGGATGGTTGGATGCATTAATGTCATCTTCACAACAAAAATTAAGAACTACTCAATACTTGAAGAGTCATATTGAAAATAACTAGACAAAGAGAGAAAGAATAAAACACAAAATTAGATATCTCCAAAAAAGGTTGTGGACAAAAATGAAATTTCATAGATGGATCGATCTCAAAAGATCTTTTTTGTTGGGCAACCTCCATGTGCAACGTGGTTTTTCGCAGACACCCAATTTTTATTGGAAGATTTATTTATTTCTTTGTCCTCATCCATCACAAAATGATCATGATGAGGTCCATACGTGTTCATCTTCAAACCAAGAGAGATAGATAGTAGTAATAATCATATTTTAAAAGATGTCACCAAAATTAATAGAAATGAAATCGCTCAAGCAATTGTATTCAATTGAAAGTGAGGGTATTCATTTAAAGTATGATGAAAAGGAGCACGGCCAAAGAAGATTATTATGTATTGATTTTGATAATCTTATATGCTCGCTTGATACAGAGTACCAGCTTAGACAACAGAGACTCATCCGATCGAATCAAATCAATGTGGTCTCTACACTTCAGTTTAGAGAATTTATGGAAACCAGTCTTAGAAAGCTGCTAGAAACTGGATTCAAGTTAGTATTTTTTAGTGATGGTGTAGAGAGTGAAGAGAAAGCCAATTCAACAAAAGTTGAAAGATTTGGAACCAGAGCTAAAAACTATAAATCTTTTGGTGAAAGAATTTGGGATCCAACAAAAAAGATTTCAAGTTATTCTAGTAAACCTTCAAATATTTTAGCCTATGTATGTATATATATATATCATAGACTATTTAAATATATAATTTATTTATTTTTTTTTTATACGATATTTATTTTTGTAGGAAGAAGTGTATCATATACTTTTACACTTGATTGATCAAGGTCATCCAATTGAATGGAGTTTATGTAAAAAGGAAGGTGACTTGGAATTGATTCAATATGCTCACAAGTATAAAGAAATCCTTTATGGTATCCTTTCCAATGACAATGATTTCTTTTTCGCCAATGTTGGAAGTGACTGCACATTGGTGACAACTGGGGACTTGGGATTCAACTTGGAACATGGATTTAGAAAATTCATTCCCTACAACTTTAAAACAACTTGTCAAAGATTAAATTTTAAACATAATTCATTATTGGTAAGCTATCTCAAATAATAATAATAATAATAATCTATCATCTAGAAATATTGTATTAATTAATTATAATTAATTAATTCATTTTAATTATATTTTTTAGGTTATATTATTTGTATTAATTCATACTGAATTGGGAGCAAAGGATAAATCACTAGATTATTTTATAAAGTTGACCAATACATTGTTCCCTGTAGAGGATGAAGAATGGTTGACATCTAGTGACAATGTAGACACTATTGTCGAGAGAATTACAGATGCCTATAAATTAAATGAATTTAGACAAACTGTTTGCAAGGAGCTGTATCTATCATCTCAACCAAAGATATTGGCCAATGTACATCAAGACTGGTCATTGACAGAGTTTAATGGTATCTTTTCAAAGTTTATCAATCCAAGAAAATTAATCTCATCGACTCTTTTCAGACCGAGTTTGGTGTCTATTAACATCGACCACAATGAATTGGTACATTGGAGAGATGATTCTAGTCAGTATATCACCTACTTGACTGCACCGGTTCGAACCAACATCTACTCTATGTTTTGCAGTAAACCCGTCACTGAAAGATTGATCGACTTTAATGCCAAGGATCTCGTCCAAACCATCCAAAGAGATCTTGTCAAAGTTCCCATCACTGCACTCGAATCATACCAAAATGAATCGATCGATACAATCACCCGTCTCAAAACATTCTATCAAATGGCCAACGTGCAATGGCCAGACAACCAATTCGGCGATGAAATGACACCAGAGCTCAAAAGTATTCCTGTATGGCACCATTTTGTCATTGCATCTTGGTTGTTTATTCTCAAGTGCAAGGATTGGAAGATTGTCGATGAGGATGAGTTTGACTGTTTCCTACTCCACTCTTTGTTCCTTCGTTATGGTCTTGGTAAGACTATATTGACAAGTGCACCACAATCACCAAACTCCAACCATGTTGAATACTTTAAGGGTACAATTGATAGATACAACTGTCACCAATACCAAATCTATGTGTTTTTCAACCTCATGTTATTGAATTGCTACCAAATCTCTGCTTGTTTGAATCTTGACCCAGACCAAACCAGACCTGCTCCATCACAATTCTCCGACGGTGATCTATACCAACTGCTATCGAAATCAGTTACCATCAACATTTACAATCCAAAGAATGTAAAAGACTATAAACCAACACCCAACCAAAACAACAACAACGTCATTGGTATCGACAATAGACTATTCACCAAGTACCAATCGATCATCCAATCAAACAAACCATTAATGAATGATTTCAAATTAATTAAATCAATCATTAAACCTTCATTACCACAATACAAATAATAATTATAAACATCAATATTCACCTTCTCAAATAATTTAATAATTATTTAATATTAATATTAATATTACTTCCAACAATATTCTCTAAACCATAAAAAAAAAAAATATAAATAAACCAAAAAAAAATATTCGAAAACCGACTCAAACAAATCCATTCATTACTGTATTTCATCTTTTCATATATTTGATAAAGAAGTAGAAGATGGATACGACGACAACAACAACTAGTGAACCATCAACAGTAGTTGTAGAAGAAACGAAAAGTGTTGTAGTTGAAGAAATCAAACCATCGACTGAAACAACAACAACGACAACTGCAGTTGCTACTACTGCTCCTGTTCATAAACATGATAATAGAAAGTTTCATCAATCAGAAGCACCAGTTAAAGCAGAGTTTAGATTACCAATTCCAGCTGCTGTTGAAAGGGGTAATAACGTAAAGAGAGAAAGAACAACTGGTGGTGAAGGAGGTGAAGGTGAAGAATCAGTTGCTGCTGCACCAGAACAAACAGCCCAGAAAAAAGCTAGAGAACAAAAACCTAAAAAGGTTAAGAAACAAAGAAGAGAAGATGTACCAAAGGAATTAAGAGTAAACTATCAACCTATCTATCTATCTATCGATATATACAATATTTGATCAAGTAGCATGATACTTATATTCTTTCTTTCTTTCTTTTTGATTTATTTTAATTTCTTTTTTCTAGTTATGTCAACTTAATCTTAGATCAGGAACATGTACATATGGAGATTCATGTAAATACAGTCATGATTTGGTTAAATATATGGAATTGAAACCAAAATCTATTGGAGACAAATGTATCTTTTTCGATACCTATGGTTTCTGCAAGTATGGTATCACTTGTAGATTTGGTGATTTACATATCAATGGTACACAATCACTTGTCGATGAAGAAAAGATGAAAAAGTATCAAGAACAAGAAGCATCATCAAAAAACAAGAAAAATGATGTCCCTCCTGAAGTTCAAACTGCACTTAGAAAAAAGACATTAAAGTATCCAAGATCAACAGAATACTATAAAAAGAATAATATCTCTCAAAGAGGTGAAAATAATAATAACAATAATAATAATAATAATAATAATAATAATAATAATAATAATAATAATAAGAAACCACAACAACAAGATCAATCTCAACCAACAACTACTGCTGCTACTACTACAACAACAACGATTGTAGAAGAAAAAAAGGTTGAGGATGAAAAGGTAGAAACTAAAGTAGAAGAAACTACTTCTACTTCTACTTCTACTTCTACCTCAACAATTAAAGTAACACAATCACATGAAGATACACAAATTGAAAAAGAAATTAAATTAAGAGCATGTGAAAAAAAGACAATTTCATTCAAGGATCAATTATATCTTGCACCTTTGACAACTGTTGGTAATCTTCCATTTAGAAGATTGTGTAAGGATTTGGGTGTCGATATTACATGTGGAGAGATGGCATTGGCAAGTAATATTGTGATTGGTCAACAAAGTGAACTTGCATTGTTTAAGCGTCACGCGAGTGAGGACAAGTTTGGTGTGCAAGTGTGTGGTCCACACCTCGACTCGATGATCCATACGGCCGAGTTTATCAACGAGTATATGGATGTTGACTTTGTCGATATCAACTCGGGATGTCCAATTGATTTGGTGTGCAATATGGGTGCTGGTGCTGCCATGATGGAGAGACCAAATAGAATGGAGACGTTGGTACGTGGCATGTCGAGTGTTTTGGATGTACCATTGACCATCAAGATTCGTATTGGCAAGTCTGAGGAATCACCCAATGCACACAAACTCATTCCTAACCTCAAGGAATGGGGTGCTCAAGCAGTCACCTTACACGGACGTTCAAGAGCACAGCGTTACACACGTCTTGCCAACTGGGAGTATATCCGTGAGTGTGCTGATATCTCCCCACTCCCTCTTATTGCCAACGGCGACATTTACAACTGGCGTGACATTGAAAAGGTCAAAGAGAGCAAGATCTCATCGTTGATGGTTGCCAGAGGCGCCCTCATCAAGCCATGGATCTTTACCGAAATCAAGGAGCGCAGAGACTGGGACATTTCAGCGTCTGAGCGTCTCGACCTCATCAAAGACTTTGTCAACTATGGTCTCACTCACTGGGGATCCGATCAACAAGGTGTCGACAACACCCGTCACTTTTTACTCAACTGGCTCTCGTTTACACATCGATATGTACCCGTTGGTATCCTCGAGTCTGCCTACTCCAAGATCAACGAACGTCCACCAGGTTACTTTGGCAGATCCGACATGGAAACTTTGATGTGCAGTAGCAATATTAGAGATTGGGTTAAAATCTCTGAAATGTTCCTTGGTCCAGTTTCCCAAGACTACATCTTTGTTCCAAAACATAATTCAAATAGTTATGAAGCTCAAGGTTAAAATCTTTAAATCAAATTAATAATTATTAACAAATAATTAATTAAGTAATAAATAATAATTTCAAAAAAAAAAAAAAATACAAAAAAACAATCTCATTTCAATGATTTTAAAATGGTTGAAATTTCGGGTCAGTTGAACCAGAGTATACTGAGATATGAACTGGTCATGAAAATTTTTCGTTTACGTTTAGCTGTTTTCGTTTTTAGGACCTGATTTTTATCAGATATTTTAGGGGCCGATACCGTATAATATTTTTTTATATATTTTCGGCTTTGCAATTATAATTGTAGCACACACTGGGTACCATGCACATTTATGACTGCAACACCCTACGAGGAACCACAACCTTTCATTCGTTCAATCTTTGGTTTTCTTCATCTTCATAATCATCATAGACATACGTAAACAGAGAATAGAGAGAGATATACTATGAAACGGGCCTACCTACTCCTTTTTATTACTTTATGTATTTATTTTTGTTTTTTTATTGAAAAAACAACCCAACAAACTCTACCAGCTGATGATTGTATGTAGTGAACAAACAAACAAACAAACAAATCGATCTGAAACTAATCACAAAATTAATTCTTCTTTTTCTTCTTCATTTTTTTGTACGATAGTAAACTCAGCCATATGGATGATCCAACAATATGGGCTCCCTCTTGGAATGACCCAAGCTACATTATGTTCTGCAAGTGGAGGTATTTTTACTTGTAGAGACATTGGTGATGGTAATGGATACCGTATCACCCATTTGTATGTTTTACAATCGTGTTTTTACAATCCATCGATACTTACTTATTATTTATTTATTTAGTGAATATACTGGAGCATTTGTACAAAATAATGGAATGCCATCACCAACCTATCAATTAAGTTTTACGGCACTTCTCTATTTGAGTTATAAATCAACAGACTCTCAAGTAGCCGATCTATCATTATCACTTGTATCAACTCTTGCGACTAGTTGTCCCAAACTTCAAACTTTTTAGTATGTTCTAACCAAAACATAGTTCAGAACAGAATGACTAACATAATATTTTCTCTCTCTCATGGTTAGTTCACACAATGATCCAACATTTAAATCTTTTCCAAACAACATTGAAACAATGACCGATTTGTTTACTCTCAAATTAACAGTACCATTTATTAATGGTCCACTTGTATTCCCTAGTCATCCAAAACTCAACGATATTGACTTTTTTGCCCCCAATTTAGATACACTTATCATCGACGATACTATCAGACTTCCAAACCTAGGATCATTCAGTTTTCAATTCAACCCACAGTCAAACAAAACATTGGATTTCCAACCTGTATCATTCCCTAAACTTACCAATTTGTATGTATATAATAGAGATAGATAGATAGATAGATCTAGTACTGTGTGACTTAACATTTTTCATTCGTTCATTCATTCATTTAGGTATATTGGTGCTTCACAGAATATTCCAGTCCCCAATCCATTGACGTATATTTTTAACTTGCCAATGTGCTATGATATGACTTTGTTCAATCGTCGGCAACACTGTATATTCCAAAATACTCAAGTATTAAAATCTCTGTATGTGTGCATACTACTATAGCTATAGTTTAATTACTCATTTACATTTTATTACACTAAACACATTGTAGAAATTTAAAGGGTGACAATACATTTTCACCATCTCTTGATACTTTTCCTGTCATTGACCTACTGTATGAAACCAAATTAAATATCTATTTCCTTCCATTTATTAATTAATCTATTTTAACTTCTACTACTACTACTACTACTACTACTACTACTACTACTACTACTACTATAGTTATATTCAAGATTCAACAGCCTTTCCATTTACTACCTACCCTCCAAGTCTAACAAAGATGAGTGGTAATCTTGGAACACTTACCAATATTCCAAATATTCCAGTTACACCAAATCTTCAGTTATTGTAAGAAGAACAGTCTCAGAGTTGATCAAATATACATTAGTATACATAGTCCCTCTAACTTTAATTTGTTAATTTAATTGTTATTTGTAGATCATTTAATGCAGTGCCGCAACTTGCGATTCCAAACACAAACTTTACAAATATTTTGGGAAACGCAAATGGTACACTTGATTTGACTATCATGTCGAGTCCCAATTTTGCAGGACCACTTGTGCAAGAAACCTCTCTTTGTTCACTTGGTAAATTGACCCTTCCACCTCCATCAGGTGTCACATCGATCCCAGATTGTTTTTGGTGTTATGATTCACCTGCCAGGTATTCTGGTCCACTCACCAAACCAGTTGGATTTACTTGCACCTACACTGTCGATAGTCCATTAGTACTATTGTTTGGAAAGGGTGTATTGACCGGCAAAAACTTGGGTTGGACACTCCCAGCCAACCTAAACAATACCATGATCAGTGTGTTGACACCAAACAGTAAAATAGAGGTCACTTACTCGACACCTATCACAGGTCCACCACAACCATTCGCCATTACACTCAATCAAGCCAACAACTATATCTTGGATACCACTATCATGGAAGCTGGGTTTATCGTCTCTACGTTTACCGTCAGACAATATCCAGGTAGATTAGCACAAGTCGAAGTTTTATTTGCCACTGTCAATTGGTACATCTTCCCAAATATCACATTAGACTCTTATATACCAGTGGCCGGTCCCATCCTAAACACTCAAACCAATACTATATTGTACTATGTTGCTGCACCACCCAATCAACCCTATACACTTACAATTAGTAATACATATATTCAAGTTCAAAAACCAGTTACTTTTAATCAAGGTTTGTACAGTCTAATTCAATCAACTTCAATCAATCTATTAAATCTAATTTTTAATTCTTTTATTTATAGTTTACCCAACTGTTAATGATGTTTATAGTACAGATACATATTGGGCAATTGGTAGTATAATACAATTTACTGGAGATTTTGGTACATCCAATGAAACATCATCGGTTGAATTTAATAACCCGGATGAATCTAAAAGTATATGTACCGTGTTGGTATGGACTCCCCAAACCCTTCATTGTAAACTCGAGCAAATACCAATAACCCAGAGTAGAATGGCAACTGTCAATATTACAATCAATGGTTTTTGGTTGGTATCTCAAGTTGAAGTGGTCACTGTCAAGGACGAGTGTAATCAACTTACCAACTATTGTAATGGTAAAGGTGTTTGTAACGATCAAGGTCATTGCGATTGTTATATAAATCAAGGAAGTTATTATAATAATTGTTCAAAACGTATGTTGTAAAAAATATATAAATAGACACATATGTATATATTAATATTATTATTTTTTAGCATATCCATTCATTAATAGTGGAATTGTTAATGATCAAAATACAACACAAAGATCAATTAGTTTATTTGGTGATTTTGGACCATACGCAATGACCAATGTAACCATTAAAATCAATCATACAATGAATTGTAATTTCAATCAAACTGGATCCACTCAATTCCAAATGAATTGTCTACTTGATGCATCACCAACTACCTATGGACCTGCATCTGTTCAATTGGATCTAAATAGTCTAACATTTGATAGTAAAACCTATGTCATTAAATTCAATAACCCTTCTCCATCGACTGGTACAACCACTACCACCACCACCGCAGGCACTTCTACTACTGGACCTGGTACAAAAACCCCACAAGAAATATGTGATGAGACTACCCAATATTGTTATGGACATGGTACATGTGATGTCAATGGGGTTTGTCAATGTGAAAATCAATATAATCCAATTGATAATTGTTTAACTAAATGTATGTATTATTTAAATCACTTGTGTGGAAAATAAGTATTTATTAATTTGATTTGTATTTGTTTTTAGTTGCTGATAATACAACATTTAATCCAAATACAACATCACCAACTACAAAGATTGAAGTAGATGGAGTTGAATTTGGTTTTGAAATTGTTGCTATTCAAGAGATTGGATTGGACAATGAAATATTAAAAGAGTTGTTGACCGATAGTTGGAAGTCGAATATTACCACAAACAACTCATTGATCAATGCAGTTTATGATTTGGTGATTGCCAACTCTAGTCTTCTAAATACGACTAGTGTAACTGTCAATATTTCATTCTCTCAACTACCTAGAACTGTCATATTTGGAGACCAACAATTATCAATCGGTCCCAATTCCATAAAGTTGGCAGTATCTATTTCGGGGTGGACTTATTATTCCAATTTTGCAACTCTTAGATTAGTATTGAAAACAACGGTATACAATGACCAATCGATAGAGTATGATTGTCAAGAGACTAGAATCGATCCATTCTCGTATGACAATTATGGAACACTCCAATACCTAAGAGTACTCAAAGACAATGTTCAATTCAACGGTAGATTCCTCGATTTTGCATTGGCTGATGGTCGTACAACCTATTCACAAACACTACTCATCAATCAAACCACTATCAGTTCCGATCAACAATCATCATCTGCCATGATCGGTATCACATTACCTCAATGTCAACAATGTATTCTCGATCCAGACTTTACACCATTGCTGGTTGTCAACGATAAGACGGGTAATTGTTCAGATGATAAGAAATGGAAGATTATTGTTGGATGTGTAGTTGGTGGGTTAGGTCTTGTTGCCATTACTGTCGGTGCTGTAATGTATAGGCAAAAGTTGATGAAAACAAGAATGTATAACAAAAAAATGGCAAATAAGTTGAATCAATTAAATTAATAAACACGCGTAATTAAGTTATCAATTCGGGGATCATCTCCAAACATCACAACCAAAAAAACAAAAAAAGAAAAGATAAGGTGACCTTTGATCTATTATTGTATTTCCCTTCAATTCATTAGTCAAAAGCTTATAATACAATATTTAATTATTTTCCTTCAAAGTTTAATATCATAGAGAAAGAGAGAGAGAGAGAGAGAGAGATAGAGAGATTTCTTTTCAAGTACAACTTGCTGGGTTTTATAATTAACGTTTGCTCTTTGGTCAAACCATGTTGTTTTCTTTGGTATCTAAACATTACAAACTATACTTATCACTATTTATTTTCCCCTGAGCTTTTGACCGTACAGATTATTTCAACCTCAATCATACATGGTACAAGGCTGGCTGGTCATCTCCTTTTTTAATTGCCCTTATAGAACCCAAGGAGGGTGCTTCAAAAAGGAAATGACCACAAGTCTTGTCTTGTCACCTCCAAGTCCAGTAGCACTCATAGAGCCCTCCCCTCAAGTTCCAAGACCATTCTACTTCTTTAAATAAATGTTCTATAGTTATTAATTATAATTTAATGATCATTTAAAATTGAACATGTCCTCTTTTCTTTTTGTTTTTTTTTTATCCCGATTTGTACTTTGCAATTTAACTCTTTTTAATATATACAGACAGATAAAGAAACAAATGGTATTCTTTGTATCATCTCAAGGTTCAAACACTCCATCATTTAATGATCATGTATTGTTATGGGTAGGTAAACCAGTGTTTGAGAAGAAAGAAAACAACCCTTACCTTTTGTGATGATCGTCATCATTAACTCTTCTTCCTCTTCCTCACCTATAGCCAGCATTAACATTAGGTAATATAGGACAACTTTGTATAGACTTGATTATCAATACATATGGATTTGAGCGAGTAGGATATATATACGATGAAAATATTATACCTGTTGTTGGCAATGACACCTATACCACCAACAAAGGTGTCATGTCGACTGCCGTCGAAGTATATCAACTAGCATCAACAAAAATAACCATCGTACAACAAAGATCACCAATTATTGCAGGTCGTTACACTAAATTCTCAAACAATCTTTATAAATGGTTCAATGATTCTCAATTCTCTCAACTCTTATTCATATCAAGTACAAATGCAAACAAAAGAATTGATTCTCAATTGTCTGGGTATGTAACAACATTAATAACAATGTAAACTTGTTATTTATTTACTATTTATTTACTTATTTACCTACTTTCTATTATAGAAATCAATTAAGATATGTTATATCACAAAGTATAAATAATGAATCACTTGGCAAGTTAAAATCATTGTCAATTCCAGAGATGGAGACACAAGGACAAATTGTGATCGATGGACAAGTGCAACTTTTAAGTGATCGTCTCACTGGTCTCGCAAGAGACATGAAAGATTTGGTGAGTGACAAGTTCTTGGCACTTGTATTGTTTTGTTCAGAGGGTGATAATACTGCCGATGCTATCAATGTCGCTCGATTCGTTTCTCAATACATTGGTCTTCCATCAAAGGATCAATTTGAAATCCCATCCTCATGGAATCTTATGCAAGGTCCTGCTGTAGATCAATCATTATTCTTTTAAATCAAATAAACAGAGGTATAAAGAAAAAGTAATTATATTTTATTATTATTATGATTAAAGAGAAAATTGGAAGATTGATACCAACAATGACATAGATATAAAGAAGATATGATGGAGTGATAAAGAAGAAGCTGAACTTCTAGCTCTTAAAATACTGTCAACCTTGGTACATGCACTATCACTAAACAAGTCACTCTTACAGTCTAATTGAGCGAGACCAAGGAGATTGTTGCATGCCTTTTTGTAATCTAGACAGGTTTGTCGACACACTGGTTTGGGTTTACTCTTGCCATCACAGCTAACACAACCTTGGGAACATATCATTTTGGCTTGCATTTGTTGACATGTTTCCTCTTCTTTGTTCTTTGGCTTGTCCATTTGCAACATGATATGGTTGTCTGCACCCATGCAGGCGGTTGAAGACACCACCTTTCCTTTTACTCCACATGCTCTTGTCTTGGGTGCCAATTGGCATGTTCCATTGGATACTCCTTTAGAGTCGAGAAGGGTGGTTGAATTGGCACCACCAATCACTCCACAGTCACCATTGTCATATTGACAGTTGAATGTATTGCATTCATAGTCACAAGCTCCATTACCCAACATTGATTCTAGACATCCCAAGTCACACATGCCTCCAATCTTTCCAGAGTTGACAACGTCACAGTCACCACCATCATAGTTACATTGTTTTACGTTGCATGCAGACATACACCATCCGTCACCGACAAGGTTGAGGGGACATCCCGGAGCACACTCTTGCTTTTCATTTCCACCTCGGCAATCACCACCGTCAAACAAACATTCCTTGGAATAACATTCATTGTTACAAACACCATTCTTGATCATTGCAGGTTGACAACCAGCTGAACATTCTTTGGTGATCATTCCCTTTGAAGTTGGTGGACTAGTACAATCTTTTCCATCCCATTTACAAGCTTCATTATAACACTCTGAGTCACATTCTCCATCACCTATAAATGTTTTAAAACATCCTTTGGAACAAAATTGTGAATCTAAAGAAATAATAATTAAGTTAATTTCAAATCTATCTATCTTTAAATATATTAATATTAATATTTCTATAGATTCATACCATCGATATCAATGGGTGGAGCACAATCACCACCATCAAATGAACATGCTAAAACTTGACAGTCAGGTTGACACTTTTTATCACCAATCATTTTCCAACTACATCCTTTACTACATTCCTTGGCTGAATTGTTACAATCCCCTCCATCATTTAGACATTCTGGTACATTACAAGCTTTGGTACAAACTTTATCCCCAATCATTGCTTTTAAACATCCAACATTACATTCTTCCTTTAAAATTAAAAACAATAGGTTTAGCATATATATTCTTTTGTTTTAAAACTTAATGATACATACAGGATTTTTTTTCTTTGGATCACAATCTAAGTTATCAAAATTACATTCTTGTACATCACAACTGGCATCACAAATACCATCACCTCTTTCTTTTTCTCTGCATCCGGGTGCACATGTTTCTATTTTTAAAAAACAAATAGATTAATTTAATATCCAATAAAATAATTTCAAGAATTAAATATACATACGAGTTGGTGATCTTGGATTAGCTCCACAATCTCCTTCATCATAAGAACAATCAGCATTATTACATTCTGGGTCACAATATCCATCACCAATCCAACTCTTTCGACAACTAGTTTTACAAAAATCTAAATGACCAGAAGTATTAGTATTAAATTTGAATGAAATCTATTTCCGAATTTTTAGAATATATTTACAATTTGATTTTCCTTGTCCTGGACAATCACCTCCATCATTTCTACATTTTTCATTATTACAAGCTCTATCGCAAAAACCATCACCTATCCATCTTCTTGGACATCCTTCTGCACATGTCTCACCTCTATCGTCACTATATCCAACATCAACTAACAATCCAATAAATATAAAACTGATTATAGCTGATACTATTATTAATTTCTTCTGTTTTACCATCTTTCTTTCTCTTTTAGATTTTTAATGATAGACTATTTCGATTAAAGATTGATACTATCCATTTACTATTATTACTATACTCTTTGATTCCATTCCGATACTCAATTTGGGTAGTGGAGTTGCAATAGACAGAATAATCTGGATCTTTTCAATTGACCCTCTTGTTGTGTGTTGTGTGTGAGGATAGTGTTTGAAAACAGTTCACTAACCATTGTGATAATTAACCACTTTTTTTTGGAGAGAGTGGTTAGGGTTCAAATATAAAAAATACGAATTGTTGAATATGGATTTGTAAATTGATCCATTGATAAAGTAAGGTAAAGTAAAGTAAAGTAATAAAATAATTCTATATTAATTTATTTTTATATTCGCGCATGGTTGTGGGGTTGTGTTACATTCATTCATTGCCTCTTGGATTCCATTGATACACTAGTGACCAAGGTGTTTAGAGGACTACAACCTCTAAAGAAGAAGGTGGTTGTGATGATTTTGTTGATTGATAATTATTCTTTGGACTTGATGATGATGATGATGATGATGATGGAATCGAATTATTGTTGTTATTATTATTATTAATATTATTATTTTTGTTGTAATAAGATGATAATTGTGATCCAAGATGCTGATGTTGTTGAGATGGACTAGATTGAATACTATTATTCATTGACAATCCTTTGAGTGAAATGGGGCTCATTGACATGGCACTAGATGAAGATGAGATTGGTGAACTTTTAAGTGTTGGACTGATGAATCCAAAACTGGTGGCTGGTGATGAAGTCGACGACGATGACGATAATGACGAAGATGATTGAGCAACAATCTTTGGTGTTGAATTGGACTTGGATTTTGAAAGTTGGGATTCTAAACCTTTGAGTTTATCCATGTAGAATCGATTCAATGATGATAATGTTTCCTTTTCCTTTTCCAAGTTAAAGATTTGTTCCCTATCTCTTTTCTTTTTATCTTTTAATTTTTTAACCTTGATTTTCAATCTATCACTCTTTAACTTCTCCTTTTCCTTGGTGTTTGAAAATAATGGTGGTGTTGATTCGGTGCTATTCATATTGTTACATAGAGATGGAGTAAAAGATTGTTGTGGAGTTGATGAACAAGAAGATGAGGAAATAGAGGATTCTTCCTCTTTGTTGTTATTGTTTCCGTTGTTGGTACCCATTAAAGTAGAGAATAAATAATTAATTGGTTGAGGTGAATAATGTAGTAATGGAGTAGAGAATGATCGAATTAATGATGATCCTGTCATTACTGGTTTGTGGCTATTGGCATATTCATGGTCGTTGATTTCAATTTCAATTTGTTGGTTTGTTGTTGATGTTGTTGTTGTTGTTGGAGTTGGAGTATTTGCACCAAGATGGTGTTGATTCATAATGGGAGAAGTAACCATGGAACATGCAGAAGGTGTAGATTTAACACTACTATTGTTACTGTGACATGGTGATATTTTAGTTGACATATTTCTATGGTTCTGCTGTTCGACCAAGCTCTTTCTTTGTTCGATGATAATAGTCTTGGCACGCTCCAAATTCTTTCTATACTTTTCTCTTTCACTTTTCCAATTGGTTACATCTCTTTGATAATTCTTTATAATCTCTTTTAATTTTAAATTCTCTTTTAATAATATTTCACTGGTTTGACCATGATTATTATTACTATTTTTATTTGGACTATTACAAATACTATTATTATTATTATTGTGATGATAATTGATTGGAATCATTTTTGATTGATCGTTTAAATACTCTTTGGTTAAAGATATTGAAAGGTGAAGATCTCTTTGTAATATAGTATATATTACTAGTGTACTATAAAAACTAATAAGTAAAGAAAAAGGTTGGGGAATAGAATAGAATGCAATGACAAAAATGTAGTAAAATCCAACTACAATGAATCAACCAAACAAACCTATCTCTTATACATACACAACACACTAGATAAGATTCCTCTCTCTCTCTCTCTTTGTCTGTGAAGAGTGAGCGGGTGGGGTGGGAATGATTCCACAAATTTTCGAGTCACTATGAACACACCCACCATCTTTCTTATTCCGTCAACATTCTGTACTCACCATATTTGGAATTTTAATTCTTTTTTTAGAGAGAGAGAGATAAAGTTTATTCTTATCGATCTTCCATTTCTTGGAAGAAAAGTCTTCCCTCCCCATTTCAAGTTTTTATCTGATTATGATCACACCAAGCAACCATCAAAAAAGAGAGAGACGAGACTGGGGTTGATCGTTGCTGAGTCATGCTGATTTGTCAAGCAAGTGGGAGTAGTGAAAAGGAGGGGGGTGGCTTTGTTTGAGCAAATCATTCGATTCTTGATTTTTAGCAATCTTAGTTGGCGCATTTTTAAGAGAGAAGTTATTCATTTTTATATATACTTTAGTTCTATTATTATTATTAGTATTAATAATCTAAACTAAAAAGATTGTATTCTTGAATACTCAGAACAAAAAGACTGTCAAGAATCAACGTTTGTTTGAAACAGAAGACCACCAAATTTTATTTTTTATTATTTTTTTTTTTATTATTTTTTTTCAAAACTACACTCTGAAGAGAGGGTTATCAAAATTCATTATTTTTATATAAAATACTTTTCACTATTATATATATACACCACGATATATTTATTACAAAAGGTATAGTTTTATAGAACATTCTTGGCTTGGTGTTAGTTGTTTATCAGCAGCGATTCTTCGATTTAATATGCAGCAAAAGAGAGAGAACAGGGCGATGGCAGTAGTTTTGTACAGTAAAAGTAGTAGGTGGATTTTGATGACAAGCACTTAATACAGACGAATTGGTATTGACGCAATACTTGCAAACAAAGTAAAAGAAAAGAAAAGAAAATAAAGTCAATATCATTGTACTATAACACATACACACCTACCTACGTATTACGACGATCAAAGCCTAAATATAAATATAAATATATATATATTTGGGTATAAATAGTTAAAATAACCAATCAATAATCAATCATCAATACAAAATCAAATCTTTGCCTGCTACTGCTACTACTACTACAACAACTACCCTTGCTACTGTTGTTGCGCATATTTTCTAGAATTGTTTGATGGATTCTTGTGCAAATTTCAAACAACAACAAAAACACAAACTAAAACTTTTTTTTTTCTAATTATCTTCATTCCCTTTAGAGTTTCATCAAGTAATTTAAAATCAGATTGTTATCATTATCAACATTATACAACCACCAACAAACAGAAGACATAGTACAAGAAGAATATAGAAATGGCATCAAAGAGAATTAACAAGGAATTAAGTGATATAGCTCGCGACCCACCATCTAGCTGCAGCGCAGGTCCATCAGGAGAAGATTTATTCCATTGGACAGCTACTATAATGGGACCAGTAATTATCAATCTAAAAAAAGAACAAAAGAGAACAAGAAAGAAAGAAAGAGACTAGTTGTAAAACACCTAAATCAAAACAAAGATGATCAAATTTGATGTACTTTTTTTTTTTTAGATAGTGTTGTTCTCTCTCTATCTCCTTTCTTCTCTTTTTCCTCATCATTTTTACTTTATACTTTATACTTACAAACTTATATTTCTACTTTTTTCTTTTATTGTAGAAAGATTCACCATATGATGGAGGTATTTTCTTTTTAAATATTCATTTCCCAACAGACTACCCATTCAAGCCACCCAAAGTAAATATAACAAAATCTATTAACACCTATCAACATATAAACTAAAATTGATGATCATTTTTTTTTTTTTATATAGATTAATTTTACAACCAAAGTTTATCATCCAAATATTAATGCCAGCGGAAGTATTTGTTTGGATATTTTGAAAGAACAGTGGAGCCCAGCCTTGACAATACCAAAAGTTTTACTCTCAATTTGCGCTTTATTAACTGACCCAAATCCAGATGATCCCTTAGTTCCAGAAATTGCCCATCTTTACAAGTCAGACAAAGCTAGATTTGAAGCCACCGCCAAGGAATGGACTAGAAAGTAATTATCAACAAGACACTCAAAACAACTCTTTTTAAAATCATTTATTAATCTATTTCTCCTTTTCTTTATTTTTTTTTTAGATATGCCAATTAAAGTTTTAGTAGATAAACCAAATTGAATAAACAAATATTTTATCTGTTTATCTTTGTATTCACACACAGCAACAACTACAATACTATATATCATCAAAAAAGATGGTGATGAAAATAACATTTTTAAAATTATTTGTGTCATGTATCTATATATATATAGTTTGACTTATTTCCTGATTGAGTAGTTTTGTATGTGCGACCCCTTTTCTACTTTACTCGTTTTTGTGAGCAAGTCTTGGGTGAAGAGACACCCAAAAAAATTATTTTTTTTCACAAAAAAGGAAGAGTGAAAAGTCAGTTCTCTCTTTGCAAAACTTCATTATCTTTTCAAAAGGTATATAAAATCTACTTTAAAAGATTTAAATAGAAACAAATAGTAAAGTAAAGGAAGAAAGAGGTGTACAACAAACAGATATTATCACAGCGACCGATTATCTCAGCACATTGATGACAGAAACAAAAAGAGAGAGAGAGAGAGAGAGAAACGTCGTCGTCGTTTACTCGTCATACAATAGATTATCGAGATAATTCAAGCGATTCTGATAGAACATCACCATCCATATTGTCATTTTATATTATTGCTTTGTTGTTCTATATATCATTGTCATCACATTTTAACTCTTATTTGAATCAAAAGATCTATATCTTATTAACCAACAATCTTTTAAAACAAACAATCCACTTTTACTATTTAGATATCTATTCTTTAATCAACCTCAAAGTAGACAAGAATGAATTGGGCAGACGAGACTGAAAACGAAGAACTCGAGAGAGAGAGACTTCGTGAGATCGAAAGGGAGAATGCACCTGCTCAACAAGCTACTGAGCCATCAGTAGATGATCAACAAACAGCACCCGCTCAACAACAAGACGGTGATCAAAGAAGATCATCTGAACGTGACGAACGTGATAACAACAGCAACAACAACTATCGTAGTGGTGGCTATGAAAAGAACTATAACAGACAAGACGGCGGTTACAACAGAGGTGGTTACAACAATAACAGATACAACAACAATGACAACCGTAGACAAGATGGTGGTGGTTACAACAACAATAGATACAACAACAATGACAATCGTAGTGGTGGTAACTATGACAACCGTAGACAAGATGGTGGTGGTTACAACAACAACAGATACAACAACAATGACAATCGTAGACAAGATGGTGGTGGTTACAATAACAACAACAACAACAACAATAGATACCCAAGACGTGACAACTTTGACAATCAACCAAAATATGTTGTCATTCTCACTGGATTCGAGACTGAACCAACCAAAGACCAAATCTTTGATTTCATTTCCAACAGTGAAAAGGTCGGTCAAATCGAAGTATCGAATATGGAATTCACCCAAACTTCTGTTAGCATCGCATTAAAGAATGTCGAATCCTATCAAGCTTTGTTAGAAATTGATGGAGAGGTATGAAAATCAAACAAACAAACAATCACGACTATGAATCAATTACTTCTTTAAGATATTAACTATAACTTTTTTTAATTTTTTTAAAGATTTTCGAGGGCAAAACAATCTCTGCCAAGGGTCAAAGCACCAATAGATTCGCTGAGTACAAGCCACCAAGATACAACAACAACAATCAACAACAACAATCATCACACCCACAACACGCTCCATTTGGCCAACCACCATCGCACGAGAGAAAGTCAAATCCATTTGGCAATGCTACTCCAGTAGACACGGACAAAATTAACAGAGACAAAGAGGACAAGCCCCAAACATCCCAACCATCTCAACCACAACAACCACAAGTTGAGGAGCAAAAAACTACCGAACCATACAGACCCAAACAACAAGGACAACAAGGAGGATTCAGAAAATCAAATGATACTTTCAACAACAACAGAGGTGGAGATGTTCAAAGAAACGATAAGCCATTCAACAATAATCGTAAGGACTTTGGTGCCAACAAGAACAACACCCCAAGCAAGGGAGGTTTTGACAACATGAAGCCAAAGAAGCCACAAATGGACCAAGATGGTTGGACAACTACCAGCGGTAAAAAAGAAGCTGGAACTCCAGGAAAAATTGCCCAAGCTCCAGTTCCCAAAAAGGATACTCCAAACAACAAATTTGCTTCTTTGATGGAAGAAGACGATTAAACAAACAACCAACAACAACAACAACAATTAACCCACACACATCACACACATAACAACAGATAGCAATAACACTCAAGAACGAAATATTAGCAATTATTCACTATGCCTGCTGGCTTTCAATTAATGAATTCATTTCTTTCCTGTCATCAAAACAAATAATCACCAAAAAAAACTTAGAAAACCCAACAAAACATAAAAATAACCATATTGATAACAACAACAACAATAACTATTATTATATCCCTATTCACGAAATAACAATAAGAAATTCAATACATATATAAAATATTTTTTTTTACACTAAATTGATATCTACTATTTAATTATTATCCTATTTATTTATTTCCAAATAATGAAGTTAAAGATTTAACAATTGGAGTAATGAATTTTGAAGTTCTAAAGAAATAGGCAGAACAAACAGCAATTGCAATACTACCAAAAGCGATATACTTGTTGAGTGAGTTGTTGTTGTTGGCCAATTCTTTCTTCTTTGGTGATTGTTTGTCCTTGTTGTTGTTGTTTTTGGTTTCTGGTTCGGCATTTGGATTGTTGGCCTTGTTGAGTCTAGAGTTGGCATCTTCGAGATTCTTGAGAATATCGATATTGTTCTTGTCATATTCGAGGCCCTTGTGGTAGGCATCGATGGCCTCTTGGAAACGGTTGAGTTCGACGAGTGCCAAACCACGACGAATGTGTCCCTTGACCCAGTCTGGCTTCATCTCGATCGAGAGAATAGCGTCGCTGAGTGAACGTTCAAACATCTTTAACTTAAAGTAAGAGATGGAACGATTCGAGTAGATGGCGTGTGATGGCTTGCAGTTGATTGATTTGGTGTAACTTTCGATGGCTTCAGCATAGAAACTGTGCTTAAAGTACTCATTTCCTTCATTCTTGTAATATGTAGCCATGTCATCTTCAGAGAGTAGGTTTTCATCTGCTGGTTCTGGTGTAGCAACTTCTTCCTTTTTCGTCTCTTCCTTCTTTCCGTTCATTTGTGGTGTCTCTTGTTCTTGTTGTTTCTTTTCTTCTACGACTGGAGTAGTAGCGGTTGGTTCTTCTGTCTTGGTTTCTTCAACAACTGTTGGTTGTTCAACAACAGCTACTACTTCTTCTTCCTCTTCTTCTTCGACGGTTGGTTGTTCAACAACAGCTACCTCCTCCTCTACTGCTGCTGCTGGTTCTTCAACCTTGGGTTGTTCAACGACAGCCACTTCTTCTTCTTCAACTGTTGGTTGTTCTACAACAACTACTTGTTCTACTTGTTCGACTGCTGGTTCTTCTTCAACCTTTGGTTCTTCAACCTTTGGTTGTTCTTCTTGTTCAACAACAGCTACTTCCTCGACTGCTGCTGGTTCTTCTTCAACCTTTGGTTCTTCGACGACAGCGACTTCCTCTACTGTTGTTGCTGGTTCTTCAACCTTTGGTTGTTCTTCTTGTTCAACAACAGCTACTTCCTCCTCTACTGCTGCTGGTTCTTCTTCTTGTTGTTGTTCTACAGCAGCAACTTCTTCTTCTTGCTTGGTTTCCTCTACTTCTTCTGGTTCTTGTTCAACCTTTGGTTCTTCCTCTTGTTGTTCGACAACTTCTTCTTGTTTCTCTTCTTCAGTAGTGGCTGCGACAACTTCTTGTTCTTCTACTGCTTGTTCTTCTTCAACCTTTGGTTGTTCTTGTTGTTCTACTGATTTTTGTTCTGAGACTTGAGTGTCATTTTCATCAACAATAGTAGTAGTGGTGGTGTTTGGTTCTTCAATTTGTACGTCCATGATGTTGTTTTGTGTAGTGCTATTATTATTATTGCTATTTAAAAGAATATCTGCTTTCTTTGTTAACTCTGACAGTGTGTCTATGATTGATTCCTGTCTTTGCTGTAGAAGAGTGGTGTTACTAGTATCTGACATCAACAAACAAACATAAACAAAACAAATACAAATACAATCAGAGTTTTGAATGGGTTCGTCAACGACAAACTTTTTAATATCGCAATTTCTTTTTTTTTTTTTTAACTGCAAACCCAACTACACCTTGCAACTATCAAAGTAGTTAATCCGATCGGTTATATATATAATATCAAATGGGGTATGATCATTAATTTATTTTACAAATAGTGAAATTCTTCTTTACCCTAACCCAACAACACGTGTTATATAGTTTATAGTATATAATTTAAAAAATATAATCCAGGTGTCGGGCGGGCATGGATGTAAAAAAATACAAAAGGTGGAAATTTTTGGATTATTATTATTATTATTATTATTAGATTTTATCTACATGTTGTATGAGTTGAGAATCCAGTACTTCCTCCAGAACCGGAACCAGATCCACTGGTACTTGATTCATCCTTTTCATTATTTCCCTTTCCACCCAATCCAGAACCAGAATCACTTGTACTATCTGCTGGACCATCGCTAGTTGGTCTACATGATGTTGATGATACATGGGTTGAGAATCCGGTACTTCCTGCTTCTCCAGAATTTCCTGAACTTGACCCACTGCTTGCCGAGGCAGATCCACTGCTACTACTATCTCTTGTTGTTGATTCATGTGTTGAAAATCCAGTGCTTCCTGCAGATCCGGATCCAGATCCAGATCCTGAACCAGATCCTGAACCAGACCCACTAGTAGATACTGTTGAATGTGATTTTGTAGAGTTGGCAATACCAACCAATGATAAAATAACTACCAATAAGAATAATAAGATCTTAATTCTATTCATTTTCTGTTTATATATTTGTTTGATTTGATTATCTATCTGTTTTATAATTATACAAGTTTGATTTGTGCGAAATGAAATTGAAGTCGAGAGTTTGATATCTATGAATTTACAGACTCTTCCATTGTTCGAAAAGAAATATCGCTCTTCGAAATTTATTAAAATAAATATCTCAAATCAATTTTTTTAATCTTATCCATTAGGTCGATATTTTGTTGTTGTTATTATTAATATTTATTTCACATTTGGATGGATATATATCCAATGTCTCCATTTTTTAAGAATTCTTTTGAAGTTTAAAGATCAATTCATCACATAATTTAGCCAATTCTTCATTTTCTCTTTCTTTGGCTTGAAGTTTGTATTCCGACTTTGATAATTTGGCATTGAGAACAGCAACTTCCTTGGCGGCGACCTCCTTCAACTTTGTTAATTGTTCAGAGGCACTGTCCAATTTTTGTTCAGCGTGTGCTTTTAATGCACCAAATCTTGATACATGTAATTGGACATCCTTATTTAATTGTGCATTACTTTCTTTGAGTTCATGGTTTTCCTAAAAAAATATTTAATTAATCCTGTTAATAAAATTCATTTATAAAGACTATATTCTATTATTGATTGGTTGGTTACCTTTCTTAATCTATCATTATCAACCAAAGCTTCTTGTAATTTTTGGGTATTTTGATGTGATGGTGCAGGTTGCTCGATCATCTTTTTCATGGTTGATTCATAATGAGCAAGCATATTTCGAAGTGAGGAACAATTTCGTACTTCCTTGTCATATTTAACTTGGATATCTTCAAGTTCAAATGCAACAATAGCACTTTCATCTGAACACTATAGTAAATAAAAAATATTAATTAATATCACTTGTTCTTCTTTTCTTCTTTTTTGGATGTCCTTTTTTTTTGATATCATACTTGTTTAAGAATATCTTTTTTTAAAGTTTCCATCATACGATCAACATCCTCTTGTGAATAGATAGCATAGCCTGATGGTGGAGGAGGGTGTGATTGATAGTAGGAATTGGAATAGGTTGAATGGTACAAGTTGGGCGATGGTGATTGATGCGGTGAATAGTAGGCATTGTGAGGCATTGGATATGGAGGATAATGAGCTCCATGTTGAGGTGATGAATGTTCACGAGAGTTTAGACTATTGTAACCGACTTGGTGTGGTTGTGGTGGTACATTGTTGTTATGTTGGTTTGGATTATAAGATGATGTTGGTGGTGGTGATGTAATCAAATTTGGTGGAGATAATTGGTTAGACCCAGGTGGAGGGATTTGGAAATCTGCAAGTGAACTACTCGTCAAAGGTTGTGTTGGTGAGGGTATCTTGGTTGTAAATCCATTATTATTATCATGGCTATTATTATTTCCATTACTTGGTTTTAAAACTACCTCCAAATCAGATGTTGTTAATTCTTGTTGTGGTGGTGGTGGTGCATCATCTTCTTGATCCTCTTCTGGTTCATCGATTGGTTTAGGTTTAGATTGTTGTTGGTTTAGTTGCATTTTCATGGCTGCTCTTGCAGCATCACGTTCTTTTTCTTTTTCCAATCTTTGTCGTTCCTTTTCTTGTTGTTCTGGTGTCTCCTTTTTGGCCTTTAAATCGTCCTGTCTCTTTTTCTGTCGTTCTTGGAATCTCTTTTTGTCCTCCTCTTCCTTTTTCTTTCTCTCTGCTTCCCAGTCGACTTCAGGTTCACCACTTTCCTCTCTTTTCTTCTTTTCCTCCATTTCCAATCTTTCAAATTCGCGCTGCATCTCCAATTCCATTTGGCGTTGCCTCTCTTGTTGAATTTTTAATGCTTGTTGTGCTGCTCTTTCATAGGCCTCATCACTGTCTTCTTGTTGCGATGGAGGTGGAGATTTTGGTGGTGATGGTTGTTTCTCTTCCTCTTCTACCACTGGTTCTTCTTTTTTTGGTGGTTGAGAGGCAGCAGCTTTCTTTGCCATTTGTTGCTTCATTGCCTCTCTCTCGGCATCACGTTCCTTTTGTTTTTCCAATCTTTGTCTCTCCTTTTCCTCTTCTTCTGGTGTCTTTTTCTTTCCACCTCTCATTTCCTCTTGTTTCTTTTTCTGTCTCTCTTGGAATCTCTTTCTATCCTCTTCTTCCTTTTTCTTTCTCTCTGCTTCCCAGTCGACTTCAGGTTCACCACTTTCCTCTCTTTTTTTCTTTTCTTCCATTTCCAATCGTTCAAATTCACGTTGCATTTCCAGTTCCATTTGACGTTGTCTTTCTTGTTGTACACGTTGTGCTTCTTGAGCTCTTCTTTCATACTCTTTGTCTTCGTCTTCTTCCTCTGCCAAATTTTCCAAGTGTTGTGGTGGTGATGCAACATGTTGGGTTGTCAATGGTTTAGGTTCTACCTCTGGTTCTGGCTTTGGTTCCTCTTGTTTTGGTGGTGGTTGAGAAACAGCAGCTTGTTTGGCCATTTGTTGTTTCATTGCTTCTCTTTCAGCATCACGTTCCTTTTGTTTAGCCAATCTCTTTTTTGCTTCTTCGTCTACTTGACCTGGTTTCTTGCCACGGTTCATAATCTCTGCTCTACGTTGACGTTGTTTCTCTTCTGCTTCAAGTCTTCTTTGTTCAATCTCTTCGTCGGTGATCTGAGGAGCACCACCAGCTTCTTTCTCCAATCTTTCAAATTCACGTTGCAACTCCAACTCCATTTGACGTTGCCTCTCTTGTTGAAGACGTTGTGCTTCCTTTGCTATTCTTTCATATTCCTCCTCTTCGTTTGGTGGTTGTGATGGTTTAGCACTTAGATTATTAATGTCCAATCTACCAGCAGCAATCTCTGCTTTGAATGAATCGTAATCAGCATCATTGTCGTCGTCCAACATAATGCCATCATTCTCCAGTTCATATCTCTCCTTGAACTGATTTAGTTTGTTGATATCATTCAGAAACGATGCCATAACTAACTATCTATCTATCTAAACAAATTCTTTTACATGCACTCTATATCTATTACTATTGTTCTCCTGTCTATCTATCTATCTATCTATCTTTTAGTTATATATAATACAATATCTTTCTCATTAGTAATGAAAGCATGCCTGTCTCTCTAAACACCAATAAATTAGTTTTTTTATTAATTTTTTTTTTGGTGAAGATCTTCGCTTTGAGCTCCCAAGAAACTTTTATTCATTATTACTTTTTTACTGTATCTCTCTTTGAAAGATGTATATTATATATAACATCCAAATTATCTTTATTCATTCACTTATAGAAATAAATCCTATAATGGAATCTTAAAGATAGAATGACATCTTCAAATAATAATAATAATAAGATAGAATGATTTCTTCTTCACCAAGACAATCAATCATGAAGAAGAACATATTAATGTTAATGTTAGTAATGAATATTGGCAATGCAGTTTAACTAATTATCAATCACATGACAATATTATGTGTTATTTGGGTATCGATATTCAAAGGGCGATCACTTAAACGCGCCAAGCAAAGACACAAGATATTTTGGATAACCAGGCTAATTTTTGTTTTTTTATCCTAGTTCGGCGACGGTTTTCGATGTTGCCCGAATCCTCCGTACGGATTGTGAGGCTTTTTGAATCTCACCACCTTAATCGTGAGCTAAAGGAGCCTCTCTCCTCTCATCAACAAAGATTCATTTTTTTAATTCATATTTATAAATATATAAAAAGAGATAATTAAATTAAACCAATCATCCTATGCGCATACAAAGATTAATCGCTACCACATTCTCATCAATATTATTATTACTATTATGTTGTTATCATAATATTATCATTACTCTAGCAGCTGCACCTAAATATCAAGCTATAGATCTTGGAGCAACATGTCAGATTTATAAAGGTGATTTACCAGATCAACCACTTTGCAATGGTTTTTTATCCAATCCAAGTATGTTAACCTCACAATTGTGCATTACCCAAAAGTTTAAATCAATCACTATACTAACAAACTACAATCTTGAAGATTCAATCTATATAAATTCAACATCTACACAGGAATCTATTCAACAATTTGGTTTGTTTGTTCGATCGAATTTGATGATAATTGGAACTGACTCTTGTAAAGTGCCAAGTACATTTGCTTTTATTTGTGCCTATGTATGTAGACTTATACCTCCAACTTTATTATTGTGTATTAATATATTGTGTTATTTTATTATAGTTATTCCCAGAATGTATAGAATATCCAGATCCAAACAATTCAAGTAGGATATTGGCATTACAACAACCAGCCTGTTTTGATGATTGCAGTGAAACGGCAGATGTTTGTGGTGTTGGAGGATTACTACCTTGCTCGAGTTCCATTACTTATAATAATCTGACATATCCTAGATTCCCAACCAACGCAACTCTCTATGATTTGACTCCATATGGTGGTAGTGCCAATTATTTGGTCAATTGTTTAGACACTAGTCAAATCGGATCAAATAGTACCGTACAAAAGTGTGATCAGCCACTCATATATTACAATTCATCGGATCGACAAAGAGACGAGGATTTAGGATACCAATTTACTTATGGTAACTCAACTTGTGTAGTAGCTTGTCCAGCACCTATTTACGAATACAAAATATGGAAGAATCTGTACACTTTAAGCGATATACTATCCATTTTATCAATGTTTTTAATCCTTTTCCTCATTGTAACGTATGGGTTGATCAATCCAAAGATCAAAAGATTCGATAAGATCAATTTGGCATTGATGACATCAATCTTTTTCCATGCATTTTCAGGTGCCCTTCAAGCATTTAATGGATCGGAAAAAACACTCTGTCCCGAACCAAACAGATTTGCATCACATACTGACGGAGTATGTGTCGCCTCTGCCTTTATTCTTCATGTAGCCTCACTTTATGTTGTACAATGGTGGGCAGTCATGTCATTCGAGGTGCTTTGGGCAATTAGAGAAGTTGGAAAGGGTCGAAAAGATCCATGGTGGTTTTATGTTGTTGGTACTAGTATCATAGCATGGGTTCCACCTATTGCAAGTATTGTAAATAATAATTATAGAGGTGGTGCTCCAAATACTTTGTAAGAAGAAGAAGAAGAAGACAAGACTAGACAATCAATCATTATTATTTATTTTACTTATTTATTTATTTATTTATTTTTATTTAGTTGTTGGTTATCAACACATACTTATCAAGTAGGAGCATTTTGGGTACCAATGGGTATATTCCTTGGATTAGGTGGTTTATTCATGTTGGGATTGATGAGAGAGATTTATATTATTATATCTGCCAACCTTGGTGCAACACAACGAACAAGATTAGATATTTTAAAGTTGGAGATCAAACCTATACTCAGTCTAGTGATGTATTTTTCAATTCTTCTTTATCTTTTTATATATGACCAATGGATTCAAGCACATAAAGATGAATACAAGGCAGAGATACCCGATTGGGTGAATTGTTTGACTAATCCACAAGTGGTGGACAAGACAACGTGTGTTATTGGTGGACCTCCCATCGCGTCACTTGGCTATTTTATTTATTGTATACGTGTATTTGGAATATACGCATTCCTCATTTACGGAATCTCAAAGAAAACAGTTTCCATTTGGAAACATAATTATATTGTATTGGTTATCAGCAAGAAACTCGAACAAATGTCATTGGCATCCACAACTCAAGTTACTAACAGTGGTGTAACTGGAAGTACTGGGTTTGTCTCTGGTGCCAGCGTAGTATCAGAGTCTACACAATCACAGAATCCTTTCCCATCAGCTCCAACTGGACGTAGAAATTCAAATGATTCCTTTTCAATTTCTCATAGTGACTCTGATTCAGATGATATTGAAATGGGTACTACTTTTGTTGAAGTTCATCATTTACCCCAAGAGGAACAAGAATCATCAGATAATCAACCCGATCAACAACAATCTTCAGATTAAAACTACTGTTATTGTATATTTTTTTAAAATTAATCCAAATCATAAACTATTTTTTTTATTTATATTATTATTATTATTATTATTATTATCTATATGTTAACATTGTTGACTTTTTTTTGTTGAATTGGAAGTTGATGTCCTTTTTTTTTTTTAGTTTTTCTTTTCTTTTTTTTTTTCTTTTTTCTTCTCTACTCCTTTCTTTTATGGTTTAGCTTCAGCAGCATTTGTTGCATTTTCAACAAGATGTTGTAATAATTCTCTTACCTCTGATGGATCAGAAAGGTAAAAGTTCTCCTTATTGCTCTTTCTTCCAACAGACACAGTAAAGATTTCTCCATTGTCTAGATTTGGTAATTCACTTGGATGGATTTGAGTGTCACCGACTAGCAAAACAAAATCTAATCCCCTTGGAATAGAGTCCATGATGACTCTACGCATTGATGTGGTTGGATTGATATTGTACGATCTAACACCAAGTGTCTTGTCACCAACAATTACATCCAATGGGAGGTTGTCTAGATGGAGATGCAACTCTCTTGCTTGAATAGATCCAAAGATGGGATCAGCGTTTCTATAGTGCCATGTAAACAACATTTCCTTTTCTTCAAAGAACGATCCAGGTGTTCTCAGAGCAAAGTATTTAAAAAGAGGACGAATGGTTTCCTTCCAGCTAGAGTCCAACGATGGACACATTTGATCCCATTCCTTTGATCCAGGTTGTTTAACAAAACATCCATATTCAGCAGACAAACCAACATCAACATCTGCAAACCATTCACCCAATGTTTTCTTATCTCTACCACTAAGTAAATAAACTTCATTTGACTAAAATATAAATAGAAAAGAAATAAGAAGAATAATTAATAAATTGTTATTGATTGATGATTGTTGGGAAATTTAAAAAAACAATATATATTTGTTTTTTTTTCTTTTTATCTTACAACACGTACTGGATCGGAACTCAAAGTCTTTAAAGAATTGATTAAATCTTGAGGTGGTTTACAAAGTGATGGAATACTTGAATATGGAATCAAAGTACCATCATATGCAAATACCAATAATCTTTTTTACTTCTCCTATAAAATAAAATGATATTAATAATAAAGAAATGGATTAATTATCTTATTTTTAACATACTTGAAAGCTTCAATGACACCATTGGTATTTAATTTTGGAATTGAAATGATTCTCTCAGCTTGATGACTTGCTTTAAATAATTCTCTTACAAATCCATTACCCCAATGTGATGCAGTATGTCTTGTGATATAATTTGATAACATTTGATGTTTATCCTCTCTTTCATGTGCTGGCATTGTGTCATCACATAATGAATTGTGAATCGAGTCTGCCAAATCCTCTGTATTCCATGGATTTATTAAAACTGCTCCACTAAGTGATTGAGCCGCCTAAATAAATCAAATCAAAATAAATTAAAATATAAATTAGTATAATTAATGAAATTGGTTTGATAATATTATATTTTTTTTTTGTTTACATACACCAGTAAATTCACTAAGAATTAAAACACCTTTTTTATCAGTTTGACTGACAATATATTCTTGAGCTACTAGATTCATACCATCACGAATGGAAGTGATTAAAGCAGCATCTGCAATATTGTATAGTGCTGTCAATTCAGTTGAATCAACCGATTGGAAGAGATAATGAATTGGACTGTACCCAAGAGTACCATAGGTACCATTGATTCTACCAACCAATTCTTCAACATCCTTTTTAAGTTTTTGGTATTCTTCAACATCTTGTCTTGATGGTACTGCAACCTAGATTGAATAAAATAAAGAATCGATTAGAAAAGGTATATATTTTAATGTTTGTTTGTTTGTTTGTTTACCTACTTGAATTAAAACCAATTTACCTTTCCAATCTGGATATTTTTGGAATAATCTTTCCATTGCTTGTAATTTTTGAGGTAAACCTTTGATATAGTCAAGACGATCGATACCAATCAACACCTTCATACCAGAGAATGATTGTTTGAGTTCGAGGATACGTTCTTTGACCTTGTCGGTTTTCAACATTTCAAAGAACTTGTCTGGGTCAATGCCAACGGGAAAGACACCGACTGAAACAAACTTGTCATTTAGATAGACACCATTGGGAGATGTCTCAAGTCCGACTATTCTTGTACACGCCTTTAAAAAGTGTCTTGCATAGTCATAGGTGTGGAACCCGATGAGATTGCTATTGAGCACACCCATGAGGATCTCTTTACGACATGGGAGGACACGGAAGATTTCAGATGATGGGAATGGAATATGGAGAAAGAATCCAATACGAGCATCGGGACTACTGGTACGAACCAACTCTGGCAACAGCATTAAATGGTAGTCGTGTACCCACACCAAATCGTTTGGTTGCAATAGACCGAGGACAACCTTGGAGAACTCCTTGTTGGCTTCGACATAGCTATTCCAAATATTGTCGTCATAGTCGAGATCGCCTGGCAAGTAGTGGAAGAGTGGCCACAACACTGCATTGGAGAAGCCATTGTAGTGCTCGTTGGCCACCTTTTCGTCGAGATAGACGGGTATGCAGTTGTGTTTTTCCATGAGCATCTTGTTGATTTGTGGACGGTCTGCTTCGTCAATTTCACTGCCAATCCATCCGACCCACACGAAATTGTTGCTCTTTAGTCCAGACAGCGCTGCGACGAGGCCACCTGAACTCATCTTACTGGTCCATACTCCATCGTCCTCCTTTTTCAATGAAACAGGCAGTCTATTCGACACTACTATAATTCTATAATCCTCACCAAATTCTACACTTGGTGAAAGACATGATGTACTTGAACTAGTTGTATTATTTAATCCATTACTTGATCTTATACTATCTACCATTATTATTATTTATTATTATTTATTAAATATTATTTAAATTTGATTGTTTGTTGCTTATATTAAAAATTAGACTAGCAAGTAATATTATATTATTTCTCTTTTTTGACTGAAGATTATGATGATTGATGTTAAAGTATAAATTTATATAAATAAATAAATATTTTATCTTATCTACTACTATCACTTCACTTTATCTTTCCAGTTTCACGTGTATGTTATAATCTATTTTTCTCTATTCAATATTATTATTATTATTATTATTATTATTATTATGAATAATGATTGATTGAATGAATGAGACAGTGGTAGTAGTAGTGAGTGGTAGTAGTATCGCGAATGAATGAAGGTAATTTAAATTATTATAAATATTTATTATACTGTGAGTAGTCGTCGATGCAGTCAGTAGTTCACACACCACAAATATATTTTATATTATTATTATTATTACTATTATCATTCATTCGAATGAACCAACCCCCTAAGAGGAGGATAGAGATATTGTTTCTAATAATCACATTGGCGATCAAAGATGACCAGTATTGCCTTTTATGAACATGTTAATATGATTTACGAATGAAACTCAGGCGTGTTTGAGGAGTGTAAAAAGGCAGATGCGTTCAATTAATAAAAAGAAAGGTCAGAATATTCCTTTTATTATTACTTTTAATAAATCTTGTGTGATATAAATATATTTATAAATTCACAAACTCGGTTCAATATTACTCTTGTGAAGAATACATTCATTGATGAATAGTATAGTGAATAAATTAAATTAATTAAAATTAATCACATGATACACCCTCCGATTATGGGATTTTAGAATGAAATAATAAACATTCCTTTTTCGAGTAATGAGTTCATTTGAGTATATATATATGTAAAGATAGAGATAGTAGAGTATGAGTTATAGAAACCCTTTTTCTAATTTATCAAACACCGCTCCAACAACCACAGCAACAACAAACAAGACAGCATCACCTACCTTGACAAGTGTAAAGCTTGGTGGTTTGTTGTGGAATGATACTTGTTGTGGATTGGAGGGTCAAGAATCGTTTATTCACGATGAGACATCACCAGAGGAGAGTCGTTTTGAGGCACTTCAATCATTGGCTAATGGTCAAATAGATCAATATGTATGTATTATTGAAACAATCATCTGATGACAATTTGTAGGCCGTTTCTAACCATCATCTTTGGTTTAACCACGTATAGAGACATAAATTTAATAGTAAAGAAGCAGAAAAGAAAGCAATATTTGAAGAATTCAATAGAGATCAACATGGAGTGATGGCAAAGTTAAAGAATAATATGCAATCACTTACTACCTTTGGAAGTGCAATACCACAACAACAGACTACTGTATTTGGTCAGGCAGCGACATCGTCTGCATTTGGTTCACAACCATCAACATCTGCATTTGGTTCGCAACCATCAACATCTGCATTTGGTTCACAACCATCGGCGTTTGGGAATACCTCTGCATTTGGTCAACCTTCTTCAGGTGGTGTGTTTGGTTCGTCAGGTGCATCAAGTAATCCAACAGAATCGGTGTTTGGATCGACACCAGCATCAGCATTTGGTTCACAACCATCAACATCTGCATTTGGTGGTGCCAATACCTCTGCATTTGGTCAACCATCTACATTTGGGGGATCTCCTACCACTGGCAATCCATCAGTATTTGGATCGTCACCAACATCGGCTTTTGGACAACCATCAACACCGACATCAGCGTTTGGATCAACACCAACATCAGCATTTGGACAACAATCGACATCAACATCAGCATTTGGACAACAATCAACACCAACATCAGCTTTTGGGTCAACTACGCCATTTGGTTCAACATCATCATCAACACCATTTGGTCAACCTCCTTCTACACCACCATTTGGGTCTAGTAATCCTACGGGGTCGGTGTTTGGTGGACAACAACAGCAACAGCCATCTCCATTTGGTGTGACAAGTACTCCTTCAACAGGATCGGTATTTGGGGGACAGCAACAACAAACGGTATCACCCTTTTCATCGGGAGGTGGAGGTTCAGTATTTGGTGGACAGCAGCAAACTTCTACACCTTTTTCAAATCCAACCAACTCTGGAGGCACTGTGTTTGGACAAACACCATCCACGCCATCACCATTTGGCACAACCAACCCAACAAGCTCTGGAGGAAGTGTATTTGGACAAACACCATCCACACCATCACCATTTGGCACTAATCCAACCAATAATAATAATCCAACAAGTGTATTTGGACAACAAACACCATCCACTCCATTTGGCACTAATCCAACTGTCTTTGGACAACAACAACAACAACAAACCTCTCCATTTTCAAATAATAATACATCCTCTTCGGTGTCTCCATTCCAACCTGGACCCTCACCTTTTTCCAATACCAATACATCCACAACCTCTCCTCCATCATCACCATTTGTTCCAACAACTAATAATAATAATAATATTCAATCCACGACACCTTTATCAACAAACTTTAAAATGCCAACCACTACACCATCAGAGATTGATATTGAGAAATTCAGAGCACTTAGTTTCACACTTTTTGACATTCCTGAAATGCCACCTCCACGCGAACTTATTTTTTAAATTAATACAATGGATACTAGTATGGATAAATAATATTATCTCTATTACTTTTCTGTTCATCTGTACATACAAACAAAAAAACCTTACAACCTGGTATTCATTCACCCACCACACCACAATTTTTTTTTTCCAAACTTTTCCATGTTTTTCTTTTATATTTTTTTAAACTCTCTATTCCTCCATGCCCATGATATCATATGTTTTAAACAAATAATTATATGAATTTCATTTATCCATTTAAGTAAAACAAACAATAATAATTCTAAAAAAGTGTTTTAGAAAAATATATTTTTTTTTCACAAAAAGAATGGGAAAGCTATTTAAATCATCACCATTCCAAAGGTTTCCATCATCAGCAATATTTAGTACCAAGATTCTGGGAATTGCGGTATTCACTATATTCTTTGTATTGGTAATGGTCAATCAAATAGAAATGGTCATCAATTCACATCAATTCATTCCACTTCCATCCAATCAGTGGTCACATATAAGAATAGTACCTCTACCGATGAATGTGACCAATGGAACCGACGTCTATTTCCTTCATGACACATTCACCTTTGAAACAACCTCTTCAAGTAAAATATTAAAATCTGCAATCCAAAGATACCATTCTCTCATCTTTACACAACAAACATCCAATGGTATCGATAGTTCATTCGATCCATTAAATGATAAAATAGCCGGATTTAATTTGACTGATAATACAAATATTAATCCAAATTTTATAAATGTATGATGAAACATAAAAATATTGATATTAATATAGATGGATGGATATATAATTAACATTTTATTTTATTTTGTTTATTATATATAGAAATTGGTTATTAATATAATATCAAAAGATGAAACATTACAATTGGGGATGGATGAAAGTTATAGTTTACTATTAGAGACAAAGGGATTCGAGTTGAATGCCAAGACGGTATTTGGTGCTTTGAGAGGGTTAGAATCATTTTCACAAATGATAGAATACAGTCGATTCAATACTGCATCCTCTTACTTTATTCAACATTGTCCTTGGAGGATATTTGACAAACCACGATTCCAACATAGAGGAACTCTCTTGGATACATCCAAACAATATATTCCTATCCAAGCCATACAATCTTTTATCGATGCTCTTTCCTATTCAAAATTTAATGTATTTCATTGGCATTTAATAGTTGGTTCACAAGTATGTTGATTCATAGCAAACCTAAATTATTTATATTTCTAACCAATAATTATTATTTTTAAAGAAAACACAAAGTAATAACCAAACGTATAGTCACAGTGAAATTAAAACAATTGTAGAATACGCAAAAGAAAGAGGTATTAGAGTACTTGTAGAAGTGGATATGCCAGCAGCAGGTCAAAAATGTAATATTGCATTTGACTCATCAACAGACGAACCATACGAATTAGCATTGGGATTAATGAAAGAGACAAGACATTTATTTCCAGAGAATTTAATACATTTTGGAAGATACAAAGAGAATATGGTATGCAACGATGACAAAGATTCTTCAGAGGAAATTAAAAAAGATAGGATCGATAAAACAAATACCGGTGTATGGGAATTCTTTCAAAGTAAAATAGTTGATTATATTCTTCAACAAGAGAATCAAGAGAGATCACCTGTATTGTGGCAAATGGATGATGATGATGATAATGACAACAACAACCTCTTGTCGATCGAAAATGATGAAAGTTTAATTCCAAAACAAGTTATACTTCAAATCAATCAATTATCAACTTTACAACGAGCCATTGAAAATGGGTATCGAGTGATTGCTTCCAATTCATTTGGTGGTTTAAATCAAACTTGGCAATCATTATACAATAATGACTTTACAGTTAATATAACTAATTCAGACCAACTTGCTAGAGTATTGGGTGGTGAAACGAATATGGAAATCACCCAGGTTGTCATAGATGATGACAAAAAGAGTATCATTTCACAAGATTGGATCACTAGAAATGCCGCAGCAGCTGAGAGATTATGGTCGCCTCCTTGTATCAACGGTGCCGATTTAGAAAGAGACGTAGAACCTCGTTTAGAAAGATTCCAATTACTTTTAATGTCAAGAGTTAATTAATAATAATAATAATAATATTTTTTTTTCACAAGTAAATAAAAATGATGATATTTTTAAACAGAAATAATAATATTATTACAAACAACCATACTGTGGTAGGTGTTCTGTTCATATTAATAATGTAAAGTTTGTTCTACTACAATACTTTGTTAGACCCTTAATTTTACAATATATTTATTTATTAATTCCATTTTTTACTCTATTGTTCATCTTTAATTTTTTGATTAATATAATTGGTTATATAGTCTTTTATGGATTGACAATTATCACCTTTGAAAGCACTGATTTCGAGATATTGTAAACCTTTTTGATTGGCAAATGTTTGTGCCTGTTCAAATGATATGGCTCTCTCTCTGACAGACTCTTTGACTAGATCCAATTTATTGCCAATGATGAGGATATTGGGTGCTACCGTATTTATTTGAGGTTGTTGTGCCTCACTTAACCAATTAGGCAAATTTGTAAATGAAACATCAAATGTTATATCGTACACCACAAAGATGAAATCTGCTGATCGATAATATGAAAATGGCAATTTACCACCAAATCTTTCTTGTCCAAGCTTTAAAGATAGATAGATACATATATATGTTAGACTAATCTTATAACCTAACCTTTTTTTCATTATGTGTATTATACATACAGAATCGAAAAAATGAACATTAACCTCTTGATTGTTTAAACAATTGAGTGTAAGATTTGAAGGTTTTACATATCTGTTTCCAATAGATGTTACTGATTGACCAGTTAATTGATGCTCTATTGTTGATTTACCACTACCGAGATCACCGACAATCGCTACCTTGAATAGTGTTCTACCTTTGAATTGAGTACTACCATAATGATTCTTTTCTTTTGGAATTTCAACTTGTTGTTGTTGATCTTTTGCACTTGTACTACCGCTACCACTTTTACAACTCATTTCTTATATTATTCTTCTTCTCGGTCGTTTACTGTTATTATTATTGACTTAAGTCATAGAATTGATTTGATGACGTTTTAAACAAGCCAAGACCATGGTCAATAAATATCTCTCTTTTTTATTTACATGTTTTAAAAAAGAGAGGAAAATGATCTTTCGAAACCAAGAACTCTTTTTTACTTTACAAGAGAGACTCTCATGTTTCAATGATAATTTTTTGTTGAATATATATCACATTGATGGATTAACAATTGTCAGTGCACCGATTTCCAGATATAAACATTCTTTGATTGGCAAATGTTTGTGCCTGGTTCAAATGTGTAAATAAATAAGATTTTTTGGTTTGTTTGTTTTATTAATTAATTATCAAATTATTATTATTATTATTATTATTGATTGAATGATCGATTGATTGATTGATTATAATTTAGATGGCTGGTACAATGGAATATTCAAGATATTTTTTTTCAAAGTATTCATCAAGAGGTTGATTTCATGTTTGGTAAAATCCATTTTTTGATAGCTAATGGCTAGATTGAGACCACCGACATTGGTAGAGCTAGCAGTGGCGATGAATCCGCACCCCGATACAAAGGAGGATTGCGAGCAGTGAAGCGCCTGGACGTCCCAATGTTTGGACGAGTCGCCTTTGTGGGGAATGACAACCTTGCCAACATCGCTGAAAATAAACGAGCAGCCACGTCCCATTGGGAGACTCTTGATGCGGTCAAACCATCCTTGTGTATAGTCCTCGGGAAAGGTGCCAACATACTCCAACACACTGACGTGACGGAGTCCTTGGACATGTCCCGTTTTGATGTACTGCATATAGTCGCGACAATGCTCCCAAAAGGCAGAGTGGATCGTGTCGAGTGACATGGACGTGTCGCGGACAATCGACCCAATATACATACCAACATCGCTCGATGGGACAACAGGCTTGCAATAGGGACGTGCATTGAATGGAGTGGACGTGCGAAACTCCATCGTGTGTGCACGACCCACTCCGAATATCTCGAGCAGCGACATGATGATACAGTTGTAGAGTGCAGAGTGCGTTGTCACCTTCATCTCACGGCATTTCTTGGAGACTAATTCAAAGGCGCGTGGTTCAATCCTGATGGTTTTGATACGCGTCTTGTGCTTTTCTTGTTGGGCCGCTCGCACGCCGCTCCAGTACTGCCCGGTGATGGGACGCTGGTGGAGCATTGCAGGGAGGTTGGATTGGGACTGCTCCTGAACATCGGCGACCTCATCCTTGATATGGTAGGGGTTGTAGTGCTCGAGGACGCCCGTCGACTGGAACCCGTTTGGCGGCTTGACAAACGAGTCGACTAGTTGGTCAGGTCGCAGATGAAAGTCACCGCTGTTGGCCGTTTCAACGATACTCTTGAGGATATGCAGCATTCCAACACCGTCAGTGATAACATGGTTGGCTGACCAAATCAAGTAAAACTCGTCTGGGTAGCGGTCACACAACACGGCCTGCAAGTACCACTGCGGACGGTCAGTCGCCTCAATGTCAAAGTCAAAGTTGCAAATATCTTGCTCTAGACGGTCGACCACTTGGAGATCCTTAAAGTCGTGGTTGGACACTTTGAACGATTTGGCCAGGTCAAACGGCGCAATGTGTACAAACTTGGGTTGGTCAGTGTGATGATCGATGACAGCATACGACAGCTGTGGGATACTATGTACCAACTGATTTAAAGCGTGGTACAGTATCTTGAAACAATAGTCTTTGGAAATGGGAGTGAATTGTTTTTCGGTCACTTTTATCTGCATCGATCCTAATATCGATCCGAAAATTCCTGCCAGTTGTTTGGAAAGTTGGTACTTTTCAGATAGACCTAATGGTCGTACCACACTATAATTTGGTGCTGGTCCTGGTACTGGTGCTGGTGGTTGTGGTTGGACTATGACAGGTTCCATCTATCTCTCTCTCTCTCTCTCTCTCTTTGATTTAATTTTCAAATAATAAATAATTATAAAAATACACAATTTATAGGATGCTGGATTGCAAATGACTATATTTATATAAATATATAATATATGTTATCGACAAATGGATGAGCAGTTAACCGCAACCATGATTGTCGGTAGGCAGGCAGTCAGTCTGTCAGTCTGTCATTTGAATGTGACAGGCAATGGAATGGAACCAACCAAATTAATTGTATTCGATGAATTCATATACATTTTAAATATATTAAATTAAAAATTACTATTACGATTATAGTAATAGTAATAAGTTATTATTACTATTACTATTGTTATTATATTATGTTATTGTTGGGTTATCATTATGGGTGGGTGGTGTGTGGTAGATATAATTATATTACGGATGGATGATTGACTGTACTATGGAGGATTGACAGTAATATAACAATAGTGAAAACCATATGGTGGGTAGGTGGGGGGTGGGTGGGGTATAGATAGAAGACATTTTCGTGCGTATATTATGCAATGAATCGTCTGGATGTTTATCTCTCTGATTTGCGTTCTACCTTGAAAAATAATATATTTGGTATATTTGTTGTAGTGTATGTTGACGTGATTACTTTTTGTACAATATGTTCACGTGAACATTATCGGATATTTAAATATATAATATTAACACAACACACAAACAAATAAACTATAATAATAATAATAATAATTATGTTATATTTGTGTGTTGGTGTGTTGGTGCGTGAATAGAGTTGTATGAATATAAACTAATTTATAAAGATTTAATCTAACCATATTGTGTCAATAGTAAAGATAAAATGTTGCTGATTAAAAAGGGTTGAAAATATGATGTATGTTTGAAAAAATTGAATTTTAAAAAAAAGGAGGGAAAATGAGCCTACACGTTGAGAAACAAGTCATAGTTCACAGCAATTAAGATTAAGAATCAACACATACCACTACCTGTATATATATATATATATATACACCCTCTATCCATCTACCCTATCAATCTATAATCTAAACTATTAAGTTAAGTTGAGAGAGAGAAAGAGAAAGAGAGAACAATAAGAGATAGATATGGATCGAGATCAAGTTGAAATCATCCGTATCATCGATGAACTAGGTGAATGGAAACATGCAGATGATCCCAAGAGAAAGAGGTTTATCAAGGGTAGAGAATGTAAAGAGGCAACTGCTGAATTGTACAGATATCTCAGAAGATTCGACAGTGAGATCTACTCTATGCTCGGACCATTCAATATCATCCAATCAAAACTAATACCCATCGTTGTATCATATTCAAATGATTTACCTTTAATGGTATCAATATGTAAGAACAATTCAATCATTCAATATCAATGATCATTATTGACAAAAATATCAAGATACTAATATATAATATATGTCTTTCTCTACTTTTACAGTAAAAGTATTGGTTAGAATGACAATACCAGTACCAACGATATCAGAAGGATATTTAAAGCAGACTGGTTATTTATTGGACTATAAAGAATCAATGATAAACAAATCATTCATATCAACTTTAATTGTCATCTTGAAGGAACCATTAAGAAGATTAGAAGTGTATAGTATCATCAAATATATATAAACAAACAAACAAATCATACAATCTTGTAAGATATTAATAATAATAACATTTATTATTTATTATTTTAGATTGGATGAAGGAAAGAATGAAGATTATTATATTATTGAATTGGTTTTATCATTGATCAAGAATTTATTGGTGATTGCCGATCCAGAACCACAGGCCAATGTATCCATCAAGGATTATCGTTGTTTCCTACATGAAAGTTTTATTTTAATATTGGAAGAGTAAGGAGATAGAAAAGATAGATACAACTCTTTGGAAACCAAACACTTACCATTCCATCATCATCTAGATGTAAATTTTTAGAATTATTTTTAATTTTGGCACAAAATATTAGAGAGAATAAGATATTTAAATCATTGAGTATCTATTCATTCTTGTTATTGGAAATATTTGCTTTTATATTCAAAAATGAAAGTCCAGATACTATTTGGTCAAATCAACCAAGACATTTTATTAATATTGATGATATATCATCTATTGATAATAATAATCAAAATAATAATAATATAAAGAAAGTTGAAGCACCAAAAGAAGATGATAGATTGGCAAAATTATTGGCACAAGATGCAAAATTAAAGGCTGCGTCTAGAAAGAAAACAAGTACTAGTAGATTTGTTGGCGCATTTAAAAAGGAGAACAAAATATCATCTACACCAGACGCTCTCAATGATGTAACTGCTGCCAAGATTCGTCTCAATGCTTTGCCAAATGCTAGTTTGCAATCGAATGCACCGGTCATTGGTCGTCTCAAAGCTAGTTCTACTCGACGTATGGCTGGTCCATCTACATACAAAGTGAGGGTTATTCTCAAGTCATGGGCCGAACAATTCCTCGATGGTTGTTACAACACGTTGATGGAGTTGGTCAGTGAGGAATTAGAACGAGCAGAGTCTGGTTTGACATCCAACACCATCTTGGCAACTGATCGTATCAACTATTTGTCCCTCACACATTTCTTTACCGGTTTCTCTTTAGTCTTGCTTCAACAAAACTATGGTCAACAACAACAACAAGAAGAAGGAGGAGAAGAAGAAGAAAAGAAAAAAGAATTTATGAATAATATTATTGGTAGTTTGTCATCTACTCTCTCGCTCAATACATTTAACTTTGTATTCTCGTGTTGTCTAATGTCTCGACAGACATTTGTACCATTTGGAACAAAGAATAATGCAAATGCAACCGATGATGGTGGATTGACTGAAATGTCAATCTCTACAATGAAGGAGATGGTTGCTATCCTCCACTTTATGGGTGTGTCTGGTAACAGCAAAATGGAAGAGATATCAATGAACATCCAGTCAAAGATCTACTATGAAAGAGATGTGTTCCTCAAACGTGTCGTCGAAATGATTCAAATCTACCACCCAAAGAAGTATCCTCAAAGTGTATTGACCGAGTTGACCGAGTTGGCACACACCTCGATCAGTATGGTCGAAAGATTCTGTCAAGTAAACAACAGCATATCCATTCATTCTCATCGTCGAGCTAAAAAGTCTTCCACCAACAAGGGTCTCGTAGAAGATGTCGATGAAGAAAAGGATCAAGATGGCAAGGTTATGGATATTGATAAAGATTTTATCGATGATAATGTTGAAACCAAGAAAAAGAAAAAGGATGAAAATATAAATGGAAATGAAAATGTAAATGGAGTTGATATTGATATTGAAATGAAAGATCAAGTAGTTGATGATGAAAAGAAAGAAACAAATGGTGAAAAGAAAGAGGAAAAGGAAGAAACAAATGGTAAAAAGAAAGCAGAAGGAGACCAAAAAAATGAAAAGAAAGAAGAGGGAGAAGGAGAAGAAGGAGAAGAAGATATCATTAGAATGAAAAGAGAAGATGATGAAGATGAATATCATGGTCAAAGTACATCTATATCTTTTATATCATTCCTTTCAGATTTTGCCAAACCTGATATCGTTAACAATATGTGCACTCTTCTTGGAAACTATCATTACAACTCTGACAAAATCAATTATCAACTTGTATCTATTTTCCAAAGATTTAGAACTGAATTGGATTTGGAACCAATGTTTTACAAAGTATGTAAAGAGTAAACACAAAAAAGATTAACTATAGGTGGATTAACCCATTCATTCAATCATTTCTAGTTATCAATATTTTATTGTTTTTATAATTTATTAAGAGATCCATTGATTGCAATGGATTCAAAGGCTATTGATATGGTTGGTTTTGTCAAGACCGTTGTCAATAATTTCTTTAAATATGCTGAAACTAATCCATCGTTGTTATTGCATTTGTGTCTGCCAAAGACCAAGTCGACAAGTGGTATTATCATGTCATCGGTGATTGACGAGGATATGTATGGCGCCGGCTATGGTGGTGGGGAACAAAAGAAATCAAGATCAGATAAAATCAAACAAGAAGAAGAGTATGACCAAGAGGAGGCCCATCTCGGTGCCGAAGATGACAATGAAAATATCGTGCTCAACGAACGACGACCACCAAAGAGCAAGAATAATGCATCAGACTCTGAAGGTGAAGAGAACAACTTTTCAGATGAAGAACAAATACGACACTTTAAGAGTTTACAAGAGTCTGTTGATACTGCCACCGTTACTCGTCGTGTCAAGAATTTGTTGAAATTGCCAGATGACTCTGGAAAGGCTTTCCTCAAATGGATCGAACAAGAACTCTATGATGCTATCAAGATACGTGGCGAACAACTCAAACTCGATAGATTCTCACCTTTTGTACTCAAACATCTCAGTCTGACTGCCAAATTCCCATCGATCCTCATCAACCGAAATGTGGTCGACCTTTTATTGACCTCGTTCAAGTTCCGTGGATCTGCGACGACCAAGGCCATCAATAGAACCTTTTCCATCCCAGAGAATAGATTATTCTCTCCTTCCTATCTATCCTTTTTGGTTAAACTCATCAATGACACCAAATCAGATCAAAAGAAAGCAACAAAGAAAAAACAAGTTTCTAAAGATGAAGAAGAAGAAGAAGAAGAATTGGAAATCATCGAAAATGAACTGGAAAAAGAAAAAGTCATTGAAAAGGAATTGGAAAAGGATGAAGAAGATGAAGAAGAAACAGAGCTTGAAGAAGAAGAAGAATTGGAAATCATCTATAATGCTAAAAAGGATGATTCAGACTTTGATTTAAGTGATGGTGAATCAACAAACAACCAAAAAGCAAATGTTTCAGATCAAGAGGACGAGGAGAAACCTACTACCTCTTTACCAACAACAACAACTGGCAAGAAATTAAGAAAGGCAAACAAAATCATTAGTCAACAAGAAGAAGAAGAGGATGTTGATGATGGATTTGGTGATATTAGTATAGAGGAAACAATTGCAGTTGAAAAGATGGAAGAAGAAGAAGATGATGATGATGATGAAATCATTGAAACTAGTCAAAAGAAACAACCATCAAAAATCATCCAAGAACAAGAATCTGATATTAGTGAAAGCGAGCAAGTATCAACTTCTGAACCCATCATCAAAATGGACTTGGAAAAGAAAGAGAAAGAGATCATTGAGGAGGAAACCACTACTCCATCCAAAAAGATTACTCCCAAAAAGACTACACCCAAGAAGTCAACTCCAACCAAAGCAACAACACCACCTCCAACTAAAAAGAACCTTTCAAAGGTTACCCAAGTTGAAAAGACTGTTAGTGATGGTGAAAGTGACGATGATGATGATGAAGAGAAACCAACAACAAATGTAAATAAGAATAATAAGAAATCACTGTTGACCAAGAGAAAGATCCTTCCCGAACAAAAGGATAACAAATCAAACATCAAGAAACAAAAAGGAAAAGAGGGTGCTCAAAAGGTAGTGGAAAAGGAAAGCAGCGAAGAAAGCAGTAGCAGTGGTAGCGAAGCAATCAAGAAGAAGCAACCTACTCCCACAAAGAAACCATCAAAGGTTGTCAGCAGTGATGACAGTAGTAGCAGCAGTAGTAGTAGCGAGGATGAAAAGACCAAGCCTAAAAAGACAATCCTCACTCTCAAAAAGCCATACACTTCTCCCAAAAAAGCAGCTCCATCTCCAAAGAAGATTGTTAGTAGTGATGATAGTAGTAGCGATAGCAGTGACAGCGAACAAGAAAAGAAGAAGAAGAAGAAGCCAGCTGTCAATGGTAAATCCAAACCATCCAAGAGTAGTGATAGTACTAGCAGTAGCGAAGAGGAGGAACAACCAACCAAGCCATTCAAAAAATCGACTACTGCAACCACCAAAAAGGCTAAAGCAAAGGTTGTCAGCAGTGATGACAGCAGTAGCAGCAGCGAAGAAGAAGAGGTAAAGAAGAAAAAGAAAAAGGTTATACCTCTCAAGAAACCTTCAAAGATTGTCAGCAGTGACGACAGTAGTAGCGAAAGCGAAGCAGAACAACCTAAAAGAGTACAAGTCAAAATACCACTTAAAAAGAATAACAAGAAGGCTCCAATCAAGAAACCTGTCAAAAAGGTTGTAAGCAGTGACAGTAGTAGCAGCAGTAGCGATGAAGAGGAGATTAGAAAGAAAAAGAAAAATATTGCTCCTCAAAAGAAGAAATATACTGTTGCTGATGACAGTAGCAGCAGTAGCAGCGAAGAGGAGGTAAAGAAGAAAAGGAAGGTTGTAGTTCCCAAAAAGAATGTACCCACCAAAAAGAAGAATAAGAAAGTTGTCAGTAGTGATGACAGCAGCAGCAGCAGCAGTGATAGCAGTAGCGATTAAACCTAATAGATTAATCACTTTTCCACTTTCATTGGATTATTTTTCTTATGGAAAAAAAAAACAAAAGAAATGCAATAAATAATTTTCTATTATTAATTTATAATTATTATATATAACTATAATTCTATGATGATTATGTTGATGATGTTGATGATGTTGATGATGAAGATTGATCTGTTGGTGTGGGTGTATATAGATCAATTGTAGTGTTGTGTAATTAATTAAAAATATTTTTGAAGGTGGTGGCGAGGAGAGGATGAAGATCGTACTTTAATTTAAAGTGTATGAGCCTTTTGTCAATCTATAGGTTTATAACCTTGGTTGACAACTTGAGTATCTGGAAGATAGATTGAAACCAATACAAGACAGAATATACCAATTCCACCAAATATCCAAAAGATAGCAGCTTGTCCAATCAGAGAGACGAGCCAGAGGAAAGAGAATGAAAGTGCAATGTTGAATATCCATTGCAATGCATTCAATAAACTAGAACCCAAATCCTTCATCTCTTCTGGGAAGATTTCAATGACCAAGATCCAAAACAATGGGCCAGCTCCAAGTTCAAATGCAAAAACAAATACAAACAAAAGAACGACCGACAAGTAACCAAGTACAGTACCCTTGACCAATGTGAAAAGTAGTGCCAATGTCAAACAACTAATACTCATTCCAACAGTACTAATCACCATTAACTTTTTACGACCAATTCTATCGATTAAAAAGGTTGCTGCCAATGTACTAATTACATTCCATCCTACTAAACAAATCTAGATAAAATAGAGTTAATTGGTTGCTTGAATAAAATAGATAGAAATTGTAATGTAAAATGATTTAACTCTATGAATACATACAGTTGCAATGGTAATACCATTACCAGAAATACCAGCTTGTTGGAAAATAGAAGGACTAAAATACATAAAAGCATTGATACCAGTCAATTGATTATTGATGGCTAAAATAGAACCAATAAATAATGCAAATCTTCCAGCTGGTTTTGAGAGTAACAACTTGATTCCCATTCCTCCAGTTTCATCCTTCTAATAAATACAAAACAAAAAACAAATTTGTTAATGAATGTATCTACTATGTAATGTAGGTATTTTTACATACATTTAAAAGTAATAAAGTATTTCTTTGAGTATTTCTCTTTTCTATCCAAACATTTGACTCTGGAACGAAAAATAGAGTTGCAATTAAAAATACACCTGGGATTGCACCCAAACCAAACATGATTCTATAACTATAGACTACATTCTTTAAAGAAAATCCAATTACATCTCCAACTAGAATACCAACTGTAATTGCAATCTAAATGAAATTAATTATCTTATTAGTTTTGTTTTGTATTTACTTTGTATTTGATTTGTTTGTTTGATTTGATTAAACATACTTGAAAAACAGTACCTAAAGTACCTTTTCTTTCAGGTGATGCCATTTCTCCAACGTAGAGAGGACAAACGATACCACTTGAACCTACAGCAATACCCAATATCAATCTAAATGGTATGACTATCCATAGTCCATGAGGTACAAATGCACTACCAAGTGCACCAACGATAGAGAGTACTGCCAATATATACATTGGTTTCTTTCGACCAACACGTTCTGTAACAAAACCAGCCAACAAACTACCAATCATAGCACCCAACAATATACTACATGTGAGGAATCCCTTATCTATTTCATTCATTCCACTCCATTCTTTAACGGTCAATACAGCTGCAATCACACCTGTATTATAACCAAATATCAATCCTCCATGTATATTAATATTTGATAACCGTAAACTACTAAGTTCACTATTTGAATTGATCATCTATCTACTACTACTACTACTACTACTACTACTACTACTACTACTACTACTATCTATATCTATTCTAATCTACAACTAATACTATGACTAAGTTTGTATACAACACTAACTACTAAACTTTATAAACACCACTCAAGCAATATTTCTCATCAAGTGCGAAGATAGGGGGGGCAATACAAATGTTTTTCAAACAACATCAGAATCCCATCCCATTCAACCTTGTATCTGTTTGCCCTACAGAAAAAACGAAATTGATTTCTGATGGTAAAACTCGGTCTCTTTCTTTGTTGTTGCAAACCAGGTAAAGGGACAAAAAGAGACACCTCGGTAGATATTTCATCAAAAGATATTTAGGTTGATATTACAAAAAAAATCAAGAGGTTCAACTTGAAATTTGGAGTCGACTCCCAACCACGTGCAATGAATAATGGAATAAAAAAATTATATTTTTATTCTCTGAGACGGTTTACCAATAAAACGATGGTCTTGAGGGGTGTTGAACAGACCAAGGAATGAGAGCCACACCCTCAGAACACGTTCTACACGACCCATCAGGAAAAAATTGACTTGCCAAGCACCACCAAGATTTTAATTTCCAAATAATTTTTTAACACACAGATATTTATTAGTCCATCATTAGCAGCAAACCACTGTACATTCATTCATTCATTCACATTTCGTTTCAAAGAGACAGACATATACATAGATAGATAGATAGATAGATAAATATAGATAAACAAAAGAATGAGCGTTGAAGATATTACTAAAGGATTGGATTTATTAGATGTTCATGTCAAATTGTCGACCATCTTTAGTGCAGTGGCATCTGGTGAAACTAGAGGTTACAAACTATGTGATGTTGAAGACAATTCACTCACTCCATTATTGTTGCAACTTGAAAAGGAGGCAACCAAGGAAGGAGAGATTTCATTCAGCGAGCAGTGTGATATGACCATCAAGGTGGACGGTGTCGATTGTGGTACGTTGGCCAAACCAAACATTGAAAAGCTCATTTCAATGGCTCATCCTGCACCATTTGGCAAGGGAACTGAAAAGGTTTATGATGAGACTGTTAGAAAGGGTCTTCAAATCACTGCCAATAGAATCCAACTTGGCGATCTACCACCATCTGCAGAACAAGTTAGATCTGGTTACGCTTTGGTTCATTACACCTATGACCAAAGTGCTACCAATCTCACTAAAACTCTTCAACAAACCAATTATCATAAAGATATGTTGGATATCTTTGAAACTTATAATTCTACACCATCTCTTAGACTTTACAAGGTAAACTATAAATATATTAAAAAAAACTAATATTATCCTATCCTTGAACCTTTCCAAAAAAAAACTAATACAATTATTTGTTTTGTTTAGATTCATATTTACCAAGAGGGAGGATTCTTTGATGAACATATTGATACTCAAGTTGAACATAGTCATGTTGGTACTTTTATTCTTCCAATTGGTGTTGATACCTATGAAGGAGGTGAATTTCAAGTTGGTTCTGGTTTAAAGCTCGATGAAAACGACTGTCGGTCGGTCAAGTTAAACGTCACTAAAATTCCCGAAGGTTATCAACCACCAAGCCAAACAGGTGGTAGATTCATGGGCTCTACAGGATTGCATCAACATTCAGTTGTTGCATCAACATCACCATTCATTCAGCAACAACAAGTTGTACAAGCATCATCAACATCACCATTCATTCACCATCAAGCAGGTGCAACAACAACATCACCATTCGTTCAGAATCAAGTACCTTTAAATACAACTCCATTCGTTCCACCACCCCGTAACCCATTCCCAGTTGTTCAATCTCACCAAACAGATCCATTCCCTTCTAGTTCAGTGGGTGGAACCTCAGTGAGTGGAAGCTCGAGTGTACCAACATCAACATCTCCATTCATTCAACATCAAGCAGGATCAACACAAGTACCTTTAAATACAACTCCATTTGTCCCACCACCACGTAACCCATTCCCAGTTGTTCAGTCTCATCAAACAGATCCATTCCCTACTAGTTCAGTCAGTGGAACCTCAGTCAGTGGAAGCTCGAGTGTACCAACATCAACATCTCCATTCATTCAACATCAAGCAGGAGCATCACAAGTACCTTTAAATACAACTCCATTTGTCCCACCACCACGTAACCCATTCCCTGTTGTTCAGTCTCATCAAACAGATCCATTCCCTGCTGGTTCGGCCAGTGGAACCTCTAGTGTTTCATACTCCTCAGGTAGTGTATCCTCAGTGAGTGGAAGCTCGAGCGTACCAACAACAACATCTCCATTCATTCAACATCAAGCAGGAGCATCACAAGTACCTTTAAATACAGCTCCATTTGTTCCACCACCACGTAACCCATTCCCAGTTGCTCAATCTAACCAAACAAGTCCATTCCCTGCTGGTTCGGTCAGTGTAACCTCTAGTGTTTCCTCGGTTGGTCCAGTGAATCAAGCAATGTCAGGATTCGGAGGATTCGGGGCATCATCAGCTCCATTTGTCCACGCAGCCTCAAGTAATAATAATAATAATGCTCAAGCACTTGCTCCAGCAGGAGAAGTTGGCAAAAAAATCGATTTGTTTAAAGCAAAATATGTGGCCATGTTTAACGATTGTCCACATCGTGTTTTGCCAGTTACCAAGGGCACCAGAATCGTCCTCCAATACAACGTCATTATGAAAGATGCCGAAGACAAGTACGACGGTGGTATCAAGCCAACTGGATCATCGCACTCTATCTTTTCAGACAGATCCGAGGAAGAGGAAGAAGAAGGCAATAGTTTGAACGACCAAGACGACGAAACTTTCCCCTCGATCCAAGACATTAAAAAGAAACAAGCCGAGAAGAAGCCTGACCTTGTTTCTGGTGACGCACCAACTCCCAGGTTTGAACTTGGAAAGAGACCAAGAGAGGAAAAGAGAACCAAGACTGACGAAGAAAACCAAAGAGTGTTGAATCTCATCGCACCAAGAATCAAGGAATTCTTTGACAGCAAACAAGACAAGCCACTCAACGTTGCTCTTCTCCTCCAACACCAGTACAAGGCAAACGTCAATAGCAGCGATCTCAAGGGTGTCGACAAGTCACTCTTTGAACATTTGGAAAAGGAGTTTGGAAAGGACAGAGTAGAGGTTGCCACACTCATCGTCGGTGCCAAGTACAATGGTACAACCTCTTTTGAAAAGTTGGATAGCCATACCTTAAAGTATGGTCCAGTCGCCTCTAAAATCCATACTCTTGTCTTCCCAGGTGCCAAATATGGTTCGTTGCCATCAATCTTTTCAAAGACCGCTCCAAGTACCGGTAACGAGGAATTAAGTTATAACGATGTTGGTGCTATTACCTCTATCATCATCCAACCACCTTCCACCAACTAAAAAAAGAAATCACCTTACAACTACTTTTAAATTAAATCTAAAATAATAAAAAGATAAAGATCATAACAAATCTACATACATACTATTTCTAATTGATTGATTGATTGATTGATTGATTGATTGATTGATTGATTGATTGATTTGCTGGTACCAAATATAACCATTAAAAATCAAGTGTTTATCATAAAGAAAGGTACTTTAAACTACATCTTTACACAAGTGGAACAAACACTTGATTTTAATATTATATTGGTCCATTCCATTACATCAGGCGCCACTTTGTTTATGTCCTCATATAGATGGGACGGTTTTTGGCATTCCAATGCCATCTACATGTTGAACAGTCAAGGAATACTATCAACTGTAACACAACCACACTATTATTAAGATTAACACTATCAACTGCAATCTATTGTTAATAAGATCAGCACCAATACTATCAACTGCAATACAACCACACTATTATTAAGATTAACACCTATATAAGATCAACATTTACTCCCAACAAAGTCAACAACAAGTGAATATATAAAATAATATCTTTGTAAGCATTTGATAATAAGATATCTATAGTAAGTTATAGTTACTTACTCACATCTTCTTTTTTGTAAGAGCACTGACGATAGTTGTAATGTGGAATAAGAAGATCATCACCCAAAGAAATGTGAAGAGTAAAAAAAACAAAACAATAAACAAAATTTCATTTTAGTTTAATCTTTTGTATTATTAATAATAGACAACAAAATGGAAGAATTGGTATGTGTCTTTTCTTAAAGAAAGAAGAAGAAGAAGAAGGAAATGAATAAATAAATGAATGAATAATTATGATATAAAGATATTAATAATATATCTATCTAAAAGGAAGCACTAAGACAGAGACTATCGAATATACAAAAGTCTCAATCAGCCCAAAGGCTGTCAGAGAGAAACTGTATAGAGATCATTGTCAAGATGCTAGAGTTAAAGATGATCGACTTGATACACACATCGACTGGAAGAGAATACATTACTCCCAAACAATTAGAATTGGAAATCAACGATGAGATATTGAGTCATGGTGGTAGAGTTGCCATCACTGATCTTCAATCAATCATTGGTGTCGATATGAAATACATTCAAGATACTGTAGATATCATCCAAAAGAAAGATAGATCTATTTCAATTGTCTATGGTGATATTGTAACAAAGTAATGTATTCTATTTGTCTGGGTAGCTAGGCTATTAAGAAATTAATATCATATGATACTAACCCCAATCTACCTCTCCCCCCTCTCTATTAGATATTACATGGATTCAATAATGGATGAAATCAATGAAACATTACAAGTAAATGGAAGACTTCATATTAGTGACCTTTCTCAAAGATTCTCTCTAAACTATGATATCTTGATTGAAGGTATCAATAGTAGATTGGGTAAAAGAATTCATGGTATCTTTGAAAATAATGTTACTCTCTATACAAATGATATAATCGATAGACATAAAGCTAGAGTAAGAGGTTTATTCACTGCTCTTACAAAGTATGTAGATAAATATAATATATAACCCTATCCCCAATCCCCATACTCATATATTTATTTATTTATTTATTTATTTTTAGACCAACATTAATTAATTCATTATGTAAACAATATCAAATGAATGATAAATTATTTGTACCACAATTGAATGAATTGATTGCACAAAAGAGAATTAGTGGAGTGGTTCAAGGTAAAGGAACACAATCTGTATTTATTCCAACATCATTCTCTGTAAATCGTTCTAAATGGATTGAGTCATTCTACAAACAAAATTCATATGTATCTTTTAGTACTCTCAGCAACTTTCAAATTGTTGATCCTCAAACCTACTTGAAAAATTTATTTGACGATGGTACCCTTTTATCTTCATGTATTATAAGTAATCATATAGTTAATGGTATTGAAGAGAGTATTAGAGAATCTATTACTACATCTGGTTGGTTTGATGTTACTGTAAGTCTTTGATATGATATTATTTTTTTTGGATAAAAGTTATTAATTAAACTTTCATTTCACTAGACACTTATACCATCAATACTTAATAACAAAGATATATCTGTATTAATATCGAGTTGTCCATCAATGAAAGAAAAGGATACACAAGTTACTATTTTAAATGAAAATTATGTTGTTAGTAATTCATTTATCGAACGTGCATATTCTCTACTCGAAACAATGATTCAACAAAAAGTTCAAAAACAACTCATCCTCCAAGAATCAATGGCAACCAGTCAATCATCACTTGCTACATCGATTGATGGTCAAAACAAACCAAACTCCTCAAAACAAAAAGGTGGAAAAGGAAAACAACAGGTGGACATTGACGACCAACAAGACATTAAACCAACAAAAAGTGGAGGAAAACCAACTAAAAAAGGTGGAAAAAAGAAAAGAGATGATAGTGATGATGAAGATTATAATGCTCCACAACAAAAATCTAAAAACAACAAGAAACCTTCACAACTTGATCATTTACCAGATGTAAGTAAAATAACAAAAACAAAAACAAAAACAATCAATGGTTATTGTAACAAATTATTTTTAATTTTTATAGATGATTCAAATTTTAAAATCATTTGAATCAATGGAAGGTGAATTGACACAACATTTAGGTTTATATCTTAGACCTAGAATCAATCAAATGTGGGATTCATTGGTTAAAGAAGCAAAGGATAAATTGGAAAATGAAACAAACAAAACTAGAAAAGTCAAACAATCTGAATTGGCAGCTCATTTTACCACTCAATACCTTAATCTCCAACTGTTTAAAAAGGGTCTTGATGATTTAGAAGGTCCAAATACCATCCTCCACAAACATCTTCTCAAATCAATTTGTAATAATATTACCAACATCATCGTTGAAACCAATGCAAGTTTTCACACACTAGAAAATACCAATTGCGATACACCTGCTCAAAGATCCGTCATTCTTTCTCAATTACCACCTCATGTAACCAAACAATTAGAAAAATTGGTTCAATCTTTAACTAAAAGTGTAAGTAGTACTTTTTTTTTTAATTATTATTTAAATCTCATCTAACCTTCTTTTACAATATATATAGTCTATTACAGAATTTATAGATAATTTAGAAAATGTTTGTAATTTATGTCAAATTCATCTTAAATCTTTAGATAAAAAGACTGAAAAGTATGTATATATTATTTATTTAATAATTTAGAACTAATCATTTTTATTTTAATTAATTTAGAACATTGTTGGAAACACATCAACAATCACTTTGGGAAGAATTAGATGATAATAATCAAGATATTGGAGCTCAATACCATGCAATTGTTTTATTAACCTATATTAAATATAAGAAACGTTTGGTTCATGCTCCACCAAGATCCATCCCAACATTACTAGAATCACTGTCTCAAGAAAAGATCGAACGTGGATTTATGGAATTATTAGAATCTACTCATAAACAAGTTGTAGACCACATTAAAGAAGAGTCATCTGCCATTCCAATCGAAACAATCAAACAAAATGTAAACAACTTGATATCACAATTAAATCCTCCTCATTCTTTATCACCGTTGTCCAGTACCACAACCACCAGTACAACATCAACAGTCTCAAATGATTAACTGGAAATAAAACAAGGAAAAGATAGTATATTTTAATATTTTAATTTTTTTTTTTCAAGGTTTTTTTTATTAATATTCATTAAGTTTTTTGTTGTTGTTGTTGGTTTTGGGATACATAAACTACAGGACCATTATTATTATTATTATTATGTTGTTGTTGTTAAAATTCTTTTTTTTAAAAAGGTGATTAAATAAATAAAAAAAAGGAGGGGAGGGGGGAGCTTACTACTATTATTATTATTATTTTATATTGTTGTTGTTGTTGTTGTTTTGTTTAACATAATTGGAGAGCTTGGTTAGCATAGAATTTTACATCTTTATCAGGATCTTCGATGAGCTTGAGAAGTGAAGGTTTGACTCTTGATTGTACAACGGTGCTATCGACAAGAGGAATAATGATTTGGAAGGTCTTGGCGACGTTGAAACGGATATTTGGCACCTTGTCGAGCACCATCTTGGAGAGCAATGGGATCATGGACGAGGCAATGACATCACTTCCGACGACTGGCGAGAGGACGCCGACGGCAAAGAGGGTGGTCATACGGTATAAATAGTTTGGATGAGAGTGGAGGGTGAGAACCTTGGGGATGATGTTGGACTTGGCCCATTCGACGCCAAAGACCTCGGTCAACTTGCGGAGGTTGTTGGTGGCAGCTTCACGGATGGAAAAGACGGGGTCGCCCAACCAGGTCATGCAGAGGTTGCCCAACTTCTCGTCAAAGAACTCGACTCCGAGTTGCGAGGCCAACAAGGGGATATAGTCAATGACGGCGAGACGCACACGCCATTGTTGGTCTTCGGCAAGCTCGACGATGGCTGGTAAAAGGGATTGTGACAACATTTCAATGCCAATGACCTTGTTGACAGAGTCCAACTTGGAGATGATGTTGAGACGGACGTCGGGGAAGTCGTCCTTGAGCAGTTGGAGGAACAAGTCCTTCAAGTGTGTCAAAGTGTCCTCCTTGCCAAAAATGGGGGCCAAGCCCATGATAACTTGTGCCAATGCTGCACGTACATGTTGTGATGAATCTGAAACAAGGTCTCTGATGCAAGGCAAGATTTGCTTGGTGCTCATATCCTTGGAAATCAATGAGCATACCTCTGTTACTCTTAATGATGCTTCTGTTCTGACTTCGGCTTCAGAGTCTTTTAATAATTTTACAAATGCTCCTACTAATTCTGCCTTTGTAATTTCTGGTCCCATTGAATCACATAACTAAAAATAGAGAGATAAATAAATAATTAAATAAATACATAGGTTCAAATAATACTATAAATTTGAGCTTTCTCTATTTACCTCTTTGAATAAATGAGCAACCATATATCTAACTCTCCAAGACTTATCTTGTGAACTTTGTCTTAAAGTTGGTAAAATCAATTGACCATTCTCTTCATTTGTTAACATTGATCCAATAATAGCACAATTCTCGACACCCAAAAGACGAACTGAATCTTGTTCATCACCAGACAATGATAAAAACAATGGTAAAATTTCAGATTTAACAACATCCTTTTCAATTTGTTTGGCAAAGTTCTAAATAAAAGAAAAAAGAAAAAGATTAGTCAGGGATGTAAGTGATTATTACTACTACTACTCGATGCATACACCCAAATTGGTAGCAGCGGCTCTTCTAACCATTGGAGTTTCATCATGACAAAGAGTGGCAAATGATCTAAATAGATGATTAGAATGAAATAAGTAAAATTGTTAACCAACATGATGATACACCAAACAACTGTTGTTGGTAATTGTTGTTGTTGTTGTTGTTTGTCTTACTTTCTTAAAGTTTTCTTGTTCTCTGCTGATGCTCTTGGATATGAAACGGTCATCAAACCACATGCAGAGGCACGTGAAGTGAACCAATCGGCCTTTGAAAGGTTGAATAAGAGTGGAAGAAAGTATTCATCAAATGTAGATTGTGGTAGATCTTGTACTATTTTACATAAAGAGTCGACAGCCTTTTCTCTGACAACAATCTCTTCGGCTCCTGCCAACATTTGAAGTGGATGTAACAAACAAACAGCGTGTTCAACTCCACCAACTAAATCTGTCAACTTTCCCAATTCTTCTGACAAGGCTACCAATACCTCATCTTCATCTTCCAATACTGAATCTGTATTTTTCAAATCGACGAGTAAATAGTCAATATACAATGTTGTTCTATAGTAGAGAATGGTGGGTTTCTGTTATTGTTTTTTTTTTCTACCTACCTTGTAAATATGGAATTAATTCTGCTCTGGTACGATCTGGACCCAATGCCTTTGCAATCGATTGAAGTTTACGAATAGAGTTTAATCGGAGTTGAATATCATCATTCTTTAATTCGTCGATCAATATAGCAATTGGATGATCATCTGAATCTGTTGAAGCTATAATAATAATAATAATGTACATTAAATTGGATCGTATTAGTTTACTTTCATTCTTTCTTTCTTTCTTTCTTTTTGTGAGTGATGATGGATGAGGAGTAAAAAGTCATATGGTAAAGCTTAAAAAATCGATTGATTATACGTTCACCAAACAAGTCAATCAATCAACCAACCAATCAACTTGATCAATCTATTATAGTAGTTTTAGTCTCCTTCTTTATCATTATTTCATTCATCTGTCTATTAGGGTTAATTACTACCACTCACCATCACAACATATCAATAAATATGCTGATGATGGTGAATTGATTGGTTGATTGATTAAAGTGAAGTTGTAGTAGCAAGTTCATTTGCGCGCCAATCAACTCTCGCTATCTATGTTTACTCTCTCCTCGTATCCTCCTCTGTATCTAATATGATTATGATGATGTAGTTTATTTACCCATTATGTCGCTCTGATTCAAATATAGTTTTGAGTATATATAAATATTTTAATAAAGATACACAACAACTTGGGTCAAACAAAGAAAGGGTGGTGAGCGATACACCCAAAAAATTATTTTTTTTTTGATTTTTTTTTGTTTTATTTTTTTTTTTGATGCTCTTGAGATCTCCCCTTGGATGTTCACAATGCATGTGAGCGAAGGATACCGTCATTATTATTATTATCTTTGGACATATGTACTATCTATCTATCTATCCCCGCAAAGGGCACGTGACATCATATGATATATTATTAGATTACAATATATTATATTATATGTTACCCTACATGTAGTGTGTGACCTTATGCTATCTACATGTAGATACAACCCAACTCTCTCAAACTTGGAAGGTATCAATAAAGTCCACCATGTCGGTCAGGTCAGTACATTGAGACACGTGCATGTTCCTCTTCTTGCAAAAGAGAGAGTGAGAGACGGGAGTATGAGGTTGCGGGGATTAAAAAATAATTTTTGAATTTTTTGTTTTTAAAACAAGCAAGAAACGCTTTGGACGTCCGTTTGTTGCTGTATTTGTATTTCTTAAAGAGGGTGGGCAATATATTTATAAAGTATAGTTTTTAAGAAAGAATCTTCTTATTTATTTATATATATTTATATATTATATAATAGTATAGTAGATAGAAGACTACATTTGTTGTGTTGTTTATACCGACAACAACAACAACAAGAAGACATACAACAGTCACAAGACAATATATTTCATAGCATACGAGTAGACATTGACTGACAGACAAAGAGACAGATAGACAGAGATGGGAATACTCAATTCGAATATTGCCAAATGGCTGTATCTTATCATTGTCAACATTGTCGTTATCATTATTATACAGTCGTCTATACAAAAGGTTCTATTTGAGATTGACGACAACACATGTACAATGACCTACATGATGCCGTCCTATCACATGGTTCCGACTAGTAACCATTCTTCACGATACCATCTATACCTGTATCGTGAAATGGCTAGTAAATCCTCTCCAAACAGTAACCCTAATAACATTAACAATAATAACAATAATAATAATAATAACAACAACGGAGCAACGAAAGCTTCTTTTTCACATATACCATTTTATCCTTTAAATGTAAGAGAATGAAAGAGAAAGAAAGAGAAGGGAGAGAATGAAAGAAGGAGAATAGAAAGAGAGGGAACATATATATATATATATATATATATATATATATAAATAAAAGAATACTAATATATTTATTTTATACATTTTTTTTTAGTATAATAAACCATTAAAAGGAATACCGGTATTATTTATCCCTGGAAATAGTGGAAGTCATAAACAAATTAGATCGGTTGGATCAAAGGCATACTATGCAGTACATAAATCAATGTTTGGTGGGGTCGAGAATCCCAATACAAGAGACCAAAAACCAAGAAGAGACTTTTCAAATGAATTGGATATATTTACTGTTGATTTCGAGGAGGAATTATCAGCTCTTGGTGGTGAATTAATGTATAAGGAGACTACCTATGTCAATGAATGTATAAAGATGATTTTAGAGTTGTATAGTCAACAAACAAATTATCAAGGTTCAAAACCAACTGTATGTTGAGACGTGGATAGTTTATTATTTGGAACTATTTTATTTATACTTTTTTTTTTCTATTTATCTTTTAGTCTGTTATTTTAATTGGTCATTCAATGGGAGGATTGGTAGCAAGAATGTCAGTTTTAATGCCAAATCATATTTATGGTAGTGTTACTACGATTATAACACTCAATTCATCACATAGAAATGCACCAATCTACTCTCATACATCTACATCTCATTTCTATCATCATTTAAATAGACATTGGAGTCAAGAGATTCAACCTTCACATTTTGAATATAATGATAATGGTGAACCATCTAATCTACCTTCAGGTAAGCAAGAAAGAGAGAGAATTAATACAATGAACAGATATTAATTATTTTATATTTTCTATAGTATTTGATAATATTTGTGTAATTTCAATTGCAGGAGGACATAGAGATACATTGATTCGATCAGAAGCAACATCATTGGAAGGAATAGTAAATCCAAGTAAATCATTGTCAGTTCTGACAACTTCGATTCCTCATGTATTATTGGAAGCAGACCATCAATCGATTCTTTGGTGCAATGAAATAGTTGTATCACTTGCAGAGACTCTACTTCTTCTTGGACATCCGACAACCAAACAAAATACATACACCATCGAGGAAAGATTAAATATATTTAAAGAGGTTTTAAAGGATTACGTTCCAAATACACTTGGCTATACCCAATATTCGACCGCCGAATCAACCCATCAAAACGATGTCGTACAAGATTATAACAAATACCTTTCGACCATGAAGGAACATCTTCGAAATAGTACCATTTCCTCTTCACTTATTGATATTATTAAATCTATTCCATTTGTAAGCGAGTTTATAATATACAAAAGCAAGGAGAGAAGTTTCTAATCATGTTTTGTTTATTTATTTTTAGGAAAAAAATAATACATTGTCATTATTACATAAACCTTCTTTAAATTATAGAAAAAGAGAAGGGTTTAGAATAACTTCATCATCTTCACCAGAGACATCATTTTATATACATTACAAGGTTACAGATATGATTTCAATTCTTGATAGCCAAGACATTGGATTTTTTTTAACAACTAGTTTGTCATCAAATGACTTTTCAGTCATCCTCTACTATGACAAGAACCTAGAGGAAAGTCAAGAGATTACATACAAATCATTTTACTATCCTCCACTCCCTCCCCTCACCAAATCCCCCGTCGCATCACCAACCTCTCAACTCATTTTGAAAAAGAGTGATCTTGAGAGTGTCTATTCCATCTTGATTGCTTTCTCTCACCAAGCCAGAAAACAAAGATTTGTGGCAGTCACTCAATTTAAATCAAAATCGGATTCAAATATTTTAGTTTCTCCAATTGGTCTATTTGAAGGTAAATAGAAAAGAACAAACAAAACAACAACAAAGAAACAAATAATATTAATACTATTTCCTTTTATTTAGATCGCAGATATATTTTACCAGCTGGACATTCAATGATTGTTAACTTTACTTTACCATTTTACTATAACAAGGCACCATTAAAAGTATATCTAAGACCACTTGATCCTTTTGAGGAGAATGGTACAATAATTACTTCAAACTCTGATGATCAACAAGAACAGCAACAGCAACAACAACAACCACTTGCTAGAAAGGAACATCAAATTTTTTTACCATCAACCTATCAACATATACCACGTACAATGGAAGAAGGAAAGTTTATAATCAATTCCACTATAACTCGAATCAGATTCCATCAGTCTTCTGTTCCAGCAATGGTTAGAATTGCCGAACCTATTAAAAAGGTCATTGTACAGGGTGACAACCAAATCAATAACGCCGAACAACAACAAGTTGGTTTTAGTTCAAAGGAATTACTATCGAAAAGAGAATTATATTCAAATAGTCTAGAGAGATTAAGTGATCTTTTATTGGAAGAGGAACAACAACAACAACAGCAACAGCAACATCCAACAGAAGAAGTACAACACCAACAATTATCTCAACCTCCTCTATCAAACAAACAACCATTTAGATACGAAAGAAAGATGGTTGATCATCCACACTTGTTAATGTCATTGGATCCATTCACCTCATACGAGGTTACAATGATTCAAGATGTATTTGCTGGTATTGGTCAACTTATTCTTACTCATGCATCTTCTGTTTACCCAACCACCTATGCTCTTTTCTTATGGTTATTTGCTGCACAATTAAATTCTTGGAGAACAAAAGGTAAATAACAACAACAACACAATAGATGTCAATGCAAAAAAAAAAAAGATAGTTATTAACCAATTATTTTATTTTACATCCATTTAGATGAGATACCAAATTTATTAATTACTCTTAGAGATGAAGTAATTTTATTATCACCATTTTTCATTGTATTCCCAATTGTATTGTGTATGATTTTTGATGTATTTGGTTATTCAGAACTATCACATGTCGATTGGCGAATCATTTTCCCCGATCCATTTATTGACCAATTTATGGTTGAATTGCTCCCTCCATTATGGTCAATCCCCTTATTTTTCATTTGCTCTACCTTTTTTGTATGTATAAAACAAAAAACAAAAAGAATCAGTGTAAATATATATATGACTCTAACCATTTCATTCTATTATTCGATTCCATTTAGTTAACATTCTCAATACTAATTATTAGTGTACTATTTTATTTTGGATCACTTTTAAATCAATGTTTACCAACATCTTTGACATCATCAAGATTCCATGTTTCCAACTACCAACTATCATTCTCTAAATGGATTATTGTCGGTGGATTGGTGGTAGTTTTGTTGCATTCTGCATTGGGCCTGGTTTTCTTTTTACTGTTCCTTTTAGTTTCACACGGAAACACTATTGGACCAAGTAGCGGTGCCCCTAGCAATGTACTGTCATCACCGTTGGGTTTGGGAGCAGCCACATTGCTCAAAAAGAAACAATCAAGCAAGTCACACAGTCTGATGGCCAGAGATCTTGGAAACTATCAGCAAAGCATCTTTTTGATGTATCTTTTGACAGGAGTCATCATTGCACCAAACCTCATTGTCTGGATCAAACATTTGACATTTGAATGGGTAGTTTTCGATTCCTACGAACTTTTCGTCCTCGTTGCTATCGCTCACATCTGTTTATCAATCTCTGATTTAAATTTAAATAATTTATTTATACTAAGGTATGCAAAACAAATCCAACAACTACACCAATCCAAACAATAGAGAATCCATATTTACTTTATTTATTTATTTTTTTAAATAATTTTTAGAGCAATACTTATTGGTACATCGGCACTAATTTGTATTTATTGTTCACTTTTATTGTATAGAATCCTTGACTTTACAATCATCTTGTCTGTTGTGTTTATAGTTTGTCATATTTGGTCACTTAAAGAGAAAAATAACTAAATCACCCGTGCGCAGACAACAACTACAATAATAATAATAAATGTATCCAAAAAAAAAAAAAAAGGTACCATTAAAAAATCAACTTTAATCTAATAATAATAGGTCATAAGACAATGTAATATTTAAATAAAATATTACTCGTAATTATTCCTACTATATGTTGAATGAATGGATGGATGGATGATGTTTGAATCCATAATTTAAAATGATTACAAATCATTATGAAACTTGACTATCAAATGATCAAACGATGATGACTTAAAAAAAAAGTAGGTCTGTGATGATGATGCAATCCATTTCGATCCTGGGATGCATGGGGCATTGACCGAACAACACAGATTTTTTAATTAAAATTTATTTTTCTTCGTCTCCGATGATCATTCTCAGAGGGTGCACCTCTAACTTAAATACTACCAAAAGCAAGGACAGTGTTGATCACATCACAATATAGTAAACACACATATACAACAAAGAGAAAGAAAAAGAAAACAAACAACAACAAATAATTAGAGAAATAGTTTTTGTGGTGGGTTAAATTTAGCAACGAAAAAACACTACTTCTTCTTCTTATTGCATGCAAATCAAACAACACAAACAGAGAGCATCAACACAAACAAAGAGCATCAATAACAATAACAGACAGCGTATATATATATACCAACAACCGAAAGATAGATAGATAGATAGATAGAATCAAAAACAGACAGACAGACAGACAGACACAAGAAGAAGAAGAAGACATGTCATCTTCATTATCACTTTTCAGATATACAACCACCATCAATAAATATGCGCACCTACCAAAAACATTGTTGAGCGGCAGCAGTGGTGGTATTAGCAGCATCAACCAACAGGCACCATCATTTTATAATGTAAGTTTCATTAGTATAGTATAGTATAGTATAGTATAGTATAGTATAGTATATAGTATATCTAGTCAGATCAGATAGATAACCGGACGGAAACAGAAACATTGTTGTTTGACGAAGAGGTGTGGGAACTTTACAAAAGTTTTTTGATCAGATGATGGTGATGATGATATTTGTGTCTAAAAGGGGGTGAATCATCACACACTATTAAACCATTGTTTTATGGTTTATGGTTTTATGCTTACCCCTCCCCTCTCTACACTTTGAAGTCACTCCTACCACCATATTACATAATGTCATTGTATTGATTCATTCATAATTCTCTTTCTCCATCTCACTCTTTAAATTATAGAATAATAGTAGTAGTAATAATAATAATAAAAAAGATTATTTGTATAGACAGCAACAATCGCAACAACAACAACCTCAACCTCAACAATATATTACACCATTAAATAGCGCAACACAAAGATTATTCCATACGACATCAAGTCTAAACCAATCAACCAAATTAATGTCTGCCATGGCAAGTTTAGCCGATAAGATCAAAAAGGGATCTTTTATGTTGGATGAACACAACGTCGATAGAAGTTTCAACAGTCACAACTACGAAGTCAAACTTCTCGATCCACTTGGATTACTCAATCCATCACCAGACACCAAGACAAGAAATAGTGCTGACATCTTTAAGATGGTCGACTCTGACCTCCAAAAACTGACAAACAATATTGTCGAGCACATCAAGAATCATCTTTCCGGAAATTCAAGTATTGGTTCTGGTTTACAAAAACCACATCCTATCCTAGTTTCCATTTCATCATATTATTTTCAATTAAAAGTAGGTTAGACAACAGGACAGGACAGGTGTTAGTTTACTTGGTCATCCATACTTATATGATTATTATATTATTAATTTTTAGGGAAAAAGAATTAGACCAACGATTATATTATTATTGTCAAGGTGTTTATTACAACAAAAAAATATTACCGAGCCAATTGCCTCACAAATCAAATTAGCAGAGATTGTTGAAATGATTCATACTGCTACTTTGGTACATGACGATGTCATTGATGAAGCTACCACACGAAGAGATGTTCCATCAGTCAACAAATCATTTTCAAACAAATTATCAATTCTTTGTGGTGATTATTTATTAGCAAGGTAAGAGACGAGACATCAAATCAAAAATATATTAGAATTAAATGTTCTAATTTATTTATTTATTTTTAGAGCATCAGTATTATTATCACAATTAAGAAATCCAGATGTATCAGAATTAATTTCAACAAGTTTGGCAGATTTGGTTGAAGGAGAATTTATGCAAGTCAAATCAAACGAATCATCATTTGAACAATATTTACGTAAAACCTATTTAAAGACTGCTTCTTTAATATCAAATAGTTGCAAGGCTACTGCCTTGTTGGGAGGTGAAGATGCGCATACTGCCAATTTGGCATTTGAATTTGGAAAGAATTTGGGATTGGCATTCCAACTGATCGACGATCTTCTCGACTATACCAGTACGACAGAGGTGTTGGGCAAACAGGCATTTGCAGATTTGGCACAGGGGTTGGCCACTGCACCCGTTTTATATGCATCGATAGAACACCCTCAGCTGTTGGACATGATCTCTAGAAAGTTTTCAGCCGACGGAGATGTCGAGGAGGCACGTTCATTGGTTTTCAAGAGTAGAGGTATCGAAATGACCAGAGCATTGGCCACAGAATATATAAACAAAGCAATCGAAATTTTAATTCAATTCCCAAAATCTGAAGCTAGAGATGTATTAATTTTACTTTGTCATACTATAGTTACAAGAAAATTCTAAAAATAAATCAAAAGAATAAATAAACCAAACCAAACCAAACAGAGAAAATCAAACTAAAACAAACCATATATATTCAAAACAACATGTTTGTTTGATTATGTTTATTTAAAATTTTAATTTACATTGATGGACCAACTGGCTTGTTGAAATTACCTTCTTTGAGGAAACATTCAAATGACATTGGTTTGTGACCTGTGATTTGTTCAACACCTTTGGTGACTTTGGCATTCTTGTCCATCATGATTGGTTCATAGAGAAGTTCGTAAAACTTGACCATCGAGCTTGGCATACCACTCTTTTTGGCACCGTTAAAGAAATCAGACTCGGATACCAAATTGTACTTGACCGACTTGTTCAATTGCTTTTCAAGCATTTGAGAGATTTGGGTGAATGTCAATGGAGCAGGGCCGGTAATTTCAATGATTTGATTGTTGTGTTTGTCAGTGATGAGCATCTCGCAGGCACAATCTCCAATATCCTTGCATGAGATGAAAGAGATTGCATGTTGACCAGCTGGTGAAGAGATACAACCCTTGTCAACTTCTTGACGCATAAATCCAGATGAGAAGTTGTCCATAAAGAATGGTGGTCTAAGGATACCATAGTTGATACCACAATTCTTGATTAAATTCTCGACGTTGAACAATTGGAGTTTCTCTGGATTGACAACCGACAAAAAGACAATCTTTTTGAATTTCATCTCCTTGCACTTTTCAATGAGTGGTCCCAAATACGATTCTGGTGTCATATCCATTGGCAATGCAATCATAAAGATCTTGTCACATCCCTTTAATGCCATATCCCAGGTACTCTTGTCCTTGTAGTCAAACTTGACAGGTTCCACATTCTTTAGATTGCATTTAAACTTTGAAGGGTCACGGACACCAGCCTTAATCATCGATCCTTTCTTTTCCAGGGATTTCATTAAATTCAATCCAACATTTCCACTAGCTCCACAAACAAATATTTTATTACAAGACATGATTAAAGATTTAAATTATTAATTTTTAATTAAATATTATTGATTTTTTTAAAAGATTGATTATTATTTTTAAGAATAGATTGTTTGTTGGAAGGATGGAGTGAGATATTTATATTTATATTGAAGAGAAAAGGAGAGGAAGATTTGTATTTATTCAATTTGAACAATCTCTACTCTCATATTTATACTTTTTCCACATTTCCTTTGAATTTTGGTTTTGGTAGAATTGTATCGAGAAATCATGAAAGGGTATGAAAGATGTAGATTGATAAGATTTATTAATTAATTTAAATATATATATATACTTTCACATTTACTACGATTTGAATTTCACCTTCATTTATTCATTCCCACACACACATTCATGTCATCCTGTCTATTCCGCATTCCATTTCATAATAATAATAATAATAATAATAATACCCTACCGCTCAATATTCGAATTTACCTATTCAAGTTGAGGAGGAAATGGTAGTTTGAGTTTGTTTGAATTTATCGATATATAGTGGGGTAAAAATTATTTGTTGTTTTTTGTAAATACAATGGAGTAAAATAATTAATTGTATTCTTTCAAATAATAACACAAGAATCTATCTTATTAACCAATGAAAGTATACCTACCTAAAATATGTTGATGTGTTTTGGATTCCTTCCCTCTTCTTTTTTTTACCGCCAAAAAAACAACCATGTTGTCTTAAAGTTACAACCTTGAATGTTAACTTCAAACCTTCCTTTTCATTCCATTTCATCTCATCTTGTTTATATCGATAGGATAAATAACGCGATGGTGAATGTTGTTGTCGTTACTTGATGATGAGTGACTTTTACGACAATGTAACAACAAAAAAAGACACACATCAATACATGCAATGGTCAGGTAAAGTGATGTGATAGGTTCTCCACTTTCATTGATCTAGATCACTTACTCACTACTATTATTCAACTTCCCACGCACACTACTCTTGTGGTTTGGTTGCATACACCCCACTCTCACCTTCATACACTCACACAAAGTAAAAAATGCTTGTTTATATGTGAGGTGAGGGTTGGTTGAGGTAAAGGTGCACCTTCATTCTTAACATGTTCCCCCCCCCACTAGTTATTTTGACCAAATCTATTTGGTTGACACTCTGCCCGCCCCCAGTTCATTCATCATTATTCCTGCTGCTACATGTGACTGGCTGGATTGCAGGACAATGTAGTAATAATAATAATAATAATAATATTTGTGGGTGGGTGATGATAGTGCGGTAAGGTAAGGTAAGTAGTCGATGACATTTGTTTTATTATTATTATATTGTTTTTTATATCATCCACTCTCCATCATTAATAGTGTTATGTGATTCAAATTAATTTAAAATCAAGTCATCCATCCATCCATCTAGAATTAATCAACAACTCAACAATATTAATTGTAATTGTATTGGTGTCAATCAACCAACCAACCAACCAACCAACTAATATTAATATACCATCATTTATTTATTTGTTTGTGTCAATCACATGCACACACACACACACCTAACCTAACCTATCCTATCCTATCATATCATTCGTGTATCCACTTACATACACATCCATCCCCGTCCGTCCATACAACACAAAACAAACAAAAATTCTTTTAATATTTTTTTTAAAACAACACATAAAGAGAGAAAGAACAATTTTTGTTGTGTATCATTATAATTCTTACTTTTATATATATATATTAATATATCACTTCATATTGAATTGAAGTAATTAATCTATCACAAATCTACATCATCCAAAATATTTCAATTTACCTTTTGATTTCACATATTAGTATCAACTTCCGATCCTACCATCTACCCAAATCACTTCCTTCTATTCTAGCCAATAATCAGAGTCACACACGCTCTCTATATACCAGATATTTGGATTTTACATTCACATATTACCTACTACCTCACCGTCCATCATCATCGCAATCGTGTAACGGTACCCGACAAGAGTGGAAATCCAATCCATCACCAAAGTTTGTTGTAAATCCAGAATCATTTTTACTATTTTCGTAAAATTAAATCTTTATTTACCCATACATATATATATATACCATCCCCCCTCCCATCAATCAATCAATCAATCCAACCACCCCCCTTTCTATCTATCTATTTGTTGTAAAGTCTTTCCAAATAGAAATAGTCATCACATTTAAAAGAAAAATACAATCATTCATATGTATCGTGTAACAACCAACTAACAACAAATAATAATTAATTGTAAATACTACTACACTACTTGCAACATTAATATTCATTATTACATAATTACATTTATAATTATATTTTTATATACCACCATATTTAATATTCCACCAACAACTAAAATAATAATAATAATATCAACCAACTCAAACCAACCAATAAATTAATATTAATATTTGTATCAACAACAACAACAAAAAACATCAAGAGACAACAAACTCAACTCTAAAAAAATGGGAGCCAATCAATCACATCATAGTAGTGATAAGCAATTCACAAGATCACAATCCCAAAACTTCCTTGGTGATAGACCTAGAAAAATAGTTAGATCACTTTCAAAAACAGTTTTGGGTAGATCAAAATCAACAATGGATAATTTAAATAATCCAGCTGATGGACAGCCTGCTGCACCACCCATTGTTGACAAACCAACTACTGTAAATAATAATAATAATAATAATAATGATAAAATTGAAAGTTTGGATGAACAAAACAACAATAATAATAATAGTACATCCATATCGGTGGTCAAGTCACCTCCATCTCACCCAGTTGGTGATTCACCAAAACAAGAATCATTGGGTCCAGATACACTATTTATTGAAGAGCATAATGACTTTCATTCCATTGAATCATTGCCAACTGAACAACCAACTCAACCACCACCACAACCACTTGAAACTCCAAAGCAACAACAAGAAGAAGAGCCATCAGTGAAAAAATCCGAAGAAAGACCAAAAAGAGTCAAGAGAAATGAAACATTTAGAAAATTGTACAACACCTTTTCAACAAAGAAATCAAAGGCAAAATGGGATGAGTCTACTACTACTACTACTACTGCTCCATCAGCTGCAGACCCTACCATTCAAGAACCATCAGTCCAACAAGAAGAAGAAGAAGAACCATCTGTGATGGTGATACCATCAGTCGCCGAACCAATACCATCACCCGATCACATCCAAGATGAACAACCAAAAGAAGAAAACGAAATGGACAAGATTGCCAAAAACAAAAGACCAACTAGAAAGAACAAAGCCAAACATTCCACTTTACAAGCTAAAATGAGTACTCTGAAAATGAAGCTATTCAATCAAAAATTGGACAAAGAGTATGAAGAAGCTAAACGTCAAAAGGAAATTGAAAAGGTAGCCAAAGAAGCATCAATTGAACAATTTGATGATGAAGATGATGACGATGACTCACAAGATGAAGATGAAGATGAAGAGGAAATGGAGAATCGTAGATACGATGATGAAATCATATTGGAAGATACATTCTACAATGAAAAGCCAATTCAAGGATTTGGACGTCCACCCTCTCATTCTACGGCATGTCTTGAAGATGCAGAGACAGCCAATTTTGTCAATGGAACAACACAAGGTGCCGATGGCGGTTCAAACCACTCTAACCATTCACCACAAAAAGGAAAACGATCCAATCGTAATGGAAAGAATCAAAAGAAAAAAAAGATCTTTTCAGCAGATCAGTTTTATAATATAGGTACAATGATATCAAAAGAAGTAGGTCATGTATTTTTATTATCTTCTGGTCAATACAGATATTAGTAATAATAATAATAATAATTATAGTTTTTTATTTAATAAAATTTAATCAAAAAGATTACTTTTTTAAAAATTAATTAATTAAATGAATGAATGAATACTATTTTAATAAGTAGGATAGCGGTATATAATAATAATGCTTTTTTGGGGTTACGGAGAACAAATGAAAAAAATGGGTGGCGATTGGTTGGATGGTCGTTCATGAATACTTGAATCCATTTTTATAAATTAGGACAATGTCTTATATCTATTTCATATCAGATAAATAATATCGAGGTTATTATGCAATTCAATTCAATTCAAATAATACCTTTTTATCTAAAAAGGAAACTAGATTATTACTTAATTTAATTAGCAGTTGTTGTTGGACATAGGCACTAATATATGTGATTTTCACTCATAAACCTATAAATATCATATATCTCTATTTATATTAGGATAAAGAATAGGGTACCTTTATTCTTCATTAGGGTAAATGGAATTTGTTACTTGAATCATGAGTAATATTAATATTTATTTATCTTTTGGAAAAAATAAATTTAACGAGTATCAAATCTGTATGGGTTGGTTGCAGGATAAACAAAAACAAGAATTCCTATTATTATTTTTATTATTAATTTATTTTATCGATATAAGTGTAAATATATCCTGTATATTTGGTTACTACTCATCCATCCATTTTGATTGAAAATTACCAAAATCTCAAACAGCGTTGTAGAGTAAATAGTAATTAGATTTAATAATTACCAACAAACAAAACATTAATCTCATCACATAATTATCATCATCATCATCATCATCATATTCATCATTTTCCTTTCATTTCTCATCATCAATTCCATAATCATTTAATATATCTTTCAAATTGTATGTCCTTTCTATCATATCAAATATAATGATATGGTGGTCTATTCAATTTGATTGGCGACCGGACAATCTATCAATCATCTCAAATTTTTACAAAGCATCTTATCTTTTGACATCTCTGAGGGATGATATCATATAATAATCTATATTATTACATCCATATATTATACGATTGTACCAACAATTTATCTCTTTAAAAACAATGGGAAACGGACCACCTATAATCAATTGATTTTTTTTAAAAGTAATTATTTATCATCATACATCATAATCATAATAATATGTTGTTGTTTTGATGATTGATAGTAAGGGTGGTGGTGGTGGTAGTGTTGGTGGTAGTATTGGTGGAGGTCGGTCGGTCGGTCGTCTACTTGTATGTAGTAGTATTGTCACTAAATCATCCAAAATAAATTGTTGATTCATTTCATAGTCATTCTTTCCTTTTCAGACAAATTAAATTAAACAAATATAATATTTTTCAAATCACTTAATCCAGACATCATTTATAATCATCACCATCATATATATTTTAATTCCCCTATTTTTAAAACTATAAAAAATTTTTTTTTTTTAGGAAAACCCCAACAAACCTTCCTTGTTTTCTTGAAATCTCTTGGAACTAGCATCAAAACTTTAGAATATTAAAATAACTATTTAAATGTTTGTATTTATTATCCAATTCATATGGAGGAGGAGGAGGTTAAAGTACCACTTAACCCAAAACCCAACGTAAATTCCCCTTTATTTAGTCTTTCCCAAAAACTCAACTGGATCATCAGTATATCCATTTCGAGTATTTGGATTTAAAAAACAATCTATTGTCAACACCAACAACAAAGTTGGTTTATTTTGTTTTTGGTATTTCCCAAACTGTTTTTATCATTTCTCGAATATATTAATCCCAAGAGGATAGTCGTGGTGGTGGACAATATATATCTATTATTTGAAAAGATCATTATCATCATTTTCATCATCGTGTGTTGATCTACATTGCCGTTTATCGACTGATGCCAACTAAGGAACTGTTAACAACCACCCAACCAACAACCAACCTACCAACCAATCTTTTAATCGTCCAACACTCTTTACACATTCAATTCTTTGATTCTTGCAGTTTGAACGATTTTAACTATAGTTGTCAATCTGGATTGTATGTCTGTGTGTGGTTGACAATTAAAACAATATGTCAAACCAAGAGGAAGAGGAGTTGGTGATGATGTAACAATACCTACCTACCTTCTTACATACCTACATGTCCCGCACCCTCCTTCTTACAATATACACATATATTTTTATTTAATATTATATATATATATATATATATATACCAATCAATCAATTCAACACAGTGTGCTCTCTTGAATATTTCACTCCTTAGACTGTTTGCATTTTATCAGTTTAGTTTTTGGTGATATTTACAAAAGATTCATCGTATCCTGTTGTATGCATTCACCCCCTGATGATTCTTGTAGAATGTTTCTCACACAAACACACACCATTAATTAAATTAGTCAATTTCAGATTTCAAATCTAAATGTGTCTTTTTGAGTGAGTGGATGGTTCGAACGGAAAACAACCAATCCTTTGTCGGCACCTATGTCGTATAGGCAGTAGTACTACTATACTACAACGCGATTATTGCTTTGGCCAATTCAATTGCATTGTCCACCACCACTACCACTCACCCCTCACCACTCACCACTCTCAATCTAACCCACCACTATATCATCCCACATATATCAGTCAATCTGCTATCCTGTGCTGCTTATCATAATTCACCCCACTTGGTGGACATATCATGTCTATCAGGACAACAACTTGATTTACTGACCTACATTGTGCGAGAGAGAGACTGATGATATTTTTGTTTCGTTTCGTTTCTTTTATTAACCTGTTCCATCAATCCGGAAGTGAGTAAGTGTGTGAATGTGTGTGTCTGTGTCTGTGTGTGACATGATGATGATTATTATTATTATTATTCTTGATTTCTTATTATATTAACTGTAGGGATTGTTGTTGTCTATGTCATTCCTTCTACTTTGCCCAGTTGCATACTCCATTCTTTGACCAACAATTTTACTTACCTACTGCTATTTTTAAATTTAATCTTGTTCATTTGTGATACATTGCAGAATTTGGAATCACCAACAACTACAACTCCAGTCAGCCAGAAAGCAAGCATTTCCAACAACAACTAAAATAGAAAAAAAGCAAGAAACTATTTAGAGTCAACTTATTGATCAATTATACCAACAACACTACTAGTAGTACATACCAACACGACGACAGCATCACTAGCAGCAGAAGTAATAGTAGTAGCAGTAGTATTATATTGCAGCACCAGTAGAGGAAACCTGCTAGTATAAGGGTTGCACTAGTTTGTGTTAACTATATTCATTGACCCAATTAGGAGTTGCAGTCAGCCATCCAGTCTGCCAGTCTGGTGAACCAAAAGTAAGTTTGTTTAATATACCAACAACCCTCTCCTACTCCTAGCACTCTCTAAATCTATATTTATATATTTAGAACCGTCATTTAATCGCCACATTTTTTATTTAAATTAATCAATTAATCATTCATTCATTCATTCATTATTGCCTATTAAATCACAATCACATTTCCAGCCAACCAGCTTCTTCTTTTCCAACATCCAAACATTGATCAATTTTTCAAATTAATTATTGTTATTATTGTCAACATACCAACAACATCAAGAATAGTAAAGTTAGTTTTTAGAACAAGCTTGGCAGTTTAGTGTAAGTGTCACTGATCATTTTCATCCTCTGTCAGTTCTGCCATTTTTGTGTGATTTTCTCCATTTCTCCTCGTTCTCTCTTTCACACCCCCCTCTCATCAGTTTTCATGCTCTATTTTGTTTTTTGTTATTTGATTGTCTTGTTTTGGGGCCCATCAACCAAGATTTATCTTTAGAGTTTTAATAATTTTAAACACACTGCCAACTTTTTCCCAAATATATCGAGATTGGAACTCGTGTGACTTTGGGAAAAATATATAGACAGATCCAACGTTTCCAACTTTGCTGGAAAACACTAACAACTGCATTGATTTCAGAAATACACCTTTCCCAAACAACCTTTTCCTGCGACACCTACCCAACCAGATCCAAATGTGATCAATTCATTCTTCCTCCAACTATAGCACCCCCCATCCCATCCTTTCCTCTTACTTTATTATAATGTTCTCCTCTCACAATGTTATCATCAGCAGAAGAAGAACAAGAAGGAGAAGCAGCTTTACCATCATCCATCGGATAGCTGCATCATCATCATCATCATCATATTCATTGATTTCTTTAAACCAAGTCTCTGCATGACGAGTAGGGTTGCCCACTACATTTATTTTTAATACACCACCACCAGTATCCATTGATCAATGGGATCCTCTAGATATTTAACACTTGGGGTGTATCATCTGCTTCTGATTGAACACTTCCACTCTTATAAAACCGACAGGTCTATTTTATTCTTTTTATTATCTAATTGTCGAATTTAACTCCCATCCAACAACAAACTAAACACATTTTATATTAAATCCTCACCCATTTTAACCATTATTGCTATTATCTCATACATCAAGTCCCCATTTATCATTTAAATTATTTATACTAGACCCACCACCACCACCACAACCTATTCTACTGTTCTACATAAATACCAATCACATTGTTGAATTTAAAATCACTTAATTCTTATTGTATTTTAAAATTAATTATTATTATTATTTATTTTATTTATTTATTTATTTATTTTTAGATTTAATCAAAATCTTTTAAAAAAAAAACAACTCTCAAAAAAAGTAAATTTACTTTTCAATTCCCCCCTACCCTACTCTACACTTTTTTATTCAAACAAATGGAAATCATAAATGATAATCAATCCACTCTGGTAGTTGACAACCAATGTAGTTCGACCCAAGTTACTCCAATAGCCATGGATCATGATGATGACAAGGAAACTCGTTGGATGGCCATCGATAAATCCGAATGTCCAAATAAATTTATTCAATATGTAGATGAAGCTTCTAAACAAGATCAAGTATGTATTAAACAAAAAAAAGGAACCAAAAAAAGGATATAAATATTTAATTAATTTTTCAATTTAGATTATTGCACATACCAGATATTCAACAAGACAATTACAACTTGAACCAGGAATGAAAGTTATTGATGTTGGATGTGGTGCTGGAAAAGACTTGAGTAGATTAGAATCTATAGTACAAGGTACCGGTGAAGTATATGGTATGGATATTTCAAGGGAAATGGTTGAATGCGCCAAGAGTAGAATGTCCCATCTTCCAAATGTCCAAGTTTTCTGTGGAAATGCAAACTCAATTCCATTTGATGCCAATTATTTCGATGCGTATGTATAAATTAAAAATTAACTAATCCCAAAAAAAATATTAATTGGTTTTTTTTTTTATTTATAGTGTAAGATGTGAAAGATTACTTCAACATATTCCACAACCAGATGATGTTATTGCTGAAATGGTTAGAATTACAAAGAGAGGTGGTAGAATAGTCATTACTGATATTGATTGGACATCTTCAACCATATCAATTCCAAAACATGTTGAACAAATCAACTCGATCATCATCAAGGATGTTGTATTCAATGCTCATCCAGCTATCGGTCTCCATCTCAAGGGACGCATGAAGAAGAACCCACAAATCACCGATGTCGATATTTTTGCTCAATGTCTCTACACTGACTCTTTGTCAGTGGCTGATGATTTCCTCTGGTTGGGAGAGCGTGGAAAGATGGCCGTCACTCAAGGTCTCATCTCGGAAGACGAATATATGCAATGGCGTGAAGCTGTCGAGCAGATGGAAGAAGAGGGTAGTTTTGTATTCACTATCAATCTCTTTACTGTCAGTGGTAAAATTGACAAATAATCCTCCTAGGTTAATTGTACATTCAACATATACATATATGTCTTGTTGCGCAACAAGTCAAATTTCCATTTCCTTTTTTTTTTATATATATTCATCCTTTAAAATGTTAACCTACTCACTTTTGATAATGTACAAATCTAATCGTCATCATCCCCCATCACCACCACCGCCACTACCACTACCATTTATTTATTTATTTATTTAATCGATAAATTTGCTTCCCATTGCAAAAATCATCTTCGCCGTAGCTATTTCCTCTCTCTCTCTTTTGGAGTATCCCCCACCTACTACTGGAAATAACACGCCACCAATCTGTCGACAGATCGATCCACACCATCCATTCTAAATGCCAACCACAACCAAGTATTTGGATTACAGTTTGGTCTTTGAGAATCGTCCCCCAACCAAATGAAGAATTCTCTCTTTCCGTCTCTTATCTCTTTGCTTTATATATATATGTAAAACCACCTATTTTCATATTATTACCATTACCCAATTTAATAACCATCACCACCTCCTCCTCCTCCTCCCAACAATAATATGCTTAACTTTTTTATCCACCATTTAAAATATCCTCTATTTTGGATTGATGGGAAAGTAATCTCCTCCTACACCAATATTGCTTGCTTCTATTCCTCTCAAATATCTATTTATACAAAATTATCCATAAAATAAAAGGACCAATTAGAGAATCTGATATGTTTTTTCATTGTGTCTATAAAACTTTTTCTTCTTTTTTTGAATTAAAATAGATACTATTACGGTTGGTTTATTAATAGTAGTAGTCGAGAGGGTTGTTATTGTTTAATCGTCTTCATCTTCATCCCTTTCTCTAAATCTGCTACTTCTACCTCCACCATTCTAAAATGGAAAAAAAGAACCAATTAATAATAAGGATCACAACAATATACAATATATAATATAACATACATCTCTTTGTTTTTTCAAATCATTTCCATCTTCATCATCACGACTTCTTTTACCGATATATTGTGGCTGACTAACATCCATCTCTGAGTGTTGTTCAATTTCAACCATTTTCTGTTGTTTACCATAACCTCCACGTCCTGGATCATAGTCTGTTCTATATTCATCACGTACTTGACCACCACTAGCTCCACGACCGTATTGACGTCCCTCTTTGAAACCGTAATCCCAATCACATCTGATCAATCTTTCGTCGAGTTTGGTACCATTAATATATTTTATACAATCTGCTGCATCTTCTTTTGCGTAATATCTAGATTATAACATAACAACAAGGTTAATATTGATTCGTTTCTATCCTAAATCTACATACTCTACAAAACAAAATCCACAAGGAGTCTTTTGAAGTCTATCTAAACCCATGATGATTCTTTTAATCTCTCCACACTTTGAAAACAATTCATAGAGTTGTTCTTCGGTTGTGTAAAACGATAGATATCCAACATAGATGGTAGTTGATACTTCTATAGCCTTTTGAAAGTCGTCATATGTGAAACCTGATTTCTTATCGAAATACAATGGTTGAGGTGTAATGTATAGTTCTGACATTCTATACTATATCTCTCTTCTTCTCTCTTTTTTCTCCTCTATCTATAGAAGATTATGATCGATTGAATACTAAAGAAGATGTTGATATTAACTAACTACAAACTACTAATGATCATATCTTTTTTTAGTCGTTAGGGAAGATCGATCACTTTCAATTTAATTTTTGAAAAAAATACAACAAATTTTGGTTACTTTTATCCTTTATTAAATTAATACTAAACATTTATATAATTCTATTTACACATTGATTGATTCATTCATTCATTAATTGAATTGTTGAATTATTGTTGTTGATTTTGTTGTTCATTTAAGAAATTGATAATGGCTTGCGTTTGAAGTTTGACCTTTCCTGTGAGTGTATTGGCAACCCACTTGATGTAATCGATTCCTTTTGGATCTTGGATCACTTCTCTCCATGTCTTTCCGGCATATTTCTTGAGTTGTGGTGGAACTGGTGAATCAATATCTAATTCTTCGGAATGATCTACTGATGACGATGACGATTGGAATGATTGTTGTGGTTGCTTTGGTTGTGAAATTGATGGAATAACTTCATCAAATGATACAGATGAATCAAATTGTGGTTGTTGAATTGGTTGTGTTTGTTGTTGTTGTTGACCATCATTGTATGATGAAGAGGAGGATTCCTTCCAAGGATAATTGATTGGAGAATTACCATTCTTGAGAGACCAGAACTTTCTCTTTTCTCCACTCTTTACATTGACGTAGAACTTTTCAGCAGCGTTGGCAGCCTTCCAATTTCTAATAAATGTTGGGTCCCACAATGAACTACCTATACCGAGATCCTTGCAACAACGTACCAAGGCATTGGACTTGGCAGCTTCATTGGCCGTTGCAAACGACAAATGTCCTCCCTCGACATATGGCTGTTCTCCAAAACTCTCGCTCACATAACGACCCAAGCAAAACAGAGCGTATGGACGAATCAAGCTACCACTGATCACGACGGGACCACCAAAGGGCTTTAATGCCCATCCACCTGGTCCAAATGCCTGATTCAATATTCTGCGATACTTGATCTCTGGCAGATAGATGATACCATCTGGTTTGATCTCAATGTCATTGTTGTCAAGTTCACCAAGCAACACATCAGTAATCTCTCTTGCAAATGGTTCCTTTGAGATATCTTTAAACTTTTCCTCATCATAGAATCTTTCGTTGAGTAATGCTTGTTGTTGTTTGTTTGCACTTTGTTGTGATGATGGTTGTTGATGAGATGCATAGTTGGTGGTAGTTGTAGATTGTTGTTGTGGTGATGAAGAGGTAGAATAAGAGTATGTTGGTTGAAAGGTCTTATTACTATGACTGCTAGCAGCAGTAAGTGTCGTTACTCTAAAGCCAATGTTTCTCACAAATAATCTATTTAACATCCTTTTATTCTATCTGTGTGAACTAATCAATGAGCACATTTATAGAGCAATAAATTATCTTAATTACCTTTTTGACAAAAAAAAAAAAAAAAAAAAAAGGATTACTATACAGAGAAATGAGCGAACTTCCAACAAATACCAAACAATTTTTTTGTATGAGCCTAAAATATGTCTGTGCATCAAGTATTTTATTAGACTTTTAAAACAAGTAATAAGAAATATCAGAAACTCATTTATAAATTGGAAATGTTCATCCTAGAAAGAAAATAGTCGTTCATTATTAAATCCAAGCTTGGATGGGGATACAAGACAGACAAAGGAATTCCATTATTTTCCATCATCATCATATCATCTCAGACAGATAGAATAGTGAGTTGTCATAATATGAAATGTTATTCATATATATATATATATATATATATATATATATATATATATATATATATATATATATATATATATATTGATTTATTATGGAAATGTATTTGGGGATTTATTATTTTTCCTATTATCTCTACTCTTGCCATGCATGACCAACTACTCGTTCGTTTTAATTAATTTTAATTGTCAAAAAAATCGAAAAAATTGAAAAAATGGTTGTGTGAAAAAAACGAAGAGAGAGAAGACGAAACAAACCCCATATCTTTTTTTGATCGTTACTATTATTATTACTCCTTTTCTTGTTTTATAGTTTATTTTTGTTATTTATTATTAAAAAGAGTATCAAAGATGGCAATCAAAGTAAAGAAAGGAACAAAGGGTGATTCTGTCAACTATATCACCAGAAATGCTGCTTGTAGAAAGTTGGGTCTTTCTTTAAAGATGTTTAGGTATGCAATGCAAACAAACGAGAATAACATAAACAACCTAAATAGAAACTTTATATTTACATTTACATTTATTACTCTTTACTTTACATATTATTATTATTATCATTGTCGTCGTTGTTTATAATTATTACAACTACACAAACTACCTACAACCACTACAACTATTACATTACACATAATTTATTACTTTCCTTTTTTAAAAGAAAATTATGCATTCTTAAAGGAATTCATCCACGTGACCCAAAGAAGAAGTTAAAGGGTAAGAACAAAACATACTACTTTACAAAGGACGTCAAGTTCCTTAGACACGACCCAATCATTTCGACACTTCGTGAACGTAAGGCACTCTTTAAAAAGGAGAAAAAGTTACGTGAAAAGAAGCAAACAAAGACTTTGGAGTTACTCATTGCCCGTCGTCCACGTATTTCGATGGACCACATTGTCAAGGAGCGTTATCCAACCTTTTCCGACGCCATTCGTGATCTCGACGATTGTCTCACACTCATCCATCTCTTTGCCTCGATGGACTCGTCGCCCAAGGTTCGTGAGCAACACATCATCACCTGCTCCACCTTGGCTCGTGAGTTCCAAATGTACATTGCCTCGTCCAACTCACTCCGTAAGGTGTTTGTCACCGTCAAGGGTATCTACTACCAAGCCGAGATCATGGGCGAGACTGTCACCTGGCTCACTCCGATGAACTACCTCAACAAAAAGGAGAGAGACGTCGACTATGGTATTATGATCAATTTCCTCGAGTTTTACGAGTGTCTCCTCAAGTTTGTCAACTACAGACTCTACACTTCCATCGGTCTCAAGTACCCACCCACCATCGACCAAGATCAACTCGGCAACGGCAACAACTTGAGTGCCCTCATCACCGAGTCTGTCAACAAGGCCACCCCATCCACCAAGCCAGTCGCTGCCACCAAGAAAATGACTGCTGTAGAAATGGCTCAACAGGTATGAATATATTGGAAAATATTGATCTATTTTACAACAACTATACTTACTTTTTAATTATTATTTTTATGTTTTATGTTTATGTTTAGAGAAAAATCAACGCATTAAACAAAAAGGTTGGACAAGAAGAAGAGGAAGAAGAAGTAGAGGAAGAAGTAGAAGAGTTGGAAATCAACGCTCAAGGTGTTTCCAAGGACTTTGAAGGTTTGGCAGCAGAGGGAGAAGAGGGAGACGCCACCGTTGCCCAATTACGTGACCCATCAAAGTTGTTCAAGGGATTAAAGTTCTTTGCCTCGAGAGAGTGTCCCATCGTCGCCTTGGAGTTTGTCATCAAGGCATTTGGTGGTGAGTTCTACTGGAACTTTATCAAGAATGAAGAGGTGCCCGAGTTTATTACCCACGTCATCACCGAACGTACCGGTTTTGCCAAAAAGGACCTCTCCAAAGAATATATCCAACCACAATGGGTGTTTGATAGCATCAACAACAACATCCTCCTCAACTGCCAGGAATACGCTTTGGGTGTCGTCATGCCACCACATCTTTCACCATTTGTCGAATACAACGAAGACAGCTACATCCCAGCCCGTAAGGCCATGCTCGACCAATTGATCAACCAAAAGGGCTTCGAGAGCGCCGTCATCAATATGGACGAACAAGACCAAGACATGGAAGACGACCAAGACGGAAAGAAGAACAACAAGAAGAGAAAATCAATGGACCAAGACGACGAACAAGACAGCGACGCCGAATCAGAAGACAGCGACAATGACGAAGATGTCGCCGCCGCCCTCGAATCCAAATACATGAGTGAACTCCAACAAGAAAACCTCCAAATCTCAAGTAGCACCAAACCACAACAACAACAACAACAACCAAAGAAGACAAAGAATAATAATACCAACAACAACAACAACACACAACAAACTCAAATCCAAGAATTAAAGGATAAGGTTACCCAAGATGAAAAGACTCTTGGTTCAAAGCTTGCCAAGAAGAAGAAGCAAGCAGAACGTGAAGAATTAGAAATGGTCGAAAGAATGATGACCAAGAAGAACAAGGGATTGTATCACTCTGTTAAAAATGAAGTTTCCAGACAAACCAACGAAAAGAAACGTCTTGAACACAAGAGAGGTTTGGTCGAGTCTGGTAAGAATGTAGATGGTGTCCAAAAGAAAAAGGCTGCCTCTGCTGCTGTCACCAAGAAGCCACAACAAAATACTCCAAATACTACCACCAAAAAGTCTGCCCCAGTTTCTCAAACCATAAAGAAATCTAAAAAATAAATATGATTAATATAAATAATAATTTTTAAATCAATCAACCAAATGTTTTTATGAATAATAATAATAGGATAGATATATCTATTTATTTATTTATTTTATAATTATTTAAATAATTTGAACAAAATGACTTTCAGTTCTACCAAAAGTAGATGGAGTGTACATTTCTTCAATCTTTGAAGGTGGACAAATATAGTTTCCATAACATACTGCAGAGCAATTGTAGGTAAATGCGTATTCACCTGGATAGAGGGTATCGATAAAGATTTCGGCACCCTTGTCTCTGACGTTGGCATGGTCGTACCAATACTTCTTCCATGGAACTTGGTTGGTTGGCTCCAATCCAGCGGGTAATCTATCAGAGACCACTACAAACGAAGACAATTGGCGTACTTTGATGGTAAGTTGTACCTTTACCTTGGTACCACTCTTGATTTTGATGTTGTTTTGTGGGTCATAGACAACATCATCCTCTTTACCAAGAGCAATGAATTTACGTTCAATGGTGATTCCACGATCGGTAACTGGTTTGTAGATTGGATTGGATGGTCCGTATTGGAAGGCAAGGGTGTGGAACAATGGTCCCTTTCCTTTCTTTTCGATAATGACATTACCTTGGTTCTTGATAAGAGTCTTCATTGGAATGAATCGACGATAGTTACTTTCGGCAGTCAACTCGGTTGGTGTTGGATCGGCAGTGCTATCATTGATAAAGATATTGGTCTTGATTTTGGATTCCAACAATTTCGAAGTTTCACAGTATCTATAGATGGCGTACAAACTAAAGGCATTGTCTTGAGTATTGTACCATCCTCTTGTTCTTCTCATTGATTCCAATCCACTGATCAACTTTGGTACCAAATGATAGTTTGGATTGATGGCAAGCATCGACAAGATGAGGAACGCAGTACTTCTGGTTTCAGAATAGAATCTGTTGCAATCAACACTATCCAAATATGCCAAACTACCTGTAATCTTGATATGATCTTCAATCTCTCTTGTTACTTTACTAGAAGTTAAAATTGGCATCAAGAATACAAACTAAAATGAATGAATCAAAAATAAATAAATATTTTTAGTATAAAGTGTTCCAAATTTGGAATTGATTTGTGTTGGTTCGGGTTTACTTACGAATGACATGAATTTTGAAGGATCTGGATAAAGGTTCATACCCTTGTTGTAAAGTTGATTGGCAAAGACAGTTACATTTTGAGCGCTTTTGTGGGCCAAGTAAGCAGCAAATGACTTGCAAATAAAGTAACTGATTCCTTCCTCTTTCATTTTCTTTTCATTAAAGGTAAGCAAAGATTTAACATAGGTTGCAAAGTTTTTCAATAAACTGGCAGGTACAGTTGCTCCCATTGATTTAAGTGTTGTCAATACCCAATAAGCATATAAATTAACATATTCATAGGACCTAAAAAAAAATAATATAAAATAAATTAATAAATAAATAAAACAAAGTTGGTTGATTTTTACTGGTTTTACTTACTTTGGACCATCCCAATATGAAAATACACCATCGCTCTTTAATCTCTTGTCTAAAAGGATAAACATTTCACGCAAGGATTCATCAATCTTTTCATCTGATGGGATTGACTTGTCACCTTTTTGGAAGAGTTGTGGAACCTTTTTCAAGACGTAGAGTGATAACATCTTGCTACATAATTGTTCAGTGCATGCGTATTCATAGTTTAATAAATATTCAATAGCTGGGGTGATCTTTGAAAGGTTGTTGGATGACATTTGGATTGTCAAACCTCCACTTTCTTGATCTAATTGTTCCCAATTTGGAATATTCAGTGGGTATTGGGCAACATCCTTCTCCTTGGTAAGGATATGAGAGATAAGAGTAGACTCAAGACTGGTAGCAGAGTAGACTGGGAAGTCAAATTTGACGGCATCAGTAAATTCAGCCTTGACACCATGACTGTTGACTCTGCTACTTAGAATGGCTTGGAAGGAAGAGTTGGTATTTGGTACGATTGATTTCACATTGCAAGGTACAACGATTCTTGATTGTGCTGGGATAACAGATTTGAATCCCTTGCTTGCAAGTGAACAGTTGTTTGATCTAAATGCAATACTAACCTCGACGTCATAGTCGACAATGTTTTGAACGACAATTGGGAATATCGACTCGTCCATGTAATGGAGGAATCGTGGTGGAGATTGACGGATCATAACTGGAAGAGTACTGGTAAAGAACTCTTGGGTCTTACCAAACTTGTCGTTTGTCATTGCCAACGCCATCATACGGTACTTGGTCAAATTGTCTGGCAATACGTATTTGAATCGTGCCACACCCTTTTCATCGGTATGCACGTTGGTTTCAAAAGTTGCTCTTGGACAGAAATTGTCTCTGACCTTGATCACCTTGGCAGCCAACATAAGATCTTCGCAATCGCTCTTTTCGTCGTCATCAGACCCACCAAACAATCTAAATACGAGGTTGATTGTAGTGTCAGTGGTGATCTTGTTTGACTCGAGTGTACCAGATTCCATTTGTTTGTTCAAGTGGAACAGACGTTGAGAAGAAGGTGGTAATCCATCACGATCCTGAACGACCTTTTGGATGTGTTCAATGGTGGTGCTAATTGGAATACCATCAAGACGAATGATACGACCTGAAAAGTAACGAATAGTGAGGTTGATGGATGAAGTAGGAACGGATGATGTTTTAACCACTTCGGTTGGCATTGAATATTGTGAGCATTCAGTGAGATAGAATGGTTGTAAATATTCATTGTTTCTAGTTGGATAGAAATTGATTGGATTCCAGTCATTGGCAGTTCTCTTGGACAATTGCAACAATGATTCGTCGGCAACAATCAAAGTGACCTCTGCATTTGGTACTGGCTTGCCATTGTGGTCCTTGACAATGACACCTACATTGTGGGTCTCTTTGGGAGTGGCAAACTTGGAGAATGGCTCAAATTCCACTGTCAATGTCTTGGTTTTTCTAGACACTGTAATGGTCTTTTCAACATAACCATCGGTGAAACGTTGATGAGTTTTGTCCATATACTCAAATGACAGTACACCTTGGACAATACAACCAAACTTGACGGTTGGGAAATCCCTTTCAGTGATGGTGTGAGTTGTACGGAATACACCATCGACAATAGTGAATGGATCGGCTGTCAAGACAGTCTCTAGCTTTTGTCTAATCAAATAACCTCTGCCATTGTTGAGTTTGGTCTTTACCAAGATATCCAAAACATCACCAATTTCATAGTCTTTTGATCCTTCAATGGTCAATGATACCTCGGCCGATTTCTTTGATGCAAACTGACGACGTTGTTGTTCGGTGGTGATCTTTGGAACAGTATCGACATACTCTTTTTCGGCAGCTGTTTGTTGACCCAACACAAAGACAGTGTAGTTTTGGGAGGTACTGTGGATACCGAGATCGCTGACATGGTAGACTTCGATGGTATAGTGTCCACGATCATCAAATTTGTGGTTAAAGATGGATGGCACATCAGCGGTTGGTTGGTAGACTGTATCGAGGATAGTCTTTGATGGCATTTCTTCTTCATCCACTCCATTCATCCATGGGACCATTTTAACGAGGAAATGGATCTTTCCATCTTGAATTTGTTTGCCAGACGATGACAGTACCATAGCCTTGATCGACAACTCTTCATCGATATTGTAGATCTTTTTGGGAGCAGATACACCAAGGTAGACAGAGTCGTCGAGCACTGTAAAACTTTGTGAAAATGTCTCTGATCGGTTGGTCATATCCAACATCTCTGCCTTGACATTGACATTGAGACATCTGTTCATTTGAGAGAATGCAAGACGGAGTTGGTGACGACCAGATGGATTACGACGAGACACGTATTCAAACGACTTAAAGTCTACATTCAACTTGTTTGATGGCGCTGTTTGAATAGAGTATCCGTCTGGCATGCAGAGTGGACTAGTCTCTGATACATCAACCCTCCAATTGACCATTGTGTTTGCCAAAATCTCAGATGTGAATGCTCTGCCAAATGCTTCGACGAAAAAGGCATCACCTCCTTGAACCACCTTTCTGAGTAGACCTTGGTTGGTAGATCCTTGGAAATGACGACTCTTGACGTCAAAGTCAACTTCAAACTCTTTACGCTTGCATTCCAAAACACTAATGTTCATTTCATGAGTGTGTAAATCGTCATTGGTCTTCATTGTCAACTTACAGTCACCCAAGTTAATATCTTCGGGCAACTTGAAAGAGATGTGGAAACTACCCAAATAGTTGAGTTTGACGGTTGTGTTTTTATAGAATTCCTTGCGTCTAGTGTCTACCAATGTATAGGTTATCGATGAAATAGAGTTGTCACCAAAGTATTCAAGAGGTGTTTCAATTCCATCTTCATTGTAGATACGAATGATACCCTTGATGTTGACAGTATCGGTTGGACGGTAGACACCGAGATCATTGATGACATTCCAAGCGAGTTTATTTGATGCCGACTTGACAGCATTGTGGTACGACACCATACAAGTATACGATCTCTTGTCAGTCTTGGTGGTAGCAGCAACCATGTCAAATGCCTTCTTTCGTTCAATCGATGCGAATCCATCCTTACCAAGACCACTGCTAACTGGGACGGCAGATGTCAAGTAGGTTTCAATCAATGGATAGGGGACTGGTGCATTTTTAATGACATCGGTCACTTGAACAAGAACATTGGCACTAGTGGCTTGGATTGAAATTGACAATGGTGTGTATTGGAGCACTTGTCCGACTCTAACCTCCTTTTCTTGATCGGTAAATGTAAAGAACAAGAGTGATTCGGTGGCCAAAGTAGGAGTGTTGGCTCCAAAGAACTCGGTCAAATCAATTACAGTCTCCGTTCTTTGTTTGACCTCTCTTTGAACGTTTACAGACTGTGACTTTAATGGTATCAGACCAAGTGATTGAAAGTCTTCTCCTATAGTTGACTCAAATGAATAGAGTTGTGAAAGGGCAACCTTGATATTCATAAATCTCTTTAATTCATGAGGAAGAATTCTATAAGATCTAACAGTTAATTTTGATAATCCTTTTGTAAACAATGTAATCATTGGTCTAAAAGAAAATAAAAGAAAAAAAAAAAAGAAAATTAATATTAATATTCAACAAATTGAATATATATATATCTTTAACATACGGTACTAAAGGATCAAGATTATAACTATAATGGAAAGATGTTGATTGTTGGAAATGGATTTCAGCCTTTTCAGCTGGAGTCTTTAATTCCAAAATGGTGCTTGGAAGGAAATCTCCATCACAACTTTCAATACCATCCAAATATAATTTGTATCTAGTTGATGGTACGAAATTTGCTTCGATATTCATACTGGTACCATAGGTTTTGACAGCAGTGATTACAGCTGGAGGAATAAAACGGATCTTGCTCTCCAACTCTTCAGGTGTAATCTGAGTCACATGGATTGGTTTGGGTGTTCTAGTTAGCACAACAATACAATTGGAAACAGTTGGTTGAGTTTTAGAATCAAATCCTGCTGAAAATAATTTTGGTGACTAAAATAATAAAGAAGAAGAAGAAGTGTTAATCGAAATAATTCTTTTGGATTGATTTTTTGTTTCATACTTGATAAGTTAATTTAGTTTTTGTTAAAGTTGAAAGTGAACCTTCAATACTCTTGAGACCAGGTTTGAAAGAGACAATGTAGGTAGTTTGAAGTTTGAATGAACCTTTGATCTTGAGATAGACGATTTTAGGATTTGCTTTGATTGGTTCGTCCTTTGGGTTTTCTGGCTTTGGTTTGAATGTGGTACTTAAATCTGGATGTTCCCATGCAAGAAATTCATAGGAAAACTTTTTGCGATCTTGATCCTTGATGGAGATGAGTTTGGCAAGATCTTGAGTGATTGGGTCGACCGGTTGTGAGAATTGAATAGAGAATTGTGGTTCCTTGAGTCCATCACATCTCAACTGAACAGGAGTATTGGTGACAGTGTCAAAGACCCAAAACTTGTTCTTGGTCAACTCCTCGTCAAACTCTACATCGGGATAACCACTTGGATCAAAGGTGACAGTGTAGGGTGTCGAGCCTGGGAACAACCCATATGAACCCTTTTGATAGACACAGGTGACACCATCCATCCATTTCCAACTGGCTCCTTCAACCTCTGGTGAGATTTTGAATGGAACCGTCATCTTTGAAATATCGTCAAAAATTGGGATAAAAGGACGGCTAAAGACAAATTGTACACGAGAGACATTGACATTGGAGCCGACTGGAGTGGCTGTGAGAATGTCGACTGGTGGGAATGAGACTTCTGGTCGCTTGACCTGTTGCTCGAGTGACATCTTGTCCAATTGAAGTGCCAAGTCTTTGTCAGTAACGGCTGGCTGCTCACCCTTTTTCGGCTTGGCAATCTTGGGTGGCTTCTCTTTGGTACACTTGTACAACTGAGAGTTGAGTGGCACATTGTTGGGTGTCTTGAGCTCTGTGTCAGACTCTAACGTTGGTACACGCACAAGTAAATCAGATACCTCTTGATCGGACAATGGTGCAAGTGGATTGAATGGATTCGAGAATGAATCGTTTGCTTGGTCATTAAGAGACAAGATATAAGATACAATCGGTGTTGGAGGTTCAACTACCACATCAACATCTGTCTTGTCACTGTGACTTTCAGGTACACGTGAGAATGCACTGTAAAGCTTGTCAGAGTTTGACTCACCAGCTACGGACTGATAGTGATTTCTAGCTTTACTCTCTTCTTGTTGTAATGGGTCAATAAAGACAGGTGAGACTGTCACCAATAAAGTATGACCATCTTGAATACTATTCTCTGCCAACGTTGAATAGTTTTCTAATTGTTTACCACCAAACAATATTCTTATTTGGTATGGATGAATTAATGTATTCTCATGTTGTTGTTGTTGTTGTTTTTGTTTATTATTATTATTTACACTACTATTATTATTACTACTACAATCAACATCCATCTTATCAGATGAAGATGATGAACATTTACTATTTACATTTGTTTCTGTGATATAATCTGTATCATCAGCAAACAGTGTCGAAGGTGTTGGGAGATAGTCAGAGTGCTTTCTAAACAACTCGACCTTGATACTATCGATTGTAGCATCTTTTGATACTTCATCAAATGAAGTCTTGTAATTGTTTGTGGCTAAAAGATTAATTTTCATTTTTAAAAGAAGAAGTAGAAGATAATTGAATAGATGATATGATAAACGATGAGATGATAACAAGTATATAAAGATACACAAACAAACAAATATTTAGTGCACTAAATGCTAACCTTGAATTGACAAGTTGCAAATATGATGACTTGGCGTGACTGGGTGGCGGTAGACTTGGGAATCAGCCAAGATAAAATAAGAATTTTCCAAGAATCATGATTATTTCATTTTGATGGAGATAATTAGAGACCACTCCGTTTGTTTGTTTGCGGATATATTCAATACACTAGGATCCTCTGATTTGAGGTCAAATTTCCTCAATAAATAAATAAATAGAATAACAAGTTGTTTTGTTTTGTTGTGAATAAGGTTCATCTCTCCAATTAAGAATTAAGGAGAAGTGTTTGTATTGACAAGTGATTCTTTGTATCTTTGTGAAAGTATACCTTTCCAACTTGGAGTACCCAATGAAAAACCTGGAATTAAAAATAAATAATTTAAATGGAAGTAGGTGTGAGTAAATGGAAGTAGGTGGATCAGATGATAATAATGAGAGTATAAAATATAATATATTATAAACACTTACTTGGTGTAACTGGAGACCCCATGACCAATGAACTGGAACCATTACTAAAATATTTTGAAAAGATTTCCTCTGATGTGCTTCCAACCTTTTTACCACTTGAACCATTGCTGTTGATACTACTATTGTTGGTGCTAGTGTCATCCATGTTTTTTGTTGGTGTGCTGATATTCGTTGATGATGGTGGCGGTGCTGTTGGTGATAAAAAGGGTGATACCAAGTCTTCTTCTGATAAGAAACTAATATTACTATTATTATTATTATTGTTACTAGTATTATTAATATTACTGCCAAAACTACTAAAAAGACTCCCTGAATTATTAATACTATTAAAACTATTATTATTAATATTAATATTACTATTATTGTTATTATTATTTATCTTTGGAATTGGAGTTACTGGGAAGTTAATATTATTATTATCCAATATTTCACTATTATCATTTGAATTATCACCAAATAGATTTCCAACTTCCCTCGATGAATTATTACTACTACTATTATTTGATAAATATAATAATGAATTATTATTATTATTATTATTGTTGTTGTTGTTGTTCATGTTATGTTGAATAGTATGGCTACTATTGAAATAATTGCTGTTTTGATTGTTATTGTTAAAATAGGGAGTAGTTGTAACTGCTGAAGGAGTACTAGCAGCTTCTGTGGTATTATATCTATTTGGACTTGGTGGAGGTGTTTCTCTGACTTGATCGTCATCATCGTCATATTCATCATCGTCATGTTCTTGATGTTGTCGTTGTTGTTGTATTATATCTGTTGGTTTAAAATTTAAATTGTTGTTCCTATTATAATTGTTATTATTATTGTTGTTGATTTGGTTGATTTGATTATTGCTGGTGTTCAGGATGTTATTTTGTTTTGTTTGTGTAAAGAATGGTGATTCTGGTGTTGGTGGAGGTGTCATCAATTCATAATAATCGCTTCGTGTCTTTTTGATGTTTGGTGATTGGAAAGAAGATCCATTATCTTTTCTTTTGTTGTCCACTAATCCATTCATCATCATTGTATTATTATTAAAGTAATTGATACCATTGTTATTATTGTTGTTGATTGGACTTGGTTGACTGTGAAAATTTAATTTTGATTTGCCTCTGTTTAAACCTCCAGGAGTAGTATTGCTGTTGTTATTATTACTCGATGAGAATTGACTTGATTGATTATTATAAAGTGATGGTTGACTAATTGAATTGGTATGTACAAGGGTGGAGGAGGTCGAAGAAGATGAGGTCGAAGACAATAATATACTTTGTTTTCTTTGACCTCTATAAAAAAATTGATCAAATTGGTCCATGCTTACACGATCATCTGATACTAAACTTGATTTTTTAAATATTTTTTGGTTACTATTATTATTTCCAAAACCATTGTTGTTGTTGTTGCTATTATTGCTACTATTACTTAATAATGAGAATTCATCCACTAAATCCCCATTATTATAATTATTATTGTTATATTCATCTGACCATTTTGATTCATATGAATTGGTAGGTGAAGGTATAAAATTGCCTCCAGGTGTTGTCGCAGTTTCTTGTTCATTAAAATCAAATTCAAATGAATTATTTTCTGTATCACTGTCTAGAACAAAAGGATCATCGTTGTTGTCATCATCATCTTGATTGATTGGAGAATTACTATCTTTTGTTTTTGTGATAATGTCAAAGTATTGATCGATTCTATTTGCTTTGAAAATAAATCCACCTGTTCCACCATCTCCAGATGATTTTGTTTTGCCATTCGATAAAGAATTCCTATGATTATTATTATTGTAGTTGTTATTATTATTATTTTGATTATTGAATGTTGAAACGACAGAAGTCTTTGGTTGAGGTTTAAAAGCTGATGAATAGGGAACATTTTTCTGTTGATTTGGTTCAAACACCTGTCTTGTGACAGGACATATGACGCCAGTTGCTATTTTCTCGACAATCTCATTTTCAATACATTCTCCTAGGAAATCCATATTGGTTCCTACATTTTCCTCGTCCAATGGGGAAAAGTGAACCATTGTTTTCGAGACTGGATCATATACTCGTGCATGTCGAAATGTTAAATCTGCCTTGTAAAATGAACCAACATATTCTTCTGTTAATCTTTTTGTACCTTTTAAATATTTAAATATCTAAAAATAGTTAATATAAATTTGAGTCTCAAAAGAAGTATTCATATATCATATATTTACCTTTTCAATTTCCTTATATTCTTTAAAAAGTTTATAAGATGTTTTAATACCCATTCCATGTAGAGAAGGTAAATAATCACATCCAGCCAAGATACACATTTGCCTCAACATGGTAAGATTGAAATTACCAAAATCCAATCCATTACTCTTGCACGAACATATATTCTCACTTTTAATCTCTTCACAATATCCTTCTTTATTCATCTTGAATAATACCTAAATAGATAGATAATTATATATAAATATTAGTATCTCCCCAATGATTAATCTCCAGTGATATGATGTGTTGAAATGACCATACAGTAGGAGTACCATAAGCAATTAAATCAGAATCTTCTGTAAGAATAGCATCGACTTGATTGGTGACAGCCAAGTAAGCCAATTGAGCATCAGCTTCATAAGGTGCAACCACATACTCTATACCTAAACGTCTCAACTCTTTGATCAAATTGAATGCCATCAATGTTGTGACATCAACCGCCTTTTGGAAACATTTATTTGCTTCTGCTCTATTACCTTCCAACAAGTATGCATTTGCCTTTTCTTTATATTGTTGTCTTTTACTACAAGATAGATATCGTTAAGTTAGAGATGATCTGTCGACAGAAGGTATATATCTCTATCATGTCTGTGTTGTACATACGATCTTCTATCATCTTCAGTTCCTCTTTTATTTGGTAATGGACCACCATCAAATACAATGACAGGTATGACTTTGTGACTCTTCATCATTGATATTAGATTGAGACAATACTGCAGATACCTTGTTGTCGGTATACCCTGACACAACTCTTGACTGCATGAATAGACAGCCTTGTGCAACCAGCAGTAGCCATCGACAGCTACTCTTTTGTTGGCATAGTCTTTGATATGAATATTTCTCTTTATCGGGGACAACAATGGTAACAGCCCAGTTATCCCCATTTATGTATGTATGTATGTTTATGTTACTACTCGTCTATCGATCGTTTGTCGTCATCCATCTATTATCTCTCTTTACTGTAGTTTATTATATTTCTATTATTCTAATATTTTATTGGTCATATCTCTCTCTCTCTCTCTCTCTCTCTCTCTCTCTCTTATTCTTATTCTATATTTGTGATTCTAGTTATTCTTTGTATCTATCTCTACTCAAAATGCATAAGGTAAGGTTGGCGCCCATTTTTGGTTTTTATGGGCTACCTAGAATTTTTATTTTTTCACCAGTTGTTTGGAAGCAAGAATGAATAGAATACATCAAATAATTAAATAGAAATAGATATGTATTGGGTTATTGCTTGCGATACATCACAGTTCTATATTATTTATGTTAAAACTCAAATTGAAAGTTTCAATGTTTATTTAATTTTAGTTTGAATCGTCATCCGAACCGGTATCACTACCAGACGAAGAAGGAGAATCATCATCGGCATGGATGTTTATAACATTTACCTCTCCCCATGAAACATTACTTTGAGTATCATCATCTTGACCAAAAAGATTAAAAGTATTATTTAAATTATTATTATTGTTATTATTATTATTATTATTGTTATTGTTGTTATTGTTGTTATTATTATCAACAGTTGAAGTTGTTGATGGTTGAGTAGTAGTGGTAGTTGAAGGAGCTGGTTGAGATATTGATATTTTCTTTGATTGAATCATATTTTCAATCTTTTGATGAATTGAAGTACGAATAAGAGTTTGTAATTCCTTGTTGAATGCTAATTGTTTCTCCAAGATGGTTTTTGATAATTCATCAACCATTGCATCCATGTCTAAAGTTGATAATGCCATATCAGTCTTTAATATTTGTGATTCTGTTAGACTCTTGTTGGTTTTGAACTTTTTCTTTTTCAATTTCTTTGTTGGGTTTGAACCACCACTGCCATCCTTTTTAGATTGATTACCATTACCACCAATTCCACCACCACTACTTCCACCACTACCATCACCATCGGATGAATCACTATCCTTGAGACCCAATAAAGTATCCCAAAGCTGATCGTCCATGTTGAGTTCGTCGGCAGGTGTGTTTTGATTCTTGATCTTTTCCTCCCAGTTTCTCTCCATCTTGGACTTGATGCCAACCGATGCCGAATAGGATGCCTCCATGATAGCAATGTAGATGTTGGCAATAGCGTACATCGAGATAAAGACAAACACGAAAAAGTAGACACGCGACACAATCGAGCTCTTTTCGGTGGCTCTAAACGTCGCTTGCACATCATCACCATTTTGTAGACCGAATAGTGTCACGGCAGCCTCTGTAAACGTGCTGAATCGCGAGCTCGTCTCTGAAAAGTACATGAGACCAAACAAAGCAAATCCAATGAAAATGGGCAAACTGCCAGCCGAGAATCTAAGAATGTTGGGCAGACCCTTTCCAAGTGCATTAATGACAGCTGTAGACTTGCTGTCAAACTCGAGATATCTAATCATATTGACCCACGACAATAACGTGCCAAGACCAAGGAACAACTTGCAAGCCGATGCAGCATTGCTTCCAGACGTCTCAAAGAAATCGAGGAATGCTCCAACCAACGTGCAAATGTTGGATACAAAGCACATGACAAACCACAAGTTAAAGAATCTCAACTTTGTCTTCCATGGCAACGATCCCCATTCAATCGTCGACGATACGCTAATAGGTATACCACGAACTGATCTTCTCATCACAATCTTTTTAGTTCTTTGGAATGTCTTGAATGAAAACATAAATGATCTCCATGCCAAAAATTGTGACAACAATGAAAAGATTATAACTACTGTATCTAATACTAATTTTGATGATTGTATCAATTTTGAGTATGGTACTAAAAAAAATAAAAATAATTAATTAATATTCCCATTCTTTCTTTCTTTCTTTTATATCTATCTTGTCTATCTCTCTCTCTACATACATTCAGAAGTTCTACTTTTATAAGGAGTAAGAGTAACTTTAATTCTACCAGCTTGAATGGTATTATCGAAAAATGTTCTAATTCTCCATGAATAAGCTATTGGTCGATCGTATTGTAAATGTACATTGGTAAATGAATAATCAATATACATTGAACTCATACAATAGAATAAAGTATGAAGATCATTATCTGGTGATATTGCCAATGGTCCCAAATCAGCTGATGATATTATATATGATGCTAAAGAAAAAACCAAATAGAAAACAAATATTAATATTAATATCATATGTAGGTATATATCTATATTTTACACACTTGAAAAAGTATCAGTATTTGCCTTTACGATCGATGTATCAAATACTTGATCGCAATCTTTATAAGATGATATTACAAGTGATACACTAAATGGTGGTTCTGAAAGATCATCAACCACTGAAAACTTATTTACAGATGCATTTACCCATGAATCATACTAATTAAATAATTAAATAAATAAATAAAATAAATAAATCATTTCTTTCTTTCTTTCTTTCTTTCTTTGTCAAACTTACATTATTTAAATTATTTTGAACTAGGTCTATAGATTCTTGAATGGTATAAAGGAATAATATATTTGATCCAAAATCACCTTCATATGCAAAATCATTTGGAAAGAATACTTTGTACCAAGTAGCTTCAATACCAACTGAATAATCTGTTAAATCACCAGTTTCAATAAATATCTAATAAAAAATAATTAATTAATTAATAATTGATTATTAATTTAACCTTATCTTTTAGTTTTACATACAATTGAAGTTAAACAAATAGTTAAAACCAAATGAACCAGTAACTTCCAAGGGAATCTATTATATTTTCTCCATTTTTGTAACCAATCCATATTGATTCTATCGTCATGTGGCATTTTACCTCTTGGTAGGAATACACGTTTGAGGAATGCTCCAAATCTCTGTAAAAAGGTGTCATCGTCGTCGTCATAGTCATCTTTGGGTGCACAACATCTCTTTCGTCTCATCTTGACCGGTGAGAATGATCCAACACTTGAATCTTCGCTACTACCATTCTTCATCTTGGTTCCAATGAGAAAATCGGTCTCATCCGATTGAATTGATCCAAAATCATTCATGGTAAGGATTTGAAAGAATTGGTTCCAACAACAATTTGTTCTATTATTACTACTTTTTAAATATTATTATTATTATTATTACTATTGTTTTGTATTAAAATCTTGTTATTGAATAAATAAATAAACAAGTAATTAAACTACTATTAATTTACTACTACCACAAAGATTGATTATTATTATTATCTATATTACTACTACTACTATGTGTTACTGTACTGTATGTTTTTCTTCTTATTTCTAACCTCGAGGTACACCTTTCCCTCTAATACTCGAGAGAGATGAACTTTTAAAAAAAGTACACAAAAAATTAAATTAAAAATAAATTAATTTGACCTTTCGAAGGTGAGGGGTTGGTTGTTGTTGTCTTTGGGAAAGTCCCTATGAAAAAAAATCTGGGTTTTGGGGGGTTGTTTGTTGTGCAAAGAGAGAGAACAACAAACAAACAACAAACAAACTGAGGAAGAGGAGGATGGTAGAGGAAATAAATAGTTTTACAAAAATTAAAAAAAAAAGGAAAAGGAAGTTGACAATGAAGGTAGGAAACCAGCTAGGCTGACTGTGTAAAACAACAAAAAATAATAATAGACTATAGAAGAGGGTAGTCTGAAACTCTTAAATCAACAAAGACATGGTCAAACAGCCGCAAAAAGGGCTTAAAATTTCAAAAAATATTTTTCTGTTGAGGCGTCGTTGCATGAATATCCCTGGGGATTTGCGAGGAGGTGGTTATTGGATTCCCTGGATATTTGGATTTTCGCAGCCAAGATCTGAGGCCAATTCAACCAAGAGCAAAGATTAAAAATAACTCTGTGCCGATGCAACGGTTGTGTAGAATGACACGCCCATGAACATCTATTGTATGCTTGAACCAGAATGTGTTGTGCGTGAAGATCATCTTCATCTTTATTCATTACATTATTTGTTCTTTGAGTCTAGTGAAATGGTAACTGGCCCGTCATTGACTAAACCGACATCCATCATCGCACCAAATTGTCCATCTAGAAAAAAGATCGGTTGATTAGTTTGGATGGACAAAGAAATCGGGGTTCGAACGGAAATTGTTGGATGATATTTAATTGATAAGTACCTTTGATTCTTTCAGGATTATAAATCTTTTTGGCATCAACAAGAAATTCTTCATAGAATGCTTTGGAATATTCAGAACCAGCAGCTAAATGGAAATCTGGTTTCAATCCTTTTGAAGTAGTGGCATAGAGTGTGAATTGACTGACAAACAATACCTCATATTGGAGATCTTTTACACTTTTATCCCAACTTTTATCTGACTCTGGATTTGGCCATAACTTTAATCCAAAGATTTTCTTTAACCTATAATAATATTAATAATCAATCCAATCGAATATTAGAATCACTATCATACACAGACCATCTTCATCATTATCATGATACATACAAATATTCACAATCTACTTTTGTATCTTCTTTGGTAATCCCTATTATTTAAATCAAAAGACAAAGTTAATTATCTGTATACACAAGACAACAACAACAACAACACTTTAATCATTCACAATATCAATACGAACCAATCAAACACATTAAACCAGGTCCTATTGAAGAGACAACTTGACCATCGACAGTGACAGATGCTTGTTTAACTCGTTGTATTACAGCTCTCATTATAATCTTTGATACTACACTACTATACTAAACTACGCTCTCTTTTACATAGAAGAAGGGATTTAATATATAACAATACTATAGTTTGTGATAAAAACTGAGAAATAATGATTAAAGTTTCATTATGTTACTTTTTTACTTTGCTTGGTCGCCGAGTGCAACTTGAAAATCACACTAGTTTACTGATTATTATAATCTAGACGATTTTTATATATATTTATAAATACATACTACAGTGTGTGTGTTTGTTCTAGTAAAGAGAAAGAGAAAGAGAAAGAGTTATATTTAGAGTCAACGACGACGACGACAAAGAAGTTGATTAGATTATAGTAATAATAAGAAGAATGGAGCAACCATCACACTTTCTCAATCAACTAGAAACCTTTATCTTGAGATTAAAGAGAAAGAGAATTACAGGTTCATTCTCTGTATCACTCTCAACTGCTGAGATTCTCAGACAATATATATCTACCACTAAATGGAGTAATGCAAAGCATCTCATTGACAATATCAAACAGATGGGAAAGAGATTAATCGAAACTCAACCATTGGGTATGTAGACAATCATCATCATCATCAAAAGTATCTTTATATTAACCATTCATTGATGTATATAGAATTTTGTATTGGTAATATCATCAGAAGAGTATTATTCATCATCAGAGAAGAGTATTTGGCATTAAGAGTCGAAGAAGAAGAAAGTATGTTGAGTTAGTTTACTATTATCGATCAAAGATGATTAACTAATCAAATATGTCTCTGTTATTTAGATCCAACCATTAAATTAGATTCATCAAGAAATAACTTATTGACATATGAAGAACCAATGGACGACTATTCAGAGTCATTCCAAGGATTAAAGAGTTCGATTCTAGATACCATGGGTGAAATGATCGATGAATTAAAAGGATTATACAAGAGTGTTGCTGGTCAATACAAAGATCATATTCATGCAAAGTATGATCAATCAATCGAAACGAAACGATTCAATTCAATTAGAGAAACAAACAAGAATATTATATTGATCAATCATTTTTGAATATATTTATAGTGAAGTAATTATGACATTGGGATCATCAAGAACGGTTGAAGAATTCTTAAAGGAAGCAGGAAAGAAGAGAAAGTTTGGAGTTATTGTTGTCGAGACTGCTCCATCTTTGGAAGGACACCAAACAGCATTGGCATTGTCAAAATGTGGTATAGATACAACATTGATTCCAGATAGTTCGATTTTTGCTATGATGTCTCGTGTCAACAAAGTGATCATTGGAACACATGCAGTTATGGCCAACGGTGGTTTGATTGCTGCCTCTGGTACTCACATGTTGGCTGTTGCCGCCAAATACCACTCTGTCCCAGTGATGGTATGCACTGGTCTCTACAAACTCTGTCCACTCTATGCCTACGATCAAGACACTTACAATGATTTTGGTAGTCCCGCTGCCTACTTGAAATTCAAGGAAGCTGAATTCCTTGAAGATGTTCATAGTTATAATCCAAACTTTGATTATATTCCACCTGATCTTGTTAGTTTATTTGTTACTAATAGGTATGTAAACTTTTATTATATTATTCTAAACATATGATGATGATTGAAAATACTAACACAACCCGATTTATTTATTAAACTATTAATATTAATAGTGGAGGACATAACCCATCATATATTTACCGTTTATTACAAGAATATTATCATCCAGAGGATACATTTGAAGAAGAAAAGGATGATTAAATTAATAATCAATAATAATCAATAATAATAATCAATAATAACAATACGATACACCCACCCTAAAAGATAGATAGATAGATTAGATAGATAGATCATATCGATATTATCATTTCAAAGAGATTCAATATTACTTACTTTCACTCCACATTCCACATTCCAATTCCCAAAATATAAATCAAAAAAAAGTAATATCTTATATTTAAAAACAATCTAGATTATATATTTATATCTATCTATCTATCTATCTTATTTGTTTGTTTACTAGTATAACATAGTTTTATTTTGTTTTGTTTTGTTTTGTTTTTTCAAAGGAGAGGATGTTTTTTGATTTAATTTGAATTTACAACTCTTAAGTTGTATTAATTAATAATTACAAATGGAATGTTTGGTGATGGTGGTGATGTTTGTTGTTTGTTTGGTTGGTTGGTTGGTTTAATATTAACACGCAAGATTAATTAAATGCCATCGTCGTATCGTATGTTGATTGGAATTGATTGTTGATTGGTTTGTTGTTGTTGTTGTTGATAAAATTATATAGGTGATAATTAGATTATTATTATTATTATTATTATTATTGTATTGTAAAATCAAAGTCTCTTTAAAACTTTAATTATTATTATTTTGTTGTTATATATATGTGTGTGTGAGGTAAAAGTGTTATGTGATATCGTTGTTGTATGTTGTTATTTAATAATGATTCTTAATATTCTAATAATGGTTCACCAATGTTAATAATCTTTGGAATTGTACAATTCAAATCGAAAGCTTTACTAATGACAATCTTGAAAATCTTTTGAACATTGATCGAATGTGAAGTCGAACAAAAGATCAATGGTGATTTCATTGCACTAGCAAATTTACGAGCCTATAATCAATCAATAAAGATATTGTTAGTTTTTATCATTGATCTCTTTTATCTCTTTCTTTCGTCTCTTTCTTACTTGTTTAGTGATTTCTTCTTGATCTTCAGCAGGTAGAGTAGCAAAAACATCGTATTTGGTACCAATCAAGAATGGAATGGCAGTTTTGTTGAAGCCTCTAGCTTGTCTGTACCATTCCTTGACACTATTAAGAGTTGATTTACGAGAAAGATCAAACATGAATAGAATGGCAACGGCATCGTTACAAACCAATGGCAACATATTGACAAACTCACGTTGACCTCCAAGATCCCAAATAGAGAATGTAATCTCTGTACCTCTAATCGAAATGGTCTTTTCCATAAAGTTTACACCAAGTGTTTGAATGTAATCTTCATCAAATGTACCCTCTACATATTTTACCATCAATGATGTTTTACCTGTAATGTATATATATAAATCGATAAGTTTATTGATTGTTGACAAGATTCGTTGTTATTAGTTTTCATTGCTGTGTGTGGTGACATCTATCTATATGTAGATCTATAACATACCGATTTGAGAATCACCGACCATACCAACTTTAACAACTACGTTGTTCTTTTTGGAGTCTGATGAAGCTGCTGAAAATTGATCCTCTGACATTGTTACTATATATGATTATTTGTATTGATATGTTGTTGTTGTTGTTGTTATTATTATTATTCTAACTTTGGTTGATGGTTTAAGGTATTGATTAATCAAGATCAACTAATAGGGTGGAGGTGGACGGACAGGTAGTTTGGTAGTATTATAGATAAGAATAGTAACAGTACTAAACGAGGGCGTAATATTTTACAAAGAATAAATAAGAAAGCTAGAAGAGAAAAGAGGAGAGGAGAGGAGAGGATAAGTACACTGAAATGAAAGAAAATGATTACTTATGTTTGAGTAGTTTGTGGTCACCACCCTCTCTCTCTTCAAGCCATGAATCTGTGAGTGATGGTTGAAAAAAAAAATAAAATAAAAAAAGAAGAGAAAAGGAGAAGGATCGAAACGCTTCACAGAAACATATAGTATATATATATATATGAATAATATAACTATACAATGAATGGAAAGAGTATATGATTATCTCTTTAGTATATTGTAAATCAAAAGATATGAAGTCAATCAATCAATGGAAAGATGGGAGGTAAAAATGAGGAAAGTCGTTGGGTGGAGTTCCAACAAACAAACAAGAAACTAATAAGAGCTTGAAACTTTATTAAAGTCTACTAACATCATCATTATTGATCCTTGTTATGTTATCTATCTATCTATCTATCTATTAATCCAACAGATAAACTTAGGATCATTCATTCCATCCATCGGTTTTTTGATCGAAAAAACAACTATTTTTTGTTTTTTGTTTTGTGATGATGGGCACACTGAGGGAGTGAGTGGCGGCCCTCCTCAAAGATCTAGTTACTTTTACTGACAGCTTACTCCTTCACCTTTTTGTAACATTATTCATTCATTCATTGTTGTATTATAACAAAAGTATCATATATATATATAACTTTATTTATTTGTATCATTAACAAGCTCAGCTACTACTCATTCCCTTTCATATTTTATTGAGAGATTTATAACAACACAACAAACAACACAGCTGACACAACAAAAATCAACACAACAACAACAAAGCCATCTCTAAACCAAATATCTGTAAAACACACAACACATATCAACCAACCTTAAAACAAACAAACAACAGCCACAAACTACAACAACCAATTATAAGAATAACCATTCGACAGATTAATTATAATTATTATTTATTACTACTTTTGATATATATATAAATATAACTCTTTTTGTTTTATAATATAATATAATCATCTTATCATCTCTCTATCTACTACTATAGCATAGTAGTACTATTACATCAACAACACATATAACGCTAAATTTATTTATTATTTATTTATTATAAACATCTCAAAACTCAACAATCAACTCATCCTTTTGTATAATTATAAAAAGAAAATAGAAATAGTAGTAGGATGGGAGACGTTGAAGAATTCTTTAAATTAAGAATATCAAAAGATGATCCAGAATTGATATTTCAAATTGTAGAGGTAGTTGGATCGGGATCATTTGGAACTGTGTGTGCGTGTCGGTGGATGAAGAAAAAAGACAGAGATGCACATGGAAACAAGTTGATAGCATGCAAGTTTGTAGAGGTGACGGCCGAGGACATTGAGACCAACACCAACTTGGTCAAAGAGATTGATATTTTGAAAGAGTCGATCGATTGTCCATACATTGTCGAATACAAGGGATGCTACCTCAAGTCAAATATGTTGCTCATCGTCATGGAGTATTGCAAGGGTGGCTCGTTGCTGGATATTATCGAACTGTGCAAAAAGAGTCTCAAAGAGGAAGAGATTGCTGCCGTGTGCGCTGGTGTCGTCAAGGGACTGGTGTACCTGCACTCTAAGCGTACAACACATCGTGACATTAAAGCAGGTAATGTGTTGCTCGACGAAGACGGTGTACCTAAATTGGCTGATTTTGGTGTGTCTACCATCGCCGAACAAGGACAAAAGATGAAGACTGTGATTGGGTCACCGTACTGGATGGCACCGGAAATCATCATGGGTCAGGGGTACGATCAAAAGGCTGATATCTGGTCGTTGGGTATTACGGCCATCGAGATTGCCGAGGGTGTGCCCCCACGTTTTGACATACCTCCCAGTCGTGTCATCTTTACTATTCCCCACCAACCCCCTCCCACGCTCAAAATCCAGTCGGACTGGTCGCCCGAGTTCCACGACTTTATCAAGATTTGTCTGTCGATGAACCCGTCGTTGCGTCCGTCTGCCCAACAACTGCTCTCTCACCCGTTCATCCTCAAGGGGTCGTCGCAGCAGATCCTGCAGAGTCTCGTCACCGAGTGCATCCCTCTGCTCAAGATCAAGCGTGAGGAAAAGATCCAGCAAATGGAAGAGTCGGACCAAGCCGCCGAATCCTCGAAAAAGGCCGAGTCCCTCAAAGGCTCTGTCGTCGTCCTCAACTCCAACACCCGTACCGCCTCCATCATGCGTAACAAGAACGGTACAACCAACCTCAACCCACCCGCAGGTGCAGGTTCCACAGGCTCGGGTGGCAGTGTCGCCAAACCTCAATCAGGTGGTACAGCCAAAAAACCAGCAGCTCCATCAAACAACAAACCATCTGCATCTGCACAAGTACCACCTGCCAAACCAGGTGCTTCTGCATCACCATCACCATCGACGGCCAAAAAACCAGCAGCAGCACAACCAAATACACCGGCCACTTCGAAAACACCAGGTACACTTCATACACCACCCAACTATAAACCACCACAAGCACCAGCTACCACCACCACCACCGCATCACCTAAATCACCAGCCACTGCCAAACCACTAGCATCAACCACCAATAAATCACCAGCACATCCAATCTCTCCATCGGTCAAACCAAATAGCTCGACTGGAAGAAGCCAAACCATCAGTATTGGACAACAAAAACAAGCAGCCACCGTCAAATCACAAGACGACGAACCAGTTACTTTTATACATCACGACGATCATTCTGGGTTCCAAGCAGGTGGTGATGAAGAAGATATAGATTTCCACCCCGATGATTATGAAGAGGTTGATATCTAAATCCATCTTTAATCATAATAGTAATAAAAAATAATAATATATTAGTAAATATAAATATATATCCCTGTCTCAAGAGACACGCGTCCCAAAAAATATTTTCAAAAGTTTTAAAAAACCAACCAACAGGTGTTTTTCAATGAACCAAACACGTTTTATTATTGTTGATTAAAACTTAATTTTCATCATCATTGATATTAAAGATGAATAATGAGGGAGGGAGTTTATTATTTTATAAATAAAAAAAGTTTTATTTTAGTTAGACTCTTTTCTTTGCTTATATTATTATTCATTGAGTTTATTTGCAAAGCTTTTGTTTTTATAGTAAAAAAAAATTATATAATACATAATTTCATCGCGACAATTTATTTTATAATAAAAAATTGGCCATCATCACCATCGATCTTCTTCTTGAGAGACACCCCCTTTTTGTATTTGGTTTATTAAATTTTTTTTACATTCATACTACACCTTAAGACTTTTTAATAATTATATATTTATATATTTCTCTCTAAATATATACAACTACTACTACTACTATTTGTATCTCTTTTTTTTTATATCTCGAAAATCATTCAGTGAATAGTTTTTTACAAGTTAAAGTTATATTTATATATAGACAAAATAGATATAGATAGATAGATAAAGAGAGAAGATTTAGATTATATAGATAAATAATAATACATACATAATAATAAGCAATGTCAGAAGTAGAAACAGCTCCACCTCCACCACCACCTCCACCAGCTGCTCCAGCTCCACCACCTCCACCTCCAGTCTCTGCTGCCCCAGCAGACCCTGGCAGATCAGCTTTACTTGGCTCCATTCAAAACTTTAGCTCTGCCAAATTGAAAAAGGTTAATACCAATGATAGAAAACCAACAGACGGTAAAGTTCAAATCAAGCAACTACAATATCAATCAATCAATCAATCAATCAAATTCACAATAGACAATCAAAAGAGGAAGAGGAAGATGAAAAGATGAAAAAAGAAAAGAGAAAGAGAAGAGAGAAAAATGAAAACAAAAGTTATAGCTAAACATATATATATATATCAATGAGATAGCTACTGTGCTGTGGTTATCAATTCCCATTCCACATTTAGATTTAAATCAACATAAACCATTCCACCATTGGTGTGAATGATCATTGGTTGTTGTGTTTTAGTGGTGGTGGATGTGGTAGGGTGATTTATAATATATTATTATTTACCACCACAAACACACAGACACACATATAATTGAAACATTAATAGTCAAATCAATATATCCATCAATCAATCAAATATTTCCCCCACCACACGTGATCGATCAATTAAAAGATTTAAATGTATATATATCTAACTTTTTAAAATCTTTGTTTTTTGACAATCTTTGCAGCAGGACCAAGTAGAGCTCCATCAAGCTCAGGAGGTAGTGGCGGCGGAGGGTCTCGTCCAGTGCCAGGTGGAGGCCCATCTGGATTTGGAGATATCTTTGCAGGTGGTATGCCAAAGTTGAGAAGTACCAAGGGTGGTGTAGACACTAAGGATTCTCATACACCAGCACCATCATCGTCGGCACCAGCTCCTACTCCAGTTGGATCAAATCCAACTCCCAAGCCAACCTTTGTAAGTGCATCAAAGCCAGGTGCTCCAGTACTCAAACCATCAACTGGTGTACTCAGACAAGCACCAGTCCTAGCCAAGCCATTTGCCAAGCCATCACCATCCGTATCACCTGCTGCTCCATCACCAAAACCAGCTGCCTCTCCAGTCGTCCGTCCAACTCAACCCGTTAAACCAGAACCTGCCAAACCAACTCCAACCCCAACTCCAGTTGCTGCTGCTCCAGCTCCAGCTCCAGTTGAAACATTCAAGCCTGCTCCATTACCAGCTCCAGTCCCTGCACCAGTTGCTGCTGCACCAGCACCAGCACCAGTTCACGTTGAAAAGAAACAAGAAGAGAGTCATTTGGCAACATCATTCAACAAGAATGTTGTAGTCAATGAGAGTAATATTACTCCAAGTGGTGGTGCACCCAAACCAGCCCCAACAGTCACTCATACCAGCAAGCCAGCTCCAGTTGGCAAGACACCAGCCAATTGGGTCAGTCCTGCAGCCGGGCCAGTCAATCCAATCGGTCGTGTTGTCCAAACCGCCAGTGTACATGTTGCTCAACCAAAGACCAACGTCACCTCGTCCGCATCGATTGCTCCCAAGGCACCTATTGTACTTCCCAAACAACCATCTCAAACATCACTAAAGACAGCTCCATCTGTCAGTGCGCCAATTGCCAAACCAGCACCAGTTGCCGCACCAGTTCCAATCGCCAAACCAATTGCTCCAATCTCCAAACCAATCTCCAAACCAATTGCTAAACCTGCTCCAGCTCCAACTCCAGTTGCTGCAGCTATCCCAACTCCAGCTCCAACTCCAGTTGTTGCAGCTCCACCACCACCAATTGTTGTAAAAGAAGAGGAAGAACTCATCCAAGAAAGCAAGCCATTTGTACCACCAGTCACCACTACCACCACCACCCAGCATAACCATCACCACCACAAAGAGATTGAAACCAAACCAACAGTTGTTCCAACATCACACCAACACGAATCTCATCATTCCAACTCTCATGTAACATCAACTCGTTCATTCCCACCAGCCGCTGCCACCAACACCTCGTCCTCTAATCTATCGGACAACACCTCTCCACGTAAAAAGGATGATGGAGAACTCAGTTGTCACAGATGTAACCAATTTATTGAAGGTAGCCATTACAAGGCAATGGATAGAGCATGGCATATTGATCATTTTACCTGTAAATCGTATGTAAACAAATCTTTAGTGATGTACAGCTTTATAATATTAATATTTCATTCATTCTACACTTAGATGTAATAAGGGAATTCAAAGTTTTGTTGTTCATGATGATCAACCATATTGTGAGACATGTTATGACAAGTTGTTTGTTGAACACAAGACATGTCATATTTGTAGTGAACCAATTTTCGGAACAGTAGTATCTGCAATGAACAACCATTTCCATCAAGAATGTTTCAAGTGCAATAGTTGTGGATCCAACTTCCCAGACAGTGAGTTTTATCAACTCGAAGGTAAACCATGGTGTTATTCATGTGTTCAAAAGGCTACTGCCCCCAAGTTTGAACAATGTGATGCTTGTCAACAACCAATCAACTCCAAGACCGAGGGATTGATCAAAGTACTTGGAAACAAATATCACAACAATGAAAGATGTTTCTCTTGTCATGGATGTCGTAAACCATTCCCTAATTTGAATTTCTATGAAGTTACCAATCAACCATATTGTCATGACTGTGCTTTAAGACTTCACCAACAATCTTAAAAAAAAAAAACAAAAAATAATAATCAATCAAATAACAACAACAATGGTATAATAGCAAAATCAAGCAATAACAAACAACTATTTATTAACAAACAATCAAAACAATTAAATAAATTTCAATAATAATTAATAATAAATCAAATTAACTGATTTAAATTATCAATATTTTCCTAAAACTAGTTTAATAAAAATAAATTCAAATTTCGAACCAATTTATGTTTAACTATCTACCCTCCTCTCAGTTGACAAAGAGAAAGAAATATGAATATAGATATTAAAATATTTAGATTTGTATTTAATAATGTTGTCATTAGATCACGTATATTTAGAAATGTATCGATAATACATCGACAATTGGGATTGGTTGTAATCAAAAGAGGCGATATCATATCATTGTATCAATGTGTAAAGTTTGGTCAGAATGATCTATTTGTTCAAAACTTTAAACAAGTATTTGATCAGATGTTACAATGTCATGAAATAGCAAGATTCGATCCCTATCTTGTAAGTATTTAAAATGGTTTGATATGTTATGTTAGAATGACTAACTTTGAAAATTTGCTTCTTTAGAGATATGTACCAGTACCATTTCAAACTATTATAAATAATCTACCTAGATCAAATGAATTTATAATTGGTTATTTATTAGATCAATTGACTATGATTCAAGATGATTATCTACCAAACAGCAGTGGTGGCAGTAATAATAAGGCAAATCTATCAAAATATAATATGATTCAACTATTGAAAACAGAATCTATTAAAATTATTCAATCAATGTCTATAAGAAGAGATAAAAATAATACCTCTACTACTGGAGATGATGAAGATGAATTGACTCTAGAAGATTGTGGTGATAACAATTTAGATCATGCATTGATAAATTGTAATAAGGTGGTGATCGAAGAATACCTAGAGGAAATGGGTAAAGCAGCAAACGATGGTAAAAAGATACAATATTTCTTTGATTTGTATCTATTAAACAAATTGTTTAGATTTGGACATGGAGAGTTTGCATTGACAGTGATTGAAAAGTATGGTTACATCTTTGACAATCTAACAACAACAAAGTGGAATTTGGAAACCATCAAAAACTACCCAATCACTATCGATTTGTTGAAACGATTAATGTCATACCGATCGGTTAAATGTAACCTTGGATCTATTCAAGTGGATGCAATTGAATCTGCTGACGACACTGCATACGAGGTGGTTGAATGGATTGAAGATCAAATCCTATCTGATACGGTTGAACCAGAGGACAAACACATCAAATATGTTGAGGCTTTGAAAGCTGCCATTTCAACAAACAAGTATGAATGTGTTCGACTGTTGGTATCACATTATGAAAAGAGATGGAATCGACATCATCATGGTGACGTTCATTTGACGATCAAAGAGTTCCAGACAGCCAGCGAGGAGATTCAAGAATACCTATTTTCAACGTTTACGCCCGACCAAATATTTGTCGATTTCCACTTGCCATCAACTAGCATCAAACTCAAGCAAGAGCAAACGACGATAAACATTATGAACAAGTATCGTCATCTTGTTGCTGGTACCACTCCTTTAAGTTTCCGGGATGCTCGAAACCTGTCTCGTATCATAACCGTTGCCGTTCAAAGCAACGACCTAGAGTTGTGTCAAAAACTACAAGCCCATTCAAACTTTGCAGCACCTTTTCAAACTAGTCGCACCGTCATTGACATTGAAATTATAAAGTTGGCTGGCACCAAACTATCTCGATACGATTTAAATATGCTTGCTCATGTTGCCATTAGAAATTGTGATAGTTGGTCACACACTACACACGCCACTAATTACTCATTGTTTGAGTATCTAGACTTTTTACAAAAAATGGCTATGCCTTCTTCTTCTTCTAATGCCGCAACTATAGTCACAGAACCGACACTACAAACTGGATTATTCACGACCAAGTTTTTGGCAAGTGCTCCAAATGAAAAGATTCTAGAGTATATATGGAATGCATGTGGAGATAAAGCATCGTACAGTACAATAGAGAAAAGCATGACTTTGACACCACAACTTGTCGAACGGTTGATACAACTGCATTACAACTATCATCAAGATGCTGGAAACGACATTTCCAAACATCAACTCACAATTGACGCTGAATATTTAAACAATGATCACCAAGACTGGATTCCAAGTATGCTAAAATGGTTATGCTGTACAGCAGGAGCAGATCGTTACCCTAATATCAAGCCATTGACACAATCTACCCAATTGGCATTACAAAGCTATCTAATACTAAAGTATGGAATATTTTCAAACAAACTAAACTCTCTATTCCATACTTGATCGATAAACTAATAAATAATAATAATGATAACAATATTAATAATAAAGAAGTGTGTGAGTTGTTCATCATTCACCAGCAAATCCACAACATACAATACATATATACCAATCTATTGGAATTGTCAATCTAGTGCATAATGATAACAATTTGGGATTATTCCAACAGAAGAATTTATTGTTTAGTATAAGACTTTAAATTGATAGTTTACATATTTTTTTGATTGTTGAAGAGGTGGAAAAAAAAAAACAATTAGAAATAGGATAATTAAAACTGCTCTAAACCCTTTATGAATAGCATTCTATTGTGGTTGTTGGGTTTGTTGCTGTTGATGTTGTTGAGATAGTGCAAATTGTTGAAATTGTGCAAATTGTTGTTGAAATTCTAGGCTTTGTTTTTTGCAAATGTTGTTGAAACTGTTGTTGAAACTGTTGGTCTTGTTGTTGAAACTGTTGCAACAGCCGGTTTTGTTGTTGCAAATATTGTTGCAACTGTTGGTCTCTTTGTTGCAACTGTTGTTGCAACAGCTGGTTTTGTTGTTGCAACTCTTGCATTTCTGGTAGCTATTTAAATACCTCTTGTTCCTGTTCTTCTTGTGTCCGTTGTGGTGGTGGTGATGGTGCGTGATCTGAACCGAAACTCTGATAAGATTCTATAGCAAGTGATCAAGTGAAAAGGAATGAATAGAGGAAGAAGAAAACAAAAATGAATAAAAAAAAAAAGGAAAGAATGAGTTTGTATATATTGGTAATATGTTCATATTGTATATTTAGTAAAAGGTGCTCCACCAACTCCACCACCACCAACAGAGCAAGCACCAAATGCCAATACTCAACCAGCACCAATGCAAATACCTGGTATGCCATCAAACATGGGTCAAATGCTCCAGAATCCAATGATGCAAGAGTTTAGAATCTCCAATGTTTCAAAACATTTTTGACAATCCCGATACCTTTAAGGAAATGATTTTAAATAATCCCGAAATGAGAGAAATTATGAATAGAAATCCTGAAATGGCTCAAGTTTAAAATGATCCAAGAGTATGTAATATATATATATATAACAACAAATATAAATATTATCTTTCTTCTTCTTCTTTATATTAATATTTATATTTTGTTTTTATAGGCACTTAGACAATCATTTGAAATGATGCGTAATCCAGAATTGATGCGTGAAATGATGCGTAATGCTGATAGAGCTATGATTAACATTGAAAATCACCCAGAAGGTTTTAATCTCCTTCGTAGAATGTATACAAATGTACAAGTATGTAAATTAATTAATTAATTAATTCATCAGTAATACAAAACTCTTTTAACCTAAACAAAATTGATCCTTTTAATTTTTTGGTTCCTCCTCTTGGTCTTCCTCCTCCTCTTCTTCTTTTTAAGAACCATTATATAATGCAGCAAATCAAGCAGCAGCCAATCAACAAATCAACAATCCATTTTCATCTTTATTCCACAATAATACCAACAATGCCAATTCTGATCAACCATTACCAAATCCATGGGCACCACAACCAAACCCAACTACAACCTGTGCTACGGAACTGGTGCATCATCCAACAATATTACTACTAATGGCGGCAACACAACTACTAGTCCAAAAAGTAACGCATCAAATCCATATTCCAGTATTTTTGGTGGTATGGGAGGAATGGGAGGAATGGGGGGAATGGGAGAAATGGGATGTGACACCACTCCATTTGGATTGTCACCAGAACAAATGTCTCAAATGTTATCATCACCAGAGGTTCAAGGCATGATGCAACAATTAATGTCAAATCCACAATTTATGGAACAAACAATCAACTCTAATCCACAACTCCGTCAAATGGTTGATCAGAATCCACAAATGAGAGAGGCACTTTCACGTCCTGAAAGTTTGGAAATGTTTAGAAACTCTCAAAACCTTCAAGCACCTCTTCAACTTCAGCAATCTTTATCTACTCTTCAAAATAATGGAATGTTTGGGTATGAAACAGTAAACTTTATACATATTCATTTGATTTGATTTCTAATTTATATTTTATTTTTATTATATTTTAGTGGAGCATCAGGAATGCCACCAGCAGGAATGCCAGCAGGAATGGAAAATATGTTTAGTGGTAGGAATGGGAGGAATGGGCAATTTTGCCAATATGTTTGGTGGAATGGGTGGAGCTACTGGTCAAAGACAAGGCACAACTTCTCCTACACAAGCCGCTGCCAATCTAGAACCACCCGAACAAAGATTCACTGTTCAATTACAACAACTCAGAGATATGGGATTCCTCGATCCAGCCGAAAATATTCAAGCTCTTATACAAACTGGTGGAAATGTAAATGCTGCTATTAAAAGTTTACTTCGTTAAAAAAAAAAAACAACATTTTAATATATATAAAAAAAGTCTTAAAACTACAAGTCTACCATTCTATTTAAATGGGAAGTAAACAACACTTTTTTATTTAAACAAAAAAAAAAAAGAGAAGATCATATTAATTATTTGGTGATCTTCATAACCCTGACTGTCGGGGTCATTTTACTTTCTTATGATGATTCACAACGGTTTTTTCTTGCATTCTCAATTATAGAATGTCTACAAATAAAGAACAATATGAAAAATAATAAAGAAGAAGAAGATTTATTTAGAAAGATCATTGGATCAGCAACACTCAGAACTATAATATTAAATCATGTTAGAGAGATTAGAATGTTGGATGCACGATTGTACAAGATACCAGGAACAAAGTACACTGTCGAACTTGGTCAACTAAATCAACATCACAGATTCATCGAAAGAAAGTATGCGTTCTGGTATCCACTTTATTTCGACCGTTATACAAGACCACATACGTTGACGTTGGGTGCATTGGACACAATCAATAGTTTGCTACAAAACACAGTCACCAAGTTGGTCAAGCGTTCAATAGAACTCATGTCATTGGAGAATGCTGATAATCTGAGATGCAGACACATTGTTTTGTGCGCAATGGAGCTTTATGTCGATAAAGAAGCAGCCTTCTATTGTGTAGAGCGTGCTTGTGACGCTGTGAACGAATACCACAGTAAAGTACCTGGCACGTTCTATGTGTATAAGCTATCAGATATTATCGAGATGTTCAAATCTGCTGCGGGTACTGCCAACTTTGGCAATCTATACACAACAACTGTGGTCTTTTTCCAAAAGACCATCGAGTACTTTCTTAATATGATCGCAGTGATCATTTGCAGGACAAAGAAAGCGAGAGTATGTATAAACATCGTCGTCGTGACGATACCTTTGTAATGACCAACAACAACAAGTAACTAACTTTAATTCCAAACTCTATAGAATAGCAAGTCAACTAACCCAATCAGCTCTCAAGAGGTCATAGAAATCTTCAAAGCGGATGATGTCACCTCAAATTTCTTCTTTAGTGATGAATTACAGACTTCAAATACGCAAGCCGCAACTCAACCGGACACTCTTGATCAAGATCCAATCAAGTTGTTGGAAAAAATCAAAGAGACTGATCTGCTATACACCGAGGATCTCAATGAAGCTTTTGATAAAATTCACTTGAAAGAAGCAAACAAAGACGATGATGACGATGGCGATCAAGTCGGCCACCAAGCAAACTTTGGACAGTTGGTGAGGGAACTTCCAACCGAGAATCTCAGGACCATCGCTAAAATGTTGGCAATTGATATCCAAGGATGTTTCGATAAAAAAAATGTAATTCAAAAGAGTAGGTATCGAAATATTTATAGCAATCATAATACTTTGACGAATATTAACAATAACTATTATTATTATTACTATTACTATTATTGTTGCTACCCTTATCGCGCAGAGATCACCAATACAATCAAACAATTGAAATCAAAGAATATGATTTTCAAAATGTACAATGATGATGGAGATGTCGATGCATCACAATACAGTGAGGCTGATAGAGTTAAAATATCTCGATGGTATCAATGTATGTGCGATAACGACGGGTATCATGATGTTTGGTTCATGACTCCATTGCAAGCATTCAAAGAAATGGGTGATCCAAAGGAACTTGAAGAGATGACAGAATCAGACTTGGAGGAAAGTGATGATGGTGACTATGACGATGACGAGGAAGATGATAATGATAAAGTTCCATGTCCTATTCAGTGATAAAACATTCACCATTATGGCTATTCATATTTTATACAAATAAAAGCACAGAACATCGATTTAAATCCGTACAGTGCCACAATTCAGGAGCAAGGGTTGGCTCTCATACTAATCCTCTGACTTGAACCATACTAATATATTTATTCCTTTTCTTTTTTTGTTTGTTTATATATCTATCGACAATCCTACTAGCTGTAACAATTATTATTATAAATTAATATCTTTTTAAAAACAATGGAAATGTGTTTATGAATTTGTACGTGTAACTATTTGTTGTTGGTGTTGTTGTTGGTTTAGTTGTTGATTCAATGTTATGATATTAGATAATAATGATTCCAAAGTTCCAACTTGAGTACCGAGAGAATTAATCTTCAAGTACATATAAAAGAATAGAGACAAGAGCATAATGATAACAGAAAACATTGGATAACCAGTGATGATCAAATCTCCATAATCAGAGGTAACTTGTAATCGGAATGGTGAAGAAGAGGTTGTTCTCTTTTTCTTGGATTCTACCAAGGTAACATCCTCATTTTCTTTAATCGATGTCAATGGTGAAGTATTATTATTATTATTTTGATTCTGATTGAATCCTAAATTAATTGGTGAAGGGGTGGACGCTGGTGGTGGTTGTAAACTATTATTATTATTATTGTGAGTTGGTTGAGTATGAAGTGGAATGGATGAATAGGGAGAAGATTCATTACTTAGATTTGAAACTTGAAGATGATACCAAATGTTGTCTACTACGTGATCTACTATGATGTGGTTTGGGTGAATCGATTCTTCCCTCGCCACCACCAACACCACTTCCAACACCTTCATCTCCTCTAATCTTTTCAATCGATCTATTCAAAGAGGTAATATTAATCGATGGTAAAGCAGCACCACCAACAGTACTTGGTGCAGCTAGCTAGATGGTCCGCCGGCGTTTGGACGCTTGAATTGAATAGCCTTTTGAACCTCTTGTTTGGCCAATTGCACCCACGTTTGGAATGAACCTTTGGATTCTTTGATGGTGCTCGTTTCAATCTTGCTCTTGAACCAAGTCTTTTTGATTCACATATTTGAATAGTCAATCGACAAGTATCTGGTGAAGTCTCCACAACCTCCCAGATTGCTTCAATTCTGAAATGATCACCATATGGAATATCGAGCATAATAGTATCAGTTTCAATGACCAACTTTTTAAGTGTTAGATGATATCTCTGTGTCTCTTGAATTCTAGTTATATCTGGTCCAATTGGTGAATTTACTGGTGCTACATATTCCAGTTCTCTAACAGTTCCAAATCTTTCTCTTGTTGTCCAATTTTTTACACTTATATCTAGAAAATAAATAAATTAAATTAAATAAATAAATAGATAGAATTAGAAAAAGATAATTATAATATAATTTGCGCGTTTGTACATACTTTTATCACCACGTTTGGTATGATAATAAATGTAAATATCTGAACAGAGAGCTCTGAAAAAGTTGGTAGTGCTGCAATTGAAATTGTCGGTAAGGAGTTCTTCAAAATCTGATGATTGACTTTCCAATATTGAAGATTGTTCATTAACTGATAGAAATTGATCAATTCCTCCATACAATTCATCAAAAACACTTTTTTCTGAAACTACTACTGCTGCCGCTGCGGTTGGTGGTGCATGTTGTTGTGGTTTTTCTATTTGTATATTATTATTAAGAACAACTCCATTTATATTATTATTATTACATTCTGTTGTTGGTTGTTGATTTGTTTGTTCAGGATTATTTGTTATTGTTGTATTTGTAGGAGTTGTTTCTGTATTACTATTACTATTATTATTATTATTATTATTTACATGGTCAAGACTATTATTGACAGTTTGTTGAAATCCACTACTTTGAGATGATTGTTCAGATTGATTACCATTACCATTGACCAGATTGGTATTCATGGTACCACTACCATTACTATTATTATTAAATGATTGACTCTCGGCTTCAAAGACACTATTTGATGATTCATCTTCATCATCATCAATACTATGAGATGAAACTTCATCATGAGATTCACCAGTTACTTCTTTCCATTGTACCATTAATTCATTAAATGTTTTATCTCTTGATACAAATGATGCAATTGATAACTATATAGGTAGTAAAATATTAATTAATTAATTAATAAATAAATAAATAGTTCTATTCTTTTTTTTTTGATTCACATTGATGAATTATATTTACCTTGTTTCCATTTGCAATGATTTCAATGCCAACTGGGAATTGGAACTTTTTACTCTTTTTTTTAATACTTGTAACTTGATTAAATAGAATGATTTCTGTTGTCTTTAGACCAAAAATCTTTGATTCAAAACATATATAATTTTTAGAACTTCAAATTGAACTCCTGATGTATACGATAGATATATACATATTTATACTAATTTCACTCAAATTAAAACTTAAAAGTACAATTTTCTTAGATAAAACCATCAAGAGTTACGACTGTCTCATGGTGACTTTTGGCCTCCAAGGTCAGGCCAAAGGCCGGCACGGTCCATAGTAAAAAAAATTATGCCTCGGCACCAATTTTTTAGTATGAGAGACTTTGAATCCACCGGTGAAGGACCAGACTTGGCACTAGTCCCAACCAAGTTTGGCCGTAAAAAGATATAATCTATGATGTAAAATTTGTCTATGTAATGCAGCAGAATAATCTAATAAATAATAAATAAATAAATAAATAAATAGATATTAATATTAATGTCAATATTGATGATTCTGATTTGATTGATTGATTTGATTTTCATTTCCATACCATTAATTAATAACTCGGTTGAAGGTAATTTAAATTTTTTAATATATGGATTACTTTTCATTCTACTATCCAAAGTCTTTGAAATGGGAGGCTCCTCACCTCCGATTGTATTCTTTTTGGAGGGTTGATGATACGACATCATGAGGAGAAAGCAAAGAAAGTGGTGGACACATTTAAATTTAGTCTAAAACCGACGAATGGTAATTGGCTAACCTTGTAAAGGAGATGAGGGATTTTAGTAATGAACTCGTTGAGTGATTACCAGTATCTCCATATTGTTGTTGTTGTTGTTGTTGTTGTGATCTATGTCTTATGTGGTGATGGAAAAAGAGCTCCACTCTGGTCCAGAGGTGTTGATCACTATTAGTATTATTATTATTATTATTATTATTATTATTATTATTATTATTATTATTATTATTATTATTATTATTATTATTATTGTTATTGTTATTGTTGGTACAACTGCATTACAACTATCACCAAGATGCTGGAAACGACATTTCCAAACATCAACTCACAATTGACGCTGAATATTTAAACAATGATCCATGGGAGAACAATCAATCAATTCACATGGACAGCAGTTTGATAATGGACGGTCGTGTGATCATCAATATATTCATCCTTATACATCCATCTAACCAATACTAACATTCATTCATTCCAGGTGTTTCCAGTTGCACTTGTATAATCTTTTGGGTGTGGATATCAACTAATAGTTGACAGAGATAAAAATAGCTGACGGGAATGAATCTACCATTGTAGTGGGTGGGTAACACCATTCATTCATTCATTCACACAGTTTTCATCGTTTTCAACTCACCCAACCCCACCCAACAACAACAGAACCGATCTGTATACCAAGCATTTTACTTTACTGGTTGGCTGTAACCGTTAGTAGTAGTAGTGTTGGGGGAGGGAAAGAAAGAACAGTAGTGTTGTAGTATTGAAAAAAAACACATGTATTGATTTATCTCTCTCCACATGTGACACTTGTTGTTGTGCTGCTGCTGTTGTAGTTGTTGAACCATTACTATAGAAGAAAAACAACAACTAAGGAATTTATCTCTAAGTGCATTATTATTATTATTATAGAACACCCTGCTTGCTTTGCTTGTTGTTAATTGATGTTTGTTTTTATAATTTTAAATTATTATTAATTTTCTTTGTCAAGCAAACCAAATCCAAACACACAGACACTGTTTTCACACCCTCGAGATTCGCATTTAGCAAAGAGATTTATATCAATATTGTTGTTTTAAAAGAATACACGGCTTCCTTCAAAGACACCACTCTTATTCTCGTCGGCATATCATACCAACCATTCAACTTTTATTCAACTTTAATATTTGTTTAATTATATATATATATAATATTGTACAATACATTCATATTCATTTAAAATAATAATCAAACAAACAAACAAACAACAGATCGCAAACCCACCCACCCCAATTAAAAGAGACAACGAGACGATAATAACAACATCACTCACACCACTCACTCCTTCCTTCATCCTCTTGTTTCTTATTTAGTCGAGTAGCGCAGACTATCAAATAATAGAAGGAATAATCTTATTCTAGCATAGAGATAATAACAACACCAACAACAACAACAACAATCAAACACTCTCTACTACTACTACATAGTGTGTTGTTCAACTTCACAACAAACAATCAAAAACAAATAACAGAGGAGGAGTGTAAAAGCATATAATCCCCAGTGTACATTAATTATTATTATTATTATTATTTAAATAATCACGACTGTCCATTTATTGATAAAAGGACAAATAGACAGATAATTATAAATATTATTATTATTATTATTATTAAACATATATAATAATCATGGCAATTGTTGGTTTAATAGTTCAAAATCACAATGGAAATGTATTGTTTCAAAATGTGTAAGTAGTAGATAACAGATATAGATATAGATATGATCAATTGAAACAGGTGCTTGTTTACTTATTCCACACTTTTTTTTCTACCCCTTAATCATTTTATAGACGAGAATATCTTTCACACGAGAAAGCCAATATAGCTTCCAAAGCATTTATAGATCAGATAACAAGTTATGACGATGCTTTTATGTAAGACATATATATATATATATATAAATGATTTGATTGATCATTTGTGATATTAATGATTAATGTTAATTTTTGATTCACATTTTTAGATCAAGAGGAACGACAAGTCATTTAACAGGATCAATTGTAGTATTGAATATGTATAGAATATATTATATGATATTGAACGAGATTTATATTTTGGCGATATCACAGGCCAACGATAACCCATACGAAGGTGCATTGTATCTTGCAAGAGCCAAACGGGTGTTGTTGGCCGTGTCCAAAGAGTTGACAGAGGTGCAGATTCAACGAAAATACAGCGAAGTCTACTTTGCATTGGAACGTGTGTTGTTTGGCGAGGACGGTGTCGAGGTTTTGACGCAGCGACTCTCTGACGTCCAACCACACAGCATATCAAATAGAATCGACGGCCACCAAGACGAGTTGTCGCCGCATCAAGGCTCGTTGACGCAGTCTGGTGGCGCCGTCTCGGGTGGTGGTTTGGCTAGTGGAGGATTGGTGCACGGCTTGATTGGCAGCAGCAATGCTAGTACCGGTGGGTTGACCCCGGGCAGTGGTGTGTCGGTGGGCGGACGTTTGTTGGACAACCCACTCAACGTGGTGTCGCTCGGAAGCGCACCCACGCTCTCTCGACGAACCACCCACCACCATCACGAGCACTCGCAATTCGACAGCCTCTGCAAGCTCGACGGCATATCTCTTGGCGACCGCATCCTCACGCAGAGCGATGCATTACCCAAGACCGACAAAAATATCTACGACCCACCTCCCCAAGTCAAGTGGGGCGGCACCAGTGCGCCCGCCGGCTACCCATCGTCGTCGACCAGTCGTGTCGGCACCAACCGCATCATGTTTACCCTGCGTCACCCCACCACTCACTCGTCGGCCAATGCATCGACCTCGCCCACCGACGGCAGCTCCAACGCCGACGACGAGCTCATGAGCCTCACCTCTTCGACCGGCTCCTCTCCCCTCTCGGGCAGCGTTGGCGCCCAATCCCCCAGCCTCACGGGCAGCCCTGACCATACCAGCGGCGGCGGACAAGTCGCCATCGACGGTTCTGGTTCCTCGTCACCCTCTGAACAACTACCAGAAACCACTGGTAGAAAATACTCCATCTCTCACGTCACTACCAAACGATCTACTCCAGTCACCAACACAAACACACCCAATTCCAATTCCGACGATGCTGCCTCTTCCACTTCTCCTCTTGTCTCTTCACCCAAAACTTCTTCCTTTATCGATCCAATGAAACCAGATACTTCAGCCAATCAATCTTCTCCAAGTGGTGGTGGTGGTAGTGGTGGCGATGACAGCAACAGTGCCAAAGATTCATCATCCACTACAACTAGAAGAGATCATCATAGTTCTGTTTCCATTCCAATTAAATCTAAAATTATTATCTAAACAACAAACAATAACAACAATAACAATAACAAATAGTATAGTATTCATTTTGGATTATGAAAATAAATCAAATCTCTCCCTCCCCCCCCTGTACAATCTATATTTATGATTTAAAGTTAATTATTATTATTTATTATTTACAAAAAAGTTGGTTATTTTTAACAATACTATAAAAGTATTGATGTGTATATATATATAATGGATTGATTATTTTCTTTTTTTCTTGTTTGCACCAGGTGTTGGGAATTCCAATTCATCAACAAAACTATTGGTAATACCAAAGTTTCGATTAAAATCCTCTTTTGGCATATTATATTTAGTGTCACAGAATCTTTGTAATATAGTTATATTATCACCATAACGATTGGCTGCAGCTACACCAATATTAAATTCTTGTTTTAATAATTCCACTTCCTCAACATTGGAAAAACTTGATAATTCCTCTTTGAATTGTTTGTTCTTTGTTTTTAATGATTCTAATAATTCTAATCTCTTTGTTCTTGCATCCTAAAAGTAAAGAGTATCAGTTTACTTAATTCATGATAATAAGGATATTATTTGTTTGTTTTTGTTTTACTTACAGATTCTGGTCTTTCTTTTAATAATCTTTCAATCTTTTCAGATTCATCTACTATTTTATCATTGTATGATTCAATCCTTTCAACTTCTGTATCCAATTGTGTTTGCTTTTGATCCAAATCAAAACTAGCAAATGACCAACAAAAGGCAGTATTTGACATCTTATCATTCTTGATCAAACCATCATTGATTAATTCTTGTACTCCTTCATTTACTTCTTTTACCACTACAAATTTTTAACAAACACAACCTATTAGTTAGATTATGATAAACCCATCAATTTGAATGAATATATGATACATACTCATACCAGTGGCACTTGCTATTTCTGATCCTGCTTCTTGAACTTTGAATACATCATTCTATTAATGACAAACAAGTTAGTTAACGAATCAATGAATGATCAGTCAATCTTTGGTAATCTACTTACAGTCGTATGAAAGAACTTTATTATTTTCTCATTTCTGTCTTCTTTTGATATCTTTTTTCTTGATGACATTATTATCTATTTATCTTTTATATGTTTACAAAGTTTGAAATAATGAAAAAGAGATACAAATAAAGTCATATGATGGAGGTTTTTTGAACTTCTTCTTAGAATTTTTTTTCCAAATACTTTACACAATTAATTAATTTAATTTATTTAATTATTTTGGAGGTTGAGAAGATTTATTATTATTGTTATTATTATCTTTCTTTGGATATTGTTGTTTTGGTTCTTTTGGAGGTTTAGGTTTATGTGTGGTTGTTATTTCAAAGAGACAACCTTTCTTTAACATTGCGATGACTATACTAGAGATGTTTCGACAATCATCGATACCGGAATGATGACGTCCAACTAGAGGTATAGATAGCTGGCGGAGCATATTGGCCATTCCATAGGCAGACATATTATAATTCTTTTCAAATATCTTTTTAACGTTGATCCATTCGGTAAAGTAGTTGGGTGGTGGCAGATAATGTAATTCTCCCGATTCATTCTTATTGATCCTACATTGAGCAGGAAGCATTTGAAGTAGGTCCCAATCACCACAACACAATACTGCAAATGGATTCTCTTCGTTTCTGGCTCCATTCTCTTGTAGCAGTTTATTGTCAACCAAGAATTTAAAGTGTCTCTTGAATACATTTTCAAAGATGTCTGCACTGTCGACAGTAGCCTGTTGTATGCCAGTCAATTGCGTGCAAAATGCCGACAAGGTTGGGTTGTAGACCGGTCGGACATACTCTGCAAATTGAGCTACAACCTGTTGCTTTTCAACATCGACAATGACCGATGGAAATTCAATCACCTCTTGATTCTTTATTTTGGTTCCATCATCACATGTTGCTTCAAAGTCTAATACTACTATATATTTAAATGGTTGTTTGACTATTTTTGGTAATAATAATGTTTCTTCTTGTATTGATACTGTAGATGTTGATGATGGTACTGTAGATGTAGTTGAAGTTGATGATGTAGATGAAGAAGGAGAAGGAGAGGAAGAAGAATCAGCACTAGATACTTTCTTTTCTCTCTTTACATATTTGAATTGATCCATTGTATTATTATTATTATTATTATTTATGTGTTTGATATTTTATGATTAAATGAGATTCTCGAAAGTGAGAGAGTGGTATATTATTAAGGTATGAGCTAGTACCCTCAAATTCATTTTTGTTTTAAATATATAGAGAAAAATCATAGAAATAATAATTAGTTTTGTCGTAGTCATTAGAATAGATTCAACGATGCAAATTCATTATCATTGTCATCTGATAAGATTACTATTCGTCGTGCTTTGTACTTGTATACTTTTACTATCATCATCATCATCATCATCATCAATAGGAGTATTAGGAATGTCACAACACTCACATAGCCACCATTATAATAATAATCCAACAAATACACAACAACAACAACAACAGGATCAAGTACCTCCAATGATCATAACTGACCAAAAGTTATTTGATATTCAAGAACCTCCTGTATGTGTTCTATTACCATATGAACCAGATATAAATAATGTTGACAATAGTAAATAATAATAATGACAATAATAATAATAATAATAATAACAACATGTAAATAAAATAAAACTTTGTACATAATAATACTTTATTCTTCATCATCTGTTACTTCAACCTCTACTTCTTCATATTCATCTTCATCTTCATCTGTTACTTCTACTTCTTCATATTCGTCATCTGTTACTTCGATAACCTCTACTTCCTCTTCCTCTTCTTCTTCTTCGTCATCTGTTACTTCTACTTCTTCATATTCATCATCTGTTACTTCTATAACTTCTACTTCTACTTCCTCTTCCTCTTCCTCTTCCTCTTCCTCTTCTACTTCTACTTCTTCATACTCATCATCTGTTACTTCAATAACTTGTTCTTCTTCTTCTACTTCTTCTTCATCTGTTTCCTCTACCTCTATTTCTTCATATTCCTCTTCTTCTTCTTCTTCCTCTTCTTGATCTGATTCCTCTTGACTTTCTTGTTCATCATCATCATCTTCTTCCTCGTCGCTAGTATCAAAGATACCATCAGAGTCATCTGAATCTGGGTCTGGCATATCATCTGTGGATGGAAGAGGATTGGTAATGTCTGGAGACTGAATTGGATCTTTGTTGTCACCCATTGAACTTTTCATATTATTTGTTAACCATCTAGAGATGGTTCCTTTTTTAGCGATTGGAGGACTCGATTGAGATGGAGACAGTGTTGATGGAGATGGAATACCATCCGATGAACTTTTAATTTCATCATTTTCTGCAATGTCTGATGGTTTTGGTTCCTTTTCTTTCTTTTCCGTCTTTTTAAATCCAAGGAATGATGGGAAGTTCTTTGTTGAAATCTTGAGAGCTCCTGATGACTCTGCAGAGTCACCTCCTCCTCCTCCTACATTTTCATCTTCTACTTTCTTTTCCTTGATTGGTTTTGGTTCCTTTTCTTTCTTTTCTTTTACTGGTTTGACTTCCTTTGGTTCCTTTGGTTCCTTTTTCTCTTTTGGTTCTTTTGATGATTCATTTCCACCACGAGGTAACCATTTTTTAATATTTGGAAAGTTTGCTCCTTTGCTAGAGGTAGAAGGAGACCCGACAACGGCAACTTCATCCTTCTTGTCTTGAATGGTGGTGGCGGTGGTGGTGATATTTGTTGTTTTGGGTGACTCTGATGTTACTTGAGTTTTGGGGTGTTCCTTTGGTTTGGCAGGAATATCTTTTGGTTTGGTTGGGGAGGAAGAAGGTTGATTATTCTTTTCAATTTGAGTGATTCTATTTAATACAGATCCAGCAGGTTTGGAAGTAGGTGATGATTTTACAGTATTGGTATTGGTTTCCTTTTTTGTGGTGGTTGTTGTTGTTGTTGTTGCTGTTGTTGTTTTTAACTGTGATACTGCTGGGGCACGTTTCAAAACACCTTTTGTTGGTGTTGCAGAAGAGGTAGTTGTAGTAGTTGTAGTAGTAGTAGTTGGTTTTGTTGATGTTGCAGAGTTATTATTATTATTAGTATTTTCATTTAAAGATTTAATCTTGTTTGCAACTACACCTGATTTTGGTTTAATGGATGGTGATGGACCACTATTGGCAGCTTCAAATAATCTTGCTTTTGTCACCTCTATCTTGGAGACCTCTCTTGGTTTGTCTGCAACAACAACGGTAGCAGGTGATGATGATAATGATGATGGTTCTTTTGAGACATCCTTCTTTTCCTTTTTATCAAATACACTTGAAATGAATTTAGTAGAGAATTTGGAGGAAGAAGTAGTAGATGTATCCTTTTCCTTGGGAGGATTCTTTTCCAACTCTGCAGCCAATGCCTTTGCCTTTTCAGCCTTTTCAGCCTTTTTTGTCTTTTTCATTTCATCTTGTGCCTTTTTCTTTTCTAGTTCCATCTTTTTCTCTTCTTCTTCCAATTGTTTCTTCATTGCCTTCATTTCCTCTAGTTTCTTTTCCATTTTTTTAACTTCTTCTGCTTGCTTTTTGACCTCTTCTGATTCTTCTTCAACTGGTGCTGCGCGGCTAGCTCCTACCACCACTTTTTTGTTGGTGGTTCCAAGAAAGCTATCTTCCTTTTTTGGTTTTTTAATAAGACCTTTGACTCGTTTGATTGTTGATGGCGAGCCAGTCGTTGTTGGCTTGGTAGACTTTGACTTTTTCCAACCTTGGTTGTCCCCTGTTTCTTTGACGATTTTCTGGATGATCCGACTGGCTGCCAAGTCGATCTTTTCGAGTTCCTTTTCAGCATTGATCTTTTCTTCTTCGGTCATTGCATTGTCTTTTTGGGTCGAGTCGTCTCCAATGGTAAGGTTCTTGAGCTTGTTCAACAGTCCCTTTTTCTTGATCATGACCGGACGCAGCTGTTCGTACATCTCTCGCATGGCAGTTGGGTAGAACGTCTCTTGACAGTTATCAATCAGATGGTTGAGGACGATTTCACGAGACCGCTTCGAGTCGACCGATCTCTTGTTATCACTCGTCATTGAGTTGTCGACATAGAGCACACCATTGCAAGCATCGATAATGTCACCGACCATGGGATCGATCTTTTTGAGTTTCTCTAGATCACTGTCACACTTTTGTTTGTTTTGGTAAAAGTCTGAATGTGTTCTGACAATAGTAGTGTACTTTAAATAGTCCATATCACCACCAAACAGAGCGTCGATCATCGTTACCAAGACATCGATCTCGTTTTGATCGAATCTACCACGTGTGACAAAAATGATTTGGTTGATCCCCGTTCCTCTGAGTGCATAACATGTCTCGGCGATATTGTTAAAGATAGAGTCGTGTGATATGTTTGGGTCGTGTAATCCCGGTGAATCGAGTAGTGTCAGATGCAAGTTCTCAAAGCCTTTAATCTTTTTAAACAACTTTTTCTTGCATTCCTTGGTCACTCCAACAGACGCATCCTTTGATTTAAATTCATGTGACGTTGAACTAATCACAGATGCCAATGTACTTTTCCCTTTACCTGTCGACCCTTATAAAATAGAAAATAGAAATATAAAATACAAAAAGCAAGAGCATACTGTAAGTCCAAAGTGTGATGATGATGACAGTGAGACTATTTATTGTGAATAAATATTATTTTTACACATACCTATTAACAAGACAGTCCTTTTGACAGTTGTATCTGCTGCTGTTGCTGTAGACTTTGTTGTAGTATTATTTATTTCTTCAGTCTCCATCATTGATGATAATTATGATCAAACTTTAAAGGTTTGATCAGTTCGAGCATTTTGATGGACGCAAACCTCAATGTCTACCGATGATAAAAAAAAAGAGATGATATCTATTTTGGGTGTTGGAAGTCGCCCTTATGGTTTTCAAAAATATCCCTTTGAGTCAAAGGGCGCATCCCTGCTTTTTGCAACAACCCACAACACACCCAAATTTATTGTATCGGATTTCAATCAGCATTGTTGGATTTAAAGGAATTGGTTCACGAACGAGTTGCATTTAAGTAATGGATAATTAATTTATTTACTTTTAATATTGATTGTATTTATTGTTGTTTATTTTTCAGGATTGAAATAAATATACATTTTGGTTTTGAGTGAAAGGGTGGGTGAGTGGGGTCGTCTTTTTAGTCGTCATCATCATCGTCATCTTCTTCGTATTCCTCTTCATCGTATTCATCTTCTTCCTCGTATTCTTCTTCATCATCTTCTTCGTATTCTTCTTCATATTCTTCTTCATCCTCCACTTCTTCTTCTTCTTCATCATCTTCTTCGTATTCTTCATCATCTTCCACTTCTTCTTCTTCATATTCCTCTTCATCATCCTCCACTTCTTCTTCTTCTTCTTCATATTCTTCTTCATCTTCATCTTCCACTTCCTCTGATTGCACATCTTGACATGATTGGGCATCATCTTGGACATCGTCGTCGTCATCACAGTATTGGACATCGTCATCGTCTTGGACATCGTCATCGTCTTGGACATCGTCATCGTCTTGGACATCGTCGTCGTCTTGGACATCGTCGTCGTCATCACAGTATTGGACATCGTCATCGTCTTGGACATCGTCATCGTATTGGACATCGTCATCGTATTGGACATCGTCATCGTATTGGACATCGTCATCGTCTTGGACGTCATCATCTTGGACATCGTCTTGATCATCATCTTGGTCACATGATTGGACATCTTGAACATCGTCTTGCGCATCATCACAGCATTGGTTATCGTCTTGAAAATCGTCTTGGGCAACATCACAGTTTTGGAGATTGTCTTGATCATGGTCTTGATCATCATCTTGATGACCCCAAGATTGGCCGTCATAATAATTTTGGCCATAAAGATCGTCATCATCATAACCCAAATCATTTAAAAAGGTCCCATCACCATCACACATGTCATCCAATCGGTGATCACGATCTGAATCATCTGAATTATAATCTAGAGATGAACGAGAATTTGATCTTCTTCCAGATGATCGAGGGCGTTGACCTCCTATGAGGCCTCCTACTCCTCCTACTCCTCCACGTGATGGTCTCAAAGGAGGACGTTTTGCTGGTGCACTGGAAGGAGGACGTTTTGCTGGTGCACTGGAAGGAGGACGTTTAGCTGGTGCACTGGAAGGAGGACGTTTAGCTGGTGCACTTGAAGGAGGACGTTTAGCTGGTGCACTGGAAGGAGGACGTTTAGCTGTGGCACTTGGTTTAGTGTCTGGCTTTGTGGGTCTCTTCTTTTCAGCAACAGGGGTTTCTTTGACAGGTGGTTTGGAACTAGGTTTGGTAGCAGCTGTAGGTTTGGTGGCAGCTTTCTTGGCTGGTTCTTTGTCAGACACACTGGCAGCTTTCTTGGCAGGCTTTTTGTCAGAGATTAAATTGGCAGCCTTCTTGGCAATACCCTTGGTCAAGGGGACAATACCGTCCAAGTCCAAATCTGGTGATTTCTTTTTAACAATACCACCAGTTTTTTTCTTTGGTACCTCATCCTCCTCTGATGATTCTACAACCACTTTCTTTTTCTTTGGTACCTCCTTTTTCTTTGGTGCTTCATCTTCCTCGGATGATTCTACAACCACTTTCTTTTTCTTTAGAGTAGATGACGAGGAAACCACTTTCTTTGGAGCAACTGGCTTTGAAACAATCTTTTTTTTCTTTGGTACCTCTTCTTCTTCTTCCTCTTCTTCATCAGATGACGGCAAGACCTGTTTCTTTTTCTTTGGGGCAGCTGGCTTGGAGATTGTCTTTTTTTTCTTTGGTACTTCTTCCTCTTCCTCTTCTTCCTCTGACAAGACCACTTTCTTCTTTTTCTTTGGAGCAGATGACGAGACCACTTTCTTTACTATCTTCTTTTTCTTTGGTAGCTCTTCCTCTTCCTCTTCCTCTTCTTCTTCCTCTTCTTCATCAGATGACGGCAAGACTTGTTTCTTTTTCTTTTGGGCAGCTGGTTTTGAGACTATCTTTTTTTTCTTTGGTACCTCTTCTTCTTCATCTTCTTCCTCTGACAAGACAACTTTCTTCTTTTTTTGGGCGGCTGGCTTTGGGATTGTCTTTTTCTTTGGAACCACTTCTTCTTCTTCTTCTTCTTCTTCTTCATCATCATATGACTTTACAATCTTTTTCTTTGTAGATGTAGAGGTTGTCTTTTTTTCTTTTTTGGTGGTACCAGAGTCACCTGAATCCTTTTGACCTTTTTTCAATTCGATGACCAAGTTTCTTTGCATCTCTCCTAGTTTGGCAACAATATCCTTTTGGAGTTCAGTTTTAATTTGTTTGTCGAGACGTTCATCATTCCTTTTCAATTTCTCTGCTTCTTTGGTTGAGTTTTTTTGATTGGTATTTATTCCTTTATAAATAGCAACTATATGTAAAAATGGAATGAATGATTAGTAAATAAATAAATAAATAAATAAATAAATAAATAAATAAATAAATAAATTAATAAATTAATAAATTGCATACCTCCAACTTTAGCAGTAGTACCAATAAATGGAATAACTTTTAATTCATTAACTAACACACTTCCAATATTGAGACCGACCTCTACAATTGTAGGACGAACCTTTCCAAGTTTACAATCTTTGAGAATGTCTTGAGTCTTGGAAAGAGTCATTCCATTTTCATATCCAGGGACTGCATAGGTAAGGTATTTTGACATAATTTTACAAATACCATCTTTACATTTTTGAATGGTTTCTAAAAGAGATTGGCGTTGCTCTTGTGTTGCCCCTTGAAGTTGACTCTCTTTTTCTTCTTTGATGGCAAATATCTTGAAAAGACATTTTTGAAGTTGAACCATGATGGTTGATTGATAGGGAGGGAAATCCTTTGACAAATATTTGTAGAGTTGTTTTTGTGATCTTTCTCTTGACACCATGTAGTCGAATTTCTCCTCCTTTAGAGGGATGTCAATGTGGATCATATCAGTTACATCGACCATGGTTTTGATTCTTTCATTTGATTTACGTAACGACTTGATATCCTTTTCAGTTGCACTTGAGTTTTGGAATGATTGAAATCCAGTTCTAACAATGGTAGTTCTAGAAGTAACTCTTTCATCAAATAATATTTGTACCAACATTTGAAAATATGATCTAAATTTAAATATTGAAATAAATAATTAATTAATTAAATAAAGATTATTATAATTTGTTTTTTTTATCAACTTACACTTCAGCAACACCAAAACGATCACGAGTTACCCAAAATATATTAGTAACACCTTGATCATAGATTAACATACAAATCTCGGCCAATGAATATAAAAAGTCATTGTCTGAGATTCTAATGTCACCAAAGCCCATCGTATCGATGACAGTGAGGTTCATGTTGAGCTTCTTGTCGATGGGTATTTTGGTGACCGAGTGAGTTTTGAGTTCTGTCAAGTCTCCATAAGAAGAATCATTGACCTTGAATGGGGATACAAGATTGCTGTTTTCCTTTAATTGATCTGCATCTGACACCAACACATTACCAAGTGTTGATTTACCAGAGCCACACAGACCAATTAATAATACAGTTCTATCAATCTCCTCTGCCCCCTTTACCTTTTTAGGCTCTTCTTTTGATGCATTGATACCAATCTGTGCAAATTTCTTTGTTATAGTTGATGTCATGACTAATTATTACTAATATAATTACAATAGACTCTTTAAAATAAATTATAGTGAAAAGAGTATTTTGATGTTTCTTTCTTTCTTTCTTTCGTTGAGGGTTGATGTTGTTGTTGTTGTTGTTGTTGTTGTGTTGAAATAATAATAAACACAACACAATAGTCGCACTTCAAAGCAACAGATGTAAATCCCATCCAACCTGGAGAACAATGATCATGTGATCCCAAAAATAAAATCTACAATAAAAATAGAGAAGGGAACAGGCCTACAAATATCATTCTCATCAATAGGTCGCATCCCAACTAATTTTCCACCAAAACCGTTTAGTGTGCGTGGTCATCAGTTTTTTTGGGGATGACAGAGAGAAACATCGATGTCACCAAACCCTCAAAAATAAGCCAACGCGATCCTAATTTTGCCACAAATCGACCCTCACGGATGAACTATGAGTTTGAAAAAGAACTAAAATAGTATCTGATCGGGTTCTGTGAATTGAACGGTTTCTTTTGTATTTTGAAAGCATTAACAACTCTTTAGCAGCAAGTCCGCATCATTATCATCATATTATTTATTACCTTCTAAAAAACAAAATCGATACATCATTCATTTATTCATTCATTCATTCATTCATTCATTCCATCATTCCTTCATTCAAACATATAGTTATTAATAGTTTTTGAAAAATGGATCAGCCAAAGAGAACAATATTATTTGTTGGTATGTGTGATCACATGATTTTTTTGATAATCACATCGATGATGATGATGATGATGATACTAACAAAGTGTACAACGTTGAATATATCAAGGCCGTACTGGGAATGGTAAATCCACACTATGTAATGTAGTTTCACATTCAAACGAGTTTCATGAGATGAACAGCAGTACTGGTTGTACGCAAAAACCAAAGAAGAAGATCTTTAAAGCGATCAAAGGCTTTAAAAGACCACTAGAATTGTCTGTTGTAGATACTGTTGGTTTAGCTGACCCCCAACAAGAAAATGAAAAGATCTTTAGAAATATTGGTGAGGTATGATGTCAATACTTTGATCATATGTATAGTGTAGTAAAAGTCGCTAATAATCCATATTATTATTATTCATTAATAGACATGTCATTCATTAAGAACAACTGGTATCAATCAAATTATATTTGTGACAAAGGATAGATTTGATACTTGTGAATTGGCATGCTTCCAATTAGTTATCAAGACTTTGTTTGCAGGTGATGGTGATGACAAGGAGGAGCTTGACAAGTGTCTCAAACATACCACCATCATTAGAACTGGAACAACCTTTTTCAAGGACGAAGCCAAATGTAAAAAGGATCTAGAGGGTCTTAAAAACTCTGATCCTTTTATGAAAGAGATGATTGAAAAGTGTAACGCCTTTATATATGTAAACAATCCACCAGACAATGCTGCAACCAGAGAGGAATCGAGAACTAAAATATTGAACCATCTCATTGACAATTGTTCAAATTGCTTCTTCCCCAGTCAACTCAAGCAGCTTGCCGGAGAGCTCAAGCCATCGATGTCCTTGAAAAAGACAATTCTCACCAAATTAAAACTAGCTAAAAAGGAACCAAACTCTGAGGTCAAGACCAAGGAACTCGAAAAAGAATTGGAAAAGGTTGAAAAGAAATCAAATAACATTCTAAAGAAAATCATGGAGTTAAAGAACCCTGGAATGTTTGAATTCACAGGCAATCTATTCACACAAGCACTCCGCCACTTTGTGGCAAGAGCTAATTTGGCAAAGACAATGAATGGTAGTACACAATTAGACAACAAACCTGCCAACCCTCCAACATTAGCAATAGCACCAACAACAACAACAACTACAACTACAACTACAACACCAGCAGCAGCTTCAGTTATCATTGCAACTGCTCCTCCTCCAAAGAAAGAAGAAGAAAAAGAAGAAAAAGAAGTAAAACAATTAAAGAAAATAGTTAAAAAGGTAGAGGTTGCTCCTGCTGTTCAGGAAGAAGAATCGGATCAAGACTCGTCTGAACAAGAAGAGGAAGAGGAGGAGGAAAAAGTTCCAGAAAAAAAAATAGTAAAGAAAATAATCAAAAAAAAGATAGTAGCAGCTGCTCCACTCGAGGATATAAGCGATACTCAATCAGTTGACTCTGATTTGTCTGGGTCAACTTCATCGACCACCACACCAACCAAAAAGAAAACAATCATTGTCAAAAAGAAAAAATCAACCACACCAACAACTGCTGTTGAAAACAGCGGTTCTGATGACTCTAGTATTGGAAGTGCAGGAGGAGAATCACCAGTCATTCTCAGAAGAAAAGAGGCTGCTGACCCAGATGAAGCAGAAGCCAAACCAAAAAGAATCGTTAAAAAAAAAGTACTTAAAAAAGTTGTAAAGAATGTATCAGTATCAAATCTAAATGAATCATTAGAAAATTGTCAAGTAACAGAATAAATTAAATTAAATTATTAATTAAATTAAAGGTTCTTATTTTATTAGATAGATTATAAATCATCATTTGCTTTTTGTAGTTTGTTTTTCATATTTCTGTTAAAACTGTTTTTTTTCTTGTTCTTTTTAATGACCATGAATGTTGCAATCGCAGCGGCAATTAAACCAATACCACCAACCACGCAACCAACGATAATTCTCCAATTGTTTGACTTTTCACAATCACTATTATCAAACTCTTTATCAATCAACAGGGGTGTAAAGTCTGGATCGAGTTGGCATTGAGAACATTGAGGTAGATTGATTCCAATCAATGCAATTGATTCATCTGAATTGTCATCATCAACTGGGGTTATTGACATTAATTCTGTTTTTGAATAGGTCTTTCTACCATTAGACAATACAAAATCAATGAATCTACCACTAAATTGAATGTTGTCTTTGACAACACGGAGATATTGAATCGATTCTGACAATTGATCCTTGGTAAAACTGTCAATTGATTGTTTCTCACAATCAAATGTCACCGATTGATCATTATTGATGGTAGATTTGAATACAGCTCTGAGTGTTGCCAAATTGGATGCAAATGGCCAATATGAAATGGTGAATCCAACCTTGATTGAATTGGGTAAAAGAATCAATTCCATGTCGCCAAATGTAACATTTCTTGTGATCGATGAGAATGATATGTTACTTGATACTTGCAAATTGGGATAAATCTCTGTAGAAATGGTTGAATTGTAGGTATTCAATTTATAATTGACAAGTGTTGTAATATTATCGGTCGTTACTGAAACATTCCAAGATTGCTTAATCAATGTCAATTCTTTAATTATTGAACCATCATAATCTAATTCTTGAATTGAATAAATATCAAATTGGAAATCAATTCCATCAATATCAAATGATACTGTTGGATTTGTTGTATTTGGTTGAATTGTTGTATTTGTAACTTATATATAATATAATAAATAAAAATTAATAAATGATAAAAACGTTGATGGATTTGAATATCACACATACATTTTGTTAAACAATTATCAATTTGATTATAATTTGGATTACATTGGCATTGGCCATTTCCATCACAATTACCATGACCATAACAATTGTGTGTTAATCTTTCACATTTTTGTTGATTTGATTCTCCATTATTTCCTCCTGTAGTAGTAGTAGTAGCAGTTGTAGTGGAACCAGTTGTTGTTGAACCATTGTTATTATTATTTGGTTGGATATAGAATAAACTTGATGAAATAAATTCAGATTCATCAACCTTTATATAAAGTGTATTTGGACCAGGTTGAGGTGAAGAGTCGAGAATACAAGTGATTTGTGTGAAGTTCATTTTTTGAATCACACAGTTTATAGTATTTGCAACTGTTACTGTCCCTGTTGTTGCAGTACTACCAAAATATCCTGATAATTCCAATGCTTTGGTTGTCGAGGTATAATTGACTGCATTTGCAAGTGGATAACCTAAAAAATAAATAAATAAATAAATAAAATTAATTAATGTATTAAATAATTTAATCAATTCTCTAGAAATAATCTAGAAAAAAATTGAATGAACCTACTAACTAAAATAATTATCAAAAAAAGGTAAATAAAATATTATTAATAATTAGTAATTAATTTTTTTTTGTTTGTTTGTTTGTTTTAAGACTTACTGACTGCCATATTATAGGAAGTGGCTAAATATTGATTTGTCGCGGTTATATATACAAAAGGGAGTATTTGTATGCCTTTAGGAACATCACAAATAATAGTTGATGCTGATTGAATTGGATTGGCACAGGTAATATTTGATTCAGTCAATGTTATATTATGAGAAAGGTAGGTGTTGATTCGATCGATATAAACCACAAGTTGGTCAATCCCAGACAATTTTGTTATTACACGTCCACCAATAAGAGAAACACCAGCCTCAATAACGGAAAAGTCTCTATTATAACCCATAGGAATCGATAAAAGAATGTTGACGTCTCTTGATGGTCCATTTTGAGGTACAACGGAGAAACTAACTTTTTGATTTGGAACAGGTGCCAATCCTCCAGGTGCATTACCATATCCTATCTTTTTACCTGTTATAGTCACACGTCCAAGATTAGAATAAAGGGCCATACTATCAAACTCAATGTCTAAAAGAAAATAAAATCAAAATTCATTAATTAATTGAAGGCTAGAATTTCTACTACTACTACTACTACTACATACTACAAACAAAGTTTTGGGGAGGAGCTGAGAATGGGAGTTTGAGAAAAGGTTCCATATAATAGCAGTATATGCAATCGGGGAATGAGGTGTACTGAATGTCAGTAAGAGTGAGGCTTCTGGCTTGACAAAATGACTCTGGTACATCTCCAAGATGAAGATTAACGTTGTTTGAAAGATCAATATGTATACCTGGACTGACATTATCAAATACACTATAATTTAAGTATCCATTAAACTTATTTGATGACAATGCCCTAAACCGATCAGAAAAAGTAAAATAAAAAAGGTCAGTCTGTGTGTGGTTGTTGTCAAACGCAATTGCAGGTCTAATGTGATTTCACTTACAAAAATGTCAGAGTAGATGGGAGCTGTAGGTTTGGAATGGCACTCATACCTGAACTTGTTATTTGCAAAACCATTAACTTTTGAGGAAAAACTGTAAATGGATAACTTGACAGCGAATTGTTAGCAATGGTTCTAAAGAGGATTTTAATAAATAAATTTGAATTAGTTATGACCAATTGTATCATACAATGAATGTATTTGTTGACAAAAAACTTGATAGTTATAAAGGACTTACAATGATAAAAGTTTGTTATAGTCATTCATCATGGTTGGAAAGGTAACAAGTGCTCCATAGATGTATATAGTCTCTAGGAGGTCTGGATTTAAAATGTTTAAATTCAAATTAAAGACTGATGAAACTCGTCTTTATCGGATGAAATAAATAAAATGAATTAGGTCAATATGTAAAGAATTCAATAAACAGGTGTGCCTCGTAATAATACATACAATGTAAGTAATGTTGAACAATTGACAATGACTTCCATTGCACTATCTCCACCTTGAGATGTAACAATCCTACAGAGGGCAAAAAAAAAAACAAATAAAAAAATTAATAATTTTAAAAGAAGAAGATGATGATCATCATGGATGGAAAACTTACAAAGAAGAAAGAGATGGAAACGATTTAGTTGTGAAAACCACTTGATGATTGGATTTTGGATGAACCATTATTTCTACTGAATCTAGTTTTGGAAAATAGACGTCAGTTCCGATATAGACAAATTCAAGAATTGGGTTATTGGTAATAGTGAGCATCCCTAGTGATGGCACATTAAAGAATCCAGGTGCTGATATAAAGTTGGGATTATTTGAGAACTTTCTATATTATGCCAATAGAGAGAAAAGGAAGGAAGGAACCCTTGGTTATTAAACAAGTCAATCAACAACAACAATCTACTGGTAGGTACTTACACAGTTTCCAGGCTACCTAGAGTATGAGGGTAGAGGTCCGATGGTAAATATATGAAAGAAGGGTCATTTTCAATGCTATTATTAGATAGTAGGTAGTTAGTATAATCTTTGTTGTTGTTGATTTGTAACATATGTTTAAACACATACATTAAAGAAACCAAACTTGGAAGATTTTTCAACATGGGTACCACCTGTATTGATACATTTGCTACGATGGGCAGTGGCAGAGACAATTGTAGTATAACCAAATAAGGTAAATCAAGCGCTTCTAGTAAATCATTTGGCATACCATTGGATACATAATTTGATGCAGTACTAGAGTTCATATGATATGGGAAGTGATAAGTAAGAGAGAGAGAGGTATTGAGTATAAATATAAATGTTTTGTGGTCTCTTACATTGAATAAATGTGTTCAACTCCGGGTGTAGTACTGTCTGCTACACAGGTAACGATAGAGCTATATTGTGGATCACAAGGGTTTGGAGTAAATAGTGGTATATCCAACCCATATTGTTTTTGTAGCCATTCAAACGAGTAAACTGTAATAATAGATAGATAGAAACACACACACAATTATTTAGTTAGTTTGAATGACTATCTATTATTTCAAACACCATCTATCTTTTTCTTTTTCTTTTTCTTCTTCTTCTTCTT